CCACAGCGATTCAAGTTCACGATCAAGGACGAGTGCGAATTCAACTATGAGGTCGTCATCGATATCGTACAGCTCAATGGAAGGAAGGCGCTACACGTTATCGATGTGGCGACATCATTTCAGGCAGTAACGTTCCTACGATCAATGTCAGCGAACGATGCATGGGACGCACTATGTCGCTGTTGGATCTTTGTATACCAAGGGCCCCCAGATGTGATATCGCACGACCCAGGAACGAACTTCGCATCTGAGGAGTTCAGGAACAACGCCAAGATTATGGGAGTCTCGTGCAAAGAGATGCCGATTGAGGCACACTGGGCTATCGGTAAGGTAGAGAGAGCACACCGCCCATTAGAACGGGCGTACGATATCCTCCACCAGGAGTTGAGTCATCGCACAGACGACGAGACGATCCTCCAGATGGCAGTTAAGGCTCTTAACGATACGGCTGGCCCAGACGGGCTCGTACCAACACTCTTGGTATTTGGAGCGTACCCCAGGATCAATCACGACTCGCCACCGTCACCCGAGATTAGAGAGAGAGCGCGAGCAGTGCAGAAAGCAATGAAGATGTTGCGCGAGATCCGCGCACAAGTTAGCGTTAATCGTGCGCTCAATACTCGGAACGGACCAACGACAAATGGAGTCCTCGCACTACCCTTGAGGAGCGAGGTGCTTGTCTGGCGAGAAGGGAAGGACAAGAGGTGGGAAGGACCATACCCCATTATCGCCAAGGACTACGCCAATGTTACCGTCGAAATGCAGAGCGGCCCAAAGACGTTCAGAATAACCCAGGTCAAGCCGTACTATCAAGATAAAGATAGGGAAGAGCAGGGACAAGGAGAAATCATCTCGCACGAGAAAGACCAGGTATTGAAAGAACCTGTTCCCATCGTGCAAAAGAGGGGACGGGGACGACCAAGAAAGAACCCAATCCCAGCTCAAGGCACGACTCTTGTTACTCAGAAGGAAGTCGACGCACTTGCACTGGCTATCCAACTCCGCGAAGAAGGAAAGATCACTATACCCGGGCTACCATTTGAGGAATCGGACGCCCAGGAGATTGATGGACTGCTGGTCTCGCACGTTATTGAGGTCATCCGCTTTAATGAAAAGAAGCATGGCAAGCTAAGACTCTGGAAGACCCGACTCGTGCGAGAGATAAAGGGAAAGGATTCTATCCCCTATGAGAAGTCCAGGTTGATCGTGCAAGGCCATAGCGACGAGGATAAAAAGGAGATCTTGACCCAGGCTCCGACGATCCAGAGAATGAGCCAGAGACTGATCCTCGCACTAGGCCCATCGCTAGAAGAGCGAATTGGTGCAAAGACTGAACTGAGAGATATTACGCAAGCCTATACCCAATCGACAGATCCTCTTCATCGCACAATCATCGCACAGCTCCCGAAGGAACTCAAGGACAAGTATCCGAAAGGTACGGTCCTATGGATCAAGAAGCCCCTATATGGACTCGCAGAGGCCGGAGTCCATTGGTTCAAGACGTACAACAAGCACCATATCGAGGCATTGGAGATGCAAACTTCAACGTACGACCCTTGTCTGTTAGTTACCAAAAACGGACAAGAGACCTTCGGAATCACAGGCATGCAGACAGACGATACCCTCACACTAGCCACCCCCCAGTTTTCGGAAAAAGAGGAGGTCAAGCTCAAAGAAGCAGGACTGATGGCGAAGCCAAAGAAGTTCCTGACGCACGACTCTCCTATCGAGTTCAACGGATGTCGCCTCCAACTCCAGGGAAAAGACATCTTAATCGCACAGAAAGGGCAGGCCAAGCAACTCAACCTAATCGACCAGGAAAAAGAAGATGCACCCCAACAATATGTATCTCAACGTGCGAGAGGTGCATATATCGCAAGCATTTGCCAGCCAGAGGCAGCGTACGACCTATCTATCGCAGCTCAGGTGAAGGAACCAGAGAAGAGAGACCACGATAGCCTGAACAAGAGGATCCAGTGGCAGATCGATAACCCGGAGCGAGGACTTCGCTATCAACCACTGGATCTTGATCGTGCGAAGCTATTCATCTTTACTGATGGATCTTTCGCGAATAACAAGGACATGTCATCACAGCTCGGATTTCTAATCGTACTAGGAACGGAGGACGACCGTACGGATAAGTCATTCCAGCTCTGCGGCAATATCGTACACTGGTCCTCAACCAAGTGCAAGAGGATTACTAGGAGCGTGCTGGCAAGCGAGCTCTACGGCATGGTGAACGGATTCGATAGCGGAATTGCTATTAGTACGACACTCACCAAGATTACAAACGTCCTCGGGATCGCACGAATCCCAGTGGTAATCTGTACAGACTCGAGGTCACTGTACGATTGCCTAGTGAAGCTGGGAACTACAAGTGAGAAGAGACTAATGATAGACGTTATGTCCCTCCGCGAAGCGTATGAACGCCGGGAGATCTCAGAAATCCGTTGGATTGATGGACAAGACAACCCAGCCGATGCACTCACTAAGAAGAACCCCAACCAAGCATTGACAAAGCTGGTAGACGACGGAAAGGTCATCGTACGAATCGAGGCGTTCGTCGATAGACTGGACAAGACGAACTGAGGAGGAGCGGAAAGGCTCATATGTATTATCACCGCACGATCACTCCATTCATATCCCTAGGAAACCCATTTCATTAGAAACTCAACGCACTATCCCCCCCCCCCCAGAAAAAAAAAACACCCCAACCCCAAGAAGCTACTCCTCAAGCAGAAAAGGGTTCAGACGCGAGCCCGAACTAGACGGAGGAAGAACACGCTGGCTAGGACCAGCGCGAGGAGAACCACCGGCTGAACTACCGCCCGAATCCCAGGCGGACATTGAGCCCTCGTTGGAATGAGAGCAGCGAGATCCGTGCGACTGCCAGACGCACTCGGCATAGGCGCCGCCCTGGAATGAGGGGACGCGTACGCAATGCCGGAACTTGGGAGACGCGTTTGGATTGCCGCACTTCTCCGGGCACGGGCGCACGCGTGTACCGCGCGATTGAACAAGGAGCGCACGAAAGTACGACTCCCGGCGGATGATGCGGGCGAAGAGAAAATGGACCGACGCACGATCGGCAGCCAGGACGCGGACCTCAACGTCAACCGAGGGCATGGCGACGACGCGGCGCTCATCGTCCTAAGGTTAATCAGCCACTCGTACGACAAAAAGAAAGACTCTCGAGGGTATTCACATTGACACAGAGGCTCGCAAGAAAACGGCGGTTATCCTCAGAACCGGTCGGAATAAGCAGGAAGAGATCGAGTACTATTCGTACGAGAGCTGATGGTACCAAGAGGTGTAGGCGGCAGGCCGCCGCCGCCAGGCACGAGAGACATTGTGCCTGTATGTGCATGTGTGTGAAGAGCGTACGAAGAAGGAGAAGAAGGGAAGAAGGAGAAGAAGGGAAGAAGGAGAAGAAGGGAAGAAGGAGAAGAAGGGAAGAAGGAGGGCGAGAAGGCCAGCTTCACACCTAGACTGGGTGCCTCGAAAGCGCACTCTTCGGACCCTCCGCTCCTTCCGCACGATCCCCGATCCCGGGCATATCGTCGTACGAGACCCCGGATCGGCACTAGCAGGCAAACAAGTTATCAGACAAAACGTGCGAGGAGGTCGGGACTCATTGCACGATACTAGCAAACAGCATATTCAGACGAGATAGTACGATCTGTTCATCCAACCACGTGGGAAGTCACAGCGAAGGCAGGATAGGGAGAGGGATCGTACGGTCACAAAAGAAGAGTTGCCAGTGTTGGAATAGCGATGTTGGTGACCGTACTCTGCGCTGGAAGGGAGGCGGTGCGATGCACGTGCGCCGCACGGCCCTCGCACGGCCACGTACAAAGCCAAGAACCCCCACCATAGATTTCTAGAACAGAACATGAATCAGAACAACTTTACACCCCCCCCCCCCCCGGTAGTACTACCACTTTTTGACCCGTTGGAACACCTACGTGGTTGGAATACCACGAACAGTTCCCTTCATCTCGGCCCCACCCCCAAAAACTCACGTTTCACCAAACCTCCGCACTTGAACAAAGCATACCTCTTATTGCATTTGCACATACATACGAATAATAACAATAACGACATAATGAAATCTACAAACAAGAAACAAGAAACAGACAAATCCGTTAGTAAAGTTGACATGAATATCCCTTTCAAACATTGCAACGTGCAGTACAATGTCCAACATAAAAAGGAAAAAGAATAAAAGATAAAGTAGGAGACCGAAACCAGAATTAAAGAAACATACAAAACTTAAGAAAGGGGGGAATAAAAGCGGGGAAAGGGGGGGGGAAAGGAGACAATATTTAGTCCAGCAGGCAACAACCAACCGGAGCCAAGGAAGAAGGGGGAAAAGCAGGGCGGGGATCAAGACTTTTTTCCCACACAACACCCGCTAGGGACCAGGTTATTATCATCTTTCCCTGTTTCTGCCAAAGCCACGACATCCGAAAACCTGCTTCTGTACTGCGTCGGCACGTTTTCAAGCAGAGAGTCAAGGGGGAGATAGATGCTAAATCCGTATATATGTAATAGATACTTCTTTTATCCCCCCCTCATTTCTGAGAGTTTCCGTACATGTTTCTTCATCTCTTTCCTGTCCGAGCTTAGATTACCGTCGGCAAAAAAAGACAACAAATAAAGAAAAAAGTAGAATCAGCCGCTTTCCACCATTTTCCCAATCTTCCGTTTCCAAAGCGCCTCGTAAGCAGACGCCAAGTTGAGATGGGAGTCGGCCCCTCCCATTCATTATCTGTCGCCATCGAAGCTATACGATGAAGAGGCGCAAGTGCTAGGCAACGCACCCCAATTCACCACCGTTTACCTCTTCCAACGTCCGACCTTGTGCAGGCACATGGCAGCAACTCCACCCAAACGGTCGATGGTCGGGATCAGGGCCTTCGCCGTCTCCATGCTAGGAATGAGGTATGCCCGGACGCCTCAGTTTTTGCTTCGTGTCCCGCACCACCCCCATGATTCCTTCATACGGTACTCGAAGGCGCGTTTGACGCTTCGTTCCGACATCTTTTGCACATGCACCAGCCGCCGAGACTGCCCTTCGCCCATTCCCTGCGCTCCTGTACAGGGAGGTCGACGTCGCAGTAGTGGTTGAGGATCTCCTCGCCGGCCTGGATGCCTCTGGGCGTGTTCCCGAGGATACGCGTCTCGCGGGCCCAGAGCACCATGCGGCCGCCCCACTCCCAAGTAACGTTTGGATTACAGTCGTGGTTCGCCAAGCACCAGAATGGATGAACGGCGGCCACGTCGGGGCGGCCGTCGCGCAGGTTCTTGCGGGCCGACGCGGTGCCGCGGAATTTGCCGTAGGCCGTATTGAACACCCACTGTTCGTGTCGGTCCAGGGTGGCGTATATATCAATGTCCATCTTTTCGAGGAGATGGAGCGGCGTCTCGATGCTGTACTTAAACGAGAAAGGAAGCGTCCACTCCGGAGGCGGCCCGGCATCGGCCGACAAGTCAATGTCGTTGAGTTCTGTTGGCACAAAGTCGCCCCATATGTATTTTATCTCGTCCACTTGGAGGGGGTGCACGTCCTGGTGGGCTGACATGGCCAACAGGCGGGCCAGGAGGAGAAGGTAGAGCGACTCATCAATGTCGTTGTTTTCCGGATCCTTTGCGATGGAATCGACGTCGCGGTCGCACACTGCAGGGTGGTACTTTCTCTGGGCCTGCGAGAAGCAGAAGTCGTCGCAAAAGACTGTGTCGTAGCACTCGGGACAGTTGACGGCCTGCGTATCGGGCCCAAGGGGCGGCAGCTCGGCCCCGCAGGCATCGCAGGTCGACTCTTTATGCCTGCTGTTGGCCGTCAGGAGCGAGTACTCTCTCAGGACCACCTCGCCAGGGGCAATGTCTTCCTTAGCGAACAGGCCTAGTTGTTCGCACGTGGGAACAAAGTCGAATCCGTCCGTGTCGCTAGCTCCCTCGAGAAGCACAGGGAGGCTGGCGACCCTGACTTCGCACTTGGGCGCCATGGGAGCGAGGCGCTGATTCATGTAGGAAATTGACTCGTCCGAGAAGCGGTCTGGTTCGTGCGTGTTCCACGGGTATATCTCTCGGCGCACAACGCCGCGGTCGGGAAGGTGGTTTCGGTTGATTGGTTCGTCTGGCCGCTTCCGTAGCCTCCGTCTCGCAACCTGTTCGATATAAATCTTCGTCTCGACGAGCTCCCTGTTGTTGGGAACGGCGGCGAGGCCCCTCTCGCAGAAAGTCAGTGCAGTCTTGAGACACCCGCAGAGCAAGAGGCTGAGCGACAGGATCTGGAAGCAGCGAGCAGAGGCAAGTGAGGCAAGCTGATCATGACGGTTGGGCCCGGCCACGCCTTCGCCGTCCACCAAGTCCACATCGGGGGCTCCACGGATCATATCGTCGTGTACGAGGGACCCATAGCGCAGCACTTCGGGACATGGCTCGTCAATGTACTTGTCAAGAGCCTCTCGGGCTTGATCGTGGTACTCGAGTCCTTCTTCGCGCACTTCGTCGGCCAGGAGCAGGGCGCGGTAAGCATCGGCAGCGGCCAGGTCGGGGTAGGCTAGGTTGGAGTAGGCGACGGCTCGCTGCAGGAAGAGGATTATATCATAGGGTTCAGCGGCCAAGGCGTCTGTCAGCTGCTGGCGGCGCAAGAGGAGGGCTGTCCTGCCGGCCTCCCTTCCGGACGACACCGACGGCGACGAAGCTTCCATGGTTGGAGTGGGTGTGGTAACGAGCAGGGGGAAAGGGGCAGGAGTCCCAGGGCGGAGGCCAGGATCGGGTTGCCGCAGCTTCCCGGACGGACGGTCTGTCTGATATCCTGACGAGGCCCCTCCTGGAGGGGCGCTGTTGGAAACGGGGTGTTTGTGATGCCAAGTAGGCAGGCGGGGCAGACGGGCTTGTGTTGATGTTGGAGGGGCAAGTCCCTGCATATATGGTCGTTGTGTTGTCTGCGGGTAGGGTAGGGGACTGAGTTGAGATGGGTGGGCCACACGAACGAGCCGCGGAGTCGCAGTCCAAAGGGGAGCCAAAAAAAAGTTGCGAATGGGGGCACGCCCGCCCGGTGGAGGGGAGGCCCGCTCAGGCCAAGTCCCCTAATAAAACAATAACAGATGCAGAGACGGGGGGTTCGACGTGCACAAAGCCACTCAACCGCCTTACTAGCCAGCCAGGAAAAAAGGCGTTGGGGTAACGCACCAATGCTGGCGTCCTGCAGACAAGGTATTGTCGTGTAGCCTAGTGTACAAGCAGGTAGCCTCGAGGTGCCACAGGGGGCAGTGAGACCTTGATTTTTTTCTTCTCTTCAACTTTTTTCCCTCTCGTCTGGAGTCAGTCCTGCGAGTCCTGGCCGCGGCGATGCACTAGGGTCGAGGGATGCCTCGACGAGGCCGTTGCAAATGCTCCGGGGCCGACAGGGCTAGGCTGCAAGCAGGACGAGCAGAAGGCCAGCCAGGGATCATTGGAGTTGTATGCAGCAGGCACGATGACGGCACCGAATGAAGCGGCACCCTGGCCTCCGCCGCCCTTTGCCCTCTGCCCCGTGTGCGCCCTGTCATTCGGGCTCCGCCATACCTTAGGTACATACATACCAAAGGTACTCCGTACTTCGTACATACATGCAGATTAGGTAGGCGCTGCCCTGTACCTTTCCTACCTTCCGTTGGTTTACTGCACGAGCCCTCGAGCCGTTCGTCGAGGCAGGGTGACACCAGCCGCGGCTACACCTGAGTGGTGGGAAAGGATTGTCTTGCGAGATGCTATGCTGCGCTGTGCCATGAAGAGCTGCTTGTAGAAAACCGGACAATTCGATAGATCCCCGGTCCGTAACTTGGGTACCGTATCCATGGGATTCCACTTGCAGAAATTTCGTCCCAAGCCAAAGGTAATCGATGTGGACATGTAGATAGGTACTTCACCGATGTGGATGCCCTTTGAGCTTTTCTTTTAGCTTCCAGTTAAGTTGGGCCCGTCGTAGGTGGGTTGCGCCGCCGCCATCTGTTTGCAGTCACCATTTCCCCCCACCCTCCGGTTGAGTGTGGTGCGTGTAAGACTGTGGGTAGTGCCAAGGTCTCGCTGGACCCCTAAATCACGGCGCGAAAAATGAGAACAAGAGGACAAAATGGCCACATCTGGAAGCAGCTAAGGAAGGCACGGGTACGCTGCTGCACCTCTCACTGCCGGGGGAGGAGGGAGGGGGAAGGGACCGCCTGCCTGTGCCCATTGCAGACTTTCCGCAGGTCAGTCGCTCCTGCGGTCGAGACAGGGAAGACTTCCATGGAGTGGAGTTTTGCACGGCCCAGAGGCTACCTGACTGCCCGCAGAGGCTCTCTCTCTTTCTCAACCCCACATGGGTACGGATTAGGTATGTACGGAGCACACCCTGGGCAGAAACAGGGCTCTCCCCCCTGGTGCTGGGCGGCGTTCGGGTAGCTCAAGATTCAGGGTCCTGTCCCCCCTAGCTGATGGCTTGCATTTGCAGTTTTAGCGGTCCACTAGCAAGCGCGAACTGTGAAAGCCCGCCTGCCCCCCAACAAATGCCGACCTACGTCATAGGCGCTCGCCGGTCTCTGGTCAACGCTACCCTACGGCGAGCGACTGGAATGGTCTGGGCTGCGCCTGAGCCAGCCAGGCCCCCAGCACCCGCCGTTGGCGTGCGAGGTGCATGCAGTATTGGGTAAGGTAGAGAGTTTGTGCATGGTGTTATCAATGGATGATGCCTTGAATCATTTGACGAACGGGTTCAGTAGTCTTCCCGGGGGCTACGATAGATAGGGTCACGAGAGAGGCATATGGCCTAGCAGGTTCCTTGTCATGCAGGTTGTACGGGTCGGTTCCTTTATTCTAATTATTAATTTCTCACTTACGATATAGAGCGTTTCTGCTTTCCGGCCTGATATTCCGAAGCAGTGTAAGCGGACGTGCTCTTATCTTTCTGAAGTCGATCCCTGACCGGCAATTTTTCTAATTTCAGATTGCCTGAGGTCGACGAGTACTCCGTGCACGTGTATCGAGGGTTGTCACTTTGGTGTTACCATGCCTGTCCCCCTCCCGTTCTCGGGATTCTGGACCATTCTGACGTATGTACGGAGAACCCTGATTTGAGTGCGCATCCGGTTGTCCAATGGGCTCCAAAAAATCTATTGTCTACCTCCTTTCTACACGTGCATGTTACGCATGAATAAGCCACACAATCTACCAGAGAAGTGTATATAATGATAAGAGGTCCGTATCTTGGGTACCTTCCCATTCCGTATGCAGTTGTTTAGTGTACTTGGTGCCGGATGGGATGTGGAAGTATGGACAGAACGTGGTGTTGCCGGGATCGGGAATCTGAGGACCCCGCCGCCGATCGCCCCCGCACATCTTCAGATCAAGCTGTCACCCTTCTTTGGACCGTTCTCGACCCTCTAGTTCACTACGACGCGTCTGCGGCGGGCAGTGTAATCACGCGGCTTTGAGGAGGTCGCTCAACTTGTCCACGTAGAATTTGGGCACTGCCGCAGCATTTTTCGCCTCCCAGTCCTCTCGGTGGCTCACGCCAGTCAGGACCGCAAGCGTGCCGCCGAGCTTGCCTTGGATGCCGAACTGGATATCCGTGTCAAGCCGGTCACCAATCATACACGTCCTCTCGCGGTCGAGATGAAATTTCCCTTCAATGGCGTCCATCATTGCCTGGCTGGGCTTCCCAAGAGACACGGGCTTCTGTCCCGTTGAGTTGACCAAAGGCATGCCGATGGACCCGGCGCCGGGAAAAAAGCTGTTGTGGGTGGGGAACGTAGAGTCGACGTTAGTCGCCAAGAACTTTGCCCCTCGTCTAAGATACTGGTATGCGTGCGATAGCTTCAGGTAGTTGATGTGGAAATCCAATCCGGTGAGCACGCAGCCCACCTCGGGGTCGAGCAGAGACCCGTCGGCGATGCCCGCCCAGTCCTCCGGGGTCATGTCCCGCCGGAAGCTTGGGTCGGTGCCGCCGATGAAGGGCACGTTTTCACTCTTCAGCTCACTCTCGATGCCTGCTTCACCAATAACAAAGACCTTGTTCTGGTGCGGCGGCAGCTTGAGAATCCTCGAGATATAGATGGCCGAAGAATATGCCGACCCGAATATATCCTCGACATCCGAGGGAATTCCCATGGCGGCAAATTTCTTGACATAGTCAGACCGCGACTTTGTTGAATTATTTGTCACAAAGACAGTCCTCTTGCCTGGCATGGTACGTGGTTATAGCTTCGGCAAGCTTAAGTGGGCAGAAAGCATTTCTTACCTCTAGACCTTAGGAGCTCCAGTGTCTCAACCACACCTTCAAAGACATGATCACCAGACCATATCACCCCTGAAAAAAGGGGCAACGTCAACACCAAGGACACTAGCGAGTTGGAAAGGAAGGGACAAAAGCGCACCGTCACAATCGAGCAGGAAGACCTAACACGGGGCTTGGTGATCAGCATTTCTTATTTCATATATCTCTTATCGTGGCAAGCCAACGCTAGAGTAGGAAAACGCACATCAAAGCGGTCAATAAAGGCATTGATTGCGGCGACATCGCCCGTCAAGTATTCTGGTTGGGGTTGGGCGGTCATGGAGAAGGCCGTTGTTCCTGCCGCGAATATAAAACGCAGAGGGACGAGTGCAAGATTGCGATGCTGGACGATGCTGCCAATTGCGCGTCGTGGCTTGCTCGCTGGGCCTGGAACGGACAGTCCTACAGAAATGCGGTGTGAAAGGGCGACGAGATGGATCGAGGTCAGTCATGCCCGCCGAGCTCGCGGTGGCCGCGCCCTGCAGCCGGAGACCAGAGCGTGATTGGTTGACTGCCTTTTCTGACTCGGGAAGCCATTTTGAGCGAGGAGCGAGCCGAGGGACCCCGTCCTAGCGGGCAGGTCACCACTCAAGCCAGCTTAACGGGCCCTAAGAGGCGGATACCGCACGCTAATTGCCACCAGCGCCCGCAGTTGAGGTAGCAGCCCGGCAGTCATTGCAAATCCAAATCTTTTGCGTGCCACGTATTCGGCCAGGGTGAATATTGCATGTACCGTGTACCAACCTATAGCTGGCCGTTTTCGTCTTCGTCTTCGAGGGTCACGAACCCCTTAACTTGGAAGCTGCCCCTCAGCTGAGCTAATGTTTTGCCGTCCTGGGTGCCAATTCTCACTAGCCTTGACCCGCTCTTTTCGGACCCTCAACCACCCTCCAGAGGTACCCTGAGCTCGGGCCACGGACTACCTGCCAAAGTCTCTTCACAGCTCAGGAACTCCAAAGCGGCATCCCAATTCACGGTTGCACATCGTCTTGGAGCCAGAATCCCGGAGCATGGTGCTCAACAGGTTTAAATTTGAGATGCTGTCCCATCGCGCTCAGTTTTAGGAAATCCCAAGAAGAAAAAAGACAGTTCTGCTGCGATTTCTCAAGGTGACTCCCAAAGAAAACGTATTCACGCTGCAACATTGTCCCTTGATATTTTGCCCTCTTTGACATTTTGTATTTTGCCCCTTCACTCGTATTTTGCCCCTTCGCTTGTATTTTACCCCTCCTGGAAAGCGTTCCGGGCTCTGTGGCTCATTATGGCTGGGAACTGTGGCTTGACCACCAGCACGAGCCCCTTGGCTGAATGGACCCTCTCGACCCGTCCAAGATCGAGCAATACCGAAAAGTTTGCGAAGAGACCCCCGAACCTGAGCCTTTAGAGGCCGAGGAGCTTCACGATGTCTGGCAACATGGCAACCAGCGCCGCCCGGTGCCACCGAAACTCTCGGACAAGCACAAGGCCGGCCTCGTCGACCTCAAGCGCCGATGGATTACCTTCGCGGCGACGGTGGGGCACCAAGACTGGAGGGCTCTTATCAAAACCCTTAGCTACGAGAATAAAGGGCTTGGCGAAGCATTCTTTCGCTACCTCATGCGGCGGGCAGAACTCCGGGAAAACCAATTCAGGCCGAGAGTGCGATCCGTGCGCAGATCAGGAAGTTGGGCGGCTTGTATAGGAAGTACAAGGGTTGCCTGCCGGAGAGGCCGCTGATGGATCATCTCCGGAATGTCATCCGTTCCGAGACTACGAAGACGTGGAAGTTGAGGCGCGAGCCGAAGATTAAGCCTATCATGGGCTCCGACTTCTTCACATCTACCACCTTTACTACCGCTGGGTATGTGACACCTCGGCATTTTCTATCGGGCTTGACCGAATCGACGATGTGTGCCTCCGCCAATTCTACATGTACACCAGTTGCCGAAAGCACGAGCTCGTCTACGCGAAACCGAGAGACCTTGAGGCAAAAGTTAAGGAGTATGACGAAGAATCGGATGCCTACACAGATGTAGATTGCACCACCGACAAGTACATCAAGCCACGTGTGAAGACGTACTAGGTATGCGACGAGATAGATAAACGCGACAATAACCCGAAGCTTAAAGTCCTCTGCTGGGAGGATATCGATCTCTGGCTTCTTCGCGATTCAGAGAGAAACGGTGGCCGAGACCGCTTGGGCATGTAGGTTCTTCTCCGATACCACAAGGGCGAGAACAAAAACATCGTGCCGACCTGGTATATCTTTGTCGAAGAGAAACTCCTAGTCCTTTGTCCTATCACTCATATCTTGACTAAAGCGCTGGCCGAGGGTATCATCGCGAGCGAGGGATACCAGACTAAGGCCGACCCGTCCTTCGCCACAAAGCTCAACAAGCGTGCCTTGAAGATTCGGTAGAAGAAGGAGTGGCTGTATAAACCGGTGTTCCGCAAGATACATAAGGTCTTCAAGGAGGAGTCAGAATTTGAGAAGCTCTATGCGAAGATTATTAGTATAAGGAAAGCCGCGTACGAGAGTATACAGAGTGCAAAAAGGGGCCTCTTCAACTTGTGGGAGAAATCTGATGACGCGCAAACGGCGGCTACGTATGATCATCATTCAGAACGGCTTAGGATTCGTATGGGGCTACTCGGACCGCTAGCATAATATTCTCAACGACGAGGGTTTACGGAATGTCTCGATAGTAGGTACCCCTCGTCTTAGTCTAGCCAGTATGCTAACACTGCGAAGCACACTATAGTTAGGCGGTTCGCAACTAAGGCCTGCGGCATAATGCGAACAGTACTGTTTATCAGAAGTACTATCATAACGCCAAGATAAATGCCGTTATCCAAGATGCCTTCCTGGGTCGCGGTACGCAAACACCCTACCTAGCCATCTTAAACCACATAGGCCTCCGTCTAGATGAGAGTGCCCCAAAGAGAGTGCCCGACGAGATGATGCGCATGATCGGTCCTAACGCCGCTGTCCGGCGGCTGGAGCAAAAGTTGGAGGCTTTGCAAACAGCACTCCGGCAAAAGTACGGACGTCCCAGCTAGGCTACAAAGGACGAAATCCAACAATACGAGACGACTCAAGCTCAGCTGAACGCTGCGAGATAAAAACAGCGAAGAAAGGTCTTCCCAATCTCAAGCCGCTGCCGAGGATGAAACCCTCGAAGATGAGCAGATGCCGGATGCTGATGCCCCCCAGGGTTCGAAGCGGAAGCGCCAGAGCAGCGGCGCCACTAACAAAAAGGGCGCGAAGATGCCTCGTTATGTCTCTCCTTCACCCGCCATCTCGGGCTCCGAAGACGACGAAGAGCAACAGAAGCGCATCCAGAAGGCTAACAAGGGCAAGGCCGCTGTTAGCGGTCGCGGAGGCAGTCGCAGAGGCTCTGAAGGCAGCGAGAATTCCGGTATCCAACGTGAGGAGCGCCTTACAGAGCTCCGTCTTTCTCACTTCTTGAAGAAACACAACTACTAGGTCATCGATGCTGAACATCTTGAATTCGACGAGAAAGCGAAGTTCGGTCGAAGTGCTGACCTGAAGGAGTCCCTCTCGTTCAAGTACAATATGGACTTGCACTTCAATTTCAAGAATCTTTATACCTTCTTGCCCAAAGAGGAGTATCCGGGATACTGGAAGGAATGTTTAAAGCACGACCCCGAGCGAACGTTCAAGTTCAAGCAGCATGAGATTGTCTTCACTGACAGTGCCAACAAGGACGATGAGGCAGCTCTTACCTACCGCGATAAATGCCATTTAACTGGCCTTACCATCGCCTACGACATCAGCAAGCAAGTCCGCAACGTCTCCACAGCGGTTGCTGGCTTTGAGTTCCAATTGGCCTTCAATCTCTATCTCGACAGCCAAGGTAAGCACAGCTTTCGTCTTTACCATATTCTGATTCACCGTTACACGCCTTCTTCGTAACAATTGCTATGAAAAGGCTTAGAATGACCCGCTCTCCACGGAAATTGTTACGAACTACCCTCGAACCTACCATCCTCCTCATACAAACGTCATGCTAACTCATTCACAGCTGCCGACCTTTGCGGTCCATTTCTCGGCTGGGTTGCTTCTGTCGGAGCCGTTGCGGAGGTTGGTGGAACTGGCAAGAGCAAGCCCAGGATGATGTGGCAGAAGTTCATGTCGGGCCTCAAAGACATGACGAAGAACAAGATGTTTTCGGACCTTGTTGAGAAGTTGGTCGGATTCAATGAGCCTGCTTATTATATAAAGGTTCTCCACGGCGACGTTGAAGAGCCCGGCAAGCAGAACAAGAAGAAGTGGGACTTTGTGTCGCTTGACCATTCGGCTGTCCTGGCTGCCCTCAACGTCTTGTTATACTCTACAGAGGACATTGAATAGCAGGGAACTCGCCGCTGGCTTCGTCGTACCGGAGATGCAGCCAACCAAAAGGGCATATACTTTGGATTCTCAGCCGATGAGTTCTTCATTGCTTGCACCATTATGCAATGTTTTACGGACCGACGCCGTTGCAACCAGAAACTCGGCTACTCTCGCGTCGAGGACGCGTTGGACTACTTCTACAAGGTTGAAAAACCGGTTGCTGGAAAGCAACAGGTGCGGGCCAAGGATGCGGAACACTTGGTCAACAGCGAGGCACACATGCTACAGCGGGGTGGAATATCCATGGCGGCCCTTGCGCATCGGGCCCCGCCGGCAGAGGAAATCGCCACACCGTATCGGCAGGGCCGCCTCATCATGGGCTGTCACGAGACCAGCCTTCCTCGCCTTGTCCATGCCAACATGGTGCGCCAACGCTTCTTTGCAAAGGGTATGGGGAATGGTGTTGTCAGCTATTACGAGAGGGCTGCTGGTCGCAGTCGCCGCCGTGGCAATCGCACCAGCGTCAGGGATCAGTATGTCCCTCTCCTCCCCATGGACGACCTGACCCTCGGGTATATCCTCGATTTTCTTCGCAGCGAATATCCCATGTCCCAGTCGGAAACGAATGCAAAGACCATGGAGGAGATCTCGAAGCACGTCCCTGGCACAGATATTGGCGGCTTTATCACCAAGTCCGAAGCCATGCAGATCGAACTGATCATGACACGCGAAGGCTTGTCCGCCGAAGAGTTCAACGTGCGCAATCTCGCCTACCGCGCCGGTACATTGAGCGATGAGGGTCGCGAGAAGCACCGAGCCTTCTCGGTGAGCTCGCGGTGAACAAGACGGCTATGCGACACACTGCCCAGTTCAATGCACTCATCGCCGAGACGCCGCCCAAAGGCCTCAACATTAATCGACCCCTCGACAAACTCGGTGTGTCGGAGGAGGAAAGAGAAAAAATTGATTGGAAGGACGGCCTACCATTCAAGCTCGTCAACCCGGATGGCCACGAGTACAAGATTTTCCTGCACCAATTGGCAGATGCCGACAGGATCGATGAAACTATCCACGGCTTCCTTCGCGGCTACGTCCTAGCCACCAGCGTCGGTCTCGGCAAGTCTCTTACCGCCATCACAACCCTCATGATGCGACGCCTTCACTGGCAGCGCGTTGAGGTGGAGGGAGGGGAGGTTGATGCGGGGGCCAGTCTTTTACTGGTCCCTGCTAACCTGATCAGCCAATTCTTCAGAGGTCAAAAAGTTTGCCGGTGGCGTCCTAAGCCCCTCGTTTACTATGTCAACGCCAAATCTGCTGCGACTAACCCGGCCCTGGCCGAGGCCACCCTGACCAAGGACGGCTTCATGGCTAAAATGAAGCGATTTTCACAGACTCGTCACAAGGCATCGGTAAGAGCATCCCAATCCCAAACCACCCATTTCGTAACACTTGACTTGAGTACCCTATTTTGGAGCCCCTTCGAAGCAGCCCGTAACAATTGCCATGGTCTACTGCCGAGCGAGCGCCTTTTCACGACACTTGTTATGAAATGGGGAGCAGCTCTAGCCTGGGGGCCAAAACAAGTGTTACGAAATAGCTCGATAAGGAAGCTAACTTTAGAGCAGACAGCCAAATTTGTGATCATTTCTTCGTATTCCGCCTTTACTGCTCGGTGCTTCAAGGGCATCTACCGCAAAGTGGTGAAGGGTTCCACCGAGGCTATGCAGCCACATCTCGATGATCAAGTTTTTGTTAGTTAGGAGACGACACCTTGCGACAATGTAGGCAGATCTCTGCCCAAGAAACGGGGAAAGCTCGCCGAGGCAAAGGCAAAGGCCCCTGATGTTCGCACTCGAGATGGCATGCCGCTTTACAGCGTTGGAGTGCGGAAGGTGCTAGCGAAGAGGACCGCCGAAGCCAGGAAGGCCGACAGGGAGGAGAAGAAAATGCAGCGTGCCCGGGATAAGGCGGAGGCCAAGGCCGAACGGAAGGCTCAGCGCGAGAGAAGGAAGAAGTTGGGTCCCCGAAGCGATGAGTTTGTTACTGAGGAGGACAAGCTCGATGATGAGCCTGATCCGCCGCCTCCGGACAGCGATACCGATAGAGATGAAGATGAAGTCGACGACTATGTTGAGGATCTCGATGGGGAAGAAGAGATCATAGTGGCCAATGGCGAGGAGACTGTCGCCCTCATGGAGGACGAGGAGTACCGGCTGAACAATGAACAATGGCATGGGTCGCGGTGATGATTACGACTGGGAGGACGACGCAGAGTTTATGGAGTCAGCCACCCATGAGCAGCGCAAGGCCTGCGCCAAGGCCAAGGGTCGCAAGGGTTTTGACGAGGCCATGTTAGATGAGAGCGATTTCACGTACATCAAGAACTTTCTGCTCAAGCTCAGCGATGGCACCTTTCAGGCACCGGTCTTCGACTTTGTCATCTGCGACGAGGCGCATTACATCCGAAATCGCCACACCACGTACGCAAGAATGGTCCAGCAGATTCCGAAGAAGTCTGTTCTACTGATGACGGCTACCCCAATTCTCAATCGCATCGAGGATATTCGCGGCCTCGCATGGCAGATTGAGTGTGCTTCGGGGATCAAGATCGGCATGCATATGCCGCACTGGGCGAACTGGCATTACCTTGCCACCCACTCTTTTCAGCCGTTTGCCTCTGAAGGTATTTTGATACCTCCGAATCCGAGGCAGCTAGGCATGGGTCGGGTAAGACGCCAGAAAGCAGCGACCATCATGGAGGACGTGGAGGAGTTTGAGCCAAGTGAAGAGGACCAGCAGGCCATCTACAACGCTATCTTCCATGAGAGCTACTCTGATGAGAAGCGGGAGGCCCTGATTGAAGCCGCACAGCGGAGCATTCGGTTTTGGTGCTTGCATCGCTGGGCCATGAGCATGGTCAAGACTAGTGGGGGGGGGGGGGGGTTGAGGCAACCTCGGATGCGATCCTCAAGCAATTCTTTACCGATTTTGTCCTCCGAAGAACCATGACTACCGGAATAATCGATCCCAACGACCCCAGCAACTTCATCTTCCCTCGAGAGCATATGCCTGCATTCCGCTACAGAACCGAAGATGTGCGATACAAGGAGTTCATGGAGGGGGTCGTTTCCGATCTCACCATGGAGTTTTTGAAGATGCTTCCGACCCTCCCCCCCGATGATGACGAGGGCATTATTGAGGGCGATGCAGCCAATGTTCACGACAAGCGCGAATCCCCAGAGGAGTCCAAGGGATCTATCAATATAATATTTCATCGTATCTTGCAGCTCCTCGCTATGGACTATAAGAGTATGGTCCTGTGCTTGCGAAGGGATGGCCTTTCGACTAGGTCTTCGCAGTCTGTCGCCAATATGGTTACTAGCGTTCGTAATAAGGCCATGGAGGCCTTCCTCAAGTCAGGTAGAGTCCGCCATGACCGCCTCCTTAAAGCCGGTAAAGCCCCTAAGGCTCGGCTTGGTACCGGTCAAATGGACCGCCTTGCACATTTTGACCCTGACGGTGCACTCTCATATTAAGTTGCTGCCACTCTCCACAATAAACGGATTCCGCCGCCTGCTAGCGATCGAATGTCTATGGTCACCTATTGCATAACAGACTCGCCTATTTTGTTCCGCGCTGTCGAGCTTATTCGCGAAAACAAAAAGGTCGGCAAAAGAACCCTGGTCCTTGTATTCAGCCAGGTTATGCAGCAGTAAGTCAGCCCCCTCTCCTCGTAACAATCGCCATGGAATTCTACCTCTTTGGCTCAAGCTCACGGCAATTGTTACGACGGCAATTGTTACGAACTGCGCCTCGGCGTAGCAGGAACAGCTTCGTAACAGTTGCCTTGGGCAGCACATAAGGCGTAATCCCACGGTAATTGTTACGAAACCACTTCAAAACTTGGAACTGGTACTAACATACAACAGATGGATGGTCGCCATTCTGGAGAAGGCTTCGTTTTCGGCCTTGGGCGTTCGCGGTTACCAAATAGACAATGAGAGGAATGCGATATACGCGAAGTTCAACGACCCCGACGCTGATATCGACGCTTTGGTTCTCAATATGGCTGTCAGCACCGTTGGCCTCAATCTGCAAGGCGCCTGCACCGAAGGCATCATTCTTATAGAGGGTTAGAACCGCCCTCTGACATTCTAGGCCTTTGGGCGTATTTGGAGAATTGGAAATAAGTGGCTTGTCACGTTTATTATACTCCGCGTCCCTGATACGTACTATGACGTCCTGGAAGACAAGGCCAACCGCAAATATGCCGAGCAGCTCCGAAATGAGTGCATCATGCCCAAGCACTTTTCTTCGGTTCTGCTGTAGCGCCTATTTGCCTATGAGCTCATCTCCTAGTACTTTGGTCTGCCTTTTAATCGCTTCATCTGGGTTCTCCTCCCTCCCAACTACATTAGGGACTACAACAGCAAGGGCATGAAGAGAGCCGGACAGTTCCTCACGATGGTCCTGTTCAAACTTCTTCGCATGCATCCAGAGGGTGGATTCCGCGATGGCTGTGAGCAGTCGCAGGCTGTAATCCAGGCTGCCATGTACTTTGCTCAGAATCCCCATGCCGAGATCAACATTGATGCCGACGACGCCATTGAGAAGTACGCCGAGCTTGGACGGGACTATGATCACGCAAAGGCCCCGTTTTAGGACAACGGGTCTATGCGAAGCATGGTCGGGAGAGCGCATGGATCCGCAAGCTCCCCGACGATGTGAGCCAGGAGGACTGGGAAGAACAGGAGGATATGGTGGAGATTGCCACTCGGGAGCACGATGATGAAGTGCTTGAGGGCCTCCATGGTGAGGGAGATGACCAGCCTCTCAGCACCGAGGAGGTTGAAGCCATCTACGAGACCACCCTCAAGATCAACGAGAAGGCCATCGGCAACGTCTTTACCGCCTTCAACCAGCAGCAGGCCAAGGAGCAGATGCGCCCTGACAAGGACATACAGGAGGAACTGCGGGCTCGCGATCGAGCCAGTGGCCGCTCTCCAGGCACTTACTTTGCGACATCTGCTGGTGGGGAATCCACCCTGGGGACAGCACTTGATAGTCCCAAATCTATTTGGGCCTCTTCTGGATTTGATCTGCCTGACGGAAACGATGTTTTTAGCGTCAACTCACCAACCAGCGCGCAACCTTTAGGTTCGCAGTTCAACATGCCCAGTCCCACGAGTCGCAACTTTAGTTTCCTTGCCAGTTCCGAAGGCGAGGATAACGAAGAGGATTCTGAGCGTGAGGTGAGCCCGACCCCTGCTTCCCGGCCGGCGCGGGGATCTCGGACCCAGCCTAGCAGTGGAACGGGTGTCTCAAATGATCAGCCATTTTAAGAGATGGATCTCGATTAGCCAGCCACGCCCATGGTTGAGAATGCGGAGGACGCTTAAATCTCGGGTGGGAAAACGGAGGATGGGGCGGATGGTGGTGAGGGGAGGAATGGACAATTGAGTTTTGGAAACCCGTAGGTTCAGATTGGCGTGGAAGGATTGCCACTTTGTGTAGCAATTGTTAACAGCATGGTGATTAGGCACCTACAGGTAAAAAAAATAAAAAATTCCTTGCCTTGCCAGTTGGTTCCTCTCTAGAATAACACCTTTCCAAGGATGGAAATCGCTCAGAACCTCTATTGACAGCCAACATCCTACCGTAGAGTCTGAATCAAATTGAAATTTAACCTAAACCTAAAACGGTCTGCCGCAAATCGGGCGGTGGCTGACCGAGGCGCGGGGCTTCTTAGCTGCTGGGGCTCCCCTACCCTTGGCACCATGCAAATTTTAATCGACCTATTCCTAATACATTTAGAGTCCGGAAATATTATTCGCATATTGGGAAGCAGTTGGTAACAATTGCCACGAAAAGGCTTGGAGGAGGCCATTTTCACGGCAATTGTTACCAACTGCTTCCTTAAAGCCTGTATCTATTACGCAGTTTTTGGCACTTGGGGACGAGTTGTATATGTGTAGGAATCACCAGGGTACCGGTACTGGAAACAGCATGGCGCGCTGCGCGCCGTAAGGTGGTGGTTCAAGTGATGGATTCGTTTGTGTCTGTCTGTCTTCTTCTCTATCTGAACAGGTGGGCGTAGGCCAATATATATGCATCTGTCAGGCCCGCTCCTCCACAGATGTTGCTGTGGCCAGGAATGCGGAGCCGCATTCCTTGGATCAGCGCGTCATTCCAGTATGTTATTCCAACAATATGGTTGCTCTGGGATTTTCACAGCAATTCACTTTTTAATTACTTCACGTGGACCAAGCGGACTAAGCAGCGTATTACGGAGCGTTTGGATAAATCATAGTGCCACTCTATTTATCTATGGTGATCTCAAAGTTGACATTAGCTAGAATGAATACCTGTTCGAAGTAACGTTACGACTACAAAATCCTCCCAAGATGTTTAACAATACTAGCCTCCACATTAGCTGGTGTCAAAATTTGGTCTAAGTTGTTACAAGCCTTCTCAAATCCGTGGCCATCACAACCTGGTGTTTGGGCGCAGGCTGATTCTCCTTCTCCCACTGTACTATCCGTCAGCTTTTTGAAAACTAGTAATATAAGAGTTGTAACAGTTACCTCGCGACGCAATTGTGTAGCCCAGGCCAGCTTGTCCTACACTGGTCTGACAGAGATTGCAGGATTTGGTTTGCTCATATACTCGCTCTCGTCAAATGTCGGTCCACCATCGCCCTGCCAACGTACACCAAACGGTGCCTCCGTGGGGTGATACCATATAGCATGGTTATTGATTGTCCTACGTTCTGTTTGCTGCGAGGCCACCCTTCTCTGAAGCCGTTCCTATTTGGCATATAGAGGTGCGGAAACACTTGGACCTTGAGCCAGAAACTGTCTGATCTCTATCGCACCTCGAAGTGCGCTAATTTTTGCAATTCTCTCAGCGTTGAGCCTCGCTCTCGATGCCTGGAGGTCAGAGTGTCCCAAGGCAATACTGACCGCAGTCACCTTCCTGAGACTGGGGTAACCCGCAGCAGCATTGACCGCGTTTGCCTTCCGGAGACCGGGATGGCCCGTAGCTGCATTGACCGCCTATGCCTTCTGGAGACTGGGGTAGCCCAGAGCAGCATCGACCTCGTGGGCCTTCTTGAGGTGGGCATACCCGCCGGTAGCCATAGTTTCGTGGCCGTTCCTGAGGCCTGGGTAACCACGGGCAGCGTGAACCTCGCGGGCCTTCTTACGGTTTGGGTGTCCCGCAGCAGCTTGGATTTCGCGGGCTTTCTTGAGGTTTGGGTATCCCGCAGCAGCTTGGGCGGCTTGATAGGGGTCAGTCCCGGCCTGCCCAACCCGAGCCCTTCGCCACGTGAACCAGGACGCATTTTGGATGTCGAGGCTCGAGAGGGTGCAAACGCTGTTCGAGCCAGAAAGACAAGCGCATTTGTGCCACTACGGCCGAAGAGAGGGGATCTCCTGCTCGGCGGCAGGCACGAAGCTCCCATTGCCGTTATATCCTTCCAAATTCACCCGTATATTCTGAACTTCCATGGAGGGTAGGTGATTCTGCAACATGTATATCGGGTAGTTTCGATCTCTTAGGCCAACACTTTGGCAGGCGCACAGGTTCAATCCATGAAAAAGCACGTGCGGCGGTAGAAAATGCCAATGAAAGGCCTTGTTGGTCCCTTGCTGATCAGCCCAGAAAAGTCAAGAATCCATCAACCAAAATTCAACGGAAAAGAACACTCCCTCACAGCAAGCACTCCCCGCGTAGAACCAAGCTGCCGTGGCGTCGCAAGGACGAAGACAGATCTAAATGAATCGCACTCTATGGTAATACAAATCCTCTCGGAGGTATCGCCCTCACAGTCTCTTAATCTGCTTTGACGAACTGACGGACGAGTGGCATCCCCGTTGATGCGCATGCCTTGACCCGAACAATCTGAAACTCCACCGTAGCCTCGACCTTGAAGTCAATCTTTGCCGACTCGTTCTTGAGCTCTGCGATGCTCTCAGCGATCTTTGAAATGGTGAAGGTCCTGTCGCATGCCTCTGTGAGGCGCCCAATGTGAGGGACCGGCGCGGTGTCGCCTTCCTGCATGATCGGAACGTGATGGTGTTTGCCATCGTTGCCCATCGTGTGGAAATTGTAGATGACCCACACGGGTCCCTAACGTCCTCGAGAATCAATTTCCAGGACGACCCCGAATCCGGTTGCAACCCAAGGCCCGCGGATTATGGCCCCTCGCTCCAGCGTCCGTTGTTCCGCCCAGGGCTTTGCGCCGCTGTAGGCATAGATGGAGCCAAGCTGGACGAATAGAAAGCCTCCTGCGCGATCGGCATCATTAGAGTCGGCGCTGCGAATCGTGTCTCCACCAGAGCTGTCTGCCATTCTGCGGCGCTTCTGTGGGCTTGCCTGTGTGGTTGGGATGGTGTTGTCTTGACATTGGGTGAACTCGCCTTCTACTCTGATGTTGGTATTGATGGCGAGGATATTTCGATGCACCAAGTCGAGGTCGCTCTCGTCCTCGTAGTTTGGCTACAGATAAGCAGGTCCGGTTTCTATGGCGTAACCGGACAGGGCGCCGCCAAAGTCGCTCTCCCCAAGGAGACACTACGGGGTGTTCAGCATCTCCATCATCCACAGATGCTCTGCTCTGGCTGAGACGCTCCAGAAGTTTGTCGCCGAAATTTTGTCAAAGAATTCGGATTGCGGGATTACCATCTTCATCCTGTGGCGTTCTCTACGACACCAAGCTGTCTCCCACTCCCAGTAGCGGTCGCGAATCTCGGGATCGGGCCAAGCGTCCTCTTTGACCTTGATGCCTGGGAACATCCCAAACTCCTTAGGCTTTTGCTGCATTGCGTGGAGCATGGCAACGTTTGCGGTATACCAGTCGTAGAAGGTCTTTTCTTCCTCTGTGAAGGAATGTATGATCTGGTCGTCTGGGAGGAGCGGATTGACAGGCATTTTCTCGAATGAACTTCTGATCTGTGATGGGTAGTTCGGGGTTATCTCAGAAACTCAGCTTGGTGTAGCTCAGGTGCCTACGGCACCCACTTTTTAAGAATTGGACCCACTATTCTTGAACCAATAAGAAAACAAAGAAAAGAACCACCACCAAGCTGGTCTGAGTGCAATATTGGATCCTCATCCTGGACCCCTCCACATCAATTGAGGGCATTCACGGAATGATATTTTACGCGCAAATCGGTCAAAACTACGCCGTTAGTACTTTTGGAATTCCCTCAATTCAAGCAGTCGATTGGTACTAATTTTATGTGTAGAACATGTCTTCCAGGTCAGATTCCGAGCAGCAGCCCTTTCAAGGTCAAAGTATACGACTGGTTGTCTGTCGTCTGGAATTGACCCACTTTCATGGAATTGGACAGGCCCTGGTGACATGCCTCTGAGCTTCCTTCATTCTTTGTTATTTCCTTCATTCTTGACTCGGAATGTCTTCATTTCATTCGGAATGCCCTCTTTCGGGCTGATTACAACGCCTCCCTTGCCTTCTCTCCACGAGTATAAGGAAGCGTTCTTTTCTGTACTTTTAGACCTATTGAGCAGACAATTCAATGCGCTGTCAACTTCGATCGCGTGCAACATTGTCTTTATCCAGGGTCGCCGTACAACTGAACCAGGGTACGCACCGTGGCAACAGTGCTCTGAGAGTGTGTATATATGTGAAGTCCGGTCGGAATTCTCGCCACCGCCGACAACATGCAGCTCATCTATCGCAAAAAGCCCGATTCTTTCGTGAAATGCTGGATCACGAAGGACCTGCCACACCTTTTGGTCCGGCTGGCTCGGCGGACCAGGGATAGGCCCAAAAGCCCACAACGCAAAGCCAATCCATAGAAACGCTGCTCGGTCAGTCATCACAAAGTAGGCTGTGCCTTTTGAATCAGCCGTGGACATGCGGCTCCCGCCAGTATCTCGAATGAAATGTAGACTCACGAGTCTTTCTTGAGCGTCGTGATATCTTGGTCATCGATGAGAATGGTACCCGGGGTGGGAACGAGGTTCCGCATCAGGAGGTTACAGATCGTAGGCTTCCCTGCGCCGCTTTGCCCAACAAAAGCAACTGTTGAGCCCCCTTCGATCACGGTGCTCAGATGGTCGATGATCAGCCGCTCCGGCCCCGGATAGGAAAAAGAGACCTCCCGGAACTCTATCTTTCCTGTTTTACGCTTCAGGTTTTGATCCCCATTCGGTATGGATGGCTCCCTTTCTAAGATTCTTCTCAAGCGAGCGGCGTCAAAGAGCTCCTGAATTGTGTCTGAAACGACAGACGTGAAGTAGTCGATAGGGCCTAAAAGGAGAGCCCAAAGGCCAGTGAATGCAACCAGATCACCGACAAGGCCCTCTCTGGAGTCAATTTTGTATACGACAAACGTATAGCAAGTAAAAAATAACCCAAGGGAGAGTATGACAGACTGTGTGGCACCAAAACCATAGCATTTCATCCGATATCGCCGCCGTTGTGACATCCAGGACCCCACCTCGGAGCTGAAAAGATCGGTCTCGTACTTGACTTTGTTGTGATTGGACACAGTACTCTATCTACGTACGCTATCCTGACGATGACGCTCCTGTACGTCTCGGAGCGTGTTGCACTTGTCGTATTCTGTGGTAGCCACTGTCACATATCGTTTTTCGACGATACAGTAGTAGGCTGCTGTGTGCGTACAGATGAGCATCACGTACAGCCCATACTGGTGGAACAGTTGAACTATGGCGACGATGAAGGTCACCAAATTCGGCCCGAGTTGAAAGATGAGAAAGTCGAGTAGTGTGTCAACACTGCCTGCATTGTCGACAGCCTTGATCACGTCTGTCGGTTGGGCTTGCGAGTGAAAGGAGGAGTCCAAGCTCATAATTTTGGACTGGACCTCGACTTTGAGCTTTGAGGCGCGCTGAAGACTGACGTCAATCCATAGCAGTTGAACAAAATAGGAGACAGTGTCGGCCACGTTGATGGTTATTACAACCACAAGGGGACGTCATGGATCGGCATCCGAAGCGAGAGCGTCGAGAAGAATGGCAGTCTGCAGCGGCTTGTAGACACTGATGAAGCGTCCCTCTATAACAAAGAACAACGTCAGAATGAATCGTAGCTGTAGGAGGGCATCGTCGAATGGCCACATGAATTTGAGAAAGGTGCGGAATTTTTTTGTTAAGCGCCACCATCCGCCAAGCTCGTCGATCTCCTTCCGTACTTCCATCCGAATTCCAAGGGGATCAGCCTTACAGCCATTGTTATCCGACTCGAACTCGTCATCGCTGTCGTATCGGGTGCTCTCGGAAGCAGCATCGCCATCGATATCGGACTCAGTCAGGCTCTCATATCTCCCCCAGGACGTATGAAAGAAAAGGAAGGAGAGTGCAACATAGGCCAGGAGCTCCACAGCAGTAAAAACGATGCCGAATTGCAGGTACGGGGAGAGTGCAGAGGAAGGTCGCAAACAGAGCCAAATGATGGTGAAGAACTCGACGGTGGAGAGAAGAACCCAGCATCCGAGATAGATGCAGGAGACGGATAATTCCACTTTCTCTAGCGTAGCAAGTTTTTCCAGTTGAACAGCGCTAGTGAGAGCGAAGATGCTGATAGAAATTGAGGCGGTAGCGTCTGGGAGTTCGCCTCGACTCTGTACCTCGATAGTGAGTACGACTTGCCGAGGTAGAGCAAGAACAGGGAGACAAGAAGCGGTCGAAAGCCGGACGGGTGTTTGTAGCTTTTAGCGTCCCCGACGCTAAAGGATGAGAGAATAGGGGCTGCGACTAAGATAGTGACAAAGACGGCGAAGGTACAACAACCCCGGAGGATGTAAATCCACAGCTCCAGTCCGACGGCCATATCGATGGGGGTTTCGCGATAAAGCAAGCAGCTAGAACGGACTCGGTGTCGTCAGAGGGACAACGACAAGAAGAGTAGGAAACGCAGATAGGGGCAAAGGAGGCGCGATTGTCGGCGTTTTAAAATATCTGCCAGCAGAATTTGGCGCTTCTTGTCACACGTATCCTGGTCTAAAAACATGCCAGCCGCCATGCTCCTGGAAGCAAGCTCCAGCCTCTTGTTCTCTTCAAACAGATCCCCACATCGTAGCCAATACACTGCATTGCCGACTACTGCATAGCTTCCGTCTTAGCGTGCTGCAATGTGTGACTCATGGTGTATGCGCTGCAGCAGAAGTGTCACTTTCGAAGCACCCTTGGATCAGCCCGCTTTGTGCGGCAAAGTTCTGCAGCCAAAACAAACACCGGGTTGACAAGGGTCAGTTTGATCGGTATGATCTAGATATGCGTGAAGGCCGGGTAATGAACCTGGTGACAAGACCATTCCTTTCGTTATCCTCGTTCGCTTCGAGGGGGCATAGACCGGCCCGCCTTGCCTTGAAGAGGCTGAGACCTTGACACAAGTACGTAGCCTACGATAACAGATACTTCATTCACTTCATTCACTTCAACTCAAGCTGACTGTAGGGTGACGCCAGCTACCGTGACCCGCTAAGAGAAGCGGCTGCACATTATTGTCTACACGGACTACTTCATTGTCACCCCGCCGTCTCCGCATCGGGGGCCGCTTCATTGGCATTGGGGTCGCTCCGGTGGCTGCCTGAGCTGGTGAGGTTTTTCCGCATGCTGGGCGGACGATAGCTGCGTCCGCGGGATTCGTCCTCGGCAGCCTTGAAAGCGTCTGGTTCTTCGCATTGAACCCGCTCCAGTTCGCCGTCGGCAAGCTCCTTTGTCTTAACCATACGGCTAGAGATGTTGCCTACTTCCTCGGCGCACTCACTACCTCGCAAGAACTGATGCGCCGCGTGCTCGCACATGCTCTGTATGTACTCCAGCCCCTTGTCGAGGTCGTCGTATATATCCTTCTCCAGCGCGTCAAGCCCGGAAGGGCCCATACCACCTTGGCCATACACGCCCCTGATCTCCCTGCCAGCCCGCGAGTACATCGAGCGCCCGAGAGCAGCTTGCGCCATGAGCATGCCTGGTCGTTGCATGCGTCTCGCGCTCAATCGCAAGCTGGGTATTTTGTCTTCAGCTTCACCATCGTTCATGGCAGTTGACGTAGTTTTGCGCGGAGCAATGGCACCATCTGCAACGCTAGGTGTTGGCTCCGCTCCCTCCTCATCGCTCTCCTCGAGCCTCTCAAGTTCAGCCAGCCGCTTAATCTGCGCGACCTTGGCGGCCATCTTCGCTTTTCGCATCATGCTACGGCTGGCGCTGACGAACTTTACAAGATCCTCAAAGAAGAGCTACACGTAGCTGCCGTAGTAAATAATGTTTCTACTCCGGTACTTGGGTGCCACCCTCTTGGTACTGATGACCGAGTCGGAACGCTGTCGCTTGCGTACCGCCCGAGCCCGCCCAGTTACGCGGGCCTGGCTTGTTTGTTGTGCAATGGCTGAGGGTGATTGAGGTTCTGATGGGCTGTCCGGCGGCAGGAGCTGCGCTGGTAGCGATCGGGGCTACCTCTGGTTGCGGAGCATCGCGCAGTCTGAAAAACTCTTGCAGCTCTATCAGCGACGCAAAATACTTTTGGCGTTGTTCGAGTTGGCCATCAAACGCTTCGAGGCGCTTGAGCCAGTCGGGTATGTTTGCTACGAGATGTTTGAGTGCTTCCATTGTTGCCGAGCCTGTTAACGCACTAGTAGATGTTCTATCTTGTCACGGATTCGACTTACCAAGCACGTAGGTTGAGCAGTTCAGCTCCTGGTAGACTGCCGCCGAGAATGAGTAAAAAGGAGCTAATGAGCCAAAGAAAGGGGCACGGAGGTTGTCAAGGAGACCAACAAAAGCAAAAAGGAGAGCATCGAGAGGTCACATTGTGCGCCTTTGAGTTGGTAAACGAAGGAATGGGTGAGTGAGGAAGAGGACGGCCTTTGCCGGGTCCGGGCCACGGCTGTGAAAGGGGCAGAGGTTGCGGACTTTGATGGACAGCTAACTCTAAAATTGGTCATTCTGGCGGCACAGAGCTCGAAGGAACTCATCCCTCCCTGGATGTTGGCCCCTGCTTATGTCGGCCAAGTGACATCATCGTATCATGGGCTTGAGTGTTGTCTTTGTTGACAATTCCATGAGACAGGGGCGTCCATCGGCCGGCGTTGGCGGCATTCCGACAGGTGATGTCCAGAGTGGGTCACGGCGTGGACAAGGTATACGCAAATTTACGGCCACCCCTCTGAAATCCGCGGGTTTTCCGCGCACACCTGCGAGGGAACTACTCATGCCTGCCTTGTAGATGCAATAATGTCAGGGTGGAAATCCTTGCCCAAGCACAGGAACTAAACCATGCAACGTAGAGTACTCCTTTTAGCGAGACCCGGCCCCCGCTGAACTGCCTGAACCCCTTGTTATACAATGCTATTCAGTTGATGCGGCACAGAGAACATGACCAGCCCACTCACCAAAACTGTCAATTGCGTGATCTTAACCACAACGAACTCACTGGGGCCTTCTACCAACGGATGCGAGGCCAGGGGCGTCGGCATCAGCAGCTGTGCCTACAGTAAGGTTCTTTATCTGGGAACTCAATACATATCCTTCTCGCCGTACGTGCTGTCCATGTCATTGCCTATGTCCTTCTCGCCGTATGTGCTTTCCGTGTCCTTCTCGCCTACTCGGTCTCCGTCGCCGTGCCCGAGTCCTCGCTTATTGGAAGGGCGTAGCGCAGTGCTGATTCGTTTGGAGAAGGCCTCGAGGCGATCAAGAGTACGGTCGAAAAAGATAAATATTGGGGTGAGAAGGTAGGTGTCAACCAAGATGTAAACACCCCACTAAACATAATTAGCTACTGGGGAAGGGAGAGATACTAGGAACTAACCTGGACACAGGTGTCACACTTCCGTATGAACCTGGGGGGAAGGCTGCTGATAGGAAAGAATCTCGCTCGCCGGACGTCATGGTTTGTAGTTTGGCAAGATCTGTGTGACTGTGTTGACAAAAGTGTTCGAATGAGGGCGAAGGTCAGATATTTCATTTCTACACATCCAGGTTTGCCCATTCTAAAGGAGAAGACAGGAAACTCAAGGGCTGCTCCGCAACCTAGGATGCTTGCCTATGGCGTGGCAGACGGGTATCCTGACAGCCACTTCCATATCGATCCCCAGTTAGGTCTGGGGTCCTTGGAAGGCCTGCTGTGTGGCATGACAATCCCAAACGTTGCTCAATTGACAGCCAGCATGACCCTGCATTCTGCAATGCACCACTGCGATTATTTCTAGCTAACAGCAATGACAGCTAAAGATTAGGGAACTAAGCTCAAAACCAGTTCTCGAGGCTCGAAGTACATGCTCTTCGCGGCCAGCAACACCTTCTCAAGTGGGAGGTTGGCCGTAATCCTTGCAGGATCCTGAACCCTGCTCATACCCCAGGTGTGTACCCACCACAAGATCCTTCCACCGCCACGGTGGGAAATCGCCGCTCAGTTCCCACCCCCACGGTGGGAACTAGTGCATTTTCCTACCGCTACCGTGGGAACCGGTTTATTTTCCTACCACCACTGTGGAAACCAGTCTATTTTCCCACCGCTAGTGAGAGCCTCGTCTTTCCATCAACAATTCCACTCCCCTCTGTCAAACAAGATGCCATTCAGCATATTCTCTGGCACGGAGAAACTTTTCCATGTCATTGAACTCCCTTCCAGTCACTCCCCAGACCGTCACCCGCATGAAACACTGCGAACTAGCCTACTTTTTCTCCGCCTGCACCATCCCAAACTCTACCCCTCAGATAACATAATCGATTGCGCGCAAAGACTCAAGAATGTGCTCTCTGCCCCGCTGGTCAAGAAGGATGCTTCCACGAGTCAGATTTTGAGGGCTGTTGCTTTGTGCAAGCGAGAGCTCTTGGAAGCTGACAGCCTCGAGATGGCGGCTTACACCGAAGGAGGGAAACTAGCTATCATTGCGCTTCATGTAGTCTCGCCTGGGCATCGAGCCAAGTTCTTGGATCGAATGAAAGAAATCCCCATCGTCGAGATAAGACAATTGTTCGCGGTCCTAGCCACGATCCAGCCACACAAATCTTTCACCGAATACATTGACCTTGAGATCACCGACCATCAGGTGAATAGTTAGTAGTAACAAACCTTGGTCCAGGTAACTTACTAATATCGTTCTAGAAACCCAAATCCGCTCACAAACTACCCTCTTGACCAGACGGAAGGCCCCTTCCAGTGATGAAGGTGGTGATCGGGTCAAAAGGAAAAGGAGAGGGAAGATGGGGCAGCGGGGTGGTAATCCTTCACTGCCGGATGAAGAGGCGGTCGGGAACCAAGGCTCTGGTGGTAGTAAGTCTTATGGTTCTTGAGATGCTGAGATCGTAGGCTGATAAGCGTTTCACATCAGGTCTACGCGCCAATTCTGACTCGATCCTACCTGACCCCCCCGGCATCTCCAACGTTGCCGTGCTCGCGCCTCCACCTGAACATCGGCAGAGTCCGTTCGCCGACAGCCATTCACATACCGTTAACGGAAGCCCAATTGGTACCTCACTGCCGTTGCCGCCAGATGTTTCCCAATATCCCAGGCTCATGCAGAACGCCGCAGCTAGATTCAGGTCTATGCGAGATGCGCTTGAGATGAATCCAGGCGTGAATGCATTCGGAGATGGCTGGATTGGACTAGGGGCTTTACGTGACCGTGGAGTGTTTCGTGATCCCTTCTCTCAAAGCATCATTCCCTATGAATGGCGCGGAGTAGCTCTCCAAGTGGTGGAGGGGTTCATGTCCTGGGAGAAAAACCAAGACATTTGTGTCAGCATATACAGTCATCTCCTGCAAACTGCGACCCAATCCTTGCCACTTCAAGCCCTGTCGATCTTCACGAATGACAGGATCGCAAACGCAACGAAATCTATTGATGTTATAGATTTCTGGGAGGAAGGGACTAAGATTTACAGGATTACTCTGTACATCGAGAGGGATCCTTCCATTTTCCAAGAGATCTTCCTCTTAGATAGCTCTAGCAACCCCTGAAGGACCCCGAAATATTGTCACAGTTATACCACTTGGAAGTTCAATTTGCCCATCGCCACTTGCTTGCCAATCCAACGGATGTGGGTCGTCGAGCGCGTAAAACACCACCTGCGCACAGCCCTTGCAATATAATATAGTCAAGCTTGCTGATGAAAATTCGTAGAACATAGGGCGTTCGGCCGAATCGAAGAAGTTGTCAGGCACTTCTAAGCTCTTCCAAGCGTCCTTCTACAACTTGGTTACTAAACAGGCAGTGTAAAACTTGGCGGTGGGCTCATACCAATTTCTGTGTCAACTTATCGCGGTCTACGTCCGCCATGGTATGTCACTTGCGTCTCGCCGTCTCGGTTTATATCACAAGTTTCGCATCGTCGATCCTGTGTGGCGGGGTATTACGACCATGGCGGGGCATTGCGACCGAGGTACCCAATCTTCGGCGGTGGATTAACTAGGCTGCGGGGGTGAACATTGTCGAGGTCAATTTGTGCTGATGCCAGCCCCTGTGACGGTCACAATCTTGGATGCGGTACTAAATAGGCTTGCAATGCTTTGCAAGTGGACACCGTCGTCTGGTTGCATATAGATGATAGCCATTTTGCACCAGCGCAGTGGCTAATAGTGATTCCAAGTAGTGACTCTCAGGGCATGGGAAGAGTATGAGAGATCTCTGGTCAGGCTGTTGGTTCGTAGGACTTCCAAGAGGGAAAATATTGAAGGACGAGGGAAAGGGAAAAGGCAAGAGGAGCGAGGGGAGGTTTGTATACTCTGGAGTCCAGGCATCTATGCCTTGACCACTCTCTTCCCGCTCCCTGAGAAAGCCGGTATCGGGTGGCTGACAATGGTGACGTTGGATGGCCGGCAGGAAGGGCAAACGGGGCCTAACAAGTACCCGGCGTGAATAGCAGTCGTTTCTTGAAGATTGGGGATTTGGGCATTATGAGGTATGCTGGCCTGGGCCGTTGTGACAGGAAGTGGTGGTTCTGGGCGTTGAGATAGATGTAGGAAGCAAGTTGTTGCAGCCGTCGCCTTCGAGAGGGGGAAACCGCTCCTTTTATCGACGAAGCCCCGAGGTAGCCGCGTGGACGGACAAAGAGAAACGCCGACGGTGACGCATATACCCCAAAGTGAATGGGGTTGAGGAGCCTCACAATGTCGTTCATGCGGTCGGGTCTAAAGGGCCGGCAAGGCTGCCACCGCGGCTCTCATCGCGAGATGCCCGAGGAGTCGGCAATACAGAATAGGGGCGGTCTTCATTGAGGACCGTCGCCGGCCTGCATCGTCGGGCTGCTGCCACTCCGTACCCTGGTGCTGCAACCTCAGCGAGTTCGGACCGCGGTTGGCCACGCTCCGACTCCGGATCCTCTTCGCGGCCATCTTCCCTTCGCTCTTTGCAGTCCTCGAGCCGATGGACTTGCGAGCCGGGCTCGCTTAAGCCCTATCTATCTCCGGTCTGTAAGGACAAAGGAGAGTAGGAGCCGGAGGATCAAGTTCACTCTGGCCGCCAACAGTGGCCTAGCACCCATACCAAACCGGAGCAGGTGACCAAAGGCGCCAACAGACACATCGTCGCTCAAGGTCGGCGACTTGCCAAGACCCTCCCCCTCTCAACAACTGTCGACTACTTCGAGTTCGCCTAGCTCGGCCGCAGCTTTGGGCACGATTACGCATGAGGCATGGTGGCTGTGGAAGCTGTGATGTGGAAGCTGTGGAAGCCATGGGAGTTGTGGCCGTCGCGGAGGCTGTGGAAGTGGTTGTGGTGGGTGATACCGGCCGGGTCACATGCTACGGTTTCTACCTTTCGACTACGGGCACCGGCACTGGTGGGCTTTTGGAGCAGCGTAGGGGGCCGCGTTGTGACCCTCGGCCTGGGCAAATATTTGCCGGCAGTGTATGCATAAAAGATATTAGAGGCTAGATGCTGCGGGGGCGTCGATTTTGGCGGCCTTTATGTGGAACATTAAATTGCCGCTCCGCTTAGGGAGAACAGCTAGCCCGACATCACTCAGATGCTCGAGAAGAGAGAGAACTCAGCCAGTCCGGAGAATGGAGCCTTGGAGCTCTTCCCAGCGCCCGAGGAGTCGCCCGGGTGTGTTTGCTTCAGGGGCAAAGTAAACATTAGAACCCTGCGGAGATGTGCCAAGACGGCACTCAGGCAACACCCCGGACCAAAGACACCAACAGACGCTCAAGGTCAGTGACCTGCCAAGAGTTTCCCCCTCTCGGTCACTCCTCGGTGCTCCAACCTGGCACGGCTGAGGCACACTGTTCCGTCCCAGAGATGGTGTTCTGATCGAAGCCACACCCTCGCATCGCCGGTGATGCAAGAGTCAGGTTTTTGTCGTCGGGAAGGAACCAACCGGTCGTGGTCGCCACCCTACCACTTGCTGATCCTTGTTTCCAACTGAAGACCGGCCACAACCACTCCAGCTCTTGCAGGGATCGTCACCAACGCCGAGGAACAGAACCACACTCCGTAGCCTTGTTCCCTGTAGCCCATTCATGTAGATTGTTCCGTCTCGTCCACAAATCTGGCCCGCGTCTTCAATGGATAAACGTCTGAGTTGTCGGCTAACAATGGTATTCATGTATTCTGGTTAGAGTAAGCAGCTGGAGATCCTTGGAAAGGGGTCTTCACCTTATCACGCTCCGCGTTTTGTAGGTGTCGTGCTTCGCTTGGATGCCTGTCTTTGGTCTCCACCCGCTTATGCCTGGGTCCCAAAGTTCGCAATGTGACATTGGCAGCGGCATGGCCTCGAGGCCAGGCATCAGCGCTCCTGCCTAGATTCGATTGGCACGCGCCATGCTCAACCATTCAATCCACCAACTGCGCAGCTCTGTAGCGGTTCGCCTGGCCCGACCGCGATCGCGAGCTTCATGGAATCGAGGTGCTCGCTGCTCGCTGAGACGCCAGCTTTCTACCGCCAGTCCGCGGATCTCGAACTTGGTCAAGCGTACGCCCTAACGCAGCCGATCGGGCGGATCAAATTCGAAAGACTTGCGAGACTCGTGCCGACGAGTTTGATCCGTCCCTCCAATGCCGGCGTCGAGGGTGGCGGGTCGTGTTGCGTTGCATTACGTTGCGCGTCTGAACTTGAGTGCGGCATTTTTGCCATTGATTAGCATACGCGAAGCCAGAGGAAATGAAAGGAGTAGGAGGAAAGGCAGAACCGTGGCGAGCGGGCGAGGAACGAGGGCATGAAAGTATTTATCGTCAAGCACCAGGAATGAGGGACAAATTTTGGGCCCGTGCGCTGAACTATGATTGGCTGATTCCGCGGCCAGGCAAAGCGCGGCCGACCACTCAGAAAATGGAAGCCTCGACGGCAACACATGGATTACAACGACCTAGGCAGCTTCCAAAATGAAGACGATGACGCAATCACTCTCTGTCGGGGAACCCATGGATCAAGTGTCCAATGCGCCGTGCATGGCTCTTGCACATGCTTCACACCAACCTCGATTTTACACGTTTCCTGTTGACATTCAATTCCAGTGTGCAGTGCCGACATACCTAAGTGGCTCACAGTCCAGTTATGAATAGATATAGGTAGCCATGAACATGGCAGGTTTTATCGCCATTCACCACTCAAAGGCATCGTCATTGGCATTTTGCGACGTCTTTCGCAGTGTGTGGAAACAAAAGACGTGGAAGATATGCTCCGGACGAAGCCAAGGCACAAAGCAGTGCAGTGCAGTGTAGTGACGGGATGTACCAGAAAGGTATTTTTCGTGACAAGGACAAAGGAACAGCAAAGGTTACAGCCAAGTTGAAGATTGGCAACGCGGACTTAGCAATGACCGCGGATCGTACGATTTCGACTCGTAGATCATTAATATGCCCCTCCTCATTCGGCTGGCCCCGCTATCTCACCCTTTCCGTTTACCGAGTCTAGCAACCCCAAGCTCTCCGATCGACAACCTCCCCCCCTTTTTCACTTAGCCATGGATCCTGGATGCCAAACTTGGATGGGATTTCCAAAGCAAGATTCGTCTCATTGCACGCTACCACGAGTTTCAGCAGTCTTAGTGCCCAGCTGCTCGGGTCTCTGCCCTATTTCAGGAGCACCATTGAAATGTGGCTCAGGAAGCATGCCCACAAGGGAGCGCCCATTACCACGTCAGAGATGGCCGACTAAAATACCCAAGAAAATATAACCACTCAACCGCGCTTGCCGTCATCCATTGACGGCGCCGAACGTCTTTGACGACATCAATGTCAAAGGTCCCAACTGTAGATATAATTACCTAGGTATGTAGGGAAGGTGAAAACGCGGGCCTTGCGCCTTAAAATGCGTACAGTCCAATCTGTCAAGGACTCAAGACAACCTGCCTTAGACATGTCTTCTTCTGACGAATACACACGGCAAGGTTTGGGCTGCAAAACACTCGGGCTAAGTCTTCAGGGCGAGCCGCAAGGTATTGAGCTCCTTCACATCTTGGAAAGCTCCCCGCTAACAAAAAAACAGAGATAGATTAGGTTCAAAACTATATCCTGTACAAAGGGCATCGCTGTCCTCGAGTCAACCTTGAAGAGGTGAGAGGCAATGGATGAAATAGGCTGGGTTTGAGATTCTGAGATGCATCAAGTTAGGTTCTTAGGTAAGCAAGTGGTCGTCACTATCTCCAGCTCTGAGCATTGCCATTGGGTGTCTGTTCCTGCCCAATCAATAACGATGGCTGAAGCGGGCCAAAGGGTCTTATCGATAAAATAAGGTAGGGATAGTAGCACGACAGATTTCCCGCGAAGAGCCCCACCAATTCCAATGCCTCCAAACCCCTCCACCTCAGAAGCAAGGGCAACTCCAAACCACGAGAAAACAACCATAAAATCCCGCTTGAGACTTGAGACGCCGTCGACTTTCATAAGCTTCCATCGCTGGGATATTGTGCAGAATAGTAGTCCAAACTCTGCACCCGACGTCGCTAGGTTTCCTGGTATTCGCACTAGTTGCAGTCCGAAGCCGACGTCCGCGCTTGCCCTAGTCACCTCAGTCACCTCCCCTAACTCAGCAGCCGCACGACCTAGGCCTAGTCCCACTCGCAGCGCAACGTCTTCTAATCGACCACCTTCCCGGTCTTTGTCTAAATTAAACCGCCAAAGAGAACCGGGAATTTTTTTTCTTTCCCGGAATCGTCATCACGACTCGCTGAGCCTCACTACACAACAGAGCCTTGGATCGTTTTCCGTAGCTTGGTAGCGGGTCTCGGTAATACAGCACGCTCCTGCTAGGTCGACCCCCTTTCTATCCTCTCTCCTCGCCTCCTACACGTCAACTTGACCAGGGTCACCCCTCGCCCCCCCGCCCCCCTCCCCCCCCTCCCCTCCCCCCCCCCCAAAAAAAACTTGAAGGATCACACGGCCACTTTCAACATGAGCAAGCAAGCCAACCTCTACTCGTTCGCCGACGTGGCCACGCTAGCACCGGCCCTCCGTGCCTACGTTATCCAATGCCAGGAGGCCGGCCTAGCGCGCCACGGCGTTTTCAAGGTGGGCGTGTCGGGCGGCTCCCTCCCTAAGACGCTGGCACAGGCGCTACTTGCGCCGTCGACGGACAACGGCGATGCGGTCAAGTGGGACAGGTGGGAGATCTTCTTCGCCGACGAGCGCGCCGTGCCGCTGGACCACGCCGACTCCAACTACGCGCTGCTCAAGGCGGAGCTACTAGACAAGCTCCCCGCAGATGTGCAGCAACCGGTGGTGCACACCATCGACCCGCAGTACCTCGGGGACACGCAGGAGCTGGCCGACCAGTACGAGCAGAGCCTGGTGCGGTCCTTTGCCAGCCGCGACTCGGTCAAGCTGCCCATATTCGACCTGCTGCTCCTCGGCTGTGGGCCCGACGGCCACACGTGCTCCCTGTTCCCCGGCCACGAGCTCCTGCGCGAGACCAGCGCCTGGATCGCCCCCATTGAGGACTCGCCAAAGCCTCCACCCCGGCGCATCACGCTGACCCTGCCTGTCGTAACCCACTCGGTGCGCATCGCCTTTGTGGCCACGGGCGCCGGCAAGAAGGGCATCATGAAGGAGATCTTTGAGGACTCCAAGGGGTTGCCGTGCGCGCTGGTCAACGAGGGGACGGGCGAGCGCTGCAGCTGGTTCGTCGACAATGCCGCTGTTGAGGGAGTCAGCTATCCCAGGAGGCCGTTCAGTCTCTAGGTATGGGGAGAAAGCCGTCGAGGCGACACAAAATACTCTAAGCCCGCACGAGGAGGAGTATGGGGGGACCCGGGAAGGGGATATGTGTGACAGTGAATAGAGAAACCAAGCGGTAGAGCGAGCCGGCGCTTTGGGATAGAGGAAGGGAGCATAGCGCCAGAGAAAGCGCTGCGGTGATGGAAACTGGGAAAAGACAACACGAGAGCTAACCCGAGTTCCGGCCGATTTCTTTCATTCTCGGGCCATCCATCTCTTGTCTGTCCCAACAGCCAGCCGCTCGACAGAATTTTGTGTGAGCTTGCACCTCGGAAGCCGAGTTGTGCCTTTCTTCGTTAATGACTTTGATATCCCATCCCACATTATTTGTTATTTAGTCCCGGCCGCAGGGAGAGCGTAGGACAGGCAATGAATTCACGAAGCTTCATTTGGGGGGATAGCGCTCTCACCAAACTACATCCCGTGTCTTTTCCTTCTCCTCTTCCTTTTTGCTTTCCAGGACGCATGTTTGTAGTTATGTCATAATATAGCGCTACTCGAGATTCCCATATTACGGCGGCGAAAATCTTTTCTCAAGAACCTGTCTCCTGTATTGAGGCCTTGTTCAAATCGTCCGAGGCCTATTTCCCAGATATAAAGAGATGCAGGAGAATCACGAAAAGCTAGTAAAAGAAAACCGTAGGCGTATGTCACAAACTTTCAGGCCTAGTAAACACCCATATATACGCCTATGTATGCGCCTATGTACGCCTTATAAGACAGACAGCCTCCCACTCCAAAACAAGCCCCCATCTCCTTTCCTGAGCTATGTGCTGTATGTATATAATGTGCCCCCCTCGCCTAAATGTGAGCCTCTTTGGTTGTTCTTCTCAAAGATCTCGGAGGAACTTGACCTTGTCCTCTAGACTCGCGGCATACAAGTATACCCCGTGCTTGGCGAGCCATTTGTCTACGTGGAGGTCTAAGAGCAGAGTCGTGTTAGCTTTGGGGGCGAGCTGCAAATGGTGAGCCAGCCGCGGGCTGAGCTTACTTGTGAGGTTTGCGTACTTGTCGGGCTTGGCTAGGCCGTTCAGGTTCTCGCCGTTGCTCTTGCTCTTGCTCTTGCTCTTGCTTTTGCTCTTGCTCTCGCTGCTGTCTTTGTTGTCGTCAACGTCTAGGCTGAGGCTGGCAAGACCTTTGCCTATGTCCGTGACGGCATCGCCAATGTCGCTCATGCCTCCGACGAAGACATAGTCGTCGCTCTCGTCTTCAGCCAGGTCGGCGTACTCGACGACGTCGAACTCGGCCAGAATGGCGTCGTCGACGGGTTTGACCTCGGCCAGATCGGCACGGTCGACCCTTCCAAGATCGGCCGTAAAGCGTATATGCTTGGGATCTAGCACCCAATCTACTGTTAGCTCTCGCGTGGCTCTGAACACACAAATGGCTGGTGGGGATTTAGGAAAGTGCGTACCTGGGAAGGACATGTTGTTGACCAGCTCGGCGCTGTCGCCATGGCTGTAGGCGATAAGGCTCATTGCCACGGTCGTAATCGCATCCCACAGCTCTCTGACCCGCCATCTGAACGCCCGTAGCTTGCCGCATATCTTGCCTATGGTGCTGTTGAACTCGGGCGAGCCGTAACCGACACATTTGGCCCAGTCGAACATCAGCGCCGAGTACTCCGTGTATCCGGCCATGAGGCGCACCAGGTCATTAACCAGCACACGGGCTTCGAGTTCCTCAGGGATGAGGGGCTTGGGGCTCGGCTGGCTGAAGCGGTCGGCCGCGAAGTCGCTCAGGTACGCGATATCGCTGGCAATATCTTGCGTGTCCAGACATTCTGCCACATCAGCGTCACCGAGATGCTTAATGTGCATCGTATGGCTGAGGCGGTGCATATGCTCCTTTATCGTAGAGTCGAGGCGGCGTATGCCCTCGCTAATACTCATCGAGTCAAAGACGAGTTTGGTATAGGACTCGTTGTTCGCCTGCTTGCGATGGCCGCGGTCGTCCATGATGAAGATTGTTTTGCAGACAAAAGGAGGAAAAAGTGGTGGGCGGTGTGAGGGGTCTTGTCTGGGGACGGTCGTTGCGCGGGTTAGGTTGTCGGTCGGTGGAAGGTTCATTCCATTATTTCGAGGCGAGAACCTTTTTATAGCACCAAGCTTTTAGCCAGGAATTACAGGCAGCCGTATGCCTGATGGGGGGACCGCGGGGCAGAGGGCAAAAACATGAAGTGGGCCAAAGGACGAAAGCCATTCACCGTTTCTCAAGGGACCATGTGGTGATGAGAGGAAAGTGAGAGAAGGGTGAGATATCGATTCATATTAAAGCCTCCCTAGGCAGACCTACGAAATCACAGACTTTAACTTTGAGAATACTAATAATGGGCCCTTGAGCTCAATCTCAGAGGATATTCACCATCTGACAGTTGGCTGGTGTTGAGCAGGTGTCGTCGTCGTCGTCTTCGGGCCAACCGACAGCGAGGGGAAGCCTACTAGTAGACTCGTCAGGTATCTTGCGAAGCAAATACTGTTTCCACACACAGGTATTTTAGCTGCAGCCCATGGTCAGTGGCCACGTGCATCCGACACGTGCAGCTCGCCGAGGAGGCGGTCATAGATATTCGTGTAGTCCCTAGCCGTAACACAATCGAAGACAGCCATAGTAGATGGGCTAAGAAACAGGAGTATTCTATATTATCTTATTAACTTTGACTTGTAGCACAGCACAGATGATTCGAATATTGACTTGGCTTCGCAGTGGGCCTGTCTCTGGGGTTTGATGTGTCTGGCAGGAGTCGGAAAGGGATGTCGTTGCAGCTACCGGGGACCTTATCCGGTGCCATTTCCGGCTCTGCAGCGGACGAAAAAGGAAAGAATATTTTAATGGGGGAATCGGAAGAGTTGTGAATGGAGAATGGTGTGGGTGGCTGCCTGTACCTGATCTAGTGGGCTGGTTGTTGGGGCGTGATTGGTGCGAGGATATGCCGTTGCCGCGAATAGTCTTGTAAGTTGCCGGCCCGACCAGTCATGGACGCCTTTCTACCGATTTTCTGTTTTATATACATGGATGTGGGACAAGGAACAAATCCAGACGCCCTTCCCATGCCTTCAGTCTGATGCCTGCTACTCGCTGCCCCCCACTCCACCCCTTGACCTTGTGCTCGCGCCTGCCTTAGTTCATTGTTGAAGATGTCGGATGCGCCTGTCATACGACAATTCGTCCCTCCCTGTCCGTTCTTTCCCATTTTATTGTATCACGCGATTACCGTAGCTGTGGTCACACGCCCATTTGGAGGTTCCTTGACCGCGTCCTCTGTCACTTCCATCCTGGATCTCGACGGCTCTGGTCCGGTTCTTGTGATCGACATGCGGTAATGTAGGTAGTGGTTTCTTCTCACCAAACACCGTTGTACTCTTTCCCCCGACACTAGTATGCAAACATTTCTAGAGCGCCACAACGGATCCTCCCTTCTCTTCCGAGAGGAACAACCCAAGTGCCTGGAGCAACCAATAATTTCGTGATTATTGAATATCATCGACAGTGGGATGGATGACAAGGTTGTCGACTGCCTAATCTCTCGCCTGTCATCCATGGATATATATCTACCTGAGCTTACATGCCACCACCCGCGAACTGACAAGCGCTGTACCTCCCCGCCGGGGACCCGACGAATTTGTATAGAAAAGCCAGCCATTGGCCACCATTGACCGGTCATATGCCTCCTCCCAGGACCAGTAAGACAACAGGGCCATCGGATTGTTTCGGAGACGGTCAGAGGTTCAGTAGGAGCGGGCCGCTCCCTCAAGCTCTAGACGGCAACCGAGCATGCAGTGATGATGACGCCCATATTTTTCTCTGCCGCTTCTCGTTATCCCTGCCGAGACATTAACGGTGGTGGGCACAGCTCTGTCTCTACTCCCGTCTCGTCTCGTCTCGTCTCGTCTCGTTCCTATGCTAGGACCATTGACGTTCTGTTAGCCGTGTCAAACCCCTCGCCATCTTAAAGCACTCCCGCTCTACTGTCTTGTTGAGTGGCCATATTATACAAAGTGGGGATAAGAGTGCCAGGTAAGTTACGAACTTGGGTGCAGCTGTGAGGGCATTTGGGTGAGTGGGGTGTCGGCAGCGGTGCTTACCGGGAGAGGAGTAGATCATGAAGTTGGTGCAAGACAAACATTATGGATACCTGGCGGTGAAAGCAGTTCCTTTGGCTGATAGATAAAGCCGAAAATCTTGTTTGTCTCTTTTTCTTCCTCTCCTTTGTGTTTCCCTTCTTTATGTTTATCCCCTTTTTCGTCAATGCTAGACTGCCTTTTCCTATTCTTCGTTGTACGACCAAGCTAAGCATATACCCATTACACTCGTCACCAAAAATAGGACAGGTCCTCTCATCCTCCACAGCACCTCCTGCGCCCAATAACGGGGCGCTGGCTGGACCAAAGGAGGGGGTTGAAACTTTCACCTCCCCGGAGGTCGACAACAATCTTGGTCAAAAGCAAGGCAGCGGCAACACAGCCATCAACAAAGCAGACGACCTGCCCGTTCTAATCAAGGTCAGTGGACACCACTGGTATCCCAAAGACGGGCCACGCATCCTTGATTCCTGCGGTGGCGCGGGTGTTGCCTGCCTTGGCCATGGCCGTCAGGATGTCATGGATGCAGCTCTAGCGCAGATGAAGGCCTTCTCCTATGCCGCTCACGCACACTTTGAGACAAAGACGGTCTAAGACCTCTCGGACTGGCTGATCAAGAGCACCTGCGGCAACGTGAAGAAAGTGTACCTCATGTGCTCTAGTAAGGGACACGGCCCCTGAACTCAAACACCACAAAGCCCTAGCATGATGCTACCATCCTAGGCTCGGAAGCCGTAGAGGCGGCCCTCAAGCTGAGCAGAGAATATTTTGTGTGGATAGGCGAGCCGCGGCGTGTCAGCTTCATTGCGCGGCGGGTGTCGTACCACGGCACGACTCTGGGCTCGCTTTCGGCATCCGGCCACGCTGTGCGGCCGGGGGCCGTCCGAGCCGCTGCTGTTAACCCAGAACTGCCACTACATCCCCGCCTGCAATCCGTACCGCCAGCGGCGGCTAGTTGACGGCGGCAGGAATGGAGAGGAGTCGGACGCCGCCTTCGTAACCAGCAAGGCCGCTGAGCTGGAGCACGAGTTCCAGCGTCTCGGGCCCGGCACGGTCGCGGCCGTCATCCTCAAGCCCGTAGTCAGCGCCGCACTTAGCTGCATCCCGCCGTCCCGGGCTATCCAGGTGCCATGAGGCATGTCTGCCACCGGCACGCGGCTCTGCTCGTCTTCGATGAGGTCATGTGCGGCATGGGCCGGACGGGGACGCTTCACCCGTGGGAGCAGGAGCACGAACACGAACATCAACACGACACGCGGGAACTAGCAGCCGCCGTAGTAGTGCCAGACCTCCAGACCATCGCCAATGGTTTCGCCGGCGGCTACCAGCCGGCGTATAACATCACGGCCGACCTGGTGGTGGATATGGTGGAGCGGGTTGCAGTGGCTGTCGAAGAGGTGTTCCGAGCCCTTTGAGGATCCCATGATAGAAGATGATGCTTTGTGTATGCACGCAAGCGCGAGGAAGAAGATAGAGGGGTTATCTCTGATTGAATACTGATCATCAATCATCACAATGATTTGAAGACGTTATTAGCCGACCGACCGTATCATACCATGCCCCAGTCCAGTGATGCCATCCCCCGTCCGTTGATAGTTCCAAAAGAAATAAGAGACCCCCTTTCTCTCTCACGAAAAATCAAACGCCAATGATCGCCATCAGAATGTATGCTACAATCTTTACCTGTTTCTGGTTCTAAGCCCATCGCCCTCCTGTTTGCCCCTTTTCCACCTCCTCCTCGTATTCCTTGACCGCCTAGACAGCAGACCAACCAGACCGCGCCGTGATGATTATGATGATGCCCTTGCGCCTGTAAAACGAAAAGGAATCAAGAAAAGCAAAAAAAAATGAACCCAGAAAAGGAGGATAATCAACCCAAGACAATCTCATACTAAGGCAGACTCGTCCTAGCAGAGCAGGCAGCCTTGAGTGTCTTGAGCGCCTCGGCGAAGTCGGGCACGTCACTGGCGGCGCGCGCGACGTGCGACCAGGCGACGGACCCGTTTGCCTCGACGGCGAACGCGCCACTCATCTGCCACATGGTGCCGGCCTCGCGCGGGGGCCCCGACACGGCGCTGCCAAGGCTCGCGCCGGAGCTACCCCAGATGCCCTCGCCCTTACCGAGGCGGTAGGTTTGGTACCATACCCATGGGTTCATGGCGTGCCTATTTGAGGTTAGCGTTTTCTTTTTTCACCTTTTGCCTTTGCGAATAGGGAAGAGGTATGGTTGGGGATCTAAGGGGTGTGGGTTGTCTTTTCGGGAAAGGGATGGCCGGTGGCTCCGCTACATGCCAAAAGTGTGAAGGGGGGAAGGGATAGCGATATGATAGGGGTCAGAGGTAGGCGTAGAGACCGGAATGGGGTTAGAGTTAGGGATAGAGATAGAGATAGAAAGCCGCAAAACACTCACCAAGTCGACGTCAAGCCCAGGCCCCACTGCGCAAACAGCTCGCGCCGCTCGTCGGGGATCACCTCGACGTTCCACTCGCCGCCCGTCTCGGCGATCCACTTGTCCGTCTCGGCCGGCGAGCCCTGCGACACGGCAATGCACTGGATCTCGGGATGCTTGGTGGAGAACTTTGTGAGGGACCGGAATGTTTTCTCGGCGACTTTTGTCTCAAAGGTTAGCACTTCCTCTCGCTATCCACCTCCCCCCTTTTTTTTGTGGGAGGGAGAGAGAAAAGAAAAAAACATACACGGACAGCCGCAGTGCCGGAGAAAGACGAGCAGCACGAGCTTAGCGCTCGGGAAGGCGATGCGGCCGTCGGACGACCGGGGCGCGCGGTCGCCGACCTCGGGCACGGATCCGACCTCGGGACGCTTGCCGTCGTCCGCGTGCGGCTGCGGCTGCGGCTGCGGCTGCGTCGGCGGCCACTGCTGATCTTGCTGCTGTTGTTGCTGTTGCTCCTGCATGATGGGCCGGCCCAGGAACCCTTATCGCGGGTCTTGCGAGAGAGAGTGTATGTGGGTGGGTGTAGGTTAGGTACGCGTAGTTGGAGATACGGTAGGTAGATTCTGATATGAGACGAGCGATCGAAAAATAAAAAGCGACGAAGGAACGGGAGGGCCAGCCAAAATGGAACCAGCTGAGAAGTGTCGGGTAAAGGCGCGGCACAATCGCACTTCTCAAGTCGCTCTCTCTATCCCGCCGTAGCGCGCCGCGTGAAATGTGAGGCGTCGTCTCCTTTGCTCGGCAAATGTAACCCGAGTCCGAGGAGCAAATTTCTTCTCGAGAAATCGACGAGCGGCTATTTTCTAAAAAAAAAAAAACGCGTTTCTCTTATAGTGTTGTATTGTACGCTTTGTACGACGGAAGGGCTAGAGGATACAGGTAGGTACGTGGTGAGGGGACTGAGTGAGCAGCAAATTATCTCCCGTACGGTAAGTTTAGTATTTGCATTTATTGCTCTATAATTATTCCATAGGTGGGGAGAGAGAACTGAGACAGTCAGAATATATACGCTTAGATGCGCCAAAAAACCCCCATTTAGTAGCAGCACCAGCAGCTGAGCGCTTTTACAATGTCAAATAGAATAGAGAGAAAAAAAATCCCGAACCAGCTCTTCCCGCCCTTACCCTTCCTTGTCCGCACTCGACCTATTTCCCTCAGCGATGATACGCGATTGAATAACGATCGTAGACCTGATGCCATGGCCTCGCTGGGAAACCTTAAATCCCCCACAGTTTCCGGATAAGATAAGGTTTCCCACCTACAAACCCTCCAAGACGTTACAGAGACAAAAAGACAGAGATGATTTTGATTACAGTTTTCAGTTTCCATTCCCCTTTTCTGGCAGCCAGAGCACCTAGAATCCAGCAAGAATAAGAAAACCGAAGTAGCTAAGGTAGGGAGAGCCGGCCATCCCGTACCGAGAATGCATGCATGTTATGTACAGTATCATCATTACCGACCGACGGGGTTCCCGATTCCACAGCTCCTCCCGAGTCCGAAAACCCATCAAAATAATGAAATGAAACCCAACCCATCCCTTCCTTGCCATGTTCGTCGTTTGTGTCGTGCCATGTATACCGGGTATCTATCCTTATGTACGAAAGAAGAAAAACAATCATGTCCCTTTTGCGAGCCATTATACAAGACGTTCGAGACAGACAAGAGTCCCTCTGTTGGTCCAGAAAATAAAAAGGATAAAGAGAAAGAAAGAGATAAGAGAAAGAAATAAAGAGAAGAAGAAAGTAAAAACCGCTCCATCCTACCCCGGTAAAAAATGTCATAACCACTCTGTCTGTATATCCCACTTGGCATTCAGCCCTCTCAACTTTCGAAACATGCGGACGCAGTTGTCGTTGTCCTCGGGCCCGATGATGGTGGCATGCACCCGGAAGATCTCGGGAATCTCAAACGGAGCCTCGGCGCTGCAGGGCGGCGGCCCCAGCAGGCCGAGAGACTCGTCCGACCCGATCGAGTCGCCGGCTGGCCGCCGCTGCCGCGTCGGCAGCCCCATCAAGAAGGGCCCCTCGTCCCAAGGAGTGGGTGGCTCTACCGAGATGCTCGGCCGACCCCCCTGCGAAGACGTCGCCCAGAGTGGGTTGCCCGAAGGCGAGTTCCCGGCTCCTGGACCAGTGCCACCGCCGCCCATGAACAGGTTGTTGGCCGCGAAGTGGTGATCGTCGAGGGACGATGCCACAGACGGAGCGCCGCTGTACGAGCGGACCGACGACGCCACTTCGGACGCATCGAAGAGGAGAGTCGGGTCGATAGGGAGGTGGCCAATGCTGAGGTCGTCGTCGACGAGCACGTCCATGCTCCCGCCCGAGCCTGCCGAGCTGTTCGCGTGGTCGAACGAGAAGGAATTGTTTGAATCCGAGCCATCGACGACTGGGAAGTTGTCCTGCAGGTGCTGCACGTCGAGGAGCTCCCTGGCCCACGCGTCATCGTCAGCAGGGTCGCCAGCATATGGAATGGGGGCCGTCAGCGCAGCAGCCGGCGGCGAAGCGGGCTGCGACTGGGATCTCATGGCGTGTGGGGCTTGCAAGTGCAGCTCCTCCAATCTGATGGTGTGCTCGGCAAGGTTGGCCATGACATTTGCCCGCCACACGTTTTCGCGCCGCGTCGGATTGCGCCGCAGGAGCTCCAATGCGGCTCGCCGAATGAGCGGGTGTCTACACCTGGTTGCGACAAAGTACAGCGGAGCGATTATGTGCATCTCAAACGTGAAGACGGCTGAGAAGCGCCGCGTGTCAGCCGCCGACGGCGTGCACGATGCCGCGGCTTTGCCTGACGGGTGGTCGCGGGCCCGAGGCGCTAGGAGCGTGTCCATGAAGGCGGCCGCCAGAGGGATGATGGCCGAGAAGGTCGACACGTAATTGTCAAAAACCGTCTCGTTCTTGCTGAGGGCTGTCGATATCCAGATGTAGACGGTATGCACATGGATCTGGATCAGAGCGAGCGCTCCCGGCGGCGCGTCTCTGGATTTTGTCGACTGGTATAGGGAAAAGGAAACATTGAACTTGGCGAGCTTCCCCAGCAAGTAGTGCTGCTCGTTCTCGAAAGCGTGCAGCTCCTCGGGCGAGGCGTCGCCAGACTTTGCTGGGCGCGACTTCTTGGCGAACCGGAGGCACTCGTCCATGAAGTCGTACAGCGCGTACCGCACGTCGTCGATGCCGTTGAACACGGAGGGCACCTCTGTCATGGGCTTCAGCGGCTTCGGTATCGCCACCGGGTCGACGCCGAGGAGCAGCGAAGTCAGGCTGAGGCGGGTATACATGGGCACTAGGTGCTGCTTGATGATGTCGAGCTCGGGCTTGCGCGTCGGCGGCTTCCGGGCCATCTGGCTGAGGATCTGGTGGCCCTGCTGGAGGTGCATGAGAGATTCATGGTCCTTGCTCTGCATGAGCTCGATGCATACAAAGAGGACGCAGGTCAGGAGAGGCACGAGCGGCCTCGCGTCGACGTAGCGCATCTGGCCCAGCATACACGAGATGGACTTGTTGTACTGGTAGAGGGCGAACGAGTGCCTGTCGTCGTTGTCCGCGTAGGGTGCCACCGAGGCTTGCACCATGGCCTCGTGCAGGCTGCTCACGGCGAGCACGGCATGCTTGACAGCGGGCTCTGTCTGGCAGATCTGCAGCACGAGGACGCGCCAGAAGTCGCCGTCAAAGTCGCCCGACAGGCACGGAGCCGTGACGTTCTGGAAGAAATGGAAAGAGCGCTTCTCGTCGGCCGACGCCCAATCGTAGAGCAGCGACAGAGGCGCGGGGTAGCCCCCGGGACCGCCGGCCGGGACGGCACCGGCTCGACGCCTCCGCTGGGCCATGGTTTTGGCGTCCAGGTATCCATCGCATCGGCGGCCCGTCTTGGTGCAACGGGAACAGAAAGGTTTGGCCTCGTCACACTTGACCTTGCGAATTCTGCCACACGCGGATGTTGGAGATCAGTATACGGATGACTCGGCAACGAAGGAGGGGCCACAGCAGCACAGTAGGCGTAGAGGGGCACGAGGTAGGTAGGCCAAGGTCTGCGGCAGCTAGTAGCTAGCTAGAGGTTGGAGATGCAAAAGCTCCAAGCGAGACAAGCTATCGTTTGGCTGGCGGGCCAAGGTAGGTTGGGGGGGGGGGTGGGGGGTTGACGACGACAGAATGGAGACATGATCGGGATCTCGCACTCACTTGCATGTTATACAGCCTGTCCTGACCTTCTTGGAGCCTTTCCTCCCAGACTGGGTGGCTTGAGAGTCTGGCGGGGTCGGCGGATCTGAATCGTTAATAACCATCATCCTTCTGTCTGTTCGTCTTGTTCTTCAAAGGTGCTTCTTTCGTGCTGTCCCAAATCCGGATTCCTTCTCTGGCGTGTTTCGACAAAGTTGTGATGCAGGACGAGGGTCCGAGGAGGAATGTGGTCGAGCCCGGCATATAAGGAGCGTCACTGAAGAAGGCCGTGGCCGGTTTTGATACCGCGGGATTGATGGTGGGAACCAACCATGCTAGGTAACCCTTTTTTGGTCTGAACTTCAAGGATCTCCTGGTGTGCTCCGCCCAGACGAGCCATGGCATGGCATGGTATGGGAATGGCAAGGCAAGGCAAGGCAAGACGAAGTGCTGCTGGTCGGTCGGTAAGTCAGGCCAGCAAGCGTAGCCGGCCCACCCCCCACCAGTACCACATCCACTTCCACGTCCACAAATATTACATCGCTGCCAGTATAGGACTACCTTAACCTCGACAACGGATACCTCTTGATCGGTTGCAGTGTACATAGAGTGTGTCCGTGTGACAAGGTACAGTACTATAGAGAGCCCTATGGGATGGGCATGGGCGCCTCTGAGCGCGCGTCTGCGGGGAACTTGAGCAAGCTCCAAAGCCCTCGCCCTCACTCACACCCACATCCACGCTGGCCGGCCCATGGGAGTACCGTGCGTCTGTCGTGAATGTACAGTACCTAGGCTAGCGAATAGTGTGCAGATTGAGGGACCCGACTTTCATTACCTGCCTGGTTCTGGGTGGTGGCATCTGGGCCGCGTATGTACATAGTAGGATCTGCCGCCGGGTAGCCTTCTGAGGCGGTCTAGAAGGAGACAAGGCGCGTCAATATCGCCGAGGCCCTTCGGCAGCTACCTTATTTTGCTACTAGGCGTGCGATAGGCACTAGATCGTAGGCGGACAAGAATTGACAGAAGTCGAGTCGGCGCATTCTCACGCTCGCTAGCGTGGCTTGTCCCGGGGGGGCCTCTTCAACTCCCTGCAGTCTCCCTCTTTTGCCGCAGGCTGTCGTCACTCGTGTTGCACAGCGCCAGCGTGCCAGCCAGGCCAGAAATAATGGAACTTCAGTTACTTGGTTAAGTAACACAAGGCCTGCAACCCCCCAGAGCCTGCGCGTGCCCTCGGCGAATCTGAAAATATCTTCACCCACCCACTGCTTCACTTAGCGTCTTGCTCTCAGGCTGCCAAGGAATAGTCGACGACAAGACAAGTTAGAGCAGCTAAGGAAGTGGCAGCTAGCGTTTGGGCCCGTTTCGTACCCGGAACCAGTAAATGTCCACCACTGCACATTGCGCTCAACAGAAACAAGAAGCAGAAAGGAATTATATAATAACCTGGAAGCGCGAGTTGCGGTCCTCAGCTAGACAGCTAAAAGATGCGGGAGTTCCATGGTCTGGGAGGGGTGTTGTTGTACTGTTCGAATCAGTCCCGGATTCTTCTCTGCCAGGCACGAAGAATGCAGTGTACAGACGATGTTGTATGACGACAGATGGATTGATTAGGAAACTGCTCTTCGTCCACTCATCGTGTAGAGTCAGACAGCCATAAGCAGCCGTGCTGGACTGACTGACAGCCAGCCAGCTAGACTGCCACACTGGGCGCTGCCAGACCGCCAGGACGGGTTGATGGTTGCCCTCGGCTGTGCCCCGCTGTAGGTGGGCAGGCATGGGTCATGGAATTATGGAATCATGCCCAGAATCATGGACGAACTCCCGCGACGAGACGGAGACATCCACGATGGAGTCGGCAGCCTCGACGGACCCGGGCCAAACAAGGGACAGGACAAAACGACCCTGCAGCTCGGGCTATATCGGTGTCGAATGGCTGTTGACCTCTAGTCCCGTCACGGAACCCTAGGGGACGGACGGTAGGGCAACCGTCGGGTACAGTACTCCAATGTAATGGATGTACAGAATGTATGTATGTACTGTATGTACTGTATGTACTGTATGTACAGTACTGTTCCTGGGAACTGGGGACGGGAGGGAGGGGGGTGCCGCTGGAGGATGGCCCTCTCGTCGTCTCTAAATTGAAACGAACCATGGCATGGCGTGTGAAAGGTGTGGGCGTCGACTATCCGCTAAGGGCGTAAATTGAACACACCTCGGCGATAACGGTTCCAAGTTGTGCTGTGGTGCCTTGCTGGGCGTTTGATTTTGGAAGGTCGGCCAATGTGGATTCACCCCACCTCGCCCCTGGAATGGTTCTGAAGAAGGAACGGTTGGAGAGCTCAGAGTTTCGATTTCAAACCTAGAAGCCCTGACCAGACCGGGCATTGCATTGGTCATCACTCCCGTCTGCCCGGCCAAAGGTAAATTTCTGTGGAAGGTTCTCACCTCCAAGCTCTCAGCCTTGCGAGAAGCAGCTAGGGAGGGGGCCGGGGGGTGGGGGAAGGCGGGACCCGCGATGGATAGAAGCGGGGGAACCACCTCACCTCACTCTCCCTACCACTAATAGCCGCGGAGACTTGGTGGTATCCGTAATTCCCGTGGAATTCGAGCATACTCCCGTGGAATTCATCTTGGGGTCGGGAACACTGAACGGCGTGAATGGATACATGCCGGCCGTCCAGATCGGCTCGCCCCTAACGGCGGTGTGCCATTGGCCACCCTAGACGAGCACATACCTTACGTATTGTAACGCCAGACGAAGTTGATGACATATGTAACAGCCTTGAGGCCAAGCCAAGGCCACAGAATATGCGGTCAAGTATTACTGTAGCGCGCCCGAGGCTAGGGAAATAGACGTGACTAGCCGAGCAGGCGAGCCATTGCAGCAGACATTCTTCACTTATCCCACACCTAAAGACTGAAAGAAGGCCTGAGAAAAATGTTCAAAAACTTGAACCTAGCAGGAAAGAGATGCAGACCTTTGCACGTTTGCCTGCCTGGGTGCCTGCTTGAGGAAGTGCACTGCAAATCTCCGACCCCAAGTCTGATGATCCTTCCGGCTGCGGGCGCTTGCCATTCTGGGATTCTATCAGCCCCGGAATCCAGCACATGGCACTCCCCAGCGCCTTCCATTCTTCCCCCACCTCCCTCTCGGCCCTGGGGCGGCAGAAGATAGAAGAATTGAAACAGATGTCGGGTACTTCGTACAGATACTCAGGCGATAGACGACCGAGCAGGCCCAGGGATTACGACCGTCCGTAATTGTCTCCCCTAACTGGACACTTGGAGGGGGGAAAAGGCCCCGCGGACCCGGTTTAGGGGGGTATCCTGGCGGGGTGGTGCCTTCCATCGAAGTTTGGGTTGCCGTTGTGCGGTTTGCAGAATTTAGTTGGTGTGAGGTTGAAGTTCGATCGGGAAGTACCGCCGCCCCGTGCTGCACGGTTCTTTCGGGCACCTGCAGGACACTGCATGGGTTTCTGGTTTCTGGCGGGTCGAGTGCGACCTGCTCCCCAGATGATGGACAAAGCTCAGTGGCGCGGGCGCCACCTCGCAGGCAGGCCCTCTTTCTCTGGGCTCCCGTCTTGGGCGAATGTTGGATCAAAGGCCTGCTGTCGCCAATCACCGTGCTGGTCGTGGCTGCCTTGATTCCGTGACGTCCGAACCCCCTGTCGGGTCCGCCCCCCCCTGGTTGAGTGCGTTTATTCCTCCCGCCGCAGAGCTCTCGGCTCTAAATGCCCCCTCCAAAACAAGATCATGGAACATAAAAATTGCACCCGGCAAGCGCAACAAACAACTTGAATTGGTCGGTGTAGCTAACGGCACGTCGTTGGCCAGCCCAGGTTGCTTTTTGCTGGAGCCGGTCCCGCCCTGTGGGCCAGGCAGAGCATATCGTGCGTGCGTGCGTGCGTGCGTGCATCGCGCCGTCGACGATTCACGATACATTACATTACCGTATACATACGCAAACGGCACACGGATCCATTCCTGTGGTTGGGAGACTCTGAAAAAGCATCTCATCTGGATTCTGGAACATGCAAGCTGTCAGCTGTGGCTCAATCTCAAATGGATCGCATCGAGGATTGGTCCCAACTCCCGTCCCTTTCATCTAACCTAACATGGAAGCACCAACGCCGACACCGACACCGACACGCTGTCAAGCGCCTACCTTATTTGCTCGACCGTCAGCCCTAAAGACGTTGACACACAAAGTGTTTTCGTTTCCGTTCCGCCATCTCTTGCCAATCTGTGACGAGATTGGCATCCAATGTCACGGGCACCTCTTGGCCCCGGCTCCTTGGCTTCATCAAGAACAACCGAACCGTGGGCTGCACGCAGCGGCGTGCGTCGAGTCGACGCCCTTCGCCTATACCGCCACCCATAAGCTGCTCACTGCAACCTAAGGCACCTACCCTCTAACGTAGCATAGGTTTACCGAATTGTGGCTGAGGTATTAGGTACCAGCTTTAGCCGGCCGAGAGTTGGCGCCGATCCGGACGAGAGCCTCTCGAGGGTTGAAGCCTGGTCGCGGACGGACGCATGGATCGAGTGCTCGCCAAGTGCGAGTAGGAGCCGGGCTGAGAGCTGTAGCTCAAAAGAGGTGAAGATGTAGTGTATATATAAAAAACAGGTATCTACATTTCGTCCTCCACTATTTCCCCAGGCTTCCTTATTTCTGTTGCAGAAGCCTAAAGTTTAACCTTAAGCGCATTCGCCGCTAGGCCGCCAACATGTGTTGTTTTGCCCATCGTGTTGGTGGAAAGGGGGGGCACTAGCCTGGTTCCATCCATCCCACCGACGTGATTGGCCAGGTCGGACTTAAAGGGGGCACATCGGTCAGGCCACGACGGTGAGGGACTCCTCAGGCACATAGCAAACATATATGTCCCCGGCCGCCCTAAAGGACTGGTTTGCTCCCTTGGTCTGGAGCTTGTCTTCTGACGCTGCTCCTCTTCGCATTTCTTTCCTTTCACACGTCCCAAGCATTGCCGAAAAGCTCCAAACGGGTCGTGTCGCTAACTCCTTTGGTCAATCAGCAAACCAATTCGAACGAGTCTTTGCTAGCAGAATTGCATAGACGGAAAACTCTGGTCCCTCGCATAGCCACCTGGATATTCTGTACCTACTGCGTATACGCTATCGTCCACGGAGACGAATATAGTTCACTGGGCTCGCGGATAACCACGCCAAATTGTCCCTGACATGGCCCTGAAAACGCGAAAAGCGTATTCCCCTTCCCCCTTGCCCACCGAGGATGCCGAAACGCACAAGCAGATAAATCTACAAGCCAGGACTTGAGAGAACCAGACTCTGGAAAGAGAGTCTGGGGCAAATTACACCGTACAAGGTAAAAATACACTAGGCAGCCGGGAAAAGCCACATCCACACACTACTGGGCCACTTCCCCCAGATTAGACTCACTGCCACAAACATGTGCGGCCTAGAACACCCCGAAAGTGTACTACGTACCGTAGTACTCCCCCCCCTACCGGGTGGGCGGACCTCGTAGGTTCACTGGTAACAACGACGATCATAGAAGCGCATATCAAAAGCAGTGGTGAATGACATGGCGCGGCTGTTCCGTCCCAACCGAGTGGGCATGGCCCATCCACAAACAATCTTTCTGGTTCGGGCGCGGTGACATCGCATGTGCTGGGCTCATCTGCGGTGCATGAACACGATGGAAACAATTCTGCGTCGCCGAGATTCCTATACCTACAAAATTTACCCACCGAGCACATGAAGTGTACGTGCGTATACGTAGCAGCGGGAGAGGCAGAAAGGGGGAACAGCCCGGGAAACGATCAACGGTATAATCTCTCTCTTTCCTCTCCCTCCTTCCATTCTCGCCCAAGCCATCTCGAGAAGCAGAAAAAAAAGTTCGTATCATTCAAGAGCTAGTTAGCTAGCTAGGGTATCAAGCTCGCCGACGATGGGTAGTGTCTCGGTTCGGCCGTGGCGGCGTGCCGCAACCCCCTTACTCCTTCGCAATAAACCCTGATAAATTCCTTCTAGAAGGAAGGAACGAAGTAAACTCAGGGGTCGTCCGCCGGGACGGTCTACTACCACGACAGAGACAAGAAAATCCTCTGCTGGAACGTCACAATCCAAAAAACCAAACCCAGAAAAGGCCTCATTAGAAAGTCTAACCAATGCCTAACAGAGACACCGCCCTATGTATGTGCCATGCCACCCTACGCTACGCCATGCCATGTACGCCCTGCCCTGCCATCATGCAAGGGCATGCAATGTTCGGCACAGATTCTGGTAGACTAATGTAAGAGTGTGGATATCACGGAGTAAACTAAACAACGGCTCCTTCCTCGAACTTGGCAAGGCAGAGAAATGGCGAATGGAGACGGGGCATATAACGTCCAAGCTTTTCCGTTGGTGATTGGAAGGAGGACGAAACGGAGAACTCTCCGAGAGAGACATGTGTGGGGGCGGCGGAAAGGGGGGGGGCGTTGGTGTGGGTAGGAGCGAGGAAGGGTTAGCCGGGGAGGGATGGAGGGAGGGGCCGAGGTTTTTGGGGGCGTGGGAGAAGACAGATAGAAGAAAAAAGAAAAAAGAAATTTTTTTGGGGGGGAGGGGCTTTTGTGATCCGGCGCCCGAGACAGAGAGACAGGTCAGACAACACTAACAGATAGATAGAGATCTCTCTTTTCTCACCATTTCCCCCGCTGCTCTGGCCTCGATCTCGCCCTAATGCCATAGACACTACACTAGCAAGGGCAGCTAGGGGGGTGTTCAAAGCTCAAACAAGCGCCGCCCAACACTCGCTTTTCTTTTTTCGGCTAGGGGGAGCAAAACCCGCAACCGATCCCGGTACCGTGACCGGCACCGCAGCGGAGAGCTTGGGTGCCCGTTAGCAGGCGGCAGGCTAGTGTAGAAACGGCAATCGCAATCGCCGAGCCTAGGGGGGTAGCCTACCAAGTTACCTACCTACCTTATGTCTATACATGTATACCCGGCAAACCATTCAGTCCGTTCCTTTGGGACGGACGTGCCTTGCTTGACATCCGCCACCTCCAGGTACACTACATTAAGAAACAATACCGTGTCTTCCGTCCCCCCTCATGTACTGTACAATGTGTACACGAGGTCCTTTGCCAAAGAAACGTCCCGGCAGTAGATGGAGTTCACACGGGCCTCGGTCCAGGCACTCGGGAAACCCAGCCCAACCAGTCCAACTAGGCGGACAGGCAGCAAGGCAATTTCATCTAGGCAGATATAAAAAGACACATTTGAACATTCTGCTACCTAACAATAGCAAGTCACGAAAATGATAAGTAGCTACACTCTATTCTGCATAACCAATTTGGATTTCGCGACTTGTTTCCATTGAAACTTCAAAAAAGGGGCAGGCACATGTAGTAGCTCGTTGTTGACACACAGGCACACACAAAAGGCTGATGTATGTATGTGCCGCCTCGCGGCCCATATATTTCACCTTCTTTCACCCCCCCGAAACACACACATACACACACTCCCAGTCCCAGTCTCGTGGCAGATAGGCCGGCAGGGGGTCGAGCTTGTGAAACAAGACAGAATGCAGAATGCAGACGCCTTGGTGTGTGGGGTTGGGAGGGCTAGAGAGGCGAGATCAAGGCACGGGGGAAGCGTCTTCCCGCCGCCGCCGCCGCCGCCGCCACCACCTCCACCTCGACCTACCACAGATTTCTCGTGTTTCAGTGATTGGTTAACGAACGAAATTGGGCTAGCCCTGTGACAGGGCAGGGCAGGGAAGCAGGCACAGATCACATCGGAAGGCTTGGACGGCTCGGTCGGTCGGTCGGGCTATTAATGGAGCCGCGTAAATATCCGTAGCTGTTGGTTTATTTTCTTAGAGCCAATGCTCGCAGAAACCTCCAAAACTAGCCAAGGTAGGAATACCTAGGTATTCGCTCGCGCGGTTTGAGAGCCAGCCAAGCCCTCCTCCTCCTCTTCCGCAACAAGGGGTCTCGTGGGAGGAGGAAGAAGGACACACGGTCCGCCATCACTTTCAGTTTAGCGGAGGGTCCGTGGACACACGCTCGACGGTGAAGGATGCTTGAGGAGGGGAGATAGCAGTGCCCTAGCATTACCTGCCCTCACCTCGTACCCAGCAAGCCAACGGCAGCCAGCGGAAGTTCCGTGAGCACTCTCGACGGCGAAGGAAGCTCGAAAAAAAAAGATATGACAACAAGCGTGCTGGATCCCCCGATGGATGAGGAGAAAACGTGCGTGGTTCTCGCAAGCGGGAGATAGCAGTGTTCCAACGACACCTACCACTACCTCATAGCTGAGCAAGCCCACGGCCAGAACTTGCTTGGTTGACAGCACCCACTTACCTGAGGCCAGATAGTGCCTTTTTTTGTCCAGGCTGCTAAGGGTTCGACAAAGTCTATGGTAGGACTTCCATACACATACATACGCACCTTAACTACACGAAAGGGAAACAAGGAGAATATTATTGTCTCCAAGGGGCTTCCGCACAGCTTGGAGGAAGCAATCCAAAACCACGCCAAGTGCCCCCCCAACTCCTCCGTAGATCCTATTACGCGTAGCTAATAGTGGTAGGCAAACCCTCTATGTACCGAGGGATTGGTGTACATTGTGTTGGTTGTAGGAATCCAGCGGCGGGCTCATATGTTCTGGGCCTAGCCCGAAGCTGACGGGACGTGGAATGTGAATCCTGAATAGAATGGAGAGGAAGAGGAAGAACGGTATAAAATGACAGATAGTCTGTTTAGATTGTCCAAAACGTCTGCCCACGCTGAAGTACGTAAAACACTGGGACTTTAATACGGGCTTGACGAATAAATCCGGCGTAGAAGTCCTTCGAGCCGAGATCACTACCGAGCAGAACACCATCGATACAAACCTAACAAGGAAACCCAAGACTCACAAGCCGACATCTAAACTAAATATGACGAACTTTAGAAAGAGGTAGCCTAGCCACGATAAGCGTTCGCTACTTTCTAGGCTTGAGAGACTCAAAAGGGATTGTGTACAGTCTAGTCACTGAATGTTTGCTGGCGTGTTACTTGCGAAAAAGGAGAAATGTTACAGCAAATAAACCAGCCAGGAACAGCCTTTAATAGATATTTCTTGTCGCAAGTTACCGCTGCACTAGCAGACAAAACAGACGCCTGTTACCTAGAGGTCTAGGCAACAGTACTTGTATTGGCTGTGGGCTGCAGCTGTAGGCTATCCCAGCATGAACATTTCTAGGAGAGAGAAAGGCCTCGGGGATACTAAAATATAGATTCTAATAGCTATTACCTCCCTCGATAAAAACGCCCCCCTTTTAGGGCGAGAAGTAATGTATTGAGGCCATTCGGATCTTGGAATGTCTCCCGCTAACAAACATTCAGGGATTGGGCTGTAGAACACCATAGGCCTACCCAATATAGAATGGCAAAGCCCTTTCGTGACACGTTGTCAACCCCGTGTTTGGTCCGAGTGTCGCTGTATTATGGCTAGACGTTTTTGACAGCCCAAAAAGACTTTCTCTAAAACAAACAGAAAGGGTTGGGGGTTAAAGGGATCGTGAGCTGGAAATGGAGACAGACAAGGCCAGCTGTGCAGATGTAAAAAATAAAGGTCACGATCTCGACAGTAACAAGGTATCCTATGTTGTCGATATCATGTGATGTCGCGTATCTTACGCACTTGCGAGATTTGTAGGACGCGGTGCTGCAGTTTTGGTGTTGTGCAGCTCTTGGCGCTCGAATGTGTTGATGTCCGACCGTGCAGATTTGGGGGCTGAGTTTGCTGGCAACACGGCACTTGTGGCTGCGGACGGAGCAGCAAGGTTTGGCAAAATGCGGCTTCCTTCTGAAAACAGGCACGGGGCCGCAGGATGGCAAACTGTAAAGAGAAAATTGAGATAATTGTTCCGTAACGTCCAAAAGACAATAGTATAGGCAGCACAATAGCAACCGAAATCGAGGCCCCGTGGCCCGTGGGAATGAGGCAAACTCCAGATGACGATCTGCGAGGCTGTCAATCGGCCTCGCGACATCAGTCAGCTGGACCGGTAGAAGGCGTTGGAAGGTTCGAGCGAAATAGGAAAGCTTAGGTTGAAGGCGCACGTAGCTTGGCTTGCCTAGCTGGCAGGCAAGAAAGCACGGACGTCGCCGCCCAAAAGGTTAGCTCCGCCCAAGTCGTCATCCGAGTGGTCGCCTAGTTCGGTGCCACTGCGCTGTCCTTTGGGGCCTTGGGCGAATAACCAACAACTACATTCATTTCGAGAAGGCTATCCAAACCCAAAGCTTCCCTTCCCTCATCCATCAAACTCACGTCTCCGTAAACCCAAACCCATTTCGCAGTCCTTAAATACTTCTGCACGCAAAGCCCTGGGAGCTTTTCCCTCTCTTCAAAACACATCGTCCCCCACAGCGACCGCGCACCTTCCCAACGTCACACTCTACGTCTTCCCAAAATCCCATCAATCACAGATATCCAAAATGGGTTCCGAGCCCAAGCCTGATCCCGAGCATCACGAGCAAAAGAAGAAGGTCAACTTGGCGTACGTATCCGACCCCTCGCATCGCGACTCTCCATTTGCGGCGACGGACCCTTGCGTGAGCGATAGCAAGCTAACTTGTGTGTGTGTCCAGCGATTCTTCGGGCTCTCAACGGAAAGATGTTTGTCCACCCAATGCTCCTTCACCTACGCATCACGCGGCTGACCCCATATTGCAGGATGATGACACGGCAACGGCTATCCTTAAAAAGAAGAAGAAGCCTAACCAGTTGATGTAAGCTTTGATGACGGAAATGACAAGTCTTGGGCGATAAGCGGCTGATTCGGGACTAGGGTAACGGACGCTGTCAACGATGACAACTCCATCATTGCCCTCTCGAACAACACGATGGAGGCGCTCCAGCTCTTCCGCGGCGATACTGTCTTGGTCCGAGGCAAGAAGAGGAAGGATACCGTTCTGATCGTCCTCGCCGACGATGACCTGGACGATGGAAGCGCCCGCCTTAACCGCGTTGTTCGCCACAACCTCCGCGTCAAGCACGGCGACATTGTGACAATCCACCCGTGCCCCGATATCAAATACGTAAGCACTATGCTGTGCTCTGGTGCAAAATGGTGTCGAAATATACTGACAAACGGGCTAGGCCAAACGCATTGCGGTTCTCCCGATTGCAGACACTGTTGAGGGCCTCACTGGCTCTCTCTTCGACGTTTTCCTTGCTCCTTACTTCCGCGAGGCATACAGGCCCGTTAGACAGGGCGATCTCTTCATCGTACGCGGTGGCATGAGGCAAGTGGAGTTTAAAGTTGTCGAGGTCGACCCGCCAGAGTATGGCATCGTGGCCCAAGATACCGTTATCCACTGCGAGGGTGATCCGATCGAGCGTGACGAGGAGGAGAACAACCTCAACGAGGTTGGATATGACGATATCGGTGGCTGCCGGAAGCAGATGGCCCAGATTCGAGAGATGGTCGAGTTGCCCCTTCGGCATCCCCAGCTTTTCAAATCGATCGGTATCAAGCCTCCACGTGGTGTCCTTCTCTATGGACCCCCCGGAACCGGTAAGACGCTCATGGCGCGTGCTGTGGCCAATGAGACGGGGGCCTTCTTTTTCCTCATCAACGGCCCAGAAATCATGTCGAAGATGGCCGGTGAGTCCGAGTCAAACTTGCGAAAGGCGTTTGAGGAGGCGGACAAGAACTCCCCAGCCATCATCTTCATTGATGAGATCGATTCGATTGCCCCCAAGCGCGACAAGACAAATGGCGAAGTCGAGCGCCGTGTCGTGTCCCAGCTGCTCACTCTCATGGACGGCATGAAGGCGCGGTCCAACGTCGTGGTCATGGCGGCCACCAACCGCCCCAACTCCATCGATCCCGCTCTGCGTCGCTTCGGCCGTTTCGATCGTGAAGTCGACATTGGCATCCCGGACCCGACTGGACGCCTGGAGATCCTCCAGATTCACACAAAGAACATGAAGCTTGGTGACGACGTCGATCTCGAGCAGATCGCGTCCGAGACCCACGGTTATGTCGGCTCTGATGTTGCCGCCCTTTGCTCTGAGGCTGCTATGCAGCAGATTCGTGAGAAGATGGATCTCATCGATCTTGATGAGGATACCATCGACGCCGAGGTCCTCGACTCTCTTGGAGTCACAATGGACAATTTCCGGTTTGCTCTCGGTGTGTCCAACCCGTCCGCTCTTCGCGAGGTGGCAGTCGTCGAGGTTCCGAACGTCCGTTGGGAAGACATTGGTGGCCTCGAGACCGTCAAGCAGGAGCTCAAGGAGAGCGTCCAATATCCCGTGGACCACCCGGAGAAATTTCTCAAGTTCGGCCTTTCGCCGTCTCGTGGTGTTCTCTTCTATGGACCTCCCGGTACGGGTAAGACAATGTTGGCCAAGGCTGTTGCCAACGAGTGCTCTGCCAACTTCATTTCGGTGAAGGGCCCCGAGCTTCTCTCTATGTGGTTCGGTGAGTCTGAGAGCAACATCCGTGACATCTTCGACAAGGCGCGGGCTGCTGCTCCCTGCGTTGTGTTCTTGGATGAGCTAGACTCGATTGCAAAGGCCCGTGGCGGTTCTGTCGGCGATGCCGGCGGTGCCTCCGACCGTGTCGTCAACCAGCTTCTGACAGGTATGTTCCTCTCCTTGCCCTTGATAGCAAAATCTCACACTAACAAATCGAAACAGAAATGGATGGCATGACTTCGAAGAAGAACGTCTTCGTTATCGGAGCGACAAATCGTCCTGAGCAGCTTGATCCCGCCCTGTGCCGTCCAGGGCGTCTTGACTCGCTCATCTACGTGCCCCTGCCCGATGAGCCTGGTCGTCTTGGAATTCTCAAGGCTCAGCTTCGCAAGACACCGGTTGCTGATGACGTCAATCTCGACTACATCGCGTCCAAGACCCATGGCTTCTCGGGTGCCGATCTTGGTTTCATTACTCAGCGTGCTGTCAAGATTGCTATCAAGGAGTCCATTGCCTTCGATATCCAGCGGACCAAGGAGCGTGAGGCTGCTGGTGAGGATGTGAATATGGAGGATGAGGGTGACGACCCGGTCCCTGAGCTCACCAAGCGTCACTTTGAGGAAGCCATGCAAATGGCCCGGCGGTCTGTGACCGATGTTGAGATCCGTCGCTACGAGGCATTCTCGCAGCAGATGAAGAACGCCGGACCTGGCGCTTACTTCAAATTCCCCGAGGCTGGTGCGGAGATTGGTGCTGACGGCGGTGCTGGCAACTCCTTCGGAGATGCCGGCAACGACGACGGGCTTTATGATTAGACGCGGGTTCTAGGAATTAAGAATGGCCCTGATTGTTAGATTTCCGGGTTCCATGTATTCTAGCTTTCATTGGTTTCGTCGTCTTACATGGACCGCTCCCAGTATCTTCTAGCTGTCTGCGCATGCCATGTGCAGATGCCAAGACGTATTTTCTCAGGAGCAAGGGGGTTTATCGTGGAGCCACCTCGATGAGGCCGGGTTCATATATTGGGGACCCTCCCCATAAACAGACGAAGGAGAATGGCATTTCTGCGGCCTTGTCCACTGTAGCTATCTAGGTACCTTAGACATTTGCAATTACTTTACATAATATATCGTGGTATACTTTCGAGTGACCACATATTGGTATCTCGCAGTTCATATTCATTTTACGCACACCAAGGTACTCTTTCTGGCAGTAGAGCCATACAACAAACGGTACATGATACAGCAGTGGTAATGATTCCCCAGAAATGCCCAACACCTAGAAAATCGAGACAAATTCTCTTCATTATATATACAAGTGAACATATTGTTTCTAACAATCTAGTCCGTCTGCCTTGGAGAGAGTTTGAGGAAGAAAATAAAGAGGGAGAGCAGCATGGCGGCATGTAGGTGCGAGGGTGGGATTTGGAGAGAAAGGTGTATGTTTGGTGATGATGTTGCTAGGTGGAGAGGGGAAGTAAAGGAAGAGAGAGTGTGGGAAGGAGCTAATACATGAATGGGCATCAATAATTCATGCTTTTTTTAAGTCTGGTGTCCCAGCCTCTCTCTCCTTCTCCATGTGTTGCTTCTGGGGGTACGAGGGTTTCTTCTGCTTGCTATTTCCCCCCATTCTCTCCCCCCTCGGTTTAGTCGGCTGACGTGTGACACTGGCTAGGACAAGTCCTCGCCACATGGCCATCATCGATGGATCGTTTCAGTGTTGCGGATATATGATTTATGTTTTGTACCGACAGCTTCCTCATGAATAAGCCATCGTCAATAATCATATGCCTGTGTTTCCTCTCCTCCATTTTTTCTCCTTGCTCCTTGCTCCTCTTTTTCTCTTTTTCTCCTTTTTTTTCTTTCTAATCCACTTGGCCATTTTACATTGGCTCTTCGTCAGGTATTGTCGCTGACGACCCTCTCCTATCTCTCTCTTTCTGGCTGTGTCCCGCCAATGCTGGTCGCCCGTTATTGTCCTTGGGAGGACTGGTAGTAATAGCAGTAGCAGCAGCAGCAGCAGCCATTTCGGCAATGGATACTTCGGTTGACAGCCCCTGCGAGTAAGGTGATAAGAGAGGTCAGCACGCAGTTGGGGCCTGGTCAGGTCGTCCCGTTCTCATCCATCTCACACACCATCTCCAGACAGTCGCGCGTCACCTTGAGCGCGTCCTCAACAGCCGACTGTGGCACTGCCAGGCTCGGCAGCGCTGTGTTGCCGTTGCTGGCCCCCTCGAGACCAGGCGTCCCGTTTGCAGACTTCTTGCCGTTCACTTCGGAGGCGCCGTTCGCAGACTTGGCTGCTGGGGTGGGAGGCGGCACCGCATGCGGAGCTAGGGTTGTCTCTTGTCGGATGTCTTCGATGACGCGTCGCAGGAGGACGGGGAATGTGGTGACCTCGCCCGATCGCAGGAGGGCGACGGCGTGGGCTTGTACCGTTGTCGGCCAGTTGGAATGGTGCGCGTGTAGGGAGTGGAGAAGCTGGTCCTGTATCCTGTTTTACAAAAGGGTCAGCCAACCATCCGAGGACTGAGCGAAAGAGGCGGGAGTGAGTTGGTGGTGATGTGGACTTACTTTGTGACATGGCCTTCTTTTAATAATAAAGAGTTGATTTGCGATCGAAGGTCGGGGTCCAGAGTCGCGGGGGTGTAATTAGCAGCCGACGCTGGCACCTTGACGGGTGTCGACGGCGTCTGGCTCGCCATAGTCGCTAGCGACGCGTTGATGGCTTTCTTTCTTTCTGTGCGGCTCTCTCTTTCCCTCCCCCTCTTTCGCCAAGTAGAAGGTTGGCTGTGTACCAAGGGAATGTAAAGTCTGGGGAAAGGCCAACCCCTCCACTAATTTTCAGGTGATTCGGCACGCGATGTTGCAAACTTTATGCGGTTTCCCGTGAATTGGGACAAGAAGGGATCGCTGGCAGTCAATTGTTTGGCGGGACGGCGCGTTTCCTTGTCCGGTTCTCGAGGGGAGGGGAGCGCAGCGCAGCGCAGCGCAGCAAACGTAGCCCAGCTCGCCCGGTCGCGCTTTTCGACAGTAGCTGGAGGTTGGTGGTTGTTCTCTGTCCGACTTGACTGCTGGAAGCGACGGGACGTAAGGGCGTACTGTACGAAGTGCGAAATGCCGTGATTGTAAATTTGCAGAGCGAACTTCCTGTACTACGTCGAATACTTGGTAAGGTACTTAATGCATTCATGTACTGTACAGGAACAGTACTGGAGACACTCAGGCTCGGACGCCTAGAGCCGCTCGCTCGAGACGGCCAGGTGTCTCAAGAAGCAGAATGCAAGGCAAGAACGACGCGTACCCAAGCCTGAAAAAGCAGGTCGATAGGCACGCCAAAGGCGAAGGGCGATTGCTTCGAGTTGGCAAGGCTGACGAAAGCTTGCAAGGCTGAGTGAATCGACTTTTGTAGCTTGACTGCTGTTTTTGGTAGGGTAGTTGGCTGTCCGAGGCACACGAGACGATAAGTGCTGAGGCAGACGCGAGCGTGCGTTCCAGGGGCCCAGGGGTCCGAGCTCAACCCGTGTTCAGCCCCTCTCGCGGTATGCATATCATTTTCCCCAGTATATTCACGAATTATGAAGGGATGTATTCTCTAAAAAATGAACGGTGTTGATTAAATATCTCAGACCCATTATCGTCTCTAATTCCCTGTTCCTAAGCGCTCTGCTGGTTGAAGGCATCTCGAAGTTCTCGAGGTACGAATACCTTACCTAACAAACAAATCGGTCTTGTACGAAGTATCCGTATTGCCGGTGAGATACGGAGTACGGAGTAACTTCACCTTCTCCGGATCTGTCAAGAGGCACCTTCCAGGTTACCAAAACAGCCGCCAACACCACAACCAATCTTTTCATTTTCGGTCAATCGGGATTTCCCTTTTGATTGAGGCGTCTAGGTGGCTTGCCATCATGGCACCGGCTGTTTCGCCTCCCAGCAGGAGCGACAGGGACGTGGCTTGGCCTGGCTGCCGAAGTCGCCAACAAGTGTTGACGACCCCGAGTAACCACTCAAAGTCTTCCCGGAAGCCGCGGCGACGAGAAAGAGCTGGGCCGAATAGTAGCACTCGTACACCCGAAGAATCACAGGTGCCTACCCACTTCCATTCTAGGTTGGGGTTTTGTTTCACTAGCGTGACATCCATGAGGAACTGGAATCGGGAGGCACGCCCACTTTCTCTGTGGGTAGTCAGCCCTTCGTTCTAGGCACACGACCTGCCGTCTGGAGGACCACAGCGGAACCTACCTCATGTAACCTGGAAGGTATATGCCTAGCTTCCTTAGACAGTGGCGGACTAGGAAGTGCCCGTGGTGGGTAAAAAGAGTTCACTCCATCTCTGAGATCCACGACGGGGGCGAGGCGTTGTGCGGCGGAAGGAGCCTTCCAGACTCCCGAGGTACAGATGCAGGTGCAGGTGCGAAGGCGCAGTCATATGCCTTGTTCGTCGCTGAGGGTGGTCAAGGAAGACGCAGGTACGGGGTCGCCTAATGATCGGAATGACTTAGAGTTCAAGGTCCAGTGCCATGATAGCAATTGGCGCAGCCAGCACGAGATCGATTGTCATTGAAGCGCCCCTCATGTCCGCCCGGACCTAGGCGCGCCATCGACGGATGCTATCCACAGATGTCAACATTTGGCCCTGTCCCGACCTCGTCCATGGTCGTCCAGCTTTCATGTGTTCGAATTGTCCCGGGATGTATCCGTAAGCTCTGAAGCTATGGCGCCCCAAGTTTCCCCGAGGCTTGGTACACGGCCACATGTCGCGGGCATTTGAGAAAGAAGACCACCTCTCCCCGACATGCCCAATGGATATCTCACCAAGGAGGGCCGGTCCTGGCTTCATGGCGTTCCGTGAGCGGGGTCTCCCTGAGTGCCTCGCTCCAGCTATGGCAACCTTTGCCGAGGTGTACCATGGAGATGCGCCCGCCACCAGGCCCAGCATCTCCAGTCGATGATGTCGACACTGGGGATGGAGAAAGCAGGTGGCTCTGTCTGTTGACATGCCTGGCACACGCCCGCCGGGTATAAGAATCGGGATGCTGCCGTACTGTCTCTACTTCTTGGTTTTCCCCTTGAACCATCACCAATCTCAGGCGTAATCACTAGGCACAGACACCTCGCTCGTTTATCCCTACCCACTAGCAGTCTGCCGTCTTCAGTTCAGCTATGTCGTTGAGTACTCTCCGCACAAGTATCGCCGCCCTGGCACTGGCTGGCAGCGTCATTGCTGCCCCAACTGGCCAAGCTGCGAACCTCACGGCGCTCACGACGCTCGGCTACAAGGACATTTCTACATACGACAGCTGTGACTGGTTTGTGCCTTCTTTCCCCACCACAAGATACGAGGTTTATTGACAATATTTTGCAGCAAGAGATGGTACGGCAACGAGGAGCGACTCACCTTTGACTGCGATGTAAGTCCAGGCGGTTATTGTGCTGCTCCACTGCCATCAAGTCAGGCGCTGACCCCTCTGTCGCCAGATCCGCATCGGAGACCACAAGCAGTCTCTATACGTTGATGAGGAGGCCGCTGCCTTCTCGGATTTCCACAAGGACAGCTACGGCCGGCTGACCTGCAGCGGCGACTTCTTTGGCTACCTTCACCGGGGCTGCCACGACCTGGAGAAGAAGTATCACAGCCGCATCCGCTGCCTGCGTCCCGTCCCCAGAGGCTGGCTGGAGCACCAGGCTAGCGGGTACGCTCATGGTGGCCACGGTCACTCGAGCTACGACCATAACGACTACGATTCCGACTCGGATTCCGACTCGGATTATTCAGACTCTGACGATGGTGACTACTATGGCGGCGAGTGCCCCAACCATGATCGCCATGACTACGAGACCTGCAAGTATCGCCATCATGGATATCACGGCCATGGTGGGTACGGTCCTGTAGTGTATGGCGGCTATGGCGGATACCATGACTATGGTTACCCCAGCCGCTATGGTGCCTATGGCGGGTATGGTCATGGCGGTTATGGTGGCTACGGCAAAGAGTATCACCATGGCGGCTACGGCGGAGAACACGGTGGCTTTGGCGGCTACGGCAACGAGCACTATGGCGGCTACGGTGGTGAGCACCATGGCGGCTACGGTGGTGAGCACCATGGCGGCTACGGTGGTGAGCACGGCGGCTTCGGTGGCTACGGCAATGAACATCACCACGGCGGCTACGGCGGCGAATACGGCGGTCTTGGTGGATACGGCAACGAACACCATCGCGGCGGCTTTGATAACTACGGCGGCTACGGCGGCGAGCACGGCGGCTATGGCGGTGAGCACCACCGTGGTGGCTTTGACAACTACGGCGGTTTCGGCGGCGAGTATGGTGGCTACGGCGACCGTGGCGGCTATGGTGGTGAGCACCACCGTGGTGGCTTTGACAACTATGGCGGTTTCGGCGGCGAGCACGGTGGCTACGGCGGCGAACACCACCGTGGTGGATTTGAAAACTACGGTGGCTTCGGCGGCGAACATGGTGGCTACGGCGGACACGGCTTCGGCGGTGAGTACGGCGGCTACGGTGGTGAGCACCACCGTGGTGGCTTCAACAACTACGGCGGCTTCGGCGGTGAGCACGGCGGCTACGGCGGAAATGGAGAGTTCGGCGGGCGTGGTGGTTTCGGTGGCGGTTTTGGCGGAGGCTACGGTGGCTTCGGCGGGAATGGCGGCTTCAACGAGGGACAGGGCGGCCTCAACAACGGAGGACTCGGCGCCAACGAGCTCGGTCAAAAGGGGGCTCAAAAGGGAGGACTCGGCGTCAGCGTCAGCGTCACCCCCAGCAGCCTCAGCTCAGGAGCAAATCAGGCCCTGAGCAAGAACAGCCGTCTGCATGGGGATAACCTCGACAGCCAGTTCATTTCGGTCGAAAGCACAGAAGCCACCGCATTCCAGGGAGCCGTTGACACGCTAGAAGCAGCTGCACTCCCTTCTGCGGAAGAGCAGCCAAAAACGGCCGAGTGAATGCCCTAGGGTGGCTTACAGACATCCTGGCAGGTATTCGATGGCAGGTGGTGCAGTGCTCTCGTAGTTAGGCAAGCGTGGTAGCAGCAATCTGAGCCGAGGGTTTTGGGGTCTAGGACAAACTCGCCCACCGCAGTTATTCGTTCGATAGCTTCCTCGGCCGACTTTAGGTACCATACTTAGCGTAATACCCGAATGCACCACATGAATTTGCTCTCATGTCTCCCGTCGGTCAGTCTTTGTATATCCAATGCTGTCTCCGTCTATTTGACCATTCATTTGAAGGTTGAAAGCCAACCGGAAACCATTGGATGAAGCTGCAAATGGTTGGGTGCTCCGTCCACGGGCGCTCGCAACTCTGTACACTCCGTAGAGTCCCGAATTCTGCCAATGTATGGTAAGTATGTATGTACGTTGCTTACGAATGTCGCAGTGTTGTGTCGTCCCGTCTAGGTACTTCCAGTGGATGGCTATGGCGGCAACGACGGCTGCAAGCCTGGACATAGTAGCGGGTTAGCGCCAATAAGGCCTCGCTTGAGGGAGTGGGGTTCTGCGATAGGGGAAGCCCGGACACAATGACGTCAGCACACGGCGGACGGCGATGGAAGCCATCCATGAACACGGAGGTGCCGATGGCCCCGTCCTAGAACTACATTACCTACCTTAGGTCCTTACCCAAGCAAGTAGAAATGCTGATAGCAAGACGGGAATTCCAGGTACTACAAGAAGCCAATTGATGCACTTGTTGTTATTTGGGTGCCGGCCTAAGCAACCCAAAATATTAAAAAAAAATAAAAAAATTTCATTAGGCGTTTGTTCCTTCCTCGGGTTCGTTCGTCCGCGCTGTCCGCCTTCTATTCATTGCCTTGGACCTTCTTTTTAGAGAAGCCAGCCTGGCGACCCGGGCGAGAGCAAACGGCGAAAAAACAGAAAGTGCAGAGGAGAGAAAAGGAAAGAACCCGACAGAAAGAGACCAGAGAGGCGTACAGGGGGCCCTCTATTTCTCGTCCTTCCCGTTCCGCCGTTACGAGATACGCCGCATGGGAATATGGCCTCGCACCACGACCCATTCAAGGCTCTCAGCCCAGTTGACTGGACAGCCTTTGTCGACGACGGCAACGAAAAGAAGGCGATTAACAAGGACCGTCTAGCCGAACTACTCTCAACGACATTTGAAAACGCCCAGGCCGTCATCAACTCGATCCCTGTCCCTGCTAGCGTCGCCGCCGTAACCAAAGCCGCCGCCGCCGCCGCCGAAACTGCAGCAACCACAGGCCGTGCCCGCTCACAAACCGACTCGGCCGTGCGCAGCAACAGCGATTTTAACATTCCCAGCATCCTCTTAGCCGACAGCTCCGTCAGCAGGAAGGATGCCGTGAACTCGGAGCTCCTGCGAAAGGAGTGGAGAGATGTCAAGATCAGCCCGCGCGACAATCCGCTCAACATCGGTGTTTATAAACTGTCGGCCAAGGACGGCAATGGCAGCTGGTTTGCGCGCCGCAGCATCCATCATCCGTTCTCTCCCACCGCCAATAGCGACACTGGGAGTGCTGCCGATGATTGTAACATCTCGTTCGACAAGTGGCGGCTCGCACTACAAAAAGAATTTACCGAAACGCTGGCCAGGACTCAGGGCGAGCCGGGGACAGGAAATATCCGCGGGATTGGTGCCGAGAAGAGAATCGAGCTGGTAGAGCTTGATGGCGTCGGCGTGGTAGAGTGTAAGTCCCCCCGTCCCAAGCTACCCCCCTCCCCCTCCATGTCCAACTCGACATGCAAAAGGGAGAGTGAAGACCGTTTAACACAAATTTGATGCACAAGATTGGCTCATACTTTGTTGTTGTGGTCTTACACAATAGTGTTCCAGGTGTCGGCTAGATTTCCAGGCCCGACAACGCCGAGAGATTTCGTGACGCTGCTCCTCATGCCCGACCATGCTTCTTCAGACCCAACGGGCGAGCAAAAACGAGGAAAAGGACGAAAACCGAGGCAGTTCATGCTTGTGTCTAAGCCATGCCAGCACCCTGACTGCCCGCCAAGGTCGGGATTCATACGCGGCCAGTACGAATCGGTGGAGGTAATCCGGGAAATACCACTGAACACGCCACTGAGGAGGACGAGGTCCTCTGTTGACGTAATCCGGGAAGATTTGACGAAACCTATTGCAAGCGGTACTGAACACAGTCGCATAACCAGAGAAGCCATGTCGCGTTCGGCTAGCAAGGAAGACGGTGCAGCGGAATACGAAGACAGCTTCCCGCTGGGAGACGAAGAGGTGGAGCAAGAGATGGCGATCGAGTGGCTCATGGTGACTCGAAGCGACCCAGGCGGCAGCGTTCCTCGGTTCATGGTCGAAAGGGGCACTCCCGGAGGTATTCTTAACGATGCTAATAAGTTTCTCGAATGGCTATCTACCAAGAGCATGGAAGACATTGCCACTGGCAATCAAAATGAGCAGGAACTGACAGAGGAGGACGGAGTTGAAGCCCCATCGGCTCAGAAGGAGCAACAGGGAGAAAAAGAACCAACCGAGATCCCCGCCCGCACCATTGGTGCTGAACAAGAGCCCCGCGGCACAAGATCACAAAATACAGAGCCTCAGCCCTCGGGATTCTATGGGATGATTGCGGGTGCGCTAGAGGCAGCTGGCTCAGCAGTCGTTAACAAAATGTATACCCTTGCGTCGACACCGGTAACTGGGTCGGAAGGCAACGACAGCGATGCCGAGAGCGACATCTCATCTACGGAGCTCAGCTACGCGTCGGCTGAGGAGGGCGAAGACTACGCTAGCGAGCCACTTGATAAGAGCTTTACGAACAACTCGTCGGCCGAACTGGAATCATCCACGCGGTCGGCGCGGTCTACTATCTCAGAAGGCTCCATGGTCACATCGGCTACGCCTACGCAACAGTCAAAACAACACGAAAGGGATCTTCGAAAGTTGCAGAATCGCCGGCGGCGCGCTCAGGAGAAGTTGGAGAGAGCGCAGGAACGGCAGGCGGCCAAGAAGCAAAAAACCGGCAGCGAAGGTGCAGAGAACGATAAGGAGGCACAGGCGATCGCGCAGTTGCGCGAGAAGCACGAACGCGAGCTAGCCAAGCAAGAAGAACGATATCAGCGGGATCTCCGGCGGCTGGCAGAGAAGCGGCGTGCAGAGGAGAAGAAGGCCGAGGAACGCCAGCGCAAGGCTACCGAGCGCGAAGAACGTCAGAATCTCCAGCGGGAACTCGAGCGTACTCGTGCAGACCGCGACTTGGCGCTCAAGGAAATTGAGATTCTTAAAGACCAGGTCGGCCAGCTCCAGAGCCAGAATACAAGGTTGGTAGCGCAGATAGGGAGGGAAAGTAAGGGGTCTCTTGTGCTGTGAGAGATTAATGAGGATCAAGAGAAGCAACCACGGTCTCTCCACGTTGGCGAGTAGAGGACGGATCGAGGGATAAAGTATAAAACGCAGAGTATTATTCTTGCTATGAATGTTGTTATTCTTCGCTGCCGCTATTCTTTCTGTAGCTATTCTGCGCTGCTGCTGCTGCTGCTGCGATTCAATTCAGTTAGCGAGCATGTAAGGAATGTTGTTTACTTTTTTTGCCCAACCCAACCCATCCAACTCCCTCTCCAGCCCCTTTTATTTTATAACCCCCATTGTTTAGCCCCGAAAGGAGAAACGATTTGCACACCTTAATTCAATTACCTAGGTAGCCAAATAAAAAATGGATGGAAAGTCCAACCAGATCAAACAAGTTGAACCCCGAAAGAAAAAAGTGAAACCATCTTTGCCAAATTCGAATCGATAGCTCTTTTTCTCTCTCCGTGGCTAGAAGGGCCGCGTCTAAAAACGGGGGCCAGGGAGGGAAAGGGGGATTGATCGGGGATGTGTTTATTACATTCGGGATGGGTAAGGTACCTTGGTGATACTCGTGTGTATGTAAAAACGCTGACTGGTAAGTTTTTCCAAAAGAGGGAGATAGAAATATACGTTGTAAAGGAGTGAAGAAAGGAAAGAAGCAAGTAGATATATAAGAAGGGATAAGAATGCGGTTTTGTGGTGATTACCGATAGAGGGAATGGGCTATTTCTTTCAGTCAGGCTCGCGATTTCTTGCTGCCACGAGACACGCTCGCCAGATTAGTTCCGTGAGCAATCGCTGGCTTCCCGCTGCTAGTAGCGGATGCAGATGACGAGGATGATGGCGGCGGCGGTGGTGGCGACGGCGGCCGCTGGCCACGGCTGCTATCCTTGCCCTTGGGCTCGTTTTGGTCGCGCCTCTGCTGCTTGCGGCGCTCTTTCTTCTGGTCGACGGCGGCGGCCTGGCTACCCCCCTGGTCTTGGTAGTACTCCATCGCCACGGGCACGCTCTCGGCCCCGATTTGTCGCACTTCGAGCTTGCGGCCGTCCACCTTGGCGTTGTGGAGCGCCCGGGTGGCAGCCTCGGCGACGTCGGCCGTCGCAAACCAGACGATGGCGTAGCCGCGCGGCTTGCTGCCGCCGCCGCCGCCGCCGCCGGATCTCTGGGCTGGGATCTCGACACTCTGTACCTTGTTCCCGGCATCCTGCGAGACGTGGTTGTAGATGTATCCCCGTATCTTCGCATCGTTCAGTCCGTCGAACGACATGTTTTTGATCATGATTGCTCGCTTGTCGGGGTCGCCGAACTGGCCGCCGCCAAGAGCCGTGTTGCCGTAGCCGGCTGCTTCCACGGCCGTCACCTGGCCGGGCCAGGGCTGGGCCTGCTGGGAATAGGAGTCGTACAAGCCGTACCCAAATTCTGCACCCGGACACTGGGCCACGGCAGTGCCGGCAACTCCCGTGTACATGGGATAGACTTGGCTGTATTGCTCGGTAGGCGAGTATGTGTACTGGTAGCTCGCAGGGGAGGACACGCCAAGGCTGGGAAGTCCCGGGCTGGCAAGCTGGGGACTGGTGTGGTACTGCAGGGGCGAGCCGGTACCATATCCTTGGTAGGAACTGGTCGTCGTGTATTGCAACCCGGGGTTGCTCCCGGCAGCCACACCGGGGTAGCTCACACCGGCCTGCGGAGAGCCTGGGAACGGTTCAGGGTAGGAGACTAGGGGCAGCCCCCCTTGGATGGGAGTACCCATGGCGCTGGGGGATTTGGGTGAAGAGACAATGCTAGCGAATTGGGGATCATCCTCCTGAACTTTGACGGCGACTTTCTCGGTCCTGTTCCCATCAAAGGCGATCAAGCCCCGCTCCTTCAATACTCCCCCATTCAGAAAATCTAAGCAGCAGCAGCAGTTAGAATGAGAGAACGAGAGAGACTTGGAGTGTAGCAAGCATGGCACTCCTTACAGAATACTCTATCAAAGCTCGCCTCATCGGCTACCCGCACATATCCACTGTCTGGAGGGTAGACTTCGACACGGTCCACGACGCATTGAGCACCCTTTTCGACAAATGCTCTCAACTCCCTCCATGTCGTACCACGAGCGAGCTGGATGATACACCGGCTGTCAGTCAGAGGGTTGCATACACGAAGCGCGGTTGGGAAGTCGTGTCACGTACGTTCGCGACGGGGATATAAAAGATTCCGGTTTCCCTTCCCGGCTCGACGAGCACGCTCACAAAATTTAATTTCTGGCTGTTCCGATGACTTCCCGACATCCTGGGGGACGCAAAATTGTTGGTTGCAAAAGTCAGAGTTTCACCACTAATCTGGTAGCAAGAGGAGGTGCAGGCCGGCTTAAAGGGGTAATGTGTTTTGGCGATTTGTGGCTTGGTTAGGTTGATATCGACGGCAGCTGAACGTAGAGCAGGACAAGATGCTGTGGTTACAACAAATAACAAACAAGCTCTTGGCCCACTACACAGACTGAAGGATAGAGATACAGAAATTGAAAATGGACAATATCTTAAGATGTGCAGCCCGGCTGGGCTGAGGCCGCAAGGAGACTGAATGAGGGAGGCACAGAGGCGAGTTGGCGACTCTTGGCAGCGGTCGATGAATATCTGAGGAAATGGCAAGCCTCCAAGACTCGAATCTAGAGGCTTGTTCTTAATGGACTCCGTCTCAAAAGTTTAACCGGCGTTTTCGGTGATGCTTGGAGACAAAAGCGAATAAGACATCTGGACTGCCATGAGCTCTCCCCGTGTGTCTTATCAAGAGGGATGAGATCCAGCAGGCAGAGCTGGGATGACAGGTAGCAGCATTTGATACCGTGCCCGCATCCCCGCCAGCTCGGTGGCTACGGACGTGAATGATACTTCAGGCATCTAACAGAAGCAACAGCAGCCGGGGGGCCGCCTCGAGCCTGAAAACATTGCAAGCCAAGTCGCAAATAGTGCCGACCTGGAGCAGAAACGAGATGCCGGGTTGCCGTCATCACGTCGTCATATCGTTACTTGCAGCTCGAGACAAGCAGTGCGAGTTAGGTGTCAGTATAGCCAAAGACGCCCACGAACGAAGCCCGGTCTGCGGCCCGATAAAAGAAGCAAGTGTTTCCGGAAAGTGGCTAGGCAGCACGGGTACATCAGGGACAGCCACCTGCAGGTCGAGGGACTCTCTTCTTGACAAGGAGGGAGGAATATGACGAGAGCCCGGTCTCTGGGCCAGTGCCCAAGCTTGACATGTGAGTGAGGCTCTAGATGGTGCAGAGGTGGGCCTGAGCTGTGTATGTGATTTGCCGTGCGGTAGTCGTGCGGTAATACAGACCTATGCAGACAAGGGGATGGGCCCGGAACTTCTCTCTTTTTTTGCTGTCAAAAGCAGTTTGTCGAAATAGGCATTCCGAGTCTCAAACATATTCGTATAACGTCCAAGTGGTGAAAGAACTGCGCCAGGCTCAAGAAACGAAACTGGAGCGCACCTCTCAGAGGTCACCTAGCGAGATCCGGGCTAGAACACAAAGGCCAATGACCAGACGTATTCACCGGCCAGCTGAAGGCAGTTGATTTCCACCGATCAAGGCCTGGAACAGCCAGTCAACCCCCACCAAAGTAGATTCCCTGTAATAGTCACCTCGTTCAGTACTATAGCTTTGTTTTGGCAAATATAGGCTCTGGGCCTGGGTTTCTTGTTTCATTCTTCCGCGCGACCCAAATCGTGGACCAGAGAGAACGAAGCGACAAGTATCCGCAGCAAGTCATGGAGTACGGCGGAATGTGAGTCTGTTCTGTTCCAAGAGGTGTACATCTTTCCTCACAACTGGAAGCTGTAAGTGACGGATGCGGGTGAGGTGCATAAGCAAGACGAAGCAGCAAGTCGAAGCAAACAAGTTACGTCTTGGCAGAAAATGACAGATTTTCCCCGCCTACTTAATCTTGCGCGCAAGGGCTAGAGATGTATATGCATTCGGATCCCTTTTTGATTACTCGCGTTCGTGCTCCCATGCATATGTGGTGCCAAAACACCAATGTACTCGGTACGTGCCTTAGTTGACGAGTCAGTTGAATGCCGGGGAGAATTGCTTCTCTCGTGGCCCAATACAATATCGACGCCGAGAACGGCTTGGGGTCGCACAGTGGACGTGATTCGTCTAGAGAAGCCGTGTCTATTCTCACCCGTCCCCCCATGCTCAACTCAACCCCAGGCAGGGGACCGACACTAACGCAAAACGCGCCTATTGTTTGTGGAGGAATGTATCCTCTAATTCGCTGTCATCTTTCTGTTGTCCAGAGCCTCGAGGATCTAAGTTAGCCTCGACGGCCGGAACGAGTTCAAGGGGCGACTCCTCTCGTCTCGCCGCAATCATCGGCTGGGTGCTGACTTGGTTGCCCCATGGTGAGTCCTGGTCCGCTTCCACGAGAGAGGCCAGTAGGTAGTTATTAGAGTCCGAGAGAAAAAGAGAAGGTGGGCTTGGGGCATCCAGGCCAAGCCACAAGGCACGGACGGATGAAGGGCCAGAAAAGTGTTGGGAGAATTCCACCGAACGTGGTCCCTCGGAGAGAGGGTCCCAGACAAATACAATGCCATTGTATTGGTCGCCTTCGCACACGATGAGGAGCGTCTCTGGAATGTTGGGATGCCATGACAGACGGCGGACATTACCGTGGAAGAGGAGCACGGCTCGGAGCTCTGCAGCTTGGGCATCCCAAATCCAGGCGGTGCTGGGATAGTCTTCCAGCCGCGTAGCCACAAGTGCAGAAGACGAGTCAGAGGCAATCGAGGCAAATCCCAATAGCGGCTCGGAGCTATCCTGGGGGCGTGGCGCCGGGGAAACAACCTGCGCGGTCCTTAGGAAGGTGTGGATGGAAGGCCCTGCATGTGAGATGCCGATTTGTTCTTGCCAGACCTGTGTACGAACCGCAAATCAGCCCCAGTGACTGGCTGACTGGCTGCCTCAACTGGGTAGGCGTGTCAGACCGGCAAGCAAAGACGCAAAACGCAAAACGCACCTGAAGCGTGTCCCTAGGGACAAGGCTGCTTGGGTGCTGTAGACGTAGGGCCTCGGTGACTGACGCCATGCCAAGGACGCATAATGACCTGCTACAATCGCCGATTGCGAGATGGCGGCCGTCTGCCGAGAACTGTACAAACTTTACACCGGCACCTACAGTATAGTCTCGGTCTTTGGGGGGTGGGCTCGCGGGCCCTAACCAGGTTTTAAATACCTGCCCGTCAGGAGTGTAGAATAGGACCCTGTGCCCTTGGGCAGGCGAGTCCCAGACAACGAGCCACCTCCCGTCGGGGCTCCAGACGACGCCTTGCGCATCCACCGTGTCGGAGGCCCAGGACCTCTGCAGCTCCCTGGCGGGAAAGCCGTGGATGCTCAGCATGTCCTTACCCGCGACTCTTGTCAGCAGGGCCAGATGGCGTGTCTGGGGCCGAAACGAGAAGCATCTGCATGCAACCGAGGGGGAAAAGAACTTGGGGCTGGCAATCTCGGTGGCCTTGGACGAGGCGAGGTCGTAGACGGCAAACTTGAGGCCGAAAGAAGAAAGTACGCAGATCTCGGCGTCTGAGGTACCGAAGCCGACAAAGGCTGGCCTCGTGCCAGGGGCAACTGGATTCCTGATGGTGGCATGGAAACTGCTGCTGCTAGTGTCGAGAGCCGAGACAACATGGATCTGGTCGACGCCAGCGACAAGTAGCAGGCGCGACGAGGGCGACCAGCTGAAGCTCAGCACAGGGCCCGCAAAGTCAGGCGGCAGCTTGACCACATTGACCACTTCCAGACCGCGCACAGCCCGAACATTGACAACCGACGCGAAGAGGGTGGCGATGTGGCTGCCGTCAGGACTCGGGAGGCACTGCGCCGAAGCTAATAAGTAGTCGGTTGCAACGATAGGTTAGCATAGAAGAACCCCATGGAAGTCTAAGGTAGAAGGCAGGGCCCATGGGCCTCGCAGCAGAAGGCGACATGAGGGCCCCCTGCCACTGGGTGCATCTCTCACACTTTAGACGTTGCGAAAAGATCATTTCCGCTAAGAACTGCCAATCACTACCAGTACCAGTACCAGGAAAGACTCGACTCAAAGTCTTCCGTCGGAAGCAGCTGCGAGCTGCGAGCTGTGAAGCCAAGTGGGGCGATGGTGTCGGAGCAACTTGTGTAAGGCAGGCAGGGCAGGTAGAGTCCAGGCAGGAGGAGCGACAGGACTCTAGATTGCGAACAAGTCTCGTTGCAGGCGCCGTGCGTTGCGTTGAGTGCGCTGCTTCCTGAATTTAGTGCAGGCTAGCTCTAGTTTGTTATTCGGGCGCCGCCTCCGGTTCCAAGGCTCTAGAACTCGACCTTTGTCGAAGATGGCTTGGGTGAGGTCGGATTGTAGAAAGCAAACATGACAAACATGAATAACGCCCTGTCTCGCGCGTTGCTGGACCCTGGTCAACAGTCTACTCATGTAGTATCCGCTGGGCATCTCTGCAAAGTGGGGCATGGGCAAATGTGCCCTGCTGTGCTGGTGACAGCCTAGCGCAGCTAACCTGGCTCTCGGAACCCCGCGCAAGGTGTGATAGACGAACGGCGCCTTCCCACTGGCGGCTGGGCGCCTGCTCGAAGCCTGAGTTGCTTGTCACTACGGTAGCTACCCGAACACACCTACCGTTTTTGAGGCCTTCGCCGCCTTCCGGAGGTGGGGTCCGCCTAGTAAGCTACCGGAGCGCCTCCTCGGACGGAGTCCATTGGATAGTACTACTAGTATGTACGTAACCTAGAAGCTATCTCTCCAATTACGAATGCCCTTGGGGCAATTGGGGAAGTCGCCACTACTAAACATTTATAAAATATCCGCATCTCATCTAGGTCGAGTTGTTAACTGCCGAGCTAAACCGCTGACTGAGCCAAAATGAATGAAGGGCGCGGCATTTGAAGAAATGACAACGAATGTCAACTCCTTTCAGTTCACACTACACTCGAGGCACCTCGACCTCGTTCCAAACAAGCAAACAATCACATCAAAACAGCGGAACTTGTATTACCATTTATTTCAGCTGACGTCAAAGAAGTTGGGGAACACGGGCAAAACGAGGAGAGGCGTCCCAACAAGCTGGAACTATTGACGCCCGCCACCGGATATTGCGGTAACGGACAGCTCTTGGCATCCACCTCACATCACCCTCCCGCCTTCACAACCAATGAAGAACCTGGATGAGAAATAGCCAGCCAGCCACTTGACGAGACGCGAGGCTCGGCCATGTCCAGTCAGGTTACGCTGCCACAGATCTAGATAGCCCAGTGCTTCCATTCCATTGCTTTATTAGAGGAATCAGAGTCTGAAGCACGTCAGAGGCAATGACTGCCGCCGCCCTACGCTACGCCACCCAGCGTCTCCGGGTCGGGACGCTGCATTTGCCGCCACCGCCAACCCGGCTCGCGTTGCGCCCGTCGTCTGTGAGACATGTCACTACGGGGGCTTTGGCCCAGGTCCGGCCCCAACCTTCTCTCCCAGGGCACCTTGCCCCAGTCCCAGTCCCAGTCCCAGCTCCGGTCCCAATACCTGTCCAGGCGCCCCCAGCGCAGCTGGTCTCGCCCCTTTCCACCTCCCGCAGAGACCGTGTGCGTGAGGCTAGACCCTTCTCCGACTTCCTGACCGACACCTTCGACCGCCAGCATGACTACCTGCGCATCTCGGTCACTGAGCGCTGCAACCTGCGCTGTGTGTATTGCATGCCCGAGGAGGGCGTCCCATTGTCACCTTCGCAAGACCTCCTCACGACGCCAGAGATTGTATTGATCTCGTCTCTCTTCGTGTCACAAGGCGTGACCAAGATACGCCTGACTGGCGGCGAGCCAACCGTACGGAGGGACATCCTCCCCTTGATGCAGCAGATTGGCGCTCTACGGCCCCACGGCCTGCGGGAGCTATGCCTAACTACCAACGGGCTCTCGCTGCACCGCAAGCTGGACGCCATGGCCGAGGCAGGCCTGACAGGTGTCAATCTCTCACTTGACACCCTGGACCCCTGGCAGTTCCAGATCATGACGCGGAGGTCAGGCTTTGCCGCTGTGCAAAAGAGCATCGACCGCATTCTGGAGTTGAACCGAGCCGGCGCCGGCATTAAGTTCAAGATCAACTGCGTCGTCATGCGGGGCGTTAACGACCGCGAAATCCTCCCCTTTGTTGAGCTGACCCGAGACAAGGATATCGAGGTGCGCTTCATCGAATACATGCCATTCGATGGCAACAAATGGAGCAAGGGGAAAATGTTCAGTTATCAGGAGATGCTTGACCTGATTCGCTCAAAGTTCCCGGATCTGCAGAGGGGGGCTGGCCTCAAGAATGACACAAGCAAGACTTACCAGGTGCCCGGGTTTGCCGGCAAGGTCGGCTTCGTCACGAGCATGACGCACAACTTTTGCGGGACGTGCAACCGGCTCCGTATCACCAGCGACGGGAACCTCAAGGTGTGCTTGTTTGGCAACACCGAAGTCTCGCTGAGAGACATACTGCGCCAATGGAACAATGGTCAGCCCATCGACCAAGAAGTCTTCGAATCGATCAAGCAGCTTGCCATGAACGAGGGAGGCCCAATCCCCTCTCCAAGCCGTGCACCTCTGCTGGCACCAAACTCGGAACAGCTTTTAGACATCATCGGAATGGCCGTCAAGCGGAAGAAGGCCAAGCATGCGGGCATCGGCCAGCTGGAACACATGAAGAACAGGCCGATGATCCTAATCGGTGGGTGATGGCCTCCCGCCCGACTCAATGTTTCCTCCTTCGTACTCAACCCGGTCCTGTTCGTCTAGCAATGGCGGACTTGGACTTCAATGTAAAACGGCGTAAATTGATGGATACTAAGGGGACTATATATCTTTGGTAGATCCGACCACTTCTGCTCATCAAGGCCGCCAGTCTCAACCTAGTCAACAACAGTGGCATCCAGTTGGGATAGTATTGCCCAATCCGCAGCCGAGGAGCATGTTGGCCAAGAACTTCGTGACCGGCCTGCTGAACCACACTTCCACTAGCCATTCGGGGTACCAACTGCGGCTCTTCTCAACTGGTGCCCGCCAAAACCGCGGTAGCGAAGAAGGAAAGCCAGTTGCAGATGCCCAAAAGCTGACGCATGTCTCGAAATCGGGTGCCGCGCATATGGTATCCATCTCGAGTAAGGTGCCCACAAGCCGTGTTGCGACGGCAAAGTGCGCTGTTCGCTTCTCTGACCCTCTTCTTCTCACCCTCGTGCGGGAGAATCAGATGAAGAAAGGCGACGTCCTCGGCGTCGCGAGAGTGGCCGGTATCATGGCGGCGAAGCGAACCCCCGACATTATCCCCCTCTGCCATCCAATCGCTCTCACGCACGTCCGTCTCGATCTCACCCCCGTAGACGCGCCTCGGGAGGACAGCAGCAGGGACGGCTCCTCTGGTGGGGGCTGGATCGAGATCACGGCGACGGTGGCGTGTGACGGCAAGACGGGCGTCGAGATGGAGGCTCTGACTGCCGCATCTGCCGCGGCGCTGACCGTCTACGACATGTGCAAGGCGGTAGACAAGGGGATGGTGATTGAGGGGCTGCGCGTCGTTCTCAAGGAAGGGGGCAAGAGCGGGAGGTGGGTGGAAGGGAAGCCGGCCTGATCCGATGCCAAGCGGAAAAAATGGGGGTGCATTGACGTTATTATTTGGTAAAAAACATAGAAAGATCCGGATCTAAGGGTTAAACAATTGGGATTGTGTAACCTCTTCTTCGCATTGTTACACAACGCCCCACATTTCACATCTCGGGTTGATGTTTGACAATGGCCTTGTGACGGCTGGGTTGGAGAGCTTTCTTGTCGATATAAAATAGTTCTAGCAGTAGTTATTCTTGTGCTGGCGCAAAAGGAGCTGGATACCCGTCATATGATCGTCTCACTGATAGTTGAAGAGTGTGTATTTGGTTTCTAAGGAAAAAGCTACGTAGGTAGTAGGTAAGGTAGTAAGAGAGTTGATTCAAAGAGTATTTCCCCCTTTTCACTTTTTTATTCCGACTTACGGCTACCATTCGCCAACGACCACAACAGCACCTCACGAGACAGGAAAATAATTACTAGATACCTACCCTCTACACGAAATATTTCGTAACCTTGGAGAAGGTTAGCTTTCTTTTCTTTCCTTTTTCTACTCAAGCGGCTCTTGGCTCAAAGTGACCGCCGTGGTTCTCTGGTGCCCACACACACAACCTCGCTCGAAAAGTATTCATTTTTCGTTTAAAGCCGAACCATGACGTAACAAGATCCGGCCCGCCACTTTGGTTTTTTCCGTTTTTTGTGTGGCGAAGGGAGAATACACACACGTAGGGGGCGGGAGCTATTTTGGGTTAAATCGCCCGAAAAAATGAAAAGATCCGTAAGAGGATGTTCGTCCACTTTGTTACTTTATTTTTAATTCACAAATGAAAAAGGTATTTCGAAAGCAGTTTCGCGAAGACGTATCCGTATCCGTATCTCTCCACAATACCGGTAGACATCGGCTGGATGGCTGGACTCTTTGCCACCTCACCTCACCCGCTGAACCGGCTTTGGTACAGGTTTGGTTGGCGTAAATTGAACCCGCAGAGCGATCTCTTGGACACACCACAGCCTCTCATATCACGCGTAATACACCCTGTACATGCGGTAGGATTGGCGGCTTCCCCATAACAGACGGTAAGTACACTAGGCAGGCATTTATGTTGGGTGTGGCAATGGGCACACCTGTAGGCGTCCCAATCGGGCCATCGATGGTAAGTCTCGTCCCATCTTTTTACATTTGTCTCTTTTTGTTGGACGATGTTATCTTGGATAGTATCAAGATAGGTAACCAGAAGATAAAAATATGTTGGCGGGCTGCCTGAACAAAGAAGACAATAAACTTCCTTGTTTCTCCCTTCGCTCTTTTCCTAAGTTGGGTTACTGAGATCTTCTCTGTCCGTCCGCACTGTCGAAATCTCGACGCTAGAAGACTCAAAGGAAACTCGATCTTGCTCCCCCACTCACACCTTCCCCACCTTTTCCCCACCTAACGGGCAAGCATCTTTTTCGGATGGAGGCAACACAACACATCCACACCAAAAAGACCCGGGAGCCAATCACACATATACTTGCACGCAAACCAATCAGAGCCCGGCGATAACCTTTTTCTCGGTTCCAGCGAATGGCCATCATTGTAATTTACAGAGGTACCATTTTGAATAAGCCACTGTGTATAGGTGGAAATTCTACGAGCCCCGGAATCCCAAATACTTTAAAAAGAAACTCAAACTCCAAAGGCAAGGACGCGGCGCAGGCCTGGCGGGCCCTGGGGGGAGAGGAACACCGGCATACATACAAACGTACCTCAGGTATGCACAATGACCAAAAAGGCTATAGAAAAGCTGTCACTACCTTATGTATGGCTCATCACACGGCCTCGGACTTGGCAGCGTGAACACACGATCATTCCAGAATTTCAACGAACGGATATAATTACAGGCGCGCGGGGTTTGGAGGGGAGGCGCCGATCAACGGGCGTTATAAGAGCCGCAATAGACGACAAAAATCCAAAAACGAAACATTTTAAATAACGGATCAGCACTTCGTTTCTGTCTGTCTGATGGATCAACTGACAGACACTTTGGCAAGTGTCGCGCCGCTCCAGTTGTATGTAATTTGTACCGGAGCGAAAACGGCCAAACAGCGAATAAGTGAGTGCCAGACAGTCTTACCCGCACAGTGCCCGAGAAATGTATAGCTCCAATCAAGTCAAAAAGGGTTGGCATGTTTAATTGCATAACCCCACAAAATGTGAGTACGAGGCGAAAGAGACGGGAAGGGGCAGGCAGAGGCAAAACAGTGTCACTTGCGAACGGCGTCGCCTCCACAAAGTGACAAAAAGACAGATTTAAGAGTCATTGACATCCGCAATTGCGAGAACAACAGCAAGAGGCCGCCGCATTGATATGAACGGGCTATGATTCACGCTGAAAACGGAAAATCACTGTTAAGCACCAGGCACTCGTACAATGTGGGAGGCCAGCTATATACTTGGGGAAAGAGGTGCGCAAGCTGGCCTGTTCGCGCTTTAACCACGTACGCCGCTTGTTATATAATATACTTGAATCTGAACAAGGAGCCACGCTACCTGCGCTTCTGGTTGTCCAGCCAAGAGCGGCATATCCTGGTGCTCCACGAAGTTGTGTACATATCGCTCAACAGTTCGAGGCTATAGCAACGTCCGAATAAGGGGTTAGATGCCAAGGTATATGGCAAAACCGACCCAGAGACATATAGCTGGTATCGAAGATCATTATGCTTAATTATACTAGGAAATAGATAGATCCTTCCCCAAATAGAACGCCAATACAAGACAACAATGCAACTGCCTATTGAACACAAAGGTAGGTACGTGAGGAAGCGGCTTGGGATGAAACGGTCCTGATTGAGAGGTACCAGAACTTGCGTGTGGCATACTGTGACCAAGAGACCGGAAATCGGGATCGCAGGCTGTACTTTGTTGCTGCCCATATGCTCAGGAGCAGCCACTTCGACGCCGGCTCACCTACATGACAAGGCAGCACGAGTTCTGCTTCTTGGCAGTCTTGTAGAACATCTTGCTCTGGGAGCTCAAGTCGGAGCTCTTCGCAACTAGGTCGTCGAGCTTTTCGCCGCGTTGCAGGACCTGTTCCCAGATTAGCATGCACTCAGGACATTATTGCAGGCCCTGGGGTATCAAACATACGCTGTCGATTGCCTTATGGAGAACAATCTTGGTCTCGTCAAGTTCGGCCTGGATCTTGGCAATGCTATTGGCCTCGTTTGCATCTTGATATGTGTTCAGATATTCTTCTAGCGCGGGGAAATCCACCGAGTTGTCCGTGGTCGCGGCCTCTATCGTATCGAGGGGCGTTTCGGACAGGAACTGGTCAATGAGCTTGGACAAAACGCTGTGTGCCGCCATGGCAGGATAGTCCTTGGTGATGATGACGCCGGCGACGCCCTCGGATCGGGCGTAGCAGTGAACGACATAGTCTAGACCGATAGTGAGCCACAAAGGTCGAGATCGCACATGTGTGAAACCAAACGGCAGACATACCTTGCTCTTCCACACTCTGCCTCTGGCCAGGACTAGTTCGCTCAGCGACCGTCTTGCCAATCATGGTCATGAAGTTTCCATATTCGTTTCTGGTGAACCTCGACCACTCGCTCAGCTCGTGGGCGCCGGCGAGCACCACGGCGGGCTGCTCCGTGTTCTTCAGAACCTGATTAGGATGAAATATTAGCTAATACGCATTACCATTCAACCCTCACAGATGTACCCACACCGATATAGTAGACCTTCATAGCTGCGGTCGGTTTGAGTCGAGGGATCAAGATTTAAGAGTGGAGCGGGGCCAGCCTTGGGGCACGGCACAGATGGCTACCCAGCAAGTGCAAGAGTCGGAAATCCCGATCGTATCTCGACGTCCCCGTAGCGTGGATACTGGGGGCAAATGCTCGGCCGTGATGGATATTGACCGTCACCGATGTGTGTTGCCGGATCTCGGGTGGGTCAAATGGCGGGGAGGGGGGCGGAAGTCGGTCAAAGGCCTTGTCCAAACGGAGTTCGCGTTTCGTTGAAGTCGAGTAGGGATAGAGACAAAGTCGTCGGTATTTCGGCAGTGGAGAAGGACGTGGCAAACAGCCTGTCGTCGGCCGTGAGAAAGCAGTTGAGAGCGGACGGTTGCCTGTCTTGTCTTGGGTCGAAGGCTGAAGGATGCCGTCGTGGCTAGCGGTCACAGCACGGGGCAAAGTCCGACCCACCCGACCGACCCTGAGACAGACGAGCGCCACCACAGCCTCAGACGGCGTCGGTTAAACGCTTCCCCGTCAACTTCATCATCTGCATAAAGAAGTAGTGTCGACCCGATATATAACTGTTTCTTTTAGATGCAATTAAACTTTGTAGCGGACACGGCTGTCACTGCGTATTTGGAGAACGCACAGTGAATGGAGCATTCTTATTACTTACAGACACAGTACGTGCCCGGGTATCCGTATCCGCAGTACCATACGGTTGCATCCATCAGGATGTCACTGATAACACATGCATGTTGGAGTGCTGAATAAATAGTTCATTTATAGCTCTCACTTTCCACGCAACTGAAGCAGAAACCGCCTGAAGCGCGTGGTTCTGTGACAGCTTCTAGTCAGGATAATAAGCTTACACTCGAGACCGAGACTCGGGGCTGTTGGCCGTTGAAACGACGAGCCCTTGACCCCGGCGAACTTGCAAGGGTCTACACGTGTGTTGACTCGATGCAAGCAATGAGGCGGAAGGCGAGCCGGTGGAATCTCCTTGGTAGCTAGCCGTTTTTTTCGCGTACCGAACAAGTTTAGGGCTTCGCTTCCGAGCACGGAGCAGAACTCCCCCAACGGCTGCCCCAAGGTCCAAACGCCCCAAGCCGTGGGCCAGGGGGGTCCCAAATGGATGCCATCATCCCGTCGACAAGCTAGCCTCAATCGCTATCAGTGATGACGGGTTCTCGCGATAAGAGGCCCAGCAGCCCAGCTATCATTTCTGAGCAACCTGAGAGCCTCAAATGAACCCTCAAAGTCCCGCTAACGGGTAACGTAAAAGTTAGGTTAGGTTGAAGGGGGGGCTGCTGCCGGCTAGCGCGTCAGAATCGGAGATGGTGAAGCACTAAAAGCAATGCAGGAAAGGATGAGCAGAAGAGCACTTGCCGTTCATGGCGGCGCCAGCAGGGACAGGGTTTGGTTGTGCCGATGTGCCTTCCTTGGGGTTCCTTGGGTCGACGCGCCTTCAACTCTTGGAAGGCCCACCGCTCTTTGCCCAGGCCGAGATCTCTACGATTCTCTTGGGGCTCTTGATGCAGAATTGATGGACCCTCCATCTGCCATCCGCGGCCCTCTGGCCCTCTCGGCCCCTCCTCTTCGAGCCCTCCTTAACTCGCCTTCCCTGCTACGGTAGATAAGTAGTGGAGGTTATGGGGCGACGTGTTCGGCCCTTATTTAGGTGTCGGTGTCCACCCGTAATCAGAATGATTATAACCTGCCCGTGCCGACTGCCTCCCGCCAGCCCAATCTTCCATCACCTCGACTTCGTTCGCCTTCACCCGCGCTACGTCCTTCCAAGTTCCGTCTCTCCTGCCTTTGACCTTTGTCTGCACAATTCGCCAAGCCCCAAAGTGTAGCGGAAGGCGGGCAGACCCACAACGTACCGATCCATTGACGACACCCCTACCTCGGACCCCTAATTACGGTACCAAAAAGTTCTAAGCTAGAGTCGGTGATACCGAGTTGCTCGCGTGCCCGCCCGCCCGCCCGCCTGCTGCTGCTTCAGCACAGCGAACGGAGTCACTTCGACTCGGCACACAAGGTCGGGTCGGGTATTTTACCTTCGATACGGGCCACTGTAATAATCCTTTACGGCGAAGCGGCCTCGAGATCTATACAGGCAGGCAGCCGCGCGCGTGCTGTACTGTACTCGGTAGTGCACGGTTGAAAAGGGCACAGGCTCGCTGGCCGCATCCCTAGCTCGCCGGTCCTCTGCCGCTAATTGCCGAGTGGAAGCTAAGGTGGCTCTCCATCGGCTAGAAACATTATCGCCCTCGGGCCCTCTTCTCACTAGCCGACGGGTGATAAACCTACCTACCTTACCTTAACTTGCTCCTCTATCCTACCCGTAACCCGACATACTCAAACAGGTTCGGCTGCCAGCGCGGACCATTCGGGTCAGCAGCCTTCAACAACAACCTAGGTTATTTTCAGAGAGCTTGTCACTGGTTAACCTCGGCCGACGACGACGTGGCGGCTCTGTTGCCCTGCCCTGCGCGTGCCAGCGGGCCTTCTCATAAACCCCCTCCCAACTCCCACAACCCCCCTCTTGACCCCCACCATCTTATTCTCAACCCGCCCCACGACCGTATCGTCGACACGCCGCCTGCGAGATCGGGTATCGTGATTGCGATCGCGACTGTGACTACGACTGCGACTGAGACCGACTTCAACAACACCACATCCCCGCCATAATGGCTACCGATTTCATAATGCCCCGGATGCCCGATCTGCAGCAGCAGCCGGCCTTCCTGCCGCATAACCAGCGCCAGCAGCAGCTTCGGCAACCGCCCGCATCTCAGCCAGCTTTTCACCAGGCGCCAATGCGCGACGCAATATACGTACCACCAAGCGTCGTGCCATTTCACTCCGCCCTTGCTACGCAGTACACCAACCCCCAGATTTCTCCCCTCAGCACATCGGGGAGCAGTTCGCCAACTTCGCCCAGACCTGGAATCGCGCGCCAAATCCGGCCCATGTACATGCCGGCCGTGCTGCGTCCTACCGAGTTTCCTTCAAAGGCGCCCGAGCCCCAAGCAAAACCCGAGGACGAGGCGGATGCTGACGACCAGCCGCTGCGATCCAGCAACAGCTTCATGAGCCTGCCTGGTTTGAGCGCATTCGGACGCTTGAGCAGGAGATCTACCGGAGACAGTGGTAAATGCGTCAATGGTGACTGGAATCTCGACCTCTTCCCCGAACCCACGGGGCCGCCCACTCGAAAGCACTGGAAAGTATGCTTGTGTTTGCTAGCTGGTTCCGGCCGAAATGTCTTACCTGTTGAACCGCACACATACTGACTTTGCCTCTGTAGTGCGACCAAGAATCTTCCGTCTGTGATCACACAACTTGCAAGAGATATTTCAGCTATTTTATCCGACGGCACCACTGCCGCAAATGTGGAAACATCTTCTGCGATATGCACAGCACATTTGAGATTCCACTGGATCAGGACGTAAATTTCAACCCTCGAGGTTCCCCCAGCCGTGCTTGTGCCCACTGTTACTTCCAGTTCAAGGAATGGCGAAGCCGGACGAACAGCCAGGCATCAAGTCTAACATCATCTGACGGCGGAAAACCGGGGGATGCGACTCTGACTTCCCCAACGTCAATCACCGGCGGCAGGACAGCCCATCCGTCCGAAGTTGCTCACAGTGTGCCCAGAGACTGGAATTGGAGCACTTTCTAGTCGCCATCGGTTTGCACAATATTTTGACAACCATGTAAAATGGATTGACAACCATGTAAAATGGACGTCGCATCATATTTCTGAACTGATTCTTCCAATATGCCTCGACTCTTCTTACGGGTTGGCGGTAACGACCGATATGACCAAGACGGCCGACGGAGAACATATCTCTAGATGGGAAAGATTTCGCATCTTCCGAGACCATCTAGATTGCGCTATAGACGTGTAAAGTGAGGGGTCAAGGAGCGTTTTGATACCAGGCTAGACGCAGTCTACATGTGTCTGGCCATATTTTTCTTCAGTTTCGGGGATATGAAGACCATTCGCATATGGATACCTGACACCTAGTGCTCTCATATTTGGGGGGTAATATTCCACGCAGTTTCCCTCCGCCACACCACCGAGATTGCCACTGGATTCCGGCGCACGGATTTCGTTCTTATTTGTCGGACAGTTATCCATGACTAGCTAGGATGATTATTGGGCCGACGACGAGCAGAGCATGGCATGTCTTCGGATGTCGATGTTACAGCCGCGGATTTCTTCTCTCGAGCCCCGTTTAGGTGTTGATGAGCTCTTCTGGTATTGCGTTTTAATCAATTAGCAAGGCGCTGGGTTTCGGGCGATTCTCATGAACTTTCATCAGATCTCGCCTTTTCTTTCTCGTTGTCCTTTCTGGCTTTCCCCATTTCCATTTTCTCAGAATCATTTGGCTCAGTCTTCTATTAGGCTGCTTGGGTAGGTGGCTGGGCGAACGCATGGCAAACATGCCCAAGGAGAGAGACTTCAGTAAGTTCTCTCTTCTGGGCGCCGGGAGATGCATAATTACTTACAGCCATCGCTACGTGCGCTCCGTCAGGGCGAGAATTACGCCGTCTTGCTTTACAAATAAGCCACCAGAACATCGCATCGATCGTACTAGCAGTCATATTCGTGCCCAGCTCACAATCTATGTGCAAGACGCCTCAGACCGGTTTATAAAAATTGTGACTATTAACGCTTTCGTGTAGATTCTTTTTTATCCCAACGCTAGCCCATACCTAAAGAATAACAATATGTACACCGGTGGGTATGTATATGCTGACTATGTACAGCGGATCCTCTTCCCCGAGACGTGAGACGGTGTTTCCACCGTCTCGCCGGAAATAACACCCAAATATCTTTTTTTCACTAAACCCCTCGACCTGGTCTCTTGACTTGTTCCCGGAGGCTGAGATAAGAGGATATGACCTCATCTGTCCATCTACATGCCCATCTAATCTGTCTGGCATTTGAACCCATTAATGCCAATGATCTCCCGGGGGAAGGTTGAGCGAAGACATTTCTAGCCAAGGCTTTTTTTACTCTCCTATTTTTAAAGTCCGGTATAGACTGCCCGGTGGACAGGCAAAAGCTTCACCTGTTAGATTAGGTAGCTGTCTCGCAGCTGTGGTGCGTGTTTACTGTCGGCTCCGTAGTGTCCGGGCGGCCTTGGCCTTGCCGTTAGCACTTCTGCGGGCAATAGGCTGGGCGTTGTGATCGGTATCGGTCTCGATGGCCTCCTCATTGCTCTCGCCGTACACCTCGCGATTGACGCTCTTGGCGGCCTCCCAGCCGGCCTTCTCGGCGATGACGACATTGTTGCTCAAGCGGCGGGCAGCGGCACCCTTGCCAGCCTTGATATCGGCATTGCTGCGACGGAGATAGCTCTCGACGAAGAAGGAGCCGAAGAGGTAGGTCAGAGGCGCAAGGTAGAGCACGTTGAGCCAGACGGCGAAGGTGGCGCTGTTGCTAGTGATGCAAGGCATCGTGTGGCTTGAATAAGGCGTCTTGACGCCATTCATGGCGGCGGCGGAGGCATTAGTGCCAACGGATGCCGAGGCAGAGGCCGATGCGGAATTGCTCTGGGATGACGTGAAGAGCACGGGGATCGAGTAAGAGACGAAGGGGTGCACCATTCCGTACGAGGCACCAAAGATGAACTGCATGATCTGGAGCGAAGTCAAGCTGCGCTTGATGAACATGGGCACGCGGATGCGGAAGGCCGTGATGGTGTAGTAAGTGTACTAGCGAGACCAGTTAGTGTCTATCAGCGTTTGGAGGTCAGGTCACTCCAGGGCAAAAACATAAACTTACCATCATGGCGTGGATGCCCGAGTTGACAAAGACAAAGACCCAGATGGGGGCAGACATGTAGCGAATGCCAGCCCACATGCACATCATGGCGCCGGCATGGTGGTACGTCTGCAGGGTGGAGCTTAGCTTGCCCTTGGCGAGGATGATGAGGGTGTCGATGACCTCGTAGAACTTGCTGAGATAGAAGATCCAGCCGTAAAAGGCTAGGCCCTCGTTCCACATGCGGCCGCTGGAGAGCCTGCTAGGGGCACCGTCGGCGTCGAAGACGGCGTCGGCCGAGAATGTCTGCCAGGAGCTGGACTCGTCGTCCCAGAAGGCGGCATTGCCGAGGCCGCCAGGGCCGTTGACGCGGCAGACCGAGTCGATAAAGCCAGACAAGCCGTGGGGCCCGAGGGGGCTGACGAGGCTGCGCTTTAGGGTGTAGAACATGCCGTAGAAGGTCCAGGCCGAGTAGACGGCGAGGAAGACATTGTGGGCGATGACGAACCAGTGGAAGGCGGCCGTCTTGCTGATGGCCCAGGGCTTCTTGTTGGTCGACTTGTTGTAGACATTGAGCAGCTTGGCCGAGACGGCGTAGACGGCGGCAATGGTCAGCGGCACGCGGGGGTCGAGCACGGCCTGGTAGATGTGCTCAGGGATGTCGAAAAGGGGCGCGAAGGGGATGGAGCCGGCGGGTGGTGGGGTTATGAAGGCGGGCAGATGGTTGGGGGGCAGGGCCCAGAGCGCCTTGTCAGGCAGAGCCAGGAAGGCTGGCGATTCGAAACCCATATTTCTTCAGATCCCTTCTGACGTGGTATTCCGTAATTAGAGAGATGCCAGGCTCGAATTGGGGGAGGGGGGGGGGGGTTGCGTGTCGAGATTGAGAATCGGAATTCCTGAATAAGAGCTGGCAAGTTGTTGGACGTGGTGGCCGGCTCGTCGTTTTTGTGAGGCCAAGAGAGGACCCCAAAATCCCAACGCTTTTTTCCCCTTCCCTTGATACGGTCCAATCTGCGTCCAGTCTTAACACAACCAAAACCAGGGGGCGGATACTACTTGGTACCTTACTCGGCGATTGATCCCCAAGTGGTAGGTATTAGGAAGACAAGACTGTGAAATTGATTGGTGATATTGCAAGCCCGGCACATGTGATTTTGATGTAGAAAAATATCGTCGCAAGGCGGACCCAGCGAGATCAATCGGTCCCGGTTATTAGCAGTCAAAGGTCTGACAACTGACATGCAAGGAACTGGCGGAAGGCGGAGACAGTGAGGGAGGTGAAGGGAAAGAGGGATTGACAAGAAGAGAGAGAGAAAGAGAGGAATGGGCCAAACCAATAATTAAAGCCATCAAGACTGACACTCGTTTAGCATTTTTTTCTCTTCTTTCCTACATGCCTTTGACGGTGCTGGGACGCATACGCCACACAGGCTAGCCAGCCCTTGTTGGCATTCAAAAGCAAGCAGATTGCCCATCATAGAGTTCGGCTGCAAAGCATGAACATGCAAGTGTCAAAGGCCAGCTGGGGGGACCCACCGGGGCGGTTTGGACCTCGGGAACGCGGAGGGAAGTGCACCTAGTTATGGATCCAGAGGCGACTCCGTCATGGGTCAAGTTGCGCTGGCGAGCATTTCTCAACAGCGGCTGAGGCCGATTTTTACGTTGCTCGGACGAAAATTGTTCCCCGCAGGCGGTCTTAGGGAGAGCTCTAGTCTGCCACCCCTTAGCGAAGAGGGGTCCATCCCACGCGGGTCGCCGAGGGGATCTGTGGAGAAGGCTGGACCGCCGTTGCGTGCACCAAGATATCTACACTAGATGGGAGATGCCAAGGAATCCAGGGTGATGGAACGTTGCTGACGTTTTTTACGTTTTAATTCCATCAATTCTAGGATGTCTACGGATACCCTAGGCAGTACAGTGATGCTGTTTCGGCGAACAGAGTAGCAGTGTTCACATAGTAAAAGGCGCATCAGACAAACCTAAACAACCGCCAACGCTACTATTTACACCAGGGTCCCGGGGCTTGGGACCAAAGCACGGGGGATATCCGTAAGGAAGACAAATAGGAAAAGATCAGATGCTTCGATTTTGATGCACGGGGATTTGGGGATCAGCAAGCCGAGGCCACTCTCCATGACTATGCGGCCTCTTCGTTGTTTTCTCGCGGTGACTTTCAGGCAGTCGCATTCGCCCCTGGCGTGTAAGTCCGAGCCCCACTTAAAGCTGTCAATGGACCCCTTCGATTCGATTCAACAAATGCACCATGTACCATTGTACCCTCTCTTTCACGATCCACAGCTCCCCAACAAGCCTGCTTGCTTCCCGCCTTCTCGGGAGTCGGGACTTGCACGCTGGCGGCTGCAGTCTAGTCCACATCTGGTGAAGAAATTATTTTCTTTCCCTTCCCTTTTCCCTAGGCTTTTTCGACCCGTAGCGTCGAGAATTTGTAAAGGTCGCGTTCAGATTGGTCCCTGGTCAGATGTCAGACATTGCCAGGATTACAGTGTCAGATGCCAATCTCAACTCCCTTCGTCTTAATCGTTGCTGTCCGAAGCGCGATCGAGATTCAAGAAACGAAGATCATGCTCTATACACTACTACGTACGTAAGAGGGCTGTTAATCAATGATCTGTTGTATGCACGAATATCGGAGCTCCAGCGGGGAAAATGGACGGGCCTGAGACTGCCAATCGTGGCTATCTCTCCCCAAAAGGGGTATCGAAAGCGATGGAGTCATCTACGAAGCAGCCAAAAAGAGACAAACAACCGTTAAAAGGAGGCGTGAAAAAGCGATCACCACTCACGTCACTGATGTCCCCGCAATGCTTTTATTCTCCGCGCGAATTATACCGCATGCCACCAATCTGACTGTTGGAATAGCGACAGTAGTGACCGTACTCTGGAAGGGAGGCGGCGCGAGTCCCGTGCTGGCGCACGTGCCTGTAGGCCGTGGGCCTCACGGACCTTACGCACACAAAACCCGGCCCCCACTATAGATTTGCTTAAACAGAATTGAATCAAGATAACTAACAACACCACTGGTGGTACTAACACACCTTCGACCTGCAGGTACCTCTGCGTGGTTAGAATACTACGAACACTGACAACAAAAAAAAGCCACCAAGATTTCCCTCCAGTCCCTGTTTCAACCCGGACTTGGCTTTGCCCTAGTCTTGAATGATGAGTGAGGCCATTTCCATTGATCGTAATTGGTAGAGAGATAACGTCCGCATGTTTCGGAATTGCTCTGACGAAGACGATGGAGCTTCTTCACAGGACACGACATTAACGCCTCAGCGCCATCCCATCACCAACCGCATCATGTACGTACCACACAGCACACCCACCCATACCCCTCGACAGATCAGGAAGTTCGTTGGTTAAAACGCTCGTGCCCAGATGGAGACGGCCCTGCCGTATAATCAAACCCGCAGTATGGCCCAAGAAAAGACGAAGACGAAATAACCGACACAAACAAACAAGCCGTGACGTTGCCAGAACATCCCAGCCGCTGACGTCATCGGCCGCGGAGCCGCTAGTTCATAATTATACGCAGCGGCATGTACGGAGTATGTACCTACTTACATGCACAATTACACACCTTAAAAAAAAGGGGGGAGAAGGGAGTGACAAATGACAAGACGAAGATGCTTGTACTTCACCTTACCCTGCTCACTCGTTTGCATATCTTATTCTTGGCTTGCATGCTTCTTCTGAGGTTTAAAAAAATGGATATCGGAGTTAGGCGACGACGATGACGTGAGACACAACCTCCTGTCAGTCCAGTCCAGTCCGGTCAACGGCATACGTATCACTGCCATACAAAAACGAGGGCTCACAGTTGAGTTCGGAGTGGCTAGTTGCCTGTAGCGGTAAACCTTGAACGGGGTGCGTCGCCGACATGACCGCTATCATTAATTGCCCCTTTTCTCATGAATGCAATAGACAGACGGGGTTATGAATTTGTTCCGAATTACTACCGAAAATATTTCAGCCATTTTGTCATCTTCTCTACCCAAGTCCACCCCATCAGCCACCCTTCGGCACGATAATTACCATACGAGGTACGATGAGGAGTAGACCCTGACAAACAAAATGGTGACCTCCGTCCTTTATCCGCCCAACTACAAGAGTCGGAGGGAATAGAACTGTCCGTGGCCTAGACAAAGTGAGGCGCGCCAGCTCTCATAATTATACAGGGCATGCTAAATAATCTCTCGTTGCACCAGGCTGTGGAGAGATGGCAATGCCGGTCGGGAGCAGACAGCTAGCGCGGCCCAAGTGAGGCAGGTGCACACACCTTAGGTGAAGATGCCCTCCGTAAAAGAAAATATAGAAATACAGCTGATGGCTGCAGTATCCCAGAAAAGACAGGTGTGTATAATAACACCACCCCCCAAAAATCTCAACCACGAAGGGGAGAGTAAGCAGAAACTTTTTTCTTTGGATCCCTAGTTCATTCATCGTGACCCACTAAATCCCAGCGAGACCTCGGATGGCCACTCCTCTATGGTATCCTAGTCAAAGTATCCTCGACGCGTCGAGGCGGCTCATCGTCCATCATCATATTAAAAACTTGCTCGTCGGGAGGATTATGTATGCCGGGTATACCGGGATGGCCCGGCAGTTGCGGAACGGGCGGCGCGGCCGCCAGGTCATTCTCGCGCTGCTGCACACGTATGATGCGGCCTGTTTGCTGGTCAACCCACGAGGTAACCGTCCGGAACCGAGGCGGCGAGTCCTCGCTTGTTTGCGTATACACGGTTTCTCTTCCGCTCGTCGTCTGCGACATCCACGAGAAGCGGCCGGCAGCATTGGCGGTAGTAACCGCTGGCTGTGGTGGCTTGATAAGCTGCGCCCCTACAATGATGTCGCCATCGCCGAAACCCGACGAAATAGAAGATAACTGGCTCGCCCGGTTGGTCTGCCGGCGGGTCGGGTCGTACGCCTCGGAGGGCTGGCGTGCCATCTCGGATTGGTTGTAATACGCCGCCGGGCCCATTCTCGACCGCATTGTGTTTGAATCAGCCACGCTCGATATGGTCCCAAACTGTGCCGCATCAGTGGAGCTGAATGACTCTTGAGGTTGGTGTAAAGAGGTCGCGGTGTTGGTCGTATATATGCTGCTGACCGCGTCTGCCGTCTTCACATTACTACTTGTGTTATATATAGCATTTAAATCGATTAGTTGTGGGTTCAAGGTTGTCGGTGGCAGGATGGGGAGTTGAGGCGCTCCCGACATTGCTAGCCACTGTAATTGTTGTGACTGCTGTTGTGGCATCGGTGGCATTTGCATGTTTATCTTTTCTTTGCCGTAGAAGTCGTCTAGCTGCGGGGCAACTGCAACAACGCTGGCTTTCTCACGATAGCTGGGAGGCGAAGAGGGGACAGGTTTAGAGTCGTCCAACTTCTGCCATCTTCCTCTCAGGAATGGAACTTTGGCTGTCAGGCTCGCTGGAAGTACTCTTCGAAAATGCTTGGTTCTTTTGCTGCCATCTGCCTTTGACTTTCGCGTTGTCCGCCACACAATCCAGCCAAGAAAGCACACGAAAATAAAAGCCCCTGTATATATAGGTTAGTCTCATGTATGCAGGTATCGCCGTTATCTTCTTGGTATTGTATTCACCTATAGAGCCAGCCGAGACTAGGGCACGCTCGGCCATCGGATTAAGTCCTGCCGGGGGTTCCACGGTACTGGTACTGTTGCTGCCGATGGTAGTGGTATTACCGCCTCCGTTGACACTTCCGTTATCTTGATTGTCGTCGCTAATCCCAGTACTGTTGAAGGCCGCCAGAGGTGTTGGAGCTGTGTCCGACAAAGCCGTTGGGCTGGGTCCGAGAGACGACGTTGATGTGCTTGGAGAAGTATTGGCAGAACTAGCATCTGTTGCTTGCGCAGAGCCCGCAGTGGCCGACGAGTCTAAAGCGGTGCTTGAAGGGTTTGCCTAATACCAGGGTTAACAGGTGCAATTAGTGAGGGGAGATACTGGTCAATACCTCTGGTGGCGGCGGGCTTGGAGCTGCAGGCGACGCCGCTGCGACTGCGTCTGGGCTGACCGCCGTAGACTCAGCTACTGCGCCTGTAGCCGTGGTTGGTCCAGTCGAAGATGATGTGGACGGCGATGAGTCGTCGCTTGTCTTTTTGCTGCTACTGTCGCCCTTCTTCCCTCCTCCCGTTTTCTTGTCCGTGCCCGCACCGTCTCCGTTGCTGGAATTACCCGAATCGTTGGAGTTGTCAGAGTTGTCGGAGTTGTCAGACTTGTTGGACCCCCCTCTTCCATTGCCGTTCCCAAATCTTCCTCTTCCTCCTCGCCCCCTGCCATTGCCGTCACTGTTATCACCGCTATCACCGTTGTTGTCGCTATTGTCGTTGTTGTTACCGCCCTTCTTGCTGCTGCCGCTGCCACTGCCACTGCCACTGCCACTGCCACTGCCACTGCCACTGCCACTGCCACTGCCGTTGCCGTTGCTGCTGTCGTTGCTGGTGCCGCTACCGCCGCCGCCGCCGCCGCCGCCGCCGCCTCCTCCGCCTCCTCCACCTCCGCCTCCTCCTCCACCTCCGCCTCCACCTCCGCCTCCGCCTCCGGCACGGCCCTTGGCGGACTTCGGGTCATCGGCACTGGTATCGTCTTTGGCCCTATTTTTGAATGATCCAGAGTCTTTGGCATCATTACCGCCGTCTTTGGCATCGTTTTGCCGAGGTTCTAGACTGTCTAGCCGAAACGTTTGAGGCTCTACGTCCCCTATTCTTTCATGTAGTGGTGCCATTCCCTCTCCCATCAACATCCGATCCGTGTCCGGAGAGTCGCCAGAGCGTTGGCCGGCTCAAGGCATCCCGCTTGAGGATGCCTCTCGTGTTGTAGGCTTTTTTCTTCGGCAGGTTATATGGCCGAGGCAAGTATCACCAGGACAGAGTATATGACAACGTCAATATTTAGAAAAAGCGGCGCCTCTTTGTAATGGTCAAAGTGTCGAAAGTAGAAAACCAACCGGCAGCAGAAAGAATATACAGAAGAAGAATTGAAGTGATACAAAGGCCTGCCTTGAGGAAAGGAAAGAAGGTGGAAATGAACAAGCGCAAGGGCAGCTCCCTTGGGAAGGGAAGGAAGGTGGCAGAGAGGAATGTTGTAAGAGCCAGACCTGGGGCTGATCAGCTTGCCTGGTGTAGGTGCATGACGAACCGAGCCCCAAGCTGCCTCGGTGGACGCGTCAGGGATGGTGACAGCAGTAGAGAGATCGAAAGCGGATGTACCTGCACCGAGTTGGAGATCAAGAACGAGGGCATGGGGTGCCGATTCTGCCGGCGTTCCCCAGACAGAGAGTACCAAGGTCCGGAGATGCCCCAAGGGTCTCTAGTCAGGCACCCCTTGCGCGAGCCACAAGGGCAGCTCTGCCGAGCAAGGGCACGCTCCGTCGAGAGTGGGCACGAACGCAAGGCGCTCTCGGGAGCGAAGAGGCGCATTGGGACCAAGTGCGGACTAGACAGACTCTCAGACCACTGCTACCGTCGTGTAGCAGGCTGCGGTAGGCATTGTGGAGAGAAGACCATGGCGAAGACGGGGCCGCCTCATCGACGACATCACGGTCCGGGGACTTGTCCAGAATGGGGTGGTGCCATGTGTGAGATCTTCTCCCAGGGGAAGGAGAGAAGCAAGCTGTGGGATCCAGGTGCAGTGGCGCAATGTCCTTTCGTGCCTTGCCCGCCCTAGCACTTGTGGATTGACTGAGAATCGCGTTACACTAGGCTGCGGGTAATGCAGATTCCCGGAGGGCTGCATTGACTGATGGCCCATCTGAAGAAGAGACCGTCGAGTTTGCAGGGGTTCCAGCGTCTCATCTCCAGAGGGTGGTGTTTCAGCCGCGCCCAAGAGACAAGGGGGACAACGACACCCGGACTCACTGCGCACCACAACCATTGCTACCGAGTCCTGTATGTATTGGAACTCGCTTCCCCACGAAAAGACACACTAAACTACGACTGCATCGAAATTGGCAGGACAGGAGAGGTCTCGGAATCTCCGTGGTAGATGAGTCTCGAGCTGATATTTAGCCGTCTGAAGCGGAGGCAGGATCAATCTAATGTTGTTTTTAGTGGTTCTATTTTGTTGCAAGTCGTTAATAACATTGCTCAGGTATTCGTACTTTGTACTTGACGCCTAGCAATTCGACCAGCAGAGACGGCGACATCTATGAGCGTCGCGTAACCTAGACTTGGACCGACATTGACGATTGTTGCTGGCGAGATGCAGCCAAGTGCAAGTTCCCTAAGGTCCTCGCAGGCCCTTACACAGCGAGTGTCGCAAATACTTCACGTCCCCAGCTAGCGTGCTTGGGAGTCCAAAGAGCCTAGAGCCTCGAACTGCATGGCATAGGTGTATGGGCGGTTCGACAGGCAGACAGACAGACAGACAGATAAACAATGCTGCTTCGCTTGTATTGAAACTGCCCGAGGTCAGATAGGTAAGGCAGGAAGGGACGGCATAGAAGGGGAGATCAATCGCGTAGAATTATACCAACTGGCAATCCCGATTTGTTTTACGAAACCCAACAACGTGATATTTTTGGATAGGCCGCACCACCTCTCCGGTTGATTTGTTTGTTTTACGCGCGGCTCACAACTGTGCGACAATGACAGCAGCAAAGCGAAGATGGATGCCATCGAATTTCTCGAACTGTTCAAGTTGGTAACGACCTAATCTGTCAAGATTGGCGAGATGTGCGTGGCGGGATCGGTCTACTCTTTCGTCTGTCCTTGCCTTACCTGCCCTAGACTGGAACTGAAGCGCAAGGAAGGGGCGCCACATGGAAGGGGACATTGGACGACTTCGACTTCGGTCCTTCCTTTTTTTGCAGGGACTCCTCGGGTGCGGGGAGGTGCGGCCACTTCCATCTTTATTTCATGCGGAGCCACCATCTCGGGCGATCAATTATGCTCCAGACAGTCCATCCGTTTTAGAAGACCAGGCAAAAGAATAAACCTTAGCTCCTGGCCCATGCCCATGCCGGAGCCACGGCAGTCTACGGAGCACCTACGCACGTATGGTACATACGGATCGCCACAGCTGACAGGTTTTAACGTATACTACCGCGTATACTACCGGGCAATCATCTGTGCGCCCGGACCAGCAAGACCCTAATTGTACTACTGGACCAAGTAGTAGCAATGGATAGACCCGGTGCCCAGAGAGGCGTCAGGCTGGGCAGAGACCCGTGCGCTCCTTTCCAACGTCGACGCGGATACGCATAACGGGATCCCAGCAATCAAGCAAAAGAGCCGTATGCCTACCTGAGCTTCCCAGCCTTGGCGCATGCGCCCGACGGGGAAGGATGATGGACCGGAGTCGTTCACCAACACTCGGCCGGGTCGGGGTATTTGACGGCTGGGAAAACTTTCCGAATGGGTGAGCCTCACGAGCTTGCTTGCTTGTTAGTAAGTACCGGGAGGAAACATTGGTCGACGCTACCGAGCGTTCCGCACCAAACCTAACAACCTCGATCGAGTATTCCGAGCCTTGACCTTGGGATTCGGGCAGGACCCTGAACCAGGTCAAAGGCATTGTTCCCAGATCTTTGGAAGACCAGCTTGCCTAAAAACCCACACGTGTACTGAACTGGACTGGACTCACTCAGCGCCGTGCCGGGGACTTTTTAACGCTGGCGATCGTTGCGGTCTCGTGCGTAGACAGCATTGGATGTTGGCAACAAAGCAAACCCAGGAAGCTCCTCTTGGGCAGCGTCCAGCCTCTTTTTTCTGGCATTGCTGCGCGCGCATTATCCTTTGTGTTTAGCGCGCCTTCCCTCTCCACAACTGCCACCAACTACTGTACACTACAGGTGGCGTTGACAGCACAAGCTCCCGGCCGATCAACCCCGTCACCTCGCGCGCGCTGCGGCGGCACCGCTGCATGGGTCATGCGCCGAAGCTTCGGCGCCGTAGCTAAGTAAGCTAGCCCCGCACCGGGTCCGGGCCAGCGGCCGGGCTTGGCGTTTGCAGGGGGCGGGAGGGCGAGGGGGATAAAACTGCTGTGACTGCTTAGACACATGCATCTCAGCTGGCAGCTTGCTCGGCTAGCCCGTGAAGCGCGGAGTTTGCTCGCCACATCGCGAAAGCAATCTAGTCCCATGTGATAAGAAAGATGTCGAGTGCCATCACGCGCTGAGAGATTGCTGAAGACCTCGAGCCGAGATAGATAACCCCTCACCGAATGCGGTGCTGTGCAGCAACAAAAGCTTGGTGCCAGCAGGTAGGAGCTGGAAACTACGTCTCAGGCGGGCGGCGATTGCTGGTAGCGTACTGTCCATACAAAGTGCTGCCATCTAATCCCTCAAAGCCTATATCGGATACCTGAAGCCTGAGAGAGGAAAGGAAGGCTGCCGTTTCCCAGTCAATGGCGTGCGCGCTTTCCTAGAGCCGCCGATTGACGCAGTGCCATAAATGCCGCTGACGGGCGTCTCCGAGATTCGACGGCAATTTTAGCTAGGCGTGCCGTTGAGCAGTTACGGATGGATACCCGCGTTACAGTTGTTCCGAATCGTGAAAGACGTCTTTGTTTGTCGAAGGTCTAGCCTCGCAGACAGAAAACGTTAGTGATCAGTACTAATTCTCGAGTCAAACAGTTTTGAATTCAAGGAAGGTCCTAGGAAGGCTGAAGCAAAGGTGGGTACTGCCGTGGCGCATTTGAATTTCTGAATAAACCTTGGCTGCGGAGGCTGGACCGTCGACGCCTCCCGGGAAACGGATTTTTAAAGGACGAAAAAAAAAAAAAGCCGCGGCGTACCCTGCGCTAATCGGCCAGACCAGACCAAGATAACCTGAGTCACCTAATCCTAGCAGTACTTCTTATCACGGCTCGCCTCATAAACTTTTTGCAATTCTTGAACTCCAGTCTCGCTACATATCGTTATTTGCAGGTTCCTTTTGCACCATCACCTTCCCTGTAGGAGGTCTTTCAGTAGTTTTTTGGGTGCCGCGCTTGCCAATTGGGCCATGGCATCTACATCGCGAGCTCTGAGCAAGCTCTCGACGACGCCAATGTCGGGAGTCGCATCCCAGGCCGCATCCAGACTCCTCACACACGCCTCGCGCCGGACCGTCGCCCCGTCGAGACTTTCTGCTCTTGGCGCCGCCCTCGTCGCCCAGCAGTCGCGCCGTGGCTATGCCGACCTCGTCACCACCCCTCCGGCGCCCAAGAGCAAGCGCCGGTTCCGCACCTTGAGGTGGGCATGGCGTCTGTCCTTGCTCTCTGCCCTCGGCGGCGTGGGCTGGATCGGCTATGGCGTCTACCAGGACAGGCATCCCGAGCCGCAGATCGAGGCCGACCCGACCAAGAAGACGCTTGTCATTCTAGGTGAGTACTCCTCGCCCCCCCCTGCGGCCGCGACAGGCGACTGCTATTCTCGCCCATTGGCGCTTCCTCCCCTCCTCCCGACTGACAATTCGCCCCTCTCACGTCACAGGGACCGGCTGGGGCTCTGTTTCCCTCCTCAAGCGGCTCGATACGGAGAACTATAACGTTATCGTCATCTCGCCGCGCAACTACTTCCTCTTCACGCCGCTGCTCCCGTCATGCACTACGGGCACCATCGAGCACCGCTCCATCATGGAACCGATCCGCACCATCCTGCGCCACAAGCGCGCCAATGTCAAATTCTACGAGGCCGAGGCGAGCTCCATCGACCCCGACCGCAAGGTGGTGCGCGTCATCGACAATTCCGAGGTCAAGGGCGCCACGGTGGAGACGGAGGTGCCCTACGACATGCTGGTGATCGGCGTGGGCGCCGAGAACGCGACGTTTGGCATCCCCGGCGTGCGGGAGAACTCGTGCTTCCTCAAGGAGATTGCCGACGCGCAGCTGATCCGCAAGAAGATCATGGACTGCGTCGAGACGGCCGCGTTTAAGGACCAGTCGCCCGAGGAGATTGACCGGCTGCTGCACATGGTCGTGGTTGGCGGCGGACCGACGGGCGTCGAGTTTGCGGGCGAGCTGCAGGACTTCTTCGAGGAGGACATCAAGAAGCTGATCCCCGACATTAGCGACCGGTTCCGGGTGACGCTGATTGAGGCGCTTCCCAACGTGCTGCCCAGCTTCTCCAAGCAGCTTATCGAGTACACGGAGAGCACCTTCAAGGAGGAGAAGATCGACATCAAGACCAAGACCATGGTCAAGAAGGTGACGGACAAGACGGTCGAGGCTGAGATTACTGGCCCCGACGGCAAGAAGGAGAAGGTGGTGTTCCCCTACGGCCTACTGGTGTGGGCCACGGGCAACGCGGTGCGCCCCGTGGTCAAGGACCTGATGGTGCGCATCCCCGCGCAGAAGGACTCGCGCCGCGGCCTGGCCGTGAACGAGTACCTCGTGGTGCAGGGCACGCGCGACATCTGGGCGGTGGGCGACTGCGCCGTGGCCGGGTACGCGCCGACGGCGCAGGTGGCCGGGCAGGAGGGCACGTTCCTGGCGCGCCTCTTCAACAACATGGCCAAGACGGAGGCGCTCGAGGAGAACATCCGCGACCTCAGCGGGTCGCTGAACCTCAAGCCCGGCAACGCGGCTGAGGTGTCGCGCGAGATCGAGGAAAACGAGCGCCAGCTGCGCCGTATCAAGGATGTTAAGCCCTTCCACTACAGTCACCAGGGCAGCCTCGCCTACATTGGCAGCGAGAAGGCTGTCGCCGATGTCAGCTGGTTTAACGGGAACTTTGCGTCGGGCGGCAGCCTTACATATCTGTTCTGGAGGAGCGCGTACCTGTCTATGTGCTTTAGCAGTAAGTTTTTCTTTTTTTTAAGGTCTCTTTGAATTATGATATCAGGACGATGCTAATCTATGCTCGTGTCCTACAGCGCGCAATCGGCTACTTGTTATCAACGACTGGCTAAAGTCTAAACTCTTTGGGCGTGATGTCTCGCGGGAGTAAATGGAGCTTTACCTACCTTACCTAGATAGACATATTTGTTTATCGCTCTCTTGCAGCAGTCTTCTGGCATTCTTCATTCTACCCCGTTTGGGCAAAGCTGCTTGTTGTGTGCGTCGAATGGGGCAGCTTTCAGTCAGCGTGGCCTGTACATTGTCGTATGAGAAACGTGTAACCTCCTTTTTTTTCTTTTCCCCTACCTTCTCTTTCTCTTTAATTCCAAACGGGGTCTCTTCCTGGGTGTCGGGGGACGGACTTAATAGAGCGGGGATGACTTTAGACTGGGGTTTTTGGCGGGATAGATCGAAACCATTGGGATGGAGGGGGCAGCTCTTTGCGATGATGAATGGGGGCAACCTAACCTACCTACCTACATGCCTAGTCATCATCCTTTTTCATGTTCCTTTTCTGGGCTCGTCGTTGTTGTATCGGTAGGTAATGGAAGAAGCATCGAGCCGGAAACAAACCCCCTGGCCAGGCCAACATACATGCATAAGGTACCTTATATAGCTGCACAGCTACATCCAACGAGTATGTATCTACATTACCTGAAATAATACCGTCGAGTCCTGTTGAATGGGAGATGGCGGCCTTGAGGGGCATTCCATATTTGTCGTTGCTGCCTTTGAACCAGCTGTAAAAGAAAGAAAGGGTTAGGGTTGTCAGCATCAAAGTGATGGGAGATGCGCTGCTCCGCTTGAAGGCTGCGTGCCTAATAATGGCAGGTACAGGCACCTTACCTCACACGTCGAGCTCGCCATTTGAAATCAACGAAGGGCTTGCCTCTTTCCAAACGACTCCTGACTTGTTTTGCCGTTTTCTAAACTTAAAAAATAACCCGCGCTCAGCAAAAGAAGCAATAGCTAGACAGCAGCTTAGTTAAATAATGTCTGGTTGAACGTCGTTACCGTAGTATTATTTCTCGATAATACTCGATAATACGCAGGTATACACACATATACGCAGGATGCATGAGATCATCACGCTCCAGCTCGGGCAGCCGAGCAACTACCTGGCCACGCATTTCTGGAATACCCAGGCAAGCAAGCAAGCTCTCTGTGTACTAATCTTTCACCTTCATTCACGGTTGGGGCTAACCCACGACATGAATTGTAGGAATCCTACTTCACGTATGCTGAGGACCAGGAGTCGCACGTCGACCATGACATCCACTGGCGACCCGGTCTCAGCCCTGACGGCACCGAGACCTTCATGCCCCGGACCGTCATCTACGACCTGAAGGGCGGCTTTGGCTCCCTGCGCAAGATCAACGCTCTGTACGAGCAAGAAAACGAGCCGTCGTCCTTGTCATTGTGGTGAGTCTCTCTCTCAGTCTCCCATCCCAGGGGGGGGCATCACTCCAGCTCACCGTCCCCGACTTCTTCAGGAGCGGCCCTACCGTGGTCCACAGGCAGGAGCCCATCGAGCAGGGCGCGTACCAGCAGAGCCTCGACGCGGGGCTGGCGCCGCCGGCGTTGACCACCAGCACGGTGCGCTACTGGTCCGACTTCAACCGCGTCTTCTTCCACCCGCGGTCCATCGTGCAGCTCAACGAGTACGAGCTCAACTCGAGCCTGATGCCGTTCGAGAACTGGGAGAGCGGCGATGTTCTCTTCAGCTCGCTCGATAAGGAGCACGACATCATCGACCGCGACCTGCGCCCCTTTGCCGAGGAGGCCGACCAGATGCAGGCCATCCAGATCATAGCCACCCTCGACGACGCCTGGGGCGGCTTCGCCTCGCGCTACATGGAGCGCCTGCGCGACGAGTACGGCAAGACGGCCCTTTGGACCTGGGGCCTCCAGGACTCGCTTCAGGGCGTGCCGAGGGTGTGTGTCCACCCCCCATCCCCCCCCCTTTTTACCCCTCCTAGTCCCCGAGTTCCCTCGAGCTAAAACAAAAACCCCCCGCCCTTGTCTAGAACAAACGACTTCTGCGGCTAGCAAACAAGGCCAAGTCCCTCACCGAAATGTACAAGCAGGCCACCATGATCGTCCCGCTGGCTCTGCCGCAGCGCCTGCCGCGGTCCGTCGTCCTGGACCCGTCCTCACAGTGGCACACATCTGCGCTCCTGGCCTCGGCCGTCGAGAGCATCATGCTGCCGTCGCGGCTCAAGGACAGCGCCCAGAGGATCACCCTGGGCGGCCTCGCAGAACTGCTGAACCCTATGGGCAAGCAGACCGTGGCCGGCTTGCAGATGAGCTTCGCCCCGCCACCGCCGTCGCCCGAAGAAGACAGCCCTCAACAACAACAACAACAACACCACTCGGGGCCCGGGAGACCCGCCACGGGTCTCCCCGACGACATCTCGGAAGGCGCCCATCTCGACATCCACTTCACGCCCTCGGACCAGCTAGACCCCTATGCCGACCGGTGGCAGCAACAACAGAACGGACACGCTAGCGGCGCCCAGCCTCGCGTGTTCAGCCAGGTGGTAGCGCTGCGCGGCTACGGGGACGGGTCGGACGCTGACGGGGACGCCGACATGCTGGATTTTGACGAGCGGGACCACCGGCGCCGGCGGCAGCAGAGCGCCTACGAGACTGCCACACAGCTGTGAGTTTATTATTTCGTTCTATATATTCCCATCCCCATCCCTCACCAACCCCCCCTCACCACACTGTAGCAACCTACCCAATACTCACCATACCTAGCTATCACTCGCCCCTCAGCTTCCCGCTCCTCGACAGCTTCCCGCGCATCTTCCGCGACGCCGCCGCCGGCAGCACGGGCAGCGACGATGACGACGCGCTGCTGCCGTCGGGCACGCACATCAACGTGACTTCGAGCCTGAGCACGGACGCGTCCGTGTCGGCACGGCTGAAGCTGCTGCGCGCGACGGTGGTGCGGTCGATCGGCGTCGAGGACCGCGAGGCCCTGGGCAACGACCTTGCCGAGATGGCCGACGAGTACCACGAGGGCTGGTCGAGCGGGAGCGACGAGGGCGAGGACGACTGAAGAAGGGGAAAGGAAAACAAAAAATATATTCGTCTATTTCTGTGTATAATACAAGCAATACAACACAATAAGCGCAATGTAGTACCACTCGCGGAAGGATTGAATAATGCGATGCTTAGGTGGATATCCCTAGACTTGCCACCGTCTTACCGACCTGGGCCTCCAGCATCTACAAATAAACACCCTTCGCCACCATTTTCCCATGCACATACATCACACGCCACTATCGTGGCACAAGTAGTTGGGTATCTGTAAAGTGCCAATGAGTCATTGTAGACTCGTATTTTAAATTATCAAAACTTTTTCTCAAAGTTGAACACAATGTCTGTCCATGTATAGTAATCAGGTGCCAGCGCCGACACTGGTTTGCTGGTAGGCGCCTCTCGTTGTACAGACACTACGTATACACACGAGGATTCTGCGATATCGATCAGCTGTCCCTATGCGTAGAAGGGACCGAGATACGGGCCCAGTGGCCCCGAATCCTCAAACATTAGCCCGTGGCTCGCGGCGGCATCCCCAGTGTACTCAAAGAGATTATTATGGAGGCCACCACATCCAGGTAAAAACGCACACAATCCCCATCAAAGTTGCTCGTCTCCTTTGCTCCTCTAATAGAGCAGACAGCCCGTCTTCCCGACCCGCCAGCCAAATATTGCCGGTAGGCAATGACCAAATAAACAACCCCTTTTACTCCGAACCCCCCCCCCCCTCCCCCAAGTACACCCAGTTGGTTCCGAGTGTTTTCACAGCTCGAATCCATCGTCAACGGACATTAGCCCGATATATCGTTTTGTTTTCTTTGTGTATGCCCCACCGTTGTATTAAGGACCCGCAACGCCACCAATGCCGGGGAATCTCATGTTCTCATCTCTCATAAGCAATGCTGAAGCGTATGTGAGAACGCAAAAAAAAGAAAGAGCCCCAAGGGAAAAAAGGGGAGAAAAATCATATAGACAGGGAAAGGGGCCATTATGACGCTCGAATCGTGAGATTTGTAACAAAAATGCCAAATATCGACGGCTTTGCCAAGGCATTGCATTGTCATTTGACGAGAATTAAGGCGGCTGTGGGGTAAGCTGCGCCACGAGAGCGTGACAACAGCATATCCAACCACGAGAAAATCTTCAATGTAGGATTACTTCGAGGGGTGGCCTCGATTGCGATACCGGTGCTGGGAGCTGAGTGTGGCGACATCCGATGCTATCCGGGTTTGACAAAGACTAAGGAGAGAAGTGCAGGTTACGATCGTTTTCACGCATCGTGTTTTGTTGCGCCGGCGGGGTCGTCGTGCTGCCGTACCCGCCGGGAACACCATCATCGTGGGGGTAGTCGACGTCGTCTCTTAGAGTGCCTTCCGAGCCATTGACTGACGCAGTGTCCTCGTGTGATGTTACGGACATGTTGTCTCGGTCCGAAGCGTCAGACCCCTTGCTTCCAGACGACAAAGCCGTGGGGCTGTTGAGACCAGTCTGCAGAATTGCCGAGGAGGTCATGCTGTTGTAGCCATCCGACATTTCGTCCACGCCAGAAATGTTGGCCTGGCACATGAGCTTCTTGGCCTTTCGTGTCGCGTCGCGAGCCTCTTCGGCGGCGCGCTCGGCACGGCAGTGCTTCTCCCACATCGAGGCGTACCGGCCATTGAGGGCAAGGAGCTCTTGGTGAGTGCCCTTCTCTGCTACCGTGCCGGCATGAAGAACGATGATTTGGTCCGCATGCGTGATAGTGGAAAGTCGGTGGCTGAACGCAGATTAGTGTTTTGCACTCAAAAATAACAGCTGCAATTCGGAGAAAACTCACGCAATGATCAAAAGAGTTCGATCCTGGCCAAAGTTGCCACTAATCAGCTTGGACTGGATCTTTTGCTCCGTTTCGCCATCAAGAGCCGAAGTTGCCTCATCAAGCATGATGATCTTTGGCTTTTTCAGAATAGTGCGCGCAATGGCGACTCGCTGCTTCTCACCACCACTCAGCATGAGGCCACGCTCGCCAACCCTGGTAAGATATCCGTCGGGGAAGCTCAGGATGCGGTCGTGGATTGCAGCGGCACGGCACGCCTCAAACACTTCCTCGTCGGTGGCCATCGGATTCGCATATTTGAGGTTGTACATGAGCGTCTCGTTGAAGAGAATCGTATCCTGCGGCACGACACCGATGAACCGGCGCACAGAGTCGATTGTGACATCCTTAACATCACGGCCGTCGATTTCAATGCTTCCGGCATGGCAGTTGTAATAGCGGAACATGAGGCGGAATACTGTCGACTTGCCGCCCCCAGACTCTCCGACGAAAGCCGTCGTGGTGCCAGGTGCACACTCAAAGGATAGGTCGTGCAGTGCCTGCCGGCGCCTGTCGTACGCAAAGCCAACCTGGTTCCACTTGACGCGGCCATTGCACCGCATGAGCGGCTTGGCGTCAGGCTTGTCCACGACCGTCGGCTGAATCTTGAACAGCTCGAGTAGACGCTCGCCCGAAATCATGGCTTGCTGAACTGTTCGGTAAAACGTGCCGAAGAAGTTGAGCGGTCCCTGGAGCTGGCCGAGGTACGTGAGCAAAACGACAAAAGAGTCCACGCGGCGTCTGCCCTCCCTGATTTCAAACGCGCATGTCATCATGGCAACAAGGATGCCAGTCATGAAAACCAACGACTGGCACATGTTCATTTGCGTGATGCCCCACGTGACCTTGGCTTCGGCCACCTGGAAGGTCTTGACAGCATTCCGGTAGCGCGTGAACTCAAAGTTCTCGGCATTGAAATACTTGACCGTCTCGTACGACGTGATCGAGTCGTTCTTGACAGCTTCTTCTTCGCGGTCTGCGTTGACCATGTCGCGGCGCTCATCGACCCTCGTGGCCGCCATGTGAATGGTCAGGTAGAGGTAGTAAAATGTGATGACGGCGACGAAGAGCGCGTACTTGGGGCCAAATTCAATGTAGAAGAAAACAATGGCGACAAAAAGATCCACCAGCATGGGCATCACCTGGAATGTGACCTGTTCGAGAAAACTGTTTATGGCGGCACCCTTGTTGAGGGCAGAAAGCAGCTCTCCGGTCCGCTTTCCGAGGTGAAAGTCCAGCGAGAGAGAATGGACATGCTCAAAGGCTGCCGTAGTCAGGGCGAGGTAGGTATGTTGGGACACCTCGATCCATAGGATGGACCGCAGAGATCCAAGGAGGCCAGACGGCCCCTGAAGTAGCTTATACAATACCAACATTCCCAGGGGGCCCCACGGCGATTTGTTCTCGTTATCCTCGTTTGCGAGCACTTTGGTCACGATACCGGTTTGGGTGGGGACGAGAATGTTCAGAGCGCGCTGGCAAACAACAAGAATAAAACACAAGAGCACCACTCCCTGGAGCCTCAATGACTTGCTAGGCCAGAGGTACGGGAAGAAGACCGAGTATCCACGGCAGTACTCGAACCACGACTTGTGCGGGAGCTTGTCTCGCCGGTAGAAAGCGGCGTCCTCGTCGCGCTGAACATAGCCCGCTTCCGCGGTGTCGCTTGTGCTATGCGAATCGGTGCTTTCACTTGGTGCTTGCCCGTTGGCCTGGGTATGGTAGTTTACACCGTTACCGCCGAGCAAGGGACTCGCCTCGCTCATGTGAGATCGATGGGCCTCCTCGTCTAGAAGGCGACGCCCCTGCAAGTACCTCTTGGCCTTTACGACGGCATAGAGGCAAACTAGAATCGTCACGAGGAAGAGGCGCACAGCCCCAACTCCGAGGTCTAAAAGGTCCCATGGGTCGGTCGACTCGAGGTTGGCCGCTTCCACGCCACCGAGAGCCACGCCGGTGCTCCTGGGGAGTGTCAAGGCGAAGGATAGCAGAATCGTAATCTCTCCTAAAAGACCGAGACCCCAGATGATGGAGTGCACAACGTTGGGGCTATCATCCCAGGCAAAGAGCGTAATAATCACGTAGACGTAGAGAAATGCCGACCCGACGACATAGACCTGCAGCGCCTGTCAGCAAAGGCAGCCCCAACAGCCAGCAGACATGTCGGCGCATAGGACGGCCCCGTCTGAACAAACAGAACAAAACTCACGGTTCGCTCCTCGCCGCACCACCATTCCGTCGTGTTGCGGAACTGGAGTGCACGAGCACACACTGCGGCGCCATTGGCAAAGAAGGTCAAGATAAGAGCAGCCACGGCGTACTGGCACGCGCGCCTGGCGAGGCTGGGGGTGTAGACATTCTGAACCCGCGGCTCCTCGTGCTCTCGCTTCCTCTTGGTGATGGGCAGGGGTTTCCCGCCAGGACCGCGGGCGGTTGGCACGAGCAGCTCTTCCTCGGTGCGTGACGTGAGGATGCTGTGGACGCCGGCTGAGACGATGAATGCGAGCAACAGCACGACGGGGTAGCAGAGCTGGGCTCTTCGGTAGACGGTTTCGGCCGTACTCAATACCTCTGTCGTCGTGTTCTTGGGCGGCGTCGCGAGGTCGGGGGCGCCATGGTTGAGGACGTCCATGCTGGGCCTGGAGGGGGGGGGGAAGGAAGAGAGCGGATTAGACCTAGACCTGGACTGGAGGCTGCTGCGGAGGGAGGAGCGACGAATATGGAAAATGGCACCGCATGGCGGCCGGACGGAGGCCTGTGGTAGGTTTGGATTCGGACATAGGTAAGGTAGGTAGGTAGGTAGGCAGTAGGGAATATGGAATATCTAAGGTGGACATACAATCTAGACGGCGGAGGAGAGGCAATGGCGCCAGCTCATGGCCTTTTGCGGGAAGTGGTGGCAAGCAGAGGCACTGGAGATGGTCAGCGGCGAGCTAGTCCACATGTCGACGCCAATTCAATGGCTACCATGGCCCAGTGCTGACCGTGGTGGTTTAGCATGGTGGGCAATGGTGGGGCAGGCGCAGCGACAGGATGGGCAGGTGACGGGGTTGGGGAGTGGCTTTTGCCACTGGGTCTGGGTTGGCGGGGTGTTGTCCCAGTGTGCCTGAGTCGAGATGTTCCATATTCCATTGACTGACTGCCGCGACTGACTGACGCTGACTGACTGCCCGTTCTCGACGGAATTGACTGGAATTGACTGGATTAACCGGACTGACCTTGGCTAAAAAAGCACTCGAAGCTTATACTCGATCGACAACTAAAAGTCGCCTGGCGGACACGGGAACACTGGCTGGCTGGGGCGGGGCGGGTTCTGGTTGTGGCGCTCGCTGCCCGGGGCCTGAGGTGCGGTTTCTGCTACCTAAGTTAGGACGCCTCAGCGTATGACCTGCGGGCCAGGAAACAACAGACGACCTGAAGCTCAACGAGGGGATAAATGAGCGTGTGGATGCTGAGAAACTCGGGTTTGGCTTTGGGGAGGGAGGAAATCGAACATTAGACGATCCGAGAGGAGTTCTTGTGGAAGGGACATCTGAACATGTAAAGTACTCTACGTACTAGTAGTTCTAGTACCACAGCGCCCTCCACCTACTCTAAAGGGCCCCCGGGGCGGTCGTAAAAGGCGCCAGGGTTGTGGCAGGGATCTCACGCGCCTGTCATCCAATCAGAGAGCTTATGGCAGGTGCTCTCGACCACGACGGCCCAGACCCGCGGCTTCCCACACCACTATTAAATCGGAGACGGTTGGCTAGGGGTTCCACAAGACGACACTAACAGCAAAAGAGAGGTTAAGGAAGGACCTAACTAAGCTAAGGTAGCAGCAAGCAGCTGCAGCAGCAGGAGGCGGCCTGCGGGCTCCAGCCGTGTGCTTTTCCTGGAATGAATAGACGAGACGACGTGTGAGCCTAAGCAGGTACGGGGAATACGTACACGTTGGCACCAAGACACGCATTGGAGTGAGGTAGGTGGAGGTGGTATGTGCGTACGTAGTATGTGCCATGTATACACGCACATGCCGACGTTAGACGTCGACGGGTAGTCGGGTGCTCTGCCTGCTCTACGACGTGGTCGAGAGGCGCGAGCATGCCGCGCAAAGCAAATTCTATATAAGGTACCGCCATGCCTTCCCTCGGCGCCACGAGGTACCTGCTTGCCTTTGCATATAACCGGAGCTGGGTACGCGACGGCGTAACGAAGGTTGAGAGGAAATACATCGACACTCCAAAACAACACCAACACCTTGCCGAGCTTAGCTACCTACCAATCTTTCCTTACCTTGCTTGGGTACCTATCTGACCGCTCCCCTTCTCCCCAATCTTTCAGTTTCACATCCCGTGCCTGGAAGACCCAAGTATGGTGTATGTATGTATGTGTCTATGTACCCTCCTATCTCACCAACCTTCCTCACTTGGGCCACATACATGTACTGCATTTGTTGCACAATACATGTCAGTAGCTAAGGTAGGTAGGTAAAGTAGGGACGCCGCCCGGCACAACGGCTCCTGCGCTGCTTCATCTCCCGTCCGTCTCTTCCCTCCCAATCTCCGTCCGCCTCCCCCATGTTTGGTTGCTTGTCTATTTGCTTGACGGCCTGACAGTCTTCTGGACTGCCGGGAGCAACATGGTCCGAGGAGCACGCTGGGACGCTGGGACGCTGGGGCGCCGCTAGGACCGCGAGAGGGGGTTCAAGGATCACCACGACGGCCGGAATGCCTTCCAATGGCGGACCGCCGAGCAAGAGTTCGGTGCAGTACGGCATCTGGAGAGACGGGACGAGACATGGACAGGCTGGCGAGCTCGGGCAAGGTGTAGTCTTGGTCATGGCGGCCGGGGTGAGGGGTGGTCTGGCCGGTCTAAGCCCCTCGTACTAACCTTTGCCTGTGTCCCATGGTTCCGGGAGAGCGTGACGGGTGACGGGTGGGTGACGGGTGACGGCTAGGGAATTTTCCTATGGACTCGAGAACGAGTAGCAGCGAATAGCAAGTAGCAGCAGCATCGATTGGCGGTGGAAAGACTACTAAACTGGTACTCGAGCGACTCGCCCTTCTTCTCTCAGGTTGTTTGCTGGGCAATTGGATCATGGATGGACTGGCATGGCATCGACACTGTGCGGGTTTCCACTGCACTGCACTGCATCTGTCCGGCGCGCTAGGCTGTGGTTCGCTAGACGAACCGAGAGAGGACGGGCAGCCAGACCGGCATCAGCACAGCCCATACCCAGGGCAGCTGCCAGCAGCCAGACATGCCTGCTTGCTGCGTAATAAGTATAGAGACGACGGTCACGCACGGAGCGGGGAGCGCTGAGTGCTGAGGGCTTTACTGGCACCACTGGGAGCAACATGAAGCAAGCAAACGGCGACAAGCAACAACAACGACGACAAGCAACAACAACGACGACAACCAACATTACCACCACCACTTACATGACAACCACCACCCCCATCTCTCGCAGAAGGAGCGAGCAGCAGCCAAACGGCTTTGCGCCGTGAGAGCCCGGCGACTGCACACCACACGATGAGAGGCATTGAAGCGGTCACCCTTCACCGCCTTCGACCGCATGCCATTATCCCCCCTCGACTACGAGTCCAAACCTGAAGTGATTGCAGCGGCGCTGCTGGTGCAGCTGCTGGCTGCATGCATGCCACATCCCCAGGGATCCACAAAACTTACATATTCGAACGTGCCTCCGAGTGCATGCCCTTAGCAACCAGCCCGGCATCTCGAGACCTCCATCTCCAAGGGGTCGCGGGCACCATGGGTGTCGGCCACCATATAGTCGGCCACTCCGCCCCCAGCGGGCAACTGGCACCGGCCGGCGCTGATTTGCTCGTGCGGCTCCCGCGACGTGCTGCAAGTCGTATGCAGGAAGTTGGAAAGGAGGGTGTGGAGAGGAGGGGCAAGCAGGACAGGACCCGCAGGCGTGCCTAATAAGGTCACCCAAGGATTCCATGTAGCAAAATACCCAAGGTAAGGTAAGTCAGAGTCTCGACGCCTTGTACACCCGTAGCTACCTTACCTGCCCTGCCCGCCCTGCCCTCACCCCAGAGCGGACGTGCGGGCGGCATTGTCGTGCAGCCATGCGCCGCTCCTCGGCGCCACGGGCACGGGGGCAGAACATAGCACGGTACATACATGCCTTACATAACGGCACCAGAGCACAGCTCTCCTCCCAAAGCCAGAAGTGGAGATGGGAGGTGCAGGTAGAGTGGGGATACTACCCGCGATGGCAAAGGTCCGGCCGACAGACATGGTAGTTTAGAGCAGTGGAGGGGCGAGGACGGCGGTGCGAGCAAGTGAGAGCGCAGAGATGGGTCTTGAAGGAATACCCGGAAGCGCTCCGGGTCGCTGCGAGTCGATATTAGCTGCGGCCGTCGGGCGAGCTGGAAAGCTGAGATGTGACCCCTCGATTGTCGACGGATCCATTGGAGCTTGGCCTGGCCCGAGTATATTGAACTACCGCGTCGGTAAGGTAGGCATGCGCCGCTTCTGGGTGCCTGTGTCTTGGCCGGCAAGGACACGAGCGCGCGAGCCGTCGTATCCATTCACCTCCTATATTCCCAATGGCACACTCGACCAGTTCAAATCGATGGGCATCAATGGTGGTGGTGAGTGAGTTCGAGTCTTGAAGCTACCTTACGGTAAGTGTGTGTCAGGTCAGATAGAGCAAAGGCCGAGTCCAGTGACGGCCCGGTCAGTTGTATGCGTAAGGCAATGGAAGTTCGGAGTATCTTAGTACGGAGTAACCTTGGGTAAGGTAGGTACGATCCCTGAGGCATGGCATGAGCATGGGTATGGGCATGGGCAAGGCATTGGCGTGGGCGTGGGCGTGGGCGTGGGCGTGGAAGAGCGGTGGGAAGACTCCCCAGAAGCCCTACTGTTAAGGAAGGGAAGGCACGAACCTTCGAGGACGCGCGGAATCATGGATCATGGATGAATGGTGGAGGGAAGGTACAGTACAGTACCTTCTATATTCTGTGCCTTGGGTCAAGGTGTCACGGTCTCGAAGTTGCTTGAACCGCGCCTGGCATGCGCGCCTTCTGCTAGCCGCGTTCGTCCAACGGAAAATGGAAGTTACGCAAAAAAGATGCTAGGTGGACGGATGCCGGGCACTTTAGATAGCAGCCCGAAACAAATTAATAATACCGAACACCTCACGCTTCCCTTGGCTGTCCTGGGACCTCCATGGCCTGCTCACGGAAGGCATGCAAACGTAAGGATGTATGTACCATGTATGAGCCCCCAGCACACGGAGGATTCGCAACAGGCCAGAATATACCTCGAGATCGCCATGACGCCTGTCTAACCCCACGTCGGGTCTCCCGTGACCACGGCGAGACGGCGGCCACAGGGCCAGCCACGGCCCATTGGAATTGGGGGTTAAGAGGCACAAGAAGTAATCCGAGCGAGGCGGGGGGAGGGGGGAGGGGGGGTAAACCCGGGGGTAACAGGGCAAGGGTCAAACCGGAAAGGGATTTTAGCATTCTACCAGATTTCCATGCGGCCAAATTCGGCAGCCAGCAGCAAGGGCGTAGTTTTTATCCCGTCGACCCGGGCTCTGATTTGGCAAAGTCGCGCCTCATCCGTCAACGTTTCTCAACAGCCGATCTCGTTGGCGCTCTCGCCGCTCGGGGCGCTCCCTCAATCCTGACCTGCCTGGTCCGGGCTCACTCCCATCTGGTGTCTCCGCCAGTCTCTCTCTCCCAACCCACAAACACACCCCCCCAGCCCCCCCCCCAAAACAAGCCGCCTCTCGCCTGCGCCCGAGCCCGAGCCCGCACCACCCCCATCCTCCCCCATCCCATTTTTGGTTTCGACGCCGCAAAAGGAAGCGTCGCGTCATCGACACCGACCACCCGCCCGCCCGCCCGCCCGCCCATCTTCCTACCTGGGGAGGGACGGGGGACTACCCCTGGCGCTGCTGCTGCTGCTGCTGCACTGGCGATGGCCGGCCCACTAAGGCCCGCGTTGTACTTGCAACACTTGCACTTCTTACACGCACGAGAGACGAAAGCTACCCGTCCATGCGTCGGGCCATGCTCTGACAACTCACCATTCCCCAGACTCGCGGGCCCCCTCACCGACTCGACGATAACGCACGATAATGCAAGCTAAGGCGACCGGTCTGCAAGTGGACCCCCAAGTCGCCCCAAAAGAAGAGGTCCGGAAGGACTATTCGCCGATCTTGATGCGGTCCGGGCCCGGCTGTTGGGAGAAAGACGGGCGAGGGCCAGGAGTCGATAGCGGCAAAGGTGGTGATGGCTCTTTGGGCTGCTTGCTTTTCTGTGGTAGTACAACGCTCCTTGCGTGCATATTCCGCCATAATGTTTTTTTTCTCCTTTCTTCTCTTTTTCTTTTTATTTCTTGTCAAGCGAACCAAACGTGTCATGCCGCCCGCAGGCGCCTTGCAGGCTGACTGACATGTTCCAAGCAACGTCGCAGAGGGCTTGAATCCTATCCCGTGTCGTCTGCTCTCCCCCATTCGACAACCATGCCCGAGATTTGGGTAGAGATGCGTCTCAGCCTTCTCACCGGTGCCCATATCAGGCTTGTCCCGGAAGCAAGTATCGCCCGTTGGCTTCGGCATATCTTTTTCAGAGTGAGTTGGGGACCACCGCCCGAGCGCGCGCGCATGCTGCGCTGCGCTGGCCCAGTGGCCGCAGCCCAGCCTGATTCCGAGCCCGACCGTCGTCCGCTTCCTTTCCTCTCTCTCTCTTCCTCTCTCTTTCACTCTCTCTTTCTTGTCATGTTTTGACCGCTTTGCTTCCCTCGTATTCGCTTTTACTCATATAAGATTGGCAAAAAAGGGGTAACAAAGAGGCAAAACAAAAGGGGCACGGGTGGGGCGGGGTGTGTCACTCGGGAAACCCACATTTTCTGTAAACCACATCATGTCACCCACGGCGGCCACAGGGCTGAGGCATGGGGCGCTGTACATATACTGTACGAGCATAACATATGCCGCTGCAAAAATCCTTTATTTGGTCGATCTGGGGAACCTGGGGGGGTTGGGTTGGGCCATTCCCCGCATTCAAAGAAAGCTTGCTCCGTTTCCATGTGGGCGTCGAACAAGGCGAGGCCCAAAAGAAGACCAAGTAAAGAACAAAAAGCCCAAATGTCAAGGGTCGCTTCATTACACGTCAGGCAAGCGTTCAGTATCCTCCCAGTAATAGACGACTTAGCCCAATTCCGTCACCTGTCCGTCCCCGATTTCCTCCACTCCTTCGCTAGCATTTTCTGCGTGCCAAGGTGGCACCTATTCGATTCCCGAGACCAGCATAGCATTGCCCGCTGTTCTGTGTGGGGGAACAAATGAAAAAGGGGGAAAGAAGTGCACGAAGGCCATTGGGCAATGGCCCTATTTAGCCGAACATAGGGCGCGGGGCTTGTGTGACATCACCTCTCTTGTCGTCCATCAAGAGGTCCATCCTCTCTCTCGCTTTCTCTCGCCCCCACGCAAAGAACGGGTCTAACTTAGGTCGGCTTTCGTGGCGAGGCCATCTTGAAGGTTTGGTTGATCTTGTAAAACTCGGCTGCGATGTCGTCCTGCGCCAAATATTTGGTCAGCGAGCTCGCTACACATGAAAAGGAGAGGACAATGGCCCTTTTCTTACCGCCGTCCCCCCATATGACTGGATGTTATCCTCCTCGCGCTGTTTTGGCGTCTTCTTTGGAGTTTCTAGAGATGCGAGTGAGCTGCCATCCGAAGCAGGGCTGGCAGCAATTGGAGATGCCGGGGGAGCGGTAGCTCGCGTCGACGCGCGATGGTGCGACAGACCACCCGATGATATCGCACGTGGTCGGCTTCTCGCTACAACGAGGTGATGATTGTCAGTTACGTTCTGGCCAGACACTGGTAATCGAAAACGCCGAAAGAATAAAAGGGGACGGCGATTAGGGTTTCCACTCACGCACGCCGGCGGGCGAATAAAAGACATCACCAGCAATCGGAGCAGGAAAGCCCACGGCGTCCGAAACGACGCGCCGCCGCGTCCGCAGCGCTGGGCTCTGTCGTGCTAAGCCTTGGGCCAAGAGTCGTGACGCCGGGCTCATGGCCAGAATTTCCATCATCCCCGTACCCGGGCTGTGGGCCAGCGGTGGCCAGTCCTTGCCTTCGCCGTCGGACCCTTCCTCCTCTCTGCGCCGCCCCCCCGACGGTATGTCGATGGGCCGCGTCCTATGCCGGTTCGCCACGAAATACTCGCTCAGCTGCTCGTCGTTATCCGCGTCTGCAAAGTCGGCGCGTCTCGCGGGCTCCCGCGGCCGCCGTGGCGGGTTGAAGACCGGAATACCGCCCGTATACGGCGCTCGGGGCGGCGGCGTGAAAGGGAGGTTGATGGGCCGCGAGCGCTTGGGCGAAGTCTCCCGCTCTCCCTCGTCATCTCGGGCTGGCGGCAGCTTCTTTTTACAGTTCTTGTCGGCGTTGTCGCGGTCGGAGCCCCCGCCGCCGCCGGCTCGGCCGGGCAGCGATGCCATGTTTGCTCTGTTGTCTGCTGGAGGAATGAAAGGTAAGGTATCAATGCTGATGAATAAGAAATGGAGAGAAAAAAGTTTAGAAAGAAGTTACGGATGCTTGAATCGATGCGTCGGTATTGGTGTTCTATTTGTTCTTCTCCGCTACCTTTGGTCAGGATACCGTCAAAGGGATGCTTCGCGGTGCACTGTTGCGGTGACGTGATATGAGCCTGTGATTTCGGACAGATTGGGCAAATATCCTGAGACATCTTGTCACCGGGGGAAGGCGCGATGCTGGAGCGCCTTCTCCCGCTGTCTGACTTTTTTCCCTTTTTTTTTTTTGGCAGGAGAGAGGAATGAAAAAGAGTGGGCGACTGACTTGGGAAGGTAACTCCAAGGAAGTTCATGCAGTTTCCAGTTCTTTCCCCGCGAGGATAAGTCGTGTAGGCAGGCACTGCCAGTGCGCTTCTGTTGCGTGTTGCTATCTTGTTTGTTTTCTGGCCGTAGGTTAGCGATACGGGAAAAAACGCGACACGCTGGATAACCGTGGAGAGATTGTAGGGCTGGTCGCGTCAGAGTACAGAAAAAATAGCATAAGCTCCCCCAGCGGGGGTAGCCAGTGAATCAGGTGGGAGGCTCCGAGATTCCCCGGTATCTGGGGCCATAGTGCGGACGATGCCATGATTTTCGTCTCAACGTTGGAGGCCCAGCAGGCGAGAGCGAGGTGAGGTGAAGCGAGGTGAGGTGGTGGTTCTGTACGACCATGTACGGCTATGGGTAGCAGCAAAGTGAGAGCCCATGTCTGGCGGCTCACAGCTTCGATCTCCATTGAGCCTACAGCTGGTCGTCTCATCATGAGATGAGACGAAGGTTGTGTCCACATCGGCTCAGTATCTTTGGCCCTTGATGTAGCCCGTGCCCGTCTCGATCAGCCTCAGCCCAATTTGGCTCGATGGCCGTTGGGGAACAAGTACCCTGCAGCATCTATTTCCCACGACAGCTGGTCACACCCCTACTCGCAGACCTTTCTCCCCGTGCAGTCGTCTTGCGCCGACAACATGATGGCAGCTAATGCCATAATTACGTGACATGCCCAGATGCCAAGTTCAAGGCCGCTGCTTCGGCTCGAGTTTCCAATGGCCACGATTAAGTGTGGGAGACGACGCTGCGCTTCATGTGTGAAAGTCGTCTGTCCACATTTGGGCCCTCGACTTCCGAATCGAGCGCTCTGCAGGATGCAAGCCCAGCGTTCGAACGCCGGCCCCCGTCTTTCCTTCCCCCATCGCCCCTCCCCCCTCCCCCCTCCCCTCCTCGACGCCCTCGTTTGGCCAACGGGGTGGCCTCGCCGACAAACGGCCCTAGCCTGTGTCCCAACCTAGAAGGTACTGTACATACATGTATGTGCCTAGCCGCCCGTGCAGGCAGTAGCCGGTTTCCGGCTCGCTCCTACCCTTCTCCCCACTGTCGCTACTACTACTAGTACTGGCAAGACCCTTCCTGTTGCGTCTCCACCGGCCCTACCTTAACGATTCTCGATCCCGCCAACCTGGTTGCTCTCGGCTATCTTGCTGGCCGACCCACACAGATCGTCTTCATCCGTCAGCACCTGCATTTGCAGAAACTGAACTAGTCGAGGGAGGAGGGGTGTGTGTTAGACGGGCTTCCCAGTTGGGAATGGAAACTGCCTAGGCAGAAAATGTCTGTACTTCTTGTCTCTGGCCCAGGATATTCCCAGGCCGCCAACCTGCGGGCAGAGGGTGCACTTGGCGGAGTAGGGTTTGCAGACAAATGACTGCGGAAGATTGAAAGGGAATGGAGGGAAAATAATGGGGAGGTGAGTTTTCATATGGTGGCTTGGGAGGCGGCGCTGATTCATTTGAAGTACCTTACGTACTGTACATACGGTGCCCAAGGCATCCGTTGACCTCAGTTGCGTGATCTTGCGTTCCATTCTTTGGCGACACACAATCACATAACACCCCAACAATCGTGTTTTACTTGGCCATGTCAGACACAATGACTTCATTCCAGGCTGCCTGTGCTGAAAGTAATGAAAGGCATTATTCGTCAGAGTTGAATGTCTCTGAGGAATACATGTGATAGTAATCATGTAATTACGCTGTTTCTCTCACCTTACCCACCACCTCTGAGGTGGAATGTTTTCTTTCGTCCACTCGAGGAGCGACCTCAACAGTTAGACTTGTCTGCAAAGTGAAATGGCTTATACATTTGCCACGGTTCAGCAAAAAGTCAAAGAATTACCGGTAAACTGCACCGGCAGAGCCATACCGACAGACCCACGAACCCCTGACGTGGAAAAGGTGAGTGTTTGAAAAACGAACGTGGTTACACCAAGTAAACAAACTTGGTAGATTGCACAACCGAAAACGATGCACTCTGATTCGAGTAGGATGTGAATTGCTACGCAATCTACATATTGCTGGCTGCCTTGGTAGCTGATTACATAGTAGTTTGGCACCTTACTTTATATGGGCCGTGAGAATGTCAGTATTAACCACATTGCGTTTAGTAGGTAGCCTTGACAACGTTCATGCATGCATGCATATATAGACAAAAAAACACTCGTTAAAAAGGGGCGAATTTTGTGGAGACTGGCACACAGGGGAGCAACCACTTAGCTCGGATCAACTCTGGCCTGCAGACACAACATTTGGACAATTGAACTAGGTAACATGAGCATCAAAACGAAGGGCACCGATTCTCCTGCCGACATGTGCACCTCTCCTTTTCTATCCTTTTCTAGAACAAGCGGAAGGACGAGTGTCGCGGTTGACATGGCAACCCAACCCTCTTCTCCCCTCCCTGTCTCGTTTCTGGACTGTCTTATGTAACGATACTTTCTTTTTTTATCTTCCTCACATGTCCGTGTCTGTGTCCCATGTCGACGTCCGTGTCCGGAAGCAACGCGAAACGGACTTTTCCGGGTTATTAATCCCCTTTCCCCTCTCCTTCCCATTCGTCCGTTCGTCCACTGGGGACCTGCGAAGGAGTTGACGTGTTCGGTGTCCCAAAGCGTGTGGTACCGCGCATAAGCACCAAGCAACAGCCACCGAGCAGCCGATTGGACCGGGGCGGGCCATGGAACTCGGAGCCCCCCAGACGGTATCTTTCACAATTGATGCAGAAGCCGTATCTCATCACGGGCATTCACTCACTCGCCCCCGCGTGCGTGGATGTCTGGTAGGCAATGGCACGTTGAGGGATTAACGCCCAAGGAAGCATGCATGACTTCGGGGACAGGGTCAAGCAGGGACTGCTGGGCGGAGGGGAGGCCGTGTGATAACAGAAACCCCTCATACTGTCTCTCAGCAGAACCCTTCTTTCCTTTTTCTGCGGGATCGGCCAGCAAAAAGTAGTCAGAGCCAACTAAAGGGACATGAGAGAACCAGAGCCAAGGAACCTTTACCCCGAACAAACCACCCGCAGCCAAGCGGCTGCGTAACCGGCATGTTCGGGATTGCACTGCACTGCACAAGAAACATGTCTGCTCGGACGTGGACAAATACCTGTTCATTGCCAGCCGCCGACTTGCCCACGGTTGGCGCGTCAATGTCGGCAACGGCAGCAAACCGGAAACAAGTCACATCCCTCGCCCCTGATTTGCGGAACACTCGAGGTACGCCACCCCAGATACTGCCTGCCGGTTTCACCTGAAAGGATGTCTAGACAAAGCATTGCAGGCAGGCAGAGCTGCAATCTTCGCGATTGTGGTTGATAATGATTACAGGAAATGTTACTTAAATAAACAACACCGCAACCAGGACGGAGCAATATACAATGTGTCTGTTTTGCATATTAGGTGTAGCCAGTTGCCAAAAATGAGTAACAGAGTTAATGAAACCAGAGTAAAGAAACAGGAATGGATCAAAAGCAGGAGAATGGAAAACTTCGAAAAAAAAGCAAAAACATTCCATAGCCAACCAGCCATGAAGCAGCCCCCCTCAGCCTCTTCTCAACCTCACCACCCTCTACCTTCTCCTGCCGCCACCATGTCCACACCCATTCATTACCATTACATACAATTGATACGTCAAAGTGACAGACTGACACATTAAACAGCAAACATCTCATACCCTACCACCTCCCATCTGTCTAGAACTCAAGTCTCTCCCCCAAACCCCACGAACCTTACAGGTCTCACACCTCACCACACGCCACAAAAGCCCTTGAGCTACCTACCTACCTACATACCTAGTTCGCTAGCTAGCTAGCTACCTACCTAGCTACTCCAGGCCAAAAGCTCTACCAATGACACACAGGCTCCATGGACCAAACTTATGGCTGACACTTTCGTCACCTTTGCTGGCTGCACCAGGGAGGCAAAAAGAAGAAGATGAAAAACAACTGAGGCAGGTACCTACATTACGTGGCATGCATTTGCTAATTACTCGTAGGTACATACATACAGTACAATATTGCATGCGTCCGTCGGCCACCTAGCTTTCGGATATGACAGATGAGATAAGAGAGAAAGACCTATCTGTCTGTTCCATCTAACCCATGCCCGCTGTTCTATCGATCTATCTATCTACCTTACTTGCATAGGTAAGTATCCAAGCTAGGTAGGTAGGCAGTCAAGCGCTGATTTGAGCAAGAGGCAAGTACAAAGCAGAGCAAAAACGCAAACAAAACGCACATACATGGGTACGTTATGTACAGCAAGCACAGTACGTACTAGACAGACAGAACGGGCTGCCAGGTGGTGGGTATCGTAGTCGAATTATACTGTCCGTAGTACCTGAGGTAATTAGAATCGCAACCGCGTCTTGATGCCTCGACCTCGCCAGCCAGACCTTACCAGCCATCCAGCCAGCTCATCCATGTTATTATACAAACGGCATCTCTCCCCCTCCCTCTATCCTCGTCTTCATCTATAGGTAGGTAAGGTAGGTAGGTATCCAACCAGGAGCTGCACTCTCCATCCGTGCTAAACCAAGCCAAGCCAAGCCAAATCATATATATATATATATAATACGTATACATATTATTATTATTGGAAACGGCGGTTTCCAAGTAATTTCCAGCTTCCAGTTTCCAGTTTCGAGGTTCAATCCCATAGCCAACCAAAATCACATAACCAACGATGTGCGGCCCGTCAGCAGCGCGCGCTGGTCGGCCTCGCAGCTGCCGCAGTAGTCGTCGTGCCACCTGCGCAGGCCCTCGCGGCGCTTGACGGCCTTGCCGTCGTCGGCCTTGCCACTGCCCGGGATCGCCGTCCTCTGGCCGTCTTGCTCTTCCGCCAACACGCGCTGCTGTTGCTGCTCGCCTCCATCCCCTGGCTTACTGCCGCCGTCGTTGGCGGCATTGCGCAGGAGCATCTGGCGGACCTGCTCGCAGCGCAAGTTCTCGTCGGCGAGCCAGTTCTCCCACTCAGACTGGAGCATCTCGACCTCGATGCCGTTGATGATGCGCATGGCGACGAGCAGGTCGTGGCGGTAGCCGCCGAGGCGCTGGCGCGTGCGCTGCAGCCGGCGCGCGGCGGCCTTGCTGCTGGCCGACGAGAAGGCCGTGCCGGCGTCGTGGTACGGCCCGTCAAGGTCCGTCATGTTAGCGATGGCCTGGAAGTTGTCGTAGCTGTTACTTGTCATTAGCGGCTTGTCTAGACCTAAAGCTTGCTCAGAGGCTGATAATTACCATTGGCTGTTGGAGGGCGTCGACAGCGAGACCGAGGCCCCGCGCGCCGCCTCTTCCAGGTCGACCAGGCGGATGGCCTTGCTCATCATTAGGTTCGGCCTGACGCCGATGCGGTCCATGTAGTTGGCGGCGCGGCGCTCGGCCCACCAGGTCGAGCTCGCCCTCGACACGACGACGACGTTGTAGGCGGCGCTCAGGGCCAGCAGCAGCAGGATGACGCGGTGGGCGGTGAAGACGGTGAAGATGCGCTTGAGCCCGGCAAAGGCCCACATCATGACGGACGTGATGGCGCTCTCCATGAGCGAGCGGCCCGTCTCGAGCAGCATGTCGGTCAGGGTGCGCGGGCGGACCATGGCCTTCTTGCCGGCCTCGGCCGCCGTGTCGGGGGTGAAGATGACGGCCTGCGTCTGGTGGCCAATGTTGCCGTAGACCTGGATGGCGCGCTTGGTCCGGCTGTTGGGGCCAAGCTTGCGCACCTGGTCCGTCGCCACCTCGGCCAGCTCCTCGGCGTCGTTGGTCGCGTCGCCGAGCGCCTGCCGCTGCACCATGCTCTTGGCGAAGGCCGGCGCCTTGGACCAGTCGACCTTGGTGAAGATGGCCAGCTTGCACTTTGACTTTGCCACGTGCGTAATCACCACCTTGGCCACGAGCTTGAAGGCGTGCGACTGCGGGAGGTGCCACGGCGTCTTGATGTGCGTCACCACGTACGTAATGTGGTCGTTGAAGATGTCGATCGACTGCGAGTCGGTTACGTCGCCGGGCTTGGGCCGCCCCAGCATGTCGACGTAGTCGACCTTGAACCGGAACTGCCGCTTCATGCGGCCGTGGTCCTGGAGCTCCCAGGGCCCCTGCGAGATCTGCTTGGCCTGCCGCTCAAAGTAGAGCTTGGGGAAGATGAAGCTCTTGTCGCCAAACAAGACGTGGAAGCACGCCTTGGCGCTAACCTCGAAATGCCTCTCGGCCACGCACTTGCCCATGCCCTCGGGCTCGTACGAGACGGGGTGGGCCGGCAGCTGCAGTTTGGGGACCGGCTTACCGTGCCCTCCCCTAGACAGGCGGTATTTCAGATCCTCGACTCGTCTCATGACGGGCCGCCCCGACGGAGTGCCGTCGTCGATGGGCGTGTTGGCCGACACCTCCTCCCAGCTTTCCACGCTGGGGCTCCTCCTCTCGTACTGCGGCTTGTCCAGGTTGACCAAGGCCTCGACGATGCCCGACAGATCCATCGGCTCCTCCGCCTGCAGGTCGTCGACGAGCAGGTTGAGGCGCGCGTAGAGGAGGTTGAAGTCCTCCAAGAAGACCTTGACCGTGACGCGCGAGAGGCCGCTCTCGCTCATGTCCTGGATCAGGTGGAGGTAGATGAAATCACAGTCCTTGCCCGGCGCCGCCGTGACCTCGGTTATGGCCTCGAGGTTGATGCTGTAGGAGATAACGAGGCCCATTTGATGCCCGTAGAAGTACATGTTGTCAGGCGTGACAAAGATGCGGCCATTGCCGGCCATGCTCTCGTTCTGGCCCTGCCGCGAGTCCCCAGACGAGCTTAGCCAGGCGGCGTTGAAGATTAGCACCGGCTTCTCGTCGGGCGGCACCGACGGGAAAATCAGCCGGAACTGGGGATACTGCGCTTTGAGTGCGGCCGGATAGTTGGGAGGAAACACATCGGCCATGACCTTTTCCAGCGACTTGGCATCCATAATCTTGGCGTCTACGCTCGCTGTCTTCCTGTGCAAACCAACAAGGGTAGTCGCGGTTGCTGCCGTGGATGTGGTTCGCGGTTGAGAGGTGGCTAGGAACGGAGCGTCGCCCGAGGAAAAGTTCCGGGATTGCGCTGGCCCGGTACTGAACATGGACACCCAGGGGCTGCTGCCCCAGTAGTTGGCCAGAACCGCGCTGGGCAGGCTGCGGCCGGCGCCTGTGCCGGCGCTCACTAGGACGGCTGCCTTGCTAAGATTTGTAGAGACTGGCGGCCTAGCTAGCGTTACTGGAGCCAGGCTCCCCTGGTGGTTGTCCATGGCCTGAGCGGCTAGGGGGTTCGGCAGGCGGAGGGGAGGGGCTTGCCCGGAAACAGGAGAGGGGCTGACGGCGTAGCCAGGGAGTAGGTTGGCACTGGCCGTAATCAGGTTAGCAATACCACCGCCGGGCGAGATGGCCTCGGACGAGCTGGCAAAGGCCGACTTGCGGTGTAGGTCGAGCTTCTGCATGATGCGGGCAGCGTGGTCTCGGCCGCTCTCGCCCTCCTCGCGTCCGAGAGTGGACAGGGGACGTCGAGCCACAGCCGCAGAGGAGCCAACGTCGAAGCTGGACCGTGATACCACGGTCCCGTCGGGCCCGGGAACGGGCAGGGTGCCTGCTCTCTCGAGCGCGCTGCCCGCCTCTTCCAGGCCCTCCAGCGACATGGCCGAGAACTCGGGGATGGAGGGGTGCGTGATGGTGAATGCGGGATCGAGGCCGGCTACGGTGGCGATCTGGTCTCGGGCTATGCTCGTTTCGAAGGCCTTCTTCTTGGCGAACTCAAAGACCTCGAGCCACTCGATCAGCTGGGCCTGTGTCTCGGCCTGCAGGAGGATGGTCTGGGTCTTGGTCTTGACCTCGAAGCAGAAGCGGCGCTCCTCCTGGACGGCGGGCTTGGCGCTGCACAGTAGCACTCCAATCTCGTCGCCCTGCAGGACGCCCTGGGGGCCCTGGACGAGCCAGCCAAAGATACCGTCGCGGCAGTAGTACCAGCGGCGGACCCAGGTGGTCCTGACGGGCTTCCCTGACAGGACGCGCAGGAACAGCCAGCCCTGCTTCTCCGAGATGACGGCCACCTGGTCCTTGGCCTGGACGCTCACGGGGCCCCTCGAGCCTAGGTAGGGCACGGTGGATATGCTGTAGTCCTCGAGCTCGCGCGAGGGCTTCCAGACGGCCAGCGTGCTCTCGCCAATGTCGCGGCGGGCGGCCTGCAGCTCGCGGCGGAAGACGGGCTCGGACGCCTCCATCTCCTTAGACCAGCCACGGATGCGCTCGAGCTCCTCGCCGCGGGTGGTGCCGGCCGTGTCGCGCGACCGCCTCGTGATATCGCGGTGCAGGTCGGCGCAGACGCGCACCAGGAGCTTGTCGAGGGAGAGGCGCAGCTGGGGAGCCATGTGGCAAAAGTCGAGGCTGGCCTTGAGGTAGGCCTTGCGAGTCTCGAAGACGGCGAAGGCGTCTTCGCGCAGGGAGCTGGGCTCCTTGGTCTTGCTCTGGCCGACGTAGCGGGCGAGGGTGGTGTCGAAAGTCTTCTGGGTGGCGTCGAGGGCGCGGCGCGTGTCCTTGAAGGCGCGCAGCTCGCCGTTGACGAAAAGGCGGATGGGCTCGACGCCGACGGGCTCGAGGCGGCGGGCAGCAGCCAGGAAGGCGCCCCACCACTCGCGGGCGCCGTCGCTGGAGCGGCGCAGGGCCAGCATGGTGTAGTCGGCATCGAGGAGGGCGTCGGCGAGGGTGGCGGCGTTGGCGGGCGGGAGAGTCAGCTTGCCCAGGTATGTGTTGATGGTGTCCTCGAGGGCCAGCACGTCGTGGGCCAGCTTGGAAGAGCTGCGCATGTAGGCGTCGAGCCAGCGCTCCATGGCGTCGAGCTGGTCGGCGAAGTGCACGGCCGACGCGCGGAAGGTGGGCGTGTCGAGAGCGGCCTCGCCGAGAGCGACGGGCATGGCGGGGCCGGCGACAGGAGGCTGCGCCGGTGCCGACGAGGACGGTGGGGGCGGGGGATGAGGGTTGGCGGCTCCTGGGCCGGATGCTCCGGGCGCTGTCGCTGTCGTTGCCGCAGCCGCCGCCGCCGTTGCTACTGTCGCGGTGGTCGCTGCCGGCGTCAGTGGGGCGGCGGCTGTGGCTGTCGCTGTCGCTGTCGCTGCCGCCGTCGACGAGGTTGGTTTCCCATGGGCGACGACGGCCGGCGGGGGCGGCGCTGGCTCGGCCATGTTGAGGATTATCAGATGTTGTCGGCAGAAGAGCAGGTATGCTTCTTGCAGGTGGTGGGTATCAGTTGGTGTCGGCTCGATGTCGGTTCGATGTCGAAGTGCGTGCGGCGTACGGAGGACGGAAGACGGCGCACAGCCGCGACAGCCGACCGGGTGCAGGTCGATTGCCCAGTACGGATTGAGTATATGACTACCCTTGCCTTACTCGGGCCCATTCATGGTTGGCGAGCGCGGCAGTTGGAGCGTCCTTCGGTTGGTCTTGTTGCAATTGCTCGTTTGTTCATTCGTTTGTTCGTTCGTTCGTTCGATTGTTCGGTTCTGTCGCGTCGCAATCGTAGCCCGGGTCGACGGGGAAGACGGGGACGGGATGTGGGGATGCAGTCGAGATTGCCGCAGGCAGTTGAAGATGCCTTATGAAAGGATTCGGAGTGTGGCTTCTAGCATTGAGCCATGACGTTGGTTTCAAGCTGGGCTGAAGCCGCGACCCAAGCAACGGGCTACGCTAGGCTGTCTCGTTCGAGTTAAGCCCACCCCATCATTGCGCTGCCGCTGACGTTACATGCCGTGGTTTACTAGTACCGTATCTCGTATTGTACTGGGCATACTTACACACTTTGACACGTTCACACTTCATTCGCCCTGCGATACGGATAGCTTGATAATTGCACACTTTCAATATTGAGTCTTGAAAACCAGTCACCGACTATACGTACTTTAATGGAAACCTAGTTGTCTTCTCGCGCTTATCCTGTAGTTACAATGGTTCGCGTAAGAGGTAGGTAGTGACTCACGCCGAAGCAAAGGCTAAGGTGCCTGCCCGTAACGGTCGGTAACGAATGCATAAAGGCAAACCGGAAACTGCCCAGCCCACCTCAGTTCAGCATGAGAGGCCTGAAGCGGTTTCGATTGTAAGACGACGTCCTCACTCCCCGAGCACTTGACATTCCTTCTTGTGTATCGACAAACCAACTGCCCGCACTTTATTTCGGTATATGCATGCCTAAACGCCTGTTTGGCAAGATTGCTCGCAGTGCAACAGTTGGACGCAATATTCCCCAGTTCTGGTAGCCGACAAAGACAGCGCCGCTGCCACCGTTTCGAAGCACCCACCGCCAGCCCATTGCGCCGGCCACCACTCTCACCACCAAACACAAATCCAGTAGCACTACCCGATTGCACTCAAAGACTAACAGAGGCATGGACCAAGACGCGACCGAACGGCTCGAGGACATAGCCCTGTCCCGCGGAGGCAGGGCCTCCAGGACAGGTCGTAGAGGCAGAGGCAGGGGGCAAGGCGGCGGCAGCGGAAAGTCTCGCGAAGTCGCCCTCTCTCACGCCCTCTCAAAGCTTCTCCGCCATCAGGCCGCAAGCGCGGGAATCCAACTCGACAGCGAGGGCTTTGCGCCGTTAACTAAAGTGGTGAGTTCATTTTTCTGTCCCAAGCAAATGTAAAATCCAGGGTGAAGTCATGGGTGAGGGGCAGACAGGTGGAAACATTGACCTTGAAAATGAAATGAATCCGACATTGGCTGCCCGCTCTCCTTTGTTATTTTTCATTTCTCTTCTTTGCTTGAAGACATTCACACACATACCTCTCAACCTCTGCTCAAAACCCCAACACTAACTAACCCCCCACCGTGCGCGCAGCTCAAATGGGGCCCCGTCGGCTCGCTTAAGCCCACCTTCGCCGAGATCGCCGCGGCCGTGCGTGACAGTGACAAGCAGCGGTTCGCGCTCAAGCCGGACCCGGTGACGAACCCGGCCCTGGACGAGGCCACCACGGACCCGGCGCACTGGCTGATCCGCGCCAACCAGGGCCACAGCATCAAGCTCGACAGCGAGAAGCTGCTGCGGCCCATTGCCCTGCCTGTAACCCCGAGTCCTGACGCGGCAGCACCCCCCTCAGCTAACGAGGCATCACCAGAGACAGAACTGCCGCCTGGTAGCGTGCCGGTGCCCGAGACGGTCGTGCACGGCACGTACTTCGCCTTCTGGCCGGCCATCGTGGCGAGTGGCGGGCTGCGGCCGATGGGGCGCAACCACGTGCACTGCAGCACGGGGCTGCCGCCCGAGGACGAGTCCGAGGGGCCCGCGGTGGTGAGCGGGATGCGGCGCGACGCCGAGGTGCTCGTGTACGTCGACGTGGCGGCCAGCATGCGCGAGGCCGGCATCAAGTGGTGGATGAGCGACAACGGCGTCGTGCTGACCGAGGGCGACGCCGACGGGCTCGTGCCCGCGCGCTTCTTCCGCGAGGTGCGCGGACGCGCGCAGGGCGTCGGCCTGCTGTGGAAGGACGGCCAGCACGTCGTCGACCTGCCCGACTGGGTCAAGGCGCAGCCGCCAAGGGGCAAGGGTAAGGCTGGCGGCGCCGGCGGGAGAGGTGGTGGGGGGAGAGGCGGCAGGCTCGGCAAGAAGGCTGGTGGTGGTGGTGGTGCCGCGGCGTGATTATGTCCTGTCCCGTCCCTGTGCTTCTCAGACTTGTAGTGAGTTTAGCGAGGCGCATGAGGAAACTACAATAACATAGTGGTGTTCCTTTGGGAACGCAATCACTAGCCCAGCACATATAGTCCGTTTACAGTTCACATGGCTACATACACCGTGTATACGACATGACCATCGATTTGCCAGACATTTGTTTGCTTGAACTGTCTGATCTAACCCAGTATCAAATGGTTCCCCCTCCACCACCCACCAAAAATAACAAAACAACAAAACACCCCCCTCATGCACTCACACACTCACTCAATTAACACCCACAGCCGCTCTCAACTCAGCAATCAGCGCCTCGGCCTCAGCAACACGCTCGCGCTCGACGCGCAGGAGGTAAGCGAGCACGTCCGCCGCCGCCGCCTCTCTGGCCGCGCGGCGCGAGTAGATATTGCGCACGACCCCGAGGCCGTCGGGCAGCACGACGGCGTCGGCGGCGCCAAAGTTGGGCCGTGCCGAAAAAAAGGTCGCGTTCTCTTCTGCCTGTGCCACCACGTACCGCGGCACCGCCATGCCGAGACGCCGGCACATCTCTACTACGCGCGCTTCGGTCGGCACGGAGGGGTCGTGAACGTCGATGGTTGTAGGTGCGGTGCTTCTGGCGGTGTTGGTGGGGGCTGGCTTCTTGGGCGGCTGTCCGGGCGTTGGCGATAGCGGCGCAGCGATGGTGTCGTTGGTGTTGTCGTCGTCCAGGCTGGCAAGGGGCGGCGGCGGCGGCGACGGGCTGTCTGGCATGAGTGCGTTGCTGCCGTTATTCCCCGCCACGGCGGCAGGGGAAGCGGCAGACTTGTTCTTCTGTTTCTTCGTTGCTGTTGTTATCGCTGCCGGCGCCCAGATAGCGTCGCCGTCTTTGGTCACCAACGCTCCTCCCTCAGAGACGGGGTCCGGCGGATGGGGCGGCGGCGGCGGCGGCAGAGAAGAAACAGCCGCGGTCTTCGTCTTGGGAAACACGACACTCAAACCATCAGACGGCATGCGGTTCTCGGCCATTAGCCACTCGACGCAGGACTTGGCCGCGTACTGCTTGGCGTCCTTCTTGCGGGCGAAGCTCGGGGCTACGAGCGCGCCACCACCACTACCATCGGCGGCGGCGAGAAGCCCGCCGTCCGGGCCGGGAAACTGCTGCGGCTCGCTGGCTGCGGTGCCCCTGAACGTGCAGTGGCACACCCACTTGAATTGGGGGGCAGGCTCGTCGGCGAAGAGCACTACGGCGCCTCCGGCTTGGTGCGCGTCTCGGTATCCTAGCACAAGGGCAAAAAAAAAAAAGAGGTAGTGTCTCATGCATTTGTGATATAGGTATATATATATATGGGTATCAGAACAGGAATACTTACGGTGCAGCAGACCCACCCAGTTTGTATCGCCAAGCTCCGGCTCGGGCCAGCCTCCCAGCGACGCCCGGAGTTTGGCAATGGCCTCTTTCTGGATTTCGGTCAGGGGCGCCGGCTGGGGCAGGGCCTCCTGCTCGGCGATCCAGGCCTTCAGGTCCCGGTAGTCGACGGGCTCGTAGTCCATGTCCGTGTCCGTGTCCTTGCCCTTGTCGACGGCAGGAAGAGGAGACCCAGAAGAGGCAGCCGCCATTGTAGATATAGATCCGTCGGCTGTCCGGTTGCTCTTCTGGCGCTTAGGAGTTCGTGGTGCAAAGTGGTGCTGGGGTGGAAATATGGGGGCCCATTTGCGTTTAGGCTGCATCATGGACCAGGTCGGGTTGCTATGAGAATGACTGTGTAATAAGTATGAGCTGAAGACAGGGCACTGGAGCTGCTCAAGCCTGTGAGGGCGGGGCTGCGGCGGACAACAATTTGGCGACCTGTAATCCGTCCAGATTACTTGGTAAGGCGCTGTAATGAGGTATCTTGGACGCCAACAAATAAACAAGAACAGCGGTGCTGCTTTACATAATTCAGATCTGCACATCATCCGATGTCGAGAGCGAGCTCAAGTCACCCATAAATAGGCCGACCATGTGGAAACACTTAGAGCCTGGCCGTCATCGGCTCAGTGGGTATTACCTGGGTAGGCTATCCGCGCCGTCCGAATTAAGGTGGACGCTGTAGGCCTCACTCGTCCCAAGCCCGAAAGGCAGCCAGCGGGATTGGCTGGCCAGTAGCATCTACCAGCCTCATGCACGGTAATGTCTGTACAACAAGCAGAACATGCAGTTTGAGTTTGCCTCGAACACCTTTCCTCCAGTCCGCGCTCCTGTCCCAATAGCCAAGAGCTCCCTTCCCTGTGTGCCCTTGCACCGTCACAATGCCCCTATTCCTACTTACACATAGTCAAGACGAAAATGGTCAACCAGGTTAACTTGTCGTCCGGACATTCCGAGACGTCAGGTCCTCTCCTGTGAGCCTCTGTCGTTGTCGAAATCGTAATTGGGTATCATGTTTAGCCTAGCTACTTGCTAGGCCTTTGTCCTCGCTACATCAGCCCGAGCCTCAGCAGCGGGTCCCGTAGGCGGATTAGTCTTCCTCGAAGAATCCGCCTCCTTCACTGCCACTATCGTCGCCATCGGCTGCCTTGCCAGAGGCCTTGTCGTTCCGCATCGCAGCTCTTCTCTCCCTCCGGTTCATCGCCGACGTGTCGGGCCCAATCGCCTTCCGCGCTGACGAGGGGCCTGCACCAGCAGCAGGCTGCTGCTTCCCCACAGCAGATACAGCCTTGGCTGGTCGTGACGAAGGCTTTGGTGATGCGTCTTGTTCCGAGCGTCTGTTTTGGATCTTCTCGAGAGCGGCCTTGCCGTATCCCCTGGTCTTCTCGATTTCATACCACATGGGCGGTCGAGGAGTATCCAGCGCATGCACTGCCGTGGGCTTCTCGTCGTCCTTTGCCTCGGCAGCTGGTGCGGCATACAGGCTGAGGTAGCGCTCCAGAAACGGATAGTAGATGGCATAGTCCACGTCCACCTCGGCGATGTGAAGATGAGCCTTTAGCTTGGATATCTCGTCGGGGTCCTCGGTTTGTGTTAATTTCCGCCTGAGCTGCTTTGCCAGCCTCGTTGCCTTTTGTCGCTCTGCAAAGTGAAGGGTGTTAGCTAGCACTGCGCAACAGCCAGAAACAGCATGACATAACCGGCCGGACAGCCCGGACAGCGGCGTACCAAAGAACCGAACCATGTGATATTTGCCTATCATCTGGCTCCTGTGTTTCCTCTCTCGGTCCTCGGCGATGCGCTGCTTGTGGGCCGCCAACTCCCGCTCCAGGTCTTTTTGTACGTCGGCAGGGATGTTTGACGCGTCTCGCGCGAAAAGCCTCTCGATTGCTCGGGCACGTTTTTTGATCGAGCTCATGTTGTCGTCAACCACCTTTGCCCGCTTCGCATGGTGCTTTGGGGCGCCAGGCCGGTTGCGATGGCCATTTTTGGGGAATGCGCTGCCAGACTCCTCCAATTCGGCGTGGGATCTCTTCGTGCCTAGTCTTGAGGGATGTATAGATGGCTCATTTTTTTTTGCCAGCGAGCGATCCATCTTCTGGCTGGTTGGCTGAGGGCAGTGCCAAAAGTGAGAGTTCTTGGCCGTCTGTCGGTTTGATAAGGCCCAAATTTTTGTAGGTGTGGTCAAGGACCCTTGTAGGTAAGTTGCTTTGCGCTTGAGCTTTTGCTTCCCGCCCTCTGTGTCGATTGCCCCGCATTGACCAACTACACTAGGGTTAGGGTTGTGTACTGTTCGCCACTCTCATGATCGCATTCACCTTTCGCCCCTGCTTCACCATTGTCAACAACATCCTGCCACATGTATAAGCGAGATGTATGTCCGATAGATACAGTATCCGTGAAAGCACCCCAATGGCTCTGGGCTACGAGAGCCCTCTTTTGCTGTCCAAGTCTTTCGTTTATTTGGTGGTGGAGGTATCCAGCCTTGGCCGTGGCTTCCTCGCGACGGCGTAAGACGACCTGACTTCCTCATTCAACCTAGGAGGGTTTGCACGGTTGGGACTTCCAGATTGGAACAGTATTAACGCCCTTTTGGCAGGCACTGAACTTTAAGCTGGCTGCGCTGCTCCACTACTGTTATCCATTGCTGTTGCTCCTCCTTCAGGCCTCCTGTCGCCATGGACCGTCCCGAGCCTGGGCTGATCAAGTGGTCGCCAAACGCGGCGCACGACTCGTTCCTCCACATCAACTTGCAGCACCGCATTGTGGAAATCTACGAGCCCACGGGCCGTGCGCGGCGCGGGCGGTTCGACTACAAGAAGGTGGCCAAGCACGATGACCTCCCCCCGCTCACTACGTATGACTGGTCGCCGTCGGTCCTCGGCCTAGTCGCCGTGGGCACGTCAACGGGCGTCGTCAATCTCCTCCGCGTCGACGACAGCTCCAACGCCTATCTCGAGCTCGGCCTGAAGATCTCGCGCACCTGCCACGCCGTCGCCTTCAACACGAGGGGCCAGCTGGCCGTTGCCCTGGACAGGGTGCGCAGCGACAACTGCCTCTACGTCTGGGACGTCAACCGCCTGTCCACTATCGACTCGGCTATCCGGGGCTTTCCCTCGGACATTGAGTCCTTCTCGCATCCCTCCGAACGTCTAGAGCCCAGTGTCTCGGTATCAAGCGTCAAGTTCTTCGAGGACAACCCTAATGTCTTGGTCGCTGGCATCAAAAGCCAAGGCCTCCGCATACACGACTTGAGAGGTAAGGCCCTCACTTAAATAATGTCTGATGCTGCAGCCCTGCTCTGTGTAGACTAACAGTCTGCCCAAGACCAAGCACACGGCGCCGTCATACAGTTCCCGACCAAGTGCTGCAACAACCTCGCCATTGACTACGCAGACCAGAACTATTTCGCGTCGTCAGCCTTGGACCAACCAGGAGTTATGGTGTGGGATCGTCGAGCCATCCACCGCCATGACACGTCGCCGGCCTATACCGATGCTCTGGATAAAGATGGCCTCCCCTGGGGCGGCGCCCTGCGTCTCAACCAGGCAGTGGAGATGGAGGCGGATCCGGACTCGGCCGACAGCAAAAGCTCCTGCATCCGCTCCCTCCGCTTCTGCCGCGACCATGCCGGCATGTTGGCCGTTCTCTCGCGCACTGGCCAGCTGAGGATTCTATCCACGAGGCACGAGCCCAAGGACGATGAACCCGACAGCAAACCTACCGATGCGAAGGAGGATCCCGCCCCCATCCCCATCCCCGTCCAGAATGTACCTACCCACGTCGGAGACGGCCCCGAGCTGTTGGAGATTAGGAGATCATATGAGCTGGACCCTCTACATGCTGATCCGAGTCATAAGATGGATAAGATCGTATCGTTCGACTGGATTACTCTCAGCTCCCCAGTCCCTCAGCCGAGGTTGTTGGTGCTCCGGGCCAACGGTGCACTTGATGTGCTAGAAAAACCGTCCTTCACCTCGGAATATCCATTTAACCTCAATTCCTGGAAACTCTCATATCGTGGCTTAGAAGGTAAATCCCACCGAGTCCAATCTACATGGAATGAGTTGACACGGCTGCAGCTGGCGCTTCATACCACGCGCCTATGCTTTTCGAGCCGGCGTACTCTCACAGAATTTATGGCCCGCTGCTTACTGAAAAGGCGTTGGCCGACGTACCGCTGTTTGGCCCCAACAAGGCCGACATAGGTGATCTGGTAGAGGAGGCCTTGGCGTCCAGTATTACTGAAGAGGATCTCCAGCCTGGAGAGGCGGCGAGAAATGCCAATCTTCCTGCGGCGTTCATACAAGCAGCTTCTGTCGCGGAAAAACTGGGAGCGCTAAGATTGACGTCTAGAGAAGGATCGCAGAATCCAGACATATCCGAAGACCCGCCATCTCAGTTAGAGCGCCGCGAGCAGCTGCTCACAGAAATTGTTGACATGAGTCTCTTGTCAAATCAAGCGCAGGCCACCATAGATCACACTATGCTCCTCCGCGCAAAGGAGGGGTACCGATTCAACTGTGAAAAGAATCAGCAAATCGTGGCGGACGATCCCTGGGTCAGAGATGTCTGGGCCTGGATTTCTGGTGAGTCTATCTTGTTTTCGATCTTGTTGAAGTGGCTGACAGCATCTTCCAAACAGGCGCTGAAGAAGCAGCCTCTGACGGCGGGATGATGTCGCACCCACTGGACCTGAGCTGGATGGGCGTGTATACAATATGGATCAACGACTTGGGTATGGTCATATCGAGCCTCTCTCAGACATTCAACGGTTGGCTCACACACGATAGGGAGTAAATCGTATGCTAGGTTGTCGGACCACGCATCAGCTCCTGGTGCTGCTGGGTGGGAGCGTTGCTTGAATTCGATCAACAAGAAACTCGGAATTCCAAAGTTTGACGGGGTCGAGACGAAGCGCCCCCACCACCGGGAAATCTGCCTGGAAATTTGCAACTGGGGTCGCTCCTACGACTCTGAATTCGAACAAGCTAACTCGGTCTCGAGTCTCAAGAGAGACTCGACTTGGTACACTATGGTGGCCGCACATGCCATGTTTAGGGGCAACACAAAGGAGGCCGTTCAAGTTTTGAAAAGAGGCAGTTCAGAGCACCAGAGTCTGTTATTCGTCTCGCTCGCGCTCCAGCTCATTGGCAAAAATGGCAACAAGGATGCCAAAGAGGCGCTCGATTTCGACGAGAAGGTGGCCTCCAAGACGGACCCCTATCTCCGCGCTATATCATCCATCATCGCCACTGGAGACTGGGCCACGATTGTCAACCAACGGTCCCTGCCCATGCGCGACCGTGCCTTTGTCGCGATCCGCACCCTTCCCGACGAGGAGCTGACGGCCTGGCTTGAGGACGAAGTGTTCGACTTGATTATCACGGGGAACATTGAAGGCATTATACTTACGGGCATTACGGACCCGCTGGTGGACATATTCGCGCGCTATGTGCAGAAATTCCGCGATTTCCAAACAGCCACCCTCGTGCTCTCGTACTGCGCGCCGCGCTTCATCGACGACATCCGCGCGACGGCCTTCCGCAACGCCTACCGCAACTACCTCCAACGGCACCGCGCTGCGTACCCGCGGGCCAAGTTTGACGTCGAGTCGACGAGGCTCAGCAAGCACAATGGACGGCCGACAGTCGAACCACCGCCGCGCCAGTTTGTGATACGCTGCTACTTCTGCGAGGAAGACGTCAAGACGACGTACAGTAGCGGAGACACCAGTCCCATTTCGTCGACGGTGACGCTATCCAGCTTCATGCTGGGCGGGGGCTCGGGGGCAGCTAGCGCGGTCAGGGAAGCACAGCAAACGAACCCGTTCGTTTCCAAGATGGTATCGGCTGGAATCAGTTGTCCCAACTGCAAGCGCCACTTCCCGCGGTGCGTGGTCTGCCTCGAAGTTGTGACGATGCCGCGAAGCGACCGGCCCGAGCTGGCCAGAAATGCGGACACGCGCGTGGCGTCGCGGTTCCCGACGTTCTGTATCACCTGCAGGCACGCCATGCACCTCGACCATGCGCGGCAATGGTTTGCGCGGCATGAGGAGTGTCCTGTTCCCGAGTGCAAGTGCGTGTGCAACTTCCAGGTGACTCCGGACTTGCAATACTGAGAGATGGGTCAATCGCAAATCACAACAAGGCCAACCCCCTTTCCCGGATAGTAGCAATCGCAGCGGGAATATTATCCTGCCTGCACAGGCTTATTGGACGTTTTTCCTTGATTAAGAATTAAAGTTCAGCCAAGGCGGTGGGAATTGCGTCAGACACATGAGTGGTCGTCTTGTCTTGTCCCGACGGTTGCCAAGGTTTTCCGCTGTCTTGGGAGGTCTTGGTGCCCAGAGCGGACGAAGGGAGGGAGGATTTAAGAAAGACGGAGGCCAAGATTCTTGGTATTTTGAGGCAGTCTTGTCTCGCTGCGCTCTAAGGTCGCTCGCTCGGACGGCGCCGTGCCTAGCCATGACAAGGCCAAGAGCAGGGCCAAGAACGAGCCAAGAACGAGCCAAGAACGGATTCCATGACGACATGGGATTCCTGGGTGGAATTGATTTACCTTGATGGACAGTACGGAGTACGGAGTACCTAACTTCACGTGTAATTTAGAGCAGAGAACTCTCTCTCTCTCTCTCTCTCTCTACAGATATTATTAATTATTAAAGTAACACGTGTACTGGAAGATAGATGCCCCTTGTTTATTGCCTTTTTCTTGTTGTCTCTTCTCTCCTCTGAAGCGTTGACGTTTGGTAGTAGAATGAAGTACCAAGTGGAACTTGTCGTGGCCTTTTTTCTCTCTTTTTTTTTGCAAATAAAGCGCGTGGTGACGGGTATAAATTATGTCACTTTTGTGATAAATCTAACCGTGGAAGCCCCTCGTTGAGCAGACGAAATAGTATATAAAGCCTCCTAAAGATGCGATGCGGTGGCAATAGTGGAACATGCCGGCGTGATGTCGCTTTCGCTTTCGTTCTCAATGGCAGCCAGTCAGTCAGTTTTGCAGCAAGGGGGGGATTGGATTGGACTGAAACAATTAATAATAAAAGCCGGCACGTGCTCGATCGGGTCGGCTCAATTGAATTGAACTGAATTGGATTTTTTTTGATCACTTGACTGACTCGGTTTCGTTCTCTCTCTCACTCTCTGTGTGTGTCTGTCTGTCCTCTGAGCACGTCACCAAGGGGGGGCTCTCTTCCTAGGGTTGTCACATCACTCCGTCGGTCTCCCAATCGAGCGGGTGCCGCTACAGTACAGTGCAGTCTGTTAGTTGGGAGGAGAGAGGGGGGCTGTGCAGCGTGATACAGTTGTGCCGGGCCCAGGCTGATGGCGCCCACTTGGTCTTGGCTCTGTCTTGGCTGCTTGGCTTTTGGCTTGGCCCCGTGGCTTTGCTTGGCCCCTTGGCTTTTGCTTTGCTTGGCTTGTATCGGGGTAAGACGACGGGTTCGCCAAGGCACCTTGGCGCGCGGAGGGGGGGTTGATCTCTTGGCTCTAGCGGGAAAGCTTGGCCATGTCAATCTCTCTTCTCCTCAGTGTCGAGGCCGCGACTTGTTCGGAGGTCGTTTGCCCAACGACAACAAGGGGTGGTAGGGGTACACACTCCGTGTTAGGCCTTTGTGTCCGTTGAGTCTTGGCGCCTTTTGCTCTCTCTCTCTCTGTGCTGTGCTATTTCGCGTGAAATTCTCTGTGCTAGGTAAGGTTGAGTAAGGTAAGTACCAAACACGGCTATCGATAGCGCCCTCCCACGGTTGCAATTACCGCCTCGAGTATCCGTAGGACCGTTTGTCCGTCGACGGGTTCACAAACCGCTCTTTCTAGTTTCTCCAGCTGCGCCCCCCTCCATCGCCTGATGGCTAGCTAGGCCTAAAAGAAGGAGATGGATGGCTCCTGTTATAGTGGCCCCATCACCCACCCCTCCACCACGCGCTCCAAAACCCTCTCTCCTAATAAGAAAAAAAACACAGGCGACGAGCTGTGTCTTGCCTGCCGCGGCAGGATAAACGCATGTGCCTCGTTAGTACGTATTGCACGATACGGCCGCAATACCGCTCATTCACCTCAGAGAGACCAAATAGAAAAAGGCGGGGGTGGGGGAGGAAGGCATGAGCAGCCAAGTGTGGGAAAAGCGTCTGACCAGGAGGCGCGAATGAGGGAGGCAACTGAGGGAACGCCAAGCAATTCCTCGCAATACCAAGACTTGGCGTAGGCTTGGCATTTCTTGGCGGTCTTGGCGTGACTGTCGTGGCTGTTAGTGCGCTGTTAGGCTGAACGGTCGTCTCGGGTGTGTGTGTGCAGGCACAAACGAGCAGCGCGGCCAGCCGCAGCCAGGCAAACGGCGTCCTAGGCGTAGGCTAACAGCAGGTACAGCGGCCGGGCCAGGGCTTTCCGCCATCAGCCAATGATGGCTACTTGGCACCCGAGAGCCCCGACTGCCAAGAGAGTTTGCCAAGTCTTTCCGCCATGTATCGCCAAGAGCGAGAAGGCCGTAATAAAGACATAATGGCCCGCTGTTCCTTCCAGACGTTGATCGGTCAAGCCTTTTCCCTCCTCTCTCAAACAAGCTCGCACCACGTTGAGCAGAAATCTATTCAAACTTTTTCCTCTCAACTCTTGGTAAAAGTTTTTTTGCTCCTTTTCTCCTCCAACTCTTCCGCGACGAGGGTTCTTATCGCCCACCCCGGCCAATCTGCACGCCAAGTCTTTGGGTGTGTGTGAGTGAGTGTGCAGGAGAAAGCCTTCCTGTTCTGGCTGCTCTCGCACACGATTCGCCCAGAACAGCGTCTCTCCCCGAACCCGAACCCGCCCACCGCCCAGCCACAGCAACAAACGCTCAATTGTTGGTGGGGCGCGCCCAGGCCTGTCTTGGTCTCTTTTTCGGCTTCTTTTTTTTCCGCACAACGCACGGGAGACAAGTTTTTTGGTCGGTCAGCCGCCACATCGGAATCCGGAGAAAAGCAAACACCGATTGGTTTGTTCTTTTTACTGGGCCCACGCCATGTCGTCAACGCAACAAGACGAAGCCAACGCGGCAGCTGCGCAGGCCGTGTCGGCCTCGTCGAGCGAGGCGTCCAATGATGTCACGCCCGCGCCCTCAGCTGCCGCCACGGCGAGCTCGTCGTCGAGCACCGGCCAGGACGAGACGCTAGTGTGCCGTTGGCAGGACTGCAGCGAACGCTTCCCAACGGCCGAGGTTCTCTACGTATGCTGCCTCTTTTCCCTATTCTATTTTTTAAAAAAAAAATTCAAAGTGGTTTTATTCGCGGTTTGAGTTGTTTCTCAAAAGAAAAAGAAAGAAAAAGCAACAGACTCGACCAAAGTTATCCGTGCTTTTTATTCAGACTCAGACTCAGAACTGACACCCAACAGGACCACATCTGCGAAAAGCATGTGGGCCGCAAAAGCACCAACAACCTCAACCTGACGTGCAACTGGAACGGCTGCCGCACGACGACGGTCAAGCGCGACCACATCACGTCGCACATCCGCGTGCACGTTCCGCTGAAGCCGCATAAGTGCGACCTCTGTGGCAAATCGTTCAAGCGGCCCCAGGACTTGAAGAAGCATGTCAAGACGCACGCCGACGACTCGGTCCTCGTTGGCCGCTCTCCCCAGGACCAGAATGGCGGCATGAACCAGGCCTACCGTCACCCCGGCAACAAACGTGCGTAGCCCGTTTTTGGCTCTTTCCCTTCCTCTTTTCTCTTATCTCTGGGGCTGACGTGCCTCTCTTTCTAGCTCCCCCCAGCTTCTATGACCACAATGGCCACATCCGCGGTACTAACCCGGGCCCCTTTGGCCAGCCCCACCAGAACGGCCAGGCTAGCTATTATCACGGCCAGCAGCACCCTGCCCAGGCTTACCATGCCCCCCTCTACTACCAGCAGCAGCAGCCCATGGGCGGCTCCCGCGGCGACTTCATGGGCCACCAGGCCTCGGCCCCGTCCTTTGACTCGCGCCGCCGCGGCTTCGAGGACCTCAACGAGTTCTTCGGCAGCGTCAAGCGCCGCCAGGTCGACCCCCACTCGTACGCCCAGGTCGGCCGCTCGCTGATGCCCATCCACGCCAGCCTCGGCATCCAGTCGGGCGGCCTGGCTACCGAGTACATGCCCCAGGCCCCCCACACCCTCGCTATCGGCGGCGGCGCCTCCCACGGGCCCCTGACCCAGCACTACTACCTGCCGCCCATGCCCAACCTGCGCACCAAGGACGACCTGCACCAGATCGACGCCATTCTCGAGCAGATGCAGGCCACCGTCTACGAAAACACGGGCTCGCCCAGCTCCCACTACGCCCCCGCCGACATGCGCCACCAGTCCCCGGCCTATGCCACCCGCCCCACCATCGACCCCTACGCCGCCGCCGCCGCCACCGCCGCCCAGGTCGCCTCTCCCCTGAGTGCCCCGACCCACTCGTCGGGCGGCAGCCCTGCCGTCACCCCGCCGTCCAGCACCATGTCGTACACGTCGGGCCACTCCCCCGGCGCCTCGTCGGCCGGCATGTCGCCCTCGTCGCGCCACAGCTCCACCGTCGCGTACCCGAGCCTGCCCAGCCGCCCCGGCCTGCCCTACCCGTCCACCTCGGGCCTCGGGTCCAACTTCACCCACAACGAGCGCCGCCTCTCGGGCGGCATGCTCCAGAGCGCCAGCGGCGCCCGCGCCGCCGTCGACCGCGCCGCCACCCCCAAGGCCTCGGCGGAACCGTCCGCCATGTCCTCGGTCAGCTCCCCGTCCGACGAGTCGGAGAGCGGCGAGGGCGAGTCGTACGACGACTGGCTGCAGCACATGCGCGTCATCGAGTACCTGCGCAACGGCATCCGCCACCGCCTCGAGCACCGCGACTACGTGGACGAGCAGGACACTAGCCGCATCGACCCCATGGTGCTCGACGCCGACCGCGCCAGGACAACGCCCTCCCCGCCCACGCCCTCGGCCGCCCCCGCCCCTGAAAGATCGCTGTACCCTGTCCTGCCCCGGATTGGGTAGCCAGGCGGCCAGGACTTGCGTGGCTGTTTGCTGTGATGACAATGATAAAGAAGAAAAAACTAACGAGGTTGGAGAAGGCACGCCCCGGATGCGAACGAATGAACGTATATAATTAAATATATGTTGCTCGGGGGGATTATTCTTTTATTGTCTTTTTTCTTTTCGTGGGCATTGATAATGTCTTATTTTCTTCGTTCCCGTCCTTTATTATTCTGGTCGCTTCTTCCTGTATATAGTAATTACCTTACCTTACCTACCTGAGACCTACCTGACGTACGCAACATCTCAAGATACCTCTTCGCTCTTCGCTCCTCTTCGCTTGTTCACCCTGTCTCATATCTCTCTCTAGTGTTTATTTTATTTTGCTTTATTTATTATGAGGGAGCTGCGCAGGACCGAGCTGAGATAAATGGGTGGTACAGTCAAGTCTGTCGGTCGTCGTCTCTGCTGCGTATTATTGCTATGAATTTCATGTCCGACATGCCATGTTTATATTTCTTTCTTGTTGTTGCTCTTGTGGAGGGTTGGGAATCCGGATGGGTGGCTAGATGGTTTGGGGCTGCTCCGTTGGCTGTTGAATCGCATCACTGCCCGCGCCCCCCACTTTTTTATGAATCAAAAGTTCACGCGTATATCCATATCGTTATTGTTGATATATCTACCTATCGTACCTGCGTGATCTATCCACTTCATCATTTGCTTGCTTGCTAGACATCCCTACTGGGGTAGGTGTATATGCCCGCATGCCGAGTGAGCGAGCATGTGAGTAATTAAGTACCTAAGTAGGCTCCTCGTGGGATGTAACTACCTTGGGTACGTAACTGTCTTGCCTTGTCATATTTCTTTTATTTTCTTTCGTCTAGGTACTCGAGGAGGGATATCCACAGTAACATCTATTACAAAAGTGAAATTGCTGGCTTATGCCCATCACTACCTACGCACATACTGAAATGAACACAGTTGACCATTTGCCACGCACGATACAGCAAAAAAGTTCAAACAATTGAACGTCACCGACAGAGTCATAGCGGCCGAACAAGCTGTCTTCTTGTCATATCTCATGCTGTGCGGGTAGGCCAGGTAGGGCACCGGGTACTTGATGGAGGTCGTAGTCTAGGGAACTCGATTAAAAAAGGGGGCTCTCATGTTGTGTATCTCGGTTTGACAGTAAACCTTGACCTAAGGTAGGTAGGTTTGTGGGTGAATGTGCTTGAGGTCTGTGTGAAACCGCTAGCCAGTCAGCCGGGCGTGGCTTGCATCGAAAGACATAACACCATATTGAGTACCTTATGTAGGTAAGGTAGGGTAAGGACAGGTGTTTACCTAGGTAAGGTAGGTGTGTGGAATACCCCAAGGTACGTACCGAGGTTTAACTGTCTCAGTAACCTCGGAAGCTTATTTCCACGGATGTGATGTGATGTGATGTGAAGTTGCCCAGTTCCGTGCCTCGTGTTTGTTTGCTGCCATGGCCATTTTAACTGTCTTGTTTCCCCCTCCCCCCCTTTTTGAGCATGGAACCGGCTGTGTCCTCTCCCACCCTTGTCTCCTACGTCCGTTCAACCCACTGCCATCTCCCCCATCTGCCCGAGCTGTGTCTTTTATGGCGCGTTCAAATCCACTCAGGACATGCCGAGGAAAGACTACAACCTCTAAATAAAGACAACCACGGGCTCTTTCAGGAAACAGATACGTATCGTCCATTCGCGCCCTACCAAGCAAGCAAGCAAGCAAGCACCAAACCCGCAGTCATTATTCTACACGCATACATACATACATACATACATACAATCCTCTACACATTACACAACAGACCAGCCTTTCACAGCCCCCCCCAAAAGACTCCGTTTCGAAAGAGAAAGTTTGTCCTCTATCCCCTCTAGAGCACGCGCCAAAGCGCACCCGCCCTCGCCGGCGCCGGAGGCGAATCGTCCTCGCCGTCCCTATTCATGGCACGGACCCAGGCATTCTCGGCAGCGACAGCGTCGCGCTCGATGCGGTCCATGGCGTGCAGCTCGGCGAGCATGTCGGCGACAAGCACGCGGCAGGCGGTGAGGATCCTGTGCAGGCTGCTTCCTTCACCACCGCTCTCGTCGTTTCCTTCGTCGCCTTCTTGCTCCGCAGTTGATAAAAGCCCATCATCGTCATGACCCGCCAGCTCGCCACGCAGCATGCGGTGCCACTCGTCGAGGCGGCGCACGAGGCCCGCGCACTCGTCCTTCCACGCGGCATCGAGCTCGCCGGCGAGCACAGAGAGCTCGTCCTCACCACCGCCACTGCCATTATCATCACCCGTCGACGCAACAACAGCAGCAGCAGCAGCAGCCGCTGCGGGGTGGTTCTCGCTGTTGCTCGCCAGCGCGCGGCGCAGCTCGGCGAGGGCGTCGACGCGCTCGGCCCAGCGCTCGAAGCGGCGCACGGCGCGCGCGTAGCGGCCGCCGGGCTCGGCGACGGCCCAGAGCCCCGTGAGCACGGCGTCGAGCGTCTGGACCTTGTGCTCCAGCAGCGTTGCTCCCGTATTCTCTGCAGATGCTGCTCCTACCCCTAACAGGCTTGGTGGGAAATCGGCAGCTGCATGCCCGTGCCCGTGTCCCTGCCAGGCTAGCAAGGCGCGCACGTTGCGCCTCTCGGCGGCGCCGGCGTCGAGGCGGGCCACGTCGTCGGCGGCACGCACGAGGCGGTCGAAGCGGGCGGCGAGCTTGTGGCGGGCGCTGGCGCGCCACTGGGCGGCGACGGGCCCGGCGGAGCGGTGCAGCAGGTGCAGCTGCAGCAGCTCCGTCTGCAGGCGGCTCGTCTCGGCGGACGCGGCCACGTTGGCCGGCAGCTTGGACGGCGACGGCGGCGCTAGGAACGACGCCGTCAGCGGCTTCGGCGCCAGCGACTTGGCCGGCGAGTAGTGCTGCTGCAGGGTCGTGAACGCGGGCCGCGCCGTGGGGTTGCTGCTGCTGCTGCTGCTGCTGCTGCTGGCGGCGGCCGCCGCGCTGGTGTTGGCGCGGTGGTCCGAGAGCGCCCCCGTGGTTGCCGTCGTGGCGGCGGAGGCGCTGGTGGCGGTGGTGGTGGACGACGCGTACGACGAGTTGGAGGTCGCCGAGACCTGGCGGCGGTGGAGCGTGCCGCTAGCGCGCGTGTTGCTGGTCAGGGGTGGCCTGCTCCTGTCTGTGCCGGCCGTGGCAAGCGGCGCTGAGACGTGGGATGTTGCGGACGGAGGCCGCAGCGTGGTGGCGCCCGTGAGGGAGGTGACCGAGGTTGACGTCGATGTCGATATCGATGTCGACGTCGACTTTGTGCGGCTGTGGGACGAGGCGACACGGGTCCGAGTGGCAGATGCGGCTGGCACGCCCGAAGACGACGTCGGCCGCTGTGTGGGCACCGGGCGCGTTGTGCGAGGCGGGCGGCTTGTTGTTGTTGTTGTTGCTGCTGCTGCTGCTGCTGCTGCTGCTGCTGTGTCGGGGCCCGAAGACGGGGGTGTCTCATTCTCAGGGGCGCGGCTGCGAGTCGACGAGGCTGTCATTCGGCCAAACACGCCCGACAGAGGCCTCGATGTGTTGCTCCGCGCCGCCACTCCCACTGCGGCAGCTGTCCTTGTTGGCGGCGGGCGGCTAGAGACAGCGCCCATGCCCTTGACGGGCAGCCTGCTCGGCGAGACGTTGCGCAGCTGGCCATCGCCATTGCTGTCGTCGGCGGGCGATGGCAATGCCGATGCCGTCGATTCGGCGTCTGGCCTGCTCGTGATTGTTGGCTTGCGCAGAGATCGCGACCGCGTCAGAGCGCCGCCAGACGACGACATTGCAAATTCCCAGCTATCGAGGCAAGATCAATCGCCCTTCGTTTCTCTATGCGTCGGCTGTTTTATAAGTTGGAGGCTTGTTGTGGTGGTGAGTGAACTGTTCTAGACCGCTGAGGTGCTGTTGATTTGTCCGCTAACACTCGGCGTCAAGGTTGCCAGGCCAGGCCGGGTGCTGTGTTGTCGATCCTCTCCCCCACTGCGCGGCCTGGCCTAGCCTGCCCTGCAGCGGGTGCATCAGCCGAGGGGCTGGCCCGGGGATCGGGTTCGCGGGGGTCGCTGGGGGTCGATGCACTGAATTGGTGCAGCCCACTCGGCGTGTCACATCGCCTCAATTGACGGAACACCAGAGCCTTCTTTACGCGACGCGTCAAGCTTCGCTGCGCCTAGCCGTGCCTCAGCCAAACTCCACGTCAAGCTATTTCTTAAAAAAACCTCACCCATTCAAAATCAATCCCAACGAGCAAGACTGTTCACGCAACCCAGATGTTCCTAATCCGTAGATATCCCTACTTTGGAGGCTCACAAAATGTCAGAACCAGGTACGCGGTGTTAGTGTCTTGATAACATGAGCAATGACGTCGCTTTTATTTTTGCATTGCCTTTGTCCATCATGGCCCGTCTATTGTCACTACAACCGTCGTAAACCGACGTCAGACGCTTTGACAAAACAAATCCTCCTCATCCAACCACCAGGCATGCCATACCATGCCATGCCCAGGTTCGAGTATATGGTATCGTATCTCCGTGACAATAATCTGTATAACGCCACCCCTCTATTAACACAACGCCCATCCGGGAAAGCTTTGCAACATCACTTCCTTCTAATACCAAGAGCATCTTGTCTCTTCCTTGTCCATCAGACAAACATGCTCTGCGCTCCGAACTCGCTTTTGGGCCGTTTATGCGCCAACCGCACCGGGCTGCTCCGCCGCTGGGGCCGTGACTGTCTCGCTGTCAGGACCTCCGTTGCTTGCCCCGTTGCTTGCTGCACTCTCTTGCGCCTCCGAGGTACGCTTGTTCTCGATATTCTGCAAAACTCGGTTCAGGTCTCCTCTAAACATTCGCAGACTGCCGTTACAGCTCGGGCAGACGTTCAGGTGGCATGCGCTGCAGATGAAGCACTCGGCATTCCGATCCTTGTGCCCGCATGTCCTGCAGGATATCGGGTTAACCCTCTGCCTATTGACCGTCATGTATCGATGATTCGTCAGGCATCTAAAGTGCCTATCCAACAGCGGCTGGGCATCCAATACTACATCTGCCGGCTGCGGCTTATACCAATTTCTCGGGAACAGCGCCGCACCGGGATTGTCCGTCATTTCCTCGTCTTGCGTGCCGCCTCCACGCGAGGCAACACGCGGGGTGGGCGGCGCATCCGTCTCGGTATTGTTGCTGGCAGCAGTTGGCCTCGGCTTAACTGTATCGTCAGATGCGGTAGACCCGCTTTCGGATATGGCTCTGACCACCTGGGACGAGGGTTTGAACTGCTGTTCCCTCGGCGGGGCCCGTGAGGTTGAAGACGCGGCTGCTTCCGCGCGCATCGCCGTAGCGGGTGTACCCATGCTTCGAGAAGAAGTCCGCGCTGCAAACTGCGGCTGCTTGTGAGTGCGATCTAGGTGAGCCGAAGGAGAAGACGGTAGGCCAACCGGCATGCGCAGCGAGGCCAAGTTGCTTGGTTTCAGCACAGGCGCTTGGTTGCCCCCATTGTTGCCATCTTGACTCGCGACGGGGCCGGCCTGTTTTGGCCCGTCTGGCAATTCGGGGGACGAGGCGGGCGATATGGGCGAGACCACCGTTTCTACCACTAACCGTTTTACATCAGTCGTCTCGTACTCGGGTGTTGGAAGTCGTGGGACAGATCGAGGTACAATGGGGTTGGGGAGAGGTTTGGCGGGTGCCTCTTCGTTGTCGCGGGGTTTTCCGAGTTTCGATAGTTTTTGACCCATATTTTCTTCTTTCTCCTCCTGCGGAGGGGGTTGCTGACGAGACGTCACAGGACGGATGTTTCGTCCGGGGAGCCCAGCATTGGTGCTTCTAGGGAGCGGGACTCTGGGCCTGGCAGGAGGGGCAGGGAAGACGATGTCGGCCGTGTCAGGCTGCTGGGGTGGCGACTGCTGACGCTGCGCGCTGGTTGGGTCGCCCTGTGACGAATTTTGGGCAGACGCTGCAGTGGAGCCGTGACTGGATATGAGCTTAAGTTCTGGGACGGCCAGGCTCTTATCGCCCTTGAGCGACCTCCGCCTCCAGAGCTGGTCTTGCTGGGGAGAGGTGCTGGTCGGCGACGCCTCGGTCTTGTTTTGCGACGGCTGAGCAGGCGGCGGCGACTGCAGCCGAAGAGGCTTGCGAAGGATATCCTTCAGGGGCGGCGGCGGCGGCGGCAGGCTTTCCCTATTTTCTGCAGGCGTCCACGAAATATTTGGTGCTTGCTTCTGCGCATCTTGACCGGACGAAAGCTTGAGCCAAGGCTCAGAAGCCACAGACCCCTCGGACCTAATGCCCCTGTCCTTGACTTGGTGCTTCGGAGACGCGATAGTATAAGATCCTTGGATTCCGCTAATGTCGTTGGCCGAGTTTGTCGACGATCTCGGCGTTGACTCTGAGGAGTGGTTCGAGTATGCTGACAGGAGGCTCGAGAGGGAGGCAGAAGGTGATGGTAAGGAGTCGAGAGACGCTGATGGAGGCCCCGGGAATAGGACTAGAGGAGAGTAAGCTGGCAGCCGTACTGGATCGGCAGGATCGGCAGCTGGAGCCGGAGCTGGAGCCGGAGCTTGAGCCGGAGCTTGGGCCGGAGCTTGGGCCGGAACTGGAGCTTGAGAGGGAGCTGGAGCTGGAGCTGAAGCTGGAGCTGGAGTTGGAGCTGGAACCCGACTGCCAACGGGACGCCGTGGGATCGCCATGGACGGCAGCCCGCCGAACTTGTTCGGCAAGGGCGGGAGCGGCGAGCTGGGAGGTTTGGCTGCGGCCATGGAAGCTGTTTCCCACGCCATGCTGATTTCCCTTTCAAACTCTTTTGGCGGTGGGAGGGGAGGGCCGGTATCGATATCCGGCAGGAGCTTTTGGGTAGTACCTGCCCAACTTGGAGCAGCAGAAGCAGTAGCAGAAGCAGTAGCAGAAGCAGCAGCAGAAGCAGCAGCAGCAGGTGGAGGAGGCAAGCGCGACTGGAGCTGTGACTGTGACAGACTCGCACCCCGTGCTGAAAAGGAAGGTCCAGGACCAGGTCCAGGCCCAAATCCAGGTCCACCAGGAGGAGGGGTTGGCAGTGCCTTTGAGAAACGAGACCGCCCGGAAATAGGGGTCTGGAGAGTCGCCGAGCCCATCATGTTTTCCCTCGATCCCGACTCGCCGGCTGAATGGGGCTAGTAGATATGATATACACCGTTAGGGCCGGCTGCTATTGCGCAGTCCGGCTGCCCCTGCGGCCCGGGACGACAGCGCCGTCCCTGTACTGTACGCGTACTTTCCTCTCTCTTCAGGGGCCGACACGAGACCCGCTCCCAGCGTCGCACATACGGATGGCGAGTTGGCGGCGGAGAGGTCGGTTGCTGGGATGTCTGGAGGAGTCGCCAACACTCTCTTGCGACACGGCACGACACGACACGACGGGCACCGAATCCAAGCAATCCGGTGCGCTGTAGAGGCGTGTTCCGACAGGGTACGGCAAGGCAAAGTGCTACCAGCGGGAGATAGTGGTGGTTACAGGTGGGTGGGCATAAGGAGGTATAAAGGGGATGACAGCATGTCCTGGTGGGGGGCGTGAATGGGCAGCTTTTGCAAGGCAGGAGGAGGCAACTAGGGGCTCCCGACGCGACCGAGTTCCCATTCGGTTTTCTACTTTTTTATTATTCTTCTCTCTGGCTGGTGATGGCACTGCACCGCGCCAGCAAACCCCGGCAAGGCTCAAATTGGATGATCGTCCTCGACCCCTGGCCCCAGGCCGGCTGAAACAGCCACTGGTTAACTGGTTAAAGGCAAGCCAAGCCCAGATTTTAATATGACAGGGGGAGCCAAATCGACTGGCCCAGCACTAACACGCACACTGCGCTCTAGGCTGCACCGTCACTGGCTAGCAGAGATCGCCGACGGGTTCGTGATGACTCGCCACAGCGCCGGGTGGGCAGCTAGACGGACTGGGCCACCACAGAAAGCACATCCGCCCTACCCAGTACGGAGTAGAGGTGGGCGGCTTTTCGGGACCAGCGCGCGGTTGAACAGCATCTTGCATGCTGTCGTTTATGCCGTGCGAGCGAACCTCGACACGGCCAGTCCATTTCACCGCATTGATAATTGCCGTCCGTCATTTTCGCTTATTCTTTGTTTTCCTCCGTCTCTTCGATGTATCCGCGAGGTCCGAATAAATTGCGGTTGATCTTGGACTCGCGGTACAGAAGCTGGGAGAGTGAACGACGGAAGCCAGCCAGTCAGCCAGCACACATTTAAAAAGCAGCATCGCATGACGTCTTGGGCGTGGCGGACGGATTGGCTGGCTGGCGGCGCCCCTTGTCAAAAAAAAAAAGGGGGCCGTCGCAGGTTCGGCCACGTCAAAAAAGTGGACGCACAGAGCGCCACCGAGCCTCAGGCGCAGCAGCTGAACGGGCAGGCTTGCATAAGGATCGGCCCCAGGGAGTCTCCGGTCCCTCGAAAGGAGACGCCGTTCTGCGACCGAGGCGTCGTCTATGAACCAGGAATGCAAGTCGAGTCTTGCCCTCTGTCCTTGCAGCGCTCGAGTGCTGAAACCAGGGAAGCCGAGCACGTCGACTGCAGCGAGCATGAATTTCTGGCAATCACAGTGTGGCTGCAAAGTCGCAAGAACCTGGATTTTACGAGTTTCTTCAAAAAGAAAATCCATCTCTGCCAGCGTTGCAATACGCGTGTAGACGCGCCTTGCCTTGGAGAGCCCAGATCACCAACCCGCGCGCGGCGACAGTGGGTCCTCGGGCAAAGCTCTTGTTTGGGGAGGAGGGCATTATCCGTAGGTATGACGACAACAAGGGCGCAACGGCGCTAGACAATATACCTAACCTGTCCTAGAAAATTAACTTGTTGCGCTTACTTATGATCTTGCACGTTCACAGCACGTGTGTGCAGAGTGCCAAAACAGGATACATTATGTATGCCTTGGGCCTGAAGCCTGGTTGGACTTGGGGGCATGATATTTGTAGGTGATATTGAGTCGAATCCTGTTTCAAGAATCTCGTCCTGCAATGACGGTGGTTAGGTAAAGTCATCCATGTTTGTACGGGGTAGCCTGAATTTAGAAGTGCTACGGAATTCGTCCCAAATATCAGTTGTCAGATCGAGACCCCTTTCTCTTTTGATTTTCCCCCGGCAGCCCCGGGCTGCGTGGCTGACGCTGACGGACAGATATGAAGACTTGTCGCAGACTTGTAAAAGCCCGAGTCCAAGATGCTTACGAATCGTAGCTCGGGGCGGCGCGAGTAGTTTCATTATTGTCGTACCCCGGTATGTATGTAGGTACGCACTCCGTGTCGTGAATTTGGTCTGTTCCCACGTTCCAACTTTGTTCCACAGCCTTTCTGCAGGTTCTTGGACCCGAAATTGCGCTGCCTTTTGAGTCTTTGAGGGAGGGGTTAAGTTAAAAAAAGGTGTGTGCTCTAGAAACGTAGGCAAAGGCAAACCATGCTACCCACCCACAGGCAAACCCGCAGGACTCTAAGATTGGGGCCCCCCACCATGTTTCCGGAACCCGTTCGTCCCCCAAGCCCAGGACCTGCGTCTTGCCGTCGCGGCGGCGCGAGGGCGTGCGCGCATCGCATCGTGCGCGTGCCACACCCGAGCCTGCGCGACGGGAAATATATTAAAACAATCTCATTGTGTCGGATCGGGCGGTGAAAGGGATTAATACCTTGCCTAGGGCCCCGTGGGGCAAAGGAAGGAAGTGAGTGAGTCTTGGGATTGCAGTCGCGGGGCTTCAAAAGAGACTCCTAGTCCTCAGCTGACTAACTCAAGTTCAGTCTTGGGTTTGCTTTCATTTCCGCGTGGGGGATGGCAACAATTGAAATGGGCTACAAGGCTATTTGGATTTGGATCGTTCGATGACACGGCCCGATAGGTGGTGATATCCCGCGACCTCGTTCGTTCCCCGTCTCATTCACTCCATTGAGTCTTCAGTTCATGGAGAGAACTCCCAAATGGCCTGACGGCCAGGAGTCAAGACTCTCAGAGGACAACCTACCCTAATCTCGAGAGAGAGGCAGTCGCGAGGCACCGCACCATTGCACCGCTTGGCTCCTTCTGTTCTACAGCTTTCAGGGTCCCTCAGTTTCCGGCAGGTCCGCTGCTGGCGGCTGCTTCCCACGTTACCTGTCAGGCCACGCGCGCCTTCCCACCAGCCGTGAACATGCTTTCCCGTTCTTGGGGTTAAGGTTTGGATTGAGTCCGGCACCAAAAAAGCTTCTACCACTGTTTTTTTTTGGTCTTTTCTTACAGTCTTCACATGGGTCACGGTCCAACTTGAGCCCGGCGGACTGGCAGTGGCGGACTGAACGACTGGCTGACTGCCCTAGTCACGATGCCGCGTCGCTTGCCTTTTGCAATGCCTATAGAGCTTGCCTCTTATGCCGCCTTCGGAGTTTATATTGCGATCGCCTGAGAAACGGAGGTGCGAACTTCATGCAAAACACCTTATTCATCCCCTTCCGGAGCCGTCTGCCTGACCGAAAGGCGAAAGACGAAAGGCGAAAGGCTGTGGGACAGCAGACCCGGCGTGGCTCGTGGCTGGCATGGCTGGCCGGCCATCGCTCCTACCGTAGGGCAGGTCCGGTACTCTACTGCTCTAGGCTGGCTCTACTACGGCTGCGATTGTTGATGCATTGCCATTGCATTGCCATTGCATTTGCATTTGCATTTGCATTCGCGTGTGCATTTACAAGTGATATCCGGGCCTTGGACACCGTGACCGTGACCTTGGCTTTGGCTTTGGCTTTGGCTTTGGCTATGGCCATGGCTATGGATGCATTTCATTACAACTGCCTTGCCGCTGCCCTTGGACTTCTCTCTGTGTCTTGTACAAAACTCGCGCCAGTACCGCGTCAAGCGATGGTCTGGCCACGATTGGTTTTCTATCATTTCTTTCTTTCCTCTCGGCCGGGGTTCTTGTCGGCCTTCTCGAGATGAGAACGAGTCTCGCCGCCAGTGTCGGTGGCCTTTTAGCCATCTGGGGCTTCCAAGGTCTAGTCGCCCATGCCCATGCCCATGCCCAAAGCCCCCTCCAGGCTCGATTAGATGGCCATGACGCTTCAGATGCCGCCTCGCTTTGTTCTAGGGACTTCCTGGGCGCAAGAGCTGGGTTGAATGCCTCCGAGGCATCCAAGGCGGCCATCGAGTCCATGAACAAGAGCTTTTATAACAAAACCGCTGGCCGATGGACAGTGACGGACGCGTGGTGGCTGAGCGGAGTCGCTCTCCAAGATCTCCTCGAGTACATGTACAGGACAGGCAGCCGTGACTATCTGCACCAGGCCAAGCACATCATCGAGAAGCAGAAGGAGCCTCTCCCCTGGTGGCCCGAGGGAGACGGCTATTTCCGCGCCGACTCAACCGACGACACGGGCTGGTGGGCTCTCGCCATGATCCGGATGTTTGACATCACCAAGGACCAGCAGTACCTTAATATATCCATCCTAGACGAAGCCTACATGTACTCGTACTGGACCAACACAAACTGCGGGGGCGGCATGTATGTCGACATTCGCGCTGAGACGTACAAGAACGCCATTGCCAACGAGCTCTACATGAAGCTCGCCGCCTCGCTCCACAACCGCATTCCCGGCGACACCGAATACCTCGCAAAGGCGGAGACGGCGTACAACTGGTTCATGGCCTCGGGCATGATCAATGGTGACAACCTGATTAACGACGGACTCGCTGAGAATAGCGCCGGCGTCTGTTACAACAACGCCCTTCCCATTTGGACATATAACCAGGGCGTCGTCCTTGGGGCGTCAGTTGGTATGCCTCCCTTGTTTTGTGTTAGTCGGCTCCTTTCCCCCGATATACTACAGCAACAGAGCACAAAACAATCCATTTACTAGACGGCTAACCCCCCTTCCCGCAAAAGAACTCTACATCGCTACGCAAAACCAGTCGTACGTCGTGGAGGCGCGCAAGATCGCCGACGCCGTACTCTCGAGCGGAGCCATGACACAGGACGGAGTTCTCACCGAGCCCTGCGAGGCTGCCGACACGTGCAACAATGATCAGCAAATCTTCAAAGGCATATTTGCCTACAACCTCGCCGAGCTCAACAGCGTGCTCAGCGACAGCCCCTACACGGCCTACCTGACGCAGAACGCCCAGACAGCCTGGTCCAGCGACCGCAACAGCAAGGACCTATACGACGTCTCCTGGGCTGGCCCCTTCCGCAACTCGACAATTGCGAAACAGGCCTCAGCCGTGGGACTTTTGGTGTCTCTTCTTTGAAGCTGGGGCATGGCAGGGGTAGAAAAGCAGTTTCTGTTTCTACATTGTAATCATCTGACTGTTATCTTTTTTTTGTTCATGGTGTTTTGTTCGAATAGGGGTTGTGAGTGCCAATGGGGTTATCTTTAGTGTATAAAAGGGTTGTCGACCAAAATACAAGTCTGTGAACTACCATTGGGGCAGGCAGGGCTAGATATATGGAGTCTTGGGAGCGGGGATTATATTTTTGAAGAATAATAGGCACTGCATGAGGCTGCCTCATTATACTACTATAATCTGTGAGGGTTGTGGAAGAAAAGGACGGGTTCTAAATGTGTGTGTATCATCAGCTCGAGACGTGCGTATGAGCCTTCGGCCTGTCATATAGCGTGCCGAATCCTATTCCAGTCCTCTCTCGGGGCCAGGTTCGTGATCAAATGTGGTAAAGGCTCTTCTTTGCTTAGGAGTTAAATTTCATGAAATGGCTTAGGACTGGTGGGCTATAGTGTCGGCACGTCCTGTAATGCCTAGGAGGGTTTCACGGTAGGCACCTTAACGCATACGCCACACTGCATATCATCTCTATATTTGGGCTTGAGACCGATCAGGTTGTGTCAAAATAAAACAAAAGGGGGAACAAAACGTCGTTGGAATCGCGTTCAAAAGAGACGATCCTAGTTAACAAAATGATGTCTCAACTTCTTCCCCAGCCATGACTGGATCGCTTGCGTATATACAGACCTGTAAAGCAGAAACGAGACAGTCGACAGGAGATAGCCCCTTATTTAAAAAACCGCCGACTTCTTGTCTAGGTTGCCACTCACCGTTCACTCAGACACTTGCAGTAAACACCACGGTATAGTCATTGTACTGTATTGTACTGTACAAAGGAGTTAAAGAAGAGATTAATCTCAGGAGCAACAAGCAAAGAAGACAAAGCTCGGTTCAAATCTCTCCTAGCAGCAACAACAACACAGAATTCCCACCAACATGAAGTGATGACGATGCGCTGTCCCATTACATAGCTAACGGGTAATAATGAGTAGGTTGTGAAAATAGGAAGGTAGGTAGGTAAGGTAGGTAGATAGTAATAACATGGGGAGGGAACAGAAGACCTAAGAAACTAGCAAACTAGCTGAAAAAAAGGCAAAAGCAAAGAAGCTGATAATGATGATACCGCCGCCAGAACCAAACGCCCAAGACCAAGACGAACCGCCCACTCATTATCCCTTCCCCGCTGTTGTTGCCCATACCAGCCACTGGAAAAGACTGCGCAGTTGGTGGAGTAAATAGCAGACGGCGGAGACGAAGTGAGTTAGTCTTCTCTGGTCTCCCCCCTTTTCTCGCCCACCATCTGCCTCTCCGCCTCTTTGTCTGTCTGGCCTAACCTGACCTGGCAAGTCCAATCCAGTGGTCCCAGCAGCCCCCGCCCAAGTGCTAAACTAAATAATGAGAAGAAAAAAAAAGGTGTAGATTCGCATCCGCATCTATTCATCCATCGGAATCCATGGAACCCTCTCCCAAACGCCTCCATCCAAATAAGAAAAAAGAAAAAAGAAAATTTTCTTCTCCCTTCCTCGTTCCCTTTGCTTTGCATCCGTTAGCCTCGCCCAAAGGACAAGGAGAAGCGAAAGACACAGCCCATGGTGGTTGGTTGGTTACTGGTATTTCCACCGTGGCATCGTTTTGGTCGTCGTGGTCGTGGTCGTGGTCGTCGTCAATCGCTGTCGCCGCCTCCGCCGCCCTGTCATCTCTGCACGACAAAACGTGGAAACAGACCGACTAGCCGCTTTCCGTGTGCCACATACCATATTGTATACGAACATAGTATCTAGGTATCTAGCAAAAACCTCAGAAGAGCGGTTGGACTTTTTGCAAAAAAAGAAAAGAACGAGAAAAAAAAATCGGCCCCGGCCAAAGATCAAGTGTGCTAGATGGCGTCCCTCCAGAGCCGCGAGCATCCTCATCCCTCTATTGATACAACAGTCGCACACGTGATACAAAGAGTCTCCTTCCGAGATAGTAAGAGAAAAGGGTGGCTCTGTATCCGGAAAATGAACATGCCGCCACTTAGGTGACGATATCTCCGTTTGTCGCCGGCGGCTGAACCTGCTTGCCGTGCCCGACCGGGGCATGGTAGCTGCCAATGCTCTGAAAACCCCTGGTAAATTGTTAGCGAGAGACATCACACGGCATTAGGGACTGGCTAGGTGCATACTTGGTTAGATCAAAGCCCTGGTCCTCCTCAATCTCGGCGGTTGGGCTTGGGGGGTCGTCCACTACGGCGCGGCTGGGCCGCGTCGGGCTCGCTACTGGCGATTTGCTCCGCGCTGGAGCTGGGCTGCTGCTCTGGGGCGGCAGGGCCCCGTGCGGCTTCGACGGGCTTAGGTCGAACTGAGTGGGCTTTAGCGGCGTACTACCAATGTCGGCATATTTCCAGAACGGAGCGGGAGAGCTGGTCGGCATGTGCTGGCTGGGCCGTTGGGCCGTGCTGGGGGGAGCGAGCTTGAGATGAACTCGGTGTGGTGCCGGCGTGACAAAGGACGCACCGTCTTCTTGTAGGTATGACGACGTCAACGTCGGGGAACCAGGCACGTTGTTATTCTCCGAGGCCCCTAGCGTGCTCGAGGCGTTGTTCTTGCGGAGGCGAGGTAGAGGGCTACCGTCGGCTCCCGTTCCCGCTTCGTCGGGGAGGGGCTTGCGAGAGCTACGTACGGGCGTCTGGTGCGAGCCTCTAATTGCCGGCGCCGAGCGCGGTTGGGGCGAGCCAGAAGGCGACACCTTGCGCTTGCGCGCTGAGACGGAATCTCTAGCCGCCATGTCTCTCGGGCCCTGTGTGATGTAGTTCAGCTGGCTTGGCGACGACGGGTTGGACGAGCCTCGATGGCCGCCGCGGCCGCCCCGGTAGGCGCTGCGGATCATATCCTCGCGCGTCTCGGCCACGAGCTGCCACTTCATGCCCTTCCCGGGCTCGTCTGTAGAGCGCGCAACCTTCTCAAACGACTTATTGAGTGAGAGGTTATGCCGAATGGAATTCTGAGGGATATCAGCACTGATCGGGTTAGCAATGCGCTCGCGCAAGAAACATACCTGCCAGCCCGACGGAGGTTGATGGCGATAATACGAGTATCTGCTGGTGATGAAATTGTAGATGCCGTTGAGATTAAGCTTCTCGTCCTGCGTGTGAGTGATGGCCTGGGTTATCATCTGCGCATAGCTATACTGCGGCTTCATGTGCTTGTTCTCATCCAAGCTCAGGTCGGCATCGTGGTTACCAGTCATCATCATCAACGGTGTCTGCTCAACGGCCGGCGAGGTTTGGGGAGCAGCAGCTCGGCTCCGAGCGGATGGAGGCGTGCCAGGGCGTTTATAATCAGGCGGGGCCGGAGCCAGAGTCTTCTGAGGGCCAGAGCCCTGGTTACGAGAGGATTTGACCTGAGGACTAGACTGCAGTGCCTGAGCCTCGCCCGACGACGGCAGCGGACGGCGAGGCGGGCGAGACGACGAGGGAGAGCCGGGCTTTGCAAGACCCGCCCGTTCGAGGTACCTCTCGTGGATATGCAGCGGGCTGAGGTCGATGGGCAGGACGAACATCATCTCGGTGCCGGCAATTTCAATGACCTCGCCGCTCCGCAAAGGGCCCTTCTGGCCCGACTTCCAAAGCGTGCCGTCCACCTTGAGCGAGTTGCGACCCTTGACCACCAGCCACCACTCCTCTACGTCGTGGTTGAAGTAGACAGCCGCATGCTGACGCGAAATCATCTTGCTGGGTCCGAGGTCGATGTGCACAGCAGGGTCGGCGTCGCCATCCTGGTCAGGCCGCTTCTGGGCTGCGGGCTCCGAGGAGCGGCCGATGTTGACAGTGAGGGCCTTGACATAGTAGGTCCAGTCCTGGGCGGCGATTTTGGCGTAGGCCTGCACGCCCTCCTTGTGGGACTCGTGCATGCTGTTGGCATGATCGCTGCTGGCCTGCGCGGCGTCCACGGGCGCGGCGAGATGGTGCGTTACGCGCGTGACAAGCTGGTCTTCGTCCTCTTCGTTGACGCCGGACTGATCTGCGACAAGCGACGAATTCTCCTCCTCGGGCTCGACGGGCGCATCGTCATTCTATCCAGACAAGCAGGCGGGGTTAGCCGGGAACTGCGAATGGAAATTCAATGCGATTGTATCGATTGGGGAGGGGCGGGCAATAACAGGAAGGGGACGGGCGGGAGCGGGGAGGGGAGGGGGTTGGAAGGCAAAGGAAAGGAGGGCGATCGCAAAGTCAATAAAAGCTTGGCGACTTAGTCTGGCCCCTTACCTTCTTGCGACGCTTCTGGGGGCGCGACGGCGACGAGGGCTCTGCGATGGCATCGCTGCGTAGCTCTCGACGAGGACGCTGCGCTCGCGTCTGGGGTGTAGGCATTTTGACGAACGGCTGTGCGGCGCTGGTTGGGCGCAGGACGTCGCTAGATCATCAAGATGTATTCGCAGGTTGGAAGGGGTGAGGATGGGTAACGAGGGAGGGGTGTTGGCGTGGGTGGTGCGTGGTGGTAAGAATTTAGAATGCCCGCAGCTACCGCAGTTCCTAGTGCAGGCAGGGAGGCCAGAGATGCGGCGCATTCAATTGACAGTTTCAGCGAGCGAGCAAGCGTGGTCAACTTTTGCAGCGGCCAGGCGCTGGTTGGCGGGCTTGAGAAAAAAAAACACCAGAGAGCTGGGAAAAACCTGGGAGCGCTCGAGTGGTGGCGGCCAAAATGCCCTGTTTTTTTTCCTTTGTGGACTTTGGGTCAAGGGGGACTGGTGGAGGGCAGACAATCCGCGAGTTTGGAAGAAGAGTGCAGAACGAACTTAAGATGGTGATTTGTTTAATTGACCACACGACGCTTTCTCTACTCGAAGATTTTCGCGTCGCCCCGACTCAAAGGCACGCGCAGGTAAGCCGCACATATGTTGCCCAATTGCGGCTCTCCGATTGTTGAATTGTGGGGGGTTAAGGTGGGGTGCACGTGCCGGGGGCGCTGCCCGTGGTCAAGCTTTGTCGTCATTCAAAGAATTGGGCGGGCAGGAATAAACCAAAGAAGAAAGAAAAGCGTTTAAAAGCCGCCCAACCTTGCCATTTTTTTTTTCGCTCTGGTCCGAATATTTATCTATTGAGGGGGGGTATTCGCGGCCAGAGCCCTGCTTGCTTTGGCAAAGGGAACTTCTCGGCAATCGTAAGTCACGGGACTTTTGGGGTATTATTCTAGAGATAGAAGACACCAGCCATCTCAACAAATCGGCATATTCCGTGCGCCTGGCTGTCCACTTGATTGCTTTTCCCTTCCTTCGGAGACACCAATTCCAAGGGGGACGGAGTATACGCACCTCGCATCTCTCCTCAATGCAGCCAGACTGGCAATCAGTCAGTCAATCAATCAATCAATCAATCAATCAGTCAATCAGTTTGCTTCCTGTCTACCATACCTACCCTAGTTCCCTCCCCGGGCCAGTACCCTAGGTACCTTGCTTGCGCATCGAGGGGGAGGGGATGTGAGGAAGCTCTGTCCCTGGAATTCCCACTTCGATAATCCACTATCTAGTGCACCGAGATAGAGCCCTTGCTGGGTCGGTTACTTTCTTATTTATATTTCTTTTAGGGGTTTTAGCTAGCCTAGGCTATTCTATTGTTTTACTTTCTAGCGCACTAGAAATTCTTCCAGACTCGGCGAGACAATCAAGTTCCAGGGTCCAGGTCTGTGTAGAGGAGCGAGGCACAGACCCGCCCGCAAAGCCCGCAAAGCCAACCTGGAAGCCCAGCCTAGCCCAGCCACCAGCCGACGACAAACAAAGGGGAACAGTTTCCGTAAGGGAGGAAAAAAACTCAGAACCGACACGCGCGTTGATCCTCCCTCCCGAGGACTGTGATAATTACGGAAAGGAGGGGGTTGAAAATAGGGAAGTTTTTCCTCGCTGCGGAGTTTGTAATCACTATTCTACATTGGGTGATTCTACCTCGCCTGGCCGACTTCCTTTGTGTGAAGCCCTCTCCCTTTAGTACTTTGCTCTTCCCTTTTCTTTATCCCCTTTTTCTTTCACTACCCAGGAGACTACCTAGGTAGGTAGAACTCGGCCTTCACTAGAAAAAAAGGGGGGCGGTAAATTTACCGAAACCCAGATTGAGAAACAAGGTAACGCTCGCTCAAACAAAAACAACAACACTTGGGTAGCTTCCCGACTTACATTTGCTTGTATTCATGTGCAAAATTTATCAGGTGGCAAACGCACGGAACAAAGAGAAGAGAGATCTCAATTTCTTACGCCTCCCCTACAGGTTTCTCGCTCGCCGAGGGAGGTAAAAAAAGCGAATTGACATCCCTAATGTATAACTGTATCTATCTATGTACATATTTTTACAGCCTAGGTAGGCAAGGCAGCTAGCGAATGGCAGAGTGAAGATTTGCTTTTTCGTGTATCAACAAGATAGACAGACACAACAATCTCTCCTCGTCCGCCTGTTTTCTCTTATATTTCTATACCTCGGGGGGCCACCATGCGACAACAACCCACCAAACCCACCCGCGGTTCGAATTCTGGTGGCAACTCAAATAAAATAAAATCGAATCAAATATGAGGTGAGGTGAGGTGAGGTGAGATGAGATTTTAACAAAAACAATGCCGCTGCTTTATACAAGGAAACGAAACCAAGCCAAACCCAAAACCCGGCACCAGTAGACAGACAGACAGACAGACAGGTAGGCATACACTCAAACACACACACACACACATATATATATATATATATATATATATATGTACTGTGCTGTGAACGTGTAAAAAAGTGTTTCTTCACCCTCTCAGACCCGTCTATTTCGGACTCGTCCCCTCCAAATTTTGTCTCTCGTCAAACGCCTCTATTTCTATGTACATACAATGCCCATTTCCCCGGTTTCTTTTTTACAAAATAATTACACACAGTCTGGAGAGAGGAGAAAGGGCCGCCGGTACAGCTGTTTGTTATACGCCTCTTGCCAGACAGGCGGTTCAAAAGAGGCTCTTCATACCCACCCGTGGTATAGCGATTGGGGTTTTTTCTTCCTTTTTTCTTTTTTTGTAGCTTGAGTGGCGTAGTAAGAGGCGTCTGACTGCCTGCCGGGTCCGCTGGGAAGGGAAGGCTGGCTCCGACCCCCTGAGGGGTTTGTAAACAACGAGAACGAAAACATGGAAGCAGGCAGACTAAGGGCTAGTCTTGACGGCTCCGCTAGTCCGCCTGGCCTTGGGGTTGCTGCGTCCCGTGTTCTTCTTGCTGCCACCGCCGCTGGCCTTCTTCTTGTCGCCCCCCTCGATGAACTTGATAAGATCGTCGATGCTGCGGCTGTCCATAGAAGCGGGCGGCGTTATCTTTCCAGGAAGCTCCTGCCCGGCGCCCGTCGCCAGCGAGCCAATGCGGAAGCCAGCCTTGGCGCTACGTGCCTGGACATTCTTGGCCTGCTTGGCGATCGACACGGCGTTGTGTGTCAGCTGCTCCAGCCAGTGCTCCGCCTCCTTGGTGTTCTTATCCTCGGGACCCAGAGCGGACAGGAAGATGTTGTAGCTCTCGCGCATGCGGGTGACGGCGCCCTTGGAGTCTTGGTCGAGCGCAAGGGCCTGGGCCAGCTGGAACAGTAGGGTGGCCGAGTTGACCGTCTGCCTGCCAAAGACCAGCTCGCAGACGCGGAGCGACTCTTCAAACCACCGGCGCGACTCGTGGTAGGCCTTGACGCTCTGGAGCATGACGGCATAGTTGTTGATGGTGGTGATGGTGTCGGGGTGGTCGGATCCGTAGATGATCTTCCACAAGTCAATCGCATGCTTGGCGTAGACGAGCGCGACCCTGCTCTCGCCGCGCTGGTGCAGGAACAGGCTGAGGCTGAGGTAGTTCAAGACGGCCTCGGCCGAGTCCAGACCAACGGTCCGCTCGGCAACAATGGCGGCTTTCCTGGCGAGCTCCACGGCCACTTCCTTCTGGTCGAGCTGGTAGTACAGCTGAGAGAGCGTGTGGTACATCTGGGCAAGCTCGGGATGGACGAGACCATAAATCTGCTCGTGCAGTGATAGCGACTCGAGCAGGAGATCCTCACCGACCTTCCTGTTGTTCTGATAGATGGACAGGCGGCCGGCTTCCAAGGCCTCCTCGGCCAGAGCGCTGCGGGGGCACGAGTCCTTGATGAGGGGCACGACGTTAACAAAATCTTCAGGGCTGAAGGTGTGCGGCGCGACCGTGAACGACGCGATGCTAGAGGGCGACCCATCGCGCGCCTTCTTCTTCTTGCTCTTCTTGGCCGGCTCTGCCGGGGTCGGGGCTTGGGCCTGGGCACTGGCAGCGGGCGCGGGCGCGGGCTCGCCGGCCTCGGGAGCAAAGACAAAGTTCTTCGTCTGCAGCTGGAGTCCCAGCTTCAGCGAGACCTCGCGAAGCATCTGGAGGGGCATAATCTGGCTCCACCAGCCGTCCTCGAGCGTATATCTGTACCGGCGAAGGGTCTCGTGTTCGATGTCTTCCCGCAAGCTCTCGGGCGTGACCTTCTCAAAAGCGAGATCTACATGGGCGAAAAGACTCGGGAGGGACTCATCGACGTCGGGCACTGGCTTGGGATTCAGCCGAGACCCGAGAAGGCAGTTGAAGAGGTGGGAAAAGCAGGGAGACGTCAGTGGCAGCGGCAGATATTTCAGGTACTTTGCGGCGACATGCTTAAAGGACCTCGCAATCATCTCGCGTACACAGAGCTTGGAAAGACACTCGACACGGCTGTTATCGGCGCCAAGGGTGGCAAGCTTTCCGAGGTAGCGCATGTTGATGCCGCGGCGGTGCAGCAGGCGAGTGAGCGACCGGCCGTCCATGGGGAAGCCAATGTCTGACTCTTTCAGGTCGTACAGGAGCTGCGGGATAACGCCATCGCGGAGGTACGCGCAGGCAGCCCGGACATTCTCCTCGTCTTCTTTCAGCTCGGCCTTCTCCTCGTCGGTCTGGGGAAGCTGGCCACTGAACACGTCGGGATTCAGCGTGAAATTGAATTCGGCCATGTCGATGCGGTCCGTCTTCTCGGCTTCCTCTTCGACCTCTGCCTTGACGTCGGATTCAGTCTTGTCGACCGACATCTCTGTATCTTCGGCTTTGGTCTCGCCGTTCGTCGCAATCTTTTCCGCCTCGGCTTCTTGGTCCGCCTCAGCATCCTTCAGCTCTGCGTTGCCGTTGGTGGTCTTCTTGAGGCTTCCGCGCTTTACAAGCTCGGCCTCGACGTATTCGCGAGCTTTCTGCTTGCCCAGGGCTTCGACCAGCTCGGGACGCAGCACCGTCATACGGTGGGGGTATTCGGCGCCCTCAATAGCGGTCTCCTCCATCCAGGCGATGTCTAGGGGCGTGATGCGGTATAGATCCAGCACGTACTTCCTGCCGTCGGTACCAAGCAGACCCTTCATTTCAACGCTGGCTTCAAGATCGAAGCGCTTGTTTTCCTTGTCCCACACGGCGTGCTTCTTGACCCTCAGGGCCTGTGCGACCTTGGCAAAGGTAGACGCAAATCGCTCATCGGCGGCGACGTTCTCCTTGCCATCGACGGCGCCGTAGTGGATCTGGTTCTCGCCAGGCTCGGGCTGCTTGAATATTCCGGGCACGATGCTCTGGCCGACGATGCGCTTGCCTAGGTAGTCAACGACGACGGTTCCCGGCGTGTACAATCCTTCAATGTCAAGCTGGTTGACGAGCTTGACGCCGAGGACATCCTTGCCCGTAGCAACTCTGGCCGCCTCGTCACCGCCCTCGGTGGTGAAGGTACCGACACCGTCGGCACCAAACGAAAAGAAGACGTTGTTGTAAACAAAGATCTGGGCGTCCCGACCCTCGGTGGGGTTGAGGGGCGCGACCTCGCCACGAGCAACCAGAACGGCTCCGCGCGTAGCAGCGTCGTTGTAGTCGGCATAGAGCTTGCAGAGTAAACGTTCTCTGAAGAGGCGGTCCTGTATCGTGTCCTTGGGCAGTTCCTTGGCCGACTGGAATTCCTCGTTCCAGTCCCTCAGTGTATCTGTGTTCTCGGCACCGCCCAGCAGAAAGGTCTCCTGGACCCGGGTGGGGTCGGCGCTGTGGGCACACAGCGGCGAAGAAGAAGACGGAACCAGCCACGGGGCCGAGGGGAACGTGTTGCCAACCTGAAAAGTGGCTAGGGGGTCTTTGCGGTTGGTGAATTCCTGGAACTCGGCGTAGGATGCGGCAAACGACGGCGATATCTTGCCGAGCAGGGTGAAGAGGGAGTGCGCCGACGTTCCCTTGGGGCCAGCCTTGAGGAAGGGATCAAACTTGGCATTGGTTGACTTGCTGACGAAAAAGCCGCCGACATGTGCAGTGATTTGGAACTGCTCGCCCTCGTTGGTCAGGACCAGGAGGTAGAGCAGGTGGCCCCTCTGGCGCAGGGGAGCGGGCGGGGGGTTCCACGGGGACAGCGAGATGCCCTTGACGGATTTGGGTGCTGGCTCTGTATCTCGGGGGAGCAGGATCGACAGCGAAGGGGCGGCGTTGAAGTCATACTCAGCGGCCTTAGCCTCAGCGTCGGCGTCAGTGTCGGGTCCCAGAGACAGGAGGTGTTCGGGCACGACGTCGTCGAAAACGGAGGTGCCAGCGAGAATGCCCTGGATGGTGTCGGTGCGGTCTCCGGCGGCTCCGATAAGCTCCCTGATGCGGATCAGGTGGATGCGGGCCTCCTTCTCTGTGTATGGGTCCTCGACAACATGTAGCTCCGAGCCGTGGACGAGGCCATTGACCTCGGAGACCTGAAGAAAGTCGTTGAGTCGCTCGCCCTTGTGTTCGAGGTGGAAGCACGAGTACTGGACGGCAATAGGGTGCTCGATTATCGATTGGCGAATTTCGTGGATGGGTTCCAAAGAAGATACCTGCGCTTTCTTAGAACATATGGCCCGGTCTTGGGGTTCTCTCGGCCTTTCCCAGCAAGCCGGTGGGTGGGCTTGCTGGGAGGGAGCGAATCACGTACGGGCAGCTCAAATGTTTTGGGGTCGTGGGGGAGGACGATTGTAACGACGAAGGGGACGTCTGGTGGTCGAGATTCATGTTAGACAGCGTCTTCCTGCTGCACGACACGGGACTTGGACCTCCCGAGGAGTACGCACCATCTTCGACCTGTTCCGCGCCGTCGTCTGGCGACTGCTTTGTCGTTGCCGTCTCAGCGGACAAGTCCTGACTTATGGGGGCATCGGCTGCCGGGCTGGCTGTTTGGCGGGAGCTAGGTCAGTCGACACGGGGTAGGGCCATGGGAGAAGAGACGTTGCAGCATGCAACGTACCAGGTGTGGCATTGGTGCCGTTTGTTGAAGATGTCGTAGCCATTGTGCTTTTTTCTCTTGGTGATGGACACTCCGGGCAAAAAAAAACCAAAGAAAAACCCCCCAAAAAAACCGCGTGTTATTGGAGAATGAACAGGAAGTACGGGGTAGAGATAAAAGTGAACGGACAGAAAAGAAACGCCCAATTAGATGAGTAATTAATAGTTAATCCGTAGCACGCACTCGTTATCTTGTCGAACACGGGAAAGGGAACGACTGCGAGGGTAGTAGGTATGGGCAATGGCTGGCGGGCGGACTCAGGGCATCCGGTGACTCTATAAATTTTTTTCAGATCTTCGTGCAGCACCTTGCCAACTTTTTTTTTACGATGCCCGCAGATTTTCGCGCGGGAACAGCCGGCCCATTGGCGAGTCAAGCACCTTGACGGGGACCTAGGTCGGAGCGAATCGGGGGGCCGCCTTGAAGCCCAGAAGCCGACCAATCCGAGCGAGACGCCCCAGACAAGCTGTGGGTTACATGGGTCTGACTCCCCACCATGCAGGCGGCTAGGCCCAAAGTGTCAACGCCAGGTAAACATCCAACAAAGAAAACATGGAATTCGTAACACATCTCATTACAGCGACGACGACGACGGTGACTTTTTTTTTTTTTTTTTTTTCAACGACACGGTGCTAACGTCCACGGCTTTTTCAATAATTATTGCATGCATGATACAAGACATGGCATAACCCGATTTTGCCTCCTTTTTTGTCAGTTTTCTTTGCCTTTTTCTTCTCTTCATTCATGTCGCCATTCTCATGAGCCCTGGCCTGACAGCTTTGTCCCGTCGCCCATCATAGCATATTGCACACACTGCCCTTCAGATTACTTACTCCTCGCGGCAATGGATCAGCAGTCGTTGCCGCCAACCGGACGGAGCACTGGCCCCAAGTCAACACACCCAACACTGCCACAGGCCCAGCCGTGGACGGCGACGAGATGCCACCGCCTGCTCCGGCCGCTGCTCGCACACGTCGCGGCGCTGAGAAAGGAGAGGATGCGCAGCCATGCGACCGGCCCCGACGGCGCATTGCTCACAACATCTTCTGGCCCCGCAACAATATCAACATCAACATCAACGAGCGTCCCGGGCAACAAGAGGCACCACCCAGACGCCGAGCCCGGCCTGCCCGACAACAGGAAGAAGATCCGCCACAAATACTCCAGCAAACCATCCCGCAGAGCAGCAGCAGCAGCAGCAACAGCAGCGCGTCACGACACCGACGACGCCGTGTGCACGCCCCCGCTGCGGCGGCAGCGCCGTCTGGCCGGTAACAGGCCGGCTGCCCAGGACGCCGTGCTGCCGACGCCCTTCCTGCGCCGCGTGCGAAACCACCAGCTCTCGTCGCCAACGCCCAGGCAGCAGCAGCAGCCCGGGATAGATACGGCGTGCAACGAGGCGGGGCGAAAGTGTACCGCTGCTGCCGCCCCGGCCGCTGAGCAACAGCAACAGCAACAGCAACAGCACCACCAGCGGTACAAAGCGTCGTCGGACCCGACTAGCCGAGCCGTGGGCGCGCTGGACGCCCTACTGCGGGCGACGAGCCGGCAGCGCAACGCGCGCGTGGCGGGGCCGCGGTCGCTGCTGGCCATGTGCCTGCGGCGGGTGCCCGAGTACGTGGCGGCGCTGGAGGCGTGGGAGCGGCACGACGCCGAGGCCAAGCACGGCTCGCAGTCAACCCTACACAAACCCGACCTGTCGTTCGACGTCTACTCGGACCTCGAGGCGCTGGGCGTCGCCGACGGCTGGCGCCATTTATGTTTGGTCGTGCGCGCCCACGGCCTGCGCGTCGTCGCCGAGGCCGTCGCCGAGGGCCTGTTCGACGACGATGCTGCGGCCGCGCTGCTGCGCCTGTGCCGTCTTGAGCACGCCGTGCCGCGCGCCGAGCTTGCCGGTCTTGTTGATGCTTTTGTCTTGCGTCAGTATCCGCGCCCGTCCAGCCCGCATGAGAACCTGTTCGCGTCGCCCGACCTCGAGCCGCTGCGCGCTCTCCGGGCGCTGGAGGAAGAAGACGATGCCGAGAGTGGGCAACCGCTGCTGCTCGGCAGGCTCGCGGCCCTGCTGTCCAGCGGCCTGCTGCCCGCCGACTGGATCCTGACCGGCCACTTCCGGGCGCTGTTTTCGGCGGCGGTGCGGCGCGTCGCCGACCGCCAGCCTTGCCAGCACGCAGCCGACTTCGTCGCCAGAACGCTCGAGCAGCTCTGCCGGCTGGCGTCGGCCAGGCACCGTAGGGGAACTTTTGGGGGAGAGCCCGGCGACAAGGCCCAGAAGCTTCTGGTTGCGTGGGCCGCCGCGCTCGGGTCCATGGTCCTGCTTGGCCGACGGGACGGTGGTGGTGGCGATGGCGGTACAGAGGGCGCCGAGGGCGGTACAGAGGGCGCCGAGGGCGGGCCAGGAGGCAGGCATGATGTTATCAGTAGCCGAGTGTGGTGCATCATACGTACGTGCAGTGACAGACTGCAGAGCCGACGCACAGCGGGAGCCGCCGCCCAAGACCTCGGCACGTACATCATGAGTCTGTTCGAGGTTCTGTGCTTTGAGCCCGGGGCTTCGGCCGACTCGGGCCCGGCGGCCGTGGTCGAGGGGGGGTGGAAGGGCGTGGTGGACTGTCGGGGCAACGACAGCGTGATGCGGCGATACGACGCCACCGTGGGGCTCGCCAGCGCGCTCGCGCACTGCTGCAGCCGCGGCACCGGCACGGCCAGCAGCAGCAGCAGCAGCTCGCCCAACGACCACCTCGCGCAGCTCTGCGACAGGCTGGCCACGCTGCGCCTGCCCGCCAACGCGCTGGCCAACATGCGCGTCGACGGCGCCTTCTACCTCGCCGAGCACACGGGCAACCTGCGCCACCTCGCCTTTGCCGAGAGCCTCAAGGCCCAGGCCCAGGCCCAGGCCCTGTCCGGCGCCCCTGGAGACGGCGCCGGGACGAGGCAGAGCACGACAGGCGGCAACGAGAAAAGGGAGACATGGTCCGCCGGGTTCCACTGGGACGACGGCATCAGCGAGTGGGTTGCCGTCGCCAGCCCTGTCGGCCCAGCACGGCCGCTCACCAGGCAGCTGGCCAAAACCAGGAGTCTTCCAGTTCGTGCAGCTGTTGGCAGCAGCCAGCTCCCCGCGGCCGTGACGCGCGTCCTGAGACTCGGGACCAGGACCACGTCACGGACGCGTCGTCAGACGCCGGATAGCGAGGCAGAGGCCGAGGCCGAAAGCAAGGCCGAGAGCGATACTACTAGCAGCAGTATCAACTCGGAGGCCGACGACGACGACGACGACAACGACGACAGCCCATCCCAGTCGTCGTCGCCGGGCACTGAAACGTCCATCGTCTCTGCCCCGGACCAGGCAAACCTAGCATCTACGCTGTTCTCTTCGTCACGGGCAGCGGCAAACTACGGTCCTAGTCGGCAGCGGCGGCGGCGGCAGCAGCAGCGGAGACATGATCAGCCACTCCCTTTCAGCGAAGATGAAATCAGCCCCGACGAAGACGAGGACGAGGACGAAGACGAGCTCTCCTTCCACGAACCCCCCGGCCGCACCAAGGACAGCAAGCGGCCCGCGAGCAGCAGCAGCAGCAGCAGCAGCAGCAAGAGGGTTTCCCTGCGTGCTTCCACGTCGTCGGGCTCGCTGCTGTCCCTCGCGCCGAGGAGGGGCCGACTGTCCACTACCAACACTCACACAGCCACCATTGCCAAACCACTGCATTGCCATCGTAGCAGGAATAGCAGCGTTAGCCTCAGCAACAACGCCACGAGTAGCCACTATGAGTCCAGCGACGACGAGCTCAGTCTCGTCTACTAGCCCGCCGCACCCTTTTCCCGCATAGCATGACAGCAAGGAGCATGATTTTCCTAGCCCCTTTAGCATCGCAACAATAACACAGTTGCCCGCACGTATAGCAGTAGTATTGAGAGAACCCAGAGCACCATGGGGAAGGACAGAAAACTTGCATACACCTACATCGCATACCTACCTACCTACCCATCCTCCTGCCTTGCCGAGCTATGTAGCGCCATCGACATATTCCCTCGATCCACGGAAAAGAAATAATAGCGACAAAACGCGTGGCCTGCCTGTCGGCCAAACACTAGCACGCATGAACGGTCGTGTCATGTCGTGCGTATGCGGGGATTCCCATTGAAAAGAAGATGCATGGAGTCAGTACATGGATTATGCCATGGGCAGCGTGCTGTGGGGAGGAGAAGAAGGAAGGGCAGAAATGAAGGACAGAAACGAAGGACAGTAGTTCCAGTTACTGATACCTACAGTATGCTATTCCAAAGCATATTCATTCTCGCCCCTGTTTTCCCGCCACGTTTATTTGCATTTGCTACCTAGGCGAGGAGAGGAAGGTTTAAGTATGGGGGAGTGTCGGGAATAAAATACATGTATAATGCATTGTACATATAGGAAGAAATGTTGATTTACGGAATACTTACTTGTTATTCTGCCAATCTACCTACATAGAATGTACTTTGCGAGTGTGTGCACGCGCGTGTGTGGTCCGTTCTGAGACAAGTCCCGGCCTGTTGTCTCCCGCATTTCCGGGTCGGGTTCAGGGTGACTCCGGCAGGCGGCCGGACGGCATTGTTGGCGCGGAAGACCGGTGGCAATCACAAGGTAGTAGATTTGGAGCAGTCAATATGCTACGTGCCACTGCTAAGAAGACTGCTTTACCTTGACTAGGTACCCGAGGTATGGTGTGGTAGATAAGGAAGATAGATAGCATAACAGGCCATAGTGTATGGGACAAACTGCACATCTCTTCAAACTACATACACCAGCAAGAAGAAACAGCGACAAGCATGTAATGGGCGAAAATTGCAATATTATTACTATCGTCATTGATCTTACACCGTAGAATCGCTAACTTATACCCGAACAGGTACATGCAAAAAGGAAACCGCCAGGCTGTTAACGCTATCCACTAGCGAGCGCATGGAGCCTTATCAAGGCCAAGGTGTAAGAACGCCCGGCAGCTACAACTCGATGGACGAGAGTTGTACATCGCATCCTGGCGATATGTCATTGGTTAAAATCCTCGACCGCACTTGGACTCGAACCAAGTGTCAGACCTTTTTGAACTACGTTCCTCCGCAACCACTTTCAAGGTGTATGACTATTTGTGAGTTCCAATAGACGGCACTACCGTTATGCCATACAGCCAATGGATTTTACTTGGATTTGGCCGGTGGCAAATGGAAAAGAAATAACCGTAAGGGAGGAAGAAAGAAAGAATAGAGAAAAGGGATCTTCTCCTATCATCCCACCACCTAATTCAGAAACCTGCACGAGGTGAACAACGTCCAGGAAAGAGCACATTCCTACCTGGGATCGTCATCATCCCCATCACCATCGCCGGCACGACATGCCCTCCCTCAATGCAGGGCGTATGTAGATAGGTGGTAGCCAAGGTACCGGTAGATAGATACGTACGTACGTAGCAAAGCCAAGCTGGCGAACGATGAAACGGCCTCGCTGCTGCTACCTCCTTCGCGTGGAGTTGCCCTCCAAGGAATGAATTAGTTCACTTGTCCATCATGCAGTGGTCGCGTGGTGATGTTTGCTCCCATCCCCACCCCCAATATCTCCATCTCCATCTCCACCTTCATCTGATACCCACCGCCATTTGATACCGAACTAGTGGTGGGTAGTGGGTGGCTCTTGGTCTACTACCTGGTAGATAGTTGGAAGAAAAAAGGAAGTCCATACAAATGTAACCCTGCGAGGAATCTAGTGTCTTACGCATGTTTGTTTTTGCAGGACTTAACTACAGTCCCGGTGGGGACTCTCAGTCGGCGACTCTGGACGGGGCGGTATCTGGCTGCCGCGTTGCTGTCTATCGAGTTGACTGTGGGAGAGTGCTGTTTTCTTTCGACATGCCATTGGCTTGCTCTCCACAAAAAGGAGAAGGGGCTGTGCGAGTACACGTGCGTGTTGGATTTTCCTTCTTCACTTACGCGTCTCAACCGGGGAAAGCACAGCGCGTCAACCATCACAACTCTCAGAGGGTGTAGTCAGCGGCTTCGACTTGCCCACTTCCATCCCCAAACGCGGTCCCATTCTTTTAGCCAAACACTGGCCAGGTGGTTGGCATATGTCGTAAGCTTGCACACAGCTGAGGGGGTTTCGGAAACCGATACGATGACGCAAGACATGGTCACGTACTTCTTTCTCTGCGCATGTTCATGTGAATTCTGGACAGACAGACGGACAGGCAGACGGATGGGCGGACAGCGAACCGTTTCAACGCCGTCGACACATTTCGGGGGGTCAGGCGGTTATCTGATCTCGTCTGATTCCGGGGAGCAAGCACGCACGCTGCCTTCTCCAACTCCAGACTCTGTTTGGAAATCTCCAATTCATTGCCGAGCACCCGCACGCCGGCAAGGTGGGGGGAGTTAGGGGTAGGTGTGTTCGTGTCGGAGAAGTCCCACTTGGCTTCGCAGCGCATTTCTGGCTATTTGCGGCTCTGTTTCAATGCAGAGAATCTCCAACATGATGGGTTTCCATGGATGGATATGCCGTCGGTCGGTAGGCTTATACCCCACTCTCGTTTGTAGTCGTGGTCCTCTTCTCGCTGCTAGCATCCATCATCGGGCCCGAACTAGACAACCCCTCTGCCGGAGGATCATCAAGGAAAAAGGTAAACGGCTACCAAACCTCACCTCGCTCGCTGTGCCTCGTTCATGAATTGCGGAGGTCACATCGAACCTCGCCGTACCCGCTGCATTGACGAGCAGAGTGGGGGGGGGGCGCTGGTGATGTGCACTACGAGGCACGCGATGCCTTGCCTGGTAGCCAGTCTGCCAGTCTGCCAGTCTACACAATGATACCTTACCTTGGTTAGGGACGTCTGGTGTGGCACCGAGAAACCAGAAAATACCTACCCCCGTGCAATGGCTGGCTACCTTTGCTTGCCATTGCCAGCCCCCCCCCCGTTCCCTTAGATCGTCCGATTTCCAGTCCGACCACAGACAGGACAGGCCGGTGTGGTGCGGGTGTGGTCGCACGAGGAATGATCGCCGACGCCTGGCCCTGGCAAACACGCGTCGCCCTGGCCAGAAGAAGCAAAATGGAAGAATTGTAACGACGGTCCAAAAAGAGCAGCGGACGTGACATGCGAAACTGCGAGGGGAAAGAAAGAAGATCAAGTCATCTTCCACCAGTCGGGACTCGGCAGGTTCAAATCTTGGTGTCAGTAATAATCCCCCCGGGCAGTTGAGAAGGTATTTGTCTTTTGTATTCCAATTTTCGCTACCTTTGCGCCCTGTAATTTTAGGCCTGTCGTGTCGTCGTGAGGCGGCATATCTTTCCGACTTTTCCTCGGGCAAAGAACCTGAAAACCCCTATTCGATTTTGATGAGTGGCTTCCTGCTGTGCCCCAGGAGAATTTGAACTTTTGAAGGGTAGCAGCAGGCCCGGCGAGCGCGGTGATTGGTAGGGCGGCGGCCGATCCTAGGCGGTGGGGGAGATTCTGGGCGTCCTTCTGGGCTCGAGTGGCTGAGGACAGCCAAGCATTTGTGGATATTGTGGATGGGCGGTTGGGATGCGCTAAGATCTGCCAAGGGGAGGGGCCCCTGATGCCCCGAAAGGTGCGTCGTTTCAGAGCTCTGCCCGTGCGTGGAGCTCATCAGTTGCCCCTCGATTCGACAGAAAAGCCTCTCGAGTCTTGGCGATGAGATCCGTTTCCGCGCCAGCGATTCGCCATTATCTCATATGGCCGCGTGGAGTGGCCCGCTGCAAGCCAGACGACTGGCCAGGTTTCTCGCCGGCACTGACTGCAAGCTTCCAAGACGCGAACAGCAAAATAGAGCCGGGGACTTCCCGGCGTCACTGCGCCGTATTGCCGTGGTTCGCAAGGACGACCCGCATGGCATTTTGCTGGTCTTCAACGGGCAGCGAGAACGGTGAACCAGACCGCCATCGATCCTGGAACCGACTCTCCGAGGCATTCAGTAGGTTGGCGATCCACATGCTTACGTATTCCAAGCATTTCTCGGCTCTGTGAAGGGTTTCCTGCGGAGGCAGAGGTAGAAGTAGATACTGTATTCCATGTCTCTCTTGGGTGCGGACTGTATCCCGGATCCTATGTGCATTCCGGGCATGAAGCCCCAGGCGGTTAGGTGCAACGGTTTAGGTGCTTCGTGCTGCCCTTGACCTGGCTACCCAAGGTTGTCGCCGCTAGCCGCTCTATCCGCCACAAACGGAGCCAGAGACGGTGGTAATCAGGCCTTGGGGTTGTCTAGCCAGGGACTACGTGCTCAGTAAGGTACTGGACGATGAGCAGAGCTGCCCAAGTTGCCTGCATGCAAGCAGTTTGAGTGACGCGGCGCCGTCAGGAAGCAAGACAGAAGCAAGCCACGCATCTCATGTCGAGTGGGCCAATTTTCCGTTCGGTCGAAAAGGGGCAGCTGCCCCGGGATTATAGGGGAGGGGTTGAGGGGAGGGGCCTGGGGGCGCTGGGGACCCCCTGGGCGCCACCCGAGCACTGTTTGGTGGCGTAATGTAAGCCGGGAGCTAAGGAGGGGCGCTCATCTCCACTCCACCTCCCTCCTTGGGCCCATTCCGAGGTGCGAAATAGGTACTTGCAGGTCCGTACCTCCTCCCGCCTAACGTGCGTATCTGACCCAGGATAATACTCAGGTAAGGGAGTCACTCATATTACCCAGCCTCCCAGGCCTCTTCTTTCTTGTTTGACCAAGTCCTCTTTCAGTTTGGTCGACGAGCCTCTTTTCCATTCCATCGTCCTCCCTGCACCTTCGCCGTGCTTTCACGTCAGTCCTTTAAACTTCTGTTTATTCACCATTTCCATTTCTGAACACCCCGCCAGGGTTTCAACATCTACTTCTCATTCCTTCCGTGTCCTACCAGTAACTGTGCAACAACAACTCCACAAACTGGTAAAAAGAAATACAGACCCCCACGGCAAGAACTTCGACGGCAAGAACTCATCCGCTGGACGATATTTTTCTTCTCGATCCATCAGTAAACCCGACGATCTGGACGATCTAAACACACCTGAACCCAGGATCGAGGATTTGCCCGACTTGGACAAGACATATCGAGCGGTCTCTTATCGACACTCCGCGCTGGACTCGGAGGGCGAATAGGAGCACCATTACGCACAACACTCATTTCAGCTGTCTACTGCAACACACCAGCGCATCTGCCACCAACCACGACACATGACTTGGATCTGGATCTGAGACGTGCCGGCATCGTCGATTTTTGTTGCAGTCGACCCACGAACCACCGCACACTGCGGTCTCGCTCTTTCTTTTCTTTCTCTCCACAGGGGCTAGCATGTCTTCCCCATCGAACTCGACCGTCGGCGGGAATGGTACGGCGGGTGCGGGCGCAGCGACGGGAGGAGCTGCAGCAGGGGCCGCTGCTGGGGCAAAGGCGAGCGTGGACCCCGATGTTGTGAACATCATGCTCTCCAACTACCTCCTCGTTGTCCTGGGCTCCATATCTGCGGCACTCCTCGTTTGGAGATTCACCACGGTGCTTGCCAGATACATCCGGACCGTGTCGTCCCTAAACAACGATACTCAGCGATATTTTGCGATACCCTCGCATAGGTTTGCCTGGTTTAAGCGGAATATCCAGTATGCGCCTCTGTTCAGGAAACGGCATAATCGTGAGTTCCAGCTCAGCTCTGCTCTGAATGTCGGCACCCTGCCCTCGCGCCTCCAGTTCGTGTTCCTCGTTGGCTACCTCGCCACCAACGTCGCCTTCTGCGTCATCACCATTGACTTTTCGGGCCCCATGAGGACAGTCGCGGCCCTCGTCAGGAACCGGACGGGCGTGCTGGCTATTGTCAATATGATCCCGTTGTTCCTCATGGCCGGCAGGAACAACCCGCTCATTAACTTGATTGGTATCTCGTTTGATACCTTCAACCTCCTCCACCGATGGCTGGGTCGCATCGTCATGCTCGAATCCGTCGCTCACACTCTTGCCTATCTCGTCAGCAATGCCGCAAACGGTGGATGGAACGCCGCTTTCCAGAAGACCCTCGGCACTCCATACTTGATGTGGGGGTTCGTCGCAACCTGCGCGTTCATCGCCATCAGCATACAGGCGGCGAGCATCTTTAGGCACTCATACTACGAGACATTCAAGCTAGCCCATATCGCTCTCGCCATCCTCTCGATCATTGGGGTATACTATCATTTGGACATTAAGAAGCTGCCGCAAATTCGATACCTCTTTCCAGTCATTGTTCTCTGGGTTGTTGACCGTGTTGCCCGTCTCATCCGTCTCGGGTACCGCAATATTGGTGCAGGCGGCACCCGGACATTGGTCGAGGCCCTTCCTGGCGGCGCTTGCCGCGTAACGGTAACGATGGCACGCCCGTGGGAGTTTAAGCCGGGACAACACGCCTACCTCTACATGCCTTCGGTTGGCTACTGGCAATCGCACCCGTTCACCGTCGCCTGGAGCGACGAGACTGATGCGGCTAGCGGCGAGAAGCTCCCTATGGACCGACAAGACGTGCTATCCGTGAAGAAAACCACCGTGTCCTTCATCATCCGCGGCCGGACTGGATTCACTGGTGCTCTTTACACCAAGGCATCCGCCAGTGTGGACGGCAAGTTTTCGACAAAGTGTTTTGTCGAGGGTCCATATAGGGGTTCGCACCGGCTGCACTCGTACGGCACGGTCATGCTATTTGCGGGGGGTATCGGCATCACGCAAGCTGTGCCGCATGTGCGCGACCTGGTTGCGGGCTACAGCAACGGCACGGCGGCGACGCGGAAAATTGTTTTGGTCTGGATCATTCAGACCCCCGAGCACCTGGAATGGATCAGGCCGTGGATGACGGAGATTCTGGCCATGGAGAAGCGCCGCGAGGTGCTTCGCATCATGCTCTTCGTCAGCCGGCCGCGGTCGACCAAGGAGATCCACAGCCCCAGCTCCACGGTCCAGATGTTCCCGGGACGTCCCAATATCGATAGGCTGCTCGGCATGGAGGTGGAGAACCAAATAGGCACGCTCGCCGTGACCGTGTGCGGCCCTGGCGCGCTCTCCGACGACGTGCGTAGCGCGGCAAGAAACCGGCAATACCAGGGCAGCGTCGACTTTGTCGAAGAGGCGTTTTCATGGTAGATGGTAGAGTTGACATTCTGAATTTGATCTGGTTTGGCGTTGCATAAAGACGTCGGCGTGTTTTTCGTGTGTATATATTCATGCCGCCCCCTCGCGTTGCACAGGCCGGCGGCGTACATATCTGGCCATGCTGTCAACTGTTTTTGGGGAGATCTGGGGAAACTGGAGCACTTCTTGTACATGTTTTGAGCTGTTCTGAACGAGGCGTCCGGCATCTCGGAATAGACGCGTGATTGTTGTCAAATCCAAACAAATGGATAAAAATCATTTTCATTTATCCTGTGCTGTTTCAAGCCAACCAAAACAACATCAGCTGGCGATCATAGGATTCAGCTTTAATGCTCTCCAGATAAACGCGTAAGCTCTTGTTCTTTCTTTATTAACAAACGGTATCGGAAGTTGAGAAGCACGTGGAACATCACCTCATTGCCTTGCCCACAGTGGCCAAGTGGACCACCAACTGACTGTAGAGTAAGACACCCCGCCGCCACACCTTATCCGTATTCCGTTAAGTTATGGATACCTTGTCCCTTTCTTTACTAGTCACTGCAACCTGGTCATGACAGAATCGCCCTATGGAACCGGTCATGTTTTGTTTTGCACGTCCGATAGAAGCGCATTGTCGACTTGGTAACCGTCCTGAGATTGCGGGCTTTGTTGGGTTGAGGAATTAGACGGCTGGCTAAGGTTGTTGAATGCACTCCTGGCCTTGGCTCAGCTGATTGCTCGCAGCCTCACCTGCCCCCACCCTTCAACGCCGGGCCAATCATAATGGGAGGCGTGGTCCAGGCGGCCTTCCCCATGCCTGCCACTGCAGTTGTTGGCACGGTCATCCGCCTCCACCCGACCTCAGTCGCCCGCCGCGGACCTAACCTAACCCTGCCTCACACCCCCATCCGTCATCGCCCAGTACCCTGGCCCAGCCCATTAACAGGACCCAAGTTGACCGCTCGACCGATCAAGCTTTCTCTTCTGTCCCGAGCTGGCGTCAGCTCCGTGCCTCCTTATAGTAACTTTCAATAAAGGCCCGACAAGACAGACGCTGAAGCAAGCAAGCAAGCAGAGAAAAGGTCGATTGCACCTTTACTGATAGAAGCACCCACCTAATTGTATGCCACTTCCGGTTCCTGTCCTGCGGCTTTTCGGCCAGCTCCCCGCGACCTCCACTGCATGTCTTTGGTGCCTTTCCTGGAGACGTAGGTACCGCCCATACCTTATCTTTAAGTTTTAGAGTTCCAAGGGGAGGCCAGCCCCTTGAACAGAGCGAAGCAGGTGCCCGCCGAAGCATCCCCGATTCTCGATCCCGTGCCTTTCTGCCTTGTCTCTACGTATCTTGCTTCTTTTTACTGGCAGCCTGCCTTGCTGCCTGTCCCCCATCCCCGCCTTCCATCCTACTCTCCGTGCCGCCGTACCGTATACCACAAAGCCGACGAACCGTATCCGACCATCTACCACACGACAGTCTATACCATATCGTCCTCGCACGACCGGTGCCACGGCTGTCTAGACTATCGAGCGACCGAACGAACCAGTGACAAACACATAACGCACGTACGAAGAGCACACACACACACGTACACCCGAGTCGCAGTAGGCGTCCCTCGTATACCATTCCAAGTTGCGGCTGAAAAAGCCTCACAAACCCCGGCTACTTTCCCGCCTCATCCCGCACCAGTTCGAGGGCGGCACGCACGGTGCGAGGCGGCGGAGAGCAGCAGCAGCAGAGCCCGGGCAAGAACAAGAACCAGGGCTTGAGCTAGAGCTGGAATCGCCACGGGCGGCAGAAGCAGAAGCAGCAGTAGCAGCAACAGCAGCTATGGGTCTCAAGTACAACACGTACCTGGACGGGAACAAGATATACGGGTGCAAGAACTGCAAGGCGCACCTAGCGAACCACCTGGACATTATAAGCCGGGTACGTTGCGTTGCGTTTGAATGTCATATAGAGGGGATTCTATGTCGGAGAAAGACAACTAACAGACAGCGGGCAGAACTTCCGTGGTCAGCATGGCAAGGCATACCTGTTCAATAACGTCGTCAACGTCGACGCGCTCGACCCCGACGAGCGCCACATGACGACGGGTCGGCACATTGTGCGCGACATCAAGTGCCGCGAGTGCAAGGAAATTGTCGGCTGGAAGTACGACAAGGCGTTTGAGAACGCCGAGAAGTACAAGGAGGGCAAGTTCATCCTCGAGGCCGAGCTGCTCTGCAACGTTGTCTAGTTCTGTTGGTCATATTTTTTTTGAATCTTTTTCTTGTCTTTTTCTTGTCTTTTTTCCGTATTTCGGTATTCTTGGGGTTGGGGGTTGGCTTTTGTTTTTTTGGAGGGGGATCAGCATATTATCACTATGAATCTTACGACGAGGGCTGAACTTCCGCCCCCCCGAGCGCGGCCGGCTCCCGAATATCTGGCTGGCTCTTTGGTTTAGCGGGTGGGAGAGCAAGAGACTTGGGGCAGCGATGTGAGGAGCACGTTGGGATGTGAACTATGCAGTAGGGTTCTACTTGTTTTCTAGATTTGGAAGAGAGACGGAAATCAGTGGCCGTGGTAGGCTATCTCTCTGTCTCCTGCCCCATGAAGCGGATGTTTGTACGTACATCTCGCACTATGGTCAAGTTTTCTTTCCCTTCTCGCTCCTTCGTTTCCTATTGTTTGTTCATGAACTCTGGCGCTGAAGGGGGGTTGGGTTGATATGTTACAGGGGCATGGCATGACATGACGGGAGGGCAAGCATGCATCACATGGGGGTCTCACACACGACGGGGAGGGAAGGAGTCATTGAAGGCGGCGAGCAGAGGAGTTTTACCGGGGTCGTGGCTTTCTATTTCCTTTGTATACTCTTTCTCTCTCTCTTCTCTTCTCCCTTTTGGTTCCCTCTCTCCTTCATGTCTCTCTGGCTGGTACCCGGCTCTACGAGCACGTCGCTCGATTTCCTCCCCCTTTTTTACCGGGGGGGAAACACCATGTCCGCCGCCCAGTCACCCGCCACAATACAACACACACTTTGGATAACACGCCCGGTTTGCATTTCCTTTATACATTTTTGTGCTTCATTTTCCCAAAGTGCTAGTGAGTTAGTTACCTCGGTTGTATTTCACAGTAGAACGAAATCAAAGATTTACAAATCCTAGACAACCCCTGTCAGTCAGTGTTTACTTCTGTGGTGAACGATTGTCTGCTTCTGGTATGGCAGGTAGATATCTTCCTTGCGAATAGGTTAGGTGCGTATATTTGGCACTTAAAATGGGGAGAAAGGAGTGGCGGATCAAATTATGGTCTCTATTTGTATGTTTTTCTCTCACCTGTCTAGATGCTAGTGTAGCTACGCGAGATAAGGTAGGATGGTCAAAAGAAACTAGAGGCAGGCAGTGCTACTGTTTCTCCTTTTCTGATTCTTCTTCACTTCCGCTGGAGGGAAATACCAACTCTGCAAGAGAAGTATCTGGAGGGAGGGCTATCATGAAGAACTCGCCACAGATGCCAACACATGAGCGAAAGAGAAAAAAACACTGCGAGATATCAGGTCTTCACTGGGCTCGGAAACGTAGCAAATGTAATTTCCTTCTCTTGCGAAAGTGAACAATACAAGCTGGACAAGCTCTCTCTTACTCGGGTTTGTATTGAATTCTTGAATACCAGACACGGGCGTGATTTCGTATAGAGCCCAATAAAGTGAGGTTTCAACACTGATTGAACCCCTCTGCTATGTATATGTACTCAAGACATATTATGTACGTGATGATGGGCATAAGCCACTTTACCTTGGTGACAGATCTAGTTGTGGAAGTCGCTCACAGAGTAGAGCAGAGTCAAAAGGTATTCAAGTCACATACGGCCTATAGCAGAGAGATAGATGCGGTGCAACTTGCGGGCAGACGAGACAAGACAGGGTAGGGAGGGATATATATATATATATATAGAGAGAGAGAGAGATTGGTAGATGGATACGAAATCAAGAGAAGACACAGAATGCGATGTATACCTTCCCCTTAGCTATCGGACCGACTAAATAAACAGTAGTATGCGAACACGGGAGTTGTAGAAAGAAAAGCAGGTTTGCCTACCTACCTAGTCAACGTACCTACTTACGCACCTTCTCCTTTTCCCATTCTCCATTTTCTAAAATCATAATATAATATATATAAAAAGAAAATAATATTATACTACATACGCGACTTTTGTAATTCAAGCCAGGACGCAAAGTAAGTAAATCCCAGCCATCACTCACCCGCTGACGAGTTCGCTGCTGGGATATGGCGTCGTCTTGTCTAGGGCAGCGAGCGTTTCGTCGATGGCTGTTGCTTGCGCAGGGGCAGGAACAGGAACCGCCGCACCATTCCCGTTCCCATTTTGCACCAACGCTGCCTTCTTAACGACACTGCTGCTATTACTACAGTCGTTATTCCCCTTGGCCTTCTTGGGCTGGATAGCGCCCTTGGCCAGGGCCTCGCTAGGCAGCGGGCGGATGACGGGCTGGACGACCCACCAGGGCCGCTTGCAGCGGCGGACCGTGTACAGGGAGCTTTCGCCACCGTTTTCCTCTTCTTCTCCTTTCGGGCCTTTGTGGTCCTTCTTCTTATTCCCAAACTTGAGCTGGATCTCGTCGTCAATCTCGCGCTTGATGGTGGCGCCGCCCGACCGCTCGTCCTCGAGCAGGCCCTCGGCCACCTTGCGCTCGACCATGTCGAGCACGGCCTCGAACTTGCCCATGTCGGCGAGCCGGGCGCGCGCGAGCGCGTCGCGCACGTCCGTGTGCCGCGTGACGAGGTGACGTAGGAGGTGGAACAGGTGGCCCTGCATGCCGGCGTAGTTGGTGGTGGGCAGGTACTTTTCCGGCTTCTTCGGTGCCTGCTGGTGCTTTTGCTGGTGCTTCTGCTTCTTGGTTGGCGGTTCGTCGTCGTCGTCGGCAGCGCTAGGAATGGTGAAATCGGCCGCCCGTTTCGCGCTCGCCTGCTGCTGCAGCTGCGACTCGGTCATGGGCACCAGCGCGGCTGCCGGGGGCGGCGGCGGCGGCGCTGCGAGCCAGGTGGTGTCGTCGCCGACCACGAACAGGGGCCTCCGCGTGGGCGGCTCCTGCTCGCGCACATACCGGTACATAATGTCGAGGTAGCGACGGAAGACGGCGTCTACGCGCCAGCCGCCGTCGCGGCCGTCGCGGGGCCTCCAGTATTCGCGGGCCTCGTCGCCGGGGGCCGGGGCCGGGGCGAAGATGGCCGGGTTGCTGAGGTTGCCCTCGGCGCTCATGACGCCGTCGACGCCCGTGGCGGCCAGGCACGCGTCGATATCCTCGGGCAGCAGGATGTTGCCGTTGGCGAACAGCACCGTGTCGGGCGGCAGGTTGTCGCGCAGGTAGCGGATCATGTCCCAGTCGGCCACGCCCGTTAGGTGGCCCTTTTGTTCGCGCAGGCGGCCGTGCACCGTCAGGATGCTGGCGCCGGCGCGCAGCACGTTCTGTGCGTACTCGAGCGTCGCCTCGCGCGTCTCGAGCATGCGGATCTTGGCCGTGACGGGGATGGACAGCTTCTCGTGCAGCGTGTTGATCAGCCGGAAGATGAGGTCCTGGTCCTCCTGCAGGAAGGCGCCGTAGTGGCCGCGCTTGGCGATGCCCTGCGGACAGCCCAGATTGAGGTCGACGGCGTCGCAGTAGGGCGCCACCATCTCGGCCGCCGCGAGGAGTGCGTCGGGGTCGTGCGAGGCGAACTGGACAAAGAGCGGCCGGTCGATGGCCGGGTTGCCGTCGAGGAAGGGCGTGAGCGCCGCCGCGGGGTCGAAGCCCTCGCCCGCCCAGGGCTCGCGCGTCGGCTGGAAGTGCGTGTCGCGGTACTTTTGGCCGCCCGCGAACAGGCGCGAATGGAGCATGGGCGAGTATGCGAGGATCGAGCACCGCTGGGACTCGGGCAGGAAGGATCGCGAGAGCATGCGCCAGGCCTAATTAGACCACGAGGGCGGTTAGCATTCCATGCCTTCTAACAAGCACCGGGCCTTGAACTTACAAATTCAGACTGATCCACCATGGGCGCGACGATGCACTTTGGGCTGCCGATGCTCTCGTAGAAGGCGCGGCCGTGCAGCTTCTTCTTGGGCGCCGGCACCGTCGGCGGTGCATCGGCAGTACCCGTCGACGAGCCCGGCGTCGCCTCCATAGCCGCCATCTTCCCCAACAGAGGAAACCCCGACAGCAGTCGTCGCTCGCGGAATATCGACGGCCGATACGCTGCGAGTCTGGAAAAGAATGCCAGCGTAGTGGCGGGCTGGTGAAAGCGGGCGGGCGGGCGTGGTGGAGCGCAGCTAATTAGCTCTCCTCGTATCGGCTGAGAAGCCGCCGCTTGCCGTCGTAGTTCGTCGTCAAGTCGTTTTTTTTCTTTTTGCTCGGGTGGTGGCTCAAAATCAAGATCGTCATATGGCAGCGTCCGAAAAAGCCCCAAAAAGAAAAATCCTCAACATGCAATTCTCGTGATGAGGCTGAGAGCTGACTGACCACACTTTACCCCCCCGCCCATCCCCAAAAAAGCCACACAAGACCCCTGATTGGTCTAATCGGCGCGGGATGAGGCTAATGCCCCGCTGCGGGGGTTGAGCACGCTAAAAGTCGCGGCGCATGCAAGGCTATCGATTTGGCGTCCCGGACCCCCACATTACCTCCAAAAGAGGAAGCTAAAAATGGTTGTTGGAGAACAGAAACATCAGATTAACTAGCGCACAGTGCAACAAAAGCGCCATTTTGCTCATTCAGCTCGAACTCGCAAGTCCGGTCTGCCTCACATCTTCCGAGTCCCCGTTCGCCTCAACCTTATGACAATTATCCGAACCCCTGCCAACCGGCCGTTTGCAGGCAGTAGGTACTCCGTATGGTAGGGAACCAGCCTGCTCCGCAGTGGATTTATCCCCTCTTATCCCCTATGCCAAGCCACTTCCATGGGTTCGAGAGCGGGTTGATCCAAAAACGCACGCCATTCACCAACCGGTTGAGTCGCCTTCGGAATACCGTTGCTTGGTAGCAAAAGACGGGAACAAACCCATCTTTGCCAAGAAATGTCTTGGGCACCAGCAGCCGGGAAACGATAGTTGAAGCCAAGGACGCATGCCTCTTATTTCGAGACATCCAGCCCCGTATCATATTTAGTAACGCTCGAGCTGGTCGCCGGGCTGACAACGAATCGACTAGATATATTGAATGGACCGCGAACCACAATCAAGACAACGATTCTACAAAACAACAATGTAAAAAATAAATAAAGATTAAGCCTCCTCAACCTCCCCTAAACATCGCTTGTACCCCTCATTTGGGCTCGAACACTGTCGCCCAAAACTTTTGTCGCTATAAAAAAAATACAAACCGCTTAGAGTTGTTGTGTCTTTCGGTACCGTTGCCTCTTGTCTGGAATAAGAAAAACGTCGCCAAGTCCGGATAAAACAGTCCATTGCTTCCAAGGACAGCGAGCTGCCATCTCGCCGATGCTCGCCACTCTGCACCGACCAATATCCACGACATGGCCACTCTCTGCTCGCCAACTCCCTAATCTCTCTCCGCAATTCTGTCCCTCCCCACTTCGCCTAGCACCATGAGTTTACCCCTCGAATCATCCAATCAATGGTGGCTGATGACAGGGACGCGAGGGAGGAATCGATCTTGTGTCTCTCAATATTAAGCTGCTTTGCCAAATTCGAGACACTGGGCGGCCGAGATCGATGCGAAGAAAAAACGCCGCGACACCGCACTATGCTGTCCCCTAAACGCCACTGAAATGTGAATCCTGGTTAAATACATATCTGGGCCAACGGGACTCTGTATGAAACGAAACCGGCCGAGATGTAGGTTGCACCTTGTCTTTAGTCGTCATCAGAAGAAGTGCGTATAAATCTTCGAGTTCTCGTGAACCTCCATTTCCTATCAGGCAACAAATGTCAGGGTCTTGGCCAGAATCAAATTCCCGCTAGAGGTGCGGGCGTCTTACCATCTTGAAGGTATTCAATTCCTCCTTGATTTGCTGGGCCAGCATGGGTGTGAGGCGGTTGCATGTCGCAATTTCACCTCTACGATCATACTCCTGACTCGGCCACGTCTCATAAAAGGCGAGACGGGGGCTAAAGGTCGCGTTGCGCTTTAATGTTCCCTGCGGAGTGCCCGGAGCACTCTTAGTGTCCTGGCGCAGCCGGAGGGCAGACACAAAGTAATCCTCGTTGCCAATCGAGATAGGCCCGGATCGCCGGTGTCCTTGCAACTCCTCGTTCGGGGTGCTGGGGGCACTCGAGTTAGGCGATTCGGTGAGTGTGGGAGCAGTCGGCATGTCGAGAGCTGGGGTCTTAGCCTCCGCAGGTGGTCGAGGGGAGGGAGTGGCGGAAGCGCTGGTGTCTAGAGCACAGAATTTGTTAATCAGGTGCCTATCATAGTATGCAATACAATACGTCAGGGATAGTCTTACTCTTCAAGATTCCCTTGCGAACAGCGGCAAGGACTTCAGCTCTTTCCTTCTCGCTTCCAACAATACTCTTCCGAGTGGATGACTCCTCGTCGGCTCCCGAACTGCCTAAGCGCTCTGGCGCGGCGCTCAGTTCCCCGACGGCTTCGACCGAGTTTCTCTCCAGATGAGGGAAGCCAGTGCCACCCGCAGCGTGCGAGTGGACATCACCACTGATGTTTACGAGCTCGCGTTCAGCCTCAGCCGTGACCATGGACACGGTAGCCTCCGAAGCCTCGGGCAGTTTCGAATCCGCAGCCGGGACTCCAATAACAGACTTAGGCCTGAATAGCCCAACAAGAGATCGGGTACCCTTCTTCATGCCACGGCCCATCTTTCGAATCATAATCGAAGCTGATGACGCGGTAGAAGAGATGGAGATGTTGTCCGTCGAGCCCGAGAAGATCTTGCCACCAGAGTAGATATTGTTCCCGATACCCGCAGCCTCCTGCCGTTGAGCGATACGGTCCTGCTCGGCATTGTATGCGTCTTCGGGATCTCGCTCCTTGTGTAGTTTGGCGTGTGCTGCTGTAGAGTTTGCGGCGTCGGCCGCTTCGTTTTCGTGGGCGACTTTCCGGAACTCCGCAGCACTGCTGAACGAAAAGGCGCGTCGAAGTCTTGACGTTTTGCTCTTCGGCCTGTTTCCTTGCTCATTGATGGCAGACAACTGCCGGACTGCAGGGCTCTCGATTCGCGGCGACGCAGGCTTCATTGGCAATGTAGGAGCTGCCACGGCGGCGACAACGACAGTGGTGGCACTCGCCGCCTCGCCACCTGCTGCCTCCGTATCCATCGCCACGGGCTTCGAGAGGGGAGAGGGATTGCTGGGCCGCTTCGTGTTGGCGGCATCGGAAGAGGAACTTCGCGGTGGAATGTTTACGAGCCGGGGATAGTCTTGGCTGTTGCTCGCTTGTTCAGAAGAAAGCTGGGCGGGGTTGCCAGTGGGGCTGGACCCATTGGCGCTGCGGTTGGCGGACTGGAGGCAGGGGAAATAACCTTGTGTTAGCAATTGCGCATCGGAGATGGAGTCATGGTTTGCATGTGATGCAGATGATCCCGACAAGGGCCATCTATGGGCAATTGGTAGCGGCGAGATGGACAAGGCAGAAATCAAAGCTAAGACAAAAAAAAGGAAAGTCACTCACCAAAGACGATCGTGGGCTGCTTCCGCCGCTTCGAGCAGAAGAACGGCTATCAGAGCTGCCAGCGCGGCCGTGGGCGGGGTTAGTGCCTCTGTCAACAACAGCCAGGTTATTCGAAGCCCCAGCAGGTTTGTACTCCGCATCAGTGCTCTTGGGGAATGTTGATGGTTCTAGGCGGGTCGATTCTTCCGGCCGCTTAACTTCGGGTGGGGTCAGGGGTTGGGAAAAACCGGCAGAATCCAATGCAGGCATGCTCCGCCTCCGAACCCTCTTCATCTCCTCCTGCGATTGACCTGCCGGGAGCTGCATGTCATCGATTGCTGAACCCGACAGCGCTCCGACGACGCTGTTTGGTCTATTCAGTTGGGCTACGTGGGGGCTCCGTAGCAGGTTGTTCTTCTGGTCTGTTCGGGAACCATACGTGTGTGCCATCCCCTGGCCCGTTATAGAATTGGCAGACACCGGCCCGTGTGACTGCTGTCCTGACATCGGGGCACCCGAGTCGGAGCTTCGCATCGCAACTCGCCTGTATCTTTCTGGCGATACCCTAATAGGAGCCGCCGGCGCCAGCGACGACTGTGACGGCGTCCCATTGGCGTAGGACACCTGTGGCCGAGGCGCCGTGGCAGCCCGCCTCGTGCCGGGCACTGGGAGAGCAGAATCATCTCGAGAGAGGGCACCTCCTTGCAGACTAGTTGTAGCACCAGTGCTAGGTAGATTTGTCATCGAGACACTAGCCGAGTAACGGGGACGACCCGCAGGAATCTGGTTATAGTCAATAGTTTGCATGGTAGGGGCGGCGGGCGAAGACGTTGTCCGATACTGTCTAAATTGCTGCCATTGTGCGGCCGGCGTGAGGCTGGGCGTGTTGGTGAAGGCATATGGTTGGATGGGAGTAGAGCTGCCCCGGTATACCATGGGAGCAGCCGCTCCGTTTGAGAAGCCATGCCCGGCGCTCCTCTGTTGGGGGTTGGGATGCCCGTACTGAGGGTTGGCCTGGGTCTGGACAGTTTGAAGCATGCCCGATGCAGATGTAGGGCGCGTCTGCAACATCGTCACGGTCCCCGACGGCTGAGGATAGCCTTGCACTAGAGCAGCCATGGTCGAAGCAAAAACACTCCCCGCACACCAACCTGGGCAAGAATTTGTAGTTGTAGCTCCGCGATCGCCGGAGGAAGAGGCACTGAAGAGGAATTAAGACGTGGAAAAGGAGAATGTAGATGCAACGAGATAATTAAGGAGAGCTCCAAACAGGAAGCGATCTATCAAACCGAAAAAAGAAGTTAGCAATTGTTGAACGGGTTTTGAGGATGCAGGCATGAAGATGCCTGGAGAGTCCGATCTTTGACAAAGTGTTCGTTGGTGGGGATGCCGCCTTGTGTTTCCTGACGCGAGGCAGTGCCGTTCGTGTTGTCAAGAAGGAATTGAAACAACTTACTTTGCCAGATACGGCAGAGCAATTGTGACCCGCGAAATACGGCCGGGGCAGAAGAGATATGGAATAAGGTCGATCCCAAGACTTTTAACGATTGTGTCTTTTTTATAAAGAATCGAAAAGGACGCCTGCGGCCAATGCAAGAAGAAAAAAAGATGTGTTGCCCGGTTTCTTCAACAAGAATGCCCACTATCACCGTGGACGAGTTTGTTTGCTGTGTAGCAGTTCCCGAATTCTGTCACGACTCGTCGAGTCTCACAGCAGGTAAACAGCCGAATTCAGGCAGTGCCACAACTGACACCTGCAAAAAATCCGTCCGCTATTGAGGCGAGGACATGGGGAGTGACCAGTCGTATTGATCTCGGGGCAGGGTTTTGGGTAGAGGACGAAAAAGCGAGCGAAAGTGGGCGAGATCGGGGATGCTGGGCTGGGTCGATCTGCGCTGGCGTGCAACTGGCTGCTGCCGCTGCTGCTGTCGAAAGAAGACGCAGAAGCGCGGAGACAGCAAAGTGCACGACAGAATAGCAAGGGACGAAAGACGAGATGGTCGGATCAGAGGTCAGGTCAGGTCGGGTCGAGGCCAGACGGGAAATGCCACAGGAGGCAGAGGGGGCCGAGAATCGAAAGAAGGGGCGTCCCGAAACGAGGCCAGGCCAAGCAACGAAGAACGAGGCGCCGCGGCGTGGGGATGAGCAAGCGGGGGGGAGGGAGGGACGCGGCTTTTCGAAGGCACACGTTCTCTCACTCTTTCTCTTTTTCTTTCTCTCGGCTGGTGGGAAAACAGCCCTAGGGAAGTCGAATTGGTGAGCCCGACACACTGGGTGCCTTGAAGGGGGGAAGAGGGAGAGTACAGAAAGAAAGAATGCTAAGATTGGAAATCGGAAGGGGTGAAGAGAAGGGCCGGCGAGTTGTTCGGGAAGTCTTGGGGAAGTTTTGTGGTTTGGTCGGTCTTGGACAAGCCTGCCAGAGACACTGGGCAACGGCGGTGCAAGCTAGACAACTCTTGGCACCTCTTGCCATCTAATCGGGCTAGCACCACCCCCAAAATTCCTACCTGAACCAGGCCGACACGCGCCTAGCCTGGGCCCAGCAGTATAATACCGTACACTACAGACACCAGACAGAAACGCATGAAGGCACCAAGTGCACCTCCACTTTGATATGTCGACACTCTGCAGCCACAGACTAGAGCTTTCCAGTGATCGCGAGTTCCTTGACCTGCGGCCAATAGGCTGAGGGGCTTGCACAGTCTGGTGTTTCGTCCAAATTATTTCTCTAGATTATGTTCCGTATCCCGGTCCAAGGCACGGTAAGGCGTGTATGTATGTACGGTATGATAACCGTCCCCGAGGTCAGGTATTCATTCGTAGATTGCCCCACGAAAAGCACCCCAACAACCTACGGCCTAGCGAGCGGCGGCGAGACACTGGTTCAGGCCGTCTGCAGGTCTGGGCAGCAGCCAGCACCACCCGTTTGTTCACGCAACCAACCTGCCGCTTGCTGATAAACCCGGGCCCCAGAATGGGAGGACAACTGACTGCTCAGGCCGCAGTGGCCTGGGGCACAGGCGGAAGAGCACGACCATCATCCCTCCAGAATTCCCACCGGGCCCGGGCGGCGCATGTCAGGTTCATGTGAGCTCTTTGTGGGAAAAAGAAAACAAAAACGCTTCTCAGTGAGCTCTGGCCGCCTCGTCGCCCGCTGCTAGCAGCCATCAAGCCTCGCATGACGTCCGGGGCTTTTTAATGAGGGGCATCCTTCGCGTCAGTGGTTTTCGCGGTTTTACTTTAGCAGCCTTTTTTTTAGTTTTCTTTCGGCGTGCATGTTTGATGGAGCTAGCCTATCGAAGAGAATGGCAGGTGTAGCTAAAAGGTAGTGATTGGACGGCGTCGCCATGGGATGGCATTGATCCCAAATGCAAGCTAACAAGGTTTGGTCCTGCAGAGGCGCAGGGCCGCTCCATCTTTTTTATCTGCCCCTCGAAAGGTGGTATGGCCCCCCTTCTTCCCCCCTCAGCCGGACCGTGCAAATGGCACAGTGACGGAGAGGAAACCTACCTAAGGAAGCTAGCAGGTAAATAGGCCCGTCTCGTCGAACAGCCCGTAAATTTCCTTGATTATTTATTTGCTTGGGACTTGGGAGCTGAGTCTTGGTGTTATTACCTGCCCGCCCGCCCTACCTGCCCAGTGCCCGGTCCAGGCCTAAAACAATTGGGGGGAAGCTACGGGCGGAATCGTTAATTTGGATCTTCGTGCAGGCTCGAGCCGTCCGAGTTTCACACATTCGGTTTTGTTTTCGGACAGAAACGGAGAAACCGACAGGAGGCAAGGCCGAGAGCGAGAGACAGAGAGAGCTCGACATTCCACAGGTGACGTGCACACCACGCAGCACAACACAATGGTGGCGGGGAGCCATGGGGAACCAGCCCAGCAGCGACAGAGTCTGTCACTTCCTCATTCCGGAGACTTGAACCAGGTGGGTACTCCGTACCGTGGCAATGGGGGGATACTCTGGCTAGGAGAGGCGATGGGAGGAAACACGGACGAAGGCTCTGACTGGGGAGCGCGGGCGGTCAGTCACTCACAACGCAGCACGGCACGCCAGTCGGGCTCTCGGGCTCTAATCCAGGTAAGGTAAGGTAGCTACGGCGTGGGCTACGTAGCTAAGGTGTTCTTTTCCCCCACTTCTCCAGATGGCACTTTCGTATTTATTATTATTGCGGGCTTACTATGGGGTATTATTGTTGCTCGCGTGAAAAGCTGCCGGTTATTTGTCCCTGTTGCTGGTTGGCGGTATGGACCTTACGTATTACGCATTCTTCATTTGCATGTCCAACGATTTACACGTGGTGCTCTGTCACGGCAAGGAGAGTCGTGCCCAAGTGCCTGGACAGTGCAGAGTAGAATTACGCGAATGGCCAAGCCTCTGGGCATTTTTCCTTGGTCGCGTCCAGTCTGGTCCGATCTCCAAAGGGCCCTTAGTTTCTAATCTGAAGCCCCAATCAGACGCCATCCCGACCAGACGCATGGAAAGGGGGGGGCTCAGGTACCCACAAACAACCGCCGCCTTGCCTGTGAAGACCAGCACCGAAAAGCAAGCCTCTCTGCAACAACTTTGCCCCCCGAGGTAGCAACAACCAACCGCCTGCGATGCCCTGTTATCTGCAGCAGCGCCATCTCCTTACCATCCTCATCGTGTATTGGCTACAGGCGACCGGGTGGTGTTTTCTTCAAGAAAAGAAAGCAAAACGATGCGTTCGTTTCCCCCGAACTTGAAATCGGCGCCGCGCTCCACATGCGGACCTGGCTGTAAGTCAACGGTAAGTGTTACAGTACGACAGCGCCGGCTCACCGATCAGGCCCGGATTAGGTTTAGCCGCTGCGATTTAAATTCTGGCCGCAATGTTGAAGCACTCAAAAAGTGTAGCGTAACGACGGATTGGATGAAAGACGGGAGACTGTCACCGGCTAGGCTGTTTAAAGTATGGTATTCCCGGCTACCGTATTCCGGACCTCGAGAACGAGCATCGACGTAGTAAACTCTCAAAGTCTCTGTTAAAGATTCAGCACAATGCGTATTTCCTTTGGTTAATTGCCCTAACCCAAGACAGCCGCAGTGGCTTGTTTTTGTTGTTGCAATTCCTTTGGCCGAGATCTCAATTGTCCGCTGTAAAATTATCTATAACGTGTCGCGGAGGCACAGCCAGCGCGCTTTACAACACACACACAAAGGAGGCACTGTAAGTACGTCCATTACAAGCCATTCCACGCGCAGGAGGCACCATCGCGAAATAATGGAACATTCCAACCACGTCTGGTTTTGGCATTTCCCTCCCCCCCCTCTCCCGCATGCAGTTTGATTGTCGCTCCTGATAAGGAAAGAGAACCAGAAGTTCTAATACGTCTGGTTTCCCCGCCCCTGCTCTTGCCTGACCCCCTTTCGACGAGTTTGGACAAGACGCCGACGACGAGATCAGACCGTTGCGGAAACACGACTTCACGGCTACGTCAAGATATCCGTATGTTTTGTCGTAATGATCCTCCCCCCGGCCGCCCCCGCCGTACGTGTTGTATGTACAATACATCGCAATGTCTAGGTCCCCGGATGATGAGCATCTGCTGCTCTGTGGATAGTCCGGCGTGATCGCCCGACGCATGTCTTTCGGTGTCGGTGTCGCTGACACATGTTTGTCCGAACCCCCTGATCGAAAAGTCTCCGTCGAACCCGGACGGAGTGCGGATTACGGATTACGGATTGCGGCGGAACCCTCAGAAATGGGGCGGCGTGTGTCTGTGTGCGACTGTGTGAAGTGTGTACTGTGCGAGTAGATCTTTGGTGAGAGACGGTGTGGGGGGAAGGAAGTGTTTCTAGAAGGGTTCCATTCTAGATCGCCTCTACGTATCCCTAGACCGAGTCACAGAAAACGATGCTATTCACGCCCTTTCATCCTTCTTTCGTCTTAAATAAGGAACCTCGTGAGGCGACAATAGGGAGACACTATCTCGTTGCCGCTTCACAGCCTTTCTTTGCTGCAATAATTAAATATTCCGTGCATCCGACGGATGCACTAGAACTCATTCGGATTCCGGGAGTGGTGAACGCAACGCGCGAGCGAAGACGAGGGCAGCGGCGACATTAATAATGGCCGCTGCTGCTGCTGCTACTCCTGCTTGCTACTGCATGCAGGCGGCTGCGGGATCCGAACGCCTCTCGTGTTGCACGCACGGCGCACGTACACACTCTGCCTGCATTACGCCATCGTATGGACCTCGATGACCCTCCGTTAACTGTCTGTGGAGAGATTTACATGCAGCCTCGACGCCTCTGGATGGGAAAGAAAAGAAAAACCGTTTGTCGCTCCTCTTTTCTCTTTTATTTCCTCCCCCCCACTTGGCCCAAACCTTATGTCCGTCCTCTTTTCCCCGAGTCCTTGCCTATTGATCTACCTGCTGGCTAGAATTGAAACACCAGATCGGTGGCGCTGGACGAGGCACAGACGGAAAAGCAGGCAGCAGACACTAGAGATGGCATGCGAAGAGTGGGGTGAGCAGCTGTAGGACGCGGGGCCAACCCTTCCATCAGGTCTGTCTGGCGCGAACGAACCTTGCGGGGCTGGTCGTGACGTTGGTGCTGTGCTTACGTCCACGTACGTTTCCAGACAAGAGAACAATACCTTAGTTACCTAGGTAAGGAAGACTGGCAGGAAGACAACCTAGGTATGTTTCCGGGTATACAACATTCATACACAGCATGCCTTGCCTAGCATGTATGTGCATTACGAATACCTGCCTTCGATATACCGAGGCGGTATTGCGGCATGGCCGCCCGCCCGGTGGAGTGGCATGGCGTGGCTGGATGGATTGAAGCAGCCCAACTCTTGCGCGGTGCACGCAGGGCGGCGGGCATTTTCAAGACCAACCATTTTGCCAGTACCTAGGTATCCGTAGGGAAGATAGAAGAAGCAAGTGAGAGTTGTTCCACAGCAAAATCGGGCTGTCTGGCCATCTGCCCGTCCCCCCGCATGCGATTATCGTTCGGCTCGGCCATTGTCCGGCGATGTCGTCACACTGCTGTTCTTGTCTCTTTTTTTGTCTCTCTTTTTTTTTTCTCCCTCCTCTACGGCACGCAGGGAGAGATGGTGCGGCCGCGGAACGCCGTGCAACAGGGACAGACTCCCCTTGCTTCCGACTCTCTAAGACGGACTTACACGGCTTGGCCCCGGTTCCTCACCGCCCTCATTCGGACGGGCTGGCTGGTCACTGCTTTTTCGGAGGATCCACGGTTGTCTAACTTGACTGCAAAAATAATAACAATAATAGTAATTAACTAACTAACATAAAAACTTGGATTGCCACGGGCGGCTTATTAGTGAGACCGGGATTAATAGATAGGCCATGCGGGGAGGGATATGCTGCCGACACTCATACGGATACGTCTTTATTTCATGTTTTTTCTTCTCGCTCGGTTGCCGGTTGATAACCAAGCGCCGCCCGCCGTTAGTATCGGCATGGCCCCCAAAACGGGGTTTCCTCAGGATGCGATTCCTGACTGGATGACAACTGTTAAGTCTACTCCCACCATGCCTTGGGAACTACTAGTACTGGTAAATAGCGGAGTTTGGAAAAAACAGGCGGTCGACGGCATGACCTCTTAATACGAGGGCACACTCACACACACCACTACTTCGTACTTATTACCCAATTGCCGGTCTGGACCCTGCATACTTTTAACCCACCATACGGATAGAGATTATAGCATCCAGACGATGAGGTTTTCGCCTCCCGTGTCTCGCCATCATGATCTTTTTTTCCCCTCTGTTGCCCCTCCCTAGCCGGCCATCTGCCGTGCAATACGGGATGCAGGGAGGGGCGGCGGGGGAAGGTCGGGATGCATTCCCGGGAGATCCTTTACGGAGTGGTGGAGTTGAGGTTGTATGTACTGTAGGTATTGGAGCTCCTCGTCTACAGACAACCTGGAAAGTCTACGGATATACCTTGGCTGTCTCTTTCCCACTGCAGATATGGGCCGAGCAGGGAGGCCATTACATTGCCTTTACCACCCGCAGCGCCGATGCCAAGAGCGCGGCTACCTTGGCTCAATCAAGGCAGTGCGACGTGCTCGATGGTGTCACGCTTTGTCTGCGGAAATATTTTGGTTGGGTCCTTTGGGGGGTTTTTTGTGTTCCTTGCGGGGATTTATTTGCGTTTTATTTTTTTTTTCCTTTTGTTGATTTTGTGCCGACTGGCTGGCTGGCTGCCGTGCCGTGGCGTGAGGTGATACAGAGCGGACATCCAATACATGTGGACGAAGGGAGTGGGAAGTGACCCAACCCACATACCTTAACCTGTGCTAGCTCTGCCGAAGATGGGTCAAGTCAGGCCAGGTCTGCAGCAACTTTGTGTGACTCCGAACGATAAGCCTAGAGGGTACAGCACGATGCCTTCCCGTATCTGGAAGGAGAGCAGAGGCTGGCAACACAAAGTGCCTTTCCCCTCCCGTCCCTCCCTTGGGTCAAAACAAAGGTCGCCGGCCACAAGGTAGGTCCCAGACCCCTTTCTGGAGGGGAGAGAGCAGAGGACCCGACAGCATGGTGCCGCTGTCGCTCGCTGTGATAATTACCTTGCCTTGGTGTCGAGTGCACCCGATCGTTTCCTTTTGTCAGCAAACCCCTAAAAAGTCCACGTCATCGCCTGTATCATAGAAGGTGAATGGTGAATGGCGAATGGTGAATGGTCAGCCGTGTCGTTTCTTTTTTCGGTGGAGAATTGAAATGGAGATCGAGCATGAGATCTGGCCAAGACCCTAGCCTCTCCGCCCGCCCCAAGCCCCCCTGTCTGTGACGCTCGATTGATTGGCTCCTGGTCGGCGTTGGATTTCAGCCTCACGCAGCCTTGGCCGTTTCTGGCCGACGACGTGCGTTCGACCAGAGACTGAGAGAGTGAGAGACAAGATGAAGCGCATCAACGATTTGCTCCATCCCAAGCCCGGCTCAAACTCGAAGTGACTCAGGGTACCGATTCGGAATCTCGGATGGCAGCATGGTTGGAGTGCCTCGCAGCGCCGGGTGCCTTGCTTGTGTAAAACGGCGGGTAAAATGCGACCAGGCGAGGCCCGGCTGCGGCAACTGCGCCAGACTTGCCAGGTCAAGGTCCAAACAAGGCAACGACGACACGGACACCATAATCACATGTCCGGGCTATGACCGCGGTTTCAAGTTTGTGGCCGGGAAGCATCAAGTGCGTAGCCGTGGCGGGGCGGGTCGTGGTGGTGGTGGTGGCGGCGGCGGCCGGGATGGCCGTGATGGTGATGGTGAAAGTGACGGTGACGGTGACGGCTGGCCCGTCGAGACCCTCTCCAACCTCGAACTCATCCCGCGGCCGCCCCGGTCCGGCCAAGGCCGCAGCCAAGTCCGCGACCTCAATCGTGCCGGGAACCGAGCTGTGGGGGAGCTGCAGCTGCGACGAGCATCTCAGGAACAGGGCCAGGGCCAGGGCCAGCACCAAGGCCAGAACATCCTCCAAATGTGTCCCACCCCCACCCCCAACAGGGCCCAGCTCATCGGAAACACCATCCAGGCCCTCTACGGGGCTCAGCAAGGCGGCGAGATCATGCTCTTTGCGCCCTGGTTCAACTCGGTCCCCCAGAAGCTGGGCAACAAGCCCTCGCTGGACTACGCCATGGCCGCCTTCACCATCCACCTGCTAGGCAAGGCTGAAGGCTCGGCCCATCTCATTGCCGAGAGCCTGTCGCTATATGGCCAGTCCCTCGCCGCCCTCCAAAGAGCCTTGAAGCACCCGGTCGAGTGGAAGGCCCCCGAAACACTCTGCGCGACCATGCTGCTTACTTTTTACGAGGTTGGTCTGCTCTGTCTTTCCGAGTGTTACTGGCGCTGATACCGGCCACGTCGGGTGGCGGCCAGGCGTTTGCGGGAACCAGCGACGGCAACGAGCGGGCCGTCAACCCGAGCAGCTGGATGAAGCACGCCAAGGGCGTGTCGATGCTCATACAGCAGAGGGGGGTCGACGCCTATAGGGATCCTTGGGATCGCTCCATGCTGCTGTCATTCCGCACCTTTATAGTCAGTACTACCAGGTTACCATTTACCTGCCTGCCATGGCTACCCCTTTATGCTCTTCTGGTCGGCCTGTCTAACACTAAAACCACAGATTATGCACTGCATGTTTTCAGACGAGGACTGTTTTCTGGCCAAGAAGAAGTGGCAGAACGTTATTGCCGCCATGCAGCCTGCCCAAGACACGTCGGCCATGTCGGCCACTGCCGTGATCGCCGCCACACATGTTGATGCTTACTTCAACCACCTGGCCAAGGTGCCGGGCCTTTTGCACCACGGCATGGCGCTGCGCGAGGCCACAGCGCGGGGCCTGCCCATCGACACGTCGCGCATCGTGCTGCTCGTCAAGTCGACGGCGCAGCTGCACAGCGAGCTGGGGGCGTGGCTGGACGGCTTTATGAAATTCACCCCCAGCCCCGTCGAGAGACCGTCGCGCGACCCGGACTCCATCTTTGACTCGGCGCTGCACTACGAGAGCCCGTGGTACGGCGCCGTGTACATGAGCTACTGGGCCACCATGTTGATTCTACAGGAGATTCTCAACCTCTGCCACTACCCCGTCAGCTACGCCGCCAGCAACAGGCAGCTGGCCGACAATATCTTCCGCTCCATCGAGACGGTGCACCCGGGCTACATGGGCCCGTACCGCGTCGGCTACCCCGTGCGCATCGCCTACGAGTTCGCCGACGTCAGCACCCAGGTCTGGCTCGCCGCCGTCTTGGCCAAGACAGAGAAGCACTATGCCGCTACTAGCCCCACGGGATACCCAGAGCCCGGGACCACCAGCCCCATGTCCGCTTGACCGTCGGAATACGTAGTCGCATACTGTCTAGGCCGTGATACAAGAGAAACGCAAGAGAAACGTGAAGCATCAAGTTATTATCGATCATGTGCCCCAGCGTCTGCCTGCTAAACGTGGGGATGGTGTAGGGGGTATATACAAATGTATATGTACAGTATACAAGGGGTTCTCCCCCCTGTGACGCTTTCACGCTGCTTGTTTACCAGTAAGCCAGCCGGTAACCTGAGACTATGTGCCCGCCGTTTGCTTTGGACGCCATCATTCATAGGTATCTCTTTTGGTCCCTTACCAGAGAAAAAAGAAACAAGGATCACCATCCATCACCCACTCGGCCTCAGTTGGACGTCAACATCTTGCTGACGACGAAGATAAGCGCGTCCCTGCCGTACTCGCGCCCGTAGCCCTGGTGCGTCGCCGGGTCGGTGCCGTTGCTGCAAAAGGGGTCGGGCGAGTCGCAGTACGCCTGGAGCCGCTTCTCGAACTCGGGGCACTTGAACCCCGCGGGCCGAGCAGCGAACTGCTGCGGTTAGGACCCACAAGTTACGAAGGAGGTATGGATTGGGACAGTCAACTCACCCCGCCCGCCGTCGCGTTGCCGACGTTGAACGGCAGCCCGGCCACGTGCCGCGGGTTGCCCATGAGGATGATGGCCGCCACGTTGTTGGCCACGGCCGGCGACACCAGCGACACGCCCGACGAGTTGAGCTGCGGCAGGTCGGGCCCGCCGCAGAAGGCGTCGTCCATGATCTGCGCGCCCTTTTGGGGTGTGAGTAAACAGGGTCAGCCAACGGAAAGCCTCGTCGTCGTATATCCCCCAACCCAACCCAGAATCCAAAAGGAAAAAAAGGAATCCTCACCTGCGAGTACCCGTGCATGACAATAATAGACTCGGGACACCGCGCCGCGAACCGCGCCGTCTGCGCGACCACCGCACCAACGCCCTCGGCCACGCTGGCGCCGTAGTCGGCCCCGCCCGCCGCCGGGTACGTGATGGCCTCGGCCGTGGCTCCGGGAAACGTGCGCGCCAGCAGGTCGACCAGCGTGCGCGCCGACCCGAACCCCGGCGGCGTCGTCGTCTCGCGCGCCGCGATCACGTGTACCAGCGGGCACGCGTCGCCCGGCGCCGGCTCTGCTGCTACGCAGGCGTCGATGGCGTTTGTGTTTGCGTTTGCATTTGCGTTTGCGTTTGCGTTGGTTGTGTTTGTGTTGCCGACGGTGGCGGCGGTGCTGCCTTGGCCTGCTGCTAGTAGCAACAAGAGGGATAAGAAGAGAGGGGTGGTCGATGACGATGATGGCCGGGGGCGTGGGAGCTTCATCGTTTCGGGCGGGGGGGCATGGTCGACGGGGGACCAGAGGAAGATGACGAGAACAAAGGGAATTTGGTTCAGGGTAGGAAAGATGATTTGTTTATTTCTCAAGCCCGTAAGGACACGAGTGGGGAGGTGGCGGGGGGGGGGAGAAAGTAGACGACGAGAGAGGAAAGAAAGAAGAAAGAGACGGCCAGACGCTCTTCTCTTTTTTTCATCTCTTGGCGGAAACAAGTTTGAAATAAAAGGAACACACACGCACAGATGGGGCCAGCTAACTAGCTGCCTACCTACTTACTTACTTACCGACCTTGACTACCGTGCAATCAGCCCGCGCGCCAGGTGTGTTTCTCTCGCTCACACAGCAACGAAGATCCCCATTCCCATCTCAGCCGGGAAAGATACTAGTACTTACTGTCGGATGCCAGTATATTAGTAGCTGATATGTAGGGTGGGTGATAAGTAACAAGGTATGTAATGGGGGGACGTTTGAAGAAGCCAAAAACGAAAGGTGATCTTCCGGCCAGCAGCACGGCCATTCCATACATGGCGTCCCTACGGCATCGTTCCTAGGTAGCTAGGGACGGAGAAGGTAGGTAGTTAGACACGGGCGAGCGGCAAATAGAGACACTCCGTGCATGTAGGCGGTTTGTTTCACGGTTCATTCTTTTCCTCTTCCCTTATTTCCTTTCTTTCTTTGCTCTCTCTTAGAGCCTTACCCAAGTATCACTTCACTGCCGGCCGGCTACTAAGCTCGGGTCAAATCACGTCTAGCGATCAAGGGGAATATTCCTAAATACCCAATGCTGCTACGGCGGCGGGTGCGGGTGTATGGAGCATGAGGAATATCAGATGCATCCGAGTCGCAGATCATCGGCCGGGGACGTGTGGGGATTGTTTTAGCCGCACCGCAACGCAGCACACGGGTTCCTGTGTCATGTCGTTGAGACTGAGTGTTGTGTTGTGTTGTGTTGTGTGTGTGTGTGTGTGTGTGTGTGTGTGTGTGTGTGTTCTTGGGATTATTTATTTGTTTATTTGAGAGATGACGGAAAGAAAAGGGCTGAGTTTGTGGGAGGGAGTAGGAGAGGAAAAGGGGCAGTAATTTAGGTGGGTTCTTTCAAAGACGATGGAGAACTTCTAAAACTAAGCCCCTAAAAACGGATTTGATGTCCCAGCAGGGGTGCGCAATTGTCCGAACTCTCCATATTTCCGTACCTGCATTCCAGATAGGTAGCTAGGTACTATGCCCCGACAACGGGAACATCAGACGACATGGAAGGAGACTTGCTTGCTCGAGGGAGGTGCTAAAGCTGAAGCCTCGACGTTTTGGAAACGACTCGGCACTCTGCGGCCGGACCATGACCCCTGATCCCTGGACCGCTAGGAGGGGCCTCGACGGATTTTGCCGGGTGCAGCACGCTGAGGGACCCCCCTAAAACGTGTCAGCCACAGCACAGCAGCAGCACAAGGCGGGCAGCACGATCACCTCCGACGACACGCTCCCAAAATCTACCTTAGGTAGGGCTGTGTGATTTTTATGGGCGGATGGATGTGGTCATCTATGCGAGACGCGAATGCAATTTGAGGTCTTTTTTCCTCCACTTTTCACCCTTTTCTTGTTGTTCTGTCCCTCCTTTTTCGACCCATTTTCTCCTTGTAGTTCGAGGTGCTGTCACTCCAATACGACGACGGGACTGCCCGGCACTGTTTGTCCTCCCTACACAGACAACGACACGAGATGAAAAAAAATAGACACATTTTCTGCAATAACTCCAAGAGGGACCCTTCACGTAGTAGCAGCAGCAGCCCAGCAAAACACACCCGACGCAGACCCAGACCTGGTCAACACGCCGCCCAAAGATCCCCATCCGAACTCTCCCTGGCCCCGGGGGTTGTGAGGTTCCATTACCACTCGGATCGCGGACGTGCAGCCTGCGTTCTAGTGTCGGTGCGCAGGGCAATCAATCCCTAGCAGAGCCAGCGTCTCAGTCCTGGTATCTCCAAGGCAAGGTAGATATTGTGGGAGGACGCGCCGAGGTGGTATTTCCCACCTATGGGTAACTAGACACAAGTTTGATGCTAGACTCGCTCTGCGTTCTTTGTCGGCTTACTTGACTTCATTCCCCCCCCCAAGCATTAGTCCAACAGCCAGGTCCGCACTACAGAAACCACCTCGGGTTTCCGACCTACTGCAGTTGAGGCGACAAAGCTGGTTGTGTGAACTACTATAGTAAACATGGAAAAAAGCAACACAGCAAAGATAGAAAGGTAAACATGAGAAAGTGACCGATTAGCCAGGCAGCCAGGATACGACAAGGTAGGTTTGTAGGGCAGGTAGCCAGTCCCGGTCGAAGGCGGAGGCCTCGCCTGCCTGCTGCCTTGTTCCGGATATATTAACCGCCCACAATTACAACAACACGATAGCGAGTTCATGTTTTTATTTGTTTGTTATGTTTTGTATTCTTTTGCAAACATGTCCCCCAGACGGTCTGCTCCTTCCCGGCGCCACCTGTGACGACACTTTGTTTTGGTGCTGCTTGCATCTTCCCGGCCTAGCTGAGCTGACAAGTTCATTACCCCGGGATTTTACATCAATGGAAGAAAAAAAGAGAAATGGACAAGCCCGGCCGCACCAGCCTAGACAGGTCTCCGTGCCCAGCATTACACAGCCGTGCCGCGTCCTTGGGGACGTGAAAACGTGCAATGTCATTCAAATCATGGTAGTACATCAATAGATTTCCTTTTCCACCGCCACCAAGTACCTGCCCTTATCCTAAAAGGGGGAGAAAAATAAAAGTATTGCTCTGTAGTTCCGACAGGCCTAGATGCATACCCGCTATATTTCCATCATACAAAAGGTATATCGCAAAAATAAAGTTGGATTTTTCAAGATTTCCATCGCTGGCAGGTGTTTTAGGGCAAATACAAAAAGGGACCGGCCAGGGGGGGGGGGTCTATGTACAATACAATACCTCCCATATCTACACTGTACTGCTGAAGAAGCCAAATCACCAAGTAAGCACTTCCGAACGAAGCTCTTCTCCTTGTTACAGCACAAGGCTCGTTGATAGAAGCACCATGGTCGAGATCAGCACCGACGGTATCCAGGCAGCTAGGCTTCCCCGGCCGCTGCTGGTGGTGGCGCTGGTGTTGCTGCTCCGGGGTCCCTCGTTGTTCCAGAGCATGACGGGCTGGCCCTGAGTCGGCGTCTCGTCGATGCTACAGACCGCGTTGCAGGCGGCGGCCGCTTGGTCTCTCCCAACCAAGGGGCTGACTGTGTCGCCGTCGCGCTTTGCCGACGACGGCGGCGGGGGCTCGGCCGTCGAGTTGTAGATGAGGTCGAGCCACTGGACCTGGAGGTAGGCCGAGGCGTTGACGCTCATGTTGCCGGTCCACTGGCCGCCGTCGCTCCAGGCGTTGAGGATGACCTTGCAGCCGTCGCGGGGCGTCTGGAAGGAAATCTCGGCCACCTCCTGCTCGTTGACGAACCACACCGACTTGGTCGGGGTCCAGTCGAGGCGGTGGACGGCCCAGTCGGTCCACTGCAGGCCGTCGGGCATGGTGGCGTTCTTGGTGGCCTGGTCGACCGTGTTGCCGTCGGCCGTGTAGGACGGCTGGTTGGTGTAGTGGATCAGGTTCTTGGAGTCAAGCGTGCGTACCTCGAGGTCCGACTCCTGCACGTCGGCCAGCTTCTTGCCGCCGCGGTACGTGAACATGGCCGTGATGGCGCCGCTCGCGCCGACGGTGCGCGCCAGCATGCGCATCGAGAGGAACTGGAAGCCCATGGACACGGACTCGATCTCGGCGGCCGTCTGGAAGGCCGCCAGGCGCTGGGTTCGCAGGGTGAGCCACGTCTGCGAGCTCGGGTTCTTGTCATTGTTGGCCTCGATGTAGACGTTGTTGGGCGAGTTGACCATATCGGTGCTGGCATCGCTGCGCTCCCTTCCGCTGTTGTTCCAGCTCCCTGTCAACCATGTGTTGGACCACTCAGCCGATGAAAAGTACTGGCTCGAGGGCGGCGCCGCAGCGTTTTCGTCCCAGCCGGTGATAGTAGCCGGGACGCCTGCATACTGGGAGAGGTTTCGAAAGTCGAGGAACATGTGCTTGGAGAAGAAGCTGGGGTCGGTCCCGTTTGTCAAGTAGCACCCACATTGCGAGTCCTGTGTCAGAGAGGGCCCAGCGGCAGCCAGCGGGACCGAAGCAGAGAGTAGGATGATAAGTGAGGACAGAGTGGCGGGTAGGCGCATGACCAGCCGTGACAGCTCGTCTCCAGCCATGGCTGCTCTCTTTGTCATCATCGTCGTCGTCGTCGCGTGCTGTCCTCGGGCAGAATAATTTCGGGTACGTGCAGGACTGTCGTGAAATTAAGTGAGGCTGCTTGTAGATGTTACGAGGTTGGCCGGGAAATTCGAATACCCGTTTGTTTCAAAGATTTCGATCTCTCAATGTCGTGACATTAACAGCTGCCGTATTAGGCCTGGTAGGTAGCGAACATGAAAGCTATAAGTCGAGGAACGATCGAGAAATCCAGATTAGCCCGCACAGGGGGAGTGTTGTTCAAATAGCGATGGCATCCATGGTCAACAGGGCCGACTAAGAGCCAGCCAGATACTACGGGCTGGCGGGAAGGGAAGAAGAACTGGACATGGCGGGCTGCTTATAAGTGCAAGGTGCAAGGTTGCAAGGTGCCGAGTGCCAGTGCCAGCCCAGCGCCAGTACCAGAGGTCATGTCGCTGTGGTCTGTGTTATTAGGTGCTAAAATCAAAATCACGTCCAAGACTGCTGAATCTATTGGTCAATGCCTTGCTACTTGGGAGGCGGCGGCGGCGGGAGCATGGAGATGGATCCGGGCGCAGCAGGAACAGGAGCCTAGCAGAAGACAAGACAAATAGAGGGCAAACCAGGTGTGTGTCGACGTTCGACATGGGTTGGGGACTGGGCTGCCTTGGGCCCCGCTAGCCACATCAGGGCACCTTGGGCTGGCGAATCAGGGCGAGCCGGGGCGGGTGGCCTGGCTGGCAACGGCAGGCGCGACATGACTTTAGTCAGGGATCAGCATTTTGCCATATAACGTGTCTGTAATTGAGCCCTCTACTATCCGGCTAAAGGCGGCGTCGCCAGGCCGAGTGCTAAAAATGGAGGGACGACCGGAGGCACGGTGGAGGCTCTTGCCTGGTGTCTGTGTCTCTGTGTTATTGTCTCGGAGCCGAGTGGCAGGCCAGGCACCTAAGGTTCCTAGGAACTTGAAAGCATGTAGGACCAGCAGCACATTCCGTCCCAAGCTGCCGGTCTCTGGTGTGCAGTCTGCAGCCTGCAGCAGTCCCAAACAGCGACGACTTTTATATTGTCGAAGGGTGCTAGAAGCACTCTCCATGCCGCGTCTCAGGACGCTAGGATAGGCCGCCAGAGAGATGTGGTGCTCTCGTTTAAAGCCCTGCAGAGGAGACAGTTCCACGCCGATACCTTCCTGTTTCTGATGATGCGGAATGAAACCTCAAGAAGTTGCGAGAGACGCGTAGGCAGCGATTACGTTGCCCTGCCGCCGGCGATGATGGCAGGTTTTCCGAACTGGTTTACGGAGTGTCGAGGTGTCGTTCTTAGTTTGGTTACAGAAGCGGCGAGATTGTTCTTGAAATCTCCGCCCAGCCCTAACCCCTAACCCTTCAACCAGTCAAACAGCAAAGCCCCTGAGCTCCCTCTGAAACTTGAGGTTGGAAGACAAACTTGCTCATTGTGTCTGTATGACTGGACTTGCGTAGGCTGAGATGTGCTACTTTCGACTGGTAGTCTACCAAGGCAAGGCAGTCAGACCACCTCAGCTGCCAGCCCTCGGCGTCTTCCTCTTATAAGTCAATAGCTGGCAGATGCGAGAGAAGGGGGCCTGTAAATTCGAGGTGTCACCGTAATAGACTAGAACAACCCTAGGACGCTCAAACTCACAATTCCTAGTAGCACCACCACCGCACTGCACGCCAGCCCGGAGACTTATGGTTCATCGAAAGAAATAAAGAAATCGAAAGCTGCCACGAGCCGCAAAACTGCATGCCACCTGAGCGATAGAACTAGACATGCATTACAGACCTAAGTAGGTAACCACCTTCTACATAGCATGCCTACAAAGTACCTCCTACCTAGTTGCCGAGATTCAAGAAGCAAAAAGAAAGAAAGCGACAGACGCTGCATGTCGAGAATTTGGAAAAAAAGTTCCGAAGGCGATTTGAACGCCTGACCTACCGGACTGCAGCCGGTTGCTCTACCCCTGAGCTACCAGAACAGTTTTCTTGTTTCTAAGTATTGACATACTTCCAGACTCTCCACAAGAAAGGGGGGGCGGCGGCCCGGTGTGCGGATGGAGTGAGTGGATGAATTGTGGATCAAACTGTCCACCGCCAAGAAATTGGGGGGAAAAGGGGTCCCAGACACGATAAACTTCCCGGTTCCTCGGCCACTACCTACCTAGATCTAGGAAAAGACATGTATGCAGGCAGACCTAGTCAGGTTAGGTAGGCACGACCCAATGAACCGATTAGATCACTACTTCCCAAAAAAGAAAGACTCAAAAAGCAACCTGTTCCCCTCCCCCTTTCCTTTCGCCATCCCAGTCACGGGCCAGACCGACGGGATCTACGCATCACTCGGCAGCGGCAGCAAGCCAGAGAAATACACACAAGGCCCACCCCGCCATATCGCACATCCGAAGTAATCAAATATGCCTACCTACCTCGGTGAGATGTGAAGCCAGATAGATAGATATTAGAGTGGTAGTTTCCACTCAGAAATAAACAAAACAAAAACAGCCCGTCGACAAGAAGAATTTGGATGAGGCAAAACGCCGTTGCTCTCTAACCGAGGTATTTGGCCAAAAAAAACGAAACGCTAGTAAAGGATGATCGATTCTGAAGCTTGTAGCAAGAACAGATTACCTTGTTTTGTTTTGTGTTTTTGCAAAGAAAAGAAAATCGATGATGGGTGGGATGGGAGTTTCGGCTCGTTTTGCCTTTTTCGTCTTTTTCGTCTTTTCTGGTCTTTGCAAGATAACGGCTACGAGAAAGCGCCCGCCGGCTCTCTCACCGACTATCCATATTTTTTATCATTTGGGTTTGTATGTACTTCGGGTGTATGTAGGAGAGGCGACGCCTGGGAGAATAACGTTGCCGAGATAGCCCACTCGGCCGTCCGTGGCGGCCGATCGATGCGGCAGCCTTCGTTAGTATACGTAACCGGGGCGGCAGCAAAGTTGAGATGGTTATTGCGTGGTATATAAGACCGGGAAGTCCGGTATTGTCCCGGCCCCGGCCGGGGTCGTCATCGGTCCCATCACCGACGAGCTCTCTTACAGATACAGACAGGCGGCTGCCAGACGGGCACAGCACATGCGCGTACGCTCTATTCTTATCTCGAGAGAAAAAGAGGTGACATTTCGTTTCGACGCCATGGCGCTATTATCAAGTGTCAAAGATTCCACTGATGATGCACAACCGTCTTTTGACTGAACTCTAAATGGCGTTGTCCCCGCTGGGGGAAGAGGAGAAGATAGCAGCACGACATTACCATTTTGGGCGTTTTCCTCGGGTCGTTTGACATGATTATTTAGGTGTGCGTTTCCCCGAGCTGCAGCGTGACGCTCTCCGTCGTCGTCTTTCTTTTTTTCTGCTCATCATCCTTTTTCCACTCTTGAGAATTATATCCCCCTTTCTTCACTCTCACCCATTTTCCCCCCACCCGTAAGTGGTGGTGTGTTGGACAGGAACAAAGCAGACATGGTCTCAAGTCGGCCTCCGTTTCCCGGCGGGCCGGTGGAGGACGCAGAGTTCGGCAAGGTGATAGACATGTACGGCCGCAGCGGCACCTTCGCCGAGACTGGGCAGCCGGACGCCGAGGCTAGCGCCGCCGCCAAAACGCCGCCCCAGACCCAGCCGCTCAAGAAGGCCCTCCGCAACCGGCACATGCAGATGCTGGCCATCGGTACGAATTATCTCTTCTCCTCGGGGTGACTGCCGTGTCGAGCTTGCGAGACTGACCGCCGGCCGGCGTTTCTGCCAAACAGGGGGAGCAATCGGAGCCGGTCTCTTCGTCGGTTCGGGCTCTGCCTTGGCAAAGGGAGGCCCGGCCTCTTTGGTAAGAAGGGTGCTTCCTTTCGTTGACGCGCTAGTGCCAGCGCGTACGGAGCCGGGGGCATCCAGTGTGCTGACAATGACTTAGATTATCTGTTACCTCGTCATTGGAATCATGATACTGTTCATGTGCCAAGCTCTCGCCGAGATGGCGGTGCTGTACCCCGTCAACGGGGCTTTCTTCACGTACATTGTCCGGTTCCTGGATCCCTCTTGGTATGTATAGTCTTGTCTCCTGCCCCCTTGGCGGCCTGGTGTTTTAACAAAGAGGGTACAGGGGTTTCGCCATCGGCTGGGAGTATACCTTTGCGTGGCTCTCTGTTCTCCCCTTTGAGCTCATCGCCGCGTCTATCACCATCGATTTCTGGCGACAAGACATCCACATGGGCGTCTGGGTAACCGTGTTCCTGGTTGTCCTGGCGGCGACCCAGCTGTTCGGTGTTCGCGGCTACGGCGAAGGTGAGAGACATGGTCTACATACACCGAGCCCCGCGCTTTTCTGCTAACGAGCCGAGGGAAACAAAGTCGAGTTTGTGCTCAGCATCATCAAGATCCTTGCCTGCGTGGCGTTTATCGTCATCGGCATCGTCATCAACTGCGGCGCCGTAGGCAAGCAAGGCTATCTCGGCGCCAAGTACTGGCAGGACCCCGGAGCGTTCAGGGGCGGGTTCCACGGCTTCGCCAAAGTGTTCACCGTGGCCGCCTTCTCGTTTGGCGGCACCGAGCTGGTCGGGCTGGCGGCGGCCGAGTCGGACAACCCGCGCAAGGCGATCCCATCGGCAAGCCGACAGGTGTTCCTGCGCATCGCCTTCTTCTACATTGTCAACCTGTTCATCATCGGCCTCATCGTCCGGTCCGACGACCCCCGGCTGCTGAGCGCGAGCGGGAGCAACACCAAGGCGTCACCCTTTGTGATCGCCATCCAGGATGCGGGCATCAAGGTGCTGCCACACATCTACAACGGCGTCATCACCATCGCCGTCATCAGCGTGGCGAACGCGTGCACGTACGGGTCCAGCCGGACGATGCAGGCGCTGGCGGCGCAGGGCATGGCGCCGTCGTTCCTGGCCTACATCGACCCGAAGGGGCGGCCGCTGTGGTGCGTGCTGATCCAGCTTGCCGTCGGGCTGCTGGCCTACGTGGGTGAGGTGGGCAAGACGGCGACCATCATGGCGTTTGAGTGGCTGCTCGCGCTGACGGGCCTGTCCTTCTTCTTCGTGTGGGGGTCCATCTGCCTCGCACACATCCGCTTCCGCTACGCCTGGAAGGCCCAGGGCTACACGCTCGACCAGATTCCGTACAAGCCTACGTGCGGCGTCTATGGCAGCTGGATGGGGCTGCTAATCTGCGTCATGAGCCTCATGGCTACGTTTTACACCAATCTTTTCGTGAGTCTCTTCTCTCTCCCTCTCTCTAGAGTCTCTCATCTTCCGTCTTCCGAGACACGCCGAGAGAAGAGAACAGATATTAATCTATTTCCATAGCCCGAGGAAGGCAAAGGACCAAACGTGGAGAGTTTCTTCAAGGCGTATCTTGCGGCGCCGATTATTTTTCTCCTCTACCTCGGGTGGAAGATTCGCACCTGGAACTGGAGACTGTATATCCCGGTCCACGAGATCGACCTCAAGACGGGGCTGACGGACCTGACGCTCCACCAGGCAGAGGCCGAAGCCGAGGCAGCCTTGCCACCGAGCACGGGGAGGCTTTTGCTGGCCCGTATTTTCAGGCGCAAGTAAGGCTTGGGCATTGAATCGGCTTCTTTTGTCAGGAGAGGTGAGAGGCGGATGTGTCTATGCAGTGACGTCCTTGATGTTCTCGGTCCTTGTTATTTGATGATATCTATCTGTGTTCTCTTGAAGAGTTATCGGCGCTAGGGATTTGCATGTTCATGTATTGTTCCTGTTTTCTGTTTTCCGTGGCCTGGACTGGATCCAATGTTTGCCTGCGTGTCTGTCTTGTTGTTTGTAGTCCAAGATTGGACCTGGGAATTGGGATTCTGTTTATGTAGGAATTACCGATCAATCAGGGTTATACGGCTCAATCAAGCTCATGCAGCTGTAGAGCCTTAATTAGTCAAACATATAAAGTAGTGGGGAAGCTAGGTCAGCATAAAAGATACCCTCTTCCTATCCCCGTAGTTCGTGATCCTTTTAGGTAGTCATAGCAGAATACAACCACTACAACCCCCCCCCCCCCCCCCCACCCTTTCGCAACAGTTACTGTAGTGACTTGCACGAATGACCTTGTCATTCCAACAGTTTAGGTAGGTGCCTAGGGTATCGAACGTATATGACTGATTTACTTGCACGGTACTTACTGTAAAGACAATATTTTAGTTCCAATCCATGCGTGCCGAGATAAAAAATTCAATCTCGTCACAACGTATCTCTCCGTGGGCATTGACATGTAGTGTTGCCAGTGTTCAGCCAGTTAGTCTCGACTCTAAGAAAGGCGGTTAGGCAGCGACCGAGCACCCTAGGTTCCAGCGAAGACGTGGTCGCTGGGCGAACTCGGTAGCGTCAAAGGACGAAAAGTGGCATCAATCCAAAAGCTCAACGTCAGCTAGGATGAAGCAGGGATGCAAAGCCAAGGCAAACGTGGGGTTGCGGGGCTGGCTACCTAGGTGTTCTCCACTGTGGACGCCAGGTGGCAGACACCTGGCTAGGACGACCTAGCAGGTGTTTCGCATTGTGGGGCTGCCATTCGCCATTCGCCGATTTGCGGTACCTGAACCGGCGGGACAAGACAAGACAAGGGGCGCGGACTGCCTGCAACCACAATCGCACGCACCTATAACCGCAACCGCAACTAACTGCAACAACAACTAGTACTGCACATCGAAACTCAGCCTCTTAACTACGGATCCGCCACCGTCACCGCTCCCCTGCTAGCCCGGGACCCGAAAAGAAAGGCCTACCCAACTGTGACTTGGTCTTCTATTATTGCGTCTCACGTCTTGCGTCTTGCGACTTTCGTCCTGCTGAGGAGACAACCCAGGAGAGAGCTGAGAGCTGCGGCCATGCGTGGCTTATTATAGACGGATTCGCGCGAACCACGTCTCCCTTCCCTCTCGGCTTTCCTTTCTGGCATTTGGATTCTTGGATGCCTAGTCACTAGGATCGGGATCACTGGCCGTCCTTTTCGGGTTTTGCGTAGCGAAAGCCTGTCCGAATACGTATACCCGTTACTGCCACCGACCGCTCATTTCCCTCGACAACCTCCTTCCTCAGCCCTTTCCCCAATTAAGGCGCAGATACACTCCCCGACCCGACCCCGACCCGAAAGATACGACGACCATTTGAATACCAAGCTTCTGCCGACCGCCCCCGGATCTACACATGGCTTCGTACGGCCAGGCCGTGCCGCCAGGGGCGTCGCCGCGGCCCGTACCGTACGGCGCAGCGTACGGAGCGCCCCTAGCCATGGCCCCTCCCGGCGCGCCCGCGGGCACCTTCTCGCCCGGGACCAAGATCCAGGTCGGCAGCCACCGCGTTGTCATACAAAAGTATCTCTCTGAAGGCGGCTTCGCCCACGTCTACCTCGTCAAGCTGCCCTCGGCCGTCAACGGCACCGACCAGGCCGTGCTCAAGAGGGTCGCCGTGCCCGACAAGGAGTCGCTGCGCGGCATGCGCACCGAGGTCGAGACTATGAAGCGTCTCAAGGGCCACAAGGCCATCGTCACGTACATGGACTCGCACGCGTCGGAGCTGCGCGGCGGCGGCTACGAGGTCTTCCTGCTCATGGAGTACTGCAACGGCGGCGGCTTAATAGACTTTATGAACACGCGTCTGCAGCACCGCCTCACCGAGCCCGAGATCCTCAACATCTTCGCCGACGTTGCCGAGGGAGTCGCCTGCATGCACTACCTCAAACCCCCGCTGCTGCACCGCGACCTCAAGGTCGAGAACGTGCTAATCACCACCAGCGCTTCGTCCCGAAAGTTCAAGCTCTGCGACTTCGGCTCAGCCGCCCCGCCCCGCCCCGCGCCCACCACCGTCGTCGAGTGCCGCCTGATGGACGAGGACGTGCAGAAGCACACCACCATGCAGTACCGCAGCCCCGAGATGATTGACGTCTACAGGAAACAGCCCATCGACGAGAAGTCGGACATCTGGGCTCTCGGCGTCCTGCTCTACAAGCTGTGCTACTACACCACCCCCTTCGAGGACCAAGGACAGCTCGCCATCTTGAATGCTAGTTACAAGTTCCCCGCCTACCCCGTCTTCTCGGACAGGCTCAAGAAGCTCATCGGTAAGGCCCCGAGACGGATTCTGCCCGAACCCGAGCGGTAGCTGATGTTGCTCTAGCCTGGATGCTGCGTGAAAACCAGCAGGCCAGGCCGAATATCTACCAAGCCCTCCGGGAGGCTTGCGTCATGCTGGGAAAAGAAACGCCCGTAAAAGACGTGAGTGCTTGCGAGCTGCGTGGCCCTGCAGTTGGCCAAGTCGGCGCTTACTTTTTGCTCTTCTCAGATATACGCTGGCACGTCTGAAGGTGATGCGCTGTTGTCTTCGCCCGAACAAAACGTCAAGTCTCCGCCTGTCGTCGGTGCCATCTTTTCCCCGCCCGCACCAAAGCAGCAAGCGGTTCCTGAAGTTGAGCGCATGAGGCGGGGGAGAGTGCCCGTTGCCTCGTCGCAGCCAACCGCCCCGCCACCGAAGCCCAGCCCATCGCCTAATATAGTAACCAACGGCGACCCCTTTGCCGCTCTCGACGCCAGGCCTACTGTTACCGACGGAGACGAGCTGTCGTCTAGGTTCCCGACGCTCGATCAGTTCTCGCTACTGCATGATCACGGGACCAAGTTTGATTTTGACAGCGCCTTTGCGCCGCAGCCTCAGCTTGCTCCACCACCCAAGGACCTGTCTCAGCGAGTGGCCGAGAGACTGGCAGATGAAGCCTTCCAGGTGAAGCCATCTCCATCGCCCGCGCCTCCGCAAGCAATCCAGAGACGGTCGGTTGAGCTGAACCGGACAAACCCATACTCGGCGGCTTCGCCAGACACGAAACAGGCGTCACCACCACTCCAGCCCGCCGCCGCTCCTCCGAAAAAGGCCGAGATGAGCCGCGCATCTGCTATCATCTCCAACATTCCCGAATTAAAGGCAATATCCTCGCAGGCCTCACAACCCACGTACCAGTCCACCCCTAGTAGACCGACCATGGTCTCCACTGGAACCATGACATCGACGCCACCTCCCGAGAGGCAGACACCTCAGTTCCAGCAGTACCGGTTCCCACCAACGGAGCGCGACCGAGAACCGGGCGTGTCCCGGCAGCAGGATGCCGGTGCTCAACCCCTGGTTCGTGGGGAGGCACCGAATCCGTCTCGGCCTGGCGCCATTCCGTCGCGGTCCTCTTTATTCCAGGGCCAGCCTAATCAACCACACGTACGCCACCCATCGTCTTCCAGACCTTCACTGGAAGGCGGACGTCCGAGCTTTGATCTCCTGGAGCCTATTAGCAAATCAAAATCGCAGGGCGCCGCACGGCCGAGGCCCGTCAGTACTCATCTCGAGTCCAACATTGACTATCTCCGCGAGCGAGAAGGATCTAAGCCCCTCCCTTCCCCCGGTCTACCTTCTCCCAGGTATTCGATTGAAAAGGATCTGCCGCCTTCGCCAGATCCCGAAGATGAAATGAATATCGAGTCCAACGTGGAATTTTTACGGTCAATGGAGGATTCGGATCCGAGGAAGAAGGACAAAAGCCACAAGCATGGCAAGCGGTCGAGCCTTACGTCCTTGGGGGCTGGAACGAAGAGCATTTTAGCTGGCAAGTTTGGCGACGCCTTTAAGAGATTTGAAGGGAGCTCGAGCGGGCCACCTCCGCCAAGGACGCCGTCGCCCCTCAAAGACCTGGAGCGGCGCGAACTCACGCCCATCGCTGGATCCGAGGCGACCGACGGCAGGAGTGACGACGGCCAAATGCGCGACGGCGAGGATTTGACGCCCGAGATGCGCCGAGAGCAAGAGTCGCGGATGCTGGCGCAGGAGGAGGCCCGCGTCGCAGCCGCACAGGCAGAGTATCGCCAGCGCGTGGCGCAGCGCGACCAGGGAGGATCCAGTCCGGGCCCGGGAGCGCTGCCAAAGAGCATCGGCGGCGTCTCTCGCGCAGTGTCGATTCAGAACAAGGTCCAGAGTTTGCTGGGCGAGACCACCCGCTCCTCTACCACGGTAGCTCGCACGGCACAGGGATACGGCCGCTACGCAGACGCGGCTCTGGCTGCCCGACCCCCGTCTGGCAATGACGGGCGGCCGCTGATCGCGCGAAAGCCCATAACCGGTCCTCAGCCGGGTGAGCCAGCGCTTCCGCGAGGCTCTTATGATGGAGGTGGAGGCGTGCAGCGGGCCCCGACGGCACCAGTCGGGAACACGAACACGATGGAGCCGGCGGGGCGGGTCATGTCCATGGGGACAGGGAGACCCACGGCACCGCCCAAGCCCACCCATCTCAATAAAAACTCAACGGCCAGTGCCATGTTGCCGCCCACAGGAGGGAGACCAGGGTCCCCGCCCAAGCCGTCGGTGCCGAGCAACAGCAACAACATTAACGTGCAGAGATTGAGACCGGCTGGGGGGCCGTCGGGCGTGCTCGTCGCTGTCGAGCTCCCCGGCCAGCCGGCGCTGCAGATGACAGCGGCGGAAAAGGACAACTATATACACGACTTCCAGAAGCGGTTCCCCAGCTTGACATCGATCGAGATGGTGGAGCGGGACCTCGGCGCAGAAGCTGCTGCAGCAGGTGAAAGCGGTAGGCCGGCAAGGTGAGGGGTTGCTGTGGCGAATAGAACAAAATTTGCAATGGCTTGAAAGCCGGCGCCTCGTGTATAAAGAAAGCTGTCTTTTCGCCGTACTGCGGCGGCGCGCGCTCAAGAGCATAATAGACACAACACAGCTGGCAATGGGCCCTAGTAATCTGACGCCTTCGTTCCGGGCGAGGACGGGGTACGGAGGGCAGAAACGGCAATCGTGACGGGCGCATTCCAAGAAAAAGGAGAAAAATTTACATGTGGTGTGCTGGCACGGGGGAAACCGAATAATTGAAGAGCACGCGCACGTAATTACATGCAATCCTGTAGGGTAGAGTCAAGTCTAGTAGAGTAAAGGGCCTTAGAGAGGGACTAGTCGTCTGGTTTGATTGAATAAAGAGTCGCGGGGTGAGGGAGAAACCGGGCTGGGTTGTCTTTCTAGAGTTGGTAGCTATTCTGCCTGTCGACGGTGTCCGCTGGCTGGGGCGAGGAGGGTATAGTATATACATAGAGACAAAGTACACGGAAAAATACAGACATATATGCTTGTGAAAAAGAAAAAGAGAGAAAGAAAACGTGAAAGAAAAAGGTGATTAATTGGCTACCTACCTATTTAGGTAGATAGTTATGTATCCAGATATATGTGGTTGAAATGGTTAGATGTAAGGAAATCGAGAAGAGACGTTGGTCGCTGGTTAAGAGGAGGATGGACGATGGAAAGGGGGGTGTGTGGTAGGTAGGTACATGTACCTTACTCTTGGTATTGTACGGAGTACGGATGCTCCTACCAAAAGAATCCGCTCACCGCTTTTGGTTCTTTTCTGCCGGCAGAATTCCTCCAGTGGGCATTGCAGGAAGGCTATAGTGGTTAACTACTATAAGCGATTGGCTTCCAAAAGCCACGTCAAAAATAGCCAGCGCACAGGCTTGTGTTGGCAGTCGCCACCGGTGGCAACCCGGTTGAAATATATCAAGATCCGTAAGCGCAAGTTAGTTCCAAAGCGTCTTTTATACTCTGTCCGTCATAGCCACTATTTTGTCTATCTCTCAACCATGGGGCAATACAGTGATACTGTAACTCGTGCTCAAGCCTTGACCCTTAAAGCCGTGGGCTTGACAAATACCCAAATCCAGCAAGTTACCGGCATCCCTCCACGGACTTTGAACGATATTCTCGACCGCGCAATCAAGGCTGGATACGAGCCTATAACTTCTGACGGTGCTCTTGGCCGACTTGATAGCTCCCACGTTGCTAACGCACCAAAGTCCGGCCGCCCTAGTAAACAAGAAGCAATTCAGGAAGAGGTCCTTGCCAAGGTTCGTCGTGATCGTTGCGGTCGTGAGAAGTTATGCGCTCAAATCGCCATTGAACTAGAGGGGCGAGTCTCCCCTATGACGGTATGGCGGATTCTACGGAAGGCTGGTATGAAGAAGACGAAGCCTACTCGCAAGCCTGGATTGACGAAGGAAATGCGGGCAGCGAGATTAAAGTGGCTTGATCATAAAGATTGGACCCTTACAGATTGGATGAAGGTCATTTGGACCGATGAAACAGCTATTGTCATTGGCCATCGCCGTGGAGGGTATCGAGTGTGGAGGACTTCAGTGGAGCGGCATTTGCGAAGCTGTATTCGTGAGAGGTGGAAAGGATATACGGAGTTTATGTTCTGGGGTTCTTTTTGTTACGATTTTCAAGATCCTTGCCACATCTGGAGGCCGGAAACTGCTGCGGACAGGAAGTTAGCTGATGAGGACCTGAAGAAGATGAATAAGGCGCTTGAACCTATCTGTAAGGCTGAGTGGGAGCTGAACAACCACATGTCTCGCCTTCGGGTTGATCGGAAGAACCCCGGCCGGGTTCCGCAGTGGCGATGGACTAAGGCCAACGGCAAGCTGACGAGAGGAAACGGGAAAGGGATTGACTGGTATCGATATCAGAAACAAGTGTTACTGCCGAAATTGATCCCTTTTACGCAGCGGTGTGGCCCCGAGTTTCTTATAATGGAAGATAACGCACCGGCACATATACACCGCGCTAACCATGTGGTAATGAACCTGTCGAATGTATTGCGTTTGTTGTGGTGCCCTAACTCTCCGGATCTCAATATGATCGAGCCTGCATGGTTCTATCTAAAGAGGCAAACAACAAAAAATGGCGCTCCACAGAGTCGGCAGGAAGCGGAGAAAGCTTGGCTAAAGGCTTGGAGAGAGTTGCCGCAGGAGAAGATTCGTGAATGGATTCAACGGATTATACACCACATACAGGAGGTTATTCGTTGCGAGGGAGGAAACGAATATAAGGAGGGTCGGCCGAGTTGGATGAAGAGCCGTGAGGTCAACTATATCATTGAAGCTAGAGGAGAGGTAGTTGTAGTGGACGAGGACTTGGAATTTATAGATTCGGCTCTGTGGCAGTCAGAAGTGGATTCGGAAGACGCAGAGTTGGAAGGACTTAGAGTAGATGCCTAGGAGGAAGAAGTGGAAGAAGCGGCGCCAGAACCACCGCCGGCGCCAGAACCACCGCCGGCGCCAGCGCCAGCGCCAGCGCCACTGCGGCGATCAAACAGAAGAAAGTAGATAGTTACACTTGCAATTGAGGTTGACTGCCCGCAATTGAGTTCGATAGAAATGGCGATAATAGTATGGCGATGGTGGGGTTTGGTGGAAGCGCTATAACTTTAGTGGGCTATAGTGGGTAAGCTCTATAATGGCTAAAATGCCAAGAAGGCGGTGAGCGGATTCTTTTGGTAGGAGCATCCGTATGTACTGCATATACCCCATAACCACGGTTTGTGTTTTGATTCGCCGAGGAGTGAGTAGTATGATGAAACGCTTGCATTTCCATTGCAAAGCTAAGGAAGGTCGTTTTCCGTCCCCTTTCAACCCTCGGCTTATTTACATAGGTTACCTTACCTTGACTTCCTTTCGACAAGCAAAATTCACATACATACATCTGCAGTTCAAGCCATGGCGGACAACAACAACAATAATAACAGCGACATATTCCCCGTCACGGTCCACCGGTACCCAGGAACTCGCAAGCCGTGCGCGTTCGAGCACACCACCACCTCACCAACAGGAGGAACACAGGCACAGACACAAACGCCGCGCAACGCGCTCGTGTTTATCGGCGGGCTCGGCGACGGGCCGCCGGCCGCGGTGCCGTACGCGCGGGCCATCGCCGCCAAGCTTTCCGGGAGCACGTACTCGCTGTTCGAGGCGCGGTTATCAACAGCATTCACGGCATTCGGCTACGGCAGCCTGGCGCAGGACGTGGCCGAGCTGGCGGCGCTGGTCGCGTACCTGCGCGCCTCCTTGGAGAAGGAGCGTGTAGTCCTGCTGGGCCACTCGACCGGCTGCCAGGACTGCTTGGCGTATGCTGCTGCTTCTGGATCTGATGGGTCAGGTGGTGGTGTTGGCGATGTCGACGGGTTTGTCCTGCAGGGCCCCGTCTCGGACCGCGAGGCGGTCGCCATGGACGTGCCTGCGGCCGACCTGGCGAGGAGCGTCGAGTGCGCGGCCGCCATGATTGCGCGCGGCGGCAAAGATGATGTCATGCCGCGCGACTTGCTCCCCGAGGGGTTCCGCGCGGCGCCCGTGACGGCGTATCGCTGGTTTTCGCTGGTGGGGGTTGGGTGAGTTCTACTCTTTTATTTTTTGGGGGTTTTTTTGGGTTTTATTCTACTGTCTCTATCAAGACTACTTCCTATCTTGCGTGTGTGCATGGGCAAAGTTCTGGGTGGGCGATTGCTGAAATCAACAAAGGGGCGACGATGACTTCTTCTCGTCAGATCTGCCTGACGACAAGGTCGCGGCCATCTGGGGCGGGCTCCGGCAGCCCGTGCTCATCGTGCCGTCGGGCGAGGACGAGTTCGTGGCCGGCCACATCGACGTGCCGCAGCTCGTGGTCAAGTGGAAGAAGGCCTGCGCCCCGGGCATCGCCAGCGACCTCTCCGGCCTCATCCCCGGCGCCAACCACTCGGTTGACAGCCCGGACGCGCAGGAGTGGCTCGCCGACCGCGTGGTCCGCTTCCTCGCCGCGCTGGACTGAGGTAAAGTAAAGCTGCAGTAGAGGCAGTTATTGTTTCTATTCCCTAATAATCTGGAAATGCGTATGTGCAGTACGCTGTCTGGAGGTGCGGGTGGATACGGGAGGTGGCGTGGTGTCCCCTATATCGCGGCGGCTCGGGGACCGCTGCCTTGGACCAATGGAGGGGCAAAATGCCGAGCTGTCAGGGAGGTCCCCGCCCGCAATCAGCGGCATTTTGCCTGGCAGCAACTCCGTATCGCCGTCCGCCCTAGGTCGGCGACCTCTAGAACCTCTAGAGGAAGCAGGCCCGCGCGTCCTGCCGTCTCGGCGACCCCCTTTTTTCGTCTGAGAATCCGGGATCCGGAACACGGGATTCCATCATAAGTCATGATAATTGCCGCATCTTTGCTCTCCCATGGTTTTTCTTCAAATAGGGCCCCGTTGCCTAAAAAAGCTTTGACGTTTTGACTTTCACCCCGCCACTCCTGTCTGTACCTTCCCTTATCCACCATCCCACTTATACCCAAACTTCCTGGTAGGTTCGGTTACCCGCTTTAAGGCAACAGGGCAAAGACTTCTTCCACCAAAGGCCAAAAAGACCAAAAAGGCCAAAAACAAACCCCCCCAAAAACCAGAAAAAATGTGTTACTCAGCCTCTTGCCCAGCCTGCAGTATGTGTTTTTTTTTCCTCTGGGCTTTTGAAATAATTTCGAAGGACTAACACGGGCTGCGAAACCCTCATTCAGCCAAGACGTCGTGGCGCGGCTGCGGAAGCCACCTCTCCAACGTCTTCGCCGACGTGCCCGAAGAGGAGCGCTGCACGTGCGAGCCCAAGGTCGAGGTCGACGGCACCGAGTACCCGCCCCAGGCCAAGTACGCGGTGCCCTCAGTGGCGGGCTTCGTCAAGAACTGGCTCGGCGGCGACAGCACCAACAACGACGTGGACGAGCCCAAGAAGGCCGCCCAGGCCTGAGTCTCTGTCTACCTTCGGGTCCCTGAGGACTATTGTGGAAGTCGGCCAGCATTGAGATAGCCGACCAAATACATCACTCGCAGTCTTGAAATGTTGCCCGGCGGTGATGATGCGTGCAATGCATTAATACCTCACGTGCCTATCTAGTTTGGTTGTGGCGTTGCAAAGTGGCAGGGGCTTGGCTTTCTTCTTGACCTACTCGTACATGTTAATGTTACATCCATTATTCCGTAGCCTTTGAGATAAACTTTTTGCAGATTGGCCCAAGCAATCACTCGTCCTCGGGGGAACAAGGAATACCTCACCTTGGGTTAGACTCGCGGGTTTCTGCTCCCCGCGCATCCCATCCCATCCCCGCACCGTAGGTATTCCCCGCAGTGCAGTGGCCCGATCCTTATCGTCAACAGAGCCGGGATGCATGGCATGGGTAGCTACGATAGGTATCTTGAGCCGATGTGACACGTAATAAAGTTCAGCGTAGCATCTTTCCTTTCACCGTCGAGATAAATGCACGACAGCAACCCATAAGCCAAGGTAAGGTAAGGTAGGAACATGGGCATGTCTCCGGTGCTCGTCGCCTGCCTCGGGCTCTCTGCGCTGCTTCTCATCGGTGACGCGCTGCTGCGGCGGACCGTCTTGTCGCCGCTCAACGGCATTCCGGGCCCGGCCCTCGCCCGCTTCACGTCGCTGGTGCTCAAATGGCACGAGTTCAACGCCCGCCGCACCGCCTACGTCCACGGGCTGCACCGCCGGTACGGCCCCGTCGTGCGCATCGCCCCCAACGAGGTCTCGTTTGCCTCGGCCGCGGCCGTCAAGGAGATCTACTGCTCCGGCGGCAGCGGCTATGACAAAACCGAGTTCTACGACTTGTTCAAGGTCTACGGGAAGAGGTATGTTGTCTCTCTCCCCCATTTTCTTGGAATAGAACATCGGGATTTGACAGCCACGGCAGAACCATGTTTACCACATTAAACAAAGAGCATGTAAGTCCAGTTCCACATAACACTGTGTAACATCCCGTCACTGTATTAAACTCTGCACGGCAGCACGCCCGGAAGAAGCGCATCCTCGCCGATCGCTATGCCAACACCAACGTCGTCCGCCAGCCCTCTCTCGACGGCATCGCTGAGCGGGCTGCCAACTTTGTCAAGAAGTGCTCCCAGTCCGTAGGCGGAAGCCTTGATCTTTACGTACGTACTTGTACATGCATAACTTTGTGGTCCGCTAGGGCATGCCACCCGAGACATGTTGTGTTGACCGGATCTACTTACTGCAGATTTGTAAGTCCCCTCTCCCGAGACACCGCCTGGTTCAACCGTCGGTCGTATGATCTGACCCTCGGCCTGCGCTTCAGACCTCCACTCGTACGCCTTTGACTGCGTAACCCACCATCTGTTCCACCCGTACGGAACAGACTCGCTCCAGACGGAGCAGGACGAGGCCATCATGCGCGAGGTGACGTTCGATGATAGCCTGCAGAGTAAGCCCCGGGCCAACCAACCGCGGAAGCCAGTCCCGTCCGTCCTTTTTTTTTTTTTTTTGAGAAAGTGACTCGCGGGCTAAACAACCAAACATAACAACCCCGGCCGCAGACCGTCTTGTCGGATACTACAGCCCTACACTGCACAAAGTCTTGGGGAAGCTGCTGTACTGGCTCGCCAAGCCCCGCCAGACGCCCCTGGCCGACAACTTCGTGCTCGGCACATGCTCCAAGACGGACGCCGCGCCCTTCACGCTCCTCGACCGCATGCAGGGGCCGAGCTCGGACCTGGACCAGCTCGACGTCGCCGCCGAGTGCCTCGACCACATGGTGGCGGGGATCGACACGACGGGCGACGCGCTGTGCTTTTTGATGTGGGAGCTGTCGCAGCCGCGGTCGCTGCCGCACCAGGCGCGGCTGCGGGCCGAGCTGCTCGCTAACCCGGGCGCCGCCTTCGACAGGCTGCCGTTCCTCGACGCCGTGGTCCTCGAGGGCCTCCGCTGCTTCCCGCCCATCCCCATGTCGCTCCCGCGGCACGTGCCGCGCGGAGGCCGCGCCATCGACGGCTATGCCGTGCCAGAGGGCACCGTCGTCAGCTGCCAGGCCTACTCGGTGCACAGGATCGACCAGGCCGTGTTTCCCAAGCCCGAAGTCTTCGACCCGGACCGCTGGTTGCACCCCGACGGCGACGCCGAGCGGAAGCGCCTGTTCTTTGCCTTTGCCAGCGGCGGCCGCGGCTGTGTGGGCAAGCAGTAAGAAAAGCCCCCACCCCCTCTCCCCTTTTTTGTTAAACCAGACCTTTCGCTAACAACGCCGCCAGCCTTGCGCTCGCCGAGATGAAGGTCCTGCTGCGGGCCGTGTACACCAGCTTCACCACGCTCCCAGACCCTGCCATGACTGCCGAGTCGATGGACATGTCGGACCAGCTCATCTCGTCGCGTCCGCTCGGACAGGCGTGTTTGCTCGCCTTTAGCCCCGCCACCAGTCAGCCTTTGTCAACAGACTGACTGACTGACTGGCTGGCTGACGGCAAAATGGGGCCAAGCGAAAGTGAAACTGGGTTGAGCTGGGCTGGTTCGCATCTTCATGTCCGACTGCGTCTGACTGCCGGCCCTGGCTCTGACTCTGACTTTTGGGAAACTCCGGAGCACCGTATGACTGACTACGACCCGCGCCGCCAACCACTCCCCCCCTCCTTACCAAAAGCCCCGGCCGCGGGAAATATTTGTGGGGAATGTCACGTCCGAACGGACATATACGTGTATTTACTATATCACCAGCTTCACCCCCTCCCCACTCCCAGCCAGTCAATGATAGAGAGAAAGAGGCAATGCAAAGGTTAGAGTTTGCGCGCCGCACACCCTGCACGGAAGAAGATGGATGGGTTCCGGATGGGTGTCCATCCACTGTCCACTGTTCCCGTCGTCAGGTTCGTTGTTGGGCGAGCTTGTGCCTAACTAACCCCGTTTCGGACGGGCGAGAAACCTCCTTTTTTTTTTTTTTCTTCTTCTTCTTTTTTAAAAAAAAAAAAAATCTGCAATAGGGTAGTATGTTTGTGTGTGTACGTGATGCCCACTGCTGCGGAGGTAATTAGTTTATTTTCTATTTTATTTTATTTTATTTTATTTCTACATGGAAGGAGCCCAAACACGCAGTCGCCGTTTTGTAACAGAATACTGCTAGGCCAGGTATTTTAGCACAGCTTTCGGAGAGAGAGAGGGCCCCTGGAATCGGGTGCTTTTGATTCGGGTTGTTTGAGAAAGCGAAGCTGACAAACAAGACAGGAACCTTGTGAAATTCTAGAATAACGGTGGTTGGGATTGGAGGGTTCCCTGTGGCAGAGTAGTGGGTGTGTCGCAGGGCCGTCAGTCAGGTCAGTTGGGCCGATCTGCGCCGTCCCTTTGTGTTTCGAGTTGGACAGCGAGACCCCCTATTTGCCAGGTTTTGCAGGCAGGCCACTCACTGCTCACCTACTCAGTAAGTCGGGCATGTCTGGATAGACAGTGAAGCGGGCCGATAATTGTTTCCCTCCGCGCCTGGCGTAGAAAATATGCTGCCTGTTATTATTATTATTGACGGTGTTCTAGTTTGGCACCAACCTACCTTGCCATAACGTATCCGAATCGAAAGTAGTAGTAGCAGTAGTGGTACTCAATAGAGGCAAATGTAATCACTAGTGAAGACGAAAACGCCGTAAAAAGTATATACATATTCAGTAGGTAACGCACCGGTTTTAGACAGCCGAGGCTAACCTTGCGGAAACACACACAACTGAAAAACAATCAAATATACTCCGTAGAAAATTTGATTTACCCACGGCTCGGCTCTCACACACAACGGGCACGGGTACGCCGGTAACAAAGGGCTCGGGAGCCTGGCGAATCAGCCTTGTCGCTCGCTTTGCCTCGAGATGGGGACGAGTCAGAGCTGTCGGGGATTGGGGCAAAAGTCACGTAAGGCTTTTGCGACCTTGCGCCTAGCCATGGGAAACATGGGGCGTGCCAGGAAGGCGGCTAGCGTGGTGGGTCTCCACACCAAGTGCCAGGCCCAGAAGTATAGCGCAGGCGCACAAACCGAGCGGCTTGTCGTGTCGGCCTGACGGACTGAACAATGCCTTCCCCAAAGACAGCTTTCCTGAATAATCTTCCCCTCCAAAAAAAAAAATCCTTCTCCTCAACATCCACATCTCTCGCAAATCTCTTTCTAGGTATTCAACCTGGGCCACCCGCCAGACTCGCATCTGTCATTGGATTTTGCAAAAGGCGACCTTGACTTCGTCCAATTGAGAAGCAGAACCCTGTCTCGCGGCTTCCTCAATTAGCTGTCTCCTCTCCTCCCGGGCAATCGTCCCCCCCGTCTCCACCCGTCCTGGGCCCATCCACCAGAACTCGACTCCTCCCCTTCCCGAACGACAGAAGAAGAAGGAAGTGAAAAAAAATTCAATCAATCCGCATTTGATCGCTCGTCGCACATCCGGCTGTCTTTGCTCCGCCATCCAGACCCATCCTCTCCGGGGAACCCAAAACACCACACCACACAACACATACGCACGATACGCAGCAAGGCGTTGTTTATGTATCAGCACGACCAGAACTCCGTCTTCCGACACTCACCTCCAGTCAAGCTGCATCCGTTTCGCATAGCGCGGAAACCTCGTAGCCCCGAACTCAGTCCCGACGGTTGAAGCATCGCCAGATATCGACGCCCAGCGTTAATGCCTACCCCCGATAACCACCACCCGGTTCACCCTATGTCCACGCAAAGGCCGGTTCTCTACTGACCCTGTGTGGCTTATCCCGCCCATTTCCCTTCTTCGCATTTCCTCCCTCGCTGTTGCCAACGTCTAAATTCATGCTTCGCCAACCCAGTGAGCTGCTCTGCTAGACTTGACTTCCCGAGACCTCCTTCGCCTCTCTTGAACAACACGTCGTCATACCGCGCCTCGTCGTCCACCCCAGACCATTCTTCGCCCAACCTTTCTTCTAGTTACCCGCTAAACAAGCAACCACCGCCATCATGTCTCTCGTCAACGTTCGCCGGGACAACAAGGATCCTTTCTATCGCTACAAGATGGAGCGGATCCTGACCAAGATTGAGGGCAAGGGCAATGGTATCAAGACCGTTGTTGTCAACCTGAGCAGCGTTGCCCAGTCTCTGGCTCGCCCCGGCTCCTACCTGATCAAGTATTTCGGCTTCGAGCTGGGCGCCCAGACCAACATTGATCCCCCGGATGACCGCTGGATCATCAACGGCGCCCACGAGGCCAGCAAGCTCCAGGAGCTGCTCGATGGCTTCATCACCAAGTTTGTCCTCTGCCGCGAGTGCAAGAACCCCGAGACGGTCGTCAACATCAAGGACGGCCGCATCTTGCTCGACTGCAAGGCCTGCGGCCAGCGCTCCTCGGTCGAGCCCCAGCTCAAGCTCACCGGCTTCATCCTCAAGAACGTGCCCAAGAAAGGCAAGAAGGACAAGGCGGAGCGCAAGGCCGCCCGCAAGGCGAAGCAGAACGGCGGCGGCGGCGGCGGCTCTGGAGACAACTCGGACCAGGCTTCCCCCAATGGCGAGGACAAGTATGGCGATATTGTCAGCGACGACGACGACCTTACGCGCAAGATCAAGACCGAGGCTCAGGATCTGAACATCAAGGTGACTGCTGTCAAGGACGACGACTGGGCTGTCGACATGAGTGCCGAGGCTGTCAGGGCTCGCCAGCAGCAGCTGCCCGGCGATTTCAAGGCGAAGCTTGTTCTCAACGGCGACGACGAGGAAGAGGAGGGCGAGGGCGTTGGCAGCACCGTCTACGACGAGTTCGGAAACTGGATCCAGGAGCAGGCTAAGGAGAAGGGCGGCGTTGACAGCGTCGATGGCGTCGAGATTTATCTCAAGGCGAAGGAGCTCGGCATCGATGCCAAGCACCGCACTGTTGTCGTTCTCGTTCAGACCATCTTTGACGAGAACATCATCTCGCAGATTGCTAAGCGTGCTCCCATTCTGAGACGGGTAAGTTTTTTTTTGCCCTGTTGGTTCGTGATTTGGTTGCTGACGGTCTGTTTTAGATTGGTGACTCGGAGCGCCACCAGAAGGCTGTTCTCGGCGGCACCGAGCGCCTCATTGGCCAACTCAGCGCCGACAATGCCGACATCTACGCGCAGGTTCCCAAGATTTTGGAGCTCTACTACGAATCTGATATCGTTTCCGAGCCCATCATCATGAAGTGGGGTACCAAAGCTTCCCGCAAGTACGCCGATCTGGCCACGTCCAAGAAGGTCCGCAAGGCTGCCGAGCCCTTCCTCAAGTGGCTGGCCGAGGCCGAGTCGGAGGACGACGACGACGAGGAAGAGGAAGAGTAGATTGTTTCGTTGCGAAGCTATTTCTTTTCCTGCGTCTTCTCGCTGGAGATAGAGTCTGTCTTGCCGAAAAGCTGACAAGTTCACGGGACTTTGGGTTGCTTTCAACGACGATTCCGCTTTTGGTACTGCTCATTTTTGCGATTATCTCGTTCGTTTTGCTTCGGGGAAGGTGCGAAAAATGCCGGGAGTCTCATTGAATTGCTTCCGGCTCGTAGAGACTGGCTGCTTTTCTTTCACCTCGCCAAACAGGAGCATATTGCGTTGTTTACCAACAACCTTGCATTTTTTTGGTCTTTCTCTTTGGCTTGGGTGCCTGTCTCTGTGCCTGTCTCTACCTTTTACTTTGCCTGGTAAAATGTTGCTAGTCTAGTACTGGATCCACCAGTTTAGAGAAATCGATATTCTGGCTTGGCTTGCCTGTATGGTGCGCTAGCTTGTATGATGCTGTTTCTCGTGCGAATGGTTATGGTTCTTGTGTCGCGACGTGCGAGACTGGCTGAAAAGGGTGTATCGGTAGGCCAAGAAAGCTGACTACGGCTGCTGTTCTTTGCTCGCCCGTTCCCTCTTGAGGCACTAGCATAAACACACCGCTCAGTCAATTCGTTCATGTACCTTGACTAGGTTCCTCACTTGCTCACTTGCTCACTTGCTCACTTGCTCACCTGCTCACTTGCCATCTCACTTGCTTTTCTATCTACATACATACTGACCGGATAACGGGGGGCCCTTGTCATTCATTGATTTGTTTGTGTCGGTTTGATCAAGTGAGAATCGTACCCTACTTACCTAGGCTTTTGAGGTAAGACAGGGATGGAGAAAGATGCCAGGGTGGGTGAGTTCACGGTCGGTAACAAACTGAACGAACTGGGTGAGGGTGAAGATGACCTCGGCTGCCTACGCCGTCTTGTGGTAATTATTTTCTGTCTGTATATATATATATATATATATATAGAGAGAGAGAGAGAGAGATGGAGAGACTGTTTCTTTTTCTCTTTATGGGGGTTGAGTTCCGCGTTTATGCATGTAGACTCCGTGGCTGGTTGGCTGTCTGGCTGTCTGGCGGCATATTTTACATACTATGCATACCTACATTCATATTTGTATAGCTGCCTACCTGCTTGTGAATATGTGTTCAGAGTGTTCGGTGGCGGGTTCAAAGGAAGGAAATGCAAAAATGGATTAACTAAAAGAAAGAAAGAAAGAAAGAAATAGGAGTAATACTCAGGACCTACCTATGTCTATGCCTATGTCAATGTCTGCTATAGGTATCATGTCATGCATGTCGTGCGCCTAGCTGCTTTTTATCTCCTTCTATTTGTGGATGTCGAACCGGACATATTTGGCTCATTTTATTCAATTCGACTGTTATTTACTCACTCACTCACCCACTCACCTGAGCTTGCGTGTTTGTTTGCCTGCGTGCTTGCTCAGATATGCTGAGGTGCTGATTGGTTTCCAAGATTTCGGTGTGGCGTGCTCTGTATCTGTGTGTGTGTAAATGTGTGTGTGTGTGTGTGTGTCTGTGTGTGCACAATTATCTCTATATCCATGTGCAGTGATGGCAGTCGACCATCGCGACGCTCAAAGTTCTCTCTGTTATCAACCTGGGCATCTAGGCCCTCGTTTTACCCGATCTTGCTAATACATGATGACTCTCCCGTTTCGTTTGCCCAACGATATAGCGACGACACGCTCGACGGCCCTTGCAACTGAACAATGAACTGATGTCTCCTGTGATGTGCTGTTTCAGGGGGCTGTCAGTCGACACTCTACCACTGTTTGTTTGCGTTTCCTGTTTCCTGTTTCCCCCCTCTGCTTGCTTGCTCGCCATCAGAACGACAGCAGCAGCAAAACCAACTTATTTAAATACCACTGCTCCCCCCCTCTCTCTCGCTCCATCCACCGAGAAGACGGGTGCGTGGAAATAATAAAATCATCGCGTCGCCGTTGTGGGTTGTAAACCTAGCCTCTCTCAACAAACAGACGTACCACATCATGACGTCCTATGCCAGCGCAGCAGGCGGGTCGCTCGCCAGCGACCTCGTCGCGCTGACGGATGCCGAACTAAAAGACTTCCTCGAAGACCACACACTAGCGGGCTGGTGGGCCGCCTTCGTCACGGTGCAGGACCCCGAGAACCTCCCCGAGAGCTTTGTGCAGAGACTGCGGTAGGTACCTTACCTTGATCAGTGGCGTGCGAGAGTACCTTACCTAGTATGCTGGCGGCCCCCGTGTCAGCTGCGCGCGGGCTTGATTTTTTTTTAACTTCCTAGCCGAGTTTCCTAGGAAGTGCTCCGAGGCGACGGGATACAAGTACGTGATCAAGGGGCAGGCCGTCGATCTTGACCTGGTGTCTGCGCGGCAGCAGCAGCAGCAGCAGCAGCAGAAGCCCGCCGTCGTGGACGACGGGCCCAGCGACAGCGGCAACGACGGCAATGACGATGATGACGACGACAGCGACACGCTGGCGTCAGAGTCTGTCTCAAGCACCGGCGCCGTCATCGCCGGTGGAGACGAGTCCAGGAACGATAATGACAGCACCACGGCCTTCAAGTCGTCTGCAACGTCGGTGTCGAGCACAGGCGCTGTCATTTTCAGCGACGGTGACGAAGACAAAGACCAAGAACCCGGCATCGACGGCGACTACGACGGCGACGACGACGACGACGACAGCACCACGGCCGCAAACTCGTCGTCATCCTTCGTGGCAGACACGCGAGGCTTTCTCTTCACCGACGGATACCACGACCACGACAACACCTCCTCCTCGTCCTCCTCGTCCTCCTCGTCAGAGGTAGCCGATTTCGTGACCGCCAACTCAGCACACCAGTGGCTGGTGACCCGCAAGGGCGGGCGGGCGATGTACGCGCCGGGGTCTTTCCTGCTGGCGGACGCGAGCGTGCGCGGGTACATCGCGTCGCTGTGCCCGCCCAACTCAGCACCGCACCGCCGCGACGTGGCCGTGTACCTGGACCAGGAGCTCCGCTGGGACAAGTTCCGGCTGTTCCAGCGCGCGGTGCGCGGCCGCGGGCGCTACCCGCACTTCGACTGGCCCATCCCCGCCAGCTTCGACGCTTACCGGCGCGAGGACGTGCCGGGCACGCTCGCGGCGCTCGGGCTTTCGCATCTTCTTCTCGCGTCCGACAACCTGCTCGAGGACTACATGGCGCAGAGCAGCGCGGACGCGCTGGCCACGTGGCTCGAGTACGTGCACTTCGAGCACGTCACGCACGCGGCGTGCGCGGGCGAGGCGGCGCGGAGCCGGGCGCAGCTCGACGCGGCGCTGGACGTGGATTTGGAGCGGGCGTCAGTGCTGGAGGCGGCGCCGACGCGCGACGAGCTAGGCAGCGCGCTAGCGCAAGCCGTCGAGGCCGAGGACAGGGTGTCGGGAGCCTTGGGCGCCACCGGGTTGCACACCAGGGGTCGCCGCCGCCGCCGCGCGGACCTGAAGCTGGGATTAGGCGCCGAGGAGGAGGTGCAGACGTTTTCGCCGGCGCTTAAGGGCGCCGCGCGCAGATACAAGTGGGCTCGGGACCGCGAGGAGCAGCAGCGGCTGTACCTGGACTGGGCGGTCAGCGAGGCGCCGCGGGTGGCGGCCGAGGAGCGCGAGCGCAAGGAGGCGGGTTCTGGCGGCAGGGCAGGCGCCATATATCACGAAGGTTATGTGGAACTGCATGTGCCGGGAGAGGGAGTCGTTGTGTACGAAGGAGATGGGCTGCTCGGGTGCGATCGAACGAAGAAATGAGGGGGGATGGGGTGACTGCGGTTTTGGTGCCCAAAGGGGCAAGGGTTTTGTTGACAATGACAGCCGCCACTAAAGCCAGCCAGGGGGGAAAGCAAGTAGGTGAGGAACCCACGTCTCATGCTCAGAGAAGGAATCAAATCATAACAGAGTAGGATATCACTTCCTCGACTTAGTCAGCCGTTCATGACTGCCTAGCTTCTTGCCTCAGCCACGATAGCCAGGTAGGCTATCTTCATAGTCCAGTTAGCCAGACAGGGAAGAGAATAAAAGACTATTGTTAGATGCTGGTAGTCGGGGGGTTAGCTTGCTTGCATTTCTGCACCATAATTAACTTGCACATACCACAACAAGTATTTGCTGCTGAACCGAGCACAGCCGAGCCTATCTTCACAAAAGATCAGCACACGCGGTATCCAGCATCCATCTGGTTCCTTGGCCGTGCACACCTTGCCCCATTTTGCACATATTCCATGCATCAAGCAGAGTAGTATTTCGTCTCTCGTTTTTGGAAGATCCTTTTCCTTTCTACCAACGCCAAACCACACCAAGAAGCGCAACGCACGACGAAGCTATTCCAAAGTCCTAGTCAGGTCTGGATAACACCTCCCGACGGCACGCCCTTGTCCGTCACTCTTGTCTCCTTAGGCTTGGTGATCTCAAAGAACTCCGTCAGGCCCTTCACGACCACGTCGACATTCATGTTGATCTGCGGCATCTTGTCGTACGAGCCCTCTTTCATGATGGCCACCAGAGCCAGAAACCTATCGACTTCGCGCAGCATTATAGGCCGCTGGGCATCCGTCAGGACCATACCGCTCTCGGCCCACTCGCACGCGGCCTGGTCCTCGAGCGGCTGGTTCCACGGCTCCCCCTCGAGGCGATCACGCCATTTTTGCGTGCGCTGCCAGCTCCCGTAGACCTCGGTGAAGTCGATAATAACATCAACGTAGTCGGAGCATATCTCGTAGCTCGCCATGTCCTCGGGCGTGCTGTCGGTGGCAATGTATATCTTGGTGTTGACATCGAACAAATACGCCTTCTCGAACCGGCACGTCCGGCACAGGTTGGTGAGCATGGCCTCTAGCTGGCCCAGTCGCGGGATCAGCTTCTGGATCACTTTGCTAAAGGCCTCGAAGATGCTGTGGTTGTATATACTGGTGAGATGGAAGTTTACGGGCGCGTTCTCGATGCCCTGGTCCGACAGCTCGTCTTGGATTCGGATCGTCACGTCCCTTTGGATGTCGAGCTTATAGTCGTCGCTCAGGCCGTCCACCTTGTGGATGAAAACTTCGATGTTGATGTGCGGGTAGCCGCGTTGGAGGTGCAGGATTGTGGCATTGAGCCGGGCCACGGCCTCTAGATAGTCGTCCTGTGCGTCAATGACCCAGATCAGCGCCCCAATCTCGCCAAAGATGGCGTCCATGTCAAAGGTGAAATTTGGGTTGTCGAAAATGTCGATTTGTCCTGGAAAGTCCCAGACTTGGAACTCCATAAAGGAGCTGATCAAAATGTGAGTATCAACATTGGCAGGTTTCGGGTTGGATGCTTCACATTTGACTCACTTTAAACTGTCCTTCTGGATCCGCGCTGTGGATTCGAGAAAGAGTGTCTCGCTTGGCGGCAGTTTGTGGAACACCACACTAGAGATGGACGACTTCCCGCTCCTGACACAAATTTTAGAATCCATGCCGGTGTAGGGCAGCACCGGGTGCACATACCTCCTCTGGCCCATCAGTAATAACCTGGGCTTCCCTTTTGTTTGTGTCGTTGTCGGATCGGGCACCTTGGCGCCGTCCTTCTTCTGCAGCTGCTGCTGTCGGTTCTGCTCGTCGATACGTTGAAGACTTAGCACTGCTGGACTGAGATAACTGGAAAAACGGCGGTGTAGGGGATCGGCCTCTGCATCAACAGAGACACCGCTGCGCTCCAGAGGAGCTGGAGGAGCTGTGGGCATGGTGGGGAGAAGTCGCCGAGGGCCCGGCGACCCAGGAGAGACGCTGAGCCAGGCTTCTCGACGCGACCAGGAATTCAATGCCCGTGAGAGCGCAAAGGCTGCCCACGCTGCCTTCAGAAGATAAATTCTCGGCGTAGGCCAGCTCGGGTATGACGTCGTCAGAGGAGGCTAGGGAGGCGCTGCCGGAGGACTCGGCACTGCGAGGACCGTTTGCAGCTCGGGAAGGGTTTTCACGGACGGGCCGACGGGCATGTCGGTCGGGTGTGTGCAGGTCCAGATGACGATGACGGGTGGTTTGAAGGGGGAAAAGAGACGACAAGGCGGCAGTTCTGAGGCGTAGACGTGTAATTCTTTATTTCAAGTCTCAAAACTGTCGCACTTGATAACGGCTGGGCAAGATAGGGGGCAGTGACACCCTTGCGCCATTTTTTCCAATCTCGCCGTCCGCATCTCAGTCTCTTGACCAGGACTCGCGAGCAATAAAGGCCGCACTGACGGGGGGAGCGGTGACGGTGATTAGGATCATTGAAGCGAGCAGGCACGGCGGCGTCTTATGTAGCACAGTGATTTGGGAGTGGCTCAGCATGGCCAACCAAGCACTAAGGTGACTCAATGACAAAAAGTCTGACGCCCCAAGATGCACGTCGACAGGGTGTCTGCCTGGGCGGCTGGAGTAACACTTGCCGGGCCAGAAACGCAAAGGAGGCCATCGCGCCCGGCCTCGATCTGGTTCAGAGAACCGCCATGTTTCGCGCGATGAGCGCCAACAGAATGGCAAAAATAGACCGTTGGTGGTCACTGCTATGCAGCCTCTTGCCAGGCTGCAGTCCCGGGAGTCTGGGACTGTGAGGCTTTGCGCGTTCGCAGGGAGCCAGTAACAGGCCAAGCTCGGTTTCAGAGACGGGGAGGGGAAACGATAATGGAAAAAGAAAAGAAAGAAAAAAGAAACGATGAAAAGACAAAGTACGTGACACCGGGGAAGAGTTTGTTAGGCAGCAAGTTCTTACCTCCATGATAACGGGAACAATGGAAGACCCGAGGATCAACACGTTTGGGGTCGTTCTCTTGGGGTTACGGCGGTCTCGGATCGACGCCGGTTGCCTAGGTCAGACCAGGCACAGGGTAGCCGCCCAGAAAATCTACTGCTAGCAATTAGTCTGCACGCGCCCCTCGGTCCCTCTGAGCTGGGACCCAGGCGGGAGAGAGAGAGAGAGAGTCCTGCAGTTGATTGGGACTGGCTACCGGCGGTCGGGGGGGGGGGGGGGGGGGGGGGGGAAGAGCCGTCAGTCTGGCGAATTAAAAGGTCTCAAGAATTAGCTGCAGCGCGGGCATACACGAGAAGAGACGAGAAACAAGCATCCTTACGACAATTCGCAATCAGGGTAGGTAACTCTCGTCTCTCGTTCAAGAGACGGGAAGCAGAGTTTGAAGTGATCAAGCAGCCGGCCAGAACCTCGAGGATAAATGAAAGAGCCGCTCGGAATCGATAGAGGTCGAACAAGGTATTGTCTTCATTTGAGAAGAGAAGCCTTCGGCCAAGAGGGCAATCGATGTATACTGGATGGCTGATCGAGACGGAAACAGTGAATTCCGTAGTCTTTCTTGACCGAGTTTCCAATTGGACAAGTGCGGTGCGTACGGGTTGGTATCGCGTGCTACACGTGGACTGAACGACGAGTTATTGCAGGCGGTTGGGTTAGGTAGATAAGATAGCTGAGCGTCGATGCGGGTTTATCGCTGCTACTCTTGTCTTGCCTCAACACCAAGTGCGCAACAGCGGCAAGAAGCCGGGTAAATTGAAGATTCCCGCCAGATTGAGAAAATATGCAATAAATTCAGATTAGGTGAGTCTTTGCAAGAGGAGGACGAGCACACGGAGTAAGTATGACAGTGCATCAGCTTGACAAGTTGTGCACCCGTTCGTTGTCTGGGAAGGCAGGTTAAGTTGAGAGGGATGGGGAACTCAAGCGTACGAGTGCGTGAGTGCGAGTGCGTGACAGTAGCCCCGAATTGAGATACGGCCGCGCCTGCTTGGTGAGGCAGCAGGTGAAGCATGAGGCGGGGTTCAAGAATGGAGCTGTGGGGTCCTTGATTACGTAACACATCGGCTTCACGGTTCTGGCTTGCCTTGTGCACTGGGCACTGGGCACTGGGCAGTCGGCTAGCAGTGCCTTGGCCAGCAACACCTTGGCCGGGTCGGGTCAACTGAAGGGGATGTGACTGATCATCTCTCTTTATTTTCTGCCCGAGCATCTTCTTATAAAAACGGTGCCAAGTATCTGTAACCTTACAACATGTACTCAACGCCATATGCAGATGATGAAGACGAAGCCCCTCGCCGTATCCATGTCCGGGTTCCTGCGAGGTTCAAAAAGGGATATCATTTACCCCTAATGCAACGCTGTGCCGCGCCTTTTCTCTCATCTTCAATGGCTTAAACTTCTTTCTCTTCTATTCTCTTCTCCGGTTCTCGCCCTGTAAACTCCAAACTGAAGTGGTGTCTCCTTCCCTAGACAGCACCACTAGTACTTCCATCATGGAGTCTATTCAGCGGGAATTGCTGGGAGCGCGGATCGGTGTTCAGGCTTGGCCGTCGACCGGTGAAATATTGTTGCCACAAAACTTTTCCTTCGCTTCGCCGTCTTCTGCTGGGCACTTGCGGGCCTCTCCATAGCTGCCAGAATTGGGGGTGATGCTGGTACAGGTGGTAATGCCTCGTCTGCGCTTGCTGGCGGCGTGAGCTCGGGTGTCGGGAGGTCGATTGCCGATAGCGGCCTCAAGCTGGCAAGAGACTGCAAGCTTACTGTTAGTCTCCAAGAAAGAATGTTCTGGCTAGCCGACGACTGGCCGGGTACTGACTTTGACGCTCAGTTTCTTCCGAGCCTTCGGCCTCTTCGATACTGTACCAGCATCCTCGTCCTCCTCTTCTGCAGCGGCTTCTGGAATGCTGTAGGTCCTTGACAGCTCCTCAATCTCGCCGGCCAGTGTCTTGCCATTGCAAGCCACGTCTTGTTCCTTGGTTGGGACGAAGCGTAAGAACCCTCGCTCTGACTTCACCCCAGTTGCCTCCTCCATGTGTTTCTGTATCAAGGCCGCATTGCGCTTATTGGTCGTGGGTAGCAGCTGTGATGGAAGCGCAAATACCGACATAACGTACGCGGGATCAAATGATCCCCCGAACAGCATGCACGCGCTGTGCTGGAGGGTGACCACGATCGACGACACCGGTCTCTGGTACCGCGTGGATATGTGGTATGACAGCTCTGTTATAAAAGTGAACTCGTCCGTGATCTAGGGCGACATGTCAGCAGTTTCCCGTCTCATCACCATATGCATGGCACCTACTATGATGTTGGTCTTCACCTCCACCATGACGATTGCGTCTCCCTGCACCCTCTCCCTTGCCGGGTTTCTGCCCCCGTTGGATGAGAAAGCATCCTCGAAAAAGCTAAAATTGCTTCTCTTCTTGACCAGACCGGGCTTTGACGGCCGCTTGGTAGCCCGCGGCCCAACATCTCCCGGCAGAGGTCGGTCGATATCGTGCATCAGACTGTCCTCTTTGACAGGATTGAGCTCCCAAGCCCTCCGGTCCGCGAACGATGGCTTTGCCGGAACCACCAGCTGGTGGCCTTGGTTGTGCCCCCCAGCCTGCTTGCCACTTGCCGGATGGAAAGGTCTATTCATTGCGGCCAACTGGTCGGCACTCGGTTTGGTGAGACGGCGAGAGCTGAAGCACTCTGAAGTCGATGCAACGATGCTTGTGTCCGAGATAGTTTTCCGAGCACAGGAAATTGGGGTTGCCCCAAGCCAGTGATTCTCGAGGACCACTGAACCGAAGAGACCGGGGGATGCTAGACAAGCGAACCCTTTCTTATGTACCCCTTATTGGTGGCGCTGTCAGTCAGTGAAACATCTGCCTAGGTCTGTCTGCCTCGTGTCTGATAGCACCACACAAGGACAACCACGTGCCGCGAGCTCCAGGTCTCCCTTCCAGTGTTTTCGTGCGTCGTTCAGCAAAGGCCACAATATCTGTGTACCCTAGGGTTTGTCAAGGCCGGATGGAAGAAGCGGGGAGCAGTCACAAGGACTAGAACCGAGCAGTGAGCAGTAGTGATGCAGTAGGCCCAGTTGGATTCGTGTTAGGGAGAGGGAGAGTAATAAATCAGTTGTGCAGTCTTGCTGATCGGGGAAGAAAGAAAGACCGAAGCCTGGAGTGAGGTGCTTCTGGGAACAGGTCGCGAACCGGTAAACGGCAGGACGGGGAACCCACACTGCTTGCACCCGTCCTTCAACTCTTCTTTTAGTGGCATCTGACTTGGCAATGCGAGGCAGGCGCTGCCAGGAGCAGGCTCAGACCTAGAAACTACGTCTACATGGAAAGAGGAAGGAGAGACCGCGTGTGAGTGACGTGTGTTGACCCGGCAGTTTTAATTACCTATTCGGTTACCACCTCGTACTAATACTAGTAGGACCAGTGCCGGCAATAGCGTTAGGTTGAAAGATGTGCCTTCCTTCTAGGGTTCCCTCCAGGGAAGCAAGCGGAGGTGGAGGCAGAGCAAACAGAGCGGGTATGGCACTCCCGCTATTCCCCTCTTATGAACGTGATGCCGTCTGCCTGCTAATCCCACGTACCCTACAACTCAACTCTCCGCAGACTCGACCTGCGCTGTGGTCGTCGATCAGTGTGCGACACGCGTACAGCAATCCCGCGTGGGACGCCTGGTGGCAGGCCGATGGTACTCGCATATCATATGACAGCACTGGGTCACAGCAGCCATCAAACATACATCACTCTCTGAAAAGCTCCTGCCGATACAAGACTCGGAAGCGACCCGAGGCAAACAATCCTCGCGTGCCCTTTACTTGCACTGGTTCCGCATCTCTCCTAGCCACTGAGCCGCGTATCGATTCAGCCCATAGCCATAATGGATTCGGTCGAGCAACAAAAAAGAAACGAAAAGAAAAAGGTCATCCACCCCCACACCCACCGGAATGAGTAGGTGGTGGTCGCGGGAGAGCGCGGGATGATGAGTTCGTCTGCTTCGCCACCATGGAGCCGAACCGCGAAACGGGATTGCTTAGAGGCAGGTCATATAGTGCTTTAGATAGCGACCGCGTCTGCGTCGTCCTGATACGGGCTGCTGCGCGGCAGGGCAGACAGCAAGCAAGCGCAAGCCCAAACAAGCTGCAAGGTTCAGGGTCAGCAAAAGACTTCAAACACCAGAGTAGAGGGTGCCCGGCGGTAGAAGAACCGACAGGGACACCCGGGAAAATAGATTGGGAGATAAGGCAACCCGCAGCTGCGGGCCGGCATGTTTCGAAACGGGGCGTTAGCAGTGCCGATATATGTATGCCATTGCCGCAGGAAAGGGGCGCCGACTCTTTTCCCGCTAGCAACCGAAAATGAAAGATAGGTTAACTTATCATTGTATCTAGAACCACTGAGGAATATATACGAATGCGTGCAGGGTCCAGCTCTCCCGCCCATTGCCCGCCGGACTGGCGTGATTGCCCTAGATATGCATGCAAGAAGCCGGATGTCTCCCGATCTCTGTTTCAGCTTGCGCGTGTGTCCGGACACTACTACTAGGCGTAGGGCTTGGAGGAGACGGGGAAGGGGCGTGGAGATGTTGAGATTAATGAATATAGCTTGGGCGAATATGGGATTTGAGAGCGAGAGCCTGGTGAGAACGTACGGGTAAATAAACCCCCATCTATTTCTTACACGTAACTAGACCGTGGATTCATCATGAGAAGGGTCTGCTTGAACTGTCAAAAACGTCTATCTAGACTGTAGACTAGATAAAGGGTACTTCTAGCGATTACGTCGAGGCCTAACAGAGAAGTCCAAAGCTCTAATATTAAAAGATACAGGCCTCGTATTGAAGCCCTACCTCCTAATTATTTACCGGTATTACTCGTTAAAGCTAAGGGTATCCCAGGAAAGCCGTTCGCGATGCCCTGTGAGGCTTGGGTCTGTTCTGCTCTTCGAAAGAAGAGTCTTCGGTGCCTGCATAAAGTGCTAGCCTGGTCCGTCCGGAGAGCCAGGTGGGCGTTGTTACAACTGTGCGTCCCGGCACTCGTGTTTCGCTGTGTGAGTCTTGTTCCCCTCCTTGCTCCTGGATGTCAGATCGCTAACGCTCCAAAAGCCCTGAGGAAATCGAATCAATGTGCCGCCCTGGCCTTTTCTGTGTCATTTAAGGCAAGACTGGTTCGATAAGGCGGAGACTTGATCCCATGAAACAGTCGCTCAGGTGAATGCCCTCATTGAGTATTTCGATGCTCTGGACAGCTCGACCCCCGTGTGTCCTCCACAGAACTACTTACTTCCAGTCCTTCTGTTCTTAGGCTCGAACCGAGCCCAGTCGAATTTGTCGGGAACCGGAGCCTTGCCCTTCTTATCCTCCTTGGGAACATCCTTCATAAAAACGTCTTGAACCTTGGCGACGTCCTTTATGATGATGCCCTGAGATGCACTACCGGTCTTGGGATCGCTCGTCTTCTCAGGGCTCAAAGAGCCCACAACTTTCACTCGCTTCGGCATGTAGCTAGGAGGGTATATTAGGTCCTAGTCTTATATGTGCTTCAGTATGGGCAGACGTGTTTGGCAGTTTGAACAGACCTTCTCTTCATATGAGGCAATAGTCAATTGACCTCCCTCCTCAGTCGTATGAAGCCTTTCACAACGATAATATTCTGTTACCTATCCCCTCAGATAATTGTGACGGGAATCTCTTTGGCAGTCTCCCAGCAGTATAAATCGAGACAACCGCCGAGGCAAGAGCCACGATCCACAAGGCGAAAGGAAAGAAAAAGCGAGAAGGATAGCAAAGAAAGCACAGAGAGACAGAAACCCAAAGACTAACACGTAGACACTCGTTATTTGTTTAAATAATAATAATAATAATAATAATTGTATTAACGATTCGCCGTTGGGGGGGCATGTCCCAAATTGCATTATACACATATACACACACACAAAGATAGATACACACAGAACGCAAAATAGCGGGAGAAACAGAGAAAACCAAGTGACACCGAATGCAGAACTCCTTCCTGGAACAGCAGAAAAGAAGAAGCAGAAGAAGAAAAGATATCATGTCATGCCCAGACGACGATAACATGATCGCCATTCCCCTTCCCATCTATCTCCCCACGAAACACACTCCTTCCTTTCCTTCTTTCTCACCACCATCGAAAAAAGAAGAATAAAAATCACGACAAAACCGGACTCCCGCCTTTGCGCCCCTCCCTACTATTCTGCACCTGCCCGCGCTCGGCACGGAACTGATACGCCGCGAGCCCCAGCGCGGCGGCCTCGACGGGGATGAGCAGGATAGCAAGATAGAGCCCGGCGTGGCTCTGGCGGCACAGGTCAGCCCAGCGCGGCGACTGGTCCATGGGCAGGGCCTGCCAGCGGCAGGTCCACGACAGGAACGTGTCGACGGTGGCGTCGGCGTTGACGGCGTAGAAGAAGGCGATGGCGATGAGCGCGGCGGCGAGCCCGACGAGCGGCGCCGCGAACGTGAGCGACGTGTGCGCTGTGGTTCTGTTTCGGAGCTGTTTGACGGGAACGAGAGTTAGGGTCATGTGTCATATGTGTAGAGGGGACGGAAGGTTCGCTTACCACGCGGACCTTGCTAAAGCACAGGGCGGCAATGTTGGCGAGAATGACGATGGTGCTGCCGACGACAAGGGCCACGGTGGGCCGGATGTTGAACTCGTCGGGCCACAGCGGCAGGAAGAAGTCGTAAGGGACGTGGGTGGCGTCGTAGACGGCGAGCGTGTTGGCCGACACGCCCAGCACAGTTGCGCCCATGAGCAGCGCCAGCGCCGTGGTGGCTATCCGCGCCGTGTCGACGGTGCGCATCGCGCTCGTCTTGTTGGCTTGAGGCAGGTGGTGGTGGTCGTGTTGCGAGTCGGACTCAAAGTCGGAGCCCGACGTGTGAGAGTGGCCCTTTTCCATCGTGTCTGTTTTTCTTGTATGTTGTTCGCTTCTTTTATAATCCTTTTCCCTGACGGCTTCTCTTTTCCGGTCTAGTGGTACGAGCACTGCTCAAACTAGGAGCTAGGTAGGTAGGCAGGTACGTGAAGGAAAGATGGACCCTGCCTGTAGCACGGGACTGTCGCTCGAGGTATCAGATGATAGCACGGCAGACGAGGAGGCGAGTCTCTGATAGGAAGAGAAGGAAGGGAACCGAAGCGACGAGAACGAAACGACCCGACAGAGGAGGAAAAAAAAAGAGATGGAACGGAAAACAAAGCACGATTCACAGCGTCATGATCTGCGAAACGAAACCTCGGGGCAGGCGGTGGAAGGAGCAGGTCCCACGATACTAATACCCGACCTTTTCACATAAGAGAGAGAGAGTGTGTGTGTGTGCCATACCGCTGCACCACACATGGAACACCATTTCCCTGGCTTGGCCCTTGGGGGTCTCTGGGATGGCACCCTACGATGGGTTTCAGCGGGCGAGTTAGCCGCCTGCCGTGCGCTGTGCTTCCCATCGGACGGCACAGTCGGATGTGGAGTGCCGATCTCTTTCGCCCTCTCCCGGCAGGCATAGGCGCGAGACACTCAGCAAGTCCAAGACAACACCGCGACGGACAGACACAATAAATTACGGATGGCAACACCCTTGCCAGATGGATGCAGTGCACGGCACGGCTAAGAGCAAGGAGCAAAGGCGCCACCGCCACCCCGACTTTTCCTCTGCCTGCCGGGCTTCTGTTCGTTCGTTCGTCGTCATTCTCACCTACTAGTTAGTCGTCTTCAATTTGACCTGTCCGTCAGGCCAGGAAATGCACTGGCGGGTGGTGGGCTTAACGCGGGTGCCTCGAAATAGGATAGGCCTCGCAGCGAACGACAGCCCCGGATTGGCTAGATCTGTCTTGAGCCTGCAGATGAGTATCAAGAGCCAAGAAGACGCAAAAAGTCCGAAGGCGGTTGGAGAAAAGAAGAACCATCAGCGGCGGCCCAATGCCGCTGATCTGATGGGTGGGAAGGTGGGGCCCGGTTCCCGCCTGCGCCCTATCGTCGCTCCCGTGTGTGTGTGGCCCCCCCACAATGCCGATCCGGAAATGTCGACGCAGGGGCCACTCCAGGCGCTTAGAGAAACCAAGCAGCCATTAGCGGGCCCAATCACGGCCTGCAAGAGGCGGTTGCGCCGTTTGGGCGCGGGCTAAAAAAAAACATGGGGGTGGTTGGACTGGAGGTTAGCGCCTAGCGCTTCCGGGGCTATAATGGAATTATTATGATGGATGATTGATGGATGATGGATGGATGAATTATTACACTACGACGGGAAACTGAAGCCACTCTCAAATCGTTTTGCCGCGTGCTATTTGAGAGTCCGACAACGTCTGGCAATCTGGGGAGAGATGATGGTCCGGGGTTTACCGCCACCCCTAACCCTGACCACTTCTTAACTCACATAAACAAACTCCCTCTGTGCTTGGTATATGCATCATCAATGTGCACCTCGGTGTGCGTGAGCTTGCAAAGCAAGCAGCCCACAGATATTGAACAGTAGTCAGAGTTTGTATTGGCCGGCGTGGCTTGACTACCCGGTACGAAATAGTCCGCGGCTCTTTGTTCCTAGGTTTGTTTGCGCTGGGCGCCTTCTTTCATCATTACAACTACCCGGCCCGCCGTTTTCTGTTTTCATGGCAGCCTCCTCTGCCCGTCCAAACATCTCGCTCGTCGCCGAGTCATTTTTCTCTATATAGCATTTCTATTTCCAGCGCAAAGCCTTTTCCGATTTTTGTTGTTTTTTCGAATAGCCCTTTTCCGCGGTTTTGTTTTCGGCATCATTGCGGCATGTCGTCTATGCAAAGGTTAGGAGCCAAACCGGCCGGTAAAAAGTTTCAGCGTGTTGTCGTAGATTCTCTTCTTCCGTGCAGCAGGGGGTTGGGGATCGGCCGATTTTCCTCAAGCAGCCCATGTCCTCTTCCCTCCCGCCGCGCTCTCCGCGCCCATCCCGATTCCCTTCCTCCGCCCCCTCACCACCGCCTCCAGCGCCCTCCCCACCGCAGACATGTCCCCGAGCAGACTGATGTGTCCTCTGTCCGAGCAGATCCTGCCATCCTTTGCCAACTCGTACCCGGGCGGCAGCATCGCCTCGCGCGCTAGCACCACGCCGTCGCCGCTGCGAAACACCAGATCATCGTACGCGTCCGCGCAGGCGATGCCCTCGCGCCCGGCCACCCGCGCCGCATGCACCGTCGGGATGTCCTTGGTGTAGATCACCGCTAGCGGCGGGTACGCGTTCGCGTCTTGGTGCTCCGTGTTATGCGCCAGCTCGGAACGGAATCTCTTGATCTCGGCAAGCGTCCTTTTGAGGTACTGCATATACCGCGCTTGGGCGGCTGTGCCCGGGCCTCCGGGAATGGCCGCGCTGACGGCGGCGCTAGCGGGAGTTGAGGAGGCTCCTGTCGAAGACAAGGACGAAATGCCGCCGGCCGACGATACGCCCCCTACCAAGGGCGATGTAAAGTGCCCTTCTCTCCCGATAGCCTCCGGCATTCGGTGTTGGTGAGCTGCTGCGTCGAGAGGCGCTTTCTTCTGCTGGCTGTTACTCCGACTCCGGAGAGGCAAGCTGGGCAGTGACTCGGTCAAATTCAGCAGGGAACCGAAAGTGCTGGTCCGCGACAAAGGTGGCAGAGCCGGCTCCGACACGCAAGGTGAGAGGCGGTATTTGACCCAGTCGTCGGCGTTGTAGAAATCGATCGGATATTCCTCCTTTGTCACCTTATCGATGAAACAGAAACCGTCTTCGGGCAGGAAGATAAACGTGGTCCGTAAGGAGAAATTCACCTGCGCGGTGAGCACCTTCTCGTTCAGGAGCACGGCGTCGCCGTTTCTCAGCGGGCCGAGAATGTTGATGCATCTCTGCGGTACCCCTGCATACACGACGCCCGAAAAGAGCCCGGGTCGCTGATTTACAGCGTGGCGAGTGATCAACCCGCCAAGACTGTGCGCGATGACCAGCGCGCCTCTCTGTGCTGCTGGCGTACCTGGCTGGTTCGAGGGCAGTTTTTCGAGGTATTCGTTTAGCTTACGCGAGAGCAGATGAGGGCTGAGCCGCCAGTCGTAACCGTAATCGTGCACTCGCAGCTTACCTTGGCGAGCATTCTCGCATTCTCTCAACTTTTTGAACAGGCGCTTCGAGATGTCCACGGGGCCGATATTCTGCAGCATCCCCGAGGGAAAAATATGCTGCTCCATCGTCTCTTCATCTTCCGGGTCGAGTCCGACTTCCATATTTACCTTGCGGATTTTGAGTCCAACCTTGACGGGAACCCACAGCTGCCGGCAAGGGGGCTGCGAGGATCGCAGTACCGAGCCCCTGTACCCTCCCATGACCACAACGTCTCCGGTCAAGGATTCCAGTATGGAATCTAGGGGGGGCAGGTCATCCCGGCGCGCACGCGGGCCATTCGGCACGGAACCGGACCGTGATGAATTTAGGGACGGCTCGGCAGCCGACGATGTGGCCGCCTTCTTCAGCGGCGTAGTCAGGAGATCTGGTAATATCGTCAGCAAACTGTCACGTCACACGGCACGGGGTTGTGGTGCACAAAGTTGCATACTCTGAAACTGGGGCAACCTGAATGACGGGCCATCCCAGCTGTCCCTGATGGCCTTGATTCTCGAATTGACTTGCTCACGAACGTTGACGAAGCGATTGTCGTCACCAAACGACGAAACACGGGAAAGGGACTGATATAGGAGAGAGTCGTCAGACGTTGATTTCCTTAGGGCAGGGGTTTTCGCCGACGGGGCGGGGGTCAGCGGTGTCCCGGGATTCGGCGAAGACGGATTGGGGGTTGTGTAGCCGGAACTGATGTATCCCCAAGTCGTTTCCCATCTGGCCGCAATGCGGTCCGACATGAGTTGCGGAGATGATTTTTGAGGCTGCGCTGCCGGCTCGTCCTTCTGAGACGAGCTCGACGAAAAGAAAGACGGCGTGGGGATGCTCGGGATCAGGCCGGTGGGGATCGAGATGGACGGCAGGGCCTTGGACAACCTCTTCAGGGCATTCTCACCGGCTGAAGCGGAGCGTTGGACCCTCGACGGACCACCAAACACGTTCGACATGGATGACGCCGGCTTGGAATTTGCCGGCTCGTCAATGAGAAAGGTCTTCGGTCCAGCCTGCCATGGCATTGGCATAGAGCTCCCCTGGGGCTGGTGCACCGGATAGGTTCCCACCGTCGTCCTGCGCCTAGGAGGGGCGAAGGGCTCACTCGCGGTGCTCAGGGGGCTCGAGTCAGTGGTTCCATTCTTGAGCGAGGCTTCGTCTATTATGTGAAACCCGCCTGCCTCGCCATCTCCCGGGGCTTCAAACGGTCCGCGCTCGGGGAGCAGGTCGTCCATAGCTGCTGCCCTCTCGACAGCGGGAGTCCTGGGCGATGTAAGCCGCGTTGCAACGGGGCTCATGGCCGGCTGGATGAAGGACTGCGCGTCATCTTGGTCGCCATAGACGTCCTCGTCGTCCTCGGCGCCATCAGACGACTGCTGCAGCGAAGGGCGGCCCTCGCCATCCTGCTCTGGCACATCTGGCGCCGGGCTTGGCATTGAAGTCGAGTGGGCAGTAGCAGTAGCTAGTCCCAATTGCACCTGATTGGCCATGTCATGAGGCGCTGGGACGGCAAGCATGTATTAGGTAGGTTGTGAGACGGAGGCTCAAGCAAAGTAGAAACAGAAATGGCAGTAGCAACGGTAAGGCCGAGTGAGGCCGAAGGTAGTCATGCCACTTTTAAGTGTCCAATTCCAAGTAGATATAGGTAATGCGGCTGGCGGGGCGAGACTTGTAATAACTCAGGGTGCTGAGGTGAGCGTGCTCGCTTCCCTGTTTTGTTTGTTTGCGTCGTAGGTTGTTTGTAATTGTGTCCAGGGTTCGGTTCAGACTTGGGATGGAGCGGCCGAGGGTTGAGGATTGAGGGTTGAGGATTGAGGGTTGAGGATTGAGGGTTGAGAATTGAGGGTTGAGAATTGAGGGTTGACGTGAGACTAAGAAACTCAATAACAGATAAATAATGATTGTGAGGTCCAGATGCCAAGCAGTAATGATAAGAATAAGAACGAAAATAAGGACCGGTCATAAAAAAAAAGGATCGATCGATCGTGACAGGTCTCAGGAAATCAGCCAACGGAAGGGCTGAGATAGGCCTCGAAGGAGCGGCCGGAAGCAGGCCTGCGGCGAGTCGCCTCTTTGTTTCTTCTCAGCTCTAATCGCCTAGCTCGGTCATGCAGGCAGGCATTCTTGCTGGATACCGGGCTGGCCAGGCCATGCTGCCCCATTTCCAGACGGGAGTGCTCCGCTGCGGCGGTGCAAGCTCCCAATAGGGAAGGCCCAGAGCCTTGCGAGCCTTCTCGAAGGACGGCACTAGAGTTTTCCAACCGGGTATCCGTTCCAGTAGTGCGCGCATCATTGGTTCAAACCCAATCCGCTTTTCGGTTTCGGTTTCGGCTGCGCTGCTGCTGTCTGTCAGACGATACGATTTAACCTCGCCGTCATATTCCATTTGCATGGCACGCGCTAATAACTCAAAGTCAAACCGATCCAAGTCTAAACTCTCAGGCCTAACGGTTCACGGCCTTGGCACCCCAAACCTTGGGAATTGGGGGTTCAGTCCGAGTAGGACACCATTGCGAGAGATCGTTGCTAGCTAGAGCTGGCAGAGAGCGCGAGAGACTATTAGACTACACCGAGGCTAAGTCCAAGCCATGACGCTAGGACGAGTTGGACAACTGGGTCAGGTAGTGAGGAGCTGGCTACTTCGTCCAAGTTGACCAATTCTCTAACCACGGCTGCCAATTGCCTCGGGTGGATCGCTAGCAAAGCTTGGAGGCTATTTACAGTCTTGTCGTCGCCCTCCTATCGTCGCCATCTATTTATGTTCCTTGAAATTTGCCAACGAAACAACCTTGCGTAAGCTCCGTCCCACAGCCCTCTAAGTCGAAGTCCGGTGCTTTTTGGCCTTAGTATCCTTGTCGGTCGGTGGCGCTTCTGGTCTCTGCGTAAAAGAGATCGAGTATGTCGCTTGATGTGAAGCTCGCAATGTCGTGATCCCAGCGCCGAACCAAACCGTTCTCCAGAATTGTTTGATATATGGTGACAACATTGACCTCTGTGCGCCATACTCCCGACAGTGGAGTGTCTCGGGCCAGGTTGGTTGAGTATTGTGGTGAATAGGCGCGAATAGCCTCCACAATCACCTGGAGTTGCTCCCTTTCGAGTTACTCGCTCTAGAACCTGAGGTTGACTTGACCATTCTTGCTCTAGTCTTGGAGGTATAATATAGCTTGCCTCACCCAGTGCTGACGGCAACGCTGGCTGGAATTTAAATACCAATATACCGACATGCTCGTGGTCGCCGCATTTCCACGGCATCTTCAGCTTGTTCCCGACTGTCGCATTCGGGACCAGCTGCAAAACATCGCCTTTGAATGCAGCCCAAAGGAAGCAACGCAACGGACTAAACCCCGTCCATAGAACTGGGAGGCATGGACTGGGCGAGGCGACTTGGTTTGCCGCGACCGATCCGTAGAGGAGCCCGTATCTGACCGTCGCTTGCATTTCAAAGGTGGGGATCCCTCTCAATGCATCGGTCCCGTGGTATACGGGGAGAGCTCGAAACGAAAAGTTTGAGGGATCGGCACCTCTTTCATACGAGTTGGCAAGCTGTTCCATTGCCCTTGTTGTTTGGTTGCCATTCCAAGCTTCGAGAATCGTCGACCCTTCAAGCTCAAGTTGGATGACCGAGCATGGTTCGGTATCGGTGGATGGCTGTTCCGTACGGGATCCGAGCGCCATTGCTGATGGCCCTTCGACAGGGGGATGGCTCTCTTCATGGCTGGGTTGATTGGTGTGCGTTGCTGCTCGCTAGCTGGGGTATTTAGGTTTGCTTGCTCTGGGTCACGCATTCGTCGATCTCCGCATCCCTAGGCTGCGGCTGTGCGGCGAGCTATCGTGCAGTCCTAGGCGGGCACTTGGCCTTGATGAAGGGATGGATGGAATTGGTGTTGTCACTCGGCCATTGAGCCCCAACTCGCTAGGTGCCCCATCAGTGGTGGGTGGAATGGGACTGCCTGGTCTTCAGCCTAATAGGCAATGCTATTAATGACGTCGAGCATTGCTTCCCTTGCTGGGCGCAACCTAATGAACTTGTCGGCTAAATCGTGGATACCGACCGACTCATCAAAGGCCTGGGCCTTGGACCGAATATGCTCAGACGCGCTACTCGAAAGAATATCTTTCATAGAGAGGAAGTCATCGATGGATCTCGACGGCAGGTCCAGATCGGTGCTTGTCGAAACATCCATCGGCGTGCCCCAGGTGATGACGTCAACGATCCCAAGGCCGCCACTCCGGTCGACATTCTGGATGCAGTCTGAGATAGTCTGTGTAAAAAATGGTGCTGCATGGGAGGCAGCGACCGTGTATCTTCTAGAGATGAAGGTATCGTCCATTTTTGCTGGCGGCGTGGGCAGGTCTGCGGTACCTAAAGTTGATGTAATGGAAGAGAAAGGAGAGAGCTGATGGGTGGGGCCTTGGCATCACGTGCCTGAGCATGTGACCTAAACGGCCGTAATTTTGGACCACTGACCTTGTCAGAAGCTCGACGACCGTCATCTTCGCCTGGCGTACCCCCCCACCGTCCACCGTCCACCGTCCACCTTCCCCCCCCGCCGCCGACCAACCCACGGAACATCCGATTGCAAAGGCCAGGCGGTCGCTTCAGCCTCAAAGATGGCTGGCCTAAAACATGCCAGTGCGTTGGACCCCCAATCCCGTCTCAACTGACTGAACCAATTCCCCGGGGGGCCGTTGCTTTGCTTATTCCCGTATTTTGCTAACAGCTGCCTGCCAACAACAGAGGTCGCCTTGGACCCGGCCATCGTCCGACTGGGGAGTATGTTAGAACCCTCCTAGAAGATAGCCGCCGACGAGGCCTTCCCCCCTCCCCTACCCTTGTATCGCTGTCACGAAGCGGTGGGCGAGGACCGTCGGGTTTCCTAACATGGGTTTTGCGTAGATATGAACACGAACCGCTACAAGTACTTCCGATGGACGCCCAGGACAGCGTGGATCACGTTCATGTATGTCGCAGTGGTGCCGAGCATCGTTGGCGTCATTGCATACTCGACAGATGTGAGTTTGATTCTCTGCTCCAGCCCTGACAGACGGGAGAGCGAAATGCACCACCCGTGTGTGTTGAGGCAGTGCCGTCCCGGTGTGCTGACTAGTGTGCTCTATCTCTTAGGGTAAGTACGATCTGCGCGCGAAGCGGAGAGGCGACACCATCTACGAGTATTGATTGGCGCGGAGAGCAAGGGTTTGCGGTCGCATGAGAGAACTGTACATAAGATATGGCTGGACTGGCTTGACATGGAGATCAGCCAGAGGGGGACGTGGGAGCTCTATTAGGATCTCAAAACGCCGAAAAATGCCGGTTATCAACAATTCTTCAGGTGTCCATTGTGCAACGGAAACGCTAACTCTATAGCCGTGACAAATGTTCGCTACGACATACTGCCGGCAGTCTGCCGGCAGTCTCAGAAGTCCAGACAGGACGAAACTCTGACATATGTCTTTGAACAAGACATGAACTACAGTAAACATAGCCTCCTTATTATCATTAAGTTACTCCCTGAGAGACTCACCATCGCTGTTTGTTCCCCTTCGGATACGGTCGTCTTGTTGGCCAACTGTCTGCTTGTTCGTGGAACTTCCTAATCGTCCTTTGAGTCTGTAGCATCCGCTTGTGTGAGGACATACGCTTGTCAGGCAAGGTATACTTTGCTAGTACGACTCCCACCGTTGCCGGTTGCCGAGGACGGTGGTTTCCAAACCGCCATCTTCTTTCTTTCCATATCAATATCATGCTTGGGTTGCCGTCTCCGCTTCGAGTGGCGCTGGAGGTTGTGTGTAGCCGCTTGCCGGTAACTCCCTCACCGCCGTGAAGACCGCATTTGTTGTGCCATTATTTCATTAGTCTCCTGGTTGGATTCCTGCTCGAGCTCCCATATCATCTGTTGGAAACATGAGAGGGTAGATAGCCGCCAATCCTCATCTCCATCGTTCTCTTTGTCGTCAATGGCAATGATCCCCGAGACTTTCTCCAAATGCCCCCCAGAACAGTGGCCAGGTTAGTGGCCAGGTTAGTGGCCTATCTCGGTCATGGACGACCTGAGGGGGAGGGGAGCGTGTCGCCTCTTCTCCATTCACCATCTGGGAGGCCACGACTGCTGCCTCCTCTTCGATGTCGATCCCGGTCTGGGCCCCACCCGAACCCGCGGCCCTGAGAAGACTCTCCTCTGCTCCTCGAGCCGCTTGGTACTCGTCCTCTGTTAAACGACGGCGGCGGACTAGGCGATAGTAAAGCGCCGATGCCGCCCTTAGCCTCGCCGACGCCTGCTCCCCGACCTATCCGTGCACTGTTCGCCGGCGCAACCTCGCCCGTCAGCTCCGAGGGCGGGAGGATGGCGACGCTGATGTAGTCCCCGACGATAAACCTGGCGCCTGCAAGAGTCTTGGTTTCGTCACTTCTCGAGCTTGAGAGCTGGTCCAAGGCATCGTCTATTTCCACGCCACTATTAAAAGCTGAATCGTCGTCGACGCCAGGCCCGCCAGCACCGAGAACCACGCTGCCTAGGTCCTCCGTTAGATACCGTGGCGGCTCTTCCGGCGAACCACGCGTGTCGGGATACACGAGGCGGAACTGGAGGCGCGTGCCTATGCACGGGTCCGGGAGCAGGTACTCTGCAGCGAGATGGTGTCCCAGCTCCAGCAGCGTAGTGCTCTCGAGTGCAGGTATTTCTATGTAGCGAGGAAGATACGCTGGAGCGAACTCGTCTGGTCTGTTTAAGTCATTAGTCAACAAACTATACCAGGCTGATGATTGATGGGGGAAACGAACCTGTGAAACGCCCCCGTTCTGTAGAATATTTTGACTGAGAAAGGCACAGGTGTGCTCTCGCGCTCGTCAGAATACGCAGACACCGACGGCAATGTCGACGGCGACGGCAAGGGCGATGCCAACGTCATGATGCCTCGTGGTTAGGTTCGACCGAGAGGTTCCGTCTCCCCGAAATTCCAGTTACTAATCGAGCAGGCTGACCAGTGTCGTGCTAGGGGCTATTTCCATAGAGTAGTCGCGCAACTAGCCCGGTACGTATTACGTTTACTGCCTTGACCTTGAGTTGTTAAGAAGCCCTGGTCGCAAAGGTTGACTTGTGAGGACGAGAACTTGAATGGCCGTTTTAAGCTTGGGGACCTTCAAGGTGTTTTAGAATAATCCTTGCAATCCTTGGGATGCCCCGGAGCAGATTATGTGGGGGTGCTAGGGGTCACCTTCCCGGTGGATTGTGGCATAATTTTCCCACGCTATTGCTTGGGTACCGCCATATGTAACTTTTTAGCGGGAAACACGCTTCTGGAATTCTTGTCGTCTCCGCCTAGTCCAACCGTGTCCGACTTGGCAGCGTCAAACATCGGCCTCTGTCAGCTCAGGCATACAGCGAACAGACTGAAGACCAACCAATCAACCCCAAAAAGCGCGCGAGGGGCGGGATAACCTGCAGCACAACCGAGCGGCTCTACAAAGGCAGCAACGAATATTAAGCAAAAAAAAAACTCCATCCAAAATGGATTTCGCGGCGCTCATGTCCAAGGAAATCGCCAAGGCGAAGGGCACCAGCAGCAGCAGCACGTCGACGACGAAAGCTGAAGCCGCGCAGCCCGACAAGCCCGCTCCCAAATTCATCAGCCGGCGCGAAGCTGAGGAGGCGCGGGAGAGGGCGTATTTAGCGGAGCAGAAGAAGCTCGATGAGGAGCGCGCGGCGCGGGCGGCAGCCAAGCGGAAGCGCGAGGAGGAGGCCGAGCACGAAGCCAAGGTGCGCGAGGAGAAGCGGCAGCGACTCGCCGAGGAGAGCCGGCAGCGGCGGGAGGCGAGAGAGGCCGAGGAGGAGCGACAGCAGCGGAAGCGACTTGGGCTGCCCGAGCTGCCGCCGCCCGGCGCCGACGACGACAGCGCTGACACGAAGCCCCAGGATGATGATGATGATGACGACTGTGACGAAGACGGCTTGGGCGACATCCCTGAGACGGAGCTGGTGGGCAAGCTGCGCGAGCTGGGCGAGCCGGCGGCGCTATTCGCCGAGAACCACAGCACAAAACTGCGGCGGTACAGGAAGGCGTCGCGCGAGGGCACGGAGCTAGCCGAGGGCCCGATCATAACCAACCTGCGGCCGCTGGAGGAGAAGAAGATGAAGGTGCCCGACACGGTGCCGCCCGTGTCAGGCAAGAAAGCGCGACGCTACCTGTTCCGGCAGCTGGCGTCGTACTTCAACATGGTGCTGCGGGAGTGGGAGGCGGCGCTGGCGCGCGAGGACAACGCCGACACGTTCGCGGGGCAGGCGGCGGTGCGCGCCATGGTGTCGAGCAAGGAGACCATGAGGCCGCTGTTCCGCAAGTTCGAGACGGGCGACCTGGACGAGAGCATCCTCGAGGCCGTGGTCGAGATCGTCAAGGCCGCCCAGGAGCGCCGCTACGTCGACGCCAACGACGGCTACCTACGCCTGAGCATCGGCAAGGCCGCCTGGCCCATCGGCGTCACCATGGTGGGCATCCACGAGCGCAGCGCCCGCGAGAAGCTCCACGGCGGCGAGAGGGGCCACATCATGGGCAGCGAGATCACGCGCAAGTACTTGCAGAGCATCAAGAGGTGCCTAACGTTTGCCCAAGTCCGCTGGCCGCCCGAAGATATCCGCCAGTTAATGGGTTGATGGATGGTGTAGGGAGTAGACGAGTTGGGAAGCAAAAGCAAGCTACAAGTTTAGCAAGACTGGCAAAACTCCTGCAAGCTATTCGATGGGAGAGTAAAGCAATGATACCCTTAGAGTTAACCACTCCAACAGCAAAAAATCAGAGCAAAAATGCTTGTCACAATGTCTAGGCATCCTTAACATTGGTTCATGGGATTCATTGCAGTGTTTCTGGTTGTCTTAGACGCAAGTCCGCTACCTTGGCTTAAGGGGATAGTGACAACTTGAATGCCTCACCTCCCGCCAATGCCCATGCAAACCAGACGCGATACAAACACCAACATCGCACTATACCATCAGTTCCAGGAACCGTTGCTCATAAAGGCTTATCTAGATAGCCTAGCCCATCCCATTTTCTAGCTCCAGAGGTTTGGTTCCAACCCCGCCTAGCATAAACTCATAGTGAGAGACTGTATCCATAACCATTATTCATATAGACCGAGGTGCCCTGGTTCATTACTCATCAAGCCTCCGATAGTCGTCATACATCTCGCTTGACGAAGAGAGCGTGTTGGCGTTCATCTTCTTCTGGCCCTTCAACTCCAGATCTGCCGCCGCCAGGCCCATGCGCCTGAGCCGGTCGACCGCCTGCTTCTCGTAGCTTTGTGCTTTCTCGAGTGCCGAGGCCTGAAGCTTGAGTCTGGGGTTCGAGGATGCCGTTGTGAGGTGCTATGGCAATCAGTCAGCAATTAACCTGCTTCTATGGGCCGCTGCAACTTACCTTGTCAATCGTGTTGATCTTGGCCTGAAGCGTGCCCGACTGGATCATCGAGTACAGCTCCTCCTCAATGGGCTGGCCCGGAATTCCAAATGCGCCGTTCATCGTGTCAAGACTGATGCACGAGAATGGGATGAGGTACTGGACGATACACTTACGCCGGATCTCGGCGTAGATCTTGGGAATGTGCTTCTGGAGATAGATGTCGAGAAGGTAATCCGCGCGGTACGACTCCAGCGTAGATATGCAGGCTGAGTATCTGCCGTTAACAAAATTGGTCACGGCACGACGGATGTGCGGCTCCCGCTCTAAGAACGATCGGAAGGACGAGTTGTCTAGAACCTTAGTCTGGAGATCGATCCGGTCCATCGAGGCTAGTGCCAGAAGACCGCCATAAATAGCGACGTCGTTGGAGCTTGCAATCTCATCGTAGGTCGACTCGGGGACGCCGCTCTTGGTCGCCAAAATGGCCGTGGCCGCATCCAGGAATCGTTCTTGGCCAAGGCTCGCAATGCCCTGCGATATTTTCAAGAACGGCTGGAGGGTATCCTCCTCTTCGGGTGTCTGGTTGAGCCCCATCTTACTGAGATGTGCGATAACCATGCCCCAGTTGCGCTGCGCCAGAGAGACGCGGATGAGATGGCGTCCTACGTCGGCGATTTGCTTTTGCGTGCTGACGTCGGGCCTCATCTTCTGGTATGTTTCGGCGGCCGCGTTGAGATCGCCAGAGCTCTCATAGAACTTGGCGAGGTCTTCGTTGCCGATCTGCAATAGAAGGCAACCCCAGCAATTAGTGTTTGCCCGTGCCGAGCGTTCATTGCGCCCGCCGCAGTGGTTCCTGGCAGAACGTACCCTTATGCTCTCCTTGACCAAGTTGTTTTTATAACCCTTGAGCTCCGCAAGCAGACGTGTGATCTCGGAGCGGTTGCTCGCGTCGACGCTCTCCAGCCAGGCTTGGTCAAAGGTGGCCTCTGGCTCCGAGGGCGCAGCTATTCGCAAACACTCGACAGCCTCCCGGTAGCGGTGGGTGTCGCGGCCCCTTTTCGCTTCGGTAGCTGCGGCCTTGAGGGCATCAACGCATAGGGGGACAGAGCTGCGGCCGATGAGGAACAGGCGGTCGTACCGAGTGCGACCTGGAGCGGCGAAAGATGTACGATCAGTCGACTAGAAATGGGGAAGGATAGGGTCTAGGCAACACTGGACCACCTACCACGATAATTTTGAATATACAGGTCTAGGTCGAGCTTGGGCTGTTCTGTTCGTCGCGTGTCAAGATCAGCGACTGCCCGCCTGTTTGGCAGGCACAAAGCCCCAAGCGAATGCGCAAACTAGCTGCGAGGGGATGGAAAATTGCGTATGTACATACCTTTGACAATGACACCGCCCTGGTTGTCCATGGCGGTGAAGAAGACCAGTATAGGGTCGTTCATGTTTGCTGCTGCGAGGAATGGAAACTCGTCGAGCGCAATTGGCGAGGCTGAAGGCTGGCGATGATCCAGCTCGAGGCTGAGATGGAGTAGCCGTGAGGAGAGGAGGGGATGCATACGTACCGGCAGGTACTTACTGTACAGCGCATTACGTATAACTCCTGCGCGACCTCAAGTGGGGCGGCTCACTCACCTCCAGCCCTCCCCCGCGTTTCGTGTCACCTTGGGCAAGCGGTTACCAAAATGAAAGGCACACCAAAACTAGCCCATGAAGGTCACCCACTAACAGAAGCCTTAACAATTCTACCACTTTTCATCACACCACACTAAACCACCCACCACTCGCCCAGGAGACGATAAACAAATGGGTTAATTCAATGGTAGTGCGAATACAGGATGTGTTAGTAGGTGAGGGTCGGATGACTTGGTGGTAGTACGTAAAGGTAACTTGTAGTTGTTGGTAATTTACCATAGTGGGCTAGGTACTCGCAAGTAGTGCATGCCTTATTTTGGCAACCGCTTGCTTGGGCCTACTAAATTGGTAATCCGTGCTGCCTCACCGACGTGCTCGGAATGTACCCCATAAAGTCAATGATATAACATGCGCGGGTGGCGTGGAACCGGAAAGAGGCTGTGCAAAGCTTACTTTGACAGTAAGAAGCTAGCCACGACTCTCTTCTTCTGGTTTAACGCATCATACGTGTGTTCAAAGGCTCCGAGGCACGGTCCATTGAGTGTTAGCTTGATGGAGCTAGAGCGGGAGCTCAGCCCTAGGAACTTCTTAAATCCCGAACTGGTAAACTTGGGAAGTTGGGAGCCTTCAATCAGCTGTATTCGCATGATTTCGCCAACACAACCAGCGTCCTGCTCTCAAGGAGGATAAGCTCCGTTTCTGCAAGTGAGATTACCGTGTTTCTTGTCTCGTATCTCTTTCAAATTGGCCGTCCAAGACCGACTCGATATTGTGCCTGGTCGGCGTCCGTACCACAACTGTTATTACTGCCGCGGGGTTTTACTTTTACGCTCACGAAAAAAAAAATTGGAAGAATAACAAAGGCAAGGAACTAGCCTCTTCAAGTTTCTAATCCCTACGCACCAATTTCTTTTCCTGCCGTCCCAAGCTTCCAACACTAAAGAATTTGTTACCTAACCGTCGATTGCGATCAACGTGTATATACCCCACCAGCCATTGGAACGCGGTTCACAATTCACTTTGCAGTTTAGCTTTTTTAGATGGATTACGTAGATCCTTGCAATGGCACTTTCAATGGTCATTGACAGGCTCGTCTAAACTTCGGGTGTCAGACGTCCGAGATACCTTGCCTTTACAGTGCGACCCTAGAAGCCGATCACGGGAAAGTCTGCGGCACGGAGGCACGGAGGCACGGTCCTCGACAGGGCCAGCTTGGGGACTTGCTTGGCGGCAGGAACATCATCCCACCCGCAAGGCTTCGCAAAGTCTATCGGCTGATCCCAGCATCCGGTTCATCGACACTGGACATCAGCACCTCGCCTCCCTTCCGCTGTTATCGTGTGCCATTTTAACCCGCCTACCTACCTTAAGTTAAGGGTTAAAAGGGGGAAGTGGACACGACAGAAGATGATTTCTAAGCATTGTGACAAACCGCGTCTCCGCGGCCTCGTGTTTGGTTCTTGGTATGCTTGGTATACTCCACGTTTGTGCGAAAAATACGTACCATCTCTAAAAGAAGTCTGGAGATCACCCCCCATATTGGGTCGAGGTAGGTTCAATGGGGGGCCTTTACGAACTTCTAGCGCTTCTTCAAACCGCCCCGCCTCGAGCAAGGCCAATAGAGTCACGATACAGCAGGATTGAAATAGGGCAGTTGATGTTTGAGAGGTTGTTAGCTCTAATTATGCCTTGCATAGCAGCACGTAACGCTGTACCAACATGCCTCCGACAGTCCTACTGTAACTTCTCGCGTGGCCACCACCAGCCTTAGGCCTTAAGTTAGGAGTTTAGTCCGCACACTACCTTAGTGACACAGATTCTGGTGCCTCTCAACCTCACGTGACTACCTCCCGACAGTGATACAATGGCAGCTTGATCTTCAAACCGTGCAAAAAAAAAGTCGGGCTCGGCCAGAGAGCTCGGAAGCAAACCGCATTGCAGTTCTGCGGCAGGATTGCTGAACGCTACTGACACGGGGATTCACAAGAGGCTGGGATATCGTCTGCTAATTGTCAATACGGATATCCGTATATTTAATAAAACCCAATTCGCTACATCTTCTCGGACGAAAGGGGGGGGGTGGGTTGGAATTTATCGGGCTACCATTTGTTCCATCTTCTCATCGGTTAGCCAAGCCGAAAAGGCACACCCCGGCGGGATGGCCATGCGGTCTCTTATAATGCATATTCGTTCTCTCCATTCAGTAGTACGATACGCAACCTACCCCATAGGGGTTACATGCAAGCGTATTTCATCGTAAGGAATATGAGCGACCGCGGACTTGCATCCTAATCATTTTACCCCTCGTCCCTAAATCGGGCTTCGTCATCCACTGTATCTGCCATCTACCCAGGACCAGGTAGGGACTGTTCCTTCCCAGCCGCCGTAGGGTCGAGGAGGTGCGCGGCCTAAAGGAAGCTATCCGAGCTCGAAATACAGCATTCAATGGGCAGATGTTTATTGGAGACAAGAAAGGGAGGATTGCGACTGAGGTTTATTTGCGCGAGATTTTTTTTACCACAACATCCATGGATGTGTCCCGAAAGCGGCCTGGGAATCGGAATAGCCACCACAAGTCCCCAGCGCCAAGTCCAGAATGGGCTGATTTTAGGTGCACGAGCCGGGGAGGGATAGAGCCTCGAGGGAGAGGGCGACGTCAGCCAAGCCTCTAGCGTGCCGCCTTTGGGCCCTTGTGGCTTGGGCCTTGGAGTCCCCACTGCAGCCGGCTCATCCCAACCCTTGCCCCTTCCCCATCTTTTTCGACATCTCCAAAATGAACCCCTCTTCTCGTCACACATGCCAGTCCCTTTTTCCCAACTGCGACAGACACAAGACACGCGTCGTCTCCCATTCTCCGAGTTGGGCCTGCTCGTTGGCTCTGGCTCTACCCGGCGCTCTGGCCCCTGGGCTTGGGGCAACTCTTACAATTCCAAGAGAATTATGGCCAGATATTACCAGACTCGAGGCACCAAGATTTGCGCCTTTGCGGAATATAACCGCACAGTCCCCCCTCCCAGTCACTTCAGACGGAGTATGCACATACTAAGTTCAACAGACTAACTAACAGCGCGGCCTTTTGTGACGGAGATAACGAAATCTCCACAACATGCCTGTCCAAGACTCCCAAGACCCCAAGACTCCAGGCAGCAGGCGCTTCAGCGCGAAAGAGGATTGACTGCTGCTGCTTGGTGGGGGCTATCCACCCCCAAAATTGTGTTTTCTCCCGCCTTCTGAATTTTGCCCATTTTCGCCTTGCTGGGGCTACTAGTCTACGAACTTTACCTTTAGGTAGGTGCTGGAATGCCCCTCTTGCTTGACGTCCCGGCCCCTCTCACAGGAACGAGGGACGGCCGCTACGCCGGCTCCGAACCGGGAATAAGCAGAATGGGGGCCACCTGGGACTAAGGCAGCCTATGACTCTACCGGATTGAGGTTTCTGAGCGACCTCTCAATAGTGTGCCCACACCGCACAGGACATACATATGCAGGGAACTCTTCGGGTTGCCGCGACGGCGCTTGGCATGTACATCATCCCCATCTGCGCCCGCGTTGTCTGGGTCGTCTGGTCGCCTTGGACAGCTGAAGGAAGGCCTTTTCAGCACGAGAAGAATCTTCTTTCAAAAGACAGCCTTCCTTTACGCTTAGTAGTTGTGCTCTCTTTGATTCGGCATCCTCTGGTCCCAGAAAAGGGGGAGCTGCTCTATCAGGTCCTGAGATGGGATGGAACGTGGCGGTTCCGTACCAAACCACCCTACGTACTTTGTACAGTACAGACGATGGAGTGACACACTATCTCTTTCTCTCCTCGAAAATACCCGCGTCTGCACTCTGCAGAAGCGCTGTTTGATGCAAAGAGGCAAATTACCCCGCCATGCCGCCTGTCTGCTTACCCAGGGCTCTGCACCGTCTTACGTTGCCCTTCTTAATTGCAAACTACTAGCACTCTCTCGGCCAAGGTACCTTGGGCTGGTGGGGGGAGTCAGGGACCCTTCTCAACCTTGGGATATACCTTACCTAACTCGCAAACCCCTGGGCACAGACACGCACACGGACAAATCTAATCTGACCTGACGGGACTCTCTTGCGGGGGAGTGCCAGAAGTCGCTCGCTCACCCATCGGCATCTGGACATGCCTATCTATGTATACCCACATACACACACACACGCACACACACACACACACACACACACACATATATATATATATATAAACATGTGTACGGGGGCACTTATTACCACGCGCGCACATGTAGTAGGGTAGGGTTCCAGGGCCGCGGAGCCTGGCTCCCGTCATGGCGACGGCTGCAGTCCGTGTTTATTAATGTATCCGTATACGCACCCGCACCATCACCCCCCGGCACCATAGGGTCGAGTGTCGCGGCGCGCCTCCGTTCTCCAAGATGAATCATACCTTATCCCCAAAGTGAAGGGAAGCTTCGCAGCGCAACCCCTCGCATCGGCCGGCTCCAGCGCGCTCGCGACTTGGCCGGCTTGTTACTACACTAGGTTGACTTCGGATTCGGCTTGAGTTGCTTCAAGAGTCGGCTCGCTAAGACTGGCCTGCCTTGGCCGAGCGGTCCATGGAGTTCCTGGCCCTGGCCGTCCCGCATTTACTAAGTACACCATGGGTACGGATAGATGCTGAATAAATGTCCGAGCCAGCATAGCGAGGACATCCGAGGTGGCGGCCCAAGTTTATATTGTTACCTGTAAACCGAAAGGCTCGTCTTTCGACATGATGGAGTTGGCTAGCACTTGTTAGATGTTAGCAACCCTCAAGCCCACCCTGGCCTTGCCATGGACCCCTCCAAAGACCGAACCGGCACCGGCACCCACACCTCCCCGTTCCCTTGATCCCACACAACCTAACAAGTCAAGGTAGGTATGTACGTACTACCCATGGTACGGCGGCTGTACCACAGTGCCGCTCGCTGGACATAGTAGCCGGACTTTGAAGCTCCCAAGGAGCGGATCCACCCTCCGCACCGGGTCTTGACACCTCTACCCTCACGGCTGCAGTTCATCGCTGGTCGGTCAGTCGCGCCGCAGCAGCCCTTGTTGCTAACAGCCGCCCGCCTCCTGCCCGCTTACCCTCTCGCCTTGTTGTCTATCGAGCGGAGCCAGAGCCAGAGCCAGACGTGCCCTGCCCAGCTAACTTCCTCCTTCACCGGACCGCTGGTGGGCTTGGAACGGGCAATGCCCTGGTACATACATACCCCATACCTTCACTGGAGCAAGACCCCCCTGTTCCTGGACACTGCTCGGTACACATAGGTTCCCGTGCAGGGCCCTCGAATTTTTAAACCACTTTTGGGATAGACGTTCGTTCTTTGCTGGGTTTTTTGGCGCCTTTTATTTTGCTTGCCCTTTCAAGTTGTCAGTCAGTTCTTGCCCCCGCGGGCAGAGAGAGACCTGGTTGTGTGGTTTTGTAGATGCGCTCTCGCTTTGGGTCCGGACAGACAGACATGCGAATCAGTTCTTGGCTTGGCTGAGAGACTGGCAGCGATAAAGACGGAGGGCAGGCCATCGACCCGCCGCTTTCGCGCTGGGATCAGAAGCAGGCTACAGTCACAATGCCAGACCCAACCGCCCAGGGGGGTGTATCTCCTCGCTCCGCCTCGCAGACCTCGCAGCCATCCCGGACAAGCACCAAGACGCACGACATTGCGCCGAGCGCCGCCGCCTCTGGCAACACCCCCGACATGTCCGACGACGAGTCGGTAGATTCGTCGCCGCATGAGCATGGGTCCCCCGGCAAGTCAGAGTCGGAAGGCCCGCCCGGCGGCTCCTCTGAGACGCATAGTATGCCCCTACAGAAGCGCCGCCGCGTCACGAGAGCGTGCGACGAGTGCCGGAGGAAAAAGATCAAGTGCGACGGCAAGCAACCATGCACGCACTGCTCAGTGTACAGCTACGGTAACACGACCTCCTTTCCCTCCGTCGACTAGCCCTCTACTCCCTCTGTCCCCCGAGCTAACCGGCGCCTAGAATGCACGTACGACAAGCCATCTAATCGCCGTAGGAACCCTGCACCGCAGTACATCGAGGCCTTGGAGACGAGGCTCCAGCGCGCCGAGGCCCTGTTGCGCAAGTTCATGCCCGATGTTGACCTGACCGACCCAAACTTGGACCCGGCCGTCCAGCAAGAGTTCCGCAACCGGGAGCAGGCGAGGGTCCAGGCCATGAAGATCAAGATGGAGGCAGCCAAGGAAAACGGGAACCAAGACGCCCAAATCATGTCCATGATCGAGACCATTGGCCAGCTCGACATCACCGACGGCGGCGAGTCCGACTTTCACGGTATCTCCTCGGGTGCCGTTTTCCTCAGGCGGATGAAGGAGCACTTCCAGGGGCTATTGGGAAACGACTACCGCATTCCCTTTCTTCCTCGGCCGTCTCGACCCGTTGGCATGTTCAGTCTTGATTCCCCGAGACCCAATGCCGATTCAGTCTGGGACATTTCCGCGGTTCCGAACATCAACGAGCTCCCGCCCAAGGAGAAGGTGCTCAAGCTCTGCCACTACGCTCTAAACTGCGCCACGTGCCTCTTGCGTGTCGTACACGCTCCTTCGTTTTACGACTCGCTCGACAGGCTCTACGACACGTCGCAGGAATCATGGGGAGGCGAGGACCGCAGGTTCTTGGGCCTGTTGTACTCGGTCATGGCGCTTGGCTGCATGTACAACGTGACCGAGGACCAACCCTCGAATCCCCCTGTCACGTACAAATCGGCGATGGAAGAAGGGTGAGACTCCCACGCCAGCTCCATGCCACTATCTTCGTCTATTTCTAACAACAGTTTAAAGTATAAAATACTACGCTTCTGCTCGGTTGATTATGCAAGACGTTGCGGAATGCCGAGACATGACCTCGCTGCAGGGGCTTGTGTTTATGATCCTCTTCCTACAGGCGACCTCCAACATTAGCGGTTGCTACGCGTTCCTCGGCATTGCTCTTCGCTCTGCCCTGCGCATGGGCCTCCACCGCCATTTGTCGCACGCCAAAATAACACCCATCGAAGACGAGACGAGACGGCGGGTATTCCACGTCGTTCGGCACCTCGATACATATGTATCGGCTATCCTGGGGTTTCCGCTGCTGCTTCACGATGACGATATCGACCAGCCCGCGCCCACCGAGGTCGACGACGAGTTCATTACGCGAACTGCCATCCTGACGCCCCCGCCGGGCACTCCGTCCTTTTTCCAGGCCTTTAACGCGCACAACAAGCTCATGGCGATTTTATCCAAAGTTGTCAAGCATATATATCCTCTCAAGGGGGTCGAGGAGTGTGTTATGAATGGCGATCGCCCGAACGCAACTTACATGATCAGCTATTCCCAGATCAAGGAAATCGAACGAGAGCTTCACGAATGGTACGAGCAGCTTCCAGTGCACTGGAGGCCGAATCCCGATGGCCATATCGAAGTAATACGGTATGTGAAGTTGGTAGCCAGGATCCTCTTTGGCGACGAAGAAGGCGGGATATACAGCCCCGTTAACCCTCTGTTGAAATTTACCCCCTACCCGAGCTCTCGATGCTGTGATGCTGACACACTAGACGTGCAGAGTCCGGACGCTATTACGATTTGCTTATGCGCATGTTCAAATGATGCTCTACAGACCGTTCCTCCATTACGTTTCGCCGCGGTTGACTGCGGGGAAAAAGATTGATGATCGCTACTACAACTGCGCTGCGGCGGCCATCAGTATCTCCCGAAACATCGTCCACATCGGCATAGAGATAAAAAAGCAAGCCGTCTTGATCGGGCCCTATTGGTTCATCCTATATGCGGAATTTTTTGCCATTCTGTCTCTGGTCTTCTATGTCTTGGAGAACCCTGACAAGCCGGGGTCGTCGGAAATTCTGGCGGACGCGCGAGCTGGCAGAGATGTGATTGCCAGTCTCGCACAGCGCAGTCTGGCCGCAGACCGCATAACAAACGCGCTCAATGTAAGTTTTTGAATGACGTTTGGTCTTTGACGATGTGGCGCTAACGACGGTGCGAAGCCCCTATTCGAGCAACTGCCGGAGCGTCTAAAAAAGGTGACGACGCGGCCGGTACCTACAAAGAAGAGATCGCACCCAGTCCCCGGATCGAAGACAGGAACCACGCCTCTACCAGCCCACCCTAGGCGGCAAGATAGCATTTCGCAGAGGAGGTCGGATGAAATGGCTCGCCCCAGCACGGGGGCCGGCCGAGGAGGAGGGCCGGCTCTCGGTCGCGGCGTGTCGTTTGACGCGATGGGGCTACAGCAGAATAATGTAGCTGGGGCGAACTATGGGTCTAATTTCCACGATATTCTGCCGGCGGACGTGCTAATGGTAGCGACGGGCTCTGACTCGAGCAACGCGTCTGGAACGGTGCACCGGCAGCTTCAAGGCCTCGCCCCAGCACAGGCGCCTGGCACCGCCGTCAACCCGTTGTACAAGCTAGATGCCATGATGTTCCCCTCGAGCGATCCGTTTGCCTACCCGAACCAGCCCTTGATGGAGTCGGCCAACTCGCGGCAGGGTCGGGGAGGTTTCCATGGCGGGGGAGGCCACGGGCAGGATGGGATGCAGTTTTACATACCGAACATGTACGACGACATCGAGGGCCAAATACTTGGGCCGGTTCCGCCGTACCTCCTGCAACAGAGTCCGATTCACGCGGGGTTAGACCCTGCGTCGCAGATGTACACGTCCAACCTGCTCACGGTGCAGCAGGAGCACGGTGCACGACAGCACCACGGCCACCACGGCCACAACAACCACCAACAGGGCCAGCACCCACATGCGCAGCAGCTGGGCCAGCACCAAGAGAGGGATGTCATGGACGGCGTACTAGCGGACGCCGGCTTCCAGGGCGACTGGGAAGACATCCTTGGCCATGGACCATACCGATAGCCTGACCATAACCTCGTCGCAGCAGAGACTAAACCACGGGGGGCGAGTCTGATGGGGTGATCTAGCGGCCAGGACTGTTGGGTACTAACCGTCTTAAAACGGGGATTTATACTATTATCGGCAGTGGTTGAGCGATTCTCCTGGCGCGACTCCTAACTACCGAGGCAACGCTACCAAGTATGGGCATGACTTGGATGGAATAAACACGGCCGCTATGCATATGGCTGGTTAAGGATGGTGTGGGAGGTAAAGGAAAGGAAGTGAGAGGTGCGAGTTAGCAAGTTCTGATGATTATCGACTGATACCCCAAAAGAGAGAGGAAGAAAAGAGCCCTAGGAAACAGAGGAAGAGGAGCGAATGGAGCGGCTTTGTTTTCGGTCGCCATATACCCAAGGTACCTGGTCAACGGCCGAGCAAACCGCTTCTTCCACCATGTATCGACTCTTCTACTTGGCTCGATTTAAGTTCTCAACAGAGGACACTATGTACACGAAAAGGGATGGAATACATACAGATTCTGGTACAAGAAAGACTAGAGGCGCCGTTTACCGGCGGGACATGGCAAGGCGAGGGCGCCTGACTCGGGGCTAAGGTACCTTACCTAGTGATGGTGGCGAGAAAAGAGTAAGTGGTCGCCCAAGACACGCCCTCAGTCATGTCAATCAATTTTAGGCACGGCGCGCCCTTGGGACGATGACGACGACGACGGGTTAGATGGCTGCCGGGCAGGCTCGACAGGTATGTACCAATGATCCAGGCCAAGATGGACGACTTGATTGATGATACGGAGCGGCTAGCGAGAGACGGGTGCACCGGTGCACAATCGCAGCGCCCTAACTTTAACTTTGTGGGCTTGTCTAGCGGAAGGCGCTATCGACCTGCCCGTCGCGGAAGTGAAGGCCTGCTAGCCCCCCAAGTAGCCACTTTGAATACGCATGCATGCGCGCCAACCAAAGAGAAAAGAAAAGCACACTGGAATCGAGAAGGCGAACCTGAGAAGCAGTTCAGTATTCTTGCTCCAAGTACTTACATCTTAGCTGCCTGCCTTGGATACATAGGCGCAGTGCAGCGCAGCACTTAGTGCGCAGCTATTCAGTAATTCTGGGCTAATACCGCGACTAAAATAACCACGGCCGATAAACTCAGGTGCCGTATCTAATTAGTCGGCCAGTTGCAAACTCTCGCCTCGCTAGCATGTGCTACAGACGACATTCTCAGCTGCGCGGTCGGATATAACCACCTGGGGCACCTGCCCTCCTCCGACCTACGTACCTTCCCCAGTCCAAGCTGTGTCATACATACAATACCTTCCCAGGTTAACAGACGGAGTACAGTTCTGACTCGTCCCACGGCACTTGTCTCTGACTCCTTCCTTCTTTCCTTCTTTTTCGAATTCGGCCATTCCGTCTTCGGTTATCTACTGCATCTACTTAACCTCCTTCACCAACGTCCAGGTGAGTTTACATCGAGATACTGGGATGTTGTTGCCTACAGACTAGACTTTGCAGATCCCGCTCAATTGGAGGAATTCCTGTCTCGTTGATCCCAAAGCAGACTACACTAGACCGAATCCATTTGTGGACGACTAAGACAAAGGGCAAAGTCACTCCTACAACTGAGGAGGTAGATAACGCTTTCCTCGTCCATCGCTCGCAGCAGCTAGGTGGTGGATCGGGGTCATTCGTTTACGACCGTTTTGTAACACGCAAATTCACGATAACATCCGACCTTATCTTCCCTACGGCTACAACGCTCTTCACTCACCTAAACCAGCGGGCTTTGGAATTGACTGACGGTTCGAGGCAATTCCCTATCCACACGGAGCACGGAATAGGCGCCGAGCATCCCCCACGAACGCCCGTATCCATCGGAGCCCGAAGCCCCCTCTCGGAACGCACCCTTTCTTCCCCTCCCTCCGTGGCCCAACATCACTTTGAGTTGGATTGTGATCCGGCAGCTTCGCCTCCCGAGTTCCAAATCCCCCTCGCCAACCACGCCGCTACCGTCCCCGCATTTCCGCCATCTTAACCTTGGTGCACGCCACCGAGTATCCATTAGGCGCCTCCCCAGCAAGTCGTCGCGCAAAGGCAAACCGCCAAACCCCAAAAAGATGGAGGTCGATCACGACTTGGTCGTCGTGGACGAGTTTGATGCGCTGTTTGTGGCCTATTATTTATTATTTCATCCCCTTGGCCTCTTACCAATGGCAGAACAATTCTAACTGTTTTGTCGCACACGCCCTGCAGAGCCATCGAGGTCAAGGTTCCCTTTAAACCCGCCTCGCCCGGAGCACTCCAGGCAGCTCGGGAGAAGAGCCCTCCCTCTCTGTCAGACAAGGACAGGCTCAGGATAAAGAAGCAGCACGATGGCGCGTGGCTGATCGACAAGGAGAAGCTCGGAAAGTATCCAGGTAACATTGCTCCTCCCCAATTTTGGCTTTCAAGTATAATACGTACACATGTTGACACGTGCCTCTTGCGAAATCTTGCAGCCAAGGCACACGCCCAGAAAGTAGCAAAGGAGCTCGGCGTGCAGAGCGGCCTCATTTTTCTTCCCGGCCAGGATGAGAAGCTGTATGAGGAGTCCGATGAAGGCCCCGAGTTTCGTCAACGTCGACAGTATGTGCTCCCTCGAGTCTCTACCCGGCCCGAGTCTCCGCATTGGGGCGAGTTGCGCGAGAGGCCCCTTTTCTGACATCCCATGTGTGATAGCTTTTTCTACCTCTCCGGGGCCGGTTTCCCTGAATGCTCCCTCACCTATGACATCGCCCGTGACCATCTCATCCTCTGGATCCCTCATTGGGAGCCGAGGTATATTCTGTACAATGGCAGCCCGCCGAGCATCGACGACTGCAAGGCCGAGTCTGATGTCGACGATGTACGCATCGCCAGTGGCCTCGACAAGTTTCTGTACATGAACCTAGCGCCAGGGAGTACTCTGTTTGTCTTGAACCCCGACCAGACCCCTAAGCTCGGCTCTACTAAGGGCGTCGTGAACATCGACACTGTGAAGTTAAAACCTGCCATTGAAGCCGCCCGCGTTATCAAGGACGACTACGAGGTTGCCATGATACGGCGTGCAAACTCCGTATCGGTATGTTAGCTACCGGTGTCTCCCCTCTAGCCCCTTTACTAAAGCGTTTCCTTAAATAGAGTACTGCACACAGGGCGGTACTGTCGCGTATCAAGAAGCTCTCCAACGAGCGCGAAATAGAGATCATCTTCCGTAGCCTCTGCATCGCCCAGGGCGCCAAGCGCCAGGCTTATGGCATCATCGCCGGCAGTGGCGTCAACGCGAGCACATTGCACTACAACGCCAACAACTCACAGCTGGACGGGCGGCAGGTTGTCGTGCTTGACGCCGGCGCCGAGTGGAATTGCTACGCCTCGGACATCACGCGCACATTCCCCATATCGGGCACCTGGAGCCCCGAGGCCGCCGCGATCCACTCGATTGTTGAGCGCATGCAGAACGAGTGCATCCAGCGCATCAGGCCCGGCGTGGTTTATTACACGCTGCACCTGCACGCCTGCATCGTCGCCGTTACCGAACTGCTGCGCCTCGGCATCCTCTGCGGCGGCACCGCCGCCGATATCTTCAACAGGGGTACCGTCGCCGCCTTCTTCCCCCACGGCCTCGGCCATCATGTCGGTCTTGAGGTTCACGACGTCGCGGGCCCCGAGAAGCTGCTGATAAGCTCAGGTACGAGAGCCTCGTGGGAGAGACGGCGCGCGTCGAAGCGGGAGTGTGTGAGCCCCGAGATGCTAGCGCTCATGTGCCGCGACGCTGTCAACATACCTTCCGCATGTAGCGGCCGCCAGAAGCTGGCCAAGAACATGGTTGTCACCATTGAGCCGGGCATGTGAGTTTTTTTTACCTCTCTTTTCGTCTTCCACTACCTGTCTTCGCTCTTTCCTTTTTGTGGAATAGTAGAGCGTAAAGTCAAAAACTAACAAATCCCCAAAAGCTACTTTTGCCGCGAATACATCGAGTCCGTCTTCCTCACCAACCCCCTTCACTCCAGGTTCATCAATACCAAGGTCCTCGATCGCTACTATCCCGTCGGTGGCGTGCGCATCGAGGACTGCATCCTCGTCACCAACGACGGCTACGAGAATCTCACCTCCGCCCCCAAGGGCGACGATATGCTCCGCGTTATCAACTCTGGCTCCGCTGCTGCGTGAGATGCGCTGAGAATGGCGGGTTGAGTGGCGCTGGTGTTTGTGTGTATGTGGAAGGGTTGAATTGCAAGACAGTGAGGGTCCTGCCATCAGCTCGGTAGAGTGCAGTGTTTGCGAGATCTGTTTATTTTCCCTTCTTTACGAAAAGATGACTCGATGTTGGTTGAGGAGCGAATGGAATAGATGCGCTGGATTCATGGCTGAAACAGAGACAATTGGCTTTTGTTTTTTTACTCTTTTGAAAGGATTGGTGTTTTGGAGGTGGCATATCCCATCCTCATGGATGGACGAGTTTTCAAGCAAGGCGGTAGGATATCTAGGTATCAACTTTGGGCAGTTGAAATTTAATTTGAGTGCTGTTTACAGAAGACTGGAGTCTACAATTGCCTGTAGCCATTGCGTTGTTCATTTCAACTTGGTGAGAGCAAGTATCCTTCCTGTCTTGAAGTGGTTGCTTCTTATGTTTAGGCTAGAAAGTTGTTCGGGTCGGTTCTATAACTCGGGACTTACCTATCAGCTAAATATGAGACGACAAAGTAACAACAGCTGATTCATGAGAATCAAAAGGGGGGTTAGAAAACAGCGCGTAATATGTAATATACAAAATATTGAATGGATGGATGGATGGAAGAGCACGGGACATGAAACAAGGTGCTGATCAGCCAGGAAGGAAGTAGAAGGGATGAAAATGAAGAAAAAGAAAGAAGGTTCATTGTACTTCATGCTTAAATCTCTATCGAACTTTAAAAACAGGGATTTGTATTTTCTACCCTACCTAACCCTCTTTCTATACTTCACGCCGTTCGCCCGGTCTCAATCAAGTAGGTCACTCACTCCACATAAACCAGTAGGAAAATAAAAACAAAACAGAAAAATAGAAAACAATAAAAAATAAGCCGGGGGACTTCAAGTCAGAGGTGGGGGAAGGAACCTGAGATAAAACCGAGGAAAGACTCAAGTCGCTAGAACAAGAAAAAAACACCACTCACGATGCACGAATATAAAATCTCTTTTTTCATATTTCAATAAGAAAAAGAAAAGACATGAACAGAAAAAAAACGCCATGCTGTTGTAGGTCTTAACCCCCTTTCATACCTTTCTTTCTTTGTATATACATTCACCCATTCATTCCTTCACACGAAAAAAAAACATTAGCCACTTCCTGCAAAGAGAAATCGGAAAAAGCACCATATATAAACTCCGTAAAATAGCATGCCCTCATCAGTTTCTAAAAAAAACCCCCACCCGACCCGGAAACAACAGAAAGTTGTGAGTCAGAGATACTTTTTGGGCGAGGATTTCCTGCGTTTGTAGTAGACGTACGCGGCGGCGAGGAGGAGCTGGGAGCCGACGACGACGAGAATGAGGCGGGTGTGGCGGGGGGCCGTAGCGGTGACGTGGGAGGCGAGGGTGTCGTGCTGGTCCGAGACGTGGTACTTGATGGCGTTCTCCGAGTCGCGCAGCCTGGCGGCGAGGTCGCCGCGCAGAGCGCGCGTCTCCTTCTCGAGGCCGGCGAGGCGGGCGTCGAGGGCGTCGAGGCGCGCCTCGAGCGTGCGCGCTGGTGCGACTAGGCCTTTCAGCTCGCCCAGCATAATCGACAGCTCCTCCTGCCGCTGCTCGCCGACCGAGTTGACCTGCGCTACGGCCCGGAAGATGCTCGACAGGTGGTGGTTGACGCTCTGCAGCCGGTTGTGCAGGTCTTCGAACTGCGCCTTCTGGTTCGAGATCTTGGCCGCCTCCTGGTCCGGGATCACGGTGTCGAACGGGTCCTCGATTTGCCCCGACCGGCCAAATGTCATGCGGGGCACCTTTGGTGGCGGCGGTGATTGCTGCTGCTGCTGCTGCTGCTGCTGCTTGTCGTCAGCGGTGTACCCCTGGCCCGCCGCATTGTCCTGCTGCTGGGCGTGGTGATTGTCCTCGCTCAGCACCACCAGCTTGAACACCTCAAACGAGTCCGGGTTGTCGGCCGAGGCGGCCGTGACGCCAAAGCTGTAGCCGCTGGGGAGGCGGATCCTGTCGCTCTCGAAGCACAGGCGGCTGTCGACCTCGACGCGGAAGTTGGTCTCTGAGTGGCGCATCTTGATCTGCGAGGGGCGGCCCAGGTTGCGGTACGAGAACTGGCAGTGGCCAAAGGCCAGGTTGTCGGGGGTGTGGTGCGACTTGAAGTCAGTGGTGCCGTCGTTGAGGAAGCCGCGGATCATGCCGCCGGACCCGCCGTGCTGGTCGATAACGAGCGCCAGGCCCTCGAACCTGCCGACCGTGTAAATGCTGCCCGAACCAATCGAGTGGGCGCCGTCGCGCGCGAGCCAGATGTTCAGGTTGCCGCCGCCGCGCTCCTGGCCGTTGGCCCGGAACTCGACATCGGCGATCCAGTTCTGGTGCGGCAGCGACCTGTCGCCCCAGATGGCGCCGCGTTGGTTCCCCGGAGCCGGCGGCGTTAGGATGACCTTGTTGGAGAGTAGCTCGGGCACGTTGGGGCGGCCTTGGAGGGAGAAGTTGGGCACCGTGCTAGATCCTTCGGGAGCTATCCTGCAAGGGAGGTAAGAGGCGGGTGTTAGCTGTCTCTGTTCTTGATGAAGTATCTCCTCTTGTTTCTCGCATGTCAGTCACCAATTGCAAAAAGAGGGTAATGCATACCTGTTGCCAAAGCCGAAACTGAGGTCATTAACGAGATACTGAGCGTGCGCCTGGGCTAAGCTGGCCACAAGCACGGCAATGCTCGACGGCGTGCGCATGGTGGGCGGCCGTCGTCTTGTGCAAAGCTACTAGTTCTAGGTAGTATCCCGAGCAGCTTCAACAATTGATGGAAACTGCGTCACCGCAACTTTGGAAGGACTGAGGGGGTCCTCGCTGCTGAAACCAGGAAGAAAGAATGTAGAACAATGTCTCGTCTCCAGGGAGGGTTGGGCACGGAATACTGGCAGCCTTTCGGTGGCGCCGCCTAGTGTGTCGCGTGCCGGTTGAGGACACTTTGCACCTCGTTAACCACCGCGGCTGGCTGAAGGTGGAGAACTAAATCGCAGGTTGCAGCACGTTTAAGCTGCGGCACTACGAGACTGAATGCAACAACAAAAAAAAATAAAAAATAAACACAAAAAGGTAGTATCTTTCTAAAAGGCGCAAAAAATTGGTTGACTCTGCTTTGTATAATTGGCAATTCTCGCAGGCGCCAAAACGGAGACTGAAGTAGGAATGCGGCCAGGTTGCGTGTGCTCTCTCTGTGAGACGCTTTCAAGAGACCACCTTAGCTTTGCGCCCCCTGCAGAAGCTCCGTTGGCGGGAGCTTCCTGGTCCCAAGCGAGCCCTGGTGGAGACTCTGAGCAGGGGTCTCGTCTCTTGTGGGTTGCGGGGAAAGCATCGATTGTGATTGTGGCTTGCCGGCGCAGTGGCGCATGTAGATGAAACAAACAGTGCAATTGACAGTTAAATGCAGCTAAAGCCACGGTTTGTTCTTAGCTGTCATCCACTCTCCACGCCCCACTAGAGCTCCAGTTCGCCGTGACCCGTCAACAACCTACCAAACTAGAGGCCAAAGACGAGCGTTTGCGGCAGCCCCGACATGTCTCGATGGCCGAGACATACCCTTCCCTCGCGCAATGTGCGATAGTGGCGGCTGCTTTCAAGATCCTGCTTTTCCCGGCCTAGTAAGAAAACCCCGCCCTTCAATCCGTGCTCGAATGACTACCTTGATTTTCTTCGGCTGACCGGGTCGTTGCACAAACGTGGCAGTAAATCCACCGACTTCGAGGTCCATCGGAACTGGCTCGCCATCACGCACAGCCTGCCGCTATGGGACTGGTACTACGAGAAGTCGTCGGAATGGACGCTCGACTACCCGCCCTTCTTTGCCTACTTCGAATGGATAATGTCGCAGGTCGCAAACCTGGCCGACCCTGCCATGCTGCGGCTGTACAACCTCGAGTACGATAGCTGGCAGACGGTCTACTTCCAGCGCCTGAGCGTCATTGTCACGGAGCTCGTTCTGGTCTACGCATTACAGATGTACAATGCCCCCTTCTCGTTTTGTCTGGCTGCCTGGCAAGTGACAGACAGGTCACAACTAACAGGACCCCAGGTTCGTCGACTCGTCGCACGGGACGTCTAAACGCGCCGCCCAGGCCGCCGCCATCTCCATCCTGCTCTCGCCGGGACTGCTCATCATTGACCACATTCACTTCCAGTACAATGGCTGCATGTATGGCATCCTGATCGCGTCTCTGGTGCTGGCGAGGAAGAGGTCGACGCTGCTCCTCAGCGGGCTCGTGTTTGGTGCCCTGCTGTGCATGAAGCACATCTACCTCTACCTGGCGCCCGCCTACTTTGTCTTCCTCCTGAGGACCTACTGCCTGTCGCCCAAGTCCATCTTCCGGATCCAGTTCCTCAACTGCCTGAAGCTGGGCGGAGGGATCGCGGCCATCTTCGGTACCGCCTTTGGCCCTTTTGCGCTCAAGGGCCAGATCCCGCAGATCCTGAGCCGGCTGTTCCCATTTTCGCGGGGGCTGTGCCATGCCTACTGGGCGCCCAACGTCTGGGCCATGTACTCGTTCATCGACAGGGTCTTGATCGTGCTGGCGCCCCGGATCGGGCTGTCGGTCAAGGCGGGCGCGCTGCAGAGCGTGACGCGCGGTCTGGTCGGCGACACGGCGTTTGCCGTGCTCCCGGATATCACGCCGCGCCTGTGCTTTGCCCTGACACTGCTGTTCCAGGCGATCCCGCTGGTGCGGCTCTTCCTAGTGCCGACGTGGGAAAACTTCATCGGAGCCGTCACGCTGTGCGGCTACGCGTCGTTTCTGTTTGGCTGGCACGTGCACGAGAAGGCGATCCTGCTGGTCATCATCCCCTTCAGCCTCATCGCGCTCAAAGACCGGCGGTATCTGGGGGCATTCCGGCCGTTGGCGGTGGCGGGCCATGTGTCGCTGTTCCCGCTGCTTTTCACGCCGGCCGAGTTCCCCATAAAGACCATCTACACGGTGTTCTGGCTGGTGCTGTTCCTGATGGCCTTTGACCAGCTGGCGCCGGCGTCGCGGCGGGCGCGCTTCTTCCTGTTCGACCGCTTCAGCACGCTCTACATTACGGTCAGCATCCCGCTGATCCTGTACTGCTCGCTGGCGCACGGGGTCGTGTTTGGCAAGAACTACGAGTTTCTCCCCCTAATGTTTACGAGCTCGTACTCGGCGATAGGGGTTGTCGGCAGCTGGGTGGGGTTTATGGTGGTGTATTTTACGTCCTAGAGGGCTGCGGCCACGGCTGGAATCGCTGCACCGGTAATTCGGCTTCAATGTATCTCGGTTGTAGCTTTTCGACGCGGCATGGCGTGTTTTGTTAGTCAAATATAGCCCTGCGCACGGAGCTGCAAGTGACAATAGCTATTTCGTATGTTATTCTTATAGCCATGTTGCCATGTTTTCAAGTCTTGCCCGTCGACCCGGACCAGCGTCAGAATCTAAAGGCTTGCGGAAAAGTAATGCATGGACTGAAAAGCGAGGGATGGTCTCCAGGGCGCCTTCCCCTGAGGTTGGTTGGCTTGGCTGACTAAGGCGCAAATCCCACGTGTCTATTGGTCGCCGGGGATCTACCGGCACCACCGGCACATGCTGGTAGGATGCAAGGCTGACAGCTTTTCACCTTCTGGGGGACCCACAGGGCGGGATCCTCGCGGCGCGGCGGCAGGCAAAATTTTGGACATGCAGGTAAATTTGTTTGGGGGAGGGGCCAAACAAAAAAAAAGTGTTCTTTCGTCTCCAGTGGCCTGGCTATTATTACTTACCACCACCACCGCCGACACACATTGGCATCAATGCTGCCCCGTGAGAATAACCCCCAATTAAAGCAGAACCAGCATATGGCATGGATGCACTGCACACGTCTTGAGATGAAAAAAAGGAGACGCGACGACAACAAAGCTCTAACGTCAGAAAAGGGGGTTCGGATGAGGCACACTCACACAGACTTTTTGACGCGTTTTTATTTTTTAATTTGTTTTCTTTCTTAGAATAGGAGACTAGGTCTTTAATTTAGATGCAAACATTTTGACATGTTCCTCTGCGGTAGTGCTCGTCGGTCCTGCTTTACACTGGTGCAGAGCATTTGACTGCAGAGACTTTCGTGTGTTGCCGGTTAGTCTTCCGTCAGGTAGTCAAAGGGGTGCTGGACCGCCGTGGGTATCAGGTCCAGGGACACGCGAAGTGTGAGATCTGCCCCCACGAGATCCAATGGTAGCGAGGTACTTGGGAGACCTCCCCGCGTCCAGATTTCACGCCCCAACAAACTTTTGCCAGGGCCGCGCCTGCCCGCACGTCGAGAAAAAGGAAACCAGGGCGTCAAAATGCAGCGCGCAACTACACACACATGGTGCAAAGGGGGGCTATGTGCGCGCTGGACCTGATCCAGATGGAGATTGTAAAAAAAAAAAAACATACGGCGGGCAGGCGAGTGGCAGGGGAAGAAGAGAGGGGCCCCAACCCAAGTTCCAACCTAAGCAATGGAAAAGGGGCTGGGCCGGCGGGCGTTCGGGAAGCGCATCAACGATCGTGGGCAGGTAGCCACCTATCTGGGCCTCGAGGCGCGCGCGGGGCCCGCCCTGTCTTAGAAGCTTTTGAAGGGTCGGGACCCCTACCCCCGAAAAGCAAAATTTGAGTAGGCTTCTCGCGGGCGTAAATAATCGGAAACGCGGCCGTTTGCGACGCTTCCACCGCCGGGAGATAGCCCTCGGCGTGGCGAGCACGGCGAGTACAAGAAAGTGGGCAATGTCGCGCAGGGCGGGCTTGCTGGGCGGGCAAAAGGTTTTCAGGGGCAGTCGGGGGGTTGCGCGTGGTGGCCCGGCCGAAGCAGGAAAGCCCCCAAATGCTCTGCGAGGCGAGGCGAGGGGAGAGAGAGACATGGTCCCGCTCCACTATCCGCCTTTACCATCCATCCAGTCGGACGGAGCAAGCGACAAGGTGTGGTGCCGCCGCCCGTGTCCCTGCCCTAGGCGGGCGGGTTAGGGTCCGGGAACGCCAGCATACCTTACCTTAGCATTACTGCTGTGCTGGACTGGACCTAGGCTTAGGACCAGCACCACGAGCCACGGGTCAAAAAGATTGGATGGATGTGTGTATAGGTGTAGGTGTCGGTGAAGGTGCTTGCCCTGGCCATTGAAATCCATGCATGTTTTCCCCATTTGTCGTCCAACGGCGACCTTTTACCTGCCTTACATGTATGGATGTACTTGTAGGTGTGTAAGGTAAGAATGTATGTACCAAGTAGTAGGTAAGGTCGGTGTCAGTGCCCGTGGATCTGCTACCTACCCGTGCCTACCTTACCTAGACTACCTTGCCTTGCCTTCCATGCTCCCCTCGTCTCCCCTTGTTGAACTTTTTTCTGCGACCCGACCCGACCACGTCCACTACCTTACCTTACCTACCTACCTCGCCCTCTCCAACCCGCACCCTCTACTCTTCCTTCTCGACTACATTTCTCTTTCTCCTTCCGCCGCCACCACCACAACCACCACCACCTCCTCCACTCTCCACGTCCGCACCACACCCGCCGAGCGAGACGCATCACGACCCGCACCACCGCCTCAAATTGCTGTGCTGCAACTTCAACATCTTCGTCGGCCTCGACACGACAGACGTGCTCGGTGCGTCGTGCTCGCAGCGCGCCGCGCCGCTCCCGACTCTCTACCTCGTCTGCTTCTGCCACTCGGCGTCGAGACGAGACCGCGAGCAATAAGACAGACAGGCAGGCAGGCAGGCAGGCAGGCAGACAGACAGGCGGGCTGACCGGCAGACGGCCCAGAGCGCGCAGCTAGAGGGGCCCTCGATGCGCTCGCCTGCACGCCATTTTTTCTGCCGTTGCATGCGAAGCCGAACGTGACGCTGCGCGCAGGCCCCCATTAGCATCAAGATCAGCCTTCCCAGCTTGCACCAGTCGGAGAGGGGCCCGAGACGAGCCGAGTCGCCTTCCACCCAAGGCCCTCCCCCCCAAAAGGTGGCCCGCACCGCGAACCCTCGCCCATCTCGCCCTACCTTGTCTACTCCCCACCACCGCCCAGCACCCCAAGATCGCGACCCTGAGCCACCGCACCGCTCCAGGGGCCCGACGACGCGTGCCAATCGCCGTCCGAGCTATCGCTCCATATACCCCCCTTCTACCCCCTTCGCGAGGCTGATCAGCCTTGCACCGCTTTTCGACCTTTGTCCAGACGTCCCAGGGTCTCGGGTCACATCTGGTCCCCACACAAACCGCCAGCATGGTACGACGCTTCTTTTACCCACCCCCCAGTGCTCTGCCTACTGGACTATCCGCCCGCCCTACTTTTACTAACCACCCCTAACCTCCCCAGGTGCTCTTCAAGCGCAAACCTGTCCAGTTCCTGACGGTGCCCGAAATCGACGATGACCAGCAAGAGGTGCGCCACTCTCTCGTTGTCTCGTCCCCCTCCCCCTCTGGGAGGTCAATTGACCGCTCCCCTAACTAACACGCGGTCCCAGGTGTGGCACATCCCCCAGACCGGCGAGGTCTTTTCCTCCTATGAAGACTACTTAAAACGGTTTGTTTTGTCCCACCCCCTGCTGTTATTATGTTATACGAGTATTGGGACTTTGCTAACTAAATGATAGGATAGACTTTTACAAGCAGGTCTGCCGCCCCTGTCTATGCCATCCTGCCCAGGGACCACCTCTCTTTCCTCTCTTCTAACTGCTAACGGTTCCCTCTAGAAACGCTTCATCTGTCCCATCAGCGGCCATTCTGGCCTGACTTTCTTTGAGGCGCTCGAGAGCGAGGTAGGCCTTCTAGTAGCACTCTTGTCTCCCTCCCCCTGTTCCCCCCGTTGCAGCTGCCTGACACCTCCGACTCTCAGCTCGCCGGCGCCGCTGAGGTCGAGCAGGCCTTCCCCGAGGCCCTCAAGGGACCCATCCTGCGGCGTGTGCAGTTCCAGATCGTGTCCCGCATCGACACGCTGGTCGACGTCATCTACGATGAATTCAAGAATGACTACTACCCCGGCGAGGCCGTAACCGTTCACATCGTGACGGGTGAGAGATTGCAAGGCGTGGTGCGGGACAAGACGCGCTTCGGCAGCAAGGTCCTACCCGACGGCACTCTGACTCCCCCGTTCTCACGCTATTTCGTCAGCCTAGACACGCACCCCGACCAGGAGGCCGTCGTTGACGATTCGCACATCTTCCGCGACCGCAAGGTTTTCACCAAATCGGTGCTGCGGTCCTTTATCAAGAAGACGGTGACGCGAGAGGCCTGGAACGGCGCGCCCTGGCTCGTCAAGCCTTCGGTCGCGGATCAGTACCACATCGACACGCGTATCCCGCCTCATCTTCGCTACGACAACAAGCTCCTGGAGCGGAAGCAGATGCAGGCCCAGAAGCGCCAGTCGTCGCAGCCCGACCCGCATACCGTGCCTGACTCGTACAGCCCCACGGGTCCCGTCCGGCTGCCCGAGCTGAAGCCCGCGCCCAAGAGCCACAAGTCAAAGGCCCAGCAACAGGCCCAACAGGTAACCCACACTGTCGGCGTGGTCAAGGGGAAGCACAGCAGCTTCGGCGGCCACGAGCCCGGCGCCTTTGTCCACCTGCCCCTGCCCGGTAACCCCTTCCAGTTTCCCATATCATTCCGCAACCAAGCGCCGCCGCCGCCCGTCTTTTCGCAGCCCGAACCCCCTCCACCACCCCCGCCGCCCAAGTACCCCATCGAGGACTTGCAATTAGGCCCCCGGGAGAATGTCCGCCCGCAGCTCAAGTATCTGTGTTGCGACCCCCCGGTGGAAGTCGGCCCCGAGGCAAGGGGACCGCTCAGCGAAAAGATACTCATGAAGACGGTCGGGCCATTACTCGAAACCTGGGACACGCTAAACGTCTACTGCGAGATATTCAAGCTGGACTCGTTCACATTTGATGACTTTGTAGAAGCCATGCAGGTCACATCGGAAGAGGTTCCCGTCCAGCTGTTCGACGAGATCCACTGCTCGGTTCTCAAAATCCTTGTCAGCTCCGAGGCGGACGGCGGCAAGGTTCAGATTCAGCTCCCAGAGCTAGGAGAGGAGGACGACGAAGAGGACGAAGAGGACGAGAGTGCCGAGCCGACGCCCGAGCCCGAGCCGCAACCAAAGGGCCGTGCGACTAGGAGCAGTCTGGCGAAAATAGAGGCAGAAAGGCTCGCGGCGGAGGCTGCGGCGGCCGAGAAGGAGATGCAGGATGCCGAGGACGCTCCAAAGCACCGGGCCGAGGAAGTCCTCGCCGACTACGACTGGATCGAGCACCTCTGGAAACGCGACTTCAAGGACGGCGGCTGGGAGATGATCATGGTCGGCCTGCTACACCAACTATCCAAGAACGAGAGACTAAAGGCCGGCTGCGAAGAGCTCTTGCAGCAGCTTGTACCCACCGAGGTAGACCCCAGCCAGGAGACCGTGCGCCAGCACTATGCCGCCCTCGACGTCAACTACCGCGTCCAGGCTCTACAGATCATCTGCATGCTGACAGCCGAGACCAAGGCAATCCGCGGCTACATGGAGGACTGCAGCGAGCAGATGACAGCGTACAGGAAAGAGAAGATCGAGTGGCAGCGCAAGAGAAAACAAGCGTGAGTGTTTATGATTCTCGTCTTGGGGTTTGGCCCGTCAAGCTAACTCGTCTATAGCATTGAGGAACTCAAGGGCTTGAATGACCAGCGTAAGATACTTCTGCCTGATAACATGCCCCCAAGCCCGTCGCTAGAGGCAGTCAAGGCCAACGGCGACGTGAAAATGTCGGACGTGGAAGAGCTGCCCGTTCATACGTCGGACGAAGTGCAGGACTCGAACGACGACGGCCAGTCGGCGCGGAAGCTTCGACGCGGTCTAGACCGTGCTGCCGAGCGCAAACGCAAGGCCGAGAAGGCGCAGGAAAAGAAGGAAAAGGCCGAGGCGGCGGCCAAACTGCCCAAACAGTCGAAGCAGTTCATAAAGGTGCTCAAAGACATACGGAAGAAGGAGGACGAGATTTCCGAGTGCGAGAAGGAGATCGCCATTATCGACAACGACCTCCGCGAGGCCGACTGCCCGCGCACCCGGGTTCTCGGCAAGGACCGCTTCTGGAACCGGTACTACTGGTTCGAACGCAACGGCATGCCGTACGCCGGGCTGCCCGACAGCTCGACGGCGTCGGCCGGCTATGCCAACGGGTGCATATGGGTGCAGGGTCCCGATGAGCTGGAGCGAGAGGGGTACATCGACATGGCACCCGAGTACCAGAACGAGTACAAGGCCAAGTTCGACACGACGGTGCCGGAGCGCAAGAGGATCGAAGAAGGCGCAACCAGCGTGTTTAATGCGTCGCAATGGGGCTACATCGCGGACCCCGAGAGCGTGGATGCGCTGCTGGGGTGGCTGGACCCGCGCGGCTTCAACGAGCTCAAGCTGCGCAAGGAGATTATCAACTACCGCGACAAAATTGTCAAAAACATGGAGAACCGCAAGGAGTACTTGGGGTTGTCGGGATCGGCGGCAAACGGTGCGACGGAGATGGAGATTGACAAGGAGGAGGAGCCCGTCGTTACCAAGACCGGCAAGAACGGCAGCAATAAGCGCATGAGCACGCGCGGCCGCAACACGGTAGCCCCCGCCGCGGTGGCGACGCCTGAGCCGCCCTCGTACCGGTGTCTCAACTGGCAGAACACGACGGCCGTTGCGGAAATCGGCCACCTCCACATGGAGCAGCCCCCACCGGTGCGCGCCCGGAAACAGACCAAGAAGGAGGCGGCGGCGGCGGCGGCAGCCGAGGCCGAGGCCGCCACCACGACCACCCGGGGCAAGAAGGGTGCTCGGCAGAGCACGAAATGAGATGATACTCGCTGAAGGAACGGAGAAAAGGCTATGTCTCTGTAATGGGTTTTCTTCTCTACCTCTCTATTTTGTCCTCATCTCCGGTGGAGCATGTTAGGGCTCTCCGTCAAAGGAGTTAGAATGGCGTTCTTCTCTCTTCCACTTTTTTACTCGACTGTTATTACATTCGTGTGATTAATTTCCCTTTTTTGTTTTGAAGAAATCATGGCAGGAAGGTGGGTGAAGATCAAGAGGGAAAGAGAAAGAAAGAAAGAGGTTAGTTTGCATGTATGCATGCTTGCTTGCTTGCTCTTCGCCTTGCTTGGGTGCAGGTGGTTTGGGTTTCTTTTTTTTAGGGGTCTTTTGGCTTGGGTTCGGCGTGCGGTTTGGCATCCATTGGCTTGGCTTGGCTTGGCCTGAATGGTTGGGCGTGCTGTGCTGTGCTGTGCTGTCTTGCTTGTCTGTGGGTGCTGTGGTCGGCGGGCGGGCGCGATGGGAGTGATGGGATACAAAAAAGAAAGAAGCCAAGAGAGAGAGAAAGAGAAAGATATAAAAGAATAATAGTTATTACAGTAGTACGTGCGGTGTAATGCGGAGCGGTACGGTGTGGTACAGTGCGGTGCAGTTGCATTGGGTGTTGTGGTTCAAGTTGGTGTTTGGCGTATCGCATTATTATCCATCCATCAATTGATTCATCTATTTATCCACAAGTCTGCTTTTTATCATTACTAGGTGTGGGTTGCATCGGGATCTACGGAATACAAGCTGCATCTCTTTTATTTCTATACTGCGGTCTAGAGGCCATTTTTTGTAAATATTTCAACCTTCAGCCTGCCTTGGAGTCATCTCTATCTAGGTACCTAATTATAGTTGTATTGTGCACTCATCCGTAATTACTAGTATTGCGGATGTTACCAAAGCATTGAAGTGCAAGCGGTAGAGTCATTCCTGCCATTTTCCAGGTTTAATTTGATGCGAATCTAAGGAAGCTGCCGAAACGAAACCCCCCGTCACCTCCTAGACAGGAATTCAGTGGTAAGCCATAAACCGGTTTTTTTTTGCTCTCTCTCGTGTCTGGGGACGGGACGGGGGGGTTTGGCGTGGCCGCGTTTCAGGACAAGAGACCAGGAAGAATAATAAGAGATGGAAGGAGGCCATGCTTGTATTTTTTCTCCTTTTTTTTTTTTTTTTTTTCAAGAAATTCGTTACATTTCTTATAATTACATTTCGAAGTTCCGAGCCTCCTTGCGTGTGGTGCCGTTGAAGGGATTTTGCCGTGGTGCACCACCACCAACAGCAACACGCAGCCCGGCTTGATCGACCGACCGACCGACCGACCGACTCGATTGAGAAAGGGGCGCTGGGTTTGCGACGGATACTGATATCAAAGCGGGGATTGATGGATGCCGTGAAAACCATGTCTCGGACGCGGTCGTCTTCGTCATGGTCGCTATCTCTTCTTTTGTGGATAGCCATGGCCGTGGTGGCGCCGGCTCGGGCTTGGGACCACTTTACCCCCCAAGACCTTGAACAGGCCCTGGCGGGTGGCGAATTTGCTTTGGTTGCTTGTGAGTCGCATATTTTTTCTGTTTTTAATTCTACCAAATTTCAGCTGCTGATTCAATGTATAGTTGTGTCGGTACGAGCTGCCCGTGGCTCCCATGTTATGTGTACGTGCTTACCGTTGGCGCGGAGCTGTAGAACGACGAGTGAGTAATAGCATCTCTCTATAAGAGAGAGACTAGCTAGCCGGCTACGACTAAGAAACCCCCCAGACCAAAAAGCGCATCGCTCGAGCCAGAATGGCTGGCAGCAGCCGCCGAAAGCACAGAGCGTCTCCTGAGCGTCGACTGTGTCTTGGCCGCAGAGACATGTGCTCGCTATGACATCGCTTCGTATCCTTCGGTCGTGCTGTTCTACTCCGGAAAGCCTGTGTCGCTCTATCGGGGCGCGCGTCAGGCTTCTGCGTGCGTCATTCCTTGGATTTGTCGTTGTAGAAGTAATCAAGATGGAGAAGTACTGACAGAGACTAGGCTCCTGAACTTTGCTGCCAGGAGGAAGCAGCCCGCCATTCCTGAAGCTGTTGATGCCGGCAGCATTACTGCCTTCAAGGTTGCTGACGAGATCGTCTTTATAGCCTTCTTGGACCCCCAAGACCATGCATCAGCAACCGAGTTCTCTGAAGTCGCCGCTAGGTATCGCGACGAGTTCCTTTTTGGTACTGCCAAAGACGTCTCTGTTGCCGAGGCCGAAGGCGTCAAGGCGCCAGCGGTGGTGTGCTACAAGCCGGCCGATGGGCATTCCGCAACCTTTTCATCGCTGGACAGCACTGGCAAGCTGGACGCCTGGGTGCAGGAAACCTCGAGGCCTGTCCTTGGGGACTTGACGCTGTGGAATCGGCAGAGGCTTCTCGACGTAAGACCAGCACGAGCTCTCCTGCCAAACTCGGGAGAAAGTAGCGCTATGAGTCGTGTCTAACTGATAAATCTCAGCGAGGCTGGCCCATGGTTTACCTATTCGCCCCCACCGAGAGCGAGCGGCAAGAGCTGCGGCAGACGCTGTACAAGTTTGCTAAGAGCTACTACGATTCGCTGACATCTGTCATGGTCGACCCTCTCGAGTTTCCTGATCTGATGGGCCAGATGGGCCTTGGCGCAAACGTCTTCCCTGCTGGTGCCGTTCACCAACTGTCAAAGGACCGCATCTATCGGTATCCCAGAGACAAACCTCTAGACTCGAGAGGCATCCAACAGTGGGGGCTCGACGTCTACCAGGGCCGCATCAAGCCGTGGACGCCGCCCGGCGTCACGACGACGTATGAAGATCTCGGCCCGACCAGGGTGGCCACTGGAAGAGTGTCGCTCAGAAGCCTTCCAGGCATGAAGATCAAGATTTCGGGACACGACGAGCTTTAGATTCTATCGGAACAGAAGTCTGCTGGACTATAAAAAACACTGGGTAGTTTTGACGAGCAATACCGGTAAATATCAAGGAGGTAGGGCTTTGGTATTCTCTAATAAGCCTGTAGTATCTATCTATACGAGGCCTTTGGACTTCTCAATTGGGCCCTAACGCACATCCTCCAAAATAATCCGTCCTGTAAGTCATCCATTTTCTACGACACAGCATCTTGCTTCCTCAGACAGACCTCCAAGCCCCGGGCCCTTAGCTCGCATCTCAAGGCCGCCTCCATCGCTTCCGTCCGCCTTCTACACCACCAGTTCTCGTCTGCCGGCGGCAGCAGCTGCCGCACGACGCGGTAGATGTGAAACAGCACGACGAGGCCACGTGAGTCGCCTTCTGTGATGAGCGGCAGGAATGACCCAAAGCAGATCATGGGGAACGTCATCACGTAACGCACGATATCTTTGCTCTTGAGCACGGGGGAGCGGCTGCGGCCTAGCGGCTTAGACGGAAACGCGGCTGGGCAGCCCCCGCCGACCCCCCCGTCCGAGGCAAATGCCATGGCAACGGCGAGCCGCTCCGCGAGGCGTTTGTAGGCGGCGCGCATCAGGCCGTAGTCTTCCGCTCCCGCTCTCCCGACGAAGGCCTCACCTTCTTTGTAGCTCTGCCAGAGCGTCAGCACTTTTAAGGATTGGGATTCCTGGCGGGTGAAGCTGCTCGACCATGTTTCATCCGAGTGTAATGTGGCACTGCTGCTACTGCTGCTACTGGGTGGGCTTGCGCTTGGCGTGGGAGAGTGAGACGTCCGATCCTGCTGCTGCTGCTTCCGGGGACGGGCCCGGGAGTCTGCACGGAAGGCGTTGCGCCCCCCGTGGTAGCGCGGATTGTCGTACAGCTGCACGAACCCCCTCGCCAGACCCTGCCGGCGGAGGCCGCGAGCTTCGACGGCGTCCTCGATGGCCATGCACGGCTGCAGGATCGGCACGTGGAAGAAGACGCTACGCTCGGACTGGAACAACGGCCACGCCATGAAGAAGATCTGCCGCACGCCAGTCGACAGCCAGTACAGCTGGTCGGCTGACAGGTCTAGTGCCTGCTGCTGCCGACGCTCCGCCTGCCCTTCCATAAAGTCGAGGTCGCACCACATGAGGTAGTTGACGAGAATCGCCGTGCCGAGCAGGGCGTCGCAGTTCTCGGCGGTGATGGGCGCCGAGAGAGCCGAGCGGTAACCGTGGAGAGCGCGGTCTAGCAGGCCGCAGTTCGCCCGGCGGTACCGCGGCGTGTCTGGGGCAAGGTAGTCGAGGTGCGCTGCCGCCAGAGAGAGTATGGCGTTGACAAGGTACGCGTGTTCTTGGGACTAAGCAGGTACTCGGTTAGGTGTGGGTAAAACCCGATGCCCGACTATGGCACTTGTCCAGGGGGAAGACTCTCGACGCGGAGAGGTGGACCAACCTGGAAGGCTAGCTGCAGCAGGGAAGGCCATATTTCCTGGAAAGCCAGCGTCGGCAGCGTCGATCTCTCAAAGTGGTGTAGCAATTCCAGCTGCAGCAAATTGACGGGACCGCCACACCCGAGCTCTGCAACTGTGGCGCAGAGCATCTTGCGCTGCACGGTGGTTGGCCCCTGGCTGGACGGTGCCGGCTTGGAGCGGACGCACGTCTCCAAGCGCCTGACGCAGTTACTACACGGGTCGGCCTCGTCGCACTGCCCAGAAACATATCAGCGGCAGTCATGGCAACCCGGGAGGCTACGAACGAACTCACGTACTTTTACCTTGCGCCGCTTGCACCGGACACACCCCATGCGAGATTTCTGTTATAACAGCCCCCAAACATCATCGTCAGCCTCTCCCCTCTCTCTTCAGTAGTCCTGTCCTGCCGCAGCCGCTTGACGTAGCTCTGTGGCTGCCACCGCGAATTGCACCCTAGGAGAGCACATACCCGATGCGACCTCTTGCGCCTGCGTTCCCGGGCCTCGTCCGGCCCCACGACCCAGACACTGGGTCGCCCGCCATCGCCTGTCTGCGAGACAAGAAACGTGTTTGCAAACACGGTGACCTGTGTGGAACTCATGGCTGATAGTTATGGCTGTGTACCTAGGTACCTAGGTAGTCAGTCTCTCGTTTACTTGACGTCAAACAGCACAGAGTCTAACCTCCCACGTGGGCTGAATAGGGGATGTATCAATGTGTGTGTGTGTGTATGCAAACAAGACAAGGAGCAGTAGTATACTAGTGTTCGTTCCCGGCTAGAGAAAGCGAGACCAAACAAGCCGTGACCAGTAGCAAGGGGGTCGTGGGTCGTTTCAGGGATATATATATATATATACTTACATATATGGAGTATACTTCATATGCAGGGAGAAGACTAACAGCAGGAAAATCAGCACTTACACAAACCGCCACTCTTCACTGCCAAGACTCAGACCCGGTGCATTTACTAAACTCACTAGTACAGCAAAAGCATTTGACCAAAGGATATTCTCTCATAGCAAAGAAAGAATAGATGGTACAAGGGAGAAAACTAACATGAACAACTCGCATTCCCAAACCGGAATGCGAAGGGTCCTGGGTCCTGTGCGAGGAGAAAGGGGCGCTGAATAAGCGCCGCCGCCCGTCGTTACACTCACTCACTTGCTTGATTGTGTCATTCAGACTACTACCTAAGTATGGCTAGCTCTTCTGCAGGTTGGAAAGCCCGCTACGATGGAGAGAGAGAAACGCTAGGGAACGCCGACAAGACAGGTGTTTCCAGGGGAGAGAGCTAGGCCTCTGGGATTTTATGAATAAAAGGGATTCTAGTAGCTACTGCCTCCCTCAGCGAGAAGCCTTTAGGGCGGGCCATCACGTACTAAGGCCTTTTGATATTTAAAAAAGACCCTCGCTGATAAATATTTGGGGATTAGATTATGAACAGGGTGAGTTTTTAACGTGACGTCTATTTCCGCGGAGAAACAATTTCTCTTTCTACTCATATCTTGGGGGGTGTGTGATAGCTGAGTAAGGTACGGACGGATACTATGAGGTACATGTCAGTAAGGTCACCGGATGCCCCGGCGCAAAGACATTGCCCGGCTCAGAGGCCCCACCCCTTACGACTGGCGATCTAGATAGACATCGCAAGGCTGCGAAGTGCTGGAGCTGAGGACATGTATGCTTGGCAAAAAAAAAACATATGGCGATTTGGATCCAACCCTCCAACCCTGTACGTATTCGCACATGATCGACAACACTCCATCTAGTATCACTACCTACGAGCAGGTGACACTTTCTACGTCAATGTCGAAAAACGGCGCGACAACTCCGTACTAACAGCCTTTTAAGCTCCAGTAGGCGACCATAAATAGGCATATACTCCATCTCTGGCGGCGCGGAGGCATTGAAGGATGTGGGAGATCATCCAGATATGCTTCTACTAGACTACTGGGCCCGAATGATTATTACCTGCTCGGATGTCACGCCCTGAAGCCCCTCCCCAATCTGTACCGTTTAATTGCTGGCCGGGGGGATATGCTGCTGCCTGGAAACGCTGTGAAGTGATGACGGCGTGGAAACATCGGCCTGGATACTAAGAGATCGCTGCATCTCGTCGTATATCGGAGCCAATCGAATACGCTGATTCATTCGTTGAGTCGGGATCTCTGCGGGAAGACATTATGATTGTGAGCGCGGCCGAGTAGAAATTAATCAATTATCTGATATTCGGCTAGAAAATTAAAAATACAAGTTGCCATGAGCACCTGGCGAGTTTCTCTTTTGGTTCCTGTCGACCAGTGTCTGCCCCGGCCGCGATATTCCAGATACTCATACCATATTAGTATTATCACGGCTGCCACGCTCCTTCGCCTCCCTTAGCTCGTCGTTGGTGCGGTGCCCGACAATCGTACCCTCGTCGTCGCTCATCGGCCACACGCTGGTGCTGTTTTGTTGTTTGCCTTGTCCAAAGAACCAAAGACTCCGCCCGGCGCCCAGTCATTCAACGTAATTCATGTACGGCCGTATCGTAGACAGCAGTCAAATAAACAGTCCCAAATACTACATTCCTTCTTTCCCGCCTGCAATTCTCAGGTACACGCATTATCGAGTATCAGAAACCTCCGATAGGCTCCCACAGCTCCCAGTCTGGCCCGCGGCTCGGGAACTGGACCTCGATCAGCCGCTCGTACTGCCCCTCGGATACGTCAAACATGACCTGACTCGAGAGTTTCTGGCGATCGAATCCGGCGGCGGTCACGTGGCGGACAGGCTTGACGATGTCGCGCGTGTTGGCGCTCGTCTCGCGGAGGCGAAACTTGGGCTCGAGAGCGAGCAGCGCCCTCGCGCCCTCAGACTGTGGGTTGAGCCGGCAGTGTAGCATCTTCTTGTACCGGCCCGGGCTCATGTCCTTAGGAAGACGGCCCGAGATGAAGAACAGGCAGGCAAGCAGTCGGCGGGCAACTGCCAGGATATGCTTGTTGGCACGAGGATATTGCTGATCCAAATACTTTACACCCTTGGAGCTGGGGGAGAGGTACGTCTCGCTCTCGTGTTGTAGGATTACCAACCCGCCGACGTCGTCCAGATTAGGCGGCTTGCGCATGAGTCCGACGTCGAGGCGGTGGCTATTTCGGTTGAGGGTGCCGTTGAGGGTACTCTTGAAGTTGGACCACTCGAGATGGCAGTCGAGGGTAGCTCTGATCATGTCAAGACCAAGCTCAACCTTGCGGCGCAGACCCCGCGGAAGCAGCCTTTTCAAATGCGCCACGTGCTCGTCAGCTACCTCGACCACTTGCCCGTCTGCGTCGACTTGGATGCCCGTCCCGACGGAGACGATAATATCGGGGGGCTTGGTCGAGTTCCATATTCGTTTCGCCTCGTTACTAGCCAGGGTGACGGGATTATTTCGCACCACTCCGCCGTCGATATAAGACTTGTCCGTGGCAATATGGCGGTAAGGTCTAAATAGCATCGGTGCCGCAGATGTGGCTCGGGCGCTGCAAAGGAGTTGATTCAGTAAGGTGGGATTCATTGACAGAGTCTTCTAGGCGACTGGAAGTCAAACTCACGCCTGCCATATTTGAAAGTCGTCCCCTTGCTTGTCTTCTCGGTGAAGATAGTCGACTAGTTGTTTACGGGATTAGAATTCACCTAGAATGTGGGTAGAATCGAAGCTTACAGGTCTTCCTCCCCTCCTTGTTGATCTGCCTCCGAGGGTCTCGCGAGTAGTTGGCAAGTAAGCAAGTCTGATTCCGGCCTTGAACACAGGTTATGACCCCGACCTTGGTCGCGTCTCCAGGCGGGATTGTAGTAGTAGAGGTGCTGCGAGGAGAAGCCCTCTTGGATTGGCCGAACAGAAAATCATCCCCCAAGTTTTCCCGCAGAGTGCCCTCAATGCCGGAGTTGGTATAGCGATGGTCCAGAAAAGGCTCTATCATCCCAGATAGCACCGGAACAGAGAGCCTGGGTCTCAGGGTGAATGAGTCTTTTGCCAGGGCCCTGAAGAGGTTCTTTGCGTGATCAAGAGTCCAATGCTTCTCAAAGACGCCTAGAGCGATAATGCCACCTGCAAACGTCAGAAACCAAGCGAGCCTTCGATGTAGGATCCAGGCTAATCATACCTGTGCTTGTGCCTATTACCAGATCGAAGAGGTCCTGGATAGGTATGCCCAGGCCAACTGTTTTTTGAATTTCGGACAGAATAACGAGCTCGACGATGCCGCGAATCCCTCCACTAAATAAAGGTCAGCTGTAAATACTTACTCGTCTCTGTAAAATATCGGCTGCGACAAACCCGTCAAGACTTAGAATGCGCGCGCCGGCAAATCTTGGTTTTATTCGAATAGTCCAGGGCGATACTGTGAAGCGACAGCCCAGCGGGCAAGCTCTGATGTGAGCTATCGAGTCCCCCGGTTCCAACTGGCTGGACCTTTCGATGCAGTTTTCACAGATGCCATGCTGCAGCGGATAGCAGGGCAGCATGTTTGTGGGACACTTTGACAGGCAGGACAGGCAGGTCCTCTGGCCGCTGATCTTAGAAACGCCGCAGTCTCTGGCAGCCGATGCTAGACGGCCGTGGATGTCTTCTTGGTTCTTGAGGCGCGACATCTCGGACCACAGCTGCTCAAAAAAGATGTCGGCGTCGTACGAGTCGCGGTATCGGCCAATTTCCAGCGAGTCATCGTCGTCCCAGTCATCGTAAGAATTGCCGCTAGAGTAGCTCTCTCGGGACCGGGCCTTGTGGATGAACTGGTGGCCCTTTTCATGACTTTCCAAGTAATTTGTACATCTGCGGCCGAAGCTGTCCTTGGCTTCGCAACGCCAGTACCTATTTCGGAACCACTGAAGGCCGCGTCGTGTCTCGTCTTCGAGCTCCTCTTTTCTTCTTTGGGCGTCTGTCAAGATCGGTTAGCAAGGCGATATCGGCAGCTATGACATGTGGCCAACTTGCGCTGCGGCTCGGCCGACCGGACTTGGGCAACGATGCAAGCGGCCAGGTACGGAACTATATCCGCCAAGAGCTCGGCCTCGCCACCGACCATCTCCGTGTCATCGAGGCTCCTGGACTTGGCCATATTCCACAAGACTCCCGTCATGTGCTCTCCAAACGAGGTCGGTAGGCCATCATCTCGACCTACCACTTGGTGCAGGTCCAGCGAGTCCCGGTAGTCGCGACCTAAAATGGTGGCTGACTTGGCGACATAAGCATTGAGACTCGGTAAGTCGAGGTCCATGTTAAACGATCGCCGTTTGTTGCGGATGCCGTCCGAGAGAAGTCGGATCTCGTTGTACAGCCCCTTGATCTGGACGGATATCTGGTTGGTTGTCGTCGGATCCCGGTTGAATGTGGGAATCGAGATGACGCGGAAGAAGTCGTAATAGCAGAGAACGAGCTCCTCTGCGTTGTTTATCGTCTTGCCCCGGTGATGCCACTTTCGACGAAGCTCGGTAAACCGACTTGACCCTTCAAAGCTGCGAAGGAGTCTCTCGGTTGCGCTCCGCTCGTCGCCAACGCGCTGCTGCGGCGGCATCTTGTTGAGTATGATGATCAGCCCGGGCCTCACACGCTGGTTGAGGGTCTTTTCATGGCCGTCCTTGGCCCATGCGAACAGCGTTTCGAGGATATCGTGGGCGGCCCTAAATTCCGGACATTAGCGCGCTCTTTGCCGCCAGATGACAAGAGAACAGGGTGAAGAGTTGGCTTACCTGGTGTTGTTTGTTACAAAGCAGATGACATCTGAGAAAGCATAGAGAAGTCTTGGATAGACGTGTTTCACCACCTTATTCCGGGTATCAGGGGTAACATGGCCGCGTTTGTCAGGGTAGTAAGTGGCGAAGTCGATTTCTCCCCACTGCAGGTCAATTTCGTTCATAGCCGTCTCGCTATGTTCCCAATACTGCTCGTATGCCGTTTGGCCATGAACACCGCCGAGGCCGATTTTATTGAGGAAGTCCTTGCTGGCGTCAGAATGGACTCTGCGCGAGACGGGATTGTCCGAGCCCGAAAATCCCTCGCTATCTGGATAGGTACGAAACAGGTGGTTAGCTAGTCGACCCATAGCCACTAGTTGGAAGACTGCCCTGCTTACCAACAAAGAACAGCGGATCCTCTGTCGAGATGGTCACGGGGTCTGCAAAGACATGAACGTCGGAGCTGGTGGAATCAAACTCATCATCGACCACGCCTGGAACAGGGACGCGAAAGTCGAACCTTCGGCGGGGAGCCGCCATGCGGATCATGGCGCGAATCAGGGTGCTTTTGCCCGAGCCCGTATCTCCAACGAAGGATATGACTCTTGGGTACTGGCGCGTAGGCTTGGTAGTCGTCTCTGACAGCAGGGCCTCGAGCCTAGGGTAAATGTAGAGTTGGGGATAGGGGCCAGGCTGGTTGCGAGGAACTCCGAACCAGGTAGACCACAGGTCGTCGAGGTGGGTCGAAGTGACCTCTTCGCGCTTCACGCGGCTCGAGTCCAGTAGCCAGGTTGTGTAGACGACCGTCTTGTAGTCTATCTCCTCGCAGCGGGGGAAATCCGGATCATCGTCGTAGCCATCGTCAGCGTCGGGGCAATGGTCACGATTCCGGGAAAGACAACTGCGATGGGCAGGCCATTTTGAGCGTCTCGCCGGCCCGCAGCCGCGACAAAAGACAAACTGGCTGGGGCTTCCTCTCTGTTCGCAAATACGGCAGGCGTAGTGAATCTTGACCTCCTCTGCCAGGTCGCGGACGCTGTACATTCTGGTCAGCAACTAAACAATGCTCAGAGGCAGCTTATGAATGACCGCACAGGTTACTGCCCGGCGCAGGCCACGAGGCTTCCTCGGCCGGTTCGTTGGGGTCATGGTCCCACTCGAGCTCGTCGGCTAACATCAAGCTATCTCTGCCACCCGAGTTGCGGCCGGTCGATATGACAATTTTCTCCAGCGTGTCGGCGAGGTCGTCTCGGCTCGTCCCCGAGCCGAGCGACAATATCTGGGATCTTGACGCCATTCCGGAAATTTGGTCGAGGGGGATGAGCACTTCCGAGTCGGCAAAGGCAATCCACCTCAAAGAGTATTAAGGGCATTCATTATTCATTGTTGAGAGATTTCCGGCCTGGATGAGATGCGGCGAGGCGAGGCTGTCGAGGCTGTCACTAGGAGGCCAAGACGCGCTGGACCCGATGCGCTTCTGCAAGGCGATAGACAGCAGCCAATGGCCACTGGCGACGGGCGCCATTTGAATCCTCCTGGGTTATGCCCACCTGGCCTGGCCGCGAAGAACGCCCCCTTAACCCTAACCTCTGCAGCGTCTGCATGTGAATGGCGTGAGACAATGCCGGCGTCTTGGGCCGTCTTCAGCGAATCACGAGCTTGGGAGCTGCCGCGTCGGCGCCCATCTCGTGCGTTTCGGGCGGGGTCAATGCCAACGCTGGCTGTGCTGTGAACTGGGCAGATGAGCTGGCAGAGCAAGGCTGGCTGTATAACAATAATGTTTGTCGATCGCTCAATTGCAACCGTTGCGCTGCGAGAGAAAAGAAACAGAATAACCTTAACAGTCTGCCCCGACAGGTACCTTGCCTTACCCTCCTGCTCAGCCCCCGAGAATGAGACAGGCGGTCCGTCCTCGGCTCAGGTACTCGTGCATTTCCTCTACCGGGTACGGAATTGTAGGGATTCCATACCTTATCCAGGTTGTCAATAATGGCCGAGGTGCTGTTATGGGCTTCCAGTTGCCTCATTGAAAGTGAAAAACCTGGAAGTTGCACAATGAGCGACTATTTTCTGGGATGGAAAGGATGGACGTCCCCTTTCCCAACAGAAAACCACAGGGTTGCATATCCATTAGATGCACCTTCCCAGCAAGAAGCTATCAAACCCCGTCGAAGCAACAGCCCGAGACTTATTCCTGGCAGGTGCGCCCGACACTCTCCCCACGTTCAAGTTCCCTATAGTTCTAAAGAGGGCTGATGTAGCCTTTTTAATTGCTTTTTAAACATGAATTCCGAATTAACTCTCATCATCTATATTCCGCCCAATCCGAATGCAATGTATCCGTCCCTCGTCTATCAGACCGCCCATGGGGTATATCCTAAACGTTTCTATTTCGGCCGCCGCGACTTTCGAGCAGAAGTGCACGATAATGCTTCGGCTGCGGCGGACCAGACAGCGAAAAAATCACGAATGCCTGACTGCCTCTAGTATGCACAAGGAAAAAAGACAAAGGAAACAAAAAATAACTGCCTAGGAGGCACCTCGGGTAAGTAGGCGCGCTCATACCACATTAGTATTATCATGGCTGCCGCCACACTCCTTCTCCTTCTCCTTCTCCTTCTCCCTTAGCTCGTCGTCGGTGTGGTTCCCGACAATGGTGCCCTCGTCGTCGCTCGACGGCCGCACGCCCTGTAGCTGCTGCTCCGGCTGCTCGCGCGGGACCTCGTCGAGGCGCTGCGAACGGTTGGACATGAAGCGCGACAGTAGGCCGCTGTCCTTGCGCGCGTGGCTGTTGCGGCGGCTGGCCCGGCTGGCCCGGCTCGCCGTCTTCCTGATCTCGTTGTTGATCTCGGCCTCGGCCTCGGCCTGGTCCTCGGTGATAACCTCCAGCGGTTCTGTCGGGCCCGCTCCGGCGCCCGCCGCCGCGGCACCGCGCATGCGAGCTATGATGGCAGCCGCCTCGGACGCGTACTTGCAGCGCATGCGGATGGCGGCGCCGTAGCGGTAGAAGAGGAAGGGGAAGGGCATGCAGGCCAGTGCGAGGAAGGCCGGGATTGTGCTGGCCCAGTGGATGCCCAAGTCCTTATACATGTACGTGGTGAATAAGGGGAACGCGGCTCCGAACAGCGACCGGAGCACCGAGTTGGACGCCAGCACCGACGCCGCGAAGACGGTATAGCTGTCGATTAGGTATGTCATGAGCGACAGGAACACGAGCACTAGCCCGCACGCGAAGAAACCCGACGCGATAATGGGCACGATCCAGTGGACCGACGGGCTGTTGGTCCAAGCGAACCAGAAGAGCCCGACGGGCAGCAGCACCGACCCGATCATGGCGCAGAACAGTCGCGCCTCGGGAGGAGCCACCCCGCCGTGCGCCGCCGCCTCGCGCGTGTAGCGCTTGTTGTCGTACATGCAGTACGACACGGCGATCAGCACGCCAACAGCGACACCGATAAACGCCAGTCCGCCCACGCCGGCGCTCCACCCGCGGTACTGCTGAAACACGATGGGAAAGGCGGCGAAGAGCATGTACAGCGTCCCGTACACGATGGCCATGTAGATGGACGTCAGGAACACGATGGGCTCGGAAAACAGCAGCACCCACGGCCGCACCATGGCCGTCTTGATCTGCTTCATCTTCTCACCCTTGCGGCCCCGGTGCTCCCAGTTGGGCGCATCTACCTTGGAGACGTAGAACTTGCCCGTCACCTTTGTCAGCTCCGCCGCCCGCTTGCGCAGCAGCACCGGCGCGTACGTCTCGGGCACGAACAGGACGCATGCAATCCACAGCACTCCCGTAAAGATGGCCGTGACGCCTTGGACCCAGCGCCAGCCTTCAGCCGCGCCCTTGATTTTACATGTTAGTCAGTGCGCCTCTTCAGGGGCGAGGGGGCGTTAGGGACATACCAGGAAGCCGCCAACAATGGGTCCGATGGCAGGGCCGAGGAACGGGGCGGTTGCGAACACGCCACTCGCCATACCTCGCTCTAAAATCCAGTCGTTAGCCAACTTAAGACTACCTCGACAAGAGTTGGCAGCACACGTACCATTCGCGGAGAACATGTCGGCAATGACGCCGCCCGAGTTTGTCAGGGGCGACGAGCCAAAGGAGCCGGCAAAGAAGCGGAGGACGATGAGGGTCTGGATGTTCTGGGCGCCGGCGCCGCCAGCGTTGAAGGCGGTGAAGACGGCGTAGGTGGTGAAGAAGATGATCTGGCGGCCGTAGAACTCGCTCAGGGGCGCCCACAGCAGCGGGCCGACGGCGAAGCCGACGACGAACAACGAGATGCCGACAATGGCCAGCTCGGTCGAGATGTGGAAGTCGCGGATGACCTGAATAATGCCGCCCGAGTAGGCGGTGCTGGCGAAGGCGACGGCCAGCGTGGCGATGGCCTGCAGCGCCGTGATGACCCACTTGCGCCACGGCGCGAACTGCATGGGGTTGCGGGCGTCGCGCGGTAGGAAGTCGACCACGTACGGCGACTCGGCCGTGCCGTGCCCTGGGTACACGTGCTCGAGCACCTCGGGCGTCAGGCCCGACGGGTTGAAGACGAGCGAGAAGTGCGACACGCGGTTGGTACCGCGGTTCTGGCTCTCCACGTCCTTCTCACTAATGGCTGCTGCTGCTGTCGTCGATGTCGACGCCGGCGGCGGCGGCTGGGTCGTTGTGCCCATTATGTTGCTGGGTGTATTATTATATGCTGGACGTTAAGTCGACGTCGTCATGAGAGACGGGATGTGTGAAGAAGACGACGGCAACGGCACAACGGATGGTAAGCAGGTAACAGGAGATGCCGTGGGGTGTATATTATGGCTCGACGGTAGTCTGACGAGACTTGGTTGGAGTGTTAATGAGTGTGGCAACGAGCGAACGAACGAGCGATGGAGAGAAAAGGAGGAGAGTGTGTGTGAGAGTGAGGAAGGAACCGGCTTGATTTCCTCATTCCCATTTTTCTTCCTCGTCGCTCTCAAATCTCGAGTGCCGGCCCCATTCCATGGCCCGCCCCGCCGCTCGGAAGAGTTAGACGCCTTGAACCCGCTCTTCTTGTCGAGAACTGGATAGTAATAGCCATAGTTCCTGCCGGCCTGCCTGGACCAAGACAATTTTTTGGGCCGAGGCATAAACATTGCCCAATATGTAAGGGTGGGGATCCTCCTCGCGGGTGGAACACTGGAAACCCTGGGATTGATCCATGACCCCCATGCTCTGTAGCACTGTATTGTACCTGCTGTTCGTATGTAACCTGCTGTATCCTCTCTCTCGCTTGGCTCGGCGGCGTTCGTGTGACCTCACCGCGAGCGTGCTATCGTGCGGCTCTGCGCCGTCAAACTGGCGACTGTCGACTAATTACTAGGTGGTGGGGTTGCTAGCCCCGTTGCAACTCCCACCTGCACCAGAGCACCAGGGCACCAACTAACTCGGCACGGCGCTCCAGACTTCTGTTTCTCTCTCGGGTCAGGGTCGATGTTTTGCTGCTGTTTTGCTGTTGTTGATGGCGATAGTCATTACTTGATGTCTAATTTACGACCGAGGCAGGCAGACAACGCCCCCCCTTTCCACACAATACAGCAATACAGACCAGTATTTCTCGGTGCCTAGGGAATGAGAATGCATCGACTGGAGGGACGATGATGGACGGATGGGGCCGGACTGTTCCTACCAGAGGCATGACGTGACGAGCATGGGGGCGCCAGGTGAGAGATGAGGGTGAGAATAAGTAGGTAGGCCGCGGCCCTCGGCACGGCAGCGGCCGTGCAACATTTTTTTTTTTTTTACCGAGCATGTATCCGTATTGTATTATTATGCATTACATGTGCAGGACACGAAAATCTGCGGGTGGTGTTGTGTTGTTGGCTGGCTGGTCCACTTCCTGTTCTTTTCCCAAATTCCCAATGGATATCGAAGATTTTCGTTGCCATGCCATGCCATGCCATGCAGTGAGTGGAGTCTCTGATGGCACAAGGGGGGAGCCATGTTTTGTTCCGGACTTGGGCGCAGCAGTAGACAACGAGATAGAGTATAGAAAAATAGAAAAGAAAGATTGGCTGATGAGTAGCAAAGCAACCTGAACTCTATATTCGTCTCCCCGAACGAGTGTATCAATACGTGTATCAATACGTGTATCAATACGTGACGGTTCATTCACTCATTCCACAAACTAGGTGTAAGTGCAAAAAAATCGGCAATCTCCTTGGCCAGCCCTGAGCCGAGGCATCTCGGCGCTCCCCCCCCCCCCGGTCATTCCATCCCACGATCCACTAGTATAAGCATGGGCACCACCACAGCTAGGCTTAGCGCAACCACCGCCCGGAGGAGACAGCAGCCGACATCCGACTTTCATCATCACTTTTCTTTTTCCCATATTCCTTCTTTTTCACCATGCCATGCCATGCGAGCGGTTGCACGCTAAAACGCCGCGACGCCCAACGCAGCGGACCGCGGATGGACGGATGGACGGATGGACGGATGGACATGACGCCTTGTTAGAGTGCCAACTGATAGTCCGTGTCATCGTAGTTCTGCACATGCTCCTCACCGGCAGGGCTAATGCCACGCCACGCCATGCCACGCCACGCCATGCCACGCCGTGTCATTGTTAGCTGTTAGCTCAGGTAACGGGTAGGTCGGGGGCTCCACCACGGAGGAAGGAGATGTAAAACCGCCGACACTTGTCTCTAGACTCTGCACAGCTGTTTGCTTAGGAACTATTGAGCTGGGCCAAGCTGGCCGAGGTTTGTCTGCTGGACAGCAAGAAACTGGTCGGACCGGTATTCGCACCTGGAATTGTCAGAAACAATGACGAACGCAGCCGCCGCTCCCGAGCTACGTATCGTACGTACCGAAGTTATCTTAGCCTCGACGAGTCGCTGCCAGACTCCGGTGGCTATTTGCCTAGCATATAATGGTGCGGTACGTTTTGCCAATATTGGGGGACGATTAGTCTAGCCCATTTAGCCGTTGGATGTGCTTGCTGTTGGCTGACAGGAGGTATTCACTGCCATCAGCAAAAAAAAAAAAGACAGAACAGAGAATAAAGGCTGTGCCAGTGCTCTTTCGTGAAATTGTAGCCGTCGACGGCGCACGTTATGTTGTTGAACGGGTAGGGAGGATAAAGATACAGCCTGCCCGAACCAGGCCGGATTAATATTAGCCTAGCTTAGATACGTACTTAGTTGTCGTGGTAGACTCGCGACGACTTTCCTCAAATAAACGAAAAAGAAAAAAGAAAAAAGAAAAAAGGTTACCGATTTGATGCAAACCAAGCATCGGCCATGGTTAATACCATGCATGCATGTTGACCAGTTAGTTGTTGTTTGGAGATTCCACAGGCTCCCTTTCAATCGTAGAAAAAGGAGAGGTTTGTTGACAACCCCCCCACCAGACCTCACCTCATCCATCCCATCTCTTACCCAAACCCAACCGCTATCAACAACATCAACAGCAACCCTACGGGGGACAGACATAGACACACATAGAATAAAAACACCACTTTATTGTTCTTATTCTTTTTTAAATCCCACTCAGTCCTCGAAACCACCCCACTCATCCGCACCGCCACCACCACCAAGCTGCACTGTTCTCCCCGTAGACTTGAGCGTCGGCAAGCCCGCGCCGTCCCTGATAACCCGGCCGTGGGCGTCTCTCGCGAACGGGCCATCGGAGTCCTCTTCCCCCTCATCCTCATCACTACCGCTGTCGCTATCGTCGCTGTCGCTATCACTGCTGTCATCATCCTCATCGTCATCCTCGACGCCATAAAACTCATCGACAGTCACGGCCTTGTCGCCTGTAGCCTTGAGAGTGGGGATACCGTGCTGGTCGCGGACAATCCGTCCGTCATCGTCACGCACGAACGGGCCGTCCTCCCCCTCCCCCTCCTTCTTCTCTCCATCCAGACCCAACGCATCCCTCACAAACGCCGCGACGAAAAACCCCATCACACCCCTCCCATCATCACGGTTCGCACGCACGCACGCATCGGCCACAGCCTCGTCACCGGCACACGCAGCGGCATCGCCGCGGACGGGCCAGTCGCGCATGCCGCGGGGCTGGTCGGCGCGCGCCAAGAGACGCCACCCATCGGTACGCGCAGCGGGCGACGCGAGCGCCGCGAGCACGACGTGCTCGTTCTCGCCCGCATGTATAGAGCACGTTGAGTAGGTGACGCGGCGGGCGGCGGGGAAAGAAAAGGCGTGTTGTAGTAGGGAGAGCTGGAAGGCGGCCAGCGCGGCGATGCGCGCGCGCAGCTCGGCGTCGGACGAGAGCACGGTGAACGTCTCGCCGTCGTCGCCGACGAGCTGCGGCAGCGGCTTGCTGCTGTTCTCGTCATTAGGGGTGCTGGCTTGGGGGCGCTTGCGCTTCTTGTTGTATTTCTCTTTCGTTCCTGTGGGAGTAGTGGGGTTGGGGGCAGACGCGTCGGCGGGCAGGTACAGCTCCGGGGCGTCGTCGCGGCCGACGATGCCGCTGCCCGAGCAGCTGGGGTCCAGCAGCAGGGCGCGCACGTTGCGGAACTGCGCGGCGGCCGGGTCGGCCTTGAGGAAGTCGTGCCCCGGGTGCACGATGGTGACGCCGTCGGACCCCGCCAGCTTCACCATGCTGTCGAGCGTCTGCGCGCGGTGCTTGTCCTTTTCGAAGGCGAAGATGGTTGACTGCTCGCTCTGCCCTTGTATCTTTTGCCTTTGCTTCTGCTTCTTTTTGTTCTGCCGCGGTGCACTGGCACCAGCAGGCGCTGATTCTGACCCAAAGGCGCCGCGCTCGGCGAGGATGGCGGCGAGGTGTGTCGTCTTGTTGCCAGGGGCGGCGCAGGCGTCGATGATGTCACCCTCCTCGGGACGGGGGTCGAGCAGGTAGGCCGGAAAGCACGAGGCCTTGTCTTGCAGGATGAGGGCGCCCGTCTTGTAGGCGTCGGCCTTGGCGAAGTCGAAGACGGGGCCCGGGGGCACGGCGATCAGGTTGGGGATGTGGCCGTCCAGACAGAGGACCCTCTTGGGGGGAGACTCGGTGGCGGCGCGGATGACGTCCTGGACGGTGGGCACGACGTCCCAGCCGACAAAGGTGGTCTCGAGCTGGTCGTCGACGGTGGTCTTGAGCGTATTAACGCGGATCCAGCGGGGGTGGACGGGCCCGGTGCGGGCGTCGGCCTCGACCAGGTGGCGCAGGGCGTCGACCGAGGAGCACTTCCGGCGCAGGCGGGCGCGCGTGAACTCGGACGTCAGCCGGGCCTTGTGGCGCTCGACGGCGGCGCGCAGGCCATGGGTCTGCGGCAGCGCGATGCCGCCCTTGGCGACGAGGAAGTCGTGGACGAGCAGGACGGCGAGGACGGGGGTGAGCTGTGAGGCAGTCAGTGTGAATATGAATATGAATGGGTGTGAGAGAGAAAAGAGAAAAAATACCTTGCGTTCCTTCTGCAGCAGCTGGGCACTCTCAATGACCTCCTTGAGCACGGGGCTCCATTTGGACGACTCGAGGGCCAGGGCGTAGACAGCTGCAGGCGGCGACTTAAGCTCCTTGTCCTTGTCCTTGTCCTTGTTGCCAAAGACGCGCGACTTCAGACTCCCGCCGTGCGACGACGGCCCCGACAGAATGCCTGCCGCCTCGTGGTAGAGCGACATTAAAAAGGAAAAGGGATAAGCGCACGTGTTGTAACCAACGGGCCGACAGCACTTTCTTAACCTAACAGCAACGTGGCTGCCAAATCAAAAGTCCGAGCTGTGGGTTGCCAAAGTGCGAGGCCCCAAAACGTGGGACAAGCTGCAGGTTTCTTTCGCCCTAGACCGCCAGCGGCAAGACTTTGCCGCTGTGCCTGGAGCCTGGGCAATCCACCAATCCCACCCGTGCGCTGCGGCCCAGATCGACCGTTACACTCGCATTTGGCTGTCAGGGGTTCACATTCGCTAAGCTTATTTTCACGTCTGAACATTCATTTTATCCAAAAGTCCCCTTCGGGTTCAATGTTAAGTTATATATACACATACCAAAAGGCAACTGCGCCCTGCCAAAGCCCTCAACTAGGTGATTGGCAAGTGACACAAAAAGAAGCGAAGGCGCGTAGCCAAGAATTGAAGTAGTAATATGTACAAAATCATGCAAAAAACATGCCAAAAGTTTGGAAGAAAAGGAAAAAAGGGGGAGTCGTAAATCTCATAAAAACAATCTCCCCAACCGGGAAGTGATGCCTGTTTCGATGTTTTTTCTCCCCCGCCTGTGCTGAAAAGTAATGCCAAAATGATTCAACGATCCAAAGAGTCGAGCAATAATACAAAAAGTCTCGGTGCACAAAGCCAACAAACGCCGCTGTCCGGCAACCGAGTCTCAAAACAAACAGTAACAATCAAATGCTGAAGCGAAGTCGCCTATCAGTGACGATAGATTGGGTTGCTGCGGTGGTGAATGTGGTTGCGCAGGTGGCGCTTGGCCGGCGCACTGGGAATAGTTCCATCCTTGGTATAGACGGAGAGCGCCCAGGAACCACCACACGTCTGGCCAGCCGCGCCCTCGCACTTCATGCTGCATGCAGACTCGGCCAGCTTCGCCGACCCAGCCAGTGTGTTACCGCAGTAGCATTGGCCGCCATACTCGGTTCCCGCTACCTTGAAGCCCTTGGACGTGCAATACGTGACGCAGTTGGTATTGCTGATCTTGCCCAAGTTGGGGCGGATCTCGCCGCTGAGTGTCCGCGTCTGTCCGTCCTTGAAGCAGCCTGCGTACTTGAACCCGGCCACGTCCGGCTGGTTGCCCGGCGCTGGTGCGCCCGTCGGCGCCGCAGCGCCATCCTTTCCATAAGCCGTCGTCGTCATCCACACCGTCGTCGTGTCCAGAACAGTCGTGGTCACGCCAGCGGCAGGCGTGTTGGGCTTGTTGGGATTCGTCATGCCTCCGGTAGGCACGGGCAATGCCTTGACTGTCGTAGTAGCCGCCGCCGGTGGAGTCGAGAGCGCCTTGGTCTTCACAACTGGCTGAGAGACGAGCGTCGTTGGTGTCGCCGGCTTCGTGGGGGACGCGGTGGCCTTGGATGAAGACGATTTCACGGGTGCTGGGGCAGCCTGGGATGAAGACGACGTCTGGGCGGGAGGAGACTGCTTCGGCGGTGACGACGCCTGAGGTTGGCTTGCTGGGGCGCCGGCCCCGGCAGAGCCAGAGCTGGCGCCAGTTCCGTACTTGTAGCCCGACAGGGGGTTGTTTCCGGGAAGCTTGGTCATGCTACCGAGGACCTGCTCTGTGAGAGGGCAGTCGATATTGCACGACGTGCTGCGGTCATTGAGACCGCCAATCAACCCGGGGCAGTTGTCCATGCCCGATGTCCCCACGTCACAGTTGTCGATGATCTGCTGCAGTGCAGTCTCGTCCCAGCCCGCGATAAAGTCTCCGTGCATCGAGTAGCCTGTAACGTCGCCGTTAGCGAAGACGAAGGGGCTCTCCTTGCCGAGGAGATCCTTGAAGCGTGGCGCAAAGTCGTGCGTGTTCCAGTAAATCTCGTAGAACAGCTGAGGCACATGTATCCAACCGGCGGGGCAGTCATTCTTGCCACCAGAGACGCCCACCGGAAATTGCATGTTGGTCTTGTAGTTGGTCAATCCCGCCTGGGGGTTGTAGCACGAGGGGAAATGGAGATCGGTGCGCATCGGCGAGTACAGTCCGTCACAGTCTTGGAGGGGAAAGCCGATGCCTTCGCCGTTGTTGTTGCCGTTCTGGATGCCGGATGTTGTCCCGTCCGAGCCGGGAAGCCAGCTTGGCGGGTTGTAGCCACTACGCGGGCAAGTGATGGCGGCGGGCGAGACGGCCCCCTTAGAGGGGTCGATGTTGGAAACGTCCGTCGTCCGGGGAGGAGTCCTCAGCGCGGCGTTCCCACTTATCATCTGCAGGCCGACTGGAAAGGCCTTAATGTCGTCGTTTGACGCCTCGAAGAAGTAGTAGACGTTCATGTAGTCCATCTTGACCGACTCGAAGTGGCCATCGATGGGGTCCTTGAAGTACAACTGCGGTACCCAGTAGGCACTGAGATCGGCCTTGGGGAGAGCCGTGGTGCAGCGGGACTGGCGAAGGGATTCGCCGGTGGCGTTGAAGCCGAAGTTGCTTGCTCCCATGACCATGTGGGTGTGGCTCGAGGGCACGCCCGGGTTGATGATAGGGTCGGCACGGCAGGTGGTCAGGGGTCCTTTACCGTAGTGGTGCAGCACGGCAAACGTGCGCTTGGTCTTGTCCTTGACGGCAACAACCGAGGTGGCCAAGACCACCAGCGCCAGGGAGAACCGCATGATGGCGAGTGTCGTGTGTTGTGTGTTATGGTCGGTGGGGAAGTAGCTGTCGCGTATGACTCGGTGTCGACGGCCGAGGACGAATGATATGGCAAGTCTCTAGGACTGCGAGGGAACCTTGGGAAAAGAGTCGCTAGAGTATCTCAGACTCGATAGCGACTGTAAAAACTGCTGTTGCTGCCGAGTTCAACGGAGCGAAAACAAAACAGAAAAGCCAAAAAAGGGACAGGACGTGCTAAGCAGGCTTAGCACTTGGTATTGCAAGGAGTGTGTAGGAAGAAGAAACGGTCTTAAAGAGTGAAACCGGCAGAGGCCAGGAAGAGAATGACACAAAGCCCAGCGAAGCTTGAGATGGGAGGACAAAAAGAGAGCGTGTAAGCCGGTGTGGGAAGGGCAGGTAGCTTATAAGGGTGAGTGTGACGGACGTGGAGTCAGCCCCAACCGCCGGGTCCGCGGTGTTAAGCGGGATGCTCCGTACTGCACAGTGCCATGCGGAGGGAAGTCCATGGCAAGCCATCTCACGGGAGGGCCATGAGAGGGGACGAGGGCAGGGGAGAGGTGTCAAGCACGCAGCTAGGGAGCCTAGGAGAGCCCCGCCCCGTTGCACGACAGGCATGGCAGTAGTGTACTGTGTAGGCGGACTTGCACGTTAAACCTGCAGCCACATGTTGGTGGAGTGGAGAGTGAAAACCGGGAGCGGCATGGCTTAGGTTGGGCGGAATTCAGCCAGCACGGACTCACACAAGCCCGGGCAGGGTCTGATCGGACGATGCCTTATTTCTGTGTAGCACCCCTAGCCTGTTCGTTCATTGCCCTGTCCCGCCGCCATATGATGTGTTCGTCGACTTGTGCAAAGTGAGTCCCCCCGCCTTCGCCGCCGACCTGCTGGGCTGGGTTGAGCCATGGCCCTGGCCTCAGAGCCCCTTTCATCAGCCAGGGTGAGCATGCCTACTCAAGGGATGGCCCAGCGAGCCGCTGCCAAAGCAACCTCAGCGGGAAGACAGCCAGCGAGCGATGGCAATCGACCGGAGACGTTGCCAGAGATATGGCCAGCGGCTGCCCGCCTGCACAGAAGATCCGTCATAGCGGCCGGCGACAAAGCACGCACAGCGGCTGCCAAAACATCCATGGTGGGCGCTGGACGAAAAGAAGAAGAAGAGCTCTGAAAAATCCCTGGAAATGCTCCTGTGGCTGGAATGAGGGGGATGCCAGGCCAGGGGGCGCCAGGCAAACGCAAACCTTCCATGGGCCAGTCCGTTCCTGCATCTTGCAGCCGCCACCGCTGGGCCTCGATTAGACCGGCGGCCTTGTTTCCGCATCGGGAGGTGCTGCGGGTCCACGGGTTGGCAATGGCAACTGCCCGGTCCGTCGAGCAAAGCTTCGCTGACAGCAGGACTCCGTTCCAAGTATCCCTGGGCAGCGAGCAGCGGGCAGCGGGCGCAGACTTCCAATTGCCCTGCCCTGGGCTCCTGCTTAACATTGGACTCTTGGGACTCGGAGAGGGGGTGCTGCTTTCGTTCCCGCCTTCGAGTCTTGATTTTCTTTTCTGTGCAACTGTAGCCGCATGTGGCGTCCAATCGCATGTTGCTCTCCTTCCGTTTTCCCCCACCACGTCGAAAAAGGGGGAAGGAGCTTACAGTTACGGAAGCTTCGAGGGAAGCTGGGAGCCAGCCCACGCCGCTCGCTCCCTTGTCACCTCCTGGCGCCCGCTTGGGGAAAGCGCGAAGGTTTAAGGTTATTTTGCATTGCACGAGTCATCGAGCTGATGGCTCAGTGCGCCTCACTGCGCTGTCGATCAGCCCCGGATCAACATCCTGTGTCGATGCTGCTAGGACAAATCTGTCCTCGTGCTGTTATAGGCAGTTGGTTGTAAGCAGTTATGCTCCGTATAAATGTTTAGCATGATTGAGCAGGGTCGGGCTAGAACTGCCCATGCGCACTGTTCTTCACGGCCTGAAGGTCAAGATTGTTTTAAGAATCCTTTCTCCTGCTCCCCCCTATTAGGCTTGCTATTGTTAGCCAGCTGTGATGACTTGGATATATATTTCAATATCGTAGCGGCATAGCGCAAAGGTCTGCATCCCCGTCATCTTGCCCCGTTTGTGATATTATTAGAGCCAGCTGCGGCGGCGATGGCACCAAAAATATGTGAAGGCACAATTATTTACCTGGGCGGCTGCACTGTCGGAATGGAATTGGTATTATATGGAACAAAACATGGAGCTACCGCCATGTTTGCCTGGGCTGGGCCATGCAGCTATACGCAGAATACGCACCTACAGCGCGGACAAGCAACGTGACCAGGGTTGGCGGCCGGTGGAATTCCTTGCTGGTGCGTGTCTTTGATGTTTCCAGTTTCAAGTCCGTCGACCTTTGCCAAGGATGTCAAAGTTCCCCCCCCCCCCGGCGGGTGCCGAACTCGCCGGCTCGACCGTCGTTGGCTGTCGTCGAATGGCTTCGTGGGGCGGCCCACCGGCCCACTCGCGCTCGGCGGGGGATGACTGCTTGGTAAGGGGAGAGAGGGGTGACAAAGTGTTTGAAACGCGCCAGCTTTAAAATGAATGGCCGACCCCAGGATCAAGCCACAACCGCGTCACCCCTTCTTCTGACGTTACGTTCAGCGCCCAACACAGCAAACAAAAGGAGGAACATAGGCAGAGGAAGCAAGCGGGGGTTGGAATTTTCGCCGCCCCGCCATTCCGTTTTGGCGCCAAGAGTTTTGCGAACTTTGAGTTGCCGAGGAACCGTTATAATTTCGTCGGTGTTCGAGGGACAGACAACATGCGGTGAATTTTGGCCTCCGCGGGGATCAGTGCAGCGGGAACACGCCTCGTGGCTGCCTATGCTTTTCGTCGGCTCCTTTTTTTTTTCTTTTTTCGATAGGGGGTTTCTCAAGCTGGCAAATCAGCCGAGTCATAAGCTTAGGAATTTGAGAATAGATGTCTGCCCTTGCTTAGAGGTTACTCCAAACTTCTGAAGTTTGCATGATTCCTGTGAGAAAGAACAAGGCCTCAGGCTTGCGTCCATTTCCATCCAAACTTGACGAGGCAACCACGCGCGCGGTTCAGATTGGCGGGGTTTGCGTTTGCCCCTCTCCTTCCCCCACCGAAAAAGGGTGGCCGTTGCTTGGCGGTGGCGGTGACGAGCAGCCCAGGGCAGGCACGCTCGTAACCGGGAAGACTTAAGGTTTTTCTTTTCGTCCAATGTTTTTCGGGGGCAGGGGAATGCAGATGACAGCACCTTGCCGTTTCAAAAAGGTGGGAAATGGAAAGCTGGGAAGCGGGTGATGGACAGACGTGCATCCCGTCCCCCTGTCTCACTGACGACCCAAGTTATGCTGCAACCCGGAACCTTTGCGGCCAACGTCCCGGCTTCTGCCAATCTGCTTGTTCCGTTCCTGCTATAGAAGCCGCGACAGACGAAGGGACTTTAATCTCTTTAAGCTCTTGATCCCGCTAACTCGCCCTCGTTGCAACTTTGCTAGGGCCGCTAGGATCGCCAGGATTATCAAGGACTCGGAGTCTTCCCTACTGGTGGGTTATTCACTGGAATGGGAGGCAAACATGTTGTTCCGTCGCCAGGATGGTGATTCCGCACTCGTTTAATCCCAACAACAACACCACACAGACCTGAAGTCATGGGTGCGGCCCACTTGAGCACAAGGAATCCAAAGGGAAACCCCCAAAAACAGAACAGGCGCCGCCACTTGTGCCAGAGACTCGGTGGCGCTCCGTGTTCGGGTCGACTGATTGACCAGAGCCATCCATCTGTTGACGCTCCCGAGCTTGCCGCTCACAGGCTGGCCAAGACTTGGGGCCGAGAGGGAAAGAGATCACAAAAGGTCTCGGCCGGCGGGTTTCAGGCAGTGGCATCTCTTGGGTAGTGATATTACGTAGACCACCTCCACTAAATAGCCAGTGGGAAACGCTGCTCTGGAGCCTGGCGTTTAGTTGCTTCTCAACGACAGCCATCTCAAAGCCGTCTACTCTGCGCCCTCGGTAGGAACATGCATCTGCGCTCTGGGCCTGGATATTCCGTAGGCATAGAGCTGGAACCCGACGATAAGCAGCTACCCGCCAGATTCTCTTTTTATCTGCTTTATTATCAAGCACAGGCAATGGAGGTCCGGAACGGCGTTTGTATCCAATGGTTGCCTGCCGCCCGCACGTTACACAGCTCTCTGTGCTGTCATCATCTGCCGCCCATTCAGGGGCTGCTCTCCTATCTTTGCTCTGGGCGTATCTGCCCGAGCTACAGCAGCCCCCGCTTCCAGCCACAAAGGAGAAGCCAAAGCCAAAAACTTTGCAGTGTCTTGATACTTGTAGCGTCCTGTGCAGTCCCTTTTCCTTCGCAGAAAGCTGCAGTAGCAAGGACGCCAAAAAGAAGGGAACCATTCTTTTTAATACATACGCTATCACCGTCATCTCGGGCCCGACAGCTTAGCCTGTTTGTTTAAGACTTGGCCGAACTGAAACTACCCTGCCTGACAAACAAGAAAAACATGGGCTGCTCGGAGATGAGATTGTGGCGAGCGGGGGAGGAGAGGAAGGAGAGGAGGCAGGAAACGGTGCGAGACTGACGTGTTCCTGGCCAACTCGCCGACTGCCCCCGTTCATTCTCCTGTCTTATTTTCCATGCTGGGTGCATCGAGGCCGACGACGTGTTGAATTCTCATGCCTCGGTAGGCGGGTGGCTGCATGAGCCCTACTCTTTTTAATTCTCAGCCCCAGCCCAAGCAAGGAGTCCCCCCCGCGGTCCCGAGTATGCTGCGGGCGTTGGACAAAAAAGCCTCGTCGGGATAGAGAAAAGCAGCGTTACAATCCGAAAAGGAGTACTGGCTCGTTGCTTCACACACCCAGACATGCCATTTTCGTTGTCTCTGGAATCTTGCAACTTGTATCTTGGCTACGCACATAAGGATGCCGGCACCGGTCTTGGGGCGGCAATTTTTCTGGACAATCAGGGTGTGAGTCCGTCTTTCGAGACCTCAGAAGAGGAAAAATGGGGAAACACCAAAGACTAGCAACTCCGCGATGCTCCTGCGGGTTGTGGTTGATAAACAATGAGGGCAGAGCAAGACAAGGAATCTCCTTACCACCGACAGCCCATTCGCCCAACCTGCAACCGGTGATACTGACGGCTGGGCAGTATTGTCGCCCTGCTCGATAGTCTCCCACCTCGACCTGTGCCGGCTCAAGACTATGATTTAACATGACTGTCCCGGAAGCCAGACCCAACATCAACGTCTTAGGCAACTAGACACACAAGATAACCAAGGTAACAATAGGCACCAAAACAGCTCGGTTGCGCGGCTAGCCGCATGTTTAAAGAGTAAAGACAACCCACCTTGTAGGCTTACTTGTCTCTCATATCGTACAAGAGAGATATACGTACACCCCCCAGCCCTGCTACCGCACGCAGTGGGCGGTGCCTGCCTACCATAATAAAGTACCACCTTGCAAACCAACCACTATCAGACCTTCTGCAGCACTTGGATGCTACCAGAATTGAAGGGTCGGAATGTGTCGAGACGGACGGACGGACGGGCAGGTGCTTCCGGCTCTGACTTTCCCTTTTTTTTCTTGGTCAGAGGAACTGATAGCTTACCACTCGCTCGGCGCATTCCCTGCTGTTCTTGCGGTAGCGTCTCGGTGGCAGCCAGCAAGAAGAGACGAGCGAGCGAGCAAATATCTGGTCTTGTCTTTCCTCCGCACATCGTTCCGAGCCCAGCTCGCAGGGGACGCGTCATGTTCATGTTTTCGTCCGTGGTTGCAACATTGCCGATCCTGCATATTCTGCGTGAATAAGGAGAGTGAGTGAGTGGGCGGGTGTTGGAAAAGTGAAGAATTGAGGAGTGGGAGGAAGGGGGCTGGGAGGAAGGGGGGGAAGGGGGCGAGGAGGGGGAGAAAAGAAAGATAGGCGCAGCAGAAATGATAATGAAACACTAGGAAGAAACCCAGAGAAGAGATAGATAAATTGTAGCTGAGGCAGTTAAAAAGAAAAGGAAGATTAAAGACCGTGCTGATATAATGTGTCTTGTCTACATCGGGAGACGTAGAAAATGGAAACAGATTCATCAGCGTCAGTGGTTTAGTGGTAAAATCCATCGTTGCCATCGATGGGCCCCGCGTTCGATTCGCGGCTGACGCAAAACTTTGCTTTTTTCCTTTTCTCATTTTTATTTTGGTAATGAATCCAACTGTGGAAGTCGCTACTCGTTGAGTAGTTAGACGAAAAGAAAACAATGTGGCAGTCTATGTAGCTAACACTTGGAGAGATCGGAATCTCCGCTCGTCTGTGGCCAAAATAAAAAAAAATGCTATTTACATAACTAACTAACTAACCATGGGCACATTCTTGATATTTAGAGAAAATCAACACAGTAACAAGCTCGGAGATGAACAAAATATGTCACCTACCTTCCATCCACAATGCCTTGTTATTATCCTTGTTTTCTCCTTGTGTCATTCCAAGGCGGCCCCAACTGAGTACCTACCTAGGTGAAAGGATTTCCGCTGCAAACGCCCCCTGAGAAGATGCAATTTGTTAAGGGAACGAACAACTAATTATTCATCAGCCTGCGATCTAGAGCCTCTGTTGTAACTTTCTAAATAGGTAGGTAGGTTAGCAGATATATGCATCCCCGCCCACCTCCCTCCCCTGGCGCCTCAAATAAAACAAACGAAAGAAAAACATTCCGTTACCTACTCCATAATTACACCATAATTATAACAGCAACCAGAAAACAGTTTAACCGACGCCTATCATGTCTGCATACGAAGTGAAGTACCCAGGTAGGTAGGCATCGAGGAAGCATTCTAGTAAAAATATGAAGAAAGTAACCATTATGATGACTCTGTCGGTGCCGTTCAATTGTTTGACATTCTTGTTTACTGCGGCGAATGCCTGTATTCACTCACCTTTAGTGTCTGTGCGTGATGTGGTGATGGGTGTAAGCCATTTCACTTCACGACAAATCCAACTGTGGAAGTTTCTCCTTGAGTAGAGCCTCCTTTAGCAGACGAAATAATACATGAATAAAGCAACGAACGCTATGCTATGCTATGCTATGTCCCCGCCCACACAATACCCAGAACACCAGCACCAAACCCAGCCGCAGACTTGAAAGCAACACACCAACCGCAACACACCGACCGCAACGCACCGACCGCAACACACCGACCACACCGCACCCCACCATGCCATGCCATGCTCTGTTTTGTAGAACACCTATAACAATACATACATATTAATCTCAAACATGCATGTATCCCCATCCCAACCCATCCCGTCCCTTATCCACCCCGTTCCGTAGCCCCTGCCCAGCCCAGAGTCTAGAAAAAGTCCCACCATGAACGCCCACCCACCCCGAAATCTAAAAAAAAAAGAAAAGAAATAAAAAAGAGCTCGTGAATAGAAATAAGCACCGGAACAAAAACATCACCCCCCAAGCCGCATGTACCGATCCGTGACAGCCTTGGCGCCGAGCAGGTCGCCGAGCAGGAAGCAGATGGTGCGGACGTTGTACGCGGCCTCAAAAGTAAGATCCTCGTTGCCGACGGCCTTCCCCTCTTCTTCTTCTTCTCCCTCAGGATCCTCCTCGTCAGCGACGTCGAGGACCTTCTTGTAGTACTCCAGCGCGAGGTTGGACAGGCCGACGAGGGAGTACGCGCGGGCCATGTTGAAGTGGGCCTCCATGCGCTGGCCCTTCGAGATGTTGTTTCCACCGCGGAGGCGGTCGTCGTAGTAGCGGAACAGGAACGCGAAGCCCTGCGTCAGGAGGTACTGGCGGTTGGTGGCCTGGCGCTTGAGGGCGTAGTGGGCGTAGGCGAGGCCGATGCTGAGGTTGATGAGGCAGTTGTGGGGGTCGAGGGAGGCGGCGCGCGCGAAGTAGGACAGCGCGTACGTGTAGCTGGTGGTGGAGAAGAGGATGTGGCCGTAGATGGTCAGCAGGCAGACGTCGAGGCCGATGTCGCTGCTGCTGCCGCTAGCACCAGTACCGGTACCAGCCTCTTCGGGGGGCTGCTGCTGCTGCTGCTCCTTGCTCTTGACAATAATGTTATCCATAGTCTTGATCTGGCGCAGGATGAACTTTTGCGCGGGGCCCGACGTGTACCACGACACGGGGGTCTGGCACACGCGGCACATGGCGGTGAACATGCGGTACGAGTCGGTACCGGGCATGTAGTCGCGCATGAAGTAGCGGGCGATGGCCACGCACGTCTCCTCGTCGCCCGCGTAGACGGCGCACGACGCCCACGCCACGTGGATCAGGAACGTGTTCTCGGTCGACATCCACACCACCGAGTCGCGCGCTGCGTGGCACACGACGTACGCCTCGCGGTGCTGGCCCGCCCGCACTAGGCTGAAGGCGTAGTCGAGGAAGATGTCGAGCCACTTGTCGAACGCGATGCCGCGGTGCTCCTGCGGGATCTTGATGGCTAGCTGCCCTGCTGCTGCTGCTGCTGCTGCTGCTGCTGCTGCTCCCGCTGCGGCAGCGTCTTCTTCCTGCTGCTGTCCCTGCCCGCCGCCGCCCTCGGCAGGCGCGAGGTTCTGCTGCAGCCGCTCGGCCATGGCGGCGAGCTTCATGTTGCGCGACGGCACGGCCGACTGGCCGCCCGGCACGTTGGCGCCGTAGCCGAGGTACTTGATGTACTTCTCCCACGGGTAGAAGCGCTTGTAGGAGCGGAAGTCGTCGACGAGGTCCTTTGCCGCCTTCATCCAGACCGTCGTGGCCAGCTCGTCGCCTGCCACGACGCGGCCCTTGAGCTCCTGCAGCGCCTGCAGGTTCTTGGCCGCCTCCTTGGTCATCTCGAGGTCCTGCTGCTTTCGCTTCTCGGCGTTGATGAGCCGGCGCGGCACGTACTTTGACTTTTTTGGCGCATTGGGATCCCTGGGCTTCTTCTCGCGCTTCGCCCGCGGCTTGCGCGGTCTCGTGAGCGGGCCACGGCGCCTGCGCGGCTTGGACGGGGCCCCGTCGCCTCCCTGGCGGGCCTCGAGGTTCATCGCCTCCCTGACCAGCAGGAAGGCCTCCTCGCGGCCCTCCTGCTCCTGCTCGCCCTCGTACATGTTGGCCAGCTGCACGCGCGCCTCGATGTTGTCCTCGTCCTCCTCCATGGCGGCGATGAAGCACTCCTCGGCGGCCGCCTTGTCGCCGAGCGCCATGTGGCAGCGGCCCTGGCCGACGAGCACGTCGGCGTCGACGGCAATGTCGCCGCCGCTCGAGGCGGCTATGCGGCGGTAGAGGTTGAAGTAGAGCAGGGCCTCGTTAGCCTTGTCGCAGGCCTCGAGGAGGGAGGTGCCGATCTCCTTGAGGCAGTCGGGAAAGTCGATGAAGTCGTCGACGGCCGTCTCGCCGGCGGGTTCGAGCAGGCGGAGATGCATGAGGGCCTCGTACTCGTGGCCCAGCTTGCGGCGGTAGACGAACAGCTTGGCGCGCAGGTCCTTGGGCAGGCCCTGGCCGTAGCTGTCCTGGGGGAAGCGGGCGGGCTCAAACTTGGGCACCTCGATGCGGCGGTCGTCGTGCAGGTCCCACTCGCGGTCGTCGGTGGCCCACTCGTTCCAGTACTTCTCGAAGCGGCGGCCGAGGAGCCAGCGTGAGATCTCCTTGAGCTCCTGGGCGCCCTGCTGCCACTGCTCGAGGATGGTGAAGAACTCGAGATAGATGCGCAGGTCGGACCACTCGAAGCGGCCCTCCTCGGCGTCGAAGGTGCCGGTGGCCTGCAGGTGGTCGATGACGTGGCGGTAGGCCTTCTTGGCGATCTCGCAGCTCTTGCGGGGGTCCTTGGCGTCGAGGGCGACGTCGGCGATGTTGCGGACGGTGCGGATGTTGAGGGGCCGGTACTCGAGGGCGCGCTGGTACTGGACGAGGGCCATATAAGCGTGGCCCTGCATCATGAGGGCGTCGGCCTTGCCGGTGCGGGCCTCGATGTTGGAGCGGTCCGTCCCGAGGACGCGCGAGTAGCAGAAGATGGCGCGCTGCAGGGCCGTGTCCTTTTCGGGGCCGTCGTCCATGTCCTCGATGCCGTGCAGGGCGTACAGGGCGGTGCTGATCCAGTAGGGCACGTTCTTGGGCACGAGGTGGGCGGCCGTCATGAGGCACATGGTGGCCTTTTCGCGGTCGCCCAGCTCCTCGTGGATGGTGGACAGCAGCGTCCAGGCGTTGTATGTCTCGCTGTTGATGCGGATGATCTCGCCCAGCATGTTGACGGCCGCCGGGTACTCCTTGCGCTCGAAGGCGGCCTTAGCCAGCGACAGGCGGAAGAGGATGTCGGGCGTTGGCTTGGCCGCCTTTCTCGGCCCCAGCCTCCGGATCTTGCGGGCGGCCAGGCGCGCACCGAGGGGTTTGCCGGAGCCGGAGCCGGAGCCGGGGCCAGAGCCGGGGCCGGTACCCGTGGCAGAGCCAGAGCCGGAGGGGGCGCTTGGGGGCTGTGCCAGTAGTTTCTGGGCTGATACTGATACCGACGGATTATTAGCGGTCGTGGTCGTGGTCGTGGTCGTGGTGTCGGCGCGCTGCTGGGCGACAAAGGCCTCGCGCTGCATGTCGAACCTAGCGCAGTCGGCGCGCACCTCGAGCGCGTCCGAGTCGGAGTCCGAGATCTCGCTGGCGTCATCGTAGTATCTGTCGCCGTCGTCGTCGCCGCCGCCGCTAAACGTGGCCACGGCAGGATCTAGGTCCATGTAATCATGATTGTGCCCCGGGGCGGCATCTGCCATGTCGAAATCCATCGTCAACGGCAAAAGGCTGTAGTCATCAATAATGCAGTCCTGTCCCGTCAACGTCTTTTCTTTTTGGTGGTGGTGGTGATGTTGCACTCGGTATTTGGCCGCCCTCCGCCAGTTGATGCTGTATTGTATGTACTGTACAGCACGGATATGATGGTGTCTCGCAAGGCGCACGCAACTATTCCATACCGCAATCCGATTTCAGACGGCCGCGGGCTTTTAAAAGCAGGCAGGCTCAATTCTGAGGCGTTGCAAAAATGGCCGCAGGACTGCAGCCCAAGCAAGGCCCCAGTCAAAATTGCGTCGTGTGGTTCTAGACTTTGACCAATACGGAGTAGACCTTGCAGCAATTGAACTGGTCACTAGGTCGCAGACTGTTGGGAGCTCCAACGAGCGTTGCTGTTCAAACGTCCAAAGTTTTTTTGAGATGACATAAAAGTTGAGCTTCGACATCAAGGTTCCCGGCTTCCCGTCTCCACAAAAGACGGCTGGCCCAACGGTTACCTCAATAAAGTACAGTACATGCAGGACATGGACCACATTCTATCCGAAAACCAATACAAATTTTCTATAAACAAAGACCAAACGTGGTCAATGAGCCAAAGAAACGCCGTCTTAACCTTCAAAAATGCCATGGCCCGGGTCCAACCAGACCTAGCCCGTTTCTCTGTTCCTGAAATGTGCTCGGTGCTCCGTGCCGCCGGGCTTCTCTACATGACAAACACCCAGGACCACAAAATCACCCAAGACCTTATCCATGTTCAGAATGTCCAGAATACATCGAGACTACACCTCTTCTCCCCTCGCCCACCCCAGAGGATTGCAGGTATATAAACGCTGCCTTCATTGTCTGTGTGCGTAAATATGTAGACTTGCTGCCCCCGCTTCGCTCCCTTGTATGTACTTTTCAAATCGCTCATGTCCGCTCCGTCCTATGCAGCAAGATATCGAGAGGGTGCAAAAACGCTAGCCTAGCCAGTGAGGCCCAGCTCCCTGATAATTCCCCATCGACTCTCTCCCGGCATGTTGACCATGCCTGTCAATGTAGATTGCTAAGATAGTTACTTTTTCCCACCTATTTCCCAAAACCAAAGCTCCCAGGACCCGAACAAGAGCCTTTTATCAAAGTCGCTCCCAGCTATGCCTGTCCCGTAGCGCCACGTCCCTAGTGTGGCATGTCGCAGCGCAAAGGGGTATCGTTTAGGAGTATCGTTTAGATGATGTACTGTGACTTCTAGGCCAGCTTACCCACGTCCCGAGCCTCTGCCAAAACCAGACACGTTAGCACTTCGAACCTGTTCCGCGGAAGAGATATTCACGCTGCAAACTCACCCTTAACCTGTTCAAAGACCTTCAACATCTTGCGTCTCGCGCCCAGGGCGTTGACCCCGCGGTCCTCCAGCTGCTTGTCATCCAACTCGATGAGGTCCATCCACTTCATGTCTTTCAGATTGTCCGTGTACTTGTGCAGACGGAGACTGCGCAGCCAACTCGGGATGTCCTGCAACAGAGTCGGGTCTGTCGGATCCTCAGGCGGCTTCGAGCTGCCCCTCCGACCACGCGGAGATCGGCCCCGCGTCATGTCCGAGTGGTCCGAGAGATATCCCTCGTGGCCCCCGAGGCCAAACTGAGCCAAATTCACTGGAGCCAGTCCATTATTCAGCAGCTGGGGTCCGCCGTCGTACGCACTCAGAAAGCCGTTAGTCTGAGGAGACGTGAACGGGAAAGCCGCCTGCCCGTAGCTATGCATCGACATTCCCGGCGAGCTGGGCCGCGACCGGTGGTTGGAAAACCCCATGCTCTGCTGCTGCAGAGCTATCATATGGTCCCGGTTCAAAATCTGCCCGTGCTCGTTGATCATGACAACGCCTTGCGGAAGACCCTGGGCGCCAGGTGATAGCGGATTCTGGCCCTGGCCGGGAGCATCGTTGGAGCGAGCGCGTCGGTACTTTCGCACGTCGTCCAGGGCGAATCGGTTGTTGACCGTCGACAGGGCGGCGAGCTTCATGGCCGTAGCATTCGCAACCATATCCGCGTTATTACCCTGGTTCTGGTTGAACGTCGGCACCATGGGCGTGTTCACCATCGACGACCAGTTTCCGCCCGAAGGCCCATAGGGAGACAGAAGGGGCATATCGGACACCGTCTGATCAGTCGTCAACGTCGTGTTCTGTATGTTTGAGTTGCCCGAGATTTGGTGACGCGGCGATCGCAGCGCACCAGCCGACGGCGGTGGCTGCACAAACTGGCCCATGGGAGGCTGGCCCGAAGACGACTTGGGACGCGACACGTCAGCCGGCCCCCATGACAGGGCCGGGCTCTGGATGCTAGAGTCGTCCTTCGGTGCGCTTATCGCCGGAGCCAGGGAGACCATAGAGCCCCTGTTATCTATCAAGCTATTCCGGGTCGACGTGGGAGGGTTGCCAGTTTGCTGAGTAAACTTGGCCTTCTCCGTCGCAATGGCCGCCGCTGCATCTGGGAACATGGCATTAATCGTCGATGTGTCGAGGCCCGAGTGGCGCTTGACGCTCAGGCCAGGGCTCGGGCGGGCGAGGGAGTTGCGAGCCGAGTCGTTGACGTTGAGCTTGGTCATAGCATCATTCAGACGATTCGTCATGGGATCTGAGAGGGTGTCAGCCACATTAGTCTCTGTATCTTTCCTTTATCTCCTTGGGAGGGGGGGAGGGAAGGCCAGGTTAACCAACCCTTGTCAAAGTTGGCCGGCGACAAAACGCCCGACATTGGGTGGCTCTTGCCCATCTGTTGCAGAACCTGGATAAAGAAGCGAATTTGGACCTGAGTGGTCTGCTGTAGGAGCGCATACAGAGCTGCCGTCCGCTCTGCCTCGCTGAGGACTCGGAACCACTGCTCGATGGCGCTCAGCTCGTCCTTGAAGTCCTGGTCGAGCGTTGCCGCAGCCATCTCCTCCAACGTGGTCTCGTACTGGTCAATGTCGGCGATCCATTGCTGGGCGAGCTTATCCTGGGGGTCGAGGTCGGCGTTCCCCTGGCCGTGGGCGGACTGTACCTGGCCGTAAAAGTCGGAGGACGGGCGGATGCGGCTCGAGGCACCCTGGCCCGTGAGGACGCCCATGTCGGCAGAGGCACGCAGGCCCTGGCCGACGCCGACGGCGCGGGACGAAGGGGGCCTCAGCGACGAGATGTTGCCCACCTCGGGGGTGCTGTTACGATTGCTCATAATGTTGGACATGTTGAGCATGGCCGTGGGCCAGAAGGGACAGTCGGGGTCGAGTAGCTGGCTAAGTCGCAGACGTCTTCCAGCGGGAGCTGAGAAAAAAGAACGAGGCGCTCGAGGGCCAAGATTGCCGGGCGCCTGGTGCCGGGGCAAAGATGAAACAGGGCACGCGGCTGTTCGAAGGTTAGCTGATGCCGAGGCGATCTGTGGTCCGTGGCACGCATGCGCGTCCTGTGTTTCGCGACCTTTTTTAAGGACTCGATATTATGCCGACACAAAGGAAGGCAGATGGAAGGGGAAAGGAAGGCAAAAAGGAGCTATAAACCGGGCTATCAAACGTACTTCCAGTGCAGAGCAGACAATACGAGATGTGTACGAAATTATACGGTCTGGGTTATTATTGTAGAAATAGGTATTTCCTTTTATCGTTTTTTTTCTTTCTTCTTCCTTATTCCTGTATGGTCAAGGCTTTCGAAGCCGGACGCAGGAAGAGGCGATGAAAAAGGGCGCGAGGTTTTCGAAAACTCCTGCAGTAACCGGCTGGCCTCAAAGGAGAGAGAGAGAGAGTCGAAAAGGGTCGCGATTAGATGTGTCAGCGAGCACGAGCTTCTGTGGTAAAAGGGAAAAAAGGATTCCGAGTCAGCAAATAAAAAGGTTGCAAGCAAGCCTTGTAGGGAGATCAGGTAAGGTAGGGGGGTAGGTAGGTGGAGGGTGCTGTGATGGATGTGATGCACGTCTGCGGGGTGTGTGAATTGAATGCGACGCGCACTCGCTTGAGTGCTGCCGGCCCTGTTGCGTGCGTGCTCGCGGTTCCCAGTTACAAGTGATGCGGTGCGGTGCGGTGCGGTGCGGCCTCCGTGCAACCCAAATCGCCGAAAGAGCGCGAGGGTTGAAACTAGAGAAACACAAAGCCGCAGCAAAAGCCGCAGTAAAAGCCGCTGAATGTAAGAACGGGGTCGCAGCAGCAGCGGCGGCAGCAGTCCAGACACCCGACGCAAGACGCACAACCACGAGGAAACGAGACCCCGAAAGGCAACCCAAAGGAGAACAAAAGAGACTCGACCCCCCGCCCCGCACAACTCTCGGCAAGGGCCGCCTCGAAAATCAACCTCCAGCTCCAACAACGGTTTTGCGAACAAAGGATGGAGTAAGGCGGTAGGTTTCTTCCCATTGGCAACGGCGGCAGGCCCCAGCGCGAAAAAAGTCGGGAACGGACGGGGAGAATAGGTAGAGCCTCGCGGGAGGTATCGATCGACGGCGGACTGTTGGAGATGACCCACCCATTAAATAAGCAGCAAATTTGGCGGCCGCCCTCTTGGGTCTCAAAAAATCCGAAAAAGCTGAAGTGAACGAGGTTCAAAGACGGGAACGGGAGATATGAGAGATGCGATGTGATGCGATGCGCGCGCTCTCTCTCCAACCTGAACCAGCAGCGATGATGGGTTCTCGCTGAAGGAACGACGACGTCGACACGGCAGGCAGGCAGCACAGGTCGGAAAGGGGGGGGGGAGGCAAGGAAGGCGGTCGGTCGGTCGGGTTGGAGAAGGGCCCAAGAATGGATTAAAAAGGCACGGCGGTGGTCGCAAGCTGAACTTAACAGCTGGAGACCCAAGTAGGTCTCTTCTAGTGGGCTATCGAAGCGGGCCCGGAGTTTGTTCTAACGGGGGCCCGAAATCAGTGTGTGGAAAAAGGAGGCCAGGCTGCACAGGCAGCGCTAATCACTTCGGTCGGATCTGGTGAAGTGTGACTGCCCTGGAGGTGCGGGTGGGCGGCTGGGCTACTGGACTGGGCTGGCTTCCTTGCTGGAGGGAGGGGAGGGGGCCCCAGAGTGCGCCCAACGGTTTCGCCTTGTATCTTCGGGCGACCACGTTGGGAAACACCAGCAAATCCACCAACGTTACACGGCGGCGTCCCATACACGCATTTATTTACTGAGGCCGCCCCATATCTAGGCCATTACTCAGGACCACAGCCGAGGAGGTGTCGGAGATTTCCATAATAGTGTATATCGTATAAAGGGTATAAGCTTGCCCTTAGCCCCCTTCATCCAAGGCAAAGGTTCTAGCGCCCGACTTGACCTTAGCAGCAAAGTCGTGACACGATCGACCAGAGATTTAAGGGCCCCCGGGCATTGTACCTCGCTTAAACTAAGTGGCTTGTCTTGGTATTCTTCATTGTCGACAAAAAAAACCCGTGGATTAACAGCCGACCTTGAGTGAGCCTAGGAAGGTGAGCCGAGCCTCCCTGCTAGAAACACTCTGCCGCCCCTGATGACGGGCCCTCCTTTGGGGCGGTCGCGAAACAGAGGCGCGGCTCGCTGGTCTGAAGCAACAACAGCACTTTTAGTGGGGTCATCCTCCAGACCCCGCCAGGCGGGGGTGGCACAATTCTCACTAACAGGACTCATGAGACCCTTGATGCATCCCCGAGCGAATCCTTTTGCTCTACTGTTTATCGCGGCATCGGGCCCTCGGCCCTGGGGAAGCACATATCAGACTTTGCTCAAACCGCATTGGATTAGCAATATAAAGGACAGCAGAAAGTGCGTATTGATGAGCAGATATTTAGCAAAGCATCCCCGCTTTCTGCGCCTCTCACCACTGGCCAGAGCGTGGGTCAGTCTGACAACTTGCAATTGATGGGAAACGGGTTGGGCTACTAACCTACCCAGCACACACAGAACAGCCGACGATCGGATGTAGTAACCGTCGTTTAAGACGGCCCTCACCTGGGTCTTGAGATTAGACGCCACCTAGCCACCGGCAACGTTAGAGTATAAGCCAGGAAATAAGAGAACATTAGGTATGTATCAAATTGCTCTAGGAAAGTAAAAGCCCACGCCCACGCCCACGCCAAACTCCCACGCCCCCGTCCATACAAAGACAGATAAATCCTCGGTGGAAATGTTGCCCGGCTTTCATGCACCAATTGATCTTTGGAGGTATAAAGATAAAGGTGTTTGGTAATAGCAAGGCTAGTTTTTTCTTGGCACGAAGAATTATTCCTTCAACAACTGAGCTTGGGAAAGAGCTTGATGTTGTACACACAAATGCCGTCTTCTGGTTCTGAAAATTCTGGGTGAGGGAGCTGGGGAGGCAGCGGGAGAAGTGCCAGGAAGTGATGAGGGCTTTGAAGGGATGAAATGGAGGTCTGGAAGGGGGGAGGGGGCCAAAGGCGATGCGAGGCTATCGCGCGCATCATTCACGTAATGGTCTGGCACAAGGAACCTTCTTTTGCGTTGTCTTTCCGCAGCCGAGAGAAATGCACGCTGGTAAGTCGGCCCCTCGCAGGAGGCAATGCATTCCGTTGGATGACGCCTTAAATAACACCTCGAAAAGCCAGCCCACAGACGGTGCGTGCAGTCGCATCAACCGCGGATTCCTTCGTAAAAGGTCATGTTCAGTGGCTACCCAGCCTGTAAGCAGACCACATTTATGCCGTCTCTCTCTTGCCCTCCTTGAACTCCTTCTGCAAGAATGGGTTAGCCGATTTGATCTCGTTGCGGTGGGGGGTTGTCCGCGCTGGGTTCGGTCGCGGCGTACCAGTGCCTTAGCGGTTCCGTGGAGCGCATGTCTGTGGTTTCTCCGGAACTTGGGGTCTGTTCCGTTGAGAGAAGGGTATCTCGAGGTCTTGGGCTTCTTGATACTGTAGCGCCGTCTGTCAGCGCCTCGATCGAAGAGCAGTGCCAATAGAGGCACTCAGGGACCGTCGTACCCGTTCCGGTGCGCCTTCTTCGCCTGGTTGTGCTGGGACGAGTTCTTGGACTCTGCCGAAATGTCAATTATTGGAACCGGTGAATATCCTAGCAGGAATAGAGCGACATACTGGCCATTGTGAGAAGATGTGCGGCTTCAAATGAAGTCGATGTCCGGTCTGCAAAGCTGGGTGTGAGGTTTTGGCAATGGATTTTATTGCTTGTGCACAAAGGTGGAGGAAATTTCCGGAGCCCTAATTCGGGGGATGTGGCTGCGACGGTCGGTTGGGAGTGGCTCAACTGTGCCGCAAGTGATCTTTTGTGGGGCTGTTGGTTATTGGGCTTGGCCCTTGCAATTGGCACTGGGCATCTGATGTCACCATCCTGGCATCCCCTCCACAAGCCGGCCGGCCGACCGACCAGGCTGCTGATCAGGGCCGCTGAGGAAGCGCGGTCAAGAACTGTAATTCAATTCTTATTTCGTCATTTGAGGCAGATTATACAGCTGACTTCAGTTGCATTCTCTAATTATGCATAATGACTCTCAGATTTATATTCTTTAATTCTACATACAGGAATCCAATGAGACTCGCCATAGTAAAACACAATCGCAGCAATACTGAGAACATCGCACCATGCGCAGCTCTAACCACCTACCTTAGCTTAGCTGTTATCCCAACTCAAGCTCTGGCTTCATATGGCGATAACTCTTGGCGATGGATTATATCATGGTTCTATCATTTGCTTGTCAGAGGCACCACAATCTTCACTGCCGCTGCTGTGGTCGCCGCCCTCGTGAGCTGCCGCGACCGAATGGTCTGAAGATAGCGGATAAAGAGGACGAAATAAAGCTCGACCCTGGTGTGATGGTGTTAGTTACGGGGTTTATAGGCATTTAACATGTCGCCAAAACATACCTCTCCTTGGTCATCATTAGGATGCCCTGAACTAACAGCCCCTTCAAGAGCTGTGGCCCGATGCCCTTGAAGAGGCTAAGAGCGCCTTCGTTCTCGACGATGAACCGCATCACCTCGACGAAGCTCTTAAAAGGCTTGCCTTGCCGGACTGCCGGCGGTCTGGACTGCAAGCCTACCTTGGCCACGATCAAGGGCTGTGTGACGATGGTGGCTAGTGACTTGGACATTGCGCCGAGAACTTGCGAAATATGTCAGCGTCCACATCAGAGCCCATGATAGAAACCAGCCTTACCGAATGCCTCCCACGGTCTCAAGCTCGTCTTCCCTGGAAATATGACGCTCTTTAACCTTTCATAGGCGCCGTATGTGATAGCCGGGTTAACAACCAAAACCAAGCTCGCCTTGAGTCCTCTCCAGAGTCCGGACACGCCATCCTCGCCCTCAATGACCTCACGGGCTGTGTCGAAGATGCCCTTCCTGTCTTCCTTCTTTTGCGTCTGTTGCCGAGTTGTGATGACGGCAACCGGTATTGTGAAGAGCTGAGCAAGCGCGCCAGCGAGAGCACCCAGTGATAGCTCAACGACTGTCCCCGGATTGCCCTGCGCCTTGTTGTGCTTGATATACAGCGCGCGGACAACCGAGTACCAGTAGAAGTAGGCGAAATTCGTTGACGCGACGCCTATCAGCGCGCCGCTCATGCCGCCATAAAGGCCCGAAATGCCCTCGTCGGCGGCAATCCTACTCACGGCGTCCCATGTGGACGAGTAGTGCGGCTCGTCGGAAGCTGCCTTGGATGGGTCGGTCTGCTTCACTTGGACCTGTAGCTTCGTCTTTACGCTGCGCCGGGAAGAAACAAGTAAGCACGGGAAAGCTGCGGACGGGCAGACGGCAGCATCACGTACAGATCCAGCGGGTAAACCAAGGCATTGGCGAAGACTGCACCAGCAGCGCCTGCTGTTGCGCGACCCCAAGGCCCAATCGGGGTCGGTTTTGACTGAACTCCCATGACACTACACTTGACGCCCCGTATAGGACGTGTCGACAAGATGGGCGCGGCTCTGGGAATGGGGGACCACGAGCGCTCTTGGGGATGGAGTCGTGCGTATACGTCGTACCACGGCCGGCTAAAGTCCCCACTGATGACGCCAACACAGGATGCAGCCGTTTTTTTTTTTTGGCGGCGCAGTAACAATAGTCAGGACTCAGATGAGTGCCTATCGTCGGATAAGACGTGAAAACAAATGTCCGGGAACAATTGCATGCATGGGATGGATACGTGATACAGCAAAGAGGCGTCAGCTAGACACCTTAGGTAGGTAGGTAGGTAGGTAGGGAGTTGGGCAGCCAAATCGAGTTTAAGACCGATATGAACAAACACGGGCTTGGAGCGTTCGGCGAAAGTGACCGCAGGACAGCAAGTGGTGATAACCGGAAACGTTAACCTCGGCTGCGAGTTCGGGAATGCGCGTGCGCCGAGGGCCCTGCGTACGGCAAATACAGTGGCGTCCAATGCCCCGCATCCCATCGATCGCCTGGGGCAATCGCCAAGTCGCCATTGTCGGAAGACTGCTGAAAGGGTGACCCAGTGGGGTTGTTACAGGGACAGGCCCGACTGAATCGCCGCAGTGGCTGCCGTGGGGCACAGCAGCGAGAATGGACCGTTGGCCGGCATGGCGAGCCCGTGTCAAGGATCTGGGGTCCGGACTTTTGCGTCATGGGAAATCAACGTCGGACGTCTTTACCTCCTTACTAATGTTAGATTTTGGGAGGAATCTGAAAAGATGTAGACAACGCGCCCAGAATCATAAGAGTTCTTTCCACCGATGGGCTGTCACCTGAGTTGTTCCTTCCCCAGTACTTCGTGCTCAACAGACTCGGACGGCAGGAATGGGTGGCTCTGCTCCGAACCCCCCCCTTCCATTGGCGGATCCGCACCTCATTCCGGCCCTCGACCTCCACAGCTCAGACGACACACGGCCCTCGCTCGCACTCTCTCAAAAACACGGGCAGCCGAGTCATCAGTTCCTCCTGCCTAGTCTAATGCCAGCCGGGTGCACCTTGCCTCCACCTGTTTACGATGTCTCCGTTGTGAACGGAAGCTGCCGAGGAGCGCAGATGCAGCTCAAGCCTCAACACCACCCCGCGCTGGCTCTTGGGCGTCGACGATAGCTCCTTGATCGTGATTCTCTCCCACTCTACACACTCGTCTATTTCTTCTGCTAGTGTCGCCGTCTCGTCGCACGATTACTAGTCCGGGCCTTGTCTATAGTCCGACCAGTTCAAGCCATACGCCGCTGTGATTTCTTTTTCCACTCGGGTCCCGCCTCTACACCATCTTTTTAATAAGCCATTATCAACTACGCAACGTATTTTTAGGTACCTACCATAGGTAATCGCCAATTAGGACTTGCACCGGCACTTGCAGCTGCAAAAAATTAGAGGGACATGCGGACACGTTGAATACTATGCACGCGACAGAGGTAGCTTCCGTTGACTTGCCATTTGTCCCCGACTGCCCATGGAGGCCAGAGCGCTGGTGAGCAACTCCGCTTGGATGGAAGGCCTAAAGCCCAAGACCCGGGGCCTAAGACCCGAGACCCACAGCAATCGCGGCGCAGAAAACGGCCCTCTAACCCCATTACCAGGAATCTGAGCGCCGCCTGGCTTTGGCCCGCGGCGACGAGGCCCTGAAGCACGCCATCGCCGCCGCCGAGCTGTACATGCAGGCCGCCCGAAAGGCCACGACGAACCCAGACCGTGTCCGTCTGAACCGCAAGTGCAGCGACCTCATCGCCCTGGGCGAGCGGCTTAAGGCCAATGCCGCCGCTGCCGCTGCCACCTCCCGTGTTCCCGTGCCCGAGTCAACACGCCTGCTGCCAGCCGCCGAAAAGGCGATCCTGCTCCGTTCCTCGCGCCTGCATGGCAACATTTTTCCCCCTTGGGAAAAGGCCCCTGATCCGAGCTCCTTCTCGGATGCTGACGCGGATGGGGGCGCCTACATGTTCGTGCAACACCTATGTACACACTGTGCCTTGGCTAACTCCTTTTTCCGTGTCAAAGTGACCCCACCTCCTATTCTCTCTCGGCCGACCAGCAGGCCATCTTCGCCGGCTGGCGGCGCCCGGCCGAGATCGCGGCCGAGACTCAAGGCCGAGCATCCACTGGAGATGCCGCCTCCTTCATATCTGGGGGCTCCGAGATAGATCTGGCCCAGGATCTCGCCACCGACTGCTCTGTCGTGGCTAGCCTGTGTGCTGCCGTTCGCCATTTTGGGCGCAAGAAAGGCTCAGTGAGCAGTGCCCATCACTCAGTGTTAGGTATTCACGAGCTCCGTGCTGATCATGTCGGTGATAGTTGCTGCCCTCGCTCATGTACCCCTATAACCACGAGGCGATGCAACCCGCCGTCTCTGAGAACGGCAAATATGTGTTCCGCATGAACTTCAACGGCTGTTGGCGCCAGGTCGTCATCGACGACCGCCTGCCTGTCTCGTCAACCACACGCACTCTGTACGTTGTCGACCGGCGCAACCCCCGGCTTGCCTGGCCGGCCCTGATTGAGAAGGCGTATCTGAAGATCCGCGGAGGCTACGACTTCCCTGGCAGCAACTCGGGCACAGATCTGCACGCCCTCACCGGCTGGATTCCCGAGCAGATCTTCCTCCAGAGGTATGTGGCCCCCGAACAACTGTCAGGGACGGCCATTCAGGGGTGTTTGCTAACAGACAAGGACCGGCCGGCAGTGACGACATTGAGCTTGACGAGATGTGGAATAGAATCAAACCGGCCTACGACCAAGGCAATGTGATCCTCACCCTCGGGACAGGCAAAATGCTACCCGAAGAGGAGGCAGCGCTCGGCCTAGTCAAGGAGCATGACTACGCGGTCCTTGACCTGAAGATGGATTCGCTCAACCGCCTCTTCCTAGTGAAGAACCCGTGGTACGATAGCCTGGTGTGGACCGGCGTCGGATCATCGGCCATTCTTGATGCGCGCGCGAGAGGGCCGTCGTCGGAAAGCAGGACAAACATGTTCTGGATGACGTTTGAGGACGTGATCCAGCATTTTGACTCTCTGTACGTTAACTGGAATCCGGCTCTGTTCAAGTACCGCCAGGACCACCACTTCACGTGGGAGGTACCGGGGAAGACGGAGGAGCTGGTTTTCACACATAACCCGCAGTATAGCGTGCTGCCGTCATCCGGCCGTCCGGTCTGGGTTCTCCTCAGCCGGCACTGGCAGGATGGCGAGCTTGACATACTGCGCGAGCGCAAGGCGGACAAGGATCGCCACGATAGCTCGCTGGCCAATATGTCGAAGCAGCTGGGCTTTGTGTCGCTTGCTCTCTTTGGAACCACGCCTCCGGGCACCCGTGTTCCCCTCGCTGATGGCTACCGCTGCCTGCACCAGGGCCCGTACGTCGACAGCCCAAACACTCTGTTGCGCTTCGAGCCCACACCGGGCTTGGCGCAGACGCTCGTTGTTGCACAGAGCGAGCTACCTCTACCCAAATACTCCTTTACTCTTTCCTTCTTCTCCGACACCCCCTTGACCGCCTCTCCGGCATCGGAGGTGCTGGAACATCAAACCACTGTCTCGGGAGCCTGGACCTGGCGCACGGCAGGCGGCAGCGCTGCCCACGCCAGCTACCTCTCCAACCCGCAGTTTGCAATTACGCTACCTCAGGCAACCCGACTCTCACTCGTGCTCAGCACCGACGTGCCCGATCTTCCCGTGCACGTTGCTGTGCTCTTCTCGGGTGGCGGCCAGCGCGTCACTGCGGTGGCCGGGAGAGACTTACTAGGGTCCAGCGCGGAATACCAACGGGGCTGCACGTCGGCATCGGTTGCCCGCATCGACGCCGGCACTTACACGGTCGTGGCCAGCACGTTTGAGCCCGGCCAGACGGGAAAGTTCTCCCTCCGCGTCTGCGCCGACGTCCCCGTGGCGCTGAAGCCCGTGCTCGCCGATGCCGCTGGCCGCCTGCGCACGCCCGCACCCACCCTGGCCGTGTTTGACGATGGCCAGCAGCGCCTCCGCGCCCGCGTCAACGTCACCCGCCTCACTCGCGCGGGCATTCTCGCGCGCTCCTCCAATCCCAGCGCGAGCTCTGTCGCCCCCGCAGCCCCCTCGGCGATACGCGTCGCCCTAGAGCTCGGCACCGGGCCCCATCGCAGGGTTCTGGTCGTGTCGGGCGACGGCGAGTTTGCCGACGCGTCGCTGGGGCTGCGCACCAGCGATGTAGACGTCGATCCCGAGACGGCTCGCGCACGAGGCGGGCTCTGGCTCGTCGTCGAGCAAATTGGCGGTACTACCGCCAGCAGCAGTAATAGCAGCACCATTGCCGGCAGCAGCGGCCAGCGCTCAAAAAAGGGTGCCCAGATCGAGGTGCTGAGTGACAGCCCGGTGCATCTAGGCGCCTGGGAGCATGTCGAGGAGGAAGATGATTATTAGATTCAAAAGTCTTTGGCTACATTTGCTACCTAACTGGCTCGACATTTCAAGGTTGGCTGTTCGACAGCCTCTTGCCATCTTTTCTTTCCCATTTCTTTTTAGATATCATGGGGTAGTCAAAGAATCCGCCATGGATTGCAATTCACGTATTAGCCATCTAGGTTTAGAGACATGAGAATTGACTTGATGAAGTTATCCCTTTTTCGAACGTCCCAGAATTGGATAAGCTTTTAGTTCTAATTTCTTTTGTTTAACAAAATGACTTGAAGCTGTTGTTGGTGAGGCGGATAAATTTCTACTAGGAGCTTGAGAGAAGCACACACTGTATCCTAGTGGCGTGTGATATCTATTTACCGTAACGGTAAGTAAGTACCTTGGCTTCAAAATTAGACACACTCAGGCACCATAGCAAACTATTGAGGCCAGGGTCTGATAGATCCCCCACTTTGCTCGATGGGACGGACAACTCGATTTACATTGTTAGGTCTCTTTTTGTGTGGCCTGGGATGATTTTTGTCTAAATCAATCGCCTTCCTACCCCAGCATATATAGGTATGTGTCCCTGTTCAGGTGCCAGAATAGGTTGGCTGAGACAGGCAAAGGTCGATCGATTGATATCACGCCACCCCCTTCGCTCCCTCTTTCTCTTGGATACGTAGGAAGGGTTTCTCGGGCCCGGGATCAAACAAACTCCCCCATTCCAAGCCCCAAAAAGGCAAACAAAGAGCACGCACGCTAGAGGGAGGTAGGTTCATAGCACCACCATATGCATGAGAAACCACTTTGACCGTAACGCGCATTGCCTTGCCGGCAGCTTGTCTCGTCTCTTATCGTCCGATTTTCCCATCCGCCTGCCTTCCCACTACCATGACAAGACAGGAAAAGAAAAGGAAAAGAACACACCGCAATATGATTGAAATAAACTGGAAAATTCGAAATTGGTATATGAACGCGTTGCAAACAACAACGCCTCGGACGCCTGCCCTCCAAGTACCCCGCGTCCCCAGCTGTACTGCTTGCCATATGCTTGCAACCCAGGGACTTGTAAAAAAAATATGAAGCTAGACATGAAGACGAAAAATAAATAAAAGAGCAGCCCATGGGGGAGGGGGTTAGCAGTGCCGGGTTTCATACTCAACGCCGGCCGGAGGGAAGGAAGATGGAGAAAAATGCCGACAAGAAAACTCCCCTTGAATCTGGCAAGTCATGATTGCCCGTTAGAATGCCAAAAGGAAGAAAAAATATCAAGAGAAGCAAAAAACAAAAGTGGCGCCAGGCTCCCTCTCTGTTTGGGAAAGAAAGAAAAAAGTGGCGCCAGGCTCCCTCTCTGTTTGGGAAAGAAAGAAAAACAGTATGACTATATACATCCCGTCAGGCAGAAAGAAAATAACGGTAAAGGTGGTATCGCGCCAGTAGGTTGGCTGAAGAAACTATGTGCAGACGAAGCGAAGCGAGGTGAAGAAAAGGTTGTCGGGACGGCATAAAGGGCGTTAATTGGGAGGCGGTTGATGATTTAGCCGGGCCCACCTCTCCGTCTCCGGCCCCGGCTTGGGCCATCCGGCCGTTGGGCAAGGACATCTCGTAATTGAGGGTCGTCCTTGTCTTTATCCACGTGATGGACCCTTACATGCCTGTCACAAAACTCGTTAGACACGGGGTGTCTGGATGACCAGATGAAGCAGTGCACTGGAAAACAATGTACAGTCTGGGAAAACTCGGGGCCTCTGTTTGGGCGTACCTTTGAAGGTTATCAGGTCGAGGATACTTGTGTTCCCTGTCCGGACAGAATGGGCATACATAGCCTGGAGAGTCGTGCACCAGGCCATGCCGAATCATCTCGTTCTTTCGCTTGAAGCCCTTACCACCCTCACTCCGGGTACAACCATGAACGGGGCAATAGTGTGGCCTCGCAGACGAGTGCACGTTTGCGTGCGAGTTCAAGAGATACTGTGTCTGGAACGGGGGCGCAGTGCAGCCGTCAACATTGCACACGTATGAGCCTGACTGGCTGGTAAGGCCCTCAATGCTCATCCTCTCCGAGATTGTTGCTGTCGACGGGTCCGACGTCGGGGGTTCTGCCGAGCTGCTGGGGTAGTCATACGGCTGATGGCCATTTGGCTGGGGATAGAAACCATGCCTGGGGCTTGTGACGGAGGAGGCAAGGGAGTGGTTCGGCGACAGAGGGTCTCGGCGGAAAGTCTCGGCCGGGGAGATGGGAGGGGACGCGTGATGGCTGTGCATTGAGGGCAGACGCGGCAGGCCGGGAGGAGAATGTGGGAAAGCGGGGTGCGGATTCCGCATCCTCTCCTTCTCGGCATGGTAGCTGCTTTCGAGTTGGTTTATATCCCCCAGCGCAGCCGTGAGGGATGGCAGCGGTGTCTGGCCGTTTGTATCAGACCTCGGGGAGTTTAACTGGATGGGTGCCAAGCCCTCGCCGTGGCTGCTCGGAGACAGGCCAGACGCCGACAGGGTAAGGTCCATCTTCAGGGGCACAGGGGTGGAGCCCGAGTCTCGAGGCGAGTAGAAGCTACGGGGGCTGTAGGGCGACGGCACTGCCGGCTGAACGGGCCGCCCATCTTGAGTCGGCTCTATACGCCTCGTGGCTATCTCGAGGGGCGCGGGGGGCGGCGGCGGCGGGGCCTCCTTCATCACGTCATCCTCCGTAACAGGCGGGGTCGGCCCGGCATTCACGGCCTCGGGCGGTGGTGCGGGGTCTAGGCCGGGGGCCGGGTCTGGGGCGGTGACGGCCAGGGCACCGGCAGCCAGGGACTTCAGGTCGAAGGCGCCCATGTCGGGCTGGTCAGGTAGGCCTAGGGTCATAGTGGGTTCCCTAGACTCCCGCGCGCGCGCCTTGTTAGACCGGTCCCCAGCCAGAGCACCAGCAGCCAGGGACTTCAGGTCGAAGGCGCCTATGTCGGGTTGGTCAGGTGGGTCCAGGGGCATGGTGGGTTCCCTGGACTCGCGCCCGCGCGCCTTGTTGGACCGGTCCCCACCCGGTCCGCGGCCGACAATGCGGCTGTTCGGGGGGAAGGTGCTGTCGGACGAGCAGTCAGATTCGCTCAACACGCTCTGGTCTTCGAGCTCCTCGTCAGAGGCGGAGGCCAGGGTGAACTCGGCAGAGTGTTGTGCAATGAGTGGATTTCTGCCTCCGTCAAGCAGTCCGACCAAGACGGCATCGCCCAGACTTGGCTTCACCTTGCGACGATTAGACTTTTTTGCGCCGGGACTGGGAGGAGGACTGACTTTGGGAAAAGGAAGTAAGGGCGGGCTGGGCGACGGCCGCAGGGTTGGACGTAACGGCTCCAGAAACGGGCTGTTCCTGGGGACAACCTCATTAGGATCGTAGTAGTCGCAAGACGTGTCGTGGACGGGATTTGACGCGGCCGTAGCACTCATAATTCGGGGCTTCTAGGCTTCTACGTCGTCGGGGGCTTGGTGGTCTTAGGTCACGGACGGGGGGAGGGGGCGATCGGGAGTCAGTTCGCCATGGATAGCGGGGGTGTGTGCGGGCGGAGAGTCGAGAGAGCGGGCTGGCTGGCAGGCAGGCTACTAGCGGGCCCGAGTCGAGTCGAGCAGCAGCCCTATCCCAGTGCGCCTCGCTCGGTGTGCCGATGGCGCGCCGAGCCTCGTCGTCCGGCAAGGCCGCTGGCGGCAGCAGCAGCGGGAGGCTGCGCGTGCGAGTGGTGCGTGTGCGTGTGCGTGTGCGGGTGCGAGTGCGGGTGCGAGTCCGTCTCGCGTGGCTTGCCCCGGGGCAGCCTTGGTGTCGCACGTCCGACGACGTAGCTTGTCGGTATGCCGAAGGTCAGGGATGACGCGGGCAGCGCGCAGCGATTCCCATGCGCAGGCCAACGGCGGCAGCGGATGAGGGCGGGCATGTACGAGGCTGAGAGCCTCACCACGCAACGCAGCCAAGGAGGGCAGCGAGAGCCGGGTGGGTTGGGGGGGTTTTTGTCTGTCTCGCAGCGAGGCAGGCCAGACGGGAGCTGCTAAAAAGGCCCGAAGAACCTAGGCAGGTAGGTAAGGCGAGAGCGCGGCGCTGGCTAGGTGGATGAAAGAGGAGCGGACGCGGCCTCGTGACCGGTTGATTGAGCGGGGGATGGTAAATTGCGTTGCGCTGCGCTGTGCCGGGAGCAGAAGTTAGGAGAGTGAGGGGGGAAAGAGGCTGGGCGCAGATCCGATGCGGCTCAAGACGCTGCTGACAAGTGACGGCTATGTTTGGATGTTCGGGACGAAGGCAAAACGAAGACCGTTGTGACCGGGGTTGGGATGGCAGGCAGGCAGGGCAGGGTACGATGTACTTGTTGTTGTATGTACTGTATGTATGGACAGTACCGACCAAGTGCAAAAGGACTGGCAAATACCGAGGACCTGAGCTACCCAAGGTAAGGTAGGGTAAGGTAGGGTTGGCTTGGTTTGGTTTGGTATATAAACACCGAAATACCCACACTGCGGCGCGCAGTCTCTTGTAATTCTTTCTCGCAGTCTCTTGTCCAACTTCCAGCCGTAAGGTTCGGACAGTTGTGTGTCGCTCGCAGCCCTCGGTCGTAGTGCCCTGCCTGAGGTGGCTCGCAGTGGTGGAAGTAAAGGTAGTTAGGAGGAAGGTGGAGTGGTCGCAGCCCGTTCGGGAGGGCACAGCAGCTTCCTTCCTTTCGGCTTGTGGTGTGGTGCGGGCGCGCGGGCGAGAGAGGCTGTCCGTCCGCCGGTCGCTGGTGGGGAGACAAGGCGAAGCAGTGTGAGTGGTGGGTGGTGGCAGCGGGCGGGCGACGATTGTTTGGAGGCTCACTGGGTTTAAGCCGCAATGGCAGCCACCAAGACGACGTCCCCCCGGTCGTGTCAGACGCAAGTCCTGGGGGCCGGGGAAGTTGTCAATGCGTCGGCCACCACTCGACGGCTAAGAGTGGAGGCGGGGGCTGAGACGAGTCACTAGAGAGGGGGGGCCCGGGCCTTTGCGGTCGTGGTGTCTGCATCTCCAGACTCCAGATTCCAGAGTGGAGGTAGGTTGTTACCTCGAGCTCTTCAAGAGGAACCTGAGGAACCTAGGTCCATTTGCTAGATTCAAGCTTCCCCAATTTTCACGCTCGGCTAGCTTTTCTAACAACCAGTGCCACAGCTATCTATACCCAGGGTATTTTGCTCGTCTTCCTAGGTATTCAATACGGGATGAAATGCTACGGGCGTGACAGAACGTTGCAGTGCAAGCTCATTGAGCTAGGGGGACAGAACACACCGACCCCAGGAATGCCGCAACCGCTGGTGGGGATCTTCGTCTGCGCTAGTTTACGGAGTAGGGAACGTAGTGTATTATTCGGTGGGGGAGACGGCTAGCTTGTCGCCTGCTTGCTTCGCTTTCACTTTGTCTAGTCTGTCGCGGCTCGCGGGTGGGTTTTTGCTGCCCGCCTGCCCGATAGAATGGTTCTGCGGCTCTTGTCCCGCTTCGTGCGTGCCAGTCTCCAGACCCAGACATGCATGCACAGCTTCGCTTCCCCGACCGAGTCAACCTAGAACAAGACGTCCCGGCCAGCCATGGACTACTATGTAGGAATCTTGGGGGTCAAAGATGCGATAAAGCACGCGGGCTACCTTACGTACATACCACATGTAGTCCGTAGGGCAATCGCTGCATCGACAGTGCGAATGCGCCGTGGTCGTTCTCGAGTGAGTCGAGTCGAGTACCCAGAACACGAGAAGGCGCGGCGGACGGACAGACCGACCCAAGACGACCTACTCACCCGCACCGCGCCCAGGACTTGACCACTTGAGGCGGCGCTGGCTGGCGTGGGGCGCCTTCTAAGCCCCCGCTCGTCTTGTCATCGGGAAAGCGCAACTGCGTAGTCGCTCAACTCGAAGCCCGAGGGACTTCCTGTTGGGGAGGGCGTCCCGCCTCCATCCAATGCCCTCTTCCCCTCTGTTTCTTGCAATGGACCTGAACCTATCAAGCGTAGAGTGCGAGCCAGGAAGGTACGGATACTCTGCTGCCGTTCCCACGCACCTTCCCGCCAGCCTCAACTGCTAGTGCGGCACAGAAACTCAAGGATACACACGCCCTTGAGTGATATTGTACCCTTGCCCCACTGGTCAACAACTGATGACTGAGGTGCGTACACTCGGTCGCATTCGCGGCCTTCCGGGCAGCATAAGGTACCTTACTCAGTCGGTTCCATTCGCCTCGTGGCCGCCAAATGCAACAGCGGTTCATACGATGGGCAGACTGGGGATACCAAGCCAACTGTTTTGTTGGAATTCCACCCAAGGCACACTTGATAGTATGTACGGAGTCCATTTCCCATTCCCCATTCCTCGGCTGGCCCTGTCCACGCCCAAACAGAACTAGGAGTTGGCCTAATAACCCAAGCGGTCGCCGTCGTCGGGCGAGAAGCATCTACTGTTCGGAACGGATACTGTCTGTACACAATGCCTGGCAGTTAATCTGTAGGTACGGTACGGACGTAACTGGAGGGACTCATCTTGCACCACGGCAGCTTCTGCGCAATCTTCATCTTGCGTCACGCGTTAGACGACTGGTGATTTATGATGAAGGGCGCTCCTCCCGCTCCGAATAACACTTACCCTTCCCGAGTGCATCGCATCATCCTCCTGCATGCCGCCGGCCTGCTCCCCTCAATCAATGTCACGGTTGAGGGGGCCAAACCCAGTTATAAGACACGACCAGACAGACGAGCGCAAGATTTGCCGTCCACGGAGCTCTGGAGAGGGGGGGTTGAATATTGGGCTGTTAAAACCCCCCCAAAAAGAGGGGGTTCATTCCAATTTCTCGACCCTGGCTGGCTGGTGCACACCCAACTTCCTTTCTGCTCGCCCTATCGCGGGGGGCGGCTGGTCTGACGAGATGAGTCGATGACCGATGCAGAGGTAGCCAGCCAGCCAGCCAGCCAGCGAACCGAAAAGGCCCCCCCTTACCATGACATTCGCTGTATCCGTATTCCCACGGACAGCCAACAGTCACCGCGAGCCCGGAAACAGAAATTCTTCCTCGCTCACGGAAACACAGGTGTTGCCGATCCTCGAAAGATGTTTCTCAGCTTGGAACCCGGGGTTGTTTGTAACTTGTGGGGCGTCAAGGGCCTTCTCGCCACAAAACGAACAGGAAAACGGACCAAGCGGGCGTCCCGATTTACCAGCAACCCTACGATTCTTTCAAAACGTGCTGTAGTAGCGTTGCGACGAACGGTCACTTCTCACGTCCCTCCCCCGGTTCCCCTGGCAGCGGACAGTTTGGGGCCCTCGAGGACGGCGGCCGCCAAAGCTCTCTCGAAATGGGGCCTGCCCTGCGCAGGGACGGGAAGCTTTCTGGAAACGTCAGCTGCCAGAAGCGCCAAGGCATGGCCCCGATGGGTAAAGTGGGTTGTCGTAGGGTGTGGGGCGAGCGGGCCAAGGCCTGCCGGGGCATTCTCACTGGCTGACTGGGGCAGCCATTGGTGCTAACGCCTCAGCCTCATTCTTGTGCGCCGCATATCATTTACGGGTCCGTCCGCGATCGCGTTGAAGAAATAAGGTATGCACGCATCCATGCCTGAGGTGTCTGAGTAAGACGAGACGGAAAGCTCGCTCGCTCGCTCGCTGTGCAGACGCGCTACAAATCCAGTACGCTGAACAAACCAAGCTTTTCTTTATTGTACCATGTAGATTTCATGCTCGTTCTCGGTTTTGCTTCCAATCGACTTTAGTCGCCCTTCCCCTGGGTAGGTGAGTACGAGGCCGGCTGGTACCCTACCCCGACCGGCCAGTCCCTGAAAACCGGAAATGTGGCGGCTGGGTCGCTCTGAAATTGAGCGCAAAGCCCGATCATGCAGGTCATGCCGTTGAGGACATTCCAGAATCCTATCAGAAGCCGCCTTCCTGGTCTCAAGCAAAAGAAAAAAACGCCGCCCTAGGCGATGATCGCCCCTCTGGGTATCTCGTACCCTGGAAGCGTGCATGCACTACTGATACGATTAGCGACCAGCTGGCAATGGACTGTCAACAATGGAACAGAGGGCCACAAGACGGGCCTGTCTCTCCCCAGCCTCGGCCAACCATTCGATGGTGGCTGCAGAAATTCGCTTCCAAAATCCGTCTTTGGTCAAATGGCAAATCGGTCGGTTAGACAGATGCAGCGGTGAGGCTTTAGAGTGGGGGGAACCTGGAAGGAAAGAGCGAGGGAGTAGGAGAGGGTGAGGGTGATGAGGGGCAGCCGCTGCCCAACTCCCGTCATCAGCAACCATTCCATTCCCACTGCCATGTTGCCCTTGGACTCGCCCCTCTCGTCCCCATTATTGTCTCTGGATTCTCGCACCTCATCCCATGCCCACCCCCCAAGACCGTCACCTGGTCTCGGTCATCTAAACCGCTCCTGTCTGGTTGGGCGAGCGAACTGAGTAGCATGTGTGGGGAGAAGCGCGCCCCATGCGACGAATGGATTGTCGAGATTTTAGCCGGACCGACGCGAAATCTCAGCCGCCAATTACGGGTGGTCGACGCAGCCTAGCGGGCAGACCCAAGTTGGGTCGCGGACGTGCGACCCTGGCGAAGGAGCCGCAAGACCGCAAGACCACCACATCGTCATCAACTCGGTATCACAGTGTAAAACAGATACAATGGATGGTGCGGCCTAGTTTGCGACCTACTCTCTCACTCCCGACAAGGCCGCCCTTTGCCTGGCAAGTCCCAAAGAAATAATGTCTTTTGGTCAGCCAAGCGCTGGCCAACAGGGTCAAATTTGCCAATCGGAAGCACCTTAAATCGCAAGGTCGGGCACCCAAGGTACGGATACCCCGCAAAATATCCTTCAAGGACAATGGAAGTTTGCGTGGTGCCGGCCAAGTCCTACGGTACAGTGAGCGCAGCACAGCACAGTACCACGTACGCAGAGAGGCACAGCAAATAGACAACAAAGACCTTGCCAGCTGGCCGGGACCTGGCGTCGCACCGTACCTGGCTTCCTTGCTAGCAATTTGGCCGAGACCGAGTGCGGTGCGAAGGCGAAATATCGTGAAATTAGGCCAGAGGCAGGCCGCTACGAAACGAGAAGGTGCCTAGGTAGGATTTCTCGGGCCTCACCACCCGAGATCAAATCAAACTTTCGCCATCCCATGCACACCGCGCCCCCTCCTCGGGCAAGATCCAACGAAAAGAAAACTCGGGCCCGGGCGTGCCCGACACCTCTGGAATTCCTGATGAGATCCAGCAGCCAGGGGTGCCTGGATGGTAACAAGACCACGTTACACGCGCTGCTTCTTCTCACACCCGATCGATGCCCCGTCTCGAGCCTCTTACTGTGGAGCATTTGATGATTCTCAACCCTTTTTTTGTGGGGTGGGTGTTCCAAAAGCTCTGAGGTACTATGTAAGTCTCGGCCAGGATGTACAGCTGCACTCTACACATCAAACAACTTGGTTAGTGTTGAACATAGGCAAGCAATATCAACAACAAGCAGAGCGAAAGCCTAGATGAGGATACCTAAGGCGCGGAACTCTCTTTGCTTCGCTTTCACAAACGAGCTTCCAGTTTCTACGTGCCCATCAGCTTCCTCTACTACCAAAAAAAAGGGGGATCGGTTAGGGGCTTTTACACTTTTTTTGTTTTGTTGGTCTGTCCTTACTCGCCAGTTTGGAATCCCCAGCAACCGCACAACACGTCTCTGACCCGTGTTTACACAAGTGATCACTGATAGTAGCATCGAGCCAGCGACATGCCAAGCACGAGCTCGCTCGTGAAACTTTCTCGATCGTCGAGATGACGGACTCCACCCTATGTTCCCGCTCTCATGGCGCTATTTACTTACTAAGAAACCGCAAAAATGCAAAAGCTACTGAGTAGGACTTGCTGCTCTTTAGGTTGCTCTGGGACCAGTGAGGATCGAACTCACGACCTAAGGCTAACTCTGATGTTTAATCAGATCATGTGCGGAAACATGAGACCTGCGCGCTAACTAGCTGCGCCATGGTCCCTGCTTGTTTGATGAATCGTGTCCACTCTACACGGGCTCGACTACGGGACCCACGACGAACTCTTGGGTGGGGGGGGGTTTTACCTCTTGCCCTTGTGGGGAGGGTTGAAGCTTCCCGCCAGCCATACCTCGGCCCGGGTTGGGAAGTGGAACTCTATGACACTATGCACACAGAAACTGCCTGAGCTGTCTTGAAACTTGCTACACTGCCTTGTGCCGGGTTTCTGTATAAAATTGGAGTCTATGCATCGGCTTTTGGCCGTGGGCATGACCGTTCCGTGCAGGTGGTCTGAAAGACACATTTTCTGCAGTTTCTGGTCCAGCGATATACGAGACAAATACCCTGGTTGCTCCTTGAGTGAAGGAGTGCCTATCATCAACCTGAACCAAGCGCCAGTGAGAGGCACAGACACAACAAACCCCCTTTTTTTCCCTTTTGCCCCGGTAAACTCGGTGCCGGATACCCACCTACATCCTCCTTTCTAGTCTCTCGTGCAATGGCGTACAACCCACCGAGTAAATCCACAGAATCTCCCCCCATTTTCCCTTTGAAACAGGCATGCTCTCCAGAGTTTAAGATCTACAGCCGTTTTCCACACACTTGATACACCCCTAGTATTACCAAGGAGGTATCCGTCCTCGGCATGGTAGAAACAACCCTGACCCGGTTCAATGTGCTTCCTTCTCCGCCTCTTGACAGACTACATTAGGTGCCATTTACATCAGTTAGGGTAAGGTACATACCCCGCCCTTTGATGATCCTCCCCTCCTCTCCAACAAGCGCAGGCTCCGAGATCGCAACAACGCCCACCCGGCCTTGGCAACTACCGCAGTTTCCTCCCTCGCTCCCTCCCCGCGCTGGATCAAACTGTCACTACTACCATACCTGCCCGTCCGGTATTACGTCAGTGCTTGGCCTACTTAGCAAGGGGTGTAAACTAAGGTAATGTCACGGTAGGTAGCATATTAAGTAGGGTAGCTAAGGTGTTTTTGCTTGAGTGATTCGCTAGCTTAGTTAGTTGCGGTACTGAAGTGCGGGGGAAGCCAGAGACGACTTTGTGTCGTCTGTATGTATGTACAGGAACTACGTGGGAAGATGGTCAGACCACTTCCTTCCTTGCCTAAGGTACCGACCGGCCTATCTGAGTACACACCTTAATCAACTCCATCAGATCTCTCGTGTAAGACTTTTTTTTTCTTTCTTTCAGAGGACCTCGTTTGTGATAATTTCACTCCCTAGCCCCTTGTTGAGTATATCCACCAGGTTGGTGTTGTGCAACAAAAACAACACACCCCCATCCGGCTCCCGATCCAATCCCTCCTAACGCAATCCGATCAGATTAGACCTGACCCGGTCCAGAAACAGAATAAAAAGCAGAAAAGAAAATGTCGACGCCAACAGACAAGACCATGAAGGCCGTGGTGTTCGACGGGCCGGGCAAGGTGTCGGTGCAGGACCGGCCGGTTCCGCAACGCAAGTTTTATTTCTTCACGTCTTTTTCCTTCTTGCAAACCACCCACTCGCTCTGCCCTTGTGGTATTGGCTCCTTCCGGTTCGCTTGGCTGCCAGAACAGTCATCTTTCCCTTTTTCATGAAAAGAAATACATATTTTCTACAGAAAAGCTTACACTCTGAGAGAAACATAGTCAAGAGCCCCAAGGATGTCATCGTCAAGGTGCACACCACGGCGCTGTGCGGATCGTACGTTTATTTTTTATTTTCTTCTTTCATCACCCATCCCTCATCCCCTCCAGCACCCCCTAATCCCCGTAACGACAAGAAAGCCGTGATAATAACTATTAACTTGGGCTGTAGAGAACTGCACACATACAGAGGCATCCAGCCGTCTGAGCCGGGCATCGTCATGGGACACGAGTTCACAGGCATCGTGGTCGAGGCCGGGAGCGAGGTCAAGGCTATCAAGGTCGGCGACAGGGTCGTTGCGCCCTTCACCGCATCATGGTAAGCCCGCTCTTCTCAAGAGAAAATATGTGCATAATCGTGTCTTATCAAAATGGCTTTTGTTTTCATTTTCTCTCTACATTCCCCCCCCCCCCCCCTTCAAAAGAGACGAACGGCAACGCTGAGACCAAATACCCTCCGCTCCCTCCAGCGGAGAGTGCTTCTACTGCCAGAGCGGCTTCTCGGCGCGGTGCACGCAGTCGCAACTCTTCGGCTCGGCGGCGCTGGACGGCGGGCAGGCCGAGTACGTGCGGATCCCGTTCGCCGACGGCACGGCCATGGCGGCGCCTCCGGCGGGCGAGATAGAGGACCGGACGCTGATCCTCATGGCCGACATCTTCCCGACGGGCTACTTTGGCGCCAAGAACGCGTTTGGGCTGCTGCATCCGCAGCCGGCCGGCGAGGCGACCGTCGTCGTGGTCGGCTGCGGGCCCGTCGGCCTGTGCGCCGTCATCTCGGCCCTCGAGTATCGGCCGCGGCACCTCTTCGCCGTCGACGGCGTCGAGTCGCGGCTAGCGCTGGCCGAGAAGCTCGGCGCCGAGCCGCTCAACTTCGCCGTCCTGGGCAAAGAGGGCATGCTCAACAGGGTCAGGGAGGTGACGCAGGGCCGCGGTGCCGACGCCGTCATTGAAGTCGTCGGGCTGAGCCCGGCCCTGAGGACGGCGTTTGACCTCCTGAGGCCGTTTGGCGTCATCAGCAGCATCGGCGTGCATAATGCAGAGGTGAATTAAGCATGACCAAGACAGTAGTCTCTAGGTGTGCATCGAGCATGCAGACTTGGGCTAACCAGCCATAAAAATTGTCAGATACCTTGGAGCGGCGAAGAAGCGTACGGGTAAGTCACTCTTCCCCTCCTTGCGCTCCTCTCCAAGCCCGATAGGCTCTAGTGCTTTGAGGCTGACTGGAAACAGGAAAAACCTGACATTACAGATGGGCCGCTGCCCTGTACGGTCCATTGCGTCGGAGGCATTGCCGGTACTGGCGAGAAACCAGCAAAAGCTGAGGTAAGGGACTCTTTGGTCTTGGGGAACGGGACGGATGCTGACTCTCTGGCAGCTTCATGTTTGACAAGATGATGCGGCTTTCGGAGGCGGTCGAGGGCTATGACTTGTTTGACAAGATGAAGGTGCAAAAGGTGGTCTTTGAGCCGTGAGCCAAGCGATTTCCGTAGACGCGCGTAACCGACGAGGCTTTGGGGGTTTGGCTTGGGCCTAGAGGGCAATACTGTAGGATAGGGAGGACAAGGCCAGTCAAAGCTTCGGACTCTCTGCTCTCGCGTCACTGTGATGGCGAACCTCGTGAAGGGAGGTGTGTGATACAGCATAAAGAAAGAAGATAAAAAAAAGGCTCAGTTTTGTCGGGGCTTCACAAGGCCGTCGTGTATCCAGTAGTAGGCGACGGTCGAGTCATCCTGAACGGTAGCGAGAAGGAGGCGCTTCCCGCGCTTGGGACCTCTCCAGAGCTTCCAGGGGGCATCGCGATCACCACCAGAGCCGGCCGTGTCGTCGTCGTCTTCGTCGGTGACGGGGTCTCGGCCGGGCGGGACGGGGTGTATGGCGTCAAAGACCTGAGCGAAGCGGGCGGGCGACCACTTCTCAGACAGGTGCAGCGGCAGCACCCACTCCTGCTCGGGCAGCTGGCGGATGCGGTCGGGGCGGTCCTTCTCGGCCTTGATGGTCTCGATCTGCTCGTCGGGGTGCACGTAGAGGCGCTTGGGCGGCAGGCCGTAGAGGAGCGGCCGCGGCAGGCCTGCCTGCGTGTGCACCGCGATCCCCGTCCAGTCGTGCTGGTTCGCCAGGTTGTTGACCACCACCTGCGTGAGCGCGTCCATGTGGTCGCTGCGAGACATGATGCTGGCGTGGCGTCGCTGCTCGTTTTCCGTGGTTTGGTGTCTTTTGGTTTTCTTCTTTTTTTTCTCTTTCTCCTCGATTTTTTTGCTACAAAAGGTTTCCCAGATCTTAACTTAGGGTGGACCTGGAATAGATCTGCCAGAGCCACTGTGGAAGGTACAGTGTAGATACTGTATGTATTCATGTGCGAATACATGCATACGTGTATTTGTTACGCAGGATTTCAACGGGTAAGCTGACGTTTAAGTGACAGCCCCACTCTGGGCTCCTTCCAGACGTCCCCATTCATACCGGACGGACACAACCTTCCAGGCTCCATTCCGCGACTCAGTTGAAAAGTAAAACCCCGACATTATTTATGCAGCCATCCAACATAGGCAAAAAGACCGAGACTCGAATCATTTAGTAAGCTTTTTACATGAATACTAGGTGCGGTGCTGACTGCATCATCCAGTCAGCAGCACATCATTTGTTCGTTCCTTCGTTTTGCAGACCGCGGTGATCAGTAATGACCATACTCCTGCAGTTGTCGTGGCTGCGGTGCCAACACTTCTTGCTCTCGAAGGTACTCACAAGGGGCCGGTTCATTTATTATTTTCTTCTCCCTCTTAAGTACCACGGAAACAAACATTCAGGGATTGGATTGTACATACTTCCTAAGCATGGAAACCAGGTTGCTATTGTCCCACGGGCCGCTGCCCGCATAGTCGAACGATAAGATGATATCGACCCCGAGGACACCGGCCGCGCTGAAGGCGTCGTCAAGCTTGGCCACAGATTCCCCTATTTACTATGTTGATGGCAAGCCAGCAATGTGCGCGGCTAGTGCCGTCGACTCTACTTCAGTGCTGCTCAGCTGGATATGTTAGTCATGGCCGAGGCGGAGATGATTGATTCTGCAGCTGTAGAATGCAAGCCAGACCATGAAGTGAGGAAACACGGTTTTCCCTGAGCAGTCCGAGCATGCAAGGCAGCGGATCAGGAGTCAGAGCCTCATAACCAAGTTGCTTAAAAGCCTCTCCTGACTTTTTATCCCTCTCTCCAAGGCAGAACACAAGGAAGGGCTCTGATGTGCGCTACTGTGCTCTACCGCGAAGGCCCCATTTCTCTTGGCCGACCATATTCGACTTATAAAATTTTTACATTGGACTCACTCGCGAGGCATTATGGTTTGTTCGGCGAGTTAGAGATGGAATCATCCCATACCGAGATAATAAGTTCAGTCATTTCCCTTCATGAAATTATCCACGGACTAATAGTATGCTATTTTGAATTGCTGAGCTGTAGTCTCACCCAGGATGAAGACCAAGACCAACCTGTCCTCTACTCAGCCATTTCCACAACACTGACATCAACAAGACGGAGCTGGACGGGCCGGCAATCCGGCGGCACTGCCAAGCAGTGCTCCTACTATGCCCAAGACTCTGAGTGAATCAATTAATTCAATACTCTCAAGTCAAAGCCCATTTGTAACTAATTGCGGCCATCGTGTGCTCTCATAACGAATTCAAACATGTTACGGCGGTACTCTTTTGAAATTTCTATACCTGATTACCAGCCCACCAGGTACCTAGCTAACCCCTTGACTTTCCCGGCTACCAGCAGATTATAGTTCATGTTACGGAGTTTACTGCTCTGTACTTCTTCCCAAGGCCAGGAGGGACACTTTACTCGGTTGCGTTGGGCTGCACCGCACCAACCGGCTCTTGGCAATTCCGAGGATGCTCAGTAAGGGTTTCCGTAACAAGGATTAGGCAGTTCTAGTTTTGGTGGGGCCAGCTGAAACCTCATCAACCGGGATCCGTATTTCGGTAGTCTTGCTCCCCAGATTTCCCAGATCATGCTGCTATTAGAACACGAAAGAAAAGGGCGGGAGTCTCGTCTGTGCGAGGAAACTCTTTCGAAAGACGGTTTTAGCAATACTAGGAGGCATGCAACCCTAAAATCTCAGGTAGCACGGCATCCACTCGGCGAGTTCGAAACCAATCTAGCAGGACCATCTTTTCCATGCTTATATCATCGGCTGCGGTACCTTATTTTAGGAGTTGCATCTCATTGGCGTGGTTCTGTTTAGAGCCACGGAAATATGGGGGACGGGATTTGTTAGCTTTGCATGTGGAGTCGTGGACACTGCAGGTTGCTGCTGACTGAGGTGCTTATCATCAAAGCCGCCTGATCCCTTTTCCAAGCCAGCCAGCTTACCCCAATCGCCGTTGTATAACATTTACAGATTATCCTCACCTGAGCAGGCCTCTGGCAACCTGTTAAACGGCCATATCCTTGTATTATAATGGTGAGAGACGAGACATAGTTACCGTGCTGGTGGCATGACATCACTGCAGCACCAGGGTCTCGGCTTGAGATTGCGGCCGTTGCTTTAGCCACCCGTCGGCCCAAGACCAATCAAAGGCCGCAGGACAAAACAGGGAATGGATGCAAGGATGTTAGCGTGAAGCTAATGTGTGCTGGGGGCAGCTTTTTGGGGGAAGTAACCTTTTGCGCCGCCTTGGGCAAAATCGTGACGGCACCATGTTTCCCTCTTGACACTACCTTTCCCGACACCCCGTGCCTCCTGACCTGACCCTTTAAGTCGGTCATGGCCCAGACCGTTGGCCCCGGCTCAAAACATATCCTCTGTTCCTGAACCAAATCCAAATCCAATTCCAATTCACTTTTTGCCCTGTGTTGGCTGACAGTAGCTTCACATTATCTCTCTGTTACATCCCTACATTTTTGTTGCAGGAGTATTTGACGCATTGATCCTTTCGATTCCACAGCAAGCACGCTGAGCTTCAACGTCACCCCATCGCTAATTGCCGCGATGGCCACATCCGGCCACGAACTCGAACCCTTTCCCACAATAACAGATTCTAACAATACCAATACCAACAGCGGCAAAGTCAAGTCCTCCCAAAACCCGGCTGCATCACGTGCCCACCATGGCGGTGCCACCGGCGATGTAACGCGCACGCGAGCAATCTCGAAGCCTTCGTCGGTGGCGGGAATAGTCCGGACTCTGTCGCAGGAATTCGAGGAATCACGGCCTCACGAAGGGCTCATGGCTGCCACGGGCGACATAGTATCGTCGGTTGTCGCAGACCAAGAGCGCCACCGCCGAGCCACGGCGGCCTCGTCAGAGGACACGACGCTTGCGACGCCCACGGAGCAAGAAAACGGCGCGAGCGTCCGGGAACACACGGAGCCGTTTGCGAACGGCTACCACTTCCCCCCAAAGTACCCGTGGAAGGAGTCGACGCGGCACGGGTTGGCGTCGTTCTGGAAGTTCTTCATAACGCCCATGGGGGCCTTCTGGACCATCTACGGGCTCAACGTGGTGGCGTGGGGCGGCATGCTGTTCCTGCTGCTCTGCAACGCGGCGCCGGCCATGTGCACGCCCGACTGCAACGACATCGACTCGCCGCGGCGGCGGTGGGTCGAGTACGACTCACAGGTGCTGACGGCGCTGTTCTGCGTCACAGCGTTTGGCCTAGCGCCTTGGCGGTTCCGCGACCTGTGGTACCTGCTCAAGTACCGCGTCAACGGCGACTACACGGGCCTGCGCCGGCTCGCGGGCATCCACCGCAGCTGGTTCCGCCTCGAGGGCTCGCAGGGCCTGCCCAACGACATCGGGCCGCCCGACAACATCCCAGAGACGCTCCCCGAGGCGGTCGTGCCCATCCCGGCCAAGCACATGCCCAACGCGCCGCTGACTGGCAGCCGCGCGCCGGCGACATCGGTGTGGAAGCTCGACTTTGTCATCTGGTCAATGGTGCTGAACACGTTTGCGCAGTGCGGGCTCTGCGGCATCATGTGGGGCATAAACAGGTACGACCGCCCGAGCTGGACGACGGGGTTTCTGGTTGCTGTGGGCTGCATCATCGCCATTGTGGGAGGGCTGGCTATGTTCTACGAAGGCAAGCACGTTAAAAGCATCGAGGGCGTGCCCTGCAGCGATCGAGACCTCAAGAAGCTGGCGGCCGACGAGGAGAAGGGCCTGCCCCACTACAACAACATCAAAGACAAAAAACCGAAAATCAAGGTCAAGGACCTCGAGGCTAATCCTGAGAAGAACTCTGAGAAGAACCCTGTGAAGAAGTAAATTGTTTTGGCTCTACCTTCGGCGTACGGGGCGGGGGAGTCTCTGGCTTTTTGGATACACTACATGAGAGCATTGATGGTGGGCGAAATAGATAATAATATTGATAGTACAGAGTACGGGCTGCAGAGTAAATACGCTGTCCGGTGTGATGTGGAAGGGTGCGACTTAATAGGGTGCTTATTGTATTGCATCCTGTAAGACCGGGACTGTTTGCATAGACATAGGCATGGCGTATGTATATGGGAAAATAGAGAAATCGATACCCGACAAATAATAAGGACAACACCTAATGTACAAGTATCTTGTCTAGGATGGATGGCACTTGGTGTCCAATGTGCACTTTTAGATGGCCGCCCGATGATAGCGAAACGTGTAAAAGCGTACGTCACCCTCCTCCAAAAATACTATCGAATAGTCACGGAAGTTCTAGCCATTGGTTGCATGTCTATATGCAGGGCGGCCAAGGCAAAAGCTCCTCGGCGTGTTAACATGTGTAAGGTAATGCTCTTTGTTGGCCGCCAGCACGATAGCCCAGGGGCTGGCCTGTCTTTATTCGCAGCTTTGCGCTTTGTTCTGGCGAGTCGCGACGGCCTCTGCCGATAAGCCACAGCCTATCAGTCGGCAGGGCTAGGCCGCCCGACGTGGAGAGATAGGCGGGCCTGGTCTGGGCCTGCCGTTAAGGTAGCGAAGGTGGTCCCCTGTAGGATGGATAAGGTAGGCAGGGCCCGGCCTCCGAACCGCGCCCCCTCGCTCCCGGCCACCTCAGCACCTTTTACTGTGAGTAGGTCAGCTGCGGCAGCTGAGATGCCTAATAAGGTTTACGTAGGCCCCTCCCGACGGCCTCAATAACCTTGATCCAGATCCATACCTGGGTGTACTCCCCCACAAAGGAAGACAACTGCGTATAGTACATACAAAGTCGGCGGCAACCCGATCATGGATATGCATCTGTCGACAGACTACGAATAAAACCCTCTTCCCCAAAAAGAAATCCGAGTCTATCACTGGCGAGACAATCAGACAAGCTGCCTGTCGCTCAGGGCCTGACTGACCTGATACACGAAGTCAATCGGCCAAGCGCCGTGGGCATCTCAGGCCATTCCGCCCCCACGGACATCGCCTTTCGTCTTGCCTCTTCGCCTGACGACACCTTTGTCTCTCTCTAAATTACAACAGCTCTGCGCCGCCGCGGCGCGATGGCGTCCTCTAGGATAGTGCCCGTCCGGGCCGCTATCCCCCTCTTGGTGGCTATGATGCTGCTGACGGGCGTCTGCAACACGCTCCTGACAAAGTACCAGGTAAGAAGCCGGCCTCGAACTAGGGCCTCCATTCCAGAAAAGGGGGAAACAGAAGCTTACTGAACTCGAATACAGGACAACGAGTGCGTGCGTGACTGCGACAACCCGGACCCCAACAAGCGGCACCTCTTCGAGCAGCCCGTGATCCAGACGCTGCAGATGTTTGTCGGCGAGATGGGCTGCTGGCTAGTCGTAGCTGTCATGTCGCTATACAGCCGCTACGTCTCCAAGACGAAGCCCTCGTCGTCGTCGTACCAGGCCGTCAGCACCAGTGACGACAACGCTACCGCCGTGGAGGATGAGGAGGACGACGACAGGACCGCCGCCGATAACGCGAGTATCCGCTCCCACACTGCGCTCACCGGCCGCCGCCGCGCCCGCTCGTCGTCGGCGTGCTCCAAAGACACCAACACCCTGGGCGGAGGCGGCGGCAGCCAAGTGCTGCGCGGGTGGCGCGTGCTGCTGCTGTCGCTGCCGGCCATCTGCGACATCCTGGGCACGACGCTCATGAACGCCGGCCTGCCGCTGGTGGCGGCCTCCATCTACCAGATGACGCGCGGGGCGCTGGTGCTGTTTGTGGGGCTGTTCAGCGTCGTGTTCCTGCGGCGGCGGCTGCACCTGTTCCAGTGGCTGTCGCTGGTGGGTGTTGTGGCGGGCGTGGCCGTGGTGGGGCTGGCCGGCTACATCCAGCCCGATAAGAAGAACGCGGCCGACCCGGGCCCCGGCGGCGAGCCCGTGGCCGTCGATCCGCTGGGCGTGCTGATCGGCGTGCTCATGATCGCCGGCGCCCAGATCTTCACGGCCACGCAGTTCGTGCTCGAGGAGTGGATCCTCGAGCGCTCCGCCATCGAGCCCATCCGCGTCGTCGGCTGGGAGGGCCTGTTCGGCTTCTCTGTCACTCTGCTCGGCATGATCGTGCTGCACCTGGCCATCGGCCGCACCCCCGCCGGCCATAAGGGCATCTTCGACATGGTCGAGGGCTGGCGCCAGTTCTGGACCTACCGGCCCATCTTTGTGTCGAGCGTCTTGATCATGATCAGCATTGGGTAAGAATCACAATTGAACTACAGTCCTTCGTTTGTTGCCTGCTAATAAATGTGTAGCGGATTCAACTTCTTCGGCCTCTCGGTCACGCGCAGCGTCAGCGCCACGTCGCGGTCCACCATCGACACGTGCCGCACCCTCTTCATCTGGATCGTGTCGCTCGGCCTCGGCTGGGAGACATTCAAGTGGCTGCAGGTCGCCGGCTTCGTCCTGCTCGTCTACTTCACTTTCCTCTTCAACGGCATCGTCCAGCCGCCCTTTGCCTTCCTCAAGGTTCGCGAGGTCGAGGAGCTGCTCCCCGAGGAGCCCATCGAGCATAACTAGGTGGGGGTAGTGGGTATTTTTTGTTTTTAGGAGTTTGATCATGTGTATATAAATAAGCTACTCAGAAGGAAAGCCTCCATGCAAGCTCGGAGATTTATATAATATTTCCTCTACTCTAGGAGAGACCTCTGCAAGCAAATTCGCCTTGTATAGGTCGCCCCTATAGCAGATGAAATAGTATATAAATCCCTGCGTTTATGCGGGGGCTTTCCTTCTAAGAGCAGTTTTTTGCTTGATCTTCTTTTCTTTTGGATACACGTATTTCCTATCATCTGAGACGGGCGTTTGTGAAATATTGCTATAGGTCATAGGCAATAGAGCGGCGTCTGCATCTGGAATGACTTTATCCTCGCCTCACATCTTTGTTTGTCGGCCGTTGCTTTCTGCCTTGTTGCTCTTCGGGTCATGGGAGTTACGGAGTCTTTGAATCTTATCGTGGGTTGTTGACTTTCTCTCTTTTTTTCTTCCCTTTTTGGGAGGGGGGGTTGCGGTTGCTGTTTCTGTTTCTGGATCTTTGGTGGGCGTGGTGTTTTTAGAAAGAGAGAGAGGGTCAATTCGGATCGGAGTCGGTGTATATATGGGCCGGGACTGGGGTTACTCTTCAAGTCTCAAAAAACTGCTGACTAAAGGGGTAAATACAAAACACGTATATATACAGTAGACAACTCGCTGCTAATCAAGTCAACCTAAGCTAGGTACTTAGGTATGCAAGATGCTTGTAGGTTATAAGCTATAGGCTGACAGAGTGAGAATGGGAGGCAGTTAGGATACTATCTTCGTTCCTGAATGGAAAAGAAGATGGGCGGACAAGTCTTACCCTGCTCTCTCTGTATATCGACTACTTACAAACCAATCCTGCTTTTTTCGTCCATCCCACGTCCATGTTCAGTGTCCTTGTTCACCGACATCGGTAGACGACCACCACAACCATCATCAGCCCACGTATGTGTATGTTGGCAGCGAGAAGGTTTGGTAGGTTCGCAAGGCAGCTAATTAGTTCCAAGGACGAAAGCCTGAGAGTAATAGGGGAAAGGGGGGGGTACTGTAATACTATACTGCAAGGTGTCATGAATATGCACGTACATACATGGACGCCACTGTGGGGCATGATCTCAGGCACGACGTCTCTGGGGAGGATGTCTACACTATGTACCTCATCTCCGTGTGGTATGGGATGGCATGAGACGAAACAGACTTCTAGAATTCTAGCCGAGTATACCGAGTCCTTATTTATATCGGCAGCTTTCTCGTCGGACAGAATCAAGTGGTCACCCAAGCTTCCGGTGCCGCTAGGTTTAGAAATATTTCTTTAGCCATCTTTCGTTTGACGTTCGCGTCTCCCTGGGATGGCCGAGAATAGTCTTACTATCTGATATTCACGCGATGCGCCTTTTTCTGTCGCCACTTTGTTTAGTATTTCTAGGAAGATGCTGGTGCCGGCGGCTAGGGAGACATGTAATAAACCTAAAGCGATCTTGATAAGGCGTAACCAAGAGTCATGAGATAGACCCAACGCAATCTTGAAAAGGCCGTCACAGGTTCTTATTTAGTCTTGGAATTATCACAGACGCCTTGAACAGACCGATAAAGCCCTTCAGCAGAAACCGTAGCCCCCGATCAGATTCAAGTAAGACCAGGGACATTATTACCAACGCCTACGTGATCCACGTTCACCGAGGGAAAGATAATAGCAAGGCGTCGTTTGGTTCTTATACATGCCGTTCCGTACAAAAGAGTCTTTATACACACTACCATACATTAAACAGACAAAATGAAGAGTTGGTGAGGAAAAGTAAAGCTAAACAAGAAAAGAAAAGACAGCAGGAGACATCCGGTCTCGCTCGTAAACACCTCAGCCATAATTGACAGCCGCCCACAACCGTCAAGACATCCTTCGGCTAGCAGTCTTTGCCAGCCTATCCATCACCAGAGAGTATCGTCTTTCTTTGCAGCTGAAGGCTCGTCCCAGGAGGCCGGGGCTGCTGGAGCCGCTGCCGCATTAGGAGCCCATTGAGTCACGGGAGTCGTGTCCTCGTCTGGGTCCCAGCGCACCAACCCCGACGCCGTCGGCTCGGCTGGTGCTTGAGCTGCTGTAGGATCTTGCCAGGCGGTGGTGGAAATTCCGAGCCCCCTAACACCATGGGTAGCACTGGCTGCGCGCGAAGGTGCGCGCGAGGGTGCGCGCGAAGCTGAGCTTACGAGGTTAGATTCCCAGCCGCCAGGCATCTTGGTGCTGCTGCTCTTCCGGTTTTTGGTATCGACGACCGTATTCACCTCGCTGACGTTTGCTCCTCCCAATGCGACTTCCGGGATGGGCCAAACGGTGCTAGGGCCGCCGGCGGTCCAGCCGTTCTTGTTGCTACCACTGGATGTCTTCTTGCTGTTATTAGATGGCGCTTTGCTGGCTTTGATAGTCTGGCTGGAATTGCCCCAGGCGGTAGTCTCTTCCTTGTTAGACGGTACCTTACTTGCCTGGCCGGCATTGCCCCAGCCGGCAGCCGCATCCTTGCTGGACGGTGCCTTGCTTGCCTGGCTGGCATTGCCCCAGCCGGCAGCCGCATCCTTGCTGGACGGTGCCTTGCTTGCCTGGCTAGTCTTGCCCCAATCGGCTGCTCCACTGTTGGAAGGTGCTTTTGCTGGTTCGTTGTTATCGCCCCAGTTTTGCGGCGCGTTGTTGGACGCCGATTTGGTGCTACCAGCAGTTTTAGAATTCGGCTTGGTGCGCTCCTTGTTTTGCTGCCAGGCTTGGTCAAAGCCTGCCAGGGGGTCTGGGGGGTTTGGCGGCTTGGGTGGCAAGCCCGGAACCGCGGGCTGGGTTGTTGAGAAGGGGTTGACTGGTGACGGGTGGGCCAAGGCGCCCGGTCGCTCCCAAGCCGGAATGTGGCCCGGCGGCCGCTCGGGGGGCGGGTCTAATGCACCAGGCCGTTCCCAAAACGGGACAAAGCCCGGAAATTGGGTGGGTTGGCGGACTTGGGGGACATATGGGACATAGGGGACATGGGGGGCTTGGGTTGTCAATTCCGGCGCCCTCTGCGGAGGCGGGACAAACAGAGATGGTACAGCTGCCTGGTAGTGCTGCCCTGGCGGTCCGCCCCAATTGTATCCGGCATGATGCGGGTGAGAACTCGCAGGACGTTCCGAAGGACGTTCCGCAGGACGTTCAGCAGGTTTGGATGTGGGTTTCCGGGAATACAAAGAGCCATGGGGGTTGCCCCAGTGTTCACCGTGGTACATGCGGCATACACCTGTTCCGTTGTCGAGAAACGCATTAGGGCGCGGATCGGTCGCGGGGTCTTCGAACTTATGCTCTACCTCGACAACTTGAGCACGAGCCGGCATCAACAGATCCGAGTTCCGACCCTCACGACGTGGGAATGTAATGGCCCGGCCTCCTCTGCTAGAATGTTTGGCTGTCTATTTATTAGCATTGCATTGCTCCACGGCTAGTTATTGGAGTCCTAACCTTTATTTGCCCCCGCGCTCTTTGGACTCTTATCTTTGGGCTTTTTATCCTTTGACTTGCGAGAGGGTACTGGCTCGGGCTCAGCCTCCAACGGCGAGTCCGAATCAGGCTCCGAATCGGGCTCGGGCTCGGACTCAGACGACGAGACGGCAAGCGTCGTGTCGCTGTCGCACTCGAGCGGCTTCTCCTTAGCCTTCTTGGTCTTCTGCCACTTTACAGCCTTGTCCAAGATCTTGCGGCCTAGTTTACATTCATCGCAAGAGCAGTCCGGGTGGGGATCCAAGCTGAACGTCGCGTCTCCCGCACTTGACTTTGACTTTGAGTTGGCCTTGCAGCGGGCGTTGCGAGGTTCCTGCCACTTTCCCGAGCCCTGTTCGCTGCTTCTACCAGCGCTTGTCTCTGACGATGGCGATACCTCGCTTGCCGATTCGAATGACAGAGCGGAACGCGACTTCTTGAGAGCCGACTTTCTCACGGCTTTGGGTTCAAATTGCACCTTCTTGGGTGGGAGCTTGGACTTGAACCTGCGGCTCACATCCCGCCCAGAGTTTGAGTTGCCCGAGGCTTGCGGGATCGTAACAGAAACCCACTCAATGTCCTGGTTCTCGTTGGCAGTGACCTCCACCTCGACGCGAGACGGGGGCCGTGGAGGGCGCCTGGGGAGATTGAAGCCGATGACCCACTCGGTGAACGAATTGGGGCCGGCCATGGTGGCAGTGCTCTTGGGTAGATGGCGGTGTTATGCGAATAGGCGAAGTAAAGAAACCGAAGTCGGTTTCACTAAGTTTGCTACCGTGACCGCGACTCTGGGAGAATGCTCGAAGATGGCACAGAAAACCGAGGCACGAAGTAAATCGCGGGGAGAAAGCGACTCGAGGTGGGTCGTGTGCGTGTACGGAACAAGAATTTAGGGGTGACGATTAAGGCGACGTCGAGAGAGGGACCAGAGTCCTCAAGAATAAAACGCACCGCCTCAGCGAGGCGAGTGCAGATTTAGTCTTGTTCGTTCTCTAGCTGTGCCCGATGGTGTGTGTGCGGTGAAGAAGAGGAAGTACGTGTGGAAGGGAGGTGTAGAGGAGAAAGTAGGTAAGTAAGGTGTAGAAGGTAAGGTACTGTAACGAGGTAAAGTGAATAAGGTAAGGTCAGTGCTGCAGATGCGTCCCAGGCAACCGAGGGGCAGTCGCGACTTCCCTGCTGAGCTTGTAGTGTGTAGTAGTTGCCGTTACGGTACGTGACCGGAGTGCCAGTGGGCAGGGTATTGGAAAGGAGAAAGCACTTCGCAACCCCGCAATACCTGAAGAGAAGAGGGAAGAGCAGCACTGTAGGTACCTTAACAAGTATGGCACCGGTGACCTTTGCTCCTGACCTAGACCACCTTTATCACCTCTGTCTTCACCTCCCCTTTCCCTCACCCCCTCGATACCTTTGGTCCTTTGGTACCAAATCATAATTACCTTACCTTACCTCGCAGATACCAAAATCACAATGAAAACGCAGTCAACCAGCCAGCCCCATCGCCGTCGTCCAGGCAACGCCATGCTCGAAAAGAAACCTCCCCCCTCCCCTAACTTCCACCCCTATCCCTCCCTTCACAGCTTCGCCCTCTCCCTCAGCTCAACCTCGGCCCACCGTCTATTAATCCTCACATTCATCCAGAAATTCCACAGCCCGACCACGACAGCAGCAGGCGGGCACAGCCACAGCACCATGCTCCACCAGCGGGGACTCGCAGCATCGATGACTTCCATAGCGCGGCGGACCTCGGCAGCGAGCTCGTCGCGGCCGGCGTCGTTCCAGACCACCAAGCCCCTAGCACCCCCACGAACCTCTGCGCGGCGGGCCTTGTTGCGCAAGTCACCCTGGCTGCGCACGCGGTTAGCGGCGTCGTCAGCGGAGAGGTGTGGGTCGCGGGCGCGTAGGCGGCGCATCTGGGTGTCGGGGTCGCGGACGGCGACGACGAGGACGGTGCCGCAGAAGCGGTCGAGCGCGCTCTCGAAGAGCAGCGGCACGTCGAGGACGGCGGCGCGGTGACCCGCTGCGTACGCGCGCGCGGCGGCGCCCAGCATGGCCCGCCGCACCGCCGGGTGCACGATGGCGTTGAGCGCGGCGCGGTCGCGCTTAGCTGCCGCGCTGTCGCCGAACACGCGCCGCCCCAGCGCCGGTCGGTTGAGCGGCCGGCCTCTGCCTGTGGGGCCGTTCTCGGGCATGCTGTTGTTGTTGGTTGCGGGGGGCACAAGCAGATCCGGCGTGCTGGGGCCAAAGTACGACACGATGGCTTTGTAGCCGGCCGTGCCGGGCTCGACCACCTCGCGCGCTAGCAGGTCGGCGTCGATAACGGGCAGCGAGTAGGGCGGCGCGGACAGCAGAGCCGAGACCGTCGACTTGCCTGTCGCGATGGACCCTGTGAGGCCGATGAGAAGCATCGCGCCGCTTGTGTGTTTTGTGCCTTTTGTGTCTTGTATCTTTTGCAAGGGGTGGCCTGTTACTGAATGGCGTTCATGAGCAAGCGTTTTCTGCGACTGAGGCTTATTTCCTCGCCTTGGTGAGTGAAGAATGGTAGACGGTCTATGTAGTGTGATGAGTATGTGGCACTAAGGGTAAGGTAGTCTGCTCGTGGGCTGGTCGTCGTATGATGTTTGCGGGGTGGGTTGGGTACGAAACAGTACGTACCGACAACCGAGATCCATTCAACCCCTGTTTGAAACTCGAGCGGAGCTTAATTGCTCGGCAACAAACCGGATTGATCGCACGGACTACGGCAGAAGTGCTAACAGCTTCCTGCCCTGAAAAGCAAGCTCTGCCGTTAGTCCTTGGGGAGCACATGTCACAACCCTGGTGGCTTGGATTCGGCGGCCTCAGCGAGCAGGGGTACCGCGACTTCTGGAAGCCGCTTGCATTCAGCCTCATTTTGACATCCTCTCCAACTTCAGCTCTCATCTCACCTCACTGCACGGAAACCCCCAACCACTTGCTGCACTCGAGAGGTTCCATTTACTACCAACGCACCCTGAACTAGTTTAGAATGACAAAACCTAAACGCAAGATACCATCTGTTATGAAATGACCGACGAGATCAGCTAGGGAGAGATTAGACAGCGCCATCCCCCCGGTTTCATCGACAAGGAAATCCGTTATAAACGTCAGCCGACGTTATCCCAACCCTGTACCAAACTTTACAAACAACCGACTCTCTCTGTTCAAATTTCTAGTGGTGAACCGTAGCCTAAGGAACACAGAAATGTCTCTCCAGAGCTAGCAACGGTAGAACACCAAACGAAGAGAAAAGAATAATACAAATACAGATCCACTGGGCTGTGAGACAGGTCTGAGCAAAGCAAGACCCTCCGTCACTTGTCTTCCCATCACAGTCCCGAGCGGACAGCGTAGAAGATGCCGTGGTTGTCAATGTACCAGCGACAGTCTCCAAGGTCGTCAATCGTCATTCGGTTCTTGACAGACCAGCTGCCGTCAGCCTCGCGGACCCGGTATTCGCGGAGCGCGTTGTCGTCAGCGGGTTTGAAGTCCTGTGGCTCGTCGATATTGGTATTATAAGCCCACTGATCAATTCTCATCGCCACCTGGCTGCCCGTCAAGCCGACACCCATGGCGGCCTCAAAATGCACATTCGGAACAGGTGCTGCACCCATCGGAGGAGCGTTACCTGTGATGGCCTGTGGAGGCACTTGGCCATAGACCGGCTGACCTCCCGCTGGGTTGGGGACAGGAATAGCGGTACCATGGACCACCTGGGGCTGCATGAAAGGCTGGAGACCAGGGGGGTACTGAACGAGGGTCGGCACAAGAGGTGCAGTCATTGGAGCAATGGCGATGGGCGCTTCCGGCAGGTGCTGGAGGGGAATTGCGGCACCGCCCGTCTGTAGAACACAATCGGTTAGCAAATAATTCACACGTGGAATCGATTGTCATATCAATAGTAGTGTTAGGGCATTGAGGCGGATGCAAAGAGGTGAAATGAGAGTCCAGCGGTTGACAGCCCATCGTTCCCCAATCAAAACAAAGACGGAAGAGAAGACGTTGCTGTTGGCTAGACTTGCATTAACCTGTTGGGCCACGGGGTCAGGTCCTTGGAAAACGGGTTGCTGTGGCAGCACCTGGTTCCAATGCATGCGAGGATCCCCAACGGGATTCCCCTGGTGCATTTGAGCATAGAGCTGGTATGGGTGGTATTGCTGAGCTTGAGCCTGGGGGTATGCCTGAGGGAGATGCTGGGGATATGATTGGGCAGCAGCCTGGTGGAAGCCGTGATGGCCCCAGACAGCCCCAGGAGGGAGCCCGTCGTATCTGGGGGTATAGAGATGCATCTGGGGTCCCATGTTGGTGTCGGGAACCTGGGGCTGAAAGTTTACGCCTACTCCCGTAGGTCCTCGATGCTCCTGGGGCGGTGGCTGAGGAGGGACGAAACCGGGGACAAGGCCAGGAACAAAGCCGGGAGGAGGCGCAATTGGATGCTGGCCTGCTATGGCGGGAAAGGTAGGAAATCCGTGAGGATAAGGGGCTTGCGGGTCATGAGGAACTAGTGATGGCTGGAAGCCAGGGGGATAATTTCCGAAAACTTGCTGGCCCGTTTGGGCCACCGTCGGAATTGGATGGGGAGGTTGAGAGGGGAGATTCTGCGGGGGGGCCGTCTGGGGGACCGTCGGGGGCTGTAGATACGGAGTTCCCGGAGCTTCCATTATTGAATCTTGCCGCGCGTCTCTCGTAGGCGACTCTGCAGGCTGGCCGTGACGAGGAATCGCCGACAGGGTTTCTCTCCTGACGGGAGTTGCGCGATGATGAGATGCGGGAGGGGACTCGGAATCGCTGAAGTGTACCCGCCTATGGTGTTTTGGCGACTTGGAATGCTTGCGGTTTGGGGGCATGGCTGATGACATTTCCAGAATATGCGCAGATTCCAAACTCGAGGGAACGAGCGGATTGGAGAAGTAGGAAGCCCGACCACCGTAGGTAAGTGCGGTGTGGAAGTTTCTTCGGACGAGAGGGATGTTCTTCAAGGAAGGGCTCCGTCCTACTGACCTACCAAGCTTGCGAAGCCCACCAAAAACTGGACGGTTAGATAAAATGAAGGAATTTGCCCAAGGTGATGAATGGTGCTTCCAAAAGAAAAGAAGACCATGGGAAAAGAAAATGATAAATCAAAGAAAAAGATGTTAGTGATGCACTTACAGTATCGTAGAGGAACCAAGTTTGTCCGTTCCAGACGTATTGATACTTCGGGCGAGGGTCATCCTCGTACTCGATGTCGGCGAAGCGGAAGCAGCAAGAAAATACCTGGCCCATTTTCGCGGTTTGCGTGCTATTACAGGTACGGTAGGTGCTGAAAAGAGTGAAGAGGCTAGGAGCGATCGATTCTCAGTCGGGGATGAAGACTGCAGTGCTCTTTCTGCGGGAGGGTGATTGCGGCCGGGACTTTATTATCGACGAGAGGTGGGGGTGCGATGTAGGACGACAGGAATTTCCAAGACGGAAGGCACGACCAGCTTTAACATAGAAGTTTTAGGGATACCTGATACTTTACCTTATGGACCAGGCAGGTACCTGTCGTGGCTCACCGCCAAAGTGCGAAGGTGCCTGCCTGGCCAAACCAGTGCGAGACCCTCGACTTCATCCGATCTTTCTCCTGAATTTCTAGATTTACGGCGCCTGGTAATTTTCACTGTCACTGGTCTCACAATACCTCATCATTGACAATGTGTCTTAAGAATCCACTGCTGGGCAGCACTATTTCGCCTAGTGGTACCTTGACTACCTAAAGCTCCGTGTTTACGCCCATACATACAAGATCTATCTATACCTCAAGCTGTATCCAGCAACGAAACGGTTGACAGCCTGGGAAACCTGGGGTAACCATAGAAAGTGTTCCTGGTGGGAGAGGCCACTCGAGTGGAAAGTCTTTGGGTTCATAGGAGTTTCATGTCGGAATCGTCCTCGGCCAAATCCGGCCACTCGGCAACGTTGCTCTTGTCAAAGTAGTCTTTCGCTGTAGGAGGGTGGGATTCCTCGAGAGCAGCCTCCTTCAGTCGCAAGATAGACCACCAGACGCTGAAATAGGTCCGCTGCCATGTCTGTGATTATGGACCTGGGAGTCAGTCGCTGCAGGTCGATCAAGCAAAACCCCGATTAGGGGTTGGGAAAGACGACACTTACGAGAATTAAGACCGGCTGTGCACCCGAGCGTCTGGCGTCTTGCTTGATCATTTCGAAATCATCAAGAGTTTGGATTTGGTCCATCTTCCCGTAAACAGCAGGCCGCGGGTCCGACTCGTTCCGGGAAAAGAAGTAAGACAATCTATTCAGGGGTTCGGCGTTCAGGTCCTGAGCTGCCAGCCGAGAGATCATATTCCAAGCCGATTTAGCGGCGTAGTGTGGCCGGTCAATAGATTTTAGCTGCTGAATCTGGTATGGGATGAACTGCTGAGGCCGGAATCGCGGGCGAGGCATGGCTTTGAGCATTGCCTCCATCTCTGAGGCCGTGAACGACCAGTCGATATAGTTCCAGGTCGTAGAGGTGGTGCCGTACTCGGCGATGCTGCACACCCCGAACTTGAACTGGTTGGCACGAGGGTCCTTGACCGAGGGGTAGATGGTTGAGCCCTCGAGTCTGTATTGGGCGCAGAGCTTGATCTGTTTGCAAATGTAAGCATCACAAGTCCAGGACGCGAGAAGATGAATTGGGGCGAGAAGGGGAGTAGGTAGGCATACTGACCTTGTCGTAGAAGCTCAGCCGAGAGGCGTCTCCGCCGTCAAGGAATTCCCAGAAGCACTTGTCTTCAATCTCGGCATCTAGCAGACCCTCGACCTCCTTTAACGTTGCGCCATTGGCAGGGTTCTCTGCCCAGCAGCGCATCTCCGAGAGGCGACTATCAAACTCTCGAGTAACACTCTCTCCGGCGGCGGCGGCGGCGTCGTCGAAAGAAACGAAGACGCGCCAACCCCCGATGACAGGGACTAAGCAACCATTCCCCGGCGTCGCAACTAAGGAGCTGTCAAGGCCGAGGGCGGCAATATTCGCCGCCTGGTCCGTGTTCTCGATTGGGATTTGGTTGCTCTTCCAGAAATCCATTCGCAGTTTGACGAGCTCTTCCTTGATCTGACGGGCGGCGGCTTCCTCGAGTCTCAGGCCAGAGCCAGGACCAAGGCCAGAGCCAGCGCTCGATGGCACTGGATCCGCCATGATTAAGCATGCAAGACTTTATCGATGAAGGCAATAGCAAAGAGAAGGCTAAATGAATAAAATGGGGAGGTGGAGGGTTGTTGAGAAGGTGCAGTAGGAGACGAAGCTATAGTCATTTTGGCTCCGTCCGGAAATTGGAAGGCACCGGGGACTGACCGAACCACGTGGAAGGTAGAGAGCGATCAAAACAAGGTGAATATTCCAGGTCGAGCTTCAGCTCAGAAGAATTTCAACTGCGACGAACTTGGGTGGCAAAAGGGGTGGGTGAAGGAAAGCTCAAGATGCCAAGATAAGAGCAAAGGTGAACAGGTGATGAGAAGGAGTACAAAATAAGTGAAGTAAGTCTGAGAGTAAACAATAATAGACCATGACCCGAACAAAACACAACAATTTCTTCAGGAATTAGCAGCCTTTGTGATGCGCAGCAGACTTGGAGACATTCACACAATACGTGTCAAACGCCTCTAGGCTTGTAACCTATTGCATGCCGCCGCCCCCACCAGGGCGTTCTATAAAACCATAAACCGATAATGTACATATGTTCTTCATGGGAGGAGAGATACCTTGCGCTATGCATACCCGCCTCCGTCAACCCTGGCCCAGTTCGTACACGCGGTCCTTACAGGGACACATACAGCCAGCTTTAAAGAAAGAGCGCTGGGTCTCCGTAGATTAGGGTGAAGTTTTGAGAAACGACAGGCAAAGAAAGCCAGGACGTCGTTCCTGGATACCGAGATCAGACAGATTCTGCTGTATTCAGAGCGTGGCGTGTGCCTGATGAGGCGGCTCCGGCACACCTGGGAAGATTGTCCGCCGGGCAACCTTTGATAAAGTGTCAGCGAGGTTCGTGTTTAATTTTAATTAAAAAAAGCAAAGAAAATGGGGCGAGGGTCAAGAGCAATCTTACCGCCCACACTCCAGCTACCGATGCCACTATTCCGCCCGAGATCATCATGGGCCGGAGCCCCCGCGTGCTCTTGAACAACATGCCGCTCAGACCGCCAGCCAAGATCGTGTTGGCCGCGTCGTGCTTCCCCCGGAGATAGCCAATGTACGAGTTTATGAGGTTGTAGCAGATGGCCACCACGCCCGCCGAGTTGCCGAGGAAGGGGCCTCGCCGGGTGACGGCGTTGAGCACCGAGTTGAGCCGCAGCTTGGGCGGCTGGCCTGTCGACCTCCTCAGTCCTTCCTGCAGACCCCACGCGCCGCCTAACGTGAGGGCCGACAGGTACGTGACGCCCGTTCCGTAACAGAGGTCGTCGGTGAAGCCGCGCGACGGCAGCACCGACTGGGAGCCCGGCAGGTTGGACAGCGCCGAGTCCTCGAGCGAGATGTAGTCTAGCGTCTCCCTATTCAGCCCTGCGAGCGGGTGTAGTTGTGTGGGGTCGGCATAGGAGGAGCTGCCGAGGAAGGCATCCACGCCCTGGGGGGAAGAAGGGGAAGAATCGAACGGGCTCGGCTGGCTGGCGGTGCTTATCGTCGGTGTGCTCGTGGTGATCGGCTGTGATGTCGACGGCGACGACGGCGACTGTGATGACGGCTTGCGCCCGGTTAAGGCATCCCAGATGGAGGACATGTTCGGCGAAACGAGAAGACAAAAAAGGAGCGGAAAAAGCAGCAGTCGAGTCGAATCGAATCGATGGCTCGGTGATTGCACGCCTGACTTTTTGCCCGCAAAAGCTGTGGTTCGGCGCTCGATCGAGGTGCAGTGAGTTAATTGGGTATGGAGCAAGAAACTGGCCCAGCTGATGGCGTCGCCCGATAAGGGCCGAAGCTTTTAAAAAATTTACGGCACTATCCTTCGTCTTTGATGGCCCGTGCGTTGAAAGCGGTGTTAGGCGCCTTCGTCTCATAAAGTCCGCCGGTCTTGGCTCACCACAAATGCACAGTGGTGGCATTTACATAAAGCTGTAAGAACGATTCCCGGGGAGGGTGCATCACGTTGTGTCTCCCTTTTCTCGGAGCTCATATTGTGTAATTTGAGCCATTGATTCAGATGCTAAGAGAGAGAGTTCATAACTGCTTGTTGAACCACTTCAGGACTAGCTCGCCTTAGTGCGCTAACCAGATTAGTATATCCCTGTCAGTGTCTTCCTTTTAGGCTTGGATTCAAGGTGAAGCCTCCCGCTCACCCCCAAATTCCTCCTCGCTCTTGCCGTGAAGGAGTCGACCTGCCCACAAACTCATAGGGCATTGAAGAAGAAAACTGCTCGAGGTTTTTTGCTGTTGGGGAGTCCGTGCTGCCACATCTCTGCAGTTTTTTTTTCCCTGGCACAAATCCATTTCTGAGACAAATCAGAATATCTCGCCGAGGCTGTCAAACTTGCGTCTTGCATCGTTTGGTATTGCTTCCGTTTTCGGCCATCTCAGTGACCATGGAAACTACTAGCACCCCCGAAGCCTCGACAAGCCATGCGGACACTCTCTTGGCCGGCGTTGACTCCAAGGTACTCGTCAACGCAAACACCATCTCGCAGTGGCTGTTGAGCCAGCCCGATAACCTCCGGCCTCGGTATGAACCATAAACCTTACGCCTGCATACCTTACCTCACTTACCACCTAGGTTGCCTCGCTTGGCGATTAGGTCCATTGGAATTGGGCTGATTGATTGATGGCTTAGCAGAATCGCCCAGGAATTATTCGAGAAGCTCTTGCGAGATGCATCGCAGTCTCGCCAATACAATGCCACTGGCCACGCCTGTGTCAAGCTCTGCAGCTTTGTTCAGCAGTGTGCCAAGTCGAGTGACGAGGCGTTGAAGCAATGGGCTTTCACCGAAACCCTGTCCAAGAGGCTCTTCCACTTTTACTTGGAGTGGTATGAGCACGACCCCCACCGGGCCTTGAGACTGACCCTGGATATACTTGTCATGACTTCAACTCTCAACCCCAGCCCTCAAACCGGCCAGGCAATCAAGGGACATGTTGTCGAGACACTTGTGGCCATTGTTGCACGGAGATCGACACGGCAGCTGACCAAATCAGGCCTGCAATGTCTTGACCATCTCCTGAGCAAGCGTGCCGTTAGTCTCGATGAGATCGGCCGCAACTACTCCGAGACTCAGCCATCGATGGCTGGCGTGCCAGAGCTTTACTTGTGGAGATCGTTTGTTTTCTACCTGTTTTCCTGGATGGAGGTTACCTATGTCTCCCCGCTTGCCGGAAAGTGCGTTGTTCACATATTCCGCGGACTGGAAACCGCGGCACCACAGACGGACTCGGTTTTCACTGCCGAGCTCTGGCAACGCTGGCTTCAAGATGCCTGCATCAAAAACCCGGCCATTATGGACGACACAAGGAATTATATCCTAGTTCCTGTCTTCAAGACAGACAGAGCTGCCTCTCTCAGGCTATTGCAAGCCTTCATCAAGAGGGACCCACTAACGGCCGTTGAGCACAGGTTAGGGGACCAAACACTCCTACTCCAGTTGGCAACGCTAGAACTGGGGAAGAGATTTGGTCTAGTCGAGGAGCCTAGTGAGTAAAACACGTGGCGTGTGGTAAATGCGGCTGACGAAAAGACAACTTTAAAGGCAAAAGCGGCGTCTCGCAGCCTCTGGCACACATTTCGCTCCAAGAGACTGTCTTGGACAATCTTCTCACCTACCCTTCGCCGTCTGTTAGGTCCAGCGCTTTCTCCTTGCTCATTTCATCCCAGGCGACAACAAAGCCCTTTTCTCAGGTTGCATTCAGCCTGCTCAAAAGACACATTGCCGCATTCCATGCCGACTATGACGCCAAATTTCGCAACGAGATGCTCAGTCTTTCCAAGTCTCTGATCCGGAGGGTGAAAAATGTTCTTTCAGTTGCTCAGAGGAGTCTTTCACGGCCCGCTCATCTCCGTACTCGGGAGATTAACGCAGATGCCACGGTGCCGTCGCCTAAGAAACGATTTGGCCCAGAGGCCGCCCTGAAGGATGAGGCCGAAGCGCACGAGATTATCAACCGCCACGAAGCATTTCTAAGGTGGTATATTGATTTTCTAAAAGGCGAACTCTTACCCACTGCATCATACCAGCGCCATATTACAGCCATCAGAGCAGCGCTTTTGGTTCTGAAAGTTGGCAAGCACGCTGGAGCTTCCGATGATGGCGTCGATATCGATGTCGCCCGGATAATAGCATTCGATGCCACCTGGATTCGCCTTCTTGTTGATCTTACACTGGACCCGTTCGACGATGTTAGGGACGGCGCGACTACGCTCCTAGCCCTATTCCCCCAGGAAATAGTGAAGGCCCCTTCGGCGTTTGCCAGAGACTCGGGAACTCTTCTCGACATATTGGAAGAATTCTCCCTTAAAGCCCAGGCACTCGCAAACAGGACAGGGAGGGCTGACCACGGAGACGGGGTAGCCCGTTCTCAGGGTCTCTTTGCTACTTGGTTGGACAACCCAGAATCTCAGATTGCTTTTTCTTCAAAATTAATTCAAGGCCTCGAAGGCAAGATTTTAAAAGCAGAACAGGATTTAGGCCACGCAGCTATTGAAAGTCCGGTGCACGCAGACTTTGCCTCAATTAGGTACGTGGATAATAGTCCAGGAAATGGCTCTCAGCGAGATCTTGCCTATTGCTGCAGATACAAAGCCACGCGGCCGAGGCACGAGGGTTATCTACAAGAACACGGGTGGACAGGCTAGTGTTTTTTCTGGATGCTTGCTAACTTGAATACCTCAGCTATGTTTGGCAGGTTTTAGCCAGGACCACGTACTCTGACGACCATCTGAAAGTTGTCCATCAGCTCCATCGCCGAATTGTTGACTGCTCCAAGCGTATCTGGCTGGCGGTGAAGCATGTTCTTTGCGATGACTCCCCAGAAGGTCACCTACCTGAAGAATTAGAAGACATCGAAGGGCTCGACACCAAGGATCTGTTGAGTTACAGTTTCCGCGCGGTCCATGAATCGAGGTACGATGCTTACCAACTCTTCCGAGGATATAACACTAACAGCACCGAAGCAATCTCCTTCGCTTGATTGTAGGGACGCTGAGGCTCAAACGGGCTCCTGGAGCGCCTTTCCCAACACCTGACGTCTTTAAGGATGCGGGCTACTTGACATTTGAACAACTCGCCAGCCTGCGACATCGCGGGGCATTCTCCACAGTATCACTTACCTTCGCCACATACTGCCAGCTCACTCAGAACCTGCGCGATGCTTTTCCAGAAGTCGAAGGCCTGGATGGCTTACTCCACGAATGGTACCAGGTAAGACGTCGAAGGCACGGGTTGTATGGTCCAGCGTTAATATTCTTAGGGAACCATCACCTGCATTATGACACAGGCCTCAACGACACGTCGGTCGGCAGGGATTCCGTCTCTCATTGCTGCGATTTTGTTAGCCAATGTGCAATCACCCTCATTCGGCGAGGTTTTCAACACGCTTGGGGAAATCGGCAAGAAAACTGTTCGCCTTTCAGAGACGGACGGATCAAATCTGCCCCAAGTGCACGCTTTGAACTGTTTGAGGGAAATTTTCAGAAGCTCTGTGTTGAGCAAGAAGGCCGAGAGTTACCTGGGGATGGCCTTGAATCTTGCAGCAAACAGCCTCAAATCTGAAGTGTAAGCTAGAAGAGCAACCCCATACCGGCTGTTGGGTTTTGTTGCTAACTTGACCAGTTGGGCAATTCGAAACTGCGGGTTACTTCTACTCAGAAGCCTCATCGACTGCCTCTTGGGTACTGGAGAGAGCAAGGCCATCATAGAGTCTGGGTGGGATGGCCACTCGGTTCGGATCTCTTATAAGAAATACCCCACACTGCCAGGAGTTATCTTAGGACTTCTACAGTCGGTAGACGGTGTTCTCGACGTAGTATCCCAGTCTGGCGCAGCAGAGGCGGTATTCCCTGCACTCGACATCATCCGCCGCGCAGGTCCTCCTGAAGAACACCGCGCCGAACTGCGGAAGCACATCGAGGGATACCTCGGCAGCCGTATTTGGCATGTCCGGGAGATAGCCGCCAAAACCCTGTGCTCTTTTCTGCTGCAGGAAGACTGGATTACGGAGGTTGAAAGTCTTCTCGGTCAATTTGAGAAGCATGCGAACGGACTTCACGGCACCCTTCTCGCTGCTAGGTTTGTTCTTGAACGGAAAGCAGATCTGGGGCATCATGTTAAATCCGGTAAGTCTCCTCGTTCAAATCCTCATGATGAGGTGGCTAACTATATAGCGATAGACTCAACGCGAGTGAAGCAGGTTCTACAAGGGCATTTCCAATCGTCTGGATTGTTTCAGAACTGTCCAGAAATTGAAGCAGCTTACCTTGAGATCACGAACTTGCTCACCAGTCTCGACTTGGACAAAGAACAAGCAGATAAAGCCGCTTCGTATACCATGCTACCTGTATATACGGATTCAAGCTCGCCAAAGCACCACAGTTCTTCAGCCTTACTCGACATGCAGATATCGATGAAGGTTGTCTATGACACCGCAGCATTGGCCGACGTGGATAAGTTGCGATCATGCTTGTCAGATACACTAAAGAGAGATATCAACACCGCAACGAGAATGCTTGAAACAATCCCTTCGGCATGGGGATCCGTGCAAGGTGGCAAGGCTAAAGCAGAACTTTGCGCCATGTACGCGAGCATCTGCAAACTCCCAGGGGCCACGGAAGCCCGCACACAGGCCTTGTTGAATCTTGGATCAGTGGTAGACGATTCCCTCAGCAACCATGACGTCCAGGATTTGCCGAGCTTGGCCAAACTTGACATGTTGTGGGATCATCTTCTGGAAGAAGAGATAAATCCTACTTTGTCGTGTGCAATAATCACGACGAGCGGGTCTCTAATGGCAGCGTCTTTATCACTACCTAGCGACTTAGACAACACTGCAAAGGTAGACCAGCGGTTGATGAGTTGGGGAGAGTTGATAGCCGACGCCTTGGACGCGGACAATGTGAGTAGCAAATCCCTCACAAACAGACACGAGCCCCGAACAGCGACTAAATCCGAGTTATTAGGCATTCGACACGAGGTTTGCCGCAGCAATGGCACTAAGGTCTTTCTTCCTTGACTCCCGACGTCATAGTTGGAACTCCAAGTATCTGCCCGTTTTGTCGGCCCTCTACGATGCCCTTATTGACGACGATGACGAGGTCAGAGAGGTTGCAGCCAGTGCCGCTACAGGCATCATTGGTACCTACATGCTGGCACCGACGGCAGCCGACCGTCTTGTTGTGTGGTTGCGAGAGCACTTTAGGGAGCGAGAAGAGTTCAGATCACTTGTGATATGCAGGATGACTGGTCACACACCTCATCTGAGGGACATCGAAATGATCCCAGCCGACCAACAGCTAATTAAGACCATGGACTTCGACGACTCTCTATTTGCAGCCGAAGAGCAGAACCTTTTCATTGACGAAGTCAAAGAGACCATGAGATGGCGACAAGCCTTATATGATTTTGGGCAGTGGAAGGGAGATGCACCATTCGAAAACCTTGTACAATGGACAGACTCCGGACTAGCATATCTAATACAGCTCTCGGAGAAAGAGGACGGGCCCTTGGGCTGGACCTCTGACCAGCACGTGTTCGCAGTATGCGCCCGCGTTCTGCTTAGTGCCGTTGCAATTACTGCTGCCGGCAAAGTCTCGACAACCAAGAGTCTGTTGGAACAGTTCAAGCATGTCGGAACCAGAGCAAGGATTCACGGGTCACTTCTAGAGATGGCGTTGTCGGAGGCCGACATTTAGAAATCAAGATGTGTTTGCGAGGTTGGAAAACTTCAGCATCGTTGCATCAACTTTCGATTTGGGTTGTGAGTTGTCGTCGTGGGCTGTCTGGTTACTAAACCCCAGCTTGGGTCCCCCACAAGCGCTTCCCCGCCATCGCGCCCTCTCGAATGCCGCGCGGGATGCCCGCAAGTGGGCCTTTTCGTGGGCATGCCTTGCTATCGACAGCGCCCGGCCCCTCCGGAGGGAGGGACTTCCACTGTGGGAGACCTAAATTTTCGAGCCTCAAGGCGGTTCCTAGTCCTAAGAAAGCCTATCTTCAACATTGGCTGCAGGGGCTTGCATATCGATGCCTTGGACGCACCTGTTGTTTGGCTCAGCTGCACCAAACCTCCTCGTCTGATTGAGGAGGCCGGTAAATGGCTCTTCGTTGATCGTTACTCGCAGGGGTTGATGGTTTTCCTGCATGTCCAATCTCTCGAAGATGCTCCTCACCATGTGAAACAAAATTTCTAGAAGCTCATAGGGACCTCGCGGCGTCCAAACAAAAGCCAATGGCAGGTCAAGCCAAGAGCTAGTGAGGCTGCCTCCGAAATGCCGACAGCCGCTTCGGCTTGCAGATCCCGCCTGATGGGCCCAGTCAACGCTAGCTCTTAGGGGCGTGCATCGTCTTCCGTGAAGAAAAGAAGGAAAAACTAGCTGAGGCTGGTGCGCTTCATCTGTCGATACCCAATGGTGCAGAACCCAGGACCTGGGTTTCCACATGGTCTACACGTATAATTCTCCGATCTTTTCAGCTCCCCAGGTTTGGGGTCACAGTAGGGCTTCCTCATTTCTGACGTCAACTAACAGTTATCACAACCTTGTCATTGGTAGCCCTGGGACGCAGGTGTTATTACCAAGAGCGGCGACAAGTAGTCGAGAAGTGCGTTTCCTCCCCTTCGGCGTGCACAGGATGAGGGGCGGGAGGCAAACCCATCAATAAGTGGAATCGAGGACGAAGCTGCTTGCGCCACTTATCGCCACTTCTTCCCCGGCACACTCGACACCGTCGTATGGAGCAAGTAATATCGGCACCAGCGTGTTAATGAGCCGTTCTGTGATGTAGAATAGCTCACAACAAAATTCTTGAATTCTCGCCAACTCGGCTTGCTCAGTTGCAGATCGGTCAGTTACTGCATCGCAAGTGGCCAGTTCTTAAGGCCAAAGAGGACGCCCGCACTATTTTGAGCGAGTTTTGAGACCTCCCCTTGCCCCCTTGACCTGGCAGTTGGCTGATGGCCTAGGGCCAAAACCAAGGGCCAAAACCAAGGGCCAAAGAGAGCCGCGGATATCATTGCGTCCGCAATATAGCGGCTCATAATGCAGCAAAGTTAAGATGGGGTCATATATTTTCGGCCACTGTTGAAAGGGCGGACCGCCCAATCGTGTTCGGAAAGGGCCCTTCAAACTAGGTCGACCCTTTAACATGCAGAGCAACATTCGGGCCTTCGTGCTTTTGAGATGGTCTTGTCAACGTAGGGTGTCCTGAATAGGCATGTCTTCTGACCGAGGCCCGCCGCAATGGATCGCATGGAATTGCAGGTTTCGGAACAAACCTCTTCTTCAACAAGAATACAGCTGGAGACGAGCATTCGAGTCCTCAGAGGCGTCACGAAAAGGAGCTGCATGCAGGATTTTGGAGTCTCACGGCCTGCAATTGGCGCTCAACCAAGACGAGGTTCATCTGTTCAGGGACCGAGCCATTCGAGGTCAAGTGACTTTTTGTCACGAGATCGACAGAGGGAGTGGCCACAGGTCAGCGGGAGTCTGAACAAGGGGCTGGGACTGGCTTGATTTCCGCGGCTTTTTCTTCCAGACCTTTTCCTGGAAACAACGGAAACAAGCGGGACACCCAGCCATGCTCTAGAAACACTACCCCGCCAAGGAAGTGGCGCTACCATTTCACCGGTACATACCTACGGGGCACCTTGGCTCAGTAAACATTGTCAGGAAACCTCTAAGAGAGCTGCCAAGTTTTGATCGCCGAGCTCGGCTAGGTGCAGCAGCCATTTGTTACATCTCCAAGCGCGCTTCATCGATCAAAATCATAACCAGTCGCTGACAGGAATTCCGATTGCATGATGGGTGGTGGTGAGGTACAGGAGGTACTCCGTACCTCGATACCACGGTGGCCTCGAGCTGCCCAACCGGGAAAGGGTGAAAGGCTGGTGTCCGCTAGACCGATTCCTGCCGAGCTGTTCATGTTCATGCCGCCCTCTCTCCTCTCTCCCACCTGGTTGTGTATCTGGCGGCCACAGCAGCGAGCCGAGCACATTGCTCTCAATCGCCCATATCCATATCCATCCTTGAGTCACCACGGTCAAGCGCTGGAGTTCGAGCTGGAGCTAGAGCGAGTTCGGGGACGCGCAATATCCGCGTGCATCTCGGAATAATTTCACAATGATGACGGGATAACTGGCTCGTGGCACTCGAGGGGCCTTTTCAACCAGGATTGGCCGGCGGGCTTGATGAAGTCAGATTAACAGCCTTGGGCCAGGCAGCTGGGACAAGCCACCTCGGGTTGCCATAACGGTACATGGCATGGCGTCTCCAACCACGTTTTTACACCATGAGCGACTAGAGGCAGAAGAAGTTGAGACGCGACACGGCGACGCGACATGTTACTTGGTCTGCAATCTCATGGTCATGAGGTGCGGCAGCCTTGATAAGCTCCAGGTACGGTATTCGCACATTCATTACACTACGCACAAGCTGCAACACACCACATATGGTCGGGGAGGTGTACGAAGTGCCTACCTACGGTTCCATTCTGGGCCAGATGGACTCTCCACTCGACGGTCACTCAGCGCCGGATACCCTTGTTAGGTTCCGACTCGTGGATTCGCGACTTCCCGCAAAGATGGGTCGAGAGCTTTCCTAGTCCTTCCAAGACACCATCCATTTGTCGACAACTTTAGGGTCCTGCCCAATCAGCTGCTCTACATCGGTCTTTCTCTCAAATGCAGGCCGAGAAGGCGTCCAGCCCAGCAGCCAATGAGGCTCAAGAGCAGGGGTCCGAGCTCACACACCTTTTCATCCTGACACGAGCCGTCTTCCTAGACTGGTGTTTATCGTCGACTCCTGCTTTCCTCTGCACATCCTCACTTGGCCGTCGTGGGGACAGCCCAGCCCAGCCGCGGACAGCCGTTGGTTAGAGAGCATGGCAGCATCTTGGTTCTGGGCTTCTGCTACCCCCAAGACCCCCCTAAGTGCGCATAGAAACTATGGCTGATGGGACTGATAGGAGTACGTATCAAAGGATAGGATAGGTTGAAGGGCAGTCATTGATGGGACGGCGCAGGCCCGGCCTTCTGGGCTCAGTGGGCTGGTTCTTCTTCGCCGCGGCTTTACTTTATTGGGACGCAGTGCCGGCCCCCAGGCATACACATATGCAAGATATCCCTTTCGGCCGCGGGGCCAGCCCAGGCTGTGGCGTTGAGCAGGTCGAAGCGAGCCGGTCGACTCGGGAGTGAGGGGGGTCGGCTAGCCACTGAGGAACGTGAGACGAGAGAACACACCTCTCAAGCTGCGCGCTTGTTCTGTTTCATGTTGGGGCTTGCGGAGGCTGTTCTCTTCTTGTGTGCGTCTCTTAGACGCAGCGCCATGCCATGTCTAATCCGACTGATGATGGTGGAGGGCTCACTCAATCTCACCGCATGCAGCTCAGTCTCATGGGACCTCTCCGCCTCGTCCATGGCACAGCAACACTCAATGCTCATTGCCCGCTTGGTAAATTGAGGTCATCATGTTCTCATTGTGCTTGCCTGTTTCAGCCATGGCGAAGGAGATTGTCACTAGGAGAGACGGTCTTGATATCATTTCATGACGGCGAATGGCGGCTGTGAAGGCTCTTGGTGCGGCCAACGTGGTCTGGTGCTCGAGCTCCCGAGCTCCATCGCGCTGGACGAGCTGCACAAGCGCAGGATCGGCCTTGTCTTGCCTGTCGTCAGCCTTTTTGGGAGCTGTGTCCTTGCAAGACTTCCCACAAGGCCCAAGGTGGTGAACAGGCCCGAGAAGGGTCGTCTGACATGTCTCTTTGGTCCTGCAAGCCGGAAGTGTCAGCCACATGCCGGCCCCGCTAGGAAAGGCCTGGCGTTGGCTTGAAGCGGTAGTAAGTAAACCTCTGCAACACCACCAGCGAGCAAGCCTATTACGGCAGAGTAGCACATATGTGGTATTGGGGTGTGCTGGAATGCGAACGAGACTTGCCGGGTGTCTTCAGTCTCAACAAAAGCTCGTCTTGCGTATCCGGCTGCATCTTTGGTGGCCAAGGGCAATGCAGGACGTCGCCATGTGTTGAGAATCAATCTATCCATATCATATCTCACACGCGGAAGCGAAGTCGGTTACGGGCTGCATACTACACGTACGGTACTGCCCATGAGCAACCGAGCCATGACGATGGCCTAAGCTCCATCAAGCACAAGCACAGGCACCGTCGTGGCGTGTGTAATATCCGACCAGGCCAGATAACGGCTTGAGGTCGCTGGGTTGGCCGGTATGCCAGTAATAGCTTAATCAGAGCACTGGCCAGTGGTCGTTGCCGAGGAGTCGAGTCGGCCGGCGAGCCCCACACTAGCCATGCGGCAAAGCCCCCGCCCTTGTTTTCTTGTCCGATACGCGCTGCTCTGGCTGTGGGACGCGTCACGGAGCTTGGTCGGCAAGGAGAGAAAGCCACAAGAAAACAGGTCTGCAGAGGATGTTGAGGGGCTCGACCGTCGACCAAGACCAAAGACGTGCTCGCAGGTGGGGCGGCGAGGGGCAACGAAGATCCCGCTGGCGTGTAAAGAGGACCTGGCAACGGAGCAACAAGGGAGCAATTTTTGGCCTTTGGCGGGGTTGACATGCGGTGTGCGTGTGTGTCTGTCTGTCTGTCCGTCTGCCACTACACTAATCAACAGCCTGTCTACGGATACCTTACTGAGTGCCTACATAAGGTACATACATAGTAGCTCCGAAACTTACAGAACACATGGTACAGTACCTCAACGTCGTGTAGCTGGTGCTTGCTTTCTGCTGCTACTACGGTAGGGAGTAGGGGCGGATTCCGGCGGTACAGAAAACAGTATAGATGGCGGGGGACCGACGCCGCTCCAAGGCTTCTTCCTAGCACTTAGGGACTGGCACACATCCCGGCGGGTGGCGCTGCACTGGCCACATCTGCAGCTTTCAGCTCCGGTGGCATGCTACCGACCCGCTATTCGCCTGAAGACGGTCGGGTTTTTTTGTCATTCAGCATTGTGCATATGCACGTCGCTGCACAGCCCAGCCCGCAGAGGTACCGCGACCTGCTCTGCTTCGGCGACGACGGCGATATGCCGCGCTGCACCACCCACTGCACTGCACTGCACTGCACTGCACACTGCGTGGCCCGCCCGCTGGCCCGCTGTGAGGGAGAGGGAGGGACTGGGACTGCTCCTCTTTCGCTTTCCTCCCTCTTGTTTCCTCTCCACCCTCTTCGCTCTGCCCAGTGCACGGCGTCGATTCCCGCCCGTGTAACTGACTGCCAGGTTATAGTGCTAGCGCAACTCGGAGGGAGGCCTGGGACCCGAGGTCAGCAGGTTCGAAACAAATTGTACCACCGTCTTTTTTACACCACTCCTCTAGAGTGCAATACCTATCTTACCTACCTAGGTACAGTACGCAACTGCAGGGGATCGATGCCTGCTGGTCGAAAATTCTTTTCCGTTTTTGTGGGAGTTGGCATGGTGGTGCGGCGGACAGACGGCGTGCGTGCCACGCGCCGGCATCCGAAGTTTGTGGGAAAATGATTCCGGATTGCGACGCTTGGCCGAAGGCACAGAAACACCCGTCATGACTAGCCCGCCCAATGCACACCTCGGTATCGCAGGTGTACACTATTAGGTGGGTTTAGGTGAGTGAGGTGGGCGAGGTGGGCGAGGTGAGGCCATGCAGGCTCCCGCCTTGGAAAAGTGGCCAGGTACATGAGGACTTGGAGGGAGCAGTTTCGGACCAGGCGAGAGTCGTGTTGTTAGGTTGCCGCATCGCTGGGACTGCAGCACTGTCGAGGAGTGGGCTAGGTATGTCGACAGACGGGGCATACAGCGCCTTGGCCGATGCGATGGGGTGGATACAGGGACACCTCAGTATCCATGGAAGGCGACTTTTGCCAGCCGAGCCAGCCAGCCAGCCAGCCAGCCAGCCAGCGGGCAAGGCAGGCGGCAGTGTGGTGTTGTGCTGCGCTGCAACGACACTACCCTACTACGGCGGGACTTGCAGAGATGTGACGCGGGCAGCCGACTCCACGCCGGGGCGATGGCCGGCTCGACTTGTCGACTCATCTGTCTATAACACCCCACCGCCCTCCTCGCACACACTTCTCCCGTATACGAGAATCTCACCCTCCTTGTTTCCTCACCCACCCTACCCTTCTCTTCTTCTCATTTGTTGCGGTTGCTGGCGCGCACGCTACTCCCTAGTCTTGGGACCGCCCGCTCCGTCACCTTGCTCACCTTGTTTCTTATTACTATTCGCTTCCCGTCCTTTGTCTACTCTACTACCTTAGTTACTATCCCAGTACCCACCGCCTTTTCCCTCTTCCCTGTCGAGTTGTGTTTGTTGTTGTGTTGTGTGTGATCAGAAGCAAAGAGCCAGTCCCATAATGCCTCCCCAGCTATTACCCGCCTCGGCCGCCGCCTTTGCGCCGCGCGCCTCCTCGGTCAACGTCGTGCTGGGCTCAAAGATCGAGCCATGGCTGACCCAAACACTCAAGCGCATCAACCGCGTCAAGAGACCGCTCAACAGCGTACCCCAGCACCAGAGATGTCTGACAGAGACGCTGTCGTCGCCAAACGCCATATGGACCCTGGCGTCGCTAATGCTACCCAAGGCGCCCGAGTCGGAGCTGCGCAAGGATCCCAACCCGCTCATCGAGGCCATCTTCAACTACCAGCTCGTCCACCTCGAGGCCTACATCGTCCACGTCGACATGGTGCTCCGCAACGAGGTCGCCTACAAGCTGACCCCCGACACCATCGAGCTGCTCATCGAGTACCACAAGGACATACACTGCGTCAACTCAAAGGCCACCACGTACGACTGGTCCGAGAAGGAGCAGCAGTGCAAGAAGCTGCACGAAGAGTTCATCCAGGCCATCAACAAGTTCGTCTACACGACCCATGTGTCCGCCCTCGAGGGCCTCGAAGAGGATGGCGCCGGCGAGCTTCTCAGCGGCAAGAGCGACGAGGTCAAGAATAACGTCCTGAACCTGGTCAAGCCGCTGCTCCCGCCGCCGCCGAGGATTGTCGACGTCGTCCGCCAGCAGCCTCTGCTGCCCAGCTCGCCCGTCAACAGCATGTGGTCGCAGCCGCCAACCCCGTCGTCGATGCCGGCCCCCATGGACTCGTGGCGAGTTCTGCCGTCGAGCCCGGGCGTCACGTCCACGTCTGGCGACTCGAACAGCTCCATCTGGGCCAACATGAGCATGAGCGACGTCCACATCTCCCCCACGCCCTCGTATAGCCAGCCCTTTTCGTCGGCAGGCCTGTTCTACAGCTCGCCCGTCGTCACGTCTCCCATCCCGCACCTGCCGCTGCCCAGCATGCTTGCGCCGCAGTGCGGGGTGAGCGTGGGCTACGGATCGTTTGGCTGGGACCGCTACCAAGAGTACACGACCACTATGTGACAACCACCACCAGTCACAAAGACAGACTACCCAGTCGTGACAAGTGCGTGAAAGAGGAGCGGGGCGCGCCCAAAAGCCAACCATTACGGCATCTTTGAAAGAACGGCTCTCGCCTACCATGTTCGGGTAGCGAGGCCGAGGTTTCGAACTCGACGGCGCAGCGGGCTATCAACGCAGATACCGTCACACGACGCACGATCAAGAAAGGCATTTCGGCGTTTTGCATGGGGCAACTTTTTGGCGGGCGACTTCTCGACAAACACATCCACAACTCTCTTCCTTGGAGACGCATATATATCCCATTGGTTTTTTTTTCTTTTCTTTCTTTTCCTGTCTGGTTGGCAAGCGAGCGTTGGAATTTTTTCTTTCTTCTGGATACCACTACCGCCGCGAGTTCGGTCGCACGTTTCGTCTGATTTCTTTTTTGACTAACCTCGATATGGCTGGGTCCTGGGGCGGGAGACACTGACTGCATTTGGTGGAGAGACTGACTGCATTTGGAGCATGGAGAGGGCTGACATACAATTTTCTTTTTCTTTTTTGGTCCAAAGAGGAAACGCAGCAATGCACCCGCTCGGCATAGTCCGGGACAGAAACCTTTCCTTGGGTTCCTATCTCTCCTCTTTCCTTTTTTTATATTTCTTTTTTATCATCTCCCCTGGGAAAACGGCATAAAGAGGGAGAGGCTGGCTCCAAAAGATACCCCCCTGGTGGAAACATACCATCTTCGTCGTCGACCGATCGCCACTCGCTTCAGCATCTTTCGGCATTCTTTTTTGGCGGGTTTCCTGTCTCATGGATGATGTTTACGGCCTTGTTTTACGACGACGAAGAGAACCACGGCTGCGACGACTTGTCCTTTTTCCTTTCTCGGCGAATGGTATTCGACTCTGCTAGCTTGATGCTGGATGACGCGCTACCTTGGCGGGGAGAAGAAAGGAGCCGATGCACACGTTGGCAAACTTCGGTGTCACTGCGGAGAGAGCAAACCGATGGGACTGGTCCCGGACTTTTGGCAAATCCGCAAAAAAACAAAAACAAATAAGTGGAATGCCGGCCGAAATAAAACATGCATCTAGCTGAGAACGCATATCTGGAATATCGCGGTCGAAGCAGACACTGGTTGTCGACAGGAAACCAAAAGAGAAAACCTCGAAGTGAGGACGGAGACGGGGGAAGTATAGACACGACAGAGACACCAACGAAAGAAGGCCTCCTTCCTAATCAACAAAACACATGAGCCTTCCACTTCTACCGGAAAGTAGCGCTTTCTGTGTTCGCCAAGCTCGGACGAGATTACTGTTGCGACACAGTCTCTGGAACTCCACCACCTGCTGCCCTGCCAGTTCGGGGCCTGCGATGGTGGCCAGAGGCTGTGCTTTTTTTCGCAGTTCAGGTCAAGGTTTCCGATGCAAGGTGGTTCAGAGGCTTACCGCTGCTCTGGAGATGGGGCGTCTAGTGCTACGGAGGTGGAGGAGTCTGGCAGCATTGGCTGTGCCTCTCTCTCTCACACACACACTACGGGTCTAGTCATACTCTTAAAGAATATTACCGGGCTTGTAGTGAGAGGTAGAGAAGCACAGCCGAGCCGGCCCGGCTTTTGTTGTTGCGACGTGGGTCGTGGGGGTTTGGGTATGGACTTTGCAGCGCAAAGCAAGACTCGAGGCACATGCTTCTTCCCCTCGGTTCCTTTTTTTCGTCTCAGGAGCACAAGATGTCAGGACTCTTTGTCAGAGTCGAAGTTGAGTTGTTGAAGAGGACGAAAAGGAGACGCGTCTTCGCCCAGGCGGCGTGGCGCTGTCCTTCTTTTTCTCCGGCTTGGTCTGGACGGGAACTTTCTCTGCTGGCTCGTCGGTCAAAAATTGCAGTTTAAACTCTCCTACCTCCCAAGTATAGTAGTAGTTAATTCTTAAAAAAAAAAAAAGGCAGAGAAAAAAAATACCAGAGAAAGTCAACAAACGGCTTGTTCAGTCTTGTTTGTGATTGTGATTGTGATTGTGTGTGAAGAAGGGATGCCCCTATTCCGACCGAACAGCAAATCTTCTATTAATTCCATGTCGTGCACTCGTCATGATAACAGATAACAGAGGCCAAAGCTGCGAATATGGAAACTGCAGGTAATATTTTCCCCGAATTGTGCACATGTACATACATGTTTGGAATCAACGCCCTCCCTCCTCCCAATGCACTGATAGACTGACTGACTGACTGACTGGCTCATGGATTGCGAATCGCATGTGATTCCGCGGCATCCAGGGTTACAGAGACGAGGGCTTTAGCCGCGCGGTATTATCTACACAGAAGTTAATGGCCCGCTGCAACATAGCTTGGCCGCGTCTTTAATTAATATCTTTGATTAATAAATATAGGGGCGAAACTAGGTATGTACATAGTACGAAATTCTTTTTATTGACCTCCTCCCCCTGACGGCGAGACCCTGCAGCTACGTACTATCTACCTAGGTCTGGTACAGCGTGGCCAGGTGAGCGGGTGAGGCGAGGCGAGGTGAGTGATGACAGATCTTGGTGAGCATCCGAAGGGGGCCTTTTTTCTCTTCTTGAGCCGCCCAGGGGACTGGAATTGGGATTAAGGAAGCTCCTCACGGGTCCTGCCGATGATCGGCGGGTTTGGAGAGAGAGAGAGAGAGAGAGAGAGAGAAAAGGAGAGGGGCAACCTAGGAATGGATGGATGCGACGGGTGTCAGCTGGCTGGCGCCTTGATTCTTTAGTGTAATGTCTCGAATGGGATACCGTGCGTGGCCCGCCATTGCGGCTGAGCCAGCAGCAGCAACTTCCTGCGGAGGAGGGGTGAGAACGGGGAAAGACAGAAAGAAGAAGAAAAATGTCTGGCAGGTGAAGAAGGCGATGTGGACGAGGGTGGCTTAGTACCCTAAGGTAAGCCGTAGATGTCTCAGAAAGCCTCTTTCCGGAGGTTTGAAAGATGCCTCGTGCCGTTTGTTGGTAGCGTAGCTGCAGCAAACAGACGAGGCAGGGCAATTGGCTCGGATACGGCAGCTTCGTGTGTATGTATGCACGCAGCTGCGTTGACCGAATGGGGCGAACCCCACACAAAAATTGGACGGGGAAACGAAACGAAACGAACCCCGACTGCACCGGCTGCTCGGCATTGACGGGCCTGCAGAATAGTCCCGGGAAAATATGGAATACCTAGGGATTGCCTGCGGATACCACGGGCTGCCCAACACGGTATACAGTACAGTACATACCTCCACTGAATCCTGGAAAGATTACCCGCGGAAGGTGCCGCTGGCCGGCCGGGTAGCAGCGGGGGCTTCAGTCGGCGCGGCACAGCTTAGTTCGAGCTTGGTGGTCAGCACCTTCTTTGTTCCTTCGACTCAAGCCCCTGTGAGTATCCACAAAGCACTTTGCATGACGTTTAGGTTGCTACGGAGTGCTGTGGGAAGGAATGCATCTTAACTTACCTACCAGGCAGGTAATAAGGTATTGTAAGAAGGAGCGCCATGGATTGCTTCAAGGTCCGTTCACCAACAAGTGGTATCTGTAACCCAGAGCATGTTCAATCCTCTCTATGTCTAGGCTGTCTGCTCCCCGAACCCGCTGCCGTGGCACGCACGCACCGCACCCGCCTCATCTGTTTACGAACCCGGGCCAACGTCCTGGTTCAGGACTACTCAACGGGACACAGGCCACCTATCCCGCCGGTTACTTACCGCTGACTGATCGAAAAAAATTAATTTTTTATCCAGATGCTAATAAGCAAGTTCTTTACATACGGAGTACCTGCCTAGGTAAATATGTTTCACGGTTGCTAGGGCTGAAATGTGCTGATCGCCATCCACTGCGCGGCACCAAACAAAATTTTACGACGTAGGTGAGGTGGATGAGGTCCGTTAATAAGGAAGCATTTGTTTTTGTTCCTGTTCCGGTAGAGTGAAGAGATATTTGCGTATAATAGCGGGCGGCGCTATTAGAGGAATAACGTAAAAACTTGTACTCCGTATCCAATTTGCGTATTCAAGAGAGAGGTCTTCTTTCCGAGCATACGTTCGTCGTTTTGCTCTTAACTTTTACGGTTTCCCCCTTTTCCTGTTTCTGCTTGCGGGGACTCAAAGCCCTGCCATGGCCGTGCTACTGCTGCGCTGCCCCTCCCTCCTCGTCACCCTGACTTCGAACCGCTGCCAGACCCAGACGATGGCGCTGAAGAAGCTGGCCGGCCGCGCCGGGTCCACCGCCTGGAAGTCGTACCGCCTCACCAGCTCGTAGACAACCTTGCGCAGCGCGAGCAGGGCCAGCTGCTTGCCGAGGCAGCGGAACTGGCCGACGCTGAAGACGAGGCCCCACGCGGCCTCCATCTCGGCTAGCTCCCCCTCGTCGGCCTCGAGCCACCGCTCGGGCCGGAACACGTCGGCGTCGTCGCCCCAGATGGCCCGCGACCGGCACACGGCGAACACGGCGCCGCCCGTGCCGACGCTCGTGCCGCCTGGCACGAACCGACCCGCCAGCGTGTCGCCGCGCGCCGGCACCTCCTTGTGGAACAGCGACGAGCTGACGCTGGGGTACACGCGCAGCGCCTCGTGGACGGCGGCGTTCAGGTACGGGAGGGTGTTGACGTGGGCGCTGGTGCCGGCGCCGGCGTTGCCGTCAACCTCGGCGCGCAGTCTCGCGAGCGCCGCCGGGTTGCTGAGCAGGCACAGAAAGGCCGCGCGCAGCGCGTTGGCCGTCGTGTCGGAGCCGGCGAGGAACACGAGAGACATCTCGTGCTTTAGCTCTTCGCGGCCGAGGCCGTGCGCGATGAACGACTGGAGCATGTCGTGCTTGGGTTTGGTATCTTTGGGGCTCGGGGCTTGCTGGGAGAGGCGCGAGTCGATGACGCGCATGTAGACGCTGCGGTGGGTTGGTTGGTGAGAAGTGAGAAGTGAGGGCGGGTGCATGTATGAATGGTGTGGCAGGGCTCACCTCGTTGCAGCTCCGAACCCGGTCCCGTCGCCCTCCTTTGGGAGAAGCAGGCTGATGGGCCAGCGGTACGTCATCTTGGCCAGCCAGGGGTAGTTGCCCAGGATCTGGATGATGGGCAGCATCATGTCGTACGTGTGCAGGATGTTGCTCCAGTCGCGGTCCTCGGCCATGAAGCCAAACTGCTGGCCCACGGCGACCTCGCCGACCATGTCCATGGAGAAGAAGCCAAAGCGCGAGGCCAGATCCAACGGCCGGAACTCGGTGCCGGTCGAGATGTATTTGGTGTCGATGAGATGCACGAGCGACGCGATGGCCCTGTCGATGCAGCCCTCGAAGCTCTGGCCGTCTTTTCCGGCGTATCCCGGCAGGACCTGCGCCATGCGCGTCGACCGCTGCTCCTTGTCGAACATGGACTGCACCGTGTCGCCGTCTCCGTTCAGCCGGGCGATGACGAACCACTGCGCCTTGTTGTATGGGGATTTGGAGCCTAGGATCCGGTGCATGGTCGGCACGTCGTTGCACACGATCTCGTTGGGCCCGATGCGGACGATCGGCCCATAGGTGTCGAACAGCTTCCTCAGATCCTCGTGCAGTCTTCCCCGCCAGCACTTGTACACCAGAGGAAGGAGTGAGATACCGTGGTACCGGGGACCGGGGATGTGTCGGAGACGGAACCATTTGACAGCTACACGGCACACGGCGTAGAGAAACAGGGCCGCCAGGGCATAGAGGACGAGAGGAGAAGCCATGGCCGGTTGGCAATTTTTGATCCTGGCAACCGGAGTCTGAAGCTCCATGTTCGAAATATATATACATACATAAAACTATATATATATGTATATATAGGCAACTGACAAGGTCGCCGAGAAGAGTAGGAGCGGTGAGGGTAGCTCAGATGAAACGGAGAATCGAGGCCATAATCACCGGTCACTCGGCAGTCATACGATCAAACAGATATGGAACTGGATCAGGGACCCACAGGCAAACACAGTGGCCGGAGACTAGATGGAAGAACCGAGGTGAGGGGAAGGAGCACGATGGATAGGAGTAGCGAAGCGAGGTACGGGAGACTGGGCGAGGGGCAAAAATAGAAGTGCGTAGAAGGACGCATGCCCGATAAGGGTCGATACCTACACTCCCACGAAGCAAGATCCGATCAATATTATATGCGGTATGTATAAGCTTTATGCTTATTGGCAACAAAGTTGGGCAAGCGTTCGCCGGGACAGTCGGCGGGATGGCCAGCTATCCTAGCAGCCATTGCCCGTTGCAGGGCCGAATCCATGTCTCCGAACATGGTTACATAGATTGGCGCGAGGCCAGGAGTGGTCGAGGATCCCTGAGGTAGTCGCAACTGGCGTATTGAAGTGCGAAGGAATACGCTCTTTGCTGAGCGGCTCGCCCGGATCGAGCCGCTTTATTGTCTTAATTGGTAACTCTGAGATGGCTATATTGGGATGTGATTGGCGATGCTAGACTCCAGCGGCCGCCAGGGGACGGCCCAGCGGCTCACTTGGGGGTGTGCAAGATTAGAGCGATTGGACTGTTTACTTACAAATGTTTGTTAGCGTGGGACATGATGAGACGTGAAAGGGTTGATCGCGTTGCTATTCAAACTGGGAGGAGGCAGCTCTTGAAACCCTTGGTATAGAATGCTAGAGGCCCATCTCCCTCCCAGAAACACCTATTCGAGGCTTTTTCTGGCCGGCTTGTTTGCTATAATCTTAATCTTTCCCCCCAAGTACCACGCCAACAAACAGTCAGGGGTTGGGCGGGTTGGGCGGGTTCTTGCACCTCTCTTGTATAAAGGAGTTTATGGTACTACCAAAGTTGCGGTACCAGCCCACGTCGGCCAAGCCCAGAAACATTTGAAGGAGCTTCCCCGGCACCTAGCATTGAGATGGACCGAAGCGACGAGTTCGACCTCGTAGTTGCCAAGCTGCGAGGATTGACCCTGCGAATCCCCAACCTGGATCCGATCTACGGGAGGTGGCGACATGGCTTCAATGTGCACTATGACAGGTTGGTGCAGACCATCAACAGTCACCTAGAGGCATTGTTCCAGGACAAGACGTACATCGAGGGCGTCAAGTCAATGGACCTCGCCCAGTTTGTCTGTCTGGCGTACCCGTCGGCAGACTGGCCAAGGCTGCGTGTAATGGGCCTCTACCTCGTCTGGCTGGTCCTATTCGACGACGAGTTCGACCGGAAGATCGATCCAGACGTGGCCGACCAGGCTTCGGACCTCGCTTTCGCAAACAGATATCGTCAGGACATGTATTCGTACGTCGAGTCCATCGTCGTCGGCCCGGCCGCCGTCGCAAGCCGCCGCAGCGGCAAATACCAAGTCAACAAAGCCACGCCGCCCCCCATCGGTGGCTTTTTCGCCGCGATAGCGCCTCATCTGCTCCGAGCAGCCTCAGAGGATGTTGTCAACATGCCGCGGCTGCTCCACGACTTGGATTTCTTCATGGGGTCTTCCAACGAAGAGCAGCAGCGCTTCAACATCCAGCGAAAGTTCCCGACGCTGGAGCAGTACGATGCCTTCCGGGCGGGCACCGGGGCTGTGGACGCAATTTGCGACCTGCACCAGCATGTCTCTCTCTCCCTTCTTTTCCAAGATTGCAATACTTTCCATTGCTGATAATCGAGACAGATACGTGGCTGGCACCCGCCTCCCAGACGATCTCGTCTGGGCCGAAGAAGTCATGACGATGCGGCGCGAAGTTAACGTGCAGACCTGCGTGTCAAATGACTTGTTGTCTTTGAAGAAGGAGATTGTAAGTTCCATGTCGAGTCGGGAGCAAATTTCTGTCGATGTCGGGCTCTCTAACAAACTCTCTTGAGAGAAACATAGCGAGACATGACGCTGATCAGTTTGGTCCCTATCCATGTAAACGCCAGAGGGACGTCGTTGGACGAGATTGTCGACGAGCTGGTGCGGGAGATGAAGCGGTCGGCGGCCAGCTTTGACGCCGCCGCCGAGGCTCTGCGGGAGAAAGCCAGGCAGTACGGCCAGGGGGTGGTCGACGAGACGAGCAGGTTCATCGACGCGTTTGAGACCTTTCAGACGGGATGCCTAGCCTTTTACGTCAAGAGCAGGCGCTTTGGTGTCGCAGAGTACCAGCTGCCCGACGGCTCTTTTGCCATCCCGCTGTCGTGTGCCTAAGATATAAAGTCATAGAGTTGGGAAAACAGTGCAAAAAAGGGAATACTGGTCGTTCTTCAAAACGAAGAAAGTCTATACCTGATAAATGGCAGTGAAGTTAAGCCTAGGTTGTCAATAAGAGGGCCAGCCGTAAGGAATTGAGGTCTTTCAAATCCTGGAAAATCCCCCACTAATAAGCATTCAGGGATGTTTGTCTGGCGGGTAGACGAAACACCGTTGAATTTCTGTCGTAAACATTTCGAAACGCGTGTATTTCCATTTCGCGACGTATGCATTTCGCAAAAAGCATCCGAGTCGCGCCAAAATAGCCCCCTAATAAACGCCCCACCATTGTTCTCAATAAACCTATCAAGTCGCACGACCACAAAGAGCGACAACGAGAAGCTGACGAAAACAACAAGAAGCTCGCGGATGACAATGTCGATAACAGGCGGATAGTATGTAAACGCCTACAAAGTGAGCGGGTTCGCGCATGGCAAGCGATGCAGCTGTAAGTAATCTCATGGGTTGTATTATTTGCTCTCGTTGACGATAAAATATTAGATTCATTTATAACTTCAAGGGCGGGGGCTTTGACCAGATTTGGTTGGATTTTTGCAGCGACCAGCAATGCGCAAGGATTAAAATCAAGTCGTACCTTGGAGATTATGTCGAGTCATCGCAGAAAATCCGCCGGACCCCTAGGGATGTGGAAGGCCAGAGCATCCAGACGATTACGAGTACGAAGACTGTCATATCGCATTAGAAGAACTTGGTTGCAGAGGCGGACAACACGATCCTCGGAGAAAAGAGGCGCAACGACCGTGACAGATATGGACTGTGGAAGTTGAGGTGGGTACCTCGTCTGTCCTACCCGTGGCCGGAGCAGCAAGACGGTGTCAATATTGATCAGAGGATATCCCGAGAATGGGTAGCCGACCTCCCCGTCTCCTCGTCCCGAGCCCCGCCGGCCTGACCACTTGAAAGGACAAGATGCGTTTGTGGCGACCAATCAATTCGAGACAGATTTGAAGAAGGGCGTCTCAAGACGGCATGTCAGGGCGACATGATGTGGTGTGGCTAGACTGCTCGAATGGACGACGGCGACACCGGAGGAGTTTTCCGCATTCATTGCAGACGTCGAAGAGAGGATCCCTAGGCTAGTCTCTCGGGTAACAAGGAGTGTGCCATATAATCGGTTTATTGATCAAGGACACAGGGTCGTGCGTAGAGCTGGGAATTTTCGATCATGGTAAGAAGCAAGCCAATTTTAATACCAAGGCTAAAAGAAAACGAGGACGATAACAGGCCCCGTGCCCTTTTGGCTATGTGTAAACAAACCCCTTTCTGCCCTTGGTCCGTTATCCAAAGTCACTAACTACCTCACCCACTCTAGGTAAGTCAAGGCACGGAATCGAGCCAACTTTGCTCCAGCATGGGCCTTTCCTTTTGAGAGTCGTGATTAGCAGGATTTCGGTGCGAGGAGCTCTAACGGATGATTAATTAATATTAGACACAGCCCGTCTAGATTGCCTGAGCCGGCTGAGATATAAGAGACTAAGACACGAGACAAGATAGGACGGGATATAAAAAATACGTAGTCGAAAACTTGAGCCCTTTGACGGATATCCCCCCCACCTCCTTTTCGCTCTGGCTACCGAATTGAGAGATAACTCAAATCGTGTATTCTGCCCAATAGGAATCACGCTCTACCTACTCCCCCATCCCATCCGGAGGGCGGTGGCATTGCCTCACTGTCGGTGTGGAGATGGGAAGAAAACGCCACACACGCGGCTTCGGGACGACGGAAGCCAGAAAATGTATCCCATCCCAGCCTATGGCGCCGCGTCAACGTTTTCCCCATGCTGCATGCTCCATGTTTCATGTCTCAGCCCTTTGCATCTGTAGTGTGCAGCTGTTTTGCTCAGCCAAGGCAGGCTTGCTCTTTGCGAGAGGTGTGTCTGTGACTGTGGCTGTGGTTGGTTGGCTGTATGTGTGTGTGTGTGTCGTCCCTATATGCATGGGGGGTGGGGGGAAGAAGGGGGGGGGACTTGGCTCAGCCCTGCGAGCCCACCGCTTCGTTGCGTCAACTGCCATGCATGGAAACATGCACGTATGCATGCATGCATGGCTGGGTTCGCTGCCGCGTTGTCTCTGGTCGACGGAAGGAGACTTTTCACTACACCCACCCACCGATCTCGTTTGTTTCCATCTTCGCGCGTCTCTGCCTCGCCGCTTCGGCACATAACCTACCCCACCCCCTACCCCCTATTTTTCGAGAATAAGGGAGAAAAGGGGGAGTCGTTCATCGCGGCTGCGACGGACAGAGTGCCGGCTTGGTGATTTGATTTGATTTGTCGGTTTGTTTTTGTTCGAGCCGCTGCGGCTGCGCGGCACTGACGGGGGCTTGCTTGCTGTGATTAATGCCTTACCAGTCCAGTCAGTTTGGGTGTAGTAGCAACCCATGCATTCCCAGGTACATGGCCTTGCCCGCTAGCAGATGGAGACGACACAGGAAAGCCCCGGCTCCGGCCTCGCGGCTGTTGCCGTCTGCCGTCTATCGCCTGTATGTATAGGTGTGTGTGTGTGAGACACACGAGCACCTATTCTCGGAACTGCTGGACACCCTCTCTCGTTCCCGGAGACGTACGTGGTATAATTCGGGCGCTCACCGCGGGACGAGGTAAGTGGCTGACCATGGGCCGATGTACTGTACATGTTAGTTACTGGGCATGCAGCACACCCAACACGCACATGCGTCCGTCCTCCATGTGCATGGTCGGCCGTACTGGGGGCTGGCCTGGGCTGACATGGCATGGCATGGCATGGCCGAGGGTTGGGCTGGGCCCGAGATTGTTGGTAGCCGTTATACTTGTCCCAAGAGGTAATGACATCCTGTTTTCTGAGGCCATGGGGGGCCCATGAGAAATAGCATGGCATGTCAGCCCTATCTATTTTTCTCTCCATCTCTCCGGGCACCCGGCGGGGAGTGGGGGTGGTACAGCGGCCCCTCTCTAGAACTGACTGGTTATTTCCAGTCTGTAGCAGTTTCTTATGGGTCGGTACTCCGTGGCTGTGCGAGTTTGCATTCGTGAGAATTAGCGGTGAAACCCTCCCTCTCCAAGAAAAGGGGGAGGAAGGGAAAAAAGTGAGGGCAAGAAAGGAGATGACTAGCCCTGTTGTATAGTATCCAGCACAATCCAATCCCTGAAGGTGTGTTAGCGTGGTACTTGGGCAGAATAAATGCTATAGCACAGTAAATAAAGCGGCCAGGAAAAGCCTTAGGTATTGTGAAGAAGAGATAGGCCTCTAGGATTCTAAAATGGGTATTCGAATGGATTTTACCTCCGTTGGCGAAAATTCTTCAGGGGGAGCCGTAAGGTATTGAGGCCTTTCAAGTTTTAGAAAGTCCCCCGTCAGCAAATATTCAGAGATTGGATTGTATACACTGAGATATTGACCTCCCTGCTGACCCCCCTGTCTTCGTTAGTTGATCGGCCAACCTTGTACACAAAGCAAGGAAGCGACCTGATTGCAGCGCCCATTTATGTTTCTATGGCACATCATGGAAGCGAATTATCTAAAAGCTCGTTCACAATTTTCATTCTTCAATTATCTATTCAAATTCGGATAGAACTGGCCGCTACATGCTCACAGAAACAGATAAAGCGGAAATATCGGGAGAGGGGTGCCTTGTCTAGGTAGCTCGGCGCTTAAAATAAGAGAGGGTGAAGATACTTTCACCTAAGACACCCCGGGCTCTGTCCCGAAGCCGGCATGTCCGTCGAATCAACCAGAGTCTCCATTTGCGATATCATTCCTTGTGCGACAGAAGAAAATACCCGTTTGGCAAAGTAAGCCGTAGCCAGGGGGGCGTTGTTGAAACGAACGAGAGAGAAAAGGGTGATGAGAAATAAAACCCGTAAATAGGGGTAACTTCTGATGTCCGTTCGCTTGGGAACTTGTACCTTCTTTGTTTTCTTTTTTCCGTTTCCGTTTTTTTAGAAAGGATAGGAAGTTGTCACATAATAAGCCCTTCTAGTGTTTCAGTTAAATAGTAAGCTGAGCAAATTGACGTTGTTGGTTTCCATGGGCTACCTGAGGGGTTACCCGCACAACGCCGAATAAGAGAAAAATGGATAAACAACAATAGAGAAAAGGAGGAAAGGCCTCTGAATGATTTAAACCCCCAACATGCTTTGCGTACGCCGCCCAACCTAGGTGAATAGGATTCTTCCCCCTCTGACATCCCGTCCTGACAATAACCTCCCCCTTCACCCCCATGTGCAAAAGAAAATAGAAAACAAAAAAAACAATACCGCCTCTCCCGCGCACTTCTTCCTTCTTTCTCTTATTTTCTCGTTTTATTTGCCCACCCCAACCACACTTAATTCATAAACAAAGCCTAAAAAAACACCAGCAGCTGCAACTAAGGAAGCCAACTTCTCCCCTCCCCCAAGCATCCTATTACCCATCATACCATACCATCATACCATAACTTAACATAAAAACAGGCAAACTACCGTTCAGGGGTTCGCAACGCCCGCTTCTGCTTCCTTGTCCTCTCCCTCATCATCACCACCACCACCGCCGTCATCACCATCCTTGCTCTGACTCTGACTCTGACTCTGGGACTGGTAGTAGGAGGAGTACAAGTCGGGACTGCTCGGCCGCGAGCTGCGCGGGCTGACGTTGCTGCGGGCGCTGTACCTGCGGGGGCGGCAGCACGGCCGCAACGGCTCGCCGTCGCGTGCCGTTTCCGTTTCCGTTTCCGTTCCCGTCCCGGGTTTTAGTTCTTCTGCTTCTGCATTTGTCTCGGCAGCAACATTCCCTGCGCCAGTGTCCTTGGTCTTGGTCTTGTTCTTGCCATCGTCGCTGTCATGGCCGTGGTAATGGTGGTGGTGGTGGCACTTGTGCCGGAGGCGGCCAAACGTCATGGTGAAGGCGTTTAGCAGCTGCTGGTGGTGGCGGTTGGTGTCGGGGAGATGGGGGGACGGCGGGCACGGCGGGGACGGAGGTCGTTGTTGTTGTTGTTGTTGTTGTTGTCTTTGTTGTTGCGGTTGTTGTGGTTGTTCTTCCTCGACAGGAAAGGTCAGGGTGTAGTTTGCCGAGGGTGATTCGTCGTAGTTGGCCTCGTCGAATCTGCCCGGGATCTGGTTCTCATTTTCCGCACTGCCGCTGCCGGTCTTGTCTGACATCGCGACGTTATCAAAGTCGACGCCGCGTCCAGAGTCCTTCTCTTCCCTGTTTCTACTCTCAGCATTGCCGTGGCCCTCGCCCGCGTCTCTGCTTAGCGGGCTAGGCCCGGCGTTGCTGTTTGACGAGCGACGCCATGACAGCGTCTTGGCTAGTAGGCGGGTGGGCGACTTGAGCTTGACGAGGTCGATACTGGTGCGCCTCTTGGCGGCGCCCGTCTCGCCGCCGGGGGCATCGGATGATGAAAATGGGCCCGGCTTGGACGTCGGGATGTGGAACCAGCGATCACGTATCGACATGGCTGCTGCTGCTGCTTACGGCCGTGTCGTCAAGAGTTTGCAAGTCTGTTGTGGTAAGAGATAGTTTGTTGCCCGTAAAATCCGAGTGCCGGCATCAAAGACGCAACCGTGTCTCTATCTATCTGGCGGACAGTAGCGAGTAATTCAAGAGAGGAGGGGGAAACGAGCACCGCAGACCGACCTCCTGATGTCAGCAGGCTAGACCCACGGGGGAAGGATGCTTCTCGTACAAACCCACAGCTATGCCGCCGGCCTGTCTAGGTAGACTAGCCAGCTCAGCATTAGTCGCCATCGGTGGCGTGGACACCGGTGCTTTGGCCGTGCAGAAAAGCGCCTTAGGACAAGGCCAAACGGGCAAAACACTGCGAGCAATGACGTATCTCGCACGGCGAGCACCCGCCACGCGCCATCGCCTCCTCGAGGCGTCAGCATGCCCGCAACCCCAGCATCAAAACGAGATCTCTAGCCACCGCGACTCGCACGCGCTGGTGCTGCTAGGCTAGCGAGCGCCGTTTTATGCCTTGGCTAGCCACGGGGAAAAGTTAATTGAGAGCTCCTGGTTCTGGACCTCTGTACTAGCAGGCATTGACTCATTGCTATCGTAAAGCCTAAATTCTCACAGACCTGAATAAGGTACTGATTGGGTTTGGGAATGGCTAGGGCGCCGAACTCTGTATTGAAATCAACTAACAGCATCACATCATTGCCTCCTAGTCCAACTCCACGCTACTTACCAAACTGCGATGTTACCTTTCCTAGTCCAAATCCGCCCACATGGTAAGTAAAATGGGAACAACCATAGGATTCGAATACGACCTGTGGCCTTGTCATAGCCACGACCCCGTATTACTCAACGCCAAACGCCCCTCAACCCATACTCATTCAGCGCGAGATAGACTCTGCGCCGAAAACAGCAGACGATCCAGTCCCAAGTCCTCCCAGAGCTGTCAAGGCCCATGCGAGCGACCCGGCTTCCCAATCAAAGTCGTCATCTGGGGCGACATCGCCAAGCGTAGCGCTTGCCCTGACATCGGCGTCGGGCTCGTATGTTTTGTCGCCAGGGACATCCTCTGGATCGGGATCTGGGTCTGCCTTGACCTCGCGCGGGCGGCCTCGCCGTTTGGGAGTCTGCGATCCTTTATCGGCAGGGCTGTTAGAGCTGCTGATGCTGGAGACGCTCAAGTTGGCCCGGCGCCGTAAAGCAGTAGAAGAGCACGTAGACGCCTGCTTCTGTCCCCCGGCAGCAGGCGAATCGGCCTTGACAGGCAGCTGGGGCGGGTCCGCTGGCTGCAAGCCCGATGCCGCCTTATAACCGGGCACGATCGACTGGAGCATGTTGCCGGTGTCCGTAGCGCGGACAGCCACCCAGAGGCCAAGGCTCAAGCCGCACATCAAGACGTCTCTTCCGGCGCCGGTGACTGCGGGATGGTCCGTCATTGAGCCTAGGACTTTCTCGACTGCAGTCGCGCTGCGCTCCCATTTCGACCGCTTCTCAGTGTCGAGCGGTATCTTGATGCTGTGGCGGTGTTTGTAGGTCTCGGGCATATTATGCCAGAGACCAACGGCCGTCGCCTTGGCATGCACGACCAGGCCCGCAGCCGTCATGAACTGGAAGAGCTTGTTAAAGGTGCCGTAGACACCATGCGGGTCAGGGTATACCACGCCCCAGGATTCGGGCACGACAGCGGGCAAGGCGAGCGGAGCAAAGGTCAGGACCCTAGCCAGGACGGCTGTCACGGGAAACGAAGCAGTGCCCACGGCATAGGGGAGCCAGAAGATGGCGCCATAGTTGAGGGTCAGGGGCACAAAGAACAGAATTGGCTTGGGCCACCAGTTGTCGGGTTTTGGGGGCAGTGCCCGGTTCACGAGGCGTTCAAGTCTATTTAGGGGCTCAAAGTTAGGATAAGTGGCCTACTATTCGTCTTGCTTCTACACATGTAGGCACGGTTCACGTACCTCGACTGCGTGCCCGAGAATGGCGACGGGGTCAAGAGCATGGCTACGTAGAATAAGTTCTGGGCAAACGACAGGCCGACAAGATGGGCGAGCAAGGCATAAGCCCAGAGGTGGGGGATCTTGCGGCGGCGGCCCTCGATTGCAAGAAGCGTCATCCAGGAGACGGTGGCAACATCGAGCTGCTGTCCCCACCACAGCCAGCGAGCCCTCTCGGCCAGGATCTCGAGGGCATCGAGGTGGATGGGGGTATCGCTCAGCCAGCAGGCGAGATGCAGGCTTGCGGCATTGGTGCCAGCGGCGTCGCGGCCCCAGAAGGAGAGTTCAGACGGGCTAGAGAAGACCAGTTGGTACCATGGAAGGTGGATGAATCAATGGATGGAGCGACGGGACGAACCTCTTGGGGACGGCAACACCCCTCTCGTCGGCCCATGTCTGGTACGACAGGCTGAGGTAGCTGAGGGCAGAGGTCGCGGCGAGCACAAAACCTAGGACCGCGAGGCTCGCAAAGACGATGGTGAGGTTGGAGCGCTGGGCGGACCGATGGCGCGTGTCCTGGGCGGGGCCGAGCTCTCGATGGGCGCGATACAGAGTCCGGCCGACCTTGGACGAGAGGTAGACGACGGCGACCGCATGCGACAGCGCCAAGGCTAGCGGGAGGTAGCTGGGCTCGGATTCGAGGGTAATCGGCGCCATTGCGCTCGTTTATTCTCAATCAATTAATCTTGTCGATTATTGCAATAGAGGATCAAGGTCGTTGACAAGCTCACTCCGATTTCGCCGGACGAGATGATCTGAGTCTAGCGAGAGAAAGGGCTGCCTGCAAAAGCATGTTTCGTCTGGTCGGCCGTTTGGAGATGCGGCAGTTAACCTGTAAGAAAGTTAAAATGCTCACGATGAACCTAAACCCATGGAAGGTTTTGGGTAAGGTAGGTATGGTAAGGTAAGGAAGGTATCGAGTGAAGCGGCAGGCTGAGGTGGGCTGCCCAACTATGACGGCACTGTTAGTAACAACTCCCATCCCTCTGTGAGTCGCGCATTCTGATTTGATGGCGTCGATTAGCACCCCACCCAATCGCGCGAGGCTGAACCCCACGTCCCCCTAGTCTTGAGTTGCATACTGAAGGCCGCTAAATTAGCGCTGGGGTGACCTTGTTTACGGGACGCTCTGGCGTGGGGATTTCTTGGGGGGTGGATGACAGTAACAGAACAACGCAGCAGCACTGTTTCGATAAACGTCTATCCACCGAAACCCAATCGCACGCGCGCCTTCTCCTACCGTCCCCTTTGGACCGACCGACCCGTGCACTGTCTAGGCGCCTCTCGACACCATGTACCATCTCGCAAAGGGGCTCTATCGGCTAGCTACGAGCAAAGAAGGTACGTGATTGATTCCTCCGTCTTGCTGACAAGACCCCGACACAACCCACGACTGACTGCCTTCACAGAGTACTCGGTGATCCTCCTCGGGCTCGACAATGCCGGCAAGACGACGTTCCACGAGCAGGTCAAGTCCATCTTCCTGCCCGACAACCCCGAGCCCAAGCTGAAGACGGTGCCGACGGTGGGCCAGAGCGTGTCGACCATCACGCTGCCCGACATGTACCTCAAGCTGTGGGACGTGGGCGGCCAGCTGACGCTGCGCAAGCTGTGGCAGAGCTACTACGCGAGCTGCCACGCCATCGTTTTTATCATTGACAGCACCGACATTGGCGACGGCAACCTCGAGCACGACAGCACGGGCCGGCTGGACGAGTGCCGGCTGGTGCTCGAGGACGTGCTGCAGCACTCGGAAACCGAAGGCGTGCCGCTGCTGATCCTCGCCAACAAGCAGGACCGCGAGGACTGCGTCGAGGTCGTGCGCATCAAGGAGGGCCTCGTCAAGCGCGTCTTCGAGGGCGACAAGGCCAGCAGCATCCGCGACTCGCGCGTCCTGCCCGTCTCCGCCCTCACCGGCACCGGCGTCCGCGAGGCCGTCGACTGGCTGCGCTCCCGCGTCAAGTGGAGCAAGGAGTCTCGACCCCCGGTTATGAGGTGACCTCTGTGCGGTCTCTAGTCGCCTCGCCTCCCCTCTCCTCCCTCGTACCCGGAGGGTGTGGGAGAGGGACCTGCGTCGCGCACTCCCGACCCCCACGTCAGTCTAAGCGGCATGTCAAGAATAACCATCTGGAGAGAGGTATTTCATCTGGAATCACTTTGGAAGAAAAACACAGACGTCTTAAGCTGGGCTGGCCGCGTCGCTGACCCTTACGGAACTGCTGGTTTGACGGGGAGAACAAGCTGCGGCTCCGATACTTGCTATCACAATGACCCCTACCCATTTCCCTCTCCGGTCGGGGTACAGTTTCTGAACGGGAGCACCGCTCTGCCGACACGGGTCGGCCCTTTTCACGCGCATTCTAGGTTTGGTGGACTCATGCGAGGGGGAAGGGGCGGGTTGCGGATCTAGAGGGCGGCGCTTGTCTCTCTATCCCGGGAACCACAGCGCTACCTACCTAGGCACACTTCGACGGGACCCTTTGGATAGCGTCGAGTGAGGTCAGAAAGCCTGAATTCCTGTTTTCTGGCAACACTGTGCGATACGTGCTCGGGGCTTGGTGTTGCTCGGCTTACCGAATATTCGTCCTGGGACAGGAAAGCTCGAGGCGCAAAAGGATGTGAAGGCTGTCTCTTCGCGGCCAAGATCTAAACTGTTGGGCTTATTTCTTGGTCGATTGCTAGGGCTTCCATCTCACGGGCCCGGACTCTTTGCAGGACTTTTATATCCATCCGTACCTCAGGAAGAGAAAAGTCAAACAATCCCAAAGCCAGTGTTCGTAGACTAGACAGACGCCATTACTTTGCAGACCCCAACCCCGGACCATGTCTTTTTTGTTAGGAACCGCTCTAACTAGCCGTGGGTATCTTATTTTGATTACAATGTCTGTAAAACCGTGCCGTGCTCCATGTTTTCCTCCGAAATGCAAATTCATTTTCTTTTTTTCTTTCCCCATTTTATCTATCGTTTTCGGATGACAGCTCAGCCATGAAGCCCCCCTTGTTCCTCCGCTTGGCGTCCTCGGCGAGCTTCCCGTCGAGGAATGTGGAGAACTCCTTAGCCTTGGTCAGGGCGACGGCGGTGCACTGGAGCAGGGCGACGGCCTCGACGGGGACGCCGCCGAGCTTGGCGATCTGGCAGATCTCGCCGTGGCGGTTGAGGCTGACGGTGCAGCTGCTGACGCGCACCTGCTCCTCGGCCCAGGTGGCGTCCAGCAGGGTCGTCTCGCCGTCGTCGCCAAAAAAACTCCACGTGACGCAGAAGGGTGAGTGCAGCCAGCTGAGCGGCACGGGCTCGCGCTCGGCCGGCGTGTACACGGTCAGTTGGCCGCTGGCGATGCTGGTGTCGGGCTTGCGGAAGTGCCGCAGCGCTGCTACCACGGCGAAGCACGACGCGTCGATCAGGTTGCCGTCGTGTGCCAGCACGTGCACGTCGACCCGCACCGACCAGCACTTCTGCCCCGCCACCAGGCACAGCGACTCCGTGTCCAGCGCCCCGGACCGCCGCACCGTCTTCTCCAGCAGCCGCGCTAGCAGCACCTCCGTCTCCGTCGGCCGCCCCACCTCGAACGCGGGCGACGCCATCGGCCCCAGCTCCGTCGCGATCGTGAACACGCCGTCAAGCGGCCGGTCCACGTACGGCACCGTCACCTCGGCCGACACCTTGGCCAGCACCCTGTTTTGTTTTGGCGGGTTAGCAGAGGCTAGGGAGATAAATTTAGTGACAAGAGGGAAAGACACAACGAACGCACCTCGTCTTGCCGAGCGTCACGTTGGCGACGCCATACTGGTCGCCGAAAGTAAGCTCGAGGGGCCGGTATTGGTCAAACTCGCGGCCGTCGAGCCGCAGCTTCTCGCCTAGCGCCTGGACGATGAATTGCTTCTCATTGAGCGAGGGCTCGGCTTCGCGCGGCATCTTGAATGGGTCGTCTTGCAGCACGGGCCGAAGGCGCGGTAGTATGTGTCGGGTATAGGTAGGTGTGTTTGGCGGGATGCTGCTTTGGGTGGTTTACCTAGGTACCTAGTTTCCAGACCTAAGGTCTGGCGGCGGCTTCCTCGGCGCTTTCTGCCGCTAAAGACCGCCAAAAGTTTGGCCTGTTCTGCCGGGCGGTAAGCGCAGTCGCAACCTGTAGGGCCCGCTAGAGCACCCGGAGAGGCGCGCCGCTGCGGCACCATTCAACATCCCTGCTTGCGGTTGCGAACGGAACCCATCGCCGCCAATTCAGGTCCATCCACCTCAGCTCAACAACCAACCCACCACTCAACTTGACCGTCGCATAACCGCCTCGCCCACGCTCGACTCTCACACCACACAGGAAAATAAATACGCTTGAGCAGCCAAGATGACTACAGCCCACAGACCCACGTTCGACCCGGTAAGCACTGGCGCCTTGACAAGCAATCTCTTGAAGCACCGCAATCACTAACTCCAGTCTCAGGCTCGGGGCAAGGAAGCCCTCCGCGGGCCCGCCTACCACCAGCGCCTGCTGCCAGCCTACACGCAGCTCAAGTTCCGGTAACGACCCCCTCCCCGCTTTTCTCTCAAACAGCTACGGGCCGGCCCACTGACGCGCTGCTTCCCGTGGCAGGCAATCAGGACAGGGCGGAGACGCCGACCGCGAGGTGCGCGACCTGCGCGCCGAGCTGCTCGCGGCCGAGGCCACCCACTTTGCTAAGATCAAGGGCGACCTCGCCGGCGCCGGAGAAGACGAGTCCGCTTCCGCTTCCGCGACACAACCCAAGCTGCTGGGCGGCGCGGCATCGGGCGACGGCGACACGGTCATGGAGGACTCCGAGTCCAAGCTCGTGCAGATCCTCGAGGAGACGCGGGACATGGACGCGGACGACTCAGACGAGGCGGGAGACGGCAGTGACGGTTCTGACGACGGCGGCGGCAGCGACGACAGCGACGACGATAGCAGCGACGACGACGACGACGCGGAGCTGCAGCGCGAGCTAGACCGTATCAGGCGCGAGCGGACAGAGAAGCGCGAGAAAGAGGTGATCTTTCTTCCCCTTTTCTTCTCTGTATACTTACTAACATGCAATGTCTCTAGGAGCGAGAACGCGCCGCGGCCGAGGAGGAAGTGCGCGAGCGAGACATTGCGCTCGGCAACCCGCTGCTGAACAAGACCGACTTCAGCATCAAGCGGCGGTGGGACGACGACGTCGTCTTCAAGAACCAGGCGCGCGGCACCGAGGACAAGGGCAAGAAGAAGGAGTTTGTCAACGTAAGTCGCCGCCACTTATCCCTGTTAATCTCCCCCCGGCCAGAGGCTGACACTTTACTCTTGCAGGATCTGCTCCGTTCAGACTTCCACCGGAGGTTCATGGGCAAGTACGTCCGCTGAAACCGGCACGGCTGCTTTGCCCGTGAGACGAATTTTGATGGATAGATTCCCGTCTTTGTTGTCTTTCCTCGGCCCAGAGCTAGAAAGCCCTTCGGGCCGGCGGTGCTGTCTCTGCGTTTACGATGATGGACTTGCGATGCAACCGACGGGCGCCCTGGACCGCACAGTGGCGAATTGGCAATTCATGCGTTATCTAACCAAAACCAAACCAGCTTTGAGCAGGCGTGTGCCCTCTCCAGGAATCGGCGATTCGCGAGTAGCTTGGTGCCTGCCTGCCTGGCTTCACGCCCACCTTCGCTTCCCTTCGGGCTTCTAGGGGGTTACTAAGAGGAGAGCTTGCGCTGGGGCGTGTGTGGTTGCCGGCCGCAGTCGAGATGGGAACGGACGGGGCGAGACAGGCCCAATATTGTTTGTGTTATAGGGGCCGCCTTTTTATTTTTATTTTTACATGGCGTTTACAACTACTTCGCAGTGAACAAGTAACGCTGCGATGTTATACCACTGTTGCAGCATTTACACAGTCTCCTTGAACCAACCTTGCATCTAGTATATTCCCTACGGCCGGCTCACTGGTCTTTCTTGGCGGCGCCGCCGTCAACGCGAGTGAGCGCCTTTACGCTCTGGCAGTGCAGCACTGTTGTTTTTGAATTTCGCCGCGGTTAGCTTACACAGGCAGACAGACAGACAGGCAGACAAAAACCCTCATATCTGGGTCTCCTCCAGTGTACGTGACTGGGGGACACTTACAAGCCGGCACGACGGCCCACGGCGCGTTGAGCCCGGCGTAGTAGACCCAGTAGTACAGCGTCTCGGGCCGGCTGTACGAGACGCCCTGCATGCGCTCCGCGAAGTAGCACGTGCCGTAGTACAGCGCCACGCCGTAGACGTGGCCGACGCAGACAACGGCCTGCAGCACGTGGCGCTGCAGCCGCGTGCGGGTGGTGGCGGTGGTGGCGGCGGCAGCGGCGATGTAGATGGCCACGATAAAGGACAGCGGGCCCCATACGATCTGTGAGTGTGTGCGCGGTCAGCAAGGGGTTGCTGGGTAGATGATGACGCAGCAGGGAGAAGGGCGACGTAAAGTGGTTGGGCTGGGCTGGGGGACAGACCGCAGTCAGGACCTCGATGGCCAGCATGAAGGGGTCAGACGTCACGTATCGCGAGTCAGACAGCGCGTACTCCTTCCACAGCTGCGCGAACAGGTCCTGCGACCCCGGGATCTGCGCGTGGTTAAGAACAAAGTAGCCTATGCGGTTGCGGTTGCGGTGGTGGTGGTTAGTAGACTGGACTGGCAAGCAAGAAGGCTGCCACAGAAAGGGGAAGTGGCTCACCTTCGAAGAAGCAATGTAGGAACCCGCCTGTTTACGGTACATAGTTAGCCTTTGTTACCTCATACAGATTTCCCCCTTTTTCTTGCTTCTTGTCTTCTTTCATGAGACTTCGGCACTAGTCTGTACGTATGATAATCCATGGCTCTAAAAGACTGCGAGATCTAAAGAAAAAATACGGCCAATCTTTGGGGTTGTAACAACCCTCTTCAAGGTTATAGGATGCTTTCCACCAGTGGGTGCCCGTATCTACCACGGAATGGTGCCTCGAAACAAACCAACCCAACCTAAAAAGGGGGGGATTTGGGTTCCCCAAAACAAAACAAGACTAAACAACCCAATACAACCCAGAACAGAACAGAAACGCCTGCCCCAAAGGGAGGAAAGAAGAAGAAAATAATAAAAAACTCACAAAGCACAAACCAGCAAAAAGCCGCCTGCTCCGCGCGCCTGCGCTTCAAGCCAGGGCTCAGCCGCCTGGCGAGCGCAAGGGCGAATACCAAGAAGGCGGCGATGACTCCGGCGAAGGCGGTGACGAGGGCGACGACCGAGAGAGTGTTGGGCGCGTAGCCCTGCACGACGACGTGCGGCGGGTAGTACGGGTGCGGGTTGACCATGGTTTCTTCTTTGGTTCTTCGTTTCTGGTGAGGGTGGAATATCGAATATTCACTCCTTGCGTGTCTATATATCTCCTGACGCGAGAAAGAAGGGTCTTTACTAAAGAACTGTGTCTGTTTGTTTTGTTTGGAAACCGGAAGCTGAACCGAAAATTGGGTTGCGGAAGGGTCTTTCTCCTTGCAAACGCGAGATTAACACCAGCGCTGTGCAGTCGATGAAGTACATTCGTTTCTCCTTGGCTTAATACGTGTTTTTTAATCGAAGAGGACGAAATTGCTGGTGCTCTCGCAAGTCGTATTTATAGCCTGCCAAGGTCCAGTAATTAAAGGCAGGGTAAGGTGCCGATCGATAAAAGCGGGCCGTGCCGTTCCGCGCCTTCGGGCTCGGTAGTCTCCCTTCTCGCTCCGCTCTCACCTTCAAACGTAATAACTTAGAAGTGGGCAAAACAAAGCAAAAAACGACAGACTTATATATTCTATCCTCAGTTTGTGTGCTAAAGCCAAACGACCTCATAATTATTTTTTTGCCCGACTTCAAAATAGAACGTCAATATCTTCATTCGTGATGCGATGGATTAGATCTGCATTAGTACCTTAGATGAGCCGGCCCTTTCTATTTCCTTCCCACATTCCTCTATCGTGCCCTGCAACTTGACCCAAGAAACGCCAGGCATGCATGTGCTTATGAAGACTAGCCAAGCCGTGAATCGAGCCAAAAGTTCCCGTGGTATTCGTTCGCCCGCTCGCTCCAAGGTCAAAAAGACAGAAATCACTCCCAGACAGCATCACCCTTGCCTATATCCCAAGGTAGTTGCTCGTAAAGCTCCAGTCGTAGTCAACCTCGAACGCATTAAACGCATTCCAGTCGATTCTGTGGAAATCAGCCAGCCCGAGCTCCGCGTTCGGTCCCGGCCGTGGCGTTGATTGGTCATCTGTTAACATGCTGTCAGTTCTCACAGGCTCATTTCCACCGGAAAGCGTCGACACGTAAAGAACTCACCAAAAGGTTCTTGCAAGGGAGGGTTCGAATTGGAGGTATCCCGGGCGTGCTCGATCTGCTCCTTCCAGTACCTGAGACACGCAAAGGCCAAACTGGCTCCGAGGCGATGGGTATAGATGGAGATGCCCGGGTCTGTCAAGTCAGGTCTTGGGATGTGGTGCCGCAGCGCCCAGTACTTTTCGAGCATGCTGGCGGAGCGCATGTGGAGGTCGTTTTCCTCTATCGAACACGCCCGCGTCAAACGCAGCGCTTCCTTGACTAGAGTGTCCACTGAGTCGACCTGGAAGCCCTTTGTGAATGCCGACATATGGACGGTTATGATGACGCACATGGCGGTTGCGATCGTTCGAAAGACAAAATGCGGCGCGTAGTGCAGGAATGCAGTCTCGCGGTGGAGTTGCGCGGCTTGCTGGATTACAGATTCGGCAGTGGTGTAGCACTTGATCAGATTCCGCTTCAAAATGTCCGGGCTGTAGCCGGGAAGGGGCATGAAGTAGTACGTCTGGATTTCCAGAAGCGACGAGACAAGAGTAAAGTTGTCCAGATCTCAACAAGCAGTGCGTCGTCAGCAGATGGTGCTCCTCTCGGGGGTTGAACCAAGCGCTTACCACAGTTATCGGGATACAGCAACCCCTGAATCCTGCTGTACTCTTGTTCCATATGTGCGACCAGGTGGTGCGAGACGCCCTGGCCTTCCTCGAGCGAGGCGCACATGGTCCTACTGACCCTGTCGGCAAATCGCGACGTCTCTAGATGAACAACAAAGTATCGAGGAAGAGGGAACGGGCTAGTCCCATCCAACATCCTTTCGATGGCCTTGTTGAATAGCGTGCTCGAAGGAGGGCAGCCCATGTAGGCAGACACGAGGGAAGAGATTATGGCACAGCCAGCCCAAGTAAAGGTTGCTTCCTCGTCCGTGGCATCAGACCAGCCGAACTGGTCGTTCCGACTGAACTCGGAATGGCAACCACGGCCAGTGTGAAGGCCGGTAAGAAAGGCCGAGTTGGTAGCGATGCCCGCAAAGATAAGCGAGGGGTCGTTCAAGAAACGGACCGAGGGGGCTGGCCAAGCCGCGACCAGCATGAGGGCATTGACGATGGACAGGTTTAGGGGCAGTTGGGAGACGGAGCTCCATATCTCGGGCATGAGCGAGTCTTTGAGGAACTGGAAGGCGTTGTCGTCGCGAGAAAAGCGGCGGCAGGCAGTCATGATGACGGTCCAGAACAGGACGGCGCCCCTTTTGTAGCAGGTATCGGGATCCCGAGCACGGACAATGGGAAAGTAAGGGTGGAAGTGTTCAAAGTACCTAGCACGCATCGATGAGCATCGCATATTTTGGAGCTATGAGAACAGGAACATGGGAGATTACTTGTCAAAGTAGTATTCAATGTCTTCGCCTGAGAAGACGCGCGAACCAAGGGCCCTGGGCTCGGCTCGACGCCTCGACAGGCCGTCGGCGTCGGGAATGGCATCATCTAGGCGGGCGGGGGCGGGCGCCGGTTGGTCGCTTACGGCAGTGTAGGAACGGGAGTTACCGAAGAGACTTGGTGGCGAGGGAAGAAATGAGGAGGTCGTCAGGGGGGCTGCCAGACCGTCCAAGTTGTGGGCTGGAACGACTTGCACGGCAGGAACCGAAGACACGGCCGCCGGCAGCTGGTGCGGATGCGCAGGAGGGCCATCTGTAGGAACAAGGAGAGACGCACGGGGAGCGACGGCTTCCTTGATGGTCTGGAGTTCTGCAGCCAGCTCTTCTAGTTTACTGCCGTGGTGCGGTTAACGGCTGTCCGCCTAAGCCAACATGACCGACGGGACCTCGGGGGTTGCAGGAGAAGCCGACAAGCCGTGCAGGGGGGACATAAGCAGTGGAAGTAACAACTAAGAAATACCTTCGTCGTGTTGTCCTCTTGTGGCTCCTGTCAACGACGCACTGCAGTTCCAGCTTGGTGCAGCGCTGGCAGGGCCGGTTTGGGGCCAGACCTGTGTTGCATTTCACCTAGACGGGGTACAAGACAGGGACACACGATGTTAGCCAGTCCGCCAACGGTAGCAGTGGAGCAGGGCAGTTGGGTAATTTGCAAGTTTAGTACTCCGTAGTAATAGCTGAGGTAACTCGGAGGTTGTTGCTGCTGGCACGGGGGTAGAACGGGGGCAAGGAGTCGACCGACAGTCGAGATAGGTGTGGAGGTGTCTAACCTTGGCGTCCCGGCACCGAACACAGGCTGTATTTCGCCTGATTCTCAACGGGTCTGCTGTTCTGCGTGCCGGTGCCGGCGTGTCGAGTGTCTCGAAATCCCTTTCTCCAGCAACGGGCGGAGAGACGGACGAGTCGCCAGTCTCGGCCATTATATTGCGATTTGAAGCCAGGACGGGTTGGTCAACCTGCTTACCACGAATCTTAAGACTGCAGAGCGTCAAACGAGCATCTCGCACGAAAATCGGTATCACAGCACAATTGAAAAGAAGGCAATCACGACTGGGATTTACTAGAGCATACTCACTCTAGCTCTGGCTCTGGCTCTCGCACTTTACCTAGGGTTCGCTGCCGTCGTCATTGTCGGATGTCCTTGGTTTGCCGATCCGGCACCGAGGAAGGAACGACTGAGCGGCTGTCGTTCGGCTTATACGGATATAAGCGGTACGTACAGTATGTATGCGTAGAGTGAAATGACGTATCGTAATTACCATGGCACGGATACAGAGCGCGGTGGTCGGTTGCATCTCCCGCGCCTCCAGTGAGTGACCTGCGGGCTGCAGCAATCTGAAAGCTTCCTGGCAGGTCGTGCTCCACACTGAACGAGCTGAGCTTGAAGGCTGCCCATCGACGGGCACTTAACTACCACTAATATTCAAGAACCTACCAGTTAACCCACCAGTCGACCATGTTATGATGAGCGCGCACTGCTCTTGATGGGCGCGACTTTGCACCATGGCTGCAGTTGGCTCTTCCAGTGAGCGGGCCGAGTTTTTGCAGCAGGTTAGTTGTCTCGCGGCTTTCAAGACAGGACATGACATGCCTAACTGAGGCGAGCATGTCATTCTAGCTAAAACCAGCCTGCGTGCCTCTCAGCAAATTGGCTCTCCGCCCGACCGACACGGCCGCCGAGGCAAATGAGATTCTCAGCCTGGTGGAATCTGTAGACGGCCTCTGGGCGGCTCAAGTGAGCAAAAATGCGCAAATCCTCGACGGCAAGCTGGCCGACTACGTCTTCTTCCCCGTCGCCTACCTCCTGCGCAACCGCCACCTCTACCCCGTGCGCGTCCTTGAGGCCATCATCCGCCTGCTCAAGACGCTCATTCAGCATGGCTGGAAGGCCAAGATATCGCGCCAGCTGTCGCAGCAGCTCCTTGTCTTCCTCTCCCTCACCCTCGGCGGCGATGCAAGCCAGCAGCTGGCAGGTGAAAGCCAGCCGACCCGGCGGCGAGAGATGCCCGAGGAGACTGTCATAGAGGGATTCCGCACTCTGGCCGCTCTGATCACTGCCGCAGAATCTTCACCTGTTGCCTCTTCGTCGTCCCTGCCCCCGCCATCGGCGGCCCCGTCGGCCGAGCAAGATCAGACGATTCCTGCGCTGGGCCAGAACGTCACCGTCATGCTGGACGCTGTCACCAGCGCCGCTACCCCCTCAATCCAGCTCGAGGCCCTGGCCTGCGTGCAAGTAGCCTTCACCGCTGTCCGAGACAATTCCGTCCTCGCACAGTTTTTGCCAGGCACAGTCTCGTCTCTAACTAAACTGCTGTCGCCGCCCCTGCAGAACAGGACCCAGAAGAGGGTGCTCGTCAAGTGTCTGGCCGTGCTAAAGCTCGTTCTCACAAACGTCTTGGGAGATATTAAAGTCCGCGGACTCCTCCGACAGACAGTAAAGGGTGCTGCACCTGAACCGCCCCAAGACGCGGATGTGGCCGCCAAAGCAAACGACACAGAAGACGTGAACTTCCGTGTCGACCTGACGCCCGCCTGGCTAAAGGCCACCACAGCTCAGGTAAAGATTGCCTTGTCATCGGTGCTCAAGCTGCGCACCCATGAGGCGAACGATGTCCAGTCGGCTCTCTCCAGGTTGTGCATTGGCCTCCTCGATGAGTGCCATTCGTCGCTGGTCGATTGCCAGTCCATTCTCGTCGAGAGCGCCATGATGCTGGACGACGAAGAGAGTTCAAGCTCGCGACTTGAAACGAACCTTCGCGATCTTGCCGGCGTCTACCCCGAGATTGCAGAGTGCATCAAATTGGCGCTTTACAACTGGATCACCAGCCTGCCCAGGTCAATGCAGTCCAACGACGAGCGCGTCAAGCAACTGGCCATCAGGAATATTCTCAGGGGCACCAAGCTGGCTGCTGACTTGCAGGTGGACTCGTCGACGCTTGATGACACGCTCGGCGACGCCCTACGAGACAGCATCGCTGCACTAATTCGAAACTCGAAGCCGTCCAAGGTGGTAGATGACGGAGACGTTGGGGGAGAAAGCATTATATCGGGAAGCAGCGCCATGATCGGCTCACGCGTCGAGCAGGTTCAGGCATACAGTCCCGTCCTATTTGATCTAGAGAGTCAAAAGACGACTCGGGGAGAGATCAACGCTCTGATATCAAACGTCGGCTCCTCAACCCAGCAGGCGAAGCTAGCAACCGCCATGCTGGGCTACCTGCGAGACTCTGACGGCGTGGACCAGATTGCCTCGTACTGGCTCGCGTTTGAGCTTCTCAAGTCGACTTACGCGCATTCCTCGGAACTCGACGACCTGCTAGACTTTGGCTCGCTCGATGAGGTAAAATACCAGGACGCGGCATTCCAAGAGCTTTACGAGTTTTCTGCCTCGGTCTTGTCGTCGCACTCGGAATCCCTTGACGATGCCGACTGGCGGCTCGAGGCCATTGCGCTAGAGGTGACGGCATTTGCAGCCTCTCGCCTGGAAGCCGAGTTTCGGCCAGAGCTGATCGATGTGCTCTACCCGGTTACAACTTTTCTTGGATCCCAGGTGCCGCAGCTGCGGAGACACGCAATCACGACGCTGAACATATTAGCAGTGTCGTGCGGCTACGCGAGTGTGTCAGAGCTCATTGTCGACAATGCCGACTACATGGTCAACTCGGTATCCCTCAGACTGAACACGTTCGACATCTCCCCGGCTTCTACAAAGGTGCTTACCATGATGGTTCGCCTAACGGGACCGAGACTTATCCCCTTTATGGACGATGTTGTCGCGGCGATATTCGCGGCGTTGGACAACTACCACGGCTATCCTGTCTTTGTGGAAAGCCTATTCTCAGTCCTATCCGAGGTTGTGACGCAGGGGGTGAAGTCGGACATGCTTCTTCTAGAAGATATGGCCGCAACAACGGTAGATCACAGGAAGCGGAAGCCCGAGTCTGCCGGAATTCCCGGGACACTAGACGCGCTAGAAAAGCGCGCGAAGAAGATACGAAAAAGGAGGGAAGAAGACCAGGAGGACGATACTGGCGCTCGTCGTAGCTACCCAAAAGAAGCCTGGGGACCGGACAAGAGTAAAGCCAAGTCTCTCCTCGACAGTCTCGAGGCCGCCAACAATGGTGAAGAAGAGGAGGGACAAGAACAGTCTTCCTCGGAAGCGGAAAAGCCGAAACCTCCCAACACCCCAACATACTCGCTCCTGACGCGGGTCCTTTCACTGACCCAGCACTACCTCACCTCACCCACCCCAACTCTCCGAAAATCCCTCCTCGACCTGGTGGCCACCGTCAGCCCGGCCCTGGCACCCGACGAGAATGCATTCCTCCCGCTCGTTCACACAGTCTGGCCTGTAGTTATCTCACGCCTGCACGATCCGGAGCCCTTTGTAGCCATCGCGGCCTGCAGGGCACTCGCTGCGCTCTGCAGTGCGGCGGGTGACTTTCTTGCTTCTCGCTTCAAGACGGAGTGGTCCGACGGCCTGTACAAGTGGTTTGTCAATACCCGGGACCAGGCCGCGAAAGCCCGAGGCGGGACAGCCGGCGGCCACACTGGGAGTAAGGGGAAAGCAGCGACTGGCCCAAGTCTCCCACGCCACCTTGCACTATCATCGGCAAGCAACGGAAATAGCAACGGCACCTCGGCAATACTCATACCGTCTCGCTCCCTGACGGCAGAGACGGGCGAAGCCATGGCAGACGCCCAGCAGTTGATGCGAGGCTCGCTGATATCGGTGATCGGCTCCAAGCCCACGCCGACGCCGTCCATGTCGCTCTCGCTGTCCTCGTCGCCTGGAGCTGCGGCGCTAGGCCGGTTCGCCCAGGCGTCGCAGATCTGGGACGCGGCGGTGGGGCTGCTCGGCGCCATCGTAGCCCATGTGCGTCTGGACGACGACATGTTTGATGATATGCTAGACCTAGTGGCCGACGTGGTGTCGCGGCCCCAGCACGCCGGCGTCAGGGAAGCTCTCGAAGCAGTCAACGCCGACGCCGTCTGGCTGGCCATGTACGAGCGCGGTCTCGCGCTGTGGCAGCCTGCTCCGCAGCCGTCTGGCGGGATTTCGTTTGCACAGATGGCGCCCCGGGCCTGAACCAACCGCTAGGGTAAGTACCTAGGAAGGTAGACAGGTAGATGTACCAGTATGGATCATGGTTCTACACTTGCTGGTCAACCACAGGAAGCTTCCAGTGTGGTTGCTTGGCTTGCAGTGACAAGTTGTAATGGACCAAAGGTGCTTGATACAAGACATGGAGTCTTCGAAGTTACTTCAAGAGTCTAACACTTGAGAAATGTGTGTTACGTTATCGGCTACTTTGGAATGGCGCGTTTACGGGTGTTGATCTACGCCAACAACGGCCTAGTGCTTACATGCTAGAAAGTAGGCATTTAACTGTCATAAGCAGGGAATTCCGCCTTCCTTTCTTCCCTGAACAATACATCATATTCTACCCTCTTATTGACCTCGCTGAACGTGACAATGTGTGCTAGGACCTCCGTACCTGAGGGCAAAGCGAGTATTAAACTGACACACTGTGATTCTCACTTCTTTCCATCTCCGTCTCATGCAAGGAAAAGAATGAGCTTAGTAAAAGTTGCCATTAGTTATTCTCTTAGGCTACGAGAAAGGGAGCCTGTGCAAAAAAGGGTTGTTTTCAATCCTTACATTTACTAGTCCAGAGAGGTAAGAATAGCGCGGTGCGGTGCGGTGAGGTGTGCGGGGGTGTATACTAGTACCTGCTTACACGAAATACGACAAGAGCTCTCTCTTGCTGGATTATTATTATATGCGCTCTTTTTCTCCAACTGCGCTAGCTTCCATTGCTGCACATACTTTCTTTTGGACACCGACAGCAAATGTCTGGGCTTCGGTGGAAGGATGGGCGCGTCGCTTAACAGCGCTTCGGATGCCAGCCAGCCTTGCGTCCATTGCCTGTCGCCTGGGTCTGGCCGTCTCATATCCGTCGACGGCGTGCAGCCTCTCCTTGTCTTGTGGCCTCTATTTAGACCGTTGCTGGGGAAGGGCTCCATATTGTCTGGTATTTATTAAGTTTGACAACCCGGCCTCTCTGCTGGTTAAAGTCCTTTTTTGTTTTGTCAGTTCGAATTTCTCGCAGTCCGAATCTATAACTAATCAATTTCACACGACGTTGCTCACAGCCTAGTAGTGAGTGACAAGAGACAATGCCGGCAGAGAGCTCCACGTCTGCCTCAGCCTTCGCCATTCTCTCCATCCACAAAAACGACAGCCTCCGCTTCCTCCAGTTCCCCGACGACATCCACACCAACATCCAGCCCGTCATACTGGCCACTTGGCCGCTGGGTATCCAGTCGTCCGGCCCCTATGCCGAGTCCTACCAGCACAAGCTCAAGGGCAAGCCGTTCGGCTGGACCAACGAGCAGGAAGTCGTAGGCGGGTTTCGCGTGATGCGCAACGTCCTTGCCTTTCTGCACGAGCAGTCCTGGCAGCTCGTCACGCCCCTCGTCTGCAGCCGCAAGCACGGCGCGAAGGACACGCTCATCTTCCGGCGGCGGCCCCTGGACGCCGGGCCCCCGGTGCCCATGGACTGGTTGGCGGTGGCGCTGATGGGGAGCGACAGGCTCCGCGTCGTCTATGACGCCAAGGACGTCAAGCTGTCCGGGGGCGCCGATTCCGACCACGACCATCTCGGGGTGCTCATCTCGGGCCTGAAGAAGGCTCTGGAGGCCATGGACTGCTTCCAGAAGGGCGACTGGAGCTACGACTCGTTCGAGTTCAAGCTCAAGGGCCGCCCGTGGCTGTCCCAGGGCGAGGACGTGGTCAAGTCGCGGCTGCTGCTGCTGCGCATCGTCGAGACGCTCGACTCATCCGGGTGGCGGTCGTGCTGCAGCGTGCTCCAGCGCACCGGCAACGACGACTTTCGCATGGCAGACACGTGGTACTTCATGCGGCCAAGGACTCAAGCAGGCGGCGGCAACGAGACGGCGAGCCTGCCGCGGCCGGGAGCTGCGTGAACTCTCGGCGGGTCTTTGGACTCTCTCAGCTCTGTTTCTGCCACAACTCTCGGCGTACTATAATGTGGCATGGCGTGTTCTGGGATGTTCTGTGCAACCTGATGTCAGACGGATGTATTTCGGACGGCTTGTTGGGAATGCACTCAGTGTGCCCTTAGGGTCCAGACACTATGGAAAGGTCCTTTTGCGAGCAGTGGTTACACCAACAATCGAAGCTCCGCCACCTCTTGAATTAAAGAGACCTCACATGACGTCGGTGCGAGAAAAGCTGTCTTTAGCGCGGGAAAGTGCCGGCTAAATCGCATCGCGCCGGGCGTCTCGATCAGATGCACGGGCTGCCACTGCCACCTCGGACTAGGCAAGTAGTCTAGAAGGTGCCTCCCATGCCATTCGTTGAGTGCGTGGCTGGAGGAAGGCGTGAAGGAAGGGGAGTCAATTATGTCAGTTCAGTTCTGCACGCGGGAATTCAACCGTCGATCTGATCCTTCCCTCTGAATGTCCACCTACCCAGTTTCAAATACGAGAATCAACCATGCAACGTGACAGCCCGATAATCATTTCCTCGTACAAGCAGAAATCGAGTTCCCCATTCGGTCCATCCGACTTTCTGCCGATGGAAGTTGCGGCCATTAACATCCCCATCTGGCACTGTAGTTGGTCTGTATCATTCATCGTGCCTTCCCCGGACGAGTTGTTTCGGTTCGGGCTGTTGTCCCTTCACCCATAGACCGCTGCAGATACGAGACAGACCGAGATGTCTGTCTTCGCCGGTTCCACTTCCGTCCGGACTGCTCTTTCCTTCTCCTTGAACCAGCCGCTCTTAGTCTCCGACTACTTGGTGCTAGCTGCGACGGCTGTTCGCAAGTTCCCCAATCTGCAAGATCTGACAACCAGGGCAATGGACTGCCATCCTGTCTCGTTCCCCGGAGAAAGTTTAATGCCTATCTCTCGGCACATATTCCGAGCTTTATCAAGAGATCGCGGACTGCCTGTCTAGGTGTTGCATTTTTGAAATACCCAGCGGAAGTCATGTCAAGTGGACGACTTGGATCCTCCAGCCGGGAAAATGGGCAGCTGTAGGTCGGTTGTATACCCGGCCACCGTCACTTCCGACTTGCATCGTCATAGCCCAGTTGGCGCATTCCTGCTGACGGGCTGGATGCACTCGGGCGCATCACGGTGCCAAAGTCTTGCAAGTTGAGCCGTCGTTCCTGCATCTTGTTCGTGTTCGCTTCCTCGCTGCGCGGCATCTCTGCAAGCACTTCTTCCCAACACCGCCGAGTTCCTTCCGCGTCGACCTGGAGGTCGCTCCTAATTCCCTAGCGCTGCGCCCTCTGCGGTTGCCAGTTGCAACGCGGTGGCAACTCGCTGTCATGTCATGGCGCTGGTTATATAACCTCGGGCCTCCCTCGTCCCAGTCACAGAAGAGAGTGGAAACTCGAGCATCACGAGCAAAATCACCAACCACTTAAGCAACACAATCCATCAGCCTTTTCTCCCCCCAGATTATTTTGGCCTCAGAGATACCATCATCTTTTGTTCCCGTTTTCTTCTTGCCACCGCGTCTCCGTTAGATTCTCCCGTCGGGTAGCCTTTTTGCCTCTTTTCTCTCTCATAATGAAGTTCACGCAAATCGCCGGTGTCCTCGCCGCCCTGACGAGCTCAACTGGGGTTCTGGCACAGCAACAAACAAACAACCAGACCGGGCCCTTCTTGCTCAAGCTTACGTCGGCCAACGAGACACTCAACGGCAACTACCTTGGTGCCTGCCATGCCGGTGCCGCGATTGAGGCTCTCTGCCTTATCGGCAAGAACATATCGACCATCAACAGGTCGGCGGCGACGTTCTTCTGGAACTACACCATCTACGACGGGCAGCCTTCGGAATCTGGATCTCTGGTCTGGACCTTGCAACTGTCTGGAGGCATCATGAACGTGTCGGAGCCCCTGTCGGTCACGTACAATCCTGGAACCAATGTGGCGGTGCCAATGCTTACTGTAAGTCTGCCCCTTTTACACCTCCCTTTTGGTTCTTGTTTGCTCCAACGTCCCCTTTTCGTTTTTGGCCTAGGCTAAATGTTGCCTGCGGATGCTAACCGATGATGTGACTAGCCGGGCGGAGTTGCACAGCAAGTGGGCTTCAACGGCAGCACGCTGTACGTACCTGGATATCCCGACGACTCCAACTTCAAGTATGGCGAGTACCCGACGAACCTGTCGACGACGCAGTTGACCAACTGGCAAGCGTGCTGGCTGTTCGCGGGGAGCTACTACTACAATGCGCTCGCGTGGGTCACTAGCGGCGCCCCGCACAACCCGACGTGCCAAGCCGTGGGCGTGTTGAGGGAGGATGCTTAGGAAACACCTCAGTTAGTTGTGGATGCGCCAGAAACATCGGTCGAGGCCGAGGCTGAAGCACCCGAGCAGGTTGAAGCGCCCGAACAGGATGAAGTGGAAGAGGACGAGGATGAGGGTGAGGACGAGGAGGACCAAGAGGAGGCTTGACGGGTGTAATACAGTGGTTAATGGGATGGTGGGTGGCGCCATGGTGGCATAGAGATGGGGTATATGGTAATTGCTAATGTCTTGTGTGTGTTGGGATCAGAAATTATTAGAGACAGGAGTACAAACATGGGAACAGAAATGAATCAACAAAGTTGAACCTTCATAGCAATGTTTTCGAGGGCACGGTGCTGCTGGCTCGCAAAGGTGTTTGGCTTGGCCGGCACTGTAGACCGCCGAATCCGGGCGCATGCTGTGTGACCACGGGAAATCGGTTACCTCCGCGGAGACCATGGCCGCGGATAAGGAAAGACAGGATTTGGAGGACGCTCAGCCGTCTTCTACAGCGCCCCAACCGGCTGCCCAGCGGGAACAAACAGCACAGGAGGACAGAGGGAAGCGTCGGTGGCAAAAGTGTTTCTGAGCCGGCACATCTCTTGCCCATCCTTCCTTTCAGGATCCAACAGAGAGCATGCGCACCCTGGTAAACACATGCCCGCGGATGTCCAGACCCGGCCGCGTTGGGCTTCACCGCACATGTCTGTGCGAGTGAGTGAGTTTGTGTGTGTGTGTGTGTGTTGTGTTGATCGACTTTATCTGCTGTCGCTGCATTATACGCAGTACCACACCCGCTCGAGTATGGTAGGTAGGTAGTAATAAGAATGCAGTGATGAGGATGTGGTGATGTGGTGATGTAGTGATGTGGTGATGTAGTGATGTGGTGATGTGGTGATGATGTCGTATTGGTTTTGTATCGTGTCGTGTGTCGATGGATGTTGTATAGCTTGTCTATCTTGGTTATCCATTCATCTATCCCCAAGATAGGCAGGTGTAGCCATTTCTGCTGCTGCTGCTGCTGCTGCTGAACTTGGACTGCTTCTGGTAGGGCCGTCTTTCCTTTTGCTTTTCCCCCTCCTTTTCTAAGGCTGTATTGTTTTGTCTTTGTGCTTGAGCTGGCTGGCTGGCTGTATTTGTGCCTGTTCTTGTTCCTTACCTTTTTCCTCCCTGTTGTTATGTTCTCCTGTCGGTTTCACTGATTTGGTATTTGCCTGCCTGCTGCCTGCCTGCCTGTCTCTGGCTGGCTGACTGCTACATCTGACTGCTGTCTGTCTAGACATATGATGCCATGCCATGTGTGCGCCTACCGGCCTGTATGTATGTCTGTCTGAGTCCCTATCTACTGCTGTTGTGTCTGGCAGTCTTGCTTTCTCTGTCAGTCTGGCGCTCTATCTGGCCGTATTCCGGCCTGCCTGCATGTCTTATCTATCAATCTCGGCAGCCATCATCCTGGCTGCTCCTTCCAAGTACCTTGCCTGACTGATTCTCGGCCGTTGTGCCAAGCCGGTCACAGTTGCACTGCGTACATGCCTTTCGCCTCTTCGTTTATTTGCCGCCTCCCGCCTTGTTCCATTTGTCGTACCGAAACACAAGAACAAGATAGAGAGAAGAGAGCACCAGGAGAGAAAACGGAAGGTTTCACCGTCACAACATCCAGGCAGGCAGGCAGAAGACAGACAGACAAAAGCAGGAGCGGGAAGAGCACCTTTGCCCTGCGCGGTGTTGCATCCGCCTTCTCCCCTCCTTCCCTTTCTCCTTTCGGTCAGTGTTTATTTATCTCATGTGCTGTATACGGATGATGTGCATGCCGTGGCCGTCAAAGCCATGCCAGCCAGGCGAGGTCGTGCACTATGAGTTCCTGCGATAACCCAGTTGGCTGACTGTGCCACTGTAAACGAGAGACTAGAGGCTGCCTTGTAGATGGGCGACTCGGGGCTCGTGTGGCATGTGTGTTTGTGAATGGTATTTTAGCCGAGGCGAGTCGAGTCGAGTCGAGTCCATGGCAACGTCGACCCTCAGACACGTGGATGCGTGCGAGTTTGAGTGTTTGTGTTCTCCTTGCCCTCTCTCTCATACGACCCTGGAGAGCTGGTCCAACGCCTCACGAGCCGGGAGCTGATCCCATTGGGCAATGCGAAGACACCTGGAAAGGAAGCGAGGACCCTACAGATACCAAGTCAGACACCGACAACGACGAAACCGAGATCAAGCACACTGCAGCGCACATCCGGCGATCCCCTGATGAAACAATTGCCGATCAAAGGAAATAAAAAAAGGAAGTTAGGCATCAACAGCCCAAGGTAAGCCATGGCCGCCCAACTTTAAAACGTTCCCCCACGACACCCACGACCCAAGAGCCGGGACCCCGCCCCCAGAACCGGGGCAAAGAGAAGCGAGCGAGCGGCTGGTGCCGATCAGCCCCCTCGTCTAAAGCATTTCCCCATTGTCGCGCGAGGGGTGGGCGGGGCACATAATTGCCATGCAATGCAATATGTTTCCTTCCCCGTTCCCACCGGTGCGTCATGAGCCACTCACTGCAGGGCGAAACACAAAAGTACGTAACGTAGAGTAGACAGGGAGGTATAAACTGGGGCTGGTCACATATCACATTCCCGGCAGAAGCAAAACATCTCTCGGTCGCCTAGCTAGCGAGCTAGGAACGAGCATGGGCATGGCATGGGCATGGCATTGTATGTGTGGGAGTGGCACGGCGCGGCAATCGGACTTCACAAATATCCGTAGTATGTGCAGTAGATTGCAATACGCAAGTACACCTCCGCCGGGGTTTGTTTTGTTAGCTCGGTACATGCCCCACATTCTAACAAGGGCCCCTTGCTACATAAAAGTAGCCTGGTATAGAGCCAAAATTCAGTATTTTATTGTACCACCCTCAGCATCTATGCACATCTGCAGCCTGCGTGGCATCGAGTGTGCCAGCCGTAGAAGAAGATCTTCTGGCACAGCCTCCCACGCCGCCTCTAGAAGCCTGCGAAGGTCTGGTAAATCTAGCTCCTGAATATCCTCGCAATTACATTCAATCCAGTTTTTGATCCACGGCCAGACATTCTCAATAGGCGAGAGGTCTGGAGAATAAGGAGGCCAGCGAACCACATTAACTCCTTGCAGGTTGAGTGCTGCTTTGGTCCGCCGTGCCCGATGTGCTGAAGCGTTATCTTGTTGGAAAACCGAGGCTTGAATCTGGCGATAGAAGCGGATAATAAGCGGAATAATATGCTCGATATAATTATTAGCGCCGATTCCTCCATACTCCTTCTCCTAAACAAACCCTGGCCCTTTTATTCCACCTGCAAAACATCCCCAAAACATCCAACCTTTTGGTTTCCGCCGTTGAAGAGCAAAATCGGCAAGATCTTGCCCCCGGAAAAGGATAACGTGCTTTTTCCACATTGGGTCATTTATTGCCCAAGTTTCATCAGACCAAATAAAATCATCCCAATCTTCTGGATTTGGACGGAGACGAAGCTGTTCCTGGCACCAACGAAGCCTCTGCTGTTTATGGGCAGTAGTAAGGAAAACTCTTCTTGGTCGAATCCGAGATTCTCCTTCTAAATCGTGGACTGCTCGAACAAGGGCAGTTTCACCGTATTCTGCTAACTCTAAAGGAACGTAGTATTGAAGCTGATAAAGGGGAAGATATTGACGGCGTTTATCTTTTAAAAACCATTCTTTTAAACGTTGTTTCTGAGGGGTTCGAATCTTTCCTCGTCGACTTTTGCTTTTCTGTGGTGTCAACGGGCCCTCCTTACAGGCAGATTGGATTTGCCGGTTTGAGAAGGGGGTATTTTCTGCAATCTTCTCGTAAGTCCAACCAGCGTACTTCCGTAGGCCTCGAATTTCGGCCTTTTCTTCGCGTGTGAGGTCTTTGTTTTTATGCCGGCGTTTAGGGGTTGAGGGTTCTGGCAATTGCTCTGGTGGTGGCTCTTGTAGTGGCTCTGGCAGTGGATTCAGGAGGTCTGCAATTGCAAAGGGCATTTTTGGCTGTGGGCGACTGGCTGCACTGCGGGGTGTTCAGCATGCGAAATTTAACTCGCAGGTATTTTGCCACAGAAATTGCTAGAAGAATGACTTGGTTTCTATTTTCCGTATGCGGCTAGCCCAGATGACTAAAACACTGTAATCACCCCTGTAAGTCACTGGAGCTAACAAAACAAACCCCGGCGGAGGTGTACGTAGCAGGCAGGCCACGTGGGTAGGAGGGATGGCGGTTATGGGCAAATACGAGCAAGCAAATCACCAGCCTTGGCAGCCTGATGTTGTTTTGTGCGTTGGGTGCACCGGGCAGGCGAGGCGGGACGCAAGGACGCAAGGGCGCAAGGCAACGGAAGCGGGTGAGTTTTTTCGGCGTCGGTGTCGCTGCCGCTTTGTCGAGATAGCATTGCAATGATCCAATCCGACGCCCCAGGTTGGCCGACTGACTCCGTACATACAAGGCTCTCGAGCAATGTCCGCAAGAGCCTCCGGACAGGGTTTCACACGACCAAAGAACAAGAACAAGAACAGTGCCCGAGGCTGCCAACACGATAATACAATCGGCCATGCCACAGCATGCATGTGAGCAACATCTATGGTCCGGTCAACACGGATGCTCACGGTGATCCGCTCGCCGCCAAAGAAACTCACTTGCACTCTTTCGTCTCGTCTCGTCTCGTCTCGTCTCCCCTATGATGCCGGGCGAACAGACAGCCCCCAACCACGAAGACGCCCGAAGTGAACCGTACAGAAAGCAGGTAAAGTCGAGCGAGCCCCGCCAGCTGGTGTAACAAAGGAACCGACAGCTCGGGGTCGTTGGGGGCGTCGACGCACGTGAGAGGCACAGTCTGAGAGGGTGGCTCGCAAGCCTCGACATTGGCCACTAGGTTGCAGTCCGGCCTAGCGGGCATATGCGAGGTTTTATTTAGCTTTCGCCCGGCAGAGCAGTGCAGAGAGCAAAGCCGGCGAAGAAGGCGTCCGCCCGACTGACGAGGTGTGTAGGTTGCTGGCTGCCTTGTCTTGGCAACCAATCTCCTGAGGCGAGGGGGTAGGAGGCGAACTATTGCAGATCAAGAGCTCGAGACGGTGAGTCTACGACACCTTGCCGCGGGCACCTCCGCAAGCTGCAGGCTGCCACCGGACCAACCAGGCTCCCCCAGAACCGACGCCACATGAGCGAATGGACTATAATTGGGTAGTCCATCCTCAGCGAGAGGGGAAGTCTGCACGACACATCTACTATGCAGGTTCTTGTAGATTGCAGACTGAAGCGAGGCAACAAGCCATGCAGTGATAGTGATGCACCTCCTTCTTCAGCAGTGCTCCCTCCCTCTTTTCCGTCCAAAGAAGTGCGTTAGAGCGATGAGCACAGCAAAGACGGGCAACCGCGCATAAATAATCGAGTTGCCCGGCTTCAGTTGGCCGTAGGAGTTGCTGCGTTGCTATGAGCAGAATCCTTCCAAGATCGTCCCTGTACTGTCTGTCCTCTTTTCGTTGACTTGCCCGACCGGACCCGAAAATCGACTCTGCACAAGCCAGTAGCCAAAGGTAGACGTTAGCTAGCGGAGCCACAGTTGATCTGATACCTCTGCTGCCCGCCCCGCCCCGCCCCCAAGCTAATATAAGTCGGCCCCTTCCACCTACCCAAGCCTCGCTCGCCTCACTTTCGTCAGATGGGAGGGAACCACTGCCCGTCTTGGTACAAGTGAGCTGCCCTTCACTTCAACTTTGACGCACATTCGCCCAGCCCAGCAGGAAGAGGCAACCAAGACCATAGCCATCCCTTGTGACCAGATCCTCACCTTGACATCTCCCAAAGATGGCCGGCTTCATCACGCTCAACCAGAACCCGATGCAGGGGCAATCAGAAGCCCCCGTTGAGATTCGGATGCCGCCCGGCGGGCAACAGCTACCCCGCGTGATCAACGCGAACCCTCGGCCCATGGGAGCTCAGACATTGGGTTGGCAGCGCCCTGCCATGCCAACCCAACAGCAGCATCAGCAGCAACAGCAACAGCAGCACAACATGGACAAACCCCTTCCGCTGCAGCAGGACTACACCGTCAAGATCTGCGACCTCCGGGAGGAGCGGCCGCTCACCGCGGCCGAGGCGCGCGAGGCGCTCTCGAAATACTACATTTACCGATTTGAGAAGGCGGTTGACGACGAGAGCGCCTACGACAATGGCAGCAGCGGCAAGAAGAAGACGACGTGGACTAGGGTGAAGCGCACTGAGGTGTTGGGCACGTCTAAGGATGAGGCGGCGCGGCAAGTGCGCAAGCTCAACAAGCACACGCACACGCTGAGCGACAAGAAGGCGACGCTCAGCGGCGACCAGCAGAGGCAGGTCGAGTTGGTTCTCGAGGACCTCCAGCGCCGCTTCCACGACCCCCGATACCAGATCAATCTGGTCCAGATCGACCACCAGCTCAAGTCCAAGTCCAAGTCCAAGGACAAGGACAAGGACAGGGAGAGGGCCAAGGAAGGAGGGAGGGACAGGGCTAAGCTTGGGAAGACGCCCAAGTACGTCGCCGACAAGGGGTTCGTGTTCGTCCGAGACCGCAGGGGCGCAAGACAGGGCTCATCGTCGTCGCCGAGGGACACGGCGCAGAAGCACGCCCCCGAGGAGGTCAGCCTCACGGCCTACTACAAGCAGACGCCCCGCCCCGAAGTCAACGCACTAGCCCTCCTCTTACAGCAAGGCGAGGCCGTCGCGCGAGGCCGCCTGCAGCCCCAGCCGGCTCTGCTCGACCCGGAGCAGCGATTCCCTCCGCAGCCCAGCCATCATCCGGCCAGCCACCCAGCTGGGTACCCGGCTGTCCCTCCAGCGGGTTGGAACGGAGCACCTGGAAACAAAGGCGGCGGTCCGACACCGCAGCAGCAGCCGCAGCAGCAGCAGCAGCAGCCACCGCCGCCGTCGCATGCCTTCCCTCCAAAGGGTCCAGCAGCTCCGCCAAGCCAAGACTCCCTCCCTCCAAAGCCTCCAGCAGCTCCGCCAAGCCGCCACTCCCTCCCTCCAAAGCCTCCAGCAGCTCCGCCAAGCCGCCACTCCCTCCCTCCAAAGGAGGAAATGCAGAACACGGGAGTCCAGGCAGGCAAGAATGGCAGCGGCAAAGGCAGCAACCGCGGGCCTTCGGCCAAGCCCCCGCGGCGGCAGCAGCGTCGGCCTTCGAGCTCGTCAGAATCCTCATGCTCTGTCTACTCGATTGATGACGAATATGACGACGACATGTCGATCGAGTCGGCCAACTCGAGCAGCTCGTCGTTCGGCGAATTCGGCCCGGGATCGGGCCAGGCCAAGAAGGCCAAGCACTTCACGAACACGGCGGCCAACTTCGGGATCCAGCCCAAGATGCCTCTGCACAGGCGCGGCCGGCACGAGGGCCATGTCATCACGGACGAGCTCCTGCCCACGGCGGCGGCATTGCGCGGCGGCGGGGGAGGAGGAGCTGGTGTCGGGGGGCACGCAGCGGCGCTGCTGGAGGTCGACCTCGACGAGATCAACATGATCACAACAAACGCGTACCACGCGGGGCGGGCCGACGAGCGGTCGGACCTGCGCGACATGGCGGACCGCGTCGCCATCGCCACGGCCATGAAGTCTAAGCTGCCGGCTCCGGCGCCCATGCCGGTGCCTATACCTCCCCCAGCGGTGCAGCTGCATCACCACAGCCGCAACCACCACCACCGCGCACTGCCGACACGCCTACCGCCGCGCATCATCCAGCGGCGGCCGAGCGTGCGCCGCGTGCGGCCCGGCGACGTGGCGCTGCAGCTCGAGATCGAGATGCTGGAGCGCGACATGGAGCGGCAGCGGCTCGGACGGCACAACGAGTCCTACCACTACGACGACCATGGCTATGGTTACGACGACTACGACCGCGACCACGACAACGACCACGACCACGACCACAACTACGACCATGACCACGACCACGACCACGAAGCAGAGGACGATCTCGACAACATCCAAGTCGACGTTGACGGCGGGTACTCGTACCTAGTGCATCCGAACAGCACGAGCCGCCGACCGCAGCAGCAGCACGTGGCGTGGGAGGCGCCGCGGCCGTCCAGGCGCAGCGACCTCTGGGAAGACGTGGCCATGGCGGGAGGGCGCGACCGCAGGGCGCTCAATTTTATGCTCAGAAAGGAGTCAAACACGACCCAGACGGCCGTGCCCCGAGACTTTAGCCCGCGGCTGGCGCCGGCGCTAGCGGGCCCCCACCTGGGCAGGCGGAGAGCGAGTATCGCTGTCCCACACTCGCCTGGAGGATTCCGGGCGGGCCATGACGATTTCCAAGGACCGCCGTATCCGTATGAATAATATGAAAATGCGGGGTTTGTTTCGGACCGGGTTCGAGTTTCTTCTTGTGTGCGTTAGTTTGGGCGATTCGGATGGTTTGCTATCATGTCTTGGGTTGCCTGGGTTGGTTGACTGGCTGGGCGTTTCCAGGTGTGATGACGGTGATGACGAATCGATGAATGCTGATGGGGTTCATGTTGGAAATGGTACAAGGGGAACGGATGCCCGGTTTCTAAATTGGAGTCTTGGGTGCGGATATTATCCAGTTATTTAATATGCCGAGATTGACCGGCGAACTTGAGTTGGGGAAGATGTTCGTTTTATCGCGGAATACAGAACAGAATGAACAAGGCATTTGCGAAGTCCAAATAAAGGAAAGACCATCCGGCGGCTGGCTTGGGAGCTGTATTCAGAGCGGACAGCACGTAACTTGAATTTTCATGACAACGAGATCTTGGTTTAATGTGCCATTACAGACCGAGATGCTTGGCGTCTGTGTTTGTGGGCAGGACTTGGCAAATCGCGAAGGGGGTTTTTCTGAGACTTCGAGTTGCATTGCATGATGTCTTGCTGTTCTGCAAGTGAAGTCGCACTGTTGCAACAACTGGATCGAGTATCTGTAGAAAGGTGGGGCTGAAGCTTGCACCATGACAGGATCACGTGGGTGGCGCTGGAAATCACCATATCATAGCCATTGCCGCTTGGGGATCCGCCCAGGGCCCAAGCCCCCAGCTCCCAAGGCTGGTTGTCTGGCCGACGACTTACAGGGTTCGAAATAATAACAGCAGTTTTGTCCAAAGCAACATGATGGTGACGGCAAGCGCGCGCAAAGGAGCGACGCCAGTTGCACAATTGACTCGCCCAAGCGACACCCGTCGGCGAGATCCCGCGCGTTGCACCAGGTAATCGACGATACTACTGACGGCAAGAGCTTACGAGTACCGCCTTTAACCCCCGCTTTCCGTTTTCGCTCGTCGCATTCATTGCATTGCCAAAATAAGCTTTCAAAAAGAAACAACGCAAAAGGAAGGCAGCTGCGACAAACTCAACTCCACATTGCATTTCCGCCTCCCAACACCCGACGACTGAGATCGACACTGGTGGTGACACCCGCATTCCTCAGGCCGGCTTGGCTTTGCACCTCGCCCGCCAGTCGCCGCCATGGCGCCGGCAGACACCCTCTCCCCGCCGGGGTCGAGCTCGTACTCGTCCAACACGCTGACGGTCGGCGACGGGACATGGGACTTTACCAAGAACACATTCCTGCTGCCCAACCTCGTGGCGCTGAACTTTGACACGATGCAATACAATGGTAACCTCTCCATGACCTGCCCTGCCCTTCCCCGACATTTGCTAACGACTGCCGTGCTCCGGCAAAACCAGGCATGGGAAACCGCTTCTCGACCCTCACGCAGTACCACAGCCTCATCCTCGGCCACGGCGTGCTAGCCGCAATCACCTTCCTCTTCATAATACCCATTGCCGTCCTCGTGGCCCGCTTTTACGCCCGCTCGCCCGGCACCGCCATCCGCTACCATGCCTACCTACAGATCCTCGCCGTGCTATTTTCCACCGTCATCTTCATCCTCGGCTTCATGGCCGTCGGCCCGCCGCGCAACCTGTCCAACCCCCACCACGGCATCGGCGTCGCCATCTACGTCTTGATCCTACTCCAGGCCGTCGGCGGCCGCCTGGTCAAGCACATTACGGGTCGCTCGCTGCGCGTCCACCTACACAAGTGGTCCGGCCGGGCCATCACCCTCCTCGGCATCGTGCAGGTCCCTCTGGGCTTGACGCTGTACGGCTCGCCAAAGTACCTGTTTGTGCTGTACACGTTGTGGATGGTCTTTTTGCTGCTGCTGTACTTCATCCTCGACTACAGAGATGAGGGCCGCCGCGAAGTCTACGTGAGCGGCGGCCGAGGCACCGACCACGGTTCAGATCGCAAGTCGAGCCGTGGCATTGGATGGCTTGGACCGCTCGCCGCCGGCGCTGGTGTCTGGGCACTGCTCCGAAGCCGAGGCCGCAAGCGCGACAGGGACACAGAGCAAGCCCTGAGCCGCACCCCCAGCCCCGCGGGCCGCTCTCACCGCGGGCCCGAGGTTATCCCGTCCCCGCGAGGGTCCGAGAGCTACCACGACGAGAAGCACACGGACCGGCGCCGCGCGAGCGGAGGTGGCTTCATGAACAGAGTCCTGGGCGTTGGTGCGGCTGTAGGCGCCGGTGCCCTCGTGTCGCGCATGATGAGGCGCCGAAGCCGCGGAAACGATGACCAGTACTCGGCCGTGGCGACCGACACCCCAAGCCGGCCCCAGAAGCCCAGGAGGGGTTATGCGCCCACCGAGAGCGAGTTCAGCGAACGAACCGAGGACATCCGCAGGCACGATAGCCGGCATGATAGACGATCGCCGCTACTTCCGGGTCCCGGCATCCCGGCCGCAGCAGGCGCGGCTCCGAGCGCGGCCGGTGAACGGCCAAGGACCCCACTTCCTGCCCACTCGAGGTTCGACAGCCAAGATGCTTCCGACTACTCGTCCTCTTACGTCAGTCCCTCGCGAAGAACCTCGGAGAGGAAAAAGAGTGGTGGGTTCGCCAAGGGGATTTTGGGCGGGCTGACGCTGGGCTTTCTGGGGAGGAAGGCAAAGGACCGCCACGATAGGAACGAGGAGCAGCGGCTGAGGGAGGACGAGGACAGGCGGAGAGACGAGGAGGACCGGCGAGCCGGCAACCGCACATCCAGATACACGGGCGACGGCTATCCCACGCCGACAAGAACAGGATCAAGGCGCCGCCCCCATCGCCCGGGCGGCGGACGGCCTCCGCCGTCGGGGGTCACGACGACTGCGTCGGGCATGTCAGAAGAATCCTCTATTGAACCGCGCGGGGATATTCCCTACGACCCGGTACCAGTGAGCGGTGTTTTGCCGCCGCGCCCCATCCCTCTTCCCGGATCTGCAGCAGCGGCCGCAGCTGCCGCGGCTTCTGCGTCCAGCCACGGCCCGATCCCCCTTCCCGGCACAGCAGCTGCAATGGCGGGAGGCAGGCCGTCGCGGCCGTCGTCAAGGACACGATACGACGGCATAGAGCCAGCTGCGATGCCGCCAATGCCGGTCGACCCTCACGGGATCCTGCACCACGAGTCGGGCAGCGAGACGTATTTCTCGTCAGGCGGCCGCCCTCACCGGCGACACTCAAACCGACGGGGAGCAGGCGGCGACCCAGAAGCGGCGGCGGCGGCTGCTGCCGCGTCGGCTAGCGTGTTGGCTGCGCAGGTGGAGGAAGAGCATCGCCCGCGGGGCCGTCGAGGCGAGGGGTCGTCGTCGAGACAGCCCATCACGAGCGTCAAGATGAAGGCCGACGACAAGGGCGGCATGACGTTCCGCCAGCTCACGGGCGAGCAGTCGAGACAGGAGCAGCGGCGGAGACGCAACGACTCGCTGAGCAGCCAATCGGAGCTCGACACGCCCACCAGCCGGAGGTACCGGCGCGAGCGCGACTCGAGCCAGAGGCAGGCCGAGGTTGCAGCCGAGCAGCAGGTCGAGAACGAGCCGCTGGCGCCGCTGCTGTCGCCGCCGAACCCGGCGTTCGCGCAGGGACGGCGGGCCGCGGGCAAAGACTCAGCGTACTACTCGGGCCAGCCAGGGCCATCTGGCGGCATGGCGGGGGCGGTGTCGAGCATGGGCAGCCTGGCGAGCCCTGGAGGCAGCCACGGGACGTTTAGCGCGCTCAGCCCGACGCCGTCTCGCGATCCCACGGCGTCGGCGGCGGACCGGCGGCGGAGGAGACGTCTGGAGCGGCGCGACGGTAGCAGGCCGCTCAACACGGTCGACTTTGAGTAAAGCTCGCTCTTTCTGCTTTGCTTTTTGCCACGTCGCGAAACTGCCATGTTTGGTGTTGGCATTTCAGCACCAGGACTGGTCAATCTTTAATGACGGCGTGGGTGGCGTCGGGTTTATATGGGCGGTGGTAAGATTGGGATGCATATCATTGAGAGCGACACGAGGACAGACGTATATGATGAGAGCAAAATTCGTGTTGCCCGCCCTGTATATTCATAGCATGGCCGGGAGTATATTCTCTCGTCATTGTCTTGGCAGATGCATTAGCTGTCTTATACGATGTGATGGCTAGCTAAGTGTTGATGTTAATGACGGATGCGGCCAGAGGAAAAGGCGTTTATGATTTTGCGGGTTAGGGATAGGGACGGGACGGAGACTGCCATGACACTAGTCTGCCAAGTTATTTATTTAATTACCTATACACCTTCTATGGGACTAATAAGCTGAGCTGCCGGTCTTTCTTTGTCGAGTTACAAATTGTAGTGTTTCCACGTACTCGGCGCTCGGGAGTCGGGAACCGCCTGGTAAGCTGATGCGTAGCGACTAGGCACCCTTTCCACTGGAAGCCTAGGCGGCCCCGCAAAAAGTCGCGCCGGCCAGCTGCCACCCGAAACCACCTCACTACCGCGACGCGACTTTAACGGCCCGGGCATTTTAAGGACTTTTAATGATCCCACGTCCCGCATCACATCGTGCTGTACTACACATATACCAAAACATGTCGGTTGACAAAGAACCCGCGCAGCAGCAGCAGCAGCAGCAGCAGCTACAACCACAGCAAGGAGGCGCAGAAGATCACACAATGCAGGACGCTGCTACTTCTACAACCCAGCAGCCGGGGCCGCAGCCGCAGCCGCAGCAGGATGCGCCTCCGCTATCAACACCAACAACAACATCAACAACAGCAAATAACGCTGCAAATGCAGATGCAGGCAACAATGGTGATAATGATAATGAAGCACCAGACTCCCCCCCGCTGCCAGCAAAACACAGGCCCGCCACCCCGGGCCCCCGCGCCGCCCGCCTGCAAGCCCTCTTCGCCGCCACCCTCACCCACACGCTCGACAAGATCAGCTACGCCAACTTCGCCGCCTGCTACCCCACCGTCGCGGCGCGCGCGCCGGGCACCCTCGAGTTTGTCCAGCGCCAGATGGTTGAGCGGCTGGGGGCGCAGTGTAAGGTTTGTTCTTTTCTTTTTCCTTTTGAGGGCATGGTTTTCGAATGCAGCGAGCAGCTCGCCGCAGGCACCCCCGAAGAGCCGCCGGAGGCAAGCACAAAGGCAGCTCGGGTCTGCGTGTCTGTTTACTCTTTCCGTACTGGTGTCTGTTTGTCTGGCTGGCCTCTTTAGGTCTGCAGTTTGCGGGCTTCCTCTGAGGGAGGGCTGGTTGGTTCAACGCATCCCTCTTCAAGTGAAGAAGTAGATGGCGGCCATGGCCATAAACATACAGAGAACACGACTGTTTCGGTAGAATCCAGTTCTCCTTCTTTTGCTTTCAATAAAAAAGGGGGGATAATAAACTAACAGCCCCCCACAGCGAGAATTCGACTCAGTCCTGCAGAACCGCAACGTCATCGCCAAGCTGAACGAGCTCGAGAGCCTCGTCAGCGAGGCCGCCGCGCGCAAGCAAGTCGCTGCCGAGACGACGGATGTTGTTGCTGTTGATGGGGTCGAGCCGCCTGTGCCGTGAGTTTACTTTTCTTTCTTTCTTCTTTCTATCTATCTATCTGTCTGTCTGTCTGTCTACTCTCTCTGTCCCTGAACTTAGTGTGCCCACCCCTATTTCTCTCTCCCACCAGCAACCACACACACACACACACACAAACTCACAACACAACAACAAAACAGACCACACACACTCCCCGCCGGCACCGTGCTAGCCGCACACCTCGCACCGCACCTGGCCGCGCAGCAGTCGGCGCTCAACGCACGGCTGCAGAACACGCAGGCGGCCAACGCGCGACTGTTTGACGAGATCGGCGCGCAGCGCGCCGACATCGAGGCGCTGCTGGCGACCGTCGAGCGCGTGCTGGCCGACATGGACGGCGCCGCCGGGCTGCTGGACGGCGTCGCCGACGAGCTGGTGCGCGAGACGCGGGCCGCTGCTGCGGTTGTCGATCCTGATCCTGATCTTGGGATTGTTGGTGGTGGTGTTGATGCTGGTGGCGACCGGGCCATGTCTGGAACTTGATGTTTTTGTGTCATGTTTTATTGTTGTTGGTGTTTTCTCTCTCCCATGTATTACATGTATGTATGGATGCATGTGTACGCGTGGCAAAGGAGGGATCTGGCAGGCGGTATTCTAGGCTTTCACTGCATCTTGTTTTTTTAGCGGGTGGCTTCCAGGGGTTCGGCGTTATGGTCATGCCCTTTTTTCTTCTCTCTCCGCTACCCATGGGCTGGGCCGGCCGGCAATGGGCTCGGTAGGATACCCACGAAACACCAAAATTCATATCCGCAGTGGCAGTGATGTTGACGTTGGGGCCGGTGCTGACTGCGCACGAGCGGATAGAGCTATTTCCCCGAACCCGCTTCAGCTTCTACCAAGTAAGACGAATATCACTCCCATTTCGTGGAACCGTGCCGTGGCCAGGCGGTCAGCCATATATGTACATGCATATTTTATGGCCAAATCGAGGACTCGCTTCGCTTTCCTTCGTGGTCAACCAGGAAATCACAGCACAGAAACAGCATGATCTACACCACTTGTATTCTTACAAGCTACCAATCCAGCCAACAATCCAGCCAACTAGCCACTAGCGTCTGGTAATGCCAGTCCGGAATGTATGTACAGATCGTTGCGTGCCCACCCCCGTAGGGAGGCAGGCCGGCCGATAAATAAGAGCAGATATATATGGTTAAAAGAACCCCAATATCAACCGTAGCCCCTCGAGGTATAATAATGACGATTAAATAGACAAATAAATGCTTCACGCTTCGATCCCAGGCCCGCCGCCGACAAGAGACGCCCTCTCTCGCTCATGCAAAATATATGTGCTCCAAAGCCCGCCATCCCTAAACTCCGCCCAAGTAGGTAACCAATGCCAAAGTATATCGAACCAACGCTTTTGTGTGTGGTTGTGAGTCTGTCCCACAAATGCAAGAACGCACCACCGACGCCCTCCCGTCGCTGCTGCCGCCAAAGTATGGGTATATATGTGAAGAAATGTCTCGCCCGCCCTCCTCGGTCGTCGGCCCCCCAAGCTCTATAGCCGCCTGTTCTCCGCCATGTAGCCCGACCAAGTGCCAATCAGCTCCACTTCCCCGTACGCGGGCGGCAGCACCCGGATCATGCGTCCCGTGGTCCAGTCCACGTACCACCTCTTCCCCTTGGAGATCACGTAGTTGGTTTTGCGCGGGCTCTTGAAGAGCAGCACCGCGTAGCAGAGCCGCGCGTAGAGCTGGTCGTGCGTCTCGGTCCACTTGTGCTGCGGCGCCCACTTGCCCGTGTCGGGGTCGATGTGCTCGTTGGGATATGACGTGGTCGACAGCCGGCCCACGATCGGGTGCTCGGTTCGGTTCGCCAACGCAGCGTAGCCCGACACCCCGTCGTCGTCGCCTATTGGCTCGCCGTCCTCGCCGCCGGCCTCCTCGTCATGGTCCATGTCGTTCGCCGACGAGGCTATGCTCTGCCTCCTCTCGTTTAGCCGCTGGAAGCCGGTGCTGTTGTCTTCCATCTGCGGTCGTTGTCCCCGCAGCCAGCGTATCCTCTGGACGCGAGGTATGCTTTGGTCCCGTGGAAAGTCGCGCTCGTCGATGGGCGCAGCCACGTCAATCGCGGCGAATATGCACTCGAGCCATTTGACGTAATTCCCCAACTCGACACATGATAGGAGGAACTGGTCCGTTTCTACCCTCATGCGAATGACATATCGCCGCCTGCTCAAGTCAGTTCAGCCCGATCAGAAATAGCCAGTGAGCGACATGAGGTGTTTTCCTCTCCATTTAGATTGAATCCATCGCACTCGGGGGGAAGAACAACGGCAGTGAATAAGGTGGAAACGCACTTTCGGTAATCAGCAGCAATACCGGCATCCGCATGCAGCAAGCTATAACTCTTCTCCAGCGTCGATCTCTTGACCCACGGGGGGTTGTCTGGTGATATATCTGGGCCGTCGTCTTTGGACCACCAGCCGCGTTCCTTCTTGACTTGGTAAATATTTAGCGCGGTGCCGTGCAGCACGACGTACACCATTTGCCAGTTTCGGTACTCTGCTCTCTTGATCGTGTCTTCAATCTCCATCTTGCGCATAAAGACGCCCTCCATGTGCAAGTCGCACGAGTACTGCGGCAGCACGTCCACGGGCACGCCCTTGAAGGGGCCCTCTTCCGCGGCGGCGGCTCTCCTCTGGGCTGCGAGGGCTGCGCGCATGGCCGACTCGTAGCTGGGCGGCTCCGTGGGCAGCGATGTCATGACCTTGCGGTAGAACATGTCCTCGTCCATCGACATGCGGCGGGTGCGCCCCTGGCCCGACGGCGGCGCCTCGCCACCGGCATCATACTGGGAGAAGGCATTGCCGGTCTCCATATGGGACATGGGACGGATGCCTTCTCTGTCGTTCTCTCTCTCTCTGCTCGCGCAACTGCGGGCGGGGTTGGGAGTTGTGAGGGTCTCCCTCCCAGCGGACTCCAGCGTAGGTGTGGGTGTGGTTGTTGTTGTCGTCGTCGTCGTCGTCGATATCGACGTTGGTCTGGGACGTTTCGTCTGGTGACTCCCTCCTTGCTAGTCCGTGCCCTTTAGCATGATGTTGTCGCCCGTCCCCCACACCCCCAATGAAGATTGCGCGCGGAGAACGGTTGGGTGGACGCGGCGCGTGGTTAGAGGTTGGGCAATCCGAGTTCCTGGGGCCGTTGGGTTGTCAAAACTCAAAGCTAAACCTGTCAAGCAGCCCCGTCGGGCGCAGTTGAGGCCGACGGTGAGCGGGCTTTTCCTCTCCCCGGGACAGAGCCTCCCTCCGGTGGTCGCTCTCTCGCTTGGCCTAGTCGGTAGGCTCGCTTCTCACACCACTCAGTGTGGGGAGACGCTTGCGTGTGGAGAGGTCGCCAAGCCGGGGAAGCTTAGCACATGGAAATAGTGCCGAGGCGGAAATGGCAACGGTAACGGCAACGGCAACGGTGGGCGGAGGGCCAGTTTAGAGGCGGACGGTGCAGATGGTGGCAGCTGCACGATATGCTTGGGAGTTGCGAGTCGCCTTGGTCGGTACCCAGGGAGGTTTGGTGTGTGTAGACTGCAAGATACAAGCGCCAGCACCAGCACCAGCACCAGCACCAGCACCAGCACCAGCACCAGCACCAGCACCTTGGAATCACGGGCAGCAGGACCCGAGTAGGACGGAGCTGAGATCGGGCCTTGGGTTCTGGGCGTGGGGCGGTCCAGGCGTTGGATCCGCGTCGGTCCTGGTCGTGGTGGAGCGTCGAAGTCGAGTATCCGTACAGAGATCCAACTGAGCCCTCGAAAAAAGAGGCTAAAACGAAACCAAGTGCGACTGCGACGGCTGAGCCATGGAGACTGCGACTGCGTAGCGTGCTGCGGAGGTGGTGTGGGAGGACCAAGCAGGAGCAGGAGCAACGCAATGCATCAGAATCAGAATAGGTTCGGCCTCGACTTAGGTTGTGCTGCCCTGGGTTCTGGTTCCAGTCGCCCGTCTGCAAGGGCGTAAGGGTAGGTAGGGTCCGGGTGGTGTGAATGGAGGTTGCGTTATGCCGTGGGATGGGAACTTGAAGCGACGGGAGTCCAGCGCACCTGCTCTACTTGGTGGTTCTCGCGCGAGATGAGAGGAAGTCATGCCAATAACTACAAGCCCTTGGCGGGCAGTTGAGGGGCTGAAAGCACCCTGGGGACCCCCCGGCCTCCGTCGCCTCCCTCCAGCGCTCTTTCCTCCCAGCATCAATCCGTACTTACTGAACACAGCTAGCGAGAGGCACCACGGGCGTGGGCACCTGCACCTGCACCTCCCCCAGCGGGAACCCTGGACGCCCGCGTCTGCCACTATCTCCCAGAGACACGGCTAATAAGATCGGTCCCAGCATCCAGTCAGAGTCTTGGGTCCCGAGGTCCCCTGCTTTCCTGCCCACCAGGATAGCCTTCCATTGGACATGTCTAAATAGGATCCGCGGATCTGTCGCAATGCCATGCCGGGCAAAGGAGCGCCCCAAGGTACCCGACAGGCAAGGAGTACAGCTTCTGCTTCTTGTCGAAAGCTTGTTTATTTCACTGTGCGCTGCGCGGCCACTGCCCGCTCTACTAGTCGGCCCAGTCCCTCGCCATCCCGTCTAGAATATATTGCCGTGCAATACCAAACTCATCTAGGACCACTTCGGCCCCACTCGTCCAAAGCAGCGAGCGAGCTGGCACCCCTCGCCCTCGCCTCGCCGATGCCCTGTCGGCCGATGGGCGTACACGCGGTCTGCCGCCAATCACGGCGCGCTGCGTCGGCCTCGCCAGCCATTCCGCGCATGCCGGGCTAGGCTGTTCCGGGTAGGTGGTTGAAGGGAACGCCATGGGGATAACTAGCATCTGGCTGCCGGCCTGTGTGAGCAGGGGGGGTGAAAGCCATGTGCGGACGGCGGAACGGCGACTGGTCCAAGAGATTCCGATTGCAGCTTAGGTCAGACGGCCTGGGCGATATTACCTTACTGGCCTGCCTTACCTACCTCCCTAAGGTAGCCGGCCTACTACCGTAATCGACCTAGGGCGTCGCAGGCTAAGGTAGCCGCTCTCGATATTTCCAATTCGCCCCTCTGCAGTCTGCGCTTTTGCTCTAGTTGTGTAACTCGAGCTCAAGGCAAGCTCCGTACGGAGCTGGAGCCGTGCCACGCGAACGGCAAAATAGGCCGTTGACTCACGGTCGCCCTTCGCCCATTCCAGAAGGCGGCAACCTCAGATACAGCACTAGTTATAAAAGCTGGAAGTCGGCATAACAAACCGCTTCAGGCATGCGCCTGGGCTGAACATACCTAACATACCTTGCACACACACTGACATGGAGGACAAGACAATATCTATACTGCAACCCACTACAAAACACTATCCCACCAAATGGAAGCCTTCCAGGTTCTGTTCCGTCCGACTTTCCATGCAATTGATTCCGCACCGGCTGCGCTACGGGCGTCCCGGTTCCGACGTCTTCTCAGCTAAGCTTCGGGAAGGAGACAAAAACTCTGAAGAATAATTCCAATTGCTCCTTCCCCATCTCGGACTCGCGCCGTTCTTTCCAAGCCTAGGGCTGAAGCGTTTGGTGGAGACTTGTGGGCCTGGGCCCTTCATTAACTTCGTTTTCTGCTGTCTCGAGGTTGTCCGTTTGGGAAGGTGGGAGCGGGCAGGACATATGATGTTCGGGTCCTTCCAAGCAGGACCCCTGCTCGCCCTCTCCTCAAGCCCAAAGTGCCTCCCAAACGGGCCCCCTCCCAAACCACAACCACCGACCGGCGTCCATTCAGCAACCGCGTCACTTCTCCTAAGTCGCTGTGCCCAAAATTCCGAACAAATGGGTTATGGTCATGGACTTGCCCCGGCCTGTTACGTATAATGCAGTGGGTTTGCTCATTCCATTACCTATGAGGGTTTAACCGTCTGGCACTGTCATCTCCGGCCGCGCGCCGTGAGCGGTTGACTTGCAAAAGGAGGCAGGCACGCTGACCGACCTTGGCTCTCATCGCTTGGCTTCTTGTCACCCGGCCGGGACCCGAAATAGAGGTCTCATTCGCCCGTTGATCGTCGCCAGGCGGCCAGAGAAGGAAGGCCGAGAAAAAGCTTGTCGGTGGCACTCGACGCGGGGATTACACGTCGTGTTTTTCCCTTTTGTCCCTCAAATACGTCGTCCTTTTTGTACTGCGACAAAACCTTAAATCCTTTGCCCAGTCCGGTCGTTTTTCTTCTCACATACGGAGTACATACCTGATAATCTCCCTGGTCGGGCTTCAAGGAATGTCACCTCGGTGAGGTGTTGTGAGGATCCGCCTCCAAATGGTTCACCGGCGCGTCACCAGCCGCCTTGTGGAGAAAGAAGGAAAGGGAAAACGGCAGGTATTTAACACTGACCTACTCCTTGGGGACGCTCTGTGCGACCTAAAGGCCCACCTGCCAGTGCCAGCCGATTTCCCCCGGGCGACGATGGATCAGGGCCGCTCCTCTTTTACCAAGTGAAGAAGGCAGTTGTGTGACGCTATGGGCGCTCTGGGCTCGTCTTAGGACGCTTTGGTTTTAGTACTCGTTCCCCTTCTCCCTCTCCTCGGAGTCTTCCAGCCCCTTGGCCAGCCTACGCGACTGCATCTCGAAATCGCTTCCGATGAGAGAGGGGCCCCGATGTTTAGTTGGGTATGGTTCCGGCCGATCCAATAGATCGGCATTGTAGCGGGAGTCACGAGCTACAACTGTGCTTTTGGGCTGGAAGGTCCCCGCAAACGCTCCTATGTCACTGCCTGGACTCGCGACGTGACGAGTCTCGCTGTGCTGGCAGACGCAATTCTTGAGGGAAGGCTGGATGAACCCGCATCAAGCGCCTACTCTCATCTTGTTCCTTGTAGTATCCAAGCCCAGAGATATGAACAGCTGCGACAGCGAGACTAGCATCGCTCACTCCGTGCTATCCCGTGCTGTCACGAACTCTCGGACCTGGTACGCAGTGGCTAGTTTACACGCTGGATCTGCACACGCACGTGTATGTTCAGATCAATGACGAAGGAAATCGCAATGTAATGTGAATACAGAGGCTGAATGAGACCGAGATCTTCTCGATCTGCTGCTCCCGGTTTCAGGACACTATCCATGGCCAATCTGCCACGGCACTTCCTTACCTGGCATCGGCTACAGGTGTTGATACCATGACGTTGATTCCAGTCTTGTCTCTTCGTTCTCTACATGTCCACACTAATATCTACCGTCGGCGGGAGAGAGCGGGATGTGTTGACTTCGCTCCACTAGATCAACTGACTGAAACACACATACCACAGCTTACATATGTGCGTGTACGTATTATCTCTATACCCATCTTGGGGATGTGAATATCCTCCCCCTCCCACACATGTGCTCGCCCACATGACCAGCAGTGTATACAGCACCGTAGCTAGCGATGCAGGAACGGGGGGTGGCGCACCCGATGTGGACAAGAAGACCGGTGCGGCACGACGGCTGGGGCAGGCGTGGGATGGGATGGACTGCGCACGCAATAAGTAGTTAGGTAGGGAGGGTAGACGGGCAGGCCGGCAGGTATGTACTGGCCGCTTACATATCCGCACATACCTTGCCTCGCCTGCCTACACATACATAGGTACACATATGTGCGTATCGTCACAGCACGCCGCATGTGTGCCGCGGTGCCGCGGGCTGTCGGTCCCGTGCTCTGGGAAACAAACCCGGAGAGTAATTATGTTTCAACATGGGCGGCAGGGTGTTGGGCATGTGGGTATGGCCGTGGGTGTGGGTTTGGGTTTGGGATTGGGTTTGCAGACACAGCGATTGTATAGTAAATATTATTTGCGGACACTGGGAGTGCTGGCCTGGTAGCAGCAGCCCTGGAACTCAAGCAGGAGCACGGGTATGAGAAAAGAGTGTGTTGCCCAAGTATTATCTACATTGTATGTACATACAACCAACCTTCGGAAGGGTCTCCAAAGGTAAAAACAACCCCCAAAAAAGAAGACCCCCCACCCCCCTTTCCCGGTCTCGTCTTGTCTTGTCACCTACCCGTATGAGAATCTCCATTTACATATCATGCATGCCTACTCGGCATATAGCAGTCCCAGTGCCGATACCGCCGCCGGCAAGGGGCATTGACACAACAACCGTCGTTACCATCACCATCACCATCACCGCCATAATTCAACAACACTATCTCACCACCCCAGTCTACCCAGTGAAGTGAATACACGAAACTGCTCCTCAATATGACCGAACGATCACAGGCAACATAAACCCAGAAGCAGAGAATAAACTCCCGATCCAATATATATATGCTCAGCCGTCCTCCCCATTTCGTCTCCGACGACAACCGTACCCTAGAAGAGACTAAATTTCAAACCCAGATCTGACAGGCATCACTAACCAGCTACTGCGTAGGTACGGTAGGTAAGTACCTAGGTACGACATCCAAGGTATCCAGCCGGCCAGCAGTAGTAGTAGTATATCTTAGAATTTGTTCTATAGAAAATACCCACACAGGAGACGAAGCCTTCGGGACCGGCAGCCAAGCAAGCAAGCAAGCAAATGATGTCGTCTTATCTCTCTCTCTCTTTCTCTGTCTCTCCCAGTTATCTCTCCATCTCGCACGAGCACCATAATAATCACACCAACAAACAAGCCAGAGAGGCCGCGTGGTAGCTAGCAATCTTGTGAGGGGGTAATGGCACTGCCTGCAGACAGGATAAGGGCGACGGGAGACGAGACGGGAGACGGGCGACAGAAAGACAGAAAGACACCCTCCCCGAGCGAGTTGCAACAGGAGCACCAGCTGTGACCCTTGACCCACACGAGCCACGTCTCTCTTGCTTGGTCGAGCATGCCAGTACGACGTCGCCGTGTCGAGTTGGCAAGAAGAGGCAGGTGGTTAACTTCATGCCATTTACCATTACACGTCATATCTAAGTTGGCGCTATCTGTTGACGGACCGCATCCGGCCTCTATGTACTGTACAGTGACCAAGGCTGTTCGATCGTCCCTCTGTTGCGTGGCGGCCGATAAAGTGGCGGGCATGGCAGGCAACTTCGCAGGCCTCGTCATCATCGTTGCCCTGGAATGTACAAACTATCCACTCCCCCCCCCCCCAGCCCCTAGTAATAACGAAAAAAAATATAGCAACTTTTGGTTCGGGGAGGGTATGCAGAATATGCGTTGCTCCGAATCCCTAGCAGCAAACACCCCGTGACACCTCTGCAAGCGCAAAACCAAATAATGCCCGGCTTTTCCCGAACTAAGAAAACCTTCCAGCTGCCAGCAAATGTTTTTCTCTCCTTTCTAACTCCAGCCAAGCGCCAAGACCTCGTGACCCAAGGGCTGTGGCGGCAAGGCTGTTACTAGGCCGCACCTGCCAGAGCACCCCGTCTCCCACCAATACCTCCACCACGGCCCCGACCACCGTGTCCGGGGAAGCCACCCCGACCGGTTCCCTGGCTGCTGGTTCGGCTGCCGTCAAACCCACCACGGCCGCGGCCAGCAACTCCTCCGCGCGTAGCGTTGTAGTTGCTACCGCCGTACGCGTTCGCCTTCGGTCGCCGCTGCTCTACGAGAATGTTCTCGCCGTTCACCGTGTGGGGGTTGGCAGCAACGGCAGCGCTGTACCCAGCCTGGGTCTTAAACTCGACAAAGGCGCAGTTCTGTTATCTAGTTTAGTATGCCATGTCAAGTGGTTAAGTTCTCTGGGGTAACGTACCTTTTGCCGATTAATGTCAAAGTACGCCAGCTCACCAAAGCTAGCAAGCACGGCTCTCAGATCTTCTTCCTGTACCTTCTCAGTAACATACTTGATGTACGCCATTGTGCCCTCCTTCTCCACTGGGGCAGCACCAGGGAGCTGAAGGCGGGCCTGTCGCTTCGTCTCGGCCGTCTGCCACTCGCTGTCTTGGTCCTTGATGGAAGGGCTAGGTGCCGGGGAGCTCTCTGTTACCTGAGGAGCGGGGGCGGCTGGCTGCTGGGCGACAGCGGGAGCTGCTGGGCGCGGCTGGGCAGCCGCACTGGGAGCGGGGGCGGCCTTGGGGGTAGGCACGGCGGGACGGGGAGCGGATCCCGCAGCGGCTGCTGCTCGGAGGGCCCAGGTCATGGGCTTCGGGGGCTCTCTGGGCTTTTCGGGCTCGGCGGGTGTATGAGCCGCAACAAGGGGCGCAGCGGGGACGGCAGCAGCTGGGGTCGGGGCAGGGCCCTTCGGCTCCTCAGGCTTCTTGACATCCTCTTCGGCAATCTCTTCCACGGCCTTCTCAGGCTCTGGGAGTACCTCATCCTTGGCGGCGGAAGCCTCCTGAACCTCGGGAGCGGCTTCGACAGCTGGCACATCGGCGGCTGCTTCCGAGGCTGTCTCGTTTGCGGTTGAGCTGGCCTCTTCAAGCTTCTGGTCAACAGCGTCGGCGTCCAAAGCAGTAGACTCCTTGACTTCGAGGACCTCTTCCGGAGCAGGCGTCTCAGACTTGGCCTCAACCGCGGGCTCAACTACGGCGGGGGCTTCGGTGGCGGGTGCCGACTCCGGGGCCGCCTCCTCAGCCTCCTCCTCGACATCCTCGTTAATGTATCGTAGGATGTCGTTAAGCACAAAATAGCCAGAAGGCTGCTGGGCAAGCACAAAGGTCTGCACAAATTTCTTGGGCTCACCCGCCTTGTTGGAGACCTCACCAATGACTTGGATAACTATGTTCTCGGCGGATCCCTGTGAGTCGACATTCGAGATGCGGACCTTGCAGTCCTGGAAGTCGAGGTTCTTGATGCGCTCCTGGATTGCCTTTGATGGTAGGATAAGTCAGCAGGGTAGGCCAGCAAATGTGATGGGGGGATGTAGCTACTGACCTGTCTGCCGATGGCGACCGAAGTAAGCTCGGCCTCGATGCCGTAGACAAACTGAGATCGCTTGCCGTAAAAGAGCTAGCACAATGTCAATCGTCTGTCAGAATGGCAGCTGGAGCCGCAGCGCAAACTCACGTGAAGCTTCTCTGGAGACTTGCTCAGTGTTGTGTAGTCCTGCTCGACAAAGTACCAACCAACCTCGTCCTTAGGGAGGTTGCTATTGCCGTTGGCGGAATTGGCACTGGAGCCGGTGGAAGCCTCCAATGCCGTGGTCGGGGCTGCATACTGGTCGGGATGATTAATATTACCGTTTGTTGCCATGGTTGCTGAGATGTGTAGTGGCTTGGTCGAAAGGTGATGGCTGCAGGTCGAAACTCAAAACCCGGGCGCGCGCGTGTCCGGGAAATAGCAGGGCCGAAGGGCGGCGAGGCAGACGTGTGTGGTAAGAATTGGATTGAGCGAGTATAACTAAGTGGTCGGGCTGTCAGCGACGTGTCGGGACGCGACGCGGCGACGGAAGAGAGGCTGGAATCAGAGCATACCTATTGAAAGATGTGCGTTGGAAGTATTTGAAGAGAGGTTCGGCCAAGTCTGGGGCGAACCAAGCGAGGCGAGCCGTGCCGGGAAGGGTGCAGATGCACGACGGAGCAGAGAAAAGAAATAGCTAGGCTGCGCGACGTTACGGTCCACCTAAGGTTGGATTGTTTCTCTCGCGTAAACTTGGGCTCCCCGGGATGAGGAGGGAAGAGAAGTAGAGGGATGGGTGGCTTTGGTCAAAGGTTTCGTGACAGATTGCGAGATCGCGAGAAGTGAATATCGAGATTGTTCGCAAGAAAATTGGTTTGGGTGACGCCAAAGATTCCCTCTACGCGGGCCCCACACTGGTCGGGTGCGGTTCATCAAGCGGAACCTCCCATTTGGCCTTGGTGCGCCCGGCTACAAAACCTAGGTGGCCAGTGCTTCTAGAACCCCCTCAGCCAGCGACCAATCCTGTGAGAGGAAGGAATTGCAACTTGACAAAATACCGATTGCCCTTCCGCCACCTTATACACCAACCAGCCTCCGTGTGTAGACTGACAAAGTACAAACATATTGGCCATGACATCCGTATTTGCCAATGTGGGGTTTTGAGACCTTGATTTCAGTTCTCGGTTCGAGATGGGCAATGTTGGAGCACAGACAGAGTCGTTGAGGTCAAGAGCCCCCCCCCGGTGACTTTTTTGGCTCTTGTAATCCGTCGCGGTATCTGGAATCTGCTGTTGTGTGTTTGGGAGGTTTGAGCTTGCCCAGGAAGGCGCCGCTCGCCTCCTACATCTCATGATCAGACGATGGAAGCTATGCGTTCCTTCCCTTTCCGCACCACATCACAACTCCTTCCGTGCCACATCGCATTGCGGCAGGCCCTTTTCATGTCAGGCTCTTGCTGTCACCAAAATCACATGGCAGGCCTACAATGGAAGTAGCGATGGTAGTGCGAAGTGCCTTCAAGGTCGGGGTTCAATTTGATTTGAGGTGTTGCTAGGTCTCACTTGCCCATTACTAGTCGTCACAGCACGTGGGATCGAGACAGGAATGAGCAACTTCAGATCTCGTCTGGAATCCGGGCAATGACCAAATTATTGCCAAAAACAGACATGAACGTATATGCCTTGCCTACGGATAATGTTCCCCGCCTTTCCACCAGAGCTAAGCATCGTTGGATGCGAGGGTCTTCTCAATCTCTCGAGTTGATTCCTTTGATATAACCAACATTCACGTTGTCTTGGATTTTCTTCTTTCTTCCTTTCTTCCTTCACGACTCAGCGTACGACCACACGCACTGCGTTCATAGCTTGAGCCGCCACAAATGTCAGCTCGACGGTCTCGGCCTCGACTATAATGTCTCGGGAAAAGACAGCATGGCTTTTCGAGACATGACGCCCGACGGACCCTCGCACTCCCTAGAAAGAAACGGCCCTACTAGTAATTTACAGCGCAGCCGTCAGCCACTAGCCAGTCGTCCTCACGGTGCTAGTGGTGAGTGGCGGCGCCATTAATCGCCTTCACGAACGATGGTCAATGCGCTCTGCAGCGGCCGAGGGCCGTGGCCCGCATCTTAGGACAACTCGACAATCCAATCCCTGACTGACCTAACCTATGATTGCTGGCGTGGTACTTGGGGAGAATAAGCATTATAGGAACCAAGTTAGCCAAGAAAAGCCTATGCTGGGCATCCCAAGCGGGGATAGGCCTTAACACTAGGATTCTATATTTGGGGCTCAAAGATCTTCTGCCTCTTTGAGAAACCTTTCAGGCCAATTCGTACGGTAATACTTTCGTGAGCCTTTTGCAACTTAAGAGAGTCTCGAGCTAACAACATCCAGAGATTAAACTGTACAGAGGACCGAGTATATGTGTACAGGGCACTTGGAATATTTATTGCCCTCCCCCGCGACAATTCCAGACTTCCAGATTGTGTCTGCCCGCCGCGTTGAAGAAAGGTTCTGGCAACTGCACTAAATAACCAGGTTGTTGCCTTACCTTATCCTTGGCGCTCGCAACAGGGCTCTGCGCACAAACAGTCTCCAGTCTCCAGTCACACCACTACCTGCCCTGCCCTGCCCTGCCGCAGTCTGTCGATCACGGTGCCTGAAAATGTCCAAGCTCGAAGCTCACGGACTCGGCCCCTTCGGTTTGGGGTTCTCAGCACCTCGCCATGGACTTGTCAAATTCTCTTCCGTATCGGCCAGCAAACAAGTCTTGAATAAATGAGACTTGGCTTGTCGGAGGGGCATGCTGGTCCCCGAGGCGACTCGAGAGCAGTGGGGACAGACGTATTTACAAGGCCGCCAGCCCTTCTTGCTTCCGATCTCGAGTACCCGGTACACACGGTTAGGTGCAAAGGACGGCATTGCGGATAAGGCGGGTGAGCGCCCGAGATGCAACGGGCGCCCAGGTCTGGTTTCTTGCTCGAAGAAGACAAGGGGTGGAAAAGGGGGGGTTTGGCACAGCTGCACTTTGCAGACCGAGACTTGCTACTCCGTAAATGCCAATTCTTTTCCCGTGATTTGAGGAGCGGCCCCGCACCCCCGGCGATCCTCTTCTAGTTAATTGCCATTCCACCGGGACAGCGCCAGGGCCTTGTTCTTCTTGTTGGACCTTGTCGGAGTTTGGGCGTGCTCGGCCCTACCTTGCCTGGCTTGACCTTTACCTGACCCGGGTACGAGTCTGTCTCTCTTGACATTTCAGCCACCACTGGGTCCTTCGAGCCCATTTAAATACTTACTCTGCTGCCCCCATCCCCCACTCTGCCTGCCTGCCTTACCTTATTTACACCACATATACCACGCCTTGGAGGCCGGGATTGCTTGATTGTCGCTGTGGGGTGCATATCTGTATGATGCCAGCGTCGCGGCGGCGAATGTGACCTGCTCGGGTGCGCCGGAATGGGTTGGCTTTCATTTGCAGCCCTCTTGACGATCTGGTTTCCCTTCTCGACCGACAACCATCTCACCCCTCGCCGCTGTCCAAAGGACCAAAACACGTAACCCACGCCAAACCGGACTGAGAACATCTGGGTCGGGACTTGTACCCGCTTCTGGCTCACCTCGCCTGGGCCACGCCCAACCAGCCATGGTCTATTGCGGAAAGGCGTCCCTAGGTTGTCAGAGCTGTCGAACAAGAAGAATCAAGGTATGCCCCTGAGCTTAAGTCTAGCTCTGGACTTAGCCCCGCCCCGCCCCGTACTTAATGTACGCTTCCACAACCATGGAAAGCTCGATGGTTGGCTCGGGCGACTTCGAGACTCTGAACACCTAAGCCTTGGGCCGGCCGGCGTGCTACCTAGTCCCACAAACTCGGCACCGTCCGCTTCGGCCAAAGAGAGAAGGACGTTCGTTCCCTGTGCTGACTGACGCCGCCTACCATGTAGTGCGACAAAGTCCGCCCACACTGCACGCAATGCGTTCGAGTCGGCAAGCAATGCCCCGGATACCGAGATCAACTCTCGTTGATGTTCCGGGATGAGAGCACCAAAGTCATCCAAAAAGCCCATGCTCAGTGGGGCGTGGCCGAGTCCCCAGAGACGGGGGAATCATCTGACTTGTCTCCAGCGTCGGCCTCTTCGAGCGCCTCCTCAAATGGCAGCCGGGCTTGGACGCTTGACCGAGCGAGGCACGAGTCTCTCCCACCGCCAGATGGTCACATCGTCTTCCTAGCAAATATGCACAGGGAAATCGATGCTACCAAGATTGACAAGGCTGTCCAGTTCTACATAGAACGCTATGTTATCGGGCTTCCTGACGAGCCCAAAGTCGGCCAGGAGCTGCAGGGAAAGAAATGGGCGCACACCCCAGAAGTACGAGACATAATGGCAGCTGTTGGGCTTGCCAGCATGTCTAACCTCACCGGCAACAAGGAGTTGTACATACTAGCCAGGGAACAGTACGGGCTGGCGCTTCGGCACATGGCACTTTCGATACGAAATTCCAGGGGTGCGCTCGACTTGGAGGTTGCCATGCGCATGGTTGTCATGCTGGCCCTGTTTGAGGTGAGAGATTACGCTGTCCTTTACGGCTCGCAAAGACCGAAGCTGACTGCTCTGTCATTGTGCTTTCAGATGATACGAGGGCGTGCGCAGCCTGTCACTGCTACTGCCCGAACCCATCTTATGGGCGGCGCGGCATTGCTGAAGAGTGTTCTTCCCTTCATCAAGTCGCCGGCCGACGGGGTACGCGGCCTCTTGCAGATGTGCTTCTCAATGTTGGCATCGGTGCAAGGCTCCTTGCAACAGCTCTCGACGGAACCAAACGTGCTGATTCCCACACAAGCCAGTCTCTCTACGACCGAGGGCCTGTTGCCGAGCACCTTCTTTGACTGGATTTCGGCTGGCGGAAGCTTGAACTCGACCCCGGATAGGCCAGCAGCTGAACTAATCAACATGGTCACGCGATTCGTTCAGCTGTCTATCTCGGTACGCAGCCGTAGCTTTGGCGACGGGCAACCCAAGACGACCAAGATGATTACAGAGCTCTTGGATCTTGACGGCCAGCTCGAGGCTTGGGAACACGGCCAAGAGGGCGTGTGGGGTTTTGCCGAAAAGAAGGCCGATGCCGGCTTCTTCCCGCCTGAAGCGGTTCTCGATGGCTGCTACCACGTCTACAAAGACATGTGGGCGGCACGTGTTTGGAACCACTACCGCTGGGCTCGTATCATGTCGAGCCAAATGCTGCTCGAGAGCGTGGGGCGCTTCCCTAAGAGCAGCCTCCTGCTTGTCTCGGCCGCGCAACAGCAGCTCTCGCTAGACGCCATTGCACGTGTGGCTAGGGACTCTTTAGTATCCACCCCGACCCATTACCGCCACCCGGGCCTAGAGCGCGCCCACTGTGAATACTTTGACCAGACCAAAGGCGGGGCTGGGATAGGTGCGGCAGGCATTCCTACCCTGCTGTTCCAGATAAAAGTCGCTGGCGCGGCACCCGGGGTCACCCACCGCCATCGCGCCTGGGCGTTGGCTATGCTCGAGACCATCTGGGCGAACTCGGGCATGTTTCAAGCCAAAGCTCTCGCCGAGATGCTTTATAAGGTCACCGACGAACATCTGGTGAAGGAAGAGCCGGAATGACGTGTCTGTCGCCTCAACGAGGCCAGTCGGAGGATTTTGTCTTTGCCCGTGTTTTTTTTATCTAATGTGCAGAATGGCCGGCTGGCGTATTTATACCCCTTGTACGATACAATATGTGGCTTTGGCTTTGGTGTAATGGGTCAGGAGGGGCTTTTCCTCTTTTTGTATTTTATTTTGAGCTATTCCATCGAATTGTTCTTGGGACGGAATGGGGCGATATGACACCCCATAGGGAAATGGCGACTTGACCCCTAAACCTGCCATGAAGTCCTTACCAGTATTTTATTCTATTCAGTATCCGTGCTCCATGGGAAACAGGCCGTCACTTTCACCATCTGCAGGAATCACTGGCATCGGCAGGTCAGCACCGAATGCCGTCACGATGGGAAAATGACGTTTTTAAAGCGAATTCGAGCTTCTTAAGGTACCTATGCTGTCGCATATTGTTTATTGGATTCCCTCTTCCTCGCTTGATCCTCACGAGGTGTTTGCCAGCACATCATTCCTATTCAGTACACCATCAGCGGCTCTTTACCAGTCATGTTCGAAATCAAGTTTGCCATCTCAACTCGGTCGTTTCTATCCTGTCATCTCATCGCTGGCTCAAAGCATCCCCACATTCTAGCAATACGGCAAGAATGCCAATTAATTGCTAGTTTCTTCGTTTCGGTGTTTTCCCCGCAAACCCCTGGTCAACCATCAAACACCAAACCTGAGAATCCACTGATCCTACCATTGCCGGCGAGTATAAACCTCTACAAGACAACACTTTCCGTATCGCGAAGGACCCTGGCGCTGAACTTCAACAGAAGCGCTGTCTTGATACTTTGCCGTGCCCCCCTGGCCATGAACGTGAACCGCCTTAACTTCTGGCAGGTCTTGCCTACGGCCCTGGAGGCCATCGCCGACGCCGAATACGTTGCGTTCGACCTCGAGATGACAGGCATCTTCACTAGACGGGACCATAGGGTGGCTGACCCGACGCTCGAAGACGTCTACCGACAGGCCAGAGAAGTCGCCAAGACGTACCAGATTCTTCAGTTCGGCCTCACCTGTTTCCACTACGACGGCCAACTCCAAGGATACCGAGCGCGGACCTTCAACTGCGACCTCTCTCCCATGTTCGTGGGGAGCACGCCGGCCGACAAGGTGCTCGCCAAGACGACGGACCGCACCGTCTCCTTCTCGTACAGCTCCATGCTGTTCCTGCAGTCCCACGGCTTCTCCTTCGAGAGGGCCTTTGCTGGCGGTATCCCCTACCTGAGCCGAACCGAAGCCCGCGACGCCAGCGGGGTCTACCTCAAGAATAATCCGCGAGACGTGCAGGCTAACATGGTGTTCGACGTTGAGGGTGCTGACATGGAGACTCGTAGGTTCTACGCTGCCACTCGGACTAAGATATCGGCGTGGCTAACCCAAGAATCCGACTCGGTATGTTCACGGTGTGAAGGCTTATTTGTGCTTCGAGCTAACTCCTCCGGTCGATACAGCTTCAATTTGTCAACATCTCGAATCCGTACGGAGGGAGAATGACTAGCCTCCAGATCAAGCTCATCTACCAGCTTGTCGAGACCGAGTTCAGGATGTGCCGTGCCTTCACCAGAAACAACAACGAGCTCATGCAGGTCATCGAGCTTGAGGTTGAGAGTGACCAGAGGGTTTGTCATCGTTGTTTCTCTGGGAAGTATGTCCCCGATCATCACCTACTAACATGGGCATCAGTACTGGAAACAAAGACTCGACAGACGGCAAGAGGCACTGGCCCGACAAACCGGTGAGCAACGACAGAACAATACCGCGCCGCCGTCCGGTCCGAAGAAAGCTAACCCCCTCAAACTAGCATTCCGATATATTGTCGAGGCCCTCACCGGGGGCGAGTTTGCGAATGAGATAGACGCCGTGCTCAGCCTAGGCTGGCCTGTGGGCGCGAACGGGGGTCTGCCGGGCGTCAGAGAAAGACTCCGGGCGCTCGAGGCGAGACTGAAGCGGCGGCCGCCGGTACTAGTCGGCCACAACCAGCTCTACGACCTCTGCTTTCTGTACCAGGCCTTCGTCGGGCCCCTGCCCGCCAACGCTGCCGATTTCAAGACGGAGATCCACCGGCTCTTTCCCCGCATTGTCGACACCAAGCACCTAGCGTCCTCGTGGCCCCCCGGGGCAGCCAAGCAGCCGGTGGCGGGCATGGTGGCCGACAAGAACCTGGGCGAGCTGTACGGCGAGGTCGCCCGCCAGGCTCTCCCGTCGTTCTGGTCCGACCACGGCTTCGGCTACGTGGCGGGCCCGGGCTCTGCCCGCGCCCACGAGGCCGGCTTCGACAGCTTCATGACTGCCGTCGTCTTCACCAAGCTGTCCCTCGCCAAGCTGCGCGACGAGCCGCAGGCCAGGGTGTTACCGCTGAGCATAAGCGGCGGCGGCGGCGGCGTCCACAACATCATGATGGCGAGACCAAGCCAAGATCCAACAGCGACAGCACGTTCGCTGTCGCTGTTTTCAGAACTCAACCCGTTTGCGGCCAAGCCTGGTCGTCCCCCCATGAGCACTGGATGCGCAGCAGCAGTCTCAGAAGGGGGCTGGGAAAAGCTAGACGGCACGGCGGCGGCGGACGTGCGCCGCTTATGCTGCCGTGGCCGCATCCCAGAGTGGGAGACGCCGTTTTGGGCACGGTACGGGAACAAGCTCCACTGGCGCAGCGGCGAGTCCTGGACCTTGCCTAGGTAGCTATCTAAGCAGCGCATAGGGTGTCTAGGGAGGTAGCAGCCGGCTAGGCGACCGCGGGACTGCTTTTTATGTTTGTGTTTTATGTCTGTGGCAGTTCATATTCTCTGTTTAGTTGACGTGAGCGAGTTGTTTGTGTTTTATGTCTGTGGCAGTTCATATTCTCTGTTTAGTTGACGTGAGCGAGTTGTTTGTGTTCTTATTACTCTTAGTCTAGGAAAGAAGATGGACTGGAGGAGCGAAGATTGGAGTAGATGATAGATACCTACCTACCTAACCCTAGTCAAGCGATGAAAACATGAAAGAAGGACAGCCACTACTAGCTAGCCCGTAGCGAATATTACCTGGGTATCTACGGATGCTTGCCAGCGTGTTTATTCACAACTACTCAGGATTGCAGACGAAACCAGCAACTCGGGCCGTTTTCTCTAGATAGTTTGTCTGGCCCATCAAAGTTTTCTATCATACCTAAACCCCAAAACTCGAATAACTGCCTAGAGTGAGCAAGCTAAGATGCTTATTCACTGTCTAGGATATACACTAACGTACCTACCTACCGACGGTACCCCGTATCTGGCACGAAACGAACAATAACAGCTTAAGCACAAGCTAAGTAAAAAGAAGGACGGAGTGTGTAACGAACAACAGCAGGTACACAGAGAGCCAGAGAAGGCGGATATAGAAACATACCTTGCCTTATAAGATGAAGGCAAGGCATAGACAGACGAATTCGACAGAGTCGATCGAGATAGAAATTGAACGTTATACTACCCACTAACCTGACCTCGGGCTGTTAGCTCTCTCTCTCTCTCTCTCTAATAGGTTGCTCGGGGATTTATTATATCATATTAATATTCATATCTATCTACCCTCCCCCCATTACAAGCACACACCACAGACCATTTCTCAGAGGGAGAGGCCGTTCGTTGTTATACTAGAGTAAACTAAATCAAACCAAACCAAACCAAACAGTGCTGAGTCTGTCTTCGAGGAAAGCAGAAAAAGAAACCCCTTCCCTAACCCCTTCCCTTAAATAGAAAACTGACTTCAAACATTTTCTTTTTTTGGAAACCTTTATATTCTAATGTAGTTTTCTAACTTATACGTGATATGTTCCAACGGTTTTTTTCCTGCCAGACCCCTCCCCCCTCCGAAGAAAAAAAATCTCACCCTGCAGAACAAGTGGAAGGCTAAAAGGAAAAAGTAGAAAGAAAAAAAGAAGAAAAAGGTAGAAACCGAGAAGACAAGAAAAAAGCAAAGTTGAGCAGCGTTGACAAAGGGGGCGACAAGCTAGCAACTCACACTATACATCCCCAAACAGAGCACGTTGGACGCCGAAGTAAGGTAAGGTAAGTACTGTAATAGATAGTAGACATACATATCTAGCCCCCTCCTCTATTCTCCTCTTCTATATAGATTACAACAGGGCCCACACTCACACAAGATCAGCCACGAGAGCATGAGATAAGCCTCCCCTGTTCTCTAGTTCTTGCCCCCCTGCCCCGGCCAGGCTTTTCGGTAGATCCCTAGGTAGTCTAGGTAGGTGATAGGTACCTCGACCGCCTCGAGCTAGCTAGCTAGCCAGCCACCACCCGCTCACTCGCCACAGCCGCCCACACATACACAGACACACGAGCCCTGCTTCCTCTTATTTTTTGTCCTTGTCGAAAACAAGATATATATACATGCCCCCCCAGTTCCAGTTCCAGTTCTCGTCTGTCTTCACCTAGCGTCAAACATGTTCTCGACGCTCCTGTAGTAGTCGGGGAAGACAACGTCCTTGAGCTCGTCGCTCGTCAGCCACTGGAAATCGGTCAGGCCGTGCAGGTTTCCCGCCAGGTTGGCCTGGCCGGCCATGATCCTGCCCTTGAGGAAGAAGACCTTCTCGGTGCGGTTCTGCTGCTGCATCTGGCGCGACAGCGGCAGGTCCTCGTCCTTATGTGTTATCCGCGGGGCGCGCACGTAGTGGGCCACAGGCACGCGGCCCACGATCCACGTGTTCATGTTGACGCCGGCCGACTCGGCAAGCGCGCGCGCTGCCGTCTGTTCGTAAAGAGGTCCGTGTTAGCAGGCAATAACTTGAAAGACTGTCGGGGGTAGGCATACCTCGTGTAGCGCCTCGTGCGTGAGCACGTCGGCGGTGGGGAAGACCCAGACGGTCGACTGCTTGCCGTCGAGCAGTCTGGGGGGCAGCTGGCGCTTGACGACTAGGTACAGGGTGCGGTCGAGGGCGCGGTCGAGGCGGCGCACGTCGTGCTCCTCGTCGGCCTCGGTGCGGCGCGGCATGGGGCGCTCGACGGGCACGAGCTCGTCGACGGGGATGACCTCGCCGTCCTCGCTGATGCGGGACTGGGCGTCGTGCAGTAGGCGGTCGTACATCTCCTCGGGCGAGCTCGTGCGGCTGCCCACTAGTAGCTCGTCGTTCCACGCCGTGCGCCCGCGCGGGTTGTAGCGGCCAATGTCCTTGGCGGCCACGCCGTGGCGCTCCTTGAGCTTGATGCGCCAGTCCAGCTGCGCCGCCGTGTCCGTCTTGAAGTACAGCTTGGGCCGGAACTTGGGCGTCAGCCGCTCGTTTAGGCGCTTCTGGTAGAGGAAGAAGGAGGACTCGAACGGCGTCAGCTCCCGCGTTAGCAGCGGCGGCCGCGTCAGGATCACACCCGCCCTGATCCTGTAGCGCGTCGTAGCCGCGGCGGCGTCTGTGGGCGTGGATTCTAGGGGGGAGGACGACGGCGACGAAGGTAGAGTCGTCTCAGGGGAAGAGGCCGATGTCGCGCCCTGGACATAAAAGCGGCGGGCGGCGCTCAATGGCGAGGAAGAGGCGGAAAGATATGGCGGTTGGCTTGCCCTGCATTGCGAGCATACCCTGGGCGAGTCTATAGCAAAACAGCAAAAAAGCGGGTGAAATCGTCAGCCAAACACGGTCCGTCTCGTCAATGAAGTAAGGCTCCATCTGAACTGAAATCAGTCGCCGGGCGGGCAATTTCTTACTCCTCAGCAGCGCCGATACGGCACTTCCTCCCCTGCTTGACGCCGACATGATTGGGCAAAGGTGGCGGGACGTTGGTCTTTATTCTGGGCCGAGAGCTCTGGAGAGTGGCCGTTTCGGTCCTGGGGAATTCCTTTTCCAAAGACGGGGTCCGACGGCGACGGCGAGACTGTAAAACTGGACCGTGAGCTTTTTCGAGCTACAGGGCTCCACCCTTTCCATCCTCAGGCCCCTGCCCATTTTTAGGTTCAAAGTTTCCGTAGTCCACCCACACAACCAGCCACATCAAACCCATCTGCTTCTACACGTGAAATCTCACGTGCCCCAGCTCCAACCCAACTCCACACCTACTTTTCCAGGCACAGTGGAGCGTGTTGGGGACTTGGGCAACCGGCAGCCAGGACCGTAAGGGGGGTATTAATACGCCTCGCGCAGCCGCCGTTCTTCCTCCTCTTCTCTTTTTTTTTTTTTCACTATGGCATGAATCCTTATCACCAGGTCCTGTTCCACCTCCCGAACGACCCGGTCATTAATCGACTGCCTAGAGAAAATTTCCCCAAAGCAGTCTTATTTTCGCTAGCGGCACCTGCGCACCTTTTTACTGAAAGGCTTGCTCCTCCTACCGGGTTGCTGTTAGATAGTTTCTGCTTACAGTCTCGCTGTATTCGCACCACGGCTGTCCGTCCCACTTTTCTAGTTAGCTGGTCGATTTTGCCGTCGTCCGGACATCGTCGATTCTCTCTCTGCGAGCCTCGCTGGTTTCCATTTAAGTGAAACCGAAAAAGAACTCGAACTGAGCAAACCAATTTTGCCCGTTTTGATTTTTTTTGTGCCTGCCTCTCCTGCCAATCCTCTACTGGAACATGGCTAAACCATACAGTGATCAGCTGCAAGTGAACAGAGCCGGCTATGTCAAAAAGTCGTGACATCGAGACCCTCAATATATAATTGCTGAGCCGAGAGACTACCTGCCAACTACTCCGTACACTACCTTGTGCTACATGCCCCGAAACTCGGACACACCCAAAGGCCCATTGGGTGACTCTGCTATTTACAGACAAATACGCTTCTTGCGATATGTCTTCCTCGCGCGGCCAACCCAAACCTCCAGCCGATTTACAAACCGTTACAAGAAAGCAATGGAAAGAAGGAAGTACAAACTCCAACCAGTATCGAGCATGCTTAGAAAAGTCGAGCTACAATGCGACGAGACCAAACGGAACACGGGACACAACGCCCCGAATGTCAGCCTCCAGAAATGCCCGAGATAAAAATAAATACCGATTGTGTGCTATCCAGACCACCTGTTTCGCCGCTGGGTATCTAACCAGATCCGCCATGTCCCTAACCGTCAAGATGCCGTGAAACGCCCCGCCTGTCGTTATCGAAATCCCACAAAATCGTCAAATGTCGTTTCGTGGTCGTTGCTCGCCCAGCTGAAATGCAGACACATTCGCGTGATGCAAGGCCGCCGTTCAGGGATCAAATCAAGCCTTGAGTTCGGCGACCGCTCGGGCAACCTCTTTGGTTGCCATCTTCTCCCAGGTTTGATTAGCGTCTTCGCCGACTGTTGATGGGTCTTTCACTTCTTCGTAAATTTTCCGCGAAATGTCGCGATTGATGGCCGCATATTGCTCGCCCGTGAGCTGGGCAGATCGCCAGTGCGGCTTCAGCGCATTTCGCACAATTCGGCTGATGTCTTTCTTCATCTCCAAGGGCAACGTGGTTGCTGCAGGCGTGGTCGCTGCGGGCGAGTTTTCTGCAGGCGAAATATCCTGCGATCTCGATAGGTCGGCGATTTGGGCTCGCTGAGGTCGCGGCTGACGTAGCTCTCGTTCGCCGTTTTCTGGTGATGATCGGCCATCCCGCTGTGCCGCATGTCTATGCGGTGACGACGACCTTGACTGCTTCGCCGGCGATGACGATCTCATTGGCGAGAAATTCACCGGCGGGTAAACGGGCGCGATATACGAGCTCAGCGTCATCTGCGGCGAACCGGGGCTGCTAGTATAATTGGGGGGTGGGGTGAGAGACATAGCACGAGGGCTGCTATATCCAGAAGGCGAGGGCGAGCAACCAGGCGATGCGACATCATGATCACGCTCACGCGGAATTGGCTCGTACAGAGCCCGTATGCCGTCTTCGTTTGGATCAGTACTCATCTCGACTTCTTTCAGCAACGACGTTAAGAAAGACGGGGCCGCTTCGACTTGGGAGGGGCCTGCATTCGATGTTGGGGTTGAGCTCCCGGTTTCGACCTGATTCGAAGCGAGAGGGCCCTTGGCGGCAGACGATGACGATTCTCCATTCTGCTGCGGAGGCAGTCTTCGTGTGCGCGGGCGCTTGAGCTTCCTTTCGGGTTCGTGCTGCGGTTCATTGAGCTCGGGAGTGGCGGAACGCGACTTTCGCTTACGGGCACTGCCGTCGATCGCTTTCTCGAGGGCACCCCAAGCTATTTGCTCTTCTCGCGTCTCCTGCGGTGTAGGGGGCCGCTCGTGGTGGAACACGTTGGGAATGTGGCTTGCGAAATCTCGTGCGCCCATTCGGCTGGCAATGTTCATACGCTGCTGCCAGCGCAGAAGCTCCTCCCGCTCCTGCTCTCTAATATGCTGGGTGCGACGGAGGCCCTCGGAGATGATGCCATCGTCGTTCTCATCTTGAAAGTCGAGATCGATACTAATCGCATCCCAGACTCTTCCTGCAATGCGGCCCCAGGCTCCCTGCCATTCGTCCGACCGAGCCCGCTGCCGAGCCCGCCGCATACTGGCCTGGGTGCGAGAGACGCGATGCTGTGGACCGGCACCAGCTCGACGAGCCACGGGCTCGAATGGACGCCCGGCTTCTGCCTGCACAAGCGCCCTCTCGTGGGCACATTCTATGCAGTACCAGCCACCAGCAGGGACGCGATCCAGACCGATGCAGTACGTGTGATATGAGGCATCGCAGCTGTCGCAGAGGAGGAGCACGTCTTGGTTGTCTGCTAGGTTACAGATCGGGCAAGGATTGCTCGGTTCTTGCTCTTCTGCGTCAACTAGCCACGCTCCCGGATCGAACGCCTGCGGATCATATTCGGCCACCTGTTTTTTGTCCTCGACTCTGCGAGTCAACAGATGTGCACCTGCGGTTAGAGAGATTACACGGTCAGTAAAGCTATGCACCGCAGCCCAGCTGTGCTGTATGATTCTCTTTTAGAAATCAACTGCTGGAGAGTGGAATGGGAGGGGGACCAGGTTCAAGTAAAGGTATAATATGTACCTCCGATGCGGTCGTAGACATGCACCATATGAAAGGTCTGGCGGCAAATTGGACAGCTGTTTGCCTTTCCAGTCCATTCCTGTAGACAAGAGTCGTGCAGCACATGACCGCACACCTGAATTTCTGCAACGTTTTCATGGTCTTCGGATTTTGGCTGCGGCGTCGTGGTGCCGTTCAAGGTGGCGAGTCTGTTGGCGGCTGCACCTGGTTCAACAGCTGGCTGGTCGTGCTCGTGCTCCTGAACCACCAGAGCAGCAGCTGCTGAAGAAGAGTGGGCGACGCCACCAGCGAGGTATTCAGGTGGGGCAGCCATTGGAGGTTCGACCTCCAGATTCTCGAGGCAGACAATGCATTGATCAGCCATCGTGTAGAGAAAGCTGCAAGTGCGTCGAAATATCCGAAATGTAGGGACGTCGGGAAGTCATGTATTAAATTGAATCCGCAATGGGATTTGAACTGAGATCCGACGAAGGGGATGGCTCGAAAGGTCCCGAGGCGAACAAATGTGCTGTGCTGCCCAGGCAAGAACTGGGCGGGCAGTGGAGAAATGTTACGGGTGTAGCTGTTGGGTGTTGTAAGTGGTGTCAGACACCTCTGTTTTTGCGGAGCGGGAGGGAAGGCACCTAGGCTCAGGTGGTGTGCAGTGCTGAGGGTCCCTGTGCAGTGGAAGCAGCCCAGTGAGAGGGGGGCGGGAGGGGGCGAAGAAGGGTAGCGGGAACGAAAGTGGGTTTGCGGTGCTGCGCTGCGTGTGAAAGTGTGAAGAAGGGAAGAAAGAGTGCCACTGCCCACAGGCGGTTTTTTTTTTCGCGAAGCCCGCGTCCACTAGCGCAGCCGAGACATGGACCAATCAGAGGGCTCTCAATTAACCAGGGGAGCCCACCAGTCAACTTGGAGATGGTTCCGGGGGGCCAGCTGACGACTTGACTTCGAGTCTTGGAGGTGGGGGAAGTAACCCTAACAACGAGTCATCAGAATTGGGATGAGATGACTATGATGCCGTGCTGCGTGCTCCGTAGCAGGCGCTGTTGCTCTTGATTCTTTTTTGACGCGGTTCAGTGCTCGAATGTGAGGTAGTCCGTAAGGGTACCTCAGGTATTCGTGCAGTACCTGTGGGTATCCCTAATCTAGAGACCTCTGAATATCCAGTGGTTGAAGAGCACGGAGAGACAGAGGGTTTCGTGTTTGGCTGGTACAAACCCGTTTTGAGTTCGTCAGGTCCTTTCAATTCCTTTTCGACTGCCCTGCCCCCTGAATGGCTAGGACGTCGTGAGCGAGCTGGCGCTTATTTATCTGCCTGCTGCCCAAGTTGTAATTTAGCTTTTGAACAAATGGTACTCCTACATGACGGCTTCTCATAGATATGGAAACAGAGACGAACTAACTGGTAGCCGAGGGCCAGGTGTTCTTGTTCTCTGTCTAGTGTGAGTGCCCCAGTGCCCCTCTTCACCCAGAATGGATGGGATGGGACGGGGGAGGTCGCGGAATCTTTGATGGAGATCCCGCCTGCCGAATCGAAAGAACCGGGAGCTCAATGACCAGATCCGCAACGAATGCCGGCTGACTTAATATCCCATGTATTCAATGAAACCTGTCGCACTAACGCCTGGGCGCTGCTAGAGACGGCACGTTGGGGTGTTCCCTGCCTTGAGTCACTCTTGGAAGTGTTTACATCCATACCTTTCGGAGTCCCGCTGCAGGCTCACTGCACGAATGTCCAGTGCACCGGGGTGCCCCTTTTTGAAACATATAATGCTATTCCAGCACACACCGAAGACACCTCACTGTGAATATTAAAGACACAGCCGTGCAGCTGCAGACCAGCCAAACCCGGGGCGACAACCGTGACGTGGCACAGCAGTGTTTTAGTCGACGCGGGCCCGAGGCGGGGAGCACGGGCGGTCGTCATCGTCGCTCACCGAAAAAGGCAGCCAGAAAATGGCTCGAGAGGCGTCGCCTCCAATAGTAAGGCTTGTGAATTTTCGTGCATCATTGACAACCTTCTAAGGTATCTCGAACTCTCAAAATTAGAGAGCTTCTCATGACTGCTATCCGTCACCATCACCCAGTCAAGGATATTGCCACGTCGCCGATTTACTTCGCGTCCAACCCGCGAGAGTAGCAATGCGGTGCGAGGCAGCGAACCGTCATTGTTCAAGGAAATCTCATTGATCAAGCCGCCGTTCCTATCGGCGGAAAGTGTATTGAAGAGCCTCCTTTGTCCTTTTCCCTGACACCCAACCTGAAAGTCAAAACATGCCCGCTTCCACTAATCTAAACATCGGCAATCTCGCGAAGTCTGCGCAGAGTGGAGCGCATAGCGGCGGCAGCAGGTGTACTAGGTTTTGGTTAGAATCGGTCACTCGACTTGGAAGGGCTGCGCCCCAGCACTGTACTCACGCGACAGCATAAGCACCACCGGCCTAACGTTTTGTTAGTCTAAGCCCCAAAACTTCACATGTGGGTTTTGGGTGTACGTACAATTGTCTTCTTGCACGCCTTGCAGTTCTGTGAGCAAAATATCAGCACATGCCCATTGAACTTGTCGAGTGGGCCGTAGGTTAGTCCACGTCAGCCGGAGTTTCAGCAAAAACCTACCCAGATTCCTACTGATGTGCGGCGGACGGTATCTGTATCGGAAATTAGTGAGATGGCCTTCATTTGGGGTGGGGTTGCCTTGACTCACCCTTTCCGCAGAATGCTATTCAACGTTCACAGTCAATATATGTCATTAATCAAGGGTGCATTCGCCAAAATCATCCTGTGGGATACGGGACGTACTGCAAGTGCTGTTGTTGAGGTTAGCATTTGCGAAGCAGTGTGAGATCTCACCACAGAGACAAGGGTATATAACTCACTATCTAGCATGCTGTGATACTTCCTGCTCTGCGTGGTAGTTAGCATGATGTTCCAGTGGACGGCAGGGTTTAAGACGTACTCTTGACGAGCTTTCGGAGCGAGGCACCGTATCTAAGATCGTTATGTCAGCATCTTATCTCTGTTCGCTGAGCTCGCAAGCCGCGAATATGAACTTGGCCGTCGGAAGACGTCGAGAATGGGTCTAGCACCGGTGCAATCTGTCGATATGGCGTTGCCGAGCGTTGGGCAAAGTCGGGCACTTTGGAAGGTCCAATGATTCGAAATATGCAATACTTGCGCACACTGTCTGATATCCGTACAGTCCGCATGTCGGCAATTTTGATTGGCGCCTCGAAGCCACAGAACTTGCTGGTCGGATTTTACCGCATCCTCGCTCGCATCGCTCGAGATGGTTCAGACAGATACCCTCTGTGGCCTTGTCTGCGAGTCGCGCCTCTTGTTCGGCATTTGACCACCTCACGGACCCCCTCCCCCACCATCAATCGAGCTTTACGGGCGAGGGTGCAGGCGCAGTGTTGTTGTAGTCGCATTCGTCGTTGCCGTTCGGGATAAGGCGCTGGGGGCTTCGAAAAACAGAAAAACCATGTCTGACATACCTCACACCGTACTAAGATTCTGAGGTTAGTGGCCGGCCACTGGGGAATATGAGAGATGCCATCTGGAGGGCGTCGATAGTACTTACCTTGCCGGAAATGCCGACCTTCTTCGTGCGCTTGGACATTTTGTCTGGGTGATGTGACGAAGTATCTTGATGTCTACGTCTTAGTTGGCGATGAGAGCGGATTTTCGATTAAAGTCCAGTGCAATTTTCTGGTGCGGAATGGGCAGGGGCCGCGAGATGGCGGGAGCTAGGCGGAACCATTTTCCCGAATTTTGGTTTTGTGCCCTCATGTGTGGAGCGTGGGGTTCGCCAGCTGCACGTGCACGAAGGCCTGGCCTGCCAGCTGAAGGCTGGTGCAGAACCCGCCAGCTGCTAAGCTGCTATGCTGGTCGATCTCCGCATTGACAGGGGGTTTAGGCTTTCGGAGTCAGCACTACGTTCTCACCCTCAAGCCGGGAGTAAACCTAATTTGGCGATAAGGGGGAATAGAAGGCAGGCACGACGGATCAATTCAACGCAAAGCCTGCCCAACGTCGAAACGCAGCCAACGGATACCTCACGGCCCTAGCAGATGGGAGGCAAGTGGTCCGGCGTTCCTTGCCTATTTGGGTCGAAATCGATGTCACAGCACGAAATGGGAATAGAAGCCACAGACAGGGCGGCAGGAAAATGCCTTCATTGGTGCATCATAGGTCTATTTAGTCCAAGAGACGGCCCTCTTTCCTGGTTTCTCTCTCCTCGGCGTCGGCCAGGGCAAGAGTTAGCCATTTCGTCTTGTTGCGAGAGCACATGACACTTATCGTTTGTTCCGGTTTTCCATTTCTATATCCCTATTGTCTCCCAATTGTGCACAAGGAGCAGAGACTGGTTTTTACTATGCTGTGAATTGTGGATATCTCTAGCGCCGAAATCGTCGACTGTTCACTTTCAGCCTCAGCCGAATTTCACAGCCGAATTTCACAGCCGAATTTCACAGCCGAATTTCACGGCCGAATTCTTTTCCTCCATATCTGTGACAAGGACAGTCGTCAATATTCAACATGGCCCCCAAACAGCAGCATGGCCGGCAGTATGACGTGGTTGTCTTTGGAGCATCAGGTATGTACACTTAAGTGTTCAAGATTCAACAGGCATAGCCGCGGAGCAGCATATAAGCAGCATGTATTGATTTGCCCGATGCACCCTCACACTCCCATTCGCCATTCATGTGTCTAAATAGGAAATTGTCGAGGCGGACGCTGATCCAATGTAGGCTACACGGGCAAATACACAGCCGAGCACATTGCAACGCGCCTGCCGACGGACCTGAAATGGGCAGTGGCCGGCAGGTCGCACAGCAAGCTGGAGCAGGTGGTGGCGCACTGCCGCAGTCTCAACGCGGACCGCCCACCGCCCGCCATCGAGGTGTGCGACATCGACGATGGGCAGCTGGACGCCCTCGCCCGCAAGACGTTTGTGCTCATCACGACGGTCGGGCCCTACGGCCAGCTGGGCGAGCATGCCTTCCGCGCCTGCGCCGAGAACGGCACCCACTACCTCGACGTCACGGGCGAGGTCCCCTTTGTCGCCCGCATGCTGGCCAAGTACGAGAATGCCGCCAAAGCCAGCGGTGCCATGATGTTCCCGCAGATCGGCATCGAGTCGGCGCCGCCAGACCTGCTGACCTGGTCGCTGGCGGCGTTGATCCGGTCCGATCCCGCTTTTGAGTCCGCCCGGGGTGCAGTACGCGACGTGACTGTCTCGATGCATACCATTAAGTGAGTTTCTCTCGCTTATCCCACTTAATCACCGACCCTCAAAATGTTCCAGAAGGGTGGCTGACAAGGGGGGAAAAGGTCGGCCCCGTCAGGCGGCACCCTCACCACGGCCCTCAACCTGCTAGAGAACTTCTCCATCTCTGAAGTACGCGCGGGTCAAAAGCCATATGCTCTATCCCCTATCCCCCACCCCTCCCCTTCTTCCGCCCCAACCCCGTCCCTACTCACCCGCGTCACCGGCCTCGTCACGGTCCCCACTCTGGGGCTGCTCACAAGCTCGATCGCCGCTGGAACCGACCGGGCCCTTGTGCACCGGACGTGGGGCCTGCTGGAGACGATCCCGTCCCGTCGGGGCCAGGCGTACGGCCCGCACTTCTCGTTCCGCGAGTACCTGCGCCCGCGCGGCTGGTACCAGGGCATCGGCCTCCACCTGGGCCTGATCCTGTTCAGCGTCGTCCTGGTCGTGCCGTTCCTGCGCAGGCTCGTCGCCGGCTACGTTTACGGCCCCGGCGAGGGCCCCGACACCGAGGTCGCCAAGCTGGACAAGCTCGAGTACCGCGGTGTTGCCCATGCCGACTTTCCTGCTGATGCTGGAGGCAACGGGAAGGGCCGGCCAGTAGCTTTTGGCCGCGTCTGGTTCAATGGGAGCTTCTATCACCGTAAGCTATCTCCCCCCCCACATTCCTCCTCTCTGCCGCCTTACTATATAACTATTACGGCTGGTTTCTGCGTTGGCCGCGTTCGCTGATTTCGCCTTTGTACAAAGTAACGGGCATCTTCCTCGCCGAGGCGGCTGCCACCCTCTTTGAAGACGACGTCCAGCTCGGCGGCGGCGGCATCTTCACGCCCGCGTGTCTCGGCCAGCCGTACATTGACCGGCTGGACCGCGCAGGGTTCCATTCCGAAACTAAGGTGCTATCTGAGTAAGAGATGTAGTGGTAGAAAATAGTAAACCGGATGGCCCTAAACAGTGGAGAAGAAAGAGGCTTATGTCTATGCTTGGCTGTATGTGCATCCCTTGTATATATCGGCATTCTTAATTGTTGGGAGTATGGAGCGACGGGCGGAGAGATTCGCCTACCCCACACAAGCCGAACATTCCGTGGAGTATTTCCGGTGTTTCAATCCGCTTAATTTCGTCTTGCCCATGGGCAAAATTGAAATATTACTCATGAAATGCCATGCTGCTTCAATTTCAGGTCTTGAACTGGGTGGGTATTTTTATGTCGTCTGCTCAAGGAGGGACTTTTATAGTTAGTTAGATATTTATCTGCCTACATGGATTGTGTGCCACTTTCGTCTCCATTTCTAGTCAAAACCGTCAAAAGAAGAAAGAAAAGAAAAGGAAGGGAAAGAAAGGGAAATAGAAATAAATAATATCAACGCAGGTTCTATACGCAGTGCAGTGGGTATATACATAGATAGAGTTATATACAAATATCATGGAGATGTCATATCATACCGGGCATCAAAAACAACGTCTACCTCCCCTATCTCTCTTATTTCTAGTCCTTTAACTTTAAAATGATTATTTTTTCTTTCACCTCGGCGCATTCACCGGCCCTCCCCTGCCCAGCAACGACGACGACTCGTCTGCGCTCAGCACCAGCTCTGATCCTGGTCCTGGCCCGTCGCTATCGTCTCGCCGCAGCTGCCGCCACGTCCTCGGCGCCCACCACGTCCGCGCCGTGCTCTGTGCCACGGGCAAGGTTTCTTCTTCGTCGTCGTCTTCGTCTTCTTCGTCTAGCAGCACAGGGGCTGACGCCTCGTCGGCGACGGCGAGGGCACCGGCGACGTGGCCCCGGCCGTCGAGGCGGTAGTCCTTGACGCAAAAGGCGAGGGCGACGAGGGGTAGGCACAAGACCAAAGCGACGCGCAGCAGAACCTCGATGGTCTCCTGGTAGGCGCGGGCGATGGCCTCGCGCTCGGGCGAGCCCCAGGGGTAGCTGCAGGCGACGACGACGCTGGCGTAGATGTCGGCGGCGCGGTCGCGGGCGGGGCCCTCGGGCAGGTAGGCGAGCAGCTTGGTGGGGACGAGGCGGCCCCAGACGGCGCCCGAGACAGCGGAGCCGACGGCGGCGCCGACCTCGACGATGGTCAAGAAGGCGGCCGTGGCGACACCGACGTGGGCGTGCCGGTCGCCGCAGCTCGCCTGCACGGCCAGCTGCGTGGCCACGTGCATCAGGCCGGCGCCGGCGCCGAGGCCCGTCTGCGCGGCGAACAGCGAGGCCACCGAGGCGGCGCGCGTGCGCGTGTGCAACAGCACGGCGATGGCGGCCGTGTAGAGCGCGGCGCCGGCGACGATGAAGGGGCGCGGGCGTGGGGCCGAGGAGCGGCGGATGAGCAGCGAGGCGAGCAGGGCGGCGATGGTGGAGGCGAAGGAGAAGGCCTGCGTGATGGGGCCGGCGCGGCTGACGGGCAGGTTGAGCGCGACGAGCAGGTACGAGTAGAAGTAGGGCTGGACGGCGATGTAGAAGACCATGAAGTAGACAAAGCCGATGCCGCAGCCGGCGACTAGGGTGCGCGACTTGAGCAGGTCGAGCGGGAGCAGCGGGTGGGGTGCGAGCCTCGGGTTGGACTCCCAGAAGGGGAAGGCGGCGAGCAGGGCGATGCCGGTGCCGACCATGGCCAGCATGCGACGGTCGTGCCAGCCGTCGGGCGAGCGCGAGACGAGCGTCAGGGGAATGAGGATCAGAGAGAGGCCGGCGCTGAGCAGGAGGGTGCCGACGACGTCGAGGTCGTGGAAGAGCTTCTGAGCGCGCACCTTGGTGGGAGTGCTGCCGTCCTCGTGATGCTTCTTCTTAAGGAGCCCCATGCGGTCGGCCTTGCGGCCGTTGAGAAAGAGGCTCATAGCCAGCGGCAGGAAGGCGACAGGTAGTATGAGAGCCCACATGGCGTAGCCCAGGCGCCAGGTCGAGTTGGCGAGAATGGCGGCGGCGATGGCGGGGCCTATCCAGACGGTGACCAAAAAGGGGCTGTCGGGGAGGCTGGAGAAGAGGGCGCGGTTGAGGAAGTTGCTGGTGTCGGCGATGAAGACCTGCTGGAGAATCTGCAGGCCCGTCGAGCCAGCCGAGTAGAAGATCTGGGCCGAGGCATATGTCTGAACGTTCTGCGAGGCGGCCATCTGGATGTAGCCCAGAACGCAGAGGATGATGGAGATGGAGAAGGCCTCGAGGCGGCCAAAGACGTCGGCAATCTTGGACATGGGGGGCTTGATAACGGCTGTTTGTTCGGCGTGTTAGACTCGTTCCCGACTTGCATGCCTACTCTGGAGCACGTACCGTTGACAACATTCTGGACGACAAAGACAGTCGACAGCAAGGAGTGGTTGTTGAAGGAGCTGACAGCAAAGGCAGCCAGGGGATATGTTACCTGGCCCTCGAGAGAGATGGTGAAGGCCATCAGGAAGATGCTTGCGGATGGACAGGCTGTCAGTCGAGGTTCGGAGCAAGGGTAACATTGCTCCAACGTGTGTGTGTGTGTGAAAAGGAGACATGGCAAGACAAGACATAATAAAACACACACCTCATGTAAGCCACGGCCAAGCCCGTTGTCGACCAGGTGCGCGACACCGCTTCTATGCGCCTGAGGCCGTCCTGGATGTCGGGGGAAGCCAGGGCGGCGGGAGGCGCGGCATGCTCCGGGTCAGCGCGGGCTGCCGTCGTGGTGCCGTAGCTGCCGCCCTCACCCCTGACATGTTGTTGATCCGAGCCGTCGCTGACAACGCCCTCTATGTGGTCGGCGGTGCCCTGGCTCTTAGCCATTCTACCCGCCCGCTCGGAACTGCTTGCTTGGATCCAGTAAGGTATCTTATGTATGAACAACAGCCAAAGCACCCGATGCTTGGTGTTGGAGCGAGGCGCGGAAAGGGGGGGTTATCCGTATGGCGTATGGCGTATGGGGGGTGCTAAATAATAGATAATATGCAGCAGCAGTAGCGCATCTCTAAAAGACCGGGGCCAGCCTGTCCTGTCCACGTCGTAAGATGGAAAAGAGGAAACCGAAACACCAGAACGCCAGAGATTAGAGAGACGGACGAGACGAGAGGGAATGGCGGTCGTAGACGTGGCGGTCGTCCTCTCGGCGCATCCCACGACGACGCGAGGGGGCCAAGCAGGCAGTGGCGCTAGCGAGCTCAGCTGCAGGTCCCAGCTGGTCCGATGCTGTTTGGTTGCTGATGTGACTGATCCCGACTTGTAATTACCCAAAGTACCCCGGTATGTTGCGACTTGTATTTTGCAAAGGGGGTAAAGAAACTGCCGCGAATTATAAGTATTAGGATCGTAGTATTAAATTCAGCTGGTAGGTAAGTACAGGAAAGCATAGGAAGTGTATTGGGATTGAAGCCCAAAGCCTTTCCCCGAGAAACGGACACTAAGGTCCAGGTGAATGTGGACGGCGACGTAGGAAAGGTAGACAGCTGACACATCCGACAGGACAACACCTGCCTCGTTTAGCCGCCAGAGCCTCTTTCTCGTGCCGGGCTCTCTCTGTCCCTCTGTCCTCTCCTTCCATTCGAGCGGTTTTCACAAAAAAAGCGTGGGTTGGGGGGGGGGGAGTGCCAGTCAGCCTTTGGCTCCCCGGCCTTTTGGGGGGGTCTCACGGGGCCGCTCATGCCTGTTTAGGGAAAATCCCTCCCCCGCCTGCGGCCCTGATTGGCGGCAGATTATCTAAACCATCTGATTAAATTTTTTCGGGTTCCGGTCTCCTGTCGAACGATGAGTCGACCAGCGGGTGGGTCCCGCCCAGTGGGGTCCCGCAAGCCAGCCCCTCTTCCATTGCCCGTCGGGTTTGCTTGCTTGCTCGCCTAGGCCTAGACGGGGAAAGAAACGAGCATAAGCATGGAAATGAGAAAGAAAGCTCTTAAGAGCATAATAATTATCGCCTGTAAATGCACCTTGTCGTGTCACCATGTTGCGACCTTGTCATGTCACCATGTGCGAAGTGCCCAACTCACCGCGGAAGTTCGAATTTCATCATGCAAGAGCTCGAGCTCATACCACGGCTTGCGCGGTCTTGCTCCACTTCCTTATTTGTACCTGTCTTGCACATACGCGTATGAATTGTACGAAGTACGGACAAACAAACACTTGCTCGATACGAAGCATCGGCAAGGCGACTGAATTATGCACACCGGTGTACAGAGCCCGACGAGGACGGATTACAGATGGATTGCGTATAGCCAAGGCAATTGTAACATGAAACACCTCCAAATCCCAGTCTCACATTTGGAAGTTGCTGTTTGTGTACCTGGTAGTGAGTAGGTAGGTAACGTAAGTTTATTAAAAATAAAAGGAGAGGTAAATGATAGCAACCAAGAGAAACACATCCCAGTTTTCTCCATCGCCGCTCCGCTCCCACCCCGTCAGATCTCATACCATTAGATGATGCCGTCTCTTATATCATTCGTTCCGTCTTATCCATGCCGCCAAATATTTCACCAATACGCACGCAGAAAGAAAGAAGAAATAGAAAGAACATTCGACAAAAGCCTGCTTTTTACATCAACGTGACCCCGTCTCCGTCTTTCCTACCGCACACATACATACATACATACTACCTATATATATACTAAGACAACAGCGTGCCCCGAAAAAGGTACGACTGTACCTCCCCACCCCGGCTCCCACTCCCCTTTCCCCTTCTACCGCCATCCGTCAGACAAGCCCTTCCCTGCCCAAAAAGAAGCCCAAGCAAGGAGATTACCCGAGCATTGGGGGAAACCCCCAAATAATGCCCCCTTTTGAAAGAAAAACCCCAGCAAAAGAAACATTGACTGGAGGGCGTGAGAAAACGGCAAAGGGAAGGGAGAACGTGAACAAGAAAATAATAAGAAAAGAAGCAGAGTGGTATCTTTCCAACGCTGTGCAACTAGCCAAAATATTCATAACCCAAGAAGAAAAGTCATCGTTGCTTGATATATAGAACGTGCAAAACGTTCGACGCGGGCGGTGGCAGCCATGCGCCAGAAAGGGGTATAAAATTCCGAGCGTAAAACGGGAGTGCATGTACGAGGACCGCACGGAGAATCGCGGGCCGAGTCGCGGATAATCCCATCTCGCGTCCATGGTATGCGTCAAAGAGGAAGGAGTATGTGTGAATGTTGCGGCTGGGTGGCTACGCAAAGGGAAAGAGGTTGTGCAAGGAGGCGGCGCGGTGTCGTCTTGGCTGGGGTCGTTGATGGTAGCACGAACCACAAAACCAGACGGAACAGTCGCAAGGACGAAACCAAAATCGCCTTACGCCTCCTCCATGATGCCGTGCTCGCCGCCCCCTTCCTCACGCCATTCGCGGCTCTTCCCCGTCAGCCGCTTCACCCCGCTTACACGCCCGGCCCATAGGCTCTCGATGGGCGTGCGGAAGGTGAAGGCGCGCTGGGAGCTGATGACGCCGATTGCTTGGAGCACCGCCTTGCGGCTGTCTCGCCCAAAGACGGCCGGGTGGTTGATCCACTCGAGGCTGGACTCAAGCTCCGCATCAAGCGCCGCCACCGTATTGGCGTCAATGCCAGCCGCCGTTCCCATGCCGCCGAGGCCCAGTCCGTCATTAGACCGGCTACGGGGTATCAGGGGCGGCGGGAAGGTGCTGCCCGTCAGCTGGCTCGCCGACGTTGGCGATGGCGTGTTCTTCCTGTCGGGTGTGCCAGTCAAGGTTGGGGAGGTGTCGGTTGCTGTGCGGGGGGTCGAGGGCTGGGACTTGGCAGGTGGTGCGGAAGGAGGTACGGGAGGAAGGCCTCCCTTGCCGAGCCCCTTGAGGATGGAACGTGTCTCGTTCAATAGTGTATGAGCGCGGTCGTGCTGGCCTCTGCTGACCAGCGTTAGGGCGCGCGTCAGCATATCCGACGTTAGCAGCTCCATGCGTCGCTGCACGATGTGTGGGTGCGGGGGAATTGGAGGCGAGTTGCCCCAAGGCTTCTTCGAGTTTGAAGATGCCGGCAGCATCGTGATTGCCAGCAGGCTGGTCCGCGCGTGCTGCGACGTCCCGTCTCGAAGGATGTCGCCCCAGGAAAGATCGGCCTGGATTAGCGGAACCTCCTCGACGGAGATGGCCCTCTGCTCATCCTGGTCTATGGAGCCTCCTAGAGCCTCTAGCCCCGAGACAATGTTGTCCCAGGGGTCTTGTGGCAGCTGCTCTTGAGATGCGTTGTCGGGCATGATGACCAGCTGCACGAGAATGTCGCGTTTGTCGCCAAAGCGGAGATCCCCGAGAGCCGCTTCGGCATCACGGCCCGTTGCACGCTTCGTGATCTGAAGCGCGCCGCTGATTTTGTGGAATTTGGCTGGCGATCCCTCAGGCAGCTTGAGCTTGAGCTTGACGTTTTGATGCGATAGTGTCTGCATGGATCCCAGACACCCAGCCAAACACTCGCGAAGCATCATCCAGTCCTTTACGTAAGTGTACGACGCTTTCGTCCTTGTTGACAGCTCAATCATGGTGTCGGGCTTGTGCGTCATTCCGAGGCCGAACGAGTGTATAGCGATTCTGTCATCCAATGTTAGTCTAGTTATATGGAAGCAATATCGGATGAAACTTACTTTGCAGCTTCGGCGCGTGACACGACAAAGTCCACGCTATCGGCGTCGGATGTCGACGCGTCGCTGATGAGCATGATGGTGGCAATGGGGTTGTTGTACTTCCGGCCCATGAGAAGGTCCATGGCCACGTTTGCGCCCTCGACCACGTCGGCACGGTGGCTCTTTTGGCCCACGGGCTTGATCGAGTTCAGCACATTGCTCCAGCCTCCCCAGGCCTTGGTGGTCATGCCGACAATAGGGACGCCCCCGCCAGATGACCCAAAGGTTACGAGTCCCATGCGGTCGCGTTCGCCGAGGGCCGCAACCATGAATCGCAGGGCGTCACGGACCAAGTTGATCTTCACACCCTGCATGGACGCAGAGATGGGAACCACGACAACAACGTCGACGGGCACATGGACCGACGGAAGCAGTGGGCTTCGTGCAAAGTTTGTGTACTCGGTTGGCGCGGTGGTCGCCGACTTTGCGCCGCCCCACGAAGAGGCAAGTGAGGAAACACGCTGTGGCCGGGACGACGCCGGCGTTCTTTGCCAGTCATCCTCGTCCGTCTCGGAGAATTCGCCACGATCATAGTCTGGGCTGCGCACCGGCGAAGTCTCGACGGCGTTGAGGTCCAGAAGTGCCTGTTGCCACAGCTTGAGTTGGTTGCGGTTCTCGAAGCGGAGGTGGAACTGAGGCAGCTCAGCTACAGATAGGCTCAGCGTCAAGATGTTCTCGTCTATGTTGCCTGTCTCCGACACCTCGTTGAGGTGCTTCTTGATGAGAATGGACCCCTTCAGCGTGCAGCGTGATTTCCGCGGCGCATCGTCGTCCCACTGCGTCGAGGGCGCCGCCTGTGCGTGCTTCTTCTCCTTGACACAGATAAGCATTTCGGCAAACAGGAAGCATTCCAGCTCCTGCCACGACACCTTGTCCTTTCCCACGCGCAGCGTGCCGTACAGCCGGAGCTTTCCAAATCTAAAATATGTCCCGCGTCAGTCACATAATTTATTCCCCCGAGATTGAGACCCGATAGACCAGGTCCTCGGGATGCATCACGCGCATATTCCGCAAATGTGTGTGCTAGTACGTACCGGCTAAAGTCCAAGCCGTGCCAGTTGTCGACTCGTTTGTGTAAGACTTCAGTCGCCTCGGCCAGCACCTCGGCCGAATCGTAAGGGTAGAAGCGCGGCGCGCTCCGCGCGGGTGACGGTGGCCGTGCAAAAGACTCTTCTGCTCTCGGTGGTGCCGGGGGTGGTGCCGTCTGCAGATCCTCGGGGTCGGGCTGCCACTTGTTGTCGGTCACCTCGACCGTGATGAGGCAAGTGAGCGTCTGCTGCTGCCGGGACCTGTTAATGGTTGGGAATTCCGACCGCACCGTAACCGTTGGCGCCGGAATGGGGTTCCGCGTCACCGAGCGGGGACTCGCTAGTGATGTCTCCATTGCCTGGACGTCGTAATCGTGTCGCCTCGGCGGCCCGCTCTGCGTTGTCTCGGGGTAGCCTCCCGACGAGGCCACGCCGGTTGCCTCGCTGTCGCTCCGCGCATGCCTCGACGATTGTGTTGTATAGCGGTGGTCGGATGATGGGGCATCGCGGCTGTCGCGGCTGTCGCGCAAACCTCCTCCGCTCCTGGGCGCTGCGTCGCGATGGCCGTTTGAACCCATGGCACCGGGCCTAGAGCTGGATCCCCGGCTTGGCGGCCGCGCCGTCTGGTCGTCCCACGGCTGCGTCGGAGTCGGAGTCCCCTGAGAACGTGAGTCGTTTACCGATACAGCGCGGACCATGTTACTGATTTTCTCTGCTTGTGTGTCAGCTCGCTATCCCGTGGGCGGCGCACGCGAATGCCATCGTTGGTTATTGTCTTACCGATATCAAGCACATTGCCGCCGCGGCTGGTGTCGAGGTGAAGTGGCGCATTACATGTTGGGCAGTACTGGGACTCGAATTCGCGGATGAACTCGTAGAAGCAGGCTTCGTGCGACACGTGGGTGCACGAAAACTGCAGTATCCTCTCGCCGCGGAGCGTGTGCTCGAGCGGCTCCTCGCATACGGCGCACTCGCTCCCGACGAACGTGCGCTCCCGGCGCGATCGGCTCCTGTCTGAATTCATCATGCCCGGTGCCGGTGCTATTCTCGAGTTGCTCTCGCGCGACTTGACGGAGCCAACTGAGGGCGCCGAACGATGCGAAGGCGCTCGAAGGGTTCCGGTGGCGATTGAACTGTCTGGTGGGTTGGGAACCAAGTGTTAGCAGGTCATGGCCTCTGGAAATTTGGCGGCGCAAATAACTTCTCGGGTGACCGTCTGACCAGACAAGACGCGGTGGCAGCACGGCACAGTCAAATCAGTTTGTCACCCCGCTCCCCTCCACAGAAGGCAAGCCACCACGAAAGCAGACTATCGGGCTGCCAAGGAGGGGTTCCACCTACTCTTCTCCGGGTATGTTGCCTCGGCGTATGGTGGCCTCGCAGCGCTGCTCGAGGAAATGTTGTAGTTTGACCGGTCAAAGTCTGATCGCCAGACGCCGCCGCCACCAGACCGCGCGGCCGATGGATCGGGACCGACCACGCCGAGCTCGGGCAATGGCAGTATGGACAGATGGGCGTCGCGCACCCTCCGTTGCTGGTCTTTGACGAGGCTCTGGTTCTTGTGATGTGATCTACTAAACATGTGGAGGAGGGAGGGTTTGCGGCGAACGGCGACGAGGTGAGAGTGAGGTGACAAGGTGACGGTTTTGCCGATGTGACGGTGTGGTCTGTTCGGGGGGTTGCGCAAGGCCTGGGCTTATTTTGGGCTATCCTTCGGCGGCGGCCAAGTCGGGTCGTTTTGGCTTTTCCGGGGGATCTCCTCCCTGTTGGCCGGTCCTTGCAAGTTGCAACAGACTTTAATGGCGCTGTTTCCGTCCCGTCTTCCGTCCGTCCTGTGGAGAGGCGACACACCAGCTCGGGGGGTCTAGCTCTCGAGAAGGGGCGTGTTTCAGACGTCGTATCAACAATGCAGTGGTAGATCCAAGGCAGGCGGGCTGCGCATGGCTGCGTTGTTGAAGATAGTAGGCAGAATTGAACGATGCAAAGTCAGTTGCCAAAAGCCGTCCAGACTATGCCAGCATCCAATCCAATCCCGTTGACGAGTGAGCCCTTCTCAAAGCCCGAGTCGGTGGGTTTTGCCAAATTCTGTAAGCTGTCCCGAAGACACCGACGACTAGCAAAGAAGCCGATTGATGATGTGCTGCGGCCGTCCAAGGCTTAGGGGCGAGCACTCTCGCCTTCCAATTCGCTGGCCCGGGCTGTCTGTATACTCGGCTGCCGTGCACCACCTAGCCGCCCTTACTCGTCGGCGAAGAACTCGGTTTTGAGATGCCGAAAAAGTCGGACTCCTTGAAGGTCGATGTGCCGTCGTCAGCGCCTAAAGACAAGAAGACTGCCGTGGGAAATCAATTGTGCCCTCGGCAACGGCCTGTGCAAAAATGTCGCAGGAATTAGTCCTTCCTGTGTTTTTCTTTGAGACTTATTAGACGGGAACCGCTCTCTGTTGATGGATTCCGAGACACAGGTTCCTTTGCAGCGAAACGGCGCGCACGTTGACTGGTCCTTTGTGAGGGGGTTGGCCAACGGGCAAGACACTGCTTCCTAGTCTTCCACAACACGGAACGTGATGGTTGATACCTAGGCCCCAAGCAGCACGATTCAATTTTTAGAATGCGCAGATATTGGTGACGGGCCAGGAAAATCGGGGCACAAGCAGTTTTATTAACTGGTTCGCCTCCACAGACAGAGGACGCAGGGCAAACTACCCGGCCACAGGTTGTTGCTTCTGCAACATCGCCTTCTAGGTCTGGTCTGGCTGGGCGGGAGAGAAGGGACCAGCAGAGGAGGGAATGGTGGGCTTGTGTGGGCGGCCTGTTGCTAGGTCGTGGGCGGCCAGGGAGCCAGGCTCAGAAGGTGATGGGCTTAAGCACCAAGCCCTGTCCCTGCACTCTCGCTGTTCCCCTGTTCAGTTACTTTGCAGTGGAGTTGACCGGGTCAGCCATGGATGACACTACTGGCTCCTGCAGCCTCTGCAGGGAGCGACACCTCCGCTGCCCAAGCCGGCAAGGGACTGGCTTTTGGGGTTCGCAGGCCCAAAGGTCGAAGGGATTGATTGTGGTGCGGTTGGATGGGAACGGATAGACAGGCGCAGTCTAACGTTATCAAAAACGAGCCCTGGGATCGTGACCAGACAGGCCTTGAGACTGTCTCTCAGGGGCTTGTGATGGTGGGCTAATCCGAGCTGGCGTCTTCAAACGGCCGAGCTGGGGCGATGGCCACCGTTTACACCCCTCCCGCCGCTCTCTATCAAGCATAATATCTCCGTAAAACCATCTTATTCCAAGTGTCCGTTTCTTCCAGTCGCCACGAGTAGGCTGCCCAGGCCTGCCGCTCCCTGGTGTATGTACTGTGCTGTCCATGCATCCCGTGGGCTGCGAGTGCCTCGCAGACCTGCTGCTGCTCATGCGATTTTCTATCTTCGTGGCCCTTCTCCAAAGGCATCAAGTTGGGGCACCCCGAGTCCTGACCGAGGAAAATTGCAGAACGGAAAAGGGCATCGAAGGGGACCGAGGAGGATTGGTGGGGCAACCAGCTGCCGTGGTCGGTGGATGCCTTGGAAAGGCAGAGCATCCGTGCCTCTTTCGATATTGACGCCATTGGCGAAGTTGTGGACACACTGCGGCACATGTATGCAGCATTCTGCAGCATGATGCGCCCAAAAGCCTCTCAGGCAGCTTGGGGCAGGTACCGTGAAGTAGTTGTCTCTGCCGTCATATGAAACCACGGTGATGGCCAAAGTAAAAACTAGAACTCAATGTGCCGCCATGTCCCGCCGGTGTGCCGCCAGACAGAGTGATGCTGCTGTGACGTAACAAACGGTGCCATAAGAGAGCACTCTATCTGTAGATCGATGAGCTTGACGAAGTCGTTTGGGGTGGGCGGTCACTTCCACTGCCGACAAAGTCCTCTCTCAAAAATGTACGCAGCACCACCGAAAGTCAGGACCAGTTAAACGGATGTCGTTTATGAGGCTCAGTGGCGATCTCATGGGTACACCCAACACGTGGCAGTGTTGATGATGGAAGTCGGGAGTGGTTTCAAAATATTAGCCATCTAGCTGATTTGAATGGTCAACCCAGCAATATTTTGGTAGGAGCATAACTGATACCGTCAATTCTCCTCGAGGCCCACACACCCCAGGACCTGTCACGCCTGGCAAATTAGCTCGGCCGCCGTCTGAGATGACCTTCTTCAAATAGGTTTAGCCAACATCTACCACATGTCAATATTCCCGTAGCGCGGGTGAATTCAAGAATCGACAGCTCGCATTTACCTTATCGTTCAGTTCATGTTGCATTCATAACCCGTTGTAAACGGAGCATTCGAGAAAGAGAGACGCCTTGGCGTAGGGCGCTGAGCCTAGGGAAGTTTGCCATCCGTCAACTGGACCGAGAAAGTTGCTTCTCCGCAAGTCTCAGCCACAGCCCAGCGTGTCACTTACTCTTCTCATGCGGCTTGTGGTATTCTTACTATGTATTAGCGGACTTGCTTCTGATGAGCTGCACAGCACACCACCATATCTCTGGTGCTCTTCCAACTTGGTACCTTCGTGTACATAAGACGCGGTTTGTGGCTGCAGCGAACGCATCATAGAGTCTGGTGACGCCATGGACCTCCAAGACGCTCGGGCATTGCACAGTCCGTGCGTGGGGCCAATGAATAACTTGGCAACGATCTACTTAGTAGATGGACAATTGAGGCCCGCAAACGATAGTATTCCATCTGCGGGCGAGCCGTTCCGTCAAAAATCGAACAAGTCTCTACAGCTTCAAAGAGAAGAGCGAAACCGATTTTGATGCCTCGCAAGCCAGACCGGACTGATACATGCCTTATGCACGTGGTGGTGTTACGTACCTACTTTATGCTTGAGCAGCAGGGGAGCTGGCAGCGGGATGGCAGTGACTTGTTGCTGCATCGAAAAGGGGCCACACTGATTGTGAGTCCTGCACTGTCCGTTTTGGGAAATCGAGTTGCATCGCAGCATGCACGGAAGCATCTGTAGAAGAGCACCGAAGGGAAGCGTGGAGGGCAGTGAGTATATCCGCATGTATGTGTGCCATACAGCGGCGGTACAACGGTGCAGAGCAGACTGTCCGTCGTGGTGCTTGCTATGGACTCCGAACAGAGCTCCGGGGGTCCGCTAGGGACTGGCGACAAGTCCGGCCCCACCGCCACGAGCTGGCATCTCCGCGATGCCAGTCACTGTTTGTCGCTGGGGAAACCGAACGCCATTCTCTGGAGATGCCTGCCGGGGGGACTGGGGAGGCTTCTTGTGGGCTTCGCAGGCGTGTCAGGGGTCTGTCTTTCTTGGGAGTGTCCCACGTCCCAGGACAAGGGCAGCGAAGGCTCCCGCAGACTATCCCGTCTCTCTGGGAGCCAAATCGGAACCAGCCCGGCTGCTAAAGTCGGCAGGGAAAAACGGTTCCCGAGCCTGCACTCTGCTGCAGAGCCTGTCAGCCATTGCAGGGGAAAGGAGGCCAAGACAAAATGTACCCAGTTGAGAGCAGAAAAAGAAAGTTGCAATCTTCCCACCACACGATACAGTACCAGTACAGTATCACCCGCTAGCCAGTGGCCAAAGGCGGGTATATCAAGCGACATCAATGCCAGAGGGAAGACGGTAGGTATCCAGGAGCAGTGAAGAAAGTGGAGGACATTCGGGTTCGCCCTAGGGCGGGTACGTACGGTGAAACTAGGGAGGCACGAGCAAGATGAGCCGTCCATTCTTCCATCGGCGGTGCAGGTTGATTCTAAGAAGCAAAACAGACTGTTTGGGGGTTTTCCGAGCGATTCCACGTTAGAACTTAGGGCAGCGCCACTGAGGCGCATCGGTTTCCCGTTCGTTTCATGCGACATGCCAACCACGAAAGCGGGGTACCTCCCTCGTGGGGGGCGAAGAGATAAAGGAAAATGTTGTTATCAAGGAAAGGGAAGTTGACACTTTGGGAGAGATGGTGATTCGGAACTTTTGGGGAGGAAGGCGGAAAAGTGCGTGCCCGCGGGCAAGGTTTGGGCACTTGACGGGCCAGAACTGAAGTTATCAGCCATCTCATCGTGGGCATGGATGACAGCAAAGTCACGATGGAAGGCGCGATAGACTCTGCAACTCGGGGCCCCTTCCTGGCCATGGACCTCACTGGGAAGGTGGGGAAGCTCTTTGCAAGTCCTCTGTGTGCAACTCAGGCAGGCGCGTCCTAGACAATACAATGGTCAATGACGAGAGTCCTGCCAGAGTTGGCAGTCGTGCTGTGTGCCGACAAGAGGGTCAGGAAGTTCGAGTAGGTTGTATTCTTGAGAGGCGCGGCATTGAACAACCTGCCGAAACCACTGCAACCAGTTCCACTACCATTATGGCTCTGATATCTGCAATTTCTCCTTGATACCACTCTATACACGCGTTTATCTGACTAACGACGAAAGAGATGATAACGTCGTCCCTTCAAAGTACCTTAGTACACCAACCGACCCAAATGTGGAGCAAAGGCGGGAGAGTCAGAGAGGTCCTTCCTTCTGGTCCAAACTTAGGTTAAACGGTCGGCAAGTATTTTCAGGTTGGGGAGGATCTGACCTGACATTGAGAAAATCATCAATCCGCCGCCAGCTGATGATGACGGTCGCTGCCGCTCGTCTGGGTTTCTTGGCGAGGTGGTCAGCGAAGCATGCAACTGTTTCAAACGCCCAAAGACCAAAGATGGCATTTCTATCGCGAAGCTCGCCTCACGACTGACTGATGCAATCAAGGCAAGGCAGGTTGAGCGCCCCCCTGCAATCAAGGGCTGCACTGCCCCGGCTTGGACGCAACGGAAACCCAGGCGCCCCCGACACACAAGCAACCTAGGTACGCAGCTGAAGTTGCATGCACTCACTCTCGAGCCAAGGTTATGTCTGTGCTCGTTTGTGATCCCGACAAGGCCCACGACAGACAGCCTTGAAGCTTCAATCCAGATTACCTATGATGGTGGGGTGTGCCGCCGGGATGGATCGACATGGAGCTCTCCAACAAGACCGCTGGTGAAGCGGGGGGAGGCCTTTTTTCTCCTTTTTCACTTGGCAGGGCCCAGAGCCAGCCAGATGGCCAATAGAACTGGCAATGATATTGTCTGGGATCTGGGCCTTGGGATCTGGGATCCAACCGACAACCTGAGTCGGCCTGTCTTGGGGCCAGCCTATCAGGCTTTTTGTTCCACTCGAAAGACAAGTTCGAGTTTCAAGAATCTCGCGGACTCCTAATCTGGCTGGACCCCTCCTTGGCACCTTTACTCAAGCCCGGCCGAAACCCCCCTGCTAGAGTCGTTTCTAGGATTCTTCTGGCCCAAGACGTTGGGTCCCAGAAGTCTCCAGCTTTGGGGCTGCACCAAACCAACAACAGCAACACAATGCAGTCTTGGTCCGTAGCTCGCTGGGTACACACATACCCATTGGGGCGAACCTCTCCAGAGGAGCCCCGTTCCTAGTGTCCATCCAAACTGCATGAAGATGCCTACCATGGCCCTCCGCCAGGGACTGAAGGAAGGGTATGTATGTACGAAGTGTGTACAGTACATATGGACATACAGTAAGCTTGAGTGTGGGCTACTAACTCGGGGTTGTCTTGCTTGTCAGCTTGGGAAACCAGGACAGGCCAAATCATCCTGCTCGTCGATCAGACCGCCTAAGCTTTTGATTGTCAATGCCGTGTTTTTATTCTACGGCGGAACCAGAAGTCAAAGATCGGCAAAAGTCGCAGGGTCTTTTGCGGCTCAGTCCGAGCCCCAGATGATCGCACCAATTGCGGCGAGGCTGAAATAGTTGGGTCCTTAATTCCACCCCTTCTTAATTCCTTCTCTCTCTCTGTGGACATCAAGTACTTACAACTGAACCTCTGTGGACATCAACTACTTACAACTGAACGATACGCACAACCCAGAGCTGCCTCGATTCTCACTCGCTCCTGTCGAGACTCATTCTATCACGGCATGATGAGCCGGCATTCAGGGTTGTATGGCACGATTTGCGACGCAGGGGTGTATTGCGACTACGACTGTGATCGGGAAGGGGAATGTGATGGTCTGTGAGCTGCTCGCACGTTTGTTCACTCAGCCCCCCTAGGCCTAGGTAACTTCCAGCTGGGCTGCGGCCCCCGCACGCCCTCTAGTTTCACCCTCCGCGGTGGGAGAACGTCAAACACTTTCTCCGTTGGCCCAGATGCAGATGGGATCGCGAACAACCCTTGCCTTTTTGCTTCATTTTCTCCCTCCCCTGCGGATGTCTCAAGTTTGTTTTCTCTCCGCAGAAAGCGCGTAGAGAGTCCATGACTGGATGCTGATGAGCGTATCACCAACAGACACCCCTGGCTGCATCTAGGACCCCAGTAATTATACTGTTATCCATCCGCTGGAGACCGAGACCAGAGCAAACCAGGTCAAGGCCTGTCACAGTGCGAGTCTCGGCCGCGATGCGCCGTCACTGGAATGGCTAGCTGGCTTATTAGCTTGGCTGGCAGGCAAGCTAGCAGTAGTACCATCCACCAGACTCCAGAGAGGTAATAAAAAGAAGAAAAGAAATTCTCCGCCTGCGATGGGACTGCCACCCAGTGTCCCCCGGCAGCGGCGGCGGGGCCCCACCTCGCCGGGCCTATCACCGACACACCGCAAGGTCTTTTCTTCGGCACGGAGGCCGAATACAATTTTATATGGGGACTAGCGCGTGTGCCGACATGGCATGATCTGACCTGACCTGGACTTTTCTTGACGCGATGGGCGACTGCAACATTACCTTTTGATATTTCTCCGGTACGGAATACGCATCAAGCCTCCCCCGGCCGCCGTTGAGCTCGCTTTCTTCGGTTCGTTTCCTTCTTGTCTAGTTTCCTACCACGTACCTAGGATAATTGTTCCGCAAACGCCACCCCGCCCCCTGCTAGGCCAAACCACATGTGGTCCATTCCGGGCTCGCAAGCCCGTTGGCAGCGCTACATCGTGCTGCGAGCTGCCAACTGCGAACTGGTTACTACTGAGTTGATATGTAGTTAGAGTTGCTACGCAGTGCAGCTTTTTTTCTTAATGTACTGTACTCCGTACATATAGCAACGTACGAGCATAGGCAATTGGTCGGTGAGGATTAGTCGTTCATCGCTTCTGCACCGCTTCCACAAGTACGCCGCGCTACATACCTACACTAAAGTACATTAACTACTCTGGACATACACTACCGTGTCTTTCCCCGCCATAGCCCCGTCCACTTTGCGCACGCGCCCAGAAGCATGGCGGAGGGCATTCTCTTCTCTCTGACCTGAGTGGTTGTGAGAGTGAGGGCTTTGACGTTTTTCTCTCTTCTCTGTCTTAAGAAAAACATCCGTGTCCTGACAACACACACACACCACACACACTCATCGAGCCTCTAGCTCTGTTTCTTATGAAAAGCCCGCGCTTTGAGCGCCCGCCAGCACGGCTTGAGTTGCGGGGAAGCCACGAAATCACACCCTGGGAAAACAACATCGTGGCTGGCTGGCTCATCGGGGTCCCCTCTTTGCCGAGAAACTCGCAACCTGCCCGTGCTTGCCCTAGTCCGTGTGTGTGTCCGTGTGTATTCCCTCCCCTCTTCTCTCTGAGAAATAAGATCGGTCGTAAACCTGTCTGTGTGTTTGTGTTGTGCATAAGGGTTTTTCTACTTTCCCTTCTCTTGGCTCCATTCCCCCCCTGCCTGCCCTGCCCTGCCCTGCTCTGCCTGGTCAGTTCAAGGGAGGCAAGGCTGTATGTATGTGCCCACCCGCCGATGGCACATCTGTCTGTCTGTCCGCCATTGATGGAAAGCGAGCAAACGCGCTGTTTTTCTTTTCCCTTGGGAGGGGGGGACCTTGCTGCTGGTCTGGTCGAGGAACTAAATGCTCGACAGATCTGATCTGCCTACTGACTGCTACATGGCTCCAGCAAAACAGTGGGTACCTGCCTACACATGTGGGGAAAAGTAGCAGCTGTCACTCAGTCCGGTGCCGGGGGTTGGTGTTGTTAGAGTGGGATTCGCTCGGTTCTACTTGCTGGGCTGGAGACAGTAAAAGACTACCTAACTCGGTACGTAGTATAGTAGTAGTAGTAGTAGTAGCACTTTTCCCCATCGACCATGTGCTAGTGTAAGGTACACATGTGCATGGTATGTACGTATTTGGCCCTATCCCTTCGCCAAAGCGCGATGGCTACCTTGCCTTACCTTAGCTTCTTCTGGCTATAGGATACGGTATTTAGCTACACCGCTCTTCCGAGTCCGTAGCAATATCCGTACAGATCCGAACAGTGGGCGGCGGTCTTGAAAGCGAGGTCACGGGTTTGACTGCCGAGAGGGAGATAGATGTGTGAGAGATAGAGAGAAAGAAGGAAGGGAGAACCGCGGATGCTTTGTCTCTAGTACCCTCTCTCCGTTTTTGGGGTTTGCATACCTGTTACGCACACTTGCCAATCACCATACGCTCTCCCTGGGGCGTGTGAGAGACAATACTACGTAGTTTCCCGGGGATGGCATCAACAGCCTCGTTTATGGTTGACCGTTCGTGGGTAGGCCGGCCGGAGGCTAGAGGATTATCGGTGTAATAACCAAGCAGACAGGGTAGTGCAGGTATCCAAGCAAGCAAGCAACCAGATATTGTACGATATAGGATAATGTGTATTGCCCAAGATTGAATATCGTTGAGATTCGACTTACTACTACTTCATTATTGGCGTGAACCTCAACTACATCGATACTCCAGTGCCGTACAAGTCACTTGCTTGTCTTGGGAGTTTCGAGGCGCAATGTACAACACCAAGCCGTGGTTTCTGCTCCTGTGAAAAAGAGCAATATGTATAATCCCCAGCTGTGTGTACTACGGCAGTACGCCATTGCAGGCAAACAGACGCGCAGGCGAGTTACAAGGCGGGCAGACAGACGGACAGGCAGGCAGGCAGGCAGGCAGACAGACAGACAGAAATAAACAAACACATGTATTCGTCACGCCCTGCCCATGGCCGCAACAGGAGCCGTGTGCCTTGTATTGGGCTAGCATGCAATACATTCATAGGTAGCAAACAGAGGACCGAGCCAAACCGCTCCGGCCTCGGCATAATATCTCGATGTCACTTCTGTCCTCTCCTACTTCTTCATTGTTTGAAGTTACGGAGCGAGTCCCCAGGACAGGAGTCTTCGTCGAGTGAAGACTTTCGGACAGGGCGAGGAGGTCCCAAGAATACACGAATTTTACTGATCAGATACATCTGTCCACAAAATACTATACTCACCAGCGTGGCCTACAGCGCCATAGACCTCTTACATCAAGACCACATTGTACGAGCTTCACGAGCGCTCACTTTCCAGGGCCGGCCGTCGTCCGCCATCTCGGATGAGACGCCGCATCAGTCATGCTAGCGTGGATATAAACAACAGGAAATATAGGGACTCGTATGAACAGTGGCGAGCGGGAACAAATGTGGGACGTGAATCTTGTTTTGTTATTTTGGTGGCGTAGACGAGAGTATTAAAGCCTGTGGCGGCCGGCCAAACCCAGGCATACATGAGCCGTCTAAGCGCTACACGCTACACTCGCCCCCTATTCCCTGCACTGCAAACCCCCAAGGCGCGATGAGCTCAGTCCTCGTCCCAGTTCTACGTGACCAATTAGAAACATGTCACAAGGAACGAGAGGGGGTCTTGTACATACCGCGTTCGGTCCAGGGGGCTTCGGCCCGCCAGCCTGGCGAGCAACGATGATCTGGTCAACTGACAATATCGTCCTGGCGGCCTCAGTCGCGAGCTTAATGGCCCACTGTTTGGATACCAAGAGATCCAGGATGGCCTCCTCCTCGGCATCTAGGGTTCCGGTGTTTTTATCGTTCTAGTGGCCAAACTTAGAATCCGGTCAAGAAGGGGATGGGGAGATGGCAAGTTACCTCAATATCCACTCCCGTAGCCCAGTCATCTTCTTGCTGGTGAGCAGCGTAGAGCCGGCTGAGCACCTCGGTTGCGTCTAGGCCAGCGCTCTCGGCTAGAGTCCTCGGTATTACCTCGAAAGCCTCACCGTACTTCTTGATGGAATACTGAGCGAGGCCCTGCGTCTTGTCTCCAACAGCCTGTATCCTCTCGACGAGCTCGATCTCGGTTGCGCCCGCGCCCGGGACGAGTCTGGGATCCTTGGTGATGGCCTTGACAACGTTGACGCCGTCGTCGACGGCGCGCTCAATGTCGTCCAGATGGTTTTGTGTGGCGCCGCGGAGGACAATGGTCGATGTCCTCGTCGCATCGTTCTCTTGCCTGAACACGGTGACGCGGTCGCCGCCAATCTCGAGCGTCTCAACAACGTCGATACTGCCCATCTCGTCGGGCATGGGGGCGCCTAGCCTGGCCAGCGGCGTGGCTCCGACGACGTTGCACACCCGCCGCAGCTCAAACTTGCTGAGGATCTTGATGACCAGGATGCCGTACCGGTTGAGGTAGTGCATGGCCAGCTCGCCTACCGTGGACCCGGCAACCACCACTCTGAGGCCAACATCATGCAGCTCTTTGATGGCAGCCTCGAGTTGGGTTTCTTCGCCCGTGGTGAAGTTGAGCATCTCCTTGGCGTTGTGCAGCAGGACGGTGCCCTTGGTCTCGGTCTGGCTGGTGTCGATGGGGCACGTGTAGACGGCGACCTTGGCATTCTTGGCCTTCTTGACGGTGCCGTTGGGCTCCTTGCCGAACACCATGCCCTTGACGACGCGGCTCTGGTCCAGGCTGCCGCCCATGATCTTGACGACGCGGATGTTGTCCACGTTGAAGTTGGCGGGGTTCTTAGGGAGAACCGACAGGACAGCCTCGGCGACGAGGTTGGCGAGGAAGTCTTCGTTGCCGTTCTGCTTGCTGGCGATGACGGTGCGGATGGCCTTGCTCAGCTCGGCCAGAGACCGCAGGTCCTCGACCTTGTCGACCTCGAGCTCCTCGAGAGTGTCGAGAGCAATCTTTTGGGCGCGCTCGTAGCCTGTCACGATGTCGGACGTCTTGAGGCCCATGCGCAACAGGTCCTCGGCCTTCTTGAGCAGCTCGCCAGCGAAGACGATGACCATGTTGGTAGCATCGCCCATCTCCGACTCCTGCTGCTGACTGGCCATAACCAGAAGCTTGGCGGCGGGGTGGATAACGTCGAGCTCGCGCAGGATGGTAGCGGCATCGGAGGTGAGGATCATCTTCTGGAGGTGGTTGATGACGATTTTGTTGCGCCCATAGGGGCCCAGCGACGTCTGGACGGTCGACGAGATGGCGCGGCAGGCATCGATATTGCGGAGGACAGCGCCATCCTCGGAATCATAGCTGCAGCAAACAAAAAGACAAGCTGGTTAGAATGCGAGGCTCATGTGGTTTGGAGGGTCGGTGAGGGGAGATGGAGAACAATTATAGGGAGAGATGGAGATGGAGGGGGCTGGCGGGGCAATGAATGGAAGCCATGCACATAATGGAAGCAAGCAAATGGCTAGCAGCAGCGGTCACGACTTACTTGTTGTAACCCTGCTTGAACAAGCCGGCGTTCGGCGCGTTGGGTATATTCAAAGACATGGCGGGCTAAATCTGGCGAGCTTGTCTGGAGAAGTGTGGTTGAAAACCCAAGGTGTAGCAGTGCGAGATGGCAAGCAGTGCAAACCTTCGACTCCAGCACCCAGAGGCCTAGTCCAGTCCCATAAAAAAAAGTCCGTGAAGCAAATCACAAGTCAATACAACGGAGCCTTGGCCCAGGGCCGGTGCGGCCAATCAGAAGGAGCTAAGCCTGGGCCTAAACCTGACCACACCAGGCTAGGTACCGTCCCCACAGTAAAGCCACTGGAAAGAGTGGACCATAAGCTTCAGCCTTGTCCCGTCTGGCGGTCGCGACACCCTAACACTTTTGGGGGGTTATTATTACACGGGCAGGACCGGGGTCCAACATGGCTGTAAGGTTCTCGTGGAGAAAGAGCATCTCTCCGACTCGCAGCATCCAAACCTCCCTTCGAAAGCGCATTCATCAACTTCAATCTTGAATATTATCTCAGGTCACCATCGCATCTCGTGATTGACCATTGAAAACCCTCGCCTGTCCTAGCACCAACGCGCTTTTAGAATTCAGTCCGGTTGCCGAATAACGCACAACGTCACTCGAGCCTTTTTTCCCTTTTAGGGAGCCGTCGACAATGGCGCCAGGTACGTCAAAGGCGGCCGCGACCGTTTCTACACGTGTGGCTACTTCCTCGGCCCGCCTTCCACGCACCACCTTTTGCGCAATTCGGTGCTTCGTTGTCCTTGCCGAGTCCAACGAAAACTGATCTGAGTTCTGGCATCCCCCATCCCCCATCCCACATCCCCCGTCCGCTCTGTTCTATTCTATTCTGCATCCCATACCACACATTATTATCCCCGTGAGAGGAAGAAAATGGATTCCGACTTGGCTAACGCAAGCTCGCCCGAACCATCAGCCGCCTCAATCCCGCCCGCGCTACCTCCATCTGTGGAGGAGGCCTACCGGCGAAAATGCATCCAGCTTAAACAGCGTACCAACGAAGTCGAAGAGGCCAATGACGCGGCCAGGTTGCGCCTCGCGCGTCTCAAGCGCCAGGTAGAGAAAATGAGGCTCGAGAGGGCGTTCCTGCTCGAGCAGCTCGCCAAGCGAACGAGCGTCAACGTAGAAGATTCAGACGGCAGCCCCAGCCCACCGCCGACAGTAAGTCCTGAGACAGGCCACCCAGTCACAACCCGCGCACTTCGCACGCTGAACAGCAACAACGCGCAGCCTAAGGAGAAGCCTCTGCGCATCAAGCGTGGGCACCGCAAGCCGTCGATGATTCCAAACCTCGAGGCCACGCCGTCGGCTGCTGGGGGCGGAGGCGGAGGTGGCGGGGGCGGAAGCGCCAGCTTTGTCGGCCGGAGCCTACACACGCACTCGCCGAGCTCCGACACCTTCTCGGCACAGCACCTCGACGGCCAGACGACCAACGGCGTGCACAAGGCGCCTCGGAAGCCCGGCAACGCCTTTGACCTATACTGCGACGAGAACCGCGACTCTTTCAAGGACAAGAGCGACGACGCGGGCGCTGGCGTTGAGGAAGAGCTCGCGCGCGGTTGGAAGGACCTGCCCGAGACGCAGCGTGAAGAGTTCCAAACGCGCGCCGAAGACGAGATGGCCAAGTACCACGCCGCAAAAGAAGATTACGACGAAAAGGCCAAGGCGCGTCGCGAGCGCAGCACCGCCAAGGGTAACGACGCCGATGACACGGAGCGGCGGACGGCGGCAGAAGAAGCACGCGCCGACCAAGCGCAAGAAGACATCGAGATGGACATGGGAAACTACGATACAGATCAGGAGACGCAGGGGGAGAAGCCAGATGAGTAGCAGGATACTTGAGCAAATTCCACCACCTGTCCCCATAGCGAATCTGAAGTTTGCTCATAGCGATGCTTCCCTAAGCGCCCCCGTCGCGTCGGAGAAAGCTAGAAAGAAGATGGAAGCGTTTCGAGCGAGTGCTAGCAGGTGGCATGTATCTTTATCATCGCCTTTTATTCTTCCCTATTCTTTACCTTGGGGAATATGCTTTTAGCCGGAGCATTTGATGGAGGGAGGGACGGTGGGGGGTTGTACGTTTTTGGTTTGCTATGTTTTCTTGCTCTTTTTTCTCCCAAAAGATAAACTATGGTCATTTAATGAACAGGGACAACCAGCGAATAAAAAGAGAAACGGCTACACTATCTACCTACTTTGGGTTCCAGGTATTGGCCGACTACACTGCGGGTAAACATTCACTTTATATCAGGTTTGGCGTCGAAATAGAAAAAAAAGAAGTGGTTGTAGTTTTTGCTCTAGGTTCTTGTTTCGTTCATGGGCCATGAAATACGTCTGCTGCGGCGCTTCGTATGGTAATAATGAGGTTGAACGATCCCACCGTATATGTCCCCCTTTCTCATTACATTCATATCTCTTGAGGCGTCATATAATAACTCCCGATATGTCTTTTTGCTTCACTCGAAGTGCTATCTCGGTCTGTCTGTCTACATGGGTGTATATTTAGTTCTTACCGTCTCTGCTCACTTAGCACCGGGTCAGTAGCGGACCAGCAACTGACCAGCGGCTGGGACACATTAAACTGCAAATTGATAGTCCCTGGCAAATCGGCTGGGAGGTTAACGCGAGGAGCTCTGGAGTCGAAGTTGATAAGATATCGGTAAGCAGCCACGGATCGCTCCGACAGTGGTGGCTACGCAGACGGCGGATGCTTGTCGGTATTTACGCCGCTAACCTGGGCCTGGAGGGTCGATACGGTCTACTTGGCGGTTGCTCGTCGGGTTGGTGAATTGGGCGAAATAGTCCGACGCGGCCTGTTCCTTCGTCGGTATTTGCGCGTGCTTGTACTCTATCTGTCGAGGGACCGGCTCGCCGTCAGCGCCCTTGCGGTGGTCAAGCGTGGAAATGAGATAGCTCCCCAATTCCTCCGAAATGCTTTCCTCGGAACGAACTGCCAATGCGTGGTCGTGCCTTTGAGATTATGGATAGCCTCCCGGAAGGCGTCTGCTTCTTCGTTCCGGGCGTCGCAGGATGTGGCAAGACATACATGGGCGAGATGGCCATACTGTTTTCTTAGCACGGCGCATCCGGACGGCACAAGAGCCCACACGACAACGTTGAGCCTGCCGGACTTCAGATTCTATATTTCAATGTCAATAACAATAAGAGGGGGGGGCTTTCCAAGACTTAAAAGGCCCCAATAACCTACGGCTTGCCCAAAAGATGTTTCGCCAAGGGAGGCAATAGCTATAAGAACCCCTATTATAGAATTATAGAGGCTTTTCTCTCTCCTAGAAATACCTACCTATTAAAATGTTTTTCTTAGCCGCTATATTTAACATTCAGGAATTGGAATGTACTCCCCGTCCAGCCCAGAACCCCAACCAAACCCCACGATAGGCACCAACGCTGTCAATATGGAGGCAATAATCGACAAGATCAATCAACTTCTCGAAAAGGTCGCACCATCGAGAAGGACCTTGGCACCAAGTTCGTATCCCTCGAGGCGGAGCTCCATGCAAATAACAATTTGCTAATGCCCCGTCTCGTTGCCACGTAGGTCCTCCGTTCTTATCTTCAAGTGCGTAAACTAATATCTCAAGACGCGAGAACGAGCCACGCAATCTAGGAAGCTCTCCAAATACTAGTGGAGGGCATAGATTTAGTGAAAATGACGGAGAGGTGCGTAGAGCCACTCCTTGCCTTGTACCCTATTCGAAGCTCGCCGTCCAAAGAGGTCCGCAAAACTTATCAGATGCCGCATGGCGGATATCAATCTTCATAGAATAATGTCTGTCACTCATGTCCTCGGGACGATTGATCGAGGAAGGCGCCGCAGTGTCATCCATTGTCTCGCGCGGATTACACAGTTCCTGCTGTAAATTCCCATAATAGGTGGACATTTGGTAGATATCATCAACATTCTCAAAAAGGCGACGACAGCAATGTCATGTGGTTGTGTAGTCTGTAGTCATATGGCGGCCGTACAGTACAGTACATGTAGTCCAATCCTTGAATGATTACCAGAGTTGTTAGCGGGGGACTATCGAAGACGTGAAAGGCCGCACCGCATTGCGGGTCGCCCTGAAGGGTTTGTTTCGAGGGGGTTAATAGTTGTTGCTGAAGTCTATAGAATAGGATCCCAGAGCTCTACCTCCCTCATCCAGGTATTGGACTGTATCGCTGTGTGATGTGGTCGTTGCCGGGTGTGCGCTGTACATAGTCGTTAGTCGTAAAGTTGAAAATGAGCGAGGGGGAGACTCGGGTTTTCCCTGGCAGGTAATTCGCGAAGCTAATTGGATGGCCAGATTCAAGGTGGGGCGTGGCGTTGGTTCACAGTGGAAACAGCCCGCCTTTGCCAAGCAAACGAACCTAAACGAGCACCTGCAGCACCGTGCAGCTGGTGGCATGGGCGCTGCGGGGCATCCAACTGGGAAATAAATCTAAAGTCGACGCTGGGCCCCAAAACGAGTCCAGACGTCATTCCAGCCGAAACGGGAATAAACTGCTGGGCCTTTCAGAGCTCCCGGCGTTTGCAAATACCTTCCCGTCAAGTTTACTCTAACCGCACCTGCACGACCCTCCCGCTCGACACGGAGGAATCTGCGATCACAACAGCAACGATACACGATACGTACGCGATACGACAACTCCTGCTGTGGAATCCTTTGTGCCATTTCGATTGTTCGGACGGATATCCGAGTCCAATTAAGTCAGCCTCGGATCCTGGCAGCATCACACAAAATTCCCCAGCCATGGCGAGCACCGTCGTGACAGAAAACACGCCTCTGCTGCCACCGGCCTTACCGTCGTCGCCCGAATCTGGCCGCCCCTCGCGCCCTGCCCGAAATGTCACCTTCAATCCCAATCCCGTAACCAAGACCATTGAACCAGAGTCGGAGCGCCGCCACCCGCGCATAGCCCAGCAGCAGCAGCAGCAACAGCAGCATCCACACCACTTTCCGCTTTCCTCGTCGGCCTCGTCTGCCATCAGCACTGGAGGCCTTGGCGGCGGCCCTCCAATGCTGTCGGCCCTGAATAACAAGCTGCGCCGGCGCAACAGCCACGGCGGTCCCCTGGGTCTTCCTGGCTCCGTTGGTGGCGGCGGGCTCCCCTTGGCTGCCGCTGCTGGTGGCGCCCACCAGCCCAAGATTGGCCCCCAGCGCAGCACCAAGAACGCACAGAAACTCAAACTACTCCCCAACCCCGAGCTCAACGAAGCCGGCGCCGACGAAGAGAGCGGTCGCGATGTCTACTCCCAGTACACGCGCATCAAGGACCCCACGGCGCGCAGAGACGCCGCCCGCCTCGGCAAAGCTGACCGCGACAGGCTGCCCAGAGTCACGGCCTACTGCACCGCAAACAGATACCAGATGGACGGCCTCATGAGGTTTCTCAAGGGGCGGGGCAAGGCACGCGGCGCAAACCCGAAGCTGATCGACGAGTGCATATACACGCCATACAACTACTCCAAAAAGGCCGAAAGTGCCCGCCAGGAGAGAGCGGCGGCCGAGATCCATTCGACCCCCGCGGTTGGTTACGAGCGCAGGCATTCGATGGGCGAGATGCCCGAGACTGACGGCGGCTACCATCCCGACGACCTGGGTCTGGGACTGGGCCTTAGCGACACCGACCTTGGCAACAGTGCATCTCACGACGGCGTCAGGGACCTGATACCACACGGGCTGGGCGACGAAAACGCATTGGTCGACGAGATGCCCGAGTTCGACATCCTCGTGCACACGCCCGAGGTCTTTCTCTTCAACTACGGCGTCGTGGTGATATGGGGCATGTCGGCAGCGCAGGAACAGCGGTTCCTCAAAGAGATTGCGAAATTCGAGACGGAGAAGCTGGCGCCCGACGACGTCGAGACCGAATTCTTCAACTTTTACTACACGCGCGAGTACCAAGCCCGCATATACAACGACTTTATCACACTACGAGACAAGAACAGCTACATGACGAAACTAGCCATCTCCCATGCGCTAGCCCAGAGCGTCAAGGTCAGTAGCTAAGAAGCCCTCCCCCTTGTTTTCCCAGAACTCTGAAGCTCACCGTGTCGCTACACGCAGACGTCGCTCTTTGAGGAGCTGATAGCCCTGACCATCGACACGTGCAAAGACATACCGACACAGATTGCCCTGACAGGCAAGATCGACCTCAGCCGGACGCAGATCAACATGCAGATTGGCGAGCTGTTCATTCTGCGCATTAACATCCACCTCAACGGGTCCGTCCTCGACACCCCCGAGCTGTTCTGGGTCGAGCCGCAGCTCGAGCCCGTCTACCAGGCCGTGCGCAGCTACCTCGAGATGGACCAGCGCGTCGGCCTGCTGACGGAGCGCCTCGACGTCATTGCCGACCTCCTGGCTGTTCTTAAGGACCAGCTCAGCCACGGCCACGGCGAGAAGCTCGAGTGGATTGGTGCGTTTCTCTCTCCCCACCCTCCCTCCCCCCCCCTTTTTTTTTTATATCGCTCTCCCTTCCTTCACCCAAGAGTGGGCTTTGAGCGCGAAGCTGATCCAGTGCCCATCCTTTTCTCCCCCCAACAGTCATTGTGCTTATCGCCGCCGAGATTCTCGTGGCTGTTGTAAATATCGTCGTAGACTTGTATGTAGGTATTGACTGAGACGCGCAAAAACGCGCCCCCAACACTACCACCACCACCCGTGTACGTATCTATATGTAAACATACACATACACACATACAAATTCTTCTAAAAACAGCATATATATATGGCATTGGGAAGAGAGGGTGAGAGGCGTACATGGCGCGGCGCGTTGGGCTTGCTTGGAGCCCCTGACTTTTTCTTCAGTCTTATTTTGATTTTGGGGGTTTGGGATAAGAAGGAAAATCATGTGCGGCATTGAATTTGTGCATTTGCATCCGAGAACGGGGCGGCTTTTTTCTTTCTTTCAGTCTCTCTCCCTCTCTCTCTCTCTCTCCATGTGTGGGTGTTTTTTTTGTACTCTTTTGTGTCAAAGTATTCTGCGGGGGTTTATTCCCCCTTTTTCTTTTTTCTTTCACTGTAGGTCAACACAACACACCCAAGTTGCCCATACTTGGGCGTTTTCTCCCCCGAGATTCCAGCTTTGTACATACATGCCTTACCTTACTTACATATATGTAATAGCGAACATCCACCACCGGGGTATATGTGTTAGCAATTGCACGCACATATGACGCATCGTTAGTCCTCTAGTTGTGAGTCTGCCATTGCATCTCTGACAAGTCTGGTCTAGTTGTCGCTTGGTGTACTAGGTACTGAAGTAGGCTGAGTGAGTCCGCCTTCTGTTGTTTGTTGTGTGGATGCTCGATTAGCTTTTAATAGTCTATATTTATTCTTGTTGATGTCTGTGGAATCGTAGCATGACTAACTCCTCATTAGTCTCTACTATTGTATTATCTACCAACATGACCGGGTCAGGTGTGCTCGCCCGTGGATTCGTCTCTCTCGTCTTCCATTATTTCTTTCGTCTCTTTCGACGTCCTCGACTTGAGACGGTTCGGCTCTTTCTGCCAAGTACCAAAACAATTAACACGCGAGTCTTGCTGTCCTGGGACAAACCTGGTACCTGCCCGCCTGCCCGACAGCCTGACCGTACGCGAACACCCTCACTGTTTCTCCCCTCCTCCGACATTACAGATACCTGGGCCTCTTTACCCTCTTCCTCGCCCCACCCTCACCTCTCTCGTCACCTCCACCCCTCCCTCCCTCAAATCTTTTTGCGACTTCTTCCTCAGCCCGACCGTCAACTTCTACACTTCTCTCACTTTTCCACGTCGACTCGACTTCCTCATCAACCTCATTTCTCCTCTGCCTCGTCAGAAGCCTTCTCCGACTTGACCCTCTGCGACTAAATTCAGTTCTCTCATTCTGATTTTCATCTGACGTCCACCTCGACCTAGCTTGCTTCAGTTGAAATAGTGTCGTGGCTTCGGATCGGGGATCGGGACCTGGACCGGGACCAGAAGCGAGAGCAAAGCCTCCCAACGAGCATACCCAGGCGGCGCTCGCCCAGAGCTGGAGTTTTCTAACCGACACAGCTACCTCTCCTTCACCTGCGACGCCTGCCGGAGGACTTGGCGAGTCGACAGCTTCCCAGGCCTCGGCGTCTACAGAGCCGCGGGCCATCGCCATGGCAGACCCTCTTCAGAGCCCCCAGACGACCGTGAATAGCGACAGCGACCACAACGACATTGAAGTGGCCATTCGTCGCGCCATAAAGCGCAGGCCTCGCGATATCGGCCCTCCGAAGCAACCAGTTGCTTCTTCTCAACCGCCCACCGGCCTGGCACTGCTGGCCCAGTCCAACCAACCCAACAACTGCACCTTTGACGCGGCCACTTGCGAGTTCCGAAGCGGCTCGCTGACCTTTAAAACGTTCCTCGCAAATCCCAAGCAAAACAAGAAGTCAGAGGTCACAGCGCTTGAGAGGGACATGGCGAAGAATGAAGCGCGAGTCAAAGACATCGTCCTCAAGCCCAAGGCCGCTGAGCCACCGCAGTCATCTACGCGAAAACGTTCACTCAAGAGGTCTCTTCCCTCAGTCGACGATCTGCTAGCCATCCAAAAATCTTCCCACAAGAAGTCTTTTCTCTCCATCGACCATCTGGAGTCAGCTACCCAAAAACCTTCCCACAAGAGGTCCTTCCTTTCCGTCGACGATCTGGAGGCACCTATCCAGCCACCGCAATCAGCTACGCAAAAACCCTCTCTCAAGAGGTCTTTTCTCTCTGTCGGAGATCTGGAGGAGACACCTATTATTCCCACCACTACGTCGGATGCCAGCAGACATGGCCGTATCAAACGGCACAAGCGAGATGATAGACACCACCGGCATCTGTCGTCACGTGCTGCCATCCCAGATAGAGATGAAGATCTTTCTCTCGACTCTCTCGCCGCCCGCAAAAGACATGCGGACAAGGAGAAAGCTGGCCGGGATAATAGAAATCACCATCATCACAAAACCAGTACGACAGCAGCCTCTGCTCGCATCGGCAGCCCAAGTCTCGACAAAGACATCTCGCGTGCATTCCCAGAGTCTCAGGTCGCGCGAGAGAACTTCGAAGCCATCAAGCACGCGCCCACCACAGCCGGCGCCAAGGCAAAAACTAGGCTGGACGAGCTTAGAAAGGCAGGCACAGGTGGTGATGGTGGTGGTGCTGCCGCCGCCGCTGCCGGCAGGCCAGCTGCCAACCCTACTATTCCCCAGTCTGCCGAGGATCTCTTTCACGGCATGATCGCGAACCACGACAAGAAGCAGCCAAAGACCAGGATCGTCAACAACCTGCCCAGCGGCGACAGGCAGAAGGAGGCGACTAACAGACGCCCCCAGGGAGCCAGGCCTGATGTCAGCTTCACGCTGCTCCGTCGTTCAGGAAAAAAGAACAGCGCCGTAAACCCAACCGCCCGGGCCGGAGTCCCTCGGAGCCAACAGGCCTTCAACGCTGCTCCGACGGTCAGTTCTGGGGGAAAAAACGGCAAGGCACCCGCGGTAGTTCGTACTAACATCTTCCAGCAGCAGCAGCGTTACCGTCCTGTTGTTCCGCCGCCTGTTCCTGCGCCTCGCCGTCCTGGCTCTGGCCTCAAAGCCCCCTACCACCACGCCCATCAAGCTCAAGACGACAACGAAGAGGAAGAAGAATACGCACAGAGCCCTCCGGCGCCTGCTGTGATCCCGCCACCGCAGAATGTGGCGCAGGCCGAAGAGCTCCTCGGCGGTGACAGGATTGTCCGGAACTGGGTTGTCTATCGAACAGCAAAGTCAAAGCCCGAGACGACAGCGGTCACTGGCAGTGCCACGGGAGGCGGCAAGGCCATCTGTTGCAGCGACTTCCTGTCCAAGGCGGCGGCCAACACGCAAGCCCAGATTCTCCACGACCGCGCCAAGAAGGGCGTCGTCGACAAGACGTGGTCGCGCGCTGGGCCCGAGGGCCTCTTCCGCGGCACGCTGTAGTTTGAGACGGGCGAGACCCAGCGCTTCTGGGTCGAGGAGATGGTGCGGGACCTGAGCGCCGTGGCGGCGACGCGCCGCATGGCCTCGGACAGCAGCTCGGGGTCCAGCGCGCTGTTTGTCGACTCGGACCGCGCCCGCGTGTACGAGCGCAAGCGCTACGACGTCGTGTCGGTGCGCTACTTTGGCGTGCCTGGAGGAGTGTTTGGCCACACGGCAGCAGCCGGCGAGCAGCAGCAGCATGGCGGCACCAAACAGCGGTCCCAGAGCAACCGGCCCATTGTCATTGACTGCAGCGATGAATCCGACGAGGCCGACGAGGCCGATGAGATTATCGAGATCGACAGCGACAGCGACATGGAGCCGCCGGCGGCGGCTGTTTCCACTCGGCGGGACATGACGGCAGACTCACACAAAGCCGTCGCTGACAGCGAGGACCAAGAAATGACCGACGCAGCGCAAGGCGGCAAAGACGCTGCCACTACAGTCGCCCGCGAAGCCAGTATCAACAGCGGCGACAACAGCTCGTCGCAGCAACACGACAACCACCACAGAAACGTCCGCGAAAGCACTGCCGCGACAACACGCACCATGGCCGGCGCCGAGCTGGCCAACGTGCTCGACGCGGTGGACCCGCGCGTGGAGCTGCACAGCACGTTCACGATGGCGAAACTTGCCAACGCGGAAGCGACGCGCACGTTCCTCGAGCTGGCGCGGCCCGACAACAGCCGCATCGAGGACAACCACTTCTACAAGACTCACATCCGGCCAAGCTACGAGGCGCAGTTCGACGCGCACACGGCGGCCGTCGTCGACGGCGGCAAGCCCGAGACCCTGCTCCAGGTGGAGTGGGACCCCCCTGCCGGCCCGCGCTACCGCTGGCCCTTCTTCTGCCTGCGCGTCGAGGTTGTGGAGTCGCTGCTGCGCAGCTCGCTGGATATTGGGGGTATGGTGGTTGATGGTGGTGCTGAGGAGGGAACTCGGGCTGGGGTGCGTGCTGCTGAGGACGGGGAGATGAGCGAGGAGGACTAGTTACCTTGGGCATGCGGCGGCGGACTAGATTGACTTTGTACAACTGCGTCTCACAACTGGATAGTAGCACGGACGAAGTTTTGGGCGAGGAGGAGGAGTTAGGCAGCGGTGGTAAGCCTGATTGACTTGACCGCTGTCACGACTGTGTGATGACACAGACGGCATGTTGAGCGAGGAGTACTTGGGCTTGTGGGAAAGAGCAACGGGGCGGACGGACTCTGTGGATGGAAACAGTCTTGCTTGGCTGGCTTGTCTCTCTGTGTAGCTATCCGTAAGGTTTTGTAGTGTAAATGTATCGCTTGTACGAGTAAAGATACAGAGTGAACAAACAAATAGCGGTATGGGCGGACTGGTGCCTCTCTCTTTTTTTCCTTATTATACTGAGACCAGAGATTTGACTGGGGACCAAGATGTCAGTGTTGTGGGGAGTGCACGGGATATGCGATATATAGATTAAAGTTGGTCACGAAAAGAAAAGAAAAAAGCCAATGCCTGGCGGAAGCACGAAGCACAAGTCCAACACGACACGACACGCATTGGCATCCAAACCGTCCACCAAATTCCGCGACCTCACCTATTCAGCTCGTCCTCTCCAGCATTCTGTGCTCCCTTATCTTCACCCCCACCACGCAACTACTCACCTACCTCCTTACACAATGCACGAACCCGCGAAAGCTCGCCAAGGGCCTTTCACGAACGCCCAAATCATAACTTTCTTGCTCCAAATCCAAGCCAAGACCGAAGAAGTGGACTCCCAGATCAAGCAAACCACGGCAAACATCTACCACAACTGGGCCAGGGTTGACGGGAACCTACAATCATCACAGAACCTCACAATAGAGAACTTGACGGCCCAAGTGGGTTTTTCCAAGTCCAAGCTCCAACAGGCCACTAACGACAATACCCTGGCCAAATCCCAGCTTACCCTGGTCAAATCCCAGCTTATAATTATCCTGGCCAGATTCCAGCTTACCCTGGCCAAGTTATAGCTCGAGAAACACAATAAGAGCTTGTCGAGCTCAACGACGCCACCAAGAATCGATTTATGGGAGCCTTGAGACCAATGTCCCGAGGTTTTGATCATTAACTCGGCAACTTGGCCTGTTAGGAAACGACGTGCGACAGACAGTATGCAGTGCTATCAACCGGCCATTGAGCCAATCACAGGGTATTTTCTAGTGAGCGAAGGCTAGATTCAAATACATTAGAATACTTGGCTGAAGATGTTGGCCGATCGGAACACAACCCCCGACATGATGCAGTGAGATTGCGCAACAACTTGAAGTCCCATTAAATTACATCGGTACGTTTTATTTATTTTTGGGATCGAGAAGAAGTGGCTAAGAATTTTCGGCAATTTATTTACCGCTCGAGGAGATCAAACCCAAGGAAACGAAAACAAGGGTGAAAGGGGGCTGCACCCCTTTTTTTCTTCCTTTTAGGACAAAGTCTACGAGCAATACCAAAAACCATTCTCCATCTTATGGATATAGCACCATGTAGCAGCTTTCGGTGCAATAAGCAGAGACTGCGTGAGATGAGAGAGCGAAATCTGAACTGTTTCGGGCTAGCGCGACATCCAGGTAATTCGCATAAGCGACTGAGCGAGTGAGTGAGTGAGTGAGCGGCTGAGCCGGACATAGGATTACAATATATGATGAGAGCCAACAACACACGGCTCGCTCTTGTGTAATTAACTAGTAGGGTTGTTTGAACACTTGAGATATAATTAATTGGGATGAATGCTAGGAAGGGGTTTGCAAGCTAATTAAGTAGGCAGGGTAAGAGTCTTTGAAACAAATAACTATAGATACCTACTCAATCACGTCATTAATTACCAAATAGAAAATGGGAAACTCGCCTGGCATAGAATAGTAGTTCCGAGACATAACGTTACAGACGTGGGGACTATTGCTAGGTAAGAATATGAGCTGCAACCTGCGCAGCGCTACAGGCTGTGCAGCGAATAGGGGTGGGGGCGGGGAGTTTTCCTCCTCTGGAATTTCTTTTCATCCAATCATTTTAAATACACACTCTCTCGCCTCTTTCCTCTAAGAACTCGTCCCGCGAATTCCTGCCTCAAGCCGCCGCCTGCCGCCATAGTTTGATACATTGCATATTGGGGGTCTTAATTACCCCCGTCGTACTCGTAGTATTGCATCGTTATTCGTCGGATATCTACCGGGATCCCGGTCCTGTATGACTACCATATGGAGATACCGCAGAGGTAGTAGTTGTGGCAGCAGAATAACTATGAGAAATGATGGCTAACTACAGCTTCACGCTGAGTAATTCGTTGACTAGATAAATCGCGACACGTTAGTTAAGCGAAGAGTTGGTGGCTACTGTAAATTAGTAGGGATATGCGCGATGGCAATCCGGGGATAATAATATTAGAGCCTGTCCACGCACCTTTACCCCCGCCTTTACGAGGGATGATCTGGAATGATTCTAAAGAATAGTGTTAGCGTTGCCGCCACCGCGCTGGCGTTGACCAAGAGGGGCGGCGTGTCCAGCGAGTCGCCCGACCAGGCACACCTAGATTTCTTCCGGCTCAACGGCGACAAGTCGATACCAAAGCACCCCAATAACATGATTACCGTCTCTGTGGCTGCGAGCGGCACCTTTGAGCTTCGTTCTTTTGACGTCCCTGTTTTAAATCGATCAATCGATTAATTAATTAGTAGATTGTAGCGTACTGCTAGAACTAGTTTAATTATTACAGTATTCTATCTTCTTCGACCGAAGAACAAAGAGGTTGCTGGACAACCTTTTTTTTTTTTTTTTTAAAAAAAAAAAAAGGCGGTGGAATCAAGTATTAAAGCGGGAGAGTTCAAGTGTTGCGGGAGGAGGTTGCCGTTAATGTTGTTGTTGTCGTTATTGTAGCAGGGTTCCACAAGCTTACACACATGACTGAGTACACAAGAGAGTTTAACCCCAAATTTCCCCGTGCGCTGTCTCGCATTTACCTCAAGTATTGTTATCCCTCCCGCTGCTAGAGAGGGCGTTCTAAAGATCATCAGAAAAGTAACCTTGGTACCCGACCGGTGCAATTTCGCCACAACGGAAGCTGCACCTTACCTCTATCCTGCGGCGAGCTATCTCTATCCATTAACAAGGGGGTAAGCCGACCGATACATTACATAGAGGTTAAGGTTGCTAGGGCTATCTTGAACTGCGGTTGGTAGCAGCCTAACTTAGAAAGGGTATTTAGTTACCTAGTAGGTTCAATAGTATCTAATACGGCGTAAACGCATTCGATGACAAGGGGGGAATCCGGTTTGCTGGATGTCGTCTGGAATTGACCCACTTTTCATGGAATTGGACAGGCCCTGGTTGACATGCCTCTGAGCTTCCTTCATTCTTTGTCATTTCCTTCATTCTTGACTCGGAATGTCCTCATTTCATTCGGAATGCCCTCTTTCGGGCTGATTACAACGCCTCCCTTGCCTTCTCTCCACGAGTATAAGGAAGCGTTCTTTTCTGTACTTTTAGACCTATTGAGCAGACAATTCAATGCGCCGTCAACTTCGATCGCGTGCAACACTGGACAAAGTAGGAGGAGCCATTCGTGATAAAGGAACACCTCCATGTCTAGCCTAGACTGAAGCAATAGGCTATATATTTCATCTCTTGGGATGGGCCAGGCGGACATTTCTTCGACGAAACCATACTTGACCGACACTCAACCACCCGTCTTGTGCACGACGTCGAATATAAGGACTTCTTCAAACCCGAGCTTAACCTTTTTGAAGTTTAACTTGAATATTACCCAACCCAGCCTTAACAAGAAGTGGTCTCTGATGAACATCCATTGGGTTATGAAATCTCCATAGGCCGAAAAGATTCTGGGGCGTGGGCGTCGAGCCTACCCTATTTGCCTGGTTTGGACGTCGTACCTGCCTACAAGTCGTTTAAACACACGCGTCATAATTACGTATCGATTAAGTCAGTGAGGGAAGTGGCAGCTAATTGGAGACGTCGTACTCAACAGGCCCGGGCTACTGTAGGAAGTTTTTACGGGATCACTCGCTTTTTCAATCATTGGTTTTCAAGTTAACATTACAAGTTTTTTTTGGGTCTTGCTCGGCATTTTGCTACCGCTTCCGCATTACGTATTAGGCAGTTACGTTACACCACAACGGAGATTTTTCTCTCTACACACGTACATGTACATGTACGAAGGGAGCTTAGCTCCATCATCAGTTTAGTAAGGTACCTCCCTACCCAAAGCTGAAAGGTCTCCTTCATATCGAGGAAAAGCCTCCTTTTACAGCCGTGAGGTTTTCAGGAAAGCCCTCAATTGAAGAATGCGTTGTTATTATTGTTCAAGTTACTCCCGAAGTACGAATACATCAGCCAAGTTGTCTTTGATCTCGTCGGGATCTTGACCCACCCTTGATCAGTCAGCCCTAATTGGTTGGCTTAGTTAATCACCTGCTTCATTCTCGCTTAGATGAGATCTTGTGGGCTATTCGATCGCGATTACCGAGAATGATCAGGCCAATAAAAGAGAAGAGAAAGATGGGACACAACTTGGTTGAGAAGAAGCGAGTTGATCAAGACTAAAAATGCCCTCGCAATCTCCGTCCTTCAGGAGTTAATACAACAGACAAACTCAATACACGATAGGTACAATTCCCCCATATACTGTGAATGCTCAAGCAAGCATTCATGCTTTGCAGCGGTTGAACCGCTGAGCAAGTCCCAGTTAAACACCCCCAACGGGCTGATACCACCGCCAACCCCAGCTAATAAATGCCTTTACTCCAGCCACGCCAGAGCCACTGCAGGCCGCCCTTTCTTTCCCTTGACCCTTTTTCCGACTTTCGCTGCCTGCCAGAAAACCCCCAAACCCCAAACGCCCTACGCCTCCCTATATCGGGGTGGTTGCGCGTCGGCTGTGAGAGCTGCTCCCATCATCGACGCCCGCAAAGTATCAATGCTAAAGACGAAGCAGAAGAAAAAAAGCCCCTTGTATCCTACAGCCACATGTTACAAGAATATTGACGTCTCATCTCCATTTCCATCAACTGCTTCACTGCATAGTCTTGAGGAAGCCGTCGAGATCAAAACTCTCCTCGTACTGGCTATTGTCCCAGAGCTCGCCCAACCCGTCGAGCCAGGCCGCCTTCTTGCCCGGTTGGCGGACATCGCCCGTCTCAATGTCCACCATGTCCTCTTCCCGGCCTTCGATGCCGTCGCCGGCTTTTGGTTTGTCCGTGATGAGGTTCGGGCCCGAGTCGCCTAGGTTGAATAGGTCGAGGATCTGGTCCGTGTCCATGGTCGACAGCCCGGCATTCTGCTGGTTTACTACAGTGCTCGCCACGTCGATCTTGAAGCGCTGCAGGCTGAGAATCTTCTCCTCGAGCGTGCCGCGCGTAATCAGGCGGTAAACGTTGACTACCTTCTTCTGGCCGATACGATGAGCGCGGTCCATGGCCTGCAGATCCTTCTGCGGGTTCCAGTCGTGCTCAACAAAGATGACCGTGTCGGCACCCGTGAGGTTCAGCCCGAGACCACCGACGCTGGTAGTGAGCAGCAACACGTCGTACGACGGGTCGCTGTTGAACTTGTTGACAATGTCTTGGCGTCGGTTCGCCTCGACACCACCGTCGAGTCGGAGGAACGACACAGAAGGCAGCAGCTTCTTGAGCACCGTGTTTTGCACCATGTCAAGCATCTCCTTCATCTGGCAGAAGATGAGAGCTCGGTGGGGTTTGATGGGGGTGTATAGCGGGTCAGATGACTCTTGCCCCTCTACGCCGATGCCGCAGTCAACGAGGAGGTCTCGCAGGGCCGTGAGCTTGGGCGCGTGCACCACGTCGTCGAGGCTCGTATTCTGCTTGGCCAGGAAGCTCTGCGTCTCATTGTACAGCTTGTGGTCGGGCCTCATGACCAGCGCCGGCGAGTTGCAGAGCTTGCGCATGTACTGGAGCGCCTGGAAAATGTGCTGCTTGGCTTCCTTGTCGTCGCGCCCGGCATCTTCAGTGATCTTTTTGACCTCTCTCTTGGTGAAGTCCTCGAACAGTTTCTTCTGGAGGTCACTAAGGTCGCAGTAGTAGTTTTGGAGAATCTTGGGTGGCAGGTCATTGAGCACTTCTTCCTTGAGGCGGCGCAAGAGGAAGGGCAGCACCTGCTTGTGCAGAGCTTCAATAGCCAGAGCGCCCGCTTCTTGCTCCTTAGACGAGGCCTTGCTGTAGCGGCTGTTGGCGATTGGCTTTGCGAACCGATCAAGGAAAACCTTCTCAGCGCCTAGGAATCCGGGCATCAAGAAGTCAAATAAGGACCACAGCTCAACCACGTTATTCTGGATCGGTGTGCCCGTCAGGATGAGCCGATGGTTGCTGCCCAGCCGTTTGACCGCCATGCTGATCTTTGCCTTCGGGTTTTTGATGAGATGACCTTCGTCAAGAACTACGTAATTCCAGTTGTATTTCTCGATGATATCAACATCGTTGCGGCAGACGTCGTACGAGGTGACGACAATGTCTGTCTTGTCCAGATCCTTCATCGCTTTGCGCTCCGCAGGGGGGCCAACATATGTCGTGACGGTGAGGAACGGAGCGTACGCCTTAATTTCTTGCTGCCAATGTCCCGACAGGGTGGGAGGGCAGACAATCAACGAGGGAAGTTTCCTAACGTCCAGCGCCCCCGTCTTGGCAAACTCCTCAGCACGCTGGTGATGGTCGCTGGCAACGATGCAGATAGTTTGGAGCGTCTTGCCCAGACCCATGTCGTCGCAAAGAATACCGTGAAGGTGATACTTGTTGAGGAAGTTGAGCCAGTTGACACCCTCCTGCTGGTACGAGCGCAGCTCCGCCTTGATGGCGACGGGGATCTGGAAGGGCTCAACTTTCTTGGGGTCCAAAAGCTGGGAAATAAACGTTCGCTCCCGGTCTCTGCCCCTGAGAAGCTCTTCCGAGAGACCAGGGGGGTCGGGAATACCAGCCTCAAGCGGCACTAGCTTGACAAGAGTAGCAAAGGAAGTGGTTGCGATGAGCCGGATCTCCGTGTCTGAATCGCTCATACGGCCGAGGACTGGTACAATGAGGAAGATGACATACGGAAGAATGCCGTCGCCCATCACGGCGATCAGGTGGTAGATGGCCTCAATTGCTCCCTGGCGGAAGTTGAGGTCGATGGGATTGTTAATCGACGGGAGCACCTTCTCGACTAGGGCAGTCATGCCCTCGACCGTGATGACGCTGCATATTGTCGCCAGACACTTTGCCGCCATGTAGCGGAAGACGGACAGCTCCGAATGGAGCGCCTTGATAACAAGCGGGATCTGCCTCATCACGAAAGGGTGAAGCGAAGGGTGGAGAGTTGGCGTCATGGTCCGAATCACTGACATGGAGTCGACGATCTCTTGGCCAAACGTGCTCTCGGGATCTCTAGCCTCGGCTGGCAGGTCGCTGGCAAAGGCCTTCGCCAGAGGCTCCTCCATGAACGACTGTAGACTTGGGACCCGCGTCAAGAGATGGGCGCCAAAGGACTGGGACAATATCTCTAACGCCTCCTTTGCGCCGCGGCGCGTGATACGTGCTGCCCTCGCCTCGCGCGCAAACTTGGCCGCGTCAGCATGGTCGACGCGGTCCTCTTCCTTCTGCATTGAAAGAATGACGCTTGTCTTGAGGGCGTGGACCGGGAATTCTGGCGTCTCGGCCACCTCGACGCACGAGAATTTGACCAAGTTGGACACGACCTTGTCGGCTGGCCCGCGGCGGCCCGACTCGGTGAAGAGCTGCACAAGACGTGCAATGGTTGAAGCAGAGCGGACCTGGAGTTCTTGGTTCTCTTCCGTCTTGATGCTATCCATGATAGCCTTGATAAGCGGACTGGGCTTTTTGGGAAGTATCCTCATGGCGATCAAGGCGCATGCCGCAGCGGCTCTGATTCGCGCGTCACGGGCGTCCTTGGCCAGCTTGGTTTCCTCGATGACTGCAACTGTGGCCTCTCGGGCCTCGGACAGTTGGGGGAGGGCAATCAGTCGCTGGCCAGGGGCCATTGCCTTCTTAAGCCTCTCGTAGTCATCGCCCACGACCTTTTCGGCGTTTGCCATGGAGAATGCGCCAGGGCCGGCTCCCTCGTCGCCCTGCACGACAACGGCAAGGGTGGGTAGCTTTCCGTTGGGAACCTTGCCGTGATCGCGGAAGAGATGCAGGAGCTGCTGCGACTGCGACCGCACACGCTGCACATAGCTGACCAAGTCTCGGTAGTGGGACGGCCGATCTTGGTCAATAATCTTCTGTAAGGGCTCGACAAATCGAGCTGCTTCTTCACCCTTGGCGCAGTTCTTGGCGTATTCATCAATAACAATGGCGGCGGTCAGTTGGGTTGATGCGTAGGGAGACGAAAGACCGGGGAGGATGGCGTCGTCATAGGCACGCACCGCTGACGGCGAGATAAAGGACATGAGAAGGCCCATGGCCCTGGCCGCCGAGACGCGGGACCTAATCAGAACGTCCATTCCTACCAGGTCAACGTCGCCTTGCATCATGTGGCCGTCGACGTCGTGGCTGTGAGTCGGCACCGGAACATCATCTATCTTGGTCGATTTTCTCCTCCGCTTCGTCGCTCTCTCGGCGCCCTCGGGCGGTGACGAGCGCCGGGTTCCAACAGGAGTGAGACCGGGCAGGGAGTAGGTACCCCCAGACGGCTTCTGGAAGAGGGACGCGTTCATGGGGATGGGGTGGCGGGATACGCCGATGGGATGTAGTGTCAGCTGCATGAGCGCGTCTACATGGGGGCCGAACTCGCTGGCAAGAATGGCTGGGCTTTGGCCGAGCGTCCGAACCAGAGCAGTCCACAGCTCCATGGACGTGTTGAGCGTCTCGGAATCCCTCTCGACAAGAATGTTCTGGAAAATGAGACGCAGTATTCTGCCAGTCAGCCACCCTTGCGAGGTCTCGCTACCGAGATTAACAAATCTCATCAGCGCCTTGAGCAAGGCAAGCCGCACCGACGTGATGGTATGGCGGAGGAAAGGGTAGAGCCTAGGGACCAGGAGGGTGAAGGATCGCTCCTCATCTTGAGCGGCGGATATCTTCATGGCTTCCAGGACTTCAGGGAAGCTGCAGAGCGTGGCCAGCAGATCCATGATTTTGCCCGTCGATGCGCTCAGATCATCGCCCAGGTTGGAGAGACTCTCCCAGACGATGTTGATGAGACTGTCCAGGGCGCCTGGGCGCAGCGTCACAAACTCCTTGGCTATGGGGATTAGGGTGGCTGCGCTGACGGAGCGGACATCGTCGTCTATGTCTGCCAGGCCTTTCATGACCGACTTGATGACGCCGTCGATCATGTCACTGTCCTCGAGCAGGAGGTCTTTGCGCACCGCAACCACGTATCGCAGGCCCACCATGCCGCCGTGGCATATGGCCCAGACGTGGTGGTCCAGCTGGAGGTCGTCCTGCATCACCATGCGGTACAGCAACTGGTAGATGGCGTGCACAGAGAGCGGGGGCACGTGGCGGAGAACCGACCCTAGAGTCTGGCCAACCGTCTCTCGGATGGGAGCCACCGACATGTCGGAGCTGTAGTCGGTGAACTTGTCAAGCATGAGCACGCAGCACAAGCGACATGCCAGGTCATCCAGCCATCTTCGATTGAGTTCTGCATTCTCCTTTAGCGACTTACCTCTCCGTCTCCCTGCGCCGCCGCCGTGAACTCTCACGATCTCTCTCAGGCCCATGGCAGCACCGTGACGAGTCTCCCACTGCGGGTCAAACAGATCAACTTTGAGGAAATCGCACAGGCGCTCGTACGGCCACTCGGCGCCGTCCAGCTCTTCGTCTGTCTCCAGCTCTGACTTGATGGGCATCACGGGGCCTTTGAACTCCGAGACAACCTTTGTGTCCTCGTCTATGTCGGCAGGTCTGTCGAGGGTGAAGTAGTCCGCCATCTTGCCGTTCTTCTTTGAGTCAGCATCTGCCAGAGGAGTATCGTCGGCGAAACCGTCCGAGCCGGCCGTCGTGGAACGCCGGATGGACAGGTCACCAAACCCGCTCTTACCCTGGGCTGCTTTCTGCGCTTCTCTCTTGCGTTTTCTCTTGAGAACGTTGAGTTGGCGCGTGCTTAGGCCCGACTCCTCGTTGTGCTGGCTCTGGCCCCCGTTGGCGCCGCTGTCTTGGCGGCCAAAGGCACTTGCGGATGAGGCATCCTGTGGCGTCGAGGGGCTGCGCGCGTTGTCACTGATGATGGGCATTTCCTCGTCCTCGAACACACGTCCGAGGAGACCGAGGCGGCCATTTAGTGTTTTCTTTTGGTGGGCCAGGCGGCTTGCGGGCTCGAGAGCAGCAAGGGCGTAGTCGACATGGCCGCCTCTCAGCAGCGCCCGTCCAAACTTGAGAATCGCGGCTATGTTTAGACTCTCGAGGCTGAAATAATCGTTATCGAGGTCGAAAGAAAAATCCCTGCTCTCTTCCTTCTTGACGAAACCGTTTTCGCCCGCAGCCGACTTGTCGCTCGAGACGGCCTCATCTGCCGAGTTGGGGTCATGAAGAGACGCATGCTCGATGATCTTGCCAATCGCTTTTGCAGCAGTGGTACGCGTCTCCCAGTCCTTATGGCGGAGGTATACCACGACCCTCGAGAGGAGGTTGAAAAGTTCCTCCGGATGCTGCTTCTGCCAATCGGCGAGCTGATTGACGGCAGTGTCCCGGATTAATCGGGTACTCCCCGTCTCAAGGATTCTGTAGGGCAAAGGTTAGCGACAAGACAGCTTACAGAAAAATGTCGGCAGAAAGCAGTAGGGGGTGCCTGGGGGGGTAGGTAGCACAAGTGCGGTTGCCCCACGCAACATGAAGGGAGACACGACGACTCGCTCCTGTGACGTGGGCAAACGACATGCAAAACACACGTCGTGACCTACGAGGAAATAGCTGAGGGTGCGGAAGATCTACTCACGTAACAAGCCGGTCAAGCCTATAACAAATTGAACGATTAGCACACAGCCCAGTATTGACATATGTTATACAAACAGGTGGGTGCTGGTGACTCACCGAGATGCCATTTTTGTTTCATATCAAAATGGTCCGTAGAAGCGCTTGTTACGCAACCGTTATCATGGCACTATATCGTGATTAGCCGATCAGTGATCATGGGCCATGGCCGGGATGTGTACGGATTATGAGCCACTGGCGTGCGAGTAGACGCTAAGAGGGAAGGAGAAAGGGGGTGTGAGAGAGAAATGTTGTGAGCGAGGCACGGGTGGAGCCAACCACGGTGAGCGGCCCAACAACCATGGAACACAGGCGCCGCTCGGTAGTAGACCTGTCTGGATGTACCGAATGAATAGAAATGCAATCCTTGTTGATTGACTAGTACCGGGCCGGACCGACCTAGATCAAGTCAAGGCTAAGAAGTCTGACTTACCGACAGCTATGCGGGACATGGACTGTTGTAAAATTGTGAGAAGGTGTGAGAGTGTTGTTGTTGCTGTGTGGGTGTTGTGAGAGACGCTGCCGCCGCAACTAGTTCATGCCCGTCACGAACTTCCAGGCCCGTTTTGTCTCCGGTGATTAGAGGGTGGATGATGTGATGTTGTTGCTACTGCTGCGCACCCTCTATTTTTAATAAAAAATCTCCACGATGTTGACAACTGGAACTGGGAAGCCAAAAAAAAAAAGGCCAAAAGAGGTAAGTGTAGATAAGTGCAATTAAATTCAAACGCGAAGGGGAAAGGGAAAAAGAAAGAGTTTGCAGGAGAATTAAACACTATCATCAAAAATCGCATCGGTTGCGCCTTCCGCACTTACATGAGAGTGTGCAAGGTGAAGCTGATTTAGGTCAGTGATCCCGAAGCAAGCTGGCAGGGGTGGTGAGGACCAGGTTCTCGTGTCGCCGCAGAGAACGCGATGGTATGGTTCGGTGTGGCTCGGTGTGGGCGGTGTGGGCGAATTGGGCGGGTGGAGGTGTGTGCAGCGCAAGCGACAAGTGCAGTGGAAAATTCGGGTGGAGGGCAGCGGCCGTCTATAAAGAAATATTGGTTTAAATTTATAGACAACCGGCTCTCCCAACGCCCTCTTAGCAATTTTTAGCGCCGTTCTGACATCCCTGCTTCCTAGCTCCATGCGGGTCCCCCCAGTCCCGTGCGTTCGTTCTTTCCCTGCGGACCTTACCAACTTTTACGCCTTGCCTCCACTGCTTCCAGATTCGAACGAAAAAAAGGCCATCCTTCTTTTAAATCCATTCATCACCAGTACGCAAGGCTAGGGAAGTCCATAGCGTCTCTTGTACCATTCCGCACCGTATCGAGGATACGCAGATCTTTTGCATTCTGAGGCCGGGTCTGTGGGCTTCAAGGTCCCTTCCGACCTTTTCTTGGGCCCGTGAGCCTAAACCGAAATGGAAAGCTCGCAATTACCATCCGAGACCCTGGAAGCCGATCACCACGGAGCAGGCCGTGGGTTCCTGAGGCCAAGATGGGTATAGGGATAGAGAATGCCGTGATAGGGTATTATTTCCCCGCCGCCAATACGAAAGAGACTTGCTATTTTATTTTAACTTTTTTTTCTGCCAGAAACAACACCGAGGATCGCGGGCAACCTAAGGTGTCCGGTTTTGCATTGCGGCAGCCACATTCCTAGATCCAGTCATGCCCCCCTACTAAGTTAAAAGCAACGTGTCCCTCCTTCACTGCTGGCGGATAGTCGCATCTCTTATCTGGCGTCTGGCGTCTGGCATCTGGCATCTCAAACGCGAGGCCATCATAATTTGAACGCTCCACGTCCTTGCCTTCCTCGCCCGCTTCCTTTCCTGAGTCTTTGGGCCGTGCTGGACTAAAGTTCAAGAGGTTTTGGAGGCCACTGCATGCACCTATGCGCGATGCCGTTGCAGGTTGCTGTGGTGCAACGCGTTCCCACTGCCAAGGAGATGCTGTCAGAATTTGAGGTCACTATAGAATAGGCTGCTAGGTAATTTAAGAAGTAAGGTAGGACCTGAAGTGCACCGCAGATGGATTCTTGGCCGTGCTCGTTCTACTCTCCACGTGCAGCTCTGGGTAGGTAAGGTATTCGTACCGCATCCACGATGGCTTCTCGAGGTCTGGCCCTAGTGGTGTTCTTGGCAAAATCATCGCCCTGCAGGCATCTTGCTGTAAGGTCAAGCCACGCCGCCGCCCAGAACCCCAAGTCACCACACGACCTAACTCTGTCGCGCTTGGCAGCTATTCCGTGCAAACTCAAACAAAGAAGCAGGCCGCTTTGGTTCTAGGTCTGCGCGAGAACTAAGAGGCGCTGAGCCTGCAGTTCAAGTTCTTTCATCCAGCCCAAATGCCCTCCCAGAAACGGACGGGATTCTGAGTAAGAATGGGAAGTGCATCCAACCCTTTTCCCACCTTCTTTTGTGGCCCCACCAGATGGAAGCTTACCTAGCTCTTGGCCTACACAATCGCATTCTCTCTGCGCGTACATCCGCAGCACCAATCACTTGTGATTACTCCAAGAAGTGCCATTACGTAGCATGCTTTAGAATAAATGGAAAAGGGGATGCGGAGCAAATGTATACCGACGTAGGTAAAGTTAATACGATGGGCATATGGCTGCATAGTATCATGATGCGAATATGCTTGTAATTGTTACGGGGGTGATACCGGTCGGTATTTTGTCTTACTGAAAATGTCCGCCATTGAAATACTAGGGATCCCATACCCCGAAGCCTAGCAAGGTTTCGGGAAGGACATTTTTTTGTTGATGGGGTCACGTGATCCGCCAAGAGGTCCAAGCGTTTTTTTATTGTGGAAGCCGCGATCGCGCGACAGGGAAAGACGCGTTGAAGGGCCCCCCCCCCTCAATCGATGCGTCGGCCCTGTTGGAGAGAGATACTCCGTACGCCCCTCTCCATCGTAAATCCGGAAGATGCTTCTCAGACAACCCACAATCCAGCCTCAACCCTCGCGTTGATGCGCGCGCCCATCTATTCTGTGAACGCTATTTACCGGTTTCGAACCTTGGCTCTGCTGTCGAGTCGACAGCGCTGGGCGCAAACATGCATATCAAGCAGATTATCATTCAGGGCTTCAAAAGGTGCGCCAAACAATCCCCCCCTTCTCGGCCATCGTCCTCCGCCAATACCTCGTTCAATTTTCACGCGCACGCGATACAACCTGTGTATTAGGGCTAATCAGCATTCGCAACAGCTACAAGGAGCAGACCGTCATCGAGCCCTTCTCCCCCGGCACCAATGTCATCGTAGGCCGGAACGGCTCCGGAAAGAGCAACTTCTTCGCTGCCATCCGCTTCGTCCTCAGCGATGCCTACACCAACATGAGCCGCGAGGAGCGGCAGGCGCTCCTTCACGAGGGTTCTGGGTCTGCCGTCATGTCGGCCTATGTCGAGATCATCTTCGACAATACTGACAAGCGCTTCAGCGAGCCAGGCGATGAGGTTGTTATACGAAGAACAATCGGTCTCAAGAAGGATGAGTACTCAGTCGACAAGAAGGTGCAGACCCGGACCGACGTTCTGAAGATTCTCGAGACCGCCGGTTTCGCCAAGGAGAACCCCTTCTACATTGTTCCCCAGGGACGCGTCTCTGCCATTACCAACATGAAGGAGGCCGAGAGACTCAATCTCTTGAAGGAAATCGCAGGGACAAACACCTATGACGACCGCAGAATACAGTCTCTCAAGATCATGGCCGAGACTAATAGCAAGCGGGAAAAGATCGACGAGCTCCTGGCCTACATCTCGGAGCGTCTGGACGAGCTCGAGGAGGAAAAAGACGAGCTCCGCGATTTCCAGGACAAGGACAGGGAGCGTAGATGTCTCGAGTACGCGCATTGGCATCGCCTGCAAGAGACAAACGCCGCGACCCTGGAGCAGATTGAGGAGGCTAGGCAGGGAGGCGCGGGCGCGTCGACTAAGGATCGCGCGCAACTGCAAAAGGCTGAAAAGGAGATTGGCGCCTTGGAGCAAATGTCGCACGAGCTACTGCAAACGCTAAATCTGCTGGCCATAGAACGCCGCCAGCTCGACGATGACCGGAAAGACACGGCCCGCGCGCAAGCGAAGGCTGAGCTGAAGGCGAAAAACCTCGACGAGACGCGCCACGCGCGGGAGCAGGAACAGCGACAGCAGGAGGCAGAGCTGAAGGAGGTGAGGCGAAAGATACAAGTTGCCGAGTCGGAGCTCGCCAAGATCAGCCCCGGCTACGAGAAGTGGAAGCGCGAGGAAGCCGAGGTGAAGGCGCAGCGAGACCTTGCCAGCGCCGGGCGTACCCGTCTCCTGACCAAGCAGACTCGGAGTACTCAGTTCAGAACCAAGGCCGAGCGTGACAAGTACCTCCAACAGGAGATCAACGAAATCACAGCATCTCTTAGCTCGCAAAAAGCCATTGAAATAGACGCAAAGGAGCAGGTTAAGGGTGTCGAGGCTTCTATCAGCGACCTAGAGAAGAACATCCAGGCCATCCGGGAGAAGATTGAAGGCTATGGCGGAAACCGGGTCGAGCTCGCCGAGAAGCTCACCAAGGCCGAAGAGGCCAGAGAGCAGCTAGTCGAGGAGCGGAAGAGACTTCAGCGCGAAGAGGACAAGCTCAATTCCCTGATAGCGAACACTAGAAAGGAGCGGGATCAAGTTGAGAAGGATCTGTCGCACTTGATGGACTCGGCGACGTCTAAAGGTCTTGCGACGATCAGACGAATGAAGCGAGAGAGGAATCTTCCCGGCGCCTATGGAACTCTAGCCGAGCTAATGGAGGTGCCGATCGAAGCCTACCGGTTGCCTGTCGAGCAGGTCGCGGGCAACAGCCTGTTCCACTATGTGGTCGACAATGAGAAGACAGGGACGATGCTCTCGGACCATCTCTACAAGTCTTTTGGCGGGCGGCTCACCTTTATGCCTCTAGAGCAGCTACGGGCAAGGCAGGTGAAGATGCCCAGGGCGTCGGATGCCACACCGCTCATCAGCAAAATTGAATATGACGCCAAGTTTGACAAGGCTTTCCAGCAAGTATTTGGGCGCACCATTGTCTGCCCCAATCTTGCAATTGCCTCCCAGTACGCTCGTACTCACGGCCTCGACGCTATCACGCCGGAAGGCGATACGGCTTATAAGAGGGGCGCCATGACTGGCGGCTACGTCGACTCGCGGAGGTCACGCCTTGGGGCAGTGCACAAAGTCAACGAACTACGAGATCTGTACGACCAGCAGCTCACAGATGTCGACAAGATCCGCAAGCAGATCGAGATAATAAACCAAAAAATCACGAGCGCGAACGGCGAAGAGCACAAGCTCGACCAGCAAATGCGCCAGTTTGAGCACGGCTTCGAGCCTCTCAAGGCCGAGCTGCGGAGTAAGAATGCGCAGCTGGAGCGTGAGCGGACCCATCTCGAAGACACTGTGCGGCGCCGCGCCGGGGTGGAGAATAACCTCAAGGAGCTGGACGACATATTGGCGGCCCATCAGACCGAACTGGCGTCGGAGTTTAAGAAGGCCCTGTCTGTCAGCGAGGAGCGCCAGCTCGAGGAGCTCACTGCCGAAGAGCATCGGCTACAGCAGCAGCTGAAAGACCTCAGCAAGAAGCGGATGGAGCTGGAAGGCCGCAAGCGGCTCCTAGAGACTGAGCTGCACGCCAACCTCCGGCCGCAAGAGGACCAGCTGCGGAGTCAGGCCTTTGAGAACTCTACTGCCGGTGGCAGTGGAAGCTACAAGGACGCCCTAAAGGAGCTCAAGAAGGCGCAGAACGCCGCAGCCGAGGTCGAAAGACAGCTGCTGGAGAATGAGGAGAAGATGGAAGAAGCAAGCGCCGAGCTGGCCAAGCTTGAGGCCCAGAAGGCCCAGAGAGAGCAGGAGCTGCAGGAGCTGCAAAAGCGTATAGACCAGTACCAGAAGAAGATGGAGAAGAACATCCAAACAAGGGCCCGCCTGATTAGCCAAGCAGCCGAGTATACCAAGAACATTAGGGATTTAGGTATCTTACCCGAACAAGCCTTTGGCAAATACGAGAAGATGAAATCTGAACAGGTAAGCCTTGGGCGCACAATAAGGCAAAGGCAGGCGTCGCGCTAACACAGCAGCAGATTGAATCGAAGCTCCGCAAGGTCAACGAGGCGCTCAAGAAGTACAAGCACATCAACAAGAAGGCCTTTGACCAGTACAACAGCTTTACGACACAGCGAGAACAGCTACTCAAGAGGCGGAAGGAGCTCGACACGTCGCAGTCGTCGATTGAGGAACTGATTGAGCATCTCGACCAAGCCAAGGACGAGGCAATAGAACGGACGTTCAAGCAGGTCTCCAAGGAGTTCTCGACCATCTTCGAGCAGCTTGTGCCAGCTGGCCACGGGCGGCTGGTGATCCAGCGTAAGGGCGACAGTGGTAAGAACCGCAATGCCGAAGAGTCGGACGAGGAGCCGGCCACCGGCGTGGAGAACTACACGGGCGTCGGAATCAGCGTGTCGTTCAACTCCAAGGTCATGGACGAACAGCAAAAGATCCAGCAGCTGAGTGGAGGTCAAAAGAGCAAGTACCCCTGTCGTGTCAGCCCCTTTCCAGCTGTTTCGAGACAAGCAGTTCAGGGGCACTACATGCCCAGTGCCCGGTTGTATACATACTAACGGGGACAACCAACAGGTTTATGCGCGCTCTGCCTCATTTTCGCGCTGCAGGCGGCCGAGTCGAGCCCGTTTGTCATCTTCGACGAGGTTGACGCCAACCTGGACGCACAGTACCGGACGGCCGTGGCCAGCCTGCTCGAGTCCATCTCGGAGACGCAGAAGACGCAGTTCATCTGCACCACGTTCCGGCCCGAAATCGTCCTCGTCGCCGACAAGTGCTACGGCGTCACCTTTCACAACAAGACCAGCACCATCGACTGTGTTCCCACCGAGGAGGCGCTGAACTTTGTCGAAGGCCAGAAAAAGTAAAAAATGGCGGGGTTGCCGGCGATTGTGTATGTACGTCATGATGCCCGCGAAAGCTCCGAAAGATGGGGATGGGGGAGTATCTAAAGATATGCAATGTGTACGTACGTCTGGCCGTTGGTTTATGGGGGGGTAGCTCTCTCCCTCTCTTGCGCCATTGCCGTTGATTGGTTGCGTCTTCGTGTATCCTAGCCTTTTTTTTTCTTTTTTTTTCGGTTGGTTGTCCTTTCGCTCTACTACTTTTTTTCTTTTTCCCCTTTAGTTGCTCGAAGAGCGAAAGGCACGGAGAATTTACCCCCCCTGGCGTTGTTGTTACTGTTCTTGGTTCTGTTTGTACTGTTTCGTGGCAACGCTATCATAATCGAACTCGTTCTGAAAATCTCGTATGTATCTCGAGGTGTAGTGAAGACGTGACGAGTGTCCTGACACTCGCTCACTCACTAACTCATTATTTAATGGGGTATGGCATTGGTGACAGGTTCTGTTGGTTGGTTTGGTTTAGCGCATTGCGCCCGGTCAGCACCAAAGAAAGGGAGCAAGCCTATTACCAAGAGATTTCCAGCGCGTGTTTTGTCTGCGCTGCTCCGATCCCTCTGGAAAACCAACAGCGCAGCAGAGGAACTCGCCCTTTCCAATACTTTCTTGTACTGCTCAACGGGCTGCAGTTTCCATCGACCTGCTCGTCCAGGGTAGGTAGCCGTCCGCTTGCCTGTCTACTTGTCTGGCTGTCTGGCTGTCTGACTGGTTGCTTGTCTGCTTGGTTTCTTGGAGACATACAGGACCGTGCGAACGCACTGTCCTGTTTTGCCTACCAGCTAGGTCTACTGCCTGACTTGTATGTTCTCCGTGGTTATTTCCTAGGGCAGGGGGGGATGGAATACTGGCGTCCACGGCTTTAGGCTGTTTGTCTCTGTCTGTCCATTGTGTCGACGAGTCCTGGTAGGCGCTTTGGCCGGTGTGTACGTCGTGGGCTTTGGAGGTGGTCCAGTCTAGGTAGGTAGGTATTGAGTACCGTGCTGGTTTGACTCCGGTTTGATTCTGTTTTGACCCTGGTTCATACCTGGCTCGTACCCGGTTTATGCCTGGTTTTAGTCTGGTTTAACTCCGGTTTATCTCTAGGTTGGTTCTGGTTTTTGTGGCTCTGAAGCTGTATTTCGCTTCGTCCCAGACCCGACGCGAGGCACTCGCTCTTATATCAAGGAGGTGAATGGAGAGGCTGGGGGCCGGATGAGTTGGCGAGACCACCTCATAACAAGGCTGGGTAATTCTGGGTGGCTAAGGGGTGGAGGTGAGAAGTACGGCATCTGTCTGGGTTATCCCTGTCGAATGGGTCTCGTTGTTTACACCCTCGTATGAGTTGAGGCAAATCTGGCTCGTCATTGGATACGGTGGGGGAGTTGCCAATGGCAAGTAAGACATGGGCATGTATATTGCACAGGCTGCACGGTACGGGACTGGAACCGGGTCTCCTGAAAATGAGGCGTCTGACCCACTCATTTCTGAAGCTTGTTCACGCCGGGACAGCACGGTTTCTCGTCGGAGCTATTACAGAAGAGAGTAATAACACAGGTATAAATCTAGCCACATTACCGTAGTAGCCGGTTCTATATGGTTATGTATGTTGATCTTTACTACTAAGACTCTAGCTTTTATTTACAAGTAAGAGGGTTGGTATAAGCCCTATTTTGGAATTTTCGTATAATTGTCTGCGCACATTATAAGTGTTATTCTTCAGAACCAAAGTAATATCAAAAGTAGCAGAGCACGTATGATTTAGAGTGTTCATCGTTAGACGACTATTCCCAGTTGAAGTTGTCGATCAACTTGTAATCCAGATGTTTGTCTTCGACTAAATCCGTGTGAGCGTAGTATTTAAAAAAAAACACATTATCCTTGCTGTTGTTTTATATATTCCTAGATTTATTTGACTCAATTCTAGGGTGCCTAGTTTGACAATTTACCACTGCTCCTGTGTTCTCTTAAATAAGAGATCTGGTAATGTAAGGAAAAGGACACCCACCTCACCAAGCACCTGTCAACGCGCACTCCCTTGCACGCGTTGACCATCTGGCACCAACGGGCCAGACCACTGCCGGCTGGTATGAGCCACTAAGCCAATACCGGGCGCCTTGTGCCACAAGCACATTCGGGACCGAGCCCCTGAGCATGTATATAAACAATGGCCCTCGACCTCTCCTTTGCGAGGGCCAGGTTGAAGTCTTACGCCAATACCAGTCATTGCTCTCCCTTCTATTTGCCTTTATTGTGACCACCTTGATCAGGCGTACCTGCCCTCTCTTACAGTTAAATAAATTCTCAAGGTACTCGCTGGGCATTTTAAGGCCTTCAAATTCATTGAGACTGCTATAAGAGTAGGCCACATAGAAGCCAATTAGTCAGAGGGTGTTTATATCTTATCCTCTTAATAAAGATTAAAAACACCTTCACTTAGCGAGGGCTGCTTGCTAGCTAAATGACCCGACCTGACAAATAAATAATTCAAGCTATAGCTTCCTGTCAAGTCCAAGAAAGCAGTGCAAAACTCTACCGCCACCATGTAGACTATTATCCCTTTATTGGTAGTTACGAGCCAGTCTGCCCTCTCTCCTAAGCTAAGAAAGCATTGCAAAAGTCTAACGCTACCATGTAGGATATTAAGTCTTGATTGGTAGTTACGAGTCAGGCCTTTGCTTGCCATCTCCTTGTGGGCTAAAATAGCAGTGCAAATGGAAAATGGAAGACGAAGTGCCGCCGTCCAGCCTGATTGGTAGTTAAAATCCAGGCTTGCCCTCTGTGTTATATCTAAGAAAGCAGTGCACAAGTCTAACGCCACTAAACCCGGATGTTTATTCTAATTGGTTGCTGTTAACCAAGCCTGCCCTCTTCTTCTGAGCTAAAAAATTCAGTGCAGGGGATAGGGTGGTTGTTAGCCAGGCCTACCCTCTCTGCTATGGCTAAGAAAGCAGTGCAAAAGTCTGACGCCACCAAGCCCGGATGTGCCCTAATTTATAATTAATCGACAGGCCTACCCTCTCCCTCTAGGCTAAAAAAGCAGTGCTATCCTGAAGCAGATGTCAGCCAAGCTTACCCTCCATGTTATAGCTAAGAAAGCAGTATAAAACTCAGACACCACCAGACCGAGCTGTTCGGCCTGATTGGTAGTTAAATCCCGGCTTGCCCTCTCCTTGGGCCCGAGATAAAGTGTCCCGTGTTGATATACTAAGCTAGAAAGAGAGAAGACAGGGAGCCAAGTATAATTTCTAGGCCTTTTTGTTATCTGCCCGAGTATGCCATCAGTCAAAGTCTAGGTAGAAATAGAGCGTGTGTTCTGAAGGCGGTTAGAAACCGGGGAGTGGTGCCAGGCTCCCAGACTTGCTCTGCGGGCGGGCCTCCTGGGCTTGTTCTCAGCCCTTGGAGTCGTCTCGGTCTAGGTCTGCGGAGAAGTTGGTCCTGAACATGGCAGCGGCAGCCGAACAGGCAGACCGGCAATTCAAGACGAAAGGTCCCTGGGCCAATCAACTCTGTTGCGGGGGAGGCCGGCAGCTCTCTCCCCAACCTCGTCCGCACGGCACAACTGAGGGGATCATGCACGACGTCTATTAGGGACTCGAGGCCAACTGTAATAATGCTCTATGCGTCTCCCGAAACCCGGCGTGGCCAGCAAGAGCAGAGCAATGGACTGCAGGTTCCCTGATAATCGGGGAATAATATATACCTGAGACGAACCGGCTGGTTTTCTCTCTCCCTGTCCCCAGCAAGAACCGGCGTCGGTGATTATAAAACAACAGCGCACTTACTAACCAGTTCCCATGCTCGGCAAGATCGCCCTCGAAGAGGCTTGGGCCATCCCAGAGAACTTCAAAGCCTACGATGTCTCGTCACTGGCGCCAAAGGGCGTCATCGGCGGGGACCTGATCGCCAACCTGCTGGACGTGCACGGGACGCGGCTGGAGCAGATGGACGAGAACGGGGTGGAGACGATGGTGCTCTCGCTCTCGTCGCCGGGGCCGCAGGGCGTGACGGATGCGAGAGAGGCGGAGGCGCTGGCCAGCCTAGCCAACGAGCGGCTCGAGTCCGAAGTAGGGCGCAACCCGACCCGGTTCGCGGCCCTAGCGTCGCTGAGCCTCCACGACCCGGCACAGGCGGGGCGCGAGCTCAGGCGATGCATCACCGAGAGGAAGGGGTTCGTGGGCGCCATAGTTAACGACTTCCAGAGCGCGGGGCCCGACAAGAACACGATGATCTTTCTCGACCGGCCCGAGTGCGACGCCTTCTGGCGCGTGGCCGAGGAGCTTGACGTGCCCGTCTACGTCCACCCGCGCGAGGCCACGCCGCTCATCTACGAGCAGATGTGGAAGGACCGTCCGTGGCTGGCCTTCTCGGCGCTGGGCTACGCGCACCGCGTCGGCATGCACGTGCTGGGCATCGTGACGGCGGGCGTGCTCGACCGGTTTCCGGGGCTCAAGATTGTCATTGGGCACATGGGGGAGCACATGTAAGTGATGTCAACAAACCCTTTCTGCCTCTCAGTGCAGGACAAGTGAAGATTTAATTATAAATTTATTTTATAAAATTTTAAGTGTCTATACTTATTAGCAATTGCCGCCTCGAATAGTCCGTACGATCTGTACCGCATCGACCACAAGCTCAACCGGGCGCGGTTCCCGCAGATGCCCATGTCCAAGGACAAACTGGTGCGCGACTACTTTGGCACGCAGCTGTTCATCACGACGTCGGGCCACTTCTCGACGCCGGCCCTGCTCTGCGCGCTGCAAGAGATTGGGGCGGGGGCCGTCATGTTCTCCATCGACTACCCGTTTGAGAGCATCCCCAACGGCTGCGTGTGGTTCGACGACCACGTCCCCATCAATGGCCGCGACCTCGTTGACATTGGCCGCAACAACGCGCTCCGCATATTCAAGCGCCTGCAGCTCAGCCCACACGGGCTCGGCGAGAAGGAGCCCCGCGAGTGCGGCGTGGGAGGCCTTGGCCTTGTGCGCGCGCGCGAGAGAGAGAGAGGCGGCGAGCGGCCCAGAAGACCAGAGGCAACGCCAACGGCGGAGGTGGAGTATGGCCTATACAACAAGGACTGGAGCAAGAGGCTGGAGAGACGCCCAGAATCTCCGACGGCGCACACGGACAATTCTGTGCAACATGGCGCACGACGAGCCTCGAATGTTCCCGTGCCCCGTGTCGTCCAGAGTATTGGCGTGGGAGTTACAATTTGATGCTGTGTATCCGTATGTACATACTAGGTAAGGTAATCGTTAGTGGTTGCACCATTTGACACAATACGCGGGCCGTTGTTCGTTGGCTTGGCTTCACAATGACTTGGCAGAATGGAAACGAGCTTCCAGAAGAGCTCACACTGGAACTGTTCGCAAGCTTTATTCCTATTTCGGCAGGCGGGGACGGCAGACCAACAGCAACAGCGACAGCTGTTGGCGCGGGACATAGCCCGCCTCGCCTCAGGCTTCTATGGTTTCAAACCCCCAAATACGTCCCCGCCGCATCCATAGGTTGCCCCGCGTTTGTTGGACCACACCTCAGCCAGGAACCCCCCCCTCCAATACAATACAAATAGGTAGCCAAGCTGGAGGCGGCAGAGCTTCCTTCTCTACTATTACAAACGGAAACAGACACGGGATTTACGGCAAGATATAGAAGCTCAGAGACTATTTTCGTGCAACCAGGCAAGCCACCATGCCTATCGACTACAGCAAGTGGGTAAGAAAGACAGACTCTGGACTTACCCCTCTCTTCTCTCGCGACGACCAGGTACTGACCTTGTTCTCCCTGCCATACTAGGATGCGCTCGAGCTCAGCGACGACTCGGACATTGAGGTGCATCCCAACGTTGACAAGCGCTCCTTCATCCGGGCCAAGCAGAACCAGATCCATGCCGAGCGCGAGCAGCGCAAAAACCAGATTGAGACGCTCAAGTACGAGCGCATCATCAACGATGCCCTGATCAAGCGCATCTCGTCTTTGCTCGCCTCGCTGCGCTCCCATGCCGCCGAGGCCGAGTCGCGGAACCCTGGCGAGGTCGCCTTCAGAGCCGTCATGGAGACGGCCGCCTCGCTCGATCCCAAGGATGACCAGCCGCCCCCGCGCCCCGCTGGTGTCCACAATGCCGAGGAGTCGCTGCCCACCTACACAAAGATGATAACCACCCTCCTCGACCAGGTGGACAAGGCCCTCGACGAGAAGAAGGTCGACCAGGACAAGAGATACGGCGCCATGGTGGCCGAGGTTGCCGACCACCTCGAGAAGGTGACGACGCTGCAGGCCGACCTGCACAAGAAGCTAGCAGAGCTGGAGAAGCTCGAGAAGAGCAAGATCACCAGCGAGAGCATCCACACTGGCTTCGACAGCTCCCACATCAATAAGTCCACTTCGGCCGGAGACAAGGGCTACTCCAAGCCCGAGCTTCTCAACCCCAACTTCGCCGGCACCCCCTCGGTGCCCGCCCCCCCGTCCGCCCCCGGCGCTGCCGACGACGGCGACGACGACGACGACGACGACGACATGGAGGCCTCTCCCACAGATAAGCAGTTCGCCCAGATCAAGGCTTCCGAGCAGCGCCAGAGCCTCTCGTTCCTGTCGGCGCACCCCGAGATTCTCACCGAGAAGGACACGGACGCCATCCTCATGCTGGCCTTCAACTCCCAGCTCGAGGGGCGCGACGACTATGCGCGCAACTGCGTGCACCAAGCGCTGCTGCTCCAGTACTGCCGGGCGCTCGGCCGCGACGGAGTAGCGCTGTTCTTCAAGCGCATCATGACGCCGAACCACCAGGCCCAGGGCATCTTCTTCAAGGACGTGCAGGAGACGTACCTCCGCATCAAGACCCGCACCCGCGAGATCAGTCTGCAGCGGGCCAAGGACGAGGCCGCTGGCACCGCCGCCGTGGAGCAGATCCAGCTGCACGCCGTCGAGCCCGGCACCGTCATCAACATCAAGATCCCCGCCAAGGACAGCGAGGACCCCGCCGAGAAGGCCGGCCGCGAAATCTTCGAGTCCTTCACGCCCGAGATGCAGGCCGCGCTGGAGACGGGGACTCTCGACGAGGTCAACAAGGCTATCGGCAAGCTGGCGGTTGGCGAGGCTGAAGAGCTGGTGGCGAAGCTGGGAGAGGTAAGCACGCCTTTTTGTCCTCTATCTAATCTCTGGAGCTCTATTTTTGCGTTGAACGCTATGCTAACTACCACATCTAGGCCGGCATTCTCAGCATCGAGGAAGAGATCATCGACGCCACGACAGAGGACGGACAGAAGAAGCTCAAGACCCTCGAGGAGGAGGCCCATAGGACGGAGGCCCAGGGGACGCAGGCCCAGGAGACGGAGGACCCGAAGTGAGTCGGGGACATGTGCGGGATAGGATAGAAAAGGAAATTGGTGAGTACGCGTCTGTAAATTCATACTGAGGCGGTAAAAAATAAATATACTAGTAGTCAATCTCTTGTTTCTGCGTCCTGCATTTGACTGGTGGGGTGCGTGGCATTCTGCCTACCTAGGCTTGCTTGGATCATCCTGTCTTTCTAAAGGCGTTCTTTGTCGTGTCTTTTAATTTCCATTCTGAGAATTGGAGGACATGAGACAACCAGCTTGACTAATTCCTGCCCAGCAGTACGCACTCACATGCTATGGCGCAAGCCATGCCCTCATGGTCTATACAGCATCCAGCCCCCCAAAGCAAAGAGCCTTACTTTCATCTAAACCAGTTTAAAAGGGGTGGAAAATCATGGCACGCTACAGTACCGGTTGAAACCCTGCCTGGGGAGTTGCCACGGCGACGATAGCTCCTCCACACCACGCACCCGCCTGAGGGAGATCATTGTGGAGGCAAGCGCAGGCGATCAGGGAGAGCGTAGGTATGTAAGGTATCCCCTCGGCAACAAGAAACTGAAAAGACACAGACATTAGCCAGCTGAGGTAAAGTAAGTAGATAGAGGTGCTAGTACTACACCTAAAAGCATCACCGTTTCCCTCCATGCTTACGTTCATCACTCATCAGCGGTTGCCTGTGACTAGGTAGTAGCAGGTAGATTGCTCGCGGAATATTTTTACCCACATGAGGGGACTTGAAGCACGTAACTTGCCCCCCTTTTCCCGTTCGACCCCTGGAAACCATGGGTCGTTCGCGGCAGAAAAAAAACAAGTATATAAAGTTCACGGCCATCTGCGCCTATTTTAGACGGTAGCGCGGCCAGGCGCGTATCCTATGTAAGTGCTTAAATCATCAAACACATGCACTATCCTGCTCCATCCCATTCCATTACGTCCGATGGCTTGCCCCTTGGGTAGCGTCTCTCGACTTGGGTACTTACGTGGCCGAGCTATCTAAACTAGCATTCCGAGTCGGTTCTGGGGCTATCGCAGAGTGCTTCTTCCTTTCTGCGTGTGTGTGTACACCTAGGATCTGGGAGATGATAGTGCGGGTTCAATCGGAGCTTGACAAGGTGAGTTGGCTTTTTGTCGCCGTTGCTCTTCCTGCCGTTGTTCGTCTTGTCATGTTTTGCCACAAGTTTGCATGTAGAAGCTGCCCCCAAAATAGAATCTGCGAGATCTTAACTTTGATCACTAAAAGAAAAAATCCGGAGAGAAACGCGCACATGGAGAAAGAGTATCAAAAAGATTGAGGTGGCAAACTTATTATGTGCAGGGTGAGAAACAGGGGTTTGTTCCTTTACTATGTCATTGGGCCAATGAGCTTCAACGGTTCACCTTCAACAACCAACGAATAGTAAAGAGTTCGAGTTTCCGAATGTACATCGTTCCTTAACCCACGAATTGCGATTATCGTCTAATACCACATTGCTATTATTGAAACAAAAGAAGAGGAAAAGAAAAGAAAGCACTGGCCCGCAACCGATTGGGCCGGGGAAGAAGCCGTTGGCAGCCCAAACAAGAGGAGTTGGGCTATGAGGGGGCGTCCCGCAACAGGAGTAATGCAATGCATGCATGCGTACGCGCGTTCTTTGTATGGCGCAGTTGTTGGTCCGCACAGCCTCGCGATCAACTTAGCTCGGAGCCCTAAAAAAGACTTCGAAACCTTTTGCCGAAAATGGGGGACACGAATCACGGCGGATCCCTCCAGGGTCCGGGGCATAGCTAGAATAAACTCGTGGCGGGGAATGCAGGAGGAGGAGCCGCAATCCTAGCCTCACCCCATATGCAGGGCAGGGCACGCATATAATAATATGGACAAGTCCCGAGGGTTGCCAGTTTTTCAATCCCGTCTTGTCTTCCGGAACATCAGATACTCATCGACTGACAAGCTCCAGCCAGCCGACGCCATGGCTCCATCACTGTTGTCTGCTCTAACGGCGCTGCTAGCCACGGCATCGGTGGCGTGCTCACTGCCCCAAAACAACCCCTTGAGCAACATCGCGAGCTCGTCGACAAGCACGACCACAGGGGCAGCTTCGAGCACGTCGGGAGCACCGGCCGCGACTACCACGGCGGCGTGCAACAACTCCCCGGAGCTATGCTCGCGGGCGTACAACAACGTGACGCACATGGGCGCCCACGACAGCTCGTTCCTGCGAGACGCTAGCACCGGTAATAGTATCGCCGGGAACCAGTACTTCAACGCCACGGTGGCGCTGTCGGCGGGAATCCGGCTGCTGCAGGCGCAGGTGCACGACTCGGGCGGCGCGCTCGAGCTCTGCCACACGTCATGCGGCATCCTCGACGCCGGCACGCTCGAGGCGTGGCTGGCCAAGATCAAGTTCTGGATGGACGGGCACCCCAACGAGGTCGTGACGCTGCTGCTGGTCAACTCGGACAACAAGAACGCGTCCGACTTTGGCGCCGCTTTCGAGGCCTCGGGCATCTCCAAGTACGGCTACGCGCCACCGACATCAAACGCCGCCACGGCGGACTGGCCGACGCTGCAAGAACTCATTAACGCCAACACGCGGCTGGTGACGTTCGTGGCCTCAGTAACGCTGTCGCCGAGCTACCCGTACCTGCTAGACGAGTTCACGTACGTCTTCGAGACGCCGTACGACGTGCGGAGCCTGGACGACTTCACGTGCAGTCTGGACCGACCATCATCGCAGAGTTCGGCGGCGAGCGCCATCGCGGCCCAGATGATGCCGCTAATGAACCACTTCGCCTACACGAGCATCTCGGCCGACATCGAGATCCCCAACGCCGGGGCCATCGACACCACCAACAACCCGTCGGTCACGGCCGTCGGCGCCCTCGGCACCCACGCAGAGAACTGCACGTCACAGTGGGCCAGCAAGAAGCCCGTGTTTGTCCTCGTCGACTTCTTCGACCGCGGCCCGGCCATTGACACTGCTGACAAGCTGAACGGCATCAAGGCCACGGGCCGCGAGACCCCGACGTCCTCGTCCACGTCGGGCTCCATCAGTGGGAGGCTCCAGGACAGGCTCACCGGCACGCGCGCGGTGGCGCTGCTTGCCTTCTTGGCTGCCGCCTTGGTGATTGTATAGGAGGTTGCTGCCACGTTCGTTCGTCTGTTGTCTGTCGTCTGTCTATCTGTATGCATTCTTAATCATGGCCGCGGTGTTTAGGCGCGAGGGGAAAGGTTTCCTCTTTTTGCATTGTTCCGAGCCCGCTTGGGCAGACATGGTTCCGTGGGTTGGTTAGGCTGAGGAAGACAAAACTAGATGGTGTCAAAGTGGCTTTGATGCTTTATATACCTAGCTAGATACCCGCTTTATTAGTGTATGAACATCTGGAACTAGGTTCAGCATGCTGGTTTTTGTGATTTGAGAATATGAGGGCCATGTTTGATGTTGGGACTTTAACCTAAGACACATCTTAGGTCAACATCAGATGAAAATCGCCAGTCTGTCAGCAACTCAAAGGGGCGAGGCAAACACTCTATCTGGAGGGGGGGGGGGGGGGCACTCTCCACAAATTGAATCCCGTTCGTCCCAGAACTCAAATCTCGAAATAGTTCAAAGTGGGGAGAATTCCGGACAGACGACAACCTTCGAACATATTCGTATATGGTATGTATTTGGCAGGTTCGTCCTCGCGCAGCAATTCGACCTAGACTTAGAGAGGTCAGCCGCAACAATCTTCTTCCATGTCGAGATGGTCCAGACGACGAGCCCTGAAATTGGGCGATACAAACCTGCCCTGTCACACAGACTCGACCAATTACTCGCCCTGGGTACCTTGGTCACCTCGTTTAATCAGTCTAGCAATGGACCCCCGGGTGGCCGTCGAGGTGATAGCGACATACCTTACCTAGCAATCCCATTCTCGGACTGAAACTTCGATCCATCTACCTTAACTCTCTGCCTCCATTGTTGTGCCCACGCCTTGCTGTACACCGTACTGTACCGTACCGCACTGCACCGTACCGTGCGTACCTTGGCCTGCACAATACAACTTGAAATAGCTACAGTGCTTCCTACAATAGAAGCAGAGACTCAACCAATGTCCAGAATTCCATTGCCTCGATCCGCATGAGCACCTCAACGAACAGGAAGGCACACATTGCCTCCGACGCTATGACCATAGCCGCCGAGTGCACCTCGCCTTCCTAAGTCCTTAGTCTCTAGCATAAAAGGAAGGTAGAGGGGGGGATGCGAAATATTGCAACCCGAACCTGCCCCTCAAGCAGCCAGCCAACCTGGAAGGCGCCGTCCACGCACCTTTCCATCCACTCACCTGCTCCTACTCCCTCTCACGCACAAGACGGACGGCATTCGTCAACCGAAAATAAACCCACCACCTCAGTGCTGATTGTTTCCTTCCTCCAGGTCGTGTGCACGCGGTCCACCTCACCTCCCCTCCCCCTCTACCCCTCAGGTTGTGCTTCCCCTCCAGGCGGAGGACCTCCTACCTCCTTCCAACTTCAGAGGGCCGGCTGCGCACATGTCAGCTCGGGACGCGTCCATGGTTGTGTCGCGAAGCTGTCGCCGCAGTACTGGAGCAAAACAATAGCGCGAACCTCACACCGCCACCGCCCGCCCCCGACGAGCCGCTCTTCCGGACTCTCACCATGAGTATGGCATCGCCCCTCCCGACCTTCTATGCGCAGCAAATGCTGGGCCTCCACGGCCGCTACGGGCTGACGGATAACGCCAAGACGCTTCTCCGGGCCTACGACGACTGGAAGATTGGGAGGATCGACCAGGACGAGCTCGGCCGCATCGTGCGCATGTCGACAAACATGCGCGCCGCAATCACAGACACCATCACGAAGTGCGCTGCCGCGATGCGCTCGCGGCCTGCCGAGATCAGGAACTGCGTCGACATCATCCAGGCTTGCACCGACATCTTGGGTCTAGCGGGTAAGTTTCGACTAAGGCTCACCGCCCAGGTTGCCTACTATCCACGAACCCAGCCCGTCCTTGTCCAGAATCTAACGTGCTATGTTCATGTCCAGACAGGCCCCCCTCGGTGGAGGGATTCCCGTTCCTCAAGCTGCCGGCCGAGGTGCGGCGGAATGTATACGAGCACCTTACTCCTAAGTCGACGTCAGGCATCGTAGCAACGCCGAAAAAATCAAGATGCAGCTGCGCGGCGTACACGCCCCCGGCGTTCTGGCCGGTCCGCCCGCTCGACATGGCACTGGCCCAAGCAAGTAGCAAGTTAAGGGACGAGTTCTTCGGCTTCATATACGCCAGGTATTCATTCCACTTCACGTGCACTTGCGACTTGCTCTACCGCTTGAAGGCCAACAAGTTCCTGCGCGTGACGTTGAATTCGGTGAGGGTCCACTGGACCGGACCTGAGTCTGACAAGGCCTTTTTGGTCCTTGCCAAGTGCCCAACGCTGAAGGAGTTGGACGTCATCATTTCCAAGTCCACAACCAGCAAGCTTAGCAAGCGTGAAACAGAATTGCGCTCGTGGTTCACAGCCCAGAAGCCGGCGCGCATCACAGATGCCCTTGGAATGGACGAGTTGCTCCTGATCAGGGGCCTGGAAGCAGTGACGGTCACGCACCTGGTAATTCTTTTCGAGTCCAGAGCTTTGCGGGGATGAAGACTGACAACTCGAGCAGCTTGCAAGACAGGGCGCCCGTCGGAGCGATGAGGATCGAGCGAGCATGTTGGCATTGCTCAATGCCAAACTCAAACTCCCACGCGAAGAGGGTAGTTCGGAGAGCGACAGTGACAAAGATGACTAAATGGATATGTGAAGGGTGGAAGCCTTCCGCTGCCAGGTAGTTATCTACCTCTACACGGAAATCTAGCATCTATATCTGGCAAGATGACCGAGGGAGATAGGGGCTTGGCTGTGGTGTGTGATATAGCAGACGGCAGGCAGCCATGTACAGAATACAATGTTTGAGAGACCGGGATGGGGACCAGGCAGGGCAGACTATGCCCTTTATGGGATGCATGGGGGGATTTTTTCTCCTTAATTTTTTGCGTGGATGCATGCATGGGAGGTCAGGACATGGCCCACAATGACGGGCGTTCAGGAGATCAAAACAAACAACTTCGCTGGTTCTGCGTCCCCACCCTAAGGGGGGATTTGGGACACACAAAGGGCAATATAGCAACAGATAAATTACGAGATCCCACGTAGTTAAAGCTGAGAAGGTCCCGTACTCAAAAAACATTGCTTGGGGGTTCGATCTTGTCTTGTACGCAGCTGAGGCGCATCCTGGTTCGAGGGCAACCGCGTTGGCATGGTGGTTGACCGAGTCAGGCGTAAGACGTGTGCACGTAACTGCACATATTGTGCGTACTGAGCAAACGGAATAAAACGAAGCAGTGCGAAGTATGGGGAGCCACTGGTACGAGAGGAAAGAGACTTGATAGGGAATATAGCAGGCGTTTCACTCTTCTTTAATCATCGATAAAGGGTTTGCGGTATAGAGTAGAGTAACTCGTGGTGTAGGACGAACAGCCTTCGGTTTGCTCCTTGACTGGCTGACTGGCTTACCTGTCCTCGCAGAAGAACAAAGTAAATATTTCAAGAGGGTGAGGCCTCTGCGAGGCTGGATTTGCAGTTTGTGGTTGTAGGTGTGTGTGTGTATGTGTGCAGAAAAGAAGAGAAAAAATACAGAGCTCTCTTTTTTTTTCTTTCTGGACATTTGCTGAGAAATTTTGTTAAGGGCCGAGGATATTGCGAGAATTGAGGGGCTGATGTTAAATGTTTTCGAGGCGCCCCACCAATAGCGCGTGGGCACGTTGCCATTCTCACGATGCACATGTTGCCTCCGGAGAACTGGCCTGACTCGTCACGGGTATCGTCGTGCTTCTTCGAATGTCGTACAGAACAACATCGGGCGCCACCTGACCTTTGTCTCTCTCTCATATCTTGTCTCCTGAACAGGGCTTGCAGGACTTTTCGTCCTTGTTTCTCTTGCATTCTGCCTGTATTCCAGGGAGAAAACATGTGCCGCGGTTTGGGCTGCCGCTTTTAGATACCCTGAATTTCTGCAACATCCAATAATCACAGGGATTAATTAGCACAGGGATTACAGAACATAGAGCTAAAAGTCTTTACACACTTGCTCGTACCTCACCTACGTAAGGACAGTGTTTAAAACCGGCTGACTGCTAAAGCTTTTAGGTGCCCCTTGCTGTATTTTGGCGATCTTGTCGTCAAGTTCTACTGGTATGTTCTTTATCACCTGTTTATTTTAGCGAGCTAAGTGGACAGTATTAATGGCACTGTCTTTATGTAAGCCAGGCTGTGTAAAGACCTTTGGCCCCATGCTCCGTAACACAGAGGTTATTACTATATTATCCTGCTATAATGATCTATTTCAGTCGCAGCACCTCTGCATCATCCCCGCCTAGTCTTCCGAGGCCAAACCCTGCTGCGGTATGACTTGGCGTAAAGCTGTCCTGAGCTCCACCTCGAGAGCTGGTTCCAGGTGTACCTTGGTGTTAGGGGCGGTTTCCTCCGATGACTTCTGTGGTGGTATGATATCAGGGGCAGTCTCCTCTGACGACTCCTGTCTTCTGTTTCTTCCCCTTTCTCTCCAGTTACTCACCACACCCCACAAGTCCATGTCGTCCATGTCAGTATCGCTATCCCTAGATGACTCTGTAAAGCTGTCTTCGTTTTCTTTTGGACTGCCTTGTTCGGACCTCTTCTTCCTCGGATGTAGCGGGGTTGCCGTTTTTGATCCTCCACCGTCGTATGCATTCTCAAGCTCTTCCCCGGAAGAGTTTCTCCATTCTCAAGCTCAGCTTATCACAGAGAAATGGGCAAGTGCAGCCAGGTCCTGTCTCTGCGCAAAGGTGATACGCTAGTCGTGAATTGTCAATCATGGCTATTCCGTAGACGGCGATCATATAAATTCTAGGCAGCGAGCACGACAACGAACGAACACGCACGCCCCAGGGAAGAGGAAAGCGCACCATCATCATCCATCGTCGGGCTGCCTACCGATGATTGCCCGCTAGGATTCAGAAGCCTACTACTGTGCAGTGCAGATTCCGCACCTCTGCACTGATAATAATCAAGTACCGCATCTACCAATCGCGTGCCGTCGACGCATTGGGCGTTCAGGCTACGTCAGTCCAGAGACGAGGCTCGTTTCGTCTCGAATGCGACCAGGAGTTACCCCAGGTTTTGGGGGTTTGCGCACGCACGCACCTGATCGGTGCATGGCTCCATATATCTCCAGACTCGAGTGTGTCGTCGTCCTCGTCTTCGTCGTCTGTGCGCCGGCTTGTCATGGCGTTCTACTAAGGTGCCGATGTGCAGAAGGACAAGTCGGCATTTCAAGTGCTTAAACCTGGCATATTGTCTGTCGTGTTGAAATCGTAGAATCTGAGGATCTCACCAGAAATCGAAAGGGGAGTCTGTTCGGACTATTCAAAACGTCTGCTCAAACTGCGGGTTATACAAAGGTACCTTTGGTAGTCGCGTTGTGGTCTGATCGAAGAAATGCAATGGCCTTCCTAGCTCTTGTATCAGGCAATTGACAAGTAGTGTGGTTCTCAAAAAGCAGCAACACTCGGACATGGAACATGTCGCACGATAGACAGCTCGTCAACCTGGGACTCCAACTCCACAATGGCAACCAGCTGAGGCTAGCCGTGGCGAGCCCGACGAACCGGTCCATCAAGCACTGCACTAGACGGAGGGAATAGACGGCAGCATGGCACGGGACAGCATCCAGGGTGAGACGACTCTAGAAACTGCAGACTGCATATAGCCGGCGCCCTTAGCTCTCGCCCTCGCCCTCGCCCCTCCAGATGATGCTGGCCACCGATCTTCGAAACTCTATCGTTCGTTCCACGGGTAGTAAGGCCTGAGATGTGCGCACTGCGTGGCTCGATCCTCTACATGTTTGCTCATCTGCCCCCCCCCCCTCTTTCTGGCCTGAGCCCCGGTTCTTGGCGCGCTTCAAGGCTGTGAGGCCGGAGATCAAACTGCCCAGTTACACGAGGTGGCGGGCGAGAAGTCGACGACGTGATGGGCTTGCTACTATCTGCTGCTGGTTTATGATCGCCGTATAAGACCATGCGAGCGCTGCGCATTGTGATCGCTGGATCTCCTGTGATCGCGAGAATCACCTCCTCGGCACGCCCTGCCCCTCGTCTCTCGTTGCCCTGTCTGTCGTTGCTGCTTTCCGGTAAAAGAACGCCCAGGCGGCTGTAATATCTTTCTCTTTTCGTTCGGCGTCCTTAGATGGGAGGGCTGAATTTTATCTTTTTCTATCTTTTTCTTCAACTATCTAGTTTCACTCGCCCAGAGTATCTGCCAATATGCATTTTACACAAGTGCTGATAGCCCTAGCGGCCCTTACTTCTCTTGCCACAGCGGGTAAGCCGTGTTCTTAGGATTCATCTCTGGGAAACGCGGACTAACAAGACTGAGACTCTAGCGCCGGCGTCTGCTGAACAAGGATCATCGCCAGCCAGGAGGCCGTCAAGGCAACCGGCAAGAGTGCAGGCGCGAGCACCCCTGATTCTGACCCAGGCAAACATCACCGTCGTCGTACAGAACCAGAACCAGAACCAGGCGGCTATCAACCAGCTGGCGCGCATCGCTGAGCTCGAGCTCGCCGCCCTGGTCCAGTCGCAGATAGCTCTGGCAACACAGCTCGAGACCATCAAGAACAACATCCGCCTCAACAGCATCAAGTCTCAGTTCAACCAAGTGGTAGGAAACATATTCCGGTCCCTCCATATGGCTACCCGCAAGGCTGACACAGGCACAAACAACAGAACAGCGTCATCGTGACAGTCACAAACGTGGTCGACGCCAGAGACCCCGCCCAGGTCAACAGGCGCTATATACTGAACCGGCTGCGCGTAGACAACGGCTTCGCCGGCAAAGAGATCGTCATCATGGTAACGCAGAAGCAGGAGATGACTATCTCGACGACAGCCACTACAGCCGCCGCAAACATAGCTACAACCGCGCCCGTAGTGGCACGAGACAACAACAACCTAGCTGCCCTCCTTGCTGGCGCTGGAGTCAGAGCAGGTGGCGCACCCAACCTCGTGGCAAGCTTCAACCCTAACACGGCGCTCTTCGCACTGCTCAACCAGTCGCTACTGCTACCGTACGGCACGCCGGCGCCCGCGCTCAACAGCAACGCCGCGCTTGCCGTCGACGACCCGGCCAACATCATCTTTGCCGGGCAGAGCGACCTGTTCGTCGAGAGTGCCGCCACCTTCCAGAGCGACTGCCTCCGCGCCGGCGTCAATGTTGTTTCCTCAGGAGGAGGCCTGGCTGCCGCCCTCGCCCGCCTCCAGCTCTTCTCCTCCCCCAGGCCGCCCTCGCCGCCCAGCTCGCCACCCTCGTCCTCGGCTCCGCCGTCCCCGCCATCCCCCCTGCCGTGCTCGCCGCTAACCCCGCCCTCGCGGCCGCCCTGCTGGCCGCCGGTGGTGCTTTGCAGAATGCCACGGCTACGGCTTCCGCGGTGGTCACTGAGACGGTCAAGGCAAAGACGGAGGCAGAGGCGAAGCCCAAGGCGGAGAAAGCCTGATCTATTTGCATGTTATGTTTTGTTTTGTTATAAGATGACGAGACCACATTACGCGCAAAGGTTTCTCGGATTTTTCTATTCTACTTTCTGGTTTTGTTCTTGGGGTTTCCGTATTCGATAAAAGGTGCTGTATATAAATCTAGTCTGTAGTGTCCCTGAATATCTGGTGTTCTAGGCGGCGTCTAGCATTTAGGGGGAAAGGGGCAACGCGGGGGGAGATTCTTGGAAGATAGGGGTTTGTTGGGTTTGTTTGGTTTGCGGTTGTGGCTTGAGTGGGTATATATTGCATTTCGTTTGTCTCCGAAGTCTGTGTTTTAAGAATTACGATGGGGTCCTTCTCTTGACTATAACTTGGCGAAAGGAATCTAGGTAGCAAATGGCGACTGCTATTAGAGACAACCCAAGTAGCCCTCGAGCATCTCTACCGTTAGTGGCGGCTTTGACTCGTTTTGGTTAGGAGCACAGTCACCTTATCCATGAGGCGGATAATCAACCCCCCTTCAGTGATCCGCTGCATTAGCCTAATATCTTGACTTAAAACACCCCACTTCTTCGTACGGACCGTCTCAATCCTCACTTCATCTGCCTCCCGTAAAATACTCGTAGGTAAAAGCCAAGATAGCAACTTGCAACTTCTCGTACTTGAAACAATCAGCGCTAAACCCCCAAAAATTGGTCCGTCCCGCCCCCTTGCGGTCTTTCATCTTTTAACCTCTCCACACTAATATCGGGAAACACTACACTACCTGTATAGCCCTTTGACAAGGAAGACCTCACGAAGGGCGACGTCTTCCATGACGCCGACACCACCTCTCACGCGGTCGAGGGGTCGGGTGCGAAAGTGTCCTGGAAGGAATGCGTCGTTGTAGAGTACGATTATGAAGTCTGGGGAAGCTGGACAAGTGCAGCGGAGAAGCGATGCTAGCGCGCGGTATCAGGCTGTATTTTGGAGGCGGGGGGGGTCAAGGAGGAGGCATTGGTCTAGGATGACCTAGGACCGCTTTCCTCGTGAGTTCGGCTCCTTGTAGTATGCGTGTGTGTGTGTGTGTGTGTGTGTGTGTCGCTAGGGGCGTAGCTCGTCTCTTATTGAGGATGCCTAGTTGTGTTGTTAAAAAGGTCTATCAACGCTATAGTAAATATAATGCTAGAGACTTTGTACAGTTTTGACGATGAAATTGGAATGATAATGAGATTTCCGCACGAGACCTATGGTGTTCTATGCAAAACCTCAGGTTTCTCTAGATTAGAGAGTGGCGAACGCCTGTCGTAGCTGAGTTATCCCTTTCTGGAGGCTCATCATCTTGGTCTGGATACCCGCTTGCAGAGCCCGAGTCTCCTTGCTCAAATCTATTTCTACGGTGTTTGGTTGGTAGCAATCTCCGTTCGTAGAGCATGGATGTCCTTATTTAGATTGATTCTCCTAGAACCTAACGCCAGATTCAACATCGTATTAGATCCCAGTGTTATATGTAGTGTGTACTAAATTTTTGGCAGACATTTTTAACAGTTCAAAGTCACTTGTCTTGAACTCGAAAATTTTTAACTTCGATATTGTAAGAATTACCGATCAATCAGGTTCAGCGCACGGGCCACACCCGCCCAAACACGTTGCGCAGCACGTGACCGCGGGGCACCCTGACTGCGCTTTCGTGTCCCCGTAGTTCGTAATCCTTTTGGTAGACATGGAAGAATACAACACCAAACCCCCCCCCCCCCCCCTTTCGCAACGGTTACTATAGTGACCAGTACGAATGACCTGTCATTCCAACAATATAGCCCGAGATGTCCAGATTTTGACTAGAGTCCTGTTCGCTTCTAGATAACCTTCAAGATTATTATTATACAGTACTTCTTTCTTCCTTTTGTCGGCAAAATCTTTTGTCGTCAATGAGAAAAACATATGACAATTGTCCAGAGGATGAATAGTTAGTCGCAGTGTCTATGGCTAAGAGTGAACGGTGTAAATGTTTTTGTTGCTGGTTGGCGGTTGCTGGTTCGCTTTGAGACGGTTCATCTTGCCCATCCTCCTTTAGTTGTTTTTGGTTGCTGTGGGGACCCACACCACTCGGCGCGAGAAGGCAAAAGGGCCAATTTGCCTATACTTTTTGTGCATTATCCTTCAACATAATTGTAGGAAAGTCAAAGTAATTTTGCCTACCTCGTTCCTTTAGAATTTTACTGGAACGGGCGAGAGCCTTGCTTGTTAGTCGCCGTGACAATCAATGGCTCTCGATTCGGACTATGGTTCGGCAATGGGTATGGCAAATAAATAAACAAATAACCATCACGCCTACAAATAAGAATCACAGAAGCTATAAAATGATCTGTACAGAATTGAATGGATTCTTGATTGTAAAATTGCAAAGCGTGGCAAAGGGCTGCAAAGAAAAGTCAAGAGACTACTACCCTACCTATCGGATATCTTTTGTTCGCGGCCTGAGCCAGGGCCTGACAAGATTGGCAGAAACATGAAATGATTATACAGTAAAATCCCCGAGTAACCGTTAGCGTAGCGTAGTGCTTGGATATAATATCGAAGAAAGGAGTTTTGGTAATTAAATCGGCTTGGAAATGTCGTTGCTAGGTAGGAACTGTACGATGGAGACAAGGCTTTGCGATTCTATATAGTACCTCTGACATCTAGCGCCTCCCTCCAAGAAAAATTCAGCTCGAACCGCAGGGTAGTCTAGCCTTTTACTTCATGGAATGTCTATGGCAACAATCATCAGTCACAGATTGTGTTGTACCACCAGGATCAGAAAATGAAGATTGACAGAAAGACGAAATGTTTATTTTTATCTGATAATATTCATTGGGCCGGCTCATGGCCATCTTGGTCTCCCGACGGCGCCTGTGTTGATGCGCATCGATTCCTCTGCTTAGCTACGCATCCGCTTTAGCAGTGTGCACAGGTGACAGGAGTGGCTTGACTTCCGTCTTGAACTGGAGGCTTGTGGACATAAGAATTGTCACGGTGTGAGCTAAGGCTAATCGACTAAGCCCCAGATCATCGCAGAATGTTTGCGGATCTACAGATGCAGAGTTTCTTTAAATTGATGGGGAATTGTAAAAATAGAAACACGAAAAATACTGTCAAACTGACGGTCAACGTCTCTAAAATTGGTAGCGCAATAGGCTTCGGTGGAGCAAGGCGGGCAAGCAAGCTCACCTAGGTGAACAAAAGTGGCCCGTTCTCCGCACCGCTGCCCGCTTTGCCCCACCACGTGACCGCACAAATTTCGAAAACTCGCGGCACAAATTTGCTGGCCGCACGTCCTCCACGAGTTTTCGACACAACCAATTCCACAGACAACGATTTCGAGGCGCCCGTCTCGACAAAGTTGCCCATCATGAGTTTGGTGTCGGGTGAGAAGGTATGTCAGCCCCAAAGACTCATTTCATTCAGTCTGTCTCTTGCACGCGGAAATCCTGCCTCTGTCGCCCTGCGTCGCCTCCGCTTGCGTCGACCTGCTTCACGACAATTTCGGGCCTGATACAACTTCGATTATTCGTGTACCGCGCATGACGCCATTCCAAGACTGCGCCCTGGCGGCAACGGGTTCTGCACATGCTGCACCCGTCAAGAGCGCCTAGCTCGACTTCGATGGAAAGTCGTGGCAGACGGTAGAACGGACTGGGTTATCTGCTCGAAAAGAGAAGACGGGAGACGAGTGCTCTGGACGGGATGGACACAAAACCACAAAATGTGCACCCACCGTCACCTGGGAGCCCGCGACGCACTAGAATGTGCGACACTTGAGCACTTTGCAGGCACCCAGCCACCATAGAACGGGCGGTCCTACCAGCACAGCGAGAGCGACCCAAACACCGACTAAGAGAGGAGACCAGCCAGTGCTGGGACGCAACATGCATGGCCAGCACCAAGGCGTCGAGTAAAGGCTAACCAAATTACAGTCGAACTTCAACCATATTCTCCGTCTTCTGAACACCAAGTACGTGCCAAAGGCGATGCAGACCACCAAGCCCTAGCCCGAGAATGTCGATATTCGGAAGCAAAAGGACTCGGTGACTGGAGCATGAGCTAACCCTAATCCCCGCAACTAGCGTCGATGGCAAGCAGAAGGTCGTATACAGTTTGACGTAAGTTTGCTGCAACCAACATACCAGGCGAGGCTCTGAACTGACATCTTTTCTAGCAAGATCAAGGGTGTCGGTCGCCGCTACTGTATGTCTCATTGAGCGCTGCGTATCACGAGGCTTGTCTCGGATTATGCCTCATTGATAACCGTAGTTACTGACTCCGTGGATAGCCAACTTGGTGTGCAAGAAGGCCGATGTCGACCTGAAGAAGCGGGCCGGTGAGCTCACCTCTGAGGAGCTTGAGCGCCTTGTCACCATCATCCAGAACCCCACCGCCTACAAGATCCCTACGGTACGTATTCTGACTAGCCTTCTTTATGTAATGCCAACTGATCACACGCAAATAGTGGTTCCTCAATCGTCAACGCGATATCGTCGACGGCAAGGACTCTCAGATTCTCGCCAACGGTGTCGACTCCAAGCTCCGTGATGACTTGGAGCGCCTGAAGAAGATCCGTGCCCACCGTGGTCTCCGTCACTACTGGGGCCTGCGTGTTCGTGGCCAGCACACCAAGACGACTGGTCGCCGCGGCCGGACCGTCGGTGTGTCCAAGAAGAAGGGTGGTTAAGCGTGTTTCTGGGAACGTGCATGGTTATTTGGCACTGCTGTATTTGGCTTTCCGGTGGTGTTATTCCAAGGCTGAGGGTGGTCATGGACGGCTCGGACTGATTTTTTGCCTTGCGGGAACTTTCACTTAGTTAGCAGTGGCTGAGGGGGTTCTCGCGGGATTGCTAAAGGAAAACACCTATCATCACGGACAGCATGAAAATACAGGCGTGCGGATATGATCGGAAAGCGGTTTCTTTTGCTTGTGAGTTTCATATTATATCATGCTTGGTGACGAGAGTTTTCATGACCTGGCCAAAAGACGTTTTATTTTTGCTTGCTGCCAACGCCGAAGAGCTATGGATAAACAAAGTTCACAGGAGTACGGGTGGATGTCAGGCTAGCCGTACCCAATCAGTCGTCTGTCTGAGTAACATCCATGTCTAACACCTCTATCCTGCCTTGGCCTTTGGTCTCGCCGCCAATGAAGTCGGAGAGCCCCTTGAAGGCTCCTGGCTCTGCAAAGCCGACCACCTCCCATTCCGATCCCACGACGTCTTGGTGTTCTACCTGCTCGATAAAGCTTAGGATCTTGTCCTTTACTGTCCGTGCTACCTTCTGTTCCCCGTCGCCACCACCTCCCGCTCCACTTGCGTCCTCTGGGGACGCTTTGTGCGACTTGAGGGATTGCTTGAGAACATGTGTCGGGACCCCGATCCTCAGCTTCATCCGGGCCCGCGCCACGGGTATCGGCTGGTACGCGATCAGAGCCTTCATGGCCTCGAGGGCCTGGCTCTTGGCGCTCTTGATCGTCACTACGCCCGTCCACAGATGGTGCTGGTCCTTGGCTGGCCGGGCGGGTTTCGCCTCGTCGTCGTTTTTGCTGTCGTCCGTTGGTGATGTTGCTGCTGCTGCTTCTTCCGTCGCTTCGGCGGGGGCTTCATCGGCGGCGGGAGGGGCAGGAGTAGGAGCGGCGGCAGCGGTTTCCTTGTCCTTGTCCTTGACGTCCTTGGCGTCCTTGTGGCTTTCGAGGCGCAGGGCGTGGGCCTGGGAGCTGAGCATGTCGAGGGCCTTCTCGATCATGCCCGTGGTGTAGACGCGCTTGGTGCGGGGGTCGACCAGCTTGCTGGCGACGATGCCGACGACCTCGTGGTGGACGCGCTCAAGCTGGGCGGTGCGCTCCTTCTCGCCGACCTGCAGCTCGCCCTTGCGCAGGATCTCGAGCACAATGTCGTCGGTCGAGGCCTTGCCGAAGGCCTTGACCAAGTCCTCCTTGGGCGCCGTCTGGCCCTTGGACACGTTGAGGAAGACGTTGGGGATCTGCAGCACGTTGTCCAGGTCCGTCTCAATGCCCGACCGCCACTCTAGCACCTTGTTCTTGTAGCACGCGATCTCGAACCGCTTCTTGCCCTTCTTGAGCCGCACCAGCGACACGTTGGTCAGTTTGATCTGGTTGGACGGCTGCTGGATCACCATGGTGGCGGCTGGCTTGCTTGCGCTGCGACGGATGCGGGCGTGGGTGTTTGGAGGGGTTCGATGTTCGTCACTTTCAAAGGCAAGTCTCGGTGCAACAGCGAGTGTGGATGAAGGACGTTGGTTTCCGGTTGCTGGTTTATTCACAGGAAGAGAAAGTTTGAATCCCTATATCTCAGATATCTCTCTTTTATGGACAAACCGTTTCAAAAAAGCGTCTAGCCAAGGGGACGGTTTTTCTGTCTTTGCTGCAGTCTGCGTTGTCAACCCCGCGATTCTCTGCGCGCGCTCTCCACCAATGAGTCAGGCGGGTCCACTGAGACTCAAAGGCGTTGGTGGACATTCAGAAGGCATAGCCTGTGTTAGTGCGACATTCTGACATTCCAGTCCAGCAGGACGATGGATGCAATGGATGCGATGAACAGCCTGCGCTGCGTTGCAAGACATCCCCGGTTGGGCTTAGAAGGTCCATGGCAGTAGAAGAAGAACAAGAATATCACAAATCCCTTGTATACTTTTTGGCCTCCATACTGCGTTTCGCTTCTGGGACTCCTCTCGGCGCTCTCACTGAGCTAAGGACGGGATGAATCGCGAGACAGGGAGGGGTTGGTCCGATCAATGACGAAGCTCATCGGCTAGAGGGGTCGAAAGCTTCGATTGGCACCACGTTTTGGGGGCATGACAAGGCCGATTCCACAGAATAATAGGTACCTGTAGACTTCACCTCGTGCGTACGCTTCATCAAATACAGATGATCCGAGGGGCCATTATCTCGAGAAGAAAATTCAGATAAGGGAAAGTCATTTTCCAAGGTTAAATATTCAAAATCCGATTAGTCCAAGGCCTATCTGAGGTAATCCCGGTACAAGGTTACTGAATTTCCTGTCCAGCTTGGGAAGCTGCCTGTCCTTGTGACCCAGCCTCCCACTAGCCTGCAAGGTACCCCGAGGTACCCAGCCAACCGTGGTGGCGCAACCATAACCTGCCTAAACCGCACTATCGTCCCCATCCGAGTGCGGCAAGAGCTCCCACTATCTCTCCCGTTTCAGTTATTACGCGCGGTCCCTTCCCTTTCCGGCCTTATTTTATCTTACCTCTACCTCTCTTCCTGTTCCTCTGTCATCACCATCTCTCTCCTCCACCCACTTATCATCTACCCTATCGCAGTCGTTGTCGTGTCTGACAGCATCTCAATTTATTCCCCGTATTGCACTGACGCAGTGGCAATTGCAGCCGTAGTCGATCCATCATGAGGATCCCCGCCGTGTCGACGGTGCTTCTTGGAGCTGCCTCGGCAGCCTCGTTCCAGCAGCAAGTTCTGTCGGATGACATCGCCGGCGTGCCCGACACAATCAAGACACTTGCCGACGCATTCGCCGAGACCAAGGCCAGCCCGCTCGAGAGCATCGAGGATGCCTTCCGCGGCATGAACTCCCAGGCCAAGGCGCTGTGGGACGAGATCAAGCTGCTCGTCCCCGAGGGCGCCTTTGACCGCAGCTCTTGGCTCAGCCAACCCAAGCCCCATCGTCGCCGCCACGACTGGGACCACACCGTCAAGGGTGCTGAGGTGCAGAAGCTGTGGGTGCAGGACGCCGACGGCGAAAGCCACCGCCAGGTTGATGGCCGCCTCGAAGACTTCAATCTCCGCGTCAAGTCGGTCGATCCCTCCAAGCTCGGCATCGACTCGGTCAAGCAGTTCAGCGGCTATCTCGATGACGAGGCCAATGACAAGCACTTATTCTATTGTAAGTCGCCACACTCGGTGGCAGTCATTGCCCTGGTTTTGTTGTCGCCATGTATGCTGACGTCCGAGTTCAGGGTTCTTCGAGTCCCGCAACGACCCCAAGAACGACCCCGTGGTTCTGTGGCTCAATGGCGGCCCAGGCTGCTCCTCTCTCACGGGCCTCTTCCTCGAGCTTGGACCTGCCTCGCTTGACAAGAAGCTCAAGATCATCAACAACGAATTTGCCTGGAACAACAACGCTAGTGTGATATTCCTCGACCAGCCCGTCAACGTCGGCTACTCGTACTCTGGCTCCGCGGTCAGCAACACTGTCGCTGCAGGCAAGGACGTCTATGCTCTCTTGACCCTCTTCTTCCACCAATTCCCCGAATATGCCAAGCAGGACTTCCACATCGCTGGCGAGTCGTATGCCGGCCACTACATTCCCGTATTTGCCTCGGAGATCCTGTCTCACAAGAACCGCAACATCAACCTGAAGACGGTCCTGATTGGCAATGGCTTGACCGATGGCCTTACCCAGTATGAACACTATCGTCCTATGGCTTGCGGCAAGGGTGGTTGGCCCGCCGTCCTCGACGAGGGCGAGTGCCAGAGCATGGATAACGCTCTTCCCCGCTGCCAGTCCCTGATCCAGAACTGCTACGATAGCGGTAGTGTGTGGAGCTGCGTCCCTGCGTCCATCTATTGCAACAACGCGTTGATTGGCCCCTACCAGCGCACTGGTCAGAACGTCTACGACGTCCGCAGCAAGTGCGAGGACAGTAGCAACCTCTGCTACAGTGCCTTGGGCTGGATCAGCGAGTACCTCAACCAGCAGTCCGTCATGGATGCCCTCGGTGTTGAGGTCTCGAGCTACGAGAGCTGCAACTTTGACATCAACCGTAACTTCTTGTTCCAGGGCGACTGGATGCAGCCATTCCATCGTCTTGTGCCCGGCATCCTTAAGGAGATCCCCGTCCTCATCTATGCTGGTGACGCTGATTACATCTGCAACTGGCTCGGCAACCAGGCCTGGACTGAGGCGCTCGAGTGGCCCGGAAAGAAGGGGTTTAACAAGGCCTCGATCAAGGACTTGACCCTTGATGGGGCTGACAAAGAGTACGGCAAAGTGAAGGCCGCCGGCAATTTTACCTTCATGCGCATCTACGCGGCTGGCCACATGGTTCCCATGGATCAGCCCGAGAACTCGCTTGACTTCCTGAACCGGTGGTTGGGTGGTGAGTGGATCGAGAACTAAGGTATTTCTGTCTTTGTACAGAACGGGCATGGATATACTACACATTTTATGGTTGGGTCATGAATAATCTTTCCGGTATTTCCTTGTTTCAGACAGTGCCCTTCGCCCTTGTTTCTTCTTGCTTCTTGCTAGTCGAGTAGATTGAAATTCTAGGATGGTTTTCCTTCCACAGACACATACAAAGTCGTAAACGGAACATGGCGGTTTGGGAGGTCAGCGGTCTTGTACACGAGCTTTTCTTTTCTATTGCTGTGACGATTATTCAGTAGTAATAGTACATACTACCAACATATTTCGTATGCTGTTGTCTTGTTGAGGTGACTTTGTGTGATTGCTTTTCGGGTCTGCGTTCGTGACATAGCAAAGGGGTACGTAGCAATCGCATCGCCACATGTCTCTCCCTCCTTGGGTGTTTCGAGCTCTAGTTGAGATGCTGAAGCTTCGACCCCTTCATCTCAACTATAGCCATGGGATGAAAGAGATGAAGGGACCGAAGCTTCAGCATCTCAACTAGAACTCGGGGAACTGAGGCAACTACAAAAAAACGGAGGAAAGGCACGAGAAAACAAAAACATCAACACAAATAGTATAATTAGATATTAGATCATGCACGGAATAGTTACTAGGTAACTGGTCACTGAGTTGCGTTGAAACGAGTTTATAAACACGAACAATTCTAACATTTTCTTCTGTCTAGGTACTGTACCCTTAGTGACTTTCACGAGTTGGATTTATTTTATCACCTTAGTGAAAACGACTGACCGTGTGTGTACAAATCACCATACAAACACACTTGAACGAACACAATTAAGAAATACGGCGGTATGAATGTAACAGATGTTGACGACCAGCCAGCAATTAAGCTACCTAGCCAGCTGTGGTACTAAAACTCTCTTCTCGCGCCAACTTGTCGTGAAAAAAGGAACCACGGTGTTACTTACACAAGGGCAGTATATATGTATATGGGTATACACTACCGCAGTAGAATGTTAACCCAACGTAGCGCTGGCAGCAGCCTCCAACTCCAACGTCGTTCGCCTTTTCTTTCCTGAGCAACTAAAGACCATGTTTTCCCTTTCCCCGTCCCCGTCCCCGTCCCCTTCCGCCTGTTCCTACGCCTCCACCTCCTCATTTTCCCGCCTTATCCGTCTCTTCACCCCCTAAAAATATATATACCGTCCACAGGGGGCTAAAAAAAAAGAAGCAGTCCCGTTCAGCCCCTATTCGGAGGAACATGTTCAGGCTGCCGATATAAAACATAGACACAACCTTAAAGCATTCCTACAGCCATCCCCGAGGGCCTTCCCTCGCTTTACCAAATCCGCCTCTCTCCCTCCCAGCGATAACCTTACTGGCTCACAAGAGCCCAACAATAATAAACACACTATGCCACCGGTGCGCAACCAGAATCCCATGCACTGCCAAACCCTCCCCGTCCCAATCATGAATAATGTTCGATGGGCCAGGACGCTGGGCGTGACCGAGGCATTGTGGCCCACCTTCAACACGGAGTAGGTGAATAGCGGAATGATCCACTGGCTCATCCAGTCCAAGAATAGCGCGATAGCCTATATAAACAGACATTGGCAGACGAACAGAAAAAGATGAAACGGGTAGAAGCTAAAATAATAATTTGACAGGCAAAACCCTATCGTACAAAAGCAGGACTGAAACAAGACCAAGCAGCTTGGTGTATGCGCTCTTCTTGAGAATTGTACATGCCCATTCTTGATATGGGGCGGTGGTGACGAGTAGGACCGCCGGATAAAGGTATTTTGCGGCTGACTCGAGGCATAATCATCAAGCGGAGATATTCCAAAGCCATGTCGCGTCTATGCGAGTCTATAGGCTTCTGGGAGCGCTCGGTTGGCCCATCATCTGTCGCTTGGCTCAGGCTTGTCGTGATCGGAGTGGCAATGTTCGTAACCAAAGTCTGCAAGCGTATCCTATCCCGCTTTGTCTGCAGCATGCATTGGTGGGCTTGGCGATTTGTGCTTTCTGAAGAAAGGCAAGCCGTTGATCCTAAACCGGCTTGGCTTCTTCTTAAGAGACTTTTCGCCATCTGCTCCCGCATCCGCGCCCTTGCAAGTTCCGTTTGGATTGCAGTTCAGAGAGGCCCCATCGTCCAGTGGGCGATTGTTAACCTTCAACTCAGGTTGGCTTTTCGTTGATTCCGGCACCGTCGTCGTCGACTCTTGGGCCGTAATGGTTGTCACTGGGACGCTGTTGGGTCTGTCCAGTGAATCTCTGCTAATAATGCTCGTCCCCTGCGTGCTCGGCGATAACGGCATCTTACCCGTTGTTGCGCTAGTCGCTTGCGAGGCCCAGTCTCCAGAATAAGGCGCAGAGCTCCCTTCGGTAGTTTCGCTACACCTCTGCTTGGTTGAGCCTGGAGGCTTGCCTTCAACGTTAAACGGATCGCTGCGAGCAAAGTCGGCCACGGCATCAAAGCTCGTCACTAACCCGTTCAGGCCCTTGTATTCAACTGGCACTTCGGGTATCGGACTCGTCTCTACCGTGTCGGGTTTCCGAGTTCCGTCGTTCTCTGCAGTTGGCTGGGCCACAACTAGCGTAGGGACTGGCTGAAGTTCTTGTTTAACAGGACGAGCCTCGGTTGCGGGCTCTGGGGAGACGGCGAAGCTCATGGCTTTGGGAGGAAGCTCGTCGCGTTGGGGGGATTTGCCAGCCGCCGACCCTCTGGCTTCCTCATCTGCCACACACTTCTCGAAAAGCCCTTTGTTCACGTTAAGCTCATCGATGCAATACTGCATAGCAGGTAGGATATCTGCAACGCCCTGAAACAAGGGTATAGCAAAGAGGTTCATGAAGCCCAGCTGTGCCTTGGCCAACGCCAAAATCTCCTTCTTTGGCGGCGCCATAAGAGATGTAGGGATAGCTAGCTCAGTCTCCATGGCGGCCTGGCGGGAAAACTCGTCCGAAAGAATGTGCATCCACTGAACTGCAGTATCATGCCTCCGAGCCTAAATGGTCAGTGAGACGGGATCGTAAAAGGGGGTCTTGGGGGTGAGAACTCACAACATTACTGATATCTGCGCATTTGATAAGAAGCGCGCATGCTAGCGCTTTCTGTTCATCAATCATACGGCCATTCCAGTTTTCGGTGCTATTATCCACACGCAGCTTGTCCTGCAGATCTACCAGCTTCTTCATATAGTCGAAGTGCATGCCCATATCGGTTGCCAATATGGAGCTAATCATAAGGTTCCGCATCTTGTTGTCGTTGAAGGCCGACAGCCAATATCTCCGGAGAATTTGTGAGTATGCAGCACAGTGGAAAGATTCGAGAACCGAGCGGTCGTTGTATAGCTGGGCGAGCGGCGCATTTAGCGTCACCAGAAAGCCGTTGTTGACACCTGGATGTCCTACGTCATGGCCAATAGCGGTGATGAGGAGTGTTAGTGCTTCAAACGGCCCCAGAAGGCGCGCTATTGGCGATTTCGGAGGTGAAACTGGACGCGAAGCATCGGTGGACGGGTAAGGAGGTAAAGCGCCAATGCGGACCAAAAAGTGGAAAGTTGCCTGTAGAACATCGACAACGTGGCGAAAGTTGTGATATGGAACAAAGCCATTGTAGGCGGCTCGGCAGGCAATAAGAAAGCCGTGTAGTTGGTCTGAGAGGGTGTCAGCGGAGTGCGGGAACAAGCAGGCGAACGGGCATTCTATCCACATGGGATCGCAAACATACCTGTTGGTATCCGCCACGGCTCCAGCTCGGGCATGGCCAACGCATGTTTGAACATGACCGAGGCCGCCACAATCAGCTCATCGTCGGAGAAGTTATGGGCACAGAAGTGCCACTGTCCCACCGCCCACGAGATTGCTGCTTGTTTTTCGATGCCAATCGAGATGTTGACACTGCCCACTTGATCCTCTTTCTCGTTTTCTATGCGGCAAATGCCATTCATAAGGGTCGACACCATAGCCTCCCGGAGGTACGCAAACGGCTTCTCCTCGCTTATGCCAACCCAAGACCGCTTACGGCCGCGACGAACCTCAAGCATGGCCTTTTGATCCCGAGCCGCCTCTCTGTGGGCGCGATAGACATGTACCTCAAGGTTAGTGATGCACTTGCCATTCATGGGGCTTGCCATGACATCGGTGGCACCGAGGTCCAGACACTTTTTGACCATCCGTCTATTGGCTGCTCTGCGATCGTTTGACGAGCCTGGGTGGAGTTTGCCGTTCGCAAACTCTTCTCTCGCGTCCCTGGACGAGTCGATGTCATTCAGATGGCTGTCGGCTGGCGGAAAGGCGACTAGTGGTACGGGCACAACCAATTTGGACAGGTTCCGGATATATGACTCGGAAATGATTCTCTGCAACAACCCAAGTCCGTACAGCTCTTCCTCGTGATTTTCATTGTCTTCATCCGGAGGCGAATGCGGTGACGGCGTCCTGGACCGGGATCTCTCAGGTATTCGTTCTTGAAAAGGGGTATCTATAAGGATGAGCGTCGGCTTCAGGTCCACCATGGAGGTATCCTGAATGTTTAGCCACTGGGTCAGAGAAGCACCTCCGGTATTGCACACGTGGACTACACCCCAAATGTTGGGTTAGCATTTGCGCCATCCTCGCGATGTTTAGCAAGATGGACGACATACCTTCGCCGAATATGTCTAAAAGAAGCCTGACATTCTCTGCAGTGTGCGCCGACCCGAACTCAAGGCCACTTTTGTCGAGACTACTCTCGCTACCTCTAATGTGCCGGTCCTGATAGACGCCACGGTCCACGTATATTACGTTGCAAGAGGCATGCTCCATTGTGGCCTTTAACAGCGACCAGTCTTGCGACCGGGTTAGCCGTTGCCACGGGGTCGGGTGTTTCGAGGCCCAGTCAGGGTCCCGAGTTTGAGTCCCTGCACGTGTGTACGCTACAGTCTGATACGGGCCAGGCCGAAGGCTAAAACGGCGAGGTCGGCTCCAACCGTTGGCAGAGGAAACCTCGAGGAAACCCTATTGCTATTGTATTGTGCTGCTCGGGACGATATCGATCAGGGCAGATTGCGCAAATATGCGACGAGTCAAGATGCGGCGGCGAGGCGCTTGGGGCCTGGGCAACGATATAGACTGTGCTCGGTTGTGGTAACGTGTTGCGCACGAGTGCATCAAAGTTGTATCGTCGCCTCTAGGCACGAGGTGGGTCCGAGGTTGAGCAACGCGCGACTCGGCTGCCGTCAAAGCTAGGGTTCGGCGACTTGCACTCGGCTTCGGGACGATGTATTGTCTGTGGTTGCGCTCGGGTTAGACATGCCGCGCCGAGCACTCGGATGGAGAAGACAGCGCGATGGAAAATGGGATCGAGGTGATAAGGCGAGAAAGCAGTGTTTCGAGTCACGGGAGTGGAAGGGTGGAGGGACGAGAGGAGAAGAAGGCCTCGGTCGCATGGGCTCCTTGGTCCATTGTGCGAATTTGGGTTTGAGCCAAAGGGTGGAGACTAGCGGGAGAGACGACGAGGGAGAGGGGGAGGAGGGACATACACACATACGCCGCACACAGAGTTGTGGAAGGGGTGAAGGTGTTCGGCTCTTACTAACTGGAAGATAGTATGCAGTGTGATTATACGACGAGCTACCCAGCGAAAGAGGAAGGATGTGAGGGCGCTGTAGGTGGGATATCTGCAGAGGAGCGAAATGCATGGAAGTTCGGCCTTGTCGCTCTTGGGGCGTTGGGCTTGGGGCTCAAGGGATGGGTCGATGGGGTTAGGATGGGATGGGATGGGGATGGGATGGGACGGGGAGGGGGGGGGGGGGGGGGAGGAACGGGGAAACTGCCCTGCGCTCGAGTCAAGGGCGTCGACGCTCACGACGGGGCGTACCTTCTAGTCTTCCCTACGACTTCTAAACTCGCAGAGGTTAAAATGGTGTGGGCTCCTTCTGCCGCGCCGAACTCTGTGCCTGGCCTACGCTTTGTTCGTTGTGTCGCTCTTCTTCTCGTCTGCTATCGGCGCGGGCAATCCCATCTATCGAAAGGGGGGGAGTGTGGTGGGGAGGATGGATCAATTGGGACGGGAATAAAGGCTTTTTCTGCGATTGGACTGGTTTTGATGAATGATAGATGATAGGCAAGGACTCCAGAGGCGGGAGGGCAGAGATAGAATGGGTGTGTGGAACAGGAAGGGGCATGTGCGGGAGAGCGCCAGCCAGTCAGGACGCTCGCCTCCAAAGGCGCTGCTGCGCGAACGGGAAAGGTCGCAATCTCCAGGGATAGAAGCGCAGCATTTCAGTGGTCCGTCAGCAACGCCCGGCTTCTGGCCGTCTTCTCGAAAACCCATCGAACACGCTAGTCTCTGCAACCCAGACCCTCGAACCCTCCCGTCGTCCACGCCGCGCGCTGGAGTCCCACAGAAAGAAAGAAAAAAAGGAAAGAAATTCCGCCTGCGACATGATGCAAGCCAAAAAGCCCGCCCTGAGTGACACACCTCTTGAGTTTTGACCCAGCCAGGCCCACCAGGAGACCTGCGAACACGGCCAGGCCTGCGCGCATATGCCCCTGCGATAGGCCGAAGCTCTCTTTTTTTCTGTTTCCAGAAAAAAAAACCTCTGTAATCCACTGCAGCGCCGCTAAGAGGATACCAAGTGAGAAAATGAGATTGATCACCGGAGGCTCATTGCGGCGAGAACGATTGCGTGCTTGGGACTGTCCAGCATCCGGGCCTTTGACCCTGGAGGAAAGACATCATCAGTCGGTTTCACGGTGGGGCACGTAGGTAGTCCCCGCTTGAGAGATCTCTTTGTCCGGCAGTCGGTTAAGTGAACAGGGTCTAAGCCTATTTGAGATGTTGGCCATGAATAATAGGTCCTCGTCCCTCAAGTCCTTCGAAACATGGAAATTTTCATTCAGTCACCGAGTCAACAACAACAACAACCTGGAATACACGTTTGGATTTTGTACGTGACCCGATCTAGGAGCTGCATGATGTGCGCTTCAATGCTATTATTAGCTGGGCAGGTACAGGTCGCTTCCCTTGATCCTCCATCGGTTGTCAATGCACATTCTTATCCTGTTCGAGGTATGGCGTATCATCCTAGGATAAAACGCTTGGTAGCTACTAGGCATGTCTTCCGAAGGAGTTACCCATGGACTCGGGAAAAAAAGAGGTTCATGTTTTTCGAGTTGTTGGTGGATAGATTTGGCAAGTGTAGGTATGGAATAGCGACGGGTGGAGCTCGGGTTGTGATATCATCTTGGTGGCTCACCCGCGCAGGGCTAATTACCCGAAGAAAAAAAGAGTTTGCGTCTGGTGGTCTATATTGCAGAGATACATGTCATGATCCAATATCCTTCTAAATTATAAGGTAAATTGACTAGGGAACAGTAGACTCAGTAGCAGCCTTGGTTGTGACGGCGTCGAAGCATCAGCAATGGCAACTTCGGGAGTTGGCAGAGCGCTAGAATATATATCAAGGAATCTTCTTCGAACAGTTGATGACGGCGTTGCCAAAAGTCAATTCCCCGAAGAATCATTCTACGAACCCGGGATTCTAGAACGCCTACAGTTTTTGTTTGTTTCTCTTTGTCCTGCACCGTTCCACAGCATGGATGTCCTTGGGCTGATATTGAATTGTCTATCTTACCTGTGGGGTAGGGAAAGCTGCTTGAAGTCCCACAAACGACACAACGTCTTCGTTGCCTCAAACCTCGGGGGCTGCAAAGGTTGTGTTGTCCAAAGAGTCGACTGGCTAGCTGGCTCTTTCAGTGACAGATTCATGTCAACTATTGATTCTCCGCATTTTTATACAGTTAGTACAGAATAAGTCGAGGTGGTGGTGGGGGAGACAAGCCACAAAAGAGGGGTGGAGAATGCGGATGTTCTTATTATCAAAAGTTTTGAGTTTCGGTCCGGCAAGCCCCACTTGATCCCGTCTCTCTTGCTGAGGGAATACGGAGGAGAAAAAAGAGAAGGAAAAAAAGAAACCTCTCGAATTTCAAAGAGACTGGATCCAGAGTCATTAAGAATCAGGGATTGACTGCTAGGTATTTGCCGTACCTATGTGCGAATACCTACATGTAGGCCGGGTTTCTCTGGCGGCACAGCTGCCAAGGACTCTCTCTCGCCGGTGTCTCGACCAGGAAAGTGCAGCCCTCAGCCGCGCAACTGCTTTTCAGCTGAGAGGCCCACCGAGGCGCATTTAGATCCGACGCATCCTTGAGGAGGTAGGTTTTGTTTTGGCTGGCCAAGATCTGTGAAGACGGGCAAACTCGCAGCGAGCGACGAAACAGGGAGAGAGACAGACACTTCAAAGACCCCGACGGGAGCGTCACCTAATGTGGTGAGGGCCCAGGTCTAGAAACAACCCGCCATCTAGCCAGCCAGCCAGCCGGACAGCCCAGTTGTAGGTGGTGGTAAAATCCCACGACAGCACCTTCCAAAGCGAGCAGAGTGGCCGTCGTTAGTGGCTGCGACGGGGGCTACCAAGAAAATAGACGACGGTACGGCTCCTCCGGGGCGCTCGCTCGCTCTTAGGCCTTAGCCGACCCCACGGGGGGCTACCCTTCTAGAAGGAGAGAAAGTCCCGAGGAAACGAGACAGCGGAAAATGCGAGCTTACCCTAGGCTATCGGCCCCGCCGTGTGGCTTGACCGACGTGACCTTCCGTGGAGTCGGCGCCTCCAGTCCACGGCTGAAAAGTCGACTTTCTTTGTTTTGGCCTGGCCTTTTGTTGGTGCGCCTGTCGCACGCCTGGCGCATGCCCTCGAGGCTCGGCTTGCCGTCCGGCGTCAGCGAGCCATTCTGGTCGTGATTGGCAACCACGGCCTCGCAAGAAGGACCCCGGGGTGTCATCAGTATGTACTCCATACTGCTCCGTGCAGTGCTCCATAGTCCATACAATGGAACTCTATAACCCGTACACTTGAGCGGCACTTGGCCCCCGCGACTTTTAGGGGGCTTGAGAATAATACCCGCTGCGTCGATGATGCGTCTAGCCTTTAGCCGCGTAGCTCACTCGCCCCCTCGAGAATGAAATTCGCTGAGGCCCCTCCCATGGGACGGGTCCCTTGGTCCCTTGCTCGGCACACCAATGGCGATTCAGTTCACCCTGCCAGCCGAAACCTTTAACCTTAGTTCAGCCCCAGCCCGCGATCCGGCTCATTGCGTTCCCAGTCACAGTCACGGCAGCCAACCTATCACACACCACGTCCGGCTTTGGCTGTGCTACTTACTACAACACTGGGCACAGCGGAGTCAGAGCCGCCGCCGCCGCCGGCGACGGCGGCGGTGGGAGGGTCGGAAGAGGACAGGGCAAGCCGCTGCTAGTGAGTTCCGTGATTACTGAATGCCTTACCTAGGTAAGGAGTCAACGGCTCCGCCTTCCGGCCGGCCCCGATCTCTGATCTCAAAGCCAATCTTGCCATCGCCAACAACCTTGTCTCCTCATAGTCAGCCAGCAGACTCCGATATCTTTTTTCTTTTTCCTTTCTTTCATTTTATTTTTACGGCTTTTCTCCCCCTTCGCGCATCCGACTCAAGGAATGCCAGGCACTTGGACCCGAGTCAGACGCTGCCGACAATCGCGCCTGCTCTCGGTCCCCTTTCCTTGACCTGACCTAGCAGCTGCGACCAGACGGCCCACTGCCTGCCCTGAATGATCTTTCCGCCTGCCCTGTGAGGTTGGCAAGATAGGAGTGTGGAAACAGGGGAAACTCCCCTGGGGGACTGACGCTCAGACAGCGGCGCATCTTCTCTCCGATGCCAGTCTGAGACGTGGGCAGCCACTGGGCATGGCATGGGGGGGCCGCCCACCCAGAGAAAAATAATTCCCCTTTGCTTTTTGTTTCTCACCACAAGCCCTTGGGCCCTGGCCTCCTTCCCCCACTAGGTTGTTGGCTAGATCTTGTCGCATAATGGCTTGCAAATGTGAAATGTTGCTTTTTTTCTGAGACTTTTCTCTTTCCTTTCTTTTCTTCTTTGCCTACCTTCCCTTCTGGGATAGACTGGGCTGAAAACGCCCATCATTACCGCATAGAGAGAGAAGTGTGCGTGGCCTTGTTCGGAACTCTTATTATTACTCATGTTTAGTCTATCATGTCCTGCTTGCCAGTCGTTAGTCTTGGCCAAGCTCGGCGAGCGCTGTTTCGTGATGACGCTATTGTATTACCATCAGCTGCCATAATCCTCCCCGCCAAGAATAGAAAAACTATAGTGTAATAAAACCCCCGGAAAAGCAAACGAGAGAGGACACGCGGGAAGTACCGAGACACGCCCACCCACATAGGATTTTATCTTGAGCGTTTCAGCCTTGCCGATCGCATCTCCCTTTGCTTGCCCAGTTCCACGTTGATTATGTACAGTACGCTAGTCACGGCCACAGGGCCCGGGGAGCCTATCTTTTGCCCTTGTGTGTGACAATTGTAGCTGCCGCCGGTTGCACAGCCAAGGACCAGGGCTCTGATAACAGAATCGAGCAGACGCTTTCTTGTACATAGTACACGGCACGTCACGTGGCATTGGAAACATGGCCTCGTGTTACACGTATTACTATGTAGTCTGTGAACTCAGCCAGGAGTTGAATGATTATCAATGGTGGCTGGGACAACAGAATCTAATCTCAAACCATCCGCTATACTTAGTAGACACTCACTTCCGGGGACAGACAAACGAGAGAGAGAGAGAGAGAGAGAGAGAGAGTTAGACAACAATGTAAAACACAATGTAAAATATAAATAATACAAGTCTAATTAATCAACACCCAAATAATGTACCTCATCTACATGATGTACGCTCGCAACAGAGCTAGAGTCATATACAGCCCAACCCTTTTCCACAGGTAGCTTCCCTCCCTGTTCATAAAATGAAAAAAATCAACACTAACCAGCCACCAACCATGACCACGACTACCGCCCATAGAACAATGCACAACTCCCGACACCGCAAGAGCCACAACCCACCGCATATACTATATACTACACCATCCGTCACATCACTCACTGCTTCTTTAGTAACACCAACAAGGTAGATGACTCCTCGCCCCCTCTCACCCCCAAAAAAGCAATAAGAAAGCCAAGACATATATAGTCTCATGTCTGACCCAGTATCGCAAATGGTTCCCTCTCTCTTCCTCTGCGGATTATCATGAAACAAAATTGTCAAGGGGGAAAAAGAGAGGAAGGGGAAAGACAAAACCGAAAAATCGAAAGAAAAAAACAACACGCATAGAGAGAACCCTAAAGAGGAGATTCAAGTACGTGAATATTCTTCTCTTTTTTTCCTTTTGGTGGCGGAAAGGATGGATGGATGGATGCAACAACCGATATAATCCGAAACCGAACCGATGCAGAGAATTAGGAAAGAAAAGAGAATACACATACTAGCAAAAATCCATACAAGACAGAAAAGCTAGAATATGACAAAAACAAAACAAAAGCAAAACCTCCCCATCCATCAATCATCGTCCCATCTGGAAGCAACGCTATGGGCAGGTTATGTGAAATGACACGCTGTGCGGCTATGCGCTACTGCTGTGGCCCTCTCTCAATATCTCTCTCCTTGTGTCTGTCCTTCCAAGGACGCCGTGTCCTTAAAGATTGACCCAACAGAGAGACTGTGCAAAGATCCAATACCCGGTCCACCCAAACTTCCCCTTCTTTCTGCAGCCCCAGAGTACTCGACCCTAGGCGCGTCCGGCCATGATGGAGTTGCAACAGCACATCGGCTCCTGTATGAACACACCCGGGGATACACGTGACTCTCTTCGTCAATATTCTAAAAGTCCCGACGCGAACACCTAAGGAATAACAACTAGGACTTTTAAAAGCACCTTCGCCCATTGGTTTGCTTTCTCGTCCGCTTCTTTTTTTTCTTTTTTGGCCGCTTCGTCGACTTCGGCTGCTCCTCCTACAAAACAGGTTTCTCTTGCGGTTCGGGCTCGTCGCCGACGTGTATCTCAGCAACTTTATCGCTAACTTGATCATCGCCGGCATCTGCGGGCACCGTATGAAACTGCTTCATCCACGCCTGGCTCGCAAGCCGGCCCATGTATTCCTGATCTTCAGCCGATGGTTCTGGGATGTGGGCCTCAAAAGGTGCAAAGTCTGCTGGCAGCTTGGCGGGCCCAACGTACTTAACGTCGGGCTCGGTCAGGCGAAAGGGCTCAATGACGTCGTCGGTTGGGTCAGCAAACGCATCGTCTGTAACAGAGGAGTTGTCGCCTTGCGCGACATCGCTTGCCAGGTCGTCATCTTGGCCGGTTGCGTCGGAACCTGCTTTCACGTTTTTAAAGCTCCAGTTGCTCGTTGCGATGGCCGACGAAATCCCCGCCAGTCCCGGTAGTCCGCTCAACCTCGACGGTCCGTCTTCGAATTCGGGCAGATGAATGGCTTCATCCTCGCCATCGCCCTCGATGCTGTTGTGAAGCGTCTCTTGCCGGTTCCATGGCAAGTCCGGCCCCATTTCGGCGTCATAGTCACCGTCCATGGCTCGATCCAAGCTCGCCTGTTGGTAACTTGGCAGCTCCAAATCGGCATCATTAGGAGAACCCCCCGCAGGTTCAGCTTGGCTGTTAACCAAACCAAGTTTTCCTTGAGGGAGAGTTAGACCTGCTCCTGTCGAAGCGCTCGGCGAACCACAAAGGGAGGAGCCTTGGCCGAGACGCTGACCTTCCCCCGAATCCTGCATATCTTCATCTGCAGCATTCAGGGTATTGAACTTCTCAACAATGCCCTGGAATCGGGCCCCGCCCAGCGCTATGTCTGACCGACGTCGATAAAACAACAGATATGCGGAATTGGTCACGATCCGGGCCGTGTCTTTTTGTTTCGACGCTGACGTGTCTATAAAAAGTTAGTAACTTGACCGGTGGCCGGAAACCCGCATAGGACGAGAGCCGTGATTTGACTTACCGTTGAATTCGTACCATTCACCATCTATGAAGTTCTTGGCAAACGCCGTGTAGTGGCCTCCTCCCAAGCCGCCCCAGTGATCATCGACAGCGATCAAGTCGTATATCTCTTGCTTGCCGTCTTCCTGCTCAATGACTCGCTCCGTCAGGTCGAGCCCCTCCACAGGAAAGTCGACAAGGATATCCAGCTTGTCCCGGCGATATCCGCTGGAGCTGAAGCGCTTGAGATGGACGACCAAAATGTCCGGTGTCTTCCAGAGGTCGAATTTCTTACTAGCTCTACGATGTTCTTTGCAGCGAGGACAATACCACGTATCCTGCTCCGAGAGTATTTCCTCTTTCTCGAACTCGGCGAGGCAGTCGTCCAGGGTGATGCCGTGTTTGCGTCGCATTTGCCGTTGCTTCCGCTTGGCGTCAAGACCGGGGTCTTCCAGGGTGGCGACATCGCAATAGGTCTTCATGCCTGCCATATCGTTTGGAGAATTGCCGCCAAAGACAGCATCAAAGGCCGACTCGGACCAGTCAACCACAATACCTTCTCCGAGACGGATCAGAGGCCCGCCATCGGGCTCCAAACCATTCTCAGGTTCGACAACTTCGATAGGTTGTCGCTCGCGGTTAGCTCGTTCCTTCTCGAACCTCTTCTTTCCCTTTTTACCGTAAGTCTTATTCGACTTCTTATTCTTTCCTCGGGCGCTTATATGATTCTGCACCTTGACTCGCGACGTCATGTTCTAAATGTTTCGTAAGCGACGCTAAGAGCGAGTTCTATGTTGACGGGCTCGACGGAATGCAGGCGAGTGTTGATGGGGCACTGGAAGACGCCGGGACTTACCCGCACTTTAGGAAAGTCTGAATCCTCCTCGCTAGACTCGTCAATCATTCTAGTAACGGCGTTGTCGTCGCTGCCACTGTCCTCCGAACTCTTATAAGTCCCTGGACTCCGCATCTCAACATCCGAAGCGACCATTCGAGGGGCTCTAGAGCTAAGCTTGGGCAATGTGTTGTCCTCCTGGACAGCGGTCCACCCAGTCGGGATGATATGTTGGTTGGTTTCTTCCTTATAGTAACACAACTCGAATAGGTTCTGGAACTGTGGGTTAAGAAACTCGGCAGGGTCAATCCACTTCGGCCGCTGTTTATTGAACTTGTTTAGGAGAAGGGGATACCTGTTAGAGAGTTAGCAAGGGGCAAAAAGGAAGACGAAGAAAACAAAACGAGACGGGGCTCCATGTTTTACTTACTCTTCCGCGGGTTCCGCGGGAGCGGGCGCTTTCCTAGCATCGCCACTATCGCTCATGGTGACGTCGACAATGTCTTCTTCACCCTCAACGGATTTGGCAACGATCTTGGAATCACCTGCAGAGTCGACATCCGATGCTGTGTTGGCCATCTCTGGGTCCATCGCCTCTGCTACTTCCATCTCCTCTACAAGAGGGTCTACAGAGGAGAACTTTGACCACGTCGTGAAAGTAGCCACCTTCTCCAGGATCTTGCGACGAATGATGTCCTCGCTACGAGCTTCTTTAGGAGTCACCACAATGAAATGTGATGGCGGCACCTCTCCGCTACTTTTTGATCTCGAATGGCGATTCTTGCGGAAGCCGGGCTCCTCCGAGCTGAGGCGGTGGAGCACAGGGACAACCATGCGTTCTGCCATTGGGTCATCCCACAGAGAGCGGTCGTCAGGCTCGGTGTCTGATAAAAGCGACTTGTACTTCTGTTTCTTGGGTTTAACCCCAGAGAAGTTTGTAGGAGCTACCTCGAGTTCATGCATCGTTGGGTTGTCGTTTTGCTGAATCTCCTCCGATATAGACATATAGTCGTCATAGAACTTGAAGAACTTATCTCGGAATTCTTCTGCTCCAAAAAGACGCTCGACGGGCACGCCCACTCGGGCCGAGATGAATTGCTTCAAGGACTTCGAGCTGGCATTTTTATCGAGCTCAACCACTATGTCGACGGGAGCGTCGTTGAGAGGAAAGTATCGGACGTTTTTCGACCATACGTTGGCAATCGGAAGCGGGAGGGTGAGATTGTTGAATGGGTCAAATGTGATACTGACCTTTTCGCAATCGGGGCACACCAGAGTCGACTTGTACATGCCAGTGAAGAGATCGGCAATGACGGAGTCGTCTCGCTTCTTAGTGATATCCCAGACCTTGGCAGCCATCTCCCGGATGGCTTCTTGGTTACCAATCATGTCATCGGTTGAGTCGGGCTTCTCAATATAGGGCTTCTTTTTGACCCTGCTAAGATCCTCCTGGAGGCCGTCTAGAAGGAAGCCAAGGAACTCCTGCGAGTCCTGCTGACCGTAGCCTGAGAATGAAGGGGCATATCTCCCGATCACGCCCTTAAAAGTCCGCGGCGCGATCGAGTTGGGTGGAGGGTCCTTGTAGATTTCGAAAAGTAGTTTCGAGTACGCCTGCGCGACTTCACCGTTGTGCGAGAGCGGGTTGTCTGGGTTGATCTCCTTTGCAGCCTCGCCCGTTATGAAGTACTTTGTGAGCTCCTCGACGCTCCTCACGCACTGAAGCGCCGAGTTCATGTAGCAGGTATTTCCAAGGTTTTGAAGCCCAACACAGCCGATGGAACGTCCAGACTTTTGCTGTGCGCGGCCTCGCGTCAGGGGACCTTGCGACGCTGGGCTGTTGCGTCCACTGCCACGCCCTTGTGACGTTTGTACTGTCAGAGTGCCCGAACTTCCATTAGTGGCCAGGTGCTTATCCTTAGCGCTACCGCTCTTAAAGACAGAATTGGACACATAGCTGTCCCGGTCAATCTGCTCGTCGATGACGAGAACATGGTCAACCGTCAGACCTGCTAAGGCCAAGTTGCTCCGGCCATTGTAGTTAGCATTGGTCGTCGTGTCCTCAGCTTCGACAACCCCACGCTCCACATCTCTCTCGAGCTTCAGGAAGGTCTCGACATCAACAAGCATCTCGGGCCATGACTCCGCTGGTACGGGCGGGCCAGTGAGAATGGTAGCGCCCAAGGATGGGGAATCAGGCGGAGTCTTCATGCCCAGGGGTTGAGCCGACGGCTCGGTGGCCGAGATCTGCAGGACTCTCCAGAGACGCACTTTGCAGTCCTTAGCCACACCAGTGAGCTGCTTTGCCTGCTTAAGGAAATTGTGGAACCCATAAGTGGCGCTATGGACAAGGACAGGAGGGGCGGGCTTCTTGAGCTTGATTTCCTGGTCTATGGGGATGGGGCTGTTTGCGGCCCATAACCGGTGGATGGTGAATACCGGGGGATGGAACTCGAATTGAATGTTGGGAAGACTGGCCGAATCGACTGCTGTATTGTGCGCCGTACGCACAATAGGCACCTGTCCCTCACTCAGTCCATACCACGTGAGGAGGAGGTCCCAGGCGCCTTCAGGAAACATCTCGAAGTGGTCCATGCCCATGGCTGGCTTTAGCTTTACCCATTGCTGATTGCTGGCGTCGACGAAGATGGTTTGGATGATGTCCGAGTTGTCGACGGGTCCCAATGTCACCTCTGACGATGCCTTGCCTGCGAGCTTTCCTTGAGCACCAAAGGATTGGGCGCGACTGAGCCATTTCCGAGACACCAGGTAGGCAACGTCGCCCTCCTGTACAGGCGTTTCCGCGAAGGCCTTGACCAAGGCTTCAATGGCCTTCACCTGCTGGTTAAGCGGCGGTATGTCTACGGCTACCGTTAGCATGCCAGGCGCCGGTACGTGGCTAGCAGCGGGGGCAGTGTAATTACCAGTCCGGAGGGGCAATTCGGCCTCGACCAGAGCCGGGAGAGCATCGTCAGCCTCTGGGGCAGGTCGGGGCACGGGCTCGCCCTTGGCTTCCTCGACAGCTTGCTGTTCTTGTGGGTTAGGTGGCGGTTGCTCCGACGCGTCGGGCACGGGAACTGGAGCATTGATCATGTCCACATCTTCCTTGGCGTCGGTGGGGTCGCCGTCGGGCTCCATGCTGGATGCTCGGCGCTTGAGCGGCGACGAGGACCGGTGGGGTATGTCCGCAGCACCTCCCATAACGGCGCGGTGGAATGAGTTGACCAGGGGGGGCAGGCTCCTGGGGCCACCGCAGTCGGGGGGCTGTAGGGTTGAGGCCGAGTCGACCAAGTCGGGAGCGCGGTCGTTGTCGAGCGACAGGTCGGTTGAGGCAGCAGCGGGGGAGCTCGTAGCCGACGAGGCGTAGTCGGAGGCGGCAAAGGAGCTCGAATGCGTCTGTAGGCGAGGGGGCACGCCGGAGGCTGGCAGGGAGTCGCCACGGAGGTAGGCGGGCGTGCTCAGTCCCGACGTCAGGCCCGACGTGGAGGCAGCCGAAAAGGAGAAAGACGACGGGTCGGGGTCGGGTTCGGGGTCGTGATCGTGGTCGAGATCGTGGCTGCGATGGCGGGCAAGGCTGAAGTCAGGGTCAAGGTTCGGGTTGGGGTTGCTGCCGTATTCGTGGTCGGCGTCGTCCTCTGTCGAGGGCAGCACCGAGTCTGGGCAGATGCTGATGCTGGGGGCCCTCTCCGGCTTGAGCTCCTTAGTCGACTGGCGGGTAATCCTCCGTTTCTTGGTTAAGGAAGACGTTGTGAAGGTGAGCTGCCTAGGCAGCTCGTAATCAACTGGCTCGACGTAACGTAGTTAACGGAAGAAGGGGGTGGAAGAGTAGTGGAGGAGCAGGACGGCCAGCGGAGCGTTGGGTAGGGGCAATGGAGAAAAAAAAGCGGCGGGCAAGGCGGAGCGGCCGAATTTTCTTTTCTTGCACCACTGCAACCTTTGGGAACCGCTGTAACCTAACAAGCAAAAAGGCAGCAGCAGCGCGCACGCACTCAGCCCTCTAGGACCTCAACGGGCTACAAGCAATCGGGAGCCAGCCGCTTAGAGGATGCGACGACCAACAAACGCCACAGCACACCTAAAAAAGAGCTGATGGGGGTGGGAGAAAGGGCGCGAGAAAACGCCCAAACCCTTCCAGTGCTCTTTCTCGCGTCACGCACTCACTCTACTGCAAGAGTGGGCAGGCAAGCAGACAGGACAGGCAAACTGACGGGGTCAGCAGCATCGACAACGACAATGAGCGGCGGGGCAAGCAGCGCAGTTTGCTCGCTTGCGCATCTCCTTTCACTCAGGCGCTGATTTCGGGGTCAGGTCAGGACCAAGGTAGCTGGTGAGGCGGGTGTCGAATCCGAATCCAAATCCAAATGAGTGCCAACGATGGCAACAGCCTGCAGTTGCAGGCCAACAGGTCAGGTCGGTCCCTTTCCCTCACGTTTTGCTAGGTCGCTCCTAACAGGTTGGTTGCAGGTGGGTGCGGGCGGCGGAGAAGATGTGGAGACGCGCCTATTCTGTCAGTACCGTAAGGTACTCGCGGATTCCTGAATGAGTGCCCGAGCTTTATCAAAAGGAACCCGCCCGCCTAGGCTTTCATTTAGCTTAGCCTAGCGCAAAGAGAGGTCCATACCTGACTGAGATGAGGTATGTCCCTCCTGTAATACCAACCCTCCCTTGCCGTCACCTTGGTCTCAGTCTCAGTCTCAATCTCACCCGAGTTCACGCCTCCCTCACGTGGTCTTCCTGTACAAGCACACCCAAATCTCTTGGAACCCACAGAGAAGCGAGGCATCCATTGTTTGCGGGCGACGGTGACGAGGCCTTTGGATTACAGATCACGGGCTTACTCTCAAACAATAGATGTGTGCACAGAGCACTGAGTAGCTTCAGTGGAGCCCCCCCCCCCCCCCAAAAGAAAAAAAAAAACTCACCGTCGACGGCCCAGTGTTATCAAACCGCATCTCTACATGGGTTCTATGCCAGCAGAGCTTATTCCAGTCTACCTATTACCTACCTTGTCATTCCCTGACCTAGATTGCTTCCTTGAAGTCAACTGATAGGTTGAATCCCAAACATTGTCTGTGAAAGTTTCGAGAGCCTCTCCTTCGTTCCGTTTTCAAGACGACGCCTCCGTAATTTGGAAGCTTACCAGATGTCATTCTGTGCAATGGACGCGTGCACGAGCCCAATTACTACTAGTAGCACCAAGGTAAGGGAGTCACGGTATCTGATGTCACTTCCATGCCCACCGCCGCCGCCGCCGCCGCCGCATCTTCCAGGTTAGTTATCCTCTTCTTAGCTCCTGTCAAATCTCATCGCACTTGCCTGACTTCTGGGGGCGGGAAGAAAGCGGTAGGTAGGGTAGGCGGCGGGCGCCACATCTAACTTGGTTAGTCGACCGAATCCACTTCGCCGTAGCCCCACGCCTCTTGCCTCTCGCCTCTCTTCATCGACGCGGACGCGCCTCCCTCGAAGCCTGCCTACCCTAGCTTTCCTTCCCTGGGCCAAGCAAGGCCCCGCGGGTGTCATGGATGTCCTGTCTATGTTGGCAGCTGCTGCCTCTTCACTTGCTCATGTCTGTGCTGCTCACCCTTCATGGGCTTTGGAACCGCGGTCGAGCACAAGCTTTAGTTTTGGATGTAGGAGAAGCGAGGTAAATCAAAAAAGAAATGCAATTACTACATTCGTCTAACGGCCATGTCCGGATGACTACGTTAATGATCATTGGAAACCATACCATGTCCGCGGCGACTGTGTGCCTGCCCATGGGTATAACATGTCTGGTCTTCCATCAAGTCTTTCGTGAAGATGCACCTGGTCCTCCCCTCATGATAACCGCTCCTTTCCGCGAATGATGGTCCTTTATCACCATACACACCTTGTTCTGCGTCTCTTTATGCGCTACTCGCCTCTACACCCCGCATGTCCTGCGTCAGTTCATCGCCCCTTTTCCACCCGTCAACACCACGCCAATTTTAGCGGCTCTCTTAGGGCCGTCGCGAGTCAAGCCAATGGCGGCCCCGAACTCTCAAAGGTCTCCCACGAGCCAGGCTCGTCCGAATCTCACAGCTTCGAGTCTAACTCTTCATACTCGCTGAGGTCCTTCGCCGGACGAGCCCCGCCAGTTGCTGCGAGGCCCGCCTTGAAATTCCGCACATCTTCGATGATTTGAGGCGTCGTCCCGTTCGACGATGGCGGATCTGCGTCCTTAACCACCCCGTTCGCTTCAATTTTGTCTTTGTGTAGTTTCTTCCACGCCTCCGTGGCAGCCTCGATCTTGTCCTCGGACACCTTCAGCTCGTGGAGGAGGTATTGTCTAAGACCCTCAATCTCCTTATCCATGTCATGGCCTGCCGCGCTCAGCCTGGCCTGGAGGTCAGTGGCGGCCTGGGCAGACGCGTCCGAGCTCAGCCCCAACGTGCTGACGAGCTCCGAAATCTGCTTAGTCGACACATCGCTCTTAGCTTGCGCGATGAAATAAACGGCAAGCTTAGCCCGGTGCGGCGACGAGGGGTGGACATAATGATTGTAAAACTCGAGCAACTCCGCCTTGGTTAACGCTTTAATATGAGCTGCATCCTGCTGGGCTGTATGCATGGGGAAAAAGACAGAAGGTCAGTTATGAAAGTCTTTGCAAAGAGGTTGACTGGTATCATATCATACTTACCGGATTCAAAATCATAATATTCGCTGTGGATCTGGTTCCAGTGCTTGCTGGTCTCCTGGTCAAGGTTCTTGGGTGTCTCGAGCCGCTTGACAATCAAGCTGCGCTTATGGTTCTCAAATTCTGTTTCGCTCATCGAGTCAATAATCTTGACCATGGATTCCAAGAAGCCCTCAATCCTAGTCTCAAGGAAAGGCGCGGTCTTCTCGCTCTGGATGATGAAGCGTATTCCGTACGTAGTCGCACCAGGTCGGATGCCCGAATAGACAATGTAGCCAAGCTGCTCCTTGGTTCGGAGCTGATCAAAGGAAGGCTCGTGCATGACCTGGTTCAGTAGCAACGTCTTGGCGCGGATCTGGCGGTCTGCCTTGTCGCCTACATAAAGCCAGTACTCGATGCAATGGTTGACATTGGCCGCGTCCTTGAGCGTCTTCTTCCAGATGTAGTTGGACCCTGGCGGGAAGATTAGCGAACGCTGGATCGGCCACTGTGCGCGAGGCAACACTCTAGGTTTCAGTGTCGATTCGAGCATGTCGGTCAACTTGAGCGAGTCCTCCTTGTAGAGGTTGCCATGAACGTATAGCTCCACGTGCATTTGAGAGAGGAGCTCCTTTCTGAACAACCGAACGTCGTCAGCCGTGATGGTCGGAAGTTCGGCTTCCAGCTCCTCGACCACATAGTCGTGTTCGGAAATCAGCCAGCCTGTAACGTCGCCGATTTGCGTCCACGGTTGCTGGAGCTCCCAGTTACGATAGCCCCTGGTGAGGCGCTCTTTGATGATAGCAAATCGGTCCTCCCGGATCTCGAGATCACGTACCGTGATCAGCACCTGTTCCAGCAGAACCGCGAGCTTGTCGTTGTAGCCGGATACCTCGATAAACAGTCCTCGGCTATCCAGCGACACGCTGTACTGCAGGCCTGCCAGCTCTGCGTCGTACGAGTACTCTTCCAGGGCGTCTTTGACAAGGTCCGTGAACAGCCGAGCCTTTACCGCGTTCGCTGCTTTCGCATAAACGATGGGGCTCTTGCAGCTCACAATTAAGTTTGCCTTGGGGACCCAGAATGTGTCGTCCTTCTTGTACCATGTGCGAACCAGCTCGTCGTTCCTCACGATCCTAGGCGCAAGCGCCGGCTCTTTTACCTCTTTCTTCTCAACTTCAAGTTTAGTCGGGATAAACTGATTCTTGTGCGGAAGGTAGAGTTTTGGAATTCGATCCTTAGCCGAGGTAGCTGCGGCCTTCTTGATTTCTTCCATGAAATCTTGCGATATGGGCTGCACCGTGTATTCGGTCCCATACCACTTCTCCTTGTGTTCCCACTTCCCTGGGAATTCTTGCGAGACGACTGACATGCGGAAGTTGTCGGGACGTAAGCAATCAAGCGCCTGCTTGATCAGCTTGGCATCGTATTTGCGGAACACCCTAAGCCCGCTCAAGAGCCATTCCCGTGGCAACGGTTGCTGCATCTCGTTGGTGACTCTGCTGGTGAAGCGCGACGCCTGCGACTTTTGCTTGAATTTAAAATCCACGTCCGCCATGCCTTTTTGCTCGTCAAAGATCCATTGTTTAGGTCCCGCCTCCCGCAGGAGAGCAATGTATTGGAAGACCGCCTTGACGACGTCTTTGTAGTTCTTGAGCCCCTCTTTGGTCAACCGTATCTGGCACCCGAACACGCCAGGGGTTCCAGGACAGATTGGATAAGCGCCCGCGGTCAGGCCATTGGCCCAACCCATCGACTTGATATAAGCCATGACGCTCCCCGGGCCTTCATGGCCAATCAAATGGCTGAGGTAGCGGCCTGGCAGCGTCTCGAAGAGGAGGTCCTCGTCCAGAAACGGGAAGCTCAAATCGAGCTCTCTCGAATCCATGACGGGCTTCGCAAAACATTGGACTCCGAGTTGGTCCTTGCCCCAAGGAACTTCGCCCTCCCAGCGGCCTGGCTTCAGCGCCTTGTTCTTTATGACAGAAAAGTACTCCGAGACCCAAGACTCTAGCACATCCAGAGGCTCCCGCCCAAGGACGCACAGCTTCATTAAATTGGCCGAGTAGTGCTTCTCGTAGAACTCGATGAATTTATCCCGTATGTTAATTCCTCGGGATTCGGGCAGCGTCTTAAGCGTCTCGAGGTTCCCGGTGGAGAAGTGGTAGTATGGGTGCTTCGGATTAGCCAAGGCCTTTTCAAGCTGGTGCAGCCGCCACTGGTCGCTCTGGAGGTTCTTCTTGTTCTCTGAGTCTACGGCCTGGAGCTCACGGTCTAGGGCGCTCTCAAGAAAGAGCGGCTCGACGAAGAACTGAGCGAAGCGGTCCAAGGCGCCCAGCAAAGGCGAGGGGTTGGCAGCCGTGGGCTCCTCATCGTTGCTGGGCTTGGCGGACAGCTCGAAGTGGTAATTGGTAGACGTTGATGCGGTCCATGCATTGCCAGACCCAGAATGAGCTGCCAGATATTGACTGTAGTCATTCTCAGTTGGGTATTTCTTGGTACCCATGAAGAGGAGCTATTTTCTCACGAGTTAGCCAGCAGCTTGTATGGGGCGGCCCGTCCCGCCCTCCGAGCCCAGGGCTCCGAGGGCGGAGGAGAGGAAGTGAGTGTACGTACATGTTCAACAGCGTGGGCCATACCCGGCATGTCGTCTTCATCGCTAAAGTTTCCCACGTTGACGTCCATGGCCGCGCTGGCCTTGTCTGTCTGGGGGTCGTGCACCAGCAGTACCTCGATCTGGTTAGGCAGCCGGATGACCCGATAAGTGCGGTCATCTAATGAGGGCTTCTCCAGATGGTCGGTGACCAGGTCGACTGCGCGCAGGCCATCCTCACCTGGCGCGTGGCGCCGCGAGTTGGCCATGACTGAATAGTGACGTCGGTGTCGTTGTTGGGGTCGTGGTCGAGGTCGATAAGGGCTTTGGTTTGGGGGTGAGAGGTGCCTATGAGGTAGGCGAGGGATCCGGGTCGGAAGGGTCCAGGACGCAGAACCACAAGCTGTTGGCGACGGAAGCAGAAGACCGAGGAGGCGGCGGCGGCGGCGCAAAAGGTAAAGGTACGAATAGCAACAGCAGGGTCTGTGCGGAGGAGGGTGGAGACGCTACTAGTACCGCGGTATTCGTGCTAAGGTAGCTAGGAAGTGGGATGCTGTTACCGGCGAGTTGGATGCCAGGAAGACGGTTGCAGGTCTTGTGGAACGGCAATCTAGCAGCCGCGGTCGGCTGTTGTCCACTCTTGGGTCTCGGCGGCGGCGGCGCAACTGCAACTGCAACTGCAACTCGAGCGCGTGTGACGGGGGAAGCGAGGTGGTGTGGGGAGTCGCTTGGACTGCACTAGAGGCCCCAGCTAGATATTTCCCAAACGGACAGCGTCTGTAGAGTTTGGACACGGCGGTGGCGGGCACGATCATGTACTGTCTGTACTGAGGCAGACTCCAAGTACAGTCAGTTCGTGGTTTACGTCCACCCTTAGCTAAGGTATCCGAAGGACGGTCGGGCCTTGACTGGGGTGGTAATGTGAGGGTGGCGGCGTCGGCAGCAACAGCAGAAGAAGCAGCAGCAGGACCCGCTAGGCCACGAGCTTTATACTTGGTGTCGAGTCGCACAGAGATGACGAGCTTCTTCTAGATTCTGGATCCTGTATGCAAAACCAGAGTCACAGCCAGAACCAGAACTGGTACCAGAATCAGAGCCGGATGGCCTGCGACGAGCCGAGAGCCTCTGGACGCTCCCGAGGGGCCGGCAGGCGAAACAGCGCCTGGGGAAATGAAGACCGGAGAGAAGGCAGCAACCCGTGTGAATCCTTTGCTATAAGAGTATCAGTACAACCGACGGGGTGTTCGCGAAGAAGAGGAGGGCACGAATTAGCACGTCTGATATCGACTAGGAGGGGCGTGGGACCTGAGAGACGGGGCGCGGGGGTAGGTAGGCTGAGCTATTCTGCGGGCGTGACAGGGGCCCCCAAACAGGCAATCGGCCACTAATATAATATGTACTGCGTCTGTATGCACTTGAGCGCGCAGCTAATACTGGGAGGTTATGTATGTGCATACCTTACCTACCACATGAGGCACGCAAGTTAACATGGACGCTTGCTCTCGAGGTACCTAACCAAAGGTATCTTACTTTCCAGGCTACCCAGTGGAGGTGCTCGCTAGGCCGATGACCATGACGTGAAGGGCATTAGGTCGGCACCAGGCACCTCACTGGACACTTGGCAATTGGGGGGGAGGGGGGTAGCGGCCTCAGGTAACCGTTCAAGCGCCAACTCAACTCCCAGCAGAATGGAGGGTGTGGAGACTCAAGAGACACAGAACACTGGACCTCGGGGCTCCAGTAAACTCTCACTGTACTGTATGCCCGTATGTACGGGATACTTCGTACATACGTGCACTATCCCGTACATACGGGCATACAGATGCATACCTCACACGACCCGAACCTCTCTCTGCAGCGCGCTCTTTGCTAGGTATTTGTGTGTAGTGAGCGGCACCCAGTGTAGCCGCGGGAGGAAGAATGATATCAGCCTCACAGCCGTCGCATGCCCGGCACTCCGCGGGCCACAGATGGCGACGCATCTTCGTGGAGGCGGTGGCTACCTTGCTCCGTAGCACCTAGTAGCAGGCAGGAGTCAGGACAGGTGGACGACAGCATGCGGCCAATGCCAAGGGCATGTGGCTGGGAATGTTCGGCGGCGTACGGAATACGGAGTCCCTCAGCAACGACAAACTACCTTCCATGCCATGGCTTGCTTGGTAAGGACCAACAACCAAGTAATCTCGGACAGCCCGCCACCGCCGCCGCCGCCGCCGCCGACGCCGCATAAGCAGCCGACGCCGCATAAGCAGCAGCGCAACAAAGCAGGAGGCGAAACTGGCTGGGAGAACGAACAGACGCAAATAAACAGCCAACAGGGCCCGGTACCGCACTTCGCACCTCGCACCTTGCAGCGAGCGGCAACATGATACATGATATGGCAATGTCGGCTGCTGTTGGACCTACGGATACGGAAACCTGGGGTGGCAACGGGCGCAACGACGCACCGAAGTCACGACGAGGGAGCTAGCGGCTCGATGCGCGCCCGCAGGACAGGCGGCATCTCTTTAACGAGCAGCCGAGCAATATCGAGCAGTCGAGACGACGCGGGCGGGTCGACGAAGCAATCTGAGAGGCCGTCGGCTGCGACCTGACGCCGGGGAGATTAGCATGCCGGTCGCGCGTTAGGTCGGCGGGTGACATTGAAGCGGTTCCCAAACCGTATCTCCTCCGTATGCCCCTGTCCTGGTAAGGTCAACATTCCTAAAGGCCCGGGCTAGTGCTGCTGGACGTTGGATGGGTCTTGCGCTGACGGTTTGGAGCCGACTGATGTGATGGTGTCAAACGGCGACGTAGAGATCAAAATGCCGGGCAGCGAAGGGACGGCCACGAGATGCCTTATGGAAGCCCACAGGTACCTAGCCAGCCTAGGTAAGTAAGCAAAGGTAGACATGCAGCCTAGAATCTGTTTTTGGCAAGTCAGCGGTGCCTTGTAGTTGGTCGTTTACCATGTTCGACCAGCCCAGGTGTGACTTCGAGGGAATTCAAGACATTGGCTACTCTACCCATAACAGTCTTGCCATGATGAGTACGAGCAGTGCATTATCTCCGTAGATATCGGGTGAACGGTGGGATGGCTGCTTGCGGCCAGATACTGGGGTAATGGCGAGATGTCAATGGGTATGGGGATGATGGGAAGGTGCACCCCTCCCCAAATCGAGTTTTGGCATCTAGGCTCAATTAGGTATTAATTCTTTTTGATAGACCTGAGGATATAATCTCTCTCCCAACTTTTTCGTCCTCAAAATATTCCAAGGCATCGATGGAGACTTAGACCCTTTCACACAAAAACCCTCTCAACACTTCAGAAATATACCAGGTCTGCACTTTTTTGGGTCAGACTTTCTATCTAGGAATCGCGTTAGTTGTTCTTCCCAGTTTCACCTTAGGCGCGGGCAGTCAGTGGTTCTCGCCAGGGAAGGTACAAGGCAACACTTTCGCCAGTTTACACCTCACTGCTCGACCTAACGGCCTATTCGGAGAATGTACGGAATTTCGCGCATACAACGACTCAGACAACCTTGTAGATGGCAGAGAAAATCTGTAGGGCATCCATGAATGCCATTGGTAGCCCGATCAGGATCTGGCAGGCCAGTGCCACTCCGGTGGCAAGTGACACCTGGCCAACTAGGTACGTACCATGACGAAGACAACGGAGCGTACTTTCCTTACAGCAGTGGTGCATTGCACAGGGACAGCCCAAGGTAGTTCAGGCAAGTACCGTAACTCGGGTACGATTGAAGTATTAGAAATACTAGAGGACCTTGACGGGTGCGGATGGAGAGGTTCGGAAATCGTTGCTTCCTCGAACCACCGAGGCGGGCGCGGTGGACGGAGCAGCTTTACTCCCGTTTACTAATTCAGTTAGGTACCATCCTGCCCGTTGGCTGGTCGGGATTCCGAGTCATCATACCAAAATTCAAAAGCTCCTTCCCCCTGAGCATACCATGAGCAAGCATGATTCCGTCAGCCTCAGCCTGTTAGATTGTTGGCCTCTTCGCTCCCCAGCAGTTATTTGCATCCCCTCCCCCTCCTTGCAATGCGAGCGGATAAGACCGCGCAGAAGGCCCCCGTATTGGCATTCATCCCTCCTTTCTCTCTCTGCCCCTGGATACGTCCGTCCTGTTGAGGTTTCCGCTCTTGCAACAGTGACTAATTGGTGGTTCGAGGCATGGGCTACCACGTGTTGAGCGCGGTTCTGAGACCTACAGAGCCGGGGACTGACGTGCCCGCCGATCGAGGCATTGGGGGCCGAGGTTGGATGAACCTCCCTCACTAACGTGTAGATCTGAATAACATTATCTGCCTCCCCGCATGTAACTCACGGTTTCAGAACCACAACAGGGGGGCGGGCTCAAGAAGCGGCCAGCTGCAAGAATGAACCGCAAGCTAGAGTATAACCCAAAATGAGAAGATATTCAAGAAAAAGCCAAGCTCGCCGATGCAGAATAGGCAATATCATTCGATCGCTTGTTAATAGCCCAGTGAGTGATTGCGTTCGCCAAGCTACGATTTAACGTCGTCACTCCAGCAGCTTGTTGCCCGATCGGGCTGTCGGTTCGGGGGGCCGGCCCAGAAGGAACGCAACATTGCTCCTACGACAAGGCCTCTCAATACAAATCCGTCTTCCATATACATATTGCATCCACGAAAGGACGACTAGGGTGCTGTTCCGTGCGCCATTCTGCATGATGTTGGCGGGGAGGATCGTCGCTAGTGCTTGGGTGCTTGTCGATGGTGCCGATGACAAAAACTCTTTCTAGAAGCCTCCTATTGCCGCGCACAGGGAAACCGCATATGTACCTTTCTGGCAGACCGGCCAGCAGCTCCCATATTGGATCGCGTTGGCTAGAAATGGCCTCGGTGCCACGGCTGTCTCTCGCTGGTTCTCGTTGGCGACTCTTGAGCTCCGCGTTCTTCCATTGGTTGGTTTAAAGCCCACCACTTGGCTTAACACGTATATTAGATACCTTGGGTATGTGGTAGGCATGTACGGAAGATGTAGACATACAACGAAAGGACACTATGCAGCCCTGTGTCTTATTTCTTGCGACCTTGGGGTGTCGCGAAACGACAGCTCCGACCCTTGGTTTCCCGGATGTCACCCTCGGACGGCTTAACAACTCAGCCCGCCAGTCCCGGAGTCGTCCCGTGCCTGATTCACCGGTTCATAATGACGTTGTAGGGAGGCGCCTATTTCTCTCTCTCGCGTCAAGGGCCGGCGAGTCGACGGTCTTGGGCTATTTATTTCGCAGGTTGGTAAGAGGATGAAAGATGGAATGGAAAAGAGTCGCATCGCCAACCATAATTCCAGACTTCACAGACACAAGAACCCGGATCCAGACTCTCGGTTTTGACGCGGCGCTTTGCTGGGCGTGTTCGCCGCACCAACAAAACATCGTTGTCATGTTGCCGAAAGTCGCCCAAAAAAATTGCACATGATACTCGAACCCTGCGACCCGTCCGGTCGTCCAAGGTGCCTGCTGCAATGCTACTCCTGGCCGAGCTGCGATACAGTTGAGGAGCCGAACCAAAGCACAACCAAAGTTGGTTCGCGGCCGGCTGATTGTCCCCATGCCGCGATTCCAATCGGCTGCCGTGCGCGCCTTGTCCTTGGACGGGATGGGACGCGGCTCGCCCTGCAGAGACCTCGTTCGGGAATATGCACTAGCTACGCCCTTCAGCTTTTGGTAACTTGAGCCATCTAGCCTGCAAGTGCAGCTACGATACCTACTATGTAAGGTACCTTGCTTTGGGCTAGTTGAGTTCTCACACTGCAACGCAAGGACGGCAGTTCATGCATGTCGACGCTTTTAGCAGACGAGTGGATCTGAGAAAAGCGGCGGGGTTGCCATCAAACAGCAGCGCAGCGACAAGGAACGTGGTGTTAAGGTGACTTCCTGCCACTTACATGATTTGCTGTAGTAGAGTACAAAACCAGCAAATGGGCCCCAAAGACAAACCAAGCAGTGGGCAACCAAGGCACGTACGTAGTCCTGCTTCGTCGACCGTGCGGGATCGCCAGCCAAGGCTTTCGACTCGGTCATCGCCGAGACGTCCCTCCCGGCCGGGTCGATCCGGTCCGATACCCCAAATATTCCTTTCGCGGGTATAGCAGAGCGAGTTTTTCACGCCAAACTATCCCAACAGGCCTTCGAAACGTCCCCAAGCTTTCCTAGTTACCCGCTCGCTAGGCACACGGCCGTGGCGTGTAGGGCAGGTTTCCAAAGAGTACCTTCTTCTGGCCCAGGGATCTACCCAAAGAATAAGGGGGTCGGGTCAAACGGCCTACTAATTCGGCGGACCACCTTGTTGGAAATCCCAGACAAGTTCAGCCAGGTTCACAGACTTTACCCGGGTTAAGAAGGGCACGGCACGGCTGGCCTCGCCCGCTCGAGCGGAGTAGAATCCCTTTTTGGTCGAGTCGAGAAGAAAAAACATCGTCATTCTATAGTCATATTCGCGGCTCGACTCTGTTTTTTAAAGGACGGCGGCAAAAGAGGGGGGCCGAGCTGCATGCACCCGTTTCTGCCTGACTCTGGTATAAGATCGAACATCCCTCCCCTCCCCCCTTTTTTTCTCAACCACATATATCGACACGGCGGTCTTGGATTTCACACGTGTAATCCGTATTGAGGGCTGGTAAGCTTCGCTTATCGCAAAAGGGACAACACAAGGGCCAACACGACTACGTTTACTTTCTCCCCCTCCCCGCCTCGCATTCAATGAGTTTATACCTGTGACATTCAAGGGGGAAAAAAGGGGGCTGGGGGGTTGGGCTTCCTTCTTCCTTTGAGCCGTCATCATGCACCTGGTATGCACCAGCATCACACTTCCTTCTTTATGCGGGCGTATCCCACACACTCTCTAGAAAAGGTACACGTAAAGAGGCGAAAAAAGCACAAGAAACACAGACACGCAGAGAAACGTTTCAAGCTTCCACTGGGTACCATTCTAGAAGTGACCTGGTGTAGGCATGTGTCTAAAGACTTGGTTCCAACACCAGCAAAGCTGGAAATGTTTGAGGAAGGATACGACGTGGAGGGATCCCCGTCTCCCAGTATGATGTATAAGGCTGGAGGGGAATTGCTGTTTCTCAAGTATAATCCCGGCCAAACGGAAGCTCGAAGAAAGAGGAAAACAAAAAAGACATTATTCATATTGTACCTCGACGTCACAGCCCGCCCGTCTTCCCCCTCCAGATACACACCCCTTTTTGGAAGTGGGAGGGTGATAAAAACGACGGGTAGACCAAGAACATGCATGTGCTATGCTAGCCGTTTCTCCTCATCTGCGCTAAAAAAGGTTCTTTCCCGAGGGGGGGAGGGCCAAGAGGAAGGGAAGGAGGGGGGGTATAAAAGCCCGTGTTTTATTGCCGGGCTTGTATTTCTGAAGCCATCACAGCAAGTTGGTCATGCCGATGAGCGAGCCAGCCAGCGAGGATGATTCGTACAATTCTCCTGAAAGAATACGGGGCAAGGTAGGTAATACAGCTGGAAAGGGGGGGCGCGCATGCGCATGGAGCCCCCAACCCGCGAAGCAATTGCGTTCTATCAATGGGCGGGACGAATTCAGCATGATCAGTCTGCTCGCTCTCTCAACGCTTCTTCTTGTTCGGGCACTCGGCAACCTTGTGGCCGAATTTCCCGCAGCCGTGGCAAGACTGAGCAGAGGACGATCGCTGCTGGAAGGAGGGCGGGGTTCTTGACGAAGAGATGGAAGTCAGTGTGTTCAACTTGACTTCCTTTTTCCGGCGCTCCTTGGCCAGCAGCTGCGCCTTCTTCCGCTCCTCGCTTCTCTTGGTTAACACTGCACTGGCACTGGATCTGGCCCGCTTGGCTGGTGTCTGCCTGGCGTCGTTGCGCCCGCCACGATCCGGCTCCTCTCCTGTTGACTCTGGAGAGCTCTGGTCCTCGTCGGAGTCTTCTTCCGAGCTCTCGCTCTCGCTGTTGTCATTGTCTTCCTTTGGCTTGGAAACCTAGAACCAGAAAAATAGGTACATTATTACGTTAGCTCTATGTACTTTACTAGAACTCTCTGTCCCCTGTCGTGGCGATGAAAAGGAACATGCCTTTGACGTCTTCATATTGAACCGGAGAAAATGGCCGGCGGCAGATGCATTAACCGCTCCGAGCGAGGCCCCATCCGGGCTGTCGCTCGCGGTGGCTGAGTGGTCAATCTGGGCGAAACCAACTTGGACAACATTCAACGGCTGGTGCGGACCGCCCTTGGACAGGGCAGCGACGCCATCCAGGACCCAGTGGGAGTCGCCCAGCTCGGCAGCGCGCTTCTCGACAGCCGCCTTGCGCTTCCTGTCTTCCTCCTCCAGCGCAGCCTGAAGCATCTTCTGGTCGTAGAGGGGCGTGACCGGGGTGGAAGCGGTCGGCGTATGGTTGGTCTTTCGGCGCTTCGTAGAGTTCCCCTCGTTGTCCGTCTTAGGAGTGGCAGGGGAGTTGGCTCCCGAGGCCGACGCAGCCGCCGCCGTCGCCGCCGCGCCCCTCTGCATGAACTTCATCGTCATTAGGCGAGACGACATGGTCTTTGGCGTAGTCTGCTCCGTCATGGCGGGCAGTTCCGCACGGGTGGCAGGCGCCATGGTGGTGGGCTGGGCAGCACGGAACTGTTGTCGAGTGCGAGACAGTGCTAAGCCGAGCTTCTCGTCCGACAGTGAATCCGAGCTAAACGGGCTTGTATTCGAAAAGAGGAAGAACCAAAAACAGGGAGCCGGCGTTGTCTGGTTAGTAGATTGGTGGTACCTTGGTTAGCCTCAGTCAGTCTGCCAAATTTCGAGGTCCGCGCTACAAAGCAAGAGCCCTTTGTGAAGCTTCGCGAGACTAGCCGCGAGAGTGTGGCTTGGAATGGTGCGCGGCAGACAAAGTTGATTCGACGCTACAAAACAAGAAAGACAGGGTTCGTTTCTGACCAGCGGCCCCCAGGGTTGTTCTAGGCCGCAAGTGGGGCGCGCCTGCATTTGGTGTGGTTGCAGGCTAAGCTAAGGTGCACGGGCCACGAGCCAAGTCTCGACGATTTTGAATTTCTGATTCAGCCGCATTGCTCTTTGCTGCTAAGCAGGGGGCAGGGCAGGTAGTGCCGAGAATCAGCCGACGACTTGTAGCGAGCCGGTAGCTCAACCTCACTCAATTGACGCTTTCCAGGGCCAGCTCAATCGACAAGCTCCCCCCTCCCGCTGAGCGTCGCCCTCCCACAACCCGACAATGTACGCCTCACGATTACGCCCTGTAGCCCACAGGCTGGCGCGCCAGTGTGCGCACTCCCAGCGGTCGTTTGCCGTCACAGCCCGCCAATTGGACTCGGCAACGGCCGTCCCCGCGGCCAAGACGGCCGCGTCGCCCGCCGTTCCCCAGAAGCTCCCCGAAGAGCCCACCACCGCAGTCCAGCAGGCCCCGAACCGGACAGAGATCTGGTCCCGCAGCCAGCAGCCCCGCTCACAGGCCATGACGGGCCCGCGCTTCGAGCAGACCGACTTTGATCTCCAGGTATGAAGATGACAGAGCGGGCGCGAAGCTGGCGGTTTACCCGGAGAGACACCGGGAATCGACGAGGGGGATGAGACGGAACACCAAGGTTATGGGGGAAGAAATGGAAGTATATATACTGACAGGAGACCCAATTGAATTGCGTTTAGCCCCAATCATATGCCGCTATCGAGCTCATCCACGAGCAGCCAGTACGCTGGACGCATGACCGCGTCGTGGCATGCGACGGCGGCGGCGGCGCGGCCGGGCATCCCCAGATCTTCATCAACACGGACAAGCCCGAGATTGCCACCTGCGGATACTGCGGCCTGCCATTTGTATGCCGTGCCCTCCCCCCCTCCTCCAGCATGGCTACTCGCATCCATTGTTTCCTTGCTCTAGTATGTGGGGGTGGTAAGCTAATACGTGAATATGTGTCACTTCTTCCGCGCACGATTAGGCAAACGAACATCACCGAAAGCACTTGGAATCTCTACCAGAGACTTCGTACCCTCTCTGAAACTGTATTGCTTCTTTCGGTCGCGGGAACCTGAACATACCTAGGCGGATTATCGGTAATAGAGATAGGGGCCATGCCGCCCCTATGGTGCACCAGGCATTGAGAAAAGGGGGGCGGGCCCTTGCACATATTTTAGAAATGAAAATAACCAAAAAAGATCTGAACACTCGCGTTGTGAGGCACGCACTATGTGGTCTTCTCTCTTTTGTTTTCGGGAGTCTAAAGGGTTGGGATTGGGAAGGAGGTATCAGATGATGTATACAAGTTGTGAGCCTAGTTTTTCTCGGTTCGTTGGCCTGATATCCCTCCTTTCCAACTACACTGTCCATTAGGCGGCTCCGATTAGAGCTGGTTGGTCTACGTCCTCTCATTGTCCATTTATGTCACATGTCAGTCACCTGGCGCAGATTCGGGTTGCTCACGACGCTACTCAAAGGAGGGATCACGTTCTTTGGTGAAGAATATAGTGTATGAACACTATTTACTCTAGTAGTCTATGTGCTCCTTCTTTTCCCTTAGCTGTATGTATGCATCGACCTGATAGGTGCAGTTAGTGGCGTGGTACACACTACCCTCAACTTTTAGCAAATGTCCCAAATCCCTTACTAAGTTTCTCTCCCATGGTGACCCAAATGAATGTCCTCTTCTCCTAAACCCGGTATCGCTAGTCTCCCACACCAGAAAATCCGAATTATTCTTGCGAGCTGTCTGCCAGCTGAGTCCGCTTGGAGTTGACAAGTACAGTCAGCGTCATGTCACCGCTTCATCCCGAAATACCATAGATCGTGGCATTGACTGGGCCTCTGGCGTAATGCTTGATTTTATTCTCGGCCTTTCCGATCAAGGGCAGCTGCAAATCAACCTGTGCAAAGGTCGTCGGGTAGTCCCAAGGACGAGTGAAGTTTCTGCGAGTAAGGGCGGTTAGTCTCAAACCCCCTGTGCAACAGGAAAATAGTCTCCTGGCGGCCCTACTCATCGTCGTGATAGCGGTGGCCCAGCTCCAGGGTAAAGTTCTCCGCCGTGTGGAAACTGACTAGCCGCATCTCGAAGTAGGTCATATCGCCTTGCCAACACAAGTCATATGCGCCGTTGTCAATGTCGGTGCCGTTCTCGCCAATGCCTGTCACGCCATCCCAGGCCCAGGTGTAATTGCAGACGCATGACGATACGGGGTTCTCTTTTATCGAGTTTGGGTCGTACCAGTTAACTGGCCGTACTGTCAGCCTAGAGGTTCCGTTGCATATCGAGATTCAAGGGAGGGGGGAAGAAGGGGTGTGGAATTACACATGACTTCACACGAGAACGCAGCCGTTGTATTCAGACGCACACAGTCCAAGCAGATGTTGGTCAACTGGAAGGGGTTAAAGTTAAATTGAGACTTGGTAACGGGCACTATCTTTCCGCTCTGTGCCTGGGAGATTGAGGTGGTCGAGTGACTCGGCGCAGCATCTGTCCGGAGTGGTGCCAAAAGGCATAACAGAAGCGCCGTAGAGTACATGATGGCGATCCTTGGGTATGGTATCAACGAGGCGGTACCAACTCGAATAGACCTGGGAAATATGGCGAGGTTGGAAGTAAACTGGATTGGGTTGCGCGTCCTGAGGGACTAAAGAGCAATAAGTAGGAGCGTTGGTGATAATTCCGGCTATGGACCAGGATATGCAGGTCTACTCTATCGAAGAGATAGATCAGTGGATTTGGAGAAAAAGAAACACCTTGAGTGCCCACGGCTTTTTGTCTGGAAACCAAATTTGCACGCGCCTGAGAATCGCGAGCGAGGAGTACAAGGGACAGTCCAAACACTCAACTTGAAGTCAGAGCTTGAAATTGCCTCCAGGTTTGATGTCGCATGTCTTCCCCACAAACATCGAAGCGGCAAACAATAGGAGCTGAGATTTTCGTCAGACAAGGCATATCCTAAGTAAGATGGAAGCCAGAACAGACGAAAAGAACTTGGACCGATAGGGTTCCAGGCAACCTCGTGGGAACATCATGCTACAGTCATCCGGCGGCATCACCTACAGTTTCGCACCTCCTTCTAAATAGCGGTCAAGTTTTGACTTCAGTTTCCCCATCCATTGTTTGGAAAGCAGGGCGTTCCACAGACGTCAAATATAGAACAGCCATCCAATGACACCGCGAGGCGGTCATATTTTGACTGTGGAGACCATCGATGATCGGATTTCATTCGCAGCCGACCTTGCTTCCTTTCTCCGGTCTAGGGAAGTCGCAAAGAGGGATATGGACCGATCCTCGAGGCGTTTTCCGATTCAGGCCAGTGCAGGGTTGATCCTACCCCGGCGATCGCTCCAGAGACTCGAAGTGAGACACACAGGCAGGTGCTTTCCAGTCTCGACTGTCACGAAACGTGGGAAGCACCTTCTCGGAATCGCAATCAAAATCCTAAGCGAGCGCTTAACAGGCATAGATGGCAAGAACCACCATGTCCTTTGCTGCCCCTGGATGCCCCTGATGAGCCTTTTTTCTGGCACAATATGACACACTTGGTTAAGGTAGGTGCACTTGCCAATTTTAAGTACCAGTAGTGTATTACACTTTACCCCTTCTCTCGATTCTTCAATGTGCCATGGCAAGTCCTTCCTTCCCCAGGGTGCTGTGAAACCTTAGGCATCTCAGGACCGCTTCTTTGCCGGCCGGCAATGAATTCAAAACTTAGGGTAACGACATCGCATCTAGATCTCTCGTTCTGTCTGTAGAAGTATATCCTATAGTTAAATCCTGCGTTTGTGATAGATGTTGATCAAGTTAATGACGGCTCGTCATATGGGTGAAGCGATGCTGTTCTTGCTGGGACGTTGAGTTTTGGACAACCACCAGTTTTAATACCGGGAGTGCCAACTTCCCATTTCTGGGGACCAGAAGCATCTCGCCAAACAGTAGATGTACATTAAACCTTGCAAGGCTGTTGCTTAAGGTCTATCGGTGGCGTTGGCAACCAATGGAGATAATCCTCATCGCAATTCCTTAGAGCCATGCCTCAGAACCTCCCTGCCGCCCATCTTACTAAATACTGCCATCAAATCCACGACCTAGACTCAACTCGAGCGGTTTCTAGTTTTGGATTGTGCGTTGGTCAACAGCCCAGCACAGTCTATTGGACTGATTGACAACACGAAGGATGTATATTTGACTGGAACGACTTACTTGAACAGGGAACACTGGATGACGCCCTCGTCGGGGGGGGGGGGGGGGGGGGGGGGGCTAACGACGACTCAGAATGCACCTCGTAGCCACTCGATATACGTCTCCTCAGTTCCCGAAGCAGGGCTCGTCAGTATCAAAACACGTCCTGATAGTCGTGAAGCCACGGCAGGCCCCGTTCAAGCCTGACAGGACTCGATAATCTCATGCAAGATGGATGACACGTCGCAAGTATCCAGCGTCGGTTTCTCAAGACATTTGGCTCTAGTTCCGCAGACGAAGAGGCATGAGGTCTGTCGCCAGTAGATTTGTCATCTTTGAGCCGACCCGAGCTGAATCGTACTCGATTGAGAGAAGCCCGGGATAGGTATATTCGCCGATGAACAAACGTGCCAGAGGCCGGGAAGTTGTGGGGGCAGTACGTCATAGGGCGCCATGTACATACAGCTGCAGTTGGGGGTAATAAACGAACGGGAAAGCCACGCAGGTCCCTATTATGCCCGGTAAGTCGAGCGTTGAGCTGAACCAGCTCATGACCAAAAGGGGAAGACATCCACGTTCCGGACCGGCGCCTGACCGGGATTGTTCTGAGCTTCCGCGGGCATGACTGTGGCTTGCAGCACGAATAATATCAAAGCTTATACACTTTTGAGATAGATCAAAAGCCGGGCAAACTTGGTCGCCACTTTCAGCCGTTCCGCAGCGCAGGAGCAGGGAGAGAAAAATGATGCTCATCACGACACCCCGGTCTTAATGTCCTTGGCGTAAGAGAAACAACGAGGGTGAGGCCGATAATCTGGCTTGTTTGCTTGCATGACTGCAGCCATCCTCAAGCTACCTTTCATGCAGAAGCCAATGCGCCCCACACATTTGCCCCCATCAAGAGCCGTTTCCCGCCGACTTTCAAATTCCCGTCAACCTCCACCGGAAGCTCCAAACTCGGGTTGTCGTTGCCAGACACGGAAGGCAGGTAGGTGATGTAAGCGGAATGGACGGCGGTGGTCGTTCGGGTCTTGCCACCCACCGTTCTTTCTCTTCAACTCAGGGTTACGTTAGTGTTACGGCCCTAAGACCGCAAAGCGACTAGCCGTTACTATTATTAGCGCAGCAAACAAGGTTCTGGGGGCGCACTCCACTAAAAGGGCCACCCCACCACGTCTGAACTGTGGTGATCTGCGGGGCAGAAAAGGCAGCTTGGCAGTCTTTCCAGCTCCATTGTTCGTTCGTGCCACGTTCAGTTCAAGTTGTCTCAACATCCTTATAGTTAAAAGGAGATTTTTGAGGTTCCTGAAGTGGTGGATATAGCTGTATTCTTGTTGTCTCGCGGGAGCCGCAATATTACTGATGTATTCCCCCCGGATCCAGGGAATACCGACCGGTTCATGTGGTCGGTTTTGTTGAGACGGTGCTGGATATCTTCGTCCCTGTTGAACTACATCAAGCGCTGTATCTAGGTGCCCTATTGCCTACTTTGACCAACGGTGGTCGGGTAACACGTAAACGGCCCCCAAGGCGGGACGGGTGTCCATGCAATGAGCAGACAAGCATTACCTTCTTCAGTGGGACGGCTAATAGCTAGTAATGCCCGTGATATCTACTAGCTTCCTAGTTTCCCATACTCAGACTTGCCACACGTGAGATGTCAAAAATCACCTTTCACCTATCGTAGAGGTGATGTTGCTGGCCTTGACCTGTTCAAGAACGAGCTGAGAGGCAGAGAATCGATAGATGCTGCTAGGTGCTTTCAGGTATGAAACCCCCCGTCCCAGCTGGCCGTTATATGCAACACACGACAGCAAATTCCGAATTGGGAAGGCTGGCCGCCAGATCGGGCTGATAACCTGCGTCGATGCTGTTGGCTTGATTTGAACAAGAGACAGAACGTGCTTTCCCTCAAGGCTAAAGCGCCCAATACTTCGTACAGCCGCTGCGTGAATGCCAATGTGGGGTCATTTTCACATCAACGTCGGCGAGGTGTTCGATGTTGTATACGGCATACAGCATCACTGCTGTCAATGGAAGAGAGCCAGGAAGCATGGCGTGTGTGCGAGGCTGGCGACTGAGGTCGAGAAGGACACGAGAGTATAATGAGGCAAAGCAGCAAGGTAGGAAGGTGGCAGGTAAACTGTAGTTTGCATTTCATATACCAGGGTATAGATATAGATAATATAGATATAGCCGGCAAACCTGGAGACGTACAGAACAGGAATCTATGCATTTGGTCCCGCGGAGTTCGCAGCATGTCTCGGTGTTTTCTTTGCAGTTGACTTTTGCCATCTCCCATCTTCCACATTCCTCTTGCATCGAACGTCATCCGTCACACCATATCCGTCCGTCTTTATCGACCCCCGCTGCATCGAGAGACGCAAGCCGCACACGGGCCGGCCTATCGAGAGACGATCATCAACACGCGGCAGTACGTCGGCCCCCTGCGCGATTCTTTCATCACCGGCCAAGCAAGCCAACTAGTCGCCCCAGTCAGCCGGAGGGCCAGACAAGACAGCCGCAAACTAAAGCCTTGTTACCAGGCTCTGCGCAGAATATTTGCTTGTCCGCATCGGGAATGGAGTAGCACTGCACAATACGGAGCCTGGAAAGCGCCCTCGAGCCCCAACAGAGCAGCCCAGCTCGGCGCCCGCAGAGGCAAGCCCCGCGCCTGCCAGGGAAAGCGTGCAGGAAGCTGCGCGCAGCAGAAGCACCAACTTTGAACTATTCACTTCTGGGCGTTGGCTGGCGTACATACATGGAGCACGAGTAGATACCCAAGGTACATCACGTCCATTATTACCTGAGTGGTAAGTGCAAGCAACTTGAAGCACCTCGGGTCGTTCCATTGCGAGTTCTGCAACCCACCGAGAGCCCCCGCCTTAGCTTCGGGCAGTCCCTCTGTGGGGGGGAATGCACAGCCACCCCGTCTGCGCGCCCAACCTGCCTTAACACTGGACTAGAGTCAAGAACGACCAAGACCCTGAAAGAGCCTGAGAAGCCGTCGCCTTGCTCCCCTGTCCCCTGCCTCCAGGCCGGGCAGCCAATCCGTCGATTGGATTGCTGCACGTCGAGAGGGGCGGGATACCTGGGAACACACAACACAGTCAGGGCAGCAGGCCGCTCAGAGCATCTCTCGAGTCTCGATCCGTATCTCGTCGTCCAGTGTTGTTCGCTTCTCCGTCCTTCCAAGCTTTTCAGCTTCAGCTCTCAGTCCAGCCTTAGCCCAGCTCCTAGCCGAGGAGTGAGTGCGTGCATCTTGCATCTTGCTGCTTGCTACTCCGGAGCTGGTTCTGCCGCCAAAAGCAGTTCCGTCGCGCGTGTGAGCTGGACAACCTTAACCTTGCCCCTCAGGTTCCTGGTCCCAATCTGAATTCCATGCTTGGCCATCGTCGACGCCAAAGCCCGCCTGCACCTTACCACTGCTAGGTAGTTTGCGCACGCGCCGTGACCCGCCGATTTCCCGACCCGTCGACCTGGGCGTCGAGTCGAGCAGCTAACAACTGGCGCTGGGGCATTGCAGCATTGTGGCCCTGGATTCGGTTGCGGTTTCCATCCCTATGCGCTTTTGCGCTTTGCTCTTTGCGTCCAGCTGCAACCAAGGCCCCATTCTTCTGGGCTGTTTGGTCGCTCTTGCCGGTTCCTGCCACTGCCCTCTCGGCCTGGTGCTCTGGTCTGGTCTGGTCTGGTCTGGTCTGGTCTGATCTGATCTAGTCCCGCCCGCGATTCGCTCCCCGCTCGCTCGCTCGCTCTCGCGCCCGCACTGCCGTCCGTCGCCTTGCGTGCTTGGGTTAGGTAGTCGGTCGAGGTGCATCCACTGAGGTGCGGCTTCCATTGCTTTTCTGTGCTCTCTTGGCCCGTCTGTTTGGCCTCTGGCCTGGCCTCTGTCTTCTCCGCACATCAATCATCCTTTTCCCCGCCCTCTCCATTCCATCCAAGGTTGTCAGCACCTAACCCTTCAACACCCAGTGCGCCGCCCCGAGTGCGCCGCCCCGGCCCCCCCCCCCCCCCCCCCCCCAGAGGCCACTGGCCCAGCAGCGTGGCTCCCGGGCTACCCTTACCTCACCTTACCTTACCTTTGTTTCGCTCTGCCGCCGCGCGCCGCGTCCGCCCTCGATTCCCGTCGAGACAGTCGGCCGTCAGTGTAATTCCGCTTGCACGGGGGCAAGAATGCCGTCTTTCCACCACTGGACTGGCAAAAACAACCGCTCTCAACACAATCTGGTTGGGTCGACGGTTGCCGAGGACTCGTCTCCAATTCCCGCATCAGCTGCGAGCCCGAGTGCGGGTGCTGCAAACACCCCCTCAGCCTCGTCCAACCCGGGCTTCAGCTCTAGCGAATCCTTCCAGCCCGTCGACAGTAGCAGCAGCAGCAACACCGCTGCCAGGACAAATCACCCACAACCCCCCCTCCACCGCCGCCACACCTGGTCAATATCTACAGCACCACCGCTGGCGGTCCCAGTCCTGCAAACCTTGCGCAGCTGCAGCATTCAAACTCCGTCACTGGTGCTTTTGATTCGCGCCCGAGGGATACCGATTTTACCGACCAGGTGACCCGCTCCCAGTCGCACCGCTATCCCCAGATCTCACCCATCTTAACCCAGCAGCTGCACCCGCCGCTGCACCAGCATCAGCAGCAGCCCCCTGGGTCGGGCTCTACCGAAGACCTCCCCGCCACCAGCTCCTCTAACATCTCGTCGCCTATTATCGGTGCCGCGCAGCCGCTCTTTGTCCAGCAGGCCCAGCAGCAGGCACAAGCCCAAGCCCAGGCTCAGGCTCAGGCTCAGGCACAACAAGCTCAGGCACAAGCCCCGCCGCAGAGGCCCAAGCAATCTACCCGCAAGCTCATCAAGGGCATCCTGACGGGATCGTCATCGTCGAATCGCGGCCCCGATTATCACCAGCAACACCCCTCTCAGAACTCGTACAACAACACGTCGGGACTCGCTCGTCGACCCTCGAAGCGAGTTAGTCTCCCCCCGCCTCCTTTGCCCCCGTCTCTTCGGGCCGGCCTCTCTCAAGTATCGCTCGATCAGCAACAACAACAACAACAACAACAACAGCAACAGCAACAACAGCAACAACAACAACAGCAGCAGCAGCAGCAGCAGCAGCAGCAACAGCACCTAGACTGGCAAGCTCAGACCCACCACTCTCAACCCTCTCCACTTCGAGGTGCCGGCGAATTTCGAAATTCGTATACAATTGACGGGCCTGAACAAGACGTGCACCCGCGCGACATCCAGAGTAACCCGACAATTCGACCTGTTCCTCCTGCGGACGCAGACACATATTCGGGTGAAGAAATAGGGTACCAGCAGCAGCAGCAGAGTCATATCCAACTGCAAGGCCAGGCTCCTCCCGAACTGCAGCACCCCCAGCAATACGGCCAGGCCATTTTTGAGCCTTCGCAGCAGCAGCAATCGCCACAGCACTATCATTACACTAACCCCCAACAACTGGCTCAACAATATCAGGGTGGGACACAGCACGTATACACTGGGCACCTTGCCAACCCTCAGCAGCAAAACCCAGAGACCGTGTCTCAGCTGTCGCATGAATCACCCATCACGGACTCAGACCAACTCTCTGCCCAAAACGTGCAGACAGCGCAGGCCTCCCCTACAGTAACCTACAGTGTTCAGCCGGAAGAGCTACCTGCACGCCAAAACCCGCCCCCCGCGCAAGCTCAAACCCCGCAGCAGCAGACCATGGCCCCACCAGCTGGCGGGCCACCCCCGGCCCGACGGTCGCAAGACACCGCCGAGAAAGGGATGCGCGACCAGGTCCAACCTCCGCCTGGCCCTCCCCCCAGCTACCGTGCGAGCCAGCAGCCCAACATGAACTCCCTTCCACAGCCTCCCAATGCTGGCGGCCCTAATCCCAGCTATCGCCAGAGCACCGCACCGCCGGACAGGCAGCAATTTGACGCGTCGGGAGATATTCAAGGGCGCAACAGTCCGCAACCTCCGCCCAGTGACCGGGGCGGAGAGGAAGCGGAAAAGGCGTTTAAAGATCTTTGTACGGCCAGTCTGTATTTTTCTCCCAAGTTATGGTGATTTTGCTGACTCTCTGCTGCCTAACAGTGACCAAATACAAAAACGTCAAACGACTCTACTTTGATGGCAAAAAGGACGTAGAACAGCTTAACGGCCAGGTCGAGCAGCTGCAAAATGCCATTGCCAACCAGCGCATGTCGGCAAGTCGGACGGCGCTCGACGACAGTGAATATGCAACACGGTTCAACCGCTTGAACGGCGCTATCTGCAATCTGTCATTCAACATTCGGAAGGATTGGGTGACACTACCGTCATGGCTCGTTCCGTTTGTCAGTGCCGATGCGCTCAAGACGGGCAAGCAAGAAATGACAGCAGTCGGGCGTGCTGTTATTACGCGGTGGCTCATGGACGAAATCTTCAACCGTTGTTTCCACCCAGGCTTGGACCCCGAGCTCAGCAGGCAGCTCAAGACAATAGAGCAGAACATCAGGCACTTCAGCTACACGATGAGCAGCCCAGAAGAATTTGACGCACTGACGAGCAAGGTGGTCGGCTGGCGTATGGCGACGCTTGATGGTCTACAGGACGTGCTTCGAAGTGGGGAGAGTCTGAACCACAAGGCCGACTTTACGCGGCGCGCGACGAGCAACCTCACGGCGTGTCTTTACCAGCACCTGAGCGACCCGCCGCCGCCTGGCGTCGATGGGAGCGCCAGCATGATTGTGGAACTTGCCGTGGGGATTGCGGCCAACCTTCCTCTGGAGAGCCGTGACGTGGCGATTGTGTACCCACTACCAGAACAGCAGATTCAGTTCGACCTGATGGATGTCGAGAAGCAAGTCATTCCGGCGCTTGATGCGCGCGCTTCCGAGTCAACAGAGGACGGCGCGGGAGAGGATAGCGAAAGCAAAGATAGCGCCAAAGACGCCAAAGATCGGCGCAGAGACAAGTCTAGATCTGGTAGGTCAAAGACAGCGCCGGGTGCAGGCGGTTCTATGCCTGATGCCAGAAATGGCATCAATGCTGACGGTTCCACTCTGCTAGCAGCTCCTCCGATGCCGCCCAAGGATCCAGCCAAGGTGCGCTTCGCCGGATTCGTTGCTGTCGAAGTACGGGGACGCCAGGTCTTGATGAAGGCACCGGTTTGGACCCTTGGATAGGGGTGGATGGTTAAGGTAATAGTGGGGGACCGATCAGCTAGCCGCCTTGCTGCTGCTGTGTACAGCTCAGATGGTCAAAATGGGAGAGGGACTTCTGGGTAGTAAGTATACGTGATGTCGCGCATTTTCCTTGGTGTTTAATTAAGCCGTGCCCGAGCGCGGGAGCGTTTTGAGAAGAAAAGAAATAGGGACAGCCGCGAGGGGGCTGGTGAAACAGCAGAAAAGGAGGCGAGACGGTTGTGCACAAGGTCGAGCGAGCGCCTTGTTGGGGTTGACGGGGATGTGGGTGGAGGTTGGACTTTCTTGGACGGACATAGGGATGCTTTTACGAACCAAGATTTCTTTAACGATTCAGATGATATCCCGGAAATGGGGAATGTGGGCTGTTTTCTCCGGCCAGTTTATATTTCCCGGCTCATTACATAGTGTAGTAGAAGCGCAAATCGCATCATGCTTGATAATGTCTTTCCCGGTCCACTCACCATCGCTTAATATCTCTCGAGAGACACGGGACGACAACAAACATTACCTACCCGGCTTAGCTCTCAGCCGTTCTATGCCCAAAGATTGCAAGCATCCCTTGTATCGAGCTTGTGCTACACACATCACAAGTTCCAAGTTTCGAGTTTCGAGTTTCAACCGTCTTGCAAGTATCCGTAAGTACGTACTGAATTAAGCACACACCGCCTTCCTCTTCTGCAGGGTTCTGCCAAGCTGCTGCCCCTCCATCCTTCACCATCCCGGGCAGTAATCAGTCGAGAACCCCGCCATGGCTATACCACGCATCTCAACCCCGATTTTCCCCAGGTATGTACAGTACGGACACGGACCCGGCATGTGTTGTTAGACCTCCCCCCAGGCTCTATCTAACTGGCAAGATACGAAGGATTTGAAGGAAACCAGTGCTCTGGATTTCTATTTTCTTTTTTCTAAATAGACACCCAATCCGCGAAAAACAGTGATCTCGTTTACTAGAAGTAGCTGTGCTGGCCAGCCAGCGCCTTTCACAACCATGGCCAACATTAACTCAGCGGCTTCTTCCCAACGTCCTGAAAAGCCAGCGCATCTGGAGCCGTCAGAATTGGGGACCAAGCAATAGTATGGCCCTTATTTTCCGTCTCTCGCCTCTCCCTACCTCTTCCCCCCCTTGGGACGGGTATATATCAGCCTTTTCCGAGCTTGTTTCATGGGTTATTACGGCGCAGACAGTTTAAAAACCTTTTGGACGCGCCGTATAGAACTAATCTTTTATTTCTTTTCTCCTTCTACAACAAAAGCTGGGACGAGCTCTACACGACGGAGCTGACCAACCACGCCGCGAACCCGGCCGACGAGGGCATAGTGTGGTTTGACGACTCGGACGCCGAGGCCAAGGTGGTGGCGTTCCTCGATGGCTCGGGCGCGGGGCTCGGGCGCGGGCTCGACAAGGATGCTGCCGCCGTGCTGGACCTCGGCTGCGGCAACGGCTCGCTCCTCTTTGCGCTGCGCGACGACGGCTGGGGCGGCCGCCTCCTCGGCGTCGACTACAGCTCGCAGAGCGTGGCGCTTGCGCAGCGCGTGGCTGTTGCGCGCCGGCGGGGGCCTGGGCAGGAGGAAGAGAGCGAGGAAGAAGGAGAGGGTGCCGAAGCCGAAGCCGAAGCCGAAGTTGAGTTCTGCGTCTGGGACGTGCTCAACGGCGCGCTCGACGACGTGCGCGCATCATCACCGTCACCCCCTTCCGTGACAACACCAACGACAGCAGGGGCTGAAGGGGGATGCCATGATAATGCGACAGCGGCGGCAGCGGGCTGGGATCTCGTCCTAGACAAGGGGACGTTTGACGCCGTCAGCCTGAGCGACGAGCGCGACGCGCGGGGGCGGCGCATCTGCGAGGGCTACGGAGCGCGGGTGCTGTCGCTGCTCCGGACCGGGGGCGTGTTTGTGGTGACGAGCTGCAACTGGACCGAGGCGGAGCTACGGGAGTGGTTTGAGCCGGCGCCGGCAACTACGGCCGTCACAGCGGCTGCCGCCGACGGCACAGACAATAACAACAGCAACAATAACGATGACGAGACGGCGCCGCCATTTTTTGTGCTGCGGCAGGTGGGCCGGATCGAATACCCCAGCTTCAGCTTCGGGGGCGTCAAGGGGCAGACAATCAGCACGTTGTGTTTCGAGAAGGTAGCAGTGGCAGTCTCGCCATCATGATATATGCCTATAAATGCAACTTCGAATATCAAAACCAACAATGCCATCTCCTCTTGCCTCTCCTCGGAAGAAAAAAAACTTCACACTCGTTCAGAAAAATGAGACCTACCAAGTTGCTGCAACTTGCCATCGGAAACAAACGACACATGCCATTACAGCTACTAGCCCGAACATCGCTACTTGCCTATCTACGAGGAGTGAAAAAGCATGTGCTCCAACCCCCTCCCTCTCTACACTACCCCTAACACCCACGGGTCGGGAATCTCGTCCTTGGTGATCTCTGAATAGAAGAAGCAATTTCTAGCCGCGCAGCAACGAATACCACGGCGGCGGTGAACTGGGAAACGGTGGCTGGGAGATGGGATGAGAGAAAAGCTATTGGATTGATGATTCGATGCAAGGCGGAGACAGGAATGAGAATTGCTTCATTAAAGGTCTCTCTTCTTCTATGGTGACGTGTTCATAGGCTCTCCACCGCCTATAGCAGGGCTGGCAGCCGCCGCGGCCGCCGTGGTCGCAAAGTACCGCACATCCACGTCATCATCCTTTTGAAGCTTGTCTAGGCTGAACATGATGCGCTCGTCAATCAACTGTTGGCCTCTCGGTGACGGGGTGAAAGGGGTCTTGGCCTGCTCAAGAGCGTAGATGGTGCCTTGCTCGGGAAGGCGGCGCAGCACTCCGATCAAGACAGCATATGTTTTCGCAACGTTGAAGCGAATGTTGGGGATTTCATCGCTGGTCAGCTTCTCCAACATAGGTAGAATAGACTTGGCGATGACATCCATGGTAACGACGCTAGCCAACGTCTGGGATTCGGGGGTTAGCATCGGTCCAGGAACATTAAGGGAATCAGAGGAGCACCTACTGAGATAGCAAAGCAGGTTGTCATCCTGTAGAGATAATTTGGGTGACCTCCCATGGCCATGACCTTTGGAATAATAGCCTCGCTGGCCCACTCGACGCCAAAGACCTCGGTGAGCTTCTTGAGGTTGCGAGTTGCCGCTTCGCGGATCGAAAAGACAGTGTCGCCAAGCCATCCCATACACAGCTGGCTGAGTTTCTCATCGAAGAAATTGACACCCAACTGGCTAGCCAGCAAGGGCATGTACTCGATAATAGCGAGCCGTACCCGCCACTGCTTATCCTCCGCGAGCTGCACAATGGCCGGGAGAAGGGACTGAGAGAGAAGGTCGATGCCGATAACCTGATTTACCAGCTCCAATTTGGAGATGATATGAAGGCGGACCTCGGGGAACTCGTCTTTAAGCATCTGCAGAAACATGGGCAGGAGGTGGTCGATTGTCCTTTCAAGATTGTTAGCAACCGGCTCGGGAACCACCAGCGGCTAGCTGTACAAAAGGGAATACGCACTCTTGCTTGCCCAGAATCGGAGCTAGGCCGCTGATTTGCGTTCCTAGGGCGGCTCTGACGTGCTGGGACGTGTCCGAGACCAGGTCCTCAATGCTGCCCATAATCTCATTAAGGAGCGTCGTCCGATCAACCAAAGCACAGAACCCAGGAATCTGGCCCGCGATAGCCGTCCGCACTTCCGCCTCGTTGTCCTTGAGCAGTTTTACGAACGCGGGCACCAGATCCCGCGACACAACCTCCTCATCAACCGCTTTCGCAATCTAGGCAAATTTCTGTTAGCAAGCAGATAGGCGGGAGTGCAAAGGTTGGGCGGGCTTAGAGACCTTCTCAAACCTGTCGGCAATCATATACCGAACTCTCCAGCTCTTGTCTTCTATCAAGCTGCGCAGCGAAGTCAGGAGAACGCCGTGACTCGCTTGCTGCTCTTTGGGCACGACTTCGGCGATGGAAATCAGAATCTCAACAGTGAGCAGCCGGACACTGTCTTGGTCGTCTTGGGCCAGATGCTGGAACATGGGTATCATTTCTTCGACAACAATTGCGGCGGGCATCTCCTTGACAAAATTTGCCATGTTGGTGGCAGCCTGTCGTCGCACCATGGGAGTATCGTCGTGCACGAGCTGGCCAAACTGCTGGCGGAGCTGTTCTTGGATGGGGGGCGAGACCTTGGAATAGGGTGCCGTGAAAAGGCCGCAGCCCGACACCTTGGAGGTGAACCAGTCGGCCTTGGAGAGTCGAATCGTAAGGGGGATGAAGTACTCTTCGACTTGCTGCGAAGACAAGTCGACGCAGATCTTGTTTAGCGACTCGACGGCCTAGACACACACACGCACACACACAGTCAGTAACGGTGGCCCCGATATAAGCCGCACAAACCAGTATGCATGCATACCTTGTCTCGCACGACGGGCTCTTCTATAGCCGCGAGGTTTTCGAGGGGCGACAGGAGGACATGGCCCCACTGCGGTCCGCCAACATAGTCGATGAAGGTGCCGAGCTCTTCGCTCAGCGCGACGAGAACTTCGTCTTCGTCCTCGACTGACTCTGTATGTGGGTGGAAAGTGCTCAGGTTAGCGACCAGACAGGCGGGCAAAAGTGAAAGCCGCTACTTTTTGGGCAGGGCGGGACCAGGCTGGACTGACCGTCAAGGAATGGAATCAGCTCGTCGCGAGTGCGCTCGGCGCCCAGCGCGAGGGCAATGGTCGAGAGACGGTGGATGGCATTGAGACGAAGCAATACATCATCGTGCTAGCCACATGTCAGTACATGGTTTGTTCGCCGTGCATGCAGAGCCGAGAAATCGAGGCCCCCGTCGCGGCACCATACCTTCAATTCATCGATCAGGACAGCGATGGGGTAGAGCTCGTCGTTCGGGGCGGTCGCGTCGGCCATGTTGAAGCGGCGATGACGGCGGGCTCAGGGATCGCGAGTTGTGTGCAGAGGGTGGGTGCTGCCGCTGCTGCAGATAAAACCGATTTTTGGTCGGGCGTTTATTGGGAAAGGCGTCTGATCGCGTGTGCGAGAGGGAGTGATGCAATTAAAGTAAGGTAGCCGACCGACGGGGCGGACGCACTGCTTGGTACTTTGACTGAACTTGGCTGGTGCGGTGCGGTGCAGGTGAGCTTGTGCTGGCGCTGGGTGCTTGCTTTACTTCTCCGCGTTTCGGGCACAGATGAGGCCGGCACAATATGGTCAACGCAGGGTAGTAGCAGGCGCGACGGCGACCACGGCACACGGAGAGAGACTACAGTTGGGTTCGATGCGCCCCCTGGTATCTTGGGATTGCCGAAGGCTTGGAGTGGTGGTGCACGGCGGTCGTATGAATCGATGAGTGATGTAGGCAGGTGGTTACTGAAGGCTCAAGGCCAAGCTCAGCGCAGCCTAACAAATTGCCTGCGCACTGGCCCAGGCCTGGTCGCGGAGGGGCAACAAGGTAGGCACGACAGCCCACAGCATCTAGTAAGACACAGTAGGAAATAATGACAGGGTGTGCAGGGGCCACCACAAATAAACCCCCCCTCTCCATTTCCCCAATAGCAACCTGATCTGGAAGCGCCGTCCTATTTTTCTTGTCAACACATTCTTTTTAATTTGATGTTTAGCTCACTTCGGGAAACTTAAAGCGTCGTACAAAACCTAGGGCATTATGGACGCAATTCTGCACCAATTCTGCCCTCAACTCTGCTCATAATTCTACAAATCGCTACTCGCATTCCCGCAATACCGAGTGTTAGCGTACGAGATGTAAGTAGGAAATATTTTTTTTGATAATTCTTAATTAATTTGATCCTTAATCGCTGTAGGTTTCTTCTCCTACTATCCAAATCATAGGTAGTCATAACACTGAAGACGTCGAGAATCAGCCAATTCTAAATCTTGGAGCTAAGGTCGCAGATGTTTCCCATCGGACTGCAACTCTTGAAGTCTATAGATAGAAATATCACCCCGAGCTCCATGAATTCCGAACCGAGATGAGAGAGGGATTCAAGGAGCTCACGCTCCAGCAAGAGAGCTTAGCTTCTCGACTCGAAGTGGAGATAGAGCTCGCGTTCAAGAGCTTGACCTCTGAACTTGAAGTGAAGATAGCCGAGTTCACATCTGTGCAGCAGAAATGGTTGGCTGAGTTCGGATTGGAACAACAGAAATATTTCACCTAGTTATACTTTAAAACTCTTTTCGCTCCAAGTTTATCTTCCAATATCTTCGACTTTCCTTTCCAGCGAGAATCAGGCCGTAGGAGTCTCGGTTCTCCTTGATATTACCCTCATCGCGCCACAAACTACATCCGTTCGTCTCGACAACGAGATTAAACGGCGTGGTATGGATCACGCCAATATGAACAAAATGATACAGGCTATGGTCGAGAAGGAGAGAGATTAAATGGTATGGGCCCTAGAGAGTGTCCAAACCCCCGTCTCCTTGACGTTGCCGATGTATGTCTTAGATGCCAGTGTTAAGTCAGTCTGGATGCAAATGGAAATCGTAAGGCTAGCCATTAGCTAGAATGTAAAAGCCGTCTTTTACCCCGCGGGTCCAATCGCCGATGCTAGTTTTATTGGCATGGCTGATATACATGGTTTGGGTTGATAACGTTGGCTATCTAGAAGCAATGGCTTCCTAAGAAACTGGGAAGCGGTGGTTGTGACAACATTCTAAGTAATCACCCGCGTTAGGTCATGGCGGACCAACTACCTATTCCATGCTTCTCATTTCCTGTCCTCCAATGCCTTCGTCTGGGTCTGCATCAGTGCTCCAGTCTTCTTGGCGGCTGCTGGAACTGGAAGAATGACCGCCAACTCGATTCCTCCCATTGCTCGCGCTGGATGCCCCACCAAACACCCCTTTAGTTATTCCGAGTCCGGATATCTTGTCTTGCAAGACAGCAAGAGCTCCGGGCACCTCCCCAGCACTTGCGCTGCGGTTTAACGACGGAGGACTCCTCGTCTCGGGTGTAAGAGCCTCGTGGGCCAGCTCCACGCCGGCGAGCACTGATTGACTGGCCTTCAGTGTTGGCGGCTGGGGACTCCTAGTCGGGCTCGTCCAATCCCGTTCTGGCGGACTACTCATGTCATCTCCACCGAAATGTGGTGACTCGGAAAGAGTCGACGAAGTCTGTGACGCATAAGCCGCAACACGCTCCGCGGTTGCTGCAGATGCATTGAGGTCGCCGTTCATTTCATCATCAGTTCGGTTAAAAACTTGATGCCACCACCGCACCTCGCCGAGGCGCGGGAATATGAGCCGTTCGCGTCCCTTGGTATGGTCGTCTATTGTAGCGTCATATTGTCCGTTCGTGAATTCTGGACACCGGCTCAAGAAATACGCCCAGACACTGCGTGTACGCTCCTGCAACTTGGCCTCTCGGCGCTGGCGCTCGTTGTTATACAGGAAGGTACCGTATTGGCACGAATAGACGTGGTAAAGAAGGCGGCGTAGAAATCGCTCGTTGAATTCGAACCTCGTCGGGTGTTGCCGGAGAAGCTGGTATGTCGCGTCAAGGAACTGGTGGAAGACGGGTGAGACATCCTTCAGCCTCGTTGCCTGCCCTTCTGCGACGGGAACAGTCTCTTGCTTGGCCTCGTCAACAGCGGAAGCATCATCGGCCTCTGACGAGTTGTCCTTGTCATTGCTGACATTCTTGATCCAGAACCGTTTCGCACTGGCTAGCGCGTTTTCGATGGCGTCCCCTCGCCCGTCGTTGTCACCGGGCTTGACCGTCGACCCAGCGAGGGCGTCGTTATCAGCTGTGAACCAGCTCTCGTGGCTCAAATGGCCAGATCTGAGTTGAAACATGTGTCCAAAGGAGAGCCAGTCCTTCTCCACCAGAACGATAAAGCCTTCCAAAGTGCGGTAATACGGATCCAGCATCAGCTGAGCGAGCGCGCTGAGCTGACTTGTCCGGTCCCAGCCATCCGAGCAGTGTATGAGGACGTGGGAGTGCTGGATGCTGACCTGACGAGCGATGATAGCTGACCCGTCGAGAATTCCAGTTATGTGTTTTAGCCACTTGCTCTTGGCCAGAAGTTCCTTGTTGGGCGGAAAGGGCGACACATCAGCGTCTTTGATGGCGGTGACAACCTTCTCTAAAGACTCTCTCATGACGTGAATATTGTCTATGTTGAGGAACACCTTCCTAGCAAACCTGTAGTAGTCCATGTTTTCCGAACCCATACCGATGGCCTGCATGGCATACGAATTGATGGCAGGACGAGCGTCCACGATCAAGTTGTTTTGCTGGGCACCATATATTAGCCTCTTCCCCGTCTTCTCGTCGTAAAAGGCGTTGCCGGTGATGAGCTCGTCCTCCCTCCGCTCAGTCTCAGATAGCGACATGTCAGCATCCGCGCTCTCGGCACTCAGGTCCACGTGGCTTGAGGACGGGCTCTGATCCGCGATCGCGGACGGCGGAGTATCGGTCAAATCTGATGCCGCAGAGAAGCAGGCGCCGACGAGACGCTCATCCTGGATGCTCCGCTTCATTCTCAGACCTACAAAAGGCTGCGAGCTGCGAGTTATGGTGCAGTTGTTGACGGGGTGGAGGTAGGATAGCGTGGGTACGCGGGCACGGGACCGGAAGTTGGCAGCGTACTTAAGAGTGTTGTCCGAGATCTTGGATGGCACGGCAAGGACAGCCGGGTATGTCGGGGAAAACGAATAGTCTGCGTTTATTGATGTGATTCTCCAGCCCAGATCTGCCGCCTTCTCACTTATCCCCTGCCGCCGAAACTCGGCCCTAGCGTCGTACACATCCCAGCCACTGATCTTGTACTCGGGGGAGGCGTGTGGGGGAGAGTAGCTAAAGGCTAGGAGCTTGTCTACACTCCCCAGTCTGCAGGTCCTAGATCGTATGAAATCATAGGCGTCGCGAGCTTGCTTGTCGTCGGCAAAGTTGAAGCTGACGTAGGTGAAATCACGGAAGCGTATGCGTATTGACGAGGGGATACCGCTCGATGGGGGCGTCGCCTTGAGGGTGCACTGGGCGATGACATGGAAGGCAAACCAGGCCTGCTTCACCCGCTTCTTCAGTTCGGGATCGGCGGCAATGGCCGACTCGGGCGGGAACCGGAAGACGAGGTGGAAGTCATTAAGGGCCAGGTCGCCGAGTTCCGGTTTCCCGCCTCGCAGAGCATGTATACCGCTGTAGATCTAAACGCCTGGTTCAGCAACCGATGCGCCTTGGTTTCCGCCTCGAGCAAGGGCCACGTACATGTTTGTTATGTGGCGCCGCCATGTTGGAGTACGTCGGGAGACCAAGCTGGGCTGGGCGATGGGAAATAGGCAGTAGATAATGTATGTTCTAAACTACTTGGCCTTAGTCTGTCGGGTTGCAGATGTATTAGTGGCGCTCGGGCAATCCGGACGCAACGACGACAAGAGAGCGACACGGAGTGGGAGATGCTGGGAGCCCGCGGCGGCGGCAGGTGAGGGGCTGAGCAGACTGCAGCGGGGGGTTTATTCATGAACTGAAAGGGACCGCATCGAGGCTTTCGGACGGGTGAAGCATGAGAAAAGCAGGCGGTAAACCTTGAGCTCCAAAAGTATTCAGCGCTTTGGCAGGCCAAAATGAAAATCACACGACCAAGCCTGCCCGACGAAGAATGTCAGCCTCGAATATGCGCCGCGCCATCCCCAACATGGTGTACGTGCATTTGAATTGACGTCGACAGCGCCCCACATTTCAGCACCTCCAAGCCTGACTCGCAGGCGAGGCAGCCGCAAACCTCTTGAGGGCCACTTCTTTTTTGGGATGCCGATAAGCCAGCCCCACTAATCCAGGCCACACACTGTCCAACTTTTGGTGCGTTCTGATTGGCCGGCACTAACCCTACTCCACAGCTGCTCGGAACAGGAAAGACAGCCCACCAAGAATTCGCAAAAAGCGTTGCGCAGGTCGAATTTCCCCCCGGTCTCTCGAAAAGTTGGGTGAACAGCACACGAAGGCATCCCCTCAATTTTCAGAGCAATTGAAGCCTTCTGGACCCTCAGAAGCCAAACCGCAACCATGGCTGTTCCCGGCACCCAAATGTAAGTCAGAAAAAACTTCATTATCGTAGCAGCCCTAGCTCCGTCTTTGCTCTGTCTGTGGGCGGCTTCGGCTTCGGTCTCGGCTTAGATCGACGGCGACGGCGATAACGGAGTAACTTTTTAGAGGTCTGATCATACAAATACTGACCCGAATTTTTGTCACAATAGTTCCAAGCGCAGAAAGTTCGTCGCTGACGGCGTCTTCTATGCCGAGCTGAACGAGTTCTTCCAGCGTGAGCTGGCCGAGGAGGGCTACTCGGGTGTCGAAGTCCGCGTCACCCCCACCGTCACCGACATCATCATCCGCGCCACACACACTCAGGAGGTTCTCGGAGAGCAGGGCCGCCGCATCCGTGAACTCACCAGCTTGATCCAGAAGCGGTTCAAATTCCCCGAGAACTCGGTCTCCCTCTATGCCGCCAAGGTGCAGAACCGCGGTCTGTCGGCCGTCGCCCAGTGCGAGTCCCTCCGGTACAAGCTCTTGAACGGCCTTGCCGTCCGTCGTGCGTGCTATGGTGTCCTGCGCTTCATCATGGAGAGCGGTGCCAAGGGTTGCGAGGTTGTGGTCTCTGGAAAATTGCGCGCTGCCCGCGCCAAGAGCATGAAGTTCACCGATGGCTTCATGATTCACTCCGGCCAGCCGGCCAAGGACTTCATCGACAGCGCGACACGGCACGTGCTGCTCCGCCAGGGTGTGCTCGGAATCAAGGTCAAGATCATGCGCGGCTCCGACCCCGAAGGCAAGGCCGGCCCCCAGAAGTCTCTCCCCGACGCCGTCACCATCATCGACCCCAAGGAGGAGACGCCTGTTGTGCAGCCCATCAGCCAGGATTATGGCGCTAAGGCCGCACAGGTCCAGGCTGCCGCTGAGGCTGCTCGCCAGGAGGAGCAGGCTGGAGCCGAGGAGGAGCCCGTAACTGAGGAGCAGTAGGTTAGCTTGACGTCGGATAACTTGTCGGACGTGGAGGGCGGTGGAGTTCCCCTAAGCGCCGTGGGTCTGGCGGTGGAGTTCCCCTAAGTGCCGTAGATGTGGCAGATGCGTGGTAAGAAACACGCAGGCTGCTGCTATTGGAGATTATTTCTTCAATGCGCATACAATCTCAGCAACTCGGTTGTGGATGGAAGGGTTACATGGCGTCACGTTTGATCATTTATATTTGCATTGAGACCGTGAAAAGCGAAAGGGACGGTTTGTTGCTTGGAACGGTGGCTTTGTAACTACCCACACAAAACAGGGCAGCAACGTCAAGATGAGACCCTGATACCCGCCAGGGAAATGAGATTTCTGAACCAACTTTCTGCGTGCCGTGTGTTATGAGGATCGTGACACTCGCGCGAGCTACCTACTGTGGGTTCCATTCCCTACCACGTCTCTTTTGAAGGGATTACCAGATATATCAGCACAGCTGATTCTGGATGCTCTATTCTTGCTGCGTCCTCTGGAGACTAAAATCTTCTCGCTTTTCTTACCACACTGATACTACTGATACAGGATCAATGCTAAAGGACAGCCAAAGCCATATTGCTACGAAACCCGGGTCTGATCCAACTGGAGCTTCGTTCTTGATGGAGAGCATTATTTTCTCCTTTATGGCTGTCAATTCGAGATATTGAAGCCGTCCCAACACTTCACAAGGTCTAGACGACGGGGTCTCTCCCTCTTGCTACTAACTTGCAGCGGTACCCAGAGTGTACCAGACAAAAAGGGAGTTGGTTTTGTAGGCGAGCACTCAACACCTATCTGTAGGTACATACAAGCAGGAAGGAAAAGGCCTGATTTGATCTACAAACCACACAGCTCCCAACCAGGCAACGCCAGCCAGGAGGATATCCAGCCAAGCAGGAACAGAGGCAGACAGGCAGGCTATGGTATATATATCGTACACACAGCATACAGCATAATAACGACAGGCAACCAACCCATCCAGTCCTTGGTCTAGTCTTTTCGCCTGTGCCTACCCGGGAATAAGGAGAGGGAGAGAGATGGACAGCGTGAGTCAGGCGAGGCAGAGAGAGGGATATAGAGAAAATATAGGGGTTCCGAAGGGGAAAGGGAAGCGTTCACACACGCCATACACAGACAACAGATACACTCTTCCCCCTAACCTACCATACAAACCCAGGGTAGGTAGGGGAATGGAAAACATGCACGCATCTAGACGACCAATCCAATCCAACCCCCCCCCCCCCCCCTCCCCAAAAAAAAAAATACCCACCCCTTAAAAAGCACGTCCAGATGAGAAGACGGCATAAGAAGCAGCAAAAAAGAAAAAAAAAGCAACATATAACAAAATTTGTCATGGTAATGGCCCCCCCAACCCCTCTCGCCATATCCCATCCCGCCCATGACCATTTATATTTTTTCATGACTCTCCCTGTTGTAGTACTAGAACAGATTGGAACAATAAAAAAAGATTCGCATATTTCGCTCCCGTCCCAAAAAATATAAAATAGGAAACATGAAAACCAAATAACAAAAAAACAAAGCCAAAACCAAAAATACCCCTAAGCTCAGCCAGCCCTAAACCATAAGCGTTTGTGTGTGTGTGTGGTGTGTGTGGTAAAGCCCGCCCTGTTTCTTCCTGCTCTTCGCCCTTTCCGGCCCATTCCCCATCATTGCCCATGTCATTAATCCGATCTAGCACTGGGGGAGGAAAAGAGACAGAAATGTTTCCCCAAAGGTCCCCGGGACGCCGAGCCATGCAACTTCGTGGTGGTGGGTGGTGATGGTGGGTCGTGGTTGGTGTAAATATACAAACTCTCGTCTGTTCATGGCGGGGAGCTGATGAAGGGCAAGGATACTAGATATAAATAAGAAAGGAGGTTGAAATGCATATGCTCCCCTCCCCATCTCTCCAAAGCCGAGCGTGGGAAAAAAATCAAAACCGTTCGCGAAAACCCCCGCGTGGGGAGAGAATATATGCCCAGGATCTCGTCCTCGTATCACCTATCCCCGGGTTTCCTTGTTTGCAGTTCTATCGGCTCGTTGAACGCCTTGGCGGCGACGTGATTCCCGTTCGCAGTGCCGTTGGCCTGTGGGTGGGTGGGCATCATTGGCGACCGCGGATCGTCCTCGTCAGTGTCTTCGGCGAGATCTGTGAGGCCGAAGCCGGCAGCCTCCTCCTCGTCGTAAGCCCTAATCAGACCGTCGCGGTCGCCCCCGCGGTTACTCCCGATGCTCATGCGGCCCAGAGACCGCCGTGCTTCCATGCTCATGCGCGTCTGGAGGCTCGAGATCATGTCAGTCCCCGTCGAGTCGCCGCCATTGCGCCGAGCAAGTGACTTGGTGCCGTGTGGATCGTAGCGGCTGAGATTCAACAGGTAGACCCCAGTAAAGGTGACCAAGAAACCGCAGAGCAGAGAGAGCGTAGTGACGACATCAGAGGTGTTGAAGCCGCCAAAGAGGATGAAAGAAGCGCATAAAGTTGCCGTCGTGAATGTAACATAGTACAGAGGATTCACACTGTCGGAGGAAATTAGCACCCACACAATCCGAAGAATTTTGGCTTGAACCTACATGTTGGTGGGGAATTGGCTGAGCGCCTTGTTGAAGTAGTTCATTTGCGTTAAAATGCACACAATGGTGACAATCATGAAGACGTAGGTCGAGGGGTGGGTGAATTGGTTGTTGCCAGCAAATGTCAATTTCAAGGCGATTCCGAATGCCTTGACAGCCATGACCGAAACGGAGCCCACGGTAGAGCAAATACTCACGTAGATGAGTGGGTTTTTCCTGCCATGAAGGGGCGCGACCCTGTAGATCATGATAGCCGCGAACACGCAGACAAAGAGAGAATAGAGCAGGAACCCTGTACCTGGGTCAGCAAACGATACGGGACCCCAGGTCTCTTGAAACCCGACGTACCTGGTTGGATGGCGAGGTTGAGAATCTGATCAATGGTCTCGATCGGCTCATCGGGGGGAGCATGCAGAACAATGATGACGGCTCCGATCAAGCAGATGGCGCTCCCTAGCCTTCCCAGCGTCCCCAGCTCTTCATCGAGGAAGTAAGACCCCAGCACGGCTCCAACCAATACTGCCAGAGCGCCGAGGGGAGTGACGAGGATGGCCGGCGCGAAGGCATATGCTCCAAAGTTGAAAACCTCTCCGATCACCACTGTTTGTTGCAGTCAGCATCTTCAATCCCCCAATCGGTATTCTTGTCGAGGGAGTTGGAGGGTGGGGGGTTCGTACAGCAAGTAATACCCGACCACCATAGCGGGTTCTTGAGGTAGACGAAGCCATCGCCTTCAAAGCCAAGTCTTTCCTCTGCTTGAATTAATCCCTAGAAAAGAGAGAGAAGTCCGTGTCAGCGCGGTCCGATCGTTTTGACGACGTGCGGGCGCCGGCGGCCGCTCCCGAAGCGCAGCGGGGACACAGGGCGCTCTGTGTTCGGCGGGTGAAAACACACCTTTTTTGTAATCACAAAACTGGTTCCTGTGACGAGTCAGCGGCGAGATTCTGGGGTGTAGGGCGGAGAGAGAACACGAAAAAGCTAGAAGAGAGCGCGCATACCGATTGCTATACCCGAGGTCATGGCCAGCGCCAGACCGATATATCTGTCCAGCCGCCCACGTCAGCAAATGCGCGCCGGTCAGGGGGAGTGCAGAACTATAAGGGCAGGACCCTTACTTCTCTTCCAGCATCATCTTGTAGCTAAACGAGTGCGGTGGCAGCAGATGCGCTGCCGGACACCGAAATCGACGGCCTTAGAACGGCGTGTGGGGTGGAGGGTCGGCAGTGACAGTCGGTCGTGCCGCTCGAGTCTGGCGAGATCGATCGCAGAGAATGACACCTTGCGAGGGTCAGGATTTAGGCCCGCCAGCGGCACATTCGCGCTGCTGGTCGTGGCTCTGGCTCTGGAGGCAAAGCTTTGGGCGCTCGGTTGAAATGAGCCGTGCGTCGTGTGTCGTGCGTCGTGCGTCGTGCGTCGTTGTCGTCGTGTGTTGCGATCGTAATACTCGCGCGCAAATGGGCTGCCCGGTCGTGGAGGGTTGTTGAGGATGACGGGTCCTTAGGTTTGTTTGGCGCACGACGGAATGTGAGCTTCTGGCCCTTCAGGTACGGTACCGTACTGGTAGGAATTGGTTTCACTCGAAGCCCCCTGCTGGTGGTGCGAGAAAGTCTGGGGACACTGGACGGCGTTTCAAAAATTCAACCTTGGAGAACCCCCTGTCCGAGGTACATACCTTACCGACCGTGCCCGCTGCCCGCTGCCCGCTGCCCGTTGCCCGCTGCCCGCTGCCCGCTGCCCGCCTAGACTTTCCTTCCCTTAAGACGGGTGGCAGGGCGACTCCACAACGATCCCCACAATAGTATCCCTTACTACACGTGTATGTACATACGATACGCAAGGAGAAACAGGCTGAGCCTTCACTTTCATCTGAACCTAGCCAGTGCGCGAGTATCACATCACGGGCTGCGTTTTGGCAGTATGCGCGGAGCCTGTTGGAGTCTTTCGGTAGTGTGCGCGCGCTCTGTAGCTTTCTCGGCTTATTAAGGGACCACGTCTCCTTTTCTGTTTTGACGTGGGTTTGCAAAGGTGGGCTCAGCGCTCACTCGTTCACTCCACTCCTCTGTGGAAATACTCCGTTTGCTGACGACGCCCGATTCCCTAACTCGAAGTTTCAAACCCAGAACGTGATTTACGGAACATCCGTGTAGGTCACGCACGGAATTCAAAGACGGGATTTCCACAGGTGTCGAGATTCCGGAATATGTCCGGCACAGCCATCTAGAACTCCGGATACTATGTATGCACACTATTCCGGGGTGGAAGAACAACTTTTCTATCAAAATTTTTTATTAGGGGGTCTTTTAGGAGGTGAGACGTCGATTTCTCATGCCCTTTTCTTTCTCGAAGCGCTGGCGTTTTTCCCCCTTGAATTGCCTCGGCTGTTGTGAATGTCTACGTGTACTGTTCTGGGTACTGTATAAAGATACTGTGCATTCTCACCTTTGGCTACATCGTTTTCGTAAGTGCTGTACTAGTAGTGCCTAGTCCGGTCCCAGCCCGGAAGCGTCTCGCAGAGGTCGTGTTATTGCACATGAAGTAAGTGGAGATACAGCCAGGTCACTTCTAAGGCTCGCGGGACTCGGGAGGCTGAATGCTAGGGTGGGGCGCTGGCGCTAATCAACAATACAATGCGAATCACGAATCTTCATGTGATAGGCCCAACAGAACCACCAATATCACTAGGTAGGTACGATAAGGTAGTGTATAAATGAAGAATAATCCTGCTGGTGCCTATAAATATTTGTACGGCGAAGTGGAAAGGAACATGAGGAATGTCCACACTTGTGCATCACTTCATGTTTCACTGGCGACAAACGTTCGCGTCATGGTCTCATTACACTGGGATGATACGCAGCTATACGACGGGAATGACAATATCAGAGTCCCAAGTGTTAAGCCCTAAGTGAATATGCATATCCACGCCCTCTCCCAACACCATCGCCACACGGAGTGATATTTAGCCGGGAAACGCCAACAAACCCGTGCACAGCGTGATGCAGACTTGATCTCTCCAAACCACCCACAAAACTTTGTTCAATATGAGCAACCTTCTAGGTAGGCTCGACCTCGAGGCCGAGTCGAAGAGGTGCGCGTCTCTGGTCCTCGACCGCCTCAGCCTCGTTAGACCAGACAACCCAAGCCCACAAGTCCACGTAACTCGGCAGGGAGGGTCGTCCAGCATAGGCAGAGGCAAGCAAGCAGTAGTGGGACGGGCGGTGTATGTTGGGTTCTTTGAGTCTCTGTTTATGAGTTGATCATTTTGTTGCGCTTCTCCTTGCGCTTTAGCCTCTCGACTCTCTTCTTATGCATCTTCTCGGCCAGCTTCTCGAACCGCTCCTTCTCCTCCTTTACCGCCTTGCTCGCTTTGATAGCCGTTATCCGTCTCTACAGGGAAGGACATGTCGGGTTAGCAAATCGACGGCGCTCCCAGGACAAATCAGCCCGCGTCTCTTATCTTCTATTTCGCGTACCTGTCGCTCTCCCTCCTTCTCCTCCTTCATCTCCTTCTCCTTGGCCTTCATTGCCGTCTGGGCGACTCGTAGCTTTGCGCGCTGGTCATATGGCGTCAGGCCGCCTGTTGGCCGGAATGCTTTCTTTGCGGGCGCCCATTGCATGCCTGCCGCGGTCCTTGGTTAGCTATAGCCTCGCGCGCATTCGTCAATTCGCATGGGGGAGGAGAAAAATACCATTTTTTCTCATTCCATACGGCTTCTCTAGCGCTTTCGCGCCTATCATTGTTATGGTAGACATGGTACTGGTGGTTGATATGAATACCCAGCAAAAAAAGTGGTTTACCGCCCAAGACTTTGGGGGGGGGGGATGGCTTCGCCACCATTCTGGGCAGGTATGAATTGAATGGCCCACTTCGTGGGCAGGATGGGCGGCTGGAAAAAAATCTACCCAATCTATATGTAAATCTGTCCCGCTAGCCTAATTAGGTATTTAAGATCATAGGACCCACATTTCTGCCTAGAACGCTTTACTATATTGGCCCTGATCCCGGCGTCCGAATATAAAGTTTTTATTGGTTGAATTGTATTTAAAGAGTGGGTCTATTGATTTATTCCTAATGGGGATGCCACCCCCTTCCTCGCCAACACAGATCTGAGTTTACTGAGATAAGGTTTGGTGCGTGCCGTGATCTGGGTACGGTTGCGTTGAGAGCTTTGCCAATAAATACGCCCACCGTTTCACCCTTTTCCTGGAAGGGTAGCCGACGATCGTAGCTGTCAATGCTTTCCACCCTGAGTATCTATGTCGCTGTATAGGCTGTCATTTTTGGCTAGTATGGCCCCGCCATTTACCCCTTCCCCCACGTATCCTAACTTCAAACTTCAAACTTCAACGCTTTGCCATGGCGGCAGTCACATCGAGGTCGACGACATCTCCGTCGGCGTCGGCTTCGTCGGCAGTTCCGTCGGCATCTACCATACTTACTTCAGTTAATTCGACGAAAGATAGCGATCCCCCGACCGTATAATTTACCAATACGCAAGATCTCTTCGACGTCATTAATTTCACTACTGGGGATTTCCTTACCGTCATAAGTATACTATTATCCTCTTATTTCTACATAATATACTAATTATTTAGACGTCTCTCCTAATCAATTCACCAACATCGAGCGTAAGAGAGACACTGGGCGAGAGACTGGGCGAGAGACTGGGCAAAAGAAACGATACCGAAAGTTCCGTTTTCGCCGCTACAATGCCAATTTCCGGATCTTGATCATCACAATCCCAACCGATCTATATGAGGCCCTTCACCTGGGACTTTATATACGGTATTTTACCCAGCTTGTCCAGAGTGGTACAGAGGAAAGTTAGAAAGATATTAGGTCAGCTACATTTCGAGCAGAACAAGGTCATCATGGAGGAGATAGCGGAGAAGGCGATTCGACAGGCGGTCCATGGCTGGAACGTGCAGGAGCAGGTAATTAGCCAACACTAGTTATTAAGTCTAGATATTCCGAAACATTACCCGAGCTTTACAAGGATATGCGGTGGTGGTTTCAGGCATCAAACCACGAGGTCAAGATTGTGATTCTGGCGAAATTTGACGACCAGCAACATCACATTTTGCTAGAGAAATGGGAGGAAGAAATCTCGAGTCCACAATAAGCGATCACGCGGAGTCGGGCTGCTGCTATATTGTAGCAGAATGGTGTTCTCAACCCAGTGAAACGACAGTCAATCACCATCACCCGCAATGAGACAACAAATCCAGTATCGTACAATGTTACTAGGGGGGCATTAGTACTAGGATTTCGACTTCTTTTTCTTCGCGATCCAGGCCCGCAAGAGGGAGATTTTGTACTTAGCATTCAGAGCCTGCAGCTATATGAGAGAAGGTCTGGGCTCAGCTGCCGAGATTAGACTAGCTAGCCAGAAATTAGTAGAGGCCGGTAAAGTCGGACAGAGGGCGCTACAGTGGAATATCTTTGCGTTCCTTCTGCAAATCAGTAGGGATCTTGGCGATGCTGCTGGCGTGTGAGAGTGCGGCTTCCTCGGCGAGAGCGACATAGTCGTTAGGCTTCTTGGTCTCGATAATGGCCTCGAGGACGAGCTGGTGGATCCAGCCCGCTGGGTCGCCGAGTCCAATGGAATTGACCAGTTCGAAAGTGCAAGCAGTAATAAATGCTGCGCCAGCTAGCTGAATTCTGTGCGCACCTGAGTTTTGGGTTTGTCGACCAGCCATCTAGGCCTGAAAACTGTGTGGCGGAGCAGTTCTAGTGGGACCAAGGCGACAAATGTCTAGCTGCCAAGGGAGGCTGCCAAGGACAGCACGCCTCGTCTCGTATTGTTAATTCCCGTAATCGCTCGTTCCCGTGAGACATTGGCGTGAGACCACAATCCAATTTGCCCTTACGAGCGAGACAACTTAACAGCACCCAAATTTCAGCGAGAGTATAACAATCAAACATTCCTTGCTAAACTCGTCCTCGGGACGCCGCCCGTCTACGGGTATCAAAGCCTTCCGTATTTCGCCCATCCGCCCATGAATCCCATACTCTTCGAAAGCTCGGGAACCATAAAATAATGTCGTAGACTACCGAGATCAAGGACCTCTAATGGTCTGACTGCAATTGCGTTATTCCCAGCAGGTTAGAGGCCAAATAATGGACAGAAAAGAAGACGAAAGCAAATAAGAAAATAAGAAGAAAACCAGGTAAAAAGTATCCGATAAGCTCCCAAAGACTCCGTGATCTCTTCCGAACCGCTCCAGAAATCATCAAAACCAGGTTAGACTCCATGAACATTTTCGAGGCCACCACTTCCAAACTACCAGATATTAATAGGTGTGAGATGCTCGTCGTCCTGTCTTGGGGGCGTGCTGTGAATCTCCTAGGCACGACCAAAGTCGGTCGATAGACCGGCCCAGGGCAGGCCCTTAGTTGGAGTTTGTGTTCGATACACTTGAAAGATGTTGCCTGGAAGACCCCGGTTTTAATTCGACACACGTTTCCAGGTCCTGTGGGATTTTGCAGTCGCCCCATCGGTTTGTAATTATGACCTACCTTTCCTGAGCCCTTATGCCGCTGCCGGAGTTGTTGCCGGCGTTCATTGTTAGAAGGGAAAGACGGGGACGATGGATTGGATTTGGGAAAGGGGGAAGGGGGACGAATGGAAACACGGTTAGCAAATAGGTAGTGTGCGGTTGAGTTACAACCGCCCTGGAGTAAACCAGGAACAACGGGGACGCGATGAAAGGGGGAAGGGGGGCCAGGTTAAGCCAACGCTTAGATCCGTTGACGCTTGTGAGCTGCCTTTCGGTTAGCATGCTTCGAGATATCGCAGAAGTAACCGTTCCATACCGGACTCGTCAGCGAGGCCCTCGGCACCGTCAAGTCTACTTCTCTTGACTGGAAGACTCGATGGAGTCAAGGCGGGCGACGGTTCATTTGGTTCGACACTCTCCCCGTCTCCATCGTTCTCCCAATCAATCTCGTCGTTCGCGGTCCCATAAGCCTGGTCCCATTCATCATGAGTATCCTCCTCGAACATGAAGGACTCAGTTGCGAGATCGTTCTCGTCGTAGTCGATCTCATCGCCATTAATTGTGGAAGTTGCGCTAGTATGAGCGTTCTCTGTTGCCTTATAGTCACCTGTATACTCATCGTATTCGCCGTCGGATTTCTCGAGAGGGTGGTCGTGTCGAGTAAAAGCGTCTCCGACGTCTAAAAAGTCTTCATCAGTATTCGACGACAAGGAACTGTCGAAATCTGAGATTTGGCGCAGATGACGTCGGTAAAACAGGTCGCAATGGGCCCTGTAGGCATTTTGCCGGCATCCCAGAGAGACTATCTCTGGAGGTGACTGAATCTGAAACGACGCTTGCGCAATTCCGGATTGCGCTACCAGAGGTTGCAGCTTTGCTTCTGGCATCGAACTCTTTCGTTGCTCCAAACAAGGAGTCATGTGGGGGCTCGATTTCGACAGGAGAGGTAAACTTTGACCCGACGCACTAGCGTCGTCTCCTGTTGTGATGCCAGCCTCTGGTTTTCCACCACTCGCAGTCTCGACCCGAGAAACAGTTCGCGCTTTTTTGGCAGCTGAAGAAAATGGCTCGTAGTCGTCTTCGGAATAGTCGATTCCGTCCATGAAAGTGTCTTCAGACTTGAGTCTCTTTATGGCTGGCTGGCCCGCCGAAGCCACTGCCTTGCGTTTCTCGCCGGGTTGGTGGGTATGAGAAGCACGATCTTCATCGTCCGAGTAGTCGACAAAAAAACCATCGTCGTCAAAGAACACGTTTGAAGACTTCTTCGCCGGATACTTGCTCGCCAGGGGGGCACACTCCATCGAAGAAATGAAAGAGGGGGTATTACCATGCAAGTTTTCCCCTAGAATGCTTCCACCCTCGTTGGAAGCCGCCGTCAACTGATCTGTAACGCCTCCAACCTCGTCTCCAAGCTGGTTAAGACCGTGTTCTTCAAAGGGCTGTTTGGTGAAATCAAGCAGCAAATCACTGTCGTGTGAAGCCTGCTCAGGCGCGACGTTGTCGTCGAATTGGCCAGCGACATCCACCTCGAGCTCTGCAAAGCCTTCCCCTCCCTGAAGCCCAAGAGTGCCTGCTTCAAAGCCGTATTCGTCTCCAAATTCATCGGCTGGAGACTCAGAGTTGGCAGTGGATTCGGGATGGTTATCACCGGATTCGCCTTCGTTTGCCACTAGTGCAACCTTCGCCGCACCGCCAATATCGTGGGTAGCAGAGGTGTCTGCTTCAAGGCCGTATTCGTTTGTATGCGACTCATTAGATCCTTCGTCATAGACCTGCTCCTGAGTCTCGATTTCGGCGGATTGTCTTTCGTCTAATCCTTGAGATAGTCCTTGAGGGACCTCAGACCCAGAAATCGACTGCAAGACAGCCCCCTCGATACCTGCATCCTCCAGAAGCCGGATAAAACGCTCTTCACAGTCTAGCCGTGTGGATAAACGAAGCACCAGGGGTTGTGACTCGATGGCTTCAATGTCAACGAGTGCAATATGACAATGGACTATCTCACGGAAGGTCCGTGTCAAGAACTTGGGACGCGAATTTTCCCCAAATTCGAGGTTCAAAGAATCGATCCGCACCAAGAGCTCATCGAGAGGAGATATATCGTCCCCAAGGACATCACGGATCGAGTTGAGAAATCCGGACAATGGGCCGTCTGACTCTTCCAAATCCGATAGAAAATACGAATCAGGGTCGTCGTTGGGAGAGCCAAACAATGAGTAGCGACATTCATTGTACAATACTTCCACAACGGGAAATGGATGAGAGAACTCAAGCACATCCGCGGCATCTTGGTCAAGCTCATCAACCCCAGAGACTGGGTTTATGCTGGCACCAGATAAGGATGACTTTCGAGTATCGTCACCATTCGAGTTTTGAGGAACCACGGTCTCCTCCCCTTGACTCTCAAACGTGCGAGGCAAGGATGTGACCCTGATGTGCTCAGAAACATTCTGATCTTGGGCCTCTGGTGCCTCCGGGTTTGCTTCAGATGATTGGGCGCTATTGTCGAGCGCCTCCGGGAATGACTCGGTGTGCTCTTCGGATTTACTCATAGAAACTCCCAGGTCTAGAGTAGAAGAACCTCCACCGCCGGCGACAGCGACATCGGGCTCGGTCGCGGTGGGCTCTTCATCATCGTAACTAATTTCGTCACGGTATCCTGTAGAGATCTCTTCGGTGGCTGCTTGCACTTCGTCATCGTCATAACCGATCTCGAAATCGATGGGGACATCCGCGGAATCCCCAATATTGGCCTCGGTGGAAACATTCTCTGTTTCAAAAACTCCGTCTAGCTGGAAGTCGAATTCATCGACTTCGACATCGGCTGCGTCGATGGTCGCGTCAAGGGTCGCGTCATAGTCTTGAGCGAGGAATCCCTCTTCCACAAAAACCTCAGGTTGCTCCATCTCTCCCAAGTCTGACCAAAAATGAGAGAAGTGACAAATTTCTGAGGGATAAGTGGTAAACCGAAATATTCCAAATCCAATCTAGTTCCCAAGTCTCGTTTGGCACATGTTCTGGGATCTAAAGCAGGCGAATGCAAGTTGAAGTGAATGAAATATGAAGTTAATTCACGCGGATTGCAGGGATTTTAATGCTGTGCTCAGAGTAAGGTAAGGAAGGAACCAGGTTATGTAGAGGGGACCAGGTTGCGAGAAGATGTTTTCGGCAGATGGGCTGCTGCTGGCGGGGTGCACCGCTGGCGGGCGTACTACAGCCAAAGCGGATGGTCGACGAGCTTCGAGGCCAGGTGCCGAAAATAGAGGTGCGTTGAAACGCGTTAGTATCGCGTTACGCAATAGAGTCAGACCAGGTTTTTTTTTAAGAATTCCGAGCAGGTGGTCGACACGAAAGATGCCCGCCTCGCAGGTCAAGTCGTCAGATCAGATCGACAAATGCCGTGGGGTCGAGGTCTGGTTGACCGAGTAAAAGAGGTCGCGTCGCATGCAGGGGAAATAGCGAGGATTCGGGGAGTGTTGAAGAAGGATTCGTGAGCGATGTGGGAAATGCCGGGAAAGGTCTGAAATGACTGTTCGCGGCGGGAAGGTAGGTTAGGTTGTATGTAGGTTGTTGTTTCGTGAAGGAGAGCTGCCAACGGAAGGAGGTGCGGACTAAAAAGAGCAGTGACCGAGTTGACAGCAGGTCAAGGCCCGTTTGAGCCTAGCGCCTAATGGGGCCGTGCTGTTGATGTGGGTGGGGTAGGAAACCAGGAACCAGGTGCTACCCTGGGATTGCCAGCTGGCAGGTACCCCCTGGACCGACATGCCACATCAACCACAGCACAGCACAGCACGGGGCAGCACCGCACCGCCTGTGGTCATTTCAATTACAGCCCGCCCGCCTTAACGAACCGAAGTGAACAATTGGAAGCTTAGGTTGCGCTCCCAGCTCAAACCTTCTGCCCACGAACTACTTCAGGCTCTTTCTCCGAGCGCAGGCCCAGCGACTGACTGCTGCTATCAAGATGGTAACAGATCCCCCCTGGCAGGCCATTCCTTGCCTGGAGATGCGCACACTATAAGATAAGCGACTGACTGGCACGACTGACCTGACATTGACACGCTGATTTCCCGCCAACCCTTAGGTTATCCTCGCTGCGTCCATCTGCACCCGGGGTGGCAAGGCCGTCCTGGCCCGGGCATTCCACGACATCAAGAGGACGCGCATCGAGGCGCTCCTCGCCTCCTTCCCCAAGGCGGCAGACTCGGGGACACAGCACACAACCGTCGAGCAGGACAATGTTCGATTCGTCTACCAGCCCCTGGACGAGCTCTACATGGTGCTCATCACCAACAAGCAGTCCAACATCCTCCAGGACATTGACTCGCTCCACCTGTTTGCCCAGGTCGTGAGCAGCATTTGCAAGAGCTTGGAAGAGCGCGAGATTCTCAAAAATGCCTACGAGCTCCTCAGTGCCTTTGACGAGCTAGTCACGCTCGGGTACCGGGAGAACCTCTCCATCAGCCATATCAAGACGTTCCTGGAGATGGAGAGCCACGAGGAGCGCATCCAAGAGATTATTGCTCGGGTATGTTATCTGCGTCTGCGCTCCTACTCGTACTGGCTGCGGACGGCCCACTGACGCACAGCAGAACAAGGAGCTTGAGGCCACCGAAGAGCGCAAGAGAAAGGCCAAGCAGTTGGAAATGCAACGCAAAGAGACGTCGAGAAGCGGCCGCGGCGGCATGCCTCGAACGCCAGTATACCCAACATACACGGCCCCAGTTCGCCCACAAGTTACCGAGACCTTTGACAGCTACGAGGCCGAGAAGAACAAGTCCAAGTACGTCGGTGCCTTGCCTTGAGAATTTGTTTGTTGGAGCAATCTAACAGTCAACTAGGTTCGTCGCGCCCAAGGGCAAGGGTATGCAGCTGGGCAAGAAGTCCAAGACAACAGACATGTTTGAGCGCGTGCGGGGGGACCTTGGTCACGAAGCGGAAGAAGCTCCTCTTGTGCCTGTTGCTGCTCCGGTAACTGCCGCCGAGCCTGCCGCCGCGCCGCGGGCGTCGATCACATTAGACCGCGATGCGATCCATGTAACCATCAACGAAGCCATTACCGCCAAGCTGTCGAGGGAAGGCGGGCTCAACTCGTTTTCCATCAGCGGAGACCTGACGCTGCGTGTCACCGATCCTTCGCTCACCAAGATCAAGCTCAAGCTCAACGCGACGCCGTCGCATGGCGCCCAGTTCCGAACCCACCCCAACGTCGACAAGAACGTGTTCAACACTACCAAAGGCATCCAGATGGCAAACCAATCAAAAGGATTCCCGGTCAACAATGCCGTGGGCGTTCTCCGTTGGCGAGCCACGCTCAAGGCGGACGACACAAGCGCGTTGCCCATCACGTTCACCGTCTGGGTCAATAAGGGCGCCGAGGGCAACTGCACATTGACGATCGAGTACGAGCTGATGGGCGGGGATGCCTTAAACGACGTAGGCGTTGTTATCCCGTTCTCAACAGCAGAGCCCACGGTTTCGAGCTTTGATGCCGCGTATGAAGTCTCCGGGGACAGCCTGGAGTGGTCGATTGGCACAGTGAGCGACGAGAACCCCAGCGGTGCCTTCGAATTTGAGGCGCAGACAGACGACGAGAATGAATTCTTCCCGATGCACGTTCGCTTTTCAAAGGCGTCGCCATTTGTGGATGTGGATGTAAGTCTTTGTGCCAAACATCCCATGCTTTGTTTTAGTCTTGCACAGGCGGCTAACCTACATGCCAGGTCCAATCTATAACATTGACCGAGATGAACGAGGAGGTGACCTTTTCCAAGGAGATCAAGTCGGTAGCAGAGTCGTTTGTAATCGAGTAGAAAGTATGACGGGCGTATTAGGGGCAGAACAAAAAAGAGGAATGAGAAAAAACTCCCCGGGACGGCTGAGCTCGGGGAATTTTCGGTTACGATGGCAAGACGCACGACGATATGGCCATAAATGTAGGCATTGCACCGAGAGCCGTTCCCGCGTTTTCTATCTAGATCTGCCCGTGCTATCTATAATCGAGCAGGCTTGTTACTTTGACTGCAGAGTGTCTCGCTGCTATCCTCTGGGCGTACAGTGTATACACACTGTATCATCCCGATTTACACGAAAAGAATCCAAAGACTTTCGGACGACTTGAATTTTGGGTCTTTTGAAGCCCTCTGAAATAACGATTGGCTCTTTGGGCCTCTGTTCGAAGCTTAAGCTATATACCTTCTTAAATCTCGATGTAGGCAATAGGACTGGACTTGTGGATGTGTTTATAAGGGAACGCCGTACTGTGCGAGCGCAGTCGCGCTCTGCCTCAGCCGGGTCCAGTAGCACTGTGCCATGTCTAATAATAGCCTGCACGATGCTTTCGTTGCCAGAAAGAATGACTCGGGGCAAGAACCCGGGACCGTGGACTTTAAGTAGTTGCAGCAGGAAATAAAGGAAGAAACGGCAACCTGAATCGCCCAGCCCAGCTCAGCTCAAGTTTCCATCCCTTAAGTGATTAGGAATGGGTCCTAAGGCAAAGACTGTGGCTACCACGCACGCGCGCAACAAGCCCGACTTGGCCGTGAGGGTGCAACAACACCACAGGGTTCGGCATCAGAGACGCGGCGCATCATCTCTCCTGTAGCAGAACAGAAGAGAGGACACAAAAATGCCTAAAAAAATGCCGCTCGATAAAGAGCTACAGCTTTTGGGCTCGAGCACGCTCACTGCACCTGTCTCAGGCGGCCAGGTTGCGTGCAATCCAGCCTTCAACCTGACGGCGACGGTCGGCGATGGCAGCGCCGTGCTGCACATTTGGCGTGCCAACGACAACCAGCTCATCTCCAAGCACACGGAGCGCAACCAGAAGGTCGAAGCCATAAAATGGAAGGAAGACGGTATTTGCCACCCAGCCCATATATGGCCCTGGCAATGCAGAGAGAGATCCAGTTTCTAACCCGCGAGTTCATGTCTAGGGCACTTCCTCGCGGCGGGCTGGAGCGACGGCGTCGTGAGACTCGTCGGCTTGGAGAGCAGCAAGGCCGTGCACCACATCCGCGTCGCCGAGAATGGTGCCCTGTCGAAGATTGACTTCATCGCCTGGTCGCGCAACGCCATCGGCCGCCGCACCGCCCGAGAGAGCCCCGCGAGTGCGAGTGCGCTGGCCGCCTGGAGCATCCTCGCCGACGACGACCAGCAGCAGCCGCACGTGCTCGATCTCGCCCACGAGCTCACCTTTCTCGAAATCGAAACCGCCCTCCCCAAACTCAGTCCCTTGCCCGTGTCGGGCGGCTCGGGGTACGTCGTCCCTTTCTCCCCTCTTCGCTTCGAATTAGATGATGCAATGTGTGATGAGCCCAGGGGAACTGACGATTATTTTGCTCCCAGCGACGACATGTTTTTGTTCTCTACGACGGCGTCTCTGGAGTTCGTGTTCCGTCCGTGCCCGGCAGAGGACGCCAATGTCGTGCATGTCATGATCATAGGGACGGCCGATGGAGGCATCCATCTCAGCATATACGACTCGTTCGTCATCGGGACTTTCAAGCACTCGCCCCGTACCGCGGGACCCGCGTCCGGCTCCGGCGTCTTCCAGCTCTGCGGACACGGATCTCACCACGGAACCTCAACCCACACTCTCCTCCTCCGGCCACAAGGGGGGGATGGGACCGTGCTGTATCTGGTGCCCATGGACCTAGTCTTTGTGCACTATTCGCCCGTCAACCTGTCTCTTCTGGCGTCCAAGATGACCATGATGCAGAATTTGCTCCGCTATCTTAAACAAACGCAATCTCACATGACAAGCGAGTGGAAATCGACAAGAGAGCTGCCCGCCCGTTTTCTCCTCGGGGTGCAGGAGGACCTCCAGAAGACACCCAGGGGGGGCTTGACAATATTCCAGGCTCTGTACCACACAGTGGCCACCGGTCATGCTTTCCCGCCTGTCAAGGAGTGGCTTGTGGACAGCCTCGCCGAGAGAGTAAGTGTCGTGTGATTTGCATCTAGCTAGATCTTTGCTAACAAGTCGGCAGGGACACAAGCGGTGGGACAAGGCTGTGGTGTCGGGCCTAGAGAACCTCCGCGGCCTGGTTCATGAGAACTTCATCCCGGCCCTGGAGCGGTGTGGCATCATTCTCAGCCGTCTCCTTGGCATTGCTCGCTTCCACGACTCGCGCGAGAGCATTGGGTTCAATGCTGCCCAGATCAGCCGGCTCATGGACATAGTCTCGTGCCTGACCGTTGTGTCTCACAGGATCTTGCTGATCGTCATGGACGAGCTGGAGTACTTCACGTCCTTCTCGACCTGGCTTCGGCTAGAGATTGATAGGGCCGCCTCGCCATCGATGAGCGACGACCTCACTGAGAAGGAGGTGATGTTGGATGACTCCAAAGTCTTGTCATACATTGAGCAATACCTAATCGGTAACCCACTAGCTCTGTACTTTGACGAGGTTACCAAGGAGGACTATGCCAAGGATCAAGACCTCGCCGAGGACGGTGTTTCTCTTTTGCAGATGCTTGACAAGCAGCTGAGTCGAAAAGAGGCCGGTCTGCCGTATATGAAAGCGCTGCCTCATCTTGATTTCCTGGTGAAGTACCTGACCAGTCGGGCCAACACGGTCTTTCGGGACATTGCCGAGGCAGAGAAGCGAGGCGTCCGGTTTGGCCAAGCCACCGAGCTGTCGTTTGGACAGAAGATCTGGAACCATGAAATTCGGCTTTGCTCCAAGCCCAGAAATGTGAGTCCGGCACTGTATACTCTTCTATTGTTTTGAGGTGTCTTGGCTAACCTATTTGCTCAAGAGCGACGTCGATGCGACAGCGTTTACTGCCATTGTGTTGGAGGCGGACAAGTCTGGGAGTATGGCAATTACCCACTCACCTTCTTGACGACAGCAAAGCTGACGAGATACATATAGTATCACTTTTCCGGACTATCATACCAATCATAAATGGCATCAGCGGCGTGGCTTCCACGACCGCTTGTAGGCTTTTGCTTCCGGAAGGTTTTAGCTTGATCGACCTGAAGTTCTTGGACGATGAGTCGCTGCTCGCTTTGTGCCAGCGTAGAGGTGAGGTTTTCCCCTTTTTCAATAAGTTTTTGTGTTTATGATTCTGACGACCGATAAGACGAGCTAAAGCCCGTCCTGCTCCGCATTGCGTACCGGGCGACCGCTGTGTTATACGGAGGATTCAGGAACACCCAGGCGCTCGTGACTGTGGACCTCGAACACCATGACCTTAAAAAGGTCGTCTCCTCTTTCACATTCCCGCACATTTCCGGCTTCGTGCCAACACAGATGGAGGTGCAAACAGGGAGCAAAGCAAGAGGCGAGATCCCTGCGAGGGTGTGTCTCCTGGGGCGGGACAAGGCGACGTATGTCTATAAGCTGCCCGAGAGCTGGGATGTGGTTCCGGAGTCGCCACTCAAAGAAGACGTTAGGATGGAGGGGTCCTAGCACGGTTAGATGCTTGGTAGTCTGGGCTCTCAGGACTGTGTTTGTGACATGTGTTTGTTCTACATGGGTTCGCGTCATAATAGTCGCGCAGGATAGTGCAACCTGGGATGAGTCCAGGGCCGGAAGGGATAATGCATCAAATTTGGATTGGTATTCCTTCAATGGCCGGATTGGCTCCCATAATCTCGGTCACAATGCTTAGAGCCCCTTTTCCATTGTACATTCATCTAATTCCACAGTCGTGATTTCTCCATCTGTGAGACTACGCTTCCTTGCCCACCCCTAGTTGTATTTAAGCTTCTCGAAGGAGGATAATAGGGAGATGTACAGAATATACATACACGTCAGGGGCTGCTTCGTTGCACAAGGTCTCTCTCTCTCTCTCTCTCTCTCTATTTCTATTCAACGCCTAGCTTCACCTGCTCTGACACGGCGAGTAACCGCTACGGACACGACCAGGCCAGCGTGGATGGACTACCGAATATGTTCAGGGTATGCGTCACTCGCACTTGTCTTTGGTCAGTAAAAGTGTGCTCTCACAACCCTCTGACATTTTTACCTAAAACAAGAAGTTCGCCGCCACTACGCCCCACTTAAACGAAGAAAACCTCGAAGCTAGAGCGGCTGCGACGTCGGTGTGCGCGTCGGCCGTTCATAAGCGGGCGTGCTCGTGTCTCTACACGTGCCAGGGCTCAGCTCGAGGACACGGCGCCGCTGTGCTATCCCATCACATTTCTGGCTGTACCAGTCTGCGGATGATGAGCGGACATGTTCACTGTTCAGTTACTCCAAGTTCGCCGTTTTACCGAGCCAGATCCAATATTATACATTCCACCCATTGTGGTGACTCCCCCGACTACATATTTACAAAGTTACAGCTAGAGGATGGATGCCACCCAAAAACACGCCCGGCCGTTGCTATTTCGCCGTCTTAGCTAGCCAGCCCCTCCTCTTCATGCGACGCCGACACAGAAATGCTTGCCTGCACACCATACAGGAAGGACGGGTGTCCTATAGCCCGCTTGTTCTGCTCCCCCTCGTCCATGCAAAAACAACTCCTCCCATGCCAAATACAACTATGAGGAGACGTGTAAACAAAAAGGCAAAATGGGAAGACAGAATAGAGACGGGGAAAACAGGACAGCCAATTCTCCACAAATGCAGAATCATCCCGTAAAAAGCATGCTAGACTTCGGCCGTTACACATCCCTCTAGAATGCCGCCAAGAGAGCTTGCCCGTCTCCACGTGTGGGTGTATAGTGTATGTGCTTCGGGTGGGACGTAGAAAATACTCGCACCGTCATACGGGAAATATGCTTTACCAAACAAGGCTAGATGATGCCAACTCGACGTACGCCAGGCGCAAAAGCAAAGGACAAAACAACAATAATAAAACGCCCGCGCATAATCAGGTAATCGTTTTGTGAAGAAAAAATGTTGGTACATTCATGAGCAACATGGTGAAGTCATAAAGGGCGTGACGGTGTTTTTGGTCATCTGTAACCTCCCCCTTGTGTGCTAGGTGACGGAATACTGGGTATGCTACTGTCACGAGGCCGTCGGTTGAGACTACCAGTCCGGTTGAGCATCGCCGTCTGGCTGAGCGAGAATTGCCGCTGTCCCCTGTCTTCAGCCAGCTTTTCTGCCACACTGTTCGTCTCCCGCTCCGGTGTTGGCCGGTCTAGGTACCTCCGGGCCGGAACGGCCGCAGGCGAAGGTGCAACTAGCCGCGGATTGAGAGACGACGGAACGAGCCGGCGGCGCGGCAGTGCAGATGATGCCAGAGGGTTACTGTCCTGAGGAGACAGGGCCTGTTGAGAAAAGTCGCGTGCTGTTGACCGGAAGCTGTTCACTTCAGTAGTGGCCCTTGAAGGTGCCCGAAAGCGGGATTCGTCCTCGTCGTCGTTGGTCCCTTTTCGGCTGCGAAGAAGTAGCGAAGTCTTGCGGCCTTCTCGGTTCTCCTCTAGCTCCTCTGTCCCAGCCCTGCGAGTTCGAAGATGCAACGATGATTTCCTTCCAGAGGCTTCTTCCGGCTCTTCGGTTCCAGCCCGGCGAGTCCGAGCCAGCAATAGAGACGACTTTCGTCCTGCGCCGGCCTGGTCTATTGGTGTGGACGGAGCACCCGCGTACCGAGGACTCGGCAGAGCCACCGTGGTAAGCATAGTCATCCTCCTCTGCTCTAGGCTTGTAGGAGCCCTAGGACTCGTCACCGTCGCCTTCGGAGCTGTCGACTCTGTAATTAGGGCGCTCGGCCGTCGTTGGTTAATGACCGGAGCCAACCTTGAAGATATTGGGCTGGCCATGGGCTCGGCTTCGCGGGTGGCATGCGCCGACCGAGGTCGTTTGACCTGGCCATTTTCATCAGCCAAAGCTATGCACAGTTCGGTCAGGCTCTTGCAAATGCTGTCCGCTTTCCGCCGGAGTTGCCTATCAGTGACGCTGGCGCCGCCTCCGACTCCTATGGTGCTCGCGCCACTGTATATGGGGCCAGGCTGTCCCGGGACGCCCACCATGGACGACAAAGCAATCGCGTCGGTAGCAGCCGATTTGATAGCGGCCAAGACTTCCAGACTGGTTACACCTTCTATCTTGGAGAGGGCTGAAAGGAGAAGAGGCTGCGCCTCCCGTTGCGATGACGTAGTGCTAACCACGTCTACTGGGGCAGTTCCTCCCAAGCCAGAGCCACGCTTTGGTGAGGCCGACATGGTTGTCGCATTTGTCGTGGCGGTTGGCGGGCGGTCATCGGACGCCCTGGACATGGCCGCGCCAGATGTCGACGGAGCCTTCCCAGTTAGTTCTAGCCGATGGATGCGTGATTTGAGATCGTCCAGTTCATCCCAGACTGTGGAGGGTGCCGCCGTCGAGGTCGAAGACTCGGTCCCTTCGACACCATGATTCGCCTCCGAGCTCTGAGGCTCATGTTTCTGAACATCGATAGACTTGGGAACCAGCGGGGACGAGTTATAGGTTCGACTCTGCCCGAGATTAAAATTGACCGCCCTGTATTGGGGAGTCCTGGTAGAAGTGTGCCCCGAGTTGCTTTCGGTAATCGACTGCCGCCTCCGCGAGTATGACGTACTCGTCTCGGTAGCTGGAGACGGTTCTTGGAAGGAAATCTGACGAGGAGTGATGGGAGAGGGCCGCAGCGGTGTTCGCAGAGGTTGTGCAGCGCGGCCCGAGTCCTCAGGGGCAGTGGTGTTAGATGTCGTCCTGTCTGTCACAGTTGCACGATAGGTCAGCTGCCTTGTTATTTGTTGGGCAGACTGGCTACTAGACAAGTTCCGGCCCCGAGAATTCTCGCGCTGGTCGGAAAGCCGGCGAGTGATTTGCGGCGGTGAGGTGGCCTGGTAGGTAGGGACGGCTGCCGAGAGAGGGCGGCGGTGGGTTGTCCTTGTAATGCGCGACTACCGAATGGTTAGTTTTCGTGTTCAAACGAGATTCAACATGCGAACACCCGAGACTGGCAACAAGACAAGTGGGATGCAGCACGCGGGTAGGTGAAGTAGGCACGAATTCAAGACACTACGGCCCCGAAATTCGTAGTCGTCTGCTAGTCGCAACATAACACAAAGCCATCGTTACAAAGCGCGGGGAAGACGGGAACAGGACCGACTTCAACAGACCAGGGGAGAGAGATTTGTGCTACTCACAATTGCGCTCTGGTCCTCGGCCATCTCCTGCTCCTCAGGTGCGCGGCGCGACGAGTCTTCGCGGGCAATGCGCATGAAAATGTCGGCCGTGTTGTCCGTGTCGTTGTCGTTGTCATGCATAGCATTGGCCGAGTCGGGAGGCGTGATCTGGGAATAGTCGTCGTCGGGCCGGCCCTCGAGCGCTCGCAGGGTGCGGTCTCGTTGATTCGGGTCAGTTATGTCGTCCCCAAAAGATTCTTCCGAAACCCGCCTCGTGTGCATGTCGAGAACAAGGCTCTTGCGCGACCCCGACGAGCGAAAAGCCCGGATGGGCGGGATGACGGCGCGCCCGCCCAAGGCGGTGACGACGCTGGGCGGCGGTCTGTACGAGACTGGAGGACGCGACTTGCGCCTCTCATCTGACTTTGCGGTTTCAACAGTCTTGGGCAGCAGCAACTCGCGCTGGCCCTGCGCCCACTCCTCGGTCGAATTTTCGGCGGGGTGCTCAGTGTCGGTCGACTCGACGGTGTGCGGACGCGACGAGCTTAGCGTGGGACGGGGCGACACCAGCGGTTCGGCACCGTTGGCAGCACTGGCAGCCGTTAGTAGGCGACGTTTAGCGGCCGGGGTTGCGCTTGAGGACGACGATTGGGCACTGGTGGTGTACGCGCTGGCGGTACCGGCCACGGTAGGAGAATCAGGAAATGAAGCTGGACGCCTTGACGCGGCGGAGCGGCCGTCGAGCGACGTTTGAGTGGCCGACGGCGACTGGAATGTCGAAGCCCGGGTTCGCGGGGGGCTTGGGCTGGCTTGAGCGTGGGTGCTGTGAGTGAGGTTGTGGCTGTGGGTGTGTTGCGGAAAAGATGCGGCAGATTGCGGCGTTTCAAATGAGACGGGATTATTGTCGGGGAGAATTTGGGCGCCGCTGCGGAATCGGTTCTGGTAGTTGTGGTTCTGGCTCTGGCTCGGGTTCTGGCTCTGGCTGTGGGGGACAGCGCCTTCAGAAGGAAAACTCGAACCAGGGATTCGTTGGTTTTGGTCATGCGCGTCACGCTGAGTTTGCAGGCTCGTGCCGTCGTGACGATCGGGGCTGCCGGGCGACGACAAGGTGCTGTCGTGGGCTGGCTGCGGCGACACGGGAGACGGGGGAATGTGCTGCAAAAGCGACGGCAGCACGATGGCGTCTTTTTTCAGGTCGGCAAAGCGGAAAGCAGGCAATTTGGACGAGTTGTGGTTTTGGCGGTGGGCGTGGAAGACGTTGCCGTCGCTCCTGAACGCGAGGTTGTTGCTGTTAGCATTCGTCTTCGCGGTGCTAATACTGACGCTCGGTCCGCTAGTGCTGGAGCCCGAGCTCGTGCAGTGCTGCTGGTTAATGTTGTTGTTGCTGCTGCTATTGCTGTTGCTGTTGGCACTGGGGCTGCCCGGCTTGCTGCTGTTGGTGAAGGATTGCGCCTGGGGGGGACCCGTGCTGTAGGAAACCGCTGTAATGCCAGTATTACTAGGGCCGTGGCCCGCTTCAGGTGCGAAACTCGACGATGTCATGTTTCCGTAACCGGGGCCTTTCAAACCCTCGGGCCAAGCCTCTGGGTCAGCTTCCCGTCCCAGCTTCCTTTTGGTCACGACGCAGCGCAGCGAGAAAACAATAGAACTTGCACCCCTTTCCCCTTTTCTACCGCTATCACTCTGGCGCCCCAAAGCTTTCCGTGCTCCCGCCAAGAAGACCCCGGCGTCGCACGGCGATCGCTTGCTGTCGTCCTGGATTTTGCGGCCTCGGGACCCGATAGTCGACTCGCGGGCAGCGGGCGCATCGGCCGTGTTCTGTATTGTTAGACTGACCACACTGTGGACCCGGGAAATCCATCAGATGCAGCGCGTGCCCGCTCCTCCCGTCGGCTTTGTTGGCGATCTTGACGCAGGGAAGAAGGCAGGGCGGCGGAGGTAGCGGAAGCTGCAACTCCGCACATGGAAGTTATGGAAACCAGGAAGAAAACAATCGCTAGCCAAAGGGGCCTGGGTGAGCAGGTCGGTCGGCAGGCAGCGGAGGTTATTAGGTAGGCGGACTATTAAACTAGATAGAACTAGTCGGAAAGTAGCACACAAACGGCCTCCAAGATGGTCTCGAGTGAAGAGCGAGCGGCGATGGCTCGCAATGCAAGGGAGAAGAGCCGGAGGTCAAGGAAGGAAGGAGGCAAGCAAGCAAAGCAAAGCAGCCCCGAGGTCGGGTGGAGGATTAAAGACACCCAAGGTCAGTAAATTGGGCGGAAGCGACGACAGGAAGCATCTACAAACGGCAACCACCCTGGCCTGACCTGGCCGGTTGTGGTGCTATGCTGGTGCTGTGCTGGTGCTGGCCCAATGTGAATGGACCACCAGCCGACAGCTCAAATATCAAAATGGCCACAACAGCGCAGCCAGCGGCCCCCTCTCTGGATTAGCTCCGCAAGCGGGAGCGACACACGCAGGCAGGTGCTAGGATGAAGATGCAACCTCAACCACCACGGCCACGAATAGCACCCGAATGCTGGCCGAGAGCCAGACGCCACGAGGGGCCGGATTTCGTTGGAACCTGGAAGCCACCCGTCCATGCCCATCCATCCTCAATCCTATGGACCATTGAACAGGTCGGTCCTGTTCTCTCTCCTTTCCCATGGATGTGCTGCTGTTGACCCTCCCTCGGGAAGTACGTGAGGAGAACAGATGCGAACGTGCGCAGGGACCGAGCCCTTCCAATCAGGGCAACCTAGATTACCTAACAACCAGAAGTGCAACAGTTGTCTCAGCTGCTTGCCATCTTTCTTCCCGCCTGTGTGCCCGCGAACGTATGCCTGCTGTGTAACTGAATTATGACTGACAGTGCACACTGCACAACCGGCCCACCCACAAAAAGCCGGTGAGAGTTGTCCGAACATGCAGACGCACAGCACAGCATACGTGACAATCTATGCCGACGTTGCCAATAGGTTGGGTTATTACCTACTCAGGTGTGCTCTCTGTGCCTCTTTGCAGGTGTGCCAAAGCGCACCATGCGAGTGTGAGCTTGTGCACCCTGAATGAGACACCTCCTCCCAGTGTTGCAGTGCGCCCCGCAACATCATACCTCCCGCTCATCTTGGCCCTGCATAGGCGAGGGGAGCCGAGCACTGAGCACGGAGCACAAGTCTAGAAGACCACACATGGACAGAAACAAAAAAGAATGGCTGGCCAGATCCTGAGCTCGGCAGCAAGCCCATTACGTATCTGAGCCACGAAACCACATGGAAGGAAGCCGCTGCAGCTGCAAGTTCGACTTGTCGTTTGCCTCTTCCCTTCGTCGCCGACGCGCTGGCCGGCACCTGGTTGCTCCGCTGCCAGATTCACGACCAGCGGGCTCCTCATCGAAAACTCAGGAGAGGAACACTCGGAGACCCGGCCCCGCTGCGGAGGCGCGGAATGATGAGGTGCGCCGAGACGAAATGAAAGGGAATCGGGGAGCCGGGGGGGCTGGCTAGAGGGTAGTCCCGAAACGGGCACGCCATGGTGCAGACTACGAGGGGCGGGAAAAAAGGGGGGCAGCGTGAGGAGGCGGGGGATTTTAACGCAGGGCACGACGTGAATGGGGCCAATTGGCCAATCAGCACAGCTCTTCAGGGTAGCCCATCGAACTCCAGATCGAATTACTACTCCGGAACTAACTTGATGTACGCCATGTTGGACTCAACAGAAAAAGCAACGTTCATAATTCAAGGTGAGTAATACAATACTAAGGTCGGAGTAAGTTTGCCACGATTATACAGCCCCAAGGTAAGATTGTTTGTGGTTTCTAAAGCCTTCAACTACTTTACGTATGGTCACTGCATATTTGGCACTGAGCAAACAAGAGACCATGGAAGGAGAGAAAATGGTTGCAGTTTTGAACACAGTCACTTTTCGCCAGTTGAGTGACAACGAATTCCGAGTAATTAGTACGGAGTATCAGCCTGTTTGCAGAACCTCGAGCGCCTTTCCTCGCAGGTTCTCAATGCGGGCCCGAGTTGAGATCAAGGTGTAAACGATTAGCTTGCTCGTCAGGTTTTGAAACGCCTTTAAAAGAAAAGAAAGCAAAAGGCTTTCTCAGCAGCGCAGGCTAGGTGCATTGCACAGAACATAAAAAAGGCCAGCCTCCATGTGCACAGATGTAGAGACGATCCGGACAGCTGCAGCACATCAGGGGCTTGCATATTGCGCAGTAGAACCCGATCGGACAAGGTGTGGCTTCCGGAGGATTTGTCCTGTGTGTTTTGTTTTGTCTTCGTGCGGTTTTCTTTGCCAACGGCTGTTCGCTGTGCCAATTCACGAGTCTCTTTGGTTGCCTCGTACAAAGTGGCGCAAACCTCTAGCCTGATGACGGTGAGAACGGCCAAGGTAAGCCGGCAAATCCTTATTCAGTACCGTGCCTCAACGTTACTATGTATACATGTGTGCAGCATGCTTAGTAGAGGGGAATCTCCTTCCCATCGTCTAATGGTGTTTTAAATCGACCTCATTGTCACGGAATACTGGTGCTGACGGTGGGATCGTGCCAACACTCCCCGGAGAGAGAGATGCTTCGGGACGTGGGAAGACCTCGTGGGGCCCAAGGTCCTTGACACGCCGGGCTTACGTACTCAGCACACACATTTGAAACATAACAAAACATTTTCATGCCAGGAGTGCAACGATTAGGGGGGATAATATGTGCGCTGCATTCTCGACGCAGCTCCTCCTGAATGTGATGTTTGTTGTGTTTGAGACACAGCAGATTGGCCGTGTTGGCTCCACCTATAGGTCTAGCGCGATGCACTCGGCGCCTCGGAATGCAGAATGCTTGCCCAGGGCATTTCATCCCCTTCGCGCAGAAGTACTGACCCCTTGGCCGTGTTCTGAGTTTGCAAAGGACGGCGAGAGCTCCGAAGAGCTACTGCAAGTCTCGGGGACGGCTGGCTTTCAGATCTGCAATGCAAATATGGATATGCTAGGTTCTGAAGAGACAAGTTCAACCGCCATCAATGTTAACTTTTCCCGCTCGCAGCACCATAGCCAAGCCGCCAATTACTGACTGGAAAACACTCAACTGTCAAATGGGATCCGCTTTCCATGGAATATCAAGAAGATGAACGTGCAGTTCCGAGCTTTGGCTTAGACCTTGTTTAACAACAACTTTTAATGCTTACCAATAAATTCAGGATGGAGCTTGACAACACCGCAGATGTTGGATTAACAACAAGAACTGAGGCAGATGATACCTAAAGACAAGCGGCTTTGGTGTGCTTGGCACGAACTAATTGGCGTTGGACCGCATGCCATATTTAATACTCTTCCCCGAGGGATCAATCATGGCTGGGGATTCGATCGGGGAAGGCCATGCTAATTAAAGAAGACTTCATTTCATATATAGTTCCCGAGCGTTCCAATCCTCATGCAGGACAGCTCGATATATGCTGAGACCAGAGAGCTGTTCTGAAAGCTCAACTCCAGAACTCGCCGGCAGTTTCGGGATTCAGATGTATGAAAGAAGAGATATAAGATAATCCATAGCGGATTCGGGCGTGATATCGCCGTAATATATCTAGATGTTGAAGCCAGGTGGAGAATGCGAGTTGAGGTTGAGGTTGAGGTATGGGATTGAGGCTGATAGGAGAGCTGGCGCCTGGAGCACAAACCAGGTGCTCTACAGTGTACCCATGCTGCTGTTTCACGCATTGTTAGGTGCATATTTATTTTGTTTTTCTCGGACTTCGTTCGCTCCACAAGCGGGAACGGGGAATCCTTGTGAAAGACGGGGTTGACGCTCCTGGTGCTCTGTGCGCCGGCGCGGCGACATGGTGTGATTCAACACGTGGAAATTGTTTTAACCCTATGCAATGATCCGATAGAAATACGTACGGAATAGGGGATACGGGCTGAGGGTTGAGCATATTCGTGAGGGCCGTCTTGAATTGGTGAGTACGGGCATCTGTGAGAGCTGCAAACACGATGTCTCTCAATTACCTCATGTAGTACGGATAGAACATTTGATACTATGTTCTTCCGAGGCCACCAACGGTCCGAGTCTGGCACACGAGTATCCGATCAGAGCATTTATATGGCCCCATGTTCGGGTTATAGGGTAGCCGAAATATCGGGTGCCCTCTTTTGGCGACAATCGGAGCCCGGCCCGTGAGGAGAATCGACTCTCGACAGACTAGCAGTCCGATGGGCGCTTGTGTTGTTGTTAAACGAGCCCGCCCGCTTCCTAGTTCAATTGGCGCATGGAATCGCCGAGGTAGTTGAGTGGTTCTGAGGGAGTCACTACCCGAGGTTGTATATACCAAACGTAGGGACCACCGCAGAGCGAAAATAAGCAAGGGAAAGTGGGAAAAGATCTAATAGTGGTGTGCCAGTTGTTCATGCCGACTGTTGTGTGACTCTCGCAAGTAAGTAAACATGAAATGCTGGGTTCAAGATCCCAAGATAGCCCCCAATCTGTAACGGCAAAGGTGGCAGCATAGGTCATATGATATCATGTGATGTTGTCTGCCCACGTCAACCCGTGTTGGTGTTTGGATTGCGGATCGTCCGCTTCCGAGGCTAGACGAGTAAGCTGCCCTATAATAAGAAGGAAGTCGATAACAGACAAACAATCTGCCTGAGACCAGTCTCGCTACAGCGCGGGCACGTCAGTTAGAGTGCGCGGAATGCGAACAACGGCACACCACATTTGGTCCCTTGACACGGCGAGATGTCGTCATTAACTCAGTGTGTTATCAGTTCCCGAAGACGCATTGCACATGTCGCGATGTCGTCCAGGGCCATGAGCATTGCATCCCAGGGATCGCTCACGGGGAATTCGAATCCGGGAGGTAGCCCGACAGCGGGAAAGGAAAAAAAAAACAAGAAGGGGTCTGCACCACTCAAAGACTCGGCTGACATCAAGAGTTGAAAGCACAAACTATACTTGTGATGTTGCCATTCAACGTGTGAAGACTCTGAGGCTCTGCGGTTGGCGTTACCCTGTGGTTGTCAAGACTGGATGGCTTCTAGTCGGGAATGGAAGGATTGGCCAAAGATGGCAAAGTGGGCGAGACCCAATGGTAATTGGCAAGACCAAGCGAGCCCCCCACTCGCATGGTACTAGGAGATGCACGGCCAAATTGACAAGTGCCACCACTCCAACGCAACCTGGGTTCTGTTTCAGATCGACTAGGGCGAATTCCGTCCGCATCTGGGTGCGGAGAAACAGTTTCCATTCTTGTCCACACGGCCCGTGATCCACCACCAGCGTCCATGACGGCAAGGGTTTGACCCAGTCCTGCAACTGACAAATTGCCTTACAATTGGACAAATTGCCAAAATCGACTCTTCCGCCGTCCCCATTGTGCTACCTTGGGTAGTCTTGGTCGCCTGGACTGTCTGTTATCTAGCCCTGACCTGCTAGCAAAACAATGGAACGCTCCACCTCGCCGTCGTTTAGACTTTATCGACAGCATGTTCAGACGAGACGGTACTTCCACTAGCGAGGATGCCGCGTTTCTAGGCCGCTGTCTGATACACACCTCGAGTATGAAGTACTCAGTAGCTCTTTGAACAAATACGTTCCTTGGCGCTTTATTAGGTCAGGAGAGTCCGTATGTACACCCTCCCAAGGTATCCCGAGAATCGATATAAGACCGCTATTAAGGGTCGGCCACGGCTTCTCCCTCGCAGCCGGGAGGCACAGCGTTCACCGCCAGACCATGTGCGGGATGTTCCCCAAGAGGACAATGGGGCGGCCTTGGTGGCCGGCACCTATAATTAAGGTAATCTGCAATGGCCGGAGTAGGGCTTTCCAAGCCGCTTTCAGTCCGCGACGTCAGAGCATGGTGTTTTGTGATTTAACCTTACCTCCTCGCTACTAATTACTGAACCGACGCCCTTGAGCCGCCTGGGTCCTGACACTTCTTCCACTGTGCGAGTCGCGTGCAGACATCCTAGCAGGCATCGTAAACTTAGAGAGGCACCTAGCTTTCGATGCACCGCAGCAGCCAATCCTCTGTTTCTAAGCGCCGGTTGAGATGGAGGAAGGACACCCGGCCAGTGGCCCATGCTTCCCGTCTTTCCCTGCCAACACTATAGCCATCCAATGCGGATGGACGATACGCAACAAAAATAGAGTAGACGGAGTGCCCGACCAAGCATGCGAAAATGAGAGAATGCGCCCTCGGGCCGGGCCATCAGAGTCGGAGATGGGAAGACGGGTAGCAGCACAGGAGAAGAGCCCGGGTGTTGGGCATGTGCCTGGGTGGGTGGGCTTCCAGCATGGCTTATGGGGCATTCCAACTGAACAACAATGGAATGCAGGCCGCCTCAGAGACAGTAGCAGCCGCTCGAGGGGGCACCAGCAAGCGCACAGTGGAAAGCGCAACCCAGACCTGAGAGCGCTCGGGAGGCGATTGGCGAAAGGAGAATCAAAACCAGACGCTCTGGCCAATCAGAGCGACACAATCCTGCTTCCCACAGTGGCACTATCTATTAATAGCGCACATGCATTGTTTGAAGCAAGCAAGTTGCAAAGACGGGTAGCCGCCGGCCTCTTCGCGCTGGCTGTGGGTCCCATAGAAATCGATGCTGATTGGCCTAGAGGAAGCCCCCCATCCCAACCAACACCCTGCACGCGGCCAAGAGAGCAGTCTCTTCAGGGCCAAGTGGACTTCACTCCCGAACCCCAGGCCCCCCGTCCTCAGGCGTACTGGTATGGCAGTTACCACTGTGTGAGGGAAAGTGCAAAGGAAACGTTTCCCGCCTTGCGGTTTGGACCGTGTCCAAACTCTCGGGCAGTTGTGTGTTCTCTCAGTCTGGGCTATCTATCTGAAGTATTCGGCTAGTGTGAGGTGCGCACTCAGCACCCTAGGTATCAGTCGTGGCAGTTCCCATTTCATTGGATTCCGCCTCACCAGACTAGGCCCAGGTTCATGTTCTGCCTGCCGTCTTTGCGCCTTGCACCACTGCAACCCCCTTCAGCGCTCTGCCTCTGCCCCAACCGCTAGTGTGTAGGCACCGCCATCCCGTTTTCCCCAGCCAAAGAGAGCAACCTGCACACAAACTAGCCCTGCACCCCTGTAACCCACCCCCCTCCCCCAACCAGCCAATTCTCGCCAACAACTTCCAACTCTCTCCTTCCTCAATTCTTTCTCTCCCAACTTCCCCCCAGAACAGAACCCAAACCTGGAGGGACGAAAAACCGAAGCCCGGACGACAAGCCGACAGAGGGGCTAGACAATCGGTCATTGAGACAAAGGGATCCTGCCGTGTTTTTTTCCCGCTCAATTAGGTCGACGGCTCCCACGCCCGCACCCGCGCCCGCACCGCCCCGGGCCCTCAGGTTTGCCTTTGCCCTTTCTTGTCTGCTGTGCCAGCGACCTCGACCTCACAACAGACCTGACGATGCGTTGACGCCCAAGACCACTTGGTCGCCGTCCCCCTCCTTCAGCCCTTCAATTCCCGCTTGGCTTGGGGAGATTCTTGCTTTGCGTCTCCACGACTGCGCTCTACGTCGTCTTCACACTCAACCCTTCCTCACGAGACTTACTTCGCATCTCCTTCCTGCCGGCCGCTCCGTCAGCCAGGACGCTATCGCGGAGCCCGGCAGCGCCTTATTCTCTCTACCGCCGCCCGCCTTGCGACTTAGGCTCCTATTCGGAAGTGATTGTTACCGTGCGGCCCGCCGCGTTGGTGGAACGACCAAGACTGCGAGTCAATCGTGGCACCGGTGATCATTTTTGGAGGAGTTCGCAAGGACAAACAGCGCGCAACGGATTCAGCAGTGCTGTCCCATTTTTGGTCCAACACCCTCACATTTCGATAGCTTTCGACGCATTCGCTCATTCTGAGACGCCGCTTTATTCGCTGTGAGGAGGACGGAAATCGCCTCTTTCATTGACAACGTTGCCGCCTTTCGGTTCTCGAGAAGCGGGGCTGCCTGGCGATTGGGCGGCTGTTCCTGCGACGCGCTGCGCGTGGCTGCGACTCCATTTTGACAAAAAGGGCAATACCACACCTGCCATAAGACGACATCAGTCGCCTGGTTTCACAGTAGCAAACGAATATGCCTTCTGCTACCGCTCGAAGATTGTACGAGGATCAAATACCCTCCTTCATGTCAGTCTTCGACGTGGACTCGGAAATCCTAGTCCAGCCGAGTCTGCTGAACGTCGTCGATCCCAAGTTGGTGATGGAGATGGACGATACTAAATTATCTAGAGACGAGCAGCCGGATTTGCGGCCCAGCCTGTCATCTGATTCTGGCCACAAGCACAACGACAGCACATCAACCCAGGCAACTGAGTCGGAAGATTCATCTCCCACCACCACAATGTCTTGCACTGATTCTTCAGATCTCTCTGATCCCTCCCCGTCTTCGTCACCGGATTCTCCAGTGCACCTAGCCCCACTCTCAACTTTTGCGCCCATGTCCTTTGCGCCGCCATCATTTGCGCCCCCGTCCTTTGCGCCCCCGTCCTTTGCGCCGCCCTCCTTTGCGCCGCCATCTTTTGCGCTGCCCTCCTTTTCCGGCCTGAACGGCATAGCCAGCCTTAATCTATCTACTCCCAGCTTAGAACGGCCCATGACATCACCCGCGCCCAGGAAACCTAAGAATATGAAGGGCCTCTCTATCCAGCCGCCTTCGGGCTCGCTGACCACGTCCATGGTGTCGGAGCCCACTTCTCCTTCGTTCATCAAGCCTGCGATACCTGCAATGAAGCGAAAACCAAGTCAACTTAGTCTCAAGACGAATACCTCTGACTTGGCGACTCGTGCTACAACCCTTGAAATCCCTAGTTCGCCTTCGATCCCCCCGATTCTACAGCGCCGAGCTCTGAAGCACTCCACCTCATCTCCTCATATGCTTTCTGGCCTGAAGTCGGCTACTTTTGGCCCCGCTGGCGGCATGACAATACCGACAGTGTTAGAGCGGAATGAGACAGGGCTCTCTTCGTTCCTGCGGCCGCCGCGGCAGGCATGGCCTGCGGGTACGACAACAATGGATACCACGACGATCGCCGAGGAAGAATCCCCAATAAAACCGCAGATTGCAAACCGATCAACCTTTGAGGTGGAGCCCTTCCATGAGATGGAGAACAACGAGGATCAGAAGACGCCAGGGTATCCTGACGGCCCGATCTGCATCTACGACGACAACGTATATCTTTATCTCGAGCCAACAGCAGATGAGGCTGCCCGCTTTGACGTGGTGATTAACGTTGCTCGTGAAGTTTCGAATCCATTCAAATCTTTTGGAGATAGTCAACAACTACCGGCTCCGGAAACGCGGGACAAACCCATGGAAGACTCGCCTATTCCAGACACGGCTCTTACAGCAACCAGCTTTTCCACTGCTTTTGAGTTCTTGCCAGAGGAGCCCGTGGCTGATACACCAACAACCCCGCGGGCACAACCCTTTAGAGAACCAGAGTACATACATATGCCTTGGGATCACAATACGGACATAGGCCAGGATCTCTATGGGCTATGCGAAACCATTGACAAGAGAACAAAGGAAGGGAAGAAGGTGTTGATCCACTGCCAGCAGGGCGCAAGCCGATCGGCCAGTTTGATCATTGCGTACGGCATCTACCAGAATCCCGAGCTGAGCGTAAACGATGCGTACTACTCGGCACAAGCAAAGAGTAGATGGATCAGCCCCAACATGAGGCTCATGTACTGCCTTCAGGATTTCCAAAAGGATATCTCCAAAAAGAAGCTTTCCAGCGCGGGATTCAAACCGCGTTCCGGGAGGAGCCCAACGAAGCATAGACTAACTCTATCGGCTGACAACATCGAAGGCCCCCCCAAAGAGCCTTTGACTGCCCCGTTGCCGACTGAAGACCCGGCAGATCATAGCTCCACGCCAGAGAGGAGCCCGTTGAGGGCTCGGGGAAACTCAACTCCGAATAGAGGAGAGCCAATCTCGCCCGGCCCCTCATCAGCACCATCGAGCTTTTCCTGGACCGAGAAAGAAGACGAGTCGGATCGAGGCAGATTCGGCCGGTTCGATCTTGACTCGATGCTCAGACCCTCGCAGCCTGATTCGGGCTTCGCCTCTGCCTGTTCTATCTCGAAGCCCCCGCCATCCCCTGGTTTCGCTCCGCTTTCGATCTCGAGGCCACCGCCGTCTCCTGGTTTCGCTCCGCTTTCGATCTCGAGGCCGCCGATGTCTTCCGGATTCGTTCCTCTTTCGATCTCACGGCCGCCGCCATCTCCGGGGTTTGCACCCCTTTCGCTATCAAAGCCGCCAATGTCGCCTGGATTTCGACGTATGCCATCGTTTTCGAAGCCACCTCCCTCTCCGGGATTTGGCACCCACCGGTTCGGCGCGTCGTCTGGAGGTGGCTTTTTGCCCCTGAGTCTCAACACTTCATCCAAGCAGGCCGAGAGGAAAGAGGTCGTTGCCGATCGGCATGTCGCAGTCCTGCGCAGTTTTTCTGATGATACTGCTCTCATGTCGCCGCGGGTGGAAACGATGACGGCTAACCCCCTTCACGAACCATTCACCGGATTCGCCGGAATGCAGTTTGTCGAGGTTCCTCCGACGCCGAGCGATGGGCTCTTTTCACCGCGAGAGACCATGTTCCCTCGAGACCCATTCTTCCCATTTACGCGGCCCTTGCAAACCGAAGACCCGCGCAGCCCTCCTACCAAGGGCGAAACTCCGATTGTTCGGTCTATTGATGAGATGATATAAGCACCCAATGACATTCTGGCTTATATTGAAGAGCATCGGAGCGGCGTTTGTTATAGATGCGGGGGCTACAGCGACGGTCATTACGGATGATGCAGCCTGTGCTTCCTGGAGTTTATTGCTGCGACATAGAGATCGTTCAGATGCCAATTTGGCCATCATTTTCTTTTCTTGTCCTTTTTTTTTCTCTTTTCAACTATGTATTCAGCAACGCACGCAAAGCGAGTGAGCGATGAATCGGGCACAGCTCGCGGGGAGAAGACTGCGGCTCGCATGTTCCATTCTATCTTTTATTAAACGAAATGTATAATTTGGAAGGAAGGATGGGGGCCAAACATGGCATCATGACTAGGGTTTGGTGGATGACGACTTGTGGGAGTGTAAGGAGTTGGAAACCGGGAGTTGGGTATTTGGATATATGAGTTGGACATGACTGGAGTCGATGGATTCCAGCGTCTGGCACGCACAAAAAAAAGGAGACCAGACACACGAGCGCATGCACGCCGAACAACAGCACGCTAGCGATAACCGGGCGCTCGCTGGATGCTACGATAGTTGGCACCCCTTAGATTCCTAAAACACCTGGACATTGAAGCTATTCGGAGAAGTGGTTCGAAAAGAACCATCCATGTACGAGTCGAACAGTCATCAGCGCCAGGCCAAATGGCTCTGCTGTCTAAAAAGAAACCAGAAGAGCATTCCGGGAAGGGAGAACCAAACCAAAACAAAGCCATGTCCATGGACTGGACCCGACAGCGTCGGGGCCCAGGAAAACATAATGAGGATAGTGTAAATAAATTTAGCGAATTGGAAAAATATATATTACTTTCCCCTTTTGAGAACAACGTATTCTACATCATTGCCGTTGTTATTGTTGTTAACCTCCATATATATACCGGATGCGCAAGGCAGTTACCTAACACCAGTCGTCAAATGCGGCTATTATCCAAGCAAGTGACAAAACGAAGGCCTGTAGTACTTACTAGCTAGGTATGACTTTCGAGGTTATGGTCATAGAATATCTATTCACTTTCTATTTCAATCCGTAACTATTACATATCTACAAAATACGAGAAACCCAAAGAGAGAGGATAATCAAGACCTGGCCTCTATCTACGTGCCTTGCCGTGCGCGAGAAGACTACACCCTTTTTCTCTCTTTTCTTTTTTTAAACTACCTCGTACCACACGCACGCGCAACAGAGCACTAGGACTACGCCTTTTTCTTCCCCCCAGCAGCGGCGGCAGCAGCAGCGGAAGCCTTCTTCTTGGCAGCCTCCCTAGCCAGCTTCTCGCGCCGGGCGATGCCGCCCTCGACGCCGATGCCGCCAAACACGAGCCCGACGCCGAGCCACTGCATGCTGGACAGGCGGTGGCCAAAGGCGAGAACGCTAAGGATCATGGTGAACATCTTACGCGTCACGGTGACGGTCACGAGGAGCACCGACGAGAAGGTCGATAACGTGTGGACTGCATGCCGGAGGGAGTGTGTTAGCCCGGGCATTTGAGGTTATGGTGATTATAGCGACGACCGGGGGGGGGGGGGGGGGGGGGGGGGGGGGGTACTATGGGGTTCGAAGTGTTTGAAAAGAAAAAAGGGGGTTAAAGAAAAGGAAGGACCTACAAATAAACACTTGGCCGACGCATCCGCACAGGGCAAAGCCCAGGACGTCACGCCAGACGGCCGGGTGGCGGCCGAGAAAGGCGAGGGCCGAGGCCAGCTCGCCGGCGCCGCCGGTGGCGGCCATGTTGAACCACTGGCCGAAGGGGGTGTGGACCAGCCAGGGGCTGAGCAGCAGGTAGCTACCGGTGAGGGCCGAGGACAGCAGGTTGTTGGCCATCATCATCTGGGGGCCCGTGTAGGGCTGGAAGGTGGAGAAGATGTAGTCCTGGGTGCTGTTGGTCAGGCCGTCGAAGAGCAGGTTGACGCCGAGGAGCAGCATGCCCCAGGCGGTCTGGCCGCTGTGGTTGGCCAGGCGGTGCTTCTTGCTGCCCGAGTGCAGGGTGAAGACGGCGACGCCTAGGGTGACGGCGGCCACGACGAGGTACTTGTACAGGGGGTAGCGGCGGCGGAAGACGGTGATGTGTAGGAACATGACGGGCAGCAGCTTGCAGCTCTTGGCTAGGATGAAGGTGATGTAGTCGATGTGGGCGAGGGCGGCATAGCCAAAGGGCGCGGCCAGCGCGTTGGTGAAGGCGACGAGGAGCAGCGGCGGCAGGATCTTGCCGTTCGGGATCATGGACGGCACCGGCTGGCCGCGCGGCGTGCTGAGCACGGTGAAGATCTTGCCGCCGGCCGCAGCGAATAGCGACTGGATCGTCAATAGGAAGACGGAGAACTTGAAGCGTTCGCCATCGGCACCGTAGGTTGTTGTTGTGAGCTTCTCTTGGAGATATGCCCACGTCAGGCTGAGAGGGAAGCAAGCGGCGTCGTCTTGTTAGCCAGTGTCCGATGAGTGATGTGCGAGGCTCACAATGAGAGCTATGACTCACAAGGAGGCGTAGATACCAGCGACGTCAATAAACAGCGTGACGATGCCGGCCTCCTTCTTGGCGGATGGCGGTGGCACCTTGGCAGTTGACGTCGTCGTTGTTGTCGTTGTCGACAACGACACATGGCCATTGCCCTTCCCGACTGCTTCTCTGCTCTGCTGCGGGACACGGTCGAGCTTGCTCGAGTAATCCGAGGATAGCTCGCGCCGGATGGGCGTCGCCTGCTTTGAGCGAGCCATGTCGAGCCTATACGCGAATTTAAGGTTCAAGTGTTTGTGGCCGAATGTATCTTTGTACTGCCGCGTATGTACTTCGTACTTATACGCCGCCCTCACCTCCACCTTCTAAACGTGTGAAATGGAATTGAAATAGGAAATGAAATGAATGAGCAGCAGGGAATGCCTAAGATCTACCAATTGACAATCGACCGCTTGTTGTTCAACGACATGTCTTAGGCCTTAGTACCCTAGGCAGGAGAGACAGCAAAAGTGAGTGAGTTGTCTTGATCGTCAGACGGACAGGGTGGCTTTTCCCAGTCCTGTCTACTATCCCCCAATCATCAATGGATGGCCGGGCCGCGCTAAAGCTCATTGTCAGTTAACCTTATTTGGTGGGCACACGCCTTGTCGGCTTCTGTACCGTTTGGCCTCTTAGCGCATATCTCCAAAATGCGGGGCGGCAGCCGTCCCAAAACGCCAGTCAGCCCTGGAGATCCGTTTTATTATACGAACCACCTCACTTCACCGTGCGCCACTTCGTCTGTTGTCAGGCTATTCTACACATCTCACATCTCTGCGCATATAGTAGGTTCCACGCTCGTTCCGGTAGTTACTCGCTGCGAGATAACGCACTCGCCCATGGCGGCAACTCTACGTTAATGGAACAAGAACGACATCACACATACAGCGCACGCAGCCTTTGTTTCATCATGCTCATATATTCTTCCTAGTCCTGTTTACACACACCTAGATGCCCCCGTCCAGACATCTGCCCTAAGATTTGGTCATTGTTCGACGAGTCCAGAAACAGGAGCGCAGAGTTGGTGATAGGATTATGAGGAGTGCAACGTCTGCGTTGGTTGAAGAGGTAAGAGAGACAAGATTAGCGTGAACGTGGGGGTTGGAGCGTGTCCGGGTAGCCTAGGCGTTGTGAGGCGGGATACGAGATAGTTGATTTCTGAAAATGGGCTTTGAAGGATGTGTCGAAGTGAGAGCTGAGAGAGTCTGGCGTGTGGGGCTATGGTGGACCAATTTCGGATAGAGGAGAGGACTCGTCAGGGCATCCACCTCTTGGAGACCTGGCGAGTAGAGCTGCGCCGAGGCGCCCGGATGCCCTGCGCGGCAGCCGTGCACATCCCGTCGACGCCCCCGGCCATCTAGGCGTTATGCCGCGCACCCGATGCCGAAAAAATCAAGCCGAATATCGAGATGAAGTGGTGGAGTAGCTGGTCGCCGAATAAAAATGGTAAGCTAAGGGAGTGAAACCAGTTCAAGAAAAAGAAAAGGCCGGCAAAATGCTTTTTGTTGGTAATGAAGTGTCGTCACATCGTTTTCCATCCGCCGAAAAAAATAAATACGCCTTGCGGCAGCCAGATCTGGAAAGGACCCGAAATGAGTGGCTGCCAAATCCGATCAAACTCAGAAAGCCCGGAGAATGTCGCTGGCCGGTTGGTAATCATTCCACTCTGTGCATCTTCAGTGAATTACACGTTGTGATTACAGCCTTGGACCTTGGTTCACGCCGTCCGGGCTCTACTCGGATGGCTGAGAAGCCTGCTGCTGACGGCGCATCTTCTCCGCCTCTAAGTTCTCGTAGAGAAGGAAAAGAGCACTCTCATTCGACTTAGCTGTGCCCATGATGGTAAACATCCTCTCGCCGGTTTCGTCATGGGGGGCCTATGCTGTCAGTTAGAGCGAGCAGAAAATGGCATGCTGACTAGCCGGCGGGGCAGCCAATGAGCATGCTTACCTTTGCAATCGAGATACGGGCTCCAGAAGTCTTGCGGATTTCGCTAATCTTGGAGCCGGCACGTCCAATGATACAGCCAACCATGTCTGCCGGGATGCTGATGTTCTGCGTCTGGATCTCCTCCCCGTTCTCGTCATGGGTTGGCGGACCACGGGAGGCTGCATCAGAATCAGAACGGCGACCATATGGGCGCTGCCCACCGTTGCTGAAATCGGCGCCGTTACCTGTTCGCGTGACACGAGAGCCACTGCCACCTCCACCTCCACCGTAGGGCACTCTCTCCTGTGCAAAATTGCTTCCACCGCCGATTGGGCCAGCCGGCGCACCGGGAGTCTGCGTGCGAACAACAGGATTGTACAAAACAGTGCCGGTGCCGCGCTGCCAATCGTCGACCAGGCACTTGCAGATTTCCCAGACAGCGCGCTGGATGCCTTCAGGAGTGCCCTGGACCTCGACTATCCGCTCGGTCGACTGCGGCAGCATCTCTTTCTGTGCTACCATGCGAACGCCTGATACATCTTGGATGTGCTTGATCTTGAGGCCCTGCCGACCAATGATCGTGCCCATCTGGTTGTGAGAAATGAGTAGCTTGATCGCTGCAACGACAAAGTCAGCACCGCCTCATTACATTGATTAAAAATCGACTGTGGGATGAGCCTTACGGTTAGAGCCATTGCCCTGGATGACTCCTCCCATGCCCATTGACGGAGCGCCTTCCAAGAGGGCTCGCGCAACAACCGCATAGGCTCTAGAGATGGCCTCGCAGCCACCTGTGATGGTCAAAACCCGGTCGTGCACGCCCTGCACGACCTTACTGACACCAGCCTTGACGCCTGTCTCGTCCCGCAAGTCAGCGACATTCTTGCCGCCTTTCCCGATGATGACGCCAGCTTCCTTGGACGATACGATCGCCCTCAAAGTCAACGGCGTCTGGGCATACTCTTCGTCTGTCTTTGGTGCAGGCTCTCCATCCGGGCCGAGACGAGGCTCGTTGTCCCCGAGCTTGAGCTGGTCGAGAGACTCGCTGATATCACCGCCATTGGACGAGATGGGATCCTGAGGTGCCGACATATTGACTTTGGAGAATGGCGCGCGCGTTTGGCTACCTGGGCGAGACGTGAGAGGTCCTGGGTCTACTGGGCCGCTGGATTGAAAACAGTTGGTGGTATGGGTTAACAGACGTCTTGTTATGTCTGGGAGAAAGAATTATGGCGCGTCGTGAGAGCCCTGCTGGAGTTAGCTGGGTCTGGGATTTGGGACTGGAACTGAGGCGAGGAGGCGGGCTGAGAATTGCATTGGCAACCATGTAGGAAAAATCGAATTGGGGTTTGGAATGCAGAGTAGGAGCTATTAACCCAGAGTTCTTTCTTCGGGCAACCGAATTTTCTGTGCAAATCTGAAAAGAGAGAAAGAGGCAAACAGAGGGCAGAAGGAGAAACGGTGCGCCGTTGAGTTGCGGCCCTGTAGCGGCATTGGCGGGGCACATGTGCACATACCTTTCGCAGACGGTGAGGCGGGTTGGTCAGGACGGGCGGGGCGGGGCCAATTGGTGGCGGGGCTTTCTGCGTCGCTCGCTTGTAAGAAGATGCCAGCCAAGCCAGGGAGATAAGGCGCCGCGCCAAAATGGTCTACCCACGGATTCGGAAGGGGGCCGATAGTTGACAGAGGGAGAAAGCAGCGAGGGAGCAGAGAGGAATCCCGGGATTGTGGGATACGGAGGGGTTTAGGTGGAAGGAGGGGGACGGGAGTGGGCAGTCGGAACTCGGATGGGCCTACGACGTTGGCACTCACCACTGGGAAGGAAATGGAAGATGATGAAAAGAAGAGAAACCCCAGAAGGAAAAGAGGGGTCAATGGGATGGCAGAGGGAAGCTTTTGGTGATGCGAGGCGAGAACCAGCGTCCCATAAAGAAACCGCCAAAGTCCCCCCCAACGCGAGGTACTGTATGTACTTCGTACCTAAGGTAAGGTAGGTGGCATGCAACTCAACTCACATCAGTCAGTGTCTTTCTCTCCATCCAATGCGGTGCTGGGCAGCTCGATACCAAAAACCATGGGCTGTTGCGCGTGTGGGAAAAATGTACGTTGCGTCGACAGAGCAGCAGGGCAGGGCATCCCCAGCATGGAAAGAAAGGCCTGGTCGACTAGGTGGCTCTTGAGAGGTTCCAAGGTTCCTGCTACGCAGCAGCGACCTGAATTTGGCGGTGGGGCTTCTGCCCTATCTGAAAACAAGTGGTGCGCAAGTTCCAAAGATGACGCCTCGGTGGTGGTGTTCTGGTCACGCTTTCCCCGCGGCCAGTGCAGCTGTCCCAAGACCCCTAAGTCTCCTCCAGGTGCTCTCGACCCGCGTGGTTGCTTTCAAGCTTCCCCCAAGCTCCACTTAAGTGCCGTTGAGATCCACTTCCCTGGCCTCTGGTGCTCTTTTCTTCTTTTTTAAGCTGCACCCCTCGCCGCCGCCGCGCCCCATGGCAATTATCAACCCTGTCTCTTCGAACCCTGTCTCTTGTCTCTTCGTGCCCCAACCTCCACCATTTCCAACGGATACAGTAGTGCAGCGGGCTACGGAGGACGAAAGACATGTATGTAAACAGAATATGTAGCTCCAGCGGTTCAACTCTATTGCCCTTTCGGTGCTGAAACTTGGGACCGCACAAGGAATAAACACCCACGATACTGCAGGGCAGCCGCCTTATTCCTCGGGCCCGGCATCATCAAGGTACAGGATGTACCTTATCTGTACTGTACCCACCCGGCATCAAAGCCTCGCTCTGGAAGTCAAAGGCAAGGGCATCTTGGGTACCTGCCTAGGCATTCTCGCCACCAAACTACGTTTTGTCTTCTTGCAGCACCTGATATTCGCGGTATGGGGAGACTGTCTCGAAATCGCCACTGGCGTTTTGAAACATCTCCAACCAGACAAGCTTCCTATACGGTTTGTTGGTCCGTTGCGCTAGCGAAGGTGATTGTGCTTTTAACTAGAGACCAGTGTGTGTATGTCTAAGCTACCTTTCCTAGTTCGTAAGACACTCAAGGTTAGGATGCTCAAATTGTGTCTAGCAGCTGAGCAGACGCACGAAGTTAATTGTTTGGCGTTCATGTTCCTTTCTTCCTAGGTATGGTAGGTAACTCATACAGGCGTCTTGAGCGATTATAATCAGGGCAAGGCTGAGAGTCATTATCAGAACTTTGACTGAAAAGGTGAAGCCTAGCTAGGTGAATTTAGACACGGTTATTTTTGGCTGGTCGAACAGCCATTATCACTTTCGCCAACTTGGTTGTTGTCTGCACTAGAAATCGAGTTACCAGAAAAGACAAAATAGCGGGCCGCCTTTATAGGCCTATCTTCGGACGGCATCCGCGTCAGGATCCGCCCAGATCCGCCCGTGGGTTTTTCCCGCGACCGAAACAACAAGCTCGCCCTGACTACGGAATAGCGGCGGGTCTGTCTGGATTCTGAGCGTTGCCCTGCCGTGGGGGACGGTTCGTGGGTTGAGGAGTTACCTAGTCTTTTCCACGCAACCCGAGGTTGCATTGCCTTGCCTTCTTTGCCCCTCATCGAACTGCATCGAGGTCATCGATGTGGAGCCGTCCCAATGATGCCCCCGAATCCCCCGAATCGTGCACAGCAGGACAGCAGGGGAGAGGCCTTCCATTCTTTGATTCCCACCGTGGCACCCCGTTTTCTTGTTCTGGCGGGCTTCGAAGGTACAGAGATCCGCAAACGGCCAGGCCCTAGCTTGTTCGGGCGCCACTGTGCAGTCTGTGTCCCTCTTTTGCGCCTGTCAATGCAACCTATTAACCAGACTCGCCACGAGACGTCTGCCGTTCTCGCTCCCGCACAGCCAGATAGAAACCAGAGCCAGATGCTGTGCGACCCGACACTGCAGCACTGGACTGCAGCACTCGTAGCCGGGGAGCGGCCTGACAAGATTTAGTATATTTGCCTGATTACAAAGAACCGGTGTGAAGTCGCTCCCGTAGTCGCTAGGTACATCAACCTATCTGGCAGTCGTGGTTGCAACTAGTAGTCTGTCTCGAACGAGGCTCTCAGTCTCGCTCGCTCGCCCGCCCGCCCGCCCGCGACAAGCCGGCAAGCACAAGGTCCAAGGACCGGCTTGCAGCTCCTTGACTCCCGACTAGAAACCCCGCCGGATGACTTCGGACCACACCGAGATGGAATCCAGCTGACACACCCCCCCTCTCTTCCCCTTTGGGCCTTCATCTTCCATATCACCCTCTTTGCAGTTGCAGGGCTTGCAGCAGATACCTGCCTCTCGAGACACATTTGGATTGGCCCACACCCAAAGCGCACGCGAAGCGGGGGGGCAGGCGGCGCAACCACGCGGCGCCGGTTTCCTCTGCAGTAGCCGCGCTTCGCTAATGCGAGTGCCGACCACCCCCCGTCTCTCTGGCCACTCAACTTCAGCAGTAGCACGCATCTTCTCATCACAACCCCATCCGGTCTGATCCCCCCATCTTAGGTACTTACCTTAGCCACTGAGCCTGTGTCATGTGATGGCAACTTCCTGCAGCTGTCATAACCATTATTTTCTTACCTATCGTGAGATGTCTACCTACTACCTACGGAGTACCTATATCCGAAATAAGGTAAACCACAAAAGGAGCGCGTATGCATTGCCTATCCGGCGTACATACATGTTTTGGTCATAAATGGCAGCCCGTCGAGAAAGAGACTTTGATGTCGCAAAGTACCTCAGGACAGTCGGGTAGGTAAGGGAGTTTCTGAGTATTTATGGAATTCCGATTTATTGCTTAGCTACAATCGCGCTCTGAAAACCTCTCTCATGTAAGGAGTAACCTGGTAGTCGCAGAAAACGACACATAGTTGGAGCTGCTAAGTTGGACATTGCAAATGCATTTCCCTCTGCTCTCCCCTGCCTGGCCACAATGTTACTCGGGCCCGTGGCAACGCCCTCGATGCGAGTTATAGGAAGGGAAAGACGATGATAAAGAGATGGTCAACCTTGTATGATGAAGAATGGTGATGATCAAAATAGAAAGCAAATAAAGATGGCGGAAGAAAATAGAGAAAACAGAGAAAAAGAAACTCGCCAGAATAACACCAGCAAGTGAGCTTTGCAAGAAAAAAAGAGAAAAAAACCCCCCCTCTTATCTCTGGTATATGCGTGTATGATTCAAGAGGAAGAAGAACGACAACGCCACAGCGATCTGGCTGGAAAAAGGAAACCCACACTCTAAAAGAAATCTAGAAAAGTTGACGGCGTCGGTACCAACATAACCAGCTGGATAACAAACTCGAAATAAACGAAACCAGGGAGACTTGTACCGGCAATTTCTACCCGTTCCTTAGTGAAACACCCTCTGGCAACGATGAAGTAAACACCTCCGAACACGCCTTCCGCGGCCAAGCTGTCTACTTACAATACCTCACATGAACAAAGCCTGCAAAGGAAAAAAAAAAAAAAGAGAAGAAAACCAAGACGGAGAGATATGCAGACTATGGATCCCCCCCCCGCTCTAAAAAACCTTTGAAACAGCCAACCCTCTCTGGCAACCTGCCATACCATGCTCCCATCTCATAAAAATGCCCATGCACCATACACCATCCACCTGTAAACTGGTAAAAAAATCACATCACCACGCAAGCTGCAGTTCGGGCTCTCCTCCTACCAGGGGCAATACCAAAGCCACCCTCTTCCTCGTCCGCATGAACTTGCTGCGCCTCCCGAGCTCTCCTTCTCCTCCTCCTCCCGCCTCCGCCAGCGAGGCCCGCCTCTTCGTTTGCCTGCATGTAGTCTGCCCACTTGCGCTCCAGGCGGCTGGCAGCTTGGATGTCACCACGAAGTACTCGCTTAGTGTGTTCGTCGACAGTCATCTGCCACCCGTAGAAGCACTTGAGGCCAATGATCTCGGCCGGTAGCGCCGGGGTCACCGGGGCCGCCGGTGTCGCCAGGTGCACAACGGCTTCAGTTCCGGAATCGTCATGGTCTTCGGCGTCGGCGGGAGGCTTCGGTTTCGCTATTTCGGTATTCCGACTGAGGACCTCCCTGATGCCGGTCCACGTGACGTTTGAACAGTCGTATACAACGAGGCTCAGACCAATTATTGGAAGGGCGCTACGCTGGCGACCGGGCGTTGCGCGCTTGCGAACCATGGCGGCAGCTTCGGCTAGCACAAGGTCGCTGATACGTGTATTGTCCATAAAGACGCTCTTCAGGCGAGTGCAGTTGCGTATGACAGGCAGCATGCCCGGGTCGCCTAGACTTTCGCAGTAGCTGATGCTGAGATGCTCCAGCTTAGGCGCGCAAGGAGCCTTTGCAAGGTGCTCTGAGAGGAGTGTGTTGGTAAGCTCGGCAAGATCCTCGAGCTCGAGGAGAGCAAGGTGCGGAGTCGACGCTAGAATCGGCTCAAGGGCGTCTTCGGTAAGGGTGGTAACGCCGGTCAACTGCAGACCCTCAAGGTCAGGCAGTACATAGCCGAGTGACTTCACGCCGTGGCTTGTGAGTCGCGAACATCGAGATAGATCGAGATGGCGGAGCTTTCGTGGAGGGACCAGCGGATGGCCGCTTAGTATGTCGAATTCGGGATCCGGCCCCAGCATCATCATCTCCAGTGCGGCATCGCTCAAGTCCTCGCACCCTGCGAGGACGAGCCGCTCCAATCTGTTGGTCACAAAAAGTGCTTCGGCAACGTCGCGGTTGTCAAAGCCCCTAATCTCCCCAGCCCTGACGTCTCTTAACTTGCGACAACCCTGGACCACGGACTTGATGCCTCGGGCGTCCATATGTTTGCACCACGAAACATTGAACATCTCCAGCTGTGGGCAAGACTGGGCAATAATCTTGCAAGTCGCGTTGGTGACTGCTGTCAGGCCAGTGAGATTCAGGTTAGTGAGTTTCTCGTTGGACCTGAGCAAGCTGTGTAGGGTCGTTCTTTGGAAGTTCCGGCAGCCTTCCAGGGTGGCGTTGATCAGATTCCTGCATGCCTTCACGACGACTTCTGCCCGCTTGTAGTGCTCCACCTGAACACAGCCCCTTAGGTTGAGATCTTTCACGAACGGCCCGGCCTTTACGATAATCTTGGCGAGAGATTCGGCAGGAATCTCTTTGTAGAATTCGGAGGCATCGAAACAAGTCCACAACTGTCCATCAAAGCACATTTTGTAAAAGTCCTGGGAGACTCGCGATGCCCGCACAAGCTCCTTGGGCCGAAGAAAGGAGAGCACATATATCTTGATTTCATGGGGCATGCTAGCCCACAGGTTGAACGATTTCGTCTTCCTCTTGACCTCGGCGGGCAGGGAAATAGTGGTGGAAGGGGGGGATGCAATTTCGACTTTTCGAATAGCTAGCACAGATTCGATACCATCGTACCCCGGAGACCTGGGGACCGGACTGCCTGGTATCGACGTCGGAGCGCTTGACGAGTCTGCCGTCGAGGCTTGCGAGAAGTAGGAGCTGCTGGTGCTCGGCTGGCCGAACGGAGAGGCACCCGATGAGGCCAGACTAACACACGACAAGCTGCCGGCGATGCGGTAGGGGCTGCTTGCAGCCCTGGGGCGACCCAGCTGCGCTAGGGTCGGGGACGATGAGATGCGCTGGAGGCGACGCAGTATTCTCTCCCTTCCTCCCTTCTTGGACGGTGTTTCGGCAACATTGCCGTTGCCATTGGTTCCATTGCCCGTCAACACGCCGTCATGGATATCGGGGCTTGGCGGCGGCAGGTTGGGGAAAGCGTCGGTTCTGTCGGGATCGGCCATGGCGGCGGTCTAATTTAGCTTGTGGATTTGGGAACGAAACGAACGACGGTCACGAAGAAACTGGCGAGAAGGACAAGACAAACAGTCCGAGATGGATCCTGACGGGAATGCAGCACTTAAAGAATGGGCTGGCACTTGGTCCGTATTCCGCGCCGCCAATTGCGGCCCGGGATGGCGACAGGGCGGTGGCGCTGTCCGGTCAATGGTCTTGACTCCCACTCCTTGAGGTGTAAGGCGGTGATAAATGGTGGGGTGGGTGGAGAAAAGAACCTTGTTCGCCCGGCTCGCCCTGGGTGCACCCGTGGGGAAGAAAGGGACACGACCTGGATAACCAGACGGGGCTAGACAAAGAAAGGGGACCCCAACCACCAAGCTGTAGACCCTGCCAGCTTCTTCCTTCCAATCTAGAGCGCCATCAGGCAGGAGCAGCAACGAAACATGAAAGCGCTCGAATCAGTTGGTTTGCCTTCCCGGGAGTGTAGAGCAAGGTAGGCGTGTAGACGTCGGTGCCGAAGGTATGGAGCTGCCGAGGCCGTGGTGGTCTTGCCGCTCTGTGTGGCTCAGTGCTGCACTTGGCCGTGCTGACTGTAGATGACAGCGAGGAGCTTGGTGAGATATTAAGGTTGGCTATCGGCTACACTTTGGAGGAGGGACCGAGGCCTGCGAGAAACAGGCTCGAGGGCCGTCGATCACCAAAGGAATTGCCGCCGTTTTCCTTGGTTCCCGAGAGCCAAAGCAACCGAGATACGGGGTATGAACTTGAGAACCTGAGGGCCGATGTGGTTTCTGGCACTTGTTCGAGAAAGAAGGAAGGAGCGAGCGAAGATAGCATAACTAAGAAACGGATACGAGGAAAGTCAGGGCCTGGCCCATTGAAAAGCAGCTGTAAGGAGAAACTGAAGCAGAGTTCCCCGAGCTGAACGTATGTAAGCCGGCTTACAGAAAAAAAACTCAAGTGGCTGCCATTTTGTATTTAACTAAATAGCACACCCGCAACCGAGCAGCCACGCACCCTCACCCCCCCTTTGCAAGGCTTTAGAAGTGCATTTTCTCAACGCACACGCACGGCACGTCTGTCGGGCCGGGAATCTAAACCTGGAAACAAACAATGCTGCCAAGGTACGGGCACACCACCCGCCAAGAAGTGTGTATCTATCACGACATTTGCGCCTGTTCTTTGAAAATAACGGTCTGCCCGTCTGGCTGAACAGACGAGATCACGGAACCTAATGGGGAGGTCGGCCGTTGCGATTTGCAAAGGACCTTCTATCATCTGCATAGGTGCCGCGCCTAGCTTCTTCGCTTTCGGAAGGGTAGGCTGCGGGGATGCAGATGGCTGGCTGCTAGGCCAGACTTCAACATGTCAATAGCGCAAAAAACCCACACACATCCCACCTGAATCGATCGCTCAGCTTCCACAGCTATTCCGCATCTGATCAGCCTCCGTGGCACCGTTGGCCATCTATCCTGCCGTTCGTGACATGCAATCGAGGTAAATGGTGGCAAGCCATTGGCTGGCCTGAGCTTGGTGGTTACCCAACTGAGTCTTGTCCCGCCCAAAGTCAGACACCCTGAAGCCACCAAAGGGCTGCTATCTTATCGAGAATGGCCAGGGTCAGGCATCATGCTCCCCCTCCGAAGGAGAGAGCGATAATATTTTGTCTGCGCCGTGGCTAACATGCTCACGGATGTGTTGTGCTGAAAACAAGTATGTGCCGGATAGGCTGACAGTCACCAGACGCGAAACAAAAATACAATCTTGCTAGTTATCACACCAACCTACCCAACAAAGCAAACAAAATCGGAAGAAGGGGTGGGAAAAGCGGAAGATGTTCGGAATTCCTATCTCTGAGCGGAACCCTTGCCCCCTCGACCCCGCCAAAAGTGTGCCCCTCCCCCCCAAGTCGCCGGTTGGTGGGGAGGGGGGCAATTGCCCATGACTGGAACCAAAGTCGAGGCCCCTGGTCTTTTATCGCTTGACTTGCTGGACCTTTGGTGCTGTGGATGACAAGATGGCTGATGGCGAGATGGGAAGCGACAGGACCCTGCGTGAGGACATCTTCTAATGAGATACTCGGTATCCGCCGAGCAGAAGGCTCCGGTTCGCCCAGTTCAGCCAGCCGATGCCGCAGCGTGTCAACAGAGGCAGCCGTTGTGTTACCCTTTGCTGCAGCCACTTGCGGGAACTCTCCAGAAAGTGTCGGGAGAGCCGTGAAGAGGTCGGCAGGAAAGAAGTGATCCAAGGCTTGATCTTGGATCTGCGGTGCTCCCCTGGGATTCCCCATGTCGTGATGCTGATAAGGGAAGCAACCAAGTTGTCGAGTAGTTCCTTTGTAAACTGGGGCGGTGAACAAGGTAGGCCAAGTTTTGTCCTTCCAGACGGAGACCCAGGTGAAGACAAGTTGAGGTCTGCTGACCTGACTAGCTCAGAGCCTCTCTCAACTGACCCCCCTTTCTAGTGATCATTTTCTTGAATAAAGGATATGACCACGAGACACGGGTCGGGTGGCTGAAGGGCATGAAAATCCACCTCCGTATGGGTTAAATGGGACCGGAGGCGTTAAACCGGCCTTTTCTAGGTCTTTAGCTTCGCCATATTGGTGACCAGCCCCCGAGAGAGAGACCCGCCGGCCTAGCGATATTTTGGGAAATGTGCGTGGCTTAAAATGCCGCATGGCAGCCGCCCAGTTTCAAACCCGACCGACCGGCACTTGAGCCGACCCCCGGACGGGGCCCGGTCGAGAAGCTTGGTAATATCCGTACTGCCGTTGATTTCCGTCGGCACCTATCGCCATGCATGCCGGCTGTTTACCTCTTGCCTCTTACCGCTCGACCGACAATAAGCCGAGTTTGACTTGCAGGAATAAAAGGGTCACCGCAGACCTAACGGCGTATAGTGGGCTCGGACCGTTGCCGGGAATGTGTCGAGCCCTGACCGTGAACAACAGAGAAATAGCTACTTAGGTATACTTCATACTTTACCTTTGCAAAGCGTCCCCCATGGGACTACATCCTCTAAAATCTGGCTGAGTGATCAAATCTTATCACCGGGTGCTGAGATGCGAAGCTATGACATGGACGTGTGATAGACTGTCTCACTTCCTTGAAACGGGTTGCAGGGCGGCGCTTTTTTCTTGGAGGCAACTGTCACGTTCAGCGCTAGTCTTCGCAAAGTCGGTGCAGTAAAAAACATGCCTTGCCTTATCCGTATGTGCCCTCACAAGGGAACTGACCACAACGGAAGGGAGGCATGTGAAGATGGGCCCGTCCCTAGATTCTTGACCTTTACCGAGCTTGCCCGCAATGCATGGAGAGGATGGATGCAATCGTCGGCCCAAGCTCCAGACAAAACCCAAACTTGGACCTCACCCTTCTAGAATAACCTTGGCATCTCAGCTATCTGCATCATTTATTCAGCAGCGACGAGTGTCGGCCGATGTGGGGTTGGGCAGTTGGACGCATGCACACGGTAGTGGCGTTGCGGGGGTTGTAAGTCGCAATGGAGGGAGGGCAAGCTGCGGAGGATGGTAGTGTTGATAAATACATAGTATCTCGTGCGGCCGAAGACGGATTGATTGACTGACTGCCGGCAATGATCGTCAGGCAGGGCGTGAGGAAGCTGCACGATGACCTCGTCAGAGATGCAGTTTTGATGTGAGGCCAAGGGCAAAACACCAGCAACTGCCATCGTGAATGGCGCGGAGCTTCTCAAGAGTTGCCAGCTTTTATTTTTTTGCGGCCGCCAAAGTGAAGCCTGTCATCTGAAGGTCGAGAGGCTTGGCTTGCAGAGGCCGCGAGTGAAGAGCGGGCCGTGCGAAGGAGTTGGCACCTCCCTGTTTAGGTTCTGACAACCAAGCCTGCCCCCCAAACGACGGACCTCCATGTGTTGCGGACCGCATAACTAACCACCGCACTCTCAAAGGCCACACGTGTCTGGTCGAATGGGGCCTCACCTCAATCTGTGACGGAAGGAATGAAAGAGGGAACTTGTATTGAACCAAGGGTTTTGCGTTCTCTAAGGGTTTTGCATTTCCTCCGTGTTCGCCGAATTATCTTACCTAAACGTAATGGGATGGATTCACGGGACTCTCTACACCTCCTCTGGGGTAATACATGTTAGCGTGGGAAGGTGGTAAAGTTAGTGATTAGCGAGATTTCCCTGGAAGATACTAATAGTATGCAACGTACCAAGCTAACATGTATTTCCGCGGTGGAGGTGTAGGCTGGCTTCCGTTCCCAGAGCAGGTAAGGTATCCTATATGTACGTGGCTTCAAGGCTGTCACCAGACTTGGAGCTCCTGCCGGCAATGCCGCATCCCCAACATAACCTAGGACTTGCTGGGAATGCTGAGCTAAGTCGGAGCGGGATATTTCAAGTCATCAGAAATAACAAATGAACTTAGGATGTGCACAAGCTGTCTGATTGCTTGTGTTTCATGCTCTGGCTGAATGGAATTGATTGGCAATGTTGAAGAACTCGACTGAGATGAAAACTTGGGCTGGTGTCTTTCGAGCGTGATGTTGTGAAACTGCTCGCCGTCTGGTTTGTCTTAACTCGGTTAATTAATTAAGGTAGACTGTAAACCCGATAATTCGGACTGAGGACTGACTGAGGACTGACTGAGGACTGAGGTTCCGTTGATGAGGTGCGTTCCATTGCTGTAAGGTAGCCCCAGCAGCCCCAGCAGCCCTGGCCACTGCCCGCCCTGCCGGATCTTTGGCTGTTTTGGCACGGGACAGGGCCAAGTTCGGACACTGTGCGCCTAAACCGTGCTTCCGCAGCTAGTGGCCAACACTAGGGACCTGGGGCTCCGCATCATGCCCCATCCTCCACTGTTCGCCTGCTCGTCATGCCCTGCATCCATGGAAGGGTTAGGACCTCGCTTCACACGGCGGACTCGGCGGGCCAAACCACTACAGCGCTCTCGGATTGATTTGATCTAGCTCGGCGCAACCCCGACGACAGCATTCTCGATTTCTCAGCATCGACTTGAGGCCCAGATCCGAAGCGGGGAACTTGACGACAACACCTGCGCTCTCATACCAGATCATCCCATCCGAGATCGTCAGCGGAGCCGCTGCCGCCCAGCGCGAAGTGAATCAAAGCAAAGCAAAACTCGACCAAGAGTGTGGAAACCGACGTGCCACAACCGAGTTGCGAACCTGGGACTGACAAAAACACTCCGCTGCGGCTTGCCGGTTTCTGGCTGCCCACATCCGCCGTTCTATCTCGAAGCCGGCGAACCGACCGCTCGGGCGCTTATCGACGAGTCGACTCACTGCAGCTCGACACAACAAGCAGCTCTTGCCATCCGGGCTTCCTCCGGGCGACGACTCGGCCCCCATCGTCAATCGCCGACGGGCAGGCCGTTCCTCCAATTCGAGCTCGTAGTAGCTAGTCCATCAGCCCCCTCGGTCATCTGCACACGCAATACCCCTCCATTGCTTGATAATTAACCAAATATACCGAGCAGGAGGGTGAAGGTCACTGCACCTCGCAGCCCCGCCGGTTCACGGATAGGCCGTTGTCACCTGGCTTCCCTGGCCGGCAAACCGCATCTTTTCCGACGCCTCTTTTTAGTCTGGCCGGACACTGCTCCCGCCCAATTATGCTCGGAATCTATGGTGGGAATCTGGAGAATGGTGGGTGCTGCCGCGGCTGCTTTCGGCCCCGCCTCTTGCAGCTTCTGGTAGTGCTTTGTGACGCGAACTACATGCTGACAGAGTATGGCGCTGGGCAACAGGCGACGATACAAGACACGATGGAGCCGAGGACCGCCGAACTGCGCTTGCACCGCCTCTGCAGATCCCTAAGAACAAGAGCACGTCAAACCTCGGTGTTATAGGTGACAATTCGGAGAAGGCTCGCATCCGCTTCTCGTTTGATGCTGGCGCCGCCGCCGCCGAATATGACAATCTCTCAAGGTAAGCCTGGCTGCCTGGAGGGGTATGGCTGCCGTCTTGGCCCCAGAATGGGCAAACCGCCAGATAGATAGTGCTGACATGTTAACTTCAGGAGCATGCTCGTGACGGATCACGACCATGGCCTAGGCCTTTCCGGGCTGAGGCGCATACGCCAGCAGCACAACCCAGCGCGCGCTCCCACGCTCCCATCGCCGTCAAGCCGCACGCCATCCCTCGGGGCGTTGACGAGGTCATCGTCCCTCACCATGATGACGGAGCCGCCAGGCCTCATGATGGCGCCGATATCTCCCGGCCCAGGCTCGCCTACCTTCACCGAAGATCTCAGTCGATTCCCGTCCGAATCTCTCCATTCCTTCTCTTTTGCTCACCAGTCCGAAGACCTCCTGCACAGTCGCCAGAACGTCCTCAAGCGGTCGATTGAGTTTATGAAGGACCGGATGGGATGGTCGGTCGCATCGAGTGCGGCAATGGCTAGCGCCCAAGCGCGCGTCACTGGGGACGTCGAGATGCAGAACATGCTGGATTTGCTGGCCAAGGCGCAGCTCGTGGGAGCCGGCAACATCCCAAATGGCGACTCCACCCTTCTCACGGGGCCACTGAGCGGGCCGGCCACCATGTCGGGTGAAAATGTGTTTGACAAGCAGTTTGTGCCGAGGAGTACAAGCCCCGACCTCTTTGACGAGACCCCGCTGATCTCTCCGGCGACTACGAGAAGCATCGGCACACAAGAATTTGGGGAACATGATCTGGGTTCCGGATCAGATCCGCGGCCCCCATTTTCACCGTCCGGCCTCGGAGCCGAATCTGAAAACTCATCAAGGACGCCGACAAACGAGAGTGGGACCACGGCAAAAACCTCGCCCCCGTCTTCTAGGCGCCCCAGCTTTCTGAAGCGGACTTGGACGGACACGGTCCACATCTCGGTGCAGCAAAAGCTCATGGACGCTATGGCGAAGCCCCTACTTCCAGGCGAGCCAGGTCACCAGGAGCATATTGGGTCGCCCACCATGGCCCAGCCGTTGACGGCCCCGCTGGGTCATCCTTCTATGTCAAGCCATGGGACGAGATGGGTACCCGCGGCGCAAGCCATCTTCACAACGGAATCGAAACCCCCTTGGACGATCCTTGCTGCAAACGACCTTGCTTGCCTGCTGTTTGGGGTCACAAAGGCTGAGGTTAGGAAGATGGGTATCTTGGAGGTCGTGCAAGAGGAGAGGAGGGCATGGCTGGAGCGGAAGTTGCGCAAAGGGTTCCCCGAAGATGCTGGCGACGGCTCGGAAAGCGAGATTACGCAGCCAAACCCAGTTCCGCTGCCCTCGTCTCTGATTGGGGGACGCGGTGGCGGGATAACAGCCAAGCTCTTGAGTAAGCCAAATTCGAGATCGCAAACTCCCAAAAACAGCACCCGGCGGCCGGCAACTATACACAACGGCGATCCAAAGCCGCCAAAGCCGGGTCAGTCTCACCACCACAACAACAAATCCAGGGGCGTGTTGCTTTGTGGAGATGTAGTCCCAATCCAGGTAAGTTGCATATTCCCAGCTGGAAGCAGCGGACAGGGCCGCGACTGACATGGAGCTCCAGAAACGAAATGGAGCCACGGGATCCGCTAGCTTGTGGGTCAAGGAAAAGAGGGTTGGCTTGATCTGGGTTCTTGAAGAGATACACGAAGATGTTGCCAACCTTGTTCTTGATGAAGAGGGAACCGTGGCCGCCATCTCAGGAGCCCTGGGCCCAATTTGGGGAGACGACGACCTGCAGCCCGGAAGCGATGTTGGCAAATTAATACCTCGCATTCCACGCCAGGGCATCGACCCTCGATATGGTGAGATTGACTATGCTGAGGTCGCAAAGCGAAAGTATTACACTTGCCGCAACTGCGACAGAATTAATATTCCAGCCACAGTCGAGCAGGTCAGGGGGACGCCAGAGCTTCGAGTATCAAGCTTTCCCCATATTGCGGGTATCATTGTGGTTTGCACCAAAACCCTAACCATAAAAAGCTCAAATTCTGTCTTCTGCGGCGCACTTTTTGGTCACGAGTCCCCCAACGGCATGTCGATCAACAGTCTCGTGCCCGGTTTCGACGGCGTGCTCCGCATTCTCACCGAGGAAGACGGAATCCGCCTAGTGGACGGCATTGTCATCCCCGAGCACTCGTTCAGAAAAGCCTCGGCGTTCCTCGCCCTAAGAGAAGGCCGACCGGACGCGGCGACAGGATTCCTACGTCCCGAGGGTCTGCTAGCAAAGCATCGTGACGGCTCCGAACTAAAAATCGACATACAGATGCGTGTTGTGAAAAGCGAAAAGCAGCACGCTTTGCTCGACGAGGTGGTTATTGAGACGAGCGAAGACGAGTCTTCTTCCGAGAGAAGCGAGACCAGGTTCACTACACCACATTCAGAGATGGTATATGCCCTCTGGATTACCTACTCAAGACACTTGCACGCCACCCGCACCAATATGGGCGCCTCATCACCACTCCTATCAGGCACCGCCACTCCACTTCATCAACCGTCTCCGGGACAGACGCCGGCCCACACTCCGCTCGAGATCCAGTCAGACTCGGATGAGGCGCCAAAGGAGCGTTCCGCGGCCTCTCTGCTTGCCAGGCAACTGAAAGAAGCGGCCAAGAGCGCCGCCCTAAAGCTGACGGGCTCCCAAAAGGCGCCTGAGGCTCAGAAGGAACAAGCCCCAGTCAAACAGCTGACCGACCCATCAAACAAGAAGACTATTGACGATTTTGTCATTCTCGAGGAGATGGGCCAAGGCGCATATGGACAGGTCAAGCTTGCACGCTACCGGAACAACGCGAAGAGGTGTGTGTTGAAGTACGTCACAAAGCGGCGTATTCTGGTGGACACGTGGACTCGGGATAGGCGGCTGGGGACGGTGCCGCTTGAAATCCACGTTCTCGACTACCTGCGGAGAGACGGGTTTCGGCACCCCAACATTGTCGAGATGGAGGACTTCTTCGAGGACGAGGTCAACTACTACATCGAGATGGTGCCTCACGGGTTGCCCGGAATGGACTTGTTCGACTACATCGAGCTGCGGACCAACATGGACGAACAGGAGAGCCGCAGCATCTTTGTGCAGGTTACACGGGCGATTCACCACCTCCACACCAAGGCCCAAGTCGTCCATCGCGACATCAAGGACGAAAACGTAATTCTGGATGGCGAAGGCCGGATCAAGTTGATCGACTTTGGAAGCGCGGCATATATCAAGAGCGGGCCCTTTGATGTTTTTGTGGGCACTATTGGTGAGTCAACGTTTTCATCTATTTTTTAGGCTTCTCTCTTCGGCACTAACTAACCTTCCTCATAGATTATGCTGCCCCCGAAGTCTTGGCGGGCAAACCTTACGGCGGCAAGGAGCAGGACGTGTGGGCTCTCGGCATTCTCCTCTACACCATCATCTACAAAGAGAACCCCTTCTATAGTATTGACGAAATCATGGACCGCGACCTCCGTGTACCCTACACAATCAGCGACGACAGCATCGACCTGATCCGCCGCATGCTGGATCGCAACGTATCCCAGCGCCTCGACATTGAGCAGGTGCTGGCACATCCATGGTGCCAGATGGAATGAACATAATTTTAACGAAAGGGGGAAGGGGGCAAAAAAAGGGTACGGCTCAGAAGCCTTAGGGGGGGACGTGGAACTGAAACATTCTTACCATAATTTTCTATCTTTGTTTTTATGGCGGCATTCATGAAGAAACCATGGGCTTTGGGCATGGGGCAAAAGAGACAGACATGGAAAGAAGAAAGATTGATGGGCAGATATATTATTCTTTTTTATATCATAAGCGCATTACATGAAGCATGTCTGGTCCCTTTTCCTTATCCTTGTCCTCGTCGGCAGCGGTGGCTATGCGGGTATGTTTATGTATGATATATCTATCTCCAAAGCAAGGAGAAGAAAAAGAAACATACGCGAATAGTGTGGTGGCTTCTTGCCTCTGGTTGCCTCAGTCAGTTTAAGAAGCTAGAGAAGGCATCGGAGAAAAGTCAGAGACGACTGGGTGAGATAACTTGGAAGTGTGGCACTTTTTCATTGAGTGCTCTCGAAGTGAAAAGAGGTGAAGAAGCGACTGATGCCTGCTTTTATTTTTGCATTTCAACGACTGCCGTATGGGGGTGGCGAGCTAGGTTTTCTTTTCGGCGTACCTATTTCGCCCCTTTTCAGCAATTCAATTCCCCCCCCCCTTTTTTCCTATTTCAGGTATCTAGTATTCTACGAAGCGCGGGTGTCGGTGCGAGTCTTAGAGCGAGATATTAGAGAGACGGGGCAAGGTAGAAGAGAGATGAAGACGTCCGGAAAATTGGAAAATACAAGAGACAAGAGAGATTCTTATTTCGTAAAATTTTTTTGCATCTGTCTCGGCTCATGTATTTACTAGTTGGCAAGCTCCGATTAAGTAGGTGTCTAATTTGTAGCAAAGCAGATATTTAGGTATATACATAGGAACCGCTAGATTGGTCCGTAGCCCGAGCCAACCAGTTTACAAAATACAGCCCCTGCAATAGCTTGCCACAGCGGGGCCGTATTATTCCGGCCTCAGCTGCCCTTGCCCATCGGCTGCAGGCCGAATATCTCATCCGACGAAATATTTATTTCGTCGTGCCCCCCAGAGGTTACTTCGCCAAAAAGAAAAGCGTTGCGCTCCCGGCTGGGATTATGACGCTTTTTCGGGGGCGTTTTATTGTTGCTAGGAGACCGATTTGACGGGGAAGATGATGCCTTGAGAGCGGATGATGCGGTGGTGTCTGGCTCAAGCATCCAAGAGAATGATGACTGTGCTAGCGTTGATCGAGTTGGGATTGGACCCTTGGGCCTCTCTGTTGGGGCAATAGAGATGTGTTGTTGACCGTCAGACACTGGTGTTAAAGGCACGGCGTCCAGAGTGTTTTTGAGAGCCGTTATATCGTTTTCTTCTGGAGGGTCAGTGTCCATCTTGTCGCCGTCATGGACTGTTTGCTGTAGTTGTGGGCCCTCCTCCTCCGGCAAAGTAGCCAACCCATTAGTCTTAGCCTCCGATTCTGGTGATGATAATGCTGATCTCGCTTCCTCGACAGCCGACGAAGTCATTATCACCGGCGTTGTGTCTAGGGCAACCGTTGGCGACTTGTTGTCAATGCGTGTCGAAATCGTAAGCGCGGTTAGGGAAGGCGGTTCCTCCTCGGGAAGCTCGAGCGAGGTGTCTTCTAAGCAAGCCTTGACGAACTGAACTTTGGACGCAGCGATCTCGACAGCTTCAATGTGTTTCTCCTTTTCTCCCTCCAGTTTAGAGGCAGCCACGTGCTTGAGGCTTGTAATCGACTCATCTAGCATCGCTGCCAGCTGGCGATTTCTCCGTTCCATTAACGACACGGCGAGTGAGCGTTCTCGGGCTGCAGGCCGATTCTCACCGAGCGAAATGCGGGATCCCCTGGTAGAACTTCGAGCCTCATGGAGGCCCTGAACGTTACGCCGGATCTCGCCCATGGCGTCACGAACTGCCTGGTTGATCCCGAGTTTCTCACCTCGCTCAAGCACGCCTTTGGCGGCGCCTTGAAACAGAGCCTCAACCCCGCCGGGCTGTTGCAGCAGCCTTGCTGGTGAAGAAAGCGGCGACTTAGCACCTAGCGTTCGCTGGCGCAGGCTGCCAAAAGCTTGAAACGAGGGTGTGGAAGGCTGCGGGCTGGTGGAAGCCGCAGTCAGACTCCTGCCAGTATACTTTGATATTAAAGTGACGCCGCCAGCGGCGTTGAAGTGGGTTTTCAGATAGATGGCATCGTCGACGAATGTATGAGGACCGTTGGGGGGCCGTGGGGCTGGATACTTGAGCATGAGCTGTAAAGCTACCGAGTAGTCGGCTTCAAGCACTGCCGAACGTGTTAGTCTTGTCACCAGGCAAGGTTGGCACCAAGCGAGCGGGCTTACATGTCCACCGAAGTCTGAGCAGCATGGCAACGCAGATGAGGTCGATTAGTTCCAAATTCGGATCGAAGGCAAATAGCGTGTCCCAAAGAACCAGCAGCTGGTCAAAGGGGAACTCCCTGCCGAATAGGAGGCGAATCCAGCGTCTGGCTACAGTCAGGCCCAGATCCTGGAACAATTGCTTCAGTGGCTGGCTGGACTCACATTAAGAATATCTGGGGCAAAACCTCAATGTTGCGAAGGTGAGTTGCAAGCTCCTGGTCGATTTTCATGAGGGCAACTTCGTGGATATACTCTGACTTTTCCACAATGGTGTTCTTGTCATGGGCGGTTGATGCCGTGTCGGAGCCCACTTCGTAGAAGTCGCTCGCACTGGCCATAACAGTGGAGAACAAGGCATAGGCGTCATGTTCGATAAAAGACGAGTCGAGCATCTCCACCATGGTGGCATCAGCGAGCTCGTCGGCCGCGGCATCGGCAGAGTCGATGGCGTCCTGGGCGACAACATAGACGATGGGGGCTAGCAGCTCATGCATGCCCTGGCGATAGCCGCCGACGGCTGGGTGCAGCTTGCAGTAAAGAAATAGGATGTCGAGGATCATGGTCTGGATAGCATCCTGGTGGTAGAAGGGCTCGTCGGGAAGCCTGCGAACGTCCTGCAGGATCTCGGACCTGACAAGCTCGTCCTTGCGCACCGTGTGCCATGGCGAGTTGGGGTCATCGGCTAGAGGGTCGAAAGACAAGTCGGCCAGCTGCTTAGGGTGGCGGATGAACCTGAGGTGCTGGTCCGACACCGACGTGTACGAGCCACGGAGCTCGCGCAGCATGTGCGGCCACTGGTCGGTGGGGGCGTGCTGGAAGAGCAGAAAGGCCTTCCAGCAAACAGAGCGGCAGCCCGACAGGCATGGGCTAGCGTCGCCATTCGACCCGACGGCGCGCTGGAGGTCGGCGATGCCGGGGCCGTGCCTCAAAGTCTCAGCCCATCTCGACCTGGCGATGAGGTGGTTCTATGTGAGTTCGGCATGCTTGTCTTGGGGCTTCGGCTTAGGTTGGCTTCACTTACTTTGCTTCAGCATAAGACCTCATCATGACAGCCCGCGCCGTGGCATCCTCGATATTCATGAATAAATAAGTGAGACGGACGAGGAAAAGTCCCCTGTTGTGCCTTCCGAGTTCGGGTCTTAGGTTCCAGGTTCCAGGTTTAAATGCGACAAATTTGGTTCAGTCCGCTGTTCCGTAATGGAGGTGAGGTAGTTATTGACCTTAAATCAGGGTTGTCGGCAATGACATGTCGTTCAGCTTGAGGTGACCTAGGTGGGGATAATACCTTACTTATGCAAGCTCTGAACTGCTCCCGTATTACGGAGTGGGAAGGTACGCTACGCTACGGAGACGAAGTGCAGCTGCGCAGCACACCGATAGCTGTAGCGGGATGAGTGGTAGTTGCATTCCCAGTTGCTGCACTCGCGGGCTGCACTTGCACTCCGTGACTGCAGCCAAGTGGGGGAAGGCTGGAACTGTCCATTTCTCGTCGCCCGTCGCCCAATCCCGCCACTGGGGAGCATGGATCTTCAACACGCCTGCCCCGTAACACCCTGGCTCCGTCCCGTTCCTGGCACGATTGTTTGGCAGCCAGCCGTGAGGTGCTATCCCGTCTTCCACGGAGCCTGGTTCCAGCTTTCACTGTGTTGTCGGCCCAACGTCGTCGGCCAGCCTTGAACTTCCATGAAACCCGTACAACTCGCAGCCCCAAAGGCCATCGGCAATCGGCGACGAGGACAGACTGGCTGCCAAGCGCATGAGCAGGCCTGACTCACACGTTTAGCTCGTCTCCTCGACCACTGAACGCCTTGGTAGCTCTCCAGTCGCGAACATCGGGAACTAGGCAGTCCCTGAAAGCTAAAGAGGGCCCGCCATCATCGCGTGCACGAGGACAAAACATAACTAAGGAGCCACGCAACACTGGAGCATCTACGTTTCCGAACGATAGCCCGCGTGTTCCTTCACTATCGGGCCCTTGATCGCCATGCCTCTGCCTTGCAGGCGCTTCTCTTGGATACTTGAGTCGCAAAACCCCTGAAGCCCCTGAATTCACCGAAGCCGACATCATGTCCGCCGATTTATTTGCCGCTTTTGAGGCTCCGGCTCCGAGCTCCAACGCGCAACAAAACCAGACTGCTAAACCCGGTAGTGTCTCGGCCGCGCCTGAAAACGGCCCATTCTCTTTTTTGACATCGAGCCTCGCCAGCCCCCAGTTGCAGTCTAATAACCGGCAAGCTTCGCAATGGCCGTCATTCCAGTCTCAGAACTCAAACCAGGCCACCCAAGCAAACCCGTGGTTGCCGGCGCAAAGTAACCAACCGCAAAACGTTGGGTCCTGGGGGGACTTTGGCGCTCTCACTGGAACACAAGGTTTTTCTTCGTTCTTGGCTCAAGAACCGGAACCTACTAAATCAGAATATGACGACGACGACACATGGGGCGACTTTGAAATTCCAGCGGCTGTCCCGAGCCCCCAGACGGACCCGCCACGCAACCGCATCACCAGAGCGTCTACGATTGATATAATGTCCAACAAGCTTGTTGACGTAGGCTCGAACACCTCTACCCTGGAGCCGTGGCAGGAGCGGCCATCCTGGGAGCGGCCTGTCTCGCAAAAAAGCGTGCCCAAGCGTGACCCAAACGTCCTATTTGATGCCGACGACTTTGACCCCGACGAGGACGGAGAGAATGATTTTGGCGACTTTGAAGCTGCCGCTGCCGCTCCTAAACCCGCCGCATCATCAAAACTCATTCCCGACCTCCTGTCCCTTGATACCCTCCCGGCCCAAAGTGCAGCACAGACAAGAAAGCAGTCTCCGGGACTTCTCTTGTCCAGCTTGAGCCTGTCTGGGAATTCTACCGCTTATCCTCAAGCACCAAAATCCCCCTATGGGTCCTTCAAGAACCGGAAACCCTCTCCTGTCACGGAGCTCAAGGTCAAGACGCCACAGCCGCCCGAGTTTCCAACAGAGGCGAAAAAGGGATCGCCTACCCCAGTCACAGCCTGGCCAACTGTCGGCGAAGACGGATTCGACAATGAATGGGCAGATTTTGAAGACCTTCCGGGAACCCCCGATCCCAAACACGCAAATGGGTTTACAGCCCCGAGTTCGAACCAGGGTGAGCTCGGGCAAGCCAATTCAAAGGCTGTCGGTGTGACTTCGTCCCCGGACCAACCCAGCCGCCCACCACCAACCAACGTGCCTCCACCTTCAATATTACTCTCCATTTTCCCACAGTTACTTGATCTCGCCACAACGTCGCTTCTCAAACCAATTCGTGCAGTGTCAGCCCAGACGAAAGAGCGTGTGCTCTCTGACACCGTTACCGTAACCTTTCTGCGCGGCTATCTTGCGCTCGCCACGGTCGCCGCGCGCGTCGTTGCTGGCCGCAAACTGCGCTGGCACCGGGACAAGTTCTTGATGCAAGGCATGGCTATCTCAGCTGCCGGGGGCAAGGGCGGTATGAAGCTTGCCGGCATCGACAAGACGCAGTCAACCCGCGAGGACCGCGAGGCCGCCGATGTCATCGACATATGGAAAAGTCAAGTGGGACGCCTACGCTCTGCCGTCGCCGCTGCGAATGCCGCCATGAAAGACGGCGGACCGCCGCTAAAGGTTCCCGAGCTCAGCGTCAGCCTCCCAACCCATACGGCGACCATGGTGCCCACGGCGCCAAAGCCATGCGTCATCTGCGGCCTGAAAAGAGACGAGAGAATCCCAAAGGTCGACTTTGACGTCGAAGACTCGTTTGGCGAGTGGTGGGTCGAGTTTTGGGGCCATAGGGCTTGCAGGAACTTTTGGGTTGAACATGAAGCCAAGCTGAGGCAGCGTTGATATATGGCTAGAGATTATAGTAGTTCGTAACTAGGTGTAATGCAACTCAAATAAGTGTAATGTAACTCAAGAACTATTCAGTCTGAGATCTGATAGAGCTTGTAGACTACGGACTGAACTTGTTGGGAGGAAAAGGGGAGGTTCAAGGGTTAGGGTTGTTGGCTTTCACTTGCCTGCCGGAAGCCTTATCGCACGGCCTATAAGAATAAGCGTTACGGATATCCGTGCTCATACGGCAGTCATCGACGTGTAGCTGGTGCGGCGGGCCATCCCCGAAACCATTGATCTTCAAAAGTTGGACTGTCTGGCGCGCAAACCCAACAGCACCCTTCAACGAGTTTATCGCGGCCCTTACGACTCTTGGACCGATCTAGCACCCACAGCTGCAATGAGCAAGCTATTCTCTTTTGGGCTAAAAAAGAGCGCGCCGTCAAAACCTCCGCCGCCGCGACGGAAACCGGCGACATTTGGGGGCGATGACGACGATGACGGAAATGCGCCGGAAAACAACGGGGTCTTCGGCCGCTTGCAGTCCAACAAGGCAAAGATAAAAGCCGCGACAGGGACAGCGGGGGCAGTGGTGGTGCCTGTGTCAGAGATTAGCGGGTTTGACACGATAGGCGCTTCAACGGGGGCGGGCGGCGGTGACGCCGCAGACGAAGACAGCGATGACGCAAAGGGAAGCAGGAAAAAGAAGAAATTCCCCAACCACATCGCGCCGCCGCCTCCCCTCGGAACAAAGTCGAAACTCGCGGCGGGCGCTGTGACGCAGTTTGGCGACCTGTCGAGCGCGCTCGAGTCGCGCAGGTACGCCGAGGCGGCCGAAGGCGCCGACCCGTCCATCTACGACTACGACGGCGTGTACGACTCGCTCAAGCTGCCGGCGAAGAAGAAGAAGGACGACGAGGACGCGGAGGGCGCGGCGGGGGAGAAGCGGCCGCGGTACTTTGACGCGCTGCAGAAGGCAGCCGAGGTCCGCGAGCGCGACCGGCTGATCGCCGAGGAGAAGCGGCTGAAGCGGGAGCGCGAGGCCGAGGGCGACGCGTTTGCCGACAAGGAGAAGTTCGTGACCGAGGCGTACAAGAAGCAGCAGGAGGAAAACCGGCGCCTCGAGGCCGAGGAGAAGCTCCGCGAGGAGGCCGAGGCCAAGAAGAACAAGAACCGGGGCATGGCCGACTTCTACAAGCAGATGCTGGATCGCGGCGAGGAGGAACACGCCGCCAAGATCAAGGCGGTAGAGGAGCTTAAGGCCGGTGGCGCCGACGCCGCCGCCGAGAAGAAGGGCGAAGAAGACGACCCGGACAAGGAGAAATCGGCGACGCAGCGCGCGCGCGAGATCAACGCCATGGGCGGCAGCATCATCCTCAACGGCGACGGCGAGGTGGTCGACATGCGGCAGCTGCTCAAGGGCGGGCTCAATGTGGCGCCCAAGAAGAAGACGGAGCTCGAAAAAGACAAGGCCAAGAAAGCGGCAGCGGCGGCAGCCGGGCGCGGAGGCGCGGGGGCCGGCATCGGCAGCAGCGGCCCGACGCGTGGCATCTTTGTCGGCGGCGGCAAGCAGGCCATGCGCGAGCGGCAGACGCGCATGCTCGAGGCGCAGCTCGAGGAGACGCTGAAGCGGTCGCGCGAAGAGGAGGAGGAGGAACAGGCAAAGGTCGAGCTGTCGGCCAAGAGCCGCAAGACGGAATCGGACATCTCGAGCGCAAAGGAGCGCTACCTCGCGCGCAAGAGGGCCGCCGAGGAGGCAAAGAAGAACGGGCTCGCCGACGTGCCATAACCCCTACGCGCAGACTGTGCTACCAACTTTGTTTTTACTACTTATGAACATGGAAAAAGGAACCAATATACCCCCAGTTACCTTGAATTTGACTTCCGAGCCGTCTTTCCACCGGCTATGCCAAGACCCTGGGGTGGTGTTGTGAATAGTGTATATTGTTTTGTACACAGGACCCCCTTTCAACGAACGCACCGCACCGCAACGACTCCCTACGTCCCCCGCGTCTATCGTCTATTTGTCCATATCGTACAAGGCGCGCCAGAACTACTCATACCCCCCAAATCTACTACCCGCCGCTGGCCTATATATATACATGTGCGGGCGTTTTGGGGGACCTTTGCTCCTTCGCTCTCTGTTTTTCTTCTTGTTTTTTTTTGTGGAATGTGTAAAAATCATGTGCTGTGGCCGACCGCTTCTTGCAGCTTCTTCATATATGTCGCGTTGACGGCGTTCCAGGCCGCCATGTACTTGTCCATGCATTGCGTGACGCACGTCTTCTCGCCGCTCGACAGCGAGCTGCCCGGTTTCGGCACGCACTTCTCGAAGCAGTTTTGGTCGATTTTCTAACAAGGGGTTTAAAATTTTAGGTATAATATAGGTATGTTGTTGTAGGTATGTACATACGTCGATGAGCTGCCGCGCGTTGGCCATGTCCGACTCCGTCAGGATCTGCCGGATGACGGCCTTTTTTACCGAGTCCGAATCCATTGCTGTCTTGGGCTTGTTGGGGGGAGGGTTCGCGGGAATAATTGTTGGGTATGCGAGCAGAGGCGGGTTTCGGTGCAATTCGTGCTGTGCTGGTCTGGATGCTGCTTGAAACCGTTCGTGGATCACAGGCCGGAAAGGACGAAAAAAAGACTGGGAACTTCAAACTGAAGTTGAAGGTGTGGCGCAGGACTGGGGCTGGAGCTTATGTGGAGTTTCTTTTGGGCTAGTTCAAGCAACGCAACCACCCTCCCTGCCCTGGGAACGAAAAACTAACAGGGGTAGCTTTTCTCCCCCCCAACCCCTGGCCCAGCGCAGTCAACCCCGGACTTTTCAGCAGGCAAGCAACCGGACCAGGGTTCCACCTCTGGCGAAAAGGCCAGCTAAAGCGGTTGCAACCAACATTGTCCAGCATCACAGCGGCCGAATTAGACCGCCACACACGACCACCCAGATATCTCGCCATCGGCCTTTTTTTATTGTCTTTTCTTTCGTTACTTTTTCTTATACACTCTCTCGCTAGCACTTTGAGGGTGCCTTCCGAAAGAACATCTCGATCCTTCTTCTCTCCGACCCCTTACGAAGCCTAGGCACCCGCGCGCGACGCTCTTGGGGAGCCATGTTGGTGAAGTCGACCCTGTCGGCCCTGTGGCTGGCCACGCGAGCTTGGGGTGCCGCCCAGGCAGAGGAGGATGGAACCGTCAAGAGCATAGGGGTATGATGGAACCAGGCGCGCCTCTCGTTACTCTTTGGCATGGCCTTGCTAACGACTATCTTGCAGCTGAGGACACATACCCTCGTACAGGTACGAGACGAGCCGACCCCCCTTAACTCGCTTGACAGATTGCTTGAGGACTGACTGTGGTACCGGGACTTAGCCGTACCTCGACTCGGACATGCAAAGCCGGTGGTATGACTTTGGAGGCGACACAATTGTCCGGACGGACCAGTAAATACCACCCCATTACCTCGGCTCCTCTGAACTTGGCTCTGACAATCCGCAGATATATCCGCTTGACTACCGATCACCCGTCGCAGAGTGGGTGGCTATACTCGCGGGTGCCGCTGACTGCGACGAACTGGGAGATTGAGGTCGAGTTCAAGATTCACGGAAAGAACCAGCTGTATGGCGACGGCTTCGCCATGTGGCTCACCAAGGAGCGCGGGAAGCAAGGACCCGTGTTTGGCAACGCGGACAAGTTCGAGGGCCTGGGCATCTTCTTCGACACGTACAAAAACAACCGACCCGGAGTGGTGTTCCCCTACGTCGTGGCCATGGTCGGAGACGGCAAGACAACATACGACAAGGACACGGACGGCAAGGAGACCGAGTTCGCCGGCTGCTCGGCCAGGGGCATCCGGCACGCCAGTGTGCCCACCAAGTTCCGTCTGACGTACTTCCAGGACAAGTACCTCAAGCTGGAGCTGCAGTACAAGACCGAGGGCGAGTGGTCGCTGTGCTTCGAGACCAACGAGCCGCCGGCCATCCCACAGGTCGCCTACCTCGGCTTCAGCGCTGAGACGGGCGAGCTGAGCGACAACCACGACATCATCTCCATCAACGCCAAGAACCTGTACACGTCCCAGCCCACCAGCCGGCCTACCCCTGGAAGTGGCAGGGGAAGGAAGTCGGCTTCCCGGGAGGGCGGCAGCTGGTCCTGGTTCTTGTTCAAGACGTTGCTCTTCTTCCTGGCCGTCGGCGGCGGTTATGCTGGCTACACAGCCTGGAGAGCCAACAACAAGCGGAGCCACCGGTTCTAGAGGAATGAGCGAAAACGGCTGGTTCGAAAACGGCTAGATCGAAAACAGCTGAATCGAAAACGGCTACATCGAAAACAGCTGGATCGAAAACGGCTGAAGCAAAAACGGCGGGGTTATGGTCAGAAATGGGTTCGAGGTTTCAATGCGAGTCCATTCAGCCAATGACGAGATGGGATAAGCAGGCGTTCCTCCGCCGGTGGGGGAAAAGGAGCGAAAACAACAATCGTACATATTAACTATTTTTCTTTTTTACTCTTTTAGCATGGCACGGGAAGGCGTGGAAATGTTTCCCTTTGTTTTTTCTTGTTTGGTAGTCTACCTGTCTTTCTGTCATACCGATCAGCGAGCTTAGGACCGGACTTACCCACCCCGCTCGTTACAAGGTGAGATGGCCTATGGATGTTCATTTTCCTCGTTTCCTTACTCATGTACCAACCACAAAATAAAGCGTTATGATATATGTCTTCTTTATCGTGAAGGTGCCAGTGGCGCTGTCTTGGACCTGAAGCAACTTCCGAGTCGGTCGGGATCTGCAAATTTGTGGGCAGACGTTTTCTAACAGACAGTCCGAAAAGGCTTGCTCGTGACAGACAATAAAAGCAATGTCTCGGCTTGCTCGGACAAAAAGTGCTAAAAATACCACGGCAAAGAGATGAAAGAGGGCTAGACATTGAGTACTAGAGATGGTAATTAGGGTAATTCAGACGTTTGAATTGACTCTCTCCCGGATACGCAGCCTCAAGGATGATGTTACGCGGGCTCAGTCAGTACTAATTGCGTGTCGCTGTGTTTCGTACTTTAAGTACGGATTACGGTAGCGAAGAGGCGCAGGGAGACGGCGTAGGTCTTGACGTCGAGACATTTCAAAATTCCGGAACCCTGTCGTATGGCGTTGCTCTGCTGAGCTTCAATTCTAAACTTCTCAGACTTACTAGTATGTAATGTCTTGACGCCTATCATGACGGGCTAATCGCAAGCCCCCCCTCCTATCTTGGACACTGACGATCGAGGGGTGCCCCAGACTTCCCAGAAAAACCCCACACCTGGCAAGACGAGCTGATTGGACATGCACGCAATGACGATGTGATGCGCCAGCAGCAGGCCAATCCTTGCTGGCGTGAAAGACCCCGCCGTGGAGCGGACGCCAGCCCCTCCTCTGGCCCACGACAGCCCACCTTCAACCGTCCAATTGCCAAACCTTGGAGGGGAGCTTGAACTCAGTCGAGCGCCAACATCTAGCATGGGGGGCGTTTTCTCTCCAAGCCCGCCCGGCGCGGTCCAATTGATTCGAGTGCTGCCTCGTGTCATTCCGGACCTGCCCCTTGGCTGCCGTATGCTAGACCAAACAGCATGGAAAGACGAAACGGGAGAACTACTAAAGATGGAGAGGGCCAGCACAAAGCGGCGTGATGCTCCTGCTCCTGCTCCTGCTTGACCTTTCAGCCAAGCAACCTAGATACCTAAAAGCAAGCGAATCGCGGCGCAATGTCAGAAGGAACCACCCAGGCTAAGGGAACAGGGGCTGACTTAAGTCCCGCTCTCTAAAACTCAATTGCCTGGCTGCCTTATATCTAGATATCTTTCCCAGGTGTTTTATCCCGATCTACCTTATCCTCTGTTTGAACGTAGCTTCCGTGTACATCGATACCTCCTCCCGGTCCTGCGTCCTCGTCCTCGTCCTCGCCCTTCGGTCGTCTTCCTGTGAACATCAGCGCCACTCGCAGTTTCGAGTCCGGTCCCCAGTGCCGTGGCTTCAATTGCAATTATTATCACTCGACGCGACTCTCCTTCCCTCTCACAGACACAGACATCACCCTGGCCAGAAGCACAAGCACGTACACACAAAGTGCTCTCTCTTGGTTTCTTTGTAGTTGTGGTATGTACGGATACACCCGCACGCTGTAAAACGCTGAACCATTCAGTTGCTTTTGCGGGAGCTTGTGCCGCACGACACTACTGCCTGCCCTGCCTACCTAACCTTCCATACCGACCTCCCCCCCTGCCCCCTGCCCCCCTGCCCCCCTGCCCGCCCTCTACTCCTTGCTATTCATCGCGCGTCAACGACCGAAGCTGGACGACTTCTCCGCCTCTCCAGCTGTCCGTCACCTACATCCCTATCCTACCTGCCCGGTATCGCTACCACCACGTCTACGGCCTGTCAACTTTCCGGGGCTCCTCGCACAATTTGTCGGTCCGTTTAGCCTTTTGGCAGCGGTGACGACGCCGAGACTCTGCAGCAGCCTGTACTGCTGTACTGTAGACTCCCGCACCGCACCGCACCGCGGTACCGTCCAGTACCTTCCCTACCGTACCGTCCCATCAAAGCGACAGCACCTCCACTGCCTTACCTTACTTATCTTCCGTGCCTCCCTGCGCGTGCTGTACCGTCGCCCTTCCCCACGGCTGTCCACCTCGTACCTCCGCCTGCACGGCACCTGCTAATTGGCCTGCCGCTACCTGCCATTGATTGTCGTGCAGCCTTCCCCGGTAGCCGCCGTCCCCGACCCTATCCTTGGTCGCGGTTGTCCAATTAGACAATCAAGGCTTCCAACCCAAAGTATACTTGATGCCTAGCTTGGGGTTCCTCAAGAAGAAGCGGACAAAGGAGGCCAATCCGGACCCCTCGCCGCCCAGCAACCCGACGAGCCCAGTCACGCCTACCGCGGCCAGGAGCTTCGATCAGAGCATCATCCCCTTGGCCCCTCCCCATACCAGTGTGCCCCAACCGGCTCTTCAGTCCGGCCCGGCCAGCAAGCAAGACACACAGACCGACGCCGCCGAGAAGCAGCAACCAATGAATTCTCTCCCATCCCAGCAACCCTTTCTGTCGCCCCAGAACACACCCTCGCCGGGGACGAAGCCGCAGAACCTCCCGTACATATCGAACCTCATCAACCCTCCCCAGAATGATGGCTCCTCACCTTATCAGCAGCAGCAACAATTAGGGTTAAGATACATCCCACCCCCGACCAACAGCGGGGTACCCGGTACCCAACAACAACCGTCGACCATGGCTGCAGCACAGCAGCAACAGCAAGGCGCGCAGGCGCCCGCAGCCCAAGACCAGATCAGAGTGACCAAAGGGAAGTACTCGCTCACCGACTTCGAAATGCTAAGGACGCTGGGGACGGGCAGCTTTGGCAGGGTCCATCTGGTTCAGTCCAAGCATAATTCGCGGTTCTACGCCGTCAAGGTGCTGAAGAAGGCACAGGTGGTCAAGATGAAGCAAGTCGAGCACACCAACGACGAGCGGAGGATGCTGGGCGAGGTCAAGCATCCGTTCCTGATTACGCTATGGGGCACGTTCCAGGATGCGAGGAACCTCTACATGGTGATGGACTTTGTCGAGGGCGGCGAGCTCTTCTCGCTATTAAGAAAGTCCGGGGTAAGAGGCCCCTATCTGGCTGTTGGCCCTCTTATCTTGACACAATCTACAGCGCTTTCCGAATCCGGTGGCCAAGTTCTACGCCGCCGAGGTAACGCTTGCCCTCGAGTACCTCCACTTGCGGAACATAATCTATAGGGACCTAAAGCCCGAGAACCTGCTCCTTGACCGCCATGGGCATTTGAAGATTACCGATTTTGGCTTTGCCAAGAAGGTGCTGGACAAGACATGGACGCTATGTGGCACCCCGGACTACTTGGCCCCCGAGGTCGTCTCCAACAAGGGCTACAACAAGTCGGTAGACTGGTAAGAGAGCCTAGAGGCGTCATCTGTCCTGTAGCTACGCCTGTATATATACGCACAATGCTGACACGGGTTGCCGACAGGTGGTCGTTGGGCATCTTGATATACGAGATGCTCTGTGGCTACACGCCCTTTTGGGACGGCGGATCCCCGATGAAAATCTACGAAAATATCCTTCGAGGTAAGGTCAAGTATCCGGCGTACGTCAACCCGGACGCGCAGGACCTGCTTGAGCGGCTGATCACAGCCGACCTGACCAAGAGGCTGGGGAATCTGTACGGGGGTTCGCAAGACATAAAGAGCCACCGGTGGTTTTCCGAGGTGGCGTGGGATCGACTTGCGAGGAAAGACATTGACGCCCCATATACTCCACCGGTCAAGGCCGGGGCGGGCGATGCAAGCCAATTCGACAGATACCCAGAAGAATCAGAGCGATATGGGCAATCAGGGCATGACGAGTGAGTTTCGAGCCAACCTGTGTGCTTCCGGTGTCGCGAAATTTGTCTGCTAAACGCGCTCCTAGATACGGCTATCTGTTCCTCGACTTCTGAGCGCGCAGCCTCCCGCCTCGGGTGCGGTTGGCTGCATGTGTCCTAACAGCCGAGTGAGGGTGGAGTCCCAAGTAACCATAGTGTCTTTGAGCTGGCTCCGGAATGAGGCAAACAGGAGGGCAGTTCCGTTTGGCGTGGCAAAAGACGCGGGCTGGTCTGGCTTGGCGGCACCGTCTGCTCACCCCCAAACTGCCTTTTCGCGCTGACTGGGGGCCAGCTACTCCTAGAATTTAGTGCGCTTGTTCTTTCAGCTAGGACACGTGCATTGGTTGTCGGGGCGTGTGTAGCACATGGGATGACAGAGGGGGGGTCTCTGAGTGTCAGAGACGACTGGGACGACTGGGGCGGATGGGGACATTGGATGGGGTTGGCTTGGAAAAAGGAAAAAGTGCGAATACTGCCTATGAATCACCTGTATGACACGAATTGTTCTCGGAGCATCTTTAGCCCTTATGTTAGTTTTGCCGACAAGACTAACACGATGGCCTCCTCCCTCGCCCATGCATGTGTGACTGCGGAAAGCTTGTGGCCTGCTAGGCATCTGGTGAAGCCGGGGGAAGAATCAGACTCTGAAGAATAGTGTGCCCATTTCCGTCATGCCACAGCCACGAGTTGAGTAACCGCGGGCTGAAATGCTCTGTGCTCCCGGTTCGAGGCCAGACGGGATCCGACCTTAAAATCCAGCTGGGCTCAAGGGATTTGACGGCCCAGACTCTGATGATGGGATGGAAAAGGCTCCTTTGTCATGAGCAAAGTTGAACGAGGCGTCGACGAATAGCCTGGATGGCATCACTGAACTCGACCCATGGGTCCGAGGCAATCAATGGCAACAGAGACTAAGCCACGGATATCCGCTACTGCACGTCAACGGGCTGTGTGCTGCTAGGCTGTAATATGTATGTTCTGTACGTACATACGTACGTGCTCGTTCGTGCATGCCACTGTGGCTCATCTCCAACTGCCTGAGGTGCACTCCAATCAGACAAGGTCATCGACTGCGAACTGCACCAAGTGTGGGAAATGATTATGTGCAGATACGTTCCTACATGCCGAATTCGCGTATGTATGTGCATACTAGTACGTAAGGTACACCCTCCTTCACCTGTTGAGGACTGAAGTAGGACAGGCAAGGCACTTGGCCTCGTTTTTGTGTGATAATTTTGAGAATATTTAGCGTGTTTTGTATGCGAAAACCACTTTGGGTCAGACTTTTGTCAAGGACTGTAGACGGATGCGTTCTGACCCCCCCGGGCTCGGGCCCCAGCCACACACAACCCCCACCTCCCAACCCCGGCCAGCCAACTGGAGAGCTCCCTTCCTCTTCTCCTCCTCACCTCACCTTGTCCATTCACCCCGCATTTGCACATGGTTCTGGCCGAGCCCCACATCCAAGCATCCCGGCTCCCTCCCCCCAACCCCAACCCTGGCACTTGGAGACGTGCCCGTTCCGTCCGGCGAGCGATGAACCTCTGGGGTGGCTGGCGAGCGGAGGGCCTGGTTGGCGGGCCGCCTTTTTTTCTTCTGTTCTGGACGAAAAAAAACTTCCCATTCGCGAAGAGACACGGGAATAGAACAGCAAGTCAAGTCCTTACCCGTTTACTGGGTCTACGAGAAGCCAATGCTTTTATTACTTTGCTTCCCTTACCAGATTCGATCGATACCCAACTTGGATTTTTTGCCTACCTTATCTAAGTTGTTGCTTTTTGCTGGCACCGCTCCACGACCTTCCAAATAAGCAGGAAAAAAAAGCTGCCATCCATCTCACGCAAGCTGCTGCGGGTACAACACACGGAGTGCATACATGCAGAGCTCCGGAAGCTATCAGCCCACCTAAAGCTGCCCCTACCTTATTAACCCGGTCGTGCTGTATGTACATACATGTGCAGTACATAAGGTAACTCTCGCCTGGGAGGGGAGATTACTCCGATATAATTACCCTATTAGCTACCCATCTGCCGGGCCGTTAAATAATATCTCGAAGCTAGTTGTTTTCTTCCCTTTTTCTCTCTTTCACGATACATACGCACTTATTACTATCCGCACTTCAAACCTTCTTCTCACTCAACTCAACTCTCCACTCCATCCCCTCACACTGTCTGCTATCTCCCCCACGTGAGCGAGCGAGAACACACACGATCACGACGACCAAACGAAACGCACGAATTGATGATGAAACGATCGGGCCCGCCGCACTGGATTTGTCAAGTCTCGGAATAGAATACCTACACATCAAAAAAAGTGCCGTATTGCTGTTTTCTCAAAAGAGAGATATATAGCTTGACCAGGGGTTTGTTTGGTCCGGGAACAGTGGACGGGTTTTAAAACTCTGGAGCTTCCCCGCCGCCGCCACCGAAAGCCGCCATCTTTGCCGTTGCCGCTGCCCGCTGCCCGCTGCCGTTGCCGCTGCCCGCTCTTCGCCGCTTGCGCCGCCGCCCCGCCGCCTCTGCCGCAAACCTAAAAACACCGCAAAACAAAGACCACCCGGGGGGGTGTGAGAGGAGAAAATACCGACACCATGGACGACTACATGTTCCAGTCCTACGTCAAGGAGTGCAAATGCGTCACGGAAGCCACGGGCTTCCTCGAGATCTTCAACTATTCGGTATGTTCAAGGCTTCATCTCTCATTTTCTTTCTTGCTTGTTCATTCGCTTTCGTATCCAAGCCGATCGGGTAGAGAGGTGGACATGGTGTTCTTGAGAGTTTTTCTTCTGCTTGTGCGCGTATGAGCTTAGGCACGCCATCTAAGACGACAAGCGCTCTTGCGTTTCTTCTGGAACCTCCCTCTAAACCCTACCACCCCAGCGGACATCCACCTGCGGTTCAGCTTTTTGTTCTTCCTCCCCTAAAGGGGGTGCGTGTTGTCTTTTGCGGCTCGATACATGTATTTTAGGCCTGGACTAGACGGCGGAAAGTGTACATGTACGCGGCTGAAGGAATATCCCTGGCGAAGAGGCGGAGGCGAAGGCAGAGGTGGAGGCGTCATGGATCCACGGGGCAGCCCCGGCGCACCAGCTGTCAACCCCGACTAACCTGTTCTTGTTTGCTCTACTGTCTAGGATCCCTCGCTCAACTCGGTCGAGGAGCATCGGTTCCGCTTCGATGAGTTGCCCGACGAGTTCGCAAACTTTCTACACCGACGTGTGAGTTCTTCCGTCGAGCCAGCTACGACTTCATCTGTGAATGGCAAGAGTATGTTGCTGACATGTCTGTGCACGCTCCAGGGTGCCTTTGCGCCGCTCAAGCTCAAGGATGGCGTCAAGCTCGTCGGTGGGCTGCGGTTAATGTAGGTGTAGCTGGGCTTAACCAACTTACTTCAGGTGCCCACTCATTCGATGAGTGAGCCGTTCATCTCAGGAGAACAGAAACTAACCCGTCACACCCGCAGACTCCAGCTCAATGCCAAACACCCAGACACCTTCTCGCCTCACCACATCTCTCTGACGCATCAAGCCTACGAGGAGATGGTCCGGGGCTTGCGCCTGCCCTTCCGCTCCATCGAAGGCACCAGCGTTGTCGGCCCTTTCTTCTGGTCCTCATTCGACCAAGACGATGAAGATCCGCATCTGCGTACGGGCCTTTCCTCACGACGCCATGTCCGTGTCCTTTGCTGACCTTTTGTCCCCCGTAGAGGTGATATTCCGCAAGTCGGACGTGCGCAAGAGAGGGCTGACACGGGGCTGGGAGCTGATGCTGTCGCACTCGTTCAGGACAGGAATCACGACGGGCTACGCCAAGGGCACCGCGTCGTCTGACATGGTGGAGAGCATGAAGCACCTCAAGGCCTGCGCCAACCAGATAATGCACCCGCTGCTGCTGCCCATCATCATCCTCAGCCACGACCTGTCGTCGTCCAACGACCAGAAGCAGCGCGACGCGCGCGAGTGGCTGCGCCTGCTTGAGCACGCCGTCAGCATGCGCAACGAGGTGCTCGAGGAGGAGAGCCGCTACATCAAGGAGTCCATGGTCGACCTCGACCAGATCAACCGCGACCTCGTCGAGTGCCACTCGCAGGTGCTGTGGAAGCGGCCCCAGGCCTACCAGGAGATCATCTCCAGCATCGGCCGCACCATGGACGAGTTCTGGGCCCTTGCTAAGGACGACGACGCCTACGGCGGCAAGGGCGGCGAGGTCGACAAGCTGCACCGCAGCATGCTCGCCCGCCTCGAGTTCTACAGGGCCAAGCTAAAGGGCATCGAGAACTATGCCCACATTACGCTGAAGCGGCTTACCATCCAGCGGGCTGCGGTATGTTCCTCCCCACGTGTTATTGGTTTATTCTTCCTTCTCTTCTTCTTCTTCTTCTTCCTCCTCGATGCTTCTTGATATTCATCCCCAACACCGCGTGCTATCACGAGCCAGCGCAGCCGATACTGACCACGCAAGCAGCTGTACAACATCATCGCGCAAAAGGAATCCAAGCTGGGCCTGCAGATGGCCGGAGAGCAGCGGCGGCTAGCGCACGCGTCGAAGCGCGACAGCACGTCGATGAAGACGCTCTCGCTGCTCGGCGCCATCTTCCTGCCCGCCACGTACCTGGCGTCCGTGTTCAGCATGACCTTCTTCAACTTCCAGAACGGCCTCGTCGGGCCCGACCCCAGCCCGCAGACGCTCACCACGGACACGGGCGGCACCCAACCCGTCGTGGCCCCACAGCTGTGGATCTACTTCGTCATCACCATCCCGCTGACGCTCGCCATCGTGCTCACCTGGCGCTGGTGGGACCGCCGCCGCGAGGCCCGCTACGCCCTCGAGGACGCCGACATCGAGCTCGGCATCGAGAAGATGGAGGCCCAGATCATGGCCACCATGCGCAAGCGCACCCTCAGCAAGGTGCGCACGTGGGATGCCGGCAAGTGAACGAGGCTTTTACGAGTGCACGTTTATTCAAAAAGAGAACAGTATTATTGGGGAGCGAATAAGAAGAATATATCTCGAGACAAAAAAGGGGGTGAGGGGAGCAGGCGCTTTTTTTTTCTTGTTCTTCTTATCATCATCCCTCCTAGCAAGCGACAGGCGCCAACAGCTGGCGTTGTGACGACGTATCCTTTAATTTTTTACTGCTTCTCTTCTTTCTCGAATTTTCCTTCCGAGGCTGGTCTGGTCTGGTCTGGTTTTCATCTGGTTTGGTTCGGCTTGGTTTGGCTTGGCTTGGCTTCTGCACATATACACGCAACGCACACACACGCAACAAACAAACAAACAAACAAACATACATACAAACTCGGGACAGACAAGACATGATCGAAACGACACTTACGACTATTTTTCTTCTTCTTCGTCTTTTCATTTTTTTTTTTTTCACGGCACGCCTTTTGGTTTTGGTTGCGCTGCGGCTATATACCTGGTACCTACCTTTTTATGTAGATTTTGGCGAGTTTAGCTTAGCTTGCTTGCTTTGTTTGCCATGTTTCTCTTGATACCTCTACCTACATATTTATATTATATATATAATTCGCGAACACGGTGCTGCACGCTCCGGGAAAGTGTAAGTGAAGGCAGGTACGCCTGATCAAGGTGGTCACAATGAATAGGACGAGCAATGACTGGTATTGGTAAGAGACTTCAACCTGGCCCTCTCAAAGGAAGGGGGCGAGGGCCACTGCTTATATACATGACAGAGTGCAGGGCTAGCGGGCGAGAGGTCATAACAAAGGAGTGAGGTCTTGGCCCGCTCGGTATGCGTGTGAGTTGGTCGTGTGTGTGGGTTCGGGCTCTTTCCTTACAGAAAGGCGCCCTCCCCCACCTCTCCTTATTTTTAGCGCGGCGCTTCCTTAACCTACGACCAATCCTTCCGCCCAAATATAAAGGCGAATCTCTCCCCCCGGCGCTCTTTCTTATATTCTTAACCTCATATCCTTCTTCTTATATTCTTCGTAATTATACTCGCATATAATAACGCGGCGGCTAAACTTGATCCTTCATTTCGGCCGTCTCTATCCGTCCTCGTTCGCCCTCATACACCCTTGCTATATCGATCGCGTCGTCGTTGTCGTAGCTTAGACGCTAGGCCTCAACTGGGACTAGTGTCGCGGCCCCACTTCAGAACCTGCAGCAGCCTCACCAGTCAGCCCCATCAGCATGGGCACGGATGTGGGCGAGGGCGACGACGAAGCCGCGATCGGCGAGGGACAGCAGCTGGATGTCGAACTAGGCTTCGAGGACATACCCGTACGAGCCATAACCGTGCAAGCAGCAGGGTGTAGAGCCGTACCGTCGGTGCTCTCGAGTATCACGAGGCATGGGCTTTCTATGCTACTTGAAATTTTAGGGCTCAGTCATTCTGTCTCGAAATCACCAGCACTAAATGATACCGTCATCATTGCAATCGATTTTGAGGGTATTAATACCATCAAAAGCGGGTTTACCCAGAAGGAGAATAGTCAAGTTGGATTTGCGATTCTCGATACCAAGGAGCTTCGCCAGGTCCCACCAGAAAAGCTTATTACAAGCCTAAACTTTGCTACGGGATCGCCATCATACGTTTCAAAAGCATCCAATAAATTTCTCTTTGGAGAGACAATCACGATTCAACCATCGTCCATGGTACAAACCATTCAATCACACATTCCTCAAGATCGCAGCGTAGTACTTGTGGGCCACGGTATCCTGAACGAGCTCCAGGCTTTACAGGCTTTAGGATTCGAGTTTGAACGGCTACCTTCTGGGATTCTGGATACGTCGCGCATTGCTAATGAAGGGTTTCAATTCTGGGGCGGCTCTCTCAGCGACCTGCTAGGTGTGTTAGGGTGTCCTTTCAACAGACTGCACGTCGCTGGAAACGATGCCAACTTCCCTTCAAGGGCTCTTCTCCTTTTAGCAGCGAAGTGGTGCATCAGTCAACAACAAGATGACGAGGTATTGGATATCTTGCGGGATATCTCAACCTGCCCGATTCCTCCTTATGTCGACCCTGAAATTAAAGCGGCAGAAAGGCGGGAAAAGAGGCTGGTAAGGAGTCGGAAGCACCAGTCAAAGCTATGGAGTAAGGAGAAGCAGGACCAAATCCGTGCTGCTCGAGAAACGAGGCAGCGCGAACATGTTTTGGCCCCGAGGAGCCTCGAGGCGGGCGCCATGATGGTAGCACAAGAAGCACACGGTTCTCACTCCATCCCCTCGACAGCGACGACGCCCGGCCCAACCTCCACAGGCCATCATCCCCTGATGCGAGTCGCAATACACCGGGATGACCCGTCGTTCTCACGCCCCTCAGGGTGACCGCTTGCGCTACGAAGAGGCGGTGTTGGTGGCAGCGCGCATCAAAGTATACAGCAGGCGCCGGCGACCTTCCGCACCACCCAGCCATCGCCCGTTCAATTCCCCTCCTCCGGCTGTGGAATGGCATCCTTCGTTCATGGTCTGCACGTCCTCGCCGAGACGCACTCAGTGCTGCGTGTGCGGTTCCGGCACGATGGCTCAGCTCGAGGAAGCGGTGCAACTGGTGGCGGATCGGAACGACGCATGTATGGGTGCGCTGGTGGTGCAAGAGTGGTCACCGTTCCCGAGGGTGGGATTCGAATGCCACCTCTCTCAATCGACGACGTGACGGAATTTGGAGGCAAGCACCAGGAAGCTCTGGCTAGAGCTGTACAACCGCGGCGCTAAGAAAACTTCAGTGTTCAAACTCACCACGGAGCAGCGAAACAGTTCCCACATCTGTTGGTCCGGATCTGGTGCGGTTACGGAAGCAAATCCGCGTGCAACACCGCACGCCGGTCATGAGCCGCGCGGAAGGTAACTGGAATTGTCGGGTATACGGAAGTCGTGGTCACCGCCTGCAACGACGACGTGTCAGCACACTCGTCATTGTTGCCATTCTCAACACCGCCGGCGCGGAAGAAAAGACAAACAAGAGTGGGATCAGCGCGATGAGAGCGTCGGGGTAAGTTACCTCCGCCCTCAACAATCACGCGTCCTCCAGGCCACCCAAACGTGGATTCCTGGGCGAGCCGGACGGAGAGGTGCTGTATTAACGCGGCAGGATAACGAACTATTGAGAGGTCGTATGCGGTAAGGAACTCGAGAGAGCTTTGATACCGCACGACTTTCGGCTAACCCGTAGCTCCCGCAGTTTTTTTCCATCGAAGCCAAGCCAACCGACCACCGCCACAAGGGCACTGGGACTATCATCTGCCAGCTCAACAGCGTTCTACAGCCCTCTACCTTCCGCGCGTCGTCTCAGATGACGACTACGGCCCTCGTCCGCTTGCCCCAGAACGAGACCCGGTTTTTACAAGTTTTGGTCCCGAAGAACCGCGAGGCGGGCGCCGGGTAGTGCGGCACGCCGGGGTGACTATTAACACCAAGCACGCCTTCAAACTTGCCAAAGCCGCCGGCTCCAAAGTCAATGCCACTTTCGCGCTAGCTCCCTGATCCTCAAGAAGTACAGCGCAGCTACCAAAGACGAGGCGATACTTGACGAGATATTATCCTAATGGTTAGAGTACAACTCCTTCCCCCTCTTCTCCTCACCATACGCTATATGGAACTCTGCCTCTCCGCGCCAGCCTCAACCGTTCTCCCTTGCCCTGCGTTACCCTCCAGGAAACATGGCGCAAACATTACGGGGAGGAGGAAGCGACCCCGGACGAGGGCCCGCTGGAAGAGAACCCCTCCAACTCGGCATCCCTCGCGAGCCACAAGGCGGAGCAGCCCCGCGGCGGATGGTGAGGTTTGACCGGGCGGAGCGCTAGGGTTCGGAGCAACGTCGTTGCCCCCCCCGTACGTGCATCGACGTCGCCCCAGGGAGCAAGTAGTGAGGTTTCGGCGGTGGTGTCCGGTTCTTGACCACAATCCATCTCGTCGGGTGGGGGCCGTGCCGAGTCTTCGGCCACTCTAGCTGTTCTACTAGCAGCCTCGACACACTGAACGCTATCGAGTGGGATTGCCGAGCCCCTCTGTCGCATCCGCCATCCCATCCATTGTTCCCGCCTCGGTTCACGAGACCGCTCCGTCATCGTCCCGTAGCCGGAGGAATTGAGGTTGCCGTGCCCAGCTTCGCATCGCCGCGTAGTGGCCAAGCCGTCTCTATATACTGCCCCTCCGCCCTCCCTTCAATCCGCTTTTCCGGCCCCGCGCTGCCCCGGCATACCACGACTCGACGAATCCACTGCGTTTGATAAACGGACACTCTCTACCCAATGCGTGACGCGACAGCCGACTAAACACTGCACGAGACTCCAAGCCACGACCACCCCGAGTGAACCGGCGATCGCGGGGCTGGTACAAGTAGGTACCGCGACTACGACCGATCGGTCATGATCCGCTCGAGGACGACGTGAAGCGGCCTAGATATGCTTGTCATGGTTAGATCCTCCTCTTCTCTCTACTACAATGACTGACTACCTGATTCAACAGCCAATCACTCGATTCGTGCGCTGTATGGAACTCTACTTTAGAGGCGGACTTAGTGAGATAGTGTAGGAGTTCGAGGGGGGAGGTTGAAGATATGCCATCGCTAAAGTTAGTACTATAACCTACGCCAGATTGTTGACGGGCGATGGGTCGAACTCGTGATAGTCTTCGCCTAGGCCCGGTGACCTTGACGGCGCGCAACACCACCCCCGTACTCTGGCTTTGGCACGCCATGGCCTGCATGACGTTGATGCTGTCAGGACACGTTGTTGCCAACCCGGGATATGGCTCCCGGAGCCGGCGCCCCGAGGCGCGGCGGCTTGGCCACCACGGGGCGATACGAAGCCGGGCAGAACATCATCCCATGATTGAGCGCACAATTCCCGTCCATCGATCCTAAAGAGCCGCGAGGGGTACTGTGATGGCTGGACGGAGCGCCGTTGAGATTGTTGCCCTCAAACACCCAAAGTCGTTGAGCCAAGAACGCCCGCCCGGCGACCGCTACGCCATCCGAGGCAGGCGCCGTGATGGCAGCACGGCGTGACCATACACCCCGTCCACACGTCGGCATCGGACCCGCTATCACCTCACCCGGGGAGAGTGAAACAAAGACAGCTACAGCACCCACCTAATCACTTGCCGTCAAACCGCAAGGAAGGCGCCTCAAGCCTCGAAAATGGCTGTGTGTACAACCGTCTCGATCCTTGGTAAAGGTGTAGAACGGCAGCGGTGGCAGCAGGACGTCGAGGATGAGGCCGATCCCCTTCGCAGTATGGTGAGCACACTGGAGCCTCGATATTTCCAACTGACGAGGGTCATCCCGGCACGCCGCGACTCGACGAATCCACCGCGTTCGACGACAGTCGAGGGGGGGTTCTTACGCCGCCGAAGGTGACCCAGTTCCCTGGTCTGCCGACATTGCCTAAGCCTGTCTTTGCCATCTAGTTCTCGGTGGCTTTTGACGATGCTTGGTAATGGGCTTGGGTACGCGGGATGGTGCGCTGGTGCAGATTTTGCCTCGTCTTTTCGGCCCTGAAACCGATACTATCCCTACTTGAGTTCCGCTCGTTCTTCTAGTATAGTAATCTCCGGGTCTAACGGTAAGTTCCTCTATACCTCGGCGGGGACTATATCTCTTATAGTACGGGGATCTCGGGTTAGGTTAACGTATACGAATAATCGAAATAACTTGTTTTCTATCTCCTCTACGAAGGTATTTTAAAGGTCGAACTTGGCGATCTTATTCAAATATACGCTCTAGAAAATAAAGAACTTGGGGTTATATATTACAAACTACACTACTCGACTATACGAGTCAATGTCTATAAGTGCATAAGCACGAAGGTTGGTTGATGGGTAATTATGAAGAATGAACAGAGGGCAAGCTCCTATCGCACGGGTGACACAGTCAAATTGGATTGCTACTCAAAGTGTATGAGTACAGAGAATGTGTATTGCTTGCTTGAAGGACCAAATCGCTCAGTTCACCCATTCACTTAGGCACTCACTCAGTCCTTGTATTTCCCACATTTCAAACTTCAAACATATGCAATTGGAATCTAGATTGAAATTTTATAGTCGTGAGGTCTGGAGATATCTAGATGAAGGAATAGGACAGAGTTTGTGGTTATTTTTACATATATACATACTAGTTGTACAATCCATCACCGATTTCCTCCTTGTCTTCCCCTCCATCCATATCTACGTAGGTATAGTATACACGGGTAAAACAACGCTAGGGGACCATGTCGGCTAGCAACCAGCTACACGAGCGCCTGCCCCATAAACATGCTGCGCTTAACCTCGGCGACCACGTCCCGGCGGTCGTCGCGGCCGACGAGTACGAGGCCGCGGCCGCGGCGGCCCATGCGGCCGGCCCTGCCCAGCCGGTGGACAAAGTCGATGGAGGTGTGGGGCACGTCGTAGAGGATGACATGGCGGACGGCGACGGTGTCGAGGCCGCGCGAGGCCAGGTCAGTGGCGACGATGACCTTTGTGTTGGGCAGGTGGCGGCGGCCGGCGGCGGCGGTGGCGGTGGCGGTGGCGGCGGTGGCGGCGTCGATGAGCAGCGGCTCGCTCGACGTGAACGAGGCTATCATCTCGGACTGGCGCAGCTCGGGGGTGTCGCGGTGCAGGGCCACGGCGTCGACACCCTTGGACACGAGGTACTCGGCCACCTCCTGCGTCGTCTCGCGCTCGTTGACAAAGACGATGATGCGCTTGACGTCGATGACGCCCTTGACGGGCCCTTCGTGCTGGGCGGCCTCCTTGCCGATGGACCAAATGGCGTCGGCACAGGCCAGGTTCTTGTTGTTGCGGTACGGGTCCTTGGACACGTCGATGACCCCCAGCTGGACGCGCCGCGGGATGGCGTGCAGGTTGGGCGTCGTGATGCGCTCGACGTCGGGGAACTTGGACTCGAGATACGTGTCGAGCCGCTTGGGGATGGTGGCCGAGCACAGCACAAACTGCTTGAGCGTCGGCATGCAGCGGTCGATGATGGACGTTGTCTCGGGCGAGAAGCTGCGGTCCAGCAGCGAGTCGGCCTCGTCGATGACGAGGTGGCTCACGCGGGAGAGGACATAGGGGTCCGAGTTGGCGATGGACGCCAGCAGGTGCGGCGTCGCCACCACGAGGTCGATTCCCGTCGGGCTGTACAGATTCCGCTGGATCTTGAGCGTGTTGTGGCTGGCCGACAGCGGGCGGGCCTTGAACTTGGCTAAATGGGAGATGTCTTTGGCTACGGCAACGACCTGGTCGACGAGCTCGGCGGTGGGCACCAGGACGACGGCGCGGGGCCGGGCCATGTTGGGGTGCGGCTCGAACTTGTCGATCCACTCGGACATGGGGCGGTCGCCGCGAAGAACCTTCTCGGCCTCGAGGCGCTTGTTGTAGGAAGCGAGGGTGGTGTCGTCGGCTTCGGCAAGCTTCAGCGCGTTGGCGATGGGAAGCAGATAGGCAAGCGTCTTGCCGGACCCAGTCTCGGCGGCCAGCAGAACCTCTTTCCTGTCGGGGACGACCCGCGGGCGGCGCCTCTTCGGGTCCATGTGCTGGCCAAGGAGTGCAGGGATGGTGAGTCTCTGGATGGGCGTGGGCTTGATGTCAACCATGCCCTTCAGGACCGAGGATGCAATGGCATCCTTGATGGAGGGCAAGAGGTCGAAGAGACCGAACGAGTCGACGGCCTGGATGCGTTCTTTGACGCTGGCGCGCTGGCCGTAGCTGACCGACGTGAGACTGCGCTGCATGTTGAGGGCCTTGAAGCCGCGCCTGTCCCACCTGCCTCTTTTCTTGCCCTTGCCGTTTCCTTGATCGTCTTCATTGCTCAGGGGGTCTCGGGTCACGGCGCCGGGGAGCAGGGCCCTTCGGCGAGTGTCGATGTTGGCGACGGTGCGGTTCGTTCCGGCCCAGGGGCCGTCGGGGCCACGGGGCTTGGCCTTTTTGGCAATGGCGCCATCGGCGGTGCGTCTCGGCGACGACCGCGCAACGTCAGCACGGTCGGACAGGACCATTCGCGCCGGGGCTGGTCGTCGTTCTAGTCGCGTAGCGAATGTTCTCGAAGCCGAGCCAGGGGCCGTCGACATCAGCGGCCTGCCTGCCTCCACAGCCCTTGGCCTGCCTGTTGCGCCCGCCGACGCGCAAAGCAGGCATACCGAATCCCGCGCTGTCCTCCACATGATCCGATCACCGATGTAGGGGGTTGGTGGTGGTGGTGGTGGTGTTGCAATTTGTGGCAAAGCTTGCCATTGTCAACTTTTACCTCTAAGCGTACCTAGCTTGCCTGCTGGTCTCCAAAAATTCGGCCTCTCCAAGTCTTCTGCCGCTCTTCACCACTTGAGACCCCTGCACCAGCCCGAGCCGGCAGGCAACTCAATTCTCCACATTTCTTCCATTTCCTCCAGCCCCCAACCCCAACCCTGGCGAAGCAAGCGAAACCCCGCATAAAAAAAATTAGCTCCTGATTCGCGCTAAGGGAAAGCTACAGTTAGTTTACAAACCAGTCCCCCCGTTTCGGATAATTGTGAGACATAATCTCCATTACCGACACGTTTTCTCCAACAAGCGAAGATCATTTCGGATCAAGCAGTTCGCTAGCGGCAAGCGGCCTTGTGGCGCAACGGTAGCGCGTTCGACTCCAGTGAGGACATCGAAAGGTTATCCGTTCAAATCGGGTCAGGGTCATTCATACTTTTTGGTCTCTTCACGCTCTGCGAATAGCCCACTCTTATTTTTACTATTTTTGTATACTTACTACTTTAATTAATACCACTCCTTATTATTTAAATTTTTATTTATTGTAAAGTAGAATATGTAGCTAACATGGAAGACTTCCTCATCGCTTCCTATTGAACCTCGGCACTTTTCATTGTTTCTCGGGGGTTTTTACTCTACGTGTTTGAGTCTTTTCATCTGTTCTACCTTCACACTGTCTATAGTTGCAATATACTCCTCCTCGCAACTTTAATTGCCGTCCGGACCTCGAAACATTTATACAGCGACAAAGAGTTACCGTGTAATTTCGGCACGCAATAAAAGTTGTGGCAGCATCGCAGAACTCTCTTCGTAGTCAAAGTAGTAGAATTAGGAAGAGAGAGCTTTTTATTAATTAGGCCGCTACCAACTACCTACTAGGCATCACCGGCCGGCGCTGCTAGGCTAGGTGAGAAGGAGACAATGAATGTGTGTGTTCCGTCATCGAGACCATCATACCTGCCTGTCATGCCCGTATTCATACAATCTCGTGTTAATGATCCCACCCGGAACACCCGTTCACCCTATATCCACAGCAACTGAACGGACCGTCATCGCAATCTCCCTCGCATACTCTCGCCTGCCCCCTCAGCACCCACAGTAAACAAGCCTTGGAAAACAGACTGCACGCTCTCAACACCGCCGTTTACTTTGTTGTCTGACTGTGCCCATCCCTAGCTGCCAATTTCCACCACCCAAACCCCATTACAACCGTGGCCGTGCCTGCGGTTAGCAGCCTAAGACGAGAGTCAACCGATGAATCGCAGTGCGCCGGTGCTAGCCTTACGTCTTCCGTCTGCCGCCGCACAGTCTGCCGAGAAACCCTCCGATCCAGTCCACAAAGAGCAGTCTGAAGAAGGCCCTGAACCAGCCACCTCCTCGGTCCGTGTGTATGCTGGTTGAGTGGGTAGAAACAGGCGTTTCGGGCCGCTCACCCGACGCTGCCCTCTTCCTCTTCCTCAGCTGACCCGAGTCGCCGGCGTCTGCCGTCTCAGCCGTTGCTTCGTTATATGTCTCGCCCCCAGTGCCGTTTGCGTGTTCGATGTGGCCATCCTCGTCCGAGTGGTGGCTGTCAGCGTCGCCGTCTGCATCCTTCACATGCTCAATCACGATGCGCGGGCTTTGCGTTCGGGGCCTCTCCGACTCTGTCGGTATCGGTTTACCCGAAGCTGGGCCCGCCACGGCTTTGCCATTGCTCGTCTGCGGCTTTGCCGAGTCCGAGACCCCTGGAGCCGGTTCAGATTGACTTTTCAAGGTAGCTTGCTGTGGCAGCGCCGCCATCCAATCGGGAGCCAGAAGGTCCCCATTTTGCCCCTTGGGCGATCCATTGCCAGTTTTCAGGTCAATGCCTTCGTCCTCGTCACTACCGGGTGACACCACATAATAGGACTGGGACAGCTTTGGGGGATCAGAGGAGAGCATCGCCGGAGATGATCGACTTTGGTCGCTGCCGCTAGGTTCTTCACCCTCTGAGATAGACTGAAGCGACAATGCTGACGAATGAGCCGAACTGATGGAGCCACGAGGCGACCTGGGAACTGCCAGGCGCCTTTGTGCCCGGGGAAAGAGGGGACTGACAACTATAGGACTCGCAGCGATTGGCGAAGACAGGAAATGGTCGCCGCCCAGGATGTCCTCCGCGCCCGGCCGCAATGAAGTGACAATAGGAGACGGAGGGACAGCTTCAAATGCCGGTTGGTCCTCTGAAAGGCCCGTTTCTATCTTCCGAACCGTGTCGATGATCTCCTCCCGATTCGACGGGAAACGCTCCAGTGTTGGGTCATTGACATCAATATTGTCGAGATCCAAGTCCTCTTCTTCCTTGGGAGACTTCCCTTCGTGTTGGCGGGCCACCTCGGCTTCATCTGCCCTGGGCCCCTCATCGTCATCATACAAACCAGCATACTCGTAGGGAAAGAGGGGTGGCATATGATCGTGTTCGTAGTCCTCATCTTTATACCCAACTTGATGCTCTTCATGGTGGTCTGGAATGCCGAAGTTGTCCGGACGCACTTCCAACTCGAATGCAGCCTTCGAGGTATTCAGCCAGTTGCACTTTTGGTTCAGACGGGTGAGTCTTACCTCTTCGTTGTCCAGCGCCTTTGCCGTATCTGCCACCTCTGCAGCAGTGTTTCCAGTTTCAGCAATAGGGGTAGCTGAGCTGGGGCGAGCTTCGGTTTTCTCCGCATCCTCGTCCGGCTTTTCGGGTTCTGCTTGCTCTTCCTTGTCAAGAAGGGCTGCAGACTCCCCGACCTCTGCTGCGATACCTGCACTTTCCGCAAAAGGCGTCGCTGAACGTGAGCCGGGTTCGAGTATTTTAGCGGCCTCGGAAGGCGCTCGAGGCTGTGGCTCCTCCTCTCTATCCAGAAGAGCGGCCGAATCGCCTACCTCCGCTGCGATATTCGCGCTTTCCGTAAAAGGGGTATTTGCACGCGGGCTGTCTTTAGAGATTGTCGCCTTTTCAAGTTTCACTTCCCTATCTAAAAGGGCCGCCGACTCGCCTACCTCTGCTGCAATATTGGCGCTTTCCGTAAAAGGGGTGTCTGAACGCGAGCTTGTTTCTGGTTTTTCTTCCTTATCCAGAAGGGCTGCTGACTCCCCTACCTCTGCTGCAACATTGGCGCTTTCCGTAAAGGGGGTGTTGGAACGTGGGCTGTCTTTAGGAATTGGTGCCTTTTCTGGTTTCACTTCACTGTCTGGAAGGGCGGCCGGCTCGCCAACCTCTGCTGCAATATTCGCACTTTCTGTGAAAGGGGTCGCTGAGCGTGGGCGAGCTTGTTTCTCTGTCTTTGCTTTCGGCTTCTCCTCTCTATCAAGGAGGGCGGCGGGCTCTCCCACCTCGGCAGCAACCTTTGCGCTATCTGTAAAAGGAGTAGTTGAGCGTGGATGAGCCTCAACCCTCTCAGACTTATTCTTTAGCTTTGGGGTCTCGGGTTCCTCCGGCACAGGAGAAACTGATGATCCAACCAATTTTGCAGCAACGTCTGCATAGTTTCGTGTAAGGTGGGAGGGACGGGCATCGGAAGAGGGTGAAAGGACTTTGCTTGAGCTTTCGGCCGGCTGGGGTAGACGATCCTCAGTTTTCGGCGACTCGGTCTCTGCCTTCGAGAGCGTCGTATCGTGGACGGAATTCGTATGTTTCCCAGAAATGTTTGCCGTGTCCAGTCCCACACTTCCTGTAGCGGCAGCCTTGTCGGACAACCTGCACCGGTCAGCATCATGAGCCACGACATGCCCGTGGCCGCGGGCTGGCCAGTTTGCTTACCCCTTATGGGAATGCATCTCCATCTCATTATTCTGGTTTCCAGAGCTATCTCGCACCGTATGACTGCGTTCATCAACGGCCCACCAGTCTCCGGTACCGACGCGGAACTTGTACTGGATCTTCGAACCTGGTTTGGCAAAGACTTCCTTCATGAAAACATGGTGCCCTTCCGCGTTGGTGGTGTACTCCATCTCTTCTGGCTGCCATGGTGGATCGGAGTAAGTCCCTGCTACAAAAATCGGCGGCCGAGTGTTGGGTCTCTGGTACGTTATGAAAGCTGGGATGACGTCGGTTGATGCCATGATGGGCCGTTGGTCGGTTAGCCAGTCAGTCAGTCTCGATAGTTGAGATCACGAGACCGTTGACACATTAAGATCGATGACAGTATTCCTGCTGTGGGCTGATACTGGAACGCCGCGCGTAGGAAAAGGGGAGGGGGAAAAAAAGAAAGGAAAAAAAAGAAAGGAAAAAAAAGAGGCACCTGGAAATCTGCTGTAGGTGGATGGCGTGAGACTGTTGGGCGTCCTACTGCGGCACAAGATTCCCAAGCTACCCACGGTGGACTAGGAGCTCAACGTTCTCAGAGCTGGTTAAATACTAGGATGTCAGCGACGGCCAAGACATGTGCCGCAACTAGGTTGTTCTGCAAAAAGTTGAGGCGAAAAAGTCTGCGCTTCAGGTATCACATAATTCGATGTTCGAACAACAAGGCTGGAGTTCGAGTGCGGGGCACACATATCACGGCAGGAACAGAGAACAGAGAAGGGATGACGAGGACAAGACTCACGGCTGTCCATCGGAATTGGAGACGGCTAGGTGTTGCAATGGTCAATGGAGATGAGCTTGTTAGATGACGGCCCTCCTGTGGTTGTATAGGGCGATTCGCCAAAAAGGAGAAAGTGATGACATGCAGAGGAGCAGTTGAAGGCCACGCCAGCAAATGGGACGCATTGGTAAAAAGGAAGCGAGGCGGGGGGGAGTCGGGTGTGTGGAATCTTTCGATTGATGACCTGTATTCAGTTGGAAACCCACCTACCAACCTTGGCCACTACCCCCCTTTCGAGTTCCCGCCCACGTATGTACAGTAACTTGTACGACTTGGCTGGTGACTGCTAGAGTGGTAAGGTAGGGAAGGTATTGCCGCAGGTGGCCAACTGGATTGGATGGGATGTGGCTTGCGACTTGAAACAGGTTGAAAGAGACGAGAGCTTGACAGTGCGAAGTTTCATTGGCTCTTCCTTCCACATTGATCCTTCTCCCGTCAGCTCTCTCGTAAGCTCTCTCTTTCCAGCTCGTCGAGTCGCAAATCATCTCGTGGTTATGCTCCGGGGCCCCTTTCCGATTGTGAGAGATCATGTGCTTGGCGAGCGCAGTCTATGATACAGCAATGAGGTATGCCAACCGCAGGAGGCCCAGCTGTTAAGCCGCGTGGCTCTGAATTCCACGCCCAGTTTAACCATGACCTGAGAGCTCTAAGGCTTGAAAATGGAACAAGTGCGCTGAATGGAGTGCTTGCGGCATGGGTGTGCACGGGCGTTGGTAGCGGCGATCGCAACGAGCCCCGCATCGTTTAGCGCACGTTAGCGCCGTTGGGGCCCTGTAAGGTTGGCGTCATCGACGGAACCCAGGGCGGTCTTATTCGGCACAAAGTATTCTGCCCGCAATGCCCGCCCTTAGAGCCCAATCCCTGAAAGTTTGTTAGCATGGTACTTGGGAAGGAAAAGTAAATGATAACAAATGAACCGGCCAGGAAGGGTCTTTAAGAGGTATTTTTAGAGACGGTATAGGCCCCTAGGATTCTAAAATATGGACTTAAGTAGTTATTACCTCCCTCAGCGAAAAACCTTTACGCCGAGTCGTAAGATACCAAGGTCATTCGGATCTTGGAAAGTATAACGCTAACGAACATTTAGGAATTGGATTTACTACCCTAGGCTCATCCATATGTCAACTGAACATATCTCCACTTGGCTGGGTTCTCTCTGTTAAATTGTGGACTCGAGGATGCCCGCCTTCGCTCCCATGTACAGTAGCGAAGCACTTTGCTCGAGGAGACACCCTTGAACAATAAGCTTTTGTTGCGGAGTTCGCGCCCGCTGCTTAATCCATCCTGTCAACTGCTGCGGCTGCGTTATCGCGAACCGAGGCCAGACTTCCATCAGGCTTCAATTGGGTCACGATCGGCGACTTCATGCGATTTTTACCCCTCTAACCGCCGCGTCGCTGTCGCTGCAAACACACCCAAACACGTCGCAATCTCCACGTCGGCCACACTGCCACGTACTTCTAACCCTTTCACCATGTCGCTACCCCCAGACACTATCCAAGTCAAGCGGAAGCGCGGCGAGGACGATGAGCCAGTTGACTTCCTTAGTATGTACCCCCAAAGCCCCGCCTGCCACCTTCCCGTGCCATATTTTACTTTACTGACGCCCGTGACTCAAGGGGTCGAGGCAAACAAGCGTCATCGAGGAGTTTCGGCGGGCGACAGCACTTGGGTATACCAGCGCAAGCAGACAGTCGTGGAGCGAGCCGATGTAGCCCAACCTGCCATCCCAACAATCAAGCCGACCCAAGAAGGAGACGAGGATCGTCCTATCAAATCCTTGCGACGCGAAAGAGATGCCCACAAGGGCTCCAGCGAAAGCTCCGGGAATCTGGGGGTGCTTAGCACGGCGCTAAATGACCAAATCCGCCGCTTCCACTTGTTACGGGCCAGCTCGACGCTGCCAGCAAATGGCATCTCCAAGAAGCGCAGTGCCACCGCCGCTGTGTTCGTCGAGCGGGAAGCCAAGAAGCAGAAGGATGAGAAGCATATGACTACAGAGGTTGTTGTCTCCCACCACCAGGCTCCCAAGCAAGAAGAGCCAAGTGACGAGGCCCACGACGAGGTTTTAGTCGCCCAGCCGCGGCAGACCCCTGCCAAGGGCCAACAGACGAGTAGCGTCAGTTATAAACGTCCTGGGAAGCATGCGCGAACCAATGTGTTGGCGGGTGCTGCAAAACCAAGCCTCCCACCGTCTCTACTTAACCGTGAGGGCACCGACATGGACCGGCTCGCTCGCGAAATGGATGCCTACACAATCAGCCAGATTAACAGAACTCTTAGTAGCATGGATCAAAGCAGTGTCTCGTCCGCCCTCAGCCCTAGTCCGGCGAGGAAGTCCAAGTTCCGGCCCAAGGCTCCCGCGCTCCGCTATGCCGAGCGGCATCCGGAGCAGGCGGCCAAGATCGAAGAGGCGAAGGCCGCGGAGCAGCAGATATCAGATGCCATGCATGTCGATGCTGATTCTGGCGCGGCCGACGACAACGACTACGTGACGGAGACGTACGAGCGCGTCCCCGCTAGCCGCCTCAAAGGCAAGACAGTCCCGCCCCACCGGGTCGGCCTACTTGTGTTCGATACGGAGCCTGATAGGAACGACTTCTTTTTCGGAAATGAGGGAGACAGCGACGACGAGTTCCTCGAGGACGATGAGGACGAGAATGGTATGTCTGAGTTTCTCCTCCTCTTCCCTCCCCCAGCTCTACCCTTGTAAGCCAATACTAATACCTGCAACAGCCGAGAACTACTACACGACCGAGTATCCCGACGAGGATCTCGATGGCGACGACCAGTTTGGACGCAGCCCGTATAAGTTTGTCAACCGGAACGCGTCGGATGTGGAGGAGTACGACGTGAACGACTTTGACGACGAAAGGTTTTGGGACAAGCGCGGTGATGCATGAGGGCCCGAAGGACTACCATTTTGAGGCCGTGTTTTGGGGGCTGTGTCGTATGGATTTGATTGGAGGATGACTTGCGTTGATTACCTTTTTGTTTTCTGTTGTATACCATGTCTGTCTGCCCTTGTCTTTGATAGCTGAAGCGAGGACACGGCATATGTTCAAGTCTTGTCGAGTACCCTGTAACGCCTACCTGTACGGTTCGATTGCATGGTCAACCCCATGATATTACAGCAGCGATCAGCAGATCAAACAGCAATCGCCAAACTTATTGCTAAACAAACATTCGTCGTTGGCTCCGTGGTGACGGCAACTGTCGGTCATCAATCTAGTTGGTTCCTTTTCTCATAGCAGCCTGGTCATGGCGTTCGTGACCTCCGTTCCCTTTTATTCCCTCCACGATGACTTCGCGGCTTCCTTTTCAGCATTCCGAAATTGCAGACCCCTGATACCCGTACAAAAAAAGAAATAAAAAGGAGAAGAAAACAGGAAACTGATTTGGTTTGGTTTTATTCTCTGAAACAAACACATCTCAGCACCAAAAGCACCCCAAACTAAACGTACGCACACAGCTCCTCACCCCTTTTTATATTGTTCTGAGAACAGAGACCACACCGATTTTCTTCCCCTTTCCTCTTTTCTTTTTTCTCCGCAACACAAAAAAAAACTTCATAAATATGGCCATAAGGTGGTATCCGTTATCGGGGCACATGTTCGTTACTGCCTCCGGTGCTTTTTTCCCTTTTGCTAGCCTAAAAGACGAGGAATAGGAAAAATAGAGTGACACAAGGGATATAAGACGTGAGAAAAGAAAAAGCTAAGCAAGGCAGGGAGCAAAAATAGAAAACGAGAAAACGGGAAAAAAAAGGCAAGCGCACGCTAGAACATGCTAATCTAAGCCCATAACATCATCTTCGTTCATTGACATCAGAACAAAGGAAAAGGGAACGGACCAGGAGATGGGACATTATGCTCCTCTGCTGGTTGTTGGGAGGGAGGACGGACGAAACTGGTGTCGAAACCTAAAACGCAAGAACAGCCGGTGTTGAGAAGCAGAGGGAGAAAGCCGAGAAGACCCGTGGTTATATATCCCCTTTCTTCGAGTTCAGCTGCTTTTCGAACCATTCAAAGTACTGCTTACGTTGCTCCGCCAAGGCCGCCGCTGGAAAAAAAAATAACATCACGAGATCAGCAACCATTGCTCAGTCACGCCACTGATGAAAAGGTGGCCAGAGAGACGAAGGAAACTCACCTCGCCTTCTCACGTCCTCATTGCGATGCTCCGGGAGAATGTAGTCGTTTCTAGGGTCCACCAGCTCCTCTGGGAAGCGCTGGAGCATGCTAACGAGGGCCGAGCGGCACTTGATTTCCTTCGCCTTGTAAGGGACGCCCCTGTATCTGTGTTTGCTTCCTGGGTCGATGACGAGGAGCCCGTCCTTGGAGAACACTGGCAAGTGTCCGTTGGTGCGATAATAGGCGCAAGTAAGCCCATCATCGGTTCGCACATCGTTCGGCTCTCTTGCCGGGAATCTCTCCATATATCTCGCCGCTACCTCTTTCCACTTCATGCCAAGTTCCACTCTGTGGTAGATGAAGAACACCTCCTGTTCAAATGTGTAAGGCTTGTTGTTCTGCTTCTTTCCCGATCGATTGCGCTTCCTCTTCTTCGACGACTCCTCGTCTTGCTCACTGCTACACACTCTGTTATTGTCCACTCCCATCTCTAGCTTCTTTTCCCCAAGACACTCAAGCTGGTCAGGGAACAGTTCATTGGGCGATTTTTCTACCTCTGCTGTCTCTTTGTCGACCCTAATCTTAGGCCTTTTATGGCAGCAGGGTCCATGGTAGTCGCATTTATCGTAAATATCGTATGCTGAGTTGCATGGGAGAGAGGAGGGTTCTTGCTGCGGGACTGGAAAGCATGGGAAAAAGCCGGCGCTCGAACTGCTGGCGGGAGAGTCGAGAGGACTGGGTAGGCTATAGTGTGAGCGTGAGTATTGTGAGAGAGGAGTCTGTGTTGGCGAGATATTTTGGGACTGCTGTGTGTGTGATAATGCATCTCTTATGAGGAAAGATATTGAAGGCAGTCTTTGATCACTGTGGATGGGAAAATTGCTGCCTGGGATGGAAGTTTGTGAGGAGTAGCCTCCCGTGCCGTAGGTGAGACAATAATCGTGTGTGGGACGATAGTTGGACGTGGCAGGTTGGGTGTCAGCGCCGTATCCTTCGACGTGATGTCGATAGCTGGGAGATCCATACTGGGGCGAGACGGCGAGGTCGGCTTTCTCTTGGACTGGCGTAGGGGGGGGCGACATCAACAGCAGGTCCTTGATCCCGGGGAGTTTAAGGCCAGCCGAGTTGAGGGGTACTGGCTCCTGCCGGTTGACGAAGTGATTCGGATGAATATACATGACGGAGGAGCTGTCTGGAAGCGGAGGATTACGGTACGACTGAGTGGACGGTTCCGAGAAAGAGAGAAAATATGGACATGGAAAAGGCAACGTCGACAAGATCAGTCTTCGTCAGGAATGGCCTCGTGAAACATGAACAGAAAAGGGGTCAAGCTTGGAAGGAGAAGTGGAACGACCGGGAAACAGAGGCCGGGATCCGCAACTGTCTTTAATAAACATAGGATAGTCACGAACAGGTCTGGGGAACCATCTCTGCAAATAGACCTCTCGGGAGGGTATAATAAAGATCTTCCCGGCTGCGTCTGATAGCTACACCCCAGCCTCTACGAGGTACAGCATCTCAGCGAGTGGGAGCCTCGTAGAAAACGGGGTATATCTAACCCCAAAGGGGTGAGGATATTGTAGACCTAATGACATGTGTTTCGCCCGTTGGATTTCTAAAGGCTGTCTATCCACCATGGCCCGTGTGGGCGGGCCGTCAGTATATCCCGAGCTGTCCCCGAACTTGGACTAACACCCGGACGCCACGAATAACGCCACGAACGTCGTAGACCAAACAGTGGTCGAGGCAAGGGGACTGGACTGGCAACGCAACCCAGCCGCCTGAACGTTTCCCGGCCACACCATAACAGCCTTAAACAAGCATGGGGCCTCGAATTGGATGATCAGCGCCGGGGTCTGTTTTGGTGCCTCCGAGCAGCCCTAGTCCATAGTCTACCTTAGTCTACTGTGTAGTAGCGTAGGGGTCGTGTCACAGATCTCGCTGGCTGTTAGCGGCGGGGCGCCGGACCCAGGATCTAGACTGCACTTACGGCCAATTGGCAGCGGCAATTGGGCAAAAAACGAACGTGGACATGCGTGATATGTTAGGCAGAACAACCTTAGCTAGAACCTTGTCTTGGTTCCTTCGGTGGTTCGCCACTCGGTTTCTAGGTTGCTAGGACTATCCGTTAGGCTAACGGGAGGGGGCCAAAGAACCGGCCGGCGTGGGACGGGAAGATCGAGATGGCGGCCAATTGCCGCGACTAGGTAGGGTTACGGGAGTATGCTGTGTAGGTTGAGAGCTGGCCAAGTCCGGGCAGGTTGGCAAAGAGGTCTGGGTTGTCTATCTAGGTTGTCAACGTCGGGACTGTGCTAGGTTTTCAGACAGTCAAAGTGGGAAGTGGCCTGAGAGGAGCCTCAGCTGCAGCCATTGCGAAGCTGCTGCAGGAGGTCCTGCGGCTGAGGCCAGAGATGGAGGCAATTAACTGCTCTCCATGGTACCTACCTTACATTATAGTTGAGGCACTGTACCTTGAAATGGACGCTACGAATCTGGGCATTCAACTTGGAAACCGCCGCGTTCCATGGGTCGGATAGGCACGGTAGGTGCGGCAAGGCAAATAATCACCGACTGCCGTCGGTGATATGGAGAAGGTGCTGGCAGCTCCAGATCGATGGGTCTCTGTCCCCATTACTTTGACTCTATCAACAAAGAGCTGAAGAGGGTGGGCATCGAACAAGATTGCCTAATCGAGAGTCAAGAGCTGCGGAACTCGGATTGACATCCCCGGGGGGCCATATCCGCCCCGCTGAGTGGATTGAATCCATTCTCGAGGGGGAGACTCGGCCGCAGATTGTATTGTAGCGTCGACCCAGTCCAGGTAAGTTCCTAGGCAGGTGAGGTAGGTGCTACTCTAATTCGTAACTTGATGTACTTTACCTCAGGAAGGTGTGAGGGGGAGACGGGATAAAGTCTCGAACTCTCGGGCAGGTACGACAGTGGACTTGGTGGTTCGACCCGACAGATACTAAAAAGGGAATGGTCTGCATGGCGATTGGCCAGTCTGGGAGCCTCAATTGAGAGAGGGCAACCACGTCGGACTTGGTCGTCTCTCCGCTTCACTCTCAGTGGTTGCCCATCATCAATAGCGCTGTAAGTGGCGCTGTAATGATGACGCCGCTGTCGAATGGCATTTACCAACCCCGGCCACCTCGCTTTACCACACGACTTTTCTAGAGGCGGGCTACCTAGACGTCCAGTATTGGTTGCCTCTGCAAGGCCGCCCAGGTAGCATTTGTTTTTATTTCGACTCTTTTTGCGTAGTCATCTATCCACGTCACCAAAAGAACAAAAATAAGAGAACGACAGCGAGACACGGGAGCAAGACGAACGGGAAGGGACCACTTCAGTCAAGGCAGCGCTCGAGTGAGCATGGGTTTCTTCGGTATCCGTACCCGATCCCCTATGAAGCTCGCCTTGTTAGAGTTTCCTATGTCCTCGTCTTGACTCCTAGAGTAACACAATAAAACGCACGAAAGGTGTGATGGATCCCTTTTCCCCTCTTTTCGCTTTTGCTGCACGAAAGAAGAGATTTTTGAAACTAGTAGGCCTCAGATAGAGGGAATATTAAGCTACAGATCGAGCTGTACAGGCCGTGTGAATCTGCCAAGCTAGCTAGCTTGTCAGCCCACCCACCTTAGGGGTCTGTTCACGTTCGTATTCTCTATTGTCTACTACCTACCTGCACACTTGCAACCGAGACATTTTGAAATTCTGAAAGAAACCTAGGTTCCTAGGAAGTGGCTGACAGGAGACGCGCACAAACTCACTGGGGTAACTTTGCCCGTGTGTTCTCCTGCTCCAGAAACCACGACGCCACCAATTATGGCGGTGGCTATGTACACTACACTGTTGGTTGCAGACTCAGTATCTAGCGCACTTTTAACCTTTAAGCTAGTAAAAGGCTAGCGCCACGGACTTGAATGCAAGGCTCGCTGTAGTAAGTCAAACGTCTCGTGCTCCCCTTCTCTGCCTCCTCCCTCGCGCTGTCATTCTCATTAGACGGACGACTAGACAGCGTTATCTCGTTAGACGCAGAGACTTTAACTCTCTCCCGCCCACACACAGGCTCGAGGAGTACGAAACGCGCACGCCCGTTCAGACTAGGAAGAGTTGGTTGAGAAACGAAGGGGGTGTGGCTAATTCGCTACACTGTAGCTGTCATAATCCTTGTCTCTCGTCTCTCTGCATACATATTCGGGACATGCAAGGGAGAGAGAGAGGGAGAGAGAGAGAGACAAGAAGCTGCTAGAAAGCGAAAACAGAAACTAACGAACGGCGAGTCCATCCCCACCTCTCTCTGTGTGTGTGTCTCTCTCATACTCGCATTCCCCTCTTTCTTCTCTATTTTCTATGTCTCTGTTCTTTTTCTACCTAGGTCCTTGTTTTCGTAGTTGTGCAGATCTGCTTGATGAAAATAGGGATGTGTTGATGATGATAGCCGCCTCCTATTCTGTGTCTGTGCGCCGAAAGTTGCAGCATACTGAGACATGAGCAGAGAGAAAGAGAGACAAAAAACCCGAAATCATGTGTGTATATTAGCTGCATAAGGTAAGTAGAGCCATCAATCTACACGGTGTCATTCGCACGAGACGTGGGACATCAGAGGCGAGAGCCCCCCGGGTCTTTCCGGGACCCTCGCCCGCCACTGACGCCTCCGCCGTCGTTGTTTCTTTTGCTGTCTTCACCCTTGCCGCCTTCTACGACAACCCCCAACTCCATACCTGCATCTAGGATGCTCTTGCCGGCATCCTTGAAGGACTCGTCGCCTGAGAACCGCCTTTGCCCCGTGTTAGCCAGCGTATAGACTCGAGAGGATAGCAATATGCAGAAAAGACAAGGGGAGCTAACCAGCCTCTTTCCTCCCCTCCAGAGAGGTGACTGCAGTCGCTGTTCAGCTCGCAGTCCCAACCCCCCCTTACCCCTCGGCCGTCTCGCCATCTGAGACCACTGGGGATCTTAAGATCTGCTGAATTGCGTACACCGGCGGTTGTTGGACCGCCGCTATTGTTTCTGCTCTCGCTCCTGTCTATGTCACGGCTGTCCACACACCCGCCGCGCCAACTCCCAGCAGAGGCAGCAACGGCAGCAGGTTGGGCTTTCGACTGGCCGATGTTACCTCCGACCTGGCTGCTTGATGGGCCAATAATTTCCACTGCATGCCCTGCTAATGCACCGTCGCCACTGTTACTGCGGCTGCTCTGTCTTCTTCCCTTTGTCGTCTTTCGACGGTAGACACTCAACCCGCAGGTGAAGGCGCGGAAGTCCTCGGCTTCGACACAATCGGGCATAGCACCCGTGAGGACGCGGCCGAGGGCGATGACGACTGCAGCGTGCGAGCAGAGCAGCACAGCCCGGACACCCTCGCGGTCGCAGTTGGCAACGAGTGCGTCCATGGTGGCCGCGACGCGGTCGTGCAGCTCGGCAATGCTCTCGCCCGTACGCGTCGGTACCAGTGCCGGCCTGTAATCCGGATCGAGCAGGGCCGGGAAGAGAGCATCGAGCTTCGAGCGGGCAGCCGGAGTGGGGTGCTCGAAGCTCGCCGAGCCGTACCACTCGCCTAATCCAGTCTCCCCGCGGATCTTCAAGCCGAAAAAGGCTGCTGCCGCCTTGTCAGATCCTGTCTCTCCTGTTGTTTCGGGCGCCGCTGCTGCCGCAGTTGTTAATTTTGTGCCATCGTTGTAGCTTTGGCTGCCGTCCTCTGCGGATGTTATTTCCTTCGTCACCACTGCAGCCTGTCCTGCAGTCCGCACAAAGGGCTCTACAGTCTGAAGACAGCGGTAATACAGACTCGAGTAGACGCGCCGTATGGGCGGGTCCGCAGCAGCCAGGCGCCCGGCCAGCTCTCTGGCCTGATCCACACCGTGTGCTGTCAAGGCGGGATCTGCAGGGCCTCCCGTGGGTGACCGAATGGCGGCTGTGTAGGTGCCGCTCGCAGGGTCAACGAGCCAGTTGGACCGAAACTAGACAGCCCGGACAGGACGCGTTCAGGTCAGCCTATGTATTATTCAAATTTCTCTTGTTGTCCCTCTTGACTTTCTGTTTTCTCTGTGTGTCCGTATGTCACACGGCTAATTTTCTTTTTTGTTTCTCTCCTGATCGATCTGTGAAGGATCGACAGATTATGCTAGCGCCACGCACGTCTTAGCCCCCCTCCATCCCTTGAACAGAAACCACAACAACTTTGAGACTTCTCGCCAGGGGTGAGGGGGAGGGGGGTGCCAATGATCCCCTGTTCCATATCCTGCGAAAAAAAACTAAAAAAAAAACTTCTTGTCTCCGCTCCCCCCAAAAGCGAACAGCTGCAGAAACACGCCCTCTGAGGAGCTAAATACGGAAATGGACGTCCAAAACCGAAAAAAAGGGAAGAGAAGAAAAGGCCTCGAGAATAGGTCCGAAGGAAATTTGAGACTTACCCCGTGGCGGGTCACGTAGATGACCTCGAGCATTTTGTGTCTGGTGCTCTGGAGACGGAACCAGGCAGGCTTGTTCGGTTGTTAGACGAGGAAAATACGAATGGGTTTTCGGGCTCCGAACACGCAGAGTACCAAGAAGCCGGCTGTCGGACTGTCCACTGGAGAGCAAGCGTCAGGGTCGATTGATTTACACCTTTTTTTTGATGAAATCTTGTGAAACCTTAAGGTAATTTCTAGGTGGTCGAGTGAAAATGTAAATATTTATTTACTGCTTTTTTGGGGGGGTTATGTTCCGGTTCCGTGCCGAGGTACGGCTGATGGACGGCTGGGCAGTTTGTTAGATCAAGAGGTTTATTTCGTGTAAAAAGGCATCAAGGTGAAAAGAAAGGCGGGCAAGGAAGGTTAAGGTCTGTATATATGGACCTTCCCTCGTGTGAGGAAAGTGAGAGCGATGCAGCCCGTAGAGGTGAGGTGAGGTGCATGACACAATAGATCAGATGAATTTAACCAACAAGAATGACAGAGAAAGCTTGCCCGTACTGAGTGCCAAAACGAGGGCTCCCCCACACGTGCCAAGCAATGCGCTAACCCGCCGTTGATGCTGGACTTCCCCCGCCCCCATCCCTAACCCTGAAGCTCAACGAAGGAGCAAAAAGGTTGATCTAGTTCAGGCATAAAAAAGAAGAATAAAAGCTTGTTTAAATTAATATCTTGTCTGAAGTTTTGCGGTGGTAATCACGGCAGAAAATGGTAACATTCATCATCGAGGGTGATTCAACACAAGTCACAAATAAGAGATGAGACTCCCCCCTTTCCAAGTCGGGCAGGTAAAGGGGCTACTACTAAGATACAAATAGGAGTATGCTCTCACATACCTTAACTGTGTTCATTCTAGTGTGTGCGTGTTGGTGGGTGGGTATAAGCTATTTCACTTTGGTGATATATGTAACTGTGGAAGTCCCTCCCTGAGCAGACGAAACAAAACATAAAGATTATCACCCAGAGAGCATCACAATTTCACAATTATGAATATTAATAGTATGGAATTAGTCTAGAAATATCACCTTGCTAAAATCGAGATGCAGAAAACAGAGACCGCAGATCTCTTCTCGTCCTCTAGATTATCATGATACGTTCCTAGTCTTCTAAATACGCGCAGCGACCTCGCCTGCTCAACAGCCCACGCGTTTGCTGTGTACCGTAGTAGTAACCAACCAAGTACCTTGACTGAGCAAACACGCCCTTAATAATCGCCTCGATACCTCCCTAGAACACCCGCGGCATTTCACACCACCGGTGACAACTTCTTGGCAATCCTCACTAGCAGCACGGCCTCCGTCTCCATGCCCTGGGCATCGAGCAGGTGGACGAAGCGGTAGCCGTCCCGCAGGCGGTCGAGGCGGACGCAGGCCCAGGCGGCGAGGGAGTCGCGGCCGTACTCGTCGTCGCGGACGAGGAAGCGCACGAACGAGAGGGCGGGGACGACGCCGGGCACGTGGTCGAATCGCAGGGGCGGCTGGCTGGCAAAGTCCGGGTCGATGCCGCGCTGCGGCGCCTTGGTGCGCGCCTTGTACTCGCCCTCCTTCTCCTTGCCGTCGGCCGGCACCGACGACTTGGTCGGCTGGCCCGCGCGCTCGCCCGGCTCCTCGACGTGCACCTCGACCTTGACGTACGGGTGGAACGAGTGCGCCTTGCGGTCGCCTGGCGGCAGCGGCAGCGACTGCGCCGCCAGCACCTCCACCGTCAGATCCATCGTGTAGTGCTCCACGGCTGTGGCCTGGGGCGCTGTCTCGGACGCTGCTGAGGGGGGCAGGGCAGCGAATTTCTTATCTGTTCGGTAACCTATATACAACAGCCGAGTTTAGCGACAACCTCCCCAAAAGTTACCAACAAAAAAGGGGCAGAGGGGAAAGACTTACCTTCAGGCTTCAAAACGTAGCCGCCTGTGCCGGCAAACATGCCCTCGTTGAGCATCATGCCGCCGTCCCAGTTCTGCCAGTTGAGCGCGACAACCTGGATGCCCTTGCGCCAGAACACGGCCGGGTCCAGGTTGGAGGAGCGAATGCGCAGGCCCGACGGGTATGTGCGCATCAGGAAGTGGCGGTTGTGATTGAAAAGCTCGCGCGGCGTCTTCTCGTGAACCTCCAAGACGCTGTTCTCGGACAGAGAAAATATGTGTGTCGGCATGGTCGCCTCGGGCTGCGCCAGGCTCTTGAACGACACGCCGCGCGTATAAATTCCCAGTTTGCTGAGCGCTTGGATGATTTTGGATGCCTTCTTGGCCGGCTTCTTGGCACTAGAAGCCGCACCGGCGCCGGGGGGGCTGGTCCCAGTCGCTGGAAGAGGCCTGGCTTCGTCTCCGTCGGAAGCTCCGCCGGGTGGCGTCGGGGGTTTTCGCGGGGTTTTGGCGCCGTCTGGCGGTGTGTACTTGACTTTGACGAGAATCTTACCGCGGAGATCGCCTGGGGTAGGTAGGCTCTGGGCGTCCTCCTTTGGCTCCGGAAGCAGGTGGCCCACCCACTCCTGCTCCATGATGGCGACCATGGCCTCTTGCTGCTCGGCGCAGCAGTGCACTTCCAGGCTGACGATCACGGGCAAGTCCGACGCCACAAAGCCGTATTTCCTGACGGCCACACATACGTCCCGGAATGATACCTCCTTGGTCAACGTGTGTCCATGGAGGACCCTTGGCTCCTTGAAACTCAAAGCCCTCCTGGTGGAGGAGTGAGAGGAATGGGATGAGCTGATGCTTGCTTTTTTCCCAACGTGCGATCTTGGATCTGCTGCTGGTGCTGCTGCTACCGGCGCCTCTGCCATCGGTGCCGGTGTCGTTGCTGGGGGGGTTGGCGAGGTTGCCGGCTCGCTGCCATGAGGCTTCTTCGGCTCCGGCTTCTTCTTCTCAGCATAATTTTCGAGCTTCTTGACAAGCTTCTGTTCGAGCTTCTCGCCCAGGGCCATCTTGCCCAAGAGGGCCGTGGGAATCTTTTTCTTGACCTTCGTGACACGCTTCTTCCGCTTGTCGTAGACGTCGGGTTGGTGGGCGGCGGCGGCGGCGGCCTCCTCGTCGCTGCTGGAGATGGACGTGTCCGACTCGGACTCGTCGCCGTCCCAGACGTCGATCTCGATGCAGCGACCGCCCCTTAGCAGGACGTTCTTGTAGGCGCTAGCGCTAGAGGAGCTGGAGAGCTGGTTGCCCGTCAGGTAGGTGTTGTGGCTGGAACTGATGAAGTAGTTGGACAGGGACCACGAGTAGTCTCGGTCCTGGTCAGGGGGGTGCGCGAGGGCGTTGGTGGTGGGCAGGGTGATGTAGTGCAAGAACGAGTTGAAGTCCCAGTCCTTCTCCTTGCACAAGACCAGCTCGCGGGCCACTTCAATATCGCCATCGTGCTGGATGTCCCTGAGGAAGGTGGCAGTCCCGTCTGCGTGCCATTGGTGCACCTTGGCATGGGTGTCGTATATCTTGTGCAGATGCGCAAGAATTGCGGCATTCAGCGTCTTGACCCTACGGGCCTCTCCGGACAGGCCACCACCGGCTTGGTGCGCTGCAAGCTGGCTCGAGGACGTGGCCGCCGTGGTAGTAGTAGTAGTAGTAGTAGTAGCAGCAGCAGTAGTAGTAGCAGCAGCAGCAGCAGCAGCAGCAGTAGCAGCAGCAGTAGCAGCAGCAGTTGGGGTGACAGGAGCAACGGGAGTGACAGGACCAGAAGCAGCAGCGGCCGCGGCCTTGTCTACCGTCTTACTCTCCGCCATTGCTTCCGAGGTCTAAGTAATGGATGTATGTGTAAGTTGGGCAGCAAGGAGCCCCTGGACAGGTCAAGTTCAAGACCCACAGCGGTGTCTTGACAGCCGGTAACCGCTGAAACGTCCGATAAATAGCTAAGGATCCAAGCAGGAAGACAATGTAAGAGCACGGGCGATTGTTGAATCAACGCCTCGGAAAGTTGAACAATTCCGCCGTGCTGCCAAGGTAGGCAAGCCAAGGGAAGTAAGACGTTTGTAGGTACCCGAGCCCCTCAATAAAGCGGACGGCTAGAGCAAGACAGGGTGGCTTGAGTGTTCGTTGGCGGGGGAGGATCAACAAACCTCAAACGTCTGAAGCGGCCCAGATGGAAAAGGTAGGTAAACGAAAGCGGCGCGGTTCGATTAATGTACGGGCTCAATATCCCCCAAGACAGGTTCTTTGCTCAGCCTCTTTTCAAAGGCTCGGCCTGCAGCAGGTTGGGTAGAGCTATCGAGTGAAATGTAGTGTCAAGTTGTGCCAGTGTCGTCACCCCTCTTCAGCAAGCCAAGGTAGGTGCTTCGCAGCTTGGTTAGGTGGGATGGCACATCCAGCGAGTGGGACAGGCAGTGGCAGTTGTCAGGTTCCAATCCCCAGGCCGTGGCTGCCTCCGGTCCACAGACGCAACTGGGGGCGGGGGCTAGCGCATCTCTTCAGCGGGATGGTCCTTGCCCCAGCGAATGATCTGCGCGGCATGGACTCCCGTCTCCAGCTGAGGTCGGATGGTCCTCCGCGTTGAAGCGGGGATGGGGTCCGATAATGCGCCAATTAACAGCATCTCCGTCGGTATTCGGACGGACCTTGGGCAGGAAAGGTAGAAAAAGCCAAACCTCCAGAGCTCGTCGGCGACAGAGAAAGAATACATAGTATAAAGCTATTTCCGAGGCAGCCAACTGACCGCACTCCAAGTACACAAGCTATACGAAAGACGCCAAACACCTACATTGCCCTTTCTGACTTTTGTCTACCCACCTACAAACACATCCCTTCTGCCGAGGACTGAGGTGGCTGCCGTCTAATCAGGTATTTCCCCCGCCGTAGAGCGCCGCTAGTAAGCGACGTGGAAGGAATCCCTATCTCGGCGCTCAACCCGTCGTGTCGCTCTGTGCTGCTGTTCCATCCAGTGTGCCACGATAAAGACCTCGTGGTTCTGCATATCACAGTCCCTCCTCATACTGCACGCTGCCCGCGCCATCAACACTAAATTCCGCTAAAATGGGAGAAAAGAAGAAAAAAAACACAAAGACACCCACACCCGCCAATGCAAGATATAAATACCCCCGCCCTCATCCATAACTAGATGGTTCGAAAAAATACCCTATCGCAAAATAAGAAGAGCCGACTAGACATATCAGTACTGCCACAGGGCCTTGTGGTAAATGGCCCTGGAGCCGAGCATCTTGTACTCGTACTTTGTGATCCACGAGTCGTTAGTCGACAGCTTGGCGAAGACGCTGGCGCCTTTCCAGACGACAACCTGCTCGTCCATCTCTCTTGCACTTCTGCTGACGAGGATCCGGTCGGCGAGGTCGGGGCGGCGTGCCTTAAGCTTCTCCTCGAGGAATGGCCCAAACTGCGGGATCTTTGCGCCACCGCCAATCACCATGATGCTGCCCAGCAGCTCGCGCACCTTCTTCTCGTCGCCCTTGGCCGCGTTCTGGATGCTCGTCATGATGGCAATGTCGAGGGAGGCCACCGGCAGCACAGCGTCGCGCTCCGCCGCCAGCGCCTTGGGACTGCGCTGAAATCCCTCGACGATACCCGCCCCCGGCAGCGCGAGGCCGTTCAGCAGCGAGCCGCTGCCTCCCGGGGCCGGTGTCCCGCCGTTCCGGCCGCTGGGTGCCGGACTCCCGCCGTTCAGATTGTCGCGCGAGCCGAAAATATACGGCGCCGGCACCGGAGTGTTGGCACCCTCGGGCGCCGGCGACGGCGCGTTGGACGTGCCCGGTGTAGCGACCGCGTCGGCGCGCGAGAGGAAGTTGAAGGGCTGCGTTCGCTCCTTGCTCGGAGTGGCCATGTCTGGTGGCGCGCCTGTAAAGCTGACTGCCGTCGCCGCCACTGACGGCTGGATGAGCGCCAGCACGGCAAGCTGCGCCGAAGAGGTAGGGTCGTCGGGGATCTCGACATCGTAGGCATTGTAGGATCGGTCAACCAACTTCCGCCGCCCGCGCAGCTTGGTGCTGTTGTCGAAGATGCTCGGGTCGTAAAAGCCCATGGGCGCCAAAATCACTTCGTCATAGCACTTGAACTGGTATTTGTGGGTCGGCTGGTTGGGTGCACGCAGATGGAAGTCGAAGTTCTGCACCGATATGTTGGCCTGTGACAGGGTGCAGTACTTGATCTTGAGCTCCTCGGCCAGCAGAAAGTCGTATCTCCGGCGGAGGTTGATCTCCTGGTAGGGGAAATGGTCGTAAAGCATCATCTTCATGAACGTCTCGGTGACATCATAGCCGCCGAATTTAAGGTTGACCCGCGAGTCCTCGAGGCAGAGGCCGTCTTCTACGCACGTAATGGATGTCTTTTGTGCGCCCACGTCAACAACGCAGGCTTGCGTGTAGCCGGCTCCAAACGTGGCCGCCAAGCTCTCTTGGATAAACGAGATCTTGCCGAACTCGAACCACTCGACGCAAAGATGCAAAACCTCCTCGACGTACTTTTTATCGTACAGGTCTGGGATGACGAAGACGCAGCTGTACTGTCTCCATTCGGTGCTCCTAGTCAGGCCCAGCTCCCACCGGAAGGCCCGGTCGAGGACCGTCTCGAGGTCGTTGAACAGATGCGCCTTGGTCGGGTAGTCGTCTTCGTTGAGCCAGCCGTGTTGGAGCGGCCACCAAAGCTTGAACTTTGGGTTGGAGTCATCGGCAACGCGCAGGGCATTCTGGCCGATGAACACTGACGAGATGGAATCCGCATCCTCGAGCGTCTTAACGTCGGTCCAGTCAACCTGCAAGGGGTCGTTGTGTTGAGAGATGGCCTCGGGCTCGGTTCGACGATTGAAGTTCATGACCAGCTCCTTGGAGTTTGGGAGAACCTTGCGCTTGTTTGCGCGCATGTCGGTCTTGAGCTCGTTGGCCATTTTTTGGTACTTTTTGGACCACTCCTCGCCGTATTGCTGTTCAACGGTGCGCGCCTCGAATTGCCGCCGCGGGAGGGCCTCATACATTTCCGACTCGGTCTGGGGGTACTTGGTGGCCAGCACCATGGGGATTGTTTTGGGAAGCGCATCGCTGGCGAAGCCAATGCGCAAGTTCTGGCTGCCGGGGTGTATTACGATTATCTTGGAAGGATCGAGGAAGGTAGCGCCGGGCCCGTCGTCACCCTGGAGGTCGTCGAGGGGGAGGGGTACCTCGCCGTTGGTATTGTTGAGGGCGCGATCACGGTCCTTGGCGCTTTGTACAAGTCTGTCCCTGTTCGCCTCGCCTTGAAGCCGAAGCGATAGGATCTGGTCATCGCGCTTCATGTAATCGCTGTCATGGTCAAAGTCAGCAGAGTCCGCGCCTCGCCGCTAACGGGCTGGTTGGGCACTGCATACGTGTAGTAATTTTTTTGGTTAATAGGGGCCACATCGGGCCAGCTCGTAAGCTTCATGCCATTGTCGGTGCGCTCCAGTCCTGGCGGTGGGACGACGGTCAGTCAATGTCATTCTCAAGAGCCCAGTTCTGGTAGGACACCCACCTTCCCGGAGGAGGACGCGCTCGCTGACTTTCCCCACCATCTCGTCCGAATGTCTCGAGGAAGTGCCAGAAAAGTCTTGTTGCCGTCTGATCGGTCTCGCAGGGGGGAACGAAAGGTGATACGGCGGTAGCTATGGGTGCGACAACAACTCGGAGGCCAGGGGTCGGATGGCGCCGCGATTTCGGGGTGCGGCCAACTGCCAGCTGCGTTGGGCGAACCGCGAGTTTGTGGATGTCGGATCGCGAAGATTGCTATGCTGCGCCTATTGCCACCGAGTTGGTTTAGCCTTTGTAAGAAATTTGTGCCTTGTCTTGGGGAAAGATTCGAACTTGCGAGCCGTTAACGCGGCACCTATGTCTCCCCGCGGCGAGGCTGATAGAAGGAAGGGCCCTGTCGCCAGAGCTTCGACGCGCTAGAGCCGGTCCCGGCCTAGCCTAGCCTGGAACCTAGTGAACGCTAACAGCTCCACTCATCACTCAAATCCGCAGGACGGTCTAGCGGGCCGCCGTTGCCCTAGCCAGCTGACAAGGAAAAACTACAGCTGGCGATGACGTCGGCACTTAAACGGCGCGCAGTCGAGGCCGTGAGGCAAGCAAACATGACACCTAGCTAGATGGGTTTTGAAAATTAAACAAAAGAGGCGAGACACGCTAAAAGAAAAGTTGGGCATTCGTTTACTAGACTTTCTTTGTTGCCGGCAAAGAACCTATCATCGTGGAGTGAAACTATCTTCAAACGCTCTTTTCCAGTTTCTAGCTTCGACGGAGGCCTCTAAACTGTCTAGGGTCCAATGTCCAGTGTCCAGTGTCCCACGTCGCCCAACTCTAATCCGCCCTGCTTTGACGCCTCGCCGTGATTGTTGGCGTTCACATCGAAAAGAGCGCATCTAACTTACATAATTCCACCGAAATTTCCAAAATGCCGCCGATCCCAGTTTATACGCAGAGCCCAATCAACGCGGCCAAGGCGTCGGGCGTGACACCGCAAACCGCACCTGCTCTCAGCGACGACAGCAACAGCAACAGCAACAGCAACAGCAACAGCAACAGCCCAGCCCATGTTAACCCCACGCCGACAATGACTACGCCGGCTGCGGGCTTTGTCCCTGGCCAGGCCGGCCAGCGGTACGCCCCAGTCCCACCGACGTCGACACAGACGTGGGGCGACTCTCCGCCGCCGCCGCAGCCAGGTGCGGTGCCGCGGCTACCCGCTGCAACGGCGACGGCGACAGCCCCGATTCCCCCGCCTCCCCGGGCTGGCGAGGCTTTTCCCCAGCCGCCAGAGCCCACGGCAGCCGCCCGGCTACCCGGGGAGGCGTCAACATCATCATCACCCTACCCACCATACCCGCCACCCCCGCAAATGGGGATCCCCGCACCGACCGCGCCGTACGCGCAGCGGGGGACGGCCACAGCAACGGGTCCGGTGCGGACAAGCCCCCCCGCCTACCTGCCTGAGCCGCCAGCGACCGGGCCGCGAGAGGTTAGTCGGTTCACCCACCCTCCCGGCTACCAGCAAGACGTCAATGCGTCGGAGCTGTCTGGTTATCAACACCAGCAGCGCACCGCAGGACAAGGCCAGTCTGGTGGTGGTGATGATGACAATAACGCGAGCGTCTGGAGCTCGGCTATGAAGTGGGCAGGCGCGGCGGGCCAAAAGCTGTCGGCAGTAGAGAGCGAGGTATGGCGGAAGATTAACAAAGAATAAGTAGTCAATGTGTCAGGTAGAGGCTTAGGGGAGTGGAACTAAATGGAATAGCAAAACCAGCAAATAATTCAAATGCAAACTATCTACCCCATAGCAGAAGATAGTAGAAGCACGCATATCTAAGTGCAGCCAGTAACACTTCACTTTGCGCAAAGTAAGCTCGTAAAGGAGGGCAAAAGAAGAAAAAAGGAAAGCTCGGACAAAGTTCGAAATTATATCCTCTCCTCGGAGTGAAGGGGGTCTACTAAGTCAGCGCGGGACTAGACCGTTCGACCGGGAAACCCGGAGTCGTGAGACTCTGTAATCTATACGGAGCTACTTCGCTGGGAACCTGAACTGATACTGGAGTATATACGTCCGCCTGTAATTTCAAGTCTATTTTAATACGCTGTGCCGAATCGTGCCGAAACCGATACCAACATATGCTAGCTCCCGCCAGCGGAACAGCTCCAGCGTTTGAGCACAATTATTACTTTGTAACCCGAACAAAAGCAGCAATTAGACAACAACAGCAAAGCCGCGCCAAGTAGTAAGGCAACACGGGGCCGACATTCTTCTTGCGCTGTATCTATCTATCCCACTCTCGTATCGTATCGGCTCTATTCTAAGAGTGCAATTCCAGTTTCGCGTCTAAGTAAATAAAAACAGCACTTAGGACAACAACAAAACCCGCGCCAAGCGACAAAAAAGCAGAAGCAAAGAAAAAATAAAGTGAAAGAACGCAAAAAGAAACCGTCTTGATCAGACCCGGGCTTGAACCGGAGACCTTCAGTGTGTTAGACTGACGTGATAACCAACTACACCATCCGACCTGTGGATTCCTGTTGTGGATATCATCCACTTCTCATATCTCCTCTCTCGAATTCGGCCCCTGCATGTTGTCATTATTCTGATTTCACAATTTTAGACTACGGGAATGCGATCTTGCTTTCCTCTTCGACATTTTTGCTATTATTGTGTGCATATGTTCATATTAAGTGCTGGTCATGGATATCCGCGATTTCACTTTGATGATGGATCTAACGGTAGAAGCCGTTCCTAGAGTAGACGAAAGAAAACAAACGCAACACTCATACCAATGCACTCCATCGGCGCCGCTGCCGACAAGAGACGAGAGCGATCTCCCTGGGCGTTGCTCTGCGTTCTAAAGCTCACTTTTCGGTTTCTGCTCTTACCTCGCCTCTCGGCGTGAACGAGCTTCATGCCATGGCAGGGAAAAAAAAAAGGGATCCATCAGCCGATATGCTACTACTACTAATCAAACTAAACCACTCGGACCCGGAAATGTAGATACAGACAAAACGGTGGTTGATTTTGGCGGTGCGCATGAATATGGCATGACTTCGCAAACCAAATGGATAGAACAGTTGTCTACATTTGGGTTTTCCCTCCTTCCTATCGATCCATTGCTCCTAGTTGCTGTGAGTTTGGGTAAGATACGCAGACAGATGGATGGGTACCTTGGTGGATAGGAGGTGGCTGGACCTTAGTGACGAAGTGAAAGCAGTGTAGAGACCTCAGCATCAGGTGATTACAAGCAGCAACGAGGTGAAAGTCCCGCAAAGGTATTTCCTCCCCATGTTCTATATCGCAGCCAAGTTCGGGGGTAGCTAGGATATCCGATCCTCCTCCCCCGGACTTTGGGTCTGAGAGAAGAGACACAAGAACTTGGAGAGGAATAGGAGAAGCCAGATCGAGAGCCTCCAAAGCTGGTAGGTCAGTCAACCTTGCTCGAGGCTGACGGTCAAGCCATCTTTCTGGACAATCTCGATCAGATCTCTCTACCACCCAACTCTCATAATACGCTGCTAGGGTTTGGGTCTGGTTCCTTGCTGTGCCTCTCCCTTTTTCTCTTCTTCTCTTTTCAGGGCAGGGTGTCTTTTTGTTCATGCCTTCAACCTCGGTAATGTGCGAACACCAAGTGGCCAACTACAAACATTCCTCGGTCCACGTCTGTGTGTTTTTTCCCCCGAACCATTTTTATGCATCGGGAACAATAGGGGATTTTGTTCTTTTTATAAACAGAAACAACAAGGAACAGGGGGGATGGATGATGGGCAAGGGGTTCGTGGTTACACGTAGTGAAGCGAAAACACAAAAAGAAAAAACACATCCGAAGACGTTTTAAAGCTTGAACAACCTCATCATGTCATTGTGCAGGGTGACAAGGGAATTGCGTGGGACGGGGACAGGGGGGACGGGGGCTTAGCGAACGGCGCTCCCCCCCCAGCAAAACAAGGGAGGATTAAGCTTCTGCGCGTAATAACTCGTGTAGGAATCGGGTAGTGTAGCCTGTGCATACAGATTGACGGAGGCTGTACGTAGGTAGCAAACCCGATACGCGAGGAGGTGGGAAAAAAAGGAATGAGGGTAGGGTAGGGGAGGGGGGGGCGCGGTGGTGATCTCTCAAATTAGAGACTGTGGTGATCATTTGTTTGGCGGCGTCACCGTGAAACTGCGATTACACGAGCGAGAGCTCGAGCAATCTACCCGCCTTACTGTGTATGTAAACCCTCTTCTTTTGGTAGCAGAGAGTTGTTGCTGCTACGCCGCTCGCTTTTGCATACATACACGCCCCCTCTATTCATCAAGTCGAGGGCCCCGGCCTGGAAACCCAGCTGTCAATCATTCACTCCTCTACGAATCCTTCAGCCCCGTCGTTCGTCGGATAGGTCGGGGGAACAGGATTGGGGTATCGAAAAGTTACCCGAACTCTCTCTCTCTCTCGTTCACCGGAGGGGAGGCAGGGACTGTGGGAATTGTCAAAGCAGTTCCGAATAGATGGCAAAAAAAAAGACATGTCGACTTCGCCCTCGCCGAAACCGTACTTTCAAAGTCCCCGGAACTCGCTCCGAAGCGATTTGAGATAAACTGGTACGAACGTTTATGGGGTGTGGCGTAATGCGCACAGTCTCTGCTCGAGAGCGGCGCTGCGCGGGGTGCAAGCCAGCAAAAGCAGCAAGCAGTGTGTGTGGTGCAAAATAATTCCAATACCTGTCTAGATACCTTATCTGGGTTGTCACGATGTCTAGGTATATGGCAAATTCTTAAGAGCCAGCAGCGCGCGCATGGGCTAGTCGTCAGAAAACTCACGGCAAGTGGTGTTTGGTAGGAGATCCATCCCGGAGCATGGGGTATTTTACGGAAGTCCGATCTTGTCGCTGTTAGGGGGTTAGATATGAGACCAGGTAGCTTCGAGCAACCATCAACTCCGCCGCTGCCGCTGCCGCTGCCGCTGCCGCTTCCGCTGCCGTCGCCCGCCGCCGCCGCCGCCGTACCATCAGCCGCTGGGTAAATGCTGTAAGAACTCTGAAAAAAGAAGGGAGACCACGTAGTATTCCGAAGGGCACGAAACCAGCAGCCAATAGCAACGCCGACGGAAACATCCGCATGCGACCTTCCTCCCTGCCTGTCACCGACGTACGTATACAACGACCGAACACATAAACCACACACGTAACCTTTGGTCAACACACCTATGCATAACCATATCCATATCGATATTAGCCACGTCACGTTCGCCTCAAACGGGAAGGTGCTGCAGATTCCGTTCCTCGAGGCTGAAGATGGATGGGGTATGTGAAGTGCGTAGTTGGGGGTTACGTTTGAACTCGCCGGGTTTGTCGAGGTCAGGCTGACTTTGCTGACTTGACTAAACCGTCCGGGCCTCAAAGAGACAGATTTCGGTTCCCGAGTGAGAAATCTATCCAATACCGACTGAGCCAGTCAGTGAAGAGGGTCACAAAAGAGGTGCGTGCCTCTCGGCGGTTGGCTGGGAAGGAAGCAAACCCCTGAGTCCCCTCCCCCGCGCACAGGAAGGCTTAGGACAAGGAGCAAGGGGGGATAGAGACTGGAGTACGTAGGCGGCTTCTGAGAGGCAAAAACGCCACCTGCGGCGTAGTCGAAGAATCGAGCGCAACAGTCAGTGTAAAACCGCATACTTACTTTCACGTAGGCAGGCGGGGTCGGCTCGTGAGGTCGTCGTGAGGAATCTTGGACCAGAATTTCTGTTTGGCCGGCTCGCTCGGCGGCCGGCTGCTACCTATTTCGGCTCCACTGGAACGGAACAGGCGGCCGGCAGGGAAGAGGGATCTTGGAGAGGGGGAGGGAGTGGGGAGAGAAGTGCTAAACATCAAACACGGTGGTGCCAACAGCTACTGCGTAGACTCTACTCGATGCAAGCCGAGCTTCGCGTCCACCAACAATGGACCACTATACGCGTCCCGTACGGCACCGAGAAAACGGGCCAAGATCTGTTGTCTTGCACATATTACTATCAGCTTCTTGACTGCTGGGTTGGGTCTCAGAGGGAGAAGAGGGATGCGTGACATGGTCTCGCTCCCGAGTATCTCGATCACCTCCCGAGCGCCGCTAGCCCAAGCAGGACGTCAAGGAGCAGGATTCTCCGTTTCCTTGGTAGAAGGTTTCTGGCGCTCGCTCACCCGCCTCAAGTGGCTTGCCTAGCGAGGGTTTGCTTGGATTTGCTTGCTTTTTGGGCTCCGCCCCCGGCCGCTGGCGTCGACGGTTGGGGCGAAGAGGATCGCGTCATCATTGGCAGCCGTGATTTGCATAAGAGCCGAGTTATAGGCCGCCCGCTCATCGGCTAAAGGCGAGATAATTTCCCAAAGCGGCGGACGTTGTCATGCATCGGCCATCGGGGACCTAGGCCCGGACCTAGTCGCCCTGGCCCCTGGGGGCGGTCTTGCCGGCCCCACAGAAGAGCTGTCGAACGTCTGTAGAACAAAGTGTGACCGTCCGAGCGCAGGCCAGGGGTGGGGGGGAGGACGGCGGAGGATGCCTTGATTTACCCCCCTGAAAAAAAGAAATGATGGAGCAAACAGCAGATGACAGCAGCGCTGACGGCGAGCTGGCTGGCTGTTACTGGGCAGAGGATAGAGCTCGACGGGAGATGACAAGACAGGATGGAGGACGCGGGATAGGATGAGATGTAAGTTGGAGGTGGGTGCTGGGATGCAGGTACACACCTCCGGTCCGACTTCTAGTTCATGACCCAGCTAGGCAGGTCGGTAGGCTTCGTGTATATTCTTCCCCGCGAAAAACGATGGCATCCCTGGTAGTGCGTACAGCAGACTGCCGGCGCCGTGCCTCTGGTGTCGACGATAGGTCGGGACTCGTAGCGCGCAAGACACGGACCAGTTCCAGCCTTATAGAAGTGATGCATTATCACTATGTTTATCACAACTGGGGGGCCCCATGGCGCTACCATGCTTAAAATGTGATCTTATTATAGTTGAGCGACGCCACCGCCGACGCGGACGGGGCAGGATCTGGGCAGTGAAAAGCCACCTCGGCCACCAAGACAGACGGACAGGATTAAAGCCAATCGGCCGAGCGGGGCTAACTGTCTAGGTAGTGGTCTTGAGCGGCCTTGGTCCGCCGCTCAAAGAGGAAACCAGTACACCTTACTTTTTCTGTAATAATATTATCGAACTGCGCGAACGGATATTCGGTATGAACGTGCTGCCTCGTAGCTAAGAACCGTCAACGTCTTGGCAAACGTCGAGCGGGGGGTGCGGAAAGCTGGAACGAAAGGTCCTGGAGAGGCGGCTGTCTGTTGGCCAATCTGCCCAACAGTTGGCAGGTAGTTAGGCAAGGCTGGTATCAGTATCAGTATCAGTATCAGTTTGCCAACCAGTAAGCCAGTCTGACCATCTGCTCGCTGGCAGCTAGCTAGCTCGCCTACACGTCTGCAAAGTCGGAATAGTAGACAGAAAAGAGACAGGTACGTCAGCCCAAACAATGCCAAGAAACAGCGGCTCCAGAGCGGAGGATCGGAATTGCCAAGGAAACACGTCAGGAGTAGAGAAATGGTTCGAGTGGCACTGGATCACCAATCCATCGTATCACCTTTCTGACATGCCCAAACACCGAGCGAAGTCGACAAAGACGATGACCGACGCGGGACTTGTGCTGCGGGTCCTGGGAAGGTGCAGCACTAGGTAGGTGAGGTGTGCAGCGGTCCGGCGGGTGCGCTGGTTGCAGTGGTGCAGCGCAGCGGAGTGGAGCAGTGTTGGGACGGGTTCTGGGACAACTCAACTGTCATCATTCAGATGATGACAAAACCCTAAAAAAGAAGACCCTATCAGCAGCCCTTGCAGGATTTCCAGACGGCCTGGGCCCACACAGGCAATGTATAGCGTGCGTACAGTTTAAATTGCAGGTACGGATTAGTGTAGGCAGGCACGTATCCGTAGAACTGAATGTATGTACTAATAAATTTGCAGTGTTGGCTTCCATCGGCTCATCTGATCAAGGATCGAAGGGTACTCAGTGCGGAGTCGGGTTAAAACTCAGGGTGCAATCAAGGCAGGTCACGGAGTACGTAGCGAGATAAACCGAGAGGCAGCCCTTGCAACCGACCTGGCCTGAGGGAGGGGGGGGGCCACCGACGGGCGGAAGACGGCAGCGGCGTAGATAGCGTGGTGTCGAACAGAATAAGAAATAAGAAATAAGAATGGGGCGGCGGGCGCGGCGGGCGGGCAGGTGGGCTTCGGATGGTTTGTCGTCAGAAGGCAAACTTCAGAGAGTTGGATCTGAGAACGAGAGTCTGGATTCTGAATACAACAGAGGTTCCCGTGATTGACTGGCAGGAGACGGCACCAATGGGGATGTCGTGCGTGTGACTGGTGGGCTAACCAGGACAAGTGGGCTTGGTGGGGAGGGTAGAGTGGGGAGACTGGAGGTGGGGAGCGACAAGGGTTAGTCTTGCGACGGATCTGAGACACGCGAACCCCCTGTCCATCCCTTGGTCCAGCCCTCCGCTGCGGTCTCCCGCAAATCCCATCAGGCTCCACACCCGCAACAGCGAACCCGCAAGCGGCCCTGGAGAGGGCCCTGCAGGCCCGTGCAGATAACCCCTGCAGACGCTTACATCAGCGGCCAATCACGACGCGGCTTCAGCCTGCTGCAGAGGAACCTCAAACAACGCTGCCCCGTGCTGCGAGTCGCGTCAGGACGTTTCCTTCTCCATTCTCCAACAACTGGCAACGACATGTGTCCTCGGCGCGGGACACAACCAACTCAACTCTCCATCAGTCTCAACCACCCGACGACGGAGACGGGCCTGCCTGGGATAACCCGCCCGCCAGCAGCTGGATACAGCCAACTGAGCTGGTTTGCGACAGAATCGAACCCCCTTAGGTTCTTTCCTTGTTTCTCTGTCAGGCAGGACCAACCAACACAATCCAGTCTTTTTTTGGACTTTTTTTCTTTCTTCTTTTCGTCGCTTGCGTACCTACGCGCGTGCGTGCTCTTCTTGTCTGGCAATGGCTGCGCAAATGTTGGCCGAGCCATTCAGTTGAACCAACCAATGAACCAACCAACCCTGGCCTGGCCCAGGTCTGGCTGTATCCGCATCCTTAACTGCCTAACCCGCATCTACTCTGGTGGTGTTGTAGCCTGCTACACTGCGTATCTCATCTTGACAGCTCGGTGTCCAAACCCCCCCTTATTACCCATCTTTGGGTGGTCGGCCTCCATGCGGGCGGGCTGCGACTGGGCCTCAGGCAATCGACCGTCTCCAGACCTTCCCACCCCCTCCGCCATTGCCAATCCTGCTCGCTAGATACTCGCTAGATGCCCTGCGTAAGGCCCGTCCGGCTGTTGTTGCGCCTCGCTGCCGCATCCAGACCCGTCCCCCCCCGTCCATTCAGAGCCGCAGGACTGGCCGCTTCCCGTCTACTGACCCGAGTATTCGTTCTCTTGCTGCTCCTACACAGACAGTAGCCCAGCGGGTAAGCATGGCGCTACGTGTTGACTGACTACCCGATCAGAACTGCATCGCCGAGTCTCTGAAAAGGCCTTTCTTATTGCAGCTGTGACTGGCTCGTTTTCCTTTTTTTTCCCTCCCTCGTACGCTAGCCCAACATTCGACGCCATCATTCGAGCTGCTGCTTATGATGGATGCATGTTGGTCTGTTGGCATGCCGGTCATCTACGTAGGTCCCAGGTCTAGGCTTACGTCCCTGATATGGGAGCCAAAAATAATTTGAGAAAAAAAAAGAGAAAAGTCAGAAAACAGGAGGTACCAAAAACTGATGTTCGGATCCGTGAAGCCAAAACGGCGCCCGATGTTAGATGGGGTCTTGCCAAACATGCTCGACCATGATCTTCGCCGGGGAGGCTGGATTGGCCTTGGCTAAATGGCAGGTTTCCACGGCCGAGCCCACGCGCCCCCGCTGCGACCTTCGCAAATAACCTACAACGGATTTACAGTGCAGCAACGTCGTCGACTTGTGCCAGGTTGTCTGTTCTTCGGGTCCGTCACTGACTGCTGACTCCAGATTTGCGCTCTGGTTGTGTCATACGAGTAGCGATTTTGCGCTTCGTCCGAGAAGCACAACCCCTCCCCTCCCATCCCTAGCACGCCCGTCTGCGGCTCAGACTCTGCGTTTTCTGATCCTCTTCGCTTTCCTCGGCATGGCCCTGGCACCCGTACCGACTTTTGTCTTTTTGTCTTTTTGTCTCTGAGTCGGGGGACGATAGAGCATGGTTCGTTGTCTCTCTCTTCTCTCTCTCCCTGTCCCGCGTACCCCATCTGTTGCCACCTAGTGTATAGATTCAACGTGCACAACCGCTTCAAAGGTACTTGGGTACCTTTGCTACTACTACTCTGGCTGCTACGTGGACATACTAAGTACTCATTGGTGCACGTCGATGAGACAAGCCACCTCCTCGGTATCTTTTCCCATACGTACGGCCCCAACCCAGCCCCAAAGTCGCAAAGCCGCAACACACTCGAGTCCGAGTATGGAAAGGCTACCTGTCTGTTTCTCCCCCTTCTTTCCCCCCGTCCCCCACCCACAGCCGGTTTGTACATACCATAGTAGTGTATGCACATTACCATATCTACTACCTACTATTATACATAGGGCCTAGTCAAGGTACGGATGGCGCAAAACGTGCTGTGCTGTTAGCCTGTCTCCTCTTCGTCAGGCTTCTAGCTCGCCGTTTCACACCTGTCCTAAGTCGTCCTAATCCCTGGTCGCTTCTAGCCCGCTGCTGCCGAGCCTTCTGTGGCTCCCCCGTCGCTTCTAGGTGGTAGCGTAGCGTGTCCATGTAGGCTGGGCAGACCAGACTGGGGCTTGCCGGTCCCGGTCCGGACGCTGGACATCTGGGGAGCCCTGTGGTCGGTGTTTTGCCCTAGCTCCCCTTCTTCCCAAAAGAGATTCTCTCAGCCCAGTCCCTGGTTCGCCCAGATCCTCACCCCTCTCACTGCCCTGCCCCCATCATCGATGGCCAGATGCTACCCTGTCCACACTTGCCAACCCTGCCAAACCTTGCCCCCTCGCCATCCTTGCTCCCTGTCTCCTTCTAGCAGGCCAAGCAGACTCTCGCACACCACCTGTCCTCGACTTCCACAGATGCAGCTTAGGTTTGTATCAGGGAAATCCGGCTTAGCTCCTACCGACGTTCCGAACTTGACCGTGCTGAACTATAGCCCACACCCCCCCTCGCCCTCGTCTTCGTGGGTGGATGGCTTCTGACGGAGTAGTCAACGGTACTCTTTCTCTTATACCCCAGGGTCCTGCACTGCCCCGCCATCTGGGCCTCTTTTTTTGTTGCCTTCGTCGTCCCACCCCCCCCCCCCCCAAAAGGCCACGGCTGTTTGTCATTCACGGCGTTGCCAGTCGCTCCTTACCCGTGCTCGCCTGCCCGAACACTCTTCCGCCCCTGATAACGGGCTCTGGTCTATAATATACCAAGAGCTGGCTCTCTTTCCGGCCCCTCGGGCTCACGAGTGCAAACTAACACCCTACGGTCTCGGGAGTTGGCCTTCGTACAACTCACCACGCTCCTTTTTCTTTTTGCCAGCACTCGAAACCTCGACTGTCCTTTCTTTTTGCCTCGTCGCCCCTCTTCCCCCCTCGCCAGACTTAACCTCGGGGCCGTCGTCGTTAACGCTTTCTCGTCCTGATGCCCCACGTTCCTTGACGTTTTAACAAGACGCGTGAGATATCTTCAGCCGAGATTCGATCCGGATATCCACGCTACGCGCTCCTTAACCACTCACACGCACTCACACACACACATATACACACACGCGGTGTGCTTGCCCGTCCTTCCACCCACCAGGCTCGAGGCGCTTCCCATCTTGGGTGACCGGATCCTGCTCCAACACCCCGAACCTGGCCGTTGCGCGCTATAGTTCCCAGTAAGTTACTGGACGGCTGGAACGGGGTCTCATGATACATGTAGATTCGCTCGCCCAGTGGAGCCCTCGGCGGGGCACTCGACCACCGTGGCTCGTTTCCGCCCTAGTATTCATGCTAACATACCATACCTGTAGCTTCCGGTCAATAATAGATTAACCGTCACCCTCCCGAGCCTAGAGTCTATGGCCATGGACTCTAGTCAGGCCCAGTTGTACGCGTTCCCCAGTCTTCTTGCCTCGCCCTTAAACCAGGAACGCAGAACTTACATAGATGATATAGACGGCAACAAATGCAGATACCGTCCTTCGCCTTCAACAGCCCCAATAACAAATTTAGGAGGGAAGTCCCGGCGCCTCGCCCGCCGCCCATCGTCACTATGAACGGGAATAAGATGCCGGTCAAGACCGAGTCGATGGCAACGCCGCAGGGGGTATGGACGACTTCGACGACTCAGAGCATGAGGCCGCGGCCTGCCACCATCCACGAGGGATTTTCCTACTGCATAGGCGAGGGCTTCGAAGGCATACCAGCGTGGGATTCATCATCCATCCAGCAGATACAGCAACAGACACCGAGCGACACCATGTCGAGACCCATATCTGTCCACCAAAACTTCTACCCGCCCACGTCCATGGAGAGCAGTGAGTGCTTTGGACGGCCTGGCAAAGTCGGGGGGCTAACAGTCCTGTCAGGCACATGGGCGCAGAAACCATGCGACGATGGTCTCGAGATCCCCGGGTTGGAAGGCGACATGGGTGCCATAGGGCAGGCATACACCACCGACGAGGCCATCCCGATTCTTGACCTTAGGTACCCGGGTCACCATCTAGACGGCGACTCGATGGCCTTCGACAATGGGCTGAACCCACGCAGGATGTCGGGCTCGTCCTTCACCGTGTCCACGTCAGGTGGCCTCTCGGACATGCCGTCGTATGAGGACTTTTCAGCAGCGCTGTCAGATGCGCCGTCGTTCACCTCGGACTATCCACCGCCGTCGAACCGGAACTCGCTCATGTCCTCCACTCAGCTGTCGCCTGTTGCGTCCCCACGAATGACACCCCAGGGCCGGTCTGAACTAGTACGGACTCAGAGCAGAGGGAGAGCCTCGCCGTCTCCAAGGCCCGGCATGCGTGCTGCGCCCTACTCGGTCGATACTGGCAGGAACAAGAGATGGTCGACGGGCTCCTTCGGCACGACCCCAAACCGGCGGCAGTCTCCCTTTGTCTACCACCCGCACGACGCCTTCAACCCACACGCTCGCATGTCTTCTCGCCATTCGTCGCCGACGATCGCGCATGCCCAGCTCCCATTGAACTATGGAAATCTACAGGCTGCGCAGCAGCACCCTTACCTGATGAGCAACGCGCCGGCCTTTCATCGCAACAGCATGCTGCTGCCATCCCAATTGCCATCGCATGCCTTCCATCCGGATGCGCACCAGTTTGAGACGCCACCGCCGCTGCTTTCTCACGGGTTGTTCCGCATGCTGCAAAGCAATGCCGACCCTCACTCCCTGCATAGTCACTACACAGATCTCTCAGATCCGCCAGACCTCTACGCCTCGCTACACGAGGAGCAGATCCCCCCTCCCCCTGAAGACATGAACCCGACCGACCAAGATCTCGTCCCTCACGAGCAGGAGTTGAGGTTTGAGGGCGACTTGTACACGCCCAGGTGGGTACGAGGCCACGGTAACAAACGGGAAGGTTGGTGCGGTATCTGCAAACCCGGGCGGTGGCTAGTGTTGAAGAACTCGGCTTTCTGGTACGACAAGAGCTTCACACACGGCATCAGTGCGGCAACGGGTAGTCCCTTCCAAGAGCCTCAAGAAACAAGGCGCATGGATGGCAATCCGGATGTTTGGGAAGGACTCTGCGGGAGCTGTAACGAGTGGATTGCGCTGGTGAGCAGCAAAAAGAAGGGGACAACCTGGTTCAGACACGCATACAAGGTAAGTCAAGAGACCTGTTTCCCCATTCCTGCTTCTGAGCTGGATAGTAACTGACGATTTTACAGTGCCACACACATCCGAAAATCAAGGATGCGCCAAAGCGTCGGAGGGAAAGCAGCCACACACGCTCATTAGCGGCGTCGACAATGGCAAGGCCAAGAACGGAGCCGTTGACGCCGCAGATGACTCCAGCTGCCTCCGTGGTGAACACGCCAACACCGGCGCAGTCTCAGATGCACGCTGCGCAAAGTGCGCAGGAGCAACAGCAGTCGCCGGAGCTACAGGCACAGCAGCAGCAGCAACAGCAGCAGGCCCAGCAGCAACAGCAGCAACAGCAGCAGCATCAACAGATGCAACAGCATCACCACCAGCTGTTACAGCAGCAGCAGCAGCAACATCAACAGCAGCAGCAACAACAACAGGAGCAGCAGCAGCAGCAATTACAGCATCCTATGCCTCGCCACCTCGAGCAGCACCAGCACCTGCATCCTCAAATACACGTGCAAGTGACGGCACCTCCTCAACAACCTCAGCCGAGGACGGTAATGAGCCCGCTGGAAGCCTTTCCCAACATGATCTGATGACAGACAGTCGGGCTACGGTCCCCGACCACACTCGCTTCGTCTATCTCTCTCTCTATATCTCTCCGTCTCTTCGCGTTCATTCATTCAAGAGAGGGGAAGGAAAGAGAAGGAAAGGCGAGATGGGGTGGGGTGGACGCTCTTGAGAGCCACGAATCTACTCGCTCACTCACTTTACTATGAAATGCCTTTCATGACTTTTTCTAAACATAACCATGATGAAACGTGGGGGGGGGAAACAAAAAAGATTCGGGAGTATCTATATATATCCATGTGTCTGTCTCTCTGTGTGTATGGGGCTTGGCTCTTTTCATTCATTCTTTTTTTCTTTTCTCTTTTATATATCCTTTCTTTTTTACTCCACAAACAGAGAAAGCGGTGTTCTGGCCGCCGAATTTGACTGGCGCATGCCGCCATTTTCGGCGGCTTTAACACCAAGCGCACAAGTCTCTCTTACAAGTACCGTCGGTGTACCTGTGTCATAGTGGCCTTTCTAGCGCATCTCCATCACGGTCGAAAGAGTATCTAGGTTGGTGCTTCAAGAGACAGCACAACATAATTGATCAGTTCATCCGTTCCAGGGGCATCCGGGATCTGGGTATATACCGCCACGTTTCGAACCTGGATGGAGGACTTCGTAACTAACAAGCCTGGATTCAAAGCTACAGAAAGGAAGGACAGAGCAGGAAAAGGATGTGGGAGCGCAGACTACAGCTTAAATTGATGAACGACGCAACGCGAAGCATGGAACAAAACAACGTAAAACCTATTTTTTTTTTAAAAAAAAAATTCTTCTCTGCCTCTATTTTGATTTTTTTTCTTCCCAAGCCCCATATTTCCGTTTCTTTCTCCTCTTGTCCATTTTTGCTATGTTATTTTCCCTGGGGGAAATGGAGGAGAAAATAGAAATCGAAGAAGGGAGATTAATGAATTCCGTTTTTGGGTTTACCTTTCATTTTTTTCGCTTCAATACTACCTAGATATCGAAAGCGGTCAGGAGGGGGGGGAGGAAAGGAAAAGAAAGGAGGCTGGATATAATTTCTGGCCAAAGCATCTGTTTCTTCAACACATCTTTCTCCTTTCTGTGCCAGAAAATCTCGCACATGCCTCGCTCGCCCTCTCCCCCCGATCAGCCTCTCAAGCGGAAACAAAGGCGGCTAGCTAGCGAAACCTGATCGATCCTATCCTTCTTCTGCTTCTTCCGTCGCTCACGACACCCGTTCAGTCCGCTTTCTTTGCATTTATTGTCTATTGCCTACATATATTAACATGGCGTTTCTACACTTGTCTGCATCTTCTTTCCAAATGGCCTCTTGGGGACTGGAAATGAAGTCTCCAGAAGGTCATTATTGCGAGGCTCCCAAAACGGTGCCTCTTCTCCCAGTACCGTGAAGTCCATGTATCTTCCTACATGAGCAATGAGGAAAAGCCTGATCTAGGAGAATGGCCCGTCCCACCCATCCACCGACATGGCGCCGGAGACTTTGCACAAGCTTTCAGGGGATACGGCTGCTACCCAGCAGCCTAGCCGGCGGTGTTCCGGTAGTTCGGCGTTTCGACGATCCCACAGATCCACCCCGATTGCGCGGCAAGTCATACACACTCGAGACTTGAAGCCGGGATTCCCGGCAATGTGGGGTGCTGTCTGGAAACACTGGAAACTAAAAACAAAATTTCCTCTCCTTCGAGAAGGGAGTCTGATTTGCTAGGGCATCGCTTCTCCCACACTATAAGGCGAGTCCGCCCAAAGCATGGGGGCGGGTGTCGTCGTCGTGTCAAAGTGGTGGCGTTAACTGGCAGTTACGCAAGCGAACCAAAATATTAATCATCTCGCCTTTCTTAGAGTCTTACAGTATGACAAAAACCATCACCGGAACCGGCCGAGCGTAATAACTCAATCGTCGTCCCTATATCAGATGGAGGTTCTTGCTCGACAAGGGGGGTGCTGGCGGCTCTGTCGGAGTTGGTTTGCCAGTCAGGCCCGTCGAGGCCACCATTCTTACCTCGTCAATCTCCCTTCATTCATGCGTGGCACTGTGGAGCTAATGACGTGCTTTGTGGCTGGAGGGCATTCGAGGGCTGTTGGGACCTGGGCCAGGTGACATGGTTGAAGATAAGAGAGGAAAAAGCAAAGAAACACCCCCTCGTTCGACAGTGCCAGGATTTAAAGTGCTCGCAGCTTGATTTTCAGCTGGCTCCGGCCCGTGTGGCTGGACAGCGGTCGAGCTGCATCTGGCGTCCCTGATGGCCCGATCGATTGCCCCTCGGTGCTGGGCTTGGCCAACAATTCGACAGGAGGCTCGGGGCCTGATTGCAGATCCAAGAAAATAGGCGCCAACCAAAGAGCAGGCTTCAGGCAATTGACCCCGATGCCCCTCAACGATGCCAACAACGCAGCTTCTGTTGGAGTCGAGTCCGCGGATTGGCACTACTCCGAACCTACGGATACCCAAGAACAGAAAGAGGGGTGTCGGCCACGCAACGATGCTGATGAGTGGCAAATGAGCCGAAACGGCTGACCGCAGGGAATTCTTCGCAATTGGACTTCACAATTGGCTCCTAGGAAAAGTGTTGGTCAATTGGTGAGGGGTTTCAAGGGACGAATCGAAATCGCCCAACAACCGAGCCAAAAGAAGATTCAAGCTCTCAAGTTGGTCGGGATCAAGGGAGTCAGGAAGACCATTGAGGGGCCTTTCTGTTGCAAGGGCACAGAGGACAGGAGTTGCCGAGTATTTGGCTCTAATTGGCTCGGTTGCCTCACCAATCAAGGCACGCCCATGCGCGCAGAAGCACCTGATCTTGGTTCTGCAGAGTTCTGAGGCAGGAACGATGCTGTCCAGTCGTTGCAGCGACTCACGGCCAAATTCGAACAGGAGAAAAGGCTCCTGACAGAAAGAGCAACAGACATATTCCGCAGTGCTGCACAAGACAACTTTTCCAGGTCAAGATCTTCATCGGCAGAAGCCACAGTGCATCTAATAGGTAGGACGGACGGACAGACGGACGGACGGACAAGACGAGACAAGCCGCCGTCGGTCAGTACCATCCATATCGTATCCCCTTTTCGGCGCTGATGCGACTTGAATCGGGTGCGGTGCGGCTGTTGGGCAACCAAACTTTGAACTGCACGGGAGCTGGAAATTGCCCTGCCCCGGCTTTCTCCAGACTTTCGGATCGGCTTCTGGTCGGCTCCCCTTGGCAAGGCGGCCGAGACTGTTGAGTTTGGTAATGAAAACGCCTGCAGGTTGGGGAAATGTTACCGAAACCTCGTTGCAGATAGGGAACCATGGGAACTTCAAAGTTCAACCTCGCATGAGCTACGGAATACCTTTGCTGTAACGCCTCAACTGCCTGCATCAGTTACATGATGCGTATTCAAAGCGAAGCTCAGATTTCCGACCCCGAGTAGATACCTCGGCGCTTGCCATGCCATGCACAAGCGGCGCCAATATTTAAAGGGATCCTGTGCGACATCAGTACATGGCTTTGACGCAGGAACCGGATGATAGCGACAGGTCAGCTCAATCTCATAGCATTCCCGTTCCCGGCTTGCAACCACCTTCCTCAACCGTGGGGTTCCAAGTCGGCAGCGATCGGATTTGCAATCATTAGGTTATTAGACTGCGGAACAGGCCGCCCAAGGACCTTGGACACGTCACCGCGCCTCTTCTGTCGGTGTCGGTCAGCATCACGGACCCGGCGAGAGCGAACTAAAAGCTTCAAAAGAGCAAATCCACAACTGCCAGCCGTCATCTCAATTTCCGCCTTCTGCACGGGATATTGGGCAGCTATGTAGCTGCTCCGTACCTACATACAGGACAGGCAGAACACGAGGAGCCAGGGAGTTGGGCCCCGGTGGGCTGGAAGCAGAGCGATTTGCTGAGCTGCGATGCACGCCCCTTTTGGGGTTACAACTGTCCACAGAGAGGATCACTCCACGCAGACGCCGAGCATCCTGCAAGGCGTAAGCTGCATACCTTATTCGTGCTTCTGAAAAAGACGGCTCTATCTTCCCTGGTTTCCACGGATGCCAATACGCACGTTATGACTTATAGGGGAAGACGCAATAAAATAAGGCCACGGCTTGATGTGGCGGGCGCGGCAGTTCGGACACGAAACAATTTCAGTGTTGAACTTTATTGAATTGAGCCAGGGGGGTCTCGCAGCAGCAGGAAAGAGTCGCTGGAGCAATGCAAACGTTCTGGATAGGGCCTCTCGCAACTGTCTTGACAAGACAAGACTCTGTCTGGCTCCGTGCCGCCAACGAGTTAGCATCATCCGCAACATAGTAAATGCTACATATATGTTGTTGCCGTGATCAGTAACTCGACGGCTGGCTCTTCAGTCGAGCACCGGCTAGCGTAATAAGTCAGGTACCGGGCAGCCCAGGCAGGGCAACTTTCACGGTTCTGGCTCATCGGCCGTCTACAGTTCAACGGAAACTTAAGTCTCGGTGGGACGCCAGTCCCCGATATGGCAATCGAAACCGGAATTAGCCATCTTACATACATCAGTGGTAAGGAAATGACGGTTACAGAACCACCCGCTGAAGAGGAGGTCAGAGCAACGCCGGACTCCGTCGATAGCTTTCTTTAGTAGGTACTGTAACAGCACCTAACTAGTGGAGAGAGGGAGAAGGAGCAACCCAGGGAACGATGCGGGACCCCGCCCGACCGCGGGGCTTCTTGCCTTTCAGAATGCTTGGCCCTCCACTGAGCTGTCGCCGCTGCCTTTCTAGAGCTCCCTCCACTGTTGCCGCAGGGGCCTTTGACTCATCCATTGTGCATGTTGCTTTCTCAGGCACTGGCGGGACGGAGAGCCAATGATTTGGGCTTGTTGACGGCATTTTCCCCCTCGGCATTCTCTCTATTCGACAAGCTCTCTGCTCACCCGAGGCTGTGCGAGTCCTTTTCTTCCTCATGCAGGAGCACCTTCACCTTGACCTTCACGTCTCCTCTCAAGACAACGTGCAGCGTGCAGCAGCAGCAAATGAATCTGGGTGTGCAGGCAAGAAGGTCAAACCCCGACCGAGGTGCTGACATCACCGCCTCTTTAATTTGGACACATGCAAGTTCCCCACGGGCTCGATGCGGTGTCTCGGCCTTGTGCTGTAGCGCAGCAAGCCTCTGGCTCCTTTGTGCTAGAGCCACAGGCTACCCTACAGTACCTTTCTAGCTCAAGAAGATGGCTTGGAACACAGCCGGTCTACCAGTGCCGTTGCATGCTCAGCTTCCAAACGGGAAGAGCTAATAAGTCAGGGCCACCCGATGCGTGGGCGAAAGAGAGCCTAATAAGGCGCATTCCGAGCGAGGCCGGGTGGAGTAAATCCCAAGGTGTCTCCAGGCTGGGCTTCCGCATGTGTGTGCCATTGCCCAGCAGCAGCCGGACACTATATGGGCGTTGACGGGCGAGTGCGCGCAACGCAACGCGACGCAACGCAACCTACGCAGCGGGCCAACCTAGCTACCTTAGCTGCCTTCGGCATGGGCGTTTTCTCTCTACTTCTAAAGCGTATAGAAACCGGGCAGGACTTTGGGCGACGTAAGGGGTAAAAGGGGGGCGCTCCTGCGTCAACACGGTCAAGCAACCTGGAAAGGCTCTCTCTCGCCTGGCGTAATATGGAACCTACACTTGGCTGTACGAAGTAACACCATTTGCAACAAGCTACCGTGTCATCGAATTGGGTATCCGCCTCTCCTGTCGTTGCTCTCTCTATCAACTGATAATCACAGGCGATACGGAGCAGAGGGGTATACTGCGTATGATAACTTGCCCACCCGAACCCGGGCGTCTCTCCTTTACAAACAAACATAAGTAAGGTAGGGACAGGAAGACAGTCGAGGGCCCAAGCTAGGTCCCGTCGGTCGGTTTTATACGGCTGGTCCAGTCAGTCCGCAAACGACGGCTGGTGAACCAGCCTACCCTCCGGGAAGCGGTCGTGGCTTATATTAGCCGCCCCTTGGTCAGACCTTGTACACGGTCTAAGGAAACTTGATCTCGTGCTGCCGCTAGTTTAAACGTTTTTGTTGTCCGTCTTTTGCCGCCGTGCTCGACTGCTTGAAGGCCAGCCCGTGTCCTGCGACATATTACCCTTCTCGTAACCGACAGCGCTGTCTCTGGTGTCTCTGGTGGCTGCATTGGACGTCGATCCGCTATCGAGGCAGACATCAAGCAGGGAGGAACCGTGCTACGCCTACAGCAGCGCTTCCACTTCGACGCAGTAGTGCTGAGGAGCACAGACCGTACTGGAGCAGCTTCCTCCCACCCCCCCCCCCCCCCCCGGCATGGCAAACCGTCTTTTCAGCCCCCAGCGCCAGCCAGGAAAAGGAAAGCTAGCAACAAGTACCTATATTCGCTCTTTACCCCCTCGCGGGAACTTTAACTGCCATATTTTTTTTTTTTTTGCCCTGATCATTTCCGCAATTCACGACCTTTTCTTCGTTTCCTAGTCCTAGTCTCTCTCTTGGGACCTTGGATTTTTGTCTGGTGGTTAGCTCCCCTTCTCTTCCCTTGCTTTTCGCTCTTCACTATTTGCGCATGACAGCCTCTCGCTGATGCTGCCTGCTAACTACCGCACTGCTCCCTCTAGCTTATTAATGTTTGCTGCTGCTACGAACGAATGACGACGAGCTTTAAGAGTAATGAGCAAAAGGTGCCCGAGCTAGGAACACTTTCCCTAGGGCGACTGAAACATTTCATGAGCCACTCGCCTTTTTTGTGGCTCCCGTGGCTACAGTCTTCGACCGCCCTGCCCCCGACCTGCTAGGTTGCTGCGGCTCTCGACGTATGTTTGGGGATTTTGAACATCTCTTTTTTTGTTAAACAAAAAAAAGAAGAAAAAAAACCACCCAACATCGCCTGCGCAGTGCCATTATCCAGCTTGGGTTCTCTATGTATGATACGGCATCTAATCTGCTATGAGCGGGGATCAGCCGGCTTCCAGGTAATTCGTTCCGTTCCTCGCACCCGCATCCCTTTCCCCTCCGTCAGCTGCGTGCGTGCCGCAGAAGCCCCGGACTCCCTTGAGCGGCAGCCCATTTTTTTTCTTCTACAATTGCTGATCATCGTGTTTCCCACAGCTTTGGAGATCCAAACGCTCAGCCGCCCACGCCTAAACAAACTCCGACATCTACCATCTTACCGAGCCCCATTTTCGAGACGCCAAAGACCAACCAGGGCCAGTTTGACGAGTCAAACGGCTGGACGCCTCGATTTGCCGAAGAATATTCCGTCTTCAACACAACTCCGGGGAACCTCAGAGGCTCCCAGGGATCGTTTGCCGACTTTGGCCCAACATCCCCCTATACCCTGGGTTCGGGCCAGAAACGCCCGCTGTCTGCTGGAGGAATTGCCGCAGAGATTGCTTCCCATGTGAACCACTTCTCGCCGAATCCCAACCTTCCGCCCGTCGACCCTTCGCAGAGACTGCAGTCGTCGCCGGCCACCTTGGACACTCCCTTGTTTAATCGCTCCCCGGCCCCCGAACAGCGACCCGATTCCCAGGGAAGGAGTGCAAAAAAGGCCCGCCGCGCCAAGGCCACCCGGGATTCCCACGGCCAAACCGCAACACCACCCCCTTCGGCCCGCAAGGGCGAGCGCAACCTCGTGGCCAAGCTCGACACGGACAACGCCATGCAAAATGATCAGGGCTTCGGCCAGCCAGATTTCATGGGTACGAACCACCACGGGGGCATGGATGGCTACGTGACCACGCCCACCGACGTGTTCGGATACCCGCTCTCGGCCCCGGCGACGGCCCCGGCATTTGGCGCCCAGCAGTCCTTTTGGAACCCCGATGCCGGCATGGGAGGTATGGATATAGACTTCAACTCAAATGGAGCTGGCGTTTTTCGGGCTCAACATGCTTCGCATCAACCACCGAGTGCAGCCGACTGGGGAAGGGCCAATCAAATGCTGCAGCACGCAGCAGGTATCCCTGGCCAGCATGGGCAAGGTATTGAAGGTCACAGCCTCCCACTCGGCTCTCACCAATCTCAGGTACACAGCGTTCCTCTAGGGTCTCAAGCGCCCATGCAGACTCTCCAGGCGTCGTCGGCCGAGCAGCAAATGTTTGCAGCGTCTTACGCGACGCAAATGGATGACCCCTTTGGCATTGGTGTTGGCGGTGGAGTGGTGAATCCCGGACTCATCTTCAGCCGCCCTCCGTCTTCAAGCATGGATACGTCTTCCTTCAACGCTGTTATGCAAACGCAGAACGCACCCGCCCCGATGCCCTCTCAAGAAACCCGGGTAAGTGGTCGAGGGCCGGCCCTCGCAAAGGCCCCCGCGCGCAACGAGCTTCGGCGGTCGGCCAGCGAGAAGGAGCTGGACCCTAGTAGACAGAATCAGGCCCCTGCCACTTCTCCGGTCAAGTCGTCGGGCCGTCCGGGACTCTCTCGTAGCTTCAGTGAGAACCGGGGAAAGAAGCAAACAGGGCGACCAATACTGCCAACTTTAGCGCCGGCGCCCCGGCCGCGGTCACAAGCACAGTCACAACCGCAGCCACAACCTCAGCCACAGTCGCAGTCACAACCACAGCAGCAGCAGCAGCAGCCGCCAATCCTTTCCAATGGCGGCACCAACCGGCCAGTCGTAGTGCAGTCAAGTAGACCGAACGGGAGAATCTCACCACTTAAGAGTAATCACCACCAGCGGTTATCGAGCTTGTCGTCAATCCCGGAGACGGTCGGCCCACGGACAAGGACTCAGGCAAAATTCACTATCGATTCCAACGGGCGAGCCCGTGTGGAGACGACGATAATCGTAGATGACGAGCCGCCTCTTTCGATTCGCAAGCGGCACAGTGCACAGCCTCTGTTGCGACGTCGACAATGGGGCTCGTCCGAAGACGACGACGATTCATCGACAGACGACGAGCCAATAATCATTCCCAGTAGGAACACATCGTTTGCGCTACCCGACCCGCGGAAGCCAACCACAGTCCATCCGTTCCACTACCCACAGCGGAGCGTCAGCGACCGCAGTACTACGTCATACACGACCTTTCGGAGAGCGTCTCAGGGCGGTGGCGACAGCGATGGGGAGACGGTGCTGAACGACGTGACCCCGACCGCCAAGCCGTCGGGGGACGCGGCGAGCGAGCTGCGGAAGCTGCGCGAAAGCCGGCAAAGACAGCTGTCGACATCCAAGGCGAACTCGTTTGCCGCTGGCGGCCGCGGGACGGCCGGGTTCGCTGCCAGCTTTGCTAGGGGGCATAATAACAACGTTTCGCCAACCGCCGTGACTGAGGCGAGCCTGCCTACGCCGTCGACGGATTCGAGAACGCGCGGCTTCCACTGCGTGTGCAACCGGTCTGAAACCGACTGGGAGAACGACCTCATGGTTCAATGGTAGGAATCCCATTGCCTCTCGGCTATCGAGTAGCTTCTTCTCCCCCACCCCTCCTAGGCCAGGCCAGGCTCGCTGACTGGTGAACCCAATTCATAGCGAATCATGTGAGATGTGGAGTCACGGACAGTGCGTAAACATTCCCTCGGAACGGATGATGCCTTCGATCTACATCTGTGCGTACTGCGCAAACACGCCCAACATGCGCGGAGGCCGGATCCGAGACACCGGCCGCATTTCGGGAGGGGCAATAGGGCCCCGTTCGCCGCTCGCACACAAGTCGTTCAAATCCTTCCGCTGAGATGATCAAACTTGTCGTCTTTTGGCTCGGAGCTAAATCACGCCAGTTCCGGCGTGCCAGTTGTTTCAGGGTTTTGGTGTCGACGACCTTGAGTTGCAGTTGTTTAGGGAACAAACCAGCCCAGGCCGCGCGAATGTAATGACTATGACCTTTTGGATATGAAATGAAAGGGGAAAGACAAAAACCGCAAGCGATCTCTTCTGTTGTTTTTATTTTATTTTTACTTTGGTTGGATTTCTCTTCTGGAAACGACCTGTCACTGGGTTTGGCTCCCCACCGCCAATCTGCCTAGCTACCTTGACAATTTGGAAGGAGAAGCAAACCGGATGCGCACAAAGCTGGAAAGAGGGAGAGGTACACACCGATCGCCTAGCTTACCATACCCAAGGTACATTTTGTGTTTTGCGAGGAAGAGATTCCGCAAATCCGTATGATACCCGATCATCCATGTCTTAGGAATCAATCTATAATAATCGAACCCGGGGCCATTGCTACTCTGCATGCTGGTAAGTACCTGTGCAGTACGTGGGTGGCTGACTGGAAGATCAATCTCCCTGTACCTACCCAAGTCTCCAACTGCCTGCCCACCTTATCACTTAGCTGGGTAGCTATCTGAAGGTGGGTTAGGTAGGAGGGTATACAGAAATACATACACAGCGTCTCATGTTGCGCCAGTGTGTCTTGGACGAACTATATCTATAATTGTGCTGCGTTACATGTTTCGTCTTCTTTTGTCCTTCTCTTAATCCTCTTCTCATGTTGCCCATACCTTACCTTGGTTACGTTGGGTATTATATCTCCAGGCCCCGGCCCGAGAGGTTCAGGTGTGTCCTTTCCCAAATGCACGATAAGACCGCTTGTGCGACCGAGGCTGCGGCCCCCGGGTGGGAGGCGGGTTGGTTGGGTGTCCGGTCTGAGGGGACGCCGGAGTTGAATTGCATTGTGTGAGGCAGAGTTACCCAGGGAGTATCGTACCTATCTTAGTGGTAGGTGTTTATCTGTGTCTTGTGTGCAAAAAGAGGCCACCTACTCGTGCTTGTATACACACGCATATACACGCACACGCATACGCACACCCACACGGGACGATTCTCTTTCTTTTACCCCGGAAACGGTCGGGGAAGAGGAAAAAAAACTGATGATGTCGCGGGGCCGAGCCCCCCGATTCCCCCGATCCCCCGCCGATCTCGGAAGGCGGGGTAGCTTGAGCTGGTGAGAGAGTGGGGGCGCCCTGGGCCAGGAAACCCAAAATGCTTGAAAGCGAGAGAGAGAAGCGGGTTGCGGGCTGCGGATGTGGTGTGTCTTGAGTGTATATGTGTGTATGTATATGTATGTATCTATGGGCGCGCAACGCCCTGCTTATTCTCTTTTCCTTTCATCTTTTTGTTCTTTTTGGTATACCTCCTATCTATTCTGTTTTTTTTTAGAGAGAAGGACATTTCTTTTCCTATTTCGGCGGGCAGGCAAGATTAATTGAGTTACTTACCTTTTCCTCCCCTTTCAAGCTTCTCTACCTTACCTTACGGAGCCCCTCCTCCTCCTCCTCCTCCGTACCCGCGCCCTCGCCAACCCCTCCAGAGCAAGCACAACCTCCATCCGAACCCGGCCCAAGTCAGTCTCGTCGAGTTGCAAACAATCCGGAACAAGTTGAAGCAAGAAAAGAGACAAAAAATGGCGACGACACATAACATTGTCGTCTTCGGGGGCGACCACTGCGGTCCCGAGGTAAGTTTCCCCCATTTACACAGGCAGGTTGAGGGTTGTAAACGGAGAGACACATTGCCGGCTTCCAATTGATTGGGGGCTCGTGTTCTGCTCCGGCTGCTGCGCCCATCTCCGACTTCTCGGGCGTGTGTGCCGTAAAACTAACAACTTTTTCTTTGGGCTTTGCCAACAGGTTGTGGCCGAGGCGATCAAGGTGCGACTTTCTGAAATGCTGCTTCCTGCTTCCTTCTCCCTCTCTCTTTCTCTGCTGCTGCTCCCCCCCCAAATTGTGCGCCCCGCACAGTACGGGCATGACATGAGCATTGCCTGGGCAAGGCAGGGCAAGCCAGCCAGCCAATCGAGGGAAACCGCAAACGCAGAGACGACGAGACAAGCTGCTTGCTACCTTCACCCCACATCACGTGCCCATGCGTGGGTGCGTGGTGGTGCGGTAATGATACTACGCACAGCGGCGGCATGCGGAAAAGGGGCCTAGCGGCTTCATCACAGAGAACTGAGAGAGATTATCAGAACTAGCTGAACTAACCTGGGAAATGTGACTGCATCAGGTCCTCAAATCCATCGAGATTCACAGCCCATCGGCCGGAAAGTTCAATCTCCAGGAGCATCTCTTGGGCGGTGTAAGTTGTGCCATTGTTTTCCCGCGCCTGTCGAGTTGTTGCTGTCGAGCTGTTGCTGTTCCCCGGCTTCTCTAGTTATCCTTCTTCGCAGAGAAGGAAAAAAAAAAAAACAGTCAAGGGTTGTATCAAGATCACTGTACCACTTGTGTGCCTCTGGCAACGTTGCACGAGGACGGGGGCTTTGCTTCGATATATACAAGCGAAAGCGACGACAGTCCGCAAACTTAGCACCCCGTAGCTGACCTTCTTTGCCTTCCGTCCGACGAACAGGCCTCCATCGACGTACACAAGGATGCCCTGACAGACGAGGCCCTCTCGGCTGCCAAGGCCGCCGACGCCATTCTTCTCGGCGCTATCGGTGGACCGGAATGGGGCCCCTCGTCGCCAGTGCGCCCGGAGCAAGGAATCCTCAAGCTGCGCAAGGAGCTAGGCACCTACGGCAACCTTCGCCCTTGCAGCTTCGCTTCCGAGTCCCTTGTCGACCGCTCGCCGCTCAAGGCTGAAGTCTGCCGCGGCACCGACTTCGTTGTCGTGCGTGAGCTGACGGGCGGCATCTACTTTGGCGACCGCGTCGAGGACGACGGATCCGGCTATGCGTGCGACACGGAGCCCTACACGCGCCCCGAAATCGAGCGCATCGCCCGCCTCTCCGGCTTCCTCGCCCTAGCCAGCAACCCGCCCGCCAAGGTGTGGAGTCTCGACAAGGCCAACGTCTTGGCCACGAGCCGGCTGTGGCGCAAGGTTGTGACCGAGGTCTTTGCCAAGGAGTTCCCCCAGCTCCAGCTCGGCCACCACCTCATCGACAGTGCCGCCATGTTGATGATTAAGAACCCCCGAGCCCTGAACGGCGTCGTCATGACGAGCAACCTGTTTGGCGATATTATCAGCGACGAGGCCTCTGTCATCCCGGGAAGCATCGGTCTGCTGCCGAGCGCCAGCTTAGGCGGTATTCCCGACGGCAAGGGCAAGTGCAACGGCATCTATGAGCCTATCCACGGTGAGTCCTTTTTTTTTTTTTTTTTTGGCTCAGTAAATATGTCTATGTTCTGCACCTTGTTTGCGAAAAGGGGTGGTCACACGAAGATTAGCAAACTCATTATTCGTCTCAGGCTCCGCCCCGGACATTTCGGGCAAAGGCATCGTCAACCCTGTGGGCACCATCCTCTCGGTCGCCATGATGCTCCGGTACTCGCTTAACCTGCCCAAGGAGGCTGACGCCGTCGAGGCTGCAGTCAAGGCCGCCATTGACAGCGGCATGCTGACCAAAGATCTCGGAGGATCCGCCGGCACTGTCGAGATGGGTGACGCGATTATCGCCGAGCTGGAGAAGATCCTCAAGGCATGATAGGAGATAGATGATAATCTTTCCTCCCGACGTCTTTTATTTCGATGATCTTTCTTTTCGGCTTTCTTTCCCCCACTCCTGTCCAGGGCGGCCGGCTGGGGCTGTGGACAGTGCTGTCGCTTTTTACTGTTGTTACTGGATGATATGAATGGCATGGCCCGCCATGTGTATTACGTCCCAACCCTTTTCAATCGAGGGCTCGAGTGAGCCGCTTGTACGGATGGGCACTGTCGTTGTGACAAGGCCAAAAATTATAAGCCGAGACTACGCGGAGGCAAAAGTAAAATGGACGTCGTGCTGGGCAAAAGGAGGTTGCGTGTCGTCACTCTCGACAGGCTGCGGGCCGAATTGGTAGACAAAAGAAGAAGAAAAGAGATTATCCTGATTTGGGAAGGCGTGTTTATGGTCGAGTTGTTGAAGGCACGCCCGGATCCCCTTTGCCCAGTCAGTGCCTTCCATCGCCTCGCTCCTGGGTGACACTGGCAGTTTCAGTCGCTATGGTAGCCACAGCTTCCCATGAACCCCCGTGCGTGCCACCTCCCGCTCGAGCAAGTTGGTCACCGTCTGCGCATTTTCGCTGAGTCGTCTTCCTTTCCACCTGGTCCGTAACCAACACAGACTGCCCGACACGCCACAACTTCGCCAGGCGGTCAATATACTTATCGCACCGCCACTGCAGAGCATTAATTTCTCCCGGCACTGTCAATTATGTCTTCTATCTCTCCTAACGTCAAGAAGAGGCTGATAGTCTGTTCTGATGGCACCTGGATGAACTCGTAAGTTCGCACTTTCCTCCATGTCATGGCAGTCCTAGTCGATAAGTTGCTATGCTATGTTGTGGGGGGGGGGGGGGGATGGGACGGGGGAACTCAATCCGCGTGAACTGACGGGCTCGCCTCGAAGTGATACGGGCTACTCGAAGCCAACGTTTTGGAATCCCGTGGGAAAGCTGCAGACGCCGTCCAACGTCACGCGGATATCGCGCTCGTTGCGCCGCACCTGTGCCGACGGGGCTATCCAGATCATCGAATACCACTCGGGCGTCGGCACCGGCGGTACCCTGTCGGATGTCCTGTCGGGCGGCGCCTTCGGGCTCGGAATCTCCGAGGCAAGCAAAGCAAACTACCGTGGCCGAGTCGTGAACACTCGACACTTCGCGGTGGTGGTGGCTAACTGAGACTCCGAGAAGAACATCCGTGGGGCATACTCGTTCATCTGTGCCAACTACTGCGACGGCGACGAAATCATACTCGTTGGGTTTTCCAGGCGAGTTTTGTTCTCATGGATGGAGACTCTGCAGGCTATAGTTCGCTAACACGCCTGTTTTTAACGAATCAGGGGTGCGTTTACCGTCAGGTCCGTCGCCGGCATGGTTGGGCAGCTCGGGCTACTTACTCGCGAGGGCATGGAGTTCTTCTACCCTATCTATAAGGACATGCAGAACTGGCAGACGCCCAACTACGAGGACCCGTTCCCGAGCATCCCGTTCGACGACAAGCCCAGGGGCGAGGATGCCGCAGTGAAATACAGGCAGATGCTTCTCGAGGCAAGTCTTGCCACAGACACCCGGCCATTCATGTCTTCTGTCTCAGCACTAACGTGTATACTTGCAACTAAAAGAGAAAAATGACTCGGGTCTATGAGGGCACTGGCAGCGGGGCCCTGATCAAGGTCAAGGCAGTCGGTATGGCGCTTCTTTGACTACAGTGTCTGACTGGCTGCATTGCTAACCACTCTTGCCGCGGCGACCAAAGCTGTGTGGGATACCGTGGGCAGCCTGGGGATACCCAACGCCTCGCTGCTGGCCAAGATCGGGCTCCCGCACTCGACCAAGGAGTTCAAGTTCTTCGACACGGACCTGTCAGACCGCATCGAGTACGCCTTCCACGCCCTAGCCCTAGACGAACACCGGCCTCCGTTCAGCCCCACCATCTAGGAGCGCACGGTGGCGAACCGAGGCACTACCGAGCTCCGCCAGGTCTGGTTCCCTGGAAACCACGGTAATGTGGGAGGCGGCTGGCAGGATGCCGGCGTCGCCAACATGTCTCTCGCATGTAAGTAGCCCCTCCCTGTCATTCTTTTCCTTTTTATCTTTTGTGCGGGATATGGGGGAGCTATGAAGATGAGGACTGACATATTTTTGAAACTCACTCCCCAGGGATGATGGACCAACTGGCTTCGATCGGAGTCGAATTCGACGAAGCGACCATCACGCGAATATTCACGCGGCTCGAGCACCACTACCGCTCCAAGGCTGAAGAAGAACAAGGCGAAGAGATCAAGCTCGCGAACCAGCCGCCGCCGCCCATCACGTCTGAGGACGCGGTGGCGTCGTCAGAGGAGCCCGACAGCAACGACACCGCCGGGTGCTGTGGGCTGTTCGCCAAGCTGGCGCCCGAGAAGAAGCGCTGGGCGGCCGAGCCCATCTACCGGAGCAACGCGCCTGTGCGGCCGTGGGGGCTCGGAGGTATCTTCGGCGCCGAGGGCTTCATGAACAAGGTGGTGGGCTACAACGTGCGGAGCCCGGGCATGTACAAGAAGGTTGACCCCGAGACGGGCGAGGAGACGCGCGCGTTCCTCGAGGATACCAACGAGCGCATGCACGGCTCGGTGCGCGTGCGCCTGGCGCTCAAGGGCCTGGGGCTCAACGACCGCCACGTCTGGAAGGCGCCGGCCCTGGACGGGAACTGGCGCCTGCGCAAGACCACCGAGGCGTACCGCGACCCGATCCCCAGCACGGTGACGACGTGGGAGCTGCCGTCTGCCGCCGCCCCAGCCCCTTCCCACAGCAAAACGCAGCAGACAGACACAGAAGCGACAACGACAACTGCCCACCAGCAACGGCCGCTCTCTGCGCTGCGGGACAGGAATTACAGATGGGTCTGGGAGTACTGCGGGTCCGAGAAAGACGCACCGCAGCAGAGGATCATGGTCGAGGAGCCGCTAGGGCCGTTCGAGCGGCAGCTGCTCCGCCTGTCGGGGGGCACGCCAAACGTGTACGAGTTTGCTGAGAGCATCGACCTGGAGGACTAGTGATTTCAGTCCGCAGGGGGAAGATGGGTGTCGGCCGCTTTACCTACCTTGCATACCTAGGATGAGTACCTACTTGAACTTAGTATAATGTTAATTTTCGATCAAATTCTGTTCCCCCATTTTCTTTTTCTGCTCGGGTTTACGATGTGGTGTGAGTTCGACCCCATTTTCCCAGTTTTATTTATATTCGTTCGTATCTGAGGACGAGGCTATATAAATTGTTTCATGAATTATCTAAGGGGCACATATGGAATAGACACATGTAGAAAGTAAAGGAGAGAAGCAGACGAAAAGGGGGGGTTTTGATGGCTTAGCTCTCGGATCTTCCTGTCGCTCTCTTCGTCTAGAGCACGCCACCATGTAGGCAAAGATAACAGACGAACGGTTAGAATCGGCTAGATCTGCAATGCAGCATTACAGTTGCATGAGAGGGAGGGAGGGAGGGAGCCAGTCAGCCAGCTAGCCAAGCCAGATGGCGTGCGGGGGAGACATGCGACATTGGTTCAAAGTACTTCGTGCATTCACGCTGCACGTACCTTACTTAGACAAGAACGAGTACTCGATATCGAAATTTACTCGGCCTACACAGATACCTGGGAAATAAACAAAACATCCCGTAATATGTCCAACTTGGCAAGGGTTACTCTTCCCTGAAGAGTTGTTTGAGAGTTCGCTGAATCGTGAAGACACTACGAGAGAAGGTACATGTACCAAATCAATTCCCCACCATCCTAGTGTGCTAGAAAGGGCCTGCATTGGCCAATTAGCGCGCCGTATCGGCCAGTTATCTTTCCCGATTTGAATGCTCCCTGACGTTCGATAAGCATGGCCCATGCCCCCTTCCTCCGACTGCCAGGTACTCTGCCTTTCCGAAGTCGGCACAAACTGGATATGCTTCAAACAGAGAGACACACAGGCGGGCACGAGACACTCGGAGACAGGCCAGTCAGTTCTTTTTACTACTCGCATTAGCGCATGTCCTCTGCGGCGGCCTACCTACACAATCTGTCGCAACTGAGCGAGGACATCTCCAGTAGGAGTTGGGTGCTCTCCTAGCTCCGCACCGACTCCGTCCTTACACCACTTATTGATGCTAGCGCGACCAGCCAAGGCAGTATGATGATGTCGTGCATGGGTTCCGCTTCCATTTCTGCACCCCCATTACAGATATCATCTTAGCAGCAGCAGCACCAGCTTTAGGGACTGAAGGGACGGCAGTGGTTTTTGTTTTTGCTCAGTGTCTCAACTATCCATCACTCCATCTCCATTTTACCCCCCCATCTGTGTATGGGCCCCTAGAGCGACCACGAATGTTTTTGTACGAGATAACGGTAAAGAGTTTATTTACTATCGCTCTAGCCGGTCACTATAGCCTTCCAATGATGAGGCCTAGCTAAGTTTCAGGGTGCATCAGTAATGACGCATATACAGTAATGAGGGGTCGACAAGAGGCAGAACGCTAACAAAATACAGCTCTTCTTCGCCCTTTCACACGGATTCAAGGGTCCCTGGCTCCTTAGCGCAGTCCACTCACTTTTGGCCCATCGGATTCCCTAGCATCTCGGCCTTGGCGCCAGCACCGGTCTTTCCCTGTCCTCTCCACCGCGTCGGGGGAAACCCGCGGGGCCCTGGATGCAGCAAGGCAGAGCCTGCCAGAGGGGACTAGTTTTGAGCAGACAACATCTTTTCTTTGTCGATTTGCACCTCTGCGCCTGCCTGCTGCCTCTGCTCTGTCCCTCTCGCGCGTCGTCCGACTTTATTTTCTTCCCCCCCGCCTCCGCCCTCGTCCTTGCCCTACCGCGATTTTCCTCGCGTAACCTCTTCCCAGCGAGCGAGCCAGGGCAATGGCGTCGAGAGACCAGGCTCACAACCCGTCGACATGGGACCAGTATATTCGCGGTGCCTCCACGCCGGGCCGCAGCGGCAGTCTCTCGTCGCTGGGTGGCGGCCGCAGCGTCCAGTTTGAGAATGAGTCTCTGCTCGGCCGAAGCGCCGACTCGGGAGATGGCGATGGCGACGGAGACGGAGACGGCGACGGCGGCGAGTGGCCCCAGTTGAGACGCAGAAGGTACGGAGACCCGCTGTTTGATCCATTGCGGACAAGGAAAAGGCCATCTTTTCTTGGAAAGGGAGAAAAAAAGAAGAAAAGAGGACTGGTATATATGGCTGGCAACGCCGTGGCTAACTCGGACTCTATCCCTATAGGTCATCTGTCACGAACCGACTCGCTGCAATCACAGACATTGGCGGTGTAAACAGCATCAGGTCCTTCACTCGGAGTTGGCAGCGCGCAGCCGGATTCACCGAGGTCATCCCCGCACGCCCCTCGTTCATGTACGCGCCCGACCAAGCTCCCCTCGCTGCCCCGGCCCCTTTCCCATACGGCAGAAGCGACCCCGAAGCTGCCGACCAGTCTACCGCCACTCCCCGGGCATCTCTTCTGCGACAGCACTTCGAGTCCTCCCCGCCCAGCGAGCCGCCCTTTCGAGATGACAGCGCAGAGCCGGGTGCCAGTCACCAGCTACGACATCAGGCGAGCGGTTATCGGGAGCGCGAGCAAAAGGCCCTCGAGAGCGAACTTCCAACTGCCTTTCGGGTAGGGAGCAACACCACTACCGCCGAGTCCATATTCGCTATCCCTCCTCACTTGGGCACTCCTCCCGTTGTCGGTAGCTACGGCTCGTACGCAGACTATGGCACAATACGTTCGACCATGAGCCGCACCTCCATGGACCAGGCCGCGACCATGTGGCGACAGCAGCAAGAGGTTGGGGGCAATGTGCCTGATGACGAGGTCCTGCCCATCTTGGTTAAAGAGATTGAGCAGGACGGTAAGATCGTCTTGGCCGTCGAGGGACAGTCCACACTCCCCCAGACAGTATTCAACTCCATCAAGTAGGTTTTAGATTCGTTCGCCTCTCTGCGTCTACGGGCTTATTGGCTGATTTCTCTCTCCGCCTAGTGTGTTGATCGGAGTGGGCTTGTTGAGCTTGCCTATGGGCATCAAATATGCCGGCTGGCTTTGCGGCATGGTCGCCCTGTTCCTGTGTGCGGCGGTAACAGCCTACACTGCCGAGCTGCTGGCGAAATGCATGGATCTGGATCCCGGTCTGATTACCTTCTCCGACTTGGCTTTCATCTCCTTTGGCCGGAACGCCCGCATAGCCACCAGCATCCTCTTCACCCTCGAGCTGCTCGCAGCTTGCGTCGCTCTGTTTGTCCTGTTTGCCGACTCCCTGGATCTACTCTTCCCCGGCTTCTTGTCAGTGACCGGATGGAAGTTTATTTGCGCCCTAATCTTAATTCCCCTTAATTTTCTCCCGCTGCGCCTTCTCAGCGTCACTAGCATCATCGGTATCTTTTCGTGCTTTAGCAGTAAGTTTTGACAGACACTGACACGCGGGAGTGGGACACAGCGCTAATTTGCAAACTCCAGTTGTGCTCATTCTGCTCATGGACGGCTTTATCAAGCCTACCTCGCCTGGTTCGCTCATTGAACCAGCCACGACCTACATGTTCCCTTCAAACTGGCTTACTCTGCCTTTGTCGTTTGGTCTACTCATGTCTCCCTGGTTAGTGACTAGCAGCCAAGTGCTCGGATTCAGACCATTTCAACTAACCAGTGTGTAAAGGGGTGGACATAGCGTGTTTCCGAACGTAAGGGTCCCGCATTCCCTATCATGAGTTTGGGCCAGTTGTGCTGACGCTCATTCAGATTTACCGAGACATGAGACATCCGTATAGATACAAGGAGGCATTGAAGATTACGTTTTCGTTCACGGTATGCTGTTGCCCCCAGCTAAAGAAAAAAAATGTGACGTTTCCTAACGGCGATTTTGTAGTACGTTCTGGATGCAACCACAGCGGTTGCTGGGCTTTTGATGTTTGGAGATGACGTCCGCGACGAAATCACTTCAAACATACTCATGGAGAGCAGCTATCCCCGCGCTCTGACCTTCTTCATGTGCATGTTCGTGGCCATCATCCCACTGACCAAGATCCCCCTGAATACGCGGCCTATCACGTCCACGATCGAGGTCCTGCTAGGTCTCCACCAACAATCTCTCGCCGACAGTTCGAGCATGGTTGGACGCTCGATGAATTTCCGCGGAACCATGAAGATCGCCGTCCGCGTCCTGACCATATTCGTATACTTTGCCATCTCCATCGTCTTCCCGGCGTTTGACAGCATCATGGCTTTTATGGGGAGCGCGTTGTGCTTCACAATATGTGTTACGTAAGCTCTCTCACCTTCTCACGTTTCAGTCATATCCTTTAGGTAGAGCATAGCCGCCTGGAAAGTATTGTATACGAACGGTCACTGACGCTTGCACTCGCGTATTAGTCTCCCGATCGCTTTTTATCTGAAGCTGTTTAGCCACGAGATATCAGCCAAGCAAAGGCTGGTAGCTACCAGCGTCATGGTGCTCTCCACACTCCTGTCCATCACCGGGACTGTTTGGGCTTTCCTTCCTAAGAGCCTGATTGGTGCTTAGGGGTGAGGAAATATGTGAGAGAGAGATGGATAAGGAAAGGAAGAGAGGCGGGCTAGTTGTTCATCCTTCATTGCACTTGACGTTTGAAGTCGTTGGGGTTGGGCTTTATAGGTCATTCATGGCGAGCGGAGGTCAGCATTGTGCTATTCTTGCGATCTCTTTCTATGTGTATATAATAGTAGTGTTGGGCCGCACTTAGCTAGCACCAGATCAACAGGAAAAAAGCGTGCGCAGGTATACATGGGAATATGGCGTGGTTGAATGCATGCATGCATATATACATACATATACACCTACCTTTAGTGTTTTCAATAAAGTTGTTGTGAGTTAACGAGGTTTGGTGACCAAGAAGTACTGTACTATGTTGTTTGTCCCGGCGTGCGCAGTTTTATATATACATTCTGTAGCATACTTGTAGAGTGGCTGTTGAGACTTTTTTCTTGTCTTTCTAAATTCATGCTAGTTGATAAAGACATAGATCCCAATTGCAAATACGTTCTAGTCGAACGTACGAAGTAAATGAGATGAAATGGCCAAATAATAAACACACTCGGAAGTCAAGCAAGGTACTCAGCTTACGTATCCGTGCTTGCGAACATGAACTTAGAAGAGTGGAGATTCAGGTGATAGTTAAATTAACAGTTGCCTCGATTTCTCTAAAAACGATTAAATAAGTATCATTTTGTTTACGAGTTTAGAAACTTATTGTAAATACGATACTTACTAGAAGATGAATAAATAAGGCAGTAAAGTGGTTGAACCCCCATCATTACGTCCTTGATAATATATAGCAACATAATAACCGACTTTAATAAACTACAAGACATACCTAGCAAGTTGCGACATTACAACTATCAGATCAGGCCGAACCTTCACAGTGTGTTATGTCTACTCGTACATCATAGGACCAACAAGTCCAGCTTAAATCCAACCTAGATAAATGGGTTATTTACAACGCGGTCGACAGAGTTCTCAGGAAAGGTTTATCGACTCTAAGACAAGGCCAACTTCTGACACTAGTTGCCTGTCGAAAACTGTAGAGCAACAATCTGAGCAAGTAATTATCAAAATGGCTGGAAGAGTGTTTGAGTGGGTAACTTCTGGTATTCTAGACTAATTTGGAGAATATCTAATACACAGAAAGCGAGATGGGCTAAGTCATCCCCAATCCACTGCCGCCCGTAAACCAATGCTGACCCTTGTGTTTGTCCTCCCATGAAATCAATCCAATCCGATCCAGTGTCCAGTTTCCTGTTGTAACACTCCCCTCCCCGTTAATCTTTAGTTCGTTTTAAACCGTGCTATGCTATGTACCACCAAATGAATATGTCAAAAGTGTCGTTGTGAACCGGTAATCCCACAACCCCAAGAAGAAAACCAAGAAAAGAAAAACAGAAACCAAACAAGGGTCAGCATGTCCTACGTCAGCAGTGTTCCATCAATGGTGAATGATGGACGATAGCCCAACTACAAGTGGTGAGCTAGCACCCGAGAAACCCAGCTCCTACGAGTGAGTTTCCTGCCAGCCACCATCCCACTCGATATCGCCAAAGGCGTTGCGCTTCTCCTTGCGCCAGTCAAAATTCCAATTCCAATCTCGGTCGCGACCCTTAGTCCGAGGGCACTCCTTGGCGCGCTCCTTGGTTGGGGTGCTTAACTTCGCGTTGTGGACTGTGTGTGTTTGAGGGGGGGAGTGGTTCGAGACCAAATAAGTGTTGTGATGTGTATTGCCAAAAAATTCTAACACGCCAGATGCGGTATCCAAGGAAGTGGATCCGAAACCGACGCCCATGTGGCGAACTGTTGAATCAGGAGCCTTGGATGGCGACGAGCTTCCAGTGTATGCCCGACGACGTTCTCCAAGAGCAGCCCATCTATCAATGTCCCCGCGCTTGGGTGGTGGAGAGTAGCGAGTCGGAAGTTCGGGCTCCTTGGCCGTGGGAGGTTCGTAGAAGAATAGTCCATCGGTAGCCAGATCCTCGTCAACATCGTGGGACTCGATCGCCATATCGATCGATGGAATCTCATGTTGTTCGACGTGAAGGCTGGCTGACTTGGTGGCCGGGGACAGTCCGAGACGAGGAGTGTAGTCATCATCAGCAGGCGCAGGCGAAGGCGACGGCTGGCTTTCATGGCTCCAGGTCCGGGAGTTCATCTCCTTCAAGCTCTGCATCTGTTGAGCCTGTTCTTCCTCCTCAACCTCTTCGTCCCAAAGATCGCTCCAGCTCTTAGACACGGCGTCCTTGCGGCCAAAAACCCACGACATTGCGGACTGGTTGCGGGTCTTCGACATATGAATCGGGAGAGACCCGGCCATCGGAGAAACCTTGGCAAGGGCCCGCGCCGGCAGCTTCGGTCGCAGGCTTGAACCAATGTTCAGAGACTGCATCGAAGCACCGAGACTCGAGTCAAGCATGGATGACATGGACGGCGTCTGACCGCTGCCCGAGAGCCAATCCGTTGTCGTGCCAGACTTTGAGAACAGATCTTCTGAATAGCTCTCGTCGTCTGCGATGACACTGAGTTGCCGGATAGGCTTCTGAGGGCTCGTTTGAAGGGCCTTCGCCCAAGGAAACACTCCCGCATCGGTCTGGGGGCTTTGAATGGAGGGCGTACGAAGGGGCTCGCGGTTCGCGCTGGCGACAACGCGGCGATCTGCAGAGCAGAAGTCATCAAGAGCTTCGTCGAGCGTCGTGAAGCTAATGACACGGAGCAGGGCGTCGCGAGCACCGGCGAGTGATCGCTTCCTGGGGTCAAGGCTCATGCACTGAGCGATGACTTCATACGTGTCCTGAGACATGGAAGGAAAGACATCGAAAAGCGACTGCTTGTCACGCGAGAAATCCAGGAAAAGAGGGTCCGACTCAGTCGGAGTAGAAAATGGGTTCCGCGAGAAGAGGATGTTCAGCAGGCACACACCAATGGCCCAAATGTCGGCCTGAGCGGGCGAGTATCCAGCACCGGCCGAATCGTATTGCTCAGGGGACATGTACCGATCGCTCCCAACGGTCGTCTCGTAGGTCCAGTTCTCGGTCGTGGCAAGCCCAAAGTCACCCAGCTTCATGGATCCAGACTGCGTGAGAAAAATGTTCTCAGGCTTGATGTCGCGGTGGTAGATCCCCTTGTCATGCATATAGTCAACAGCATCGATAAGCTCCAACATGAACTGCCTGACGTGTTCCGTCTCCAAAGGGCCATGGCCAATGCGAATGGCCTCGTAAAGATCACCGCGGGGGCAAAACTCCAAAATGAGATAGATATGAGCGTCCGTCTCATACGAGTCCAAGAGGTTAACAATGTTTGGATGCGAGCCTAGACGCCGATGCAGCACGAGCTCCTCCGACTTGTCGTCGATGGCGAAGTCGTAAAATCCGTCGTTAGCGGCCGTCCTCTTGGTCAGGCACTTAATAGCAACAGTCTGGTTGGTCCGGAGATCCCGGGCCGTGAAGACCATGCCGAAGGAACCATGGTTCAGAGGAGAGAGAGTTTGGTACCGGCCGCCGATGACAACACCATTGCTGAAATTGTTGCGAAGGCATTCCATTGTGGAAAGTGAATTAAGCAAATATGTTCGTAGTTGGTGATACAGGTCTGGATGAACCTCGATCCCTTTTTTTCTGAAACCGGTCTATATCGACGAGGCGCAAGTCTTATCGAGACAACTTTTCGATTTGCGTACAGTGGAAAAAGCGACAAGTTGCGTAGTGGGGAGCGAGATTGTTGTTGAATGTGATCGTCGTAGAGCGGAAAGAGAGGCGAGAAATAGTAGTGAGATGTACAGGGGCGGAAAGCGGCAAAAAAAGGAAAAACAAAACTCCAAATCGTTCAATGTCAGAGTCTCATGGGGCGGGTATTCTGAATATTCGGACACAAAAGAAAGGCTGTCGAGAGAGTCGTCACGAAAGTGTCGGACGAAGAGTCCTGAAGGATACAAAAAAGAGGTCTTTATGATGACATTTGGGCGATATCGAGGTCGGATCGACGGGTTGTCCTGTTGAGTGGGGACGTTGTTCGAGGGCAGGCGTCAAGCAAGCTGCCGTGGGATAGCGAGCGGTTGACGGTAACTTGCCCAGTCAAACCGTTGGAGAGATTCGATCGATGCTAGACCCAGGAGTCGAGGCAATGCTAGAAACCGAATCGGACTCGACGTCGAAGCTAGGCGACGGGGGGACTGCTGCAGTAACCGAGGGGGGAAAGTAAACAATGGGCGGCGGGCGGGCGGCGATAAGCGAGACCAGGTGGCAGACAGCAAATCAGAGACGAGTTGCAGCTATTGTAACACCTGGCTGATCGTAGTTGAAAACATGCGGGAAGGGTGTTGTCTTGAGGGAACAGGTGGACGAAGAGATGACTCTTCGACCCCCTTGTTCAGCAGACGAGCTGTGATCCACAACAGGAGACTGGTCGGTAGTGGCAACAAAGAGCGGGTTTGGTAGTTTGCGGGAACGGATACCACGGCTACCCAGTTCTCCAAGTGTTCAACGGCTCGACGAGTTCAACAAAACAGCAGCGGACAGGATCAGATGACCAAAATTGAGTGTGGATTCGGCGGTTGTCAAGTAGGGGCTCTGACAAGACAATCGGCGTTGGGGGTGCAGCTCGAGCTTGAGCGGCGGGACTCGAGACAGATAAGGATGGCGGGACTATCGTTCAGCGGCACAGACCCGGGAGCTCAGAGCCAATCAATCCGCAGTTGCACAGGCAGTCGCTTGTCGTTCGAGGCCTTTAGTGAAAAAGACCAAATAGGAGAGAGAAGAGTAGTCTAGATGGGCGACGGCGACGGCGACGGCTTGCAGAATTATACGAGCGCGAGAGAGCGGTGGTGGTGATGGTGGCAGAGGAGAGGCGGTGGGGGATGGGAAGGTCAAAAGGGACGGATGGGGATGGGAAGAGATAGAAGATGCAAGCAGAAGGTGGAAGGCGACAGAAACGGCTGTCATCAGGGTGGGCTGTGGGCTGAGCGACAGCCACGGTCGAATCGGGCATGGATCGAATTCAGGAGCTGGGGCCCAGTGGTCACTCGCACCTGCCCAGTCCCCATCTCTAGAGCATGGGGGCAACGCAGCCAATGGCTCAGGGATCGCCGAGTCGAGCCGGGGCGGGCAAGCACTGGGTGGTTGAGGTAGATGGTAGGCGCAACTCAACGTGTCCGCCCCCGAGCCTGGCACTGTCAGCCGTGGCAGGACTGCATTGCACGCAGATGACGACGAATGGCGTTCCCCAGACGCTGCCACGCAACAACACACCGCCTGCCTGAGTGTGCGTTCCCATTTTCGCTAGGGCCTCAGGCTGGTCCCTAGTGTCATGCAACCTCTTTCAACCACTCTAGGCTTGGCCTTGGCCTTGCAAGCCAGCTTTTGACACGGTGTACCGGACGCGACCCCGGTCGTGCCAGGCACTCAATTAGCAGCTACACCGCCATCTCACTGGCCACTCGTACCCTCCAGCCTTCTGGCAGCAGCGAGAGGACTTGGGTGTTGGGTACTGCTGCATCTGCCCACAATGAATTGACCAGTGGGCTTCTTGTCGCTGCGGGCTTGAACCAAGACATGCCCCAGACCAGCAGATGCCAGGGCATTGCCGGGGGATTACCTCGACACGAGTACGGCTGCTCGTGAAGCCACGTTCATTGCTGCTGGTGGCAGCTTTCGGGACTGTGCCCCACATGTGCTCTCTGTGTGTCCTCTTGAGCCAAGTGTGCATTCTGCATTCTCCAGCGGCAGGAGCCAGCCAGCCAGCAGCACCCCGGACCACGATTCTCCACGGGGCCAATTTCCAAATGCCTCCGCCCGGACGAGTCGGCGCCTGTGAAAGGCGCAAGATGGAGAATGAGAGCACCGTTGCATAACAGCCGTGATTGGGATTTGGGAAGGGCCTAGAAACGAAACGTCTGAGCTGGGGGCATCAGGGCGCCCAGAGTACATCCCCACACTGCATTCCGTAGTGTAGGACTGTCGGTGCTTCTTCGCGTACGAGCAGATTAGGTAGGCACCTTGCTCCAGTCTTGTGGCTACTGCGTACGTAACAGTCGCAATCGAGAGTCTCTCCCCTTTGAGTGACGACTTGACGGCAGCGAGCGCGGTGGATGCCGAGGGCCCTGTGACGGAGGTTCCAGTATATTCTCGTTTCACTTGGGGGGGCGAGCAGCCCGGCAACTCTATTGGTTGAGAGCTCGCTGCACTCCTTTTGGCTGCATCCGGCCTTTGATTCGCGCCTGCAGGTAGCGCAGCACGGGCACGCAATCCGCATCGTTGGGCTGACCGCTAATTAAAATAGCAGCACGGGACTGGGACTACGATGGAGTCTCGATTATTGACGATGGGCTGCCACGATAGCAAATCTTTGAAAGCGGACGACGATAAACAATCTAGTTCTGGCGCCTTCTTTGCTACACTGCACGCAGGAGCTAGCGGTTCTAATGGATAGGCTATGGACTGTTAATTGACTTCAATCGCATCCGACCTTCCATGCACTTCCATCCTATCAAACAGACTGAGACATGCTGTGGAGCAACGGGGTGGTACATCCTCGCAAACCTGGGGACTGCTGGCAAGAAGCGATGAAAAACGGTTTAGACTGGGGAAGCACGAGAAAACGGCGTGCCTATTGGCGGTAATAAATGGGGCTGTTGCTTGAGGGCCCATAAATTTGGCTGATCCGACCTCTGTGGGATGGAAGATTGGGTATGCCTTTAGGAATTACACTAGGTAGACTGCACAGTGGGCAGCACGAACACACGGTAGCTGCCAAGTCTCGGCAAGATCTCGATGCTCTGCCTTGCGTTTCGGGGACGGGACCTGGGCCTCGACGCCGCTTTCCCAGACTTGACTTGAAGACGGGAAACCCGAGCACGCACGCACTCACGCACGCAGTCTACCGTGTTTACGGTGGATTTCCGAGTTTCGACTGTTATGATGCGATAAGACCATTGACGCAACTGCCGATCACGCCTAAGCAAACGACGTGCCAGCGCCGTCCGTATACGTTTCCCGTCATGTAAACGTTCCCATTCCGTATTATTCCGCACGGAACTTGCTGGACTGGTGAGAAAGAGGGAGGTCGGGATACCCTACTGACGACACTCTTCTCTAGCTTCTAGATGTCGTGTGACCCCGAGAGGCGCTATCGGGTACCGTAGTGGTGTCCGCTGCTCGCCCATCTCGAGCGGCTGGCCGCGAGAGCACAGCAATTGCGATTGCGCAGCCACCGCAGCAGCACAATGAACCCGTTCCATTTTTGGTCGAGGATTGAAACGGCCTTTTGTTGGCCCTCTGGGACGGCCAGAACAGGCGGGCAAGTTCTGGATGCAACAGGGTTGGCAGCCATCGTCGTCACCCCATCGACCTGACCCGCGAACGGCGCAACAACAATGAACACCCCCCCCTCCCCTCCGTTCTCCCCCACCCACCTCATTCTATTTTGTACCGGTATGAGGCGATGTTGGGCCGTCGAAACGAATGCCGGCTTTGTTTAATTGGCCCTATACAAATGGAGAACAGATTGCCAACGGGCCCATCAAACAAAGAGGGTTGCAGCAGTTAATTGCCCACTGATATTGGAGCATTCAAGCGCTCTTGATTAAGTGCATCATTCATCGACTGGGCTCTGGGTCGCGCCAAATGAGACGCGTCCGTCGTGCAGCATCCCAAACTCGCTTTTGTGGGCCTGGACTACCTCAGCGGCTCTGTCTCTCTATCTGCTGCGTCGTCGCGCCCGTCCGACCGCCCCGTCACGAATGAGTGATGGGGGCAGGCTGGCTGCTGGCGGCCGCAGAATTCCTGGCGCTAACCGAGAAGGAGGTGGGCGGGTCGGACGGTCGATCTGCGGGACTCTGCTGAAGGAAAGAGGGCTTCGGCAGGTCCACCACGGCAGACCCGTCCAGAGGGAGGGGGGGCCGCCCGAAGGCCGTCCCTTTTTACATGCACTGGCGAGATGCGAGAATGTAGGCTGTTGATAGTACAGTGCGGACCCCAAAATCTATCTGTGGGCTCGAGAAAATTCGGGAGGATTGGTGTTTTGCATTTCCTTTTTTGTTTGTCTTACAAAGTCCCTGAAGATCGCGGGTGCATTGAGAAGCCCTTATGTTGTGGCGACTTTGACCTGGCATCGCAGCTCCTGGTTAGAGCTGTTTGCCGTCCTCCCTTCAGCCGTTGGCTTGGTTGTGGTTGAGGCCGATCCGACATCGCGCATGAGACAAGCGGCGGACGGGCAGTTCTGTCGGGTGAGGGTGTGGCCAGAGATTGGCGTGTTTCCATGGATACTTCGTATGATATCAACCACGGGCAGCTATCAACACGAACCATGGGAAGCCACTATGTGCACGATGATCATTCGAGTGCGATGACTTCACGTGCTATATCCGCCCATATTCACCCGTGCTATATGTTGTCATTTCGGTTTCACTTGCATTGCAGCTCCCAAGACAGCCGCTGAAACAACCGTCAGTCGGCCGTCCGTGTCGTGCGTGTCGGGGGTCCTTTGGCCGACAAGACCTGGGTCGGCGTCCTGGAATGCCAATCTGAAGATGGCCCGACCCTTTTTCGCCGTGTCACCATCAAGTGTCAACATCACCAATCGACGGTTACCGTGGTCGGCATGTTTACCGATCGCCCGTCCCACCGCCTTCAAGACCGACCATGTTGACAAACCTCAATCCGACAGAAAAAAAAACTTATCGTTTTTTTTTTTCACTTTTCTCCCAGGAGATATGTCGGTGAGACCAAGACCCCAGCTGGGCTGGCTGCAAGGTCTCGGCCTCTGATTGCTCTGATCGTTCCCGCATGAACGAAAAGCAGATTTTGCCGCTGCATGCTGGGATTTGCTGCAGCAACAGGCAGGTTAGCAAGCTTGTCGCAGGCTCTAGACTGGGGAATCTGCCTCTGCTTACGCAGGAGGGAAGGATCCCATTCTCAACGGAATAGTAGCCTTGACTGCTAGCTTTTCCTACTTTGGAAATTTCCAAACAAAGTCGTCCGTGATGTGATCCATACCGCGGGAGGAGCTACTCCTAGTTGAAGGAGCCGAGTATTAACAATGCACCCACAACTCGAGAGTGAAGTAAGAAAGCGCCGCCGAGATACATCAGTAGCGCTCCCATCAGCTGCACCGCGATAACTACTTTCTTGTCTGAACCAATAGTGAGGTGATATCCGTATACGTATTCAGTATTCCACCGCCTTTTTCTTCGCTAGCACAGCTTGACGCTACGAGACGGTGTCGAGACTGCAAGCAAGAGCGAGGCCGACGAGATGCTGCTCGTTTACAGAAATTTGAGACTTTTTTCTTCACACAAACCCGCTGGCGGCATGCACGCTGAATGCAGGCCTGTGATGGTGGAGTGGTTGGTGTTGTCCAAGACTCGAATGCAGCGCGGATTCAGCAACTTTCAGAGGGATAGGGTCCGTTTGGGGAAAGGTGCTGCGCTGACCGCCTTTCCTTTGCAGACCCCCGAGGTATCTTCGCCTCGGCTTTGCTTCATCCAACCCGAACCCCAACCCGAGAGTAGAAGCCAAGGCCGCATGCCAATCTCGGAGTTTTCGACGACGGATGGTTGTCACTGGTGACTTTGAGACTTTCCCATCGAACACTGAGCTCCTGCGACGCCGAAAATTTTTCATCGCGAGTGTGCAAAGCAAGCGAGGCCGGATTTCTTGTTGCCCCGACCTTTTGCTTCATTCTGCTCGTTCGTTATCTCGGCCCACTTACAAGGCGAGGGCGATCCAATTTTTTTCCCACCCTTTTTCGCAAAGTTCTTGACCGCTTCATGCTTCGCATCTCCTGAGTGTGTCTACCCCGTCTACCCCAGGAAATAGCTTCCTGTACGTTGTACGGCACAGAAAGTCTGAAAGGAAATCAGTAAAAAAAAATCCGCCGAGAGCCAAAGCCCGGGCCTTCAGCTTCTCCGTGCGGATTTGGAGAGCTTGGCTGGCTGACTGGCAAAGCAAATCAGCAATGGCGGCCACCACCAAAGTGGTGCTGCTTGACATTGGTACTTGTTGACCTCTAGTTGGCTCTGCAACTATGCCAACCTTTTTTTTCTTGCAGCTTCATTCCGCTCCCTTCCCTTCTTCCCCCAACCCAACCCCGTTGCTTGCATTAGCTTGGACGGATTGGCTAATGCGGTTGTTTTGCTGGCAGAGGGCACAGTTTGCCCCATATCATTCGTCAAAGATATTCTTGTAAGGCAGATCTCTCCGCTTTGAATCCCTCTCCTTTTGCCAACTACTATCTCTAGCCATGATGGTTGGGCCCTTTCTTTTTCCACTTGCGGTCAACCACTCATGGCCGGATCTGCCCCACCTTCAACTCTGCTCTCTCAAAGCATGTCTTGTCCGGTCACTTCGCTATCAAGCCCCCCTCGTAGTAGTGTGCCGCTGCAGACTACATCCTGAAGCTCGGGATATGGTAGCGGATGATGAGAGAGTGCCATGCTTCCTCCCCGTCCTCCTTCCCGGTGTTCGCCCCAAGTAGTTCGAGCGAGGGGGGAGCCTGCCGTCTGCGGGGAGCGTCCATGCCTGAAGCAGACGGATACAGCCCATTGGACTGACACATATTTCCCTTTTCTGCCTCGTACAGTTTCCCTATGCTCTTCAGGCACTTCCTGGCACCCTGAACACGCAGTGGGACAGCCCGGCATTTGCTCGGTACCGCGATGCGTTCCCGGCAGAGCACGCCGCGTCGCGCGAGGCCTTCGCCGCGCACGTCGAGGACCTCACCCGCCGCGACGTAAAGGCGCCCTACCTCAAGAGCCTGCAGGGCTACCTCTGGGAGAAGGGGTACCAGACGGGCCAGCTCAAGGCGCCGCTGTTCCCGGACGTGGCGCCCAGGTTCGCGTCGTGGAAGCGCGAGGGCGTCACCGTCGTCATCTACTCGTCCGGCTCCGTGCCCGCCCAGAAGCTACTGTTCGCGCACACAAACGGCGACCCGGCCGACCTAGTGCCCGACATCGCTGGCTTCTTTGACACAGTCAATGCCGGCCCCAAGACTGAGGCCGCGAGCTACGAGAAGATCGCTGCCCGGTTCCCAGAGGACCTCGCCGGCGAGTGTCTGTTCCTCAGCGACAACGTCAAGGAGGTCGAGGCTGCTAAGCTGGCTGGCATGCAGAGCTTCGTTGTCGAGCGGCCTGGTAACGCAGAGCTCTCTGCAGAGGCGCGGCAGCAGCACAGGGTCATCCAGAGCTTTGCCGAGCTATGATGGACCCCGACACTCTGAATGCATGGCATCCATTGCCTCCTCGAGCGCAAGTCAATTGGACGCTCCCTACTTCTTTGGTCTACTGTCTCTGACGTAGCGGGGACTCCTTGCCGAGTCACCCGTGTTCTCACGACTCGTTTGGTAGGGAGCAGGAGGCAATTGGACTAGAGAATGCATCATCATGACATTATTTGCAGTAAATCTCCAACTGCGCAGGGTAGCTGGGGCCCGGTATCCCCCCGTTGGAAAGGTCAAGATCGGCATGATTGGGTAGTCAGGGTCGCTGCGTCTGGAGGAGCATCGTCACAGCGCCGGTCTGGTCAGGCAATTCGTAATTTGGCTCTTCAATTCCCCGCGTTGCTTCGAGGCAAGATAGATACCTAGGTACCTAGTTTACTCTGCTTTGGCCGACACAGTGTTTGTCGTCGTCGACGCTCTCAATGTGATGTGAAAACCGTCATCTGAAAAAAAGAAATGCCCGAGTCAAATAACCCCTGAACCCCTTTCCCGATAAGCGATTGCTGGAGCCACATGGCAGTTGTTGAGCGCGTGGACAAAGTGCCCGTACTTGCGAGTTGCGACAAGGGGTTTTAAAGACGACAGGGCTCTTGCAAATGGGAAACGCCAACTTCCTATCACCAACAATAGTTTCTTGCTACACTTGAGATGGTTTGGGATCTGCGTGACAGGCCAGGCTTGGCTTAGCTCCCTCATACAACCCCTCCCCCTCAAAAAAAGCAAAACCTGGAGAAAGCAGGCAGCTTGCAGGCGAAAGGCAAGTGCGGCGGGTTTGGCTTGGTTTGGCTTGGTGTCCCAAAAAAAAGAAAAGCAAGAATAGTTTCCCCGCGCCTCCCTTTTGCTTGGCTGTAATTTTGATGCGCCGTCATCTGATCCGCTCCCCCATCACGAGGCGTAAGCCCGCACACTCCCCCCCAAGTCAGCGAATCAGGCTCTTGGTTCCAGACCAGAACCGTTGGGCAATGCGCATATCGACACCTTTCGAAGGGTCCGGCCCCCGCCAGTCAACGGATGGCGGCAGCAGGATTGGCCGTACCCCGCCTTGCGCGTGTGTGCCAGTAGGGGGAGCGCGACTTCAAAAGTCTTGGACAGGGACATCCTTAGGTGACCTGTCACCCCGCTACCTACTAGACCCTTTGTGCGCCGGGCCGCAAACGAGACTTTTGGTGGCACACGACGAAGCGAGTTTGGCGTGCTTCGAAACTGCCAGGCGTGGGATGGATGGGCTGCTCGCTCGCCGCAACGGCTGCGGGTTTCCCAGACTCGCTTCCCCGGGTTCACAACATTGGCGATGGAGGAGGGGCGAACTGCCTTGCTCTGCTCTCAGCGCCGCATGGGCTTTGTGCTGTTTCCAGAGCAGATCTGTATAAGCAAAGGCACAGGACTGATCTGCTGCTGCTCTGTACGTAGTGACACTTAAGGGCACTATGCTTCCCCCCTAGTACGAACTTCGTTGCTGAGTTACGTTTAAGATTATTGATACGAAGCTGCTTCCCACGAGCTAGTAGGAGGTAGGGACGGCGATGTCCTGCTCAAGCTGACGTAAGCGGTCATGATTTCGGGTTCCGGGACCCTGACCGCTTTTCCATATCCTTCAGAGGCGAAACGGGCTTGGACTAAGACATTGGCATAGTGATCCGGCTTATTCTGACCCAGCCCGTCATTGAGATTGTCGTGGATTGTGACCCAAACTCGAAAGAGGGGCTCTTCCAGTTGCAAGCGCTATTGAAACACATGACGGCAACCGCGCACTGGCGTTGGCTGCCGTTTCGAACTGGCCCATGGCCTGTCCGTGATCGCTTGCATAATGCGGGGCCTGGGGCCTTTTGGGCCCTGGCTTGTCGGTTGCGGAAACATGGAGTCGAGACCGGGCTATCGAGCCCGGCATTGCGGACAGGTTCACGGCACCAGCGACGGCCCTCGGACTAAAACCACGCTCATCTCGCGGCTGGAAACACAATTTGTGATTGGATCAGCTGATGAAGACTATTCTAGGCAAAGACTTGACTCTCGGCCTATAGACGGTATGAGAAGTCAGCGTAAAGTCACAGACGCTATGGAATCAGGGAGCTCCTACCCCGAGCCCCTGAGGGAAGGCGCTTGCAAACGGCGATTGTGGCTTTTTCCCAATGTCATATGACAAGCCCGGAATTGCTACTTGGGACTGCTTGGCGTCACCTGGGCGGTCCGAGTGCGCGGCCAGCCTCAAAACGGTACGCCCGACGACACGGGTAACCGGCCTGGGAAATTGGCTTGGACAAGCATGGCTCGTAGACTGCCTAAAAGCTTGTCTTCAGCTGTAGATAGATTCTAGCTAAGCCCAAAATTTGAAGCCTAGCATAGAGTACAATGGCCATATTTATGGGTATCATCGGCATCCGAGTCAACCTAGAACGACAGCAAAGTTGTTTCGTGATGAACCAGATCGGATTTCCTTTTTCGGAAAAGGGGACTCAGGTCCCAAGCATTTGGATTCCCTCCTCCAGAGGTAGTAGACCAGCCGATGTGTCGTTTTGGATGCGGCCTTTGCGTATCCCAATGATTCCATAATGGCAATGAGCCGGTCTTCGTCCATGTAGCGAGAGTTTGCCACACAGGGTGCGGGCAAAACCAGGAAGAGGCTGGGAAAGAAGTCTCGTAGCGACCAGGTGCTGCTATGCCGTTCTGGGCCGCAGAGAAACTGCGTCGTGCGGAGAAGCATGTTTCCTCGCTCCCGAGGATCGGGAACAAAGTTGAGGACCAGAGACAGACTGATGACATCGAACCGCTCCGTGTCATCCCGGGGCAACGGCCGCGCCATAAAGTCCTGCTGGAGAATGCCTTCTTCTTGGCTGTTCAAGTCGATCCGCTCAATCTCAAAGTGTCCGCTTTTGGAGCACACGTTCTGGGTACTGAGCGCTCCGACTTCGAGCATGCGCAGAGGGCGATCTGGGGCCGCCTGGCCCTCGGCAAAGCAAGGCTTAAACCATTCCATGAGAGTCTTGGAACTGTCGCCGCCGCGGTCATGTCTTTGGCCTTGCAGACTTGCCTGCTGGTATCGCTCGATACCGCCGAGCTCCTCAATCTCGGCCTCGATGGCGGTTTCTGCTGCCTTGTCGCCCTTGGCGATGGCCTGCCGCTTCCTCTTTTCCAGGAGATGGTGTTGGTTGATGAGAGATTTGGTCGACTTTCTCGAAATTGATTTGGGCCGGGGGTGAAAGACCGGAGGACGGCCTGCAGCTAGGGTTTTGGGTTGGCGCTTCTTTTTAATAGCCATGACGTGAAGGAAACGAGAGCTGTGATATTTCTTGCAGCTAACTGCGACGATGAGTGAAGTCAAAAAAGTGTCACTGAAGGAAAAGGGAACTTATTTGCTGGTTATATTCCTTATCTTATCGATTAGATAACAAATCACAGCGGGGGTCTCGGTCAGCCACACCAAACCCGGTTGTGTACGCCACAGCAGGACCCACAGTTCCTGCCACCCACACAATCTTTTCTAGAAATTTGCGAAATCCCACTCGAAGTCTCTTTCCCTTCCGCACGACGACCGACTTCGACACCTTCGACCAACGACAAACAACACCGGAGCAATGGCACCCAAGGACTCGAAGAAAGGTACATAAGAGCTCAAGATGGACTTCTCGACAAAAATCTCCGGCTTCCGCTCAATGCAGCGCCTCGCCGTCATGGCCAGGTGACGCATCAAAGCAGTAGCAGATTTTGCGAGTCTGAACACAGATTATTTCTTTCAATCTTGTTCGGGCGAATGCTTATGCTGATGACACTCTTTCTGCGACAGGCGGTGCCTCTACGGCGCCCAAGGGCGCTCAGGCCAAGAAGGCCGCCCAAGCTGCCCTCAAGGGTGTAAGTGAAGACACCCTGTCGCATCAATGAGTCGATTGGATTGAGTACTGACTATTCGGCTTTCTCTCGTTTCAGGTGCACGCCCACAAGAAGACCAAGGTCCGCTACTCGACGACCTTCCACCGCCCCAAGACCCTCCAGTTGTCGCGCGCGCCCAAGTACCCCCGCAAGTCGGTCGCCCACGAGCCCCGTCTCGATGAACACAAGGTCATCGTCCACCCTCTCAACACTGAGGGTGCCCTGAAGAAGATTGAGGAGCAGAACACCCTCGTATTCATCGTCGACGTCAAGGCCAACAAGGCTCAGATCAAGCAGGCTCTCAAGAAGCTGTATGACATTGACACCGTCAAGATCAACACCCTCATCCGGTTAGTGCTTGCCACCGCATTTGCGCCCAGAAGTGCCGTACTGACTGGTCTCAAACAGCCCCGATGGATCCAAGAAGGCTTTCGCCCGTCTGACTGCTGATGTCGACGCTCTAGACATTGCCGCTACTAAGCTTGGTCTGGTTTAATTTGCGCACACAACGGCACAAGGGAACTGGGAAAATAGGGGCATTTCTGAAGGGCAATGGATTGCATTTTCGATTGGCGTCTGATACCTAGGATTTTGGCAATGAAAAGAACTGAACATTCCACCCTTCTACTTTGCAGACTCGGTAATTGACTTTATGGTCTGGTTAATTCGTTTACGTATCTGTAACAATATGCTCGACAGTTTCCTTGCGGGCCTTCCCATATATGTCTCCTCAACTCCTGTATGCGTTTTATGACACCTGTAGTATTTATTACAATGCTCCCGTTCCATTTTGGCCCGGCAACACTCCTTCCCAGGGCCGCTCTCTCTATCACACTATCGTACACACGCAACGCTATCTGCCACCGTTTTTAAAAGGCAGACCGTCCTATGCCGTAATGTTTTCTCCTAAATCCCACGTCCAACCATTCCCCCGTACGCTCGGCCGTTAAAACAAACAGGCGAAGGGCCAGATCGACCTAGCCAATTCTTTGTGAGCTCAGGCGCCCGCGGCCTGGGGAGGGCGTCATGTCGTGTCGTGCCTCTACCCGTCTCAAACCCCCGGAGGACAAACATGTCGTATGGACCGCATCGTACATAACGCACGTCAGGTTTGCTCGCTCGCTTCGCTTCGCTTCGCTTGTGTGGCCTTGCGACCAAACCAGACCAGACCAGAGCCACCCTCGTTCGCGCGCCCCAAAAGCTCACTTGCGCATCTTGTTTGTCAACAGCTGCGTCGTGAGTAGGTTGAGGTCCATGAACCGCTCCACGCAGCTCGCCATGCACACCTGCTCCGTCTTGTCCAGCGATCCGCTCTTGATGGGCCCCGTCACGCATTTCTTCCAGCACGTGTCTGTGAGCGTGTGTGTTTCTGGTCGGTCGCCCCAAGGGGGGGGTTTGGTTAGCTTTTTCGAGTCTCTTTCAAGGTACATTGTTGTAGGGGGTTTGTAGTTTTTTTTAGGGGGAATCCAGCTCCCCCGAATTCACGTACGCGCTTGCAGCCGTGTGCGCTGCTGCTCGTTGGTGATGAACTGGCGCAGCTCGGCCTTGTCCTTGTCGTTGAGCTTGTCGAGGTCGGTAGAGTCCATCGCGTTGACTTTTTTTTCTTCTAGGGAGGCAGCGTCTGTGTCTCGCAGGGCGATGCGATTTGTAGACGGTTATCCGAGTCCGTAGTGGCTGTAGCGATTCGCAATTTTCAAGGTTGAAGTTGAATTGTTCAAAAAGAAACAAATTCGAAGAGGTTCTGGAGTGAGTGGGGGCAGCAGCAGCAAGAATCGTCGTCACCGAGCTCGTCTGAGAAAAGAAAGCCTTCGAGGTTGCGCCAAGGATGAGCTTCTAGTGCTTCTGGAAGGGTGAGGAGCCAATCACCAGCGAGCAAGCCGGGCGAGATCTACCTTGCGCTAGGCCTCGTTCTGGCTCTCCCTGAGCAAAATAAATAAATACAGCTCCTGTATGTAGAAATATTGCAATATGCAACTATTAAAATAAGAGTCTATACCGTTGCTGTAGTTCGTGAACAATATTTACCGTCTTGGAGGAAATTGGGTTTTGCACACTTAACGCAGGTTCGCTACCAAGGTTGTTGATAATAATTTATTTACCCTTCTAGTCTTGCAAGTAACCTTGCTTCCTAATTAAGGGAGTTTAACGGGACATGAAATGATTCAATCTGGAATATTCTATTACTGATATCAAATGTCTTCTCGGAATTCACAGTAGGTTCACGGTTAACCAGGGAGTAGCCTCCTGGTAGCAGTTCACTGGTCGAAATATACCTCATGCTAAACAAAATTACATCTCCCAGCACAGTAGGAAGGAGTCTAATGTATTTGCTCGCGCTCTCTGGAGAACATTTATTATCTATGATTATAGCCCGAGTGTTCGTGGTATTTTAGATGATACTACTGAGGGCTGGGTCTAAGGGGGAGTATAGTAGTACTACCAAAAGGGGGGCTATGATTATTCTATTCCGTATATCTATAGTCTAAAGGAAAAAGGGTTGTATGGCCTGGTTTTGGTGGATGTGTACGCGAGCCCCGCGCGATTACGTGTCCCGTTACGCGGGCACGTAGGTCAGTATGTGACTCCGACACCTCCTCCTTTGCCTGCGGTACGGTCACGAATGCCGCTATTCCAACGCCGAGACTCTATTCCGCCTGTGTTATTCCAAAACACTGCCTCCAAAAATAGATTGTCCTGGAGATTGAATAGACAAAAAGAAAAAGAAGAAAGCTTCCAAAACCATGTCCTGTCCTATACCCACCGGAACATCCTCGCCATGCCCAGGGCAATAACGCAGAACAACAGCAGAGAGCCAAGAATGCCAAAAAAAGGCCCCAAGTTATCAACATCCTTCCACGGAATGAAGACGTTCATACCAAACAGACCAGTAACGACGTTGAGCGGCACAATGATGGAAGCCAAAAGCGTGATCTTGCTAAGAACGCGGTTCGTGCTCGTTCCCTGGGCAATGCCGTCGATGGATATCTGGGCTAGGTAATTGCTGTGAGCCCGCGATAGCATCTTCTCAAAGTGCCCGAGGTTGGTCATCATGGTCACAACATGATCCTGAATGTCACCTAGATAGAGTCCAATGTCCATTCTGGGCGTCACCTTGTAGTTTTCGTTGCATCGCTTGGTAAAGCCTTTGAGAACGTCGGCTTTGCCGCCCAGCAGGCGCATCAAGCCCATGACGTTCTTGCGCGCTATGCCGATTTTTCGAAGGAATTCGGCCATGTCGTCGGTCCGGGCAATGAAAACCTCGTCCTCGATTTGGTCTGTATCCATTTCTAGCTTGTTGATGATGGGGGCAAACGAATCGACGATGTTATCACTGCCTTGTCGTTAGAACCAAAGCGGGAACATGACCTAGGTCGTAAGAAAGGGCAACCGGGAGTCTTACATCAAAGCGTAACAGATCCAGTCACTGCTCAAGGCAACGTAGTCCTTCAGCATGGTAATCCTCTTCCTCACATGAGAGGCGTGCATGTTGCTGGCGTAGCTGAAGCTCAACGTGCCCTCGCGAAACACGATAACGTAAATATTGAAGGGCACGTACTCCGTCTCCTTCGTCTCGGCGTCGACCTCGAGGTAGAATGACCGAAAGCAGGCAAAGTAGTACGACGGGAAGAGCTCAATTTTCTCACGAGACTCCTGCGTCGTAATATCCTCGATGGTCAGAGGATGGATACCAAAAGCCCTGCAAACGGCACGAACTTCTTCCTCCGATGGCTTGTTCATATTAAGCCACCACACGCCATCGGACTCCCCTTTTGGAAAACTAAACAGCCCTCTGATGTCTTCGCCAGGCAAGATCAGGCCCTCCAAGTCGGCAGCGTGTATGGTAGACTCCCAAGCCGACGAGAAGAAGCTCACTCGGCTGGGATCAACCGGAGCTTGCTGGATTGCTTTGGCCTGTTCGTCGAGGTCGCCCTTCTCGTCATTGTCGGTCCTTGACGTTTTGGAGCTCTTCTCGCGGTGAAGCTCGATGCCGAATGGAGCCTCCAAAATATCACCGTCCAGTGTAACGATTGGCAAAGACGGCTCAGGCTCGGCAGTTTGGGGCCGAAGATCAGAGAAGACACGGGCATTCGACGCGCGGCGAGCGGATTGACGTAGCTCGCTCTCGGCTTTGATGAAGTTCTCGAGATAATCAAAGTCGATGTACAGATCGCCGCCGGCCCGATCTTCCTGTAGAGGGAAGCAAACGTCTTCCTCGGCCGACTTATTCGTGGCCAGACTAGCGGCATCGTCGTTTACCGTGTGGGGTTTGCTGCGGTAGCTATGCCGGCTGAGGAGTGACGCAGTCCTCTGTAGCTCGTGATCGTCGAGCTTACGGTCGGGCTTGGGCTCCGAAAAGGAGAGCTCGCGTTCGCGTCGACGGGCTTCGGCAAAGGCCTTAACTGAGTTTGGAGGCGACGACGAGCGAGGATCGACCGATTCGACAGTCGGCCTCCGACTGCGCCGAAGGGTTGGCGAGCTGTCCGGTGCATCGTCATCGATGATAGCCTCCTCAAAATCCCTCACTCGTGTATTCTGATATACGTCGTCGTGGACACCAGAGTTGGCTTTCTGTGTTCCATACAGAGAATCGAAAGTTCCTCGACGGGTCCGCTCCGGGCGCACCGAAGTAGACTGGTTCCGGTGGTCGTCGAGTTCGGGAACCGGTGTCGAGAAACCGGAGTTTCCGGCAACCTCCTCCTGGTCAGACATGGCTGCGGTATAAGGCGTGCCTGTAATTCGTTCGTGTGCGTGCGTCAATATCTCCACCTTTCAGAAGATATCGAGTCTAAAGCAGCCCCTAGAGCCCTTAATCAGGGATTTAGTCGGCTCGCATATTGGAAGTTGGCGTTGTACTCTAAAAGCACCAGCGGAAGGCAGCGAACGGCCAGCAGCCGTCCGCAATGACCTTCGTTGTAGACGACGGATGTGCAGATAATTAGTCTTCCACGACCGTGATAAGACAATCCGCTGGGGAAAGAGAAGCTTTAAGTTAAGAATGGGCAGAATTGCCGAGTTGCCTTGCAACAAGTTATGGTGGTTTCTTGTTCACTCCACCGTAGACCCAGAAATCGGGGCCTAGGAGCGAACGGTTGGAGGAAATCGGTTCGACGACTGAGCCCGCCAACTTGGTGGTTTTGCGAGGCAGGATGTCCAGGATGATGTTGGGAACAAGAGAGCTTGGTCGGCGAGATCCCGAACGATCAACCTTGTTCTCGCCAAAGTTAAAATATCGTGGCAATCGTGTACGGTGAAGCGCGCAATCTGTGACAACAAAGAGGGTGGTGTAGGTTGTGAAACAGCGGTGTCGCGCAAAGGTCGTAGATGTGGGCGCAAATTTCAGATCGAGTTTCCGTTGGAGGGTGGTACAGCTTATCGTCCAGTTTTATGACGTCCTCGCGGCTCGAGCTCCAAGACGGGCGATACCGGGTAGCTTCGCCACGGAACGACAGAAGCAGATGCGACGCAAGCGAGGACAGGAGACTCCGTGGGCAGGAGGGTAGTGGTCGAATATATAGGGCGTTCTTTTAGGATTCTCGGGAACAATGAGGGTTTTATTGCCTTTGCCGTGCAACCTTGAATTTCCAATTGAGAACCGTCGGTTGGCGGGAGGCAGAGAGGGGCTACAGAACTTTGAACAGGGAAAAGTTTTGGCTACTAACTCGGGTTAGCGGCGTGACTTTTTAGTCATCGTGCAAACCCACAGGACCAACGCGGCAGATAGATGGTAAGCCTGGGACCAAAAACGGCACGTACGATTGATCTTTTCTTCGGCGTGGCCGCGTGGTATGCAGACATTCAAGTTCACAATCCAATCCCCCTAGTTCCAGTATACACGTGAATTGTTGAGTAGCATTTTGAGATGTCGGATGAAATGACCTTATTGCCAAGTTCAAGTTTCTGTTAACTCTACTATTGTGCCGCACTAGACAATCTGCCCAACTGTTCTGGGCTAGAGGCAAGGTACCAGGGACCACTTCAGCCCCACAGACCTGGCCTAACCAGGGCGGTTTGTGCGGGTCCAGTCGAGGTGAGGGTGATCCGGCACTTCTCCGCACGCATAGGGCACTAATCTCGCCGAAGAGACCTGTTTTCCTTCACCTCTGATTGGCCGTTTCAGGGACACCCAGTCCTTTATTCGAGCCGTGCAGCCAATTCTGAGAAAGCCACGTAAAGGCGGTCCACTTGGCAGTTACCGACAGTGTGAAGTGGGATATTCCAGGGTCATCGCCGCAACCAATAATCTGTATACACAAGGACCACTTCATAAAAGTCGAAGCAGTACGGCCTCGGTTTAGAATCCGCGTCCGTCGCCATGGCCGACCAGATCTTGGACCAGATTCGCACTGCAGTTGAGGGGCAGATTGTACGTGACGTGTGCTCGCCCTCGGACCTGCCGCCCGCCCTTTCCTCGCAATAGTTTCGGCGCAATCGCTAACTTTCTTGTCAAGGATTTTGAGGGGCAGAAGCTGGCGGACCTGATCGCGAACGTCGCCCTGTCGCTCGTGGGAGTAGGTTTATCGCCCCATTGTCCATCGGAGAGTCTCGCTGACACGTCTGGCCTTAGGCAATCGCATTCTTCGTGGGATACCTGCTCCAGGACATCAAGCTGGCTGTCTGGGTTGCTCTCGGCGGCACTGCCCTAACCTTTCTTGTCGTTGTCCCGGCGTGGCCGTTCTACAACCAAAATCCCGTCAAATGGCTTTCAGCAAGGAAAGCGCCCGACTTGTCGAACTTGGTTGTGAACGAGAAAGCAGCGAGGTGACGCGAATCAAGGAATTCTTACGACATGGCGCAATATCAGAGAGAGCTTTGGGTGGTAGCGAACTGGGATACCACGAACTATTATGTTCTTTATCGTGTACTAGGTAACGACCTATGGTCGCTATTGCAAATCCCATTACTAAATGCCGCGTTCCATTCGTCAGTCATTTCGGACGACCTGATGAGGACCGCTCCGTCTTCCCCTCCCAAAACTTGACATGCATGGCCCTAGCTCTAAGTAGCCACCGATATGTCTATCTACCATACTTCTGGAACTCCCAGTCTCTATTGTCCAGCGGGCAGACCTGGCGGGCTTTAAGCCATCTCGAGATGCAATGAAAGTGAAACGCGTGCTACACGGCCTGTTAGCAAACCATCGGTGCCGGATTTTTGAGGAAATGCTGGTCCTGGACGTACATTGCATATACCCCATGCAACAGTGCACTCCTCGCTCGTAGCGGATGCCTGGTTGGCTTGACATTCAATGCCTGGAAAGGGAGACCGTTAGCAGCGCCCCAAGTTCTGGTCGGTATTGAGGAGCTTACATAGATCCATGATGTGGTTCCGGCAGATAGCGCAGTTGTCGACGACAATATCCCAGGCCCACAGGGCCACAGCGTTCCACTAGAGCATCGTCAGAGAGAGGCTGGGGACCAAAAGTGCGACCACGGCCACAGACAGTGACGGCGGCGGAGGGGGCGAATCTACCTTCTTGACCTCAAAGCGCTTCTTGGCGTCGGATTTACTATCCCCGTCGCCGGCAGCGGCTCCCTTCTTCTTGACGATAGGCGCGGAGCCAGGCGCGTCGGTCATGTCAACGTCGGCCATCTCGGAAATGTGATGCGAAGCAAGGTGCGGTGTGTGTTTGCTGTCGGGTGTGTTGGGAAAAGGAGGACGTTTTGGTTCCGCGAGCGCAAATACAAGGTTCGTAATAAGATACCGCTTTGGGGTGCTTGGATTCAGCGAGCCGTCGACAGAAGACGTGGGGGGTGTTCAGAACGTTCTGGTCTGGGAGTCTAGGCAGCGGCGGTCAGGTCTTTGAGGATCGGCAAGAAACACATGGCAAGAGGGGTAGATGACGAACCAGTCAAGAAGCTCCCCTGGGCAGCTAGAGCCCAGCTGGCATAAGCCTCCCGTGAGTTCCTGAGGACCTGAGGACTTGCGATATGTTGCTGTTTCGCAAGTGGCGGTAGCTTCTCAAGCACTTTGCACGTCGGTCGGTCTTCTCTCGTGCTGCGAAGTGGCGGTTGACAGACAGCCCCGCCATGGGTGCGGGTCAGGGCAGTAATATGTCTAAATGCATATTATGGATTAGTTGAATATTAACACCGATTGCCGCATTCATTAATCCGTACGTGAAACCGCCCCTCTTCTGGCCAACTTTGGAAACTGCCCTCAAGCCACTCCCTCTCCCCGCAAGACCACCTTGGCGCTCGCCTGAAAACCAACTCCGCTTTCAGCTTTTGGTGGCACCACAGCTGAGCGGCAGCCCGCAGCCCGCCCACCTATTTCTTAGTGCACAGTCCCAGTACGGCCCGAGCTCCTCGCCGTCACTGTTGTGGCTCATCCATCGCGGCCAGGCATTCTTAAACTGGGGGGATGCCCCAACTCCAGTCTCCGACTCCCTGCTCTCCTCCATCGTCATTTTCTTCCCTGCCTTCCCTACCACGGTACACGGCAAAAAAAAAAGCAATAAACCAAAACACTCCCCAAAAATATAAAAAACAGCATCATGCACACTGCAAGAACACTCGACTCAAGTATCCCCCATTCAAGTAATTTTATTTCTGAAACTATTGCGCCAAGAAGCGCTCCCGTCCCCCCAGCCCCGCGTCTAGAACCCAGATCAGGCCCTCGCATTCTTGCCCCCGCGCCCGCGCCCGCGCCCTGGTCACCATCATAGCGAACCGCCTAAGCAAACGGACGACTCGCCTGAAGTTACTACGTCGCCCACGACAGGTCCTTCCTCTTCTGCGAGCCACCACGTCATAAGCTCTTCCCGACGGCCTTCCCCAGCCCAGGGATATATGCCGCACAAAATCCACGATGCAGCAGCAACACCCCCCGACTCCCGTCCGCCATCGCGCAAACCCAAACCGGCGTTCCTTTGCCTCTCCTGCACGCAAAACATATGCCTCGGAAAACGACATGACCGAAATTCAATTCCCGACAGACTTTGCCCTCCATAGTCCCTACACCCCGCTCAAGGCGCTGCCAGGCGTTGCGGGGCAGCCGACCGGGCCGTCGTCCCAAGGGCAACACTCGAAGAAGGCTCGGAGCGGGAACAAACGACCGAAACAGGTCTCGACGTCGCCTGGACCGGCAAAGCAGGCCGGCCGGAGCACGCCGCCGCAGACATCAAGTGTCCGGACGGTCACTGCCGCTGCCTATGCGGGAGCCACCTTCCATGCCTCCCCGGCCCCGTCGTCGCTTCCAATCCCGAGCTTCCTGGCCAAAGCTTTGGACTCACCCAGTGTGAAGGATGCGGGCCGGGTCAACCAGGAGCCGTCGCCTCCAGCGACGGACTCAGAGGCACTCACTCCGAAGCACCGTCTTGCAACCTTGGACGTTGCGCGCGACGAGTCTCCACTCGACATCTTCTTCCGCGAGGACAGGGCTGAGAAGGAGCGAGCCCGCAGAGCAAGCTCCGCCAACGTTCTAAGCACGGCCGGCCTAGGCCCATTTTCTCCCCCTAATTTAACTCAGTTTCAATCACCGTACGAGCCCAAGACAGTGCCGAATGGGGCCGGCGCAGGTCGCCGTTTTCGGCAGAACATTGATCAAAGAAGCCCGTCTTCTGGCATTTCACCTGCCGAGCTTGACGGATCTGCCGAACTCGACGGCACACCCCGTGGACCCATCGGAAAGGCATTCTCTACTCCATACAATGCTCGTATCCTTGCCGCACGTTCCAAAGAGAAGCGGGACCGAAACGCATTTGTCCGGCAATCAGCTCAACCACTCGAGTCACTTCAGCCGCAGTGGCTTCAACCCCCACAGGAGCAGCCGCCACAGCATCCCCTGGAGCCGGACGTCGGTGAGAGGCTGTTGCAGTTTCTTGCTGGCCAACCTGCCCAAGCCTCTGCAGCAGCGCCTACGCCGCCAGCAACCACGGCCAGCACCTCGGCCTTTGCCGGAGCGCAGTTCAGGGCACCGCAATCTGCCGCTCCAACGGAAGCGCAGAAAGGCCGGCCGGCAGAGATTCTTGACATTGAGGACGGCCTACGCCGACTCTTGAAGCTGGAAGGTGCAGATCGACCAGGACCTCCACCGCCGGCCTGGTAAAAGCTTGGAATCCCCACGCCACGCCGACATGTATTATCTATTTTCGGGTTTACCTCGATCCCTCCCCTATCTCCGTGTGGTGGCGGGAAGGGTCCGCACGATATATCCCCCACAACTGCCTTCATAATCCGCGGTACATTTTTCTTTTTGATTTTCTCATGTCGATAATCTTTGGAAGTTTGAACTGGTACTGGTACAGGGCTTTTTCACGCCAGCTTCAAGCTACGGGAAACATTGGGGCGGATTATTGCGTGTTCTTGGACGCGTATGTGAGTGAGTGTTTGTGTGGCTGGTTGGGCACAGCTTTTTATGGTTCTGGCGTTCTGGCCCTGGAGCATCATGACAAATTCACGACGCTGCTTGTTCTTTTTCTTCCTTCCCCTTTGTCTTATGGCTGACTATGGATAGACTTGTGCGCGCTTTGGAGGCAATAAAGATTTCGTCGGGCGTTCTGGACGAGACGAGGCCGAGGCGGGTGCATTTTTACATGTTTCTCTTGTTTTGTTTTTTTTGCTCTCTTTTGTTTTGTCCTTGTTTTTTTTTCGCCGCTTTATACCTCTCTGATGGGATATGTTCTTGGGTTCATGTCATTTCGACATTTGGTATGAGTATAGTCCATTTGACTCCTGCATCGAGATAGGGCACTGGTTGTTTTGGTGATACCCGTGCTGTTGGAAGGGTTTGAAGGCAGGGGGTCAACTGGAATTTCCCGCCTGAAAGCTACGACATTCCCGGCGGTCTTTGCTTTATTTCTTTTCGGGGTTTCCCTTCCATTTTCATGAGGAAAGAACGGTGGTTTTTTTTACCTCCTTTCTCGCTCACGGCTGGACATATAAACTACACTACATACGGGGTCAGGAAGGGGCGATATGGGTTTTGTTGTATTCCCCTGGACTCGACTTTTACTCTTGGCCGGCATTGGGGGGTTTCTCGTCACTCGCGACTCAAGGTCCCGGGGGACAGCGACGTCTTCTGCAAACGAACCTCTTGGACCGGGCCATCAAGCATCAACACCGCCGAACAACAACAACACTAATCTATTTTTTCTTTTTTTCTTTTTTGAGGGATGTACAGTGTGTTTCGCATTAGTTAAGCATAGTTCGCAAAAATGTCACGAAGCCACATATCTTCACCTAACACGTTCCACATGCCGTGCTCTAAGCGCGGATATGACGCAAACTCGACTGCGGATTTGTGAGAGCATCCGCCGCTGATCTGTTGTCAACCCCGTATTTGTACTTTGTTGCTGTAGTGAGAAGAAAAGGTGACGCGTCGTTCCAGGGAAATGAGCTATGAGCGGTTGGGGGTAAATCTGATACCTAGCCACCCAGTTATCATGATGTGTTTGAGTAAAAGAGTAATGGAGGAAGGTAGAAGAAGCTCAGCAAGGTCGAAAGCCGTACTGGCAGCGACAGCCGGTCACGTGTTGTCGTGTGACCTTCGCAGGGCAATCGACAGTTGGCGGGGGTGTGCGAGTCGCGGCTTTTGGGTTCGCGCGATTACGCTACACATTCTTGCTTCCAACCTTCACTCCTCACTTTTTTTTATTTTTCCGCGCCGAGGCTGCAGGTTTTTCTTTCGATTTCTGAATTCTTTTCCTTTCTCCATCCAGACTTGCAATGCTCGATTGCTAGCCAACTACCTAGCTGCTTGCGCTACCAAGCCAAGTTAAGATCAAGGGTAGGAAGATGGCTGAGAACAGGGCCGCCGAGCTCAATGGCGGCGTCAACGAGGACGAGGCCCTCCGCATTGCCATCGCCATGTCGCTCGGCCAGGACCCCGCTGCTGACAGGAACGCGCGGGATGATGCAGTGGTTGACCTGACGAGTGATCAGGATGACGATGAGACCGAGTCGGGCAGCGATGGCGATGGTGATGGCAATGAGCCCATTGTAACCAAACCTCTGCACGTGCCCTCTTCGCCACGAAAACCACAAGACCAGGGACAGCAGCAGCAGCAGCGGCATGTTGTTCCGTCGTCGCTTTCTGGTCTGGCCGCGCCCGGCATCGACAGGAAGGCGATGGAACAAGAGCGCTTGGCAAGACTGAACAAGCGCAAGGCGTCATCGCCGCCGTCGGAGCCAGTCGAATTGAGGCCACAGCAGCGTCAGAAAACGCTGGCCAATGAGGGCCTCGGTCGCGTATTGCAGCCTTCCAAGTCTGACCGTGAGCTTCCTTCCCGAGACGTGAAGATTGGCGGCGATGGCCGGGTGAGGCCGAATCAGCCATACAAGAACGATGGCGATGGCAGTGGCACAACTGTGCCTTTCGTAACCCGGGGGGAGCAACGATCGCGCCTCCCGTATCCGCGCGGCGTGGTCAAGAAGACATGGGCCTACGGCCACGCCCGCCAGGGCGACGACATCAGGATCGAGGAAGTGCTGCAGAAGGGTAAGCTGAAGCTGGCCGTGCTGAGCTCGTACCAGTGGGACGACGAATGGCTGCTGTCGAAAGTCGACCTCGCGCGGACCAAGGTCATCTTGGTCGCCTTTGCTGCTACTGAAACAAAGGTAGGCCGAAGGGGAGCACGACCCAGCCTCTTTTCTTCTTTGCCGTACTGGGCTGGCACGGGACTAGGGGGCTGACCGTGTCAATCCGTAAAACCGCCTAGAAGGAAGAAATGAGATCCAACGTACCTCGCGAAAGGATCCGGTTCTGCTTCCCGCCCATGCTGGGAGTCGGCTCTATGCACTCGAAACTACAACTCCTCAAGTACGACGACTACCTGCGGATCGTGGTGCCCACGGGAAATCTTGTCTCGTACGACTGGGGAGAGACTGGCGTTATAGAGAACGTGAGTCCTTCCTCCTATGTTGCGGCGCTGGCGAGTAGTTGGGTTTCGTTTCGCTAATGAGGTGGAAAAGATGGTGTTTCTCATCGACCTTCCCAAATTAGAGACAGCAGAGCAGCGTGACACTCAACAGTTTACTGCCTTCGGCGACGACCTTTCGTACTTTCTCTTGGCCCAGGGCCTGAGCGAGAAGCTCGTCGACAGCCTCCGCAACTACGACTTCTCGGAAACAAGCCGCTATGCTTTTGTTCATACTATGTAGGACGCCACTCTCTGCTCCGGCCGCCAAAGCGGTAAATTTTTGGCTTGTTTGTCTGACACTGGTTGCTTGGTCAGCGCGGGCTCCCACAGCCTCGAGGAGAGATGGTCAAGAACAGGTGCATCCATGACTACTACCCCAACCAGCTACACTCAGGGGCATCAAACTAACCCGCGATCGTATTAAGGCTACTGTGGGCTGGGTCGCGCAGCCAAGGCCCTCGGTCTCGGCTTGGAGGAGCCTGTTGAGGTAGACTTTGTGGTATGTGATGTCGTTGTCAAGCATGGCTCGGAGCATTGTTCGAAAGGACACGAAGCTGATGGATCTTTTCAGTGCGCCTCCATTGGGGCAGTCAACGACAGCCTCCTCAGCGCCTTGTACTATGCCTGTCAAGGTACATACAATTTCCCCCATCCCTGGCTCGACCATTACACCATCATCTGCCTTGTAACTTGTAACTGACGTGTGGGTAGGCGACTCTGGCGTCAAGGAATACGAGTCTCGAACTGCGGGGGGGCGGAAAGTCAAAGACGCCAAGTCGGGGCAAGACGATGATGTAGCCGCAATAAAGCGACACTTCCGTGTCTACTTTCCCTCGGAGGAGACAGTCTTGGAGAGCAAGGGTGGCAAAGATGTAGGTACCACCACGATTTGTGATCTTACTAACTTACTGAACCCACCACGACTGCTCTAACAAGGTTTTTAGGGTGCTGGAACTATCTGCTTCCAGGCTCGGTGGTGGGAGGCCCCGTCGTTTCCTCACGAAGTGCTTCGTGACTGCAAGTCGACCCGTAAAGGCCTTCTCACGCACAGCAAAGTCATCTACGTTAGCCGCAAGCCGAATCCGGAGCACAAGGGCGTTGAAACGGGAAAATCGGCGGTGGACATGGACATGACAGGGGCTAATTTCGCATATGTCGGCAGCGCGAACCTTTCAGAGAGTGCTTGGTGCGTACCTAGTCTACCTGGGAAGACACCACCCCCCGTTCGAACTTAGAAATGTTGAAGATGTATTGACTTTCTGATTTGACCATTGTATCCAACTCCAGGGGTCGACTTGTCAAGGATCGCGGAACCGGCAAACCTAAGCTGACGTGCAGAAACTGGGAAGCCGGCGTTCTGATCTTGGCCACCGGGTTAGAGAAGGGTGGAGTTCACTCTGGCTCTAGGCTGCCATCTTCATCGGCATCGCTATCGTCGTCTTCGGCCCGCGGAGACTCGAAAAGCATGCTCCACCAGTTTGCGGGATGCGTACCCGTACCAGTATCAGTGCCTGGCCAGCCTCTGAGCCTTCAAGGTCCCAAGGCGCCTTGGTTCTACCAGGATTCGTGATCTCGGTCTGAACTATGGCCGGATGGGGAATGACTCTTCAACCCTAACAACCTGCTCAACCTGCTCAGCCGCCTCCACACACACACAACTCATCGCAAATTCTAAGTGCCACTTCTTCTGCGTGATATGCTGGCTTTGCCTCTGTTTTATCTCCGGCTATCGGGGCGGGGGCCGAGACCTCGGTTTACTTCTCGGTTAGTGGGGTAATTTTTATCTGGATGTGGGTTGTCTGGCATCAGAGCACAGGGAGAAGGTTTTCTATTTTGTCTTCCTGTTCATTGTTGGTTAACCAGGATATTGGCTGTCTGGTTACATGTCATCTAGTTCACGATGGCTGTTTCAGGTTCTCAGGGCTCGGTCTGTATGTCTAGGAGTTGTGTTTCTCTGCGGGTCTCTGGCCAAATTCTTCGCCTGGGGGTTTCTGCTCCGACCGGCTTTATGGGAATTAAAAATTACTTTATTTTCCTAATCTGTGTCTCGAGGTCTTTCGTGCTATTTTATCAGACGAAATCGCGGGAACGGCGGCCCCTACCTAACTATCATATGTCTTCTTCCGGAAACTAGGCACTCCGGATCTCGTAGGGCTGAAATAAAAGCTGAAATGCATGGGGTTGCATGGGGTTATGCTTCTATTTGAGCGTTGCAGAGTAAGGCGCCTTTCTTCAGTAAGACATACGCTGCCCGTTCTCGGTGGCTACCCGTTCTAGGTGGGACCTATTTCTAGTATTAATCTGTCGCATTTGAGTTTACAGGCGCTGGCAGTTGTCTACTGAAATTGGTTGGCTACCGACGGAAAGCTTGCCGATGAACATCGGCAGGTGTCCGGGAGTGTACTTGGGTATGTACGTGCGTGTGCGTGTTACCGAAGTATGAGGTGGAAGGTCCAGGTTACTAACTTTTCAGGGTCTTAAGGATTCGATCTGCCAGGATGCTGATCTCGAAAATCCCATTGCCCAATAAGACTCCTTACCCTCCGACGTTGCTATACTTTTTCCGACTGTGGGAAGGGTGAGGAGAATCTAGAAAAGCATGTTCGAAAGTACCAAAGTAAACCTAAGATGATGGATGTCGTGCGGAGAAAGGGGGTTGAAGAAAAGGATAACCCTCTTCTTCTGTCAGTTAAACTCTCCCGTCAACAACGAACGGCCTTCTATGTACACATGTATGTATGTACGTTGTACATTTGCTCTCCTTCCCCAAATTCCATTTTTTAAGAATGGCGCACCAGTAAGTGGGGGGGGACGACGATGAATCTATGCTTTCGTCCATCCGAGCCCGCTCCAAGCCCGCTCCAAGCCCAAGGTTTGAAAATGCAGCCGTGTCAATTAATTAGAGTCTGAGTCTAGAAAGAAGTCAAAGGGATGGAATACATCTACCGCTTCCAAATACGTGATATTTGATTTTCCTCCCGCAAGTGGGTAAGGAGGGGGATTGACTGGGAATTTTCCCAATTGCCTACAGGCGCGCTATACATCTATTCGTGCGCATCATTCCCTAAGCAAGATTCTTGCTCGGCATTGGGACAGATGCGGCAACTATCGGCACAAGGTTTCATGCGACGGGGCTACACTATGGTACGAGTCTTTTCATTTGCTCCTTAGTTACCGTGATAGGGCAGGTGATGGACCTGGGGGTGTCGTTTTGAGCCCCGGAGTGAGGAGATTATGCGCGAAGTGGCGGGCTGGACTTGCGACGCAGGATCGAGCGAGGATGGTTGTTGGCGCATGGCAATGTCGCATTCCTGGAACCTTTACTATTTACCTCTCCGACCTGATAGTTAGGTGCGGGTGTCACTGTCGGATAATTGGGTTTATTTATTTACTTTCTGAATGCGGGTAAACGGTCGACGGACTTCGCTATTCGCGAAGCTTGAGGATATTATAGCTCTTCAGCTGGCTTTAAATTTTCGAGGCGGCGACACCAATCAACGCTCCTAATTATTAACATGTTTCTTCATGCACGTTTGTAAATGGCGATGAGGTGTAAGTTTGCAGCGCATTACAAGCATGGGAAATGCGAAGACAAAATTACGGTGCTTCTTTGGGATAATTGATCAATCTAGTTCTTCGACGAGGTAGACAAGGAACCTCAGTCTTTGAGTCTAGACCCAGAATTTACTGTCAGCTCCCAGGAACTTTGCAACTCCGAGACTCGTGCTCATGTTCTGTTTCCCTAATCCCCAAGGGTTCCTAACACTGACGCGTAGACTCGAGTTGAATTTTGAGGGCCTTGCCGACATGTTGAAACGAACAGGTTATCTATGGAACCATCCTACCATGGATGGCCACATAACCTCCATCAGGAGTCACTGGCATCGTTAACAGTGCGGGATGAAGGGGGACACTGAGCATTCGCTCCTCTGACCCCCCCCCTCCCCCAGTTACCTTACCAATAGCTTGCGCGGCCTTTCATTGGACATTGGAGTTCAATTGGCATGTGTTTGTGTTTGATCCCCCTTTGCTCGAAGGATTGCACAAAGGAGAATCACCAAGTCTGGGCGTGAATCTGCAAAATAAAGTCTACAGTGCTAAATTCGTCTACTCTACCTGAATACACAGTCCATTTCCTAGAGGAGACGTGCAGGGAAACTTTAATAGACGATAAATACAGATAGATACCTATTTACAAATATCCAGAAAGCATCAATTCATATAAATTCAAATGCTTTGCTTGTCTCACTTATGGCGGCCCCATTGTAACACGGATCGGATCAGCTGCTTCTAAGCTGTACTCGAATTTTGCACATTTTCTCGAGAGGAAGGCACTGTGTAAGTGCAGCGTCAAGTGCAGGACGCACCTGCCTTAAGGATTGAGCCGTGGAGTTAAGGTTTCTTAGCGCCATTCCGGCAGCTCCAGCCAGGATTGCCCCCCGGTCTTGGCTTCCTGCCACTTGCAGGAGGAAGCCTGTGGATGGGTCACCCGGCCAGACCCCAGCCCCTCGGCCTTTTGGGCCTGCACCTTCCCTCAGGGATCTTATTAACTAGGGACAGAGGAAGAGGAGGTGGACATGAAAAAAAAGATCGAGACGACAACGTATTGCTGTACTTAATTCTTCTGCCGACACATGGCCCGCTGGGTGAATTGCTCACCGCATAACACTGGCTACCTACGACATTCTCTCCTTCTCTCGGAGCCTGTTCGACACCGGCATAGCCGAGTAGGCACAGGTCTTAGGCCGCGCATTTCTGCCACGAAATAATGACGTTGACCCACCGTCGTCTGCAGCGTACGTCACTTAGACTCTGGGTTGATCCAATGGTTGTACACCTCACCTTTGGCGGGAGGAGTACCTAGGACTCAAGGGGTGGAGGGAACATCCCTTAGCACATGCAAAGCGCTTCTCTCCTCTATATTAACGACTAGATTTCTGGGACCTTTGTAGCTGAAGACGTCACTACTAATCACTCGGGGATCAAGACGCGCCAGCCGAGGGTCCAAGAGCTTTCGAGCCTGTTATACCCACATAGGTGACTGGCCCGTGCTGTTCTGTAGCTAGCCTACCTTAGGTAGTTTGAGCTCGAGACGGGTAGCGTCGGACCCGGAAAACGGTTTTGTGACTGGGATATTCCTTCCCTTCATTTTCCGGCCGAAATAGCAGAGACGCGCTCCCTCGGATGGCTTCATATCCTTGACCACATTATCGCAGCCAAACTGCCAGCGGCATTCTGTTGAGGCAGGTAGAATGTAGCGCGTAAAGGTAAACTTCAAGTCGTTGCTAATTAACGTCCAAGGGCAAAACAGACAAAAGGACGTTGGCAAGTTCCCAACGTGTATTCATAGTTTGGCCTGACGCGCTTCCCGTTCTGACATTTCAAAGTCAATTAACCTCGTTCTGAGGATGGGACAAAAACGGATTGGAGGGAAGGATGTTAAACTCGACTAGCGCGCGCACCAAAGCGGCCCCTTCAGCCTTGATATAGACTCCAATCAACGAGTTCCGTGGCATGCAAGCATCACAATTCAATCCCGGCATCTGAAAAAGAGATGGTGGGGGTCTCGAATGTCCTGTGCAGGAAGCCCACCCCCCCATTTCTCTTACCCCGGCTCTGAGCCGCAAGGGTGTCTTGCAAACGTCCGTGCTGCGGTCTCGTTCAGTTAGGCCGATCGAGATGCACCCGACCTATACCGGGGAACTCGAAAGGCCCAGAGATGGTGCGATCTGAGGCCCATCCTCCTTCGTTTCCGCGGAACTAGACCTAGGCCCTGGGTCGCGGCTTTGACCACCGGAGTATACGCCCCTGAGAAAACCCCAAAATAGCCATGTGTGCTTTTTTATTATCTAGAAATGTTTGGCAAAACCAGACTGCAATCCTCACCAGGCGGATGACTCGACAAGTCACGGCTATTAAAAGCAGCGTGATTGAAGCAAACCATTAGCAGCAAACCCGTGATTACCTTCTTGCATTCGTTCACCCGCCGTCCTTGTGAGGTAACTAATATCCTGATGCATCGGTTCCCAACGGCCAATGCATTCGTTTTATCCAAAGAAGTTGTGCTAGTTGTTATGGCTGTCGCAGTGGTCATCGAGGCCAACAACAGATATGCCGGCACGCCCCCTTCCAGCGGGGCGTCTGCCGTGCTATTCCCATCATAGATTACATGTCTTCCACAGAGCAATTCCCACACCGGTTTGGCACCGTCGCTGGCTTGGCGGTGGGTGATGGGGCCGGTTTGTGCATTCATATGTGACCTAGCTGCCGTCGGCACCTTTGCCGCTGCACGAACATGCCCACCTTAACTGGGCCGGAGTCCTGGATCCTTGTGCTAGTGACCGTCTCCACACAGCCCAAACAATTAATCTGCGTGCTGGGACTGTAGAATTGGCCGAGGACTGCTTCATGTGCGCATTCTCCAGCAATGGGCTGGCTGTCTTCCGCTTTTGCGAACTCAGCTGCGGGTGAAGTGGAAGTGATGGGAACGCCGAGCAAGGACGCAATATGGGTGGAGGTGTGTCTGGAGTGACCTCTGCCCGCCGTTTGTCGATATTAGTTGTATTTCCTGACGAATTTGGTACTGTGGCTTTCAATGCATAAGCTTCGAGTGTCCCGTAGGCCGCCGTGCTTCCCCCTCACCCAAAGCTTCTAAACAATCTCGCAGACTTGGGTTCCACGGCACCCAGGTACAGGGCAGCCAGACAGAGGTGCTAGGACCGAGCCGGTTACCCACAGCGGATATGTGGCTTGCTTAAGGTTCGATCGAGCAGGTCGCTGCTGCCGCTATCAGAGACGGCCTGAAGGCGCACGGCCAGATGGGGGGTGGCGGATGGAGAACCAAACACTGGCTGGGACCAAGTTGAGCACACCACTCCACGCCACCCGGCACTGGTTTCTGGGCCGGTGTGGTCTCCGTAGACGGCGGAAGCATTCGTTGTTCATGCTCTGTCCTATAAAGGTACATGTCTGCTGCTGCCGCTGCCCTGCCAGTCTTCACTCTAGACTTCGCGGTAGATCAAGGTCGATATCCATCAACGTGTTCGAACAACGCTACCCAAGAAGCAGCAGAGTTCCTCCTCCATGAGGCAAAGAGAAGACGATTCAACGGCTATTTCTTCAGACCAACGGACCATCAGACGAAGAGGGAATCTGGGGTGACAGAGCTTGGCTACTCCGTCGCTCCTTCTTCGACTGCTCGACTCGACGCGACTAGTCCTCAAACCAGTTACCGTTGCTCCCGCCATCCGCATTGCTCCTGCCGCTACAGGCTTGGACTCTGGTACGGCCATGGCCCCTTCCCCAAGCTTTACGACCTAATTGCTTTACTTCTCTGCTTTGCGTTACTTGCATTACATCTAACTAACCTCGCTACCGTCTTTCTCTTTTTGTAGCAAGTACCATCAGCAACACAATCTACCTTCAGTAGCAACACCACCATCCACACCCCATCCACACCAACAGTCGCTATCATGTCGAGCGACCAGAGGTTCATCAATCTGGAGCCAACATGGAGGGGGTACGTTGCCACGACAAGGGACGCCCTAATTCTCTTTCAGTTAAGCGCCGATAGTCGTCTACACCACGTTCCGCGCCGACCTCACGACAAAGAGCGTGCCGAATTGATCGTGAGCGGCAACACGTTCATCTACGAGGAGAGTTCATCGGGGATAAAGAGGTGGACGGATGGGTTCAACTGGAGCCCAAGCCGTATCCTGGGGAATTTCCTCATATACCGCGAGTTGGAGAAAGCATTCGCGCCGGGCGAGAAGAAGAGGGCAATGAAAAAGAATAAGAACGGCATCACCAAGCTGGCGGACAGGCGTGCCTCAAACGGGAGCGAGCTGCCGAACCTGTCCCAGACCCATCCCGATCTTGATCGCGGCTTGATCGGCTCCCTCGTCGACTCGTATCCCTTCAAGGAGAATGGGCTGATCAAGAAGACGATCAGCATTATCTGGGAAGGATCACCCCACCACCTGGTATCTTACTACAACATTGATGATGTCAAGAGCGGCAAACTGCTGCCAATATCGCAGATAGAGGAGTACAGGAACTTTATGCCACCCACCGAAATCATAGCGGCCCAGAGTTTCCGGGTCCCACTTTGCCAAGAAGACATGCAATACGGGCCTGATCGGGGTCTGCCGACGCAGTTCGACGGAATGACGGAGGGTTGGGAGCTGCAACAGGTTATGGGAGGCATCGGAGGCATGGCATCGCAATACCAGCAGCACCAGCCCGACAGGGCCAATGGTCATCACCAACCCCACCACCAGTACACACTCTTGCCGCACTCGCAACTGCCTCAATACAACCAGCCCTACCACAACCAACCCCAGATGCACCAGTCTCAGCACCAGATGCACCAGTCTCAGCACCAGATGCACCAGATGCACCAGATGCACCAGATGAACCAGATGAGCCAGATGCACCAGATGCACCAGATGCACCAGCCGCAGCACGGGTTGCCTGACCTAAACAGTTACGCGCCATATGATGACAGCGTGTGGTCCAATGGGCCAAGACGTCACGCCTCGGTATCGGCCCTCAGAGGGGAATCCAGGCCCGAGTTCTCGGCACCAGCAACCATCGATCAGCCTTCAAGACGATCGTCAGTACCGTTCAGCTACGCAGGGCAACCCCAAGCCCTTACGGGGCAACACCTGTCACTCACGGCGCAGCGATCAGGTCCTACGAGTCAACAACTAGGATCCATGGGCCAACAACTAGCCGCGGATCTCGACAATCCTGATCTTGGCAATGCTGACCTCGAGCCTAATGGTCACTCTCACTATTCTACTAGTTAGCACGTCTTGTTTTCAAGCTGCTTGTCCTATCCCCTACCTAAGAATTGCTTCCTAGCAAGCAATCATGCTCTCCTCTGGCAATGGCAATCTTGCCAGCAATCCTGCCGCATTTCATCTTTTGTTTCAATTTTTATCTCGTTTCCGGTTGGCTGATGTCTGGTTGGCGTATCATTGGGTTGGGACTAAATCAGATGATTGGCTGAAATCCGTGTTTTGGAGTTGGTGGTCCGAGCTTCATTGATGCGGTCTGTAGCATCACATTTGAAGGGCACTTCAAGATATTGTCGATTGATTGAGGCTTTGCTGCGCTCGGATAAGACATCAAATAATTTTATTCTACATCTTGCGCGCGTTAAATCTACGAGAACCAATTGGATATGGCACCAAAGATACGTATACCTTAGAATTTGGGCTCCGTTGGGGTCGTCTGGTGGATCGTCGCCTCCTGATTCGTAAATCCGGGCCGGTGCTCTTGGCGGCCGCCTGTTGGGTCCGATCCCAACGGGCTCGGGGTTGGTTTGGCCCGGTCGGAACGAGGCCGTCGATTTGGGGGATGGGCTTGTGCGACTTGACCCTGGTGCATGCGGCGGGTGGGAGTGGGTGCACAACTGGCGCGGCTCCACTTCTTCCGACGTGCCGACCGTCGCCGTTGCTCCAATTAAAACGCGCCCCCAGAAATTTCCCATCGTCGTCGCCTTGCATCAGTTCAATCTGTCTTCCTGCTTGCGTGCGTGCGTGCGTGCACACACACTGCCGTGACGCCGTGCGCAAAATCGTTTTGCTAAGGCGCCGTCAATTAAAGCTGCAGAGATACGGCTAGATTACGAATACGGATTTTTCTTCTCTCTCTTTTCCCCGCCTCTCCATTGGGCCCCGGTGGAGTCATTTGCGGCGGCCGTCGCAGCAGCAGCACAGCGACACAGTTTGGACGCGGCCGAGGTGAAAGGGGCGCGTGACGTGACGTAGTCGTGGGTGTGGGTGTGGGTGTGTGTGAGTGAGAGGGTACAAGGTGTAGGTACCAACCCCAAACCAGCCAGGTGTCTCCGATATTTTATTTTGCATTTGTGCCTCATTCCGTCCCGTCTCTTGGACATGGAGTGTGTGTAGAGAGATGTGCTTGCTGATTCCATGGGATCTAGGAACCACGCGAGTTCTGCCGGTTTTGTAGGTTCTGCAGCCAGAGAGAACCCCCTTGGCTTAACTTCTCTCGTGCATCTCGACAAAATCTTGCGGACTGGCAGGTGGCTTGGCGCCGAGGCAAGCTTCACAGGTACTTCGTATTCGCTTTTGCTTCAAGTCTCGAACAGGGACTTGTACTTGGCCCGACCAGAGCCAAACTATCTGGACAGGAGAGTCATTGGCCCCGCCCACCTACCAGGACCTGTCTGGTCTATCCGGGCCTCATCTGCGTGCGTACCGAGGCGAGACGGTGAGGTACCGCTGAACGAGCACATCGAGGGCTTGGAAGAGGATCCGATAGACTTCAGGCTAGCCTCCACCTCCCTTCCGTCGTAGCAATGCCTCGGCTGAACGGCTGCAGCCCTACCGGCGCCCTGCTTCGTCCTGGGCCGCGTCGTCAACTGCTGCTGCTGCTACTGCCAAACAAGGCGGCATGTTGCCGTCGCGAGGCCCACTTCTCTGCTTCTGCCCCTTTTTCGAAAAAGGAGGCAAGGCAACATCGGGCACTCTCATCATGCGCTGGCACGGGCGCTGTCCAACGAGCATGTAGTGTCATTCATGGGCATCGGGGGTCGCTCAAGCGGCCAACCTGCCCAGCAACGCACCAGCCACAATCCCATCTGCAGCTCCTGCAGGTCCAGGCCAGGCATTTTGCCGTCTCGAGGAGGTCGAGGGCCCAGAACCCCGAAGATCCATTGTATGATGACCCTTTCTTGTAATTAGCTTTCTTCCCCAACGGACAGCCTTTCCCTCACCTGCCACTCCCAAAACTGGACCTGTGCTAACAAACATGGCTGTCTTTCCTGCTCTGGTGGCCTCCTTCTGTCAACCTGTTCAACTGCCGCTTGTCCCGGTAATGATGCTAACATGTTGCCCGCTGTAGACCGGGTTCTTCGCACAAGAACAATGATGCACCAGAGCCGCGTCGCGGCATCATCAACAAGGTGCTGCCATCGTTGGCCAGGAAGGCGATCAGTCGCGAAAATATTTACACCATCCCCAACTGGCTGACCGCCTCGCGACTAGTGGCTGCCCCGTTCGTCGGCTACTGCATTCTGCACGACCACTATGCCTGGGCGCTTGGTCTGTTTGCTTACGCCGGCATCACCGACCTGCTCGACGGGTGGATCGCCCGCAGGTGGAACCTCGGGACCGTCGTCGGCACTGTCATTGACCCCATGGCCGACAAGATTCTCATGACAGTGCTGACGGTGGCGCTGGCCACCAAGGGCGCCCTACCATTCTGGCTTGCCGGACTGATTCTCGGCCGCGACTTTGCCCTCGGCATCGCCGCCATCTACTACCGATGGATCTCGCTGCCGCCGCCCAAGACCATGGCGCGCTACTGGGACTTCTCCCTACCCTCTGCCGAGGTCCGGCCTACCACCATCAGCAAGTACAACACGGCCCTGCAGCTCGGGCTCATGGGTCTGACGACTGTCGCTCCCGTGGTGCCCTCGCTGGATCTAGGCACACCGCTAGGCGTGATGCAGTAAGTGTCCCTCTCATTTCCGCTCCAGTCCTATTCTTCGAAGCAATCCCCATCAATACTCCATTTCCTGCTCCCTTATATTGCCAGCTTATGTTCTCCTTCCTATACTCTCGCCCCCCTTTCCCTCCATCAGCGCTTGAAAGTGAGCTCGACGCCGCCCATAGTTACTGATTGGCATTTTAGATACGTAGTTGCCGTGACTACCGTCTGGAGTGGCGCTAGCTATGTCTACAGCAAAGACGCCGTCAAGATACTCTCGCAGCCACAACAAGGTGAGGCTGAAGAGAATGAGCAGACTAAGAAGTGAAGAGTCGGTGCCTGTGCAAGATACTCCGGATGTCTTGGATTTGCGGTGCTTTTGTCGCTGCTGTCACGCTACTTCCTCTGATCAGCTGTTGCCTGTATAATTATGCCACTACAGAGCTTGGTTAGAGTGGCGCATATGTGATAACTCATTAGCGCGTGTAACACCACCAAAATAGCATGCGTGGATAGCGAGCATTGTATAAAGAGAGCGTGTATTATTTATGAAGGCGGTTCGTTCAGACATGTATATCGTACTCATTAGTCGTACCTGTTGGTCGGAACTTGTTTTTAACTATTCATGACGGTTGTCAAGGTAAGCTTTTGAATCATCAATGAAGAACGTGGTCGCGTGGTGACGGTGCGTGTGTATCTCATTTTCTTTAATATACTTATTTTTCAACAGTCCTCGTGTAGAATAAAGTAACTGGCTGGCGCACTCGTGTGTTCTCGATGGTTGCCGTTTCTCGGTCGGTGGAACACAGTACACTTATGGATCCTGATCACTGTCTTTTACTGTGTCTTCACATACTTCCAACGGCAAAGATAAGCTCACGTTTCCTTGTACCGTAATAACAACGGCGGCTGCCAAGATCAGAGTAGGTAGGGAGGCCGTTATGTCTCTATCTTGACATGTTAGTCTGCCAAGAATTTGTCCCGCCGCGCGCTCAGGTTTTATGTGAGATTGTTTTTATTGACAAGTTGCCGTGGTGATGGTCCAACCCCTTTTCGACGTCTCTCACAGCACGAGGAATCTGCACCTATCTAGCCTACAAACTCAAACCATGGACCGTGTGGTGCTTACAAAATATTCAAAGTCACACACAACCGGATAAATGTAATTTTTATTTTTATTTTTCAAATTTTTTTTTCATTACACGCATGCAACCTCTGGGGCTATGGCGAGGCTAGTGGGTATATGTAATTAACCCAACATCGACATGCTCGATCCTTGTTTACTAGACACAGCATTCGGGGGTTTCGGTTGTCTAGACCTTCACGCTGCACGACTGAAGACAGCGATCTCAGGCTTGGTGCTGCGGTGATGAACGAGAAAAAAACATGATAAATACTGACATGGAATATAATCATGGATAGAAGTAGTTTCTTTTCGAAATAAATACACAAGGAAGTAGGAACCCCGAAGAAAGACGAGCACAGGTAGGTAAATACAACATTTCGGATAAAATACACCGGGCGCCGCCAACCGCAATCATCTAGATACCGACCGCTCTCCGTCTAAAGATGTTCCCGTCGAGATTACCCAATACACAGCGCAGCCGTCTGTTTTTGATTTTGTATATACAGTACAGTCCCCATATCCAACTCTGAGCGACACACATTCCATTCACTAAAATGTCAAAGTCACAACCATGACGTCTGTTTTTACAGGGCGGCGACCCTGGACTGGGCGTCCAGGGCGGCGAGGTCCTGGTCGCCTCCGGCAGTAGCGGTCAGGGCGGCGAGGTCGGCGTCATAGCCGCCGCGGCCGCCGCGGCCTCCGCGGGTAACGTGGCGGAGCAGGACGAGGGAGCCAGCGGGGGTCATGGACTCGAGGCGGCGGGCCTGGGCGAGGGTCTCGGGGCGGGCGGTGCGGAGCACCTCCTTCTCGGAGTGGGACAGGCCGTCGATGGCGTCGTAGTCGAGGTCGAGGGGCAGGCCCAGGGCCTCGTCGCGCTCCAGGCGCTCGTGCTGGGCCTCGTGCTGGCGGACGTAGGGGGTGTAGGCCGACTCGACGCTGATGCGCTCGAACAGGAGCGTCGGGAACTTGCCGATGCCCGGGACGAGCCCGTTGAGTTTCTGGAGGATGTCCACCATGTCGTGCTCCGGGCTGGCCATGAAGGCCATGGTTAGGGCCTCGAGCCCGTTGCGCATGCGGGAGTCGGAGCGCACGTGGATCCCAGCCGCCTGCAGCGTCTGCGCGCTGTGCCGCGATGACTGGAGCAGGTTGAGCAGCTCGCCTGCCTGCTCGCGCTGGTCCTCGAAGTGGCGCCAGCGCACGTCGCCTACGACGCCCCAGGAGCGGCCGAGGGCCGTCAGGCGCGTGTCGGCGTTGTCGGAGCGGGCCGTCATGCGGAACTCGCTGCGCGACGTGAACATGCGGTACGGCTCCGACACACCCTTGGTGACGAGGTCGTCGATCATGATGCCGATGTAGGCGTCGGCGCGGCTGAGGCGGATGCCCGGCAGGCCGAGGGCGGCGCGGCCGGCGTTGATGCCCGCCACGACGCCCTGGCCGGCGGCCTCCTCGTAGCCCGTGGTGCCGTTGATCTGCCCCGCCAGGAACAGGCCCCGGATGAGCTTGGTCTCGAGCGTGCGCTTGAGGCTGCGCGGGTCCACGTAGTCGTACTCGACGCCGTAGCCGGGCTGCAGCATGACCACGTCCTCGAGGCCCGCGATGGTGCGCAGCGCCCGCTCCTGCGCCTCGGCCGGTATTGTCATGCTCAGGCCGTTGGGGTAGACGACGTCGTTGTCGTAGCCCTCGGGCTCGAGCCAGACGATGTGCTTCTCGCGGTCGGCAAAGCGTATGATCTTGGACTCGAGCGAGGGGCAGTACCGGGGCCCCCTGACCGTCTCGCGGATGTGGATGGTCTTGTCGAGATTGTCTCGCACAATTTGGTGGGTAGCTGCGTTGGTGTAGGTGGAAAAGCAAGACAGCTGCTCCGTCGCGACAACGGTGCTGTTCAGGTAGCTGAAGGGGTTCGGCGGGTCATCGCCAAGCTGCTCGTCCAGCGTGTGCAGCTTGATGCTCTTCCTGTCGAGGCGCGGCGGCGTGCCCGTCTTCAACCTCCCGAGCTGGAAACCGGCGTCTTTGAGCGACTTGCTGAGGCCAAAAGTGGCATCCTCGCCAATGCGCCCGGCCGGGTACACTTCGAGGCCGATGTGTATCTCGCCGCTGAGAAAGGTGCCGGTTGTGATGACGACCTGGCTGGTGGGCAGCACCTCGCCCGACTCGAGGCGGACACCAGCGATCTTGGTCTTGGCCGGGTTCGCAGCGTCGTCGTTGTCGGCGAGGACAATGTCGGAGACTTTGCCGAGGACGACGGAGAGGTTGGGGTACGACTCGAGCTCGTCGCGCATGTGCTTCTTGTAGAGGGCGCGGTCGATCTGGGCGCGGGGGCCCCAGACGGCGGGCCCCTTGCTGCGGTTCAGCACGCGGAACTGGACGCCGGCCTTGTCGATTATGCGGCCGGCCAGCCCGTCGAGAGCGTCAATCTCGCGGAGGATGGTGCCCTTGCCGATGCCGCCGAAGCTGGGGTTGCACGAGCAGGTGCCTAGGTTGTCGACGTCAGGCGTGATCAGGGCCGTCTTCGCGCCAGCGCGGGCTGCCGCTGCGCACGCCTCGGCTCCCGCATGGCCTCCGCCCACGACAATGACATCGAACGGCCTATTGTTGGTTGGCAAAGATGTCGAGGTTAGTCGCAGAGGCCAATGGGACCTCTATATAATTTATTTCATTTTTTATTTCTTCTGTCTGGTCGCTCACCTCGAGTCGGCGCCAACCGTGGCAAATGCCCTCGTCGCCCTCCTTTTCCCGTCTTGTCCAATTGCGCCTGAGAGGCGGGCGCATGGCCGAATTGGCCTTCCAAAGAGGAGGCCCCTGGGCAGACGGAGCATTGCCATCGTCATGGCTAGTCGAGAGGGTTGTGCCGGCCTCGGCCAAAATGCTGTAAATGTCTCCAGGCTAGGGTGGGTAGGGAATTCGCGATCGGATCAATGCGGGTTGCAAAATAATTTGTTGCCAGACTCGGCGATAGGAAATGACAGCGCCGTGACAAGCAAAGCGCGCCCCGCTATCGGCACCCCACCGCCGCACCTCTATCGCCTGGGAACACCTGCACTTTAGCACCACTGCCCTGCCCTGTGAGAACGGCTTTGCGCCTGGGCTGTCTCGAAGCTCAGTTCTAGGAATAGGATTGAGTTTTAATTGGCACCTTGCTCACGAGTTTCGTTTCTTTTGACGAGAGGAATTGCGTTCATGCCTAGGCAAGTGATAGCCTTGGAAACTTTGGGATGCAACCCCAGGAAGAACACCACAACTTGATCACACACCCGGCTTGCTGGTGTCTTGTTGACAAAGTGGAATTGCTTGGTATCATGAAGAGCATATGCAACACCGCTGTTTCGTACAAATATGGACGGTTGTGATCGACCCAGCGTCGACGCGTCGACTAGCCAAAATCCCGACTCCCACTAGTAATATACAGCACACCCCCCTCGCACCCAACAGGCTCAATTGCTCAACACCCGTTCACACGCCCCAAGGAGAATATGAGAGAGAGTGAGATGCGTGGAGCTTCAGAGCGCACCCGCATCAAAAGCGAAGGGGTGGCGCTCTAGGCCTCCCGCCATCGCTCTACTCATCGCTGTGCTGCTCCTCGGCACCGCGCCTCAGAACCTCAAACTGCCCTGTTTCCCCCTCATCGGATTAGCAGCTAGTCCAGTTAAATTGAGAGACAAAACGACTTACGGTGTAGAATCTTGAAGGCCGTGTGTTTCTTGCCCTCGGAGTCTTCGTACTTGTCTACGACGGCCTCACCCGAGACAAAGAGCTGAGTACTGTTGCGAGACGAGAAGAAGGAAGTTAGCCAGCCAGCCAGCTATCAGCAGTCCTGGGAAGAAGTAGTAATGGAACGTACCCCTTGGGCAGGGACAGGATGTAGTCGCGGCGCGGCCCCTCCTGCTCAAAGCATGTGACGTTGAACCAGCTCGTCGTCCTCTCGTCGCTGCCCCTGCTGGGCGGGTTGGAGCTGGCGAGGGTGTAGCGCACAATCTCCTTGCCGGTGCTGGTCGGCCTCAGCTCGGGCTGCGCGGCGAGGCGGCCGACGACGTTGATGTGCGCGACGGGGCGGGCCGGCGTCGAGCTGAAGGCTCTCGCCATGGGCCGCGCGGCGGCGACGGCGCGCGACGAGGTGCGAAAAAGAGCAGACATTGTCTTTGCTCGGGCTATTTTGGTGGTGCTCGGGTTGATTGGAGTGGTGATGGCTGGGTGCGCGGGTCTGTAGGTTGTCTGTCTGTCGTGCGTTGGGTGGTCGAGATGTCGGTCAAAAAGCAATCCGTATCGCGAACAAAAAGTGCAAATTTCCCCGATTGCGTCGCGACGGCCTGCGTGCCTGTCACATTGACGCGACCCGAGGTGGCCCCTGCGGTCCGTCTCCAATTGGCTAGGGTTGGACGTGGCCGAAATAAGCTTTAACCCTGGGTTCTGAACAGGCAACAGCCGCACTAAGAACACAACGCCAGGCAGGGAAGGCAGGAAGGTCGTTTCCAACTTGTTCACAAATTTCCTGTTTCCCAAACTTCCTGTTTCCAATTACTTTTCCCACAAGGCCGTCTTCTGTTTTAATTCTCTTCATGTGATTTGACGGAGTTGCCACTTTTTGGTGTCGTAATGCCGGCCATGGCTGCTGGGTGATCAAATTCCATCTCGACCTCAACAACTTGTCCACTAAACCGGGTAGCTTGCAATTGACAACTTGTCGCTCACTCGACTCGATACACCAGCCCCTTGCACCGTGACTTCAACCAAGCTAAAGGAGAAGCAATTACCTTGCCAAACCCGTCTTTGCATCGGATTTGCGTTCCCATTCCTAAACTAGGCTCAAGCTCGTCCAAAATGAGCAGACCAAACAGGCCGAAATCCCCAGACGAGGACGCAATCGATGAGGATGACAGACAATATGGCGCTGGGCCCATTGGCCTTCAAGAAATAGACAAGCAGTAGGTCATGTGCTGCGAGCACGCCGGCCCTGACCCGAGTTGCTATTCGGCATGCTGATACCCATCGTAGGTTCAACGACAGGCCGCGGAACCACTCCAAGACGTTTCTGTTCTCTGAGCTCTTCAAGTCCTTGTTCACCCCCCTAATGGAGTGCAAGCCGCATAGCTCTGGTCCCATTGCTGCCGCCGGGCGATCCAGGCCTAGGCACCGCGGTGCTGGCGGCACCTCAACAGTATCATACCACGAGCAGCGCCGCCATGTCATCGAGCGCTTTATGACGCGCTGGCGCGACGAGGTCGGCAATGACTTCTACCCTGCCATGCGCCTCATCCTGCCCGATAAGGACCGCGACCGCGGCGTCTACGGCCTCAAGGAGAACACCATCGGCAAGCTGCTGGTTAAAGTTATGAAAATTGACCGTAACTCTGAGGATGGTTACAACCTGATGCACTGGAAGCTGCCTGGCCAGGGCGCCAAGGCTGGTGACTTTGCCGGCCGCTGCTTCGAGGTCGTTGCCAAGCGCCAGATGCGCACCCAGCCCGGAAACCTTACCATTGCCGATGTCAACGTGCTGTTGGACCGGCTTGCTGGCGCCAGCGGCGAAGCAGAGCAGCTGCCCATCTTCGACGAGTTCTACCTGAACATGAATGCCGAGGAGCTGATGTGGCTGATCCGCATCATTCTCAAAGACATGAAGGTTGGCGCCACCGAGAGGACGTTCCTGAGCCTGTGGCACCCCGATGCCGAGGCCCTGTTCAGTGTGTCGTCGAGTCTGAGGCGCGTGTGCTGGGAGCTGTGGGACCCCGAAAACCGCCTCGAGGAGCAAAAGACGGACATTACGCTCATGCAGTGCTTCCAGCCGCAGCTCGCCCAGTTCCAGATGTCTCCCACGTTCGCCAGGCTGGCCTCCAATCTCGGCGTCACCGAGGCGTATCCAGTCTTTTGGATCGAGGAGAAGCTCGACGGCGAGAGGATGCAGATGCATATGGAGGAAGATGCCTCGGTGCCTGGCGGCTTCCGGTTTGCCTTCTGGTCCCGAAAGGCAAAAGAGTACACGCATCTCTATGGCAATGGCTTGCGAGACGACAATGCCGCCCTGACACGCCATCTCGGGGATGCATTCGACAGCGGGGTCCGAAACCTCATTCTCGACGGCGAGATGATCACATGGGACCCCGAGCTCGACAAAATGGTTGCCTTTGGTACGCTCAAGACTGCGGCCCTGGAGCAACAGAAGAATCCATTTCATACGGGCCCGCGGCCTCTATTTCGCGTCTTCGACATTCTCCTCTTGAACGACAAAGCCCTGACCGACTACACACTCAAGGACCGTCACATGGCTCTCGAAAGAGCTGTCCGAAATGTAGACCGTCGGCTGGAAATCCACCCGTATGTCGAGGCCAAATCCGCCGACGAGATCGAGCCGCTGCTCCGCAAGGTGGTCGCCGAAGCCTCGGAGGGCCTCGTCCTCAAGAACCCCCGCTCACGATACCAGCTCAACAGCCGCAACAACGACTGGATTAAGGTAAAACCCGAGTACATGTCCGAATTTGGCGAGTCTATTGACTGTGTCGTGGTCGGTGGGTACTTTGGATCCGGCCACAGGGGCGGGACGCTGTCGAGCTTCTTGTGCGGACTGCGCGTCGGCGAGAACTTTGTCAAGACTGGCGCGAGCCCAGAGAAGTGTCTCAGCTTCTGCAAGGTGGGCGGCGGCTTCAAGGCCGAGGACTACGCCGAGATCAGACACCATACCGAGGGGAAGTGGAAGGACTGGGACAGCGCTAAGCCCCCCTCCGAGTTCATCGAGCTTGGCGGCGGCGAACGCCACCAGTTTGAGAAGCCAGACGTCTGGGTCCAGCCCAAGGATTCGGTCGTCATCTCCGTCAAGGCCGCGTCCATTGCCCAGTCGGATCAGTTCGCCATCGGCTGGACGCTCCGGTTCCCGCGCTTCCGCAAGCTCCGCATGGATAAGGCTTGGGACGGCGGCCTAGACATTGACGAGCTTGAGGCGCTCAGGGGCAAGGTCAACCGGGAGGAGAAGGAGCGCAAGGCCATGGAGATGGAGAGCCGCAAGCGCAAGCCCACCAAGCGCATCAAACAGGAACCGGTCATTGCAGGAACGGACCCTTCGGCGGCGCCCGCCGAGTTCGACATCCGCAAGCCGAAGAGCGAGCTCTTCCGGGGCCTCAACTTTTGCGTCTTGTCCGAGGCCGTGAAGCCCGCCAAGATGTCGAAGCCCGCTCTCGAGAAGCTGATCAAGGAGAACGGCGGCCGCATTCACCAGAGCGTCGACAGGGGCTCGGGGATGATCATAGTAGCCGACAAGAACGTCGTGAAAGTAGCGAGCCTGAAAAAGGCTGGCGACGCGGACATTGTGCGGCCAAAGTGGATCTTCGACTGTCTCGCCCAGTCCGACGGCGAGGGCTATCTGGTCCCCTTTGAGAAGGGCCACCTGCTCCACGCCACCGAATCAATGGCGGCGGTGGCGGAGAAAAACACGGACTGCTTTGGCGACAGCTATGCGCGCGACATTGACGTGGCGGAGCTGGTCGGCATACTCGACCACATGCCGACGACCGGCCGAAACGACGAGGAGGACGAATTTGAAGACAGCAGCAGCGTGGCGTTCGATGCCGGCCGCTTCCTAGACCAGCTCGAGGAGCACGGCCACGGGCTCGACGACCTGAAGAGCTTCCTCTTCCGGAGGTGCCGCGTGTATTTCGCTCTGGGCCAGGGCGTCTCAGAAGGCCAGGCGCTCAAGCTGCGCAAGCACGTCCTGTTCGGCAACGGGCACGTCACAAGCGGCGTAGAGGACGAGACGGTCACCCATGTCGTCATCATTGGGAAGGACGCCGCGTCGGAGCGTGAGGCCGCCGCAGACGTGCGGTACCGCGTCTCGGCGCGCAGTGCTGTCCCCCGCATTGTCACGCAGCGGTGGGTCGAGGACTGCTGGGGAGAGGGCACCCTGGTAGACGAGGAGGAATATGCGCCGAGCTAGACAGACTGGAGAGGTCGGGGTAGCTTATATTCTGTGAATTCGGTTGGGTAGACTCTGCACGTAGAGCAAGGGGAATGTTCACATGTGTGGATAACGAATATGACTTGATGGATGGCAAGAAACCAAAAGAAGAGAACGAAGCATGATTTGGGGGTTTATATCGAGTATTATCTCACGCGAGTCGTAGAGTTTGTGGGAACTGAGGTATTGACATTACTTGTTGAACACCCCCTATTATCGGGATGTGGCGTGGATGTACGGATACGGATATGTGTTTATGGAAAAAAGACATGGTATCATCTCCCTCGAAGCCCTGCCTGCCTGCCATAACCTTGTCCCCGGCGGGTAATTACTACTTGATACGGTTTTCACCAAGCAATGTAGCCGGCACACATGCCATGCACCACTCCATCCTTCCAACCCGTAGTCTGACTTTTCGTCTTCCTTTTTTCCCTACCCATCCCGGCCCCCGCGCGTTTCTATGGCAGTGTATCTTCCCTTCATTCCGATGAGCCCACGACAGCGTCCTACTTGCCAATGGTCAGGAACAGGCGGTCGCCGACATCGCCGAGACCGGGCTTGAGCATGCCGCGGTCCGTCAGCTCGGCGTCGACGCCGGCGAGCCAGATTTCGACGCCCGCCGGCCATTCGGCGGCCGCGCGCGCCACGCCGCCCGCCGCCCCTAGCACCGACAGCACCAGCACCCGCTGCGCGCCCCACTCGCGCAGCGACTGGATCGCCGCCGCGCACGTGCCCCCCGTCGCGATCACAGGGTCTAGTATGACTGCTAGCCCGCTAGCGCCCTGCCCCGTCGCGCTGCTGTGGTCCGGTAGGTTGTTGTAGTACTCGACCGGCTCGAGCGAGATCGGCTCGCGGTACAGCCCGAGGTGGTGCACGGGGACGGGTGCCGGGAGGAGGGTTTGGATGGCTGCGGCGGGGTGGTTAGTCTGTTGCGGAGCATTGGAAGGAAGATTAGGGGGCACATACCTTCTACCATGCCCAATCCCGAGCGCAAAATCGGCACCAGCGAGATGGTCTCGGGGAGCACGCTGGTAGTCTGGTACGGGAACCCAAGGGGTGTTTCGTCCTGATCGTTCATGTTAACCAACACTGCATGTGGCATGTCGGGGGGTTTGTTTGTTCTCCTCGCGGATTGGGATGGGATGAGGCAGGGATGGGGGTGGAGAGAGAGAGAGAGAGAGGAAGACGCACAGTTGAACCGGGCGCCGCGCTCACGGCGTGTGCCAGCGCCTCGCATCCCAGGATAATCGCAATCTCGTGCACCAGCGACTTGACCTCCTTCGCGCTCGTGCTCTTGGACCGCAGCTGGCTCAGCTTGGCGACCAGGCACGGGTGCTTGGAGACGTGCACGTTGGGCGGCAGCGGGTCCATCTTTCTTTCTTGTGAAGGTCTATCGGTATTTGTAAAGAGTAATGTGCGATTCGCGGTGTAATCAAGAGACTAGATTGATGTAATGGTGAGTGTGAATGGGCAATTAATAGTGTGTGTAAATTTTATGGTGTTTTTCTTAAGATAGCGGGATGGTCTGTCTGTCTGTCTGTCTGTCTGGGAAAAGACGGCAGCGCTGACCGCGAGTCTGGGGAAGGTCCATGTGTTGTTTGTTACATAACGCCAACGCCGTACGTGCTAAACAAGGTCGGCCCAGCCTTAGTCTGTGACGATGCGATAAGCTGCGAGCATTCCTTCATTCCCGTTCAGAGGATGGACAGGGAGTGGTCGGGTACGCTCTGCATCTGGAAACCGCCGGTTACCGGAACCCGGCAAGGCGTGGGACAGGCGGCCACTCACCGTCTTACACGACCGTCCCATGATCCTGTTGAGACGCCAGAGACCGGTTCGCCGGGTTCAATCCGGCCTGGGCTGTGCGCCAGCTGGCACAATCGGATTGTCCGTTTAAGCCAATCCCGTTAGCTTGTGTAGGTCTTGTATGTATAATACACCAATCTCAGCTTGATCACGGCTGCATTCCAGGATCTTGGCATTGCCAGGCACTGTTGAACTGAGCATCCTGTACCTGCCTGCGCGTTACGACGGTTGCGTTGCGGTGTGGAATGGCGGGGCTCGCGGGGTCACCCGTCAGCTGTGGAAACCACGAACCTGGGCCGCCACAAATTCCTCACTAAACTAGCCGCCTTGGGGAGCTGATAAGATAACGGACGGCAGAATGCAGGGATGCGGCTGGGGGGTAACCGAACACCGCTTCCGAATCCGGCCCGTCGTCGCTTCCGAGTTTCGACATTTTGGAAAGCCAAGCTCCGATCAAGGTTCCACGTTGCAGATACTGGATAAGATCTTCTCACGTCAACTCCCTTCCCTTGTATCAGAAAAAATACGTATCAGAAAAAATACCCTAGGACACGAGGCTTTCCTCGTTGGCCATGTGTTCGCAAAGCCGACCCGTCCTAATGGTCTAGGTAGCTGAATGCTCGAGCGCGCCCATTGCCTCGGGCCAAGTCAACATCGCGTTGCGTCGCACGGCGTCGCTGTCGCGTAATGTCGCAGCCTAGCGAACACGAGCATGGCCGTCAGGACGAAGCGATGCCGGGACCACGACGTAGCACCGACTGCAACAGTCGCCGCCCTTCGAGATCGTCTGCCGAATACGGCGCCCCCGAGTCGTACCGTAATCTCGACGGTGCCCTCGCGCCAGTTCGAGATGCAGGGGATGCCACGACGGCCCAGCAACCGCAGCGGCAGCCGTCTAGTCGGTCATCGGCTAGGGAAGTCCGGAACGCGCGTCGCGCATCGACCGCCTCCCGCGTGGATTATGACAACCCAGACGCGTATGCCAACCTCGACGAGGTTATTGACGTCTCGCCCGTCCAGAACCCGGACGAAGAGCCCACACGCCGGTTCGAGACACTAGAGCAGGTCCGGGCTCGCGACCGGGAATACACTCGGGATCAGAGACTTGAGGAGAGGAAGGCTTCCGGTGGCGAACCGCAGCCGGGTCTAGAAATAGCGGCAGAAGAAAGCGGCAGAGTCGAGATCTCGCGCCTGGCCACGCAGATCTACACTGTTTCCTATCTCGTGCTGTTCTCCATCCTCGGTACCCTTGCTAGGCTGGGACTCCAGGCCCTGACGTCTTCGTACCCTGGGGAGCCTGTCATCTTTGCGTCCCTCTGGCCCAACTTTGCTGGGAGTGCTGTGATGGGGTTTCTTGCCGAGGACCGCATGCTCTTCCGCGATCCGCTGCATGCGAACCGGACCCCGGAGGCGAAGCAAAGCAAGGGGCCAGACCAGGAGAGTGGCGGCTCTGGCGAGTCGCCGACCGCTGCGGACCTGGCCGCTGCAAAGAAAGAGCACGCCGCCATAAAGAAAACCATCCCGCTCTACATCGGGCTGGCAACCGGGTTCTGCGGCTCCTTCACGTCGTTTTCGTCCTTCATCCGTGACATGTTCTTCGCCCTATCGAACGAGCTGACCGCCCCGGGCGCCGGCGCCGAGGCGGCGAGGAACGGCGGCTATTCCTTCATGGCCGTGGTGGCCGTCCTGCTCGTGACAGTGTCGCTCTCGCTCTCGGGCCTGTTCATCGGCGCCCACCTCGCCATTGCGCTCGAGCCAGTCACGCCTGCCTTGACGAGCCTGTTCACCCGGAAAATCGTCGACAGGCTCGCCGTGGTGCTTGGCTTCGGGTCGTGGATCGGCGCCGTGCTGCTGTGCATCTGGCCTCCGGACCGCGGCGGCCGCGGCCAGGAGACGTGGCGCGGCACGGCAACGTTTGCGCTCGTCTTCGCGCCGCTCGGCTGTCTGTGCCGCTTCTACGCGTCGCTCTGGCTGAACGGCCGCATCGTCAGCTTCCCCCTCGGCACTTTCGCCGTCAACATGGCCGGAACTGCTATGCTGGGCATGGCTTGGGACCTGGCGCACGTCCCCCTCGGCGGCGCCGTCGGCTGCCAGGTCTTGCAGGGCGTCCAGGACGGGTTCTGCGGCTGCTTGACCACCGTGTCGACCTGGGTGGTTGAGCTCGCGGCCCTCAGGCGCCGGCATGCTTACGTTTACGGTGGCGCCAGTGTCGCGGTGGGCCTGGCGTTGCTGGTCGTCATCATGGGCAGCCTGAAGTGGACTGATGGCTACGCCGCCTTGCTCTGTACCCATTAGGCGGCCGTGTCTGCTGGTGTAAACAACTGTAATATGCTGTCTTGGCTGGCTTTGTGTTCACCTGAGGAGGGTAAAACACCCAAGTCTAGATACCCCGAGCTAAAAATAGCTCTAATAGGATTTGATACTAAACCTTACCTCAAATTCGAGAGTTTATATATTTTCATCTTCAAGACTTTCCAATGTCTAGACTTCGCCAATATTTAAGAACTAGTTGGAGTTCAGCGGAATTCCTCATGGAACGTAATTAGAGTACTTTACTATTCCATATGCGCTCCCTACCTCCTGATATTGATTTGGAGGCACCGAGTTAAACTTAAAACATAGTCTAATGCCTAAATACCTATCTACAATTCTCTTCAAGTCCGGAAAGGTAGATAGAAGGGGGGCCGAGCGGAAGGGGGGGTGGGTTACATTCTGTGGACAGTGAGGCTCTTGTGGCCGCATGAGCTTCCAGGTTGGTCGTCACAGCCAGCTTTACTAGCCTAATTACTAATTATTTAACTTGAGATACAATGCATTCAACACCCAATGCTTTCGAGTTTGGACTCTTTGGAGTACTTTTCACTATAGCTACCCTAGGTAGGTGAGCTGCGAAGAGGTAGAAACAAACTTTTCAAGTTAATGGATGTTTACGATTATGGAAGTTACCGAGAAACGAGATGTTAGTTATGGAGATTGCATTTATTTTATCCCATTTCATGTTCTTCTCTTGCATTATTCTTGGAAGGCTTAGGTTCTGTATAGCGTCATAGACTAATTACCCGTTGGATTCTCTCACCAACAGGTACAATCTAGGAAGCTCTATTTTACTCTTTCGGCTGTCAGTTCTCCGCTGCCCTTTGCCTTTTACTCTCTCAAAACCCCAGCACCTGGGAATAAGTTGCATCCTATTCATAGGTATATGTTAGTCAGTATATATCGAAAGATGTGGGTAGCTGATGGAAGAGTTGAACCATATTTAACGTTCTTCTTGAACTCTGTGTTTCTGGCCGTTATTTCGGCCAGTTCCCTGTCCATCCAATACTGCCTGTTGCGCTCTTGTTGTGCTTCTTTCGTCATACTGGGCGGGGGCATGATCAATAGGGTGGGAGTCTTCACCGATTAGGATTTGATGATGATGGATGGATCTGAGTGGTGTCCGTTTTGACCAAGTTGCTTCGTGGATTCCCGCGGCCTTTCCTAGCTCCCTGTCGCGGCGTCGGCCTGTTCTGATTCTAGCTCGTAGCTGTTGAGCTCCTTATCCTTGCGCCGGAGCGGCTCGATTTTGCGTAGCTCGAAGCCCGTGAAGGACAGGTGTAGCGATGTGTGCTGGAAGTTGTCCTGGGTGGACCGAGATCATGTGCCACGACCCGTAGTCCAGCTTGCGCATTTTAGGGTTCGCCGGCGTGACGAGAAACCCCAGCCCCGGCTTCCCGATGTTGCCGGTGATCCGCTGGATGGGCGAGGCATCATCTGCCCGTCCCGTTGGGGGGGCCTTCGCCTTCGGCGACGTGTCTTCCTTCAACTTCAGCTTGACGGCACCTGACGGGTCGGCGAGCAAGCCGGCTGGTACGAATATCGAGTTAGAATGGCACAGTGCAAAGGTGTTGCTCCCGATTGAGTCGGGGTCGATGTCCAGCCCGCCGGTTTCGAAATATGCGATGCACACCAAGGTGACTAGCAAAGAATCTTGAAAAATTAGCAGTCATTTTCTTCCACTATAGAGCCTTGCTGAGAGTGCGTGATGTGACCTGCAGATCGACCCCTTGCGCCGTCGAGCCCCGAGTAAAGTTGCTTGGCAGCGCCGAAAGCATTCAGTGACTGAGAGCAACCGGTTCTGGAGTCCTGAGCTATGATGGAGTCTAGGGCCTTGACGATTTGGAGTTTGGTGATATCGTCGTCTTGGACCAAATGCTCGTCGTTGACGTTTAGCCTTATAAACTGGGACACTTCTTGCTGCGAGTTAGTGATGGTGTGGATATCGTCGAGACAGACGTCAAGTTTTAGATCACTGGCCTGCTACCCGCTGATGATACTACCCAAGACGACAAAAGTCAAATCGTCAAAGGTGATCTGGGACTCTTTGACACCAGTGTGCCTGATAGCGACTATGGGGTCTCCGTAGTAACGAGTCAGTGACAGCAGCAGGAACCAGAAGATGCCCCGGCCGCTGTCGTCCCGATTGCGGAGGCCGAGTGTGATAATCCCACCCGAGCTGATCAGCGGATCGTCCTGCCTGACATACTGGCCTGTGCCAGCCAGGACGATGTCGGGGTATAGTTGCCAGGCGGAGAGGCCCAGCAGCACAGCACCGCTGTCGATGCGGTGGGGTGCGCCCTGGATTAGGCTGTCCAGCGCCTTCGTGGCACTGGTCCAGGCCTCGATGATTGCGTCGTGGACGGTGGTCTTGTTGGATACTGGTAGAGATGTGTTGTCGACCAACAGCCCGTACTGTGTCTGCTCGCGTCTCTTGACCTCGTCTGCAGTCTGAAGCTAGGCGCGCGCGCTCGCATCCCATTCGTCCAGCTGGCTCCTGCTAATGTCGACAGCGCTTCGCCGAGGCCTTGGAATTCCTTACGCGCTTCGTATTTGATGAGCGAAAGTCGAAATTCAGCTTCGCAAAGGCAAGTAGTCTCTTGGGAGGCTTGCAGAAAAGCGTTGGTGAGCTTCCCAATCGACGCCATTGATGCTGATTGCTAATTAATTCATGAGGAAACAAGGTCCACTGCGGCTGAGCAGTGCGCGATTTTGTATATGTACGTATGAAAGGTAATTGGCGTGTGTTCAGGGACCAACAGCTAGCATCTAAGCCACGAACCTGCATACCTACGCGTCACGACGGTTTACCAATGCTCAGTGTGCCATTACGCCTGCCAATTCCCGGCTAATGATGTTATTCCTAGTGCTCCAGCTCCCAGCTATCGAGGCCGACTTACCCACCAAGCTGTGGCTGAAATAATTGGGACTCGTTCCTTTACAGTTGTGTAGAGATCTACGACGTCGTCGTCGTCGGATTTAATCACCGCAGGCAACCCCAGTGTAATTATGAGCTCAAAATCCAGTTTTGGCTGGTCTGAAAATGGTTGCTGCTTGCAAACGGAAGGGAAAAGACCTAGGAAGTTATGGATTAGATGGTGCCCTAAAAGGATCCGTTTTGGTTGCGGCAACTCGGGTGTAAGTCGAGCCTTCCTAGAATGGAAGATGACAAGAACCAGCAAAATAAGCGGCCTGGGCAGAACAGCAAGGTAGGTCCTCCCCGAATTACTCCATATTCTGCAGAAACCTCGATCCAGCCGATTCTTAGGCTCCAAGGTTCCATCATGTTTAAGATGCCGAACCGAGGGCTCTGACGCCCTCCTTCATGCGCTGAAGTTCTATAACAACGTCGACCAAAAAGCCAGCCTGGAGCTCCTCGCTCTTCTCCAGGTCGTCCTGCGGCTCCCTGAGTCCAAAGTCGCAACCGATGCACTTCCGGATAATGCGCGGATACTTGGCGCCCATCTGGTTGGCCAGCATGGCGCACAGCTTCTCGGCGACGTGGTAGTCCGTCTGGCGCTTGGCCGGCATCTGGAAATCTCGGCACACCCGCTCCCGCAGAGTCGCCCATGACCGCGAGAAACCAACCTCGAGCAGTACGATGCCGAACCGGAAGAGCAGCTCGTTTCGCGCCCCAACCGCCATCGTGTCGCTGCCGCCTGCCGTGTCTTGCATGTCGGCGTCTTCGCTGCCTGGTCCTGAGCCGACGGCTTTCCCTTTTCTGGCTCGCCTCCCAAACTCCACCTTGAAGTAAGGATACGACAGCCGTAGCTCATCCTCTGCCGATAACTGGTGGGCAGTGAAGAAGTTGACGTCTTGGCTACGCCAGGTCTCGGGCAGCCAGGGTGTCGAGTGGAATTGGAGGACCGACGCTGCCAGCGAGCCGGCAATGTGGAAAGTGGCCGGCAGGGGCAGCGACCCTTGGAACGAGTTCTCGTTGATCCAGGATATGATTGCGTCGAGTCGCATTGCGTCTCCAGCAAAACGGCGATTCGGAGGCGGCCGGTAGAAGCGCTGGAGATAGCGCCCCCCGAGGTACCCGAGACACTGCTGCGGCTGGCACACCAAGTACTGGGTGTGGAAGTGCTGGCAAAGATCGGCGATAAGCATCAAGTTGACAAGTTGTCTCTCTGGGATGTCGTCAATGCCTTCGTCATCAATCACTGGCCCTTCGTCGCCCGAGGGCTCCATCTGAGGCAGGTTGTCGGTGTTGAAGCGGACTCTCTTCATGGCCTTGGCCAGTTTTTTGGCCGAATTCTGTCGTTTTGGTGGGACGGTGAATGGGGTCGAGTACTTGGCGAGAACACTGTTAAAATTATCGAACTGCTGTTGGCCATGGTTCGATGGAGCTATAGCAATCTTGCTCTTTGCACTCTCGATATGTTCAACCTCCAACCAGAGCGGGCTAGAGGAGTTGTCTCGTGCCAGCTCGCTCGCACACACACTCGTCAGAGCGACATCGAACTTGACCGAACCCTCGCTTTTCATCTCAAAAACTTCAACACAAGAGACGCTCGCTGCGTGGCTCTCATGCTGATGCGTAGAGCAAGTCCAGCTGTTGGCCAACGTTTCATAGAGCAGGGTCGAGGCATGTCGAATCTGGCGATACTTCTCGATGCTATTAATGTTAGTTGCCGTCCTCCTGAACCAAGCCTCTTCGACACCGTGCCGGGATTTGGTATTCTCTGGAACCGTCCTCTTGACCTCGTTCAGACTGCCAATGACTTGGTTCGCCATCAAGTTGAAGTCCGAGTTAAAGTTCCGCAAGTCTTCAATGGCCTTCAGCAGCTCTGGTTTCTTCACGACCAGCTTCAAACGGGCCCCGACCCGGCTCAGCCATTCTCGACGGCCGCTCGTGGACTGTTGCTGCAGGGATGTCTGTTAGTTCCAAGTCATAATTTCTGCCAAATGATGACTTGGAGGTGTATACATCACCGCTCTTCTGAATCGTCCCGGCAAGCCCCGAAAGCTCTTCAACCAGCTTTTCCAGAGACACGACGATCTGCAGAATCGTCTTGTGACAGCTTTCAAGACTCTCCTCGAGAGAATCAATACGGTTTCGGTATATTTCACTCATCTTCAGCTCCACCACAATCTTGTGTCGGGAGGATTGTGTAGGATTGCGCTGCGGGTTGTCATCGTTCGCTCCGGCAATTGTCTGACCGAAGGCAGAAAGCATGGAGCGGACTAGCTCTCGGTCGTTGGTTATAGCTGACAAGAGGTTGATGGCGTTGTTCCTGAATATCGTCCTTTGAGCAGAGACCTTGGACTGCAGTTTGACGATTTCCCGTGGATTGCGAAACGTCGAAATGTGCGCCGAGAGCTTGCCATATTGCTCAAATGCCAGGACGGCAATTGGTACGGCACCGAGGACAACGCCAACAATGAACTCAACGCCACTCATTGTATGGCTGGTTCGAGCTTATTCATGTTTCTTGCCTCCTACTGAGAACAGGTGTCGCCCAGAATGAGGGGTGAAAAGAAAGTGAGGGGTTGAGGGGCCTTGGACGTTCGGGCTGCGCCGCTGCAAGTGCAGGCTGGGTGCTTGGCAGGTACTGTACAGCAGCCAGACGACTAACTGTTACGTCCTTGGCGAGGCTGCGAGAAAACCTCTATCCTTTCAGCCATTGGCGCTTAACTGCCATACATGCATGTCTTGTACAGTGCGGAGTACGTACTGGGCTCGCTTCGCTGGCCACCCACACCGCATTCTGTTCAGCCGCATTTGCTCAAGGCCTAGAGCCCAACTACGTATTGCATGATGATTACCCCGCCTGCGTGATCTGATATGACTGGCCCACGTCCAGTCTCACCGTATCCTCTCTAGGATCAGGAATCCCAAACGCTAATCAAGAACATGACAGCAGAATGTCGATAGACCACGGGACAAGGGCTATTGATGTCGAGAGCTGGCTCACTGAGCCTGGGGCCTACATGAGCGGTCTCGGCTTGGCGGGTTCCTTTTACGAAGCTATCCTACAACTCTTTACCAAGCTCGTTCGGCACGCAAAATCTTTAAATGCAGAACATCATGTTCAACCCGCGGTGGCCCACAAGTATACACACGAGCTGCGACGGTTCTACCTCTGGGGCGACGGGTTCGATGCCGCCGAGGGCCATCTCGATGAGATTCTTGTCGGAGCGGCCGAACTACGGGCCAATGTCTTATCGCTCCTCTTTCAGCTGAGCCGGGTGTTGACTACAGAGCTTGGTCGGCTTGCGGGTGTTGAAGACTTGCAAGCGGATTCATGGTTCGCCGCAGAGTTGGCAGAGGTGAAGAGGATGCAAGAGAAAGTCAATATCGTCTTACAAGATCCCGCATCCTTTTTTGACCTGCCCGGAGATGTCGAGTCTCTTTCCGGGTCGCAAACATCCGACATGGACGACGAAGATGTGCTCGACGACATAACCGTCTATCTGGATTGCCTGATGGACCTGTGCCAGGCTCTAGAGAACCCGGCCGTGGATCTGATTGACGAGCAAGACGTGCTAGCACAAGAAGCCGAGCTTTTTGCCGTATCGTCACAGCCAGCCGTAAACTACTGTCGCAAAATAAGAGACCAGTACCCACAGCTGCCAAAGTTCTTGGTCGAGCGGCTGGGCGAGCTCAATGCAGTCAGGGTTGCGCATTTGCTGGAGCAAGAAAGACTCAAACTCGCTGCGGGGCTTGCTGGGACGGCGACCATGCAGGGAATAACTCAGAAGTCGCTCGGGCCACGGGACAACCAGACGTGGACGAATCCCCCAACAGAGTCTCTAGTTTCCGAGAGCCACCGCAATCCCACAGACACCACCAAATCGACGCTTCGGTCAGACTCTATCTTCGACACGAACCACCCCGCCGCTGCCGGGCCGTCGCGGCAGGCACATCAGAAAAAACCGAGCATATCGCTCGAAATCGATGACACAGGATCGGTTGCAACCTTTGCATCATTTTCAACTACGGCGTCAGCACTCAGCAAAGGCCGACCAAGAGTCCCTGCGTTGCCAGAGGTCGCCCATGCTGGAGGACCATTCTCTTGTCCGGCATGTCACCAGGAGTTGCGTGGCATAACCACTCGAGCTGCATGGAAGTAAGTCACCAGACCCTTTTGTTGTTTGATTGCCACTAAGTAGTATGCATAATTAGAAAACATATTTACGATGACCTCCGGCCTTACTGTTGCACGTTCGAGACCTGCGAAGCGGGCCAGGACCTTTACAGTAGCACCGGGTCGTGGGCTATGCATGAGTTGGTTCACCACAAGATCGCGGCGCTGCAGGGGGACAATGAGACAATGGGGCCCCAGCTTGAGCCGCACCTTGCATCAAAGCGAGCCAATCGACTATGCCCCTTTTGTGGTCCCGTCTCACGACAGCTTGACCAGATAGCCTACTTCAAACATGTCAGTAAACATCTTCAAGAAGTCGCCCTGGCTGCCTTGCCACATACGTCTCAAGCAGAAGACGACTCGAGCTTTAGTAGTGCCTCGGACTCTCTGCCATCTGGGAGGCCGGCAATGGAAACAACTACCAACGATGACAGAGCCTCGATGGAAATTAAGCACGTTGATTCCAACACCGACGAGAATGTGGAGCGGGCTTCATCCCTAGCCACAACGCCCGCAAGACTAGATATCTACATAAGCAAGCCTATTCTCCCCTGTGAGCTAACCTTGTATGATCAGCGGTGTATATTTTCCACGAACGACGCAGTGCTGTGGCGCAAGCACATCTTCGAACATGTTGCCACCAGGTCGCCGTTCAATGAAAGTTGGCCTTGCTGGTTTCCGGATTGCGACGAAGCCTTCGACACGACAATCAGCAAGTTCACGTATGAGCCCGTTACCTGGGACCAACGTGTCTTTTACCAACGGCTAGACCATATAAAGGAGCACCTACAGAGCGGGAGCACCATGAACGATGCGCGTCCCAACGAGGCATTCCGGACTTGGCTTGGGAAGCCCCCGGCACCCGCCCTACCGGACCAACGGGCAATCCTGTGCAGCCACTGCCAGGTGATTTGGACAGACCCCGAGGGGGTTAGGCCTGAAGGAGAAGCAGCTTCTGGAATCCCATGTCCAAAATGCAAGGCTGAGTGGAAGTTTGTAAGTGAACAATTATTTTCACCCGAGTATCAATGGTGGCTTACCGTTTCCAATTGCAAGTTCAATACCTACGGCGACCTGTCACGGAAGCAACCAACGAGGTGCGCAGAGCAGCACTTTGGCGGTAAACATGTAGACGGCGAAAAGACCTGCGACCATAACTGGGCGAAGGAAAGGACAGCCTTTATGGGGGGTTACGTGGTCTGCATCGAATGCAGGATTGCGATAAAGCCCGAGGATTGGACCCACACGTGGGTGCAGTCTCAGCTTCGTGGGGACATGTGCTGCTACTGCGGAATAACGACGCAAATGGGCAAGGACGCAAAACGCGCAAAAGACTGGAGGTACAGGCCTCTTCCAGCCGCCGGGGAAGGTTTAGAGCCAGAGGCGGACAAGAAGAAAAACAAGCCTCTGGAATGGTTGCGGCGGAGTCTCCAGCGGTGATATCGAGGTTGCTTGATGCCTACCTTGTCTGTCTGTCAAGCCAGGTGACTATGGGCAGACTGTGTCTTCCTCACAGCTGAAGTCGAGTGTCGGGCGTCCTGCACTGCATTACATGGTGCAGCTGGTCATTTTTGGCTACGAGACAGTTTCGTGCCGCAAGAAGCAAGAAAAGTAACCTAATCTAGGTGCCTTTCTCAATACACTTCCCCATCTCTATGTTTCCTGTGCACATGTTCACCGTGTCGTCCAATCCAGTCTTGCAATTGCCTACCTTACTCTGCAGGTAATTATTGAGCTCAACGCTTACTCAAAACGCCGCAGGCTTCTTTAGACTAATAAGCGATGTTGTAGCCTGGATTGCCGTGTCTTTTCTCTCCGTCTTCTTCGCCACCAGGCTGGCTGAAAGGTTCATGCTGGATGGGGAGGAGGTATGGCAAATTCGTGGACCAATTCTCGCCAGCCACTGCCCCGAGTGGGCGGCCCCCGCCATCAAGACCTTCCGGGGGAGGTTGTCGCAGCTCGTTCCCAAATTCGAGGTCGACGTTGACTCTCATGTCATGTACAACATCAATGACGACCTTGTGGGCGATATGATCATTGTGGATGGTTGTTACTTTGGCAAGGATTCGTTCCAGCTCGACTTGGTCGGCGGGAATATCGCGATCGCAATCAGGTTGGGTGGCCTCGTTTTATTGGGTCTGGGTCGTGGGAAGACACCCGGAACCTTATATTGAAGGGGCCGAGAGCGCGGAAGCTGCTTGACTTTCTCGGCTCGGAGCGTTCATGCTTCAGGAAGACGGGGACTTGATCTTTCAGGGATCTTCTTTCTTCCTGTCAAGTTTTATTCAACATAAAACTTGGTAAGCTGTTGATTGTAGCTAGGTAGCAAGGCAGTAGGGCGAGATCAAATTCGAGTTATCATTCCGAAGCGAGTGTGGTGTAATTAACCTAGACGGGCGAGATTCACTTGGCGTATGAAAGCTCGGCTCAATTACATATGTATAAACCTGGGAGTCGAAGTCTCTCTGCTCTCGTCCATGCAGGCCGCGAGGAACCCCGACGGGCGAGCTGCCACCTATCTCAGGTTAAACCACTCGCTCGGCTTCCCCAGATCCATACCCTCACCCTTCATCAGCCCCTGGACATAGCATTCTCCGAGGTAATAATGGCAGTCTTCTCCCTCCACGGGCGAGGGGGTAGGTCTGAGGACAAACAGGGTTGCGCCGCCATGAAGCAAGCAGATGCTGTCGCCCTCCTCCAGCTGCTGCGGCCCGCTCCCGATGCGCCCGCTGCTGGTGACAAAGAAGCGCTTGTCCCGCCACCCGAATCTCTGCGCGACGTAGGCAAAGCGCTGCGTCGCCTCGCGGTCTTGCAAGCGGATGCACCGCAGGATGAGCGCCGCCGTCTTGCTGACCGCCTCGGCGTCGTTTGGGTGCACTCTCGCGAGACGCGCGCGTAGCGACTCTCGGAACTTTGGGTCCAGCGTGATGTTCTTCGGAGCTGGGCCGCTGGAAGCGGATCGGGCGTCCAATGCGACCTCGGCGAGCCGGTGGAATGCGCCGAAGCCCTGCATGTCGCTCGCCTTGTCCCCCAGCAGGTCCTGCATGAAGTTGTCGTTGATGAAGATTGCGAAGCGGAGGAGCAGCTCGTCTTGGTCGGCCGGCTGCGGCAGCCCGTTGTCGTCGATGGTTGAGCCGCCAGCAAAGGCGCACGCAAACGGCCGGATCAGGTCCGCCCCATAGACTTTCTCTGCTGCCGCTGCGTGCTCGCACAGCAGGGCAAACGCCGCGACGATTCTCCGCCGCCATTCGTCGTTGAACTCGGTCCCGGTCTGGCCGATGACCTCGCTGGCCGCCTCGACTGTGTCGATCGAAAGGCCCGACACGGTCAGGGTCTTCCAGTCCCCCGGTACTGCTGCTCCCGGACCCCCTTTCCACCACGCCTCGCTTTTCCGAGATGCATCGAACCACTCAACCTCGGTAGTCGTCTCGGACGGGCGATCCAGCGCGGGGACCCAGCGCGGGAGCCCGTCGTCGGCCGGCGAGGTCGGGTCGAGAGGGTGGAACGAGCTCAGGATTTCGAGGCTCTTGGACTGCTCGATGATATGCCGCGTGATCTGGGTGTACACACGCGCCGCAGGCAACGAATAGTCGACCTTGAACGGGGCGGGCTCGTTGACGATGCCGACCAGAGCGTACACCTTGTCTCTCGAGTCGGTTGCCTTGTGGTGCTCGGTCAGGCGCAGCATCAGCAGCCAGCCGACCGACGACTCGCGCTGCAACCTCGACTGCACAAGCGCCTGCACCCGCCCCAGCGACAGCTGCGGGCACGACGGTTCGGCGTCGGGCTCGTACATCATGTTGAGCGAGGCGATGACGTAGCCGCTCTCAAAGGTCGACCACGGGATCCGGGTCCGCCCCCACCAGATGTCGGCTTCCCTGGCGAAGACGGCCTCCTGGATGACCCAGGTGCGCTCGAAATACGTGTTTTTCAGCATGGCCTGCAGCGCGGCCCACACCGGCGCCGCGCGTGGGGGCAGCCCGACGGCGCGCAGCTGGTGGTCCTTGGGGAAGCGCGTCCACCCGGGGCTCCTGCGGATCGCGGCCAGCTTGGCCAGCAGTGCCTTGGCGTGCGGCGCCGACCTGGAGCCGTCGGGCCCCAGCCAGATCAGCACCGACGCCGCCTGCACGTAGATGTCCCGCATCATCTGCACCTGCTCAGACCGCTCGTCGACGTCGCCCTGGTTGATGCAGATCTGGTCGACCCATAGCGCCCAGCCGGCGGTGCGCGCTGAGGAATATGACATGGGTCCCGGCCGGAAGCGCCGGAGGACGGTGTCCAGGCTCGCCGTTACCATGATGACGCGCTTCTCCTGTTCTTCTCCGCACTGGACTAGCAGCGGCTGTGTCTGCCCGCCTGTGCCCCACACGTAGCTGAGCGTCTTGTATGCCGGTGCTGCCGAGAGCGCGTGCGTCTCCAGCGTGCACGTAGGGATGTCGTCGTCGCTGGCCCCGAACTGCAGTCGCAGGATGCGGAAATGCCCCGGCCCCGGTAGGGGTTCGTATTCGTACGCCGGCAGTTCCGGGTTCTGACCACCCCCCATCGTTATCTTGGTCACCGACATGTTATAATAAGTAGGGGCGAGAATCGCGGCCCCAGTTAGCACGCTGTCTTAGAAAACAAGAGGGCTGTTGGCGGTTGAGGAACTAAATCGAAATGTAGTTGTGTCTGGAGCCCAACGGCCGCCGACGAAAGTCACGCGGGTTGGACGGCTTTGGAAGACTAGGCTGCGGCTGAACCCGGTTGGGCTGCTCGGGCATGCATGCTGCAGGCTGTACCACCACTCTTTGCCCATGCAAGAGCGAGTTGGGAAAAGAGAATTTGTTGGCTTTGGCTACGTCCTGGCCCTCACTGGGCCTCGGCGAACGTGATATGTCCGATTAGGAATCTCTGTTTTGGCACCCCATAACCGACGGGAAAATCTCTCAAGCAGCACTGCGCTCCCTCCACCTCTGGGCCCAGCTGGGTTTAGGCAGCCGATTTAGTATTCTGCAAACGGGGCTTTCAACTCTGCATTTTCCCGACTCTCGAGCATTTCATCAGAACTAACAGCCCAACAGCAGCCAATTTCGGACTGACCAGCTGTCTCGGCCAAGGCATCGCCAAATCCACCTCTCGGCCCTTTATCGCCGCCGCGAGTTATTCTTTATGCAACAAACATGCACGGTTCAACAGAATGATAGGGAAAGCCAGTGAATGAACTATCGCCGACGTTCTGGCCCCGGAATGGACCCGTGTGCTCAGTAGGTCTCTTGTGTAACTTTGAGATAGGATATATTTTAGCAATTTCGCCTCCAATTGCAACGCATGCGCGTCGATTACCTGCCCTGACGAGCACTTTCATGTTGTGTATAGAGGTAGGTAATTAGCACGGATGCGAGATGTGTTAGGCGGCGAAATTTTAGATGATGGGCTGGGAATTAGGCAGAATAGAGTGATTTGGTGCTCAGAAGTAATCAAGTATCAAGTCTCGATGACTCTGTCAACCCTTGTCCTGCAATAATCAAAATGTTCCCCCAACTCTGGACCTCACCCCAAGTTACTGGCCGAAGCACGGATTTGCCAGACACCTAGCCGTACCTAGTATTGACATTGTAGCAGCCCGGCCCCTTGATATTGATTGCGCCGTTGTCGCCCCTGCGGCCGCCCTCCGAGTAGGCCCAGTATTTTCCGCAGGGGCAGTCCCCAGACATGCTGAACGAGGCGAATTACCGACCAGTGCAACAAAGCTGAAAGTTCTGTTGAAGTCGGACCTCCTATTGATTCACGTATGCATTATTGCGGCGCGCGTTGCCACCAACATAGAGGTTGCTGTGGCCAGGACCGTCGGGCGTATGGAACGCGTCATCGAAGAGACGGCCTTGAGAAGGAATGGGAGCATAACCGGGTTCGGGGTTCTCAAGCACCCTGCCACCAGTTTGGTGATTAATACTGGCCAAACCTGGAAGCATTGATTAATTACCGATGGGCTGAATATTGTGTTTGTCGGTACTTAGCGGCTTTGTCAAGCCGTCTGCAGCCATGTCGTCTCCCGGTATGTGGACAACTTTTACAAAGCCTTTCTTGACTCTGTCGATGATCCATTTGTATCGTATATCGATACAGCGGGTGCGTGCGCCGTTGAGCGGGTTCAACACAGTCGTGAGGGCATTCACGCTGTCTGTAAATTGCACGACCGGTGTAGGCTGTACGATACCGAATTCGCGAAGCAATTCAGAGATCCATTGTGCCGTCTGAGCTGCCGGCGTCAGGTTCGTGAACTCTGCCTCTGTTGAGCTATACGCTACGAAGGTCTGCTTCTTCGTCTGTTGGTATCACCAGGTACCGGTACTAGAAGCAACAGGGCGTATCTGCACGCCGAAAACTGGTGGTTCAAGTGATGGATTCGTATATATATCTTCTCTCTCTTCCTTTCTGGCATTGCCAGAAAGCCCCCTTCTTATACTACTATTGTGGTGGCGAAATAGGTGGGGAAGTAGGCCGCGAAGTAGGTCGCGATTAGGCTGCGAAGGAGGTTGCGAAGTAGGCTGCAAATCCTCTGCCTAATCCTTTGCCTAACCCTTTTGAGACCCACATTCCAACATCGTCTTCCAATAAATTGGTGATCCAGCCAGGTAAAAAACATGTGCGCCTGTAGAAAACCTTCGCGGTATATCGTCTGCGAATGACGCATCTGCGTAAACCTTATAATTGAGGTTATTCAGGGATAGGTAACCCCCATACTTGAGGCCAAATCTCGTGGTTCCTTTCAGGTAGCGATATAGGTGCTTCATCAGGGCCAAATGCTCCTTTGAAGGACCTTTATTTCCTTCGCTTAGTCGTGCACATGTGTACGCGATGTCAGGTCTGGTGTTGATCGCTAGGAAGTTAAGCTTTCCTGTCTGTTTCAAGTATGCCTTTGTTTCTTTTGCTCCGAGAGGCTCCTAAGTTTTTGGAAGCCCGAATTTCGAAGGCCAGGGCGATTTTGCAGGCTTGAGGTCATCGTAACCATACTGTTGTAGTATGGTGTTTGTGTATGCTTCTTGTGAGAGGAAAACTATTCGGTTCTCAATATTCCTGACTATGTCAATCCCAAGGAATCGTCTCGGCTCGCCAATTTCTTTGATCTTGAAGTGGTTGTTGAGGGTATCGCGGACTTCATCAATCTCTTTGTTCGTAGGCGCTGTAATCAAGAGGTCGTCCACGTAGAGTATGATCATGATTTCCTTGGACTTGTGCTTGAATAAGCAAAGGTCTGAACCAAAAGGTTCAAATCCTAGCTTCTTCAGGACTGGTGTGATGGTCTGGAACCAATACAAGGCGCTCTTTCGAATGCCATATAGGGCTTTTCCAAGTAGCCAGACAAGGTCTTGGTTTCTTCCTGGAACGTCGTGAGGTTGTTCGGTATAGTAAATAACGCCTTTCGGAATTCAGGTATGCAGTCTTGAAGTCAAATTGTCGTGATTCCAAGTTCTTGATTGGCGCGTTGTTCCAACACTGACGCTATTCGCGACTGCAGCGTAGGTCTCTTCAAGGCTCCAGCCTCCTGTCTCAAAGGTACCGCAAACAACCCAGCGAGCTCTAGGGCTCCATTCTTGGTCGTCTGTGTTGAATTTCTCGTCATCGACACATTTCCCCGGCAGTACTGAGGTATTTTTCGGTCTCTTTTCAAGCTCAAAGACTTTCACGTCCTTGAGGCTCTTAATCTGCTTGACTATAGCCGGAAGCTATTTCTTCTCGAACTCTGGAAGCTTTCGTACCTCACGATAGTTCTTTGGTACCCAGGGCCTGTTTATGCTTGTTTGATCATGCGCGGCCTTCTCTGTAGTTATCGTGACCATGATGACTTCCTCTGGGGTCTCAGGGACTTTATAACAAAGGTCTGTAGGTGCAGGCTTTCTCGGGCGGAATCGTGAGTCCTTGATTTCGATAGGTCTGTCCCAGTGCTTTCTCGCCTTCTCTTTCTCCTTAGGCAGGTTCTTAATGGCCTTTATCTTTCCTTATATTGTTATATTCTCAACTCCCGAGGCATGTTCAGGGCCTCTGCCATTACCTGTTGTGGGCTCTTGTAGCCAGGATTTCGTGATGTAGGTAGAAGGTTGAGTACTTTGATAACCGTGTCTGCAACGTACGGCCACAAGTGCTTTGGAATGCCACAGTCTATCATGATCGTACGAGCGCGTGTCATGATCTCTTTACCGGCTCGCTCGGAGCTTCTGTTCATCTAGGGCGTGTGAGGCGGTGTAGTGTACACTTCGATGCCTCGGCCTTGTGCATACTTGTTGAGTTCGCTTTGGTAGCCGAAAATGGTTGCTTGCCCTAGTTCTCCGCCGCCGTCAAGGCCTAGGATCTTTATCTTCCTTCCTGTATGGAGCTCAACCCATTCAATCCATTGCTTCAGCTATGTGAAGGCTTGTCCTTTTTCTTGTAGAAAACGAATCCAGTGGTAGCCAGAGTAAATGTCCACCATATGTAGGGTGTATTTCTGGCCCAAATGCCCAGGGTCTTTGTGAGTTGTATGTCTCCGAGATTGCAAGCGCGGGTAACAACTTCGTGGTGTGCATGTAGAAGACGACGGTGCATGGTTGAGTACTTGATGGAAGCGAGCATTGCATGTACTGGTGTGATCGAAGAAGGTAGATCAGGGATGACTTTGAAAAGGATAACGGGAATAGAACCCGCGTAATTCAGCTTTGTGATCAGCTTCCTGCTCATCTTGTTCACAAAGACATTGCGATCCATGTCCAAAGTGATGCCTGCCTCCTTCAAACTGTCAATGTTGATCAGGTTACAGGGCGTGCCTGGCGTGAAGTATGCTTGGCGAAGGAGAAGGTTCTTTGTTGTGCCGTCGGGTTGTTTTGTTGTGATCTGCACTGTTCCGGTATAGTATGAAGAGCCTGAATGCCTAGTTACACTACCATGATGCTAGGGTCTGATTAACGGATGAAGCTCCGTAAACTATTTGACGTTGTTGAAGGAAGTTCGTGATGCTGCTGCGTCGAAGAGGACTAAGTCTTTTGTTATGTTTCCTGCCTTGAGAGCCTGTTGGACTTCATCACTGTACATCAACAGTGAATGGGGCCATGTTGTTGAGGCCATTCCACTCGAACAGCAGGTTCGAGGGTGCAGTCTCTGCAGCTGGCTGTGAAACGCCATTTCCTCGGTGCCGAAAAGTAGAAGCTGTAGCCGTTTTCTGCTTCATAGCTTCTGCCTTGAAGTGCTAGTTGGCAGGGGCTTTCTCTGGGTCACACCAGTAGCACACTGTTCCATTTGGTGGAATGTGTTTACCGCATTGGTGGTATTTATATCCTTTCCCGATTTCTTTGCTGCATGTTGAGCATGTCTCTGTCTCGCCTTGACGCCCTTTGTGGTCCTTTCTCTTCTTCTTGTTGCTTGGCTTGCTGCTGTTATCCTCTTCGGGCTTCTTTGTGACCACTGCCATGTCGAGATATTTCTCATTTTGGGCTTTGGCGTATAGGACTTGCATAAACTCTCCCCACTTCATATCATCCCTCTCAATGCGATATTCCCAGAGGCGATGATCTTCGGGATAAGCATCACGAAGAGCTGAGAAGATGTTCTACAATGCCTGGGTACCGTCGATTTGATCCCCGACATCCCGATTTCATCGCAGAGGTAGTTTGCTCGGTTGATGAAGGCCCAAAGGGTTGTGAATTGTTCATAGCTGAAGCAATGGATTGAATGGGTTGAGCTCCATACAGGAACGAAGTGGAAGATCCTAAAATCGTCGGTGGTAAAATGCCGTTACATGGCGGGGCACTCCAGGCGGGGCCAAAGATGACCAAAGTTGCCTTCTTTATTGGGGTGCTGCCTGCGCGCAACACTGTTTTTCTTGATGAAAATAGATGTGTTGTAAAGCGCGTTTTATGGTGATTCCTGCGATTCACAAATGATGCAAATTGCTTCAGTTGTGGAAGCAAAAGGAGCTCATAACCTATGCGAGGTGCACAGTTTACTGGAAAACGTGTTGGATTGCTTGAAGAATCTAAACCATCTGCCCGCAGGCGAAAATCTATGGTGGGGGGATAGGCTGGTGGTGCATGAACCATTAAGTGGTCCAGGCTAGGCCAGGCTTGGCTGTGCCTAGCACACGAGGGAAATAAATAAATCAGTCCCCCCAAAACATCCAAAACCTAAAACTGCCTCCTAACCACTGCGAGTGATTTGCTATGAACCGGCAAAGCCTTACTAGACATTCTCCTGGCCGGCACCAGAACCGCCCTTCTGGTCGTCGCTAGGCTCAACCTCCTGGTCGTAGACAGCCTTCTCTCGCTTAGACTCTTCCGAGTTCACGGCGCGAAGAATCTCCGCTTTGATTGCCTCTTCCTCCTGCCCAGCCTTGGCGCGGGCCTTCTGCTCGTCAACACACATATGGTCCTGGTCATCGCCAGACGTGGCTTTCTGGTCATCACTAGCCGTGGCTTTCTGGCCATCGCTAATAGGCGCATTGGCCGGAACAGAATCTTTCTGGGACCGGAGGAGACGGTCCCTCCTATCGCGCTCCTGCGCTTCTGTAAGCTGTGCTAGGAATGCCGCGGCGTCGTCATCATAGACGCGGGTCCATTTGTCGTCGCCGGACGTGGTGTTTTGGTTAGCGCTGGGAGGGTTCGCCTGACGGAATTCCCTCATGAAGCGGTCGATGTTGGCTCTCAGCATTTCTCTCATCGTCGGGGTGTTGTTGTCATCGAAGCTCATCTTAGTGTCCCCCGGGCCCGGCTGTTGATTGTTATCGTTGTCCATCGCAGATAACTTACGTGGTTGGTAAAGTCTAAAGATAGGATGTTAGTGTTTAGTGAGCAAGATAGCAACGAATAGCTGGCCGGGAATGTGACGAACAGGCAAGTTGTGCGGTTTTGGTGTGTAATTGCTGGTAGAAGACAAGAAGGATTTTGTCGTTTCTGTTGAGATGGAAAAGTAGAAATTAACAAACTGATAGTGTGTTTTCCAGCTGCAAGATATAGACCACAGTGTGTTACACCAGAACGCAACTGGGGCTACGGTACCACAGTTCAAACTACAAGCTACCATGTTTGTGCCGGTCTGTGGAGACTTCTTCAAGATGTTACCTAGAATGCCAAGTACAGAGTCGAGACATACGGATGAATCATCAAAAATGACGAGAGACTGCCGGTGGCAGATATTTGCCCTGTTTTCCCGGCGGGTAGTCTCTGGTGACGGCGAGCAGGAGAGACTTGTTGCGCATGCCCCATGTCCCTCAATTATGTGTGCCGGGTATTCCAGTTGGCCACCTAGGTACCTATCTGTTTGTCTGCTGGTGCGGCGGTAGCCCACCTACGCACATACTGGGAACAGACAGGTGATAATTACTTCTGTGAGATACGGAAAGAGGATATGGAATAACAGGCGCTACCATGGCAAGAGAGATACAAACAGGCGCTGGATACACTCGATCCGTAGTACACAAGCATCTAAGCATCCATGGGCATACCGGGAAGGTGAGTAAGCCCTGCGAGGCGGTTAGCTTGCGGGAAGCTAGTGTCTGGAAGACAAGAGACTCACATCCGTCAATGTCCTCCTTGACCGAGCGCTGCAGGGTGCACTTTGTGGCCTCGTCGGCGCTCTGCGTCTTGATTGCGGAGCAGACATCGCCGTTGCAGCGGGCATCGAGAGCACGCTGCAGCGCGTCGCCCTTCCATCCGAACACGTAGTCGCCGTGCTGCGAGTAGCCGCGCCTGTTTGGCTGCTTGTTAGTTGGAGCCACGACGTCAAGGGAGAGAGGGAACTGACTTGTCGGTGGTGCTCCAGACAAAGGGCTGCGAGCCGTCGGCGGGCCAGAGGCTCTTGTCGCTAAACGCCTGGGTCTGCCACATGACCTCGTACATGACCTGGGGGATGCGGACGGGGTGGGTGGCGGGGCACGGGCCGTTGTTGTCGAAGGTACCCGAGGTCGGGTAGGCGACGTGGCTCTTGTGGTCGGGGCTGTCGGTGTTCTTGCCGTCCCAGCACGTCGGGAAGGTGATGACGGACCGGATACCGCCGGCGCAGGGGCTCTTGGGCAGCGCTAGCGAGTCTCCGCTCGACGACGCCGCGCACTCGACGCCGCTGCCCTCGCCCGACTTGGGCATGCAGCGGTGGCACACCTTGGGGTCCTTGGCCGCGCTCGGCTTGTCCAGCGACGACGCGTCGCCCACCAGCATCCGGAACCCCGGCTTGAACGCCGTCACCTTGGTCTTGCCGTCGTACGGGGCGATGTAGTAGACGGTAATCCCGCCCTGGCCCTTGAGCCCCGAGCTCACAAACTGCGGCACGCGCTTGAACGTCCCGTTGCGCGCCTTGAAGAACAGCACAGCCGTCCAGTAGTTGGAAAAGTCCTCGGAGAAGGTGCAGCTGGTGCACGTTGACGCCGTGGGTAGGTCGTGGACCGCCGGGTCCATCGAGGCGTTGAAGGAATTGCCCCCGACGATCTGGTGGAGATGGGGCGCCGGCATCTGGCCCGGGTTGACCAGGGGGTCGATGCGGTCCACCACCAACTGCGAGCATTCGAAGCGCATCATGGGCATGCTCGCCCGCTGGCTGACGCCATGCTGCACGAGCAGGGCCAGGGTGATGGCCGTCCAATGCATGCTAGGCGAGACGAGTGCTAGTTGCAACTGGCGAGGCGAAGAGAGAGAGAAAAGATTTGATCCAGGTGCCAGGCTTGCACGATACCTAATCCGGATCTGACGTCTAAATACCGGCGGGTGGCCCTGACATGCCAGCCTGGCTCGGGTTAATACCGAGAATAGCAGCATAACTGCCGCCGGCTCCGCTCGCCACGCGCTGTATAATTGATTGTTTTGATATTAAGGGATTTAAGCGGGGCCCAACCATTGGCGCGGCCTCCAACCAAACTTTGCTCGAAGGCCAAGGAAAAGCTTCGGTGATATTGGGCTACCAATTATTGTCGGACAACGGGCCAGCGTAAAGGTCTGGTGTCGAGCGGCACTGCAACGGCTCCTAAAGCTGGCGCTTCTCCTCGGGCTCGGGACTGCGCTGCCGGTGTGTAATTACACCTACGTCTCCTTGGACTAATGCGATGCACCGGGTCAGTCCGTAGCTAAGGTAGTGATAGGCACTAGTTTCGGGACATATCGTTTCATACATAATTAGGTAAGGTAGGTAGCTGAACCTGGTGGCCAACAAACGAAGGGCCTGCAAAGTCATATGTTGAATAGGACTCGGCAGAACGAAGGAAACCCCCATATCCAATCCTTATCGTATTCATAGTGCTATTGCACGACTAGGCATCTCAAGAAGCTTGCCGTGTCTCCGTCGCTGGTGGCGGTTATGCTGAGCGTTGTGGGCCCGACGGTCGAGCCGGCCGTGATGTAGTAGATGCCCTCCAGCTGGTAGAAGGCGGAGGTGACGATAGGCTCCTTGGCAGCAAACTGGGTGACGACCGTCGAGAACTTGCCGTTGAAGGATCTTTTGGTCCCCACCGACGTCACGAATTCCGACGCGAAGTTGCCGTTCGCATCCGACTTAAAGTATCCCGACGGCTCGTCGCCGGGAAGAGCGGGCTTCGAGGAATCTGCGGCCGGGTGGGACACATGTTCTAGCATGGTGATTAGACGAAGCCTGAACTGGTAGGGAGGGGAGCATAGAATTGAACATATGACACTACCTTGCCGAGGAGAAGATAATGCGTGCTTCTGACTTCGACGTTTTCGTGCAATCGATTGCTTGTTTGTCAATGCTTGGGGAAGAGGAGACCAGTGATGTCGTAGTAGTAGCATATTTGTAACTGGTATTAGCTGCTATGAGTTATTCAATGCACGCTTGCGAAAGGTGGTTGCGCACTCGGCGAAGAGAAGTGCGTCGAGAACCAGACACTGAGTCTCTTGTCGACAAGCCCAACGTCGGCAAGTCCAGGGAGTTGACTCGGTTGAGAGACGGCACGCCATCGCCATCCCGCCCGTACTCAGCCAGCCACAAGAAAGCCATGTAAGCAAGACGCAAGCTTGGCTACATGAAGACGGGAGTCTGGGGTGATTCTCCGGCCAGACAGGACAGCGCAATGAATTGCGGCACTGGAACGGGCTACCTGTGGGGTGCTGTGATTGGAAGATTGCCTGGCTGAACAGTCTAGACCACGCCATAAAACGCCTAGTGAACAACAACCCTCCAGCCAAAACAAGGCAGCCCGGACACCTAACGCCCCCTCTGTGGCGTGCTGAGCGCCCCCCCGGCCACTCCCCACCCCCTGTAGCACAAGTCCTGTAGGTGTTCACTGGCACAAGATTTGAGGACCAGTACTGGCAGTTGATTAGACACGTCGTCTTGGATCCAATGTCTCGGCTATGGCGAGCTGGCCGTGAGGCTGCATAAGCGCTGGATGTTTTTTGACTTTGACACGGAAAAACCCGCCTTCTTTTGAAGAGCTCTACTGGGCCGGACTAAGTGATACAAAGACGGGTGTGTTGTAGACCGCAGGGCTGAACCCAGAATATCGAACACTTGCATCGTGCCGTTGCGCACTGCCTTTGTGCGTTTGAGAAAGCTCGAAGCTCAATGGCGAGACCGCGGGAAATCCATCACATTTGGTCTCTCTCGCATGACCAATCTCGCTCATTCCGCCATGCCGTGATCGAGTACTTACAAGGCAGATTGCCCCATGATAACACGGTCCATATCTCGATTGTCAATATCTCGTAATAGTTGCATATGTGAACTTGGAGAGGATGGGCATGAACTCAAGGGGAGGGGTGGAATCGCGTCGTCTTCTTCGGTATCCATCTCGCGAACGGATGTCGCCGGCCACCCCACGGGCCTCTCATACTATGTATGTAGTAATTAGGTGAGCAAAGCCGCTGCCCGCAATGAGTAGCGAGGGCTGGGCTTTGCGTGGCGTCGATAGAAGCTTATGCGCCGAGAGATGCACTAGTACCCTGAGAGAGTCTAGACTTTTACGCGCCGCCTAGCACTGCTAATTTGTGTACCTACTGCTGTGCTGATGACACGAATGCCCTGCCTGGGGGCAATCTTGGGCCGGTGAATCTACCATCCATGCCCATCTGGTTTGGGTTGTCTTAGCCAGCCTCGCGGTGAAGAAGACGGCAAGAAAAGACGCGGCAGTCGAGGCTGCAACATCGGGTAGTTTCAGAAGCCAAATGTATGCAAAAGCAGTCAAGAATGAGGGTATTCGCAGTGTGTGTATTGATTGATGTAAGGAAGAAGAAAAGGCCTGCGTCCGCAGGGCAGGGAACTGTGTTGATCCTGTAAAAAGGCGGTCTAATTTAGGTGCCCTGCCCGGGCTCCCTGGGCCATGCCGAAAACAGTACGGTCTTTCTGACACGCAGGGAAGACTGCAACTTTTTGAGTGGTGGGCGTCTAGCCCGATACCTGCAGGGTAGGCGGCTGCAAGACTGGATTGGACGACGCCGTGTACATGTGTGACAAGGTCATGTGGTAGGGGTGTTTATCGTGTCACAAGTGCCATGGAGAAGGGTTCCCCGACTCTACTCGGTTTTCAAAACACCATGTCATATTCAATTTCTCTGGAAGTTACCTAATAACGGAGAAGGATTTGCAAAAACCACATATTGAATGCGGCTCAACAGAAACGAGAGAAGTTCCCAAAACGCTAGTAGACCAGCCTCTTCTGACTTAACATTTCATGCCTGCTTGGACAAACTCAAGCAGTTTCGTCAGCGACAGTTTCTTCGGCATCATCATCGTCATCATCTTCGGTGCTGCTCCACCTGCCCGACCCCGTGACAGAGTACCCCTGGTCCATGACCAGGCTGATGGGGCCGGAAAACTTGATGGTTCTGCCGGTGGCCTTGTTGGTGGCGCACGAGCTGACTCCAAGCGTCACTGCGACCTAACTGCTGCGTCTAGGGATGGCTCTTTCCGATCTCGTGCTCAGCAAGCCACAGCTTGACCTTCTTCAGAACGGCAAACAGACGCTCCGCCGTCAAAGGAGGAGGGGGGCTCTGGACCTTGTTGGCTGGTGTCTCTTCGAACCGAGCGCAGTCTTTTGACCGGCAACCATCGGCGTGCCCTAGATGGTGCTGGCCACGCCCGCCCCCAGAGAGGCCCTCACAGCCACGGGTCAGCTCGTTCATACTCTCTGCGCCCCTAGCCCTGCTGCATACCTGCCCTTCCCCGTCTAATCACGGAGGGCCCTAAGGAGCTGCTTCCGAGCCTTGTGGTGCCGCATGTGGAGGCGCTCCTGTTGGCGCCGGCGGAGGGCTGGGTCGAGCAACCGTGTAGGGTTTTTCGCATGGTGCAGTGCGGCAAGTGCCGTCATCCATTTCATCCTCACGTCCTGCGACTCCAACATCCCCAGCGGCTCGCAAAGTCGCGGCCTGTGGTCTGGGTTGATTGGAAGCCACGCGGATTGTCCGATGACATGATGTTTTTTTTAGCGTCGGGAGAGGTGTGTCCTCTCTGAACCCGAAAGGTGTTTCCTTTTTCCGCGCTGCCTGTTGGCCATGGCGTTGCAATGGGGCTGGTCGGGGGTTATACGTATAAGAGAGAGCAAAATAGCCCTCGTTGACGGCATTCGTGTCGAAACGGCTCGAGAAGGAGGGTTAGTATACGTGTTTCGCCTAGCTTGAGAGGCTCGCCTGGGAAACGAACTAGAAAATGCTGCTTCTACCAGAGATGGAATTACCTGAGTCACTCACGTTTGCGCTTGATGTTTTGATGATGCCATGGAGGGAGAACTAGTGACAATGATTGGGGGATGATGCCGGTTCTGAGGGCGGGGAAATCAGAGACTAGGAAATGCCACTCGAATTTCACTGCGCCTTCATTCAAGCTCATGCGGCTGCAGAGCTGTGATTGGTCAAACATGTAAAACAGTGGGGAATCAGGTCAGCGCACGGGCCACGCACGCCCAGCACGTGACCGCAGGGTATCACACAAGAGGCCCTCTTCCTGTCTCGGTAGTTCGAGATCCTTTTAGGTAGTGATAGCAGAATACAACCACCAACAACGCCCCCCCCATCCTTTCGCAACGGTTACTAGAGTGACTTGCACGAATGACCTTGTCATTCCAACAATATCTACAAGTTACCGATAGTTACAGTTCTTTATGTGCGGTTCGGGGAGACTTTGATAAACCTGGCGTTCAATGTGCTGATTTGGTAGCAGAGGATGGGGTGAGATTAAGAAATCGTGATCCGGGATCACTGTGATAGAGAGCTGAAATTGAAGACGTAGGATATCTCATTCTGATAAATTTATAATACTCACTACAAAGGAACAAGCTCCGGATGCTGAGATGCTCTTCAAACTAACTGGTTCGAGGTTTGTCGCCTAAGATTTAAGCCACTTTGAGCCACATCCAAGCCACATCTGAGTTCAACCTCGAAAAGGCCCTCTATGACGCTCACTTCCCAGTACTACTAGATTTCCTTTATCTGCTTTTTAGGTATAAATAGGGCCTTCTTTTCCTGCATCTCTGGACCTTTCCTAGACGGACAATTCAATGCGCTGTCAACTACGATCACGTGCAACAAGATTAGTTCATTTGATTAACCCGAAATTTGACGCATCTAAGACAAGGGAGCGAGGCACACAGGCATACGTACCAGTGGCTGAAAGGCCGAATAGAATTTGCCTGAGAAATCGCTTGTCGCAGGAATTACCCCTTTTGCCCTGGCGAGCCTGTCAGGCCCTGCAGACTCTCCCTACCGAGCTCGCTACCGTTCGCTCCGCTCGTACATATAGGCTTCCTCTGCTCCTTCTTTTATATAATAAGCAACGCTCTTTCAACCATTTCCACAACCTCCTACGGGGGCCTCGCATTCCTGTGACACCGCTCTAGGTGAAGGGATTGCTAACTTTGCAAATAATCGAAAGACTGTCGTAAGCTACCGCTGCGCTGGATCTAGTAGACGAAACAGACGTCTGTTAGCTAGAGGTCTAGACAACAGTAGTTGCAGCACATGGTCGTCACTTGATGAACTGATAATTATGGTCAATTTCAAGCACGTGACCGAAAAGAAACGACCCGGGTGTATAGAACACTCGAGAGGTTTCGCGGCACCGGGACGAGGTGAATATCAAAGAGTGGCTATCAAGGGGCTGGCAGGGACGAGTAGTTGCCAAGGCGGTTTTGCACCAACGAAAGAAAACGTCATTTAACTAGTGCATGTGTCGGTTCCTCCCTTCACCTTATTTTTCAGGTTCTCGGTTGTTTCCTCCCATCTTTTACCTTGCCAGGTTTACTCTCTATTGCAGCCTTAGGCCCCGCGCAGGGCAAGTGGGCCGGCGCGCACAAAAAAAACAGGCGCCTTTTTCCCGCCCGCCCAAAATCCCACCTCTTTCTCTCTTCTCTCGATACGCTCTCAACCTTTAATTTTCCCGGCCATCAACTTTAATATCAGCCAAACAAGAGCACATCCTCCTGCGCATTCACACCTCTCGGCACTCCATGCCCCACTACTCTCTTCTCTGGCCCGCCGCCCTTTTCAGGCTTTGATTTACCTTCCCTTTCAATCAACTTCGGTATCAATCAAACGAGTGGTGCACCGTTCTCGTAACCACCAGTGTGGCCAATATGTTGACTTACGGTGCCAAGCCCTCCCGGCCGGGCAAGTCTTGCGGGGGCAAGTCGTATGGGGCAAAGTCCGAGTCCACGCCACCTCGTCGGGTGTACGTTTATCCCTCCATTGCCCTTATATTTCTCTTGTGCCTAGTCTTCCTTGTTCTTCATCTACCCGCTTCCCGAGATCGCTTCTCTTTTGTCTTCTAGGCCATGCCATGCTGACTTGATTGATTATCTCGCATAGTGTTCTGGGCATTGACTTCGGAAGCACTGCTATCCGCGCCTGCTTCGTTACACACGATGGCAAGACATGCACGAAGACGGCTTTCGCGGCCCGGAGCAGCAATTCACAATCATCAACCTGACTTCCCATGAGATCGTCGACTGCTTCAAGAAGGGCCACAAGTTACCAATGGCAATAGCGAAGAACCAGGTGGATCGCATAGCCAAGATAGGCGAGAACTTCACGATCGGCGTCATCGTGGCCGGCGGTAGTCTGAGAACTAAAGAGGCCAAGGAGCTCTTCTTTGCCGACTGCCCGCTTCCCGGCCACTGCATCAAGTTTGTTGAGGCCATGAGCGTTCAATATGTGTAAGCCGCCATCACAGCCACCACTCTCAATTCTCAAGACTCACATGCTAACCACGATCAGCTCCGTCACCAACTGCCACGGCGCGGCTGTGGCCATCACCAAGAACCGGACCGTGATGGAGTTCCTCAGGTCGGGCGCTGCTATTGCTATTCAAAAGCTGACTCTTAAGAACAACAATCATCTGTGGGACGACTTGGCGCTTATGGTTTTGGACAAGGTAACTAACTAACCACCGTAACAACTCTTGATCACAACACACGCAACAACTCTTAATTAATTACAATACACATTCAAAAGACACCCTGCTAACCAAATAACCAGGACCAACCCATCTCCCAGGAGGAGGAAGTGCATGGCGAGAACGAACTGCGCATCATCGTCGACCCGTTCTACGAGCAGCGCATGGCCGCGCGTGCCATGGACGACGACGAGGACAGTGAGGACAGCGAGCACGCCATGGACATTTACGACTACGGCAAGGACTGCACCTCCGTCCTCACCACCGACGAGCTGAAGCCGCCGCCGCAGGAGGTCCCCCCGCGCACTCTGCACTTCGAGGACTGCTACAACCTATTCTACCTGGACCAGCGCAAGGGCGGCAAGCTTAGCTACAAGGTTTCCCTCGAAGAGTTGCCCGCGACGCCGCGGCAAGGAACCAGCGCTAGCGGCAACAACAGCACCGTCTTCCTCGACGTCACCGTCTCGCGCCGCCACCCGGCAATGTTGCCCGAACGCAAGGATGACAGGCAATGGAAGTTGCCCATCTACTTCGACCCGGGCCACAACTACGTGCACGTCGACATTGACGCCATGTCCGACTCGGAGCGCGTGTTTGCCGAGCAGGACGAGCTGAGACGTGGGCTCCGACCTGGGCACAACTGCGTGCACGTCGACATTGACGCCATGCCCGACTCGGAGCGCGTGTTTGCCGAGCAGGACGAGCTGAGACGTGGGCTGCGACCTAGGCACAACCGCGTGAAAATCGACATTAACGCCATGCCCGACTCGTAGCGCGTGTTCGCCGAGCAGGGCGAGCTGAGACGCGGGCTGCGTGCTTGATCGGGTTGGGTTTCGTCGTGGGTTGTTCGTTCGGGACTTGCTCGCTCGCTCGCTGCTGGTGGGTGATTGATTGATTGATTGATTGCATGCCTGGAGCTGTTTCATTGGGCTGGGGAGCAATGGGTCGTGGGGAATGGGTGGTAATTAGATGGCGGGTGTTTCGGTGTCGTCTTTCCCTATTTACTGGAGGATTTGTTACCAGATCGGGCTTGGCTTGTTCGTTGTTTGGGGGGGTATAATAGGTATATACTATATGCCTACTTAAGACTTGGGGCGCTTGGACGAGGATTGGTGTTTGGTTTCTTTGGCCGTCTTTGATTTTGTTTCAGAGACGAAATAGACATAGGAAGAAACATGGTTGTTGTTTCTATCAGAGTATAGCTGGAGTCAAGATAGCGCAAAACAAGACTTGTCTGTAGGCTTTATGGTCCCTCCACGCCTAGAATAGTCTTGATAATTACTGTAACTGCATTTTAACCAACTCTTCGTCAACAACAATTTAGACTACTCACCTGGGCCAAAGATACAAGCGCATATGCGTGGCTTACTACTTCTGCTACTTTGGACGCAACTATGTTATGAAAACCCCCGCTATGGCCAACACTTGCCTCGACTTTCTCGACCCTTGCGGAGCTCATCAATCGCGGCCATGGAGGTTGGGCTTTGGCGACTTGCCGTGGAGAATACCGCCAGCCAACCGCCAGCTAGGAGCGCTCTTCGGATGCATTAGCCGGCGAAAGTGGTTGCTCGCGAGCGCAGCCCTGCAGTCGCTAGATGGGCAGCAAATTATCGAAACGTCAGTGTTCTTCCATAATTCTCGTCTCGATCTCCGGAGGCTCTCCAGGTCGCCGCTCAACGGTGGGACTACGACGCCGCCAAGCTCCTAATCGAAAAGGGAGCCGATGTCAACATGGTCGGGTCGCTGGATGGATACGAGCTCGCCGCCTCCGATCTAGACTTTGGCTGTGCGCATGACAGCCCCTTGCGGATCCTGAGGACGGTGGTGAGGCTATTCCCTCGAGGTCCACACCCATCCTATGCGGAATGTAAAGTGGAAGACGTTGATGATAGTGAATTGGAAGACGACGACGATAACAGCGAAGTGGAAGAGGACGACGACAGCGAAGCGGAAGACGGCGACAACAGCGAAGCGGATGACGACGAGGACAGTGAAGCGGAAGACGACCCGGACAAAGTAAAAGATATCCTTCGTGCATTCAAGCTCAAACTCGAGGGCCTGTTGGTGGAAGCTGGGTCAAGGGATTTTACCGCGATATGGGAGAGGCCTGTCGATTCCAGGACTTACATTTGAGTGGAATTGGTGAGGGGGTATTTTAGAGGTTGTTTTTTTACAATTTAAATTGAAAGTACAATCCAATCCTTGAATGTTTATTGTCGCGGCATAAGAGTTGGCAACGCCTTAATAACGTACGGCTTGCCCCGAAGGTTTCTCGGAGGGGGCAGTTATTGTTAGGATCCCTATTATAGAATGTGGGGGGTTTTTCTCTATCTTAGAAATTCCTAGCTGGTGTATTTGCCATGATCTTTACTCTTTGCAAGTATCTAGGTGCTATGCCAATAAATATCCAGGGATTGGACTATAGAACAATCTCCGAGACCGGGCCCGAACAAATATAGATGTCTTGTCGATTCTCTCTCACGTCTCACGCCTCGGATACCTCCACCTCCGCCAAAAACCCTTCACCCCCGCCTCTCGATCCCGGGTCCAACCCATCAACCCACACGACGATATTCTTAGGACAGTCGGACAAACCGGCAAAGAAGCGGCGCACGTCGTCGTCCGAGTAGCGCATGCTGAAGTGGGTCAGCACAAAGGTAGTGCGGGGCCAGGTGCGCACGACAGGCTCGAGGTCGGCCCAGAGCGTGTGCTTGGTCTTGGCGGCCTGCGCGCGGTGCTCCTCGTGCAGAAACGAGCACTCGGTAACGACGACGGCGATGCCGTTGCGCAGCCACCCGGCGGAATCATCAAGCAGCGGTGCGGGCGTCGTGTCGCCGAGGAACGCAAACACGGGCACCGTCACGGGCGCCGTGATGGACACCCCCGACTCTTCGCGCAGCGCCCGCAGCTCCGCCCCTGCGCGCCCCACGTACTCGGGCCGCAGCCGCTGCGTCGTCGTGCTGAACACGTACCCCAGGCACGGCACCGTGTGGTCGCATGCGAATGCCGTCGCTGTGATGGCGTTGGCGTTGGCGTTGGCGTTGGCAGCTGCAGATGCATTGCTGCTGCCCTTGAGGTGGGCCAGCGGTACTACATCACCCGGCTCCAGGCCGTGCGTGACGTGCGTGACGAGGCTGCCGCGGGCGGCGGCGTACTCTTCGGCGGTGACCAGGCCGCCCTGGTCGAGCAGGCGCTGGGCGCGGATGAAGTCGTCAAAGGCGGGGGCCATGGCGGCCGGGCAGAAGACGTCGGGCGGGCCCCGCAACGTCGCGAACACGGGCGCCAGCTGCGTGTGGTCGCTGTGGCCGTGCGTGAGGAAGACGTGCTTGGGCCGCAGCCGGTTGATGACCAACCCGGCGTCGAGCAGCAGGTTGAGTTGCGGGATCACGAACGACGTGTGCCATGCCGCCCGCGATCGGCCGGTTAGCACGTAGCTGTGGAACGGCTTCGGGAACCGCCATTCGAGGATCTCGGACCGCGCAGACTGTGGAAGCGGTGTGGCGAATGATGGTGTCGGCATAGTGGTTTTGTCTCGGATCATAAACGACGGATCCACTTCAGGTTGTGTAATTATTCCATATTGTTTGAGACTTGGCAGACAGAGTGAGTGTGATTGGTTGATGCACTAACAATTAATCGCTCGGTTGCGGGTTGGGTTGTGCGGGTTGTGGATGATTCCCAACTTTGATCCAGTCTTCTCTCCACATTGGCGCGTGGTAGCACGTTGGCGCTCGATGCCTGCACTGCAGCATTTTGTTATTTGACATATGGCGCTTAAGTGGCGTCCGCGTTAGGCGGCCTGCAAGGCGCTCTTCGGGGAACGTCACGTGCCCACTCCTCCGGAGACCATGGGTCGCAGCTGCCTGCCAGAGCCTAATGAGCAAGTTGCTGCGTGTTACACTTGATCAAAGTTGACAGCGTATTGAATTGTGTGTCTAGGCTAAAAGAAAGGTTCAAAGGACGAAGCCGTAGGCTTCCTTATATAGACCCTGTAGCCCTGTGCTCCCTACCGCCACCTCCGACGCTTACTGTTTTGTTGGTTTAACCGACACACATCTTTAAAGGTTAAACGTAAGATGACGGAATAAGCTGACGATAGTCTCCGCTACGAAGCTCTCACCCACCGCGAAGAGGCAATTTCCCAGGCTCACAAGTCGACGTTTGAGTGGATATTCGCGAAAGACGCCTCCTCTCGCCCAGCACCTAGAGGAGAGCAGTGGGACTCGTTCCCCAAATGGCTCACGGGAACCACGCGCGATAGTTACTAGATCACCAAGAAACCCGGATCTTAACACTAGTAAAATTCATCGCGGGGAGTGACGAGCTCAAACACCTAGTCTCTAGATGGTCTAACAACGTCCCGTTCGTCGTGGCAATGTTTTATTCGTGGCACGCGGGCATGGAACTTCAAAAATCATTGCAAGGCTTCGTGAAGACTATTCTTTCCCAGTGCGTCGCACAGCAGCCAGACTTGGTGCGTCATTGCTGTGCAAAAAGGTGGTTACTGTACGAAATCTTTGGCCACGACATCATCCTACCCGAATACACGCCGGCCGAGCTTCGTCGCAGCTATGACACCCTAATGTCCGGAAAATCCACGCAACCAGCAGTCGCAGCCTGTGACAGGACTGCCGGGAGCGTCAACATCGTCCTCATCATCGACGATCTCGATAAGTTTACTAGAAGCCACGAGGAGTTGGTTGGTCTTGTCAAGCAGATCAGCTATTTTGAAGGCGTCCAGGTGTGTGTTAGTAGCAGGCCCTGGAACGTGTTCGGTGACGCATACCAGCCGAACCCGAGCCTCAAGCTGGAAGATCTCACCAAGAGCGATATCCTCGGATTCGTACGATCCAGCTTCGACTCACACCCAGGCTTCCTCGATCTCAGCGCCGTCTTTCCCGGAGAGGCTAAGCGGCTGGTTGACTCGGTCGTGAACAAGACAGCAAGGGTATTTCTTTGGGTGTCTATCGTCGTTGAAGCGCTGCTTGCTGGACTGGCCGATGGCGACAAGATCTCAGACCTCCAGGCGACGCTAGACCGTCTCCCGGATGATCTCGTGAACCTCTACGAGCGGATCTTCGCGAATATGGAGGATAGACACGAAGCACAGGGTTTACAGTTTTCCCACCTCTTCGATTTGTGTAGCGTGCCGCTCAATGCTTCCCTTCTCTAGCTTGCCGACGAAAAGGCCCCGCACGACCTCAAGCTAGACGTGATAGACTTCGCAAAGATCAACCTCGTCATGAAGCGTCGGCTGGTCAGTCGCATAAAGGGCCTCCTCGAGCTCTCTGAGGGCGGCAATATCCGGTACATCCACCGTACCGCTTTCGACTGGATCTGCAGAGAGTGGCAACGAATATCAGCACGCCTGCCACGAGACTTCGACGTCAATTTGGTGCTCTTGAAGGCGCTGCCTTGTGCTGCGTCCGTACGCCCTTCACCAGACTCGGACCACCGGCTTGTGAACTTCGACTGGAAATTCGCCCAAATTTGTTTTCGATACGCATCGCGGGCGCTCAGAAACCCGGACAGTGTCGGCCGTGTGACAACCTACCTCGACTTTTTAGACCGTAGCACAATTGGCTATGTACAGGTGAATGAATGCGAACATAGTTTTCACAGTCCGTTAAAGATTGACTTTTCAGCGCTAGCCGCATGTTACGTGATGTGGGAGAATGGGTAAAGAGAAGTCCTGGTGCCGTGGACACGCTTTCTGGAAAGTTCGAAACGTTAACACTCCTCAATAAACAATTAACGGCACTTGAGGTTGTCGAATTTCCGAACAACTGCGTGGGCGACCTATGGACTTCCACTCGCATTAAGAAACTCTTCAGCCCGGAAGAGCAGACATGTCGCCTCAACATGGTCAAGCTCCTTCTGGAGGCTGGCTCTGATGCAACGCGGCCATGTCATACGAGTAGCACCATCTAACAAAAGCTTCGCATCATGTACGGGTCAGACGATAGATATCCCAGGGCTGTTATAAATCTCTGAGAACACATCATCCGGTTTCTCCAAGGGCAGCCAAGGTTTCGGCTATACCAGAGGGCCTCCAAAACCGACAGGGTCACAATTCAACAGGGTTTTCCCACCTCGAGGCACCGCATTTCCCCGCCCCCGTGGGTCTCCTTCCGGCCGCGGGTGTTAGGCGCCCGGTGAATCTCACTTCCCCTGCCTCTTCTACTCCTCCGACACTCGTTTCGTCTTCTAATTGGCAGGCGACCGTCTCCCCCCCACAGACGAGAGCGCGTGTTAAACGTGGGTTTTTCTCCAGGCTCGTGCGGTGGAAGCGCCGCCGCAAGCTGTGAGGGCCTTCTATCACTGGTGATGTACCAGTCAGTCTGGACGCGGGTGTATCAGACGAGAATTTGTACGTAATGGGAAATGATAACTCCCTTGGCTGCTGGCTGGCCTGGGCCTACTATGTAGGGAAGAACCTCGAAAGCAGGGCAAGACCATTAGCCTAATCTTGGATTGTGGCACGAATGTGGCGAGTCAAGCCTAAGCGACAATGTCAGGCCATGCTGACTCGCAACCTAGACCCCATCGCCCTGCTCTGGGGGCCCTCTGGGGGCCCAGTCTCCAGGCCACCTACGGTCTACATGAAATCGGCCGTCTTCGTCTTCCGGATAGACTGAAGATAATCAAGCAAGCCGCCTCCCAGTCCATCTCCCTACATGGAGCGGCAAACCAAGCTCCTAGCCGCCCAGCTGCCCAAAAGGTGGTAAAAATGGTTTCGGGTTCGGCACGGACTTGGGCCGCTATTGGAACCATGTTCGTATGCACTGTTGTGCGTCTAGGCGTGCGGGCTGTACTGTTGCTGATGTGCTACAATCCGTAGCGGTTGGGTAAAATGCAAAGCATCCACTTTAATATCGGGATGTGGGACGAGGCAGAACCCATGCGTCAATCAATGGAGAAAAAGCCTTGGCTCTGCCGCTTTGTTCGTCCGTAATAGTTTATGGTAAGGCTCCCAAACCCCGGCCTGGAAGTGCTGGGAAATCGGCCTCGGGACACCGAGAGTACGCCCGCGAAAGGCGACGGGACGTGATTCCAACGTATGGCATGATAGCATGACATGGATATGGTGGTAGCGAAGCGTTGCCACGGCGGCGGCGCTGATCCCCCAACATTAAACAAAACACCCGCAACACATGTACACGTTGCCCAGCACGGAGAAATCCGGAGAACTCGGCAATCGGCACAAAAGCACCATTGTTTATTGCTGCGCTACAGCATCACCATCGTATCTAGCTTTATTGGGTGCACAGGCACTTCATGCTTTGGCTGCGCCCTAGCCAATTAATTGCCTCTGCGTGTTCCTCTCAATGCAGATCGAAATGACTGGCACCACCTTTGTTCCATCCCGTCCAGGCCTTGTCGATAGTACTTGCAGCAATTCCAGGTAATCGACCGAACCATAGCATACAGCAACGATGCATCAATATCACTGCCGACTACTGGTGTCGTAAATCGGGCTTTAGCCAATAATATTGAAGAGGGGGACCTTTGAAAGTTCCATAGTTCTAGGCTGACACGATATGCCAGTTTGCGGCGCAATACATTGTTAAGTGGCACAGGCTCTTCACCGTACTTTGTATTGTGGCAATGCTCTCCAGTTCTGTCTCCTTCACACAAACGTGGGAGAAGGAACTTCTTGGCAGGCATAGCATTTTACGAACCAGCAAGTCAACGTGAGCGTAGCTAAGTGGTAGCATTTAATGGAATACCACCAAGCAGTGTTGATAGAGTGCGGTCGGTAGCCTGAATCCTATTACTATATGCTGTTTCCGGGGCCGGCATGTGATGGGCCAGTTGTAGGAGGATCCGAGTACATTTCGTGTTGGACTTGTGCCTCGTGCTTCCGCCGGGTATTGGCTTTTTTTTCATGACCAACTTTAGTGCATATGCTGTTTCCGTACCGGGAACTGGCTGTGGCACGTCGGTTGGCATCACATATCCCGGATCAGCAACTGCTCACTGCGTCAATACCCGCTGTGAAGCGCAAAGAGAAATATGAGGACCGGCTGGCCATGCTCAGATTGTATAAAGTCGCCCAACACCGCTGCAGCTGGTGATGAACTGCCCTTTCCTCACCATCCTCTTCGACACCTTCATCAAGCATCACTTCAACAACAACAAAATCGCACCGCCACCATGCGCTTCTTCAGCACTGTCCTACTCCTCACCACGGCCTCGATTAGCCTTGTGTCGGCTGGAGATGTTTGCCCGGGCACCTACTGCACAATCGGGTCCCGCTGCGGCTACGATCCGAACGGGCCGCATTGCTGCAGCGCTACCAACGCTCGAGATGTCGTGAGTTGACCTAGACCCAATTAACTCGGTCCCGTCATTTAAACAGACACATCGGATTAATTCATGTCTGACCTGTCTTCCTTTGCGCAAAACAGCTCGAATGCGACGGCGGACAGTGGGCATTCCGCAACAACTGCAATGACAACCAGTTCTGCACTTGCACTGGCTCCAAGGACCTGGTCTGCCGCAACCGCAACCTCATGGTGGCGGCGAATTTCACCGCATGATGGGGTCGGTCTATGGCCAAGGACGGGGGGCACATGGTTATTCACTGTTGGGCCTAGCAAAACTTGATGGAGGCAAGACAAAGCTAGTGAGAGTATCATAGTATTCGAAAGATTACTACCCCATGGTGCTTGGGGTTGCAAGTATATAGGTAGCCAAACGTATAGTAAACGAGCGTTTCTACGGATACTTGTCATATGGCGGTTGTTAAGCTCCTAAGGACTTTGTCGATGTGTAAAGACCCAACGAGACGTATAGTAAATAGGTTATAGCCTAGGCGACGTAACAGAAAGCTGGACCATCTAAATCTCGCCGCTCAATGATACAATATTCTCCCACTTTAAGAGGTTGCGGAGTCACTCGCGAAACAAAACGAAAGTTTCGCGGCCCCGGCTCCGAACCAGGCGTTTAACCGCCAGTGAATGAAAATAATCAACACTGCAGTAACCGCACGCTAGTAAGCCCACGCCTATATCCATATTACTAGAAGTTAGAGCAAGACCCGCTCCTTAAAAACGTTACATCGAGCCGGGTAATTATTAATCGCCTCGTCTAGGCGGCTATAGAAGTCACTTAAGGTTACTTACACGGACCATGGAGCGAGGAACTCATCTCTAACAAAGTACTATTATTACCTTTTTTAACAAACCATAGCCCGTAACAGAGACAGACTACTCTAATTACTCTACCCTAACCCAAGAACCCCGAATCCTCACCTCAGCACCCCACCACCTCTTTCATCATCAACCGCCCACCGCCGCTGCTCCTGCCGCCGCCGGGTACTCCGCGACTTCACGCCGATCGTCACAAACACGATGCCGTTCCAGAACCCCCGCAGCGACCCCGTCGCCCCGACGACCAGCAGCAGCGGGTACGACGAGAACGACGGGTTCGCGAACGCCGCGACGCGGTTCGTCGTTGGTGCCACCCACACGGACAGCAGTGCGAGGAAGAAGAACAGTGGCATGAGGATGTACTGGCGGAAGGAGAGGGAGGATTTTATTGGTTGGAGCCGTGGCGTGGTGGGTGGTTGCTCCTGTGTTTGGGAATGGTGTGGTCTTGTGGTCATGGGTGGGAGGATTGCTGCTGGCGTGGAGGATTTGGAGTACGACGCCGACGTGGACGACGGGGGCAGCGGTTGCGTCGGCGGGTGCGGGTGCGGGTGCGGGTGCAAACGGGGCCACGGGGAGAAACGGGCGTGGGCGTGCGTGTGTTTCAGCTCGTCGGCGGTGCCGTCTTTGGGCGACGTCGGGGTGGTGTTGCTGCTGTAGTAGTTCTGCGTGTCGGCATCTTCGCTCCACGTCTCGCTCGCTGCACCAGCAGGCCGCATGGTATCGTCGAGCGGCACCGAGTCGCTGGTGATGGACTGCAGCGCGCGCCGCCGCTTGACGATCTCGATGCCCACGAGGCAGTACAGCACGATGGTTATCAAGATCATTGTCCTGATGCCAGTGTGGTTAGCTTTGCCACTCCGGGAGGGGCGGTTCGGAGTAAAATAATAATGGATAGGGGGCAGCGCACCAGATTGGCACGTAGTAGCACACTATGCGGATCAGCACCCAGCTTGGGGCGACTGCACACCAGAGCTGTCGAGGTAACAGGTCAGCAAGTCCAGTTCACAGCAGTTGTTGTTCATCAACAGCGGTTGTTCATCAACAGCGGTTGTTCATCACCAGCGGAAGCACTCACTGTCACGCTGCCGTACATGGGCCCCTTGTCGTCGTTGCGGACAAAGAGAAAGGCCAGGGCCGGCACAAAGGTGACTATGCTCGCGACTACGATGTACTTCCACTCGAGCTTTCTCAAGGCCTCAATGTCGTAGCTCCGGAACACGATGAGGAAGACATTGACGGCCATGAAAAGAGTCCAGAGCACGTCCGCGACGGGGAACCTGCGGTCACCATGTCCGTCAGCCGTTATTGTCCTAGTTACTAAGAAGTGACTGGGCACGTACATCTGGTTGAGAAAGGCCTGGAACTGGCACAGCGGCGACGTCTGGCCGGCCTTGGGCCCACTGATGGAGATCATGGTGCAGACGACGTCGAAGGCGTTGTAGAAGGCGTTGATGAAGATGAGGCGGTGCATGGGGTTGCGGAAGTGCCGCGACAGCGAGAAGGTGACGATGATGGCCACCACGCCCAGCGCCGACATGGCCGACGCGGTCCGCGTCACGATGCCCAGCGCCCGCAGCTGCTCCTCGCTGAGCGACGCCTCGCCCCGGCCGCGTAGCATCATTATCGTCGTTAATAAGCAGCAGACGTGTGTCGGTTAATCGGTTAATAATGTCTCGGCGGGCGATCGGCACGCCGTGGGCGGCCGGGCCGGAACCGAAACCGAGACCGAAACCAAAAGGCAAGACACAACGGCCCCGGGGGCTCTGGCGGCGGCCCTCGACGTGTTATATCGCATGGCAGGGCAGGGCAGCCATGCGTGAGCGGGCTTAGGCTACATCAGCGGCATGTCGTAATTAGCAACGGTGAATGGCGTGCTCCCCATAGCGATCCTTTGGGGGCCGCATATGCAAGCCACAGAGAGAGTGGCCGTGGGGGTTGCTTTTGGCCACCGAGTCTGGGCAGCTTACCGGCCTCGCCTCAAAGCGGCGTTTCCTCATGTCGATGCACTGCGTGTCTGGTGGTCAGCACCTTATGAGGACGTCTCTCGTTAGTAATTCTTCTTCATTAATTTGCTGACCGGAGAACTTAGAACACACGGACAGGCTACCAGAGTTAATCAATCAATCCGTGAGCATCCTTACACGGGAGGATTCATAGACGAGCGGCGTGCCGTCCAATCGACGTGCGTCGGGGTGCGGCGCCAAGTCCACGCTGTCGGGTCTCACGGCTCCTAGCATTGCAGCAGCGCTACCAGCACAGCATCGTGGTAAGCCAACGACTGCAGCTCTATGGTTCGGCTTTGCCCGAGACACGGCACAGAAGAGGCAAGCGAGCGCCCGCTCACCCAACAGTAGCCTGCATATCTTGACACACGGCTGCAGTCTCTCGGCTGCTTGAGGCAAGGATTGACGGCCTGGTAGCAAGCCTCTGTTGTGTTTGCTGAAAGGGGTTAGAGCGGGCTAGATACACAGTAGACCAGGTCACCGAGAGGAATACCTGGGGGTGGGTGGGGGATATGTCGCCACCTCGATGTAAATAGTTAGGTAATTTTCCGGCTTTCGCACGTGGCACGTGGCTTGTACCGCTTTCCTGCGACTAGGTTAGTATGTACAGTTCAAATATATTGGTCTTGAGTGTAAGCAGCTTGCTCAAGAAAGGGGCCAGGAGATTCAACATGTAACCCCCATTTGCAATACTGCTTAGCCCCCTATTAATACCAGCATGCAATAACATGGGCGTAAGACGTGATATCACACCATGCCCCAACCCAGGAGCGCCAAATCCCCACCCAAACAAACACACGCCAGCCCCCCTCACAAAACCCCTTCCAGAAACTCGTGCACCGCGCGAAACGTGGCCGGCGCCGAGTAGTGCAAGCTGAGCACGTGGCCCGTATCCGCCGGGGCGTAGGACCTGTACGCCTTGGCTGTGGGAAAACTCTCACCGTCACCTCCAAAATATCCGCACAAGCCCTGCCGGCCGAAGGGACACAGAATACCGCGTCCAGCTGGCCCGTCGTCGCCACAAACACCGCACCCGTATACACGACCGCCGCGGTACCGCCGCCGCCTCCCAACAGCAGGTCCGGCAGCGCGGCAAACTCGCCCACGGCCGCCGTGTCCTGGCGCGCAAAGTCGGCGCGCGCGACGTCGGTGTCGAACGCGCTGCCGTAGAACGCGCTGCCGCTGCGTGACCGCTCTGCTTCGATGGTCGTCACCACGTGGCCTGGTGGCAGGACGCTGCCGAAGCGTGACGGCGAGAACAGCGCGCCGGACGCGTACGCCTGCGCCGCGATGGCGGTGGTCGCGAACGCCGTGCTATAGCCGGTCAAGACCAGCGCGTCGGCGTCGGACGGGTACGTGCGCACGATCGCCGCGCCGAGGACTGAGCCGAGCGAGTGACCGACGTAGGCGATTTTGGCGAAGGAGCGGCCCAGGGCGTTGCTGCGGTTCACCGTGCCGCCCGTCGCCAACAACGCCAGCCAGATCATCGCCTTCCTGCATGCGGCCTCGACAACCGGCGTCGCGACCAACGGCACCCGCCAAGTCAGCGGCACCTTCGCCGTGACCGGCATCTACTGCAAGCCAACCACGGCTCAAGTACGGGGCACCCTTCAGGTGCTCATCCACGGCGCGACGTACGACAAGACCCTGTGGTCGGGTCTCGGCCAGGGCGCGCGCGCTACAACTACCAGGGCTACGCCAACGTAGTGGGCTGCCACACGCTGGCGCTCAACCGGCTGAGCCACGGCAGCAGCCCGCTCGAGATCCTGCACCGCGTCCTCGCCGCCGTGCGCAGCAACAAGACGTTTTTGCGACGTCGCTGAGATGGTGAATGAGACTGGTGAGCAGGAGGCAAATGGCGGTTGGGGTCCATGGGGCTCAGCGAGGGCTGCTGTTGTTACGGCGAGCGTGGCCCCGAGGACGACGACTGCAGAGGTGAGATATGCCAACATGGTGATGTTGATGAGTTGGGGAGGCTATACTGGGAGATGGGCGAGAATACCGGCTGACTTGCTTGCTCTTGATCTTCTCGACAATGACACTGGGGTCTGCTGCTGTTTTATACTCGAGGCACTTGAACCGAGGCAGAGCCAACCTTGCCTATTGACTTGTTAAGTCGAGTGCGGCGGACGAACGATTAGAAATCGAGCTGAATAGCGAGGCGCGAGTGAACAGCGACACATGCTACGTAATGGCACCAGTGTATAATATTAAGGTGGGTTGTTGTTGGTAGTCGGGGTATTAATCCCACCGAGTCCGGTCGGGGGATGGCCAAAGTCGTGCATCCTCCGCCGCGTCTCAGCCGTGACGAAGCGAACGGGACCTTGATTCCCTAGACGCTGGCGCACCGAGTCTGATTAATTCGAGCTAAAAAATTCGAGCAACCCGAGCTATCCATGGTCAACAGAGATCCTCTAGGCCTTCCTTGCCTTGTCAGTAGCAATAGGGGCACTGGTTTCGGAAGCCGCGGAAATGTTTGTTGAAAGGGCGGGCTTCGATGGGCGCGACTCCGCCGCCTCGGGCACTCGCGGGTCATCAAGTCAGCTGCCATCACCAAGGAGCTATGTACCTTGGATACTGCGACGGCCTGAAAATCCTCAGTGATTTGCCAATAGTGGGCATGATTTCTGCTAGGAGTGGTGAATTATTGCACAGTCATGCTTGGGGAAGGTACTCTAGAATAAGAGAATATTAAATAATAGGCGCGACGCTGGATTTGGAGGGATAAACCCCAAACGTAAACTAGGCGACGATCTAATTGTTCGTACTGCCTATGGACCTGGTAACTGTACGGAAGAGGTAAAGGTGCAGAAGGGAGATTCCTTGGTTACGAATTCGATACAAACTTCGAGTCCCGTATTACCCTCCAAAGCTCTAAGCCAATCCATCTTTTCTATTGTATTAGCTAAAGCCGATATTAATATTCCGGCAACGGAAGGTTAGCTTACATACCTTGTTGCGCTTATGCGTTATCGGCTAGCTTTCTCTTTTTGATGGGTCGAGTGCTCGCGATTTTCTCTGACTCATCTACGAGTGTCGCCATCTCCTTCATCTTATCTGCGCAGGTGACGAGCTTGACGAATTCGTCCGTATTGACGACTATCTCGTTCAGAGTACTAACCGGCCGACTCCCTTGGAGAGTGGCGCCTCCACTACTGGATGCCCGGTGTAGCGTCAGGAGGCGCGACCGAGCGAAACAGACAGCCAGCTTGGTATTATATTCGATTATTCTTTCGACCTAGTGTTCGTCCCAATGCAATATTGCCTCGACCCTGGCTTGCTAGAGGGTCCAGCCCGGGTTAAGGGCGACATACTTGGCACTAGCTCCCGAACCCTTCACATCGCAAACAGAGAATGAACTGCCAAAATCATCCCAATTAATATTGAGCTTAATGAAAGCGGGGGCGCCAGCCAAGCGGTGCGCACTGGGCGTGAAATTCCCGTCGCGCCTTCTTTTTAACGTTGTGGGAGACGCTGGCAAGTTGACTCCCCAGGTCCCTACCTGGGTCATCGACTTAACGCCCCGTTGGGCGCGGATGGGGCCTGGGTGGGTGTTCGGGCAGTTTTTGTTCCAGCCATTCGAAAAGACGCGCTTCCACAATCCATCTCGGGCTAGGCATCTGGCACCTCTCCGGTGCCTTTAGCGTCGCCGAGCTTAACAATAATGTCATCGAAGCACTTCTTTCGGTCGCTACTGAGGTCCTCGGCACCCTCAATCTGCGTCTCCAGCCCCGAGTGATGCTGCGAGAGCGGAGGTAGATATTTCGCCGTCATGTTCGTGATTGTATGATGCAATACAATCGATACGACAAAGTGAAGTTTGCGGGAAGTTTGCGGGAAGCCGGTTGCAGAATTGAAATCACCTTGAGAGTAGTGAGGACGGGAGGAAGGTAGAAGATTTAAGGATTGAAGTTGGGTGGCCTCTAATCCTGGGCCGTAAAGGTATTGATCATAATCGTAGCACAATAGGAAGGCGCGCCTAATGCACAGAACAGTAGCGCACGGTCACTCTCTCGCCCCCGAGGTGAGCCTAGGCGTATCCTAGAGTCAGCCTGCGTTCACCATGCGGGCAGCCCGTAGTCCCAGCAAATATTCTGATCAAAAAGAACTGCCCTTTCACCCCCCCTCCCTCCAGGTTAATATTCCAGTACCACTTAATCTGGCGGCGAGCCTAGTTGTGTGCTGGAAAGAGGGCCTAGGCGCAGACAGGGATGACGATAGCCGCGTGGGCAACGCGGAGGATGGCCAGAGAAATTCCTCGGCCTCAGTCGGTGAGAAACATAGCGATCGCCACCGCAATTGCGCAGTAGACATGCCACTCGGTGTGGCTATTCTGTGCTATGATCTTGATTCGGTCCAGGAAGTCCTTGAAGAACGCTGGGTGGGGGCATTGGCACAGAGACATGGTTGCGCGATTAGGTTGGGCTTTCGTATCTAACGAGAGAATGAGTTTCTTAGATGCTACGTAGACAAAGGTGAAATTGATCTGAGAGAAAATCTAGCTGGAGATTGAGGCACCTTCCTCAAGGTCGTGGGTTTTCAAGCATTAACTGCACCTTCTAATCTTGCAACACCCGTCTGCACCTAACCAACACATTAGACTTGGAAGGCGCGATTAGCCTTGCCCATCAGGGACAGGGCAAGATACAGGGCCGCTGCAGCTTCCAGTCGCGCTCAGACACCACATCCAAATGAGGTTCGCCGGCGAGCAGGTAGCTCCTGCAGGCAGCGCTTTTACACCATCTCATCGGTCCAGGCTCATTGTACGAGTCTGGGTGGATCATGGAAAACCAGCCCTTCACAGGATTGATTCTCCCCTTGATACTTCCAACCGGGACCCCTGCTCCACTGTCGACGGTTGCCCATCCATTGACCGTCGCGCACCGCCCTCCGTTCTCGTCTCGGAATACGGTGGAACAAATGACGTCGAGGCAGAAGCTATATCGGGAGCAGAAGCAGTACGGTGTTTTTGGGCTCCCGTAGTAGTCGTAACACTTGCAGCTGAGTCCAAACCAGTTCACGAATGGAAAGTCCTCTTCAACAATCGGTCCAAATCTGGAGACAGGGTAAAGAACTTTTGAGGGATCATCACCCCCGTGCCGGCGCGCCATGGCGGCCCAGAGCCTTTCTTTTTCCGAACCTTGCTCGTGCTCTAGATCGGCGCTCGAGTAGTGAAAACTCCACGCGAATTTGAGTGACACGTCTTTTGTTCTGTCGATGCCCACGCTGCGTCTCCGCGCGTAGTAGCCACAGGGTTCCGGCACGGCGCACTTTGGGTGGTCGCACTAAATTCCCTCGATCTATAGTCTATATATCACGTCGCTCGGTTAATGCGGAACAACCGCTCGACATCTTCCCACTGCACAGTTGTGTGGTCGAAGATGCGCACAAATCCCTCCCTGCCGATGCACAGTCGTAATTCTGGTGGCACGGCACGCTGCTTGGCAGAAAAATAGCCTCCAGCTCGGTGAACCTCGGTGCGCATTAATCGCGGATTCGATCTCCCCATGGCTTGTCGTCGATATCGTCTTTGTCGGCAGGAGAGTCAGCTACACCGATACAATCGACATCTCTGTTGGTGGGAGTGTCGGCTACACCGATATTACTGACATCTCTATCGCCATTGTCGGGCGGGGGCGGGGGCTCGTCGCGCGGCTGTTCCGGGACATCTGCTGTTTCCGGATCGGATAGCCACCTCTGTGTAGGAATTTCTTGACCATCAGCCTCTGTCTCGCTCGACTGCGAATCGTCCGAGTCATCTGGCATGAGCTGGGTGGCGAGCCATCGACGGAGCCAGTCGGTCTGCTTCCTGATGTCGACCATCTGGGAGGTGGTGATATGATCTTGTGGTTTCGTGTCAAGTCGAATTAAGGTCCAAGAAAGAATACTTATGCTAACTGAGAATAATAAAAGGGTTAAGATGCCGCCACACAACCGGGAGGATTATTAAACGCAGATTGAAAAAAGACACGAGCCGAAAAAGGAAAGTTACTTACTAGAAAAAAGAAGGTAGAAAACTGACACGGCCATGCCGAGCAAATCACGTTCCGGGACCTGGTCCGCTCCATGGGGGAGATATCAAGGTTCGGCATCCTGACAACCCTAGCGTTGCCGATAACTGCTACGCCGCGAAGGCCTCTGCCGCGTTAGAACAGCCCGACTAGGACAAGAAACAACAGATACCAACATGGCGATAAAATAAAGAAGAGAACATAATACCAATTTGAACACTCATAGTACGTTAGTCCTTGTGCTCGTCATAAAAGCGAGATTCCACAATTTACGACTTTTTTCTTTCACCAGAAATGAGCTTCTTCCTTCACGCCACGGTTGCGAGAGGCGGGCCCGCCTCTGCATCGAGCATCTGGTGTTTAGTTTGTCACTTAGGTAACAGCAAGACTTTTCACTCCTGTCTAAAAGCCTGCAATAGCCGAGGCATTCGTTGACTGGCCACACATTAGGTCTGACCCCGTGACTGCAACCTTCGTCCTAACCGACTGCCAACGCCGGCCGACTCTTGACTAATTCCAATGAAACCTGGGCAACGAATGTTCTCAATGTAATATTGAAAATAACCATGTCATTGACCCGCAATCCCCCCCTTTTTCCCCAAATCCATCAGGTGGCAGCTAATAATTGGGGATAGTGTCGAGACGCCACCCCGGGCGCCGGCTGAATCTCCGGAGAATTCATCCAGCTCTGGCACCGCCTGATTGAGCGTGCCCAGCCCAGCCCTGGTTTGGCGGACTAGTGGCAAGGACCCGGCCGGCCCCTGATAGAGTAGCATTTCCCCATTGTCCGGAAGCTGCCCCCTTCAACTAGGTACGAGGCAATATATGAAGACACATTACCCCAGATTCTGTGCCCCGCCTTCTTGTGCCGCGCCCCCGACCGACGCGGCGTCCTCCTGCTCCGAACATGTATACTCACATATAGTGCCAGGGCTTCATTTCCGGCTAACATGGCAATCCCTGGTTGGGGGCGACCTGTGGTAGGGGCAGCCAGCTGGGGGGAATGAGGGGAAGCCGGATGAATGGGCTGCCCGCCGTGGAGACGGCCGACTCTAAATACTCGGACATTTTTCACGCTTGGCCGGCCTTGGGTCTTGTCTCTTGCCGTTGCTTCGAATTGTCGAGTAGTGGCTCTACCGTACTTACTGCTGTGGTGTTTCTCTTGATACAGTCACCATGCATCTCGTTCAGAACTGGGCAGTCGCCGCGGCTGTTGCAGCATGTGAGTAGCTCACCTGGAGAAGAGAGGTTGTTCCACTGCTAACGGCACTGCTTGTAGGGCTGCAGACGGGTGCGGCTGCACCGTCGATCAACGAGGCCAGGGCGGGGCCGGCGTCGTGCAGCACGTCGTCCAAGGACACGTACGACTACATTGTCGTGGGTTCGGGCCCCGGTGCCCTGCCGGTGGCTGACCGGCTCTCCGAGGCCGGCCACAGCGTGCTGCTGCTCGAGAAGGGCCCGGCGTCGTCGGGGCGGTGGGGCGGGACCATGAAGCCGTCATGGCTGTCGGGCACCAACCTGACGCGATTCGACGTGCCGGGGTTGTGCAACCAGATCTGGGCCGACCGCAACGGCATCGCCTGTACCGACTACGACCAGCTGGCCGGCTGCATCCTCGGCGGCGGCGCCGCCATCAACTCGGGCCTGTACTGGAAGCCCCACCCCGAAGACTGGAACATGAGCTTCCCTGCTGGCTGGAAGAACCCCGACATGCAGGAGTCCGTGTCCAAGGTCTTTAGCCGCCTGCCCGGCACCATGTATCCGTCCATGGACGGCAAGCTCTACCTGCCGCAGGGCTACAACACCATCAGCGCCGGTCTGACGCAGGGCGGCTGGACGTCCATCGTCGCCAACGACCAGAACGACCAGCGCAACAAGACCTTCAGCCACACCACCTACTACTTCAGCGGCGGCGAGCGCGGCGGGCCCATGGCCACGTACCTGCTGACCGCCAGCCAGCGCAAGAACTTTGCCTTCTGGACCGGCGCGGCCGTCAAGCGCGTCGTCCGCACCGGCGGCCACGTCACGGGCGTCGAGGTCGAGTGCAGCGGCGGCACCACCACCATCAACGTCACCCCCAACACGGGCCGTGTCGTCATCTCGGCCGGCACCTTCGGGTCGGCCAAGATCCTGTGGCGAAGTATGTGTCTCTCCATCGCCGGTCTGTATCAGCGTTGACTAACAGTTACTCAGGCGGCATTGGCCCGAAGGACCAACTCAACGTGGTCAAGCAGTCGGGCGACGGCGCCACCATGGTCTCTTCTGACCAGTGGATCGACCTGCCCGTCGGGTACAACCTGTACGACCACGTCGGCGTGAGTTTTTTCCGTCGCGCCGAAACAGGGTTTCAATTAAGCTGACGCCTTTGTAGACGGATCTCGAAATCGCCCACCCCAACATTGTCAACTACGACTTCTACGCTGCGTACAACAGGCCCGCGTCGGGCGACTCGCAGTCGTATCTGAGTAAGCAGCGTCGCACGCACTGGGCTTAGTTGCAGGGATATCTTTCTGATGTGTCGAATTGTGTGATTAGATGGCCGCACTGGCATTTTGACTCAGGCCGCGCCCAACTTTGGGCCCATGGTCAGTTGTCCTCCCGTCTTTCTCTTCTTCTTTACAGCTTAGCTGATTACCGAAACACAGTTCTGGGACATCATCACGCCTTCTGACGGAATCAACCGCCATCTGCACTGGCAGGCCCGCGTCGAGGGGTCGCGCAGCAGTAAGCCCTGCTTACTCCTAGCTTATTACTTTACTTCCAAGAACACAACTAACAAGCCACAGCATCCATGACGCTGACGCAGTACCTGGGCACGGGCTCCGTGTCGCGCGGGCGGTTGACCATCAACAGCCAGCTCAAGACGATCGTGTCGACGTCGCCGTACCTCAACAACGCCGGCGACGTGGCTGCCGTCGTCCAGGGCGTGCAGAATCTGCGCGACGGCCTGGCCAAGGTCTCGGGCCTAACCTGGATCCGGCCTTCGTCGAGCCAGTCGTCGGCCGCGTTTGTCAACTCGGTACCTATCCTCTCCTGTATCTCATTAACTCTGTATGAAAAATTGGTTGTGCTTACACTATTGACTGAATAGATTGCCGCGAACCCCGGCTCGCGCAACTCGAACCACTGGATCGGTACGTTTTCTTTGTCTATGCATTATTGTTGTTCATAGACCAGATCGCCTGACTGATTTGCTTCTCGCAGGAACCAACAAGATGGGCACCGACGACGGGCGCAGCGGCGGCACCGCCGTGGTCGACACCGACACCAAGGTCTACGGGACAGACAACCTGTTCGTCGTCGACGCGTCCATCTTCCCCGGCCACGTCACCAGCAACCCGACAGCCGCCATCCTCATCGTCTCGGAGCACGCCGTGTCCAAGATCTTGGCCCTGCCGTTCCCCGCCGCTGCGGCTTGAGCAGACAAGGAGAACTTCGTGAAGTGGTTGTGGTTGTGGTTGACTTAAAAAAAGACAGGCCGATATGGATAATTAGTACTAGCTGGACTGAAATAAAAAGAATACAGCTTGCCGCTATTTGCTACCTTGTTAATGATTGATTTGCGGGAGACGGGGGTGGGAATTTCGGACACGACTTATCTAGGCAGGGCACTTACAGACACAAAAGCCATGCTACCTGTCCGACGGCCTAGACAGGGTGACCCACCTTTGCAATCGCCCCACTTTGCAATTTTTCCCCCACACCGCCAACTTCCTACTCTCTACCTTCCACCACCAACAACTTCCTCAATACTGGTCGGAATAGGCTCAAAATACGATGGTTCGACGCGTACGAGAGCGGCTAATAGCCGAGGCTATTGAGGCTATTGATCAGGGCGCTCAGCAGAAGGAAGTAGCGCGCCTATATAGGATCCCTGAATCCACCCTCAGCAGACGACGCCGTGGACAACAGGATCCACGACAAGCCCAAAAAAACACCCAGAAGTTAACTGACGGCCAGGAAGCCTTCGTCGCCGAGTGGGCTCTTGAGGAGGAAGCTGCAGGGCGTGCCCCAAGTCGTGCACAGCTAAGACGATTCGCACAAGCGATCCTGAACGAAGCCGGGCTCCCTGGGCGAGTTGGTGAGCGCTGGGTAGATCGGTTTTTTACCCGCAACCCCAGGGTAAAGGCCAAGTTAGGTACCTTATTAGAACGGTCTCGAGTCAAAGGATCTACCCGTGAGAGATTCCAGCATTTTTTTGATCGTTTGGAAGGTGTAATTAAGGACAAGAAGCTGGTACCTGCGAATACCGCTGAGGGCAAGCGATTGACGCCCGTAGTGATCTTTACGGGTGAAAATCTACAAGGCCAACACTTCCCGGATAACTTCAAGGAACTACCAGTCCTCAAGACCTGGAAGTACGACTGTACGCCCACAGGCTGGAGCAATAGCAAAATAGCTCTTATGTGGCTCAAGGAAGTATATCTTCCTCAAACAAAGCCCCAAAGGAAGGACGATTGGCGCCTATTAATCCTCGACGAACACGCTACTCATATCGACGAAGACTTTATGCTTCTAGCTAAAAGAAACCGCGTACACCTACTATACTTGCCTTCACACACTTCTCACAAGACCCAGCCACTCGACCGGTCTGTCTTTTCGGCTTTGAAGTCCTATTTTCGCCAAAGAACCCTCGAATTGGCTTCCTTCACAGCCTCAGCACCTATCAACAAGCAACGCTTCCTTTTTTGCTACCGGGACGCCTCAGCGCAGGGTATGTCAGCCCGGAATATCATATCCGGCTTCCGGAAGACTGGAATCTGGCCTTTCCAACCCGCTCGTATACTTGACGACCCCGAGGCGGTCCGGGACGAAGCTGCAAAACCAGTCCCCCCATCCACACCACCCCGGAAGACCCGGGCAACCCGGAACGACCTCTTCAATACACCTCAAGGTAGTCACGACGTCTGCAGGCAACAGGGCTTAGCCAAGACGGCCACTAGTCCCCGAGATAGGGTCGTCAGGACTATGTTGACGAAGGTAGGGAGGGCACTTGATCAGAAGAATACGGAAATCGCTGCTTTGAAGGCAAAAAACGACTTCTTAGCCAACGAGTTGGAATCCAAAAAACCCTATTCACGTAAAAGGGTCAAAATAGACGCCAACGACAGATTTGCTACTATTGACGAAATTGACGAGGCTCAAAAAGCTAGTCAAAAGCCTCCCAAGAAGAGATCCAAAAAGACCAAGTCCAGGCCTGCACACTTGGTCCAGGAAGCTGAAGAAATTATCGCCCGTGGGCTTGAGCAATATAGGGCGATTGACGAGCACTAGAATGTACTTTTTTCTATAGAATTTGGCCTACAATTGAGTATTTTGACGATTCTTGTGGTGGGCGGTGATGGTGGTGGGCGATTGCAAAGGGGGGCGATTGCATAAGTGGGTCGCCCTGTCTAGGGCGAGCTTGGTGACTCGGCAGCATATTGCCAAGTGGCCAAGAACCACGGGATACAACACCCTTTCTCCAAATCCAGTTAACAGCTCGCAATCTTTGAACAAAAGCCAAGAGGTATCTTGGGGGCAAGGAATGCAATTGGCTGCCACCCACCATTCACTTCACCCCAGCCGCTACGCCAGGCTGTTGGAGATGCGGTCGACCTCGGCGGTTGTGGCCGCCGCATCGCTTTCATGCTTGGGTGGGTCAAGGTGGATGCCGTTGATCCCCATGTTTGTCTCGGCTATTATATAGCGTGTTTGTTTTTGAGAATAGTGTGCTTCTTCTATTCTTTTACGGATTCCCTCGGTATCTTTTTCATCCTTGATCTGCTGCCGTAGCACCTTGTGCATTTCTAGTTCGAATTGGCTTAGTTTCTCGAACCCATATTCGGGTGCTTTGTTCTCCTATTGCTGAGGCCATGTCCTTAGTTGGGGTGGTGTTTTCTCAACGCCCGTGAGGCTCGAAAACTCCGTCATTTTGATCGAGGCGTGCAGTTTGGTCATGTCTTTCTCCCATAACTCCACACGCGCGGTACTACCACCAAGCCTAAAGAATTTAGTGAACGAGTCTACTAGGCTCTTGGCGGGCAAAAAGCGATGTAGAGAACAGGCCATGTCGACCAGGCAGTCGAAATTGACGTGCAGTCCGGCATCAGTCACCTTCGACACCATCCAGATCAAGGTGACAGATGGCATGGTGTCGCCGACATATTAGGCCGGTCCTCCGCCGGCCGACGAATGATAGCCGGGGAATATAGTCTGGGTAATGCGGTTGGGGCGTCATGGTCTGGCTCTCCGTGGTATGTGACACATTTGAAGCTGATGCGATGCTCATCATATGCAACGCCGTGGGCTACCGATTTGATGGCAAGATGATGGGGGTGCTTTTGTGTCACGCGCATTCACAGGGCAACGGAAATGAAGCATTTAATGCAGGGAGGTAAGGCTTGAATTGTCTGAAAAGGTCTAATCTCTTGTTTCCTTTGGCAGGTCCCAAAGTCTCTTTTTATAGTTATGAATAGTGGCAAAAGCTGGTGGCGAAGAATCACATAGCAGCTTCTAGATCTTTCTTGCTCACTAATCCCAATATTGTGACATTTTGTCTACCTGTTCGGCAACCTCAAACTTGGTCCGCTCTTTCTGAATCTCCTCCAGTATCCGGTGTATAATAGCGGTCATATGCGGGTGGCCCTTCTTTAATTGCTGTAAGTACTTGAAAACCCATGTCAATGGGGCTCCATGTGCAGATGCCGTATCCCAAATGCCCATCATTGGTATGGTAACCTTTTTGAGGTTGACCAGATAGTCCGGGACATGTCCAAGCTGCTTCTTTTCAAAAGCTTGCCTCAGCGCGTCCTGCAGGCTTGGGCCCCTGTCCTTACTTCCTGGACCCTGGCCCTTACTTAAACTGTTATCACCCCACCCAGTCCAGGTGTCAAAGAGGAGTTCGATGATCAAGTCCAGATTATCTTTATCTCTATCTCCACCTTGCCGTATGTACGTAACCGTATTGAATCGACAAAAAGCGGAGCTGCGGATAATTGACGTTCGCGATCGCGCACATGATTGGAGAACTTGGATTCTGGCACCACATTAATGGGGCCAATTGCGTGGACAGTACGTATTCTGTAACGAGCTATTACCTGGTTGTTATCATTACCTCTAAGGGATTCGACAGAGATCTGGGGCATTTAGACCACTTCAGTGATACGCACCTGCCTCACTCAAATACGCCGCACGACCGTCGCGACAAGGTGCGAGGCTCGCCGCGCCGTGTCGTGCCGTGTTCCTTCCCCGCATGTCCGTTCAAATGCCCCCGTTCACCCGAATCCAATCTAAAAAATGACAGTCGGATGTCATTCCACGCAAAAGATTTGGATTTCCAGGGCTGCATTGTCTGCCCGTCAGCAAACAGTTGCACACCGGGACGTTATTTCTCTTTAGAACCTACCAGGTTCTCTCCTCCCTCCTGTCGGAGCAACCGACATTCAAACCTGTTTCAATTGTGTCCAAACAAGCTTTCTCATGTTGGTTCCAACCTCTGCATGTGCCGCACGCGCTGACAAGCAAGATGCGTGCACTGCACAAGACCAACCCCCATCCCATCCCATCCACCTTATCTCTCATCTGACTGCTAATTGCCTACCGCCACGGACATGTCGCTTCGCACCCTCAAATACGCCGGAGTCGCCGTCGGGGCCGCGCTAGGGCTCTACCTCTCCTTCGTGGCGCTCCTCACGGTTCCTTCGTTGCAGGACCAGGTGATATACCTCCATAGCGTATCGTTGACCTGGTTCCGCGACCTCAATGCGCCCGAGCAGTTCGGCTTCCTGCCCAACCAGGTCACCCTTTTTACCCTCGACACCGCTGACGGCGAGCGCCTGCACGCCTGGCACGTCCTGCCGCCAGGCCTTTACCACGAGCACGAGGCTCAGCTATGCGCCGAGCCCGCCGGCGTCGTCAACGGCAGCGCGATCGCCCGGCGCCTGGCCTTTCGTCTGCTCCGCAACGACCCAGACTCGCTGCTAGTGCTCTACCTGCATGGCGCCGGCGGCACGCTGGGCTCGGGGTGGCGCCCGGCGTCGTACCGCGCCATGTCGGCCGCGTCGCCGCGTCACATCCACACGCTCGCCATCGACTACCGCGGCTTCGGCGCCAGCACCGGCCGCCCCTCCGAGGCCGGGCTGCTGGCCGACGCGCTGGCCCTAGCGCGCTTCGCTATGCACGCCGCCGGCATCCCGCCCGACCGCATCGTCGTCTTTGGCCACTCGCTCGGCACGGCTGTGGCGACGGCGCTCGCCCACCGCCTTGCGCACGCCGCGCCCAGTGCAATTAGCAACGACAAGGTCGAAGGACTGGATGACGAATCCCCCGTCTTCCTCGCCGGCATGGTCCTCGTCGCGCCATTCACCAGCGTCGAGCAGCTGACCGCGACGTACCGGTTGGCGGGCGTGGTGCCGCTGCTGGGGCCCGTGGCGTATTATTTCCCACGCGCCATGGCGTTTCTGCACGCGTGCATCCGCGACAAGTGGCCGAGCGCGGACCGGCTGGCGGAGTTTATACGCGCCGCCAAGGCCCAGCATCTCATTGAGTCTGTGTCTGCATCTGGCGAACAAAAACGACAACCAGAAATCAGATCGAGCAGCCGCCCACGGTACCACGTCACCATGATCCACGCGCAGGACGACTACGACATCCCGTGGACGCACGCGGCGGCCATGTTCCGGCACGCCGCCAACGCGATGAGCGATGATATGGCGCCAGGCGAGCTCGACGAGTTCCGGTCCGGCGACGTGGTGGAGTGGCGCGCGCCGGCGGGGGTGCTGCGCGCGGTGGCCCCGCGCTTCGGCCTGCACGACCGTATCATGGCGTATCCCGTCGTCAGCCTGGCCGTGCTGCGGGCATTTGAGAGCGCGGACCATGGTGGTTGAACATTAATTACCAAACGATTGTTCTCATTCCTTTTGGGTCCTGAACTAATTGGCTGGCAAGGAACGTTGTTGCGGTCGTTGCGAGGTTCCTCGACGTTTCTTTCCTGTCCCTATGACCCCCATCGTGCTGTAATTACATCCATGAATGGCTTTGGGGGAATCTTTATGGCAAGGCGGACGGGAACCGGTAGGGTGATGAGGTGAGCTTACTTTGCTTTACATTACTTGGGTAGGTGTGACGTCAAAGCCCCGAGAAAGCACAGGCCAGTAGCTAGTGAATGAGCGTGTACATGTGTAGATGACGTGCATGTATGTTGCATTAGAGTTATTACGGCGGTCGATAAATGTGACCAGATCTGGATCTGACTTCGGACTCGGGCAGCCCTTGAACCTCGTACGTAGATACATGCTATATACTCTTGAATTGGACAATAATACCGACCCAACTTACCGGAGTAGGTCCGTCTTCCAAACCCTCCTGTTTCATAAACCAATCGCTTCAAGGCGCCGCTCTATTCCGGTGTCCGGCCATGAAATGCATCGCGGCACGGATCCCTGCAGCCTGGAACCCCTTGCCCGCCTTGGCCTTGAGAGGACCCGGAACAGCGACTCCCGGCGCAGGCTCTTCGTGCCAGTCCCCGCCTTCCCTGAAGTCGTGCCGGCGAACCCCTTGCCGGCCGTGGCGCTGGGTGGCCACCTCATCGTCGAGCACCGACACGTTGTCCTCGTCGTCGCGAAACACGCGGTGGCGGGCCACCGGGCGCCGCGCGGGTCTTCTGTCTCGCGGCGGGGCGAGTCTGGCGCCGCCGCGGGCTGCTGAGGGCGGGAGCGGCGGTGTCGCGTTGACGACGCGGGCGCTGTAGCCATCAAACGGCGGGGGGTTGGGCCCGTTCGGGTCAAACCCCCCCGCTGTTCCCGGGTACATTCCGTTTGGATGGTGGTGGGTGGGGGGATAATCACCTCCCCCTATTCCTAGATTTCCTGGCAGGCCCCCTCCGAGACCCCCGTCGGGGTACTCCCTATGAAGACCTGATATCGCTGGCAGGCCCGCTCCGACCCCCCCAGCGGGGTACTCCCTAGGGAAAGCTGGTATCCCTGGCGGGCCCGCTCCGATCCCCCCAGCGGGGTACTCCCTAGGGAGAGCTGGTATTCCTGGCGGGCCTGCTCCGATCCCCCCAGCGGGGTACTCCCTAGGGAGAGCTGGTATCCCTGGCGGGCCTGCTCCGAAACTCCCGGCGGGGTACTCCCTAGGGAGGGCCGGAATGGCCGTAGAAGGTCCGGTCTGCGGGTATGGGGACATGGTGAAAGGGAGATACCGTGTTGTTTGTTCTTGGAATCCGCCGTAGGCTGGTGGAAGTGGCGGGCCTGCCGTGTTATTGTCGGGCGGCTCGGCGTCGACGATGTTTATTCCCGGGATTCTCGCGCCGTTCTGGTTAGGTGGCTGTGCAGTCGCTGCTGCCGGTGGTCCGACATAGGCCCCGGCTTCATGTCGACTTGGTCGCCTGCTAGGCACCAGCCCTGGCCAGTGTTGCTGTCGCGGGGACCGGGGGCTGTCAGTCAGCTTGAGAGACGATCCCCGGCTGTCGATAGGTTCTCTTCGGGATTGTGGGTTCTGTGTTGCTGTGTGTTGTCGAGGTGTTCCCCGGGAAGACCGAGGCGTGCTGGGTAGGTCTTGCGACAAATCTTGGCTTCCAATCGACTCGCTTCGAGGTTTTTGATGGGCCGTAATCTTGTATTGTCGAGGTGTTGCTCGGGGAGAGGCCGAGTGGCTGGATGCTGGTTTGCTGCTTGGTCTGACCACGGGCTTGCTTGTTGGCTTGGTTGCCGGAGATCCGATCGTCTGAGGCGGAGACTGCGCGTCTTGGCCTTGCCCCTCTGAAGCTTCTCTATTTGTTCCCTCGTCAACTGTGGGCTTGTTGTATCTGCTGTCTGTGCCTGACGGTTCAGTCTCTGGCACTTTCCCTCCTGGTAATTCTGACTCTTTTGTGTTACCACTCGACGCTGGCTCCTTTGAAGGTTCCCCGTCTGTTGGTTTTGTTTTCGATGGACCTGGAGCGGGTGGTTCTCCAGACACTTCTGGGCGGGACTTGTCCGCCCCTGGTTCGGCCTTGGGAATCTTTCGCGACGACCCCTCTGGTTGTCCATCCTGTGGCTTGGCTGGTTTTGTCTGCCACAAATCCTCCTCCTTGTCCTGATGCTTCGGCGTTTGTTGAACCGACTGCTGCTCGCCATCCTGTTGCTGGGTTGGCGGTTGCGACGGTTGCGGCGACTGCTCCTTGCCTCCCGACTTGCCGCCTTCATCTGGCTTCCCTGCAGATTCTCCGGTTTGTAGACGCTGTGCTGGTTGTTTTTGCGGTCGTTGTTGCGGCCGCGGCGGTGGTGCCGAGCTCAGACTACTCGGCGGGCTCCTCGACGGGCTCCTCGACCGCTCGGCATCGGACCGACTTGATGGGGGCGACGGCGGGGCTGGAAACTGGGTTCGTATGCCTGTTTGTTGGGGGAACACTGGGGGCGGCGGGGGGCGGATTACTGGATCCTCTCCCCCTAGTGGGACGCTGTCCCAGTAGTTGTTCGCAATTGACGGCGGCCGGCGATAGGGGCTTTCGCCCGACCCGTCCGAGTCACGTTTGCGGCGAGAGTTCCGGTGCCGCGGTCGCCGGCTCCAGCCATTTCGTCGGACCGACCGGAAGCAGCAGCACAGCAGTATGCAGATGAAGCCGCCAACCCCTACGAGAACTCCGACAATGATCTCGACCTGCGCGCGTGTGATGCCGACTCCGTCCGAGCTGGGCGCTGGAGTTGCGGGGAAGCCCGCAGCTAAGGTAGCGGTAGCAACCTGGGTTGTTGAGGAGCGTACGATGGTTTGGATGACAGTATACTCTGGCGACGGAGAAGGCCCTTGGCGGGCATGAACCGTCGCGTCTGCCGGTGAGCCACCGAGCACGACCATGGGCCGCTCATCGGCTTGCGGCTCGGCAAGCCCAAGGAACACTGGCGGCGTCGCAGGAAAACAATGGTCGAGGGGAGCCTCGGCCAGGTCGGGGAGGGATTGCGTCTCTTTTCACCGGGAATTCTCGACCCCTGATCCATCTCTCCGTCCGTCTTCCGTCTTTCGCCTCAAAGTCTCGAGCCAGTGCGAATTATTTTGGCTACTACAGTGACGGGCAGCCAATCAGTGGGGAGTCATGCAGTTGCCTTTCGATAGTCTCTGCTGCAATTGTTCTGCAGGATGGTGGCACAGGGTCGGCTAAGCGGCCTTGGGAGCATTGGGGCTGGCGCGGGCGCAGCTCGTCCCTTCTTTCGTCTGACTGCATCATGCAGTTGTGATCACGTACCCACACCACCCTCGGTCGTGCCCGCACTCCATTCATTGCGTCTCGCAAGGCTGTGGGAGTGGGTGCCGGTCGAATTTGTATGGCTGTATGCCCGTGTCTTCTTGCTTTGTTCGCTTGCGATGCTCCAACGAGCAACACCGCACCCTGGGTTGCTGTGAACAACATTAGCAGGAAAGCTTCGGCAACCACAATGTCCAGGTTCAGCAAGACGTACTTCGCCATCCCCACCACCATTTACCAGCCGGACGACTTGATCCAGTTGGGACAGGTGATAAAGGACCCGACCCTCCCGTTTGAGCGCTTGGCGCCTCCGCCCAAGCTCGAAGGCGCACTCAAGCCCAGGATATCCTCGCTCAAGGAGTGTGTCGTCACGAGCCAGAAGACCAGGGCCGTGTCGGTCGGGCTTGTGGCCCATGCCCTAGAATTCATCAACAGCGAGCTATCCGCCGAGAAGTCGTCCGCTGAGACCCTCACATGGGAAGCTGCCGAAATCGAGACCCAATTCTTCGAGCCGACCGCCGACGATAGCTTCATTGCACACCTGTGCGCGAACAAGGCCGTGCGACAAGGCCTCAAGAGATTTGGCTTCGGGCAGTCGGCCTACGTCATCACGGGCCTCAAGATCGCCCTCAACCCAGGCCCTGTCAGCTGCCGCGTGGACAACGGAGCCGGCGTGTCAGCGCAGTTGGCAGCTGTTGTTGACCCCATAGGCGCCGTCCAGGCCGGGTTCCAGGCAAGTTCGACTCGAGCAGCCGGCGTGGCGGTTGAGGGCAAGGCCACTCATAGCTACGTGTTTGCGTACCAGCTTCGCAAAATCAACGTCAATCCCGTGACCGGTAAAGCTGCTATTGGCGCACAGAAGAAGGGAGGTGACTTGTACGGGATTGAAGATGACGCCGGCTCCGGTAGTGACCTGGATTCGGATGAAGACCTTGACAGCTCGGGCGATGATGGAGACGAGGAAGCGGCGAGTACGGCATCTCTGGACCTCGCCAAGGGCATCTCGCTTGACAGTGAAGACTATGGAGCTAAATTACCGGGGGCAGTGTTTGTGAGGGACGAGGTTGACGTCGGTGACGAGGACAAATATTATCTTGTCAGCGCAAAGTAATGGATATTCGAGATTCCGGGCTGGAAAAATAGCTCGTTTGACTGGCATGGGCTTTGATGTGATGGAATTGGTTTTCTATAGGTTTATACTTCCAATTTTGGGTTTGTCTGTCAATATCTGCCACGCTCGCAAGGACCTCATTTGCCACCGTAACTATGATCGGTAGTCTCCGTTGATGGCTTCGGTTAGACGGAGTGTGAAAAAAAAGTCGTACGTGAATCCGTAGTTATTCATCATCTCCCCAAGCCTGCCAACCTTGTTATTCCTGCTGTCAGTTCTAAAGTAGAAGATGCTCCCCGTGTCATGGCGCGGCGGATGCAGATAGAGAATGGGACTGTTGCCACCAGACTTGTTGCTCATGCTTGTTAGAATATGCCGCACCGAGTTGATGGTTTTGAGTTTGTCGGCCGTGCTCAGAAGTCTCAGGTCTATTTGGTCCCTGTGCGTATTGTAGAACTGATAAACTATAGCCACCATGGCCGCCGCTATCGGGGTCGCAAATGAGGTCCCGCTCATGACGGTCGATGTGTTGCATTGGGATGAACAAGAATGCTCGGCTTGAGCCTCGGCTTGGGCACTCTTGGTCTTTCGAGCCGTCTTACACTTGAGCTGTACCTCGTCTCCAGCATTCTTGGCAAGATGCCCTGGCCAGATGGACTCGATGTCGCGGCCCAGGGTATGGAAACTATTGATGCTGTCCCATGGCGTTCCCGTCGTCTCGTCTGCCCTTGCAAAAGCCGTGCAGCTATAGACCTTGAAGACACCGTCTTGCATGGCTGGAAATGGCGGTATTTTGCTGTTACCAGAGTTTCCGGTTGCAGCGAGAACGATGACATCGTGATAAATAGCTTCCTTGAGCTTCCGCGTCACAAACGCAGACTTTTCGCACCCAAAGGAGATTGATATTATTTCAGATTTCCATTCCTTGACTGCGTATTCGATTGCCTGTTGTGAAGCAGTGAAGCAGCGTTAACATGTCATTGTCGGTAGCCGCAAAAACAAAACACGATTCATAGAAAGCTGCGCCACGAACCTTGCCGACTCTGTATGAGAGATGCTCTGGATCGTCGTTCTGGATCGAACTGCGCGTTTTCCCAATCCTAGCAACCGACAGCTCAAGCCCCGGGACCAGGTTGAGGAGCAGCCCTGCAATGAAGGTGCCGTGGCCATCCTCGTCCACGGGAACATCCAGCCCGGGGTCTGTCGGTTCGCCTTGTTCATCATCGCCAGGCTTCCTTTCCGAAAAGTCGCGGAAGCGAGAAGGTCTGTCGGCGGGCTGTCCTCCTTTGGCGCTCCATTGCCAGAGTTTGCTGATTTTCGGGTGGTCGGCGCTAATCCCTGTATCTATAACAGCGACACGAGCTCTGAGAGGGTAAGACGCGTTCGTGTTTGCCAGCGTCTTACTCGAGAATTCCTTCATTGTTTCAATCCACTGGGTACTGAGTCTTCATGGGGCACCAAATGTCAGCCATACCCCATGATGTGAAGGTGAGGTATTCAATTGCTTACTTGCTAGACTTGGCATGGTTCGCGTCAAAAAGCGTCCCAGACACTTTACCGCTCGTATAGGTCGCAAGCTCGTCATCGTCCTCTTCTCCGTCGCTGAAGACTTCGGTGAATCCAGTTTCCCCTTTCCCGTCAGCAAACCCGAAGTGCAACAGATGGTGTGGTAGACTTACTTCGAGCAAGGGAGTCAACAATTGAGTCAAGCAGCTCTGGCTGCACGTTGTTCTCGCCCTGAGCTTTTTGCTCACGTTCAATCGGGCCCGTGCCCTCGGTGCTTCCGCTTCGGTGGTTTTCGTTAGATGGTAGGGCGTTTTCCTTTAGCTGGCCGTCATTTGTGGCTTGGGCTTCTTTCAGCAGCCGAGTTTCTTCAGCGAGCCGCTCTTCTTCTTCTTCACGTTTAGCTTCCTTTTCCCTTCGCTGAGCTTCGTCTCGGGAACGCCGCCTCTCCTCGGCCAGCCTTGATTCTTCAGCCTTCCTGGCTTCCTCCGCTAGCCGAATTTCTTCGGCAACCCGGATCTCTTGAGCCAGCCGCTCTTGTTCTTGACGTTCGGCATTCTCAAGCCTCTGAACTTCTTCGGCCATGCGAGCTTCTTTAGCTAGCCGATCTTCTTGAGCTAGTCGCTCCTTTTCTTGACCCTCGGCGTATAATCTGAGTTGAACTTTGTGCTCAACCTCTCGAGCTTCTTGGGCGAGGCGGGCGGCTTCAGCATGCCGCTCTTCTTCCTTCCACCGAGTTTTTTCCATTTCCTGTGTTTGATCTCTGGGTTGGGCTTCTGCCAACTGCGTTTCGCCCTTGACCTTTTTGGAGCTTTCGTCTTGGGTCAGCCCATGATCTTCGTCAATCAACTCTTCCTTTTCGTGCTGAGAGAAAGATTCATCCACGAGCCGAGTTTCATCATTGTATTGGGGTCTCCCAACCGGCTGAGTCTTATCCTCTCCCTTGAAATCTTCAGGGAGGCAAGCTTTTTCAGCTAGATGTTTTTCATCCTTGACCTTGGTACCTGCTAGCTCGTCTTTCTCGGGGAGCGGGTCTTCTGGTTTTTGCTGTGCCTCTTCTTCTTCTTTGGGTAGGTATTCTTCGGGTTTACTGTCTCCAGGCATCCCCACTTCTTCCTTAGGTTGAGCCATGCAGTCATCATCCGCGCTTGGGGTTTCTTCGATTCGCTGCCCTGCTTCCTTTGGCGGGGCTTGTGCGGTGACGAGAGCGTCCGACTGATGCGGATTATCCTCCACGTGCTTTACTTCTGTCACGTCTGACATCTCCTCGCCAGTATCAATCAATTCAGTCCGGTTCTGGCTCTGCGCGATTGCCTTTCGCTGCTGATAGAACTTCCTCCATCGAGACAGGACGCGAATAACGGTCAAAGCGGTCAACCACATCTGCTTCGCTTTTTGTTGGCGCATGTACACGTACATCTCGAGCTGCAAGCTCTCGTCCCAGTACTCGAGATCCGCCAAGGTGCGTTGGAGGGCAACTTTGAGTCTATCATCGGTAATGTCATGGAGGCTCAGGGGGTTCCGGATCTCGTTCATCCCCGCATGGACTTCTCGAGCACGGCCCCAGGCCTTCAAGTCAACAGCTAGCAACTGGACTGTTCTAATCTTGACTTGGAGGAGCAGTGTTGTCAACATGGGTCCGGCTTCCTTGACGCTCGTGGCAAGAAGGGCTGCGGTCCTTTGAAGGGTGCCAACATGGCCCCATGAGGCGGCGCCGGTGGGATCGACAATTTTGTCTTGGGCGTGGTTTTCTGTGCAGTTTATAATGTTCATAACCAAGATGTCGCAAAGTTTGATGTCATTCTCGAGAGATTCGGGGTCTTCATAACTCTCCTCTTGGTTGATGTTCTGCATGACCAGTGACAAAGCCCTCACCCTGGTGCTCTGCGGGTCCCGCCGTGTCACGGCAACTTTCCTGAGCATCCGAGACAATGTTCTTCGACAATGCAGCAGGTCATCGAAAAGACGGTTCTTTTCCAGACCACTGAGCGTCTGGGTGTATTGCTCTTCGGCCTTGTCAAACTCTTCGCAGTCGGTGTAGGCAGCTGCGAGCTCCTGCTTGGCGTAGAGAATCTCAATGTCATCTTCCTGTGCTCCTTGCTCCAGGGCGAGCATAATGGCAGCGAGCAGATCCTGTGCCACGGCTTTGATTTCGCTGTTCAGGATGAGTAGTAGCCTCTCTCTTTCAGCATCCACCCCACTTTGCACAGCCTGCTGGGCCTTTGCCATTTCGTAATCTTCTTCGAACCGCAGTGCGGCATCATCCAACCTTTGGCCGCCCAACTCCCGCGCATTCTCCAAGCCAACCTCCCATTGTTGCGGATCAGCAGTATACTCGGCCGGCGTTGCATCTGGACTTCGATATCCAAGGGGTGGCGGTGGCGATGGCAATGGGGGTGACAAGGGTAGTGAGACCGACTGGTTGTCCATGGTTGAAAGCTGAGAATGAGTTGAGAGTAATAGGTGGCTACTGGTAGCCACTGTGCGGCAGTAAAGACAACATCAACGTGCAAATGGAATGATTTAGCACTAGAGGGACAATACAGAGCAGAATGCTGACACTCCGGCCTGTGTGCGACGGCTCTCACGGATGGATTGGAATTGAATCGCATGGTGATCGAGCAGATCGTCGGGTGGACGGCGTGTCGTGTGTCGATTGCCGACTGTCGCTGGACTCGCTTGGGCTTGGTAGGAATCCCGGCGCCCCCCCGAAGACTGCTGTGAATGGCCGCAGCGGTACAATCTAACCCCTGAATCTTTGTTAGCACGGTACTCGAGCCGAAAAGATGGTATATTTAGCCCAACAAATAAACGAAACGGCCAAGTGTTTCAGAGAAGGAATAGGCCTTTAAGATTCTAAAATAGAAAATTTAATACCCAGCTTTTACCTCCCTCGGTGAAATGCCTTTCGGGCGGGCTGCAAGGTATTGAGGCCTTTCAAATCTTGGAAAGTCCCCGGCTAGCAAACATTCAGGGATTGCAGTGTACCGTACAGGAGCCGTGGGCGGCAAGAGCTGCCATGTACGATTGCAAATCCATTTTCTGCAGCTCATCACCTGCACGCAGGCGACCGGGGTGTAAGCCTTATCCACAATGGAACGCATGCACCGTACGATTGGTCCAAATCCGCTGCTCCGTTCGAGGTTCTCATGTCCACTGTGCGATACTTGTGGAAGCTACGACGCGAAGGACGGAAAGGCGGTGGGCTGCGGCTCGACACCCCACCATCTGGCTGCCATCACCCCGCTCTTCCTGCCTTCAGAGCCTCGTCTCGCTGTCTCGGAAAAGAATGTTGTTCAAAGTGCATGTACGATTCAGAAAGAGAAGGTCGCAGCCGGAAGACACCATGTGGAAGTGTCCAAACCAGTATCCAAATATCTCCCCGTTTCCATAGTGACGCTAAAGAAACGGGACGAAACCAACCCACCAAGAGAGCTCCTGCTCCATCACCTAACAGGTGTGGTGGAGCCCAGGGTGGCTGGATGTGAGAAAGTTGCTGATATCGTGCATTTCCGGCTGCAGCTAGACCACCCCCGGCAGAGACGAGGGAAAAAATAACAAAAGACAAAGTTTCCATCAAGGCCATCCCGTCCCCGGCCCGCCAAGCTAGCAGAACTCATCCAGTCAAGCCCACCGTTTCCAAAAGAAGCCCTTCTGCGGTGGCGACCACGTCAGCGGCGGCCCCTCTGCGGCCTGCCCGTTCAGCGACAAGCCCATCATCATCTCGTGATTCTCCTCGTCGCCTCCCCCTTCCATCGCAACCCGGCCCCCGACGCGGTCGCGCTCGACCCCGCCACAGAACGTTCGCACACCCCGCGCCAGCCACGAGAACAGCACCCCGTCCTCGACCTCGGCCCCGGCCCCGGGAGGAGGCACCAGTTCGCCAGCCTCGCGCGCCGTGCGCTCGAGCGTGTCTGCCGCGCGGCGCAGCACGTCGGCCAGGTCGACCGTTGAGCGCACGTCCCAGGTTTGCGCCTGCTGGTCGTCATCATCGCTGGAATCGGCGACCGGGGCGGGAATGGTGGCCTTGTCGAGACGGTGCAGCGCCGCAAAGCAGTGCGCCAGCTGCGTCCACTGCACCAAAGTGAGATGTGGGATTGTGGTGGCCGGTAGGGAGAGCAGAGCTGTGGTGCAGCGCTCGATGGCCTGCGCTGAATTCCATGCGCGCGCGAGGCCGTTGTCGTCATCGCCAGATTGCTGCTGCTGCGAGGACGGCGAGAGCAGGATGCTTAGTTCCGTGTGGTGCGTGTGCGCGATGAGGATGGCTTCTGTGTGGTTTTGGTATGTCAGGTTGCGGCTAGAGTTGACTGGAAAGGGAGGGCATGTCGTCTTACCTTGCTCTTGGCCCAGGCCTGGAGGAAGGCACGCTCGCAGGCCCTGAGTCTGCTGGAGCAGCACGTTGACATCGTTGCCAAGCTCGGCGTGAAGCCGGCCGGCCTTGGCGGCGAGCAGCTGCAGGTGCACCTGCAGGACCAGCACGGCGTCCTCTCGGGACTCATTGCCGGCGGCTATGGCGGCCAGAGCCTCTTCCAACGAATCCGTCCACGGCAGAGCCCTGGGCTGGCCGTAGTAGGACGCCACGGCCGAGCTCAGGACAAAACACGACAGCACGGCGCGCCGGCGTTCCGATGCAACCTGTGGCGTGACGTGCGCGGCTGGCGGGTTCTGAAACCCAGCGGCGAGGTACCGCAGCGCGTGCATGTCGCGCGGCCCCGGCTCGTCGGCTAGGTGCAGCTCGCCTGCCAGCGACGCGGCCACGGCCATCAGCCGGGACACAGCGGGATCGTGATCCCAGCCCCAGGCGATGTACGTCAGCAACCCGAGCAGCAGGTCCATCTTCTGGTCCACAATGTCGGGGCGGGTCTCGGGGCGCTGCAGGAAGGCGACCTCGCAGAACATTGATTTCAGCTCAGTGGCGCGCGTCCGCCTCTCGAGCGTCGTAGGCGCTGTCACGCAGGCGATGGCGCGGAGCAGCAGCGGCCGCTCGGACCGCACAATGAGTTGCGAGGCTAAATCGACAGACATGTGGATGAAGGGAAGCTGGGGCAGAAATCCCGACCGGAACAGGTCGACAAGGGCGTAGTCCGTGTGGACTTGTAACGCTTCATTACTAACCATGCCCGTGGCTGAAGCGACCTGGTTCATGATGGGGTCGAGGCTGAAGTAGAACGGAGCTGATGTCTTCTGGGTCTCAGGTCGAACTGTGTCGGCGTCACTATCGTCGTCGTCGTCGGCAGCGTCGTGTTCCTGGCCGTGGTCGTAGCCACAGTCAGAGCTAGTCTCGGACTCGTTGTCGGTGTTGTTATCATCGTCTTTGTTGCGCCCGCCGAAGCCGACGTGGAGGGCGCCGAGGATATCGCCATAAATACATGTCTTCGGCCGTGGTCGTGATTGTTGTCGTGGCCGCGGGGATGCGGATGGCTGCTGTCGTGCAGACTGCGGCAGCCTGGCTGGGGTAAGCGCCGATAGAGGTCCGGGCTGAGCCTGGGGCTGGAGCTGAGTCTGGGCTTCAGATTGAGTCAGAGTCGCAGTCTGACCCCGTGACTCAAGCAGTGAAACCAGACTGGAGAGCCTGTCCTCAAGCTCGGTAATTCGGGCGTTCGAGTTTGTGCTACCCGCGTGGTTGTGAGTGGTGCGGCGGCGATGGCCATCGGATGGGTGACACTGCTTCTTGAGGCGGTGGCACCGCTCACAGTCGTTGCCGTCGGCGCGGGGGATACATTTGCACTTGGTCTTGACACAGTTCAGACACGCCTTGCCATAGGGGGCTGAGTCTCGGGCCTTTCTTTTGTCCATCTTTGTCAGACTGGAATCTGGATAGTCACCGCCAAGGACGTTCGCATCCCAGCTCGGCTTCGAAGCGTCGACAATTAATCATCTGAGGCCCTCCATGTCATGCCGCCGTCTTTCCGCTCGGACTGGCGTGGCGCTTTTGGTCGTTGGGGACAAGCGAGTGCAATCGCGCCACCAATGTCGGTTGGCGCTGCCTGCTCTGCGGCGTCATGTCAGCATAAACGGGATTCATCGGGATTCCCCAGTTGGACCAGCAGCGCCAGGATGCCAAGCATCTTGTGGGGGCCGAGGGCGGGCCTGTTCCCCCGTCCCCGGCCAGGGACCGGAATCTTGAAATCCGGTCCTGGCCAAAAAATCAGTCTGCTTCATCCCACGTGGTAGTGTACAAAGGAGGAACTAAAGCCCGGCCAAATACGAGCCGCAGTCTAGCGCACTCCCTGATTATCAACCCAGACAGCAGGGACAAAGCGATGCGGATATAATTAATGGCGAGAAATAAAATAAAAGACACAAGCACCGCAACCATGCCTTACCATTCAGACTGTCCAGACTCGACATGCCCATTCCCATCCCATCCGAACGACAAGCCAAAATAGCACAGCATCGCCATGTCGGTGTCAGCCCCCAGTACCACGTCCAACTCGGCCCCCGACAACTTCGGGCCTGCAGAACCTCGTGCCAATGGCGATCAAGACAAAAATATCGACGACAAGGAAAAGACGGCAAAGACGGCGCAGAGCCAGAGCCAGAGCGACCAACAAGCTGCCCAGGCCAGCCCGAATGAGCACCAGTATCCAACGGGGCTGACGCTATTTGCCGTCCTGGTGCCCATGGCGCTGGCGTTTTTCCTCGTCTTCCTCGACCTAGCCATCGTGTCAACGGCAACGCCGTCCATCACGTCCACCTTCAACTCGCTGGTCGACGTCGGGTGGTATGGTGGCGCCTACCAGCTTGGCGGCTCGGCCCTACAGCCCCTGACGGGCAAGATCTATACCTACTTCTCGACCAAGTGGACCTTTCTGGCCTTTTTCTTTCTTTTTATGCTCGGCTCGCTGCTTTGCGGCGCCGCCCAGTCGTCGGCCATGTTCATCGTCGGCCGCGCCGTCGCCGGCATGGGCTCTTCGGGCCTCAACACGGGCGCCTTCACCATCGTGGCTGCCACCCTGCCTCCCCACATCCAGCCCCGGGTCATGGGCCTCACTGTCGGCCTCGGCCAGCTGGGCCTGGCCCTAGGACCTATTATCGGCGGCTTGTTTACTGAATACGTGTCGTGGCGGTGGTGTGAGTCTGGCCTTGCTACCTCGTTCTAATGAGTGAATTACAAGTGATCAACGAAGCTGACAATACTCGTAACTACAGGCTTCTACATCAACCTCCCCGTCGGTGCGCCCGTCGCTGTGCTTCTCTTCTTCTTCCGCGTGCCCGAGCAGACGCCGAAACAACCCGTGCGCACGGTGCTGGGCACGGCCATCAAGGCGCTCGATCTGGTCGGCTTCGCGCTAGTCAGCCCGGCGGCCATCATGTTCCTGCTGGCGCTAATGTACGGCGGTAACCAGCACGCGTGGGACAGCTCCGTGGTAATCGGGCTGTTAGTAGGCGCGGCCACCACGCTGGCCGTCTTCCTCGTGTGGGAGCACCGCCGCGGCGACGACGCCATGGTGCCCTTCGCGATGCTTCGCCACCGCGTCATCTGGTCCGCCGCCGGCAACATGTTCTTCGTGCTGGCCAGTATGCTGGTCGCCGATTTCTATCTTGCCATCTTCTTCCAGGCAGTCAGCGGCGACTCGCCCGTCATGAGCGGCGTCCATCTGCTGCCCACTACCCTCGGTATGGTCGTGTTTACCATGACGTCGGGTGCCTTGAGTGCGTAGCTATAATTTCCCAGATCTTGTCAGAGGAATACCTACTAATTTATACCGCTACCACTGCGCAGTCGAAGCGCTGGGCTACTATCTCCCGTGGGTGCTTGCCGGGAGCTGCATCTCCGCCGTTGGCTACGGGCTGCTGTCGACTCTGGAAACAACGACGCCTGCCGCGCGATGGATTGGATACCAACTGTTTTACGGAGTCGGCGGCGGGTCCATGGCGGCAGCGGTAAGCCTGTCCCAATGCACTGCTTTTCTTATCATTGTGCATCAACTAACGACAGGGTATGGTGCAGGCGTACACGGCAGTGCAGAACCTCGTACCGGCCCAACAGATCCCGACGGCGATGGCAATCGTGCTGTTCTGCCAGAGCATGGGCGGCGCCGTGTCGCTGGTCGCGGCCAACGCCATCTTCAGCAACAGCCTGCGGCAGCAGCTGCAGCAGCGCGCCGGCGCCATCGGCCTCGACCCGGAGGTCATCATCAACGCCGGCGCCAGCGCCGTGCGCCTGCTCGTGTCGGACGACGCCCTCGACGCCGTGCTGCAGGCCTACGCCAAGAGCGTCGACCACGTCATGTACCTGGGCGTCGCCGTCAGCGTCGCCGCTTTCGCCTTTGCCTGGGGTCTCGGCTGGGAGGACATCCGCGTCGTGCGCAGGCGCAATGCCATCCGCGCGTCCAATGCCGAGATGGACGGACCGGGACGGTGAGGCGGCCGACAGATGGCGACCTCTGCCCGGCTGGGGATTTGTATGCCTGTGTAGTCTAACAGTAGTGATGGGATTTGTATTAATTATGCATGGGCATGGAGCGGTTGGCCTGGCTAAGTGATTAAAATTAAAATCTCAACTTCCATTCATAGACATAGTGCTGTTTAATTTTAGTAACTACTAGATAGTCTAATTTCACCAAGTTAGCCTCTAAGTGATCTTGCGAGAGGGGGCAGGGGCTGAACGTAAGTGGGTATGAACGGGGTTCTTTTCTTTCCATTACTCTGCGAGCGACCTCTATTGTTAGATATACTACAGAAGAGAACTAGCTTCTACATATCACTAAATATGCGCTGGGGTGAATATAATTAAATAATTATCGCGGTATTGTAGTAAAAAGTCATTTGCCGCTTCCTGCCAATCTTCCTTGTACTCTAGGGTAAGGATTTGTTAGGCAGGACAGGCTTTGTCCCGGCCCATGGCGTCTGTTATTTTAGTGCAATAGCCTTGTAGCCACTGGTAATCTTGCCGCGTCATTGTATCCACCTTAACGCCATTCCCTGCCAGATAACGGTACGTTCTCTTGTTGCTCAATTAAACAAAAGGGCTGCGCAGCCGAGCGGGGTCGCAGAGATACAGAGTTACCGTGAATAAAAACGGCAGACCGGCCAGCCTTCCAAGGTAATCAGCATCCAGTGCATATTCGCTAATTTTACACAAGCACCTCGTAAAAAAGACGCAAAAAAGACGGAAAAGGTAGTAGAGCAGAGACGGATATCACATGGATCAATCATCCCTCATTCAAGTCGCTCAAACGCTTGTGACAGCAAGAAAACAGGACCTTGATGCAAAACAACAGCTTGAAAGAAATGAAGCAAAACAAGCGCTTGAATATAGGCAAGAGTATAAAGAGTTTTTAAAAGAAATGGCCCGTGTTACTATCGGGCCTCCTAAGCACGAGATTCTACGTATCCACATCTGGACTTTTGAGCGGCGTCGCAAGGAACTTGCAACGTACCGTCAAAGCCAGATTCACAAGACATCGTGGAATCACGGCGGCTACTATTTCGGTACCTAGGAGCCCGAGGTGGTGGATGTCACCGGAATTCCTAAAACCCCCGACGTATGGGGCCAGGGCATGTATGACTTCTCCCGTTATGGCGAAGGCGCCCCCCACGTGAGCCTTTCGTTAATGACACACTGGATGGGCTAAGAGGCTTCGGTCACATCTGGGAATAGAACAAACGACTGGGTTGAACTCCAGAAGTTTACCACGTTCCAGGCACCCCAAGACCCTGTTCTTACATGGAGCGGTATGGCGTCACGTGCATGGTCTCGACCCAGGTTTAGGGGTAGACCCTCAAATCCCTTCTCGAACGCACAATTGGAGTCGATGACGCCGGACGGCTCGAGGACCCGGCGCTTGATTCGCTCCAGGCCGCGGAGGTGACGCGAATTTGCACCAAACTCTGCCCAGGTGGTGACGGCCATTCGAGATGTCAAGGCGCTGGGGCAACAAGGTCTGCGGTGTGGACTGGAGCCAGGTGCCAGACCTCAATTTTCTCGAAGCAACCCATCCTAATTACTAGCCCAAGGGCGACATCGTCCAGAACTGCAAAGATGCCGGGCTCAGCTGCGATATAACACGTTTCAGCCCTAGAGATATTAGCCCCGGCAATATCGTAGTCGACCAAGACGGAAATTTTGTCAGGTTCGCAGGCTTGTATGTAGCCGGCTTCTTTCCCGGGGCTAGATCCAGGTGGGGCTCATCGATCCGGCCGCCAGGGAGGAGGCGGATATTTTTGTTCGCAGAGATGCCTCTTTGAGAGGCAAGCATTTCGTCCCCAGACGCGGCCAGGATTCCGCATTGCTTACGTACCGGCGTCTCATGTCGGAACTGCTAGCAGCCGTGAGATTTCCGAAGTAGGACTCGCATGGGCTTCAGTGGCTGCGGCGCCGCACCAAAGAACTCGGGAAAATGTCGTGGAAAGAGATAAACGCCAGGGTGAGAGAGGCAGACAAGAGCTCGTAGAAGGAGCTGGTAGCCGAGACCGATTCCGATTCATGGTGGTATCAGCACAAGGCTGATGATTAGGCCGGGGGTTAATTATCAATCGATGACCCCACGCGAGCGCACTAATTACTCGGTGTTGCAAACCCCATGCTACGCGGCTGTCCGATCTGAGTAGGTGGGAGGACGCTACCGAGTTGAATGGCATTACTGATAGGATGGAATGGAGATATATGTAACTGAATAACGATTGTGTCTAATTGATGATTGTACAGGTTGGGGATGGTGGAAAATGCTGCATTCTGTTGACTGTGAATTTCATCGCCAGTCCGCAGGGGCGGGTGTCAGGGTGTGCCGGTGGAAGCTCACTATAATTCGTTGAAAAATGGGGGATGTGTTTGTGGTTTGATCTGTGAGCTACCATTCCCCCCATATATCCATCCCTCCGCGCCCTAGGCTAGACATGCAACGTGCCATCCGCGTCAGCATTTGAGGCCGAGACTATCTCATGGAAACGAGGTAAAGCAAGGCGCCCCTTTCCCGCACCTCCATCTACCGAAGAAGAATAAGGATGCCTTACCACTCTGCGTTACGTGGGCGGAGGCATTGTGGAATTACTACTCCACCTCCACCCGCAAATATCTAGGTATCTCGGGACACCCCTCTACCTCGACTCCCTCGACTACCCTCTGCCTGAACTACGCTAGCATTTTCTCGGAGCAGAACGGAGCAGTGCACCTGCTCGCGGTTTAAAGCGACTTGACACCGAAGCCTACCCTACCCGACACTCCGCTAACCCCAAGTCTAGGCCCGGAGCTACGCGCCTTTCCGCACCAGGACTCCCCGAAAATGGCCTGGGTTCGATAGCTGAGACGGGCCGACTCCGCTGCCGAAGCCAAACTCGAAGCTCCAGAGGCAACCGCGAGGTCGGCGCAGGCGACTGCCGCGTATGCATATCTGCACTAGACGGAGGTACATGGCAAGTCCATGAAATCCGCTCAGGCAACCTCATTCATGGCGCACCCAAGAATCAACCCTCTACACTTTCATCTCCACTCCCGGGTGGTCACCTATTGCTGTGTTGGAAAGATACTGGGTGTGGTATCGTTATGTTGGTCATATTGTGGATTCCGATCGATATGTTTGGCTCAGTCTAAATAGCAGGCCTGAAGCAAAAATTAACCTTCTGTATGTTATCCAACGTGGCTCGCAGGGCCGAAAGTTCACCTCTCCACAAGGGTATCTGACCGACTGAGCTCTTTCAGCGTATCATCAACAGTACCAATTCCTTGGGCCTCCTCTTACGCTTTCAAACGCCTCTCTACCTCTCTATCGACTTTGACAGCTCTATTTTATTCCTACTCTGACTCCCAGACTGCCAAACCCATCGCGATCCATCCCAGTAGCGATACTGCTGCTGCGAGCCATCCCATACCTAAGTAAAAGACCTCTCGCCAGAGCTGCTGGCTGTCTTGGAAGAACCCCCACTATGATGGCCCGACCGGCTGCTGGAGTGGTGACGGTGGCCTGGTCGTCTGTGGGTGCCAGCTTTTAATTCTTTATCTTCTAGTTCTTCATCCAATTCTTCATCTTTCAATCCTTCATCTTCCAATTCTTCATCCAATTCCTCATCTTTCAATCCTTCATCTTCTAATTCTAAACTTCTAGGAAGTCACGTCCTAAGTGATCCAGAAATTTGTCGATCCATGCAGGCATTTCATCGAGGGGCCGGTCATATAGATGGGCGTGACCCCTTTCCCTGCGCTCGTTGATAGTTTGAGTGGCAATACGAACTAGGCTGTCATTCCCTTGGGGAGTTTCGAGGGGGCATAGACCCAAATCGATAATCAATTCAACGATTCCATACCGAGTCGAGCCTATAGTGAGCTCTTGCTCGCCATCTTCATCGGTAAAGACTGAGGTTGCTGACTGGTGCCATTAGATTTGAAAGCCTAGACGAAGGTAGGAACAAAGGAAGGGAGACGAGTTCGAATACGTGAGAAAGACGAGAAGAGAAACGAGGGTAAGGAACGTATAAAAGCAATAGCACCCGGAATTCAGATGGACCGTGTTTGGGCTGCAATCTGCAGCCCAGGCGCTAACCACCCGCGCTGGCCACCAGTTCTCGAAATGCTTGGACAAAACAACACACGCGACAAGGCTGAGGAGTTGTTTTTCGAATGCAGTCTGGCCTTGCCCGCCATTTCCGTAACCGCGACATACGGGACTTGATTGGCTATCTTGGAACAGCAATCGAGATGCTCCAGGCAGAAACTGCCAGCGCGAGCCACCAACAACCATCAACCACCCAATTCCCAGGGTACATGCGGCTCCGCGACACACATATCGGCACGTCATGTCTGCTGTATGCAGGAGACTGCAGCCTAGCATTGAGAATATACTGCCTCGTGTTCGCCAGCGCAGCAAATTCTGAGACCGCCAAATCTCCGAGCCAATGCCGCCGCCAATCGGCGGCAAGCGCATCTAACGTGGCCCAGCAGGCAGAAGTCTCACCAATCATGAGGCTCTGCTCGGCATCCGGTCAGAGCAGGTAGGTCTTAATGAGTTCACACAACCAAACCTTCGCACACGCTCAGAAGTCATCTCACAATCATGGCAGAAGAAAAGGGAGCTGTTGATCTGAGGAAGCCGGATGATGTCGACGAGCTCAGCAAGCTGTCGATTGAGAACTTGGACGACAAACACCGTGCTCTCTTCATCCGCGCAGTGTCCAACGTACTCGATAGAGATCACAGAGCTCACCTATCCCAGATTGTTGATATCTTGACTGAAGATTCTGTTAGCTAACCAGCCCTTTTAGTCCAGCGCCATCTTTTTTCACTCCGACCGATATAATGTGACCTACTGTATCTACCAACTGCTCGCTAGCCAGAAGCAGCAACTCCTAGATTTTCTCCTGTCCAACCCGGCATCGACGTCCTGTCCGTTACCTATTCTGGGCGATAAGAACAAGGTGCGCTGCATTGACCCAGAGGAGCCAATCGGTAGTACCGGTATCTATCGCGACCCATGGGAGCGGAAGCCGCTCCCTTTGGATGCTCCAGACATGCAGAAAAAAGATTTACGTGTCGCCCTAGATTACCCGACCTAGGATGATTTTATGGAGGCACAGGATCGGGCCTGGTGGGGAAGAGCGAAGTATGAGCGTAGCTATGAAGAGTAATCAATCGAGTTTGCTGCTAAGATGCTGACTAGTGGATATCTCCTTTCTCTCGATTATTTCCTCCATATTTTGATGGCCCACGGCAAAGCTGAACCTGTGAGCGCCTTAACTGTCAGCGAAGGCAGTGCGAGAACGATGGAGTCCTGCCAAGTAACACTGCATTCTCCACCGCCATGAGCGGCATAGAAACGCAGCTCTACATCTGGAGCCAAATCCTGGCAGCTAGCAAGCCTTGACGGTGCCGACGGCGGCATACTCGGCACACTCGGCGGTCCCATACTCGGCGCACTTGGCGGTCACATACTCAGCAGCCCCAGCAGCCCAGTTCCAGGCAAGCTGATCTCACTTATGAGCTTCTAGAGCGTCCTCTGCAGACCAATAGCGATTCAGGGGCTGCCGCCTGGTCACGACTGATAGCATTAAAGGTGCATGGTAAACTGCGCAAGTGCACTCCGTACCTTTGTCGTACACCCTATGTCCCGATTGCGTCGGACTCTCTTCGCCGTTAGCTTGTGCTGGATGGACTCAAACTTACAGCAAGTCTCACCGGATAAAGGCCGGGCCTAAGCCGTAGGTGCTTTTGGGGAAGGGCTCATAGTTCGATCCAGCGCAAAGAGCGGGTCTCCAGGGTCGAGCCGCATGAAAGCGGCCCCCACAACGGAATAGATGCAGGTTGATTGGACGTCACGGCTCAGAAGGATTCACTGCAGCGCGAACATGTTCAGCGGATAGGAGGCTAGAGGCCGAGACGCCGGCTCCGCAGTGAACGCCCCGTTGAAGTACCGCCCTAAGTAGGAGGCTGGGGTCGCTCTCAACCTTAAATCATCCCCTCCCACGGCGTGAGGTGCTGTACACGCGCCATAGCTCCCTGGCACGGTAAATCGAACCCTTGACACCTCACAAAGTGGGGTGGGGCGGTGTCGCCCCAGTCCACCCCGTTTGCGTGCCGTGATCTGTTGGCATGGTCGTGAATCGCAAAGTCTAGCGAATCATTGGCAATGTCAAACTTCACTGGGGACGATCCATCGGTCACAGCAAATGAAGGTCAGAAGCGTCGAGTCCGTGACTGGTAGGCTACACTGCCCTGCACCGTTCACGACCTGCTGCCTAAAGCCGGACTCTTGCGGCACCGAGACCAGACCCGAAAAACATCTTCTGCGAACGCCTCTGCAGGCCTTTCTGTCGGCTAGCCTACGCGCTAGTGGAATTTAGTTCCTCACTATGACGGTGGATTTTCTAGGGCGCAGTCATACTGCTCTCTGTAGACCCTCCAAACCGCGAAGCTGCTGGACGCCGCTGCAGACAAGGGTGCAGGCCAGTCATCAACAGGTTTCGTGGAAGCGGACGATTGTTAACTTATCAAGTACAGGGCTTCCGCAGAGCCATCGAGAGCAATCTTCAGTGAACGAGGGCCTCACCAAAGACGCGGCGCCCGTACCGACGGCGAAGAGGCAACTCGACGCGACACTCGAGAGCGATCCGTTGCCGGCGAAGAGTGCCCGATTAACGCGAACGGACGCACAACAGCCTAGAGTCGAGAAAGCAGAACAGGCGGACAAGGTATGCAGACGAATCTACAACAGCCAGAGCCTAGGCCGCCCAAGCGGCCATACGCCTCGTTCCTCAAGGACTTCGTCGACCCAGTCCATCCGCATCCCCGTCCCGAGTCTCTCCAAACCTTTGTGTCCGAGTGGCTCCAGTCTATTAGATCAGACCAAGAGAAACGCTGCCGGTCGGATAGGCATCTTTACCATTCGGACGACGACCCCGTTTCGAGGCAGCTCACGAGATCGGCGCCGGAGATGGGTTACACACGGGATGCCGACGGGTTTACGGTGCCGCCCACGCCGGATTCTACAGGGTCGCGGCACCGTCGACCCAGTACAGACAATAACTACAGTCGGTTCTCTGCCGCCGGCGCATCTGGTACTTCTAGTCCATCTTCTGGTGTTCGACATCGAATGTACCGCCAGAACAACTTGGCACTCAACAATATTTACATTCAACCGTCTGCTGCCCCGTTGCCAGACGTTGTATCCAGCCACATGGATACAGTACGCGCCAAGCGGGACTCCCCGGGGCTGTCATCCGATGAAATGAACCAGGTCGTGGGCCACCTGGACCTTCTTGCAGAGGGATGCGACGAGGACGACGTGGTGACCTTCCTTAACGATACAATATTTCCTAACAGCAAACTGACCCGGCCTATGGACCTGCCGTGGGTTTGATGAGCAGCTCCAGCGCTCTCATGTCGCAGCATCTCGTCCCCTCCAATCCTGTTAGTCCGTACAGAGTTACTCAACCCGAACCAGACAGGTTGTATGGGTACTCGGGGAACCCTAATGCGGCGTTTACACAGCCACAATTACTGGCTCAAGCTACACTCCATCCAAAAATCCCACACCATTCGGCGGCAACGTCACAGGGCCTTCGGTTTCCCTTCTTCGCCATCGAATTCAAAGCCGCCGGAGGTACGCGAGGTGACCTCTGGGTTGCCACAAATCAGTGTGCGGGCGCTTCAGCAGCCTGCCTCAACGCTGTCGAGCAGTTGAACACCTCACTTCGAGAGTACAGCGCACAGAGTGTCGACAACTTGGCCTATTGCATTGCTATAGATAATAATGTTGCCCAGCTGTATATCTCGTGGAAGGAAGGTAATTTGAACTATTATCTCCAGCGGGTTGATGCTTTCCTGTTGTCAAGCCCAGAGCATTTTAAGAACTTTCGCAATCATGTGCGAAACATTCTTGATTGGGGAAAGGATGGGCGTCTGACGCGGATTGGGGACGCCTTAGATATCATCCTTGAGGAAAAAAGGAAGAGCGCTTCCGAGACGGCGAAGTCTCGCCCACCACCGTTTGATGGTTCCGTGGCCAGCGACAAGCAGAAATCCTCGTCGCGCAGAAACAGCAGCAGATCCGGCAATTCACAGGCCCAAACACGTGCTGCAGACGGGCCTTGCCGGGGATTGGATGAGACGACCTCACAAGACGTCCGTAGCGCCCAAACTTCCCACCCTCAGAGCTTCGTCGACGCTGACGACAACACATCCTAAGACGCTAGCGAGCACGGTCGCCGGTCGAGCTCCCATCGCCACAAAAGCCATGGCCAAGCAAGGCCATCCTACGCGCCGACACCTCCACGATTGTCTGGGGAGCGTCGTAAGTCGACTCGCTCTTCGCCATGCCTAGATGATTCCGCAAGCAGCATCGTCCAGGAACACAGCAAGTCGTCTCATGGAACCACAGCAGACTATTTGGAGTGGGATGCCAGACAACGCAAGTATTCGCCCCCCCTCTCCTGTGCTTTCGTTCCCTCGCCCTAACAAGGGGATCCTACGTCCCCAAGGCCCGGTTTCCCGGCGTATCTCCCAGGCCTCGATCCCGGTTCGAGGGTACGGCCCGTGCACATGTGCGCTAAAAGTAGCCAGGTGTTCCGTCAAAGTTTGCTGCTTCGGGAACTCGTTCCCTTCAATCTATGTGTGCGCCAATACCCACAACGCTCGCGCCTTTCCTAGACCGCTACCAACGACAAGGCGGCTAAAGGGGGCTCGCGGTCGATACGCAATTTGAAAAACCAAAGAACGGCTTTGCGGCCGTGGTCCCGGCTTCAGGAAATATCGTATCTGGGGCTAGGTTTCTGAGATATACTAGGTGCAGCTCGGAGCCTGGATTCCAAATTGACCAGGTTATCTTATTCAGAGAACGGAAACATCTAACTAATGTATCGAAGAATCAATACGCGTGCCCCTTGGTACGATTGGGCGCGCTCCGTTGGCTCCCCCCCGGCCTACCGCGCTGCACCTCACGATTGGAGGATAAGTTAGGTGGGGGAGTAAGCGAACGCCACTGATCCAGAACATTGTAGATAAGCGAGGAACACAACCAACCCTCTTATATAAAAAGCCCATAACTCAACCAATTCTTTTCCAATTCTCTTCATCTTCAATTCGTTTTATTCTTCTCTTGACAATGGTTTCATATACAGAAGAAGACCTTCGCAAGGCTTGCGAGGAAGCCGTCAGAACACATCGATTACGCAAAGTCGCGCGAAAATGGAACGTTCCACCCTCCACCCTTTATGGCCGTCTACATGGCTCCCTACCTCGAAATGTTGCTCATCAAGATGAGCAAAGGCTTACACAGACCCAAGAGGATCGTTTAGTCGAATGGATTCTTCTTCAACAAGATTTAGGATTGCCCCCTACACATGCACAGATCAGGGAGCTTGCACGCCGTATTCTAGCTGAAAGGGGGGACTCCTTACCACTTGGAAAGGGGTGGTGCCGTGCCTTTCTTAACCGCAATCGAATTTTGAAGACTCAGAGGGCCAAGAGAGTCGATTCGGTCTGCGTCAACTGCGCTACAGAGTCAACAATTCGACCTTGGTTCAACCATTTCCAAACACCAGCTATCAAGGCGATTAAGCCAGAGAATCGCTGGAACAAGGACGAATCTGGTATTATGGAAGGCAGAGGAACCAACGGCCTTGTCATTGGAAGCCGTGCCTTTAAGGCGCTTCAAAAAAAACAGCCTGGAACCCGCACTTGGACCACTTTTGTCGAATGCATCTCAGCAGCTGGCCGTTGCCTTCCTCCTTTGGTCATTTTTAAGGGGAAAAGCGTTCAACAACAATGGTTTCCTTTGGATATGAAGCCATTTCAGGATTGGTTCTTTACAGCAACTGAGAAAGGATGGACTACCGATGAGACAAGCCTCAAATGGTTAAAAAATGTGTTCATTTCTCTCACCAAGCCAGCAAACTCCTCTGAGAAACGACTCCTTATTATTGATGGCCATGGCAGCCATACAACTGCCGATTATATGTGGGAGGCATTCACAAACAATATTCACATTATTTATCTGCCTCCCCATACTTCCCATGTCCTCCAACCCCTAGATTTGGCCATATTTGGCCCCCTAAAACGACTTTATCGCAGACGGCTTGAGGACCTTCTTGCTAACGCCTTTGACGACTCTTCTGTAGCCGGAAAACGTGCGTTTCTGGAATGCTACCAGATTTCACGCACAGAGGCAATTACTAAGAGTAATGCTAAGTCAGGATGGAAGGCATCAGGCCTTTGGCCCTTGAATGTCAACAAACCGCTAAGAAGCCCACTCTTCCTCAAGAATTCTAATACTTCACGCCCCTTAAGAACTACTATAGTTACCCCAGAGGTTCGCACACTCCGTATGCCAATCCTGGAGGATTATGGAGACGATCGGGTGCAGTGGAGGACTCCTAGAAAGGCACGTGATTACGTTGAGCAGGCAAAGAAGTTCGCACGCATCATCAAAGCAATGCCAGCGGATAAGCTCTTCCTCAGAAAGATTGGTAAGGCTTTGGATAAACAGGCCTTTGAACTGGCTATTAGGAAGCGAAAGATTGAAGGTCTAGAACACACTCTCGAATCAATAAGAGCCAGAAAGAAGAAGAAGGTTGAAGAAGATCCAAATACCACCTTTGCGAATATTCAGACTATTCGTGAGGCCCAGAGAGCTGTAGGGCGTGCAGCAGAGGTTTTAGAAGATGCGGAAGAAGCGGATGATTCAGAGGATATCAAAGATTGTATTGAAGTTTTGTAAATAAAAAGATCACCCTTTCTTTTGTTGGAGGGTTAGTTGGGACTCCTGCTTATACAGAATGTTCTAAATCAGTAGTGTTCGCTTACCCCCCCACCTAACTTACTGTCTGATGTTGCGCGAGAGGGAGAAGCTCCCAATAGGAGGAGCTATAGTTAGATAGATATACGAAGTGTCCGCGTAGTCACGTGAATTCATGTGTGCAAGTGCCCGGACTGGGTATGGGATGGTCTCGTGGGCAGTGGGCAGTGGGCAGATTTGAGCAAGGATACTGTTGGAACAACGCGCATTCCAGCCACACAGGTGGCGGTGGAGGCGCAGGGGTCCCAAATTCTATATAAGTGGCCTACGGCCACCTCTTTCTTCTAGCCGCAGACATCTAACAACCATCACTTGAACCACCAGTTTTCGGCGTGCAGTTACGCCCTGTTGTTTCCAGTACCGGTACCTGGTGATTCCAACAGATATTATTAACTAGCAGGCTTCTCTACCCAGAAGTATCATATGTAGCTAGATCTCCAGCAGTTCAACTTATTGCAATAATTAGTTCCATCGTCACTTAGCCAGCTAGTCACTCAGTTGCTCAGTTACTCTCAAGTCGCTCACGTTTCAAATCGCCTAGTTAGTGCCTACGGCACCTCGCTTGTAGTTATACTAACAACAGTGACACCCTTGCTCTGAGCGGTTTTGGAAGGTCAACTTCCAGGCACGACTTGAAACCTTTCAGAAAGGCGACGATAAATTTCCAGGAGAATAAGTATACGTATGAAGAAACAACTATCGATATACACCGAGCGAAGCCGTCAGCGAGGTCTAAAGAAACAATTCAAGGACCTGGATATCGATTGGAAGCAAGAGGAAGGGGATGAAGGAAGGTGGAAGGGCAGCTGGGCCCCAAGGCATCTTTGGGCAGAGTTTGACAGGGGAGTTTAATAGCCGATTCTGCTCTTGTTAGGCATTGCTCCATAGATACCTCCTAGTTACAGGTGCATTCCGCAAAGCCACACTAGCACTCTCACGAGAACTAACGAAAAACACGTCTCGAAGCTGATCTCGGCGGATGTGATTGACAAAACAGGAGACCACAGTAGCATAGCCGACCTTAACTACTTTCTTGCCATTCTTGCCATTCTCCTCTGGCTACCAAAATCCTGGATCCGGGCGCATTTCTGCTAGTAGCGAGCGTCTGAGCTGTGCCGCAGCGTTGTGCGTGCTCAGCGTACTGTGCGTGTACAGTAGACTTCGAGAAGTACATATGCTCCGCCAAAAATGTACTTCTCGGTGTTTTGGGTGCCGAAATTGGTAGGTCTGGACTGCCAAAAACAGCACCCCAAACAGCGACACAGATACTCTAGGTAGAATATTAATCTCTTGCTCGGACGGCTGTGCTGGTCGGTTGAGTGTCTCGGCGACTGACTGTTTTTGTGCAGGCCTTATCATCTTATTACATATTTGACACTTCGAGTCTGCCTTCTTTAGAAAAAATTTAACGTATCTCTTTATTTGCGTATGCTTGCACGGTTTGCAGGTGTTGGCTTTGTTGTTATTAGGATCTGGATTCGAGGTTTTGCTGAGGTCAAGACGAGGACAAAAGGCCTGTGGGCGAACTTGATGATGACCCATATATCAACCCCAGAAGCCCACTGGCCCCCGATTTCAGTTTTCGTGATTGGGTTTCATTTGTTTCAGGAGATGCAGTTGACTGACTGGCCGTCGCACTAAATTGGCATTGCGCTGCAGGAGAACGAACGTCATAAAACACGTGGGTGTAAGATGCAGGGGACGCACTATTCGTTAAGGCTACAAAAACACCGTAATTGCAGAGGCAAACTCCTCCCTCTTGATCAGGGCGTTTTGTAGCCTTGACGAGCACTTGAAGTAAAACTGGCTAGCAAGTTTTCTTTGTGACACTTTTTTTTCGCTTTGTTCTTCCTTGACAGATTAGCGACAGGGAAAGAGCGGAGAACAGCAGCTAACCATTCAGTGTAATAATTGCAAACAAGCTAACCCACTGTAATCATCCACCAAGCCAGCCAGAATTTTAGAAAAAGCACAAAAAAGTAGACGAGAAATGCACCCTGCATGTAATTATCACAAAGAACAAGACCTGTAAGAAAGAAACAGGCATCAAGTGACACCGAAGACAGGAAACAATCGAAATTGCGAGCAACTGGTATCCACACCAGCATGTCCAACGCCCATGCCAGCTTGGCCCGGTAATCCAGGACACAAACCTAAGATGCTATGTAATAGCAACCAGCAAGCAGCCCCTGGACGAAAGAAACCATGGAACATGCCCCAGCGCGAAAAGAGAAGCAATGCAAGAATCGGAAGGAAAAGGAAAAAAAAAGAACAGAAATGCAAGCACGAATAGATAATATAGTTCGGTCAATACATGCTTTGAAGACTTACAAAGTTCGCGCGTCCCCTCCACTCCGCCGCACCAACGCTAGCGCCAGCCTCAGGACTTGTAGTTGATCTGTTTCTTTACTTCACGGCCGGCGTTGCTCCTGGTTGGAGCGGCGGCGGCCTGGGGGGCGGCCTTGGGAGCGGCCTTAGTGGCGGTCTTGGTGGCAGCGGCGGTCTTGGGACTCTTTTTGAGCCTACCCCTGGGCTTTGGCTGGTTTTTGGGATTGTCCTTGGGGTCGTCAGGATTCCCGCCGTCTTTGTCGTCCTCGTCGGGAGCGGGATCGTCTTCGCGTTTTCTCTTGTTGCCTGTCTTGGACTTGGATTTTGTCTTTGATGATGCTTTTAACGCCTCTTCTACTTCTCGTACGGCGTCTTCTTTTTCTGTTGCTTCTTTTCTCGCCTCTCTGACGGTAATGGCTGCTTCGCTCTCCTTTGGGAGATCGCTGGGTGTGTCCTCCATTTGCCATTCCTCAGGCCTGGGCCCCAGGTTGATTTTGTCGAAACCACTCCGCTTGAGGCCCCAGATATAGTGCAGCGAGGTCGTGAGCTGCCTGATCATTTTAACCGGGTCTCCGTGGCCGCGCTTGTCCTGCCAGCGCGGAATCCTGTCCCAGCCCAGCACACCCATCTCGAGGAAGGCGATCATGTTGGCAATGACGTGGAGCCCGCAGCTGACTTCATCATGCTGTGGCCAGACGGCGATGACCCTGTGGTGCCTGTCATTATTTGCAGGAATGCCCGAATCCTCCAGCAACTTGTCCAACATCATCTTTGCAACATCGCCGCGCTGAGGCCTCCCCTCCGAAATCGAGTCTAGATAGAACGTGTCCCCTGTGTTTCTTTGCCGAATTATAAGTGCGTAGTGCGCCAACTCGACTCCCTTTTTTTTATGCTTGCTATTGACTCCGCAATAGAAGTGGACAATGTGGAGGGTAAATAGCGCGTCGTTGAATCTCTTTTCGAGACTGAAAAGGGGGCCCAGAGTGCTTTCTTCAATATTTGTGTTTAAGAGTGGCACCACCATATGGTCTCTGTGTTGAGGCTTGGGTACCTCGCCCGGCCAGGGCTGCTTGAGCATGTAGGCAATGGGCAGGATGAAGTAGTTCCCGGCGGCGCCGATTGGGAGGATTTTGGCGACTTTGTTGATGTTGAGTATCAGTCGGTTCGCAAACGTGAACAAGGCCTCGTCAACAAGCGTTTCGTGGCGTCGGCAGCCGCCGAGCCCGTTGTGCCCTTCCATAAGCAAACCGTGGCGCCATCGTTCTCGGTCTCCAACGTACTGCACGGTCGGGTCGGTGTCGAACTCGATTTCACCGTGCCAGACGCGAGCGTAGTTGAGCTCGACGAATGACTCGGCTTCAAAATTCCCAGTATCAAATTCTGTGTTAATCTTGCCGTCGTCCGCGTCGAATAGGTCCTCATATCTGACGTCGACAGCGTCGTGATTGGGCAGGAAGAAGTTTTGCAATGATTGCAAGCTTGGCCGGGCATTCCCGCCCCAAATGGCTGATCCGGTTCCACTACCGAAGTCAGCGGCGAGGCTCGGAGTCCATACATCCCGCCACGTGGGCTGCTTCTTTTTCTCGGCCATGTTTTTCTTTCTGGTAAATGCAGTAGAATAGGGGCTGGTTTACCAGATGCGCGATGTCGCGACATGCTTGGTAGTTTCTTGACTGGGTTAAATAACAGAGGCGCGTTATAAAGCCAGGAGTTTATCGTGACGGATCCGGAATCAGCCTGGGTGCTGGGCCTACTATTCTGTCATAGGTAAAGAAAGACAGGGCGCGCGGGCGACAAAGGGGGTTTTATTTCCATCTGGTATTAGCGTGCAGGTTGCCAGAAAATAGAGAAAGGGAGAATGGGACAGGGCGAGACGAAACGAAAAGAATAAGGGAGAACGAAGATACAAAAGAACAAGAAAAGAAGGAAGGCGGGGCGGGGGACAAAAGGGCGCCACTCAACGAATTTTGTGCACTCTTCAGACGGAAACCGTGTCAGCCCTAAACCGGCGGAGACGGGCTAGTCGCTCGAGTCATTACCTTAATTTCAGTATATGTTCAGTTACAGCTCACAAATTAGCCTTACAGTCTTGAGAATTTATAAGCACTAACGTTCATGATATGCGAGTTAGCCATGATAAGCGAGTTGGCCACCTTAACGAGATTTGGTGGGGCACAAGCAAAAAGATGTTAGTAAATTGTTAGTGATCTTATCAATTTCTTATCGCATTTGGCTGCGCACGCTACCCGGTCTCGTTAAGGTGGCTAACTTGCTTATCATGGCTAACTCGCTTATCAAATACGTTAACAAATTTCACCTTCAATTAATTACATCACAGTATAATTACATGGATGGCGACTTAATTAGACTCAGTGCGTTTTATATAACACAAACTCCATAGAAAAGTCTCTTAAAAATGAAGGTGATTGTAATTCTTCGATTTAGGTTTATGTTGGAACAACGCGCATTCCAGTCACATAGAGGTGGCTGTAGCAACGCATTCATCAGCCACACAGGTGGCGGTGGAGGCGTAGGGGTCCCGATTCCATATAAGTGGCCTACGGCCACCTCTTTCTTCTAGATAGACATAGACAACAATGACCATCACTTGAACCACCAGCTTTCGGCGTGCAGCACGCCCTGTTGTTTCCAGTACCGTTACCTGGTGATTCCAACAGTTTAGCTCTGTACCTTAATGTGTGAGATGAAAAAAAAAACGGGTGTGCTTCCATAACCAGGGATTCCTTCCATCCTTTTCGGATTCTCGAGAGATAAAGCCTGGCAGCGAAAGCCCAACTTTCAACACATCGGTAACCTTTGTTCTCGTTTAATTCCGAGTGATCGGATGGTGTCAGTGGTGTCTCTCAATGAGTCAATTGCGTGACGTTTCCGGAAGAAAGAGGAGTTTCTCGAACCTCCATCTCACGGTGAAAGGTCCTGAAGATGAGAATCTGATAAATACAGCCGCCTACCTTTAAGAACCTGGGGCCCGGTTGACGATCACCCTGTGCAAATTGGGTAACAACTTTGCGGATCCCATTATGTCACCGCCAGTGCGCTAATCGGAAAATGCGCACGTGCCAGTTGCCTGCAGCTGTAATAAGCGTGGGATGGCTTTCTTGGCGTGCCACGGCATGAATGGCGCGATCGACTGCCAATCTGATGAAAACGTCGGATGCACTAACAGTGCCACGCTTGGATGGCCACTAAAACTGTTAGTGCCATGCGGGGGGCGGTTGCCACGCGAAAAGTTATCCTTGCGACTTCCCTCAACCTAAACTCGATACACCAAGTAGCTCCTCCCAGAACCGACTAACGATGCCCGATATGGCTGCGCTCTTTCTCCAGTACCGCTGGAAAGTGTGGGTTGAGCTGCAGCAACTTGCAGATGGTGGGGACCCGAAAAGCTTTGCAGCGGTGTTGCCTGTCTGGTGCCTGCCTCGCACGAGATCCATAATAAAGCGTATGCGCTGCATTGCCTTGGACCCATACCCTCTACTACCTTAGTTCTTAAGAAATCCTTCCTTCCGTTTGTGCCTCCTAACGCATTCCAACCCAGCCTACCTAGAAGAGGGCTCACGGTTCCACCACAAGTCCACAACCGAGGTGCTGCTGCCTCCCTCGTCCTCGATCGCGAACCGACTGGTAGCCCACCCCGCTGCACTGCGGGCACCCCGCTAGCCGCCATGTCGTACCACAACCAAAACCACCCAGAACCGGGCCTGAGGAAGGATGACGAGCTGTCCGTGACAGGCAGGTATGTCGGCGCCGGCGAGAGCCGGGCGTATGCGACAGGGCCGGGGGCCGAGGAGACGGGCGACTTCCGCGCCATCGACCCGCACAGCGGCGTCAAGCGCGGCCTCAAGACTCGCCACTTGTCCATGATGGCTCTGGCCGGCATCATCGGGCCCGGCCTGCTCGTCGGGTCGGGCGGCGCGCTCAGCTCGGGCGGCCCCGCGTCGCTCATCATCGGCTTCGGCGTCATCGGCATCCTGGCCTTCTCCATCATGCAGAGTCTCGGCGAGCTCACGACGCTCTACCCCAGCGGCGGCGCCTTCACCGACCTCGGCGACCGCTTCGTCGACAAGGCCTTTGGCGTCGCCGTCGGCTGGAACTACTACATCATCTGGGTTGCCGTCCTGGCCAACGAGTACAACGTCACCTCCAGCGTTTTGGTCTTCTGGAGCGACAAGCTGCCCCTGTATGGCTACTTTTTGATCTTTTGGGTGAGTCCAAGATGTTCCTGATTGCGCCGGCAAACCCCGGGCAAATCTCTAGCTCGGCCCGTTTCTGACAGTTTTTGTGGCTAGTTTATATTCTTGGGCTTCCAACTCCTCGGAGTTGAGGCGTTTGGCGAAGCCGAGTTCTGGTTGGCGCTCCTGAAGCTCGTCGGCCTGATTGCCTACTTCCTCTTTAGCATCGTGTAAGAATTGCTGTCCAATTGACCTCGACATGTGTCCACCAGTCTTTCTAACGCTTTCACGCGCAGTTATGCTGCAGGCGGCGTCAAGGGTGCGCAGGCCATTGGCTTCAGCTACTGGAACGACCCCGGGGCCTTTGTTGACGGCTTCAAGGGTGTGGCATCCGTCTTTGTCTTTTGCAGCACCTTCTACGCCGGTTGTGAGTCCGTGGCCGTGGCCGCTACCGAGACCAAGAACCCCGGTGTGGCAGTGCCCAAGGCCATCCGCCAGGTCTTTGTCCGCATCATCGTCGTCTACATGGGCAGCGCCTTCTTTTTCGGCCTGACGTGCCCTGCCAACGCGACAGGCCTTGTGGGCGGGGCAAGCCGTGCGCTTCGCAGCCCTATGACGGTCGCCCTGCAAAATGCAGGCTGGGAGAATGGCGTGCATCTGATCAACGCCTTCATCTTTGTAACATGCCTGAGCGCTGTAAATAGCTCCATCTACATTGGCAGCCGCACGCTCTTGTTCATGGCCCAGTCCCGGAAGGCGCCCAAGTTCCTTGGTTGGACCGACCGACGCGGAGTACCCATCCCCGCTATCGTCCTGACCAACCTCTGCGGCGCCCTCAGCATGATGAACGTGAGCACCGGCGCTAGCAAGGCATACAGCTACATTGTCAACTTGAGCGGCGTCTCCACATTCCTCGTATGGGGATCCATCAGTTTCATCCACATTAGATTCCGAGCTAGCTGGAAGGCTCAAGGCCATAGCGCCGAGGAGCTACCCTTCAAGTCGTTGTGGTATCCCTGGAACGCATATTTTGGCCTGGGTGCCAACATCTTCCTGGCCCTCATTCAGGGGTGGTCGACCTTCGCCCCCTTCGTGGCCGGCGACTTTGTAGACGCCTATATCCTGCTTCCGCTTTTCCCGGTCATCTACTTTGGCTACAAACTGATAAACAAGACGAAGTTTTGGAAGGTGCAGGAGATGGACCTCCAGTCCGGCCGCCGAAGGGATCTCGAGGAGGCAAAGGAGGTTTCGGCGTCACAGGCTAACCTCCCGTGGTATGTCAAGGTTTGGCGTAGTATTTAGAAAGTTGATACCCCTTATTCTTGGTTTATCGTATTCGTGGTTTATCTAATGAGAGCAGCATTTGTATGACCATATGAGCCGTCCATGTCAGCTCACAGTTTCGCTAACGACCCATTGTTTTCGCGCATATTTGTCGCTTCGCTGCCGCTGCGCCTTTGCTTGGTCATCACCTATTATCGGCGGCCGATGTGACACCCGCATCTTATTCGGCGACACATAAAGCCCCCTGCCTGCGGGTGTTCGTTTTCGTAACGCGTGGCCTGAACGAGGTGCAACCTCGTGACCTGGGCCGACTGACGTGAGCGAGGACAATATGCCGCACTTGTATAGGTGAAGTTCTTCAGCCTGCGATAAGCGCTGTCCTGAAAGTCGAGCCGTCGAGGCCTTGTGGGGTTATACGGCGGATTTTATACACGGCCGTCTCCATGGCAATGAGTCTTGGTACTCGAAAAGGCCAATTGAGGCTATCGCCAAGACGCAATCGCGGTTAAGATGCGCCACGACGTAGGGAATGCGGGAGATTTTCCCAAGTCCAGCAATTGGTAAGTCGTTCGTCATGCACCTATATTGGCGATAAGCCTGCCGTTAACAGTCGTTTGTTTACGTCATGGCAGGCTCGGGAAGCCTCCGCGCCAATGATTTGGTAAGTCCCGGATCGTCCCGCCAGGCTCAATGCGAAAACGGCAGTCTGGGTTTTACCGAGATCTGCAGGGGCTTCCCAAGACTGCGGATACGAAGGACGACGGTCTAGAACCAGGGCCCATAATACAAGCCCTTCTATAGTTGTTGTTGTTCGGCAGACCCTACCACATCGGATCGAGCCGAGTGTTTGGTTGCCTGTGGTGTCACCAAACAAACAAATCTTTGTCGCCAGCGAGGTTGCTTCGTGCTTGCCAAAGCGCCGAAACTTGCAGTTGCCGCTGACCAAGAGTGACATTGGGGCCCAGACTCGGATATCCAGGGTCGTACCATTACCACAGCGGGTCGAATCGCGTCATAAGAATGGCATCTACAAGTAGGTAGGGTGTGCCACTGCCTGGTGATGGTGGGAGGCAATGAGAGTTTTCCCGCCACCACAGACTTGCAAAGACACGACAGAAAGACGAAGATACGCATCTACAAGCGGACACCCACCACATTTGCTCTTAGGTTACAGATGGGGTCGACCCTTCTTTTCGCTGCGATGCGCGCGGCTCTGTTGGCTCAAATTGTTCAAGGCTCTCTTCTCGACTTCGAGTCGGTGCAGCTCGAGAGCAAGCATGCTGCAGCCAACCCCGCCGTCCGCTTCGCCCAACGAGACGAGAGTGCTCTCGTCTTTGGCCAAAGCCCACCGCCCGAGACGGAGTGCAGAGCGTTCCCGGGGAGCGACGACTGGCCCAGTGACAGCGACTGGCGCAGTTTCAACCAGACGCTCGGCGGAGCCCTCCTCAAGCCCCTCCCGCCGGCGGCTGCTTGCTACGTTGGCCCCAACTACGATGCGGCTAAATGCAGATTTCTTGTCACGAATGCTACTAACAACCACTTTTACCTCGATGACCCCGTGACGGTGCTGACGCAGTGGCCACAGGGAAATACTTGTCCACCGGCCTTGAACGCCACCGGAACCTGCACCCAAGGCGGGTTCCCCGTTTATGTCGTGAACGCCACGTCCGTCAAGCACGTGCAGTTGGCCGTCAACTTTGCACGCAACAACAACATTCGGCTGATTATTAAGTACGTGACTACTAATGCTCCATTCACACCTTCACGCTAAACAGACACCTCATGCCCGCAGGAACACTGGACATGACTTTGGTGGACGGTCGGCCGGCGCCGGATCGCTGAGCATCTGGACGCACCACCTGAAGGAGTTCCAGTTCCTGCAGCGGTACACCAAGGGCAACTACTCGGGAATGGCGGCGCACTTTGGGTCTGGGCTCGAGACGTGGGAGCTCTTCAACTACATGTACCAGTACGGCAATCTCACCATCGCAGCCGCCGGCGTTCTCACAGTGGGAGGCAACGGCGGCTGGTTCGCCTCGGGCGGCCACGGTAATGTGGCGTCGTTCTACGGCCTCGGGGCTGACCAGGCCCTTGAGATTCACGTCGTGACTGCCGATGGGAGATTTCTGGTTGCGAGCGCCGAGGAAAATGAGGACCTGTTTTTCGCCCTGCGCGGCGGCGGTGGAAGTAAGTCAACGATGGCAAATTTCCCCACGCACTATTCTACTTCTCAATTCTCTTCTTTTTTTTCTAACAATTTTCTGAAGGCACCTACGGAGTCGTTACCTCGATTGTCGTCAAAGTTTACCCGCCCATCAACCTAGTTCGCACATCATTGAGCATCGCGTGCCGGCCTCCAGCTGATACAAACACTCGAGCGCTTTTTGCACCTGTCAACAGTGGAACCTTTTACGTCAACGACACGGCACTGTTTTGGAAAGCGCTTGGCGTGTACTTCCGCTTCAAGAGAACGATTGTTGATGGCAGAGGCACAGACTGGGAGTATCTATATCCGCTGACCGCCAGCCCAGTTCCGGCCAACGGCACCTTGGTTCCCGTCAACGGCACCATTCCTGGCAACGGCACCGTTCCTGGCAATAGCAGCAGTATCGGCACCCTCGGCTTTACCTACCGTGTCGGGATCACTTTTCCCAACCGCACGGTCGATCAAGTCGCCACGCTGCTCGCGCCCCTCTACGCGTCATTCGCCGCGGTGCCTGGTCTGGGCCACATCACGCTACGGCGGGCCGATATCCAGAGCACACCTTACTCCGGGCCGGCCAGCGTGACCAGCCTCACCGCGCTCCCCGCCTCACCGCTCTCAGCAACACGGTATCGCAGCCGGCTGTTCCCGCGGGCGAACTGGGCGACAGACCCGATCTTCGAGTCGACCATGGCTGCGATCCGCAGCGCCGTCGAGGACGGCCGATACATCTTCCACGGGCTCTCCATCGGGCCGACTGCCGCCATAGCGGGCTACCCCGGCCGGACCGCCGCGGTCAACCCAGCGTGGCGCGAGGCGGTGCTGCACGCCATCCTCATCACGTCGCAGCCGGCGGGGCTGACGGCGCAGGCAGCGCGCGACGAGGAGGCGCGCATCCAGGCGTACATGCGCGTGTGGCGTGCTGTCAGCCCTGGCGCCGGTGCGTACATGAACGAGGCCGACCCCGGAGAGCCCGACTGGCAGCAGGCCTTCTACGGCGCAAACTACCCGCGCCTGCTCGCCATCAAGCGCCGCCGCGACCCCTGGGGCGTCTTCTGGGCCCAGACCACCGTCGGTAGCGATGCCTGGGAGGTCAGGACCCTCGACGGCTACCCGCGCAGCCAGAACGGCCGGCTGTGTAGAGTCTCGCAGGTGGGCAAGACTACTCCTGCGGCTGGTGCTGCGGCTTGAGATGGCGAGCGGATCGGGTTTTTCTTTTTATTTCGGACAGTCGCTTTCGATTCTTGGAACGCAAGCACGCATAAAACGCACTGTCGCTCACTACTTGCAAGCACACATAAACGCACTCTCGCTCACTTGCACGCACGCACGCCCGCCATGATTGAAGCCGAAATGTTTGACGAGACACGATTGATGATGATTGAACATAGATATATACCTATCTACAATTCCAGTCGTTTCTGCCGCTGCAAAAATCAATGATGCTGCTCACCATCTTTTATCGTTTACTACTGCCTGCTTGCGATGTTTCGTTCACTTCTCCGATATGCACACTAGTCAGCCACTCACTTGTCATCCACACTGGTCATTCACAATCCCCTCACCGTCATATAACGTATTTGATAAGCGAGTTAGCCATGATAAGCAAGTTAGCCACCTTAACGAGACCGGGTAGCGTGCGCAGCCAAATGCGATAAGAAATTGATAAGATCACTAACAATTTACTAACATCTTTTTGCTTGTGCCCCACCAAATCTCGTTAAGGTGGCCAACTCGCTTATCATGGCTAACTCGCATATCATGAACGTTATCCCAAGACCTCAAATTGACAAAGTATAGACGAAAACTGTGACCCTGTTCGTTGAAATATCAAATCTTTATTTACTTTTCGAGCCCATTGAGGAGACAGCTCCCAGTCTCCCACAGCAATTATTCACACCACAATAGGGATAAAACTTCTAACAATCATCACCACGTGCGACAGTAAAGCGATACCCGCATTAACTGGGGGTGGCTGGATTTGAAACTCGCCGGCTAACCAATGGCGGGGAATAAATTGCCGCCAAGCAGTCAGGGTTCCCTCCCGTCGGGGTTGTGGTGCGGCTGAGTCTGAGCCACAGGGCCTTCCCTGTCATACGAGGAGCCTCGTCCTCACTGCACGGGTTTTCTTTTTAAAAACACTAAAAGTAAGAGTTGAAGAGCTATTCGCCAGACAGAAAATCGTAGGCCCAAAACAACAAGCATGAGACTTCAAAATTTCCCCCCGAGCTCTGCAAACCGGTGCCCAAGTGACACACGGCACAGCGAAGGCGCCATCACCAGCCCTGTCCACCACTACTTTGGCTGCCTGCGGGAGACTGATCGCCGCAAGTACTACGAGACCCTTGATCCGCGCCAGAAAGCTGCCATCAGGGACGAATGCCGTCGCATCATAACTCTACGCAGGCGGCTAGACCTAGAGGAAGACTCCTTGGACGACCTTCCCGAGGTCGTGGCCCTACTAGCACGTCGGCACTCGACACGGGCAGACGACGCAGGTCCAAGCCAGGGAGAAAACGGGAGCGATCTACAACGGGCATGTCTTTGCGGACAGTGCAACGATACCGAGCTGGCGGATGATGGGCGTGCAGAAAAGGCCAGTCTAGAGGACGGGGTCTTGGCGCACGTAGTCGAGTTCCGGCGTGCAGACGCTGGGCGGGGAGGTCTGGCTCCGCACACCGACAACAGCCTGCGCGGCGTCTGGCCGGACCAGACCGCCCCAGTGTCCTGGCTGCTTGCAGGCGACACGCGAAACCCCCTGAGATCCGAGTGCCCCGAGGACGGTCTACGGTGGCTCCATCTACCATATAACAATCTCGCTGTAGGTCTTGAGTAAAACGGCTCCATTTTATACGGCATGAGCTAATGAGTTGCAGTGGATGGAGGTTTGTCTCCGCCGAAGGGGCCTAGCCTCGTTGATACATTCCACCGCCGCTGATAGAATCTTTGTAGCAAATTGTGGGTTCCGACAGCCCCAGCGGGACCTTCTTCCACCGCTCCATGAATCGTGCGAAGCAGGAAGACGGCGCGTTAAGATCTTGGCACATGCGAGCTATGTGTGAATCGGAGCTAGCAACAGGTGTGTCTGTCTGTGCTGTTAGGAATACTGGAATCAACAGCCAGTACTGACTTGAGGCTCCGGACTTAGACACCGATCCCCGCCGACCAAGTCAACCAAACATTGCACTCTACGTAAGCCTGGCCTAGAACTAAACACACCGCGCTCGCGGTAAAGACTAACAACGTAATTACACAACAGATGCCGTATCTGAGTTGGGAATACGAGCGCCAGCACCTTGACATGAGTGCGTGGACCCAAGAGGCTCAAAAACTTAAACAGGACTCTATGAGCCCAAGGGAATACAGCTCTCACCCAAATCCCCACCTCAGCAACCAACATCCCAACACCCCGCCCTTCACTAGCGACGTGCACCACAAAGACAAACCCCACCTCCGCCTACGCTCGACCCTCGCCGCCTGGCGCCAGACGCGCAACCGGCCCGACCTAGCGGTAGCGCTCGCCGCAGCGGCACACACCGCGCAAGCGCTACGCTTACAGCACGACCGCGCCATACTAGCCCCCGGCAACAACGCCGTCGAGCCGCGGCGCACGCTGCACCAGGCGGCGCACTGGACGGTCGACACGCAGCTGCTCGACCGCGGGCAGGTCACACGGCAGGCGACGGTACCCGTCATGGAGTACGCCGGCGATACGTACGACATCCGCTGGCGCTGGTCCGCAGGCACGCCGCACACGCGCCTGCTGATGGTCGACAGTGTATGGCTGTTTGTCGCCGGCGCGGGCACGCTCGTGACCTGCTTCCCCGCGCGCTACGGCGAGCGCGCTGGTGATGGCGACGGGGGGCTGCATGGCGCTGTGCGGCGGCGGCTGGCTCGCGAGATGAAAGACCTTCCGGGCACTGCGACGGCGCGCGACCTAGCGCTGTTGGTTCTTGATGAGTGCGCTGGGGTTTTCTTTGGCGGCCGTGCAGCCGCGCCGCACGCGCAGCCTCCGGTGCTGGATATTTTCGGGCGCAAGATTAGCGACGTGGTAGGTTGGCCGCTGTCTCGTCTGACGTGTGATTGGGAAATGCTGATGTTGCTTGCTGGACGCAGACGCGGCGGTGCCACCTGCTGACGGAGCAGATCGAGACCTTCACGCGACTGCTGGCCGCGCTGTTCCACAGCGGGCGCGTGGCAGAGGCCAGCGCCGCATTCCCGCAGATGGCCGGCAAGATCAAGATGCAGAAGGACATGAAGGGCGTGCTCGGGGAGCTGCGCATCATGCGATGCGTCCTGGAACAGCAGGTGCGGGTTGTTGGAATTTTCAGACACGCCGAGCATGCCGGTGACGATGATGACCACCTGTGCAGGGTCGGCCACCACTTGGCCGTGGTTGAGAATTTGATCAAGGCCGCCGAGGACGCCCAGCAAGAGGTTGGCGGTTTCTTTCTCCCTAACCGTGACCGGATGGAGGGACGCGTTGGGACGAAACTAATGTGCTCTTGTGTACAGCTAGACGACCTCACGAGCACGATGGCGCACCTGCAGCAAGAAGCCAGCGTGGTGCGGTCTTTCGAGTCGGCATGGCAGGGCGAGGAGACGGCCAAGCAGGGCAAGGCGTTGATGCTGTTCACCATTGTCACGGTTATTTTGTACGTACTTACCACGCCGTTACGATTGAGTCTTGTTTCTGACCAGCACCCTCAGCTCCCCGCTCTCCTTCATGTCAAGCATCTTTAGCATGAACTCGGTCGAGCTGTCCCAGTCGCCGCTGTCTCTCGGCGACGAGGTCAAGTTCATGGGTGAGTAATTAATGCTGCCAAGAGCAACAAAATCCAGGCCTCTAATTAACAGCCAGACAGTCCTCGTCTCGGCCGCGGTTATCGCCGTCTTCTTCACCTTCGCCTACAGCTCGACAGCCCGGGCCGCCGGCAAGGCCCTCTTCAGCGTGCCGTGCCGGTGGGTGGCGACGCACGTCGGCCCGCTGCGCCGCCGCTACATGGCGCGCAGGGCGCCGTCGGCGTCTTCGCTGCAGGACCGCATCGCCGACTACGAGGCCTGGCAGCGCGAGAAGTTGCGTCTGCGCAGTCGCTATGGCAGGGCCCGCTACGAGTCCATGAAGGACGCCCAGCGCGGCGCGGCGCAGTCGAGACGGGCTGTCTTGGAGCTGGCGTGACGTTTTCATGTCTCGGGAGGCAAGGGGGCGAGAGGAAACTGTGAGGGTACCTTTGAGGCTGGGAAAAGGGCTGCTCAATGTCTTTATTTCAACTATGCGAGGGCAATATGTCTAAATGTTGAAACTATGTCTAGTTGTAGCGGAAGCAGCAGACAGAGCAGCTCTGGCGGTATGAATGGCTAGAATGCTTTGAAGGACTGAGGGGTGTAATTCTCGCACCGTGCCAAATGTCAACGTATGTCCACTATCCCTTTCTGCCAAGACCAGGATTTAAGGAAGAGGCGTCGGCGCGCACTGAGAGTAAAACGGGCTACAAGCAAGCTGTCAGTGAATGCAATGTCGGAGACTGGTCGGCCAACGGGAGGACCACTCACTTCAAACTCGTGCACGAGTACCCAGGGCCGCACGCCGTCGGACCCGTGTACGTCGAGAAGCCGCCACCTAGAGTGTGATTTAGTCGGCCGTCCAGTCGCCCCCTCCGAATTAACTGGACGGGCAAAACTCACACTGGCCATACGGGGTTGCAGTCGCCGGGTTGGTCGTGGTGGTCGGCGGGGCGCCCAGGCTGACCCAGCGCGAGGGAAAGGGGTACTTCTTGGCGAGATCGCAGGTACCACCCGTGACGTAGTACCTGCCGGCGGTCGACTTAAAGAGGGCCAGCTGGGCGGCTATCTGCGTCAAGTTCTGGTTGTTGCCGGACCAGGCCGCGAGGCCGCCGGGGAAGATGGTGTCGAGTAGCACCGCGCGGCCGACGTCGGCAAAGTCCTCGGCGTAGCCGCTGCTGGCACCGTAGGCGCTGATGGCGTAGCCGTCGCTGTCTACGGCCGCACGCCACGTCTGCGTGCCTGAGAAGGCCGACACGCCCGGCATCGGCCCCACTAGCACCGTGTCGACGGCGTGGCCTGTCTCGTGCACCAGTGCCGTAGCGAAGTAGGCCGTGCTCTTGCCCACCACGACGCCCGACTGCGCGATGGTGCCGATGTAGCCCCCGTAGGCCGGGTTATTGGTCGTGTCGTCGGGGTAGACGATGTACGTTCTGCTTGCGTGGTCAGTTGAGTATGGCCATGTGAGAGAAGAGTGGCTTACGCTACCGCTTGCCGCATTCCGATGGGAATTCTGGCAATTTCCTAGAGCAATGTATCTCGTCAATACCGGTTCTTGTGCGAACCACTACATCACCGAAAGAAACATCTCCGGGTTCTGCGAATTTCACTTGCCGTGACGATCTGGTTGAGGCTCTTGGGCGCATTTTTGTGCCGACACAAGGCGTAGGGCACGCTGCAGTCGGAGAAGGTGACGTTGTAGACGGTAAAGTCGGCGGCGCTCCAGTTGTCTGAGTTGACCGAGATGTTGCGGCAGATCTCGGGCCACTGCCCGTTGGTCCACTGCGTCGTGGTGAAGGTGTGGTTGGGCAGGTACTTGATGTACGCGTTGTTGCCCGTGCCGTCCTCGTTGCCAAAGTCGAGCTCGGGCACCAGGTACTTGCCGCCCTCGATGCAGCCAGAGCTGGTTGCTGGGTCGCAAGCCGGGAATGCGCTGATCTGGAAGACGTCGGGTTCGAGCAGGCGCGCAAGTACGGTTGGCGTGTTGGCAACCGCTAGGGCCACAACCAACGTCCTTAGGACAGCCATCACTACAGAGAATCAGGGGCCGGGTGGTAAAAGATGAGTTCGTTGGCTTGTTTTGCTCGAAAACCTCTAGCCGTTGACGAAGGAAACCGCTTGGAATTTATACGTCGCCGTGAGTGGAGACATCGAAAACATCTTCATGAGCTTAGGTGCCTCCCTCTTTCACTTGGTGGTTCAGCGATCCACATTTGCGTACGAAGAAGAATATAGCTGGTACAACACTGGATTGTGGCTAGAATGCCTATTTTGGACGCGATGGTAAGCTCGTATCAGGGTTGATGATTACTTAGGGTAAGCATAACGTAGGATTGCTGAAGGGCTAGGGCAAGGCATCCAATAGAACCGGGGAGTAAGAAGCCAATGGCACTGAACTGCAAATCATCGATGGCTGCTACCCATGGTTTGATTACTACAATCCCCTGAAGCCAGAGAACCACAAATTGTTGATGCTGGTCGAAAGGGCCTGTCTCTGTCCATGCACCTTGCAGCCACCAGCGATTACGTGAACTGTTGCTCTAAATACCATACGAGACACCCGGGGTTCTGATCCAGCAAGCACCACGTGGGGGGGACGTGACTAGGTCCCATATGAAACGGACCGAATAATAGCGCCATCTTGCCGGTGCTTGAAATAAGGGACAATTACCCAATGTGGCAGGGAAGCAAAAATAAAATAATCACCAAAGTGATAATTATCAGCGAGACAGCACGCATCTAATTATCGGTGCATGGTCATTTTTTACTTTTAGTAAGAGGAAGGAAAAGGAACCGCTACGCTATTCGGAGAGAGTCGCTGGTCTAGTATTTTTGAACTTGTGGCGGCCGGGTCCTCGCGTAAGGAAGGGAGCGATGTAAATGTAATTATAATGATTCAGCTGAACGGAGCTGCCGTAGGCGAGCTTGCGAGCCGGAGGTGGCGTAGAGAGGCTGCCTCTTCTCTTCTACCGTGAGGTTGCCGAATGTTTCTCGAATGGGGATTGGATTTAGCTAGCCTACGTCCGTGTCAAAATGGGAGATGGGAATTGACCAATCGGATAAACCTCGGATTCCTTAAGCCGCAGAATACCGAGCGCGGCGAGCAGCCCGCCGGAGGGCCGCCGGAGGCAACGTTCAGCGACCCCTTCCTGACTTGCCAGGTAGCTCATTTTGTAGGGGGTAACGTTTATAACAGACAGACTGACTGACTGACTGACTGACTGACTGACTGACTGACTGACTGACTGGCCGACTGACCGACCACAACTGACAGCCTTCCTGACGGGTGTAAAATTATTACAACTCAGGCCCCGAAGACGAAGATGTGATCAGACGCTTTTCCTCCGCCCGTCTTGCTTGACCTGACTGCCCGCCTTCAACGGTCGTTGACAGCCCTCGTGTATGGATTGGCCTTATCGATATATGGTAGTCTAACTACATTTGGCTAGCCTACAGTAGTACGTACCTACGTACGTAGTCCGGGCCGTGATCCAAATCGGTGGGGGTGGCCCGGATCGGGTGCGGTCGAGCCCGGTGGTCTGGCCCTCAAAAAAAGCTTGCGCTCCGCTGTGCACCAAACCACCAGCGGTCGGTCTGCGCGAACTGGTTCTGACTGTCCAACAGTCCCCCGAGCGCGTGCGCGTGCGCGTATATCCCCGCTGCATCACGGTCCCGCGCATTAATTAAGAGGGACCGTCTACTCGGGCTGTAGGAATTGTCTTCTAGACTGTAGGCACACCAAAAAGGTACAATTGGCCATCGCACCAAGCCACTAGCCCAGCCAAAATCGGATTTTTCACCTTAAAAAGCCTAGTTACCTTAACCAACTTTGACAACGCGATGAAGAATGCAGTGGCGCGTGTTTACCCTGATGCAGACCCTCAAACCTATATTTTCCACATCAACAGTATCATACTCGGAGCCGTGCCAACGTGGGAAAAGCAGTCCCCGGCCCCCCTGCAGCCCTGCACCAGCCAGTTCAGTATGCAGTACGGCATGCCGTGCAGTCATGACCTTCTTGAACGATATATGCATGGCCGGCCCCGCATTGAACAGGGCATGGAAGGTAAATTGGTCCTCAAAAGTTGCATTTTCACCCATACTAGTGGTTGGAGAGATCCATACGTGACGGGGACCAGTATATGAGCTTCTACGAATTCGACCGTGTTACTCGCCTACGGGGCAGGCCGCGAGGCTCGACCGCATTCGCCCCGGACCCCCGAGCTCCCCGGTCTACGGCTCCGTTGTCCACAGAGCCGTCGACAACGGCACCGACACAGACCCCGACAGCCACATCGACTGGCCGGGCAAGCGGCTTGAATCCTTCCATTCGCCAGCAGCCCTCAGTATAGGAGGGTGTCAGCCTACAACAGGAAGACAACAAGGACAACAAGGACCAAGAAAACACCATGGAAATCCTCCTGCGCAGGCACAACGAACTGTGAATGGCCTCACAGCCCCGCCTGCTCGCGGCGGCCGCGGCGGTAAGGCACAGGGAACCCGGGCAACAAAAGGAGGTCCTGGCAGCCGGGGCGGCCGTGTTGCCTCGGCATCGCGGACATCTACCTCACGGGCTTCATCTGGGACGCCTGCCTCAACGCCCACGGCGCGTATGAGGGGAGGGGGCATTACAAAGGCTTCTACACGCGATGCAACGGCCCGTCGTACTACTAGGGCTTTGGCTGCAGCGTTTGACGCCCAACAAAGCAGTGATCTTGACGATGCGTAGGTAAGGCAGGTTTTTATTGCATTTTTGGGCACGTTATGTAAGCAATTATACACGTTGAGCCGCCGGCTTTTAATGCAGAAGTGAACGATTTGAGCGAGTTTTACGGCCCTGAAAGAGAATTACTGCATTTGGAAGCATGTTGACGTTGGCGACGGCGGCGAGGTGTAATTGCGGTGCGAGGATGTATGTGCGATTGCTCTTAACTTGGGTGCGCTAGCTTCATCCCAGGACTTAGCCTCTTTTTTGGTGCGAAAAGTGGGGGTTTAATGGCTTGGCGCCAGGGCGCCATGTACCTACAGTCTAGAAGACGTTGCCTACAGTCCGAGTAGACGGTCCCAATTAAGATGCCTTCTTACCCCGAGTAAAAATAACTGTTGCGCAAGCGCAAAACTACCCACCTTACCTAGCGTTGCGCGAAAAGCGATAGGCGCAAATAGCCTCGAGGGGCGCAAATAGCCTCGAGGGGGTATTAATGGGCGTATTTAAGTACCTAACGCGCGGATTGTGTTGTAGGCGCAAAATCGTGTAGGCGTAAATAAGAAGCCTCAATTACTAATTATTACTGGAAAAGTGGAGGGGAGGGGGCCTTGCAGGCTCTTGTAGACGGTAAGCCCGATGGTAACACAGAACATTCTCTTAGTCATCAATAGGCGGTTCAAGATTCAGCCCTTGAGTCTACCTTCGCAAATGTATTTATTTAGACAAACTGATAGCCATAAATGTTTTTTTCTATGCCATACCTCCCCATGCTATTATCGACTGTCCACAATCTCTCTCTCTTCAAGAATCCGACTCTTTCGACCAAAATTGCCTACCTCACCTATCGTTGCCTCTGTTAAAACATGGATCCGCCAAAGCGCAAAGTCCCTCTTGAACCCGGACAGCGTCGGTCTCCCAGCCCGCCAGGTCCGAGCACGTCTAGCCTTCAAGAAGGTCAGAATTCCATCTTGGCCACGGCCAGTGACAAAGATTGCCGCGAGGACGTCCCAGAAAGTGGTAAGGATATTGCCCAATAGATGAGCCCACACTCGGGGCCGTGCTGAACCCCCCTCCCCCGACATAGACGCTGGACACGAGCCGGCTCAGCATACATTCGACGATGACGACTCTGAGTCCGAATACCAGGGCATCTTTGCACTGCGAGTGCCATCGATGGTACAGGTACCGACTGGGCACTACCAACACGGAGTCTCTGATGCGCAAAAGCCCTTCCCACACTCCAGGATGTCCAAGACTCTGCCTGACCCGGTCCCGACAGTCCGCGGCGTTGACGCGGCAGTTGAGTCCCGCAGCTCAGAGACGCTGGATGAGGGCCGAGGAAGCGACTCCGACGAGAGCGACACCATGTCAGACACTACCATCCGCACCGATTCATCGCTCGTCGAGACATTCCGAGCCTTCACGGCGCCATTGACCCCTCAGCTGCTCTATGTTTTGACGTGCATGAAGGGGGAGGTTGATGATCGCATTAGGTCGAGACTACAGTCAGTAGTAGCTAATCCGCAGGGCACGCGGCAGCGCCCCGCGGGATCAAATTCCGATCTCGGTTCCCAAGCTTCATGTTTCCTACCCGGGGTTTCGAAATCTGCGCATGGTTCCGGCAGCTATAATGGAGGCTCTCGGCAGCAGCCAGCCCGTGGCATGGGGGGCGACGGCCATGATTCCGATGCGGACGATGGCGATGACGAGGAAAGAAACAAGCAGTCGGTACCGACGTTAGGAGACTGTCCCAAAGGAGGTCTTGCTTGTATCTTCTTCAAGAGATACCCCGCCAGTGAGAACCTGTCCGGGGCGTGCCTTGGGCCGGGCTGGCCTTCAGTGCACAGGGTGAAGTGAGTTGAAACTGTCTCTAATAATAAATATGATGCCCCAATGGCGACTGACAATGACGACACCACTCAAAAGGGAACACATCTATCGGATTCACATGCAAAAAGGCTCTCCTTGTCCCAGATGCCGCGAAGTATTCGACACAAGCGGGCATCTGGATCTCCACCTCCAACAGAACGTCCGCTGTGAGTTGAGCGCCTCGTTGAATGAAGAGGAGGTACTCTTCATCAATCACGAGCAGGAGAATAAGCTTAGAAAACGCACCCGGAAAGGTGCGGCACAGGAGCGCTGGGCCGGCATCTTTCAGGTGGTGTTCCCAGATGTCCCCGAAAATGAAATCCCATCTCCATGTAAGGTGGCCTTGAGAAAAGAAATCACCATCATTTCAGTGTGCTGATTAGTCCATAATGTGATTGACAGGCTACGATCCTATCACCACCCTCCCGTCCTCAGACTTGACGACGTTTCATAGCTTCCAGACGCACCTCCTCAGGGAGCTCCCAAACCGCATTTCCCGCGGTGTTGGCGGCGGTCTCGAAAGACGCGTGACTGAGGTGTGCATCGGGACAATCGGGGAGGTTTTTGCAGAGTTCATGTCAACGTTGCAGTTCACCCCTCAGAACCCGAATAGGTCCCGCAATCCGGAGGCTACTTCCATACTTCCTCCGGGATCCAGTGAAGCGTTGTCGCAGAGAGACCAGGAGTTCTTCTCTCTAGGCCCTTCTCTTTCCCCTTCCTCTACGCGTTCAAGCTCAGCCCAACTGGCAGCATCCACCTTTGGAGTGGACAGCGGCTTGGTCCAGAGCTCACACGATCACCGGTCCACGTGCGAGGATGCGGATTGTATTTTCAGCGACCCCCTCGCCCACACCCGACCGTGGCAGACGCCCGGCGCCTCTGGCGAGCACACAGGCGCGGTCGTTGAAATGACGAACACGTCGGGATCAAATTTCCATGATGATGAGCGGCAACCGGAGTTTACCTCATTTTGGGTTTCGGGGGGTTTCTCACGGGGTAGCTGAAACGGCTTTCTCAGTTGCTCATGTAAGGTGGCACTTGAAGGTACATGTTGTACTTCGCACAGTTTAATAATTTCTTTCTAGCAATATCAACTTCAATACGAGCGCCTATGTGAAGCACCGTGATTGACCCCGAGATCTTCATTTTGGATGTTATTTGATGGTAGTCGGAAACCAGGCTGTTTTTACGGAATGTTCTCGTTACAAGGTTGCTGACTGGCAGATCTGGCCTGGGTAGCGCTGGGGGGACCTGCAGCAGAAACCTCAGCCCTCGACACGTCACCATCTGCTTTGAGTGCACGCGATGATGACCTTCTGTGGGCAGGAAGAGAATGACTGGATTTCTTGCAGGAAGTCTAATTTCTGTGCCACAGTGGAATATATATGTGGAAGTGGTGTGGTGGCCTGGACTGGTGGATCCCAGATACACCTATGCGTCGGCTCGGGCGCATTAGGCTGGGTTCCGGCCTGATCCCTACGAACCCACCCCCACACTCACAACCAACGTGGCTGGAACTGGACAAAAATGTTCCAGGTCCGCAACCGGATGAGGGGTCGGGTTCTTGCCGCCTGAAGGTGGAGGTTGCGATGAGAATTCAGTCCAGGTCTTGGGCCAATGACGTGCTGCCGTGGGGCACTCCCCCGTTCAGTACCTCTAGGACTCCACCGGCTCAGCCACAGACCCCTGCATCCAGCGGGAAAGCTTCTCTTAATTGTATCTCTGGCCGCGTATATCTTTCCCACAGCCTGCACCTTGGACGGAAGTGACTCGACTGGCTCCTGACCCATGTCCGTGCCCGGCGCCTCATGTTTCACGCCCTAACCCCAGTATACTATCAGCGATCAGGTGTGTCAAAATATATATATTTTCGGTCACCATTCGCCCTCTATCATAGGCTCGAGAGCAGCGCCCGCTCTCCCTCTCACGCCGCCCCAAATACTCTGTTAACCGTGGCGGTTGAGCTTAAGGGGCAAGTGCGCCACCTAGTTCTCACGGCCATCTCGAGCCCCCTTTCCCCGCCAACTCGGGCAGAGCAGATGTCCCATGCGCACCTCCCTGGCCGTGAACAAGGTAATAGCCAGTCGAAAAATTTGCGGCTAAGCGAAACTTAATTTATGACAAGTGAGTAGTTTTGGACCTAGTTTCTCAGGGTCGATACCCTAACCCTGTCTGTGGAATTTGATTGAATCTAACGGTAGTGGGGTAGAAGATGGATTACCAAAAAATGACACTTTTTCACGACCAAGGAGATTCGGCCCGGACCCTGCCGGACCCCTCTCCTGACCCCTCCACCATCGTGCGCGCCGTTAACAGCCATCAACCCCCCGAGCCAACCAAGGATGAGCTGAAGACGGTTACATTGCACTGCTCTACAGAGAGCGCCGCCAGGGCTGATCAGACCCCGTACCTTTCTGCCTGCGTCGGGCACAAAAAAGTCATCCCGCGGTGGAAGCCGGGCTCAGACCTCCGCTTCGCCTTTTGGGAAAGCAGCTTTCCGCCCTCGCACAACGCTAAACGTGTGGAAAAGGCACTCACTGTTGCCGTAGACGACTGGAGCAGGAGAAAGGTTGTGCAACTCCGGCGCGTAGTCCTGGACGAGCCCCATGTCTTCGTCGTCGCCTACAGTGCCCAGAAGCGCCAACACTATGCCGAAGCATTCTTTCCCGACAGCGACAAACGGGTATTGCGTATTTTCGAGGAAGCTCTGTCAGTGAAGTGCGACGGCTTCTTAGCCGAAATCCTGCGCCATGAGCTCGGCCATATCCTCGGTCTTCGCCACGATAACGCTGGCGTCGCGGAAGGTGATTGTCCTTCGGCTGCGTTGACGCCCCCCAACCCGGACTCCATCATGATGTCCCCCCTCGCCGCCAAAGGCATACAAGAATCGGATTTCGAGGCGCTCAAAATGCTTTACAGTATGGACGATAATGGCACGCATGCCGGATTCCAGGTTGTAACGATCGATCCGTATACGCTGGAGTCACCGAGCTACGGATATTCCTCAAAGATTCTGCATGGGAAGGCCAGGCATGTTAGCGTTGGGGCCCGGGCTACCCATGCGCAGCATAAAACTATCAACCTAGGCCTAGTCTCGATTTTTGTCTGCTTTTTTCTCTTTTTCGCTTCGAACGCAAGGATCGTCGTGGTCTTCTAGTCATGAGGGCGGGTACTGTATGAGCAGGTTGTAGATAATACATGAGGGCTTGGGAATGGATGATTTGGTGTCTCAAGGATGGTGGCTTCTTGTTGCAGCAAAAGCCATGCCTCGGAAAAGTTTGTTTAGACTCGGAAAAGTTTGGTTAGACTCGGAAAAAGTAGAGTAACGGTCCTGTGGCGACGCAACCGTGGACAGGCTTGGTTCAACTTAGAATGGGAGTGACTGGTGATAGAATGATCATCAATAGTCTTTCAACAGACCTATGTAGTTTATAAGTCTTCGTATTCTCTTCTTCCATGTGTAAACATGCGCTACATACTACAAACGTCTCCCCAGAGTTCGCAGGCCCCTATTCCCAGGAACAGCGCAGGCCCTTTCCCGAACAACAGTGTTGTTAATTGTTCATCTTGTACTCTAAGCCCTAGTTTCTCAGAACAACAGAATTGTTCTTGCTGCCCGTCCAATACCGCCTCCCAGCTTGCCCTCACCGCAGCTACAAGACCAAATCCCTAGCAGCGGCCAGCCCTGCTTCTTCTCCCAAAACAAATCTGGCCTTCACCAAACTCATCTTTCCAGCGCTGCCAACCTTCACTTTTCTCAATATATTAGTGTGACGTGACACATACTTTACTTCTATCTCACGTCAAGCACCTATTGAGTTCCCTCTTTCACGCGACTTCAGTGCATAGCCTTTTCTTTAGCCGTTGGCAATCCCAAGTGAGTAACTCCAAGTACACACTCTCTGTACAACGCCTTTCGCATCCATCACATTTTCCCAACATTCCGCCTGGCGCACAAGTCCTGTCCGGCATCAGCTACATCCTTTGCCCTACATCCCAGAAGACACAGCAAATTAACTACTTTCTGATAGTCGTACGAAACTGGGCTTCATAGTCAGAGGCCACCTCTGACAATGGACGTCATCCGATTCCCAAATACCCTAGGAGGATTGCCGACTGTTCAACTGCAATGCATCATCCAACCGTTCCACCTTCGGGGACTTCTTCGCCCCTTTTACCGTCAAGGATCTCTGAAGCCATTCTCAGGGTCACTCATCTCGCTTTTTACCTGCGCCATCAGACCTGATTACGCCACCTCTGCTATCGGCTAGATCGTCGAGTCAAGCACAAGCATCTCTACCGATTCCACCCTTGAAGGCACTTCGGCTAGCATGGAGGACTCTGTTGTTGCGGTGACGAAAGTCCCACAGACGACGGTAGCCGCAGATGATCAGGACCATAATATTGAGCTTGTAGCCTCTAGCGCTTTCGAGAAGCCACAGACTGCGGCTGTCACAGACGAGCAGGACCATGAAATCCAGCTTGTGGCTTCTAGCGTTTCCGACAAGAACTTTGAACGACATATTCGCACCGATGACTACGACAGCATCTGCTGGACTGAATCTATTCTCGACAAGTCGGAAGAAGAGCTGGTGCGCGAGAATCTCGCGAGCTCTTGGCATGAGGCCTACGCGGCCGGTGGCGATGACGCTGCAAACCAAGGCGAACTGAATGCAGAGAGGAAACACGCCATTAATGACGACGTCAATGACGACCTCCATAAAGACCTCAGTGGAGGTCTCGATAACCACATGGAAGACGTCGAGGATGATAATACTGCCGCCGACAGGTCAAAATGCTTTGAGGGCCCCAATATAATAGGGTTGTTTACAAACAACCAAGAGGGGATATGCCTCTAACGTGTTGTAATCTAGTGTTATTTATCCTTCTTTCCTTGTCGCCACCCCTAAATAAACTGGCCTCCTGCCCTCCCTGGTCTAACGGGGGGCGTTCTTTTCTCCTTTTCGTAGCTATTTTGGAAGTAATCTACACTCTTTTCACCATGACCTAGGCCTCCCGGCCTTGGGCACGAGCCTGTGCCATTCTCAGATATATCGACTATCCGATATTCCCACGCAAAAATTGCTAAGTAGCTCACGGTCACAATATTGGGAAACTATTATCTACGCCGTAGTTGATTAACTAAGCTCGTTACATATGGCCATGGCAGCTGATCTGCACTGTGCTGCGCGCAGGCAAACAGGGAGGCTGTCTGCCGGCCCGAGATCATGGAAATGGGACTGCCTCGTCGTGAAACTAACACTGGTGACTGTGGGTTAGTTTGCCACATTTCCCCTCCCCTACCGGATTGCGACACAGATTAAACTCCCTCTCTCTCTTCAAGAGCCAACAACTCAACACCAAACATACCAACCCAGCCAGCCACCCTTTATCCCCGCCGCGTACGTCGCGGGCCAGGACCCGTGGGGCAGCAGCAGCGGGTCGGCCGTCGGCACGGCGCTGGGCTTCGCGTGCGAGGCGCTCGGCACCGAGGCTGAGGGCAGCATCGTGTGCACGGCCGAGCGCAGCAACCAGTGCGCGCTGAAGCCGACGGCCGGGCTTGCCGTGAGTGTTTTTTTGGTTGTTTCATTCGAGGTTTTTGTACTGACCAAAGATGTGTGGGTTAGGTTTGGCCTCTCTTTCTTTGGCGGCCTTTTCTCAGGGGAGGACCTCGTTAGGTTTGCCTACGTGTTCGAGCAGGCGACGCAGGTCTGGCGCCAGCGCAGGCCCATCTACATTCCTGCGGCCGAACTCCCAGGTGCGAATTGGAGGGAGGCGGTGTGAACGACTAAGAATCGTTGGTTGGATTGCGTTGTTCTGGAATATTATTGAGTAAAAAGAGGCTGCTTTACGTTACATGAAATGACGAACATGTTGCTGAGAGCGAGGTATGACTTTGAAAAAGGATCCAGATTTCTGGAAATGACATCGGATATTGGACCAAGTTTGGGAAATTGCTCTCTTTCAATGTTCCCCTGCCTGTTTAAGCATAACCACACCCTAAAAGAGCCTAGCTTGATCAGAGCTGCGTGTTCTTTGTCTCCTGGTGCCCTTCTCCCGTACACTCAACACGACGACGGCGACCCATCCTGTCTCACTCCGCGATGGCCACACTGCCAACCTGTCGCCTAGATTTGAGCCGCTTTGATTCACATTTCAAGCCATAGTCGGCAAACTCCGAATGCCCCATATATAGCTGAACTTCAAATACCCCCTATATAGTTGAACTTCGAATACCCCCTGTACGGCTGAACGGTGTTTTCTTTATCCTTTTTCTTGAAGTATAAGAAAGCCTTCATTCGTGTTTTACTAGACCTGATTTGAGCAGACAATTCAATTCGCTGTCGACTTCGATCAAGTTCAACACAACCCTTACGGCCAGCACATCGACGACACTCGCCGCAGTGGCCGTACCGCGGGCTAGTAGCGGGTTGGTGGCCGTGTCGTTAGAGTCCCAGGCCTTCCAGGGCACCGACTTGCTGCGTATGGCGTTCCACATGTCGGCGCGCAGGGTGGCGGCCATCTTCTCCAGCACGGCGTCGCGGCGCTGCCCCGCGTCCTCATCGCCGTCACCCGCGAACACGTCCGGGAACCGCCAGTTGTGGTACACATTCCCGTGCGGCGGCCGCACACGTGGCCCGTCGCCCTGCGCCGCAAAATACAGCGCGCACAACCGGCACGTTGGCTTGCTCGAGCCGATGTACCGCCCAAACTCGGCCTCGCGGAAGAACTGCAGCGGTTCCTCCTCGTCTTCTTCCGAGTGGCTCGCCGATGCTTGGCGCTGCGCGCGCCGGACGGCGTCGTCGACGAGGACTTCGGCGTGCACGATGGGCCGGAAGTGCGACTGGTGCGTCACCTCTTGGATGCGCTTGTCGACGCCCCACGCCTTGAGGTCGGCCGTGTTCCTCCGGTACGCCTTGAATTCACCGCCGCCGCCGCCGCCGCCGCCGCCGCCGCCGCCAGCAGACTTTTGGGCTTGGATCATGCTGTGCAAGATGCGGTCGGCCGATTTGCGGATGCTCGGCGGGTCGCGCTCTGGGCGGCTTGACGGGAGGGGCACGACTTGGACGTCGGCACCAAACAGCTCGGGCCAGTATTTGCGGGCTGACAGCAGGATTTTGACGGCAAGAAAGTACGACCGCAGCCGGCCGATGCAGTGGTATGCGTCTTCCCAAGGGCTCCCGAGCGGCTCGTCTACGCTGCGTTGGGCGGCCTTGTTGCCACGTTTTGCCTGCGTCGCGATGCACTTCTCGCGAACAAAGGTTTCGAGTTCGCCGTGGAAGAGATCGTCGAGCGTGTACATTAGAGTCTGGGTTTGAGTTGCGTCTGTGGGCCACGGTGAGAGCGCGCCCGGCAGAGAGGGAAGCGGCAATACAGACACTCATCTTCGCTCATCCCTGGCCTTGTCTGGGCAAACTGGGCCAGGTCCTTGATGGTGCTGAGGCTTCGCGAAGCTGTGCTCACTGTGGTAGGTTAGCGTCTTGCTACTCGGTCCAAGTCCATAACATGGGTACCAATAATATGGGTCCCAACCTCCCTCAGAGTCATCTGAACCGTACTCGTCTGCGTTAGAATTCTCATCCTGGGAGCCGTCTGCGTCGTATATATCGTCGAGACATATTCCGAGTTCCTTAGAAAGCCGCTCAACGTAGAGCTCTATCCTTCCCCGGTTGAATCTGACAATCCTCGTCAGAATTTCAGAGTACAGCGCGCGTCGTGGATTTGCGATGGCCAGTTTGACATCGCTTTTAGACGAGCCGGAAAGGGCTTGGAAGATGCCAGTGATGTAGCCTCTGACAGCCCCCAGCTCGGCAGCAGTTCTCTGGTTCGATGCAAACCAGTACTGGACTGTGCCAAGCCGGATGACCCCGAATGACGTGACTGTTTCTCCTCCGCGCTGGCTGTCGCAGATTTGGCAGAGCTTGTCGACAAAGCAGCAATATGTATGCTCTAGACTCTTTGGCGTATCGACTTCGTAAGTCACCGCCTCGACGCTGTTTCGAATGCAGTACCGTGGCACACAGCACAAGATGACGACGGGCTCGTAGAAGCGCTTTCGGAGGGCCGCCGGTAGCGGGATAATGTCAGACGGGGGGAGGTTCATTTTGTTGGTCGGATGTGGTGCAGTGGGCTTGGACTGTATTAAGGTTCTAAAATACTGATCTTAAAAGTGTCTGTGCGAATGCGAATTCGAGGTAGCAGACAAGTCTCTGTTGATGAGGAGTTCCTTGAGACCTTATACTTGCTAAAGTTGACCACGAGAGCCTGGCATTTTCTTGACAACTGGAATATCAGTATCATCCTGTATTTCGTCCGGAGTTCAGCCCAGACGGATATCCCGACTGGTTCTTGCTCGCTTCAGATGTGGTTACACGAGCCAATGGTTGAAGGGGCATATAAGGCAGCAATGTGAGCCTCTGAGGCTAGTGCCCTGCACCCAATCATCGACCAAGCCACCCGCACACTAGCAGCCGATAGAATGTTCAAGAATAGCAGGGCATGTTCTCTCCCTCTGTGTTGGTACAAGTTGGTACAAGTTGATGAAGCCTTTCGGGTGCTTTTCTCGGTCAGTCTCGCGCCCGGCAGAGACCCGATTTTCCCTCGGCAACGGTTGGCCAGCTCACGATGATGTGACCAATTGTAATTGGCGGACAGGTTGATGACCCCCTTGACAACTGCGATGAGGCACCCCGCTAACTGGTTTTGGAATTTCATGGCCGTGTTTCCCTTTGCGGCCAACTGAGGCCCACCGACCCACCGACCCACCGACCCCCAGAGTTGCTGGGAGGGGAGAGCTGGAGAGTTCAGGGAGTCCCCCAAGGGGGCGCGGTTCTCGTTAGCATGTCATGGCTGGCTGCCTACAAAGTCTAAAGGCAGTCTTGAGAGAAGTATTTGAGACCCGACCTCGCCCAAGGAGAGGGGATCCTGTTGCTCGATTCCCATCTATGGGCGCAGGGGTCTTTTTTTCTGTTGTGTTGATGGAGCATGGCCGTATATATCTCGAAGAGGCCCGTCAGTCCAGCACATCACCAGAGGTTCGGCATTATTGAAGCAGCATATGGAAGTGTTTTTGCTACTGTCTCTGACGTGCGCAATCCTGTGCCTCGACTCCGCCTGGACAACATCTCGCTTATCCCGGCGTAACTACCACGAGCCGCAGCTGCTCGAGCGCGAGGAGGTTGGTGGCACCCTTATGATGTCCCAAAACAACAGGAGTGGATGTGTGGTACTGACGCTGCCTAGAACTGCCAGCTTGGGACCCTTCGGCAGCGCCAATACACGTTCACATCACGCATGCCAACCCTGCCGGAGAGTGCGTCAAAGCCACGGGATTGACAAGACCAAAGCGCGGAATATGACCCAACAAAGTGACCAGAACCCGCAGTGGGTAGGTCCCGTCAGCACTGAGGACTCCCATGAGTACTCTTACGACGGAGAGTTCGGGATTGATCCCTGGCTGTTGACCCGAAACGAGAATGAGGCCCACACTGGCCTCGCTTTTGAGGGCCACACGTCTTCAGATTTGTCTGAGGAGCTCGCGGCGGCTGATGACGCGAGTTTTCACGCAATTGCGGGCTGCTCCCAGCAGCAGCAGCGAAACTGGCTACTGCATCAATACGCCGCCCCAGATGCCCCTTTTCCTCAAGCAGCATTTTCTGATAGCACCGAAGAGCTTCCTTACTACCCTCAGGCTCATGAAGCAGCTCTAGTTCATGTCGAATACGCTTGATGCGGTTCCTCGACCAACATGGCTGGCAACCTGCCTCAGTACCCGAGCAACCGGATGCCCGCGGCCCAGAACTTTCCTGAAAATTCCTTTGTTACATATCAACATGTTCCATTTTCTTGCAACGCCAACCCAGAGTATACCATGGCAAATCAGTACGCACAGCCCGGATACGCAACCACCCCCACCGAACCGGCACAGGTTTCCTACGACAACAGCGGCGGCCAGAGTAGTAGCGGTAGCGGCGGAGAGGAGGTAGACAATGAGCCTATTACGACACACGACGGAAAGTTGCGCTGCAACTGGCTGAATAAGAAGAAGGGGACGCGGTGCGACACAATCTGTGATCGGCCAGGCGAACTCACGTACGTCCAAACCCATGGCCATGAGTTCGACTTCAATATCTGTACAGTCTCGGCTAACATGTCTCATCTGGTTAGCAAACACCGCAAAAACCACACCCCGCGGGTGAAATGCGAGGTCCCCGACTGTCGCGCCCAAAGCAACACGTTCGCTGAGGAGAAGGAGCGCTATCGCCACTACGCGCAACACCATGCGGGAACCGTGTGGGCCGACCACCCCCGCGCCAGAGCCTTCATGATGGTCTGCGATGTTTGCGGGTACCGGGGTCGCAAGGACAACGTTAAGCGTCACCGGGAGAAGAAACACTGAGTGGGAACTGGCCTGGGCACCTTGTTCTGCATTCGCATTACTGTCTGTCGTCTGTTGCGTTGCTTGGCTTGCAGAGTGTGTTCTTTTATTTCCTATCCTTTTTTCCCCTTTTCTTTCGTCTGTTGAAGGTCTGTTGCCGTCTGCGTCTGTTTGCGGTGTTAATTTGCCGAATTTACTTGTCATAACTAACGAAAAATTCTTTCCATTTCTTCTCTTTCATAACTTTCGTTATTCTCTCGACGCCACGAAGAAATTGACTGGCTAGTGGCGAGGGTCGGGTGGCTGACGGCCTTGTTCGCAGAATTAGTTCTAGACTAGAAGCTCTGGTTATGTCCCGTTTTTACCCACACTACATACCCGGCATTGAGCGTCAGATGAACATGCACACCAAGCCCGGCGTCACCTGTTGCCTGGGCTGAAACAGAATGGCGTCGGGGTTGAGCTTGGCGCTACAGGGCTTGGCTTCCCCGCTGCCACCGTGGCACATTCCGAGTCGGGCAAATGAGATGCAGTGAACGGCAGGAGCTCCGAACAGAATTATCGGGGCTATTCCACTCATGACGTATTTGTCCTCCTTCCACTGGCAGTGACACGTCCAACCAGCGCCTGCCTCGTGCATCTTCGGCCGTGTTCAGCTACCTCTTGGAGCTGGCTGAAGCGGCTGAGTCCCGACCCCGCGACCTCGCATCGCTAGCACAGTGGCCACCTCTCCATTGCCTACAGAGACACACACCTAAAGAATGCCCGCCGCGCGTCAATTCCTTTGCGTTATAACGGAGATTTGGCCCCTCAATTGACATTTGCTGCCATCTCGCCCTTCGACACCCAGCTCAACTCGTGATCGTTTGCAACGAGTACAATTGCGACCATGAATTCGCTTCTGCGAGCCGTCATTTCGGCGCTGGCTATGTGAGTTGGCCCCCCCTCCCCCCAATTCATTTGCCATGCACACACCCGCTGCAAACCCGCAATACACTGCGCACGCAGTCTGCAGGGTCAAACTAACCGCTGCATGTCGTCCCGACCTGCAGCGCCGCCGCTGCCGTGGCCCAAGATGTCACATGCGACGCCCTGATTCCCGGCTGCACCACTGGCGACACCGCCGTGTCCGTGCCCGTGTCTAGCGTTGATGGCACCGTCAGCGCGCCTGAGCCCGCACTGACGTCCACCACGAGCACCGATGACGGCGCCGCCACCAACACGGCGGTCTCCGGCCCGGCGCTCACCGCGTCCCCGTCGCTGCAATCCGTGTCGGGCTGCGCGGCCGTTGTCAGCACCACGGACATTTGCAGCACCTGCGTCACGGCCGACTGCATCATCCTCGCCACCATCACCGTCAACACCAACTGCGGCTGCCCTGCTACACCTGCTACCATTTATTCGTCGCACCCCTGCGCGCTCGGCTGCGGCGGCCTCGGCTGCGGCACGGCCTACACCGTCGTCACGGCCACCGGCATCGAAGGCTGTGAGTGTGCTCTTTGTAATCATGGGAAATATCCATTGTGCTGACTGCGACAGGCGGCGTCACGGCTGTTGGTCCCAACCCCACCGAAGCGACCACCACCAGCGGCGGTCTGAACAATACCACTCTCGCGACGCCCTCTAAGCCGCCCACCACTGCCGTCGTTAGCTCCGCCGGCGCTGGCCGGCTGACGCCATTCAACCTGTGGTGATGGCGCCTTTTGCTGCTGATGTGGGTGATGATCAAGGTGGTTGTTATCTTTTGGCCTCGGGTTGGTCGTCGCATGATCGAATATGGTCCATGGCAAAATATATTCTTTTAAACTTGTAAAATGGACGGAGCAAGATAGAGAAATATGTTGCACTGCCTGCAGCTTGGTGATGTGTCTCTCGCACACTGTGGTCTTATGCAGTATTCCTCTAACCTCCGACGATTAAATTGCCATCGATAGTCAATTCATAGGATCAGGCTATGAGGGATTTGTCGGCCGACGCCGTTGCTCTTGGTAGTAGATGCCAGTGGGCTTTTATTGGATCTATTTGCGCCTCAATGGCTGCAGGTCGATTGTGTGGTGGCGGTGTAAAGTCATCCATCAGCTGAAGCCGGTCGGGCTCATATCTCTCACCGTGCCATCATACGTCCTGTTTCTACCAGACCCTTAGGCCAGTTGAGTGCCGACAACCGAATTTCAAAATTGCAATAGAACTGAAGGCCTGGTCGCGATAACTAACCGCATGTCCCAGGATGAACTATCTCTTCGCTTCTCCGCGGCAACCGCGAGCAAGAGACCCATCTCGCAACGAGCAACACCAGCACCGGTCCCCGACTTCGCATCCTTCCTAGTCGCCTTCATCGACATCTTTATGAGCGATGGCTTCTACACCGACTTTGGCGCGGCCGACGACATGGTGTGCGTCAAGGTCATGGGCTCCGACGCCCTGTTCGAGACGAAGCTGGTCGAGCCCCGATGGGAGATTATCCTGCGAAGCCAGCACGTTGTGCTCCGGCGCCCTAACCTTGCCATCGACGCCGCTACTAAGCGCTCCGTGGACCCCAAACTGGTCAAGGCCATCGTCACCGACCTGCGCGTCATGTACCATCCGGCGTTACGGCACCACCCCAACATCCTCGCCGTGCACGGTTGTGCATGGCTCAGCGAGCCGCGCCTCCTAGTCATCTCGGCATGTCCCGCCATCCTTGTCGAGTTCGCCGATATGGGCACCCTGAACCATTGCCTCACGAGCTGCTCGGAGCCGCTCGGAGCCGCTCGACTTGGACGCGAAGCTGCGACTCGCAGGCGGGATCGCCCGCGGCGTCAGCGCCTTGCACGCCTGCCGTATTGTTCACTGGGACCTCGGACCGGAAAATGTCTTGGTGACGAGGGGACAAGACGGAAAGCTCACGGCGAAGCTCGCGAGCTTCGCCATGTCGCTTGTCTTGGACGAAGGCTGGTCTCCTGAGCCGTGGGCGGGGGGGACGCGCCACTGGATGGCTCCCGAATGGGGCACGGCGGGTACAGACGAGGAGCTGTATAGCACGGATGGTGAGTATGGATGCATGGGCGGTAGGCGATCATACCGATATGACATTGCGCTCGCCACGGCACTAGAGTCGTCATCTGTGGGCATCGAGAGGGCTGGAGAAATTCGCGCCCTCCTACAGTCGCTGCTCGGGCCGGCGAACAAGCGGTCTCTGGACCTGCTGCTTCGTTCCCAGGCTAAGTACGTGCGGTCAATAGCGCAACTATGTGTGGATAATGCTCATCCAGTCGGTAGCGACTAGCTTTTCGATCTCTCAGACGTGTCACTCCAGACACCTAGGGGAGGAGCCTTTTTGGACCGACCGGTGAGTGGCTTGGTGCCATGGGCGCTTACTGAGACATGACCCCTTACAAGAAATCTTCAGCTGTTTTTCGATTACTCTCTGCACCACCTACCATTGTATGCGCAGGGCCAGATTCTGGATTCTCTCTCCCAAATCGGGCTGCGCGAGGACGAAGATAGGCGGAGGAAAGCTGAAGCCTGCTACGTGGTCGCGGTGCTACACATCGAGGGCATAGGGTGCGAGCCTGCGGTGTCTCTTTCAATGTCGGCCGAGTTCTGGCATCGGGATCGTTTGTCCTCGTCCGAAAAAAAGACTGCCTCAAGCCATCCCTAGAGTGGACCAGTGTAGGCAAGTCTCGTCCTGGTTGCGCCGCGCGGCCGAGGCCGGTTCACCTTCGGCACAGGCCAGGTTTTACCCCATTTTCACTACGCTCATGGAAACACTGCGTCTCGAAGGGAACGGGGTAAGATTAGAGGCAAGTCTATTACTTTCTACCTACTCAAAACTGCGGTTCCCTGATTACTTGCCTCCCAGGAACGTGACGTCTCTGCGAAGGCCTTGGAGGAGCAATGGATCGCTTGGCTGTCCAACGCCACCGCGCCGTGATCCGTCACTGCCTCGGAGCATCTGCGCGAGATTAAACCGGTAGCTTGGGAGAAGGCCGTTCGATTGTTGCAGACATCGTTCTGTGGCATACGCATGGCACTATTTGGTGAGCCGCCGTCTTTCGAGAATCATATGAATCTGGTCGCGCCCGATGTGGTATCAGCCGCCGGCGACACGGCGCTCCATCTGGCCGCAACGCCGGGCAGATAAGAATTTTTGTGGGGGCTAGTTCTGGACACCAACATCTCCCGCGAGGGCGTCAACGGACAAAACGAGCGGGGGGGAACTGCACTGCTCCAAGCCACTAGGTCCGGCCACTATGCGTTTGTCCCATACTTTCTTAACGAATTTAAGGCGGATTCTAGCCTCAGCACGCTAAGCGGCGAGAACCCATTGCTTTGGCTGTCTTGGTTCCGGTTCAACAATGACAATGGCACAAACGTCATACTTTCGCTTGGCCAGCAGATGATCAGGAACGGCGCCGTGCTCGAGCAGATATGCACACAGAACACACTATACAATCCCCACTTCAACTGCACCGTGGGCCCGGGGACGCCCTTGCACTGGGCGGTACAGCGCAACGACCTCCCCCGTGGACCCAACTAGTTTGTGGCACAGGTCCAACTCTGTGAGCTGGTTCCTCGCAACGGGGCCTCACACCCCTTTGCCGCCCGGCTGGCACGGTAACAAACCCGTCACACTGCACCTGTCCGCGGGGTCGCCATCGGGCCAACAGCTGCCGGTCCAGAAGCACAATGGCCATTCGGCTCTCTACTACACCGTGTCACCGTGGGCCATCCACCAGCGCATGGCCGTGTACGGGCCCAACTTTCGCTCGCACCCGGGCGGCCAAGTCCGTGGGCACCACACAGAGTCATGGAGGACTCGGTGATCTGCAAGTGAGAACACCGCATACCATGCATTTCCTGTGGCGGAGCTAAAAAATACAAAAAAGCCAGTAACATGCCGCGGCACCTAGATATCAATTAAGTTCCACGTCGAATCAGCTTCCCGTCCTTGTCAGCGGAGGTACCCTGGAACCACCCCTTGAGCGTGCTATCCATATCCTTTTCGAACATCTGCTTTTCAAACAGGTCCACCAACTGGTCCACCAACTGGTCCAGAAGCTTCTCGAGCTCGTTCCCAATCGGCCCCATGCCACCAACGCGTTTCGCGCTCTTCTCGTAGTTTTCTAGGGCATTGAACAGGGCCATCGCCCACTTTGGGGTGTCATTCACGTAGGGTCTAGGTGGGTGAAAAGGAGCAAGACTGATTAGCACGATGCCAACAAAGATGCGGGACCACGCGCATGGTGATGAAAAACACACTAGCCAACTCACAGATACACAAACTCGACGCGCTCGTCGTCCGAGTAGCGGATGCAAGAGTTCACGTCGAAATCGGACTCAAAGTGCGATTAACGAGCCACGCCTTGGTTTACTTGAGATGGAGCTTTCCGTTGCCGAGGTCGGTCAAGACGCTGTCCTGGGACATCTTGGCCGAGGACAGCTGATCGGCAGTGGGCCTCTCCACGTCTTCAGGCGCGCGAATGTATGTGAGATAGTTGGTGCCGTGGGAGAAATCAGTCGTCCGGCGGAGGCAGAAGTCAGGTCTATGACCGATTCTCTCGGCTGCGGCGAGCCCTTGGGGTACACAGTGGCCTTGAGGTAGTGGCAGCCATCGAGTCGCCAGCTTGATTCCGACATCGTGGACAGTTTCGGAGGGGGCAATAAGCAATAAGTGCCAACTGTTGTGTAATTAGCAGTATCCAAGGAGAAGAGCAGTTGGTGATTTATTAGGCTGCAAATGCTCTGCGAAAAGGATGCCAGAGTGTTGGCCCCAGGGAACGAACGCATTGGCTTTGTAGGAGAAAGTCTGCAAATTCCTCTTCTCGGGGTACTGAAGCATCCCAAACCAACGCCATCAGAACGTCTCGGCGCGTGCACAAACAACATAGCCAAAGTGGTGCACGCAACATCCGTATTCAAACTTTCTTTCTGGAGATATTGCGAGATGCCATTGGCCGAACATTGAGCCCGCAGGCAATGCGACTCTACTGCGTTGAGCTAACGGCTGGATCCGCACTGGATCCGCACTGTTCAACTAGCGCCTGGCTGAAAAGCAGATATTCGATATCCAGGAATCAATGGCGCGGAGATCGGCGCGATCCCGTGGTCTAGAACAAGTTTTGTTCAATAATAACTCTTTCCGATCCTGGTGGGCGGCATTCCAGTGCAACCGCTCCGCAACCGAATGCAAGGGGTCTTGTGATGGCGCCAGGCTGTCGAGCAAGTTTCCTTGAACTACTTGGGGACCGGACAGGGCGCCTGGACAAAACAAGAATCCCTGCTCCACATTGGCGTCCATTTGTTCTTGCCTCAAGACTCAGCTCCCCGTCGGACAGGATTCAGTCAGGAACAGAGCGAATCGTGACTTCCAATGTTTGCCAACGCCAGAAACGGAAGGACCCAAAATACTACAACCCCACTTTTCGCTTGCGATTTTCCGCGCTCGCTCTTCCGTTTTACCTTCGACGGCCCCCCCCCCCCCAAACTTATCGGGTCAAACTGAAGGAGAACAAAATTGAACGCAAGCGCCAAACTAAAATGCCAATATCCCAGCGAGCAGGCCAGATGAACTCGCGATGAAACTCTTCCCAGCCTGTAAAGGCAGCGAGGCGTTCTCCGTGTAAAAAACGTTGATGCAGCTGTTGGCAGTTGGCTGTGCACATTGCGCAAGCTCTTTAACAGCACCTTGGCAGGTTTGACGCACTGTGTATCCAGGGCCAACCCCGCTCTGCAATGCCCGCCCAAACCCGGTGGCAGCGGGTCTTCGAAGTTCTCGACTGGAATTGTTGACCACAGACCCTAACAGCTGGGACAGTTGCCGCATTGATGGCTGCGACTTGGCGTAACATGTCGGCTGGTGACATGCAAGGCCTCATGCGCGTCGCCGACGAGGTGCACCCTGGCCTCCCTGAGAGCGAACGCGTCTTCGCTGAGCGCGTGCGGCTTTTCCCAGAAGGCTGCCTCGCGCTTGCCGACGGCGATAATAACATCCGCGGCTACGCCATCTCACATCCCATCCGCCGGCGAAACCCTCCAGCACTAGATAGCATGCTGGGAGACATTGCCCCCGACGCGGACCAGTACTACATCCACGACCTTGCCATTCTCCCTGGCTCCCGCGGTCTCGGCCTGGCAGCGGAGTGCATGGCCACACTGCTGGCCGTGGGTGAGCGCTACCCGACCACATGCCTCGTCTCTGTGTACGGCACTGTGCCGTTCTGGGGCCGCTTTGGCTTTGCGTCGGAGCCCGTCGATGCCACTCTGCAAGAGAAGCTGCGCGCCTACGGAGACGATGCCGTGTACCTCGTGCGTCAGAGTGGCCCAGCTGTCGACCGATGAACTGGACGCTGAGACCCCACTGGAAAGAAAAAGATCTGCCGTCTTGGAGAGAGGCAAGACGAACGGAAGAGACACCGAGTTCGGAAATCCGACCGAATGGAACATAATTACACCAACAATTTCTGGAAGCAAAACCCCAGGCCACCAGCTTTGGAGTGCTATTGGCAATCTCGCTGTACTCGCTGGCCGGGTCTGTTACCCGCCCGGAGCCCAGGCTGTCAAAAAACCCCCGGCTAAAGAGTAACTAGAAGCAATAACCATCCTTATTATGGGCTTTGAATCCGACGCTGCGCCGTGAGCAAGCGCTTCTTCTCGCCTTCCTCATATAATGACTTCCCGGGAATCGCCCGCCCGCAGAAAAGAACCCTTGCAGCAGCCAGTTCGACCAATAGTACTCTTCCTTCTACAAGCAGTATCAACACCACATATGTGATGTGTGCGCCCCAGTCCCAACACAACGTAAATATGGCCCAACTTGGCATGCCCTCCAAGACTCCAACCTGTACCGATCGCACCTTGACATGTTGGTCATTGAGGCTCCCATCTTCGCATTAGGCTGACTTGCGGTCTTCACCGGCCCTACTGTCTGGTTACACAAGACCTAATTAGCTGCCTGATTACACAGACTGTCTGGCTATGCAGGCTGGCTGGGTGCACAGGACACAGAATATGTCTTTGAAAAATTATTTATACCCAGTTCCTCTCCGTTCAGTCAGGCCTTCTTTTGATCATCAGAGCAAACAACAAGCAACAGCGATCCCCAACAATCCAACCACCAAGAAAGCCACAAAAGCCTTCAACATACGTTCCAACGCCCCTATTAGGCGGCAGATAAAGATGGTGAAGAAGGCTTGATTGAACTAATACTAGCTATCGTGTGCGCGGCTTGTACCAAGTACGAGCCAGCGCTTGTACTAGTATCACGTAATTGCTGTGCAAGCAGCCTTGTTCGCCAACAATACCCCCTTCGTAATTACTATCGTCCCGATGGCACTCTAGTTATTCTTAGTCCAATGTCCGTCAACCTTAATCAGTCCAAGTTTCTGGGCGTTCTCCTTTGGTAGGTCGTTCAAATTGCCGATGAACACTTCTCGTCCCTGGAGTGGTCCGATGGTTGGGATCACGAACAACTTATCTGCTCGAACAATGGCCTCGTCGGCTCCCTCCTCGTTTTCCACCTTGTACGGAATCATCCAGTTTGTGCTTTCCTCGGGCACCTTCCATTCGTATCGCTGTAGGCTTGCCTCGTACTCTTGGTAGTCAAAATCGTCATTCCTGCCTCGTTCGATAGCCTGTCCGATCTCGCTCAGCAACTGCTGAGGGTCAACCGCATTTGCGTGTCCGAGGAGGGTAATATTGGTCAAGCTGGCCGACAGACTGTTTGCTCGGAGGAGGAGCTTCTCTCCCAATATCTTCAAATGCTCCGTATTTTTCTTCTGTTTCGCCATTTCGTCCTTGATAGAACGAATCTCGTCAGACAATTGCCGACGCTCCTCCTCCTCCTCGTCTGCTCGTTTCTTCAGGTCTCTGATCTCGTTTTCGAGGCGATTGATAGTTCCTTTGCCGTCCTCGTCGTGGGCGCGCGGTTTCTTCTGATACCCAATCATCCCGTCCTCGGAAGCGATAGTGACGCGCTTTTTGGGTGGCGGCATGAACAGTGGGTTCTTTGGAGGTGTCGGGTTCTTGGTAACTTGTCTGTCGGGCGGGGTAAATAAAGGCGACGGTTTCGTACCAAATAGAGGCGATAGTTCGGTCTTCTTCGAGGTAGTCAAGACTTTCTCAATCTGCAATAGGACTGGTTTCGGGCTTCGCTCCTTCATGCTCAGGGTGTGCGGCTCGTCGGGCTTGTATGAACCTTTGTCGATCGCAGTGATATCTTCGAGCTGCCATTTTTCATCCCACCACTTATCGTATTTGCGGCGACCATTATCATCCAGCATAGCGTTCAACTTCGCGGCGTCGAGCGCCGTTGAGTAGGCGACCCGCAGCGTGCCCTCGCACATGAGGTATACTGCTTTAACTTGGTCTATACGAGGCCAAACGACGTACGCGCCCGCTTTCCGGGCTTCCCTATACGAAGCATATTTCTTGACGATTGGGAAAATGACCTCCAGAGCTCGCTTTGATTCGCGCCAGGCCCCGTGGTTTGAGATTTGTACCATTTGCGGGTCGTGGTGTGCAGCTGCGTCAATTGCCGCCGCCTTTTCGCCGACCGTCCATGAGTCCCTCGCGTGTTCGGAAGCCAAGGCGATGGCGTCTTCGCGTCTCTCCTCCTTGCATTTCGCCATGATATCGTTGTGCTCGCGCGAAACGCGTTTGATGAGAGTTTCGAAGTCTGTAGAGATGATTGCTTCGTTTGAGTTGTGTAGAAAGTCTTCGTCGCTCATGTTGTGTTTGGTTTGGTGTTTGCATAGGGAACAAAGTGAACTGCGTCGGGCGGGAGTAAAGGATCTGGCTGACGTCGGCGGGGTAGCAACACTTGGATGTTTGTTTTGCGACTGCCTGGCTTTGGTGGGGTCGGTTTACTATTCCTTAAGATAAGCTACTAATGCGATGTATAGATTAAAGTTGGTCACGAAAAAAAGCCAATACCCGGCGGAAGCACGAAGCACAAGTCCAACACGAAAGGTTCTCGGATCCGGCTACAACTGGCGCATCACACACCGGCCGCTCTGCTCCCCACACCCGAAATTTGAACGGCCCGGAGCCGTCAAGGTTCGGCACAACCATGGATTTGCCGATGACACGTACACTGGAGTGTGGACCTAGTCACGGTATATCAGCTCCCCTCTCCCGACGAGTGGAGCACCAATGCACGAGCAAATACATGTGCCGGAGAAAGTAGTCCTGGATACGGGCTATGCCGTATTTATGCTGTACCCCGACCGGCTTCATCACACCGGCATTATCGGCATCAGCGCAGGACATAGTTATGCAGCACTGATAGGTTGGTGAGGGGGTGTCGCGCATGTCTCATGACATATTAATACTGACTACGAACCGAGCACACGTGAATGCGTTTAATCCTTCAATGCACAAAGGAAACCACCAATTCTTAGGTATTGTGTGGGACTGGCATGAACAAAAACCGAACTCCGTTCCTCCCCGGAGCCATCGCTAATATCATGTGCCGCGCCTCTTTCGAGTGCATCAACGGTTCCAGACGCTCTGCTTGATTGGGTGCAGCTTCCTTGTACGACACCACCACCAATAATTACCAAAGCAGAGTAGACCACAAATATGTAAATCAAATTATGAAGCCATTTATTAGCTAGATCAATCCGACAGCCTAGGGCGGGTACCCGATTCAGACCCCCTAACCAATTACCAGCGTGGCACTGCATCGAGTTAGGCAGAGCCAGGCTCGAGATAGCCACCCTTTTAGGTACTAAGCATCCAGTATGAGTGATACCAGAACTGGGGGCGACCGCGGTCACGAAACAACCAGATTCTTCGTCTGAATAGGTATGTGATAAGATTCGAAGGCGGAGCTCAAGTGACCCCTCGCCCAGAATGCCTTGCATGAAACCCGTTTCCCGCCGCTGAATGGGGGCAGAAAGGAAGAGACGATATATTATTTTGACGGGCACGGACTTCAAATGTGATTGACCTATCATCCGGGAGACTTTCGGGAATGGCCCTCAACGTCCCGACAGTTAATTAGGTACGAAGTGACCGGGAAACAAGCTATATCAAACAACCGTCTGAGACGCTAGGGCGGGCATGGGTGAAGTTAGCCTGCGAGGCGCATTCCTGGGAAGAAAAGAATGAGAGAAAATCACTCGGCATTAATTCTGCCCAGTTGCGTTCGGTCTGTGACGGGGCTGTGCCGCACCTTACAGGTCTGGATTCCTAACACGTCCTCAGCCATCCACAGAAGATCCAACACGGAGATAGAAACATCGGCCTTTGATAGTGCCGAAACAATCGCAATGTGGTGTATTCAACCTGTTACCAAGCATCCCCTACGATACATTATGCCAAAGTCCCAAGGGCCAATGCATTCTAAGGGCCAGTACACATGATGGGCATTCGTATATTAAACTGGAAAAGCCCCCACACCTAATTATCGCTCCAAATAAAAATATCTGCAACTTCATGGTATTCCGCCAAAGAGCCGGATGCAACCCGATGCAGCCCGATGCTGTGGCCACGGGTGAGGGGCAGAGATGGGGGCGGCGCAACGCGGGGTGCCGGCTGCCGACGGATAGCTCTGCTCTCTTTGGGCGGCGGTTGAACAAGTGTGTGACGCACCACTTGGGAGTTCGAAGTGGAGACAAGATTCCTGAGTTCTCAAGTTGCAGGTATAATTTGGTTGGCTAAATGACATCACTTGCTTCTTCGACTGAGAGGCTGCACTGCAACTTGGGTACCAACGCATGCAGAGTTGAACGTGCACTGGGTTAGAGAGCCAGAAGGCTCAGCTGTGTTCTGAAGCCCATTCGCGGAATGCCCAAGCCCAAGCCTCCTTCCCCCAAGTTCACGCGACCAATATTCACGCGACAAAAGCGCCCGGTTTCTCGCGCCTTGTTTCTCAATTCCCAGACAGTATCCGAGTTCAATGAGTCATTGCGTGTTGGGCATTGCATTGGGCTGGTTTCCACAGGCTCGCTGACTTTGGGCCTCAACGGCTGAGGCTCTGAGCTGTGGGTAGCTCTGAGATCATAGCTATGAAAAGCTGTCACATTCATCTCAGGGTTAAATCAAATCCTTTATCTCTGATTGACCTCTTCTACGCTCGAGACTATCACACTGCACATACACGACCAAGCCGCGGAGATCTTTCAACTCATTTTCTGTTGACTAACGGACAGACACCGCCACACTTCGCCACAATGCTCAGAAGAGGGGCGGCAAGAGACAGGGCGGCGGGCGAGAAGCTTCCCACCAACAAGGCTTTGCCCGATCAACAGCTGCCGGTAGCGAAGCCGGACTGGGACGTGAAGCCGGCCCCCAAGCCGCCAGTCGATGTCCATGTCCCCAACGGGCAACTCGCTGTTGGCGCTAGACCCCCATCACCGCCTGAATCGCCGCCTCCGGCCTCAGCAGCGCGCGGGCCGCCTGCCCCAGTCATGGCTACCTTGATCGATCCAGTTACCAGTGCCATACCATCTATGGCCCTCGCAGTTCCTACAACGCCCCCGCCAACCTCCCCCCCGTCACGCCCGTCTCTCAGCGCCAGACCCCAGCGAGCCCGCGACCGGCTCATGCCCGCGCAACTCCATGTGCCGCCACCTCCGCCGCTGGCCCGACCTGTTGCGGACCAGGAGGGGCTGGCCGGAGCAAGGAATGAGCTCAGCGCGCTCGATGAGCAAATGAAGCGGCAGAAGGAGCTCATCAGGGCTTGTACGTGCTTTCTACTCCTCTTGCTTGCTTTTAAGAAAGACACTAATTACACCCCGCAGCTCAGTTGAACAAAGAGAGGCAGGCCAATGCGGCCGGCGAACAGGTTCGCAGTCTCAGGGAGCATGTGCAGCGCCTTGAGGCCGACAACGGCGTTCTCAAGGCCGACAACGACATGCTCAAGGCCGACAACGACATGCTCAAGGCCGGCGTAAGCGAGCTAGGCTCGAGAAGAAGAATCTTGAAACACGTGCCGCCGGGCTTGGCAGAGCCAACCAGAGCCTGAAAGCCGACGTCGACAAGCTGAAAACGGAGAAGCAGACGCTCGAGATGCGGGGCGTCGAGCTGAGCAAGAACGTGCACAGGCTTGGCGCGGACAGACACAAGTTAGAGGCCCAGGTTACGGAGCTTGGCGGAACCAACAAGAACCTCAAGGGCGCCGTCGACAGACTCGGCGCAGAGAAGCAAGTTCTGGAGACGAAGGTGGCGAGGTTGGAAGTGACCATCGAGACCATGAAGGCCACCGTCGCCAAGTCTGATTCGGACAAGAAGCAGCTCGAGACCAAGCTTCAGACTACCGCAGAAAATATTGAGGCGGAGAGGAAGCAGTTCGAATCCAAGGTGCAGGCAGTTGTCGAGAAGGCAAAGCATGACCGGAAGCAGATGGAATCGGCCCTCCAGTCTACCATTGACAAGGCGAAGGACGACCGCAAGCAGCTCGAGGCCAAGCTCGAAGCCACTATCAGCAAGGCGGACGATGACCGTAAGCAGCTGGAGACCAAGCTCCAGACCACTGTCGACAAGGCCAGCACGGACAAGAAGCAGTTTGAGACGGCGCTTCAGTCTGCCACGAGCAAGGCTGAGGATGATCGCAAGGAGATCGTGGCCAAGCTCCAGGCCACTGTCAACAATGCCAGCCTGGACAAGAAGAAGCTTGAGACGGCACTTCAGTCTGCCATCGACAAGGCGGAGGATGATCGCAAGCAGCTCGACGCGGCGCTCAAGGCAGAGGCCAGCGCGGCGGACGCCGAGAAGACAAAGCTACAAGCGGCGCTCGACGGCTCGAACCAGGACCTCGCCAAGCTGCAGGCAGAGCACGCGGAGCTGCGCGAGGACCGCGACATCCTCGACGAGGACGTCAAGTACCTCGAGGAGCACATCCGCGTGTGGGACGCCAGCAACAAGAAGGCCATCCAGCAGTGGAGGAACCGCTGCAACCAGCTCGCCAGGCAGCTCGCCGAGAGCAACAAGCTGCTGGAGCAATGGGCCGCGGGCGACGCGGGCGACGACTAATTCTGGTCTGTGTATGACGCCAAGTGCACGATGGTCTGATCCAGTTCGGGGTGAAAGGAATTACGAGAGGGGTTGAAGACACTGGGTTGCAGAGGCTAGATAGAAGCTACAGGTTTCGTTTTTTCTGTTCTGTTTTTTTTTCATCCTTTGGCCCCTCTCGCACACTTTCATTCTCTTCGTTCTTTTCCTGCGATTGATTCATTACCTACCTAGGTACATTCGAGGCACTCGCTATAGCAAACACGGCGTGCCGTAGCCATTTACAAACACCAATCATAGTTGTCGTAATCTTTGTCTTTTGAAATTCTGTGTCAATGCTTTTCAATGCGAATGTCGCGACAAATTAAATAGGGGTGCTCCCTCTAGATCGTGGATGGGCTTCACGAAAGTGCGCCTTTAATTGGGTGTTCAACCCCGGCCCAAGCCTGATCATGCCAGAATGTTCCGCTGACAGAAAGGCAAACCAGAAAAAAAAAGTAGAGAGGGATGATAGGGACATGCGTAGGCGCATGTGCAGGTCACTAGACGAGCGACGATCCTCCAAAAATGATTCGACAAGCTTGTCTCTCTGTACACCACAGTGCATGAGGAGCCTGGGCAACGTAGTTCAAGCCAGCAAGGTTGAACTTCTACGAACCGGGGCGTAGTGCAGCAGGAGAGCTCGACGAGCAGAAAGCCAGGTTGGTTGACTGATTGATTGATAGGCTTGGGCGTGCATCCCTCAGCTGATGCCTGGGATGTGACGAAATTTGCTGATAATTATTGAGAATTCGGCGCTTTGTTCGGTTTGGTTTCCAATGGTGTGTGGCCAGACTGCAGCTCGAATGGCCAAAGAACGAATTAATAAAATTTTTCCAAGACAGCAAAAAAGAAAGGGATGCGAGCCCCAAAGAGCAATTTTGACAGGTGTAACTCCAAGTCTAAAGCTGCGCATGATGACGCCTTTGCCCCTGGCTAAAAATAATAAAACCCCCTACGCACGCTCTATCCCCCGCCCTACATCTAATTCCCACTCGCCCCAGTCGCCGGGGCGGTCCAGCAGATGCCGTTACCAGAGGGATGCCAGGTGCAATAGGCAATCCAGATCTGGGCGCCTCCTAGGCCCAGCGAGAGGAGCCCGAAGAGGATGGTGACGCTGAAGGCGAAGACGGTGATTCCGAAGGCGTGGCGCGATGCCTTGTGGCGGTCGAACCACATGCCCATGGCTGTAACGGGGGTCGGGTCGTCAGCTTCCTCGAAGATGAGCTGCAGCCGCACGGCCCAGCGTGGATACCGCTTGAAGAGCTCGCCGCATCTTCGTAGTGGCAGCTCGTACGCTCGCCTGTCCCACGGGATCTTCATGATTGCTGGCTCTGTAAGACGCTGGTCCATGGGGCTATCGTCCCCGCCTCGGCGAATCAGGGCCTCCAGCCAGTTCTGGTCTTGGAACGGAAAGAGCAGCCTGTATGTCATCAGGGTCTCCCAGAGGAAGTCGGCGTCGTAGTAGCCCCTATCGACAGGTCGCCGGATCGGCGCGTCAGTCGGGACTCTCGCGGACCGGCTAGCTGGATCATGGTCGGAGTGGCTCACATTTGCATTGGCAGCTTCACTTGCGGCTGGGGGTTGGTCCGGGGCTCGTCATTCTCGCTCCTCTCGAGGGCAGCTTCCAAGAACGAGGCGTACCTGAAGATTTTGAGCTCCTTGGGCACTTTGTCTGTTTTGAGTTCCAAATGCTCTGAGAGATAGTTGGTCCAGATCAGCTTGACAGAGGCGTAATCGCGGATGTAGCGTGCGCGTAATTTGCTGTTCTTGATGGGCATGGAAGGCACGCCGTCTTCAGGCTTGTCGAAGGGAAATATCTTCCCGACCGTTTCCTCGAGCGAATTTGTTTCCTTCCACGGAATGCCGAGCCCGCCCTTCTCCCAGACGTCGAGTTTGAGGGCCAGCATGACCCGCACGGCGACGCTGAGGTACGCCTCAGGTTTCGCCATGCCGTTGACCAAATTCCCCGCTAGGGTTTGGGAAATAGCCGGTCCCGCAACCGGCGAGGCCTGCGAGCAACGCCACGTTAGTCAACGTCACGTTAGTCAACGTCACGTCAGTCAACGTCACGTTAGTCAGCGTCATGTTAGTCGAGAGGTCAACAGTGCCTGCCTGCCTCTTGGAATCAGGAGCCGTTTGGGGGCAATTAATTACGTCGTCGGGGTCTGATAATCGCGTGTTGCGACGATTTATCAAGTCAGACTGGATTTCGCTCCTTTTGGTCCCTGGGCAGTCCCTGAGCCGCCGGACGAGAAAGAGGACGTCATTGTGCTCAAATTTTCCGATATCGCGCCGGTAGTAATCTAGATATGCCTTGGCGAGAGACCGGTATTTCTCGAGCTGCTCGGGTGGGGTAGCGAATATCGTAGACAGTATTTCGTTTTCGAGCAAGATGTTGCTATCCGATTCCAGGGCGCCCTCCATTGTCATGGCGTCGTTTGCCTAGTGCTTCGAGGCGGCAAAAGTCGTGCTGTGGACGGGGAATTCTGAGAATAACTGCGCAGATGGCGGATTGATTAGGCACCTTCCTATGTAATGTACTGTCCAATGCATACAGGACCAAGGAAAAGCGAGGCGACCGCGCTGCTGTGGGCGCTGTCCTTCGCTACCACGCTTCCCTAGAACCTCTGTGGCGTATTCTGGCGCAGCTGACTGCTGAATTCCATTGGATTACAGCAACTCATTTGCCCCTGCTGCGTCATGCCCCAGTACAGGGTGCTATTGGCAGTGTGCTGCCCAGCGCTGGGCTGTTGAAACCCGACCGACGGGCCAGCTTAGCAACAAGCGTGGCAGCCCGACTGGATTGCTTCACCCCCCTGCCGCTGGGCGGCCTCACTGTGTTACATTTTCTCCCCCCTTGGCCACACATAGACGGAGAGGAGAGTCTTGTCAAGAAAATGACGGAATGTCATTGTCTTGGACTTGTGTGCACCCAATCTTCACACCCTACGTAATTCACCGCTCTACCCGTCTCTCGCATATGCGTATCCAACAATGGGCTGTGCTCCCTCAAAGCCAGACCAACTCCCGGTTTCCCCGGCCGAATATAAGAGGAGGAAGGAAGAGGAACGGAAAAGGCAGAAAGAGGAACGAAAGAAGGGGAAGATGCAAGCCACAATCATCAAGAAGACGACAACGTTGAAGAAAATCGACCACACCATGCTTCACGAAGTCAATGACCAGAAACCGGACGACCCCGCCAACAAAAAATTCAAGAAGTTTGAGCACTGGCTAAGCAACGAGTATCACATCCCTGACGGCGTTCACCTCAATGTGATTCGGCAATGCAAGGGCCTAGGGAGAGACTGGGCCCGCCTCGAGGTTGAATCCACCCAAGAGGCCTTGTGTCTTCACGACAACTTGTCCCGCAAATATTGTGTTCCCAGGTATAGGGATGAGCTCAAACTCTGCTACCTGATAGAGAGGCTCGTATTCAGTACCTTGGGGACACCCGGGGTGTTCCCGGTAGCCCCGGGCGCCGTGGCAGAGTCTCTCTGCGGCCAACTTGCCAGGCTCAAGTCGGGATCTGACAGTTCCGTTGTTTCAACCATTGGCGGCCTTGTGAAAAACAACGCAGATGGTAGTCTGTGGGCCTTGACGGCCAAGCATGCTCCCCGGCCAATTGGAGAAGTGTCGAAGCCGAAGCTGCGAGATGCCTCCGACATCGAGCCTGACGATTACGATGCGAAGAAGATCAAATCACTCTGGGCCTTCCCGACAAAGCAAATGGCAGCAGCAGCACCACCGAGGGCCGCCGCAACAACCCCGATTCCGTTTGGGTTCGACGAGGAAATTGATATTGGACTGGAATGCCGCCTTATCCGTGTCGGCAAACCCGACCTCATGCTCCCCAACTGTTTCAAATTGGAGCGTGGCCGCCGTCACGAGAGCCTGCAGTGTGACAACCACGAGCCAAAGCCACAAGCAGGAAGGGTTGCAGTCTTGTCCGGAGCCAGCGGCTGCCATTTCATGAATATGTTACAAAACAAGGTGAGTATCTGCTTGCCCTCGGGCAAGTGGGAGGAGGCGTGGGCCCTCGAGCCCGAGGAGGAAGGGGGTCGCGTCATGGTGCGAGAAGGCGACTCGGGCTCGTGGGTTGTGCATCCGGACCGGGGATCCGTCTTCGGCATCGTCATCGCCTCCACCTCCCACACAGTCTACCTGATACCCCTGAAGAACGTCCTCAAGCGTGCAACTTACCACGGTGGCTCAGGAGAGTGGAGCCTTCCGAGCCCAGAATATATCACGACTGCTAGAGATTCTGCTCAAAGAAAACTCGACGAGGAAGCTGAGGAGAAAGCTACTCGACAGAAACTCGAGATGGAAACTGAGCAGAAATCTATTTTGATCAACATCGCTCAGAGGAGGACCCGGGGACAAGATTCTGACAGACGGGGCAAACGTGCCCCCCTGACAAATGCCAAGGTAACTTGGACGACGAAAACTCGCACGGCGGAAACCCGCACGACGACGGAAACTCGCACGACTGAAGCCGAAGAAACAGTGACAATAAATGTCACCGAGTCAATGCCTGTCGAAGATATTCTCCAGAACCTCCCCTCGAAAAGGCCACGGAGGCAGAAATTGACGTCAGGAGCGCCAGGACCAAGTGAAACCCCTACATCCGCACCAGGTATCACTGTCACTTTAGTCCATTCTCTCTGTCGCTACCTGAGATTCTCTCATCTCGAGTACGCACCCGGGGCAGAAACCGCTCATACTAAGATTTCTCGCAGAGCGCGTGCCCTCCTACTCCCAAAAGCCTCTTTCCGCCATCGAGGAAGCCGATTCCCAAGGTAATTAACGAACTACATGTGTACCTCACAAGCGAGAAGACTAGTGATTGATTATACTGACCGTGCCAGCTGCAGAGCCCTTCCCGTGGCGCTCTAACAACGACGCTACCTGGGAACCCGCGATGGAACATCAAGACCTTGCCCCACCACCAAGTTTAAAAGACCGGAAAAATACCAGGCCGCCCCGCTCCAGGTTAACCCAACATTGATCGTGATTGAAAACGTACCAAGGCACATAATTACCCACCTAGTTGAATGGTTGATGAATAAGAAAACCAAACTACCCCTAGCTTTCCCAGCCTTAGATTCTCGCCGAGCGAAGCATCACGAAGAAGACAGAATCTCTAATCCCAGCAAAGCCAGCAAATGAAGAGCGTGACAAGCCCCTAGCCGCAGACTCTAGGACATGTTAAACAGGCTAAATAGATAGATGTAATTAATTATGTCGACGAGGGTTCAAGTTCGGCTCGCGTACTGGGAATCTGACCCATGTCTTATCATGTGCTTCCAAGCTGGAATGCCGCAAAGGTCCTAAAGAAGAAAGTAGACGTGAAATCATGCAAAACAAAACAAAAATATAAAAGGTGAGAGAAGAAGAAAGATGAAACCAAAACAACAAAAACCTGAACCCCCTGATTACGTCTCTAATAGCAACGGTGACGGCCGGACACCCTCCGAAAACGTCGCCTCCCACGCGGCCATGACACGCAAGATAGCTGCCTCGCAGCCGGCGGGGGCGAGGGCGAACAGCGAGAAGGCGCGGCCGTTGAATCGGGCGAAGCCGAGCGGCAGGTTGCCGATGGGGAAGCCGCCAGCGGCGCCGACGGCGGCCAGCATGGAGTCGCCGGGCGCGAGGATGACGTCTACATCGTGCGCGGCCAGGACCTTGTGTACGCTAGCGCGCGCAAACTCGCGCAGCGCTGCGAAGTTGCGCTCGTACTGCTCCTGCGTGATGGTCGTGTCGCGGACGGCTTCGAGGCCTTTTTGGTTGTCGTTTTCTAGTTTCAGAGCACACATTGCATTAGCCGTGTGATAGAGGCGATGAGGTGGGTCCGGTATTGGGGGTGGAGAGACCAACGCGCGTTGAACTCAATGTCGGCGTGGTCGAGGTTGAACTTGATGACCTCTTCGAGGGTCTGCGGCGCGCCCTCGAACAGCGACAGGTACCGGGAGAAGTTGGCTTTCATGGCGTAGGCTGCATACCCACAAGGAGGACGATAAGAAAAAGATTAGCCAACGAAGGCTTTCTCGGAGTAGAAAGAGGAGTCATTACGCCAAAGATCGTCTATATCGCCAAACTGCGGATCCGGCAGGGCTAGCGCAATCTCTTCCCAGGTCGGCAGAGGCAGCCCCTTGACGGCCCTCCCACCCAGCGCTTGAATTGTTTCCCGCGCCGCCTCGGTGGCGGCGTCCGTCTGCTGGAAAAAGTCGTCGACGTGCTCGGTCACGAACGAGGGCAGCCGCCACAGGGCGGGGTCGACGACGCCGACCTTGAGCCCGTCCCAGGTGCTGGGGAGCGGGTGGTAGTGGCCGGGATCGTGGAGCTGCATGATGGCCGAGAGCGTGGCCACGTCCGAGACTGTCTTGGCAAAGGGGCCCTGGCTGTCACACCCCGGCGCGCCGGGCTGGGTGCCCGCGTGGTCCACGCTGTCGGGCGTGAGCTTGATGGCGTACACGCCGGCCCGCGACGCGGGCCCGATGATGGAGCCGTCGAGCTCAGTCCCTATAGATAACGGCGCAAAGCCCGCAGCCACGGCAACAGCGCTGCCCGACGACGAGCCGCCGGGCCCCTGTCTATTGTGTCAGTGCAGGTTCATGTGCAGGGACTCGTGGGGGCGGTATTGTCGTTGGGTCCGGGGTGCACCAACCGAGGTCGTGTAGAATGTTGCATCGGGAGTCACGCCGCCTTTGACATACGGCGACTGAGTCTGGCCCCCGACAGCCGACCAACCGCACTGGAGCCCCACTCCCTTGGCATATCCCCACTCCTGTGGCATGTTTTAACAACGGCGTCCCCCTGAGGCTCATGTTTGTGTGTTTACTGACACTCAGGTTTGCCTTGGCAAGGAGGATGAGACCCGCATCGGCTAGCGTGTTGATGATGTTGGCGTCGGCTTTGGCCTTGGCTGCCATGAGGGCAAACGAGCCACATGTGGTGGGCATATCGACGGTGGTGAAAGAGTCCTTGCCGCGACTTTAGCTGGTGCTGCTGGCGAGGAAAGACACAGAGAGCAAGCACACCTTGATGATGTAGGGCACTCCATGAAGAGGGCCTCTGATCTTGCCCTGCTGTCGCTCTCGGTCAAGTTGCCGTGCGCGGGCGAGGAGCTTGCTGCGGTCGGCTACCGTGATTACGGCATTGAGCTGGAGGCCAGCCTTGTTGTGTTTTGCGATCTGGGCGAGATATAGTTCCACAGTCTCTTCACTGGTAATCTCGTTCTCGGTCAGCAGCCGCTGAAGTTCGACGGCTGTGAGAGTCAAGACGTCAACTGGGCGGGGTCAGTAATCTCTAGCAACACAACTTGAAACACAACAAATTGCCAACCTTGTCTTGTAGGCGCCATTGCTTCCGAGTAGAAAAGGGTACGTCTAATGATAAGACGAGTGATTAAAGGGAGTTGAGCAGCTGCAGCAAATCCTCCCCACAACCTTTTATGGCCTCGGAGGCAAAGAGGGAGCAAAAAGACGCCATGCTGGACTCGATCGTGAATGGCATGTCTGCCTTTCCAGATCCCAAAGGTTTGCGTATCGACCTCCCTAGGTGGGCAAGGCGGGGGATTGGATTTTGGGGACCGGTAATTGGGGACTTTGGGTAGAGGCTTCCCTTTCGGGTCCTGTTAGCGATGTTTCTGTACCGCCTGGGCTCTTCTAGCGCTCGCCAGCCGTGGAACAAGCGCGCTCCGTAAACTCCGAAGGCGGCCCGGCTCCGCATCCCCTGCCCAGCCATTGCCACGAGAGCTCCCGCCCGCGCGTGATTGGGTACCAAACTTTGCCAAAGTTTGGTTGCAGAAAGGTCCAGGCAGTTTTGTCGCAGGGTGGGGTCTCTGTGCAAGGGACTCTGGGCTTAGTAGAGACTCAATTTAACATCCCCGGAAACCGACTACCCGGCATGGGCCTTTATAATGGCGTTGGGACTTCAACAAATTCCCTACATGCATCGCGACTATCTAACCCCCTTAGCTCTCTGCAGGAGAACCGCCAGAAAATGGAATCGCGCATTTCAACAGTGCTGAGAAAAATCGTCACAATCGTTCTGCCTCTTCCTCCTCACGTCTTGGGATCAGATCTCGTTGCCATGGAAATACTGAGAGACTAGGTAAACCCCCCCCAAATAGCATCCCCTTTCCCTCTTCTCTCGGGCTTCTTTAGGTTTATTGTGTCTAGCCGAGTCTATTTCGGCGAACGGATAGGGATGAACGACATATCTCAAGCCCAGTGCATGCAAAAAGTAGTACAGTACCAGGCGCCCGGGTCAGAGCCAAGAAGTGCTGAGCTATCACGCCATCACATTGACGAATGCATGGCACTATTTAGCCACTGAAGGAAAGAGACAGACAGTGAATCTGTCGCCAAGAACACGGACACAACTACGTGTCAAATCCCCAATACGACGGCGACACGCCAACCAGAATACGCCTTGGAGCGCAGGTGTGGTTGAACAAGGAGTGTGGATGCCCAACGGCATCCGCATACGCGTATTTTAGCCCTTGCTCTCACTCACGCACGCTTATCTACTTTCACTTGGCGGCAACTGGATCCAGAGACCGGGACAGAGACGAAAGTCCTCCACATAGTTGCCGACTTCATGGTGGGCGCAAACTATCGCTAAATAGCGCAGAAGGATTCTCAAACAAAATTAGCAACAAGCGCTCCTCTCCTATCAGGTAATCAAGTATCATCAATAACTAAGATATCACAATTACCCGAGGCACTCAAACGCACAATTCCTCCCTTAATTACACAGGCAACATCTCGCATGCCAGTTTCTACCAACACCAATTGCGTCACAGTTCAAAAAAGGATCTCTGCGTTTCCATCTGGAGCCAAGATGGGCAATTAACGCCCATCCAACAGATGGCCAGTCACCATTCTGGTCATGAAACTCGAGACTAACCCGAGCTGGAATCAGCAAGCTGACTCTCCCAACCAAGTGTGGTCCTAGCCACTGCGAGTCCGCGGCAGCACACCACCTCAGCGTCTTTTCTAGCGGCCGAGCTCGTCAGGCTCGGAGTTGGTGCCGCAAAGAACTTGTGTAAACCAGGCTAGGTATGTTTTGTGGAGGGGGGGCTGGGGGGTGAGGCTCCTAGGATTGATTCGCTTACACTCGAATGCGTTTCATTTGTCTACGCTCCTTGCTCACAACTGCACACTTTTCTCAGTATCGAAACCATTCTCCTCATCGTGCCTATTTTATTGCACTGGCTGGTTACCTGAGTGGGAATTAATCGTATGCATATGGGCCGACTTCGGAGAAAATAATGAAATAAAAAAAGAGGCATTGATCTTACGTCGACAGTAGTTGGGGGTCAAGAACAAGAGACAGGCTAGGCAATTGCCATGACAGCCGTCTCGGAGCATTGCCGGGTCTAATGAAAAGCACCCGTAGTCCTCTCCGCTTCACGGCTGTATAATAGCCAGGAAAGATTTTAACTCTTAATTCAAAGGGAACACAGGTTGGCCGTACACCTCCATGAAACCTGCCTGAAGAGCATAATTTTTCTCTTTAGGCACAGAGACTGGGGTTAGAGATTGAATGCCGTCGATGCATTTGTGATCCAGCAATATAGACAAGATGAGATGACAGAGCCAGCTCGTGGTAAATACTTGGTATTTGTCACCTATGAGATGCTGAATATGCAGAGAAAAGACTCCACTCGGGCAGCATCATGAAGTCTCAGTCAGCTCCAATTTCTCTTACTCAACACCCGCACTGCAACGTTGAGCATCTATCTGTCGAATGTGTGATTCAACCCCCAGAGGCAGGCAAGAGGGGCCTTGTAACATTGCCTCAATAATCCTGGCGCCATGCTGAGGCGGATCGCGGCTTGGCCAAACAAAACCACGGTGGTCGGCAACCCTGCTACTTGATTATTTGCACAATGCGTCAAGAAATACCGAAACGTAGAACCAGGCCACGATCACGAAAAGGCAAGAAAGCTACTGGTTCCTCACTGCATCAACGCAAAGCGCAAGGCCTCCGCGGAAAAGACATCCCAGCTGAGAAGTTCAGGCCCAAGTGGCGGAGAACATCGGGTCTTCAACGGTTCTGTTCGTCAGGACTGGTTGACAGGTTCCGTGTCGAAGCCATCATTTGCTTGGTGTATGTCTAGAGTGCGACCAACACAGATGAAGGAAACCGAACCGTCTCAGTCCTGCACGGCCTAATATAATTTCACTAGCATTGTGTACATAAACGCGTGCCCGGGTTCCTCTCCCGCGCATGTTCTCGTCTGCGCCGCGACGCATTTATTTCGCTGCTTGGATTGAAGACATCGAACCCATCCACATAGCAACACTCGACTAACGCATTCGGATGCGATATAATCCTGATATTCTGAGCGCATTCACAAAGGCAATTGCACGACGAACATCAATTGGATCAATCGCCCGGTTGCGCGCGGCAAAGTTGCATCGAGGAGACACTTAAACCTTGCCCCCCATGCCATCTTCAAACACACAAAAGAAAACCCAACGCCCTTTTTTTTGTCCTTTTCCCCCAGACTGTTATCTGCCAAGGCAGTCATCCGCCAAGGAAGGGAAGGCGAGGGTTCGGCCATCCATCTGAACAATCTGACATCCAGCCACATCGTTGTCGCCTCGGCGTGCCTCAAAATCAGCCGGCACATACGAGCATTTCTTACGCTAAGGGGGGGATCCCAGCAACCCAGCTTTGCTGACGGCCACGGAGAGCACCCCCCAAGTATAACGTCATACAACTAGAAGAGAACTTTATTTCCACTGCGAACCGCAGACTTTCTGGATTGGACGTTTCAATGCTAGTCTGGTCGGATTCTTTTCAAATTGTGGTTGCTTCAAGTTGGTTGTTTACTGGTGTCAAAGTTGGCGGCGGATGTGCTCGACATATCGAACACGGCAGCCAACCGACAGCAACGGGTCGGTGCCGTCCCCACAATTCCCTCCTTCCAAGTATTGCGCAAGATCGACATATTTCCCTCAAAGAAAGAGGAATGGAACTGAACGCCCGAGAAAGTCGGGGAGACGGAGAGAGGCGCCAGGATGGGTGCGGGGGGTTTGCCGAACTATTCATGGCGGATGGAGCCATTTCCCTCCCCGCATATATGGCGGCAGGATACTGGTGCATAGTCTCATAGTTGCATTCCTTTGATACTCGGCAATGAATGGGTTCGTTGAAAATCGAAACCTGGCACTTGCTTCAAAGTCCGTCGTCAGGCCTCGGCACGATTAGCAAGAGGCGGAAACGGGCCGTCCTCCCCTGCCTTCACAGAAAAGCCTTGTTTGGGAGCTTCCATAGCCGCAGATATGAAGCATGGAGCATTGATTGTTCGCAATCATTTTTAGGCAAGGTTTTATGGAAACTTTGACCACCTGCCGTCGGTGAGAATGGGTCTGCAAGGATGTATTCCACTTGTTGCGGGTCAGATCCGTCGAGGATACCTCCCGCGGCGGAAGAAGCGTGATAAGGAAAGAGATCTTCATAACTTCTAGTATAAACCCACTCCATCCTGGCTAGCTTCGTAGATCTGTTAATCTAGGACTTGCGATTAGCTTCACATAGAAACGGAAAGGACCCCCACTAACATTAGCTGGCCGCCCAAGTGTGGGCACTCGGGGGTTTACGATGACAATTCACTGCGAGGAGGTGAGTAAGGCTGCCCTTGAAACCTCCCCGTGGGAATTACTCTGATGTGAGATCAAAAGGAGAGCAACAGCCTTGTTAACCAGGCACAATCTAAGGACAAAATTGCATTTAATCACAGTCTTATTGCCGTCGCCGCAATAGACATTGCTTCGTTTTGCAATTGATTCGGGTTGGTGACGGGAGGGCCTTTGAATGGATGGAAGGATCGGGGACCGACGGGTATCGGCACGGCTAACTTTATTTGCGCTGCTTGGCATTTGCATTCGCACCGCTGAAAGTTGGCGGGGGGGTAGGGAGTGGGTGGTGCTGGGAGCCCCGCAGGACGCTGGTGCTCTGAACCTGTAGAAGGGATGGATTCTCCATGGACCTGCCGGACAAATTCCGATAACGATTCATCAAGGTCCAAGGGATTTTTTGAGGGTTCCGCAAGACTGGAAATAACAGAAACGGTCCTTTGGTCTTGAAACGACGAGGCCTGCTGGTCCAGGTCTGCAAGTGTTTCGGCCCTATTGGAGTCTGGAGTCGCACCGAAGACCCTTCCATGACAAAGTGTCCCTCTGCGGCCGACCTTTGCGCGATGCAAAACAACCCCTAAAATGGAAAAAAACGCGCGAAGATTCCGTTTAACTGACCAAAGACTTGATGACGGCAAGTTCTCCGCAGTCGCAGCTTGTTGGGAATGTGCTGCTGGTCGAACTGTGAATTGTGTTGGCGCGGTTTCTTGAAACAAATTCTTGGCTAGCGGTCCCTAGCCACAGAAGCAGCCCCGATGGGGCGACGAACCATCCATTCCCATTCCCCCTAAAAGTGGATGGGATGGGTGGGGCGTAGGTCCGATGGCGCTAATCGATAACCAGAACCCCACTGTGTCGTCATTAGTGGGGCAGGTCTGGGATGGACCCTGAGAGGACCCTTGGGCTTGGCCGCCCGGGCAGGTGCAAGATCCGCGAGACGGCCAGAGACGAGGGCCGGACACGAGGATAACACGGGGCAAAAGCGTGCAACCGGGCCCCGAACGAGGGGAGGGGGGCGCCGACAGGGCTTGTTTGAGGCGGTGTTGCTAGCAGGCCAGCAGGGATGTTTATTCGACGACGAGCAATGACCGATGCACGCGGGCTGGAATGGCAGGCTTCAGTCCAAGATCAGGGTTCTTGCGATGCTGCAACGCGACAAAAGGGTCTGAGATCGTCGACCGACCTGCGGACAGGATGCATGGCGGAACGTCAGAGGTACGAAGTACCGAAGACCCTTATCAGGTAGCCGTTGTGGCTAGCTGGTTTGCGTACTACGTAACACGCAAAAAGGATTTGGAAAGCGTCTTCTTGCAGCGATCGTCACGGAGGAAACGTCTTTTTGGGGCTTGGTGTTTTCGAGCTTCGACGTCACTCTTCCGTGGTCCGGCTTTAATCGACAAAATCGACAGGGCATCGGGCCGACAGAAGGAGATCGGGTGTGGGTAATGACGAAAGGCTCGACTTCAATCTCGGACGGCGGCGGCGTCCAACCTCTTGCACGCCAAGAAACAAAGCCAATGGCGAGGGATATGAGATTAAACATCGTGAAGCGGCTCAAGTGACCTATTGTCGTTTCCGCAAGCGATACCGCAAGCGGCTTGCAAGCCATCGTGGCTTGAGCCCTTACGGGCCTGCCGAATCGAGACACGCATATCTGACCCTGCCCACGAACCCCCACCTCACTGCAACGGGATTTACAGGTACTCGGGTGCGCTCCAGGGCGGGTGGTTCTTGCAGTTTGGACCCTGATTTTACCACTCCACGCAGCCATTTCAGCGCGATGCCGGGCCGGGTCTGTGATACGTTGCACAGTATCCGGTCATCCACGAATTCGGCCAATGTGGAAAAGATGACAGGGCAGTTTCGATTTTTTACATGCGCCTCGCGGCTTCCGCGCCGTCGTCAACAATATCCGAATCTAATTTGCCTTGCAACCTGCCCGGGTTGTCGGCCGCGAAGGCGTACGGCAGCGCAGCCGGGGAGCAGGCCCTTGCAGCCCGTTCCAGGGCAACATGGGTGCATTGGCTGCACGGCGACAATCACGAAGGACATGGGGGTAAAACAATGCTTAAATAAATCGAGCAGAAAAACGGGAATCGGGCTTTCCATAGTCGGGCATTGCGTGGCCAGTGTTTTGACTTTGGGCCTGATTCCTCAACAATCTCTGCCTGCGCGACTAATGGGGCTTGCCGTCTGCCCGGCCGCCCCATTGCCACGTTTGAACCTTTTATGTTGACCATGACGCCACAAGGGAGGGCAGGCCGCGTGCACGAGTTTTTCGGTGCTTAACGGGACGCGAGCCAATCCCGAGAGGCGTAGGTGGCTGGCTGGCTGGCCCGCGACTCTGGTCTGCAGACAAAAAAAATATTGTTCTTCTTGCAATTGCTTCTTGTGTTTGAACCAGGAAGTTACAGCACGGTGGGGGGCCCTGCAAATCGTACACATACGTATAGCAACCGAAACTTCGCATGCGCGGGCCCAGGGAAGGTGGTCCTGGTGGAGGTGGGGCGGTTCTGCACACCAGCACCATTCTATGGCTTCTCCGTTACTGCTAGTAGTAGCATTAGCAGAAAGCCAAGCCACACATGAACCGCCGTGGAAACTGCGGGCCCATCGATGATGCCAACAAGCCAGCCATTCCTGCTTTGGCTCCGTCTTCACCACGGTTGACGGCCCCACGGCCCAGCTAAGGTATCCTACCTAACCTAGAGTACGAAGTACCTTTGGTAGTGCCCCGCGATTAGCGAGACATGTCATGGGCCCGCAAACCCGCAAGCCAGAGCTGTATAAGAGCAAAGACTGCGCTGCCCCGTTGTTCTTCCGACCGTTCTTTCTCAGCACGATCCCCATTAGACGTCACCCGTTCTCCAGGCCATTAAACTTTGAGAACCCTGCCTACCCCCTCTCCTCAACCTGCCCATCCCTTCAATCTAGCAGCCCCAACCCACAACTACAACCCCAACCCAACCCAACATTCGCCAATATGTCAAGCGGCAGTAGTAGTGCTCCTTCTAAAAAGGCCGTCCACTTCGGTGCCGGAAACATCGGTATGCAGATCATCCACCTGGTCCTTCTGCGGGGTGGCGACGTTAACAAATGCTGACTTTCTTTGTCTAGGCCGTGGCTTTGTCGCCTGCTTCCTGCACCAGTCAGGGTACGAGGTCATCTTCGCCGATGTCAACGACAAGACGGTAAACAAGATCAATTCGATCAAGTCATACAAAGTAATAGAGGTTGGCTCCGAAGGCACCTCTGAGTCTGTCATCACCAACTACCGCGCCATAAACTCCAAGACAAACGAGTATGAGCTCGTCAAGGAGATCTCCGAGGCGGATATCGTCACTTGCGCTGTCGGCCCCAACGTCCTGAAGTTCATCGCTCCCCTCATCGCCAAGGGCATCAGCAAGCGATCAAATGACCAGACTCCGCTTGCCGTCATCGCCTGCGAGAATGCCATCAACGCCACGGACACGTTGGCAGAATTCATCAAGGCCCCGGAGAACACTCCCCTAGAGGAGTTGGAAGATATCGACAAGCGCGCTCGGTTTGCCAACTCGGCGATTGACCGCATCGTCCCGGCCCAGGACCCCAGCGCTGGCCTAGACGTCAAGCTTGAGAAGTTCTACGAGTGGGTCGTCGACCGCACTCCGTTCAAGGACCACAAGCCCCCCAAGATTGAGGGCATCCATTGGGTTGACAACCTCGAGCCCTTCATTGAGCGCAAGCTGTATACTGTCAACACGGGCCACGCCACTGCTGCGTACCACGGGTACAACCGCAGGAAGAGCACCGTCTACGATGCTCTACAGGATCGCAGCATCCAGGACGAGGTCAAGAAGGCACTCAAGAACACAGCCGAGCTCATCACACAAAAGCACGGCATCGACCAGAAAGAGCAGAACGAGTACGTTGAGAAGATCGTGCGACGTATCAGCAACCCCCACTTGGAGGATGCCGTAGAGCGTGTGGGTCGTGCCCCGCTCCGGAAGCTCAGCCGCAAGGAACGCTTCATCGGGCCTGCGGCCCAGCTCGCCGAGCACGGGAAGGATTGCTCGGCCCTCATGGGCGCTGCCGAGATGGCATTCCGTTTCCAGAACGTCGAGGGCGACGCTGAGTCGGCCGAGCTCGCGAAGATTATGGAGGTAAATACTCCCGAGGACGTTGTCAAGCAAGTCTGCGGCCTGCAGCCTAGCGACAAGATCTTCCCGCAGGTGGTCGAGGTCGTTAAGCGCGTCCAGGCCGACACGCAGGAGTCCGACGAGTAGATGCGAATTTTCCCGACAGTTTTTTTTGAGCCGGCGTTTGGGGTACCTCCGTTTCCAAGGGACAATCGGAGTGGGTTGCAAGCTGGAAACTTGGCGCTGCGGTCGTCTGCATGCAGCTAACAACTGAGGACGAGCGGAACATGGACCACGGCGTTCATTGGTAGCGAGTATAATGATAGACATGGGAATTATGACATGCCCGGCATTTTCGGTTGGGTTTGGAGCGATCTGGGGTTTATTTGCCCTCTCTCGTTTCTCAGTTTTTCTTCTTCGAGTTTTTTGCTCGCCTGTTGGCTCTTAAAGCTTTCGGGATTTCTGCGGAGTCATTAAATCCCAAATAGACTGATAGACGTCAAAATGGGCTTATAGACGCAAATAAATACTCTGAACTCACCTGCCTGACATGCACCGGCGTTGGCCGAGCGATGCATTAGCATCTACATTAGACGTTGAGCGTGATGTTGGATGTCGTCAAGGAGCTGACGAGACGTGAACTTGTCCCATGCCCCCATGACTTTCTTCAGCCCCAAAAGGGGGGTTCGGTTTCAGTTGCAGCCTTAGCCCCTGAGGCACCAATACCGGATTATGTAACGTTGTGACCCACTTTACCATTGAGAGACCACATCGGCGAAATTAAGGAATTAGGTGAATGGAGTCGAGATACGTGGCGGGCATCCTCGAAATCCAAGACGACGACGCCGCGCAGAACGCCATCTTGACGGCCTACCACTCGCGACCTGCTGCCCCGAAAACCCGGCCTGCTCGCATTCGAACGCTGTAGACGACGACACGCAGTTGACAGGTGTGGCTTCGTTACGAATCGAGGTGGCCTTGTCAATTACGGTGAACCGTCGGCCCCCTTGCCCCGCTTGAGCTTCGAAGCTCGACGCCGCTTGATCGCAATTCCCTTGCGCTTCTGCTATTCGCTTTCTGTCCAAGATGAGGCTGGACGTCAAGGCAAGTCTGCGACACCTTCGGCTCCCTGGACATGTCTTGTGCCACGGCGAGACAACCTGGCCACAAGCTGCCCCTGCGCACGATCCATCCTCGCCCTCGACAGCTCGTCTCTGCCCAGCCCGCTGGTCGCATGCCACCTCCAACACCGCCAGCTTCACAAACCCCGACCAAAGCAGCGTGCTGGATGACATCTTGCTAACATGGCGTTAAACATACAGCGCCAGCTATTTGCTCGCTCTGAGGTTGGTCTACCTAACCCTCTCTCAAAACAACCCCCTCTTCGCCCGACTTGTCGCTTATAAGCCATCCAAACAGCGAGTTAAAGGCATCGATTTCCACCCGACCGAGCCATGGATTCTCAGTATGCGCCCCCGTATCCTCTGGGATGCCCACTACATAGTTTCTGACACCATCTCCCAACAGCGACGCTTTACAGCGGCCATGTCTACATCTGGTCCCACGAGACACAGCAGATCGTCAAGACATTCGAGCTCACCGATGTGCCCGTTCGCGCCGGACGGTTCGTTGCGCGCAAGAACTGGATTGTCTGTGGATCAGATGACTTGTACGTTCACAGAGGCGCAACATGGGCGTCGTTTTTGCTCCTGCGTGGGTGAGGTGTTGCTGACTTGGGCTTGCAGCCAAATTCGCGTCTACAATTACAACACAAGCGAGAAGATCACGTCCTTCGAGGCCCACCCCGACTATATCCGAGCGATCGCGGTTCACCCGACACAGCCCTTTGTTCTGACTGCCAGTGATGATATGTCAATCAAGCTCTGGGATTGGGACAAGGGCTGGAAGAACGTCAGGGTATTCGAGGGCAATTCACGTACGAGGACAAGAATGCAGCTACGCGACATGTACCAGGAAGCTAACCAGATGTCTAGATTATGTCATGTCCTTGGCAATCAACCCCAAAGACACCAACACGTTCGCCTCGGCTTGCTTGGATAGAACAGGTAGAGTGCCCTCTCTGCGCGCCGGTTTTCTAGGTCTAACCTCGAGGGTAGTAAAAATCTGGAGCTTGGGGTCTTCCACGCCCAACTTCCAGCTGGAAGCGCACGAGACAAAGGGCGTTAACCATGTCGAGTACTATCCCCACAGCGATAAGCCGTACCTGCTTACGACATCGGACGACGTAAGGGAATCACACCGATCACCTCAGGTCTCGGCCATGACTTGCTAATCGCCTCCCCTACAGCGGACCGTTAAAATCTGGGATTACACCACCAAGAGCTTGATTGCTACCCTAGAAGGCCACACCAACAACGTGTCGTTTGCTTGCTATCACCCAGAGCTGCCCATCATTATATCTGGGTCTGAAGATGTACGTTTGGCTTTTCTGGGTTTGGCTTGGACAGGCGCTAACCGGCACATAGGGCACAATAAGGATATGGAACGCAAACACGTACCGCTTCGAGCAGTCCCTAAACTATGGCTTGGAGCGGGCATGGTGCGTGGCGTACCAGAAGGGCAAGCAGAGCATTGCTGTGGGATTCGACGATGGCTCGGTGGTAATCAAGCTTGGCCGCGAAGAACCGGCTGTGTCGATGGATGGCTCAGGGAAGGTAATCTGGGCCCGGCACAATGAAGTGGTGTCTGCTGTGATTAAAGGCGGTGGTAAGTACATGGTACGGCTCCCGTTTCCGGATCGAACTAACATTCACAGACGCATCTATCAAAGACAATGACCCAATTTCGCTCCCCACAAAAGAGCTCGGGACTGCCGAAGTGTACCCACAGACACTTATCCACTCCCCCAACGGGCGATTTGCGGCGATTTGCGGCGACGGTGAATACATCATCTACACCGCCCTGGCGTGGCGCAACAAGGCGTTCGGCTCGGCCCTCGACTTTGTCTGGGCGGCCAAGGAGAATTCGAACGATTTTGCTATCCGCGAGTCGCCGAACAGCATCAAGGTGTTTAAGAATTTCCAAGAAAAGAAGGGCGGCCTTGACGTCCCCTTCTCCGCCGAAGGGCTTACCGGCGGCGTACTTCTCGGTGTCAAGGGCCAAGGGGGCATCTCCTTCTTCGACTGGCAAACCGGAGGTCTCGTCAGGCGCATCGAAGTCGAGCCCAAACAAGTCTACTGGAGCGAGAATGGGGAGCTTGTGGCCTTGGCATGCGAGGATACGTACTATGTGCTCAGGTTCTCTCGAGAGAACTACACCGCTGCTGTCCAATCCGGCCAGATCGAGGACGACGGAGTTGAAGCTGCTTTTGACGTTATCACCGATATCAATGAGAGGTAAGAACCGAGTTCAACAGGAGGCTGTGTTTGAAGCCGTTGCTAAAGCGTACAATAGCATCCGGTCGGCCGAATGGCTGGGAGACGTTCTGATCTACACCAACGGAACCAACCGCCTGAACTACTTGGTCGGCGACCAAACATACACGGTAGCGCATTTTGACAAGGCCATGTACATTCTGGGCTATCTCCAACGCGACAGCCGGGTGTACCTTACCGACAAGGACCTCGCCGTTACCTCATATGCTCTCTCTCTGCCCGTTCTCGAGTACCAAACTCTCGTCCTCCGCGGGGACATGGAGACCGCTGCGGAGCTGCTTCCAAGCATCCCTCAGGACCAGCTCAATAAGATTGCCCGTTTCCTCGAAGGGCAAGGCCACAAGGAGTTGGCGCTCGAAGTCGCGACAGACCCGGAGCACAAGTTTGACCTTGCGCTGGCGCTCAACCAGCTTAGCATTGCGTTGGAACTGGCGCGGCTGTCGGACGTGGATCACAAGTGGAAGACCTTGGGCGACGCGGGCCTCGCAGCATGGGACGTCCCTCTCGCTACCGAGTGCTTTGTGAATGCAAAGGATCTAGGCTCTCTGCTTCTCGTGTACAGCTCGACATCGGATCGAGAGGGGCTTTCTTCCCTTTCCGAGAAGGCCGAGGCTGCTGGAGCACACAATGTGGCTTTCAGCTGCAAGTGGCTGCTTGGCGACGTGCCAGGCTGCGTCGAGATCCTGACCAAGACGGGCCGCCTCGCGGAAGCCGCCTTGTTCAGCCAAACATACAAGCCCAGTCTGACGGCGGGCGTGGTGGCTCAGTGGAAAGCGGGTCTGGAGAAGAGCAAAAAGGGCCGTGTTGCCAAGGCCCTGGGGGTCCCGGTTGAAGATGAGGAGCTATTTCCCGAGTGGGATGAATGGCTAAAATTGGAGAACGAGGCCCCCCCTGTCGAGGCGGCTGATGCTAGCAACTCTAACGGCCATGCTGCTGATGGCGAAGAAGCTTCCGAGGATGCGGCAGCAGAGGAAGAGGAGTAATAGCAAGTGCTTGCCGGGGTGCCCTTGCCGGGTAGCTCATGCGGTGGTCATCACAGAAAAGGCGCGTGTTCGGATAATAAATACAGGAAATGTTGTCTTTCTCACTGGCCCGATGGGTGAAGAGGTCTTGGCTCTTAGCGAACGCGCAATAACAATGTTTTGTATTGCTTGGTTGTTCTAAACCGAGGTGGACGTGGATGGACGTCAACTTGAAGTTAGGAGAGTCGATTCGTGCCAGCAGGGTTGGCGTTCCTCCGAACTCTGATTCCGATGACTCGGGATTCCGCCTTCAGCTCCCCTGGCCAACCAACCAGATTGAGCTGACGGGGCGTCTGGGCTGTCTGGGCTGCCTGGGCTGTCTGGGCTGTCTGGGCTGTCTGGCGCCTTGCCTGCTAGGGCTAGGCGATCGGAAGCGGTGGGTCTTCAATCTCTCCAATCCTCGTGCTGGTAAGCAGCGATTACGGCCGGCTGGTACGGCTCCAGCAACTTGCCGTTGGCAGCCAAAACCTGCAGCATTTCTTCGTCGAGATACCATACCTATATATTTTGTAAACTTGGGGCGCGACAACTATCTAACATCTCCAAAAGAAGCTCTATTTGGCTGCTCGACTTGAGTTGCCCCTCTTCCGTGCGCCGCCCCTCCTCAACCCCGCAAATTCCATCGTCCACGCGGTGGAAATAGCCGCCACAATGACGGGCACGACACGGTCCAGCTCAGATCACTCGCACCTGCACAAGCACAAGTCGTCGGCAAGCGCAGCCGCCGACAAAATTGGCTATCCGCATGGCCATCTGGGGTTCCTCAGCGGGGAGGAGGAAGAGGCGCTGCGCAGCTTCAAGGTCTTTTTGGAGGAAAAGGGCTACTTCAAGTCGTCGCCGCCTTCGCACGACGACCAGACCCTCCTGTACGCTTGCTGCTTGCCCCTACCCCCTCCTACTACGAGCGACCTGCTAGCATCTCGCGACGGGCAGCATTGCGCCGTACTCGCTGTTTGCGCATTCCCTTATCTGAATCTGCTGCTAACCTTGGGCCGTCGACGACAGACGCTTCCTCCGCGCGCGGAAATGGGCCATCCACGATGCCTTCCAGCAGTTCAAAGACACCGAGGACTGGCGGGAACGCAACCAGCTCGACGTCCTGTACGACACGATAGACTTGGAGGCATACGAGCAGGCTAGGGGACTGGTACGAGATTATCCTGGCCCCGGGAAATTTTAGCTGAAACTGTTGGGAAGAGGACGTTGCGCTGACCGGCTTCCGCCTACTTTGAATGCAGTATCCCCAATGGACCGGACGGAGAGATAAGAGGTCTGTCTATACCCGCTCCATGTATCCTTACCTCGCAGCGGCGGCCGCCATAAGCCCTCGTGCATGCGCATGCTGACAGCTGCTTTGCTTTGTACAGAGGCATCCCACTCTACGTGTTTGAGATCCGCCATCTCGAGTCCAAGACCATCGCAGCCTACGAGAAGAGCGCGGCCGACGCGAGAGACAGCAAAGCCGAGACGGACGGGTCAACGCCAACCAAGCTGCTGCGGCTGTTTGCGCTCTACGAGAACCTGACGCGCTTCGTGCAGCCCATGTGCACGCAGCTGCCGGACCGCGACAGCGCGGGCGCGCCCATCACGCTGAGCACAAACATTGTCGACGTCACGGGGGTGTCGCTGCGCATGTTCTGGAACCTCAAAAACCACATGCAGGCCGCCTCGCAGCTGGCCACGGCGCACTACCCGGAGACCCTCGACCGTATCTTCATCATCGGCGCCCCCTACTTTTTCAGCACCGTGTGGGGCTGGATCAAGCGCTGGTTCGACCCCGTCACCGTGTCCAAGATTTTCATCCTGTCGGCGAGCGAGGTGCTGCCGACGCTCCAGTCGTTCATCGACATCAAGAACATCCCCAAGCAGTACGGCGGCGAGCTCGAGTTCGACTACCCCGGCCGCCCCAACCTCGACCCTTTCCTCCTCGACCGCGCCACGTGGGCCAACGGCCACACGGCCTTCCCCGTGGGCCCCATGTACTGGCTCCCCGTCGAGGGCGGCAAGGAAGTAGAGTGCATTGCCGTCGGGCGCAAGGACAACGTCGAGCGCCGCGAGCGCGTCTGCACCCTCCCCGTCGTGTACCCGCCCGCCGAGGAGGCCAAGGAGGAGAAGCCGTCCGCCGAGGTGGTCGTGGCGCCGCCCGCCGCCGCCGACCCTGCAGAGGCCAGCGCCGAACAGCCGGCGTCGACGAATGGCGCCCCTCCTTCCGCCACGGAGGCCGAGGCCGGGGCCCTGCCGGCTGCCGTGCAGACACTAACCATTGCCGAAGACGAGCAGAGCGCGCCGTCCGAGGCCAAGATCGAGATCTCGGAGAAGATAGCCGCATCGGGGGCGACCGCGGAACCCACGGCGGCGGCGACCGAGGCGAAGACAGCGGCCCCCGTATCGGTGTAATCGCGCCGACGACCTTTATCTTCATGTCTCTTCTTGAAGCCTCTCTGTGTTCAGCGACTCGCGCCTCGTCCTTAGATTTTGAAGCGAGCATCTTGCTTGGATACCATACAGTAGAGTATATGTCTTTCCACTCTCCCACCCCTTTATTATGTTATGAATATGCATTGGCGCTGCGCATGGACAGCTGCGGGCTTTTGGAGCACAGCATATAGCAAGCACCCCATCACTTTATCATAGTGTCCTAGCATCTTGGCTTAGAGAGCACTGCGTCATGTCTGTTTAATTTGGAGGACACACGGTACGGAGCCTTGGTTATTATTCTGGCCGTGGCAGTGGGGGGGTAGGGTGTGGTGTGGCAGTGCGGAAGCGAAAGGTAGTTTCTTGCTCCTGCGTGGGAAGATGGCTCCCTTGCAATCACGGAATGACGATTAGATGTTAGTGCTCCATACATGAGATGGTTTGTGGATAATTAATTGCCTTTGGCTAGGGCAGGTCTTGGAGGAAATACAAATGGTATAATTGATGCTTGATGCTTACTTGTGTCCGTAATTTGCCGCATATCTTCGTTGTCTGCAGACACGTTAATCACAAAGTTCAAAGATTAGTTAGTTACAAAACAATCCCATCTCGTTCTTTGGCAGGCTTCTCTCCATTGGGTTAAATATCCCGTTTCTTCTTGTCCCACTAAACAACCCAGCCCGGGAACGATTACCCGAAAATGCGGGCACGGGGCTGGCCGAAAACGAGATGACGGCAGCGTCAGCTAAGCTCAGCCCAAGGAGCAACAAACAAAGAAATGATTAGAAAATATTTTCCGTGATCAAAAATTCTGGACGGCAATATTTCCGTTCCGAAAAACTGTATCATTGCCCGTTTTTGGGGTATCTGTAACGAATAACGCCGGATCCTTCCCTTGCCCTCAAATGCAAAACGCCTTTTTCCTCGCTCTCTCCTGTGGTGAGATAGAGCACCACGTCAGATATCAGCCGTCTAATCGACGGACGACGCCCGCAGCCCGCAAACATCGATTGTATCGTACAAGACCGCACGCGGCAACCCGTATCACGCACACACACACACACACACACACGCACACGCGCACATACACACACACACACACACGCACACGCGCACACACACACACACACACACACGCACGCTTACACTGTCCTCCGCAATCTGATTTTCGTGCACGCACAATCGCGATAGCCCAAGCCAAGGACGAGAATCACTCCACGCCGCGGTTGGCGCGCCACTGCCGAATCCCGCGGTCGAGCGCGTGCCACGACAGCCCGCTGCTCGACGGCACTAGGCACATGGTGACGCCGAGGGTCTCGACGACGCGGTTGGGCCGCTCGTCGTCGAAGAACAGCATCTCCGTGAAGGCAATCCCCGTGCGCCGGAACAGCGCCTCAAAGTGCCGGACCTTGGACCCCTCGTAGATCTCGAGCCCTGCGTCAAACACTTCTATAACACGCGGGCCCTTTTCCGGCGCCGCTGCACCCTCAGCCGCCGCCGGGACGGGCGACCACGGGAAGCGCTCGGGCGTCCCGCCGCCGGGCAGGCGCAGCTGCTTCAGCATGTCGCGGCACAGGTCGCCGACGGGCGACTTACTGGCGACGGCGAGGCGCGTGCCGCGTAGGGAGGTGAGCAGGCGCAGCATGTGCGGCGCGTCCGGGAACAGCGAGAACGCCTCGCCGTTGCGGTCCGTCAGCGTGCTGTAGCCTGCCTTGCTAAGCGGCGGCGCCACGTGTATGTCAGAGTAGAACGGCCATAGCGTGTAGTCGAGGTCCAGCACGATCAGTTGGGGTAGAGGCAGGCCGTCGTGCAGCCAGGCCGGTGGCGGTGTCGTGTTGATGCTGGGGCTGCTGCTATTGTCGGCGTCGGGGACTGGCGAGGCTGTACTCGAGGCGGCTGGGGAGAAGGAGAAGCTCGTCTTGGACAGCTTCCTGGGCCGCATGGTTGTGTGCTGTTGTGCTGCTGGGAGGCCGCGGGTGGTGAGGCGGTCTCGGTGTTCGTGGTCTTGGCTGCTGTGCGGCGGACAGCTGTCGGTGGGGGAGCGGGGCAGCACACTCGGGCGCACAGCGGCTCGGCTGCGTGATGGGAATAACCGGGTATGGGGTCGGTCGTTGTGAATCTGTCGGTCTTTTGCTCGAGAGAGATCTTGCTGGCCGTCGTACTGGACTTTGTGCCGCGTGGTCGTCCGTATTGTCGTGTCGTTTGCTTGGTCAGGCTTTCGTCAAGAGTGTCCGGCTCCCTAATCCCGACTTCTGGTGGTTCATGCTGACTGCGGGGAATGCGGGGACGTCGCGAATCCGATGACGGAGTGCGGCAAGGGTTAGGGTTGGTGCTGATAAATTCTGATAAATCACCGTGGCTGCTTCCTGTTCTGACAACTCGGGTCAACTCCGAGACGACAAAAAATGTAACTCCGCCCAGCGCGCGTTCCCAGCCCTGCCATTGGCGTCCAAGCCATGGTAACTGCGCTGCTCTCGGTGAGATTTGGCTTACACTACTGTGAACAGGGGGCGAGAAGTTTTGTTTTAAACTTTTGTGATCAGAGGCCAGCCTTCGGCCCTTGTCCTTGTCCTTGCCGCTGCCATGCGCGTCCTTTTCGTGTCGAGTTCCACAGCAGGACTCGGGAGTGAATCTTCTCTAATTATCTACCTCGAATACAGCCTGATGAGAGCAACTGCACGAGTCTGGCCGCCCAGACGCCGAACGTCTTCGCCGCGGCGGTTCAGCAGCCATGTGGGCTGACGGTGAATTAAAGCCAATATTATCCGGCGCTCGCCATTGGGCCGGAGCGTCGTATCACCGGCCAGGCCATGGATAACTGCCGCCGTGGATGGGAATATGGAACCACGACTTATTTGCCGTCTTTCCACCTGCCTAGAGGTACTGCGTATGGTTGGGCCCGCCCATCGCCGGCCCCTGGGCGTTACCCCAACCCCACCGCCGGTCCCCGCGGTCGCACGCTAGCTGCGGTCACAAGCCCCTCACTGCGCTGCTGCAGCCCGTTCGCCCACTTACTAGACTGGGACGGCCGATGGGTGTGAGACAGACGGACGCCAGATAAATCTCCAGCTCGCCCGCCCCTTGGCGGCCAAGCTCGGCGTTCGGACACCAAGCCATTTAAGACCGCCTCTAGCTGTGACGGCTCCTTCTCTTAACAATTGATGTTTTTATTCTTCTCTTCCCATCTTGAGACCTGCCCCTCGACGCAATTGACGTAATACCGGCACTTACAAACCATTCAGCAGTCCGAGGTTCGATACCGCTTGGTCGCGTCTTGCCGTCTTGACAACTGTAAACACGCTCCACTGCCCACCATGGCGACCAACCCGCCCAGGAAGATCCAGCTCGAGCGCATCTCCCACGTCTACTACAAGCACGAGAACATCGAGGCGGCCAAGAAGTTCGCCGATGACTTTGGCTTCTACGAGGCGGCCCAGGTTGGCAAGACGACATACTACCGCGGCTATGGGTCCGAACCACTTGTCATGGCTCTCGAGGAATCCGACAAGACCGAGTTCGGAGGTGCTGCTTTTGCCGTCGAGTCCGAAGAAGAGCTAGAATACGCGTCCAAGATCCTGCCCAAGGATTGCAAGGCCACCGACGTCTACGAGCTCAAGGACGCACCAGGTGGCGGCAAGGCCGTCACTTTCTACGACCCTGTCGACGGCTTCCCCTTCCATCTCGTTTATGGCCAGACGCCCGTTGAGGCGAGGGACCCCAAGTTCCCGGTGCTCAAGGTCAACTTTGTACGTCTTCCGTGCTGTGCCTGACTACCCATTCACGGCCGTGGCCGATAGGATTGATTGCTTACACATCGTGTTCGCAGCCCCAAGAGAAGCACCGCGGCCCCAACCAGTTCCAGCGATTCCAGAAGCGGCCTGCCCCCGTCCACAAGCTTGGCCACTTTGGCATGTGCGTGACCAACTTTGCCAAAGCCTACGAATTTTATTCGTCCTACTTCAACTTCCACCCCAGCGAGGTATGTTGATGCTCGACTACTGTGTTAAAGGATGTCATGGGATCCTTGAGTGCTAATCACACTCGTCGTGCACGTAGCTTGTCCACAATGACGAGGGAGTCAACATCACCGTCTTCTTCAGACTAGACCGTGGCGCCCAGGAGGTTGACCACCACTGCTTCTTCTTCTTTGAGGGCCCCAAGATGCACGTCCACCACTCGTCCTTTGAGACGCACGACTTTGACGCACAGGTCCTCGGCCACGACTGGCTCCGCCACCAGGGCTACGAAAACTGCTGGGGAGTGGGTAGGCACGTCATGGGCAGCCAAATCTTTGATTACTGGTGAGTGCACCTCTTGTACTCGCGTGTTGTCCGAGTCAGGGGGACCGACCACTAGTAACTAACGCAATGCCCAAATCGTCTTAGGTTCGACCCATCCAAGTTCATCCTCGAGCACTATGTCGATGGAGACCTGCTCAACATGGACGAGCCCACACACCACAACAAAGCCGCGCCCGACAACCTCCATGTCTGGGGTATGTCTCTTGGAGTCGAGTCTAGTGTCGACGTTCTCATCACTAACAAATTCGTAGGACCCGAGGTTCCTGCAACCTTCTTGCAATAGGTTCGTGCTGATCAAATATGGAATGCTTCAACTGCAGTCTGTGGCTTTTGGGGGGTTTAGTGGATTTTTGGTGTACAGTAGGTAGGTAAATCCTTGGCGGCTTGGAATTTGAAAAGATTGGTTATTGTCGATGCATCTTGCCAAGGGGAAGATAGCAACTGTGATGATTCGAACAATTCGGAGACATTCGCCTTATTGTGCCAATAACCATTTGAGTAAAGCCGGTGCTAATTAGGCCGATGAGCCCTTTTGCGACTAACCACATCGCGCGAGACTATCTGTTAGAACATCTGCAATACTTTCAGGGCTGCATGAGATGGTAGCTCGACCAGCCGAAACGGGACACGACCTTCGAGACTATAATCCTGTGTTGTGTCATTGCCTGGCAGGTATCTCTCGACTGAAGCCTGCCCTCCCGACCCCAAAGTTGTTGAGAGCAACTCGTACACTAAATTAGTAATTGCAACCGCAATGTTCTGAACACGTTCCCAAACTCAACACACCATCGTCACTACCCCGTCAGAATAGAACACTCCACACGGCACCCCCTCCTAAACCACCCACCAATACAAGGCAAGTTCCAGGCCAGGCCCGACGGATGCGACGAGCCCATGGCGGCTGAGGCGGATGGCAAGCCGGAGCCTGTCAGGTTTTTGACGTGGACGCGAGGCTAGAAGTAAAAGGGATATGCCGTGGACGAAGTTAGTGGTCGGATCCGAGATGGAAGGCAAGAACCCGACAGTAATAGACCCCGTACCTCTTGCATTATCTTTCTCGGCTTGCATTGCGGGTCGTGGAGTTGGCGTGTTGGTTTGAACCTCCATGTCGGCCGGCCTGGGCTGGCCACATGACTATGTGCTTCATGGCCCTGGTATGGCCACATGTCTTCTTGCGTCGGGGCTACTCGTGGTTTGGGAATGCGCTATGGGAATCTCAGCCGTTTGAGAAATGGTACGGGATTCTTGGTCTGTTCTTGGCTGCTTTGTTGTGCTGGGCTGTTTTGCTCCGGTCTGGTGGTTGGTGAGGTGCTGAGTATATCTAGCCTCGTGCTTAGGGCTGTACCTAGCCCTAAGTCTATCTCACTCGCTCTCCTAGCAAGGTGTTTTAATCGAGCCCCGTTCCATAACCTGCACTGCTTCTTTTCTCTTCGTCTAGCTTCATCCTGTAGTTGTTCTGGGAGGTTCTCGATGGCGTCCCGTATCCGGTCGCGCCGCACGAGCTCAAGTTGCACCATCAGCCGACTAAGCGCTTCAGGAGATTCACTGTTGGATGAGGCCAGTATCCAGCAACTGGTAATTATTGTTAGGCGTGAAACTCACAGTCGTCGAGGTATTGGCTCTCAAGGTCCAGCAGCTCGGCGCTGTACACGCCAATCAGCCGGATGTTGTACAGGCCTGCGAGGTCGAGGTCTGAGTCGGACTGGACAAGGAACTCGCCGAAGCGGGAGAAGACGTCGAGCCCGAAGAGGAACTCTTTGCTGAGGATAATGTCGGCTGGCATGCCTGGGAGGACGTAAAAGTCGCTGGTAACGTCTTCTCCAGAGTCCCCAAACGGTCAGGCCAGGTTTCTAACCACGCCGCTCGTATAGGCCACTGTGCCATCGCCAAGCTCGAGTTCTAGACAGTGTTGGGGGTTGCAGTCGACGCGAAGGCCCCGTGAGCGCGCGTACTCTTCCGAAACCAGCATAACGTCGGACCCAGTGTCGGGGAGCGCTGAGGCCAGGACGCCGTCCAGGAACCCCCAGAGTCGCTGCTTCTCGCCTGCGAGGAGATTAAGGCGTAATCTACGAAGGGCTCCCTGGGCCGCCGTGGCGATTCTGCTCCTGAACTTGGTCAAGGTCTGGGTGAGGCGCAGGAAATCTGCCCCGAGGACGAGGTCCCGGACGCATCCTGGAATGATGGCGCAGTCAACCAGATACGACTCTGACTCCCCAGAAAACCGCCACGGGATGGAGACGATGCCCGGGGATGACACCGTCTTCCCGTTGCCTAGCTGGACCGTGTGCTGGGTTCCATCTTGTGGCGAGAGCCTGTGCGACTCGGCGAACCTGAGGGATACATTGCAGCGCTCGGCTCTGTTGTCGACAAGACCAGCGATGGGGACCCCGTTCAAGAGTCCCTGGGCCGTGTAGTCATTGGATCCTGAAGAGAAGGATCGTTGATTGCCTCGAACTGTCTTCGCCGTCCATGGCTGTTGCATGTCGGATGCCTCGGCAGTTAGCTCCCTACAAGAAGAGAAAAGATGCAAGGGCCGTACAAGAATCCTAAGCCGTATTGTGAGTTTGGAGAACCTCGGAGTGGCAACGGGAGTGAAGTCCCGGGTGCAGTCTCTAAACATCACCCGGATCCTGCGCTTCTTGACCATATATCGTCTACACAGCCGAAAGAAAGGGGTCTTCCTAGCGCCCGTCACGCCTATTCCGCTTACAAGAGATTTAGTCTTGCGTGGAGGGCTGGCCCTGTGAGGGACGACGAGGTCATCACCTGAAAGGAGCTGCATTGTTTACACTCAGTGTCGCTGATCTTTTCGTCAACGTAGGCCAGAGATTAATGCGGAGAGAGTGGGAAAAAGAGGACGCCCTAAATTTAAAAGGCCTCACTATTAGTAGTGCGTATATTCATGTAGTGAACACGTCGGGTGTATGTGCAACCTCTCATTTCTACCCAACCGCAACCCCGCCCCTGGCACACTCAAAAGATTCCTTGGACACCAACCACCAACCACCTAACCACTAGGTTTTCCCAGGCCGCAGCAGCCACAATCCGCAGCTTGCTCGTTCACTCAAGCAACATGTCTTACCTTCGTTGTTTGCTTAGCTTTTGTACCGTATCATGCACCGTAGGCTAAGTCGCAGCTCCGATTAGAAACCCCCCATGGTCTGTTCAGTTTGGCAATCTTGGTGCCGCTAGTTAGGCAACGATATCAACAATGTAACACGCAGAGTTGACGCACCAGAGTACCGCGAGTGCCGGTACCGAGGTAATAGCCGTCGTCGACATCGCCAACCACTCGGATAGGAATCCTTGGACCGTGTGGCTCTTACAGCCAGAAGAAAAAGATTGGTTTCAATAACTCCTGCCTCCAGGCTGTGACAATCCTGGTTTGGGTCCAAGACTGGGCAATGAGCGTTTGGCGTTGACAGTCAAACGAGACTTCGATTAGGGCTCCTAGATATTGTTTTTCGCTTAGAGGAGAGAAAAGGTAGATTGATGTGTCTGTCTTACTCTTGCCCACGGTTAATCGCAGTGTATCGGGGAGTGATATCGCCACGAATGCCAAGAGTTGTTTCGCATGGCGGTCGCTATTAGAGACAAGCATCGGATTAGGCCCGGCATGTATTGAGTAGAGTAATGTGCCTAAGGATCTGTAAATAGGCTCGGGATGCCTATTGCAGGCATAGCAGATATAGAATCCCGTGTATCCCATGCCGTTGATGTCCGAGACCTGTGCTTGATATCTTAGCGTCGTATCGAGCCGAGTTCAGACTGCAACAAATCCCACACTCGCCAATCTGCAAACTAATCGCAGAAAAGGTATTGGACGCCTCACCCCCACGCCCGTCAAAAGTACTACCACCGTTATTGCACATCACATGCAAGAGCGTTGCGAGATCGAAGTGCGTGCTCGCTAGTCTAGGCCTAGCTAGACCGTTCTAGACTCGTGTCTTCGTAGGACTTGCTCCCCGGGCTCACAGGTCGCACAAGTTAAAACGGCGTGCCGTTCCTCTCGTATGCAGTTGTGAATGTGGTACAAACAAACCGGCAAGCCACCCAAACAGCCCCGTGTAACAGACCCGTCTTCCCCTGAAGAGACAGCCATGGCGTATTACTTGACCGCCCTCGCCACGTCCCTCGTGTCCCTACTTCTCCTAGCGGGATTCGTGGCCGTTCTGTCGTCATGCCTGCAGCTGTGGGTGCTCCCCCGCACGCTCAGCGTCCCCGGGGCCAAAGACAACAATAGGCTGATGTCTCGGACGGTGGCCTACCTTACGGCCTGGCCCTCGTACCACAGATCGCGAGCTGCCGCGTATGCCGAGGTCAGCTTTTCTCCCCGAACTAAACAGTCTCTCCGCCTCCCGAGTCCTGACACACACGTGCGCGTAGTTCTCGAGACTCGGGAAACCCTTCATCAGCCCCAGCCCGTCCCTCAGCCCGGACATCGTCGTGCCGCCGCAGCACGTCAAGTGGCTCCTGGGCCAGCCCAGTAGCGTGCTCGCGCAGCGGCCGGCGCTGTGGGAGGGCATGGCCATCCGGTACATGTTCCCGTCCGCCGACCCGGCAGCCGAGTTCGTGCCGGCGCTGGTCAAGCGCCACATGTCGCCGGCGGGCGTCGACGGCATGCAGGCCGACATGTACCGCGAGCTGCGGCGGTGGACCGACGCCGGGCTGGGCACCGACACGGAGCGGTGGGCCGAGATCGCCCTGTTCGACACCCTCGGCACCATCATGAAGCGTGTCGGCCAGCGCCTGTACTTTGGCGCCGAGCTGGGCAGCAGCGACGAGCTCGGCCGCGTGCTGCAGAAGCTCGCCAACTGGTCCGGCCTTGGCGGGCTCGTCATCGGCCAGTTCTCGCCCGCCGTCTTCAGGCGGCCCCTCGGCTGGCTGTTCCGGATCCCGTTGGGCTACTACACGAGGGCGTTCAAGAGGATTTGGGAGCCGGCGGTCAGGGCACAGCTCGAGGCGGGCCAGCTCTCGGGGGATGGTTCGGCTACGGCCGGGGCCGTCGAGGCACTGGCCGGCACTAAGCGGCACACGGTCGAGTCCATCTCTAGCAACTTTATGATCATGGTGCGTTGTGTCTCGCCATCCTCTTTGCTCTCACCCTCTCCCGATCGAACCGCACCACTAACTTAAAGCCCACAAATCCTCCCCCCCCCACCAACCAGTACGGCGTAGCATCCAACGTGAAGCAGCCCGGCACGCTAGCGCTACTTCTCAACCTAATTACGCAGCGCGGCGCCGAGGCGCGCGCCTTCATGCCGCTGCTCCGCCACGAAGTCGACACAGTATTCTCGCAGCCAACAGCCTGGACAGACAGCGGCACATTCACAGCTCGGAAAATGCCGCTGGCAACGGCGTTCGCGCGCGAGTCGATGCGCTACAGCCCGCTGGCGGCTAGCATCCCCGTGCGCGCGGTCGTGGCGCCGGGCGGCGTGCTGCTGCCCGACGGTACAACACATGTGCCGCGCGGCGCGCGGCTGGCGTGTCCCGCCGAGGCCATGACGCGCGACGAGCGCTTCGTGCCGCGGCCGCATGTCTTTGATCCGTTTCGTTTTCTCGAGGTTGATGATGATGACGAGGGAGGCCGGAGGTACAGGCTCAAGGCGGATAGCGATATCGTGGATGTGAGCGAGTCGTTTCTGTTCTTTGGGTTTGGGCGGCATGCCTGGTGAGTGGTGCTTCTTTTCTCCTCTTCTTCGTCGCCTTCTTTTGCTGGCATGAGCTGATCGACTTTTCTTGCTCGCGCGACTGTTAGCCCGGGCAGGTTCTTCATGGCGCGCTTGATGATGATGCTGCTGGCCTACGTGGTCAAGCACTACGACTTTGAGCCGGTTTCCAACGACGCCCTGGTGCCCATCCGCGCCGGCTTTGTCAACTTGCCCCCGCTGGGTATCAGAGTGAGGTTTCAGCGGCGCAAGGAAGTAGACCCTGCTCGTTGACACAGTTGTGGGGCACAGCATTTGCAAAGTCCTTTTTGGGTTGTAGAAGGAAATGGATTTAGAGCCACCTTGGTAACCCTGTCTCTTGTGCAGGGACGGCCGGGCCGGCTCGCCTCAGAACCCACTGCTTCACGAACCATCAAAACAAAAATAAATGAATTGCTCAAGGTCCTACCCGGAGTCGAACCGGAGTCGCCGGGATCAGAATCCGAAGTGATAACCACTACACTATAGAACCGTGTTGCGCTGTTGCTTAGTTTGGTGAGTGAGTGGACGAGTCAGTATCGGTGCTTCTGGCCCACGAGAGCAATTATGTGTGTGCGTGCCGCAGGGATGGCTCTCTTATCGTGGGTGGAGTTTATCTCTTGAGACTTTGTTCCTTGCCCTAATTATTCAGGGACGGCTTCCCCACATTTGTATTCTCTCGTCGGCCCCGCACACTCAAGACTTGGCTAGCTGCACGGCAGGTTAGCAATTATCTAATAGTGTTTGGCTGAACGAAAAGGCAGTTTCCTATCGATCTTCTCGCCTCTACTAGAACGAGCGCTTGCTGCCCTAAATAACACTGACGGATGATGAAATCCGACCCGGCCTCCCTAACTAATTACGAGGCAGTGAGTAATACCAAAACTTCAGGAGCTGCTCCGGTCCACGAAAGAGAAACAACAGAGTCTCCAACACGCCTCAACTGTCCCACGACCAATATCCACACCGCCCTGTGGCGCAACTCCGGTACCGCCTGCCGGGCCCGGAGCGAGCGTTGACGCCGGTGACGTTGACGCGGCTGGGCGTATTGCAGTAGCATGGGGCGTTGCCCTCATCGACGCCGACGACATCAGCCCACGTGAACCAGCTGTCGCACGGCGTGCATTTGTAATAAGGCCGCTGGATGTTGCCGTTGGGGTTGTTATCCGTCGTGCGCTTCAGCGTCGAGGGCTGGCCGCAGCCCCCGCAGACGAGCCCGTGTTCCGGTAGCGGCATGAGTCCGTGGTGCGCCGCCCAGATGGTTTCCATGGTGAACTCTGCAGCTTCCTGCGGCGGCGCGGGGAGCTGCGGGTATGCCACGTCCTGCTCTGCCAGCTCCCCGTCCAGCCAGCCATATTTCTTATCGTAGTCTTCGGGGTTCGGCTTCGGGATGTCCCAGAAACGGTTGTTTTCCTGGTTGGGAACAATGACATTGAGTGCGGGTGCTGGCGGTGGCGGTGGCGGTGGTGGTGGTGGCGGCTGCTCCTGCTTGACTTCTGCGGCAGCAGCAGCTTGCGGCGGCAGGTGCCGATCGGGACGGGTCGGCGACCGCGGACTCGCCGCCCGCGTGGCCACTTGCGACAAAAATGCACCATTGCCATCGAAGATGCCGAGAGTGGGAGAACGCTCACTCTTCACGCGCTTGCTAGACGGTGTCTCGGGGGCAGCGGCTATGATGCCTCGCTTGAGAGGCGTTTCTGGAGGTGATCCGAGCGGACGAGGCCCTGCTCGGGACGAGGACGCGACTGCGGCGACTCGGGGCGGAGGCGTTTGGGGTCGGGCGATGGGTTTGGGCGACGAGGAAATCACAATCGGCCGACTCGAGCTGCCGAGGCTGCCTGGGCTAGGGACCTGTGACTGCCGTTTCGGTGCTCGGGTGGGTGTTGGTGGAGTCTGATCATACTCGTGGTCGCTGAATGGATCTCCATCCTCTGTCAAGTTGATGACGACTCGGCGGCGCCGAGCGTCGCTGCCACTTGCCCTTGCTTTTTCAGTTGTCTTGGGGGGCGTGGCAAGAGCGGTTTGGGGTCTTATGTTGAGTTGTATAGTAACGTTTTTCGCGTTATCGTCGTCGTTGTAATTGAGCGTCATGCTTCGAAGGCGAACGTTGACTTGATTGGTGTCAGGCAGGCTTGGGTTGGGTGACCATTGAGTTCTGTCTGGCCATTGTGGCTCGGGCGTCGATGGCCGCTCTAAGATGCCCCGAGCATGATCCTCAGACTCGCGCGTGAGATTGATATGGGTCTCTGTCTTTACAATAACGGCTTTGACTAGAGAGGGCGCCATGGTCGCGGTCGATCCTTCCGGCTTAAATGCGTGACGAAAATGAGAAAAAAAAAATTGAATTCGAGATGAAAGCTTCGTCTTGAAGTGAGGAGGGTGAGTCAACTGTTGAGGACGTTAATGGAAGAGGGCCGAAAGTGAAACCCCCGCTTCAGGCGAGGCAGACTCGTGAGGGGCGGATGGTGCATTGCTGCCTGGTGATGGCTGCCCCGGGCTGCAGGAAGGGAAAACTGTAGGCCTTTCTGCCTGAGCGGTCGGGTACCTGGCTAGCGCAAAGCCGCATCTCAAAAAAGTCGGATTTCAATGCTCCATTTGTCCTCATCACCCTAACTGAAGCCCCAAGCTCGACTGCGATCTGGGGCTTTTGAGCCACGGTCTATCCTTGAATGGCTCGACACTAGCAAGGACAGAAAGGCAAAAAAAAGCTCAGCCTCTACTTGGGGCATAAGCAACCTACGAACAACCCTGGCGTAGAAAGCGGCCGGCAGGGATTTTTCTACGTTGGCAGGTGTAGCGGGTCAGAAGCGCCTGCTACTGCCCCTCGGCCACCCGCGCTTGCCCCGGGTGCTGAGTCCAACTTGTAAGGGGTCCGCAAATCGGGAGTTATATCGCCCTCTTGACTTTGCTTTTCGCTTTTAGTTTCGCGTACACGTTTAGTAGCCCGGATAAAGGAAGATGCGCACACCGCAAACAACAACATGGGAATAAAGAGGCCCCAAGCCGATACTGATCAGTCTGGAGAGGAAGGGCTACGGAAATTAAGTATTATGCACGGCGGAAACAAGATCCTATCTTGGGCAGTAGTGAATACAAGGGCCATGCGAGTGTGCCGCATCCCCCGCCCGATGTCGACGATGCATCGACAACCTCCCGCGTAACGTGAATCTGTGCCTGTCAAAACTCACAAATCCCCGGCTATCGTTACACACTAGATATCGGGTGCGTGTAACGTCGCGCTCACAAAATAGCATCAAAAAGGCACGTCCCGTCTGTAGATTGCCACGCTTTCTGGGTTGGGACAGAGGAGCGCTGGCCATTGGTCGCGGCGTGGTCCGCGGTCCAGGCCCGCATGTGCATTGCGGGCAGGCAGTTGCCAGGTCTCCCGATCAAGCAACTCCAAAGCCGCATTCGGTAGGTGAGCGAGGACAGCATCAATCACCCCAGGATCCCGAAAAGCGTACCCGGTGCAGTGAGGCAGCTCGCCCCGAAAGTGCCAAGACGTGCCGCACGCGGGAATCATAGGCAAGAAATGCAAAATCCCACTCAGAACCTGAAACGTGTCGCATGCACTTCACCTCACTTCATTTCACTTCGCTTCGCTTACTGAGGAAGCCCGGGCTATGTAAACGCATCAGCATAGTCGTCCACATGTGTATGCACAGAGTATACTATCTCATGGCAGGGATCGGCGTTGCATCGCCCAAGTTACAGTTACACAGCTGCCATTTCCATACGTACGGCCCAGTCTGACTGGCAGCTCCGAAATCCGAATCCGCCGAACTGGGCAGACGCAGATCCAGGAACCCGGTCTGCGCTGCGGCCTGGCCCCGTCTGCCCACGCATCCATCCTATAAGGCGCCAGGAACATACTACGTATACTCAGAAGGCCGGATCTCTGACCACACATTTTCTAGAAGCGTATTTGCTTCCCGAATGCGGCCTTCTCCTAATCCCTCCCAGGATCCCGGCTCATAATATGGCATGACAATGCCACCGCAGCACGCGATACCTCCCGCACGGACAGATGTTGGCACCGGCGAGGTAAACAAATGGGCCCTTTGGATGGCCGGAGGAATCTCTCGAATCTTATTCTCCTATTTTCCCACCTTCCGCGTTGGCCGCATGGCCTCCTTGGATCGTAGCCACAGCCGCGTAGTACCCCCGACGCCATGCAGCCGGCCGCGACCTCGCCCTTTGCAGGGCGGCAGACTCGGGATCTGGACATGGTGTCAACACCACGATGTCGCGGGCCAGAACTTGTATAAGATGTTCGACATGTCGCAACTTGGATGGGTTGTTCTCTTTCATCATCATCATCATCAGCATCTCAGCAGCATCTCGTCTTGAGAACCTCACTCCTTCACCCCTTTCCTACCAGTCAGCTTGTATATACGACACTTCACTCCTTTGGTCCCTGTCATTCATTCTATCCCGTCTCTGTCTCTCCTGTCTCACCCCTGAATATCTGAATATCTGTATACGTAGCTACCCTCAACATCCTCACCCCTGCCAACAAGATGAAGTCCGCACTCGCCACCGCCGCCGCCGTCCTCGCCGCGCTGGCGTCAGCCGCACCCACACCCACCCCCGACAGCGCCGCCTTCAACACAACCCTCGCCCGCCGCGGCGACGCGCCCCGCGGCGTCAAAAAGGGCATCGCGTACAACTACGACTGGGCCGCGGCCGCGCTGTCCCGCTACGGCGGCAACAACCCGTCGTGGGCGTACAACTGGGCAGCCGCGCTCGACGCGCCGCAGTACCAGGGCGTGCCCATGTACCACGGGCCGGGCAACGGCGGCGACGTGAACGGCATCTTCGCCAAGCTGGGCCAGGGCAACACGCCGTGGGTGCTGGGGTACAACGAGCCCGACTTCGACGTCGGCCACGGCGGCGTGGCGGCCTCGCCCCAGCAGGCCTACGACGCCTGGGGCAATGACTTGTTCCGCTTCAGCGACCGCGGCGCCCGCCTCGTGTGCCCCGGCGTCAGCTCCTATGACACGGACCGCTCGCAGTTCACCGGCGGGCCCTCGGGCCTGACCTGGCTGCGCCAGTTCGCGAGCATCGGCGGGAACAGGCCCGAGCAGTTCCGCTGCGACGCCCAGGCGCTGCACTGGTACGGCGATGCCAGTTTGGGCAGTGGCGCGGACCAGGCGCGGCTGTTTATTGACTATGTCGGCCGCGCGCATGGTACTGTGAACGACATCTTCCATCGGGATATGGATTTGTGGATCACCGAGTTCGCGCCCGAGCCAAAGGAGAACCCGGATGTCATGGCCGACTTCCTCCAGGTCGCCATGCCCTGGCTCGACGCCCAGCCCTACGTCGCCCGCTATAGCCCGTTCAAGGCCGAGTTCATGCTCGACGGCAACCGGAACCTGAATGCGGCTGGCAATGTCTTCATCTTTGGCCACAGGTAAAGGGGCTCTTTGGGGGGGGGTTTACTCTGGCTGTCTCTACCCGCTTCGTTCATCTCTTCGTTGTGTATCTAGACGGAACATTCGGACTCGGGTTTTCTTTGGCTTTGTATATATGGGGAGATTGGATTTGGGACTTTTATTTTCATCCTGTACCATATTTGATACTTTTTTAGAGTTGCTTGTTTGTTTGTTCTGTAACGCTGGTTCAGGGCTAGATGTACCTAGAAGTTTGTTTAAATTCATTTTTTTCCATCATGTATAATGGATGGCCAGATCTTTTATTCTTCTTCACCCAAAATCACCCCCATACTACCCAGCTATTACTTCCCCTACGCGACTCCAAGAAGCACAGCAACAAACCCAACAGGAACCAGCTCCATCACCGTTCCCACTACAAGCAACAGCAACCTCGCTGCTAGCAGCAGAGCAGTTTTTATACGTATGGGAAAGGTCAAGTACCATGTCTCTGAACCCTGGAGGAGGACGTCGTGATAGTCGCGTCTTATGTAAGAGGTCCAGCAGGTTTTCCTGGTCGCGAGGTCTCAAGCGATTGATGATATCCTCTAATGAGACGCGAAAGTCGGAGGGGTTCTGACGAAATTGCTCGGGGTTGGTATCTTGTTCGTGTAGCATGATAGAGAGGTGGTGGTTCAAGGTGGTCCACTATGATACGATCTTGGTAACAAGTTGCCGTGTCGGAGGTGTCAATCCAACAGTAGTATCCTTACCTGTGCAGAGGTACCCACCGTCCCCCGAAAGCATTCCTTCCTGCCTTTTAACAAGTCCCGACGCGACAGCCGCCTCCCTCTCCTTTCGTCGTCCTGAAGGTGGCAAAGCGATAGTTCTAGGGTTCCAATACGATTTGGCAGAAGCTGCGCGTATAGATGTGTAGAGTTCTGAGGCTGTGAGTCGATATTCGGAGTCGGATCCCTGTCTCCTGACAAGGTCCCGTAAATGCCGCCATGTCAGTGTTAAACGGTAGCCTAGGATGGGGTGCGGGTCTGTCAAGGCGAATTCGGTGGTTTGGCCGGCTTCTCGGCTTTCTTGCTCCCCATGATCAATGGACAAAATGCTTCCCTCTGACGTAGAAGAGGCGCTCCGGGATAGGGAGCCAGACTGGGCGTCACTTCCTCCACCTGAAACGGCCCCTCGGCTGGGCCATGAAGAGGCAGCATTCGCATCCGAACCGTCTTGTAAATCCACCACACTAATCTCACCGCAGCTGGACCCTGGGCCACTGAACCCGTTGTCGTGGTACCAGTCATCCAGGTCTCCGGATTCCTCTCTCTCGGTAAAATCCGACGAGAGATCGTCTTCATCGGAAAAGTCAAGCAAATGACACACACGGGCAGTTCTTCCTCTCCTGGACCGTCGTTTTCGAGGTCGAGTTCGTTATTGTCGTCATCTCCGTCCCTACCGACGCTTGGCACTATTTCCTCGATTCGTTTTGACCCCGCCACCTCTTTGCACGGCACTGCCTCCCCATGGCGCACCTCGTGCTGGACTTCTGCACCCTTGACCTGGCCGAGAACAAAGGATACGTCGCGACTTGGCTAATCAGGTAGTTAGCAATGTGAACCCCGTGCGTGGCTGATGCTGATGCCGATGCTGATGCTGAGGCTGGAATTCTTCAGGCTCACCGGGTGCACGTCATGAGCAGCACATGCAACGTCTGGCTTCGCTGCTGCAGATCGAGCTCCATCTTGTTGATGTTAGCTTGCGACAGCATAGCGCGGACAACTGCCTTCACAGTCGAAACAAGAGAGCCTCTCTTCTTGACGCGACACTTCTCGACGGCGGCGGCGACATCGTTGGCCAGATCCTCGCATCGGGACGTGACTGGAGCAGGGACTGGTCGACTCTGCCCTTCTCGGACTGAGACATGGGCACGTTGAGGCGGGTGTTGCGGAGGTCGTCGGTAACGCTCTGCATGCTGTCAACGGCGTCGATTATGGTGCTGCGCTGCTTGCTCAAGCCATCCGAGGCCTTGTAAAGCTCCTTGAAGGTCTTGCAACAGTCGAGTCCGCGCTCAACCATGTCGAGGATGTTGCAGGAGAAAGCCAGAGTCGAGACTGGATCCATTGTCTTGTTCTGGCTGCAAAAGCAAAACGCTCGGACTGCTTGCTATTGAAGCCGCTGTAAATAACTGGTGCGATCGCGAACCGGACCGTCTCCAAAGGGAGGAGCAACCACAACTCCGCTGTGGTTCGAGTAAGGCTCTGCTCTGCTCTACCTGGCGTTCGGGGAATCCTAGCCCCGCCCCAAGGACCTGTCCCCGTCGCACCAACCTGAAGGACGTGTGGCAGTGCGCGTGTATGTGCATGTGCATGTGCGCGTTCGCCGATAAGAAGACGTGGCCCCCCAATCGACATGCCCCACCTGTCGGGACTCCCCGATCTGTATCCACGCTCTATGATAGGATCCACGGCCGAGAATCTTATAATTGCAGCAAAATCCCGGCATAACGGCTCTCTCCTAAGTAGGATAGTTTTAGTTTTATTGTTCAAGACAACAACTCATATTTCAGGCACCGTAACTGGACCTGTGTACATCTTCGTATATCTTTTTCCTCCTTTCCCATCCAAAACAGGGGGAGTTTCCGTACTCGAATTTCTAGACCAACACGCGCTGATCATGGCTGCCGATTCTTATAACCATTCCCAGTACCAAGCCCTTAATAGGCGCCGGGAACTACAAGACCGCTGGGCACCACAAGACCGCCGGGCACTGTCCCTGCTCGGTGCTAAGCTTCCCTACTGCACCGAGCAACCCCCTATTAGTTACACACCTACAGGATCCCGCACAGGCCCGGAGCGCCTAGCTCTTACAGTCTACCCAGTATGAACCAGGGGTTCGTCATACATAATAAATAAACCACATTTCACAACTCACGTGTCCTTGAAGAGGAGCTATTCTACTTATAATATATTTATTCTCCTTCTACTAGTAGTAATACGTCTAATTAGTGACTGCCTTGCATGTCTTTAGCCGTATTCGGCTACCTCCTAGAGCTAGCTGAAGCGGCCCAGTCACGACCCCGCAGCCCGTATCGCTAATATAGTAGCCTCTTTATTACCAATAGAGATATACACCTGTAGAACGCGCACCGCGCGTTTATTCCTCTCTATTATAATAGAGATTTAGGATACGTAGCTTAACTCGTGATCGTTTGTAAGGAGTATAGTTGCGACTATGACTTCGCTCTTGCGAGCCGTTATTTCGGCGCTAGCCAAATAAGTCGGCCCCCCAATTCATTTACCATGCACAACGCCCGCTGCAAACCTGCAACACACTACTGAGTTTTGCTTTCCTAAGTCATCTATCTACCATATAATTGCCCAAAATCAGCTCAACTCTGCTCCCTTTCTTTGGGTTAATAACCAGTGCATTGAGTTGAATTTCAGGCTTATTTACACTTGCCGTTGGATTATATATTCTCATGTGACTTGTGGAGTTGGAGGACAATAAAAAAGGCTTCGCTATGCTCCTTTGCTGAAGCAGACTGCGTCGCAGCAACAAGGACATTTTACTATTAGGCAATTCTTCCCTCCGCAGTAGCAGACCACGTGACAATCTTGCTTCCCATCGGAGCCCAAATGATCACGGTCGCCTGAAGTGGGGCAACCTCCCTCAATCCCCCACATTAGTTACGAAGCACATTTGCCCCGCGTCGCCCGATGGCAACCCCCGCAGAACAGTATGCGACTCCTCGAGTTTAAAGACGGCGAGTTTTACCTAACCAAGGACTACATCCATGGTGTACCCGAGTACGCCATACTGTCCCACACCTGGGGCGCAGACACCGAAGAGGTCACCTTCCAAGACCTAGTTGATGGCACGAGCGGGCATCAGCTCGGTTGGAAAAAGATCAAGTTCTGCGCAGACCAGGCGAGGCGCGACGGTCTGAGGTACTTCTGGGTGGACAGCTGTTGTATCAACAAGTCAGACAACAATGAGCTATCTAGGGCGATCAACTCCATGTTCCGCTGGTATCAAAATGCAACCCGATGCTACGTGTACCTCTCTGGCATCTCCTCAGCCGGCCTGGTAGGAAGCCAGCGACTTGATATCGTCCAAGAGCCAGCCTTTCGTTCTCATAGGTGGTTCAATCGTGGTTGGACGCTCCAAGAACTCGTTGCTCCACCATCAGTTGAGTTCTTCACGCAGGATGGTCTGCGCCTTGGCGATAAAGGGACCTTGGAACAGGACATCTATCAAATCACTGGAATTGCAGTTTCGGCTCTTCGAGGGGCCGCACTTTCCGAGTTCAGCGTCGAGGAGCGGTTTAAATGGGCCGAGAACAGGCAGACTACTCATGAAGAGGACTGGGCTTACTGTCTTCTGGGCATTTTTGGTGTTTTCATGCCACTCATATATGGCGAAGGGAAAGCACACGCAGTCCGCCGGCTCAAGAAGGAGATCTTCGATGCCGCAAACCAGGCCGATACGGCGCCGCATTCGCAAGGTATATATCATTTACCCCGCCTTTGTCGCCGACCCACTAACAACATCACGATCCAGCCTCAGAGCCCAAGATGTCCTCGGGCCCCCGAACCGTCGCCGCCATCTCCTCCGACGGCCTCCGCGTCCACCGCTGGGACGGCCGGCAGTGGGCGCCGATCGGCAACGCGACCACCACCCTTTATGGCGGCGGCTTCACCCTGCTAGGGATCAACCCGGCCAGCAACGACGTGTCCACCTGGGCAAAAGGCAGCAACTGGATTAAGCTGGGCGGGCCGGGCGCCAAGTTCGTCGTGACGGCCATCTCAGTCTACGGCATCACGCCCGACTACGGGGCCGTCTACAAGTGGAACAACGATGGCACCGACTGGAAAAGGATTGGCGGGCCCGCCCGCGACCTGCTGGGTGGTGGGTACAACGCCCTGTTTGGCATCAGCCCCGACGGCGGCGACATCTACCACTGGATCTCAAACGACCGCTGGGAGAAGGTGGGCGGCCCCGGCGCCGAATTTGCTGTCGACGGCCAGGGCCAGCTCTACGGCATTACGCCCGAGAAGGACGCCGTGAACAAGTGGACGGGCACGGGGCAGAACTGGACAAAGTTGGGCGGGCCGGCCTCGCGCATTTTTGCTGGGGGATTAGGGGTCTTTGCGCTGGACCCTAGCGGGTCCGAGATCTGGCGATACACGGGCGTGGGGGAGGCTTGGGAGAAGGTTGGCGGGCCCGGAGTAGATTTTGCCGTCACGGATGATGGCTTGTTTGGGCTGGATAGCGCCGGGGAGATCTGGAAGTGGGAGAGCGGACAGATCTGGACGAACCTCGGCGCTCCTCGTTCGAGACAGATTGTCGCTTCTGCTTGAACTGCAGGCTACACTTTTGGGATGTGGTTGAGGGTTGGGGAGGTTTCAGGCCCAAAGATCACATGAGCTGGGCGTCGAGGCGGCAGACTACCCGGCCCGAGGACATTGCCTACTGTCTGATGGGCATCTTCAACGTCAACATGTCCATGCTATACGGGGAGGGCGGCACCAAGGCCTTTATCCGCCTGCAGGAGGGGATTCTGCGCGAGTCGGACGACCAGACCATCCTAGCCTGGAGGAACGCCGATCCCGAAGTATCGTGGAGAACATTTTACGGACTGCCAGCACCCTCGCCGTGCTATTTTTCAGATTTCCTGAACGGCGCCGAAGCCGCAGCCCTGAGGCCTTTCGACAACCCTGGGGCCTCGCTTTCGCTCGCAAACCGTGGTCTCTGCATACGAGGAAGCGTCGAGGATCTAAATCCAGAACTCCCAATGAACTACATTAGTCAAGCCACTCTTCAGTGCGAAACCAGACGACATGGGTACGAACACGTAGCTGTTGCACGCAGTTCACATTCTAGACCACGACAACTACAAGCTTGGAAAACATTATAATGACCAGGTGATCTCTCTCGTGGATGAGGAGTTGCGGCGGTCCCCTCTGCGTGTTGGCAGGGTCAAGCATCGTCTTTCCGTTAGCCTAGCGAGGGTGCAGGGACTCGACATGCTTAATATCGATGTAAATACGGAGGGCTCGTTAGGTACGTAGGCACCCCGTTGTAATTGAGTCGATTCGAACCAATTTGCGACCCTGCCTAGGTGCCTAAGAACAACCATCTCGCCCAGACTACCTTAATATGAGTGAAGTACCGATCAAGAACCCAGCCGCCTACAGCGACGTCCCCTTATCCGCCCCTCCTTGTCTTTCAACCATAAATCCGACGTGCCATCTGAGAACTCCACTCCCTTCCGTTACTTGGACCCCAAAGACAAAACAACACCCGTCTAGTTGGACGACGAGCTGGCGGCCATCGCACTCGGCTAGTTCAGAGCCGCCGGCGGCGGGATAACGACCTCTCTCCACGTTGAAACATTCACATTGTGCATGGCGGGCGGGAAGCGGCACACTGCCTTGGCGCAGGCGCAGTGGTGGCCGTATGCGCACTGGGCATCGCGGCAGGAGCTGCGGTCGTGGCACTTCTCAGCACGCAGCTTGTGGCGGAGCACGAGCTTCTCGGACGCCGTCAGCGGCTCGTGGCTATACGTGCAGTGCCCGCTGCCGCTGCCGCCACACGACCCGGCCAGGTTGAATATGTTGCAGGGGACGTTGTGGGACTCGTGGCACCCTTGCCGTTTGTCGTCGGCGGCGATTTGGTACTGGGGTTGGCCGCGCCAGGGGCCGCTGTGTTGCCTGCGGTGGTGGGACCAGAAGCGACGGCACTGACAAAGACGGGACTATTACGAGCGACAATAGAAGGAGAAGGTAGCGGGCCACTGCGGAAGACGGACTCCATGGTTATCGACGGAAACGGCAGCGCAGAGAACTCTCTGCCGGTCTGGAACAATTTGACCAGTGTGGCCTTTGCCGTGACGTCGGGCACGTGGGCGTACCTCTCGAGCATGCGCACGTAGCCGTTATTGTGGCAGCCGCCGAGGAGCACATGCTGGCACGACGGGTTCTCGACGAGTTGCCGGAACGAAGCTAGGAAACAGCCGCACACCGATGGAAGTCAGTTTGATCCCGGCAATGGAGGAAAGAATGCCGCCTCACCCATCAGCTTGTGGTCAGCCCTGTCCTTGCCCTTCCCGACCAGCACAAAGTCGAACATGTCGTCCCCCTGGGAGAAGCCACTCGTGAAGCGCGATACAACGGACTGGGCTTCGGACTCTCTGGCAACGCCGGCCTTGACGAACAGGTCGGCGAGGCCCTCGCCCGAGGCAAACGCCTTGGCCACCACGGGAAGCCCGGCCAGGCGCGCGTCGGTCGCCTGGAGGTACTGTCGCACTGCCGCGCAGAGGTCCACCGCCGCGCGCGAGCCGCCCTCAGCCGGGTCGTCGTAGCGGTAATACTTGTCGTCGAACTAGAGACGCGCGGTCAGCGAGCCGGGAAAAGAACCCTGCAATAGAAGTAAAAACACGTACTAAATACGCGTCTGCATCCGCGTCAATCAGCACGAGCACAAAGGCACTACGCGACTGCGCCCGCCCATCGCCAACATCCCCCAGTCAGCAGCTTGTTTTATGCTTCTCTCCCATCCTGCACCGAATTTAGGTACTCACCACCGACTCGCGCAGCGCCTCGAGACTCTGCTCCGACCGCTCGGCCCGCTCCTGGGCGTGGCGGCCGGCAACACGCTCGCGCTCGAGGTCGAGGCAGGTGTCGCGGTACTGCTGCGACAGCGTACGCAGCTGATCACCAAAATTCTGTTGGGGAAAGCAGTTTGATGGTCAGCGCCAGCTAGTTTGATGCCGTAAGAAGCCACACACATACCACCATCCGAGCAACATTTTCGTCGTTGCGGATCCTAAACTGGTCCAGAAACACGCCAAAGTCGTCCGCAGTGGCCCCCATCGCTGTGTTCGCCCCATTAACGACACCCCCGCCAGCCATGACGGACTCGGCTAGTGGGTAAACTAGGTAGGTATACCCGGAACAGGAGTGACAGAAAGGACGTGTACACGGCCAGAGAGCGAAATGGTCCTCGGGGCGGCGCTGCACACCAAAGAGGCGTAGATTGCTGCGGTGGCAGGGGGAGAAAGTCCGCTGGAACGGGACTTGGAGAGGGTGAGGACAAGCAGTTATGCCCTAGAGATAGGGGAGCTGGGCTGGGTGCCTGGACGCGAGCCACGAGCACAAGCGTGAGCGCAATCAGCACCGACTTTCTTCACCTCCATTGGTCGAGAACGCGGCAGCAGCTGCTGCAGTGAGGCTGCTGCCCTTTCGCTGAGAACCACTTGACGAGGACAGACAAAAACAAAAGAGCAAACAACCCCGGCCGAGACGGCCGCACTGCATTGCCGAGCTCAGCCCCCTATGCGGCCACACGTGTTTCCCGTGCGGTGATTTGTGCGGGCTGCCACTTGTTGCTAGCCGGCTAGCTCCCGTTTCCCAGTGCCTGCCAACCCAGCCTGTGGCGGCGGCAAACGTAAAGTGGTCCGCCCAACGGTGTTGTCGGGTATTGCTCGCAGGTTTCCGGCAAGGCTCGATTGGCTTTCGCGCCCGTTCGTTCGATTCTGCAAATTCGGATATTGACCTCGACTCGCCGGTGATGATAGCTCTTTTTCATTGCCATTTGGGCTATTCCGTATGAGCCGGGCTATTCCAGTGGTTAGCGGGGTAAGAAAGCCAAAAGAAAAAACCAAAGTTGAGAACAACTCCCGCCATTTCTCGCTCGATTTTCCTTATCCATGGATATGGCAGATTTAGTTGCCAATGCAAGCTACGTTCGGTACATCTCATCTATACTTCTAAACTTCATTTATTAGTGATACTCATCAACTTGGTCTAATTTAGGTAGTTAATTATAAGGTTGTGTCAGATGCCATGCACTCAGTGTCAACCCGCTTTGTAAGGCTGTAAATTCTGACTCTGTATACAGACCTAAATAAAATTGGAGGAGGATACATCTGAACTGTATAGGTTTCGACCACGAGTTAATCTGACTGTTTGACACCCCGGCTTGAACGGCAAATAGACTCCACACAAGAGCGGTGACATCTCGCAGCCGGCTTCTTAAGGAACATCTGCTTCGTAAAACTCCATCAAAGCGGGCCTGATTAGCACAGTGGTGTGTTGCACTCGTACTTTGACATGCAAAGACCACTGGCTCAGTTCCAGTATCAGGCAAAACCTGACATTCCCATCATTCTTGCCAATTCACTGGTCAGGGTAGTGGCGATGGATGTCAGGAAACTTTTTTGTCCTATATTTCGAGACTCTTTTCATCGGTTGCTGAAGGTAATGCATTACACTTGTACTTGATTCAAGACATGCGAAGATCACTGCGTCGATGCTAGTATTAGACATTACGGAGCGTGTATTTTACATTCGCCTTTCTTGACCCTCTTTTCTTTCTGGGGCCAAATGTTAAGAAAGTTTTATAATGAACACTCTTAACTTTTGTGGTCCGTAGTCTTTTTCGCACAATTAGACACCCTATTGATAAATATCGCCCCCGCGCTTCGATACGGGATGAGGGCTGGCTGGCGGCGCAGTGCCGTCTGGGGGACGGAAGAGGGCCGCTTGTCTTTGGCTTTGAAGGCATCATCTAGTCTAATGTCTCAGTCACGACGTGCACTAGTGTGGGATAATAATGGCGGGGCATAGGGCGACGTGACAGGCAACCGCCCTGCCGCGCGAGTGGGATCCTTGTTCGGGACGTGGGGCCGTCCGGGGCAAAGTCTGGAGTTTCCGGTTGTTGGGTTAGCCATCACGCTAGCAGGCGGAACCGCCAACGTGAATGCATCCGCCAAGTGATCGTCATCGCTTCCAAGGTCTTTAGCGTACGATGTTGATGAGTAAATCACCGCAAAGACCACCGACAAGCTAACTGCCCAACGGGTACGCTCTCACCAGTCAGAAGAGTGAAGACCATGTTATTACTCAAAATTACTACCTAGTACCTACCGTACAAAAGGTATGACGCTGAGTTTCAGCCAGAAGCCCTCTTTGTCAGTGAAAGTAGCTGACAGTAATTACAAATAAACACGAACAAACCCGCCCTTTCTAACTTAGATCTGCACATAGACACACTTGTGTATGTGCTCGCCATTAGCATAAACACAACCCCAGGAAAAGGGGAAGCGGCTGCCAACAGCCCAGGCATGGACCACACGCAACGTTAGCCCTAGCCCGAACCCCATGTTTCCACGACACGGCATGTCCGGCTACTCGAAAGCGGTAGGAGGACACCGGGTCCGCGGGTAAACGGCCGCGAGGCCTGCCGACTACCTCAGACGCGCCCCACAGACTAGAGCCGCACCTAGACAAGACGGAATCCTTCTCAGCTCATCGAGCTCAACAGCCCACCCGGACACAGACTATCACGATCCTTTGACGACAGCGGCCCAACGTATCCCCTCAAGACGCCATTAAAAGGGCTTAGCGGGCTCAGCGGGCTCATGACAACCCCGCGTCGTCTGCGATGACGGCCGCTCGCTACGACTGCCACACAGCCAGCCCCGTCCACGCGCAACATTTGGGTAGCTACTAGTGCCTTGGATACGAGGGGCAGGAGTGAAGTCAGTGGACCACGAGAGAGAGGTCGGGATAGATCCAGCGAGACAAAATGCCCATAAATAACGGGCAGCGGAAGCGCATCCAGGTGAGAGCTGATCATCACCAGTCTTACCCAGTTTGACAGGAGCTGCCCAGACAGATGGTAATATCCTCCCTGCAGACCAGCGGCGGCCACCTCGCCGCGCTGGGGCTTCTGCTACTCTCGAGCAGCATACCGGCGTCAGCTCTCACAACGCACGCAGCGCGGGACGACGTTTCGTCCCAGGCTGCCACCACGCGCGAGCGCATCAGTCTCGACGCGGGGTGCGCTTCAAGCGCTTCGAGACAAACCCGGACAACATCAGCTACGCCAAGCTCAAGGCATGGATCTTACTAACGGGCGACGCCTTCATCAGCGGCCTGGCGAAGCGGCTAGTACGCTTGGCAGGGCAGCCGCTGAGCGTGTTGTTCGCTGAGCGTGTTGTTCGCCGAGCGTGTTGTTCGCCGAGCCTAAGTTCGCCGACGGCGCATGGGAGGCCGTCGACATGCCGCACGACTGGGCCGTGCAAGGTCCGTTCCTGACGGACGAGTTCGCCGTCATCGGCGGCGAGGACCGGCTGCCGATCCACGGCGGAGCTGTTCGTCAACGGCGTGTCGCAGGGCGTGAAGACCAAGCAGCCGCTGACCTACCGGTTCCGGTAGGGCGAGGTGCGGCACGCGGCGGGCGGGGTGCGCGTCGAGACGTGGAAGGGCGGGGTGCGCGTCGAGACGTGGAAGGGCGGGGAACCGTGGGCGAATGCGACGGTGCGCACGACGGACAACGGCGACCCGACAGATTTTGTGCCGTTCCCGTCGGCCAAGCGCAAGGCATTTAATGTCCGCGCACTCGTCCTGGACCGCGCCAAGGCCGGCGCGTCGGGGTCTCTCACCGTGACGGCGCCGCCAAAGGGGCTGAAGAGCGCCGAGGTCGCGGTCAAGGTGGAATAATTAATTGGCAATATAGCCTGATAAATCTACGTAACTAGTGAGATACATTAATCAAGATTGCCTGGCGAGACAGGCCATGCATGCCAATTTTCGGTGATTTGATGCCAAGGCGCATGTTAATAGCTTCTACACAGCCGTTCAGCCGCTAAGAAAAATGGAGTCAGATTACGAGCGCGTCGGCCAAGGAATTAAGCTATGTGTTACTACGGGGCGTGTGGAACCGAGCCCGACGTCTGGAAGACAGGCCCGATGTGGGTGGGCGCGGCGTGGGTGGAGAGACAGGGCGGTGCCCGCCGAACCGGAACGCTGCAGACCCCCAACAGGCCGGATTTTGGCGCTGCGGCCCCTGCAACGGCGGTCACGGACCACTGGAAAACAGCCCGAGACGGCCGGATTTCGGGGCGGCCGTGTTCCAGGCCTCGTTATTTTTGGGACGTTGCTGACGCTGCACCTGGGCCACGGCCATTGGCCTCGGATCGAACACCCCGCGGGTTTCCCATTGATCGAGCCATTCATATATCCACGCTACTGCGCGCCCGTTGGGTGCTTGTTTCCAACCTTGATTCCATTTCCGCACTTTCAGCCTCGATCATCCGCCGAGGCCAGCAACATCAAACCTAACACAATAAAAACAAAAAAGAAAACAAAAACAAAAACAAGAACAAAAGTAATAACTTGCAGCGCTACCGTAACGTACCAGCCATTCGTGCACCGTAATTAACTGAACCGCCGCGCAAATGTTTTCCTCGCTGTTCGCGTGCGTGGCGCGGGCGTGCGCCAGCGTCGTAGCTGGGACCAAGGCCGTGGTCGACGCCGTCGTGTGCCGCCCCAGCCGCGCCGTAACCTGCTTTATCGCCGGACTGCCCGTCATCAGCCACGTCGCCGGCAAGTGTCCCCCGCCTAACCAACCAACACAGAACCACACACTGACAGGCGCAAACAGAATTCGTCAGCCGCGCGTTCGCGCGCCGGCGCATCCGCCTCGACGACCTGCGCGACATTGAAAAGGCCAGCCTGCTGGCGCAGTCGCACGACGACTCGCCCGACAACAAATCGCCGCTGCGCTTCGTCGGCGACGACAACAGCTACTGCGACTCGCCCACCCTGTCGCTCAGCGAGCTCGACGCCACCGACAACCAGTTCGTGGCCGTGCCGCTCAACCCGTCCTGCTCCAGCGCGACGGTACGCTGCAGCCCCGACGGCAACGGCCGGCTTCTAGTGCAGCGCGCCAACAGCCAGACATGGGACGAGATCGACGCGTCGCCGTTCCTGCGCCACGACGGCTGCGAGCCCGCGCACCAGACCCACCTCGGCCTGAGCACGGCTGAGCTCGACGCCGTGCTGCACCACCTGTACCTCGCCGACGGGCCGCGCCACGGCTGCGCGCGGGCCAGGCTGCACGCCGCCGACCACGCCGCGGTCCCCGCGCCCACCGCGTTCGCCGCGCACGCGGCGCCGTGCACCGAACCCGCCGGCCAGCCGGTGTACATGGCGTCGGCGGTGGGCTTTGGCAAGGGCGGCGTGCACCCGTGCAAGGTGTCGCCGCTGCTCGAGGCCACGCTGTGCCGCGTGCCGTGGGGCGGCGACGAGATTCCGCATTTTGGCGAGTACGATCTGCTGCCGTTCGTGCCGGAGCTGATGGAGTTTGTCGACGCGGCGGCGAGCGAGGGCGAGGCTGCGGGTACGCCGCCGGCTGGTCGCCAGCCTGTGGTCGGTGGCTATGAGAACGGCCGCTGGCTGTACCATGCCATTGCCCAGGTCGACAGCGTCTGGGTCCCGGGCAAGGCGGGGCCGCAGTTTGTATGTCCTCCCCCTCGTCAGTGTGGCTATCGTGCCCGTATGTGGTGTTGTGGAATGCTGACTGGCGCTGATTTTGTTCTAGCCCGGCGCCATGGTGGCGTACGCTGACCGCGAGAACATGGTCAGCCCCTGCAAGATCCTGTAAGTGAATTGCTCCGGCAGGAATCAGGATTGGAGGCGGAAGACTAACCTCGTGCACACAGCTGTTGGAAGTAGACAAATGCGTCGCCGGGGTGCGTGGGTGTTCCTCGTGAGGACGGGAGGCTGCGGGGCGTGGGTGTTTTCGGACCTGGGTTGGAAGATGCACTGTGAGGAGACTGAGAACGAGATCGCGTCACGGTCATGGGACCTGACCTGGCTTGGCTTGGGAGTGGAGAGAGAGAGATTCCATGTGACAGGCAGTGCTAGTTAGGAAACAATATCCGCCTGTTGAATGCCTGATTGTCTTGAACTCAGATGCCCATCCTATCTATGCTGCGCCATTGAAGGGTTTATAGACTATGTGTGGCTAGCCCCGCATATACCAGGCCGACCGGCCCGGTGCAGCCGAGCCGGGGCATAGGTGGATCCATGGATTCCACTGATCCAGACCATCACCTTCCTATATATATTACGCCGTGGCCTAGATAGCTAGACTTCTTTCCTGCAAGCAATACGGTTATCCGTTCCCCACCCAAACTATGAGAATGTCGAAAACGGGTTCAAGTTCCTTGGATCTGGCTTGCGTCGGCCGTGGAAGCAGAGGCAAGGGGACTGGCTCTTTAGTGGATAATTCTAGGTACCAATGTCTGGCATGTCGAGTGCTTAGCTGTCCATGATTAAGATGCCCATCCCACCTTGGCACCCATCTTGCGCCATCGAAAAAAATTAAAGGCCAATTCTGATAGTGTCAAGAATACGTTCAAAGTCCGTGGATCTAGCTTGCGTTCGACGTTGAAGGAGAGAGGAGTAGTTTAATGGACTGGCAGTGCTGGGCGACAATATATCGCGGTTTTCACCAAAGTCGTAATTTTTCAGCTAAAAACGACACCTACTATGACAGCTGCCATTGCAGATGAGTGGGTGTACGCAACGACAGAGTGAGTACCTCGACGAATTCCTTAACGAAACAAAAATTTATAACTACAAGAAAAGTCGTAGGTTTAAATGCAACTAGAACCAGTTGCAGTTACCACCCAACTTCCAGGGCCTATCCTGGCTCAAAAAGAGCCTCTCTAGTCCGTGACTAATTAATCCGCCAGTCTGGCTAATATCTACCCCGAGCAACATCTTAGTCCCGAGAGGCACCATGAAAGTTCAAGATCCTAGTAGCCTAGATATTGCCGACCCCTTCTTTGTTCCCTATATTAATACAATACATTGGACCACACCCATAATCCTTCCTATAGGACCCACTCTTCTCCTCATCTCCACAGCATAACCACCCTACGTCTGGCTGCCTTACTCCGAGCCTTGCCGAATCTTATCACGGATCTTTTAAAGGTGCTCCGAAAAGTCACTATCGCGGCACGCCGTGTTCTCAATCACGACCTGAGACAGCGGGCTAGCGAACCGCGCCTAGTTATTTCCCCAGCTGTACCTGCTGGGAGCTCTGATGCGGACCGTGCCTCGCGCAATAGCCCCTGACGCTGAGGCTGAAGAACTCTGAGCCCGTGTCGATGGGGCCGGGAAAGTACCGGTCGTAGTTTAGGAAGAACGAGTAGTGGGACTCGTACATTATGATATCCTGCGCGAAGCGCAGGGCCAGCCTGCCAACCTCGGTTGACGCGTCGTTGTCACGGCCGAGATCCGGATTTCAGGGGGCGGAGGGGGCGGAAGGCGGGATCTAGGGAGCGGTAGACGGGTCCCTCGGAAGCGGCAGGCGGTCCCTGGGGGTGGGGGACTGGACTGGGGTAGGGTCCAGGGGGCCGGAGGCGCGAGGAAATTTGCCCAGGCAGCCTGGGCGAGGCTTAGGCCCGACTCTCTAGCCGTGAAGATGGGGCGGCGAGAGATGCTGGGCAGGGTCTGCATCCAGGACACAGCCCCCGACGCCTTGAACCAAAAAGTCTCGTTCATGCCGTCCCCAAGTACAAGAGAGATGGCGCTCCTCGTTGCAGACGTCGAGGAGCTCCACCAGACACTCCGAGACCATCTCCTTGGTGAGAAACGGCCGTCTCCACTTCTTGAAGCCCCTACTAATGGGCTGGTAGGATCCATATGCTTTCTTGATGGCAATATCGACATCCTTCGAAACCTCGGGCGAACTGAAGACGTGCCCAAAATCCAACAGCAAGTCCGAGAACTCGTTTTCGAGGATATAATGCTATCGATTGCGGTTCTGCTCCATTTTGCCCGGTAGTTGAGGGGCGATAGGGATAGAATTGCAACTTTTAACCTATGTGTGTACCTTGCCCCGCACCCCTTCCCAACTTGTGTGCATCATCCATCCAAACCTAGAAGTCTTGTGCCCTCTCCGCCTAGCAGTCAGGCTCTGTACCTGCGTATTCCTCTTGACAAAAGGCGCGGCAGGGTTTCGTCGTCGGGGTCGAAGAGGTAGCGCTTCGGCGGCTGTCATGAACGGGAAGACGATTTATTTCTGATGACAAATTACCTATAACTATCTATGCGATGGGTAGCGCCGTATATCATTGACCCGTGGTTGTCTCAAAGGAACACTTGGGACCTAAAGTTATAACCACAGATGATATCGTGCGGGGCGGGATGCGCTACCGTTTTGGAGCTGGCGGCGAGGGCAATTATAGTCGAACGGCATCGATCGAATGTGGCACGGCAGATCTAGCAAGACGCTACATAACTACACTCGTGTCTCTTTGCCCATACCATAAGACCTATTTCTTTCTCTTTTTCATGACTATGAGTCTTGGGCAGCCCAGCGCGGGCATCAACTCAAATATATTCAAATCAAACGATCAAATATAGGCCTTTTTGTCAGCCAAACATGTGGTTTTGTGGATCAAATTTAACCAAATATGGGTCCAAAAATATTTGGGCATTTGACAGGTATTATTTCCTACTGGCTGGGCCATTTTTTGCGGGGGGTTTTCGGGGTTTCCTGGGACCCAGGCGCCCTCTGCCCAAGGCCAACCCTACATTTCCTGGCTCGTGAAAATCTCCGACTGCCAGGCTTCGGCGCGCCGTTGACGCTGCGATGTAACCATCACCACATATGTCAACAAACAGCCTCGAATTCTTCTAATCCTACAGCGGCCTTCCCTGCCTTGCTCCCGAGCCGCCGACAAGATGTCTGCCTCGACCGTTAATGACGCGACCCTCTACACGGGCGAAAAGCGAACTTTTGCCCTCATGTAGAGGCCATCGCGAATTGTAACGCAGGAGGAGGAATTGATCTAACAACACGAGAAAGAGCTGGCGAATACGCAGAGGCATAGCCTAGGCGACGATAGCTTCAATTTTATCACATGTGTGAAGAATTGGGTAGGTAAATGAGGTTTCCCGGACTTCAGGCCTTTTTTTTTTACGAAGGGCCACTTTTTGTGGTATTTACCTATTTTTTGGTGTAGCGGAAGATGCCGGCGAGTATCAACAAATCAGTCAAATACGGCCTCCTGCAAACAAATAACCACTTTTTACCCTCAAATACAGTCAGTCAGGGACCATATTTGACTAATTTAGATTTGTGCCAGCGCTGGGGCAGTCCCTTTTTTATGACTTTGTCTTCATCACGGCGCAGGCCAATGGGGTCTACTCGCGCTGCCTTTCAGTGATGTAGTTGCGCCACTCAAAGGTTCCACCTATTCAGCTACATTAGTGGTAAAGGTATTGCAGGACAATCAACAAGTCGATGTTGAGTCATGGCGGGGCTAGATCCAGTGAAGCCCCTCAATCCACCAGCTTGCGCTGCACACCTGCTAGATAGGTATGTGTTCACTCTTGGCTCACTTTCCCCAATGTCTCATGCGCTCTTCATTGACTAGTATTGCACCGAAAAAGAGGCCCCGGGAGCGGTGGTGCAATGGCTGCAAAGACTATATTTAATTATTTTCTTCGGAATATCACAAACTTCCTCTTCGCCACTATCATGTTGCGTGCGGGCCATAGTTGAGGCATAGCAGCATGGCATCCCTTAGTGGCTCCGTGCCTGGCCCCACCAATTGCCCAGCTCCATGATGCCCTAGACCCTAATTTCCCCGCCAGATCATGATGTAGCAGGTGCGGGGCGCGGATTCATCCATTTACCCTTCTTCCATTTCGACTGGAGCGAGAGTGCAGGGCGGTTGAACACTACACCCGTTGTTATGGATTTATTTGGGCGCAAAACTGAGCGTCTCACATATCAGGATTTTCCCTTTGCATACTCTCCTCTCTCTGTATTTCTAATGAGTAGTTTGTTGTATCTTCCTCTTGCCTTCTTTGGTCTTGCAGTTCTAATTATCCTCAAACCTGAAGACAGCAATCCCGAAGCCAACAGTTGATTGCATGTATCTTGGTTGCACATTTATACAAGGGTAATCTGCGACCGGCGTATTCTCAACTTCTCATTTCGAGACGACTTGCGCGGCAGCGGTGGCTTCCGGCCCTTCTGGACTATGAACACCTATGGTACTCACCTCCCTGGAGACCGAGCTACGGCATGGCGCAACCTTCGAGATACGACTTGCGATGACAGCTACAAGCAGATGCCGCGAACACAATGAATGCGTGGAATGGAGAGCCCTTTTTCTCTTGGAACCCAACTCCATCCCATTATTGCCGTGTTAGTCCCACCCCTGCACCATCCATATCACCCACGCTTCTGCCTCACAGGCTAACACTTATTGGCCCACCCTTCCATTATGTCAACCTAAAGTGCTTGTACCGCCACGCCGGCTTAGCAGAATCTTCGCCGGGGGCGTAGTACACGAACCCCAAGCCCACACGCCTGGCAGAGACGACGCCAGCGGCATCCTGGGACATGGCCACGCCCAGAAACACGGACTGCGTCTTGGGCAGCTTGCCAGGCCCCTCGACCGTGTCCGCCGCAACGACCAGCACGAACTCGTCGACAGCGACGCCCCGCGCCTCGTCCCCCTTGTCGTCGAACCGGAACTCGCCCCGGTGGCCGCCCGACACAATCTCCATGCTCACGAACCGCTCGGGCTTCGCCGGCTGCGCGAGCTTGACATCATCGGCGCCCAGATACGCGGCAAAGAACCCCAGCTCGCCGCGCGCCGGCGGCTCGACTGCCGCCTGCCCCCCCTTCAGCAGCGCGGCCGTGTCCACCCCGACGCGGTCGCCTAGGTACGCCTCCGTGCTGATGCTACGGCTACTGCTACTGCTACTGCTGCTGTCGGCGTGCTTCAGACTCGCCGTGCCATGAACGGACGGCGAGGACTCGCTCCCCTCTTCCCCGGCGGCAGCAGCAGCAGCAGCAGCAGCCCAGGACTGCTGAGACCAGATCTGCGACGTCGCCGTGCTTTTGCCGCCGTCAGAGCTGCCGCCACCGAGGTGCCAGCGCGGAATCGCCACATGCAGCGGCACGCCGCGCGCGGGCGCGAGTGACACGATGCGCGACAGCCACGAGCTGTCGGCAAAGACAAACTCGGCGGGGCCGACCCACGATGCCCTAGTTCATTTGTTACTTGCGTTAGCTCTAGTGCTCAATTTTTCGCCATACTTATGCATAGGTGCCATAGTTATGCATGGGTAGGCAGTAAGAATGCCAGCAATCTCCTGTGCTGTGCTGTGTGGGGGAATGAACCAGTGAACCACTCACCACGACCACGTCGCGAACCGCTGCTTGGCAGTCGAGCGCCTCTCACCACCGGCGCCGCCGCCCTGGCCCGACGGGAACCACAGCAGGCCGTGTTGCATCAGGTGGGCGGGGATGCCCTGCGTCTGGGCAATTTCGGCGGCGGCCGCAGCAGAAGGCGCGGCGTGGAACCGGTTGAACACGCCGGCAAACGCGTTCAGCGCGTCCTCGGCGTGCGAGAGCTCGCGGCGCGTGTAAGCCTGCACCGCGGCCTGGTACTCGAGGCCTCCGAGCGCGGCCGCGTCGCCGAGGTAGCGGTACGGCGTCGGGTCCGGGTCCGCCCGTAGGCTGCCCGTCCACCACGGCGGGCCGGTGCGCAGCTGCTGCACGGCAGGATTTGGCGGCGTGGTGTAGCTCTCGCGGCGCTGCTGCCCGGCGGCGGGGCATGCGAAGAAGACCTCGTCCGCTGTCACATACACGACCCGCCGCGACAGGTGCTGTTCCTGGTATGTCCAGCCCCGCGTGTTCCAGGTCGAGCGGCGGACTTCTTCGACGAGGGATGGCGGGCAGAGCGCGAGGCGCAGCGTAGTCGGCGGGTGTGCTTTGGAGGCGGGCGTGGTGATGGCCGTCGGTTTGAGCGGGTGGCCGCTGCGAGGGCGGCGCGGGGTGCGACCCGGCGGCGCCCAGCCGCTGAGCCCGGCGTCGGCGTCGGTGCCGTCTCCGGCGACTAGCGTGACGGTCGCCGTGTTGTACACGTCGTCCATGACGGCCATCAGCCGGTCTTTCTCATTGCCGTCGTTCTGCACGATGCAGAACATGTCGACCCACAAGTAACGCTGGCCGATGGCGCGCGTAAGGCTCATGGCGTCGAGCACGGAGGCGGCGATCTTGGCGCCCGGCACCCGCTCCGGCGTAAGCGCACCCGGTTTGGCGAGCTCCTCCTTGTTTCCGACGGTAGTCAGCAGCAGCGGGATTTGGTCGGGCTTTTCGACATTCTTGCGGAGGATGGTCGCTAGCTTGCCCCAGACGTAGGAGAGGGCCACGTAGTCCGTCTTTTCCTTGAGGCGCACCAGACACTCGTCCACGACGTCGATCAGCAGGAATCCGTCTGGACCGCCAAACAGCGCGTCCTTCGTTTCCGTGGTCTTGCTGCTGTCGTCGACGGAGTGCTTGTGACCCTGGCATTCCTGGAGCCAGCTCTTGACGAGCTCAACGTCAATTGTGGTGGCCACGTCGCGGCGCACGATGTACTCCGGCTTGGCTGCGTCGTCGGGCAGTCGTTCGATTTCGGCCACGATGAACCGGTCCTTGACCCGGTCGACCTGCCTGATGACGCCTCGCGTCTCCTTGAACCCGGGGGGCTTCTGGTCCACCGCGAGGAGGAGACGAGGCTGGGGGTGTTGAACATGCCCGTCGATCTGGACGGACAGGGGGCTGCGGCTCTGTATGAAGAGCTCGGGCGAGCGGGCGTGGCCGCCGGGAGAGGCGCTCTTTGGATCTCCCTTCTCCTCCCAGCCGAGATGGATTGACTTGGCAATGAGGCCGCAAAACGGACAGTTTAGGTCGGAGTAGTCCGATACGGGACCCATGGCGATCTGTTTGGTCTCTTTGGCAAACATTGCTGCAAAATCGAGCTTTGCACAGGCGCCGCAGAGCCGACCCGAAGCGCTGCCCTCTTTGGGGCGCGATGGCAGAGTTACCCCCATCGTTGATGGGTTTACTGCCGCAAAAGGGACAAAAAAGTTGCAGCAGTGCAAGTTGCAGTGCACCATGTGTCGCTAATTAGTGTCTAGTTGTCGTCGGAGAACTCCCAAAATCCCCGGGGTTGGGCGTCGTTAGGCAATCAATAGTCACGGTTCTAGACCCAGTTCTATGGGGTCTGGTCTAGGCCCAAATCGTCACTGCATCATGCATAGCTGCGGGTCGGAGGGGGTTATCGCCACCCAGAGTTTTGTCTCCCAGAATGGTTTTATTTGAGATTTGACACGACTGGCCAGGATCAACGATGAAATAGATAGGCCCGGAAACAAAACCTAAATAGAGAAAGGCGCTGAGGGGAAATGACAAGAACTTCTCACTCTCCGCTTCAAACTAATGGAATTCCTGAATAATCGCCTATCCAAAGGCACGCTTGCTAAGATCTCCGTAGAAAATAAATAAAATAGGCAACTAGTATGCAAACCCAAGTAATATTCTTCCCCCATTTGCGCCAGTTAAACATCCGCCAGTAACCGCCGCGGGCGCCATGATGCTCAGCCGCCACCAACCACGAGCTTCAAACTGCTCCCCAGTTGCAATGCAAGCGTCACCCAGAATGCACCTGGAACCCCTCGCACCGCTTGCAGTACATGAGCTCGGCCGTGTACTCGTCGAACGTCATGTTGACGCCGCAGATGGGACACGGCGGCCACGAGAGGATGCCGAGCCCGGACGACGACGACGACGAGCCGTTGCGCCGCGGCTCGTCGAGGAGGTGCTGGCAGCGCTCGCGGCGCTGGCGGCGGCAGCGGTTGCTCCGCGCCCTCGGCGGCTGCGGTGGTGGCGGCAGGCTGCTCTTCTTTAGCCTGCCGGCGAATCTCCGCCGCTGCTTGGCGAGGGGTGGTGCGGCGTCGTCTTCGTTGGTGCTCTTGTTTCTGCTGCTGCTGCTGTCGTCCGTGTCGGGGGTCTGTGTCGCGCCGGCCAGCATCTCGCTCGAGGCCTGGTGCGTACTGCTGTTGTCATCCGACGAGGGCGCACGTGGGCTGGTCGGCCGCGCGGGTGCCTCGGTTTCGTCGAAATCCCGCTCGATGCTCTGGAGCACGACGCCCGGATTGATGTCGTAGCACTTGTACATTACTGCAGTGGCTATGACGGACCTTTTGTTTCTCTTTATGCAGGAGCAATCTCTAGATTTGCGGCTCTTCTTGGTTATTCTGGGTAGTAAGAGGTGCCGTCTGTTTGTGTTCGGGACGGCGATATCGGTTGGCTGGATTGACGGATGCGGTTGCAGGGCAGTCAGTTGGGGTTGCCCATTGTGAGTTGCCGGTAAGGTATTATCTGGGTATTGATGAAGTGGTTCTGGATTCCTGATCTCGGTTTCGTGGATCGTATGGCTTTTGCTCTTGGCGTTAGGTGGCCTTTGTGTTTCTTGGTCACTTTGTAAGGGTGCTTGTTTGTTTGATGGCTTAATTTGCAGGGGCGAAATATGCGTCAGACTTTTTGGTCCACTATTACTCAAGCAGCCCCAGTTTGAGATGTTGTTTATCCTCGGGCAGAGCTTTCGTAACATGTGTTGGGCTTCGAACAAACAGTCATCGAGATGGTCTTCAAACGAGGAGCGGCCGATTATGTAACTGCTAAAGCTTCGGAAATCCTCGATGTAGCCGTTCAGCTCGACTTGGGATGCCGTAAGCCACCGGATGCTGTCGGGGTGAGTCTTGGTTGGGGCTAACGAAAGGTGTTGGCATTGTCTTACGGCCTGCAATAGTAGGGTCCTGGTTGCCTGGTCTAGTGTGCGGTCTACGCCGTAGGCTGAGTGTTCCGAAATGGCTTGGAAGAGTCGGGATGTCTGCCGAAGTGACACTATGGGGTCTGACTGTCGAGTGTTTTGGTCACATTTGTGGCGCAGGTCGTGCATCATCCGAACGACAGCTTCTAGGCGATGTTGGGCCAGGCTGTCAAAGACCAGTTGCACTTGATTGTCATCCATAGCTACTCTACCTGACGAGTCTTATGGGCAACTGAGAGTTACCGGTATGGCGTTGTGCCCGAAGGGACTCTAAAGGCAAATCCTATGATGTTGCCAGATGGTTGGATGCAACTGTCCCAGGATGCGTAGGATGCGTAAGGGCTTCGAGGAGAGAGATGGAATGTGGCAAGGTGCGGTATTGGATGATATAAAAATATTGGATGGGGAGAGAAGGCTGGTAAAAAAATTGGGGGAGGAGCGATGTTGATAACGAGAATGCATCGAGAGCCGATTGCTGTGGCACGGCAGTAAAATGACTCACTGACAAGTCCCATGCAAGAAAAAGGTGTGCCCCTTCTCAGATTTCACAGGAAGAGACGGAGAGATGCCTATCAAATTTTCGTGGTCGAAAGAGGGGTACTAGCTGATATTTGTGTGTTGGGTGGGTGCTTGGCACTAACCGCGTTGCACGCACGCACACACCGGGGGGGGGCTGACACCCAACTTGTCGACCCATCCCGTCCCTCCTTCATCACACGCGCCCCACATATCGACACCCAGTCCCATGTCCGAGGAAGATAGGGTGGCCTTTTCCTGCGCCTCAACACTCAACCTGGTTAACCCCGACAGTAATTCTTGGTCCAGCTCACCTTGATTTAGTCTACATGACTACAACCAGCTCTTTCTTGGAGAGAAACATGGCCGCACGAGGAACCGTGGCCAGCCCAAACAGTCTCTGATGTCTGCCAGTCGACACACCGCTCTTTGGTGAATGCATCCGTCACTATTGAAGCTAATCATAGCCCAACTGAATGTGTGAACTTATGGATGGTGAGAGTTGATGCTTGACGTCGACGACGGGCGAGATATCGCCACCAATCCTCGCTGTCACCACAGCCCGGTGTGGCGTTTGGCCAACATGGAACCAACCAACAGCCCCGGGCTTTAAACATCAAACATGTGAGCAAGTGTCGTATACAAGGGTATATCAGAGTCATGGCTAGATTGTTGAGTTGTCTACTGCGATATGGGATCAGCACAAAACGGCGTCGACTCGAGAAATTCATTTCACTTGGTTTCCTACCTTATGTGGTCATCCCATCGTTGAAACTAGACAAAACACCGACTTTGAACTTGCACGCGAAGCAGCCAAAATATCAGACAATTGAAAGACGGAAATGTGGATGGCAAATGAGACACTGCTGGCGGCAGTCGCGAGTGCGCAAGAGGGTGCGTACTAAAACGCCTTAGGCGCCCAGAACGTGTCGCATCCCAATCCTATCGCTACCGTAACAACGACAACAAGGAATACTAATCCAGAAAGAACTACGCAAAGTGATCTATTGAGTGGTATCTTGACATTATCACGGCACTGATTCATTTCCCGGGGGGTTATGCAGCAGGTAGTTGTCAATCCGGCTAGAGGACTTGAATCGCATGTCGTTGGGTGTATTACGTAATCCACCGCGACACTTCAATTTGGTGGTGCGGCCGAGGGCTGCGAAGAGCGATGCACAGCAATCCGGAACAACACGCTTCCTATATCGTGACAATACGAAGACCATGAGTTACAGTGTTTGCTGTATTGGTGCTGTCTCGGCATTTGGTTTCAGTTGACAACGAAATGTTACTGGATAGAAACCCCCAACAACGAGAATTCTGGATGGCGGCCTTTCTCAACCCTAACCCCGATATCGAAGCTCGACAACCGCACCAGACTTTGTCCCGAACAAGAGTGTATTGCGATAGCTTCCGCCGCACGTGGTTTTACAATCTCGATAAGAACTACAAGCAGAAATGCCTAGCGAGAAACTCCAAAATCGTTCCCAGCTTATACAATTTAGGGAGCGAGATGGTCACTGACTGTGAGAATAGATAGCACCGCCATCTCAATCGTGGGAACATGAGCAAAGGCAGATGAAGTCGAGTGATCGGTGTCAATGATCCTACGAGGCCGTTTCAGAAGGCGGCATGTAGATGATGGCCACCGCAGATAAAGTCAGCGTTAAAAAGCCTGCGGAATCCCATCAAATCCCCAGCCTCAAATCCCCAGTCTCAAATCACTCATCGTCACCGCCACTGCCTCCCAGCGCCAAGCCGCCCTTGCGGCCGGCCTCGCGGGCTCGCTCACTGCCAGCCTCGAAACTGCCCGACGAGGCTTGGCCGCCCTTGGATGCGACGGCGCGCACCTCCTCCTTAGGGCTGTCGGCATTGATCAGTTTCAATTCATACACGGTGAAGGAGTTCGATGAACTCGCAAACCGATTGGCAAAGTTGCCTGGGTTGTCGGAGACACTGTTGAGACCCTGGCCGCCGCCGGTGCCAGCCTCGTCGCTAGCGGCGTTGTTGTCGTTCTTGTGGCTGGCCCGGCCGCCCTTGGCCGCGATCTCGCGGACCTCCTCTGTGGGACTGCAAAGCAGAGAGCGTGTTAGTGAGTTGAGGAGGCGCACCCTCCAGCGGTGCCACGCACTGGTTGGCAAAGTTGCCAGGGTTGTTATTGCCGTGGTCAGCCATGCTGATAGTAGACGTGCAAAGTTCGCAGGTGCTTTTTTGTGGTGTTTGCTGTTGGAAGTAGCCTCAAGTAGGATTGCAGATGGCTGCTTTGAGTTGCTTTGGTTGAGGAGAGGTTGAGAAGGAAAAAGAGGCCCTATATGCATAGATTCGGATGCCAGTCCTCACGTGCCTGGCTGAGTGAGGATGACGCAGGGGATCACGATGTGGTGAATACCGGTGACGTAACACGTTGGCGACGGGCAGGAGCAAACAACTACTGGTGGGTCCTCTGAGCAAGGGCCCAAGATATTGGGCGATTACAGCGCTTTCCAGGGCTTTCCAACAATGCGTGGACGAGTTATTTCCAGATTATTATACGTGGTTTTTTGTTTCTTTTTCCTGAGCCCTAGCTCCCGGCAAGCCCGCCCCGGCAGCTTGGGTGGTGATCAGTGTGGGGGGTGGGGATCCGTCCGAACAACCAACCACTGCCCAAACATCCCATTGGTCTTTCCCCGCCGATCAACCCACTGCAGGAACAGTGTTTCCGTTTGTGGATGCGTTACTTAACGCCGGGATGACATCTACACTACTCCTTGTGTGCTATTTACTGAGCTGCATTATGCGAGGTTTTATGTCGGTGGCTGCTCACCGACAGATTTGGTTGGAGTGCCGCTTCATGGCGACAGTGTTATTTTTTAGGGTTAGGTTTATCAGAACCAAAACATACGGCGAGGCAGAAATCCCACTTTGTACGACGACAAGAGAGACAACAGGTCGCGGTCGAATTGACTCTTCTGCAGGAGACACGTGTCCAGAGAGCAATGACTAAAATATGTCCAGAACAGTTGATCGCTTCTAGGCGGGTTCTATTAAGCTTGTGAGTGGACCCATCACATGATGTCCACAGGCCGCCCCTTGAATTAAGCTAGACTTGGTACAATCATCAGCATTAGTGTCGAGCACCAGAATGTTGATGTTCGATCTTCTGGGACATTCTGGCAGCACCCAAATTATTTTCACTGTCCATGGCCATTTGGCTATCTAGGCGCTTGGGAGAGTTAGATCGCACTATGCTCGAGGATACCAATAGGATATCTCCACCTGCAATGTAAAACGACTGGCTCAAAGATCTCGTATCAAGGCACTCTACTCATCTTGCTATCCCTCTCAGTGCATACCTAGTACAACGTTTATTATGCCTACCCAAATAATGTGACGTTGCTCCGGTCTTTGGCAATCGCCGCGTGCACCTGCAAGGAGAATGTCAGAGGGCTCATCTCAGCTTGGGGCGGGTGCTGTTAACGTTGGCTGGCTCTTCTTAGGAACTGTTGGAGCTGTCCAAAGGCGCGAGTGGTGACGACGAAGGAAACCTGTCATTAGACGGACTAAGTTGAATTGAGTAGAAACGAAGGAGACTCGACGGCCGGATCAGTTTCGAAGCCAAAGTGTACCCCACTTTCCATTTTGGGGTCGAGTACCAAGCTGTGTCCAGTGGCAGTGAGACAGACGCAACCCCGCTTGGAGATGTGGTCGTCGTCTGGTCTGTCTCCATCCGAACACTGAGGTGACGGGAACTAGGCGACCGCATTACCGTGGAGGGGATCGCCCGGCGAACGGCTGTCGAGCAGCGGCTATTACCTTGGGTGCCAATATCCACGTAACATGGAGAAGCCGAACCAATGCCATGCCTTGCAGCCCTTGGCTCGGTCGCGACGCATGATTTTGCGCGTTTCAGCATGGCGGGTGTCTCGTGACACAATGGAAGGCCTTCAGCCGCCGGCAGCACAGGCAGCACAGGCAGCACCGTGAATGCAGATGCCACCGCCAAGTGCGTGCCAGCTCCGACCTCGATCCGTGTCTCAAATGCATTCATTCCTAGAGGTGGAAAAAAAAAGAGACACAGATAGCTCTTCGACAGTTTCGCTAGTATCATTACCTGCCTCGCCGACTCGGCTTTTGAACCCGACCAACGCGTCAAGCTGCATCGTCCAAGGGGCCAGGATTCACGGCTCGCTTCGCTCTGCTCTGCTCTCTCATGCGACCCCGCCGGCGACGCTCGCTGGACGTTGCCCAAGATGCCCAGCTACGAACCCACACCGAAGCGCTTCTCGATGCTTTCCGTGTCGCAGTCGGCATCGCGGAGGAATAGCTTTGACGACACTGCCCGACCAGCGTTTGGGGACGACACCCACGACAGCGCGGAGCCCGCATCACACTTTGCACCTGTCGATTTCATTGGTGCCATCAAGCAGGCCCAACATTCCCGCGGCAGTGACACAGTAGCGCAAGACGGCGAGAAAGAGAGGGGCAGAAGCAGAAAGATTGAGGGCGACAGGAGCTCGACCCAGGACCAGCTAGGGGCGATAAAGGTACCGTCCGCCCGAAGGGAAACCAGCGAAAGCACCCGACAAAAGATTGCCATGTGGGAGGAGCGGAGTCGAAGCCAGAGCAAGGGCCGCAGTAAGAGCAGGGTAAGAGACCTAGGTGCTGGGAGCAGGATAAGCGTCGTCCCCGAGGTGCCCGAGCTGGCAGCTGTCTTGTCGCAGCTGCAAGAAAAAGAAGGGGGCGACAGGCTGAAGGAGCCAGTTGAAGTCGGCACAAATACAACAAGAGTGGAAGATGACAGCAGCAAGCCACCCGAAGCTTCCATCAACAGACCGTACGAGACCCAAAACGAACTCAACAGACACCTTGCTATCAATGTCCACGACCAGGCTGTACACCATTCATCAGAATCTGTGTGGGAGGATAGTTCAATCGACAACGAAACAAAGTTTCTGCCCGAACCGCTCAATCGGTCAGATGCTTCTGAGACGGCCGCTGTCGAGCGAGTTAGGGCAGTAGAAAACTCCATCATCCTTTACGGCAATCGCCATCTTCATGACCCGCAAGGTATTATATCCAGGCCGCCGAGTCCGGCTAAGCCCGCAGGGGCGCATCGGCCTCAAACACCAATCCGAATCTCTCCAGATTTTATCCCAACACCTGACACTACGCCAGGTCCAACTCGAGCGGGCGATGTTTTAGAGGATCAAGACAGAGTAGTTGCAGTTCTGAAGCAATCTGAGCTTCCCGACTTACGCCGGTCGAACATCGAAAACACTCATTTCACCAAGGACGAGCCCGCACAAGACTGGAAAGGAGATGCCAAAAAGGAGCCCTCAACCCCAATGTCAATGCCGTCAACACCAGTCGATTCGATTCCGACCCGGAGTTTTGCACTTCCCCTCACCCCGGAAGCTACCCCGGAACAGCCACGAAAGCATACCCAGCCACCCGCGGAGATCCCGGCAGCGAGCCCAAAAAGCCCATTATCCCCTCAAGAAATCCCATACACAGCTCTTGCGCCAGGTCCACGGCGGCTAGAGGACGAGGCCGTACCGGAGGCCGCAGAGCAGTTCCATCTGCCTTCTGATCTGCTTATAGATGCCGTAGTGGAACAAGGCCGTACCAAAAAAGCCGCACCTGCGCCGGTCCAGCTTTTCGACAATGCCAGTGCCAATGACACCAACTCGCATTACCATGAGATTTGGAAGGTGACAGACTACGCGCCGGAGTTCCCTCTGCCATCAAGACCGTCTACCCGAGGCCCGAGACAGAGTTTGACGGGAAACACCAGGCTCGACGGGACCCCACTCAAAGAACTTCCTCGAAGCCAATTGTCGGCGGTGGCAACGCCGTACCAGCCGCAGCAGACGCTGGACCGGTACCCGCATCCACGCGACGAGCCGGGCAGAGCCGGTGTCGGGCAATGGGCTATTGATATCCCGCCTTCGCCTTCAGCGGCGTACGTGCCTGAGGAGGACGAGGGGCCCCGGCCGACGAAGCCGAGAAGACGAAGCAGGACGCGGCAGAAGCATGGCGGGGGCAGATTTACCGAACGCCGCCAACCCGAGCGACACGAATGGGATGCGCCTCCCGTCATCGAGAGGGCGATCCACGCTGCTTCAGTCAGTATGATCCAGGGGCTGACTGTCCCCGTGGTGTTGTATCGCGGACTGCGGGATTTGTACTACCCTCCGCCCGGCCGACCTGATATCATCAAGGCCTACCCAGTCAGGAGGCGGCTTCCAGTTCGGTAAGACAATGAGCCTCTTCTGTTGCGGCTTTTTTGGACGAAAACGTGATACTGATAATACATGGCAGCATCTTCTTCCCTACCCTCTACGACCTGACCTCGCCGGCATTGCTCCCAACCGTCTTCACGATCCACGGCGGGGGATTCACCGTTGGCGCGTCGTCCGACGACGACATATGGAACCGCAACTTCTGCGACTCGTTCACCTCGCTCGTCATATCGCTCAACTACGCCAAGGCGCCCTGGGCAGCGTTCCCCAACCCGCTCTTGGACGCCGAGGCGCTCTACCACGCCGTGCTCAACGACGAGTCGCTGCCCATCGACCGCATGCGCACGGCGCTCTGCGGCTTCGACGCCGGCGCTAACCTCGCCCTCGGCCTCTCGCAGCTGCCTAGCGTGCGGACCGGCTGCGACCCCAACGCCATCCACCCGTCGTACCCCTACTTTGCGCAGCCGCCGCGTTCGAACCCGCCGCCCGCTGCCGTGATATCCATCTGCGGCATCCTCGACTTCAGCATGTCGCCGTCGCGCAAGGCCCGCACGCGCCCGTACAAGCGGCAGCTGCGGGGCCCCCGCGGCTGGGGCCCCGGGCTGGACTGGATGGCGCGCATGCTGCCGTCGAGCGCGTGGAGCTACATCCCGTACGGCCACGAGATCTCGGACCCGCTGCTGTCGCCGGCGTATGCGTCGCGGGCCGACCTACCGCCTCACGTGTTCGTGGTGGCGGCCGAGCTCGACTGCTTGGCGCACGAGTCGTGGCGGGCCGCGTCGGTGTGGGCCGGGCGCGCCGTGCCGGACACCGACGTCCCCGTGGGGAGGCGGGGCCCGAGCCAGTGGCGCGGGTGCCTGGACGACGGGGCGGGCGACAGCGGTGGAGTCAAGTTTGGCTGGACCGAGACGCACACGGGCGGCGGCAGCACGCGCTGGCTGCTGGTGCCCGACGTCGTGCACGGCTTCGACTCGGTCGCATGGCGGAACAAGTACCTGTGGGGGGATGAGGAGGCGCGCATGGACGCCGAGATGAAGACGATTGCGTACCAGCGGGAAGTAGGCGAGTGGCTGTGGACGGCCGTGTGGAGTTGAGTGACGGCGTGTGTATCTGATCATTCCAGCCTCGCCGGCATTGCATTTACAAGAATTTAAAGATTATCGAATCAACAAGGGTTTCACCCAGTTTTGGCGGCTTCAGCCACTGCCAATGTCTCGTGGTTAATTGTTCTGTTCTTTTTGATGCAGGGAGGAACTAGTAGAACTAGCCGAGATACCTGAGATATTGACTAGAATGTATACTTCAATATACGAAGAAAGGCATGTTGGCTGTAAGGCAAGATTCCGCGCAAAAAAAATAAAAAAATAACAGTCATTTAAGAGCATGCTACCTTGTGCCGTCAATGTGCTTCTACCCCTGGGACAAACCACAGTCAATATGCAACCATTGATTGGCTGGTCTCCAACCCCCCTGCCCTGCCGCCCAGCGTCCGCGTATTCTGGGTCCGGACCGCGAACTGTCCAAATCGTATTTTCCAGTCGAACGAGCAACGGGGACAGTGATCAGCCAACCACAGTTCAAAGCAGAACACAGAGCTGCCAGAACAGCGGAGGTTCCTGATGACAGAAAACACGCTCCAGAATCCCGAGCCCGACGAGAAGCGCGATGCCGCAATTGCAAATTCTGCCGACGGCCAGAATGGCGCCAGGATACCAGAGCCCGCGGCCAGTGACGGCGCCGACCAGGAAAAGCAAAGGGTCTACCTCACAGGGTGGCGGCTGCACACTCTAACAGCCGGGTAAGCGAGCCGAGCTCCTTTTGTTAATATCAGCCTTGACACAGCTGACCGACAGCGACAGCGAAGGCTCTGTCTGTCGCTCCTGCTGTCCACGCTCGAGACGACAATCGTCAGCACATCGCTCGTGTCCATCGTCAACGCGCTCGACGGCTTCAGCCAGAGCGGCTGGGTCGTCACGGCGTACTTCCTCACCTACACCGGTAAGTGGTAATTAATTGGATGACATCGCGCTCGTTTCAGCTCGGCTTATTTACCTGCGTCGTGTCTTGCTAGGCTTCCTCGTCGTCTACGCCAAGCTGAGCGACATTGTCGGCTGCAAGCTGCTGATCATGTTTGCCGTGGCCGTGTTCACCGTCTTCTCCATCGCGTGCGGCCTGTCGTCGTCGATGCTGCTGTTGTAAGCCACACACACTCTCTCTCCCCCTCCCACTGGGGTTGTCCTTGACCGTTCCTGAACAATTACTTAGGATCGTGTTCCGCGCGTTCCAGGGCGTCGGCGCCTCGGGCATCTACTCGCTGGTCACCGTCATGACGCCGCTGCTCGTGCCGCCCGCCAAGCTCGCCATCTACATCGCCGTTGTCTCGTCCGTCTTCGCCATGTCCAGCGTGTTAGGCCCGCTGCTCGGCGGCGCCATCACCGACCACACAACGTGGAAATGGGTCTTTTTCCTCAAGTGCGTTCCGCTGGCTCTCCTTCCCCAACTGCCTATCTAGAATAGGAAGAAATGCAAAGCGCTGACTTTGGCACTGATTCAGCGGCCCCGCTGGTGCCGTCGCCATCATCCTGCTGGCCGTCTCGGCGCCGCTGAGCTTCCCGTACCGGCGCCGGCCGGGCGGGTTCTTGGACGCGCTGGTGGCGGAGCGCGCGTGGCGGCGCGTCGACGCGCTGGGCGCCGTCGCGTCGCTCGCCGCGTCCATCCTCGTCGTCTTCGCCCTGCAGCAGGCCGGCGTCGCGTACCCGTGGCGCAGCGCGCCCGTCGTCGCTTGCTTCGTGCTCGCCGGCCTGCTGTGGGCCGGCTTCGTGGCGTGGGAGCGCAGGCTGTCGCTGCGCGTCGGCGGCGTCTGCGAGCCCATGTTCCCGTGGCGGCTAGCGCGGAACAGGTTTGTGGTTGGGTTGCTGTTGTGAGTTTTTCTCTCTCTCTTTGGTGTTGTTCCTTTGTGGCTTTCTTTCTTACCCTCGTCCGCCGGGAGCTGGCACCGACTGACGGCAGCAGAAACGCATTCCTCACGGGCTTCCCCTTCATGGCCGCCATCATCAACATCCCACAGCGCCTGCAGACCGTCAACGGCACCACGGCGATCGAGGCCGGCCTGCGCATGCTGCCGCTGCTGCTGTGCTCGCCCTTCTCGACCGCCCTAGCGGGCGTGGCCGTCTCCAAGCTCCGGCTGCCGCCCCTGTACGTGCTAGTCGTAGGCGGCGTCCTCCAGACTGTGGGCGTCGGGCTTTTCAGCTCGCTTGACCAGCACGGCCCCGACATTCAGCCGGCGCAGTACGGATACCAGATCATCATGGGGTTCGGCTTCGGCTTCAACCTCAGCACCATCCTCATGATGGCGCCCATGGTGGTGCAGCTGAAGGACATGGGTACGTTGCGTTAACCCCCTCCTTACTCCAGTCACCAACACTCCACGAACCTCTCAGCTTTGACACTGACAAACTCACACTTATTTAGCCGTCGTGATGGGCTGGCTGACACAGATCCGCGTGCTGGGCGGCACCATCGGGCTGGCCGTGTGCTCAGCGCTGCTCAACAACCACATCACATCGGAGACATCCGCATTCCTAAGCGCCGACCAGACGGGCGCGCTGCTGCAGTCGTTCCAGAACATCCACGCGCTGGCGCCGGACGTGCAGGACCGCGTGCGCGCCGTCTACGAGACCGGCTACAGCGGCCAGATGCGTGCCATGCTGTATTTCTGCGCCGCCGCGCTGCTGTCGCTCGCGCTGCTGGCCGAGCGCCGGCCGCGCCGCCTGCAGACGGCCGACGACGGCGAGTTTGTGCCGCCGGAGGGATAACTGGGATGATGTTAACAATAGTGTTCGCGTTAGCGTCTTCTCGGTTGATCCCCAGATTTGATATGATTAGAACTTCCCTATAGAATCGCCATCTATCATAATTGCCTGTAATTATTTCATCAATGCTTGGTGAATTCTATAGTTTCTCAGACGTTGATTGGCGAAACGTTATCATCGCGGCTGCAGTTTTCCCCAAAACAGGGAACTTCCCAAGTTTCAAAGAAGAATCGGGAATTTAGAGTCAAACCACCCCATATTATCCCCGCAAAATTTAGTGGAAAGAAAGGAAGGAAGTGGCAAAAATAACATACAACACCAGGGATTCGCTGGTCGTCACCGACCCAACTACTAGTCTGGCGGTCGCCAGTTTATCTAGGGGAGAGCAGACGGGATCCCGAGTTTTCTAGCACCTATGGTCGTATGTGACAGTGTGAGCAGTTGACGCAGGTTATGAGGAGGACGGGAGGAGACACGCACGGCGTATAGTATAAAGAAAGCGTGTTGTTGTTTGATATAGTATATCTTATTTGAAGGAAAGGATTAGTCGAAGCGCGGTGGAGCGGCCGTACCACATGTCCGGTGATGGCCGCGGACCTCCTAGACTGAAGCCTAGTTAGTGCTGCGGCCTCGGCGGCATCATTGACGTATAAGGCTCTCGCTTAGAAGTTCAGTTTTCCTATCAGCATGACGTATAACTTTGTTTCTGTGGCGGGGTTGCACCACACGTAATAAATCACATGGGCATTAGCCCCGCCTTGGAGATTTCGCCCACACATTTCGTAAGGAGATTTCCTCTTAGAATTAGCTAGCTAACGCACATATTGTCCACTCCAACAGGTTATGAAGCCCTCTTTTTGCTTCCATTGAATCTATTCGCAACTGCTTTCTGGTGCATTCAAGAGCGTATTGAGCGTTTAGTCAATTAACAACCTGAACGCGTAGTCTACGCATTCAGCGCGCGCGCAAGGCACAGTTGCCCTAAAACCGCGTTCTGAGATCGTAGTCGAGCGACTGTGAGGTAATTTGGCGACATTCCCGATCGTCAAGCGGAACATTTCAACGAGCGTTGAAGCCTATTAAAAACACATAGTTGAACCAATTCCTGGCTACGAAGTCATCACAGTCATCACAGTCATCACCGACAAGATGAAGCTAAGCGACACCCGCGGCAACCTCAAGATTGGGACTGTCTCCCTCTTAGGCGAGAAGAACCTTAGCCAATGGAATAATTCCCACCTCGGTGTTCTAGAGCTTCAAGACCTAGAGAAGTACATTGAAGAGATGTTCCCGAGCTACAGGCACCTCAAGGAGCAACCCAAGCAGTCATCGATATGGTTGAAGAAAAGAAGGATGAGTGGCGCACTGAGAGTGTCACGGCACGGCCGAACTATGGTCCGTGGTGCCGCAACCATGCCCTGGCTGCAGGTTCCACCCCGTAGTCCCACTCTTCCCGATTAGGACTAGGCTAATCGCCCCTGCCAACCACAAAACCACGGCCTGCAGGAACCGCAGGCTTCTTCTTCTTCTTTTCCTTTCTTTAGTTTAGTTATTTACGAATTCAGTCATTTCTTATTGCAGCCCTGACTCTCGTTTATGCCTGCCTTCACAAGTGGCATGTAGGTTCAGCTATTTGGCTGGAAAAAGTAGACTTCATCTCCTATGCCTTCTTGAAGCCATCAAGGCCACGCGAGTACATCATGTTCTCCAAAAGTAGGTACATTCCTGCCTTGGTATAAGGAGTCTTGGCCGGTAGGGTACGTATGTCGACTTCCTCTCCATCACGAAGTCTTCTTGTGTGAAAGACAACCTGCTCTTCTTCTTCCTCGCTGTCTTCTTCGTCTTCGTTGTCTTCTTCCTGTTGCTGCCCTCCTGGATCCTGAGCCTGCGCCTGAGCCCTGGCAACCTCCTTTACAGCGGCTTTGTTCCATTTCTTCTTGAAGTTATGGACCAAATTCTTGTTGATATGGAAAATGCAGAGTTGTGGGTGAGCGTCAGGGTAAACACGCGCAATTGCAGACCTCATAGCCTTCTCAAAGTCGGTAATCGTGACCATAGGGAGTTGCGCGCCGATTTCTTCGCGATGCTCGTGGATCCGGTCTATCAGCCAGTTGAAGCTTTCCTCACGTTCGTTATCGATCAGGCCGAACGCACAACTGACTGATTTACCTAGGTGGTTCTTGAGGACTACTTGGAAGAGAGCCAGGCCTTTGTTGTTCGTGCTGTACGTATTATCGTACAGCTGGACCCAGGGGTGACGCTTCTACTGCTCCTCACACCAGTAGAGACCAAAAAGAGCCCTTCGGCTTGTCTGGTTCATCAACTGACTAAAGGACTTTGTAACGGATGTTTTCATCGTCAAGAATCTTCTTCGTGGCCTGGAATGGCGAATATCTCTTGCGTGTAAGCCTACGAAGACAAGAGCGGCATTTTCGTAGGTAACAATGCTCAAAATCCAGGCCCAGAAAAGCCTTTCGTAAGTCTTTGGCAATCTCCCTGCTGGGGACAGCTGGTCGGTCGATGTAGGAAGCAATAAATTCCTTGTACTCAGGGTCAAAGACTACCCTGATGTAAGGAAACCACCCTCGTAACCACCATGGCCACCGCCACCAGGGCCACCCTCGCCACCATCGCCACTATCGCCACCGCTAACAGGGCCACGCACTATCGCCACTACCACCCTGGCCACGCAAGGATGACTCGTAACCCCTTTCACGTGTATATAGACCATGGCCTTCGCACACCTCTTTAGCTCAGGCCAGGTTGAAGTCTTACGCCAATACCAGTCATTGCTCGCCCTGCTTGTTGCTCCTATTGTGACCACCTTGATCAGGCGTACCTGCCTTCTCTTACACCTGAGCTTTAACTTGTTGAAGTCTCTCTCGATAGGCGGATGATTTTAATGGCTGGTATGCTCAGGAAGAAGCTCGAAGGTCCATTTCCTATTATTAGAAATAAGCACTTTGGTTACGTCCTGCCAGGGGTAGTCCTTGTGATCGGTGGTGGTGATGTTCTCCGTTGCCTTGGACTTTACGATTTTCCCTTGGTAAGAGCCAAAATGCACCCTTGTTGCGCTGAAGTCTTTGGCATAGTTGGCGCCTCGTAGCTTGCACATACCGAACCGTGCAGAAGCAGCCCATTCGTCCAAATCAACAATTAGATCGTCGAGGGCGTCGTATTTGAAGGTGAAAAGCCTATGGTTAGCGGGCGGATTGGAAAGTGGCGATGGTGGCGGCGCGGGCGGCCCGGCGATGATTTTGGTGGTAGTTTGGTTGAAAAGGAAGGTTGTAGTGAAAAAGGAAGGTTATAGTGGAATACGAAGTTTGCAGCGTAATTAGGTTGAGTTGTGGTAAAAAGTAGTAAAGGACGTGGCGGCAGAATTTTGGATGTTCCGATTCTATAGGGTTAGGGTTATGCACGGATGAATACAGTGGATGGGGACGATTTTACAGTCGCCGGAGACGCCCCCTTTTATACGGCCATCTAGAGATTTACAGCATTTGTACACTCACAGCACTTACGCGCCCTATTAATGGTTGATAATCAAGACAGTAAGGTCAATACAGAGGCAGCAGGGTGCGCGCACAATAACTAACAAGGCAACAGGTCAATGGAATGCAGCAGAATAGGTGTGCAGTATGAGGGGGGTCTATTATGATATTTGTCAATCTCTATTAGGATATTGTTGTAATATGGTGAACAAGCGAGACGATAAATAACAAAGCGTTGACCCCCCTGGGGTCAAAGTAGTAAAATGCCGTCTCAATTTTGGTTTTGGCGGACTTGGCCCTATAGTATGCCGTACACGCCATGCGACCTGAGAATTTTAGTGCCTCTCGGCAGACACGCCATGACACACCGACAAAAAAGGGCTCGCTCCGGCACCCAGGGGGCCAGGTTCCGGGGAAAAGGAACGAAGCTAGCAGCCGTTAGTCTGACCAACCACAAGCTCGACCTTGGGGAGAGGGAGGGGGGTTAAGCCTGCCGAAAAGCTGACAGTCGAGAGCCACGTTACAACCATTGGACCCTTGCTGCCTCGGCTCGGTTTTGGAAATAAATAGCGTGAGTTCGAAGCAGCATTAGCGCGGATACAGAGAAAGGATTCTGCATTAGCGGCTCTTTTTGGATGTCTGTGCTAAACTGCCAAGAAAGTTGGACAAGACTGGGCTCCATCTCTGACTTGCTCTTGCTGGGCACGGAGGAAGGCAATCCCATGAGCGGTGTCTGACAGGGCGAATTGCGGTGCTGTGAGATGAGGTGAAGCGAATGCGAGACGGGAGTGTGTCGATGGGCATCTAGGCCGTTTTGCTCTATTTTTTCTATCTAATTTTTTATGCAAGCCGACCTTTTGACATTTGCAGTGGTATTCCCAGAATGAGATCTGAATTTGAGTTTAATACACTTGACGGCGCGTTAGAGGCCCTCCTTCGTCGACATCTCGTAGCTGACCTGGACCTGGTCCGTCCTCTTGATCCTGCCGCCTGTCCCGTTGGTGTCCTCGACCCTGACGTCGCGCAGGATGCTCTCATCACTCGCGTTGTTGTCGGCGTTGAAGGTGATGACGGTCCGATGGCTGGTGCCGGCTGGGACGACTTTTGGATCCAGGCCGGGCTCCGACCTCAGCGCGTACTTGTGGTTGCTGTGGTTGCCATACATTGGCAACTTGTATCCGCTGTTGTTGCCGCCCGTGCTGCTATCACCCTTGCTTCCATACCGCACCTTCACGTACAGCGGCCGCAGAACGGGGATCGACGAGCACATGATGGTAACGGTACTTTCGGTCGCGGACCAGAGGAGCATCGGCACCGTATCGTCTAGAAGAGAGTGTTTGGGTTAGTTGCGATAACACAGCTTTGTGGTTGCTCCAGCAAACGACTTACAGATGTACTCTGCCGTGTTCAAGCCGTTAAGAGCCACTGTGCGGACGATACCGCAGGCACCGGCACTGTGGTGCTAGGTTAGAGATTTGGCCTGCACACAAGAGATGCTTCACCGTGGACTCATGGAGCTTACATGACACCGAGACTTAGGCCGCAGGCGACGAGCAGCTTCTCTTTGCGCTTCATGTTGAGGTTCCAGACGACGAACCAGGGCAGAATGGCGAAGCCAAAGTCAGCGACGACAAACCAAGCTATCATTCGTTTCAGTAGTCAGTCAGCATTGCTCAGCCGAGCAGGCAGTAGACTCGCAGCGCGTTTGGAACACGTACATCCGACAGTCAAACCGACCTTTGAGAAATCAAGCCAGCAGTGGCCAGGGACGGTGGGGTTCCACGTCTTCTGCACCGGGATGCACTGGACGACGACGGTGATGCTGGCGAAGAGGGTGATGAAGACGGTGAAGCTCAGGAACAGCCATATGATGAAGATCTGGACGCGGACCATGACGATGCGCAGCAGGAAGACGCCGACGGCCAGCTTGCCGACGCCAATGACCATCAGCCCAGCGACCTGGCTGAAGACCTCGTACATGACGGCCGTCGAGTAGGCCTCGGGGTTGCCAACCTCGGCAAAGTGCTGCCCGAGCCCGTACTGCGTCGCGACGGTAACGAAGATGGTGTAGACGACCTGGAGGGCTAGGGCAACGATGATGAGGTAGTCGTCGGCGCCGACGGCGTTCAAGACCGAGATGCGCGTGTAGAGGCGGAGACCGACGAAGACGGCGAAGACGACGACGTGCACCCATAACACGGCGTTGACCATGGGCCCGAGGCCGCCGTAATACCGGCTCCCCATGGTGGTGCGTTGGTTGCGTTGCGTTGCGGTGCGTTGCGCCGGTGATGTGTGATGTCCAAACCAAACCAACCAAAACCCCCCGAAAAGCTGGCCGTGACAGGCGAGTCAGGGCGTGCGCGTGTTGCAGCAACACAGAGTCAGTCGACACTCGACAGCCAGCGACTGGCATTGGGCCCGGTTTGGTTGGCCTCGAGACGTGGGATGCACTGCATCTTAATGCAACTTCTCACTCGCCTGAGTGGCCCGTCTCTCCAGGGCCCCATGCCAGGATGCGATGCTGCAGGGACCGTGAACGTTGCTCGGATCAAGATGCTGCATGCCAGTTCTTGGTCTCTCACCGTGAGGTGTGTTTTCCGGGGTTTGTTTCACCGGTCACTTTGTAAGGAACAGTCCCAAACAATATGGATTGTGATTGGCAATTTGGCATCCCCGCGATCCAGGCCCGCCACTCTGGGCAGGCACGTCCGAGCAAGGGATCTTCACCCAAGACTTGCACTGGGGGGGGCTAGGAATATCTGCATTCTGCAGGGCTCCTAGCGCGGCTGTTGGGGGGCTCTAGGATCGGTTATACACGTATTCCGTAATTCGCGCGGAGTCGTGGGAAAAAAGCAAATCTACTCTGTACCTTACCCAGATTTGGTGCAACAAAGATAACAACCCCCTCGCCCCTTTTTGCATGCAGCCTCCAGTCTGCAGCCGATAGTCATGACTTGGCTAGACGAAGACCTGGGACTCGCCGGAGCCTTGCCACGCAAGCGGTGTGCAGAAGCTGTCCACGGATGGTTTACGCCTCCTTCCATTTACAGTTTACCGGTCGAATGGTCTGGCGTTGGGCACAGTGTAAGCAACCACGCACTGTGCACAGACTCGCATACTCGTGCACGATGTGACCCCTGGTTGCACTTGCCGTTCCCCGCGGCGTGCCGAGCCTAGACCGGAGACCTTGTTATTGACCTGCCCCTGGAGTCGATTAGCTGGGGGTGTGGGTCGGCATCTAGGGAAGACAGCCAGAGCTCCTCCGCCTGTCGCCCTGCGTGGACGGATGCCATGCCTGATCAGACCTTATCGTCCCGTCTTCAGCAGAGCTCGCAGCCTAGCCTGCACTCGCATTTCATTTTCAACGTATCACCATCGTCGGGTCCCACGTCGAGGCCCCGACCACGGAGTCTGCGGAGCGCCTTACTATGGCGGGGTGTGTAATTCCTTATAAGTACCCAGGTGGTGTGCAGTGTTTGTGTGGAAATGGCCAAGCGCCTGCCCGACAGTGACACCTGCCAAACCCCTTCCCCCTCACGCTAAACCCCTGCCTTGGACTGAGGTTTAATTCCTCGCCATCAATTGAACATGGGCGCCAAGTCGGCCGACATCAGCGCCGTCCTCGACACGGTCAGCCATGGCTCCTTCAACGGCGACGAGGTAGAGCGCCTTCGTGTTCGCGCGGCGGCGCGGCGGTTGCTGGCGCGGGTCGAGTCGCCCTATGAGCGGGCCTGGGGCTATTGCTTCGAACAGCCCGTCGTTTTTGCCGCCATCCAGACCTGCATTGAACTTGGTCTCTGGAAGGCCTGGACCGCTGCTGGAGGCGGCGAGCAGACCATTGACTCGCTGGTCAAGCTGACCACGGCCGAGGTCGCCCCAAACTTGCTTCGTACGCCTCAAATTTACCCCCTCCCCCCTATTTAGCCTTGGAGTTGGACAGGAAGGGTCCCACCATGGCCATAGGGGTATCCGGACAACCCACTCACGTGGCACGCGGTCTAGGTCGGCTGTTCCGCCTGCATGTCGCCTTCAACGTCGTCGAGGAGACGGGCGTCGACACGTACAAGCCGACCCCGTTCTCGCTCGCCATTGGCGACGAGAGCACAAAGGTCCGCGCCTCGCTCGAGGCCGCAAACAACCAGTACATCCTGGCCGGGCTCAACCTGCCCAAGTACCTGGCCAAGATCGGCTACCAGGAGCCGACGGCAGCCGACGGCAACAACCACTCCGAGAGCGACCCGGACGGCCTCAACTTCTTCGGCCGCCTGCAGAAGTCGCCCAAGTACTACGGCGACTTCACCGGCCACATGGAGGCCTGGACCATGTGGAAGACGCCGTGGACCAAGATCTACGCCCCGAGCAAGCTGCTCGACGGCGCCGACCTCGCCGGCGCGCCGCTGGTCGTCGACGTGGGCGGCAACACGGGCATCGACATCACGCACGTGCTGAAGGCGCAGCCGGGCCTGCCCAGGGGCGCCCTGGTGCTGCAGGACCTGCCCGAGATCATCGAGCGCGCCAAGGACCTGGTCGACGGCAGCGTCATCACGGCCACTGCGCACGACTTCTTCCAGCCGCAGCCCGTCAAGGGCAGCCGCGCGTACTTCATGCACGCCGTGCTGCACGACTGGGCCGACGACAAGGCCACGGACCTGCTGCGCAACACGCACGACGCCATGGTCAAGGGCTACTCCAAGCTCTTCGTCTACGACATCGTGCTGCCCCCCACCGGCGCCAGCATCAGCCAGGCCACCATGGACGTCAACATGATGTCGCTGCTGTCGGCCTCGGAGCGCACAAAGAGCCAGTGGGAGGCCCTACTGGGCGGTGCTGGGTTCCGCATCGTCAAGTTCTGGCCCGACCCGCAGGAGTATGAGATGTTGATTGAAGCCGAGATTGCGTGAGCAATCTATTCCGATTACCTTGTGTCCAGCCGAGATATATTAACAATAAACTTCATTTTTGGTCTAATCGTTCAGAAATACCTCCGCCGGTCTCCACGAATGTGAGTGCATCTCATGGTTAAAAACGAACTTGCTCAGAGGCCCACAAAGCTGCAAATAAAGTCGGCCTTGCCCAGCGGCACGCCCTTGGCCCGCAATATCGAGTACGCCGTCGTGATGTGGAAGATGAAGTTGGGGATCCCGTGGCCTAGCACCGCTTGCTGCACCGTAAGCTGGACGGGTTTGCCACCAGCGAACCTGTTTTCGCACAAGTACGTCAACTCTATTCCAAAAAGACAAATCGCTGTATATCAGTTTCCGAGACACGCCGACAAACGAGGGTAAGGAATCACCACACAGGCAACATACAAACCAACGACCTCCCCGGCCCTAGCATTCGCCACAGCAGGCTCGACGCCCCTGACCAAGTCCAGCGCGGCGCGGATGCGCGCATGCAGGTCGGCAAACGTCTGCTCCGTGTCGGCGAACGGCTCGCTGACGGTCCCGCCCGCGGCCAGCCGGTCGACGTTAACCCGCACCGTCTTGGTGGCGTTCTGGACCTGGAAGATGAGTGGATTCTGGTCCGCGACGAGGCGTGCTTGCGCGAACGCGCTGTCTGCGTCGAGCCCTTCCCTCTCGGCGAACGCTTCGGCTTGGCGCAGGATGTGCGCGAGCGCTCGCAGCCCGTTGGTGAATGTCGGCACGGCAACGTCGTAGATGGAGATGGTCAGGGGGGTGGACATGGTAGCTTGGTATCTTTTCTTTTGTTTTATATAGTTCTTTTCTTCGTTCTTCTTTTTCCTTTCTTTTTCCGGGGGGTTTTTCGTCTTGTTGAGTGTCGGTCCTGAGAGAGTGACTTTGGCAGTCCGGCGGGGAAAGTGTTGTCGGTGTGACCTGATGCGGGTTTCGTCGACTTGATGTTTCTGTGGCGGCTAAAGAGATAGTGCCGGCATAAATAATTGTGAAGCAGAAGACGTGTCCGTCAATGACGGCAGACCCGTCTAAGCTTCGTTCGGGCAGGCGGCTGCGAGTATCAAAGTAGGTTAGGCAAGTGTGTCGGCTTGTTGATGCACAACTGCGATACTGACTGATCAGCTACCTAGTTAATTACCTACATGGCTAGAAACCCTACGACGCCATAGTCAGCCGCATACAGCTCAGCCGCGACGATCGTTTCGGCGCAGAGGTTGCATGGTAAATTCGCATGCGGAGACCACCACGAACAGCTGGGTTCCAATGCCTTCTCAAGCGCTGCGCTCTTCTCCTCGGGCTATTTGGGTAGTCTCCACATAACGCAATCGGAATATAGATACGGATGCTCCTACCAAAAGAATCCGTACACCGCTTTTGGTTTCTTTTCTGCCAGCAGAATCCTCCAGTGGGCATTCCAGGGAGCCACAGCGGTTAACCACTATAAGCGATTGGCTCTGTCCAAGCCGATCAAGACAGGGTCCATACAAGCCACGTTGCAGTATGTCAACCACGTACAGCTAGTAATCCAGGCAGCAAAACCCGGCCTTTCGCACGACTGCAATTGATGACTCAGCAAGGACCGGGCCAACGCCCGGCCGAAGTTTTGCCGGCCGAGAACGCCTTCGCGTTCCCGGAGTGGGGCAGGCCTCCGTAACGGATGCAAACGGCGTCGGCGACGGAGGCCGGAAGGCGTCGCCCTCTCTACTTGGTTCACCCCCATTGAGTCCCCTCAGCACGCGCCCCCGCGCATTCGCGATGGCGGTGCATTTTCCAGCTCCAGGATCCCGTTCCCGGTTCAGGGACGCGAACCAACTGCGCCCGACCCCCCCTCGAAGGCTCGGTGTGCTGGCCTGGCTGGCCTTGCTGGCTTGGCTTTGCTGGCCTGGCTCGCTCATACCGTCGTGTCCTCTCCTCTTTTCTCTCGGCCACCAGAAGTTCCCTTCCTCTCTACCTTCTCGTCATTTTCCATACTCCTAACGCACTCCTTGGCCCACCATGACGGTACAACAACAACAGTCGCGCTTCTCCGACACGGACCAGGAAAGCGTTTATGCGCTCCTCCATGGCTACACGGCCGACGCCGTCGAGGAGGAGGGTAATGAGAGGCCCTTCGTTGCTCCGGACACGGAGGAGGAGCGCAATAGAGTATGGACAGCCTGGACCGAGTATGTCTTCTCCTCCTCCTTCCCGCGCTGCCCCAAGCCAAACGAAGATGTCGACACGTCGCCTGGGACAATGCGCTGATGTGTCACTTATTTGTCTCTCACTTCTTACAGGTTTTGTGGACTTACTGGACAGAAAGAGGGTGCAGTTGACAGGTATAGTGCTCCCCGGATGTATGCGGCCCGCCGCCGAGCCCCGAAACTGGTGCTAACTGAGTGAAGCTGTGGTGTCGACCCCTGCCGCTTCTGGGTGACCTTCGCTCAAGATCCAACGGCCGCAAAGGTTCAGGCACCAGTCCGGGTGTTTCTGCACCAATATGTGCAGAGCTCCTGCAAGGAACGCGTCGTGCTGGGGCCAGCGCTGCCGTCAGATCAATCAGATCAAATATAGGGTGCCCATCTGATCTGAAAGGGAATTCGGGCCCGAAATCTGATTGATTGACTGTTTAGTTGATATGTCTGGTAGTGTCTGATATCAGGACCCCTGCTGACCGCCGTGAGGCTATTCCAGCCACCGAAATAGCATTGCGACCCCGATTCTTGGTGTTCTGGGCTTACCACATCCCAACGGCTGCTATTCTTCCTGCAGCTGCTGCAGCTGCTGCTGGCCGCGGCTTTCGTCTTCATACAACCAGTTCTTCAGCAGCTGACAATACTCAATAGCCTCGCTGCTCAGGCTGTGCCTCTGAGACGTCACGGTCAGCTTCGCGATGCTGAATGCTCTCTCACAATCATCGGCCATAGCTGGGATGGCTAGTAGGTCCAACGCAAGGCAGCTAAGACGAGGGTAGGTAGCCTGGTGGTCCCTCCACCACTAAATCGGATCTTCCGTGTTCTCTCGAGGCGTCCTGAAGTAGACCTCAAGCTCCGAAGCCGTCTGAGAGAGCTGGATAAAAACCTCTGGGCAATCCACTGCCTTGCCTCTTCCAATTCGACCTTCCGTTTCTTCGGAGGGCCCTGTCCAACTGGTTCCGGCTCTGCAGAGGGCGAGCGGCTCCCCTGCTCGTTGGCTTCAGGGTAGTAGGCCTCGAGGTAAGCCTTGAGAGCCCTTTTAGCATCGCTAATCCAGATAACCTGCTCTGGAGCGGTCCAGACGTTCTCGAGCCACCCAAGCCCGAGCCCGGGATGTAGAATGACGGCTGATGTAAATAAGGATGACTCTCCAATCGATGTATAGTAGTGGTTGAGCTTTAGCCATGCGTTGTTGATCCCACTTCGAAGGAAGGACCGTTGCTGGGCTCCAAGGCTATCGAAGTTGCCTGCTGCCCGAGCAGCAGCAAGATTAGTATAAACCAGCCTCGTGTGGTCCGGGAGGGCTTCTTCGTTAAAGCGGGAAGTAAACCCAGGTTCGATGGCTGCTCTGTTACGTTGCAAAGGCCGGCTGCGGGTTGGTGGCCGAACCGGTTCTGTTGCTACTGCCGGATTGAGAGATTCATCAATATATAGCTGCTTCCACCGCTCAAGCTTATCAAGGACGTATTCCATGCCCGTGAGGACCTCGTGAAGCTGACCCTGGCCTTGGGTAATCATCGTGAGCCTGTAGAAGGGCGTCAGGATCTCCTGAACCTCTGCAAGGAGCCGCCAGTCCTCTAAGGAAAGACGATCTTCAGCAGAGACCTTGTTAGTTGCGGTCCGGTCGAGGTCGAGGTCCGTTAGGTAGTTCTCGATAGTATTCCGTAATAGACATGCCCTCTCAATCATCAGGAAGGTCGAATTCCACCTCGTAGCATTATTCTGCTTCAGCTCCAGCTCTTTGGTTGTTGCTTCGGCCAGCAAGAAGCTCCCTTGGATCGACCGGTCATCCCGTTCGGTCTTCCTGAAAGCCTCGCTTCGTTGGGGAGACGCTCGGATGAATCTGACGATATTGTGGAGCTTTCCAATGGGTCCCCTAGTGCGCCAGTGGGTGGCATCTAGCTCGTCTACTTCTAGGGCCTCGAGGGTTTCAGCCTGTTGTTCGAATTCATCTGCCCGATCGCCAAAGAGGAAGGCTTTAGCTGCTAGGTTGAGGATGTGACCGAAGCAGCGCATTCTTCGACTCCGAATAGCATCGCGATCCCAATGGGGGAACAACCGGCTGTAGAGGGATTGTAAACAGGTATCGTTGTTCGTGGCGTTATCACAGATCGCTACACCCAACCGCTCTCCAAAGCCCCAATCTTGGATGACGCCAATCAACGTCTCAGCGAGATTCAGGCCGGCATGGGTTCCTGACTGCTGCTTGAAGGCAATCATCCGCTTCGCAGGCTGATAGGTTCCGTCAAGGTAGTGGACGATGATGGCGATGAAGGCTAGTCGATTTGGAGACGTCCAGAGATCGAAGCTGAAGTGTATAGCCGTCCTAGCATTCAGGATCGCCTTCCGGACCACCTGTTTGCGTGCTAGGAAGAGAGCCTCGATCTCGTTTCTAATTGCAGTCCGACCAATGGCACTTGCTGTTGCAAAGCTGGGTTGAATTGAACGAGCAGGTCTTGTAGGCTCGAATATCGCGAAGGGAAGGCTCGAGTTAATGACGAAGTAGGCACACAGCTCCTTCAGCCGGTCAATCCTTGTTCGAGGAATAGCAAGGGCAGAGGCAGGCCTTCGCCGGGCGGCTGTTGATTGCATCTTGAGGACGTTGGGGCCCTGCTGTTGCTGCTGTTCTGACTGTTCCGGATCGACGATGGAGTGTTTCTTGAAGAGATGTTCGATGGAGCAAGATGTAGATGAAGCAACGAAGAACTGAGGCTGGCCCCGGGCGTCACAAGTCCCACAGCACCACACGGTTTGCTTCAGTCGGTTATCTGGCTCGAGCTCGGTCATGAAGAAGCCGTAATCTGCTATCCAGCTGCGTCTGCCGCGGGATTTCTGGGTGTGGATGACTCCGGTCGGGATGAAACGTCAATTCTTCCAGGAAATCTTGACTAGATCAGAGACAGAGGCATCGTCAGCAGGAATCGTACTTGACGCTGCAGCAAATTGCTTGGAGATGGAAGGAGGCCGGGCCTGTATAGCCGCGAAGGCAGAGATGGGAGCAGATGACATAAGGAGGGTCGGAGAGTCGGAATAGCTTCGTTCGGGCAGTCAGGATGCTTGGAATAGCATCGTCTGGGCAGTCAGGATGTTTGGAACAGCTTCCGTCGGGTCCGGAAGAACAGAATTTGCTGACCCTGGCTTGGTTCAGCAGGCCAGGGATGACTGGTCAGGGGTCCTGAACCCCGGTCCAAAACACCAACGGCGCCGGAAAAACGTCTAAATCCGGGCTCTGAACAGCCTCAGATATCTGTTATATCTGTCAAATAAGCCCGGCCGATATCTGATTTGTTTGATCTGACAGTTCCAAAAATCCCGATTGTTTGTTTGAATTGATTGGTAAATTGATCTGATAATCTAGTCTGACGGCAGCGCTACTCGTCAAAGAGCAGCCAACCCCAACAACAGCAGAGCTCCAAGGAGCTTTTGCCGTTTTCAAAAGGAGCGCCAAGTGTAGGTGAAGTTCATCGCCGGGCTGACGGGGAGTTACACGCGGTGGACTTCTTGGAAGACTTGGTTCGGCTGGTTCATGCAAGCTTAGGTGTGGCCGACTTTTGGCGACCGGTTCATTGTCAACTGGAACCTGTCGCCCATGATCGAGGACAGCATCAAGTTGAATTCTGTCGACGAGAAAAATCTCCCGGTTGGAAAAGTGAAGTGGAAGTATAATTAATATTCGGCGCGGAAAACACTAAGATGCTTTGGAGGCAACGAGGTACTGTAGTCTAGAGAGCGATATTGAAAGCACTAGTATGCGAGGATGTGGCCGTACTGCGGAATAGTGGTGGACTGCTGTAGTAGGTGCCTCGCTTACTAGGCGGAAACTAAAACACAAGGAAGCCGAACAGTTAAGCATAATGGACAGATATTTTAAGGGATGGTCGATTTATTGGCCGCTGGTCCTTCCCCGCATCAATGCCTGCAGGAGCCTGCCGAATGCATCTTATGTTTGGTTAAGAACCAGGATGCTTGCCGAGGCCGGATTTATCCTTATTCCGGGCTATGGCTGTGAGAAGGATTCAGCGCCGCACTTTTGTAGTTGGTTGCCTAGTGCCAGGCCTGCCAGAGAATGGGCTATTAATACGGGTCTCACTGCCATTCAGCTGAGTGATTCACCCTCCCGCTTAACCAATCTGTATTGTCCATTTCCACCCAGTCCAGCACCAAAAATATTACTATATCTTGTTTGAGCGACTCCCACGCCAGTAGAACTTTTCGAAGCCATACCCGACGCGATTGTCAAAGTTGACTATACGTTAGAAGTAACATAGGACGCGTGATTTAATCACATGCGTCACATGTGCCCGCTGGCTTCGAACTTCGTAATGGCGTTCACGCGGCGTAAAGCCACGCGACGTGGATCATCACGGCGTGTATCACGCCAGAATATTACTACATATCAAACCGCTAGAATGCAGCTCACGAACGCCAATGTCACGTTGCGGCTTCCAAAGCTCGACGAGCTGACCGCCAAGTCTATAACTCTTTGGCTCAACGCCTGCGAAGTCGAGTTTCAGAAGTTCGAGACTACCAGTTTGATGGTTCTTACGACCAGGCAGAGAATTGCATTCGCCCTCGCATCCATTTCCGACCATCCTGGCTCGCAAGCCTCCGCGGCACGTCCGCGATACGACCACGACCTTACCCCGAACACTTGGGACCAGTTCCGAGATCTATTCCGGACCAAGGTGCTCGGCACGGGCTGGGAGCTGTGTCCTCTGCGTGACTTCTACTCCATACAACAACTCGGTTCCACCGTGAGCGAGTATTTCGAGAGACTTGACGAGGCTCTATTTACCATTGAGCGAAGCGCCCTTGTCCCGTTAGGGGATTTCGCCATCAAGTCTTACTACCTATTAAACGCTAGTCCGCTCATAGTGGCCAGCATCACGTCAAGGCGCTATGACCTCGTTCATATCAGCATTCAGGATCTGAAGAGCGAGATGCTCCAAGTTGAATCGAGCATGGCCACATTGACACTTCGCCCGCCTCATGCCGCTCCTGACCGAAACGATGGCCTTGGTCGTACCACAGATACCACACCTTTTAGCACAGCGTGCATTTCAACCCTGACTAACAACACGCCCCTCATCCCGAGTGAGACACCGCAGCACGCAGCCGCCTGCGTTAGCGACATACACGAGATCCTTGGCACCGCCGACAGCGACCTGGTCGACACCCCCGACGGCTCAGGTCGCACGCCGCGCTTCTACGCCTTTGCGAAAGGGCACCTCGCGACAGCCACTGCTCTCCTACGAAGCTCCCGCAAATGGAAGACGCCCATCCCTCCCTCCGTCGCTAAGGATTACATCTTGGACAACACCCCCGAGCACAAGGCCCGCGCACTCTACGACGCTATCAGGCGCCGCGAGGTGGCCATGGTCGGGTTCCTGCTTGAGATTGGCGCCGACCCAAATGCCCGCGGCTATGGTGTTTGGCCTGAGTACATGGGCACGGCGCTGCACGAGGCGGCGTTCTTTGGACCTAATGAGGTTATTCAGATGTTGTTGGATCATGGCGCGGATAGAAGAGCTACGGATAAGGATGGTGCGACGGCAGCGGAGGGAGGGTGGATGTGCTATGGGCATCGACTATTAATATGATCATTGCAAAGGCAGTCTAGTAAGTGGAGGGGCTGCAGAAACGGTGGTGTTGTGGAGTGATCTGATGCACCGTCTGTGGCACTGATTGGCTGATTAAAGCCTTAGGTACCTGGTTACGAAGGATTGACAAACGATTTTCTTTCAACTCGAGGCCGCGACACCTGTGATTTAAAGGAGAAGAAAGAGGATGGATAGTACCGTCATTAATAGCTAGGTTGTGCTTGGAGCATTGCGTGATCCGCTTGCATCTACGCGTGCCGTGCACATTAAAGGAGGCATCATGTGCCTTGAGGGCATCATTTGCACCACCACATGCATAGATGAGCAGATATCCACAGGGATTCTTAGCGAGCGCCTTATCTATAGTTCGATAGAGGCGGCGTGTTTCGTTGACGTAGCGCTTCAAGGCGTATAGATAGTCGCCCGAAACGGACACCGTGTGATTCAATCCAGATCAGTGAACGCTTTTTCACCTTCTATCGCCGTGGTATAGCTAGAATATACTCTCCAAGTGGTTTGCCTGGCCTTACATAGGGCCGAGGCCGCTCATCTGCCAAAAAAGCTATCAATATCTCTATTAGAAATGCCCTTCTTAAAATAAGACATGGGGATTTTGCCAATTTACCCAGCTTATTGTCTCCTAGTGCTCTTTAGTCCTACGAAGATACGAGATCTTATGGTTTCCATCGTACCGGTCCACGAGATACTATAAGATAGCACTGCTTACCTAGATATTGAGCTATTGGCTGTTCTCATCCGTATCGACGATAGCTGGGATACGACCGTTAGGGTTGATGTTAAGATACCACTGCTCTTTCTGCTCATGTTCAAAGAATTGGTTAGGCGTATGTACGGAGCTATGTGAGGGATTTCTATTCCCTTTTGTTTCTTAGAGGGAATCTAGAGCTGTGATGGGATCTCACGTTGTACTTCAAGCCTAATTCCCCAAAGGCAATAGATATCTTGAGAGGATTAGGAGTGCCTTCATAGTGGAGCGTAATGTTGTGCTTCTCTGTGCCTATGGCGAGCGAAGGTGAGTAGGCTATCAACGTAATATATGGGACGGAGTTAAAGTTGTGTAGCGTTCAAGTCACGTAGGAGGAAGCCAAGAGTGAGATCGCAAGTCGTAGTGAATCTGCCTTTTACGCTTGAAACTTGCTATTCACAACGGTTCTTAGCTCCTATTTATACGCATTAGATCCTGTTAGATGAAAAGGGGTAGTTACATGCCCTAGACAACTGTCAAATAGGTTGAAGTAGGCTAGGCTAGGTAACTCGGCTAGTGCGTTTAGGAAGAAGGTCTCAGACCAGAAATAAGACGCGGCCTAAGTCACGGCCAAGGTCAGCTTCCTACTGCGTTGTACTATAAAGACTGGACTACCCAGCGTACTTAGAACAAGACAGAGAATTCCACATACAATACAATCCAGATACATTAAATCTGACAGAATGGAACTGAAATCAAAGACGTTTAATTAATCCGTTGGGGTGTCAAAAATCCGCGGTAAGGGGTTATGTAAGAGAGGAGGCAAAAGGCGATGATGAAAGTGACAATGATGATGAGGATGGCGAGGAGGTTTTGAGAGCGCTTTCATTCTGCTAACCTGGAATGAGCAGGTATCCCAAAGCAAAGGGCGAATGTTTTGGAAGAAGGCGATTCGATTCGCTTCTGGAACCACGTGAGCGACTGGCTACGAAGCTGCACGATATCCCATTCTCAATACAGACTTACGAAGACCGCGGAAGACGATTAGTATCCCACCCGGCTCCTCTGCATTGGCCCCGTGGACACAAAAATAACTCCAAAGTCCCCCTTCAACCCATCGTGGCGGCTGAGACAGCACCTGGTGGCCCTTATGTTACCCTCAGCCATCAGTGGTCAAGCAGCGGTGACCAGGTCTTGACTACCACTGCTAATACTATCTACTATTGTTGCATGTATATACATGTTTCCCATATGGCAAGGCTTTGCAGTATTCATGTCTGACGTCTGATGAGAGAAGCAGTCGCTTGGTAGCAGTTGGCGGAGAGGTGAGCACGTATTAAGTCCAGAGCGAGTGGCTGAAGGTGTGTATAGAGAAGCGTTAGGCAGGGTGTTCTTTATGGTATGAGTAATCCGGAGAATATAGAACATGGTGTTAAAGTTAAATGAGTATATGGTGAGCGGAACTTGAATACAATAAGGTCTATAGCCATTTTGCTACTAGAAAGCCAGGATTAGAAACTAGCTGATCGCGGAAACCTCACTCTTTCTTGCCTAGACGATTGGGTCGTTCATGACCTGTAACAGGATGAATGTCTGAGCAGCGGTCCCCCCACAAGATAGAACAACACTCCAGCCAATAGACACAAACAAGTAGACGAGTATACTCGTGGCCACAGACACCACAGCCGCACCTGCAAGAACCCAAATCCACGTCCGGGAATGCCGAGCCAACCGTGCACGAGCGGGCCAAAGTAAAGTTGTGAGACCCAGTAGTTGCATAGTCGACTCGGCTAGAAGCTGGTAAAAATTGGCGTCGTCAACGGTGCCCAATTCAGCAGGATTTCGCTGCCAGGCCAGTGCCACAGGGATGCAAGTTAACAGGCAGATTTTTATGGCGTAGTGAAGCAGGAGTAGTGCTGTCTCAGGGCGTGATCTGCTCGCTTGAATTTATACTGATCTTCCCCATCTAACAAAAGCGGGTGGTGCAATAACTACCAAGACTCTCTCTCGTTAAACGCCCCCTGCCGCAGCAACTCGACTCTATCAGCATAATACGACCTGCTGTGCGTCTGCGTGCCGCAAAAAAGAAGCCTCTGGTACTCTTCCAGCGGAACGGTATACGCTCTGAGCACCCTAGAACTAGTGTTCTTCCTACCATCACCTGGAGTTGTTGCATCGACAGGTTGACGGTCTTTTCTCAAAAGAACCATATCTCCAAAGTTGTTATACTCTGGCAAAGGCAGTTTCCAGACTGGGGCCCTGGCATGTTCTGCCTCCTCCTCCTCAATCTCTTCTTTGACGTCTTCTTGAAACTCCAACGGCGGCAGCACATATGACTGGATGCTGCTGTCACTGGATTCGGATTGATCATAATTTTCGTTTTTGCGGCACTCAACGCCATCCGCCATTAATGGGCCGAGATTGTAGAATGCCCGGTAGAGATCAATGAGGGACCGGACGTAGGACTGGTCCACGCGCGGCACAACGTCAAATTCGTTGACAAACGCCAACGTGTGTCCGCGGCTGTTCGCAAGAGACCCTTCAGCACGGAGGGTCTTGGTAAGGTTCGTGTTGAAGGTTGGGGGTGCACCAAACGTGATGCATGACAGCTTGAGACTGGGATCTATGGCGCATTAATTAGCGGCAAGAATACATCGGAATTAATGCGAAGAACTTACAGTCCTTGGCGGCCTCAAGCAGACATTTGACGTAAAGAATGGAAGCGACTGCTCCACCTGCGGAGTGGCCACAGAAAACGACATGCGTCCCTGGCTGTGTGTTCTCGGCCCAAGAGAGATGACTCTTTACGGAAGGATGCAAAGTCATTGCAGACGTCAAGAACCCACCATGTACTGAGACGGCTTTGTTCTCATGCGACGCGGATAGGTGACTCGTTCCCTTTTTTCACCATCAGAATGTGGTTCCTTCTCAAAAAGGGGGACATATCGGTTCTGATCAGTAGTACTAACATACCAGAAACTCATCGGCCGCAAGCGGTCTCCCATTCAGATTCACAAGGGAATCCACAAACCTCGCAGTCCCCCTGACAGCAATGATCAACACTGGCGGGCCGTCATAGCTTGCCGACTGCGCCGCCGTCCAAACGCCAATGGCTTTTTCCGTCCCTCCGATACTCGGGCGATTGTACTCTCGCTCCCTAAACACGGTACCATTGACCTGCGGCTTGCGATGGGCCGAGGTCTTGTCCAGTGCTAGAAGTGCCGCCGCTTCTGAGGAGCCGGAGTCATGCACGACCGAAGACTTGGGAGCCGTTTTGTAGACAGCTGCCGCGCAGCTAAAAGCCACCGAAACAAGCCATGTAACGCCAGAGGACCTTGAGTTTTACCATCATCAGTGTCAGTCAGCTATTCGTCAAATTCCCATCTATTAACGCACCCCTTCCACTCAACTAATCCACGACATGATATGGACCTTGAGTTTTCATATCTCCCCACAGCCGTTTCAAGACGTCGTAGTTGTGTCTTGACAAAGCCGTCGTCGTCGGTAGAATTATCTGTGAAGCCTATTGTTAGCACCAATTCCTCCTTCCAATTGATATGGGAAGAGATCATCATTAGGCCTCCATACTATCTAGATTGATTTGTTGTAGCGCGACGGAAAGCGCGCTAGACAACTCGTTCAGGGCTGCTGATGCACCTTGTGAGTTCTGCAGGAATGCGAAGCCCGAGTCTGGAGCGGCAGCAGAGACGGCGAGTGATGACTGTGTTGTGACTTGCACCGACGTCCTTTGGAAAAGTTTGCTAAGCTTGAGTTTCATCCTGCTGGCTTGTTCAAGATGTACAACAAAGATTATAATGTAGAGAACGTATCGAGTTATTAGCATCTCGCTTTGTATATCCCCGCTTCCGTCGATTGCTTTGCTCCGTGTGTAAGAGTGCTGCCGAGATAGCCGGCCTGATGGAATTTTATTGGTGCTGAAGATGAGTGGGTTGCCTGCATGCCACCCACACCAATTCCTTGCTTGGCAGGCCGCCCGACAGCGGCTTGTCTGTAAGGCAGATTTTGCCCACAAACTTGGATGGGTGCATTGCAAGGGGCTCAGCCACCCACTAGTCTCAAAGGATTCGACTATGAATCGAGGCTGCGCAATCACTCTTCAACACTTTCAGAAATATTTTCAGAAACAGTGAAAATTTGATGAATGATCGCAGACACTCGCTTCGAGAGGCATCAATCCATGGGGCAAAATGAGTCCTTTGGCACCAGGCGTGTTGGCGAAACTCACCGGCAAAATCGCCAATCTCAATCCGTTCAACCAACTATCTGATTCTATTTGCTTGACTAGCACCAATACTCGGCCACAATGGGAAGAAGTCCCAGAAGCTGCCAGTGCCCTAGTGCGCGAGCTGGAACAACTCTATTGGGATGGTATCCGGCGCGAGCTCATTGAAGTGATCCGCACGCTGAAGGCGTGGCAACATGCGGATCTCCGCGACGTAGAGCTGAATGAAGAAAAAGATGGTGTCGAGATTTGTGGGTTCGATACTTTCCTCGACCAAGTCAGCGAAAGCTCGCGCGAGTTTGCCGTCGACTATGGTAAGCTCTTCCGACGCCAATCTATGGTGCTTCTCAATTAACAACTGGAACAGCAACGCAGAGGGCTCGAGCCATGCAACGAACGGCACGAGGCGAGTTCGTTCCATACGAGATGACCCTACAAAGTCTAGCACGTAAGCTATACGCGAATGACCAAAGCCGCGCTCTCAAGGAAGAGATTCTCAAAGCTGCAAATAATACAGCCTTGGGAAGAGAAGACAAAGTCAAGATGAGAGCAAGAATGCTGCTCCAGTCAGCTGCTTGGCTGGACATGGACAAATTCATTGAGCATCGGCCGCCACTGGACGAGCTCGGGTTTTGGAAGCGCCCTGCCCCACCCCAGCGTGAGTCTCGCCGTTCAATTTGATGAATTCTTAGTTGCTAAGAACGTCTGTCAGTTGCCCTTCAGGGGTTCGACCAGAATCTTCAGCCCCTGCTTCGGCCTGTCCGCTGCGTACTCTGTCTCCTTGCCATCCGTGGAACCATGTTTCGCTGCACAGTTCCCGACTGTACAGATAAGGGTGGTGAAGGCTTCATTTGCCAAGCATGTCAGCATGAAGGGCGGCATCCCGACAACCACCTCGTCAAGCAACACAAAAGATGCGTTCTTGATCACCAGGAGTCACTTATTAGTCCGTCAATGAGTCGTCAGCTCTGTCAATGTACCACAGTAGCACGCTTTGACGACGATGGGTTCCCTCGGGCCTTGTTTCCAGTACTTAAAACAGATCATCACCGGGCCACGACTAAGGGCGGTGTGTCTTGCTGTTTGCTTGAGCTGCCTAGTGCCATAGCCGAAGCCAAGTACCAAGGCATTGCTGTCCTGAAGACAGATGAGAAAACAAGCCTCCGAGACCAGCGCCGGTGGAGGGAGGAGGCAGCTCGCAAGGCAGAAGAAAAGACAAAAAGAGTAGAGAAGCGGCATTATCGTTGGGACTATGGCGCCACCGACTACCAAACAGCGACATCCGAAACAATCAGCGAACAACAGGCCGACCAGGACATACCATTTTTCATTCGCAACATCACGGACCGGTACCCCTTCGGTAACGTTCACATGGCTCTTCGTGTTGGGCCGCTTGTAGTCGAGAATGGTGTTGAACATACCCAGGGCGGCGCCCTCATTACCAGCCGTGACCCCCCACAATGGCAGCTGTCACACCAAGGCACTGACCGGGACATCGAAAAGTGTCTGTCAGTCAGTGGTGGCGAGGAAAGGCGGCTGTACAAAGCGCCCCACCGGGGTGCTCCTCGCAAACCAAAGCGGTACAAAACGGCCTTGAAGCAAGTTGTTGGCGGCCTATTTTCGGGGTTCTGCCGCCGTGAGCTCGAAGATCAAGTCATCGGCCAGGTGGTTGAGGCCAGTACTGCGGATCTCGACAACCCTGAAGACCATCCCCGAGAAAGGGAAGCGGCGTGGGAAGCTGCCGTGTCGCCGACGCTTGAGAATCTGCGCTTGTTAATGCATTCGCGCGTGCGGCTCATGCTGTCGAGCATTGCTAGAAAGCTGCTGGATGACACTGTTGACTTGAAGTGGGACAGACGGCACAATAACTGCCAGAATTTCTGCGACAACATGATCGACTATTCCGTCTACGGAGCTTTTCTTGCACCATCACCGCTTGAACACGATGACCCGCCGCCATACCTGATGAGCTTTGTCTGTCGCCCAGGAAGCTACACACGCGAGCGTGCCGGAAGGGCCCGCACCAAGTTCGATGTCCCCTCAGGACTCTGCGAGGAATACCTGCTCAAGTTTCGGTACGGACTTCACGTCGACTCGGACATCGTGGATTCATTGCTTGAGTACTGGTACGACTGGGGAGCCTTTGGCGGACCACTGTACCCCTACCAGGATCTGTTCCCCTGGGACTGCACCGAAGCCTATGGTAGATCGAACCTCGTCTGTGGTGCCGGAGAGAACCACAACATCGCCAAACACGTGTGGAGCTTTCCGTTCGACTCGTGGTCCATCATCGAGCTGCACCTCACCCGAAGTCGACTGATGTACGACCAAGGCGCACAAACGCAGTCGGAGTGGATGAAGAACCGGTTAACGGTCTTGTCAGCAGAGAATACGCTTCTGGAGGGGGCTAAGGCAATGGCAAACAGCGCGTCGTTTCAGGCGTCGACGGCGTGGATGGCGGAGCACGAAGACGCGCGCATGGATCGGTACAAGCTTGGAGGCATCCACCGCGCTCAGCCATTCAGCCATCATTATGAGGAGGGAAAGTACCACGAATATTTCATTGCTGACTGGGCGCATCTGTGCCGCGATGACCAGATCGCCGAGTACGAGGCCATTCGCGAGATGCGGCGCCAGCTGGCCGACATGCCCGAAGATTCTGGGTCGGGAAGTGCTGGCTTAACGGGTGGGCGGGGAGGCGATGATAGCATGATGGGATTGGGGTTGATTCTGGCTGGGTCGTGTGCAGCTGTTGCTCTTTTTGGTTCTTATTTTACCGACGGCTGGGATGGGTCGTATGAGTCAACGGAGACCATGTCTCCTGGGGATCAGGCTATGGAAGGGACAGTGGATCCCGATTATTCCGCTGACACCTCTGGGGGCGGTGGGGATTACAGTTGTGGTGGTGATGGTGGATCTGGGGGAGGCTGTGGAGGTTGATACGACAATCTCCTCGGTGCCTTAATGCGTAGTACGGATGTCCCATGAAAGCGCTGTTGATTTCTTTCGCTGTTACTAGAATGAAATTGAACATGAAAAAACCTTGGGACGCTGGAGAGACAGGAGAAAACCGAGAGGCAGGCGCTCCAAGGATAAGAAGGCACCTACTCCAACAGGAGGGAGGGACCAACGAATGGTGCCACCGCACCTTCCTATGTATCACAGCATCAACGAATCACTTCGGCTCATTCTGCCAGACAGGTAGGAACATTCGCAACCTGAACGAATCTCCGACACGCACATGCACATGGAGGACTTGAGGAAGATTTGCATTTGCAGCAGGCAAAGGTCATCTTCACAACACTTCAACATCCCTTTTCGCTGGCAATGGCTTCCCAGTCCGCCTCGCCAGCTCCACGACTTGGTAATACTCAACATCCTCTTGCACCTTCTTAGCAATAGCAGCAAAATCAACCTCGCCATTCGCCTTCTTCATAGACCCCAACTCCGACCGCAAGGCCTCGCATGGCCAACACAGACACGCATTATACTCTTCCCTGAATCTAATCTCATACATCCTCGCCGTCGAAACGAACCCGTCGTTGAGAAGCGCTTGCGCCAGCGTATCGTCATGGTTAATGCTGTCTCTTCCAGCAAAATGCTTGCAGCCGGCTTGATAAAGCGCAGGGGAGCAGAGGTGCGTGTGCCACACAAGATCAATGTCCAGTGTCGGAACAAGTGGCATTTTATTCGCATCCTCGCGGTCCTTGAAGAAAGCTAAGAACCGACTATACCGAACAATGGCCCGCTCCAGGGTGCCCGCAAGTGCTGGGCTACGGAACCAAAGGATGTTTGCCATGTTCACAACGAACTTCTCTTGCCGCTCTACCATCTCCTTGAGCGTCTGGATGCGGGTTTGGTCGCTTACTGAGAGTCTCGGCTGGGTCGCGGAATTGAAGTACAACATGGCGGGAGCGAGGTCGTTTTGTAGTTCTGGTGACGACGCCAGCTTCTCCAATGCATCTTTCAACATCATGGAGTGAGAGTCATGATCTGACAGCGCTTTGAAAAGGTCAAAGGGTCCGTGGTGATCAGAAAAGGTTGATTCAACGTCGCTCGACACATTGAAAAAGCGTTCTTTGTCGTCTTGGAGGGCGTTGTGCTGTCCACTGGTCAGGTTTGTCTTCAAGACACTCATTTATTCAGCCGATGTTGCTTACAATTTCTTTCCATGGAAACTCTTTAGCTAGCCGCTGCGAAGCATCCACGGGGGTCATGCAAAAATTCCTATATGCTGAGTGGTTCAGGAGAAAAGCGTGCCAGACCATGAGAACGTCTTAAAGAGCTATATGTTAGCAACTGACGAACCTCTCCCTCTGAAAATGGTGTTCACCTACCCAAAGGAGGCAAAGTCTTGACCGCGCCTTTCCACCAGTCGAGAAACCGCCATGCGGCCATGCGCACAAACAAGTTCCACTTGACTTTGCGGCGCTCCTTGAATGTGGTGTCAGTCTTTCGGCATCGCTTGCCACACACAGTCGTGAGAGTGTCTTTCGGTGCAATTCCAAAGGCCCGGTCGAGGGCGTTCGAGGTGGCCACTTTTTGCTTCAGGACCAGAAATGCCTCCAGCATCCGCAGATGTACGGCACACTCAGCGATGCGAGGCAGCTGTTCTTCATTCTTGGCGTGATCATCATCGAGAAGGCTAGCGAAAATGTCTGGGGTGGGGATAGCAGGCTCGTCATCAATGGACTTGGACGCCGGAAATTTGGTTTCCAGGGCTTTGAGCAAGTCCTCACGACTGGCGGCCCCTGAACGGGAATCATGGTGATTTGGGGAGCGAAATGCTAGGGCCATGATGTCTTTGCCGACTCCGAGCTTAGCTTCACGTCGTTCTTTTCTTGGGTGTGATAAAGAGAACGGGTGCGAACGTTTAGAGAGGGTGGGGGGACCATGACACTACTTAGTCGTGGCGAAGCAAGTCTGACTGACCATGCAGCAACCTGCATTGCTTCCGCCTCAGCTTTTCATGCATGTTTCCACTAGCGCACGTGTCAAGGCACCCCGCTTCTGCCTTGGAGCCTTGTCCACCATACCACCCCGTACCACACCGTACCACACCGTACCAACATAACTCTCGGTTGTGGAAATCCTCGTCGTCGTGAAACCTAGGGCCATCGAGCTAACCACAGCTAAAGGATGCCGATTTGACCAGTATACTCGGCACTGTGCTTGACATCCTTCAACGAATTCGAGATGGAGGAGCGCGAAAGGCATTCTGGCCTTGCCAGCTGTATTCTCCGCATTTACAGTGGCATGATGATTGGCATCAGACTGTTTCTTCTTACCAAAAACAGACGAGTCGAAGTGGAGTCTTGGATGAGCGCGCCGGAGCATGCGCCTTTGCCGCCACGCGTTTACCCTTCCCAGCAGCTGATGCTCGCCGCGGTGCGTGTTCTCATTCAATTCCTCAACCACAAATATTTCGTCATTCTTTTTTTGCCTTGGGGAAAACCGACTGATAGCAGACATACAGGCAATTCTCAGCATGGTTTTCGTTGTCACCTCGACACCATTTTCCGTAAACCGGCCTGGTCTTGCACTCGTGGGGCTCGGCGATCTTGCCGTGCTCGCACTCATGATTACTGCCACGGTCTTTCAGCTATCGTACCTGCCGGCGTCGGACTCGGGATGCTTCCCCTACACGGGTCCGCAGTCTGTCCTCGACATGTTCACCGGGATCGGAAAGGAGAACAACAAAACACCTGGCGACGTCTGCAAAGAGTACAGCGGATCTTGTCAATTGGCTTTCTTTTCCATGTGCGTATCCTCATCACTTCCACGCTCTTTGCAATATTACTCTTATTGACAAACGTGTGTTTTCAGAGCCGGCCTCGCCCCGGCAGCTTTGATAGGAATATTTGCGCCGAATATCGTTGGCATCCTCGCGCTCACATTCCACTTGTGGATCATCCCAGCCCTGGTAATGTTAGCCGGCATGGGGCTATGGAAAGCCCTCCAGTATGCTTTTCTTTTTTACATTGGTCCATTTCTCTACGCCATCAGCATGCCGCTCCGCGTCCTTCTCTCCGTTCTGGGGCGCATACCGGCTGTCGTCCGTTACAAGAAGAGGAGAGCAGACAAATTTCGGCAAACCGCGGGTGGTTCCGATGTGGAGCATCTCTTGCCGCTGGTCCATCGCAAAGACAGAGGCATAGAGTCAGAGTTAACTCTTGTTGCGAGACGCCAGACGACCTCCCACAGACCTGGTTCCGGCCCTCCAGTACTATCCATGGCACTGGATTCGGCATTTGAGAACCTCTTTGGCCGAGATGAGGTTATCCTTGCGCTGATCCGCAACTGTCACTTTGTCGACGTCCTGCAGCTTAGTCGAACCTCGAGGACTCTGCGGTCGACCATCTACAGAGTAAGCCAGCAGCTACCGTTGTTGCCACCTTTGCGGGTGATGACATGCTGGCGTGGGAGCAAATCCAGTTGCTGGGGCTGTGGCGTTCAGATCTGCACAGGGTGCAAGTCAACAGTGGAAGTGCCTGTCTCGATGGCCCCGCTGACAACACGGCATCTAGACGTGTGCGAAGCTCGCTGCGTGAGATGTTACATCGACAAAATGTGCCACTCCAAATCATCTAGCAGTCGAACCCAGCCTTGTGCGCACCTCAAGGTCATCGCAGCTGTAACTACTGACGACGAGTTGGAAGAAACGCAAGGGCAGGTGGTGTGCTCGACTTGCGCAGCGGCAATGCCCGAGGAGTTGAGAGAGAACCGGGAAATAAGAGAGGCGAAGGAGCTGGTCTACCTGGCCAAGTCAACTGTGAGCTGCGGGAACTGCAAACGGTTGCTGGAAGATACTGGGCCGAGGTGGTGGGCATGTTGTGAGTGCGGGGCCGAGTGTACGAGCCACTATCATCCCCCATGGCGAGGGCAGTACCATGGTGGGGAAAAGATAGGCCGCATGCAGTTGCTGTCTGCACTGTTCAAACGATAATGTAAGTTTGTTTTTTTTTGTTTTTTTTGTTTTTTTTTTTTTAAAAAAAAATTAGTCTATTTCTTGTCACATTGGATTGCCCTAACGTGCGCAGGGGCCGGGGATTGGTCAAGTTTCCCCTTTCTTTGGAAATCACGTCTTTTTTACCATGAACAGAGACCCTCATATTGGTGTACATAGTATCTAATTAGTGCCTTCTCCTTGTTACCGCAAATTATGGAAAACAACGCTCTTTGAACTTCTTCCACAGCCCCTTCACAGGAACCTTGTTTCGGCGTCACAGGTAATCATACTTCAACGCCTCCCGAATCCGAGTCCCAGATACTGTCGAATCGTCAAGGCTTTGTGTTCCACGGGCACCAACCACGGACGCAGCAGCAGATACTGCCCGTTGTCGTACGACAGCCTCCTCAGCACGGCCGCGGTTTCGGCGGCGCGAGTACAGCCACTCCTGCTCGGCCTTGCTGACGCCGCCGTCGCCGAGCGAGTGGCGCGCAAACTCGAGGAGGTTCGCCGCCAGTCCCGCGACGATAGGCGTCGCAAACGATGTGCCCGACTTGTACCCGTACTGTGGCGACGACGACGTCGCGACTCCAGAGAGTGAGTACCGAACGTAGGCGTCCAGCGTGATGAAGTTGTTCTCCCCTTGTGTTGTAGGCCGTCGAGACCAGGAGGAAGTGCGAGCGCCTAGGTGGCGGATTTGTTGAGGGAAGTTCCCAGGAGCAAGGAAAAGGCGATTTTGAGCATTATCGTGGCGACATATGTAATCAGACGCTTGAGATGCAAATGTGGTGTTTGAAGAGTCGGTAGGCATGAGCCCCTTGTTCCTTAGTTAGGAGGTCGGGAGCGTGCTTACCCGCGAACTTAGCCACGGTGATCTACATTTCTATATCTTAACGTTGTCAATATCCCAATCCTCTCGATCCTTGTGCCTCCTTCCATCCTGCAGTCAGGCAGCGGCTGAGTCAGTGCGTGCGCGGCGAGCTAGGGTCTAGGGAGTACCCGCCTGAAATTTGGCCGCCGCACGTGCTATATGGGAGTGAGGTGGTGCTAAGCCCCGCCCGCACCCGCACGCGCCCCCGCACCGACTGACAATCCGACGGGAACCTGGAACTGGAACTGGAGATGCGAGCGAAGCCGAGAATTACGTGGCGCCGTGCAACCTACAACGTGGAAGCTGTGGATGTTGGTTACTTTAATTCCGGTACAACGCTCCTGGCGCGATATCAGTCGAGGGCCACAACCATGGATTTCTTTTCGCAAATCATGAGCAAACGGCCAAAAGCTGCGGGGACCGTAACCGTTGTGGGCGAGGAGAAAAACGGGCTCTGGGAGCTGTCACGTCCACCAGCCAACGTGATCCCGAGCGTCGAGTAAGCAACCTTTGCCCCCCAGTCTCATCTTTTTATTGTTTAAGCATCTTTTTCTTTTCCTTTTCTGTTATTTTTGAACTTCTTTTCTCACACCATCTTAGCATTGTGGCCGTGCATGGGCTCGGAGGCGATTCACATCGGACGTGGACCGGCGACAACGGCAAGTTGTGGTTGCGCGACTTCCTCCCCGCCCGACTCGACAATTCCCGCATCTTTACCTACGGCTATGACGCTGTTGTCGCCTTTAGCAAGTCGTCTGCCGAGGTCGACGACTTCGCACGCGACCTGCTGCAGCGCGTCAAGGCGGCGCGCAGCCCAGCTGTCGACCACGGCCGTCCGCTCTTCTTCATCTGTCACAGCCTCGGTGGCATCGTCGTGAAGCAGGCTCTCAACATTGCCCACGCACACGGCGACACCCACATGGCTTCGTGGCTCAAAGGCGTTGTCTTCATGGGCACTCCCCACGCCGGCTCGGGCGTCGCCTTCTGGGCCTCACTCGCCGGCACCCTGCTCAGCACCGCCAGCCTGGGCACCAGCACTAACAAGGACCTACTGAAGCTTCTCTGCAAGGACTCGACCTTTCTTGACAGTTTGTCGCAAAGATTTGCTGCCGAGAACCCTCAGCTGCCCATTCTCAGCTTCTACGAGCTCGAAAAGTTTCCGTTTCTGAACCGCAGGGTATGACTTTAGCCGAACCCCTAAGCCCCTGAACCCCTAAATCACCGAGGCCTAAAGTTAAATCGACAAAACAAATAAGCAGGACACTGACCAAGCAACTCTCTAGATTGTCGAAAAAGCGTCGGCCCGGCTGGACTTGCCAAACGAGACCCTAGTGCCAGTCCAAGCCGACCACCGAGCCATGTGTCGGTTCAACGACGCCGCCTCCCAACGGTACCGCGTTGTCGAAGATGTCATTATCAGCTTTATCCGCGGTGCCGAGCCTCTAAGCACGCTGCAAGAACCAGCCACACTGGCTATTGATGGTGAGGACTGCCGCCCTGTTTATTGTGCAACGACCAAAAGTGACATGGGTTAATACCTGGCAGTCAACCGGCGCCGGGTGCTGAACGAGTGGCTCAACCCCACCCCCACCGTCGACACGTTTGACCGCATCAGATCAGAGCGCATGGAGTCGTCGTGCCGCTGGATTTACGACAACACGCTCTTTCAAACCTGGCTCACTCAGCCCCGCTGCCGCGTGTGCCACATGGACGGACCCGCCGGCTACGGCAAGTCGACAGTTGTGAGCAAGCTCGTCGAGGACCTGCGAGCCGCCCATCCCGTGGCCTTCTTCTTCTGCCGCATCGGTCAGGAGAGCCAGTCGTGGAAGGACATTGTCCGGACGTGGATCTGGCAGCTCCTCGAGCAGTGGCCCCGCCCAGAGCTTATGAGCGGAATTTTCGACATGTGCACGGCCACCCTCGGCACCACGACGCCTGTTGCCAACTACTTCAAGGCCTTGGTCTGGCTGGTTGAGCGCCTCGACTCGCCCTTCATTTTCCTTGACGGCATGGACGAGAACCCGGAGCTGCAAAAGGTCGGTGTTCAGGGGCTGAGCAGCCACTTCCGCGACCTGTCCAAGCACGCCAAGATCTTCACGTCAAGCCGCCCAGATCCGCGAACCAAGTATACCCTGCCAGGCGAGACAAGCAGTTTCATCCGTATCGTTGTCAACAACGCAACCAACGAGGCAGATATCTCGTCCTTCCTCGCCGACGGCCTGCGCCACCTCAGCTGGGACGACGCGACGACGGCGTGGGTGCACAGGAAGCTCTCGGACGGAGCAAACGGCATGTTCCTGTGGGCCAAGCTAATGCTGCACCACATACAGCAGCAAGTCACGCTCGACGACCTCGAAGCCGCGGTCGACGAGCTGCCCGACGGCCTCGACACCGTCTATGCCCGTATCTTGGCGAAGATGTCGGCCCTGCCCGCGCCCCAAGCCAGGAGCGTCGCGAGGGTGTTGCAGTGGGCGTTCTCAGCCCGACGGCCGCTGTCACTCGCGGAGCTCGAGGTCGCGCTTGCCGTCAAGCCGGGTGCCGGCACCGCGCGCCTCAACAAGCGGAGCCGCGCCATGAACATACGCCAGCTCATCGCCGACTTTTGCGGGCCGCTACTCGAGGTCGACCCGCGCACTAGCACCGTGCGCTTCACTCACGTTTCGGCGTTGCAGTACCTCCAAACACTGTCTGAGCAGCAAGACGAAAGTAACCTGCCCTACGACCCGGTGCGGTTCCCCCTGATGCTCACCAAGAAAGCTCCGCACCTCGCCGCAACTTGCCTCACGTACCTCGCGTACAGCGACATCGACTTTGTCACGGCCGACAGCTCGCCCGACGTGTACGCTGCCCGGCTCGACCAGCACCTGCACACGTACAAGTTCCTGCGGTACGCCGCGCTCAACCTGTGGACGCACTTCCCCGACGGTTTCTCTTTTTCGTCAGGCTCCGCAGATCCGGACCTCACACGCGCGCTGGATTTCTTCTTCGCCGACGAAAAGAACATGGTCAAGTGGCTGCAGCTATACCAGCTCCTCGGGGAGCTAGCCACGCCGCGCAGCAGCAGCAGTAGCAGTCGGAGCGCATTCCACCCGCAGGCGCCGCGCTTTGCTGGGCTCCGGCAGCGCTACGCCGGGTTCCGCCGGCTGGGCCCGACAGCGAGCGGCCTGTTCGTGCGCTGGGACCGCTGGAAGTCTGAGGACTCATTCAACGGCAACCACTGCTCGCCGTTGACGGTCGCGGCCTTTTTCGACTTTGCCGCCGTCGTGCGCCAGCTGCTGTCGCAGATGAGCACAAAGAGCCAGGGCGCGGCGGACGCGGTGGACAACGGCATCGTGTTTGGCTACACGCCGTTCCTGCATGCCGTGCACGGCGATGCCGCTGACACGGCCGCGCTGCTGCTCGCGGCGAGGGCCGACCCGGCGCGCGCAACAACAGCCGGCTACTGCGCAGCGCGCTACGCGTCACGCAATTGCATCGGCGTGCTGCCGGCTATCTTGCGGCTCGACGTGCCCTGGCTTGCGAGGCAAGACTACGAGGGCCGCACCGTGCTGCACGCAGTGTGCTCGTCGCCGGGGTGGGACCCGGCCGTGGTCAACTCGTTCTTGGGACTATGCAGCACGGAAACAGCGCGACAGCACCTCGACACACAAGACACCCTCGGCCTCACGGTGCTGCACCATGCCGCCAACATCGACGTCGCCCAGTCGGCCGCGCTGATGTGGGACCGGCTGAGCCACTCGTCCGACGGGGGGTCCGGGGCCGAGCGGCGCGTGGTGCTGGTGTCGCTGCAGGAGGCCTTCACGCCAACGACGGATGCGTCCATCCAGACGTGGGCGCGCAACTGGCACGTGTTCTTCCAGGGAACCGGGGAGGAAGCGCCGCCGCTCGACCTGGCTTCGCTGCAGAACCTCGTGCAGCGGATCAAAGTCTACATGCTGCGCGAGCTCGTCACCCGCAGATCAGACGTCAACATCGCCGACCACCAGGGCCGCACGACGCTGCACATTTGCGCGGCCACGCACTCGCAGCAGCAGCAACACAATGCAGGAGACGTGACCAAACAGCTAGTAGCCAAGAACCAATGCATCGAGGCCCTGCTCGCCGGCGGCGCCGACCCGTTCTTGCGCGACGGCGTGGGTCAGCTGCCCGTCGACATGGCTATCGCCGAGGGGGACTGGCCCGCAGCCAGATTGCTCTGCGGGGCGATGCAGACGCGTCTCGTTGGCGCTGGGCGGCCCGAGAGCGACTGCGACAGAACGGAGGAGCTGCAGGCTCTGCTGCTGGCAGAGACCACCGCCAACAGTGACAGACCACGCTCTGCTCCACAGTCGCCATCACTGTCGTCGCTGTCTGAGACGGACTGGATGGTTGTCCCTGGCAGCAGTAGTAGCAGCAGTAGCAGCAGCTTCCCGCGCACTTTTGGCGATGTCGTCAAGGCGACACTCATCCTGCGCAGCTGCCTCAAACTCGTGACAGGCGCAGGGGACGACACGTCCGCGAAGCTGGCGCAGCGTATTCTCGACGCCGCAGGATACTACAGCGTGCAGGCTAGGGCAGCCGTCGACATTCGCTCGTGGCGGCCGCAGCAGGATGACCAGGACACGCCGCGCGTGTCGCTCACGCTAGCGCTAGACAGCCGCGTCGCGGTGCGCAGGATCGATGTGTTCATCGCGTCTGAGAGGCTAAGGCCGCGCAACTATTATGCCGACAGTGACGGGAGAGTGGGGAGTGATGACGGAGCGGAAAAGCGACATGAAGATGGCGGCGGGTACTATTACCACTACCGCCGGACAAAGTCGAACGTGGTGCTGCGCATAACCTCGGCGGCGTGGAGGCCGTCGTCCGCCCGTTCAAGGGTCGGGCCGCGGCGCGTGGATTCGGGTGTTTCGGTCGGTGATAGGCCTGAGACCGCGTCTGCGCTGAGTGTCAGCAGTCATAACACTTGGGATACAGTTCGTGGGGACGACAGCAGAGCTGCGTCGCTGAGAAGTGTTGAGCTTGACAGGAACACCGAGACGCTGCTGGAGGATATCGTCAACGGCGACAACGACGGCGACGAAAGTCCATGGTACCACGACAGCCAGGCGTTTCTGCGCGTCGAAGTGGCGTCTGCCTCTACTCCTGCCACTGACAAAGAAGGCAAGAACACTCCAACCCCACCACCACCGCCAGTCCCGCGCATCACCAACCTCGGCGTGCTGGTCGACCGCCAGCGCAACGTCGACATCTGGCGGCACACGTGGCCTGCGCCCCGCAGACTTCCGTCGGAAGAAAACGCCACAGACACGAGACCAAGGCCTGCGCACGCGTCCGGCCTCGACGACGGCCAGACGCGCGAGTGGCTGGCGAGCCTCAAGCACGGCGACACCGTTACGCTAGCGGCCGCCGAGGGCTTCTTCGTACAGGACATTGCGCGGTTTGCCAAGTTCGGGCTGGTGGTTTACTGCGGTCTGCGTCTCTGATCCTCTGAGGGGAGTTAGTGTTTGCCGGGATCTGTCTCTCGGTGTGAAACCACATGTCATAGGTCTCGCGTTCCGAAATATCCGACAGCAACTCAGTGCAATGCAATGCAACGCTGGCTAAACCATAGGCATGAACTACTTGGCAATCCGTACTCCGCGATAAAGCTAATAGACTGAACGAAGCAACCCTGCACAATGCAAGCCGACGCGCGGCCAAGCCACCAATCAGGTGCAGCCGTCCCGGCGATCCTCCTCGCCCCTTGCTCCGTATTTCGTATTACATAACCCTATGCGTGTTGTCGCTATGATCCAGGAGGATCCGGGCTCCTAGATCCGGATTGCGAGCATCGGCTTGAATACCCGTTTGGGCTTTGCTAGTATAGCAGACCAACGGTTGGGCCAGGGTCAGAGATTCGTCAGCTGATTACCGTTGAAGTCCTGTAGCCCCAGGAGTACTCCGAGTTGGCAACTACCGTATCCATTCTCACAGAATTCACAACCGACCAGCAGGGGGCTCAGCCAATGACTACGTGGGTGATCGAGATGCGTGGTAGAGATTTCTGGAAATTCTCTCCTATATACGGAATAGGTCGGTTATTTATTCCGTCAGAGTATAGGGTGTTCAACAGGGATTGTGTCCAGTGACTCGACTCACTCGAGTATAAAGCAGGCGTGCAGTAGCTAGCTAACACGTCTCCATCACTTGTCGATCACCATTGTCTCTCCTCACTCTATCTCTCAACACACCAACTTGGGACATCGCCAACAATGCTGTTGCCTCCGCTTCTTCGTCTGGCACCCGCATTCCTCCACCTAACCCTGGCCACGGCATCGAATTCAACCTCACTGTTGGGAACACGCCCTGTTAGTGAACAACACTTGCTCTCACCTAGTCTTCCAACTAACAACCTGCCCCTTCTTCAGTGCGATGCCCTCGCCGCAGCCGGGCTGGGCGACATTCTGCTCTCGCCCACCGACAGCGGCTACGAACCGCAGGTAGCGACGTGGTGGTCGCTCAACGCCCAACTACGACCATGGTGCCTGGTCCTGCCGCGGAGCACGGCCGAGGTATCACGGGCTCTCGCCACGCTTGTAGCAGCAGGCCACGGCGCGGGCTCGTGGCACATCGCCGTGCGCAGCGGCGGGCACGGCTGGCCCGGCAGCAACAGCGTGGCCAACGGCGTGACCATCGACCTCAGCCACCTCAACGCGACGCACTACGACGGCGCAACTAATACGGCGCGCCTGCAGCCCGGCGCACGCTGGGAGCACGCGTACGCGGCCCTCCAGGCGCAGGGTCTTGAAGGATCGATACGTGGCGAGGAAGCGCTGAGTGGATGACGGGTCTCTCTTTGAGAAGAGGTATGAGCAGCACGAAAAGGAATGCCCGCCTGTCGTGGACATCTATAAGAATATGGGCATCCTTGTTGAGGTGAGCAGTGCCAACTCCACAGTAAACGACAAAAATTGTTTGTCTGATGTTTTGGACCGGTCATAGATTGATAGCGGCGGAAGCATCGATGACTCATACAAGGAGTTTGTCAGTGCCTTGGCTTCCTTTCTAGGGAAATCCTGAACTCCACGGCAACTACTGCCGATTATTCCATGGTGATTTACACCTTGAGTACAGAACTTGCTGTTCTGGCCGCCGAATTTGGCTGGGCAGGGCCGCCATTTTCGGGTGTCTTGACAGTCAGTGCGGGCCCGGCCTTTAGTCACAGCCAGGTACTTGGTACCTCACCACCCCCTAAAAGATAAGTTCCTAAGGGCTGAGCTAGTAGTTAGGTTGGTAACGACTAGCGAATCCTTAGTGTTGTATGGTTCTTAGTATTTTGCTTGGCGATGATCATGATGATGGGTCGTTTTGTTTTGAAGCGTTCGGGCTGGCCGCCCGGCCTTGGCTTCCTCAGTTTGAACGCAGCGCAGGCGCCTAGACTACACGCGGCTAGCGAGAGCTAAAGGCAAATCCAGGCCCAAGTAGACGACTGATGACACCTACAAATTATAAAGACAGGTCCAAGGAGCCCCAAGCCAGTCGGGGAAACAGAAAACAGTGGGTCGCCCAGCTCCTTCCTCGAGCGATTGGCCCGGCGCTCACTGCTGCCTGATCGACCTCTCCGCTTCCTGCTGCAACCTGGGAATTCCGAATCCTGCAAACCCTCAATTCAAATCAAACCATCGTGCCTCGTTCTAATTTTCAACAGTCCGCGCTCCTCAGGTCACATGGAACATCCGGAAATGCACACGACATGCGACGACTGCGTCAAGATCTTGAAACATGCGGCGGCCTTCCTCACGTCTGAGCCCAAACCCTCCCGGGAGCCCCCACTGCTGCTATTCGATTCATCGTATCAGTCACGACTGGTAGCTCGGGTGTCTTCGTCGGAATGCCACATGTGCGTGCTCCTGAGCGACTGCATTCCCCGGCTGCTGGAGTCTTTGGACCCTAAAGAAATGCTAATCTTGTCCATCTCCGGCGCTCGGCATGACCAAAATGCCGCAATTGTTTCGCTCGTTGGTTGCGACGTAGAGGCATTAGACCTCCAGCAGCACTTCAATGGCTCGCTACGAATACAAGAGGGTGAGAGACAGGCGAGGATTCGCAAGAATAGGAGAGATAGGGCTAACAGCTCTAGCTGAACACGGGCATGTGTGTGTTCTCGATTCTCCCAGCACATGGTCGTTGGAGACGTTGAACCGCATCCGATTTTGGGTGCGAACCTGCACTTCATCTCATAGCAACTGCGCAAGAACTCGAGCGGCAAGCAGGCTTCCACGGCGGTTAATAGACGTCGGGACAACTCGCTCCGGCCATGTTTGGCCCACCGAGAAGGATATGGGGTCGGAAGACTTCGACTCTCTCTGTCTCCAGCAACTACCCAATGTCCAGATCATCTCGTCAAACTCTCTACCCCCAGACACCCCCTACCTCACCCTCAGTCACAGATGGGCGAGTACGCCAGCGATTCTGCTTACCAAAGAGACACTATTTCTTCTCCATCATGACATATCTTCCCATCTTCTGAGTCGCAGCGACACAGCCGTGTTCCAGCATGCCATCCACGTCACCAGGGGTCTTGGGTTCCGCTACCTCTGGATCGATGCTCTTTGCATAATGCAAGACGACGGACCCGAGAAGATGGCGGACATTATCCAGATGAACGAGATCTACTCCAACTCGGCTCTCAACATCTCAGCCGTAGAGGGACGGATTCGCGAAGGTCTGGTCTTCGATCGGAAGCCCCTTAGCACGAACCCATGCCGATTGGTCGTTAGGGTCCCAACAACCCAAAGGGATGTCTGCCTTCAGGCATTCCCCGACAAATGGTCTCTTCGGATGTCAGAGGGTTCTTTGAACCAACGCGGCTGGGTGTTCCAAGAACGGACACTGGCGCCACGCATTGTCCACTTCACCACAAACCAGGTGTTTCGGATCGGATCTTTCCTAGTTCCGTTCAAAACTAAGTTCCGTGGTTCGGAGCTGGAGGACGCATTCAACGGTCGACTCGACACGTTGAGCACCGACGACTATCTTGAACTCGACTCGGACGGAAGGTATATTGTCGATGTTGTTTGAGATTGAGGTTGTAATGTACCTGGAGGGGATTCAGGTAGGGGGTTATGTTAGTATCGAGGACCTTGTTCTTCTGTATTTCCTCAAGAATGCCTTTTTCACTTCTCGCCTCACAAGAGTGTCTAGGCTGCTCTCATAGGCGCGCCTAGAAAGTAGTAATTACAGAGCTAGACTAGTACATGCTGTGCATAGCTACCTCCCTAGGTACCTAACTACCTCTATATTCATTCGCGACAACTTTTTTGGGCCAAATCCGTATCAGCGCTGGCATCAATTCAATCAGGCCAAATATGAAGCCTTATTTAACTGTATTTGAGGCCCGGAATGGTGTATTTATCTGTGTGTAAGGCTCTCTCTGATTGGGTGGGTTTTATTTGACTTCATTGACGGAATTTGCCGCTTCACCAAAAAAACAAGGAAATCGAGCCCGTAGCACCCTAAGACCGAAAAAAGCCCTCGACCTTCAGGACCTTCATTTCGTCGCCCAATTCTTCGTGCACATGAGGTAATTCAGGGTTTCGTCGAGCATACCATGCCTCTGAGTCCCAAGGATCAGTTTTCCCTAGCTGAATGCCCTCTCGCACTCTGTTGACATAGACGGTATTGATAACAAGTCAAAGCCATCTTTGACAACCGGGGCCAACGCTCTCTTCTTTCCTTCCACCAAGAGCCGACGACTAGATCGACGAGCTTCTCTTCCATAGAGAGCTTATGAGGTAGTAAAACATGCCTCGCGCGCTTCGTATTGACCACTTCAAGCGTGCGTTGCCTTTTTCCGAGCCTCTCAATACAGACTGGGAATTGGGTAGGTATAATTTGTGGTCTTTTTCCAAATGTATAGTCGCCGAGCTTGTTGACTCTGCCTTGAACAGCTTCCTGCAATAGTGGCATGCCCAGTAGTATTCTCCCTCGATGACGGCGTGGTTGATGACCTGGGCGACCCAGTAGCCGTGATCACGAATCCACAATGTCCTTTTTGGTGTTTTCCCCGCCCACTTTTCCGGTATAAAGGACCCTCTTGGTATTTTTATCTTCGGCCAATCCTTGACTGGAACCCCGGAAAGATCTTTGACATCTATTCCTTCTTCAAGGAGCGCATCGTGCTGTCTCGATAGTCGTGATAGCTTCGGAGGAAGGGAGGGAGGAAGATTTCCGGCGGTAGGGAGGCTTGTCGAGAGGGTCGCGACATCAACGGTGGAGGCAGGCATTTTGTCGATGACTCAGGAGCCAAGGAAGTAGGGAAATCGCTGCAAGAAGGTAGGATTCGGTAGGATTCGGCAGTTTGTTTACAACGGTTGGCGATAGTTGCATTGTAGCGGCACGGCGGCACTCGAATTCAGGGCATTCGAGGATTTTCCCGGGGCCAGAAAATGCAGGGTTGGCCTTGGTCAGGGACTGCCCTGGCGCCAGGAAAACCCGGAAAATTGGGCCTAAAAATGGCCTAACCAATGGAAATATTTGCAAATATGCCAAATAACCGGGCCCTCAATTTGGCCTGTATTTGACCTCAAAAATGGCTTATTTACTTGCAAATACAAATTTCCTTATTTAATTGAATTGAATATATTTAGATTAGTGCGAGCGCTGATTAGATGCCACCTTCTACACGGCCGACGAGCCGTGTGATGGATTGACAAGGTCAATCGTTCAAGTAGATCTATCGCGATAGGGTCTGGTTTAGCCACGTAGGGGTGGTTGTTGTTGTATTTTGTTCTGCTCTGTTCTATCTAAAAGTATCACGATCTACAGAGACAGGAAGAGGGTGCGTTTGGAGGGACACCGCCACGCACGGGCCACAAAGTGGTTCGTGCGTGCATCCTGTGATTGTTGCCACAACCCCAACAGCCGAATATATCCCGTTATTCCTACACCGTGAATCTTCCGCAACCTCGCCAAGGATTGCCGCAGCCGAACCCAGAACCCGATGAAGCCCTTTGTCGCCAGTTACCTCCATGGTCTCCTTAAAAACGTCAAGAAAGACGTTGATCGAGAAGCCGATTCTGGAGAATATACCCTCGATCTTAGAGCTGGCAGCGTCTCGGAGCGTCGGGATACCGTAGTAGTCAGCAATGGCGTTAACCCGCACATGTCTCTTTAGTATTTGCAAACTTTTAGTACGTTCCGCCTCTTCACTCGCCGCCTTGGGACCGGCGTCTTCAACAGCTACGGTGGCCGTTTTAGATGTGTCGAGGCTAATCTCGTCGGTAGCAACAGAATATTTGCCGGTATGCATTAACTAGACCATGTGCTTCACAGTAGGCAAGTCGAAGTTGTCCATCTCGATTCTGCCTTTGTGAGCTTCGACAAAGAACTTATTGTTGGCCGACTTGTCGATAACAGAGGACTGGGTGCAGACAATGGCCTTGTGGACTTTGATCTCTTGGCCTTCGCACACGAACTTGAGGCCGCTGGACTTGGGAGCCTCCATGAGTTTGCCGAGAACAATTGACAAGTACGCTTCCGGAATGCGCATATCAGCAGATTGATGTTCTTTAGAACCGGCCATAGCTCGCTTACAAAGCTCTGAAAAAGTAGACGAAGGAATTCGAGAATGTAGTAGCATAAGCTGATAAGTCAGGTGGTCTGCTTATGGAACACCCCTGGATTTGGAACAAGGTTTGTCATCAAGGACTTGCCGCTCGCCACCCAACTCACCTATTTCAATCGCTTGCAACTCGACCAATTCTGCTTCAATACTTATCTTCTTTTCTCCATTCAATTGAGAAATGAAAGATGAAGCGATATATTTAGTTGGATTTGCAGAATGCGCTGGCAGAGTATGCAGAAACCGGCTTACTCCGTAGCTCTGCTGAAAATCACGGCATCCCCCCTACTACTCTCTTTAATCGGGTTCGTGGTTCCGAGCCAGCCTCCAAGGCCCAAATTCTTAATCAAAAGCTTTCTCCGGCTATGGAAGAACGCTTAACCGAATGGATTCTATTCCAAGGGTCGCTCGGTCACCCTCCAACCCACGCCCAAATTCGGAAACTAGCTAGAAGAATGCTCGAAGATAACGAGACCCTCGGAAAACGCTGGACTAGCCGGTTTTTGGCTAGAAATCCATCTATTTCTACAATTAGGCCTCGGAGAAGCCATTCAAACCGTGCTGATCGAGCCTGTGAGGCCGTTATCCGGCCTTGGTTTGACTATTTGAAGCCTCCAGGCGTGGAGGCTATTCCAGCCAAGCATAGGTATAATATGGATGAAACTGGCATTGCTTCTGGCATTGGAGATAACGGCCTGGTTGTTGGATCTAAGGAAAGAAAGAAATTCCAGAAAAAGAAGAAAGGAGACCGAATTTGGACCTCGATTATCGAATGTATTTCCGCTGACGGCCGGTATTTGAACCCAGTCGTCATTTTCAAAGGTGGAAGCCTTCAACAACAATGGTATCCACGCGATTTACAGCCATTTAAGGGCTGGAAGTGGAAACCCACTGAAAACGGCTGGTCTGACGATGATACTGCCGTCGCATGGCTCCGCAATATCTTTCTTCCAGAGACTCGGCCAGCTACCCCCTCGGAGAAGCGCTTCCTTATTTTAGATGGCCACGGTAGTCATACCACCGAAGAATTCATGTGGCTAGCCTTTTCTAATAACGTACAATTGTTATTTCTACCAGCCCACACCTCCCACGTTCTCCAGCCCCTGGATTTATCGGTTTTCGGCCCTCTAAAAGCCCGGTACAGAGCCAAGCATAACGAGGTTGTTTCCGGCTTCGACGAAGGCACTGTTGCTGAAAAGAGGGCCTTCCTAGAATGCTACCGGCAAGCCAGGGTCTATGGAATGACTGAATCTAATATCAAAGCCGGCTGGAAAGCTACAGGCCTCTGGCCGGTCAGCCTCAGGAAGCCCCTAAGCAACGGCCTTGTTATTAAGAATTCTAACGGCGACGTTGGTCAACTGACCTCTACGGTTTCTATAGACCTTCAAGAGGTCCATAACCCCATTCTAAATAAGAATTCGGAGGGCCGGCCTATATGGTTTACCCCTAAAAAGCCGAAGGATTTCCGTATTCAGGGGCAGGTTTTTCTAGCCGGCCAGAAACGGACTGCCAACGACCGACTTTTCATACGCAAGGCCGCAAAAGCCTTCGATTACGTGGTTTTCCAACTAGCCAATACGGCGCATCAATTGGAGGCTGCAGAAAAAAGCCTAGAACGCACAAGAGGCCGAAAGAGAAGGAAGGTCCAAGTCGACCCTAATACGCAGTTCGCTGGAATTGAGGAGGTTCGTGCCTCACAGAGAGAGGCTGGCAGAGAGGACCTTAGTTATTCTGAAAGAGAAGAATCAGGAGAATCCGATACTGAAGACTTCATCATTGTAGCTAATTAATTGACAAAGTTGTTGGCAATTGAAGTTTGTGGTGTTGTGCGGGGTCCGATTCAGGGGCTGTTCCATAGGCAGGGGTGTTCCAAAAGTCCCCCACCTGACTTATGAACTTATAATGAGTTTAGTTACTAGGTTAGGCTTACGTTCGGTAGTTGTTAAAAAGGTCAAGAGAAGTAATCGGGAGTAGGGTCCATGGACCACATTATCTAATCGGGCTACTAGCTGACGGTAGTTGGTATACTCTGATCTCAGTCGATACCCTACTTTTAATATACGTTGGTATATCGCGGCGCGTATACCAGCGCTCTTCTCGAATAGGAGCGTCGGTTTCGTACCGGGGTCCTCGCGATTACGCCATAGACCTAGCCCTACGCCGGCAGATCTACAGACCAAGAAGGTAGGCGACGTCTTGTCGAAATGTAATGCGGGGTTGACGGAGGAAAATTTGCCCGTGCGGGGATCCTGAAAAAACCAAAAGCGCGAAGCCGTCGATCTGGCAATCTATCAGCCGAATCCCGCGGGCGACGATATACTACTATAGCACCTCTTTTCTCTCAGGGCTATGGCCGACCAAATTAATACGCTAATCGAAGCCTCGAAGTAACCAGCGTCTGGATTATATGATACCATCTGGCTGCCTCTGACGCCTCCAGCAACGGATAAGCGGCCAACGCGGAAATGGGATATGTCCGACGTAGACAGAGTAATGCAAATACCCGAAGCCTGCCGGGACGGGACATTACTAGTACGTCCAGTGTCGCCCGTGTATCATAGAGAGGTGCCATAGGAGCTTTGGTTTCTGCTGAGTATCGATAAAAGAAAGTTAGAGTGAGGTCGAAAACGTAAGGGGGGCTGAGTATAGCTTTATTACCGGGTTACATCATATAATCTCGCGAGCTGAACTCTCCGTAAACCTTTTTCCGACTCTTGATATTTCTCTTCCTCCAAAAACTACGAGACGTATATTACACTATTACGATCCCGGCCCAGGTGTGTAGGGGGGCGCTGTAAGTCGACTGCAGATTGGCTGGTGCAACCAGGAGGGGTGGGCCCCTCCACCAGGGTTGGTGCAGCCAGTCAGGATGTAAGAGAGGGCAGGTACGCCTGATCAAGGTGGTCACAATGAAGGTAACAAGGTGAGCAATGACTGGTATTGGTGTAAGACTTCAACCTGGCCCTCGCAAAGTAAGGGGGCGAGGGCCGCTGTTTTGTTACATGCTCAGGGGCTCAGTCCCGTGTGTGCTTGTGAAGGCGTGGCGCCACAGTGTGGCTATTCCACTACCATATCCCCTAGCACGCGTCGAGCGGGTTGGTACTACAGATTCTGGAGCGGCAGGCTAATTTCTACGCTATAATGACCGACGAGCGCCTCGCCGAGACGCGGCGGGTGTGCCGGGAATGGGATGCGTGGTTTGCTAACGCCACGAATCACTAGAATATCTCCGTGCCGTTTCAAAACAATTCCGGGATCTGATTGGCTATGAAGGGAATCCGCGACCCTTGTTTATATAGATATTCTCATTAATGGTGATAGAACTTTATCAAGGATGTGTACAAGTAGTGAATGTCTAATTACTGTATATGATACTGTTCGATTCTCGGTGACTGTGACGTGCAAACCCCTCTTGTCCAGAGCCACCTTATTGTCCAACCTCCTGTGTATCTAGTTTACTGAGACAAAAGCAGGGCTAACACGGGAGAAGTCACAGATTTGATATTTCTCTGGGCACGGGCCGCCCCAGCGCTAATATTCTTCCGTGGGTGTTGGATTGATCAATAAACCAGCTACCTAGAATTAGAGGTATGTTTTTTTATGGAGGTTTTAGCAAAAGAGTTAGCTATACTCAGCCCAGTGGACAGCCGCCGCCATCATCGGCTTCAGAATCAGAGTCATCCCCCTCTTCCTCCAATGGGTCATGGGCATCGACGACACGCAATTCCTCGCCATCATCGTGACTCGACTCCTCGCCGTCGCTGTCACGTGATCCCTCATCATCGTTGATCTCCTCAGAGAACTCATCATAATAGTATGGACAAAGATGTTCCATTCCTTCCCAAAACTCCTCAAACATCTGCCTCGTGTATCCGTGACGGTACTTGGGCTTCCTCGGTCGAGAATCTTTGCGATACCACAAAACGTCGTGGCCGCACTCAGCTATGACTGCGTCCCACAAATCTCCTGGTAAACTTGTTTTGTTCGAAGGGTAATTCGCATATTCGAAAACGGAGAAACCGTCGTAATCAACCGCGCAAATATCGGCGCCGTTTCTGATGAGGAAAATCAGGGAGTTCCGAAGACGTCTAACGGCGCTTCTATTTTCAGGGTCAAAGGGAATTAAACTCATATAGGCGTCACCGAAGCATAAGTGCAAACATGACTGGCCATATAAATTGCGTGCCTCGATGTTGGCTCCTCGGCTGAGTAGAAAGGAGAGGCCGTCGACCTGAAATCGGCGGCTGTTACAATAAGTAAGAAGCATTGTGTTACCGCTGTTGTCGGTGATGGTCTCGGTGTTGATCAGGCTGAGAGGGTTGTTCAGCAGCAGCTGGATCGATTCCTACAGTTGCTAACTGTCAAATGCTTACTCTCCAGCTGGGACCTGAGGTTGCACTCACCAGGGCTCCGAACGAGAGCGTTCGGGATAGACAGCTGCCCTTTGCCAGTCCATTTCGACAGACCGGGATTTCTGGGTCACAGCCCGCTTCTAGCAATAGTTTTCGACACTCTAGAATACGGCTTAGCTCGGACGCTTCCGCCTCATGTTCGTTAACATCCACCTCCAATGCTGTCCCGGTGCAATCAGGATCGACATATCCCCAGAGCCAGGTAGGACCGATGTGGTCAACATCTGCTCCATTTTGAAGTAGAAACCGACATATATCCGGTTGCTTATTTGCATACTTGACAACCCGTTAGCCGTGCTCGCGCGACTAAAGGTCTTAAGTAATGAGATGCAACTCACAAACAGTAGCGAGACGCCGAACTCGTCCTGATCTCGAAGTGAAGCTTCACCCCGCATCAACATCTCCTTGAATTGTACCAGGCGTCCTTGTTCAACCAGGGTGAAGACCGGTGAGCCGATGGGTAGAACATTGACGACTGAGATCCGTGTCATGTCGTTGTAGGTCCCCCAGTATTCGTGACGCTGCCGTGTTGCTATTTGCAATGCTTTTGGCGAAAACTTGGATCCAGGGAGGAATGATATGAGCGTTTTGACCTCTGTGGTCTCCTCTTGCTCCTCCCCCGAGTGCGAGGGATGTTGCATCCCTCGTGCTGGGACCTTTGAACGTTTTGCTAGTCTTCTCTCGAAGGAGATAACTGATACGTTGCCGCTATCCGTGGGATACAACCTCCTTTTCACACTCGCTCGGACTCGAGTACCTGGTAATACTGTCATCCTGTCTGTGATAGGAGAGTAAGTTTGTATCAAAGCAGAACAAATGATGACAGTGACATACCAGGTCGGGGGTTTACCGCAATGCGTGACGAAGACAGAAGGATGCCTTGAAGACACCGCAAGGTGTGTCGCATCTGATCGAGGTCCTCTTGAGTATCTCCATCGCAAAAATGCTGGTATGTCGTTGCTGAACGGAGAAATTTGTCCGACATCATGTCCTCGAGAAGCTTCACGAGGTTATCAACAATGCCTTCGGGATCATTGGAACTAAATATTCCCATTTGGTCCCGAGCTGAATCCAACACTGATTGTACACTCTCCAGCAGCTGGTTGTACGCCGGAACTTCTCTTGCTGGTGTATCATCCAAGGTCCCAGTACCCTCGTTGAGCCGGACGCTGTCGCGCGCTTCTCCGACGCTAGACCGCTCTTCGAGCCGAAGGTTCAGGTTGGCAACTAGGCCTGCGAGCTGATCTATAATCTCACCATTCTGGGCTGTTGACTGATCTGATAAATGAACTAGCTTTTGCAGGACTTCGTCGCTCCGAACAGCAGACTCGTGAAAACCGAGATGCAGATCATCCTTGACTGCCATGATCGAGTCGCGCACAGTGGCCGACAGGGTGGCATGTTGGGCGATTAAGGTCGACTGATCGTCTTTGATGGTCTGGAAGGTGGACAACTCCTGTCGGGTAGCGTTAAGGGAGTCGTGTATCTCAGAGACAGTGTCGCTCTCCAAAGCTTGAAGGTAAAGCTTCAAGGTTCCTGCATCCCTGGTGATGACATTGCTCATCCGAATCAGTTCCTTCTCGCTCCAGGAAGCTCTTAGCCTCCTCAACTGGTTGGCAAACCGTGGCCCGTCATTCGTCACAGTAAGTTTCTGAAGAGTGGCAGCAAAGGTAGTGAGGTTGTCGGCGCAAGATTGGATCTTGGTTTGGAAAGCCTGGTCTTGGAGCTCGGCCGTGGCCCGACATCTTTGTAGCCTCTCCAAGGTTGACTGGAGGTCTTGGATGCCGGCTCGCACTTGGCCGACATGTGTCCCGCTTTCGTTTGAGAGGATCTCGTGGATTATTTTGGCGCTTTTGAGGCCGAGGACAATAAAGGCAACCACACTTGCCCCAGCACTGATTACGTCCATTTAGGGTTGCCAGATTCACCCGCAAATGGCGGCCCGGGGATGTGATAGAGGCCAGTAGGGGTGCCGTGCCAATCGGATGGCATTAGATGGTTACCGTGATGAAGAAAGGCGCAAGATCTGATCGTTCAGAAGAGATTGCGGGGACACACTCTTTAAAGTCCAACCTAATGTCCTATTGTTACACGAAGGCAAGCAGCCCCGCCCGAGACTAACGCGTCTAGGAAGGTGTTGAGGCAGCAATAGCAGGAGCACTCGTAGCACGAGCACCAGAAACTGTCGGAAAGTGCCGTCAGCTAATATTTAGTAGCGTAATATACTAGCCACCTACGGCCTAGATTATTATAACCTAAATACCATATAAATGTAGGGTATGTAGGGCATGCCCACTTCCTTCCTTTCTTCCTAATACAACCACTCTTTTGCCCACTTTTACATGCCGTTGTACGTGAGAGAAACAGTGGCGGCGGCGGCGGCGGCGGCGGCCAAGGCAGATTTGCGCAGATTCCCCCTGACCTGCGATATGCTGCCATTGCCGGAACTTTCTAGACGTACCTTTTGGACGCCTTCGACGAAATGGTATTTTTATTTCTATTAGAGCGATTTCACCTACCTGTCCAATTTCGCTGTGTCTAGTCTAAAGTCCCGACTTCATTGTTGCCGCAGGTCCGCAATGACCACCCCTCGGCGACAGAGCTGTGCATGCCCAAATTAATGCTACGAATAGACTTGTTCAACAGAGTCACGCTACCCGACAAAAAGTGGTGGCGTTGTCAACGACGATTATCGGTGTGTAGAGAACCTTCTCGCCTCTTAACGCTTGGACACAGCTCTATGGGCCCCATCCCCTAGGTTAGTGCTCCTAAATGCCAAGACTCTTGGCTCTTCCCTTTTTGGGCCAACTTCCGTGCACTCTCGCTGTGATTGGGCTGAGAAGAAACGGGTTTGATTGGCTGTACACAGCTCCAAGAGTGAATCTGCCACGGATCTTGGCATTTTGACGCTTCTGGCACGCAATAGATGTGGTATCTTGCCCCCGTTTTACACCGTTGTTCTTGGAAGTACGGCAATACGCGAAGGATTTTTAATCTAAGTGTATTGCACGTTTCTTACGTTTTCCACCTTTTTTTTTTTTTTTACCAACTTGTCTCCTGCTTGGAGCCGTACAATGACCTCGTCCTAACGACCAGTCCAAGTTGCATGTAATTCGACCTCATCGTTAATGTGAAGTCATCGTCGTTATATCACGCTAAACGGTGGCCAGGTTGGCGAGAAAATGGGCGAAAAGGTAGGTAGGAGAGGGTCAATATAACTTGGAGAGAAAACCATAGACTAAACCCTCTCGCAATTCTCAAAGAGGAGTTCGCTTACTATTTAAACACAAACCCTAGACTTAGTGGTCCTTTTGCTGTGCTTCTCTGCTGTCCCCGTCTCCCCCTTTTCGGGACAACCGCCTGCGCTCAGCCTACGTCTCAGCCTTTAGATGCCTGAGTCATTTCAAGCAGAGCCTGAGACACCATCCCATGCACGTTATAATTCCAAATCGTATGGAAGTGCTCCGTAATCTCGCGGCCAAACTTGGCCCCACCGCCTGCGCCGCGTCGCCCGCTACGTATACCCGCCCGCGTACGTACGTCGCGGGTATTCGAAGAGGTCGAATAGCGCCTACTTATCTATCTCGTCGGGTAGTAGGTCGACGATACGCCGTACCGTACTGTACCAGCCGGCAAACGCTGCCACGGCCTCGCGTTTGCTCCCCGTCGCCGTGTGATTGGTATTGATGTTAGTATTGGTGTTGTTATCCGCCGCGGGCCGCGGCTTATTGTTGGAGAGTACCGCTAGTACGTTAAGTAGCGTGCTGTTACCGACCGGGTAGGTGATAACGTGCGCGCCGGAGCCGTTAAGTTGGGGGGGGTTGTTCCCGATCGTACCACTTCCGATCACGGATGTAAGCACTCACCGCTAGTCGACCCAGGGCACACAAACCCGCATTTCTCAACCATTTTGAAAGCTTTCTTTTTCATCGTTTTTACTATCAATTTATTATTGATTCGAGATGATTTGGTCAGAATTTGACATGCGTAGGGCGTGCCAAGCGGTTCGAGATGGTCTTCCAATTAGGAAGGCATCGAGCGATTACCATATTCCCTATGCCACCCTTCACGGCCGCCTAGGAGGCACCCTTCCTCACGCAGTCGCCCACCAAGACTCCCAGAAGCTCTCTGAGGCTCAGGAAGCACGCCTAGCCGACTGGGTACGGCTTCAGTACGAGCTGGGCGTGCCAGTATCGCACGCAATAATCAGGGAAATCGCGAGGCGCATCAAGGTAGAAGAAGGAAGCGACCAGGGCATTGGAAACCGCTGGATTCGCCAGTTTTTGAACCGTCACCCTGTCCTGAAGACTCAGAGGCCTAGGAGAATCGACAACGCGCGTATCAAGTACGCAACTGCTGCGGTTATCAAACCTTGGTGATAATGGTTACATTGTTGGCTGTGCTGAGAGGCGTGGAGTCGCTGCGAAAAAGCCGAATTCTCGCACCTGGATTAGCTTTATTGAGTGTATCTCGGCCACTGAGCGCGCCCTTAACCCTGTTGTTATTTATAAGGAGAAGAACGTTCAATAATAGTGGTTTCTAAAGAAGAAAAAGAAGTATAAAGGCTGGTACTTCAGTGCGTCAGAAAAAGGCTGGACTACCAACGAAATTGGCCTCGAATGGTTAACGAAGAAGTTCATTCCTACCACCCGCCCAGCCGACCACTCTCAACGTCGCCTTCTTATTTGTGACGGCCACGGCAGTCATATAACGGCTAACTTCATGTGGGAGTGCTTCACCAACAATATTCAACTTCTTTATTTACCTGCCCACTGCTCCCACGTCCTCCAACCGTTAGACTTAGGCGTATTCAGCTCGCTCAAAGGGCACTACCGCCAGAGGGTCAATTATCGCCAAAGTCAGGGCATAGATGTAAGAGAAGGTAGGTACGCCTAATCAAGGTGGTCACAATGCAGGCAAGAAGGTAGGGGAGCATTGTAAGAGAAGGTAAGTACGCCTGATCAAGGTGGTCACAATGCAGGCAAGAAGGTAGGGGAGCAATAACTTGGTACACGAAGCGTTCAGCTCGCGAGAACATGTGACATAACCCCTCAGCAAAGCTGTTTTGCAGCCCCGCTTGCGTTTTCGACCCCGCTCCAACCTTTGTTGATGTTCAGCAGAAATCAAACTCCCTGTGACGGCGTTTAGCAACACCCACTACCGCTGCACCACACCTTCCAAAAGGATGCCAGAATTACAAGCCGTCAGGCTGCAATTCTATAGTGGGTTATAGTATGGTCACGCACCCGTAGGGCCTCAGCGCCTACCGCCGTGCCGTGACATCACCCCCCCCTCGGCCCCGCGGGGCGCGTAGAGGTCTGACTACCCCGGAACCTCGAGCACTACGGTTCGGGAGCTCTACGCGGGCTAGGGCATACTATAGGGATCCCCAAACTACCTTTATTCACAAAAGGACTCATTTGCAACTGCAGGGCTCGAACCCGCAGCCGTAGGGCGGCTTGTAATTGTGACGGCGTTTAGCAACACCCACTACCGCTGCACCACACCTTCCAAAAGGATGCCAGAATTACAAGCCGTCAGGCTGCAATTCTATAGTGGGTTATAGTATGGTCACGCACCCGTAGGGCCTCAGCGCCTACCGCCGTGCCGTGACAGTATCCCTGTGCTACCCGAAGCCGGAGGCCTTGAACTACCGCAGCTTATCAACCCTGACGGTAGCCATATCAAAAACTACGGCATTTTCCACCTGACCCTTCAACTTAACGATATACATGGCCATGCTCGTTCGGTATCCCAGTTCTTTTACGGGGTAAAACGACCAAAAGGGTCCCCGCCAATACTCTGGGGAAACCCAGGGATGGGATCAGAGGGCGTGATCCTCCATACCGCCCTCAACACCTTCGAATGGGGCCGTTATTTGGAGGTCCTACCAGGGGAGTTCGCCCGGGACGTCCTTGACGGCGCACCTGCCTTCACAGCCATCATCTCGAATGTGGTTATCGGACCCGAAGAAGAGTATATCGATACCCTTGACGGCCCAAGGCAGGAATTAAACCCTGAGCCGCTACCCCCGGAAATCGCCCACTGCGCGGCCGTCTTCTCGGAACAGGCAGCCCAAGAACCTAACACCCTCGAAGGAGCGGAACACCGCATCGACCTTGAAGAAGGATCTACACCCCCGCAGGGCCATATCTACCCCCTTAGTCAGGCCCAACTTGACGAACTCGCCTTTACATCCGGGAGAACCTTGCCAACGGCCGTATCGTGGAAAGCAGTAGCCCTGCCGGTGCCCCGGTACTCTTTGTCCCCAAAAAGGATGGAACCATACGTTTGTGCGTCGACTACCGGGGTCTGAATAAGATTACCATCAAGAACCGGTACCCGCTGCCGCTCGTTAGCGACCTTATGGACCGCCTTGCCGGCGCCCGGTTCTTCACCAAGCTTGACCTTAAGGACGCGTACCACCGGATCCGAATCCGCCGGGCCGATCAATGGAAGACGGCCTTCAAGACCCGGTACGGGCAGTTCGAGTACACCGTCATGCCGTTCGGCCTTACCAATGCGCCAGCCACCTTCCAAGCCTACATCAACCGGGCCTTAACTGGCCTAGTAGACGTGTTCTGTATCGTATACCTCGACGACATCCTCATCTACTCCAACACTCGTGAAGGACATACTCGCCACGTCCTAGAGGTACTCGACCGCCTAGAGCAGGCCCAGCTCTTCGCTAAACGGTCTAAGTGCTCCTTTTACCAGGACCAGGTCGAATTCCTAGGCTTCATCATCAGCCACCAAGGTATCGCAATGGACCCCCGACGGGTTGAAGCTATTCAGGAATGGCCAGCACCCCAGTCCACTAGGGATATACAAGTCTTCCTCGGGTTCGCCAACTTCTACCGCCGGTTCATTCAAGGATACTCTAGGATCACCGCCTCTATCACCAACCTACTCAAGGGGGAGGTCACCCACCCCTTCCAGTGGCCGCTCGAGGCCAGTACCGCCTTCGAGCAGCTCAAGGTGGCCTTTAGCCAAGCGGACTTCCTGACCCCTGTGAGGGCCTGGTCCTCCAGGCCTCCCAGACGCTCTGACTAATCAGACGCCAGTTGGGTGGATCCACCCGACCAGCCAGAGCCCCACCTTGAGACGCCCTGGAAGAATCTCGCGAGGGGAGGCTTTTGAGCTTCTTTTCCCTTTTCCCTTTAGTTTAGAATCTTCGTCTATAGCGCCCAATAGAGGAGTTCCGCCCTCATTCCAAGCCGGCCGTGACACTTTTGGCCGAGAAGAGGAAGAAGAGGTAGAAATAGTAGTAGACTGGAGGGCGAAGACTGGGTTCGTACGGGCACAGATAGAATATACGAACGAAGAAAACCTTCTTTACACTACAATACTATCGCGCAAGCTATTATGCCGGCATTTTGGCCTGCCGTTATGCCGGCCTACCAGCTTACGATAGGGGCGTACCAGCTTACGATAGGGGCGAATATTGTTCGCTGGTGACTAGCGCTGAGGGCACGGCCGATTTTTAGCGCTAATGCATCAATAAGCGGCTGACCAAGCCACCAAAGGCTAGGTGGGGATATCCTATTGGTCAATCTACCATTTGCTCAGAACCACCACAAATTTACCACAGTCAAGCATCGCCCGGCTCACGGTCTTCAAGATGTCTATTATCGAGATTTCTTCTAATTCTTCGAGTTCTTTCTCGCCCTCGCCCTCGCCGGCTCCCTTGGTTGTGAGGGAAGGGAAAGAGGGTGGTTACGAGAACCTGATTCCGGTGGACGATGACTAGGCAGTTAGCCAGGCTGGCAGCTTCAACACCAAGGAAATACATCGCGATGCTAAGAAAGCATGAACCACATCGAAAAATGAGCTTTCAATGCAGTATCCAACGTACTAGCCGTATGCCATGACTTTTGGCCAATCTGCGTACAAATCCAGGCCTCAGAGTTGCCCTTTGCAAGTTGCCCTTATGGGGCAGATGGAAAACACCACCGTAAACGCGTTTTCAGGGCTTTTGACGGTTAACTGGTCCGACGAGGTGAAGCATTCTTGAAGGTGCCGTTAGGTCGGTAACCTAGGTCAATACCGTCACAAATCGTTTGGAATATGACGTGCTTGACCTCGTTGGACCACTTGCTGCGTGTACGCCGCGTGAGCGTGTGAGGACATTGTCCGGGGTTCAGGGGGTTTTCAAAGTCCCGAATATGAGACTTTGTTTACGAGCTTTGATCTGGGTACCCCGTCCAAAAATCGGCGTACCCCCTCGGGGATCCTTGCTAGCTACTGGCAGCTGAGATGCTGGGGGCTTATATTCGGCCGGTAAAATTGTGAAATACTATCCTACGGCCCATGCGCTTCCATGTGCCGGCCCGGCCGCCCGGACGCCCGGGCCAACAAGGTGTGAAGCCTGTACGGACTTGAAGCCACCGGCATCTGAGAGTGTAAATAGTGTTATTTCTACTTTGCCAAGCTTCCTTAGCGCCCTGTATGCCGTTGGGTGGCTGTCAGGAAATACGGCATTTTACCATACAAAAAGCGGTCCCTGTGTTCGCAGCTGCCAATGACCCCCAGGGGCTACCCAGATCAAAGCTCTTGTTTACGACACTGGGGACATTACGGAGTCATGAAAATATGGCTCCATTACAGCTGGCTAGTCGAACCTCCAAAACATGGCTTCATTTAGTCGCCCGGAGCTTCGAGATAGCTTCAAACAACTAATTAATCCCTAAATAGACCAACCGAACGGAATTCTGGTAGGATTGCCGTCAGGTGGAGAATGAGGCTTTTTCTTTTCCGGCCCATGCCCTTACTGGTGATATTTACACTCCCCAGTTAGGAAGGGAAAAAAACGGCTGATGTAACCTCCTTACAGGTCCAACCAAAGCCCCCCTTAGTGCTCTCTTGAGTCCAATTTATCCAACAGAAGCAACTACCCCGTAAAGAGCACCCCGGAGACACCCGACCCGCCCATTATGTGGGCGTAAGCCAAGTCCCTCGCCGCCACGGTATCCTCCAGGCTATCATGCCCTTTGCCCGCCTAGATGACCAGCCCAAGCCTACTCAGCGCAAGCGCCTTTAGCGAAAGTCCATCAGGATGCCTCTTGCCGCCGCCTTTGCCGGGTTTCCCCTGTACCTGTACCTGTTGGGAGTTTCCGAGGGCTGCGCCACCTGCCTCGCTCGCTTCTCTCTTTGTTGTCTCTGCCTCTTCAGTCCTCCGCCCGACTGACACGAGGAGGAGGCTGTCGATTATGCGGTGGTGGATACACCGGAGAGAGATAAAATCGTTATTCGCGCCGTGACCACGTCAATGGTCAACGGACCTACGTACTGAAAGAGAGCAGCCCTGGTTGCAACCTTGCCCCGGAGGCACTGGTCCCTCTCGCACGCTCTCTCCATGTCCCCTCTTTTGACGCCCGACCACCTTGTGTTGAAGTGCTGCATGGCGACATCAGGATATGCCAAACTGTCGATAAGTATTTCGCCCGTGAAGTAGTCGTAGGCCGTTAGGCGGATAAGCTCGCCGTCGCCGTTAAAGGCTGTGCCCATCTCGCAGTCGATGGTGACGGCCCGTCGATGACCAGACTGACGTTGCGTGGGAGTCTCGTGGAACTGCCAGCGCTCTTTGAGCAATCCGCCTCCAGGATCGTTTGGCATTTGGTGGTTCATGCTGCCCCCACAAGGCGGAGCGGAGACGTGCTGACCACAGCAGGTCCACGTTTGCGAGACGAGGGCCATGGTCAGCAACTTGCTTGGACGGGCCCCAAGACTCGACATGTGGGTAATTAGTTGTCGGAAGAGCTCACCTTGAAGGTTACTCTACCGAGATGGAACTTGCAGCGCAGATGCTCCGGCTTCGCGCCTTTGCTGGACGCCTGGGCATCACTCGTTATCGTATGGGTCGTCGATTCCCGCCGAGGGTTCGCAATAGGAAGACGTTTCGAGTCTTGGGAGTTTTTCCGATCGCGGCGCTGGCGGGCTTTCTGAGCGGCTATGATACGGGAACTTCAGTCTTAGAAAAGGATGCGAAAAGACGTCAGAGGTGACACGGGGTTTGATTACGTCGAATTCTGCATCGGAGACATCGTTTCTTCTCCTCCAGTTGCTGATCAGTGAGCTTTTTGGTAACGTAGCTAGCCTGTCTCAGTGCCTCGGCCGAGGGCAGTAGCGACTCCAAATGATCAAGATACGTCGGGCTTGGCACAATGATGCCCGTGACCGGCCCTGGAGCTGCGATAGTCGACGATGCCATCTCGAGCGGGGTGGCCGGGAGATGGGGATAGAAGCTCCGCTGTGAGGCGGTTGACGGGACGAGGTGCACAGCAAGCGGGGTTGTGCCCAAGAGCAACCTCGGGCAGCAACGGCTGGCTGCGTCCTTCACGTGAGACGGTCACCTGTTGTGCATGCTACCGTTTGTTTGGGTCTGTCGACTGGCTGTAGGCCTTCCCGCATCAAGGCGCCATTGAAGGCCAACCAATCAGTGTCCCCTTCACTATAAGTTAGAAGATTTCAGAAGAAAGGGATTCTGACTACGCAGTGCTAGAACATATGCCGAGGTTGTGTGTTGGAAACGAAGGGTCTAGGATGTTCGTGTAAAGATGACTTATTCAAGAAGCTTGTCAGACTGTCAGAAAAAAGGGGGGGTTCTAGAAGGTGCTGGAATCATGGATTTGTCACTATCAGAAAGAAGGGAGATTCTAGAAGGTGCTAGAATCATGAATTTGTCACTATTAGCCACAGACGCGCAATAACCTCGCCACCTGGCCATGGCTATAAGAAATGCCCTCTGGCAGAGAGCCTAGAAAGAGGGCAATACAATCAAGCAATTGCAACCCCATCAATTCCACAAGATCCAGTGTGCAGTGTTTCTGACAGATTCCCATGTGCAGGGCAGGCAGAATGAAGAAAGTGGGGGACCTCGGGTTTTTCGGATAGGGTGCGATATATGCGAGAGATACGAGCCTCCATGGCTCCACCCAATAAACGTGAACGTGGGCTAGTGTAGGTCCCTGGTCCTTGTGCAAATCCAGATCCCGGCCCCACCTGTCTCAGCAACGCCACCGCCTCCACCTCGTTTAGATACGAGCGCTCAACGTATTTGTCGGATACCCTCCTTCGGCGAGATTGGCCGAGATGGTTCAAGGTTTTCATACAAGGCATTGAACGTCAACTCTTGGCAACTCCGAGCGGGAAGCTTGACGGCGCTAACCAAAATATATATCTCTCGCATGCTCCTTTCCAACCATCAGCTAAGTTCCGTTTCCATTCCCTTTAAATTCTTTCTGCAAGCGCTCTTTTTCTTTCCGTGGTTGGCCCTCCTGCCTGTCTCTAGCCATCCGGAGTCTCTGCAGTCTGCACCGGCCGGCCACGCAGCGGCAGCCCCGATTTTTGTCTCGGGTTATCAACACCAATGGCCGCCCCGATTGCCTCCCCCAGCGCCGAGGCCGCGGGAGCAGAATCCTTGGATTTCGCCCTGTACCGATACAAAGTCTCGCTGCCTGCTGCTATTGCTGCCGTCGGCGTCTTTTTCATTCTCTCGCTCCTCCATGTTTGGCGTATTTACCGCCACCGCTCATTTTACTTTACTGCCTTTACCGTCGGCGGTTTCTGTGCGTACCTGCCACCCCTGAGCTGCTTGTTGTCGGGGTAGGTTCAAATTGCTGACAATAGTGTCTTTCTCGGCCTGCAGTTCAAGCAGTTGGTTACTGTGGTCGGGTATGGTCTCACTTTGACGACACAGCCATCGGCGCGTTTGTGATCCAAGCGATCCTCATTCTCGTCGCGCCCGCTCTCTACGCGGCATCCATCTACATGATTCTCGGGCGGTTGATCCGGGTTTTGCACGCCGAACAATTGTCCATCATTCCCGTCAGGTGGATGACGAAAATGTTTGTCATTGGCGATGTTTTGTCGTTCTTCTTGCAGGCTGGCGGCGGTGGAATTCAGGCGGCCGGCACTCTGGAACTATACGACATTGGCGAGAAGATCATCATCGTCGGCTTGTTCGTGCAGATCTGCATGTTCGGCTTCTTCCTGGTCACCACCGTCGCATTCCACCTCCGCTTCCGCCAAGCCAAAGACGATGCTGCCCGACAGACGCCCATCCCTTGGAAGCGCCATTTGACTGTCCTGTACGTTGTCAGCGCTGTCATCATGGTACGGAGCCTCTTTCGCGTGGTCGAATACCTCCAGGGTAACAAGGGCTTCCTCATCTCACACGAGATTTTCCTCTATATGTTTGATGCCGTGCTCATGGCCACTGTCATGGCCATCTTTTTCACCTTCTACGTCGATGACCTCGGCGTGTCCCAGACGGGCAAACGTGGCAGCGGCATGGAGATGCTGTCAAGCCGTGGCAGTGGGATCGAGATGCTGTCCAAGGACAGCTCGGTTACCCCTGCGTAGAGCCCCTAATAGAAACGGTACAGAGGTTCATAGATTGGGTGCAGATAGATTGGGTACAGATAGATTGGGTACAGATAGATTGGGTACAGAATATCATGTTTAGTCACATACCTCGGTGGGTGCGCTGCCGCTTGCCTGCGAGTCCTGTGGCGACGCCCTGCCGGCCCCCGGACCGCGCTGGTGGATTGATGCGGACACGGGGAAGGAGTGCAAGTGGGTGGAACACCCGCCGTGGGCGAAGAGCCTGAGCTACTCGTGATATGTCTAACAGCGTGGTTTCTGGAGATTTCGGAGTCGAGTTTAGAGTTTAAAATCAAGAACATCCCCAGACTGTGTCATGCAATCGCGAATACTAACTGCGAATTTAATGAATAATTACTGCTTGTTGCATTTGGAAATCAATCTTCGACTGCTATGCATCCGCTTGTCATCAACATCACCACATTTCACTTATATGTAATTCTAGGACACACTGTTGACGTTGACATCGTCGCAAGAATGTCTCTTGTCGAATATTCCGTATGGCTGGCAAAGAAGCCCTGTGCACGCGACGTGGCTCGGTGTCCAGATCCCGACAAGATTCCAGGGTTGCAGCGCGGCATCCACAGAGGCGCAGCACGCATGTGACGATTTATCCTATCTCATCCTACTGCATCCCATCCCATCCCAGAGCCTCGTGCACTTTCCGACCATGCCGAATCGATCGCGCTAGTCTCGCATCGGTCTCCGATTAGACTTAGGTAAATTTTGAAACCAGACGCTGGGTGATTCTTTACCCGCACCTAGGCGTTTTCTTTGCACCGGCCGGAAAGAACTGATTATTGTTGTCAGGGGGGCAGGATATTAGGCTCTGGACTACTTGCCTCTCGCTCTACGCTACTAGTGCAGGTTGACGCTACTTGCAAAGTTGCGAATTCCTCTAACTATCACGATGACGAAATCAGCGTGAAGCCGTGAACACACAAAGCCAACACCTATCCCCAATCTTGCACTCTGACCTCGGATCGGCCAACATGTTGCGCGCCAAGAAAGCGCTCTACGCAGTGCTGCAGGCCAACGCGCGCTCGTCGGCAGCCATCACGCCGGCGCCCGAGGCCGAGTGGCAGCCCGTCGGGCCGGGGGCGGCGCACCTGCGCGGCGAGCTCGAGGCGCTGTACTGGGACGGGGTGCGCGGCGAGCTCGAGAATACTGTGCGCACGCTGCGGGCGTGGCAGCAGCCGTCGTACGCGGGCGAGCTTCTTGCACAGGAGGACGACGGCTTCATCCACGGATACGACACGTTTCTCGATGCTGTTAGCCATGAGGCGCGCGCCTTTGCCATCCGCTACGGTGCGTTCGGCCGTGATCTTTTTCTTGATTTTGGCGTTGGTTGATGTCCATGGGTAGGCGAGAAGCAGGAGGCCGATGCGTCGCAGAAGAAGCCTGCAGCCAACAGCTACTACATCCAGAAGCCCAAGAAGACACACCGCGAAGCCCTCAAGGAGGCCACGATAGACCACAGGGCCGAGTTCACCAGCTCGAGGATCAAGGCCGCCGTGAGAAAGGCCATCGATGGTATAGGCTGCTGGTTCAAACAGTTGACTCTATTACTTGTGGGCTTGTGGTATTAATGAACGTCAACTTAAGCAGAAGTACCCCGGCTGCACGGAATGGAAGCGCGGGCGTGGACGCTACTGCAGGCTACCGGTAGGTCGATGCCCGGCACAATGTGCTATTGCTAAGGCTTCCTCGATATTAAGAAACTGATCGAGTACCAGCCTCCGCTCGAGCAGCTATGCTTTTAGAAGGGGCCGGCCATCCCATAGCGTGCGTATCTACCCCCTACCTACACCTATCTAGTCCCCGCTAACAACTCCTAGTTACGCTCTCGCAGTTCGACGAGCTCTAGATCCCGCGGTTCCAGCCGCTGCACTACGGACAGCCCGAGTGCCGCGCCATTATTCGGGGAAGTATGTTTAAATCGCAAGCTGGCGGCGACCCGGTGGCCGTATACGAGGACTATTACCGGTAATACTACTACGGCGACGAGACCTACGCCAAAGCGTGCAAAACAACGGACGAAACGAGGCCCAGCCGGTGGTCAATTGGCCAGCAGTCGGCTTGTTTCATCCGATGTTTGGACCTCGCTGGCAGTGAAAAAACCGTGCCCGCTCTTATGAAGAACCGTGACGGACCCATACCCGGAGCCAAGTTCGAGAGGGCCATAACCTTGTCCAACACTCTCAGGTGTGACCATGTTGGCCTGCCGGGGCGTCTTGGCTGCCCCGTGTGAATTTTACGCGGCCTGCTTGCAATGTTTCACTGGCGAAGGCCGGCAGGTCGAGTAAAATCGACCTGTTGGGCTCGGAAGCGGAGGAGGACGGCGGGTCCATACCAGGTGCCAGGCACGCCTGCGGGAATCAGCGTGGGCGGGGCCACAGGCCCGTCACATGAGCTAAGTCGTCCTCTTTATCTTGCTGTCTTCCTCATTTCTAGACATGTGCTCCTCAGTCTTTAGAGCACCGGACAGCGTTGGGGTTTGGACCAATGATTAATAAAAGATCGCATTACCCTTCAGGCCGTTTCCTCCCATATTTACCTCGTCGTCAACTCGACAACTCGGCTCTTATCCTGGCCCTTTCAGGCACAAGCCATCTTTGTAAGAGGCCAAGTAACCACGTTTGATATTTCTCTATCATGCCTGCTTCAACCTCCAGTCAGCCAAAATTCTTGTCCCTCGGGATGGAATGGGAGTTCCATTTGAAGCACACGGAAGCCAAACCTAGAGCTAGAAAGGCAGTTTCGGCGCCAATTGTTGGCCTAGTCATCTCCTTGGTCGATTCTGACATCGAAATTCACAAGCTGGTTGCCGGGTACATCCGAGCCGCTGGACTAACACCCTACATTTCTCACCCAGACGTCAACAAAAACGAGACAGTCACAAATGCCTACGAGAAAGGAAAGAGTTGGGCTGTCAAGACAGATCCCACGCTCGAATTTGACCCCCCAAAGGACGCCAACTATGAGCTGGCATGCTTCGAGGTCACGTCGCCGATCTTCATGCCCGAGAGCGACGGCGTCCATCGCCACAAGAATACCATCGTCCGGTTGCTGGGCGCCTGCCGCAGTACGAAATCTCGGCCGCCAACTTTCGGTGCGCATTCCAGGCCCACGTAGGCAGAGAAGATCGCCACAGTCATCCTGCTCGCTGAGGACCGCTTGCTAGATTTGTACGACAAGGAGAAGCGGCACGGACACTGCAGACGCTACGCCTACAACCTCGACAGCACGGGTCTGATGGTGAGACATGGCGCTCACCCGCTGCTGGCACCGCCGAGGAAGTCTGCCTCCTGCAGGGCGATCAAAAGCCGTTCGATGTGGAGTATCGCATGGGCTACAGCTTCGACTCGCTGTGGCGCGCCAAGGGGACGGAGAAACTCAAGCACACGATTAAGTTCCGCAAGCACGAGGGCACACTCGACCCAGACGTGTCCAACGCGTTCGCCATGATCTGGTGCACGCTGGTCGGACAAGCCTTTGCCCCGTTTCTTAAGGCCATTCTATAGGCCAGGGATTCCCGGCCTACTACTTGGATATCTTCTAATCGAGTCCAGGTTTCCTCGTTGGGCGGTGCGAAATAGACATGTAGAGAAGATTGAATCTAACGAATTGTCACTGAATGATGATACTGTGTGAGTGTGGCAGAAACCACCCCTGTTGTTGACAGGGACCCTGCGAGGACCCTATAGGGTCCGGTAAACCACCCGTGCCGAGCTCGCTCCGCTCGCTCTGCGCCGTATGAATAGGCTTCCGCTGCTCCCTCTTCTATATAGAAAACAACGCTCTTTCAACTTCTCTACAACTCCCTAACGGAGCCTTGTTTTCCTGTCACAATGAGTGGTTTGTGCTGTGGGTCTAGGTACTCATGCTATTGCCACCTATATTGTTCCCCCTTTCATAAACTTGTTACTCGATAACTGCTAAATGCAAAAGACAGACAAGAACACCTAACAGTCGATTCTATATGAAGAAATCTTGTTGTTGAGCTGCGAGGGCAAGGCCGAGTTGAAGGACGCCGTGTACTGGCCCAGCCACGTGCTGCATCCACCGTCGTCGTAGAAGAAGATAGTGCATCTCTGGCCGGCCGGCACCGACCACGACACGTACGAGGCCTTGTTGTTGTAGCTAGTGCCGACCATATTCCAGCACGAAAAGTCGCTAGACCCACCAGAGCCGTGGATCTGCACCGTGCCGTCGGGATTGTCATACATCTTCAGCGTCCAGGCACGCGTCGAGCTGGCCATCATGGCCACAGCAATGTAGGCGGGGGCGAATAGCTTCATGGCGATTGAGATGCGAACTGGTAGGTCAAGTGAGTTGAGCGATGTCTGTAGCAGCTTTTGTGCTCACAAACTTACCAAAGGAAGCTAGTTAATGTTGTGCAAGGCCGGAGAGTGTAGTTGGGGTATAAAGACGTTTTGGTGCTGGTGGTGGGGATGATTGGAGGGGCGTTTTTGCCGGGTTGGTGGTGAAGACGGTAGCTGGGCGGCGGCTGGTACTGTGCTTTAATTCCACGCAATGAAAGAAAATATGTAAGCTAAATACTTCAATAAGCGGCGGGCTGCAAGTAAGCCGAGGCCTAAAGTCGCCCCGGCTTACCTAGAATATCCACGCGACATCTTCGCTCCAGCTCCAAGCCAGGTTGTGAGGTTGCAATGCGTGTTCCCTCCCATCCCAATTAGGTCTGCGCCGCGCCACTAATACGAACTAGCCTACTAGCTCCTCGGATCCAGGTTCAAATATTCACGTGAACTACTCAGCTAAAGAAGGGGGCTTACTCGAGTGCTGGCGATTCGCTGATTTGACTGGCACTGACATCAATGCGCATGTCACCTGCCTATTCGAGCTAATTACGGGAGAGGGAAGGACGTCGGGATGGCTAAGAATCCCCTTTTACTTCAGACTGAAGAGGGCAAAGACACGCAAGATACAAGATACGTGTACTTGTCATCCCCGTGGTCTAGTTGATGGGACGAAAGAGTCTAGATTAGAATACAATAAGACGAGAACAAGGAGCTGAGACCAGGTCCTCCGCTCATCTTTGCCGATTCGCCGGTTTTAATAATACTGGAAATCCACCTGGGCGCGTAATCGCACTTTGCGCTGGATTATTATGTCTAAGGTTGCTGTAAAATACAGGCGAGAAAAAAAAGGCCAAGGATATACAGTGATACGGAACATGGTTATATAACGGCTATACGCATCGTCACGTACAAATATTATACCACGAGACATCTGCCCTGGCTTCAGAACAACGCCCTCCTTCACCTGGCCACCTTAAGTAAGCTTATTTCATAGGGCTTAGAGCTCCGAAGCCGAAACGGGCCCGTATTCCTAAAAGTAAGCCCTATATAAGGCCTTACGTTCGATGGCTTCCAGATGTACTCCCAAGTCATTAATCCGTCGCTTTAGAGTCAGAGTTTTTTTTTTTTTCAAAAAAAAAAATGTCTAGAGCTTAATGGTACTCCATTTATCCCTTGTGGGAATAACAAGCCTGTAATCGCATTCTTGTCAAATCATTCAGGCACATGCACTGGCAACTTTGGCGTAACCGAGGCATGACCCGGGCACGGATCACTTGCAACAGCGCACGGACTAGATTGTGGCCCGTGCGGTGGCAAGCACTTTGTTGTGGCGAACACGTGACACCCCAGGGGCCCCGCAAAACGCAGTTCCTGTCAACCGCTGCGCGCGATCCTTTTACATAGAGTAGAGCAGTCAAAATACAACCACGAATGCCCTCACAACCCCTTACACAATCGTTACTATAGTAGCACCTGTGAATGACCTTGTGTGCTAGGCCCAGGCCTAAGCCCGGGGCACTAGTTGGCCCCTGCAGATCCAGCCTATCCCCCGCACATAGATTTTGCCCGCACTGGCGGATAGCTTGGAACAATGCAAGCAATCCACTAACAACATGCACTACAGTCACATCCTCACATACCTTGTCATTCCAACATCCCTATACACTTGAAATAATTGCTGGTTGATAAGCTATAGCTTGTAGATATACTACTCGTTTAAACAACCACGCAAAAATAACAGAACTCTCCTGATAAGAACAGTCGAGGCGTTGACATTCGATCGTATTCTTGGACCTTATAGATCCTTCCAATCCTGGGGCGGTTTTTTCACAGAGCCGCTGCCCTCAATCATCTTGGCGATCTGAGTCCAGAAGTCGCAAATGGAAGCTGTGTTCTGGTCGTCCGTCACCAAGCTAAACTCGATTTCGTGGACCTGCATCACGTTGCCTATCTCGTCTCCTGGTGTTGCTACCGGCCAGTAGGTGGTGTCGCTGGGTCCCTGGTTCGGGTTGGCGTGCAGCCCAAACGAGGCCAGGTAGCTCTGATACCACGGCATGATTTCGGTGTCCAAGAAGCCCGCGTATAAAAACGCCTCGGTTTTGCTCATATTGTTAGCCCGCAGCATGTCATAGGCGTCGTCAAAGCCGTTCATGAAGGTGGGGATTAGGTCGCTGGCGTGCACGGCGTACTCGTCAAAGGGGAATGCGTAGCGCATCATGTACGCAACCGAGGGGTACGCCTCAAAGAGCTGACGCGTGTTACAAGTGAACGTCGAGTCTCGGATCAGGTCGGCGATACAGGCGCGGAAGTTGCCGCTGTAGGTGGTCTTGCAGTTGTACTGGGCCCGCATGGCGGCTCGGACGGGGCCGAGGCTGGGCTCGGGGAAGAAATCGTTGAGGAAGGCGTCAAAGGTTGACTGCGAAACTACCCACTGCGGCGTGAAGGACGCCGTCTCGTTAGTCACGTGCGAGATGAGCGCTCCATCGATTGAGGGCCAATAATTATCTGCGTGATCACTGGCGTCAGTTCATTCCATCTCAATGTTTTACACGAGGGGGAAAAAAAAGAAAGGGGTGGGGGAGGTGGGGGCTGGGGTAGGCGCGCTTACGGTTTGCGAACGCAATGGCTGGAATAGTCTGGACCCATTTCCCGTCTACTGCAGGGCCCACAGGAAAGAGTCCCGTCTGGTGCACGGCATCGAACAGTTTTTGGTTGGCAGAGACAAGAAGGTTGACGCTCTGTCCCCGCAGGCAGGAGATGTTGTATCCAAACCCGCAGTTGGCGAGCGCAGAGAAGTTCCGGTAAATCGTGTCGAGTGTCCCGTTGACACTATTATCCCAAGACCACTCGAATGCAGGACTCTGCACCAGGAATGACCCGAACTGCGGGTCTCGGGTTCCGTTCTCCCGAATGAGGTGATGCAGGATGGATCCAGCGCCGGCTGACTCGCCCCAGGCGCTGACCTGATTGGGGTTACCCGCCGCTTGGATGATGTACCTTTGCACCCAGTCTAAGAGCAGAGATTGGTCGTACAGACCGGCGTTGGGCTGCGCGTTGCTCTCCATGTAGGAGCCAGCGAGCCAGCCAAAGGCACCGAGCCTATAGTTGCCAGCGACGAAAATAGCATTATACTCAGACGCCGCGAGCATGGACTGGCCCGTGTAGAGCGGGAGGCCGCCGCCGAGTTCCTTGGAGCCAAAGGCATACGCGCCCCCGTAGAACCATACTATGACGGGAAGCTCCTGGATGGGGTTACCATTCTGGTCAAAGGCCGATGCAGGCGCGTAGACGTCGAGGAAGAGGCAGTCCTCACTCGAAGAGGGGGCACCGTCATTGGGATTCTGTACACCGGGTGTACCGCCAGGAGGGTTCTGAAGCTTGGATGTGTTGACTTGGTAGCAGCTTGGCCCGTAAGAGGGGTCTTGGAACGACGAGTTAAGAGTTGTCGGATACGTGGGCTGGCTGAAGCGAACGGGCTGAGCACCGAATCGCACGTTGCTGAACTTGTAGATCTAGCTGCACTGTCAGTGCTGCCTCTCGTGAAGTGGGTAGTGGTTTCGAAAGACTTGCATTTGCATCATTCTCGTAGATCTGAGCTTGCCACTTGCCCCAAGGCAGAGTCACGATGGGCAGTGTCTGGGCAATGACGCCTTTCAAGAAGGGCAGAAGGAGAAGGGTAAGCTTTGGGATGGACATTGTGGGCAGTAAGGATGTGAAAGACTGGTGATCTAGGTAAAGGTTGATTGGATCGCGGGTTGGTTGGCTTGATGCCTCGTTCTGAAGATGGCGGTAGAGAGAGACGGAGACAGATTTATAGCCAGTGGACGTGGGAGAAACTAGAACCGAGTCTTCGATGATGATAAGATACTTGGTGGCTTGCACGCCCCTAGCTGAACCTCATGCTTGGCAACTGAATTGAGACATTAGATACTCATAGAAGACCTCTATTGCGATCTGACTTTCAAAACCCCGACGGAGCCCCCCGACGGAGCCTCTGCCACTGCAGAAACCGACATTGATACAGCCTTGTACAGAGCAGAGTCTCGGCTGTGTTGTGCAGTAAGCCCGTGTGAATTGAGCTGATGCATGTAGACTAGGATGCACATGATCAGCAACCGTAGTGGCGAAGAGAGAGATCGACTGTCGGGTAAGCAGAGTGTTGCATCCAAGTAAGCAGAGTATTGCATCAAAATAAGCAGAGTGTTGCATTCAAGTAAGCAACCCTTAGGTGGCGCAACACCAATTCCTAATAAGATAAAAAATGAAAGGGCCGAGACGCATTCAGCTGTCACAAGTGCAGCTGAACCTTCGTCTTTGGTTAGGATGGGGTGCATTGGTGGCATGCTGTGGGAGACATGAGCCCTCGGCCAACGGTCTTTCTCACGCCAGTCAAAACCCTCAAGCCTGAGAAAATTTATATTGGAAGGTCTTCGTCCTTAACGTCTTCACAATATGCCATATGCGCAGCCCTCGCTAATAGCCTCCCTCAAGCAACAAAGACTAGGAAATCCACGGACGCGGGCACAAGTCCAGAATTTGGCCAAAGATCACGACAAAATTGTATCCCACCCTTCTCCGCCGTATGATTTTTTTGATGCCGTATTTCATGCTTATAGGAAGCTCATCTCTGCTCCCCCACACCTCTGGGACTACCGTAAGGAAGCTTGATGAATTAGCTGCATAACCCTGCCACAGCTCATGACTATAGCACTGAGACTGCTGCCATCTTGGTGGTGGACGCCAACGAGAAGGCTGGTGGCCGAACTGGTTTGCTAAACATACATGGCTGTTACTTTGCTTTCTTTGGTTGCCTCACATGGTGCTATACTGTCTTATTTGCCGCCAAACCCTATGCGTGCCATTGATTCCCACCGAGTGCTTCCAGACGTTGGGATTACCTTATCTCACCTGGGTAGTCAAAGGTGGTCTATTAATATGCAGTCTGCTCACAAGAGCGGGCCTGGCAACTTAGTTGGGAATCAAACAGGATGAGGCGCAGACAGATGGGGCCGCATCTTAAAACGGCCTTCTCTATAAACGACATAGCGCCATGCAACCTGCTCACATTCCGGCCCCACGGGCAGACATGGAGCATCGTTGTTCTTCACGAGTCTCGGTCCACAGACCACTTGATTGGTAACGTCAATACTATGATGCCACTCACTCCGACCCCTTTAATTGGTCTTCTCTTGGGCTAATAGTCCAAGATAAGAAACAGCAATTTGGTATGCACCATGCTTACAACAGCTGATGCTCGGAATAATTCATACATATGTAATTAGGAAGTGTCGCCTGGAATTGACCCACACCTCGTCTTTCACATGCCCAGATCAACCCCACGCCAAATGCCTGTTTTATCTTCCTCCGTTTCGCCTGGAATGCCCTCTAATCTCGGCATTTCTTTATCAACAACGCCACAATCTAACGCTAAGGGATCGAGAGCCGGACCCCTGTTCTTTCTTTCTAGCTCAACTGAGTCAGCGGTGTTGGGTCTCGTAAACCGTCGTCAATTCATCAAGAGCCATCGCCCCCTTCAGCTACCGCACAAAGGAGCAAAATACAAGCCTCACTCCCTGGTTTCAGTTGCCATTAGGCCCCGCCAGTGTCTGGCCTCGAACAAGCTGGTCTCTCCATCTCGCCCACAAGACATCCGACTTGACAATAAATATAAACAAATTGAACAAAAGAAAAACATCAGAAACTCGTAAGCCTCCTCCCCTCCCCCTTCCCTTACACAGTCTGGCTTAGAATATACCAGTAAACAATAAACTAGCTCAGAAATGCGTACAATTTTCACCAACTCATGGGACATCACGTGTTTCTCTCTCTTTTCAGGTCGGGTAGTTATCAACTCCCCCAAGGGCAGGTACTAAGGGAAGTGGTCACTCTTCAAGGATACCCGGCCATCGTGGCCACAGTGGCGGGCATCGCTGTGAGGCCCTGCCAGTGTCTTCACGTGAACTTTTAAAATCTAGAGTCATCCCTAATTAGCGTCAAATGAGGGTTCGCATGATACGCTTCAACTCTTGACGTAGCCGGTCCGATAGAAGCGATGTGTCCGCGCCATTCTGCGCTAGGAATATGGCAATTTCAGCCGTTGTGTCTCTTTCTCCGTAAAACACACACCTCTGGAGCATGAGAACAAGGGGTGTAATGGGTGACGCATCGTCCCCTGCCGCGTTGTGATAGAGACCAGGAGTCGTTCTTGCGGCATTAACGTTTGCACCACGCTGAATGAGCAGCTTTGCTGACTCAAACCTGTCCTCTGCGTTCGCTTCCACTACCACATGGAGCGCCGTGTTCCCTGTGGAATCGGCGTACGCAGCATTTGCGCCATGCCCTAGCAGCAACCGGATGAGAGGCAGGCCGCTGATGTTCACCGAGGCCACGCTCATCAAAGCGCTTTCATGCTGGCCGCCGATGATGTTAGGGTCGGCCCCAGCGTCGAGGAGCGCCCCTATCATTTCTTCCGTTATCCACCAGGTTGCCCTCTGTAGTGCTGTACCCTTCGACGAGACTATGTTGATCCCAGAGGATGCGCCGGCCTCGAGAAGCAACTTTACGGCCTCGAAGTTGGTGTTGTTGCGGACGAGCTCGATCAACGGGGTTGCGCCATCATGATCGCGATGGTTGATATCGCGGGTTTTCGGAATGAGCAGGCGAACAATCTCGGTTGCGCCGCCTATATACACCGGGAGTTGTAGAGGGATCCTACCTTTGCTATCTTCGAGGTTGGGGTCAGCACCGGAGGAAAGGAGAAAGCGGACAGCGGCGGCAGATCCGTTATTAACTGCTGCTGCGAGTAGGGTCTCGCCATTGTTATTGCAATCACGAATGTTAACATTGGTGCCGGCATCCAGCAGTAAAGACATCAATGTGAGGCAGGTTTCAACTTTATGCGCTGGCATAGATCTGGACGGCAAGGCTGCAAATATTGGATGCCTGACTCTGTCGTAGACCCTGCCTGGGCAGTTGGGCGAACTTGACGGGATACAGTTGACGTCTGCCCCGCGATCTAGCAACATCCTGGTGATTGCAACGTTGCGATTCTCTACGGCGATGTAGAGCGGAGTTTCGCTTTTGACGGGAATGTTGATGTCGACACCAAGGTTGAGCAGTTCTTCAACAATCTCGACCTGGCCATTGGAGATGCTGAACTGCAGAGCGGACTCGACTGCTTGCCCGATGGCGCCGCCAATACCGGTTGAGAGAAAGCCGGGAAATAGACCGTGTCGTAGAAGGGTTAACATATATCGCTGCTGTGGGCCATCGATTTTTTGTACAGCCTCCAGCACACTCGGGCCGTCTGCTTTGACGAGGAACATTGGGTACACCACTTGTCGTTCTGCAATGGCACGGGCGACGATGCCTTTGGCGAGATTTTTGGCCCAGGGAATGATAACCGCTTGCAAGACAATGCCGACCCAGGTTGGGGTATTCCGTGCAGCAAGAGAATCCGCCATCAACAGCTCGTAGGCTTCAATCGTAGGCTGATAAGCCGCGATATCTTGTGCGGCGCCCTCGGAATCGTCGAAGGACATGTCGGCACCGTGTTCCAGGAGGCAGGTCATTATGCCATGGTGGGACTTCATGATCGCCTGGCAGAGTGGAGAGTGTGGCCCGGAGCGATAGTTCGGGGAGGCACCGTTCACAAGAGCTTCACGAACGCCATCAAGATCGCCATATTGAATGCCGTCTTCGAGCTGGGTTTGGAGGAAGAAAGTTTTCTTTTAAGCCTTGTAAGCCTCGTGGAGTAAATTGGGTCCTTTTGTGATGAAAACATACCATGTACGGGTCCATTTTCAGCAGGCGACCTGTTTGCGCGAGGAATTGTTTGCTGCTCTGCGTGGGGACCCGACGACGGGTACTTTGCGCAGGCAGACAACGGTTCGGATTTTCTTTCTGCCGAACGAGCGCGCCCCTCTATGCTGCTGGGAGCTGAGCCTTCCCATCATCGCACCTCAGCTTTCCGAACACACACAAATTTCATCACATTGATCGGCGCTAAACTCAGAGGTGTCTCGGCTGTCCTCCGCCAATATCTCTATCATCCACGGAAAATGTGCGACCGTCGCCCGCAATTGAAGGAGGAGCACGCACCCGAAAGCTGGAGACAATGGCGCGTTGGCGGGAATCGCCCCGACGGCTGCGATGGGCAAGCACCAAAGCCGCCAGTAGAGTAAGTCTACGTCGTGAGATCCGCCCTCAAATAAAGCAATGAGTTGTGTCGCACAATCTAGGAGTGAAAGATGTCTAACAAAATACAGTCTAGTCGCAATACAGGGTCTCGCGGCAAACTACGACTGGACGTGGACGAAGAAGCCCGAGAAGCCCGAGGATGGGCCGCGCGGCGTCATGTGGCTGAGAGATCTCCTTCCGCACGATGTACCCGAAGCGAGGGTTTTGACCTTTGAGTATGACTCAAAATGGCTCAAGGATCCGTCTCTAGTCAGCCTCCGAGACTGCGCAGACAGGCTGATTGAGAGCGTCCTTTGGGACCGAACTCACCTGGGAGAGACGAAAGTCTGCCGCCACATGGTTAGTGTTTCACTGGCAACACCCCCTTTATTCTTAGCGTATATTTACACACACGCTGATTTACAGGCACGTCGCCCCCTGATTCTTCTCGGCCACAGTTTCGGCGGTCTAGTGGTAAAAATGGTAAGCACTTTGCCCCATGACCCAGCTCTATTCCAAAATCCAAGAGCTGGCTGGCTGGCTGACGTTCATCATGCACTGCAGGCTTTGGTTAGAGCTGCGGCGGTCCAACGGAATGACTCCAGATACGACAACTATCAGTCCTTTCTTCGGTCGGTTGCTGGGGTCCTTTTTCTGGGCACCCCGCATGCCGGTTCAAATTTTGCCATCCTTGCAAACTCCTGGGGCCGATTCCTGTCCAAGGTCAGATATGATGTCAGTCTGGATCTGATCAAGCTTCTCCGACCTCTCGCTGTCGAGGGAGGTGCCGCTCTCGATGATCTGGAAGAAGACTTTCAATCAATTCGGAGGGAAGATTATCTGAGTGAACTGATTACTTATTACTTTTGGGAAGGGAAGAAAGTTAAGATCTACGTAAGTATCGTTTTTGGGCATCCGCATCAATGGCAATGTTTACTAACCGATCTCGTATTATGGCTGGGGCGACAGGGCTTTAGAACAGTGGTAGGCGTGAACCCCCCTCCCCAAATCCATTGCTCATCGTGCTTGAACTGACGGTAATGAACAGCCCGTCGTGACCAAGAAGTCAGCCTGCTACGGTGCCCCTCCTGGGAGTTGCGTCGACATGGATACAGATCACAAGGGACTCAATAAATTTGGAAGCCCTCGAGACGATAATTATTTCAAAGTTTTCAGTCGTCTCAGGTCAATATGTCTTCAAGCACACTCTATTGTGGAGAGGCGACTGTCTAGTAAGTCAGCTCCCACGGCCGTGAGCAGAATCACTGTTCGTTGACGCGGTAAATGAAGGACTTCAATATGATGCCAACAATCCCGCACCTGAACTTCAAGCAATCAGAGAATGGCTGTCCCCACCTGACAATGCTGAAATTCTCAGTCGACTGCAGAATGCCCGACTTGATGGGACCTGCACGTGGTCCCTTCAGAATGAGGCGCTACGACTCTGGCTGCACCCTGACGAGGACGAGGCGGCTACAGCTGCCCAGAGGCGCTCCGTATGGATAAGTGGCAAACCTGGGAGCGGAAAATCCGTCGTGGCAGCATATCTGCACTCTCGAGCTGAAGAGGTATACCGTCAACGCACCGGGCGTGACGTCCAATGCTCCGGAACCTCGGACACTCCTAGTTGCGACAAACAAAAAGGGGAGCACAAATTTGCAGCCCTCTACTCCCCCTTGCAGCAGAATCAGTCAATTTTGGCGGCGTTGAGAGGTCTTATCGACGATCTTTTACGTTGCGGATCTTCCGACTCCGATTTACAATCGACCGTGTTCGAGAGCATGAGCAAACACCCCCGGTTGACGCTCAAGGGCGGAATCGAGCTGCTCACCTCCCTGCTTCGCAAGTTTCACATCGCCTACGTTACTGTGGACAACGTCGATGAATGCCTGGAGACCAAAGACGTGGCTCATGTGCTGCGGGCTATCCTCAAAGTTCCAGGGGCGCGATTGTTATTTGCTGCCCGGAAAGACATATATTTCCTAGCCGAGATTAAGGAACTTCTAGGTGCGGAACTTGCTCTAGTGGACATCACCAATCACAATCACCGCGACATTGCCAAATTCATCCAGCATAGTGTATCTCTCATGGCCGCCGACCGCTCCAGTCTGTTTTCGCCACAACTGATGACACAGGTTCAAGACGAAACCAATAAGAAAGCCGACGGAATGTTCTACTGGGCTCAGCTCATCCTGCGCGATCTCGGACGGGCCGGGATCACAAGAGGGGATATTCTTCAAATTCTGGAACAGTTTCCAAGCGACCTCAATAAGACGTACTCCCGAACTCTCACAGCAATGGGTCGATTGCCTCTGGTTCAGCAGTTTCGAGTAGGGATAGCTCTCAGATGGCTTGTTGCCACCAGTCAACCATTGCCCCTCTCAGCCATGAGCATGGTTATCAAAATTTGGGAACGTAGAGCACAAGTCGCGAGTAGAATCACGGAATTCGATGAGAGTCCAGACTGGGATGGCGAAGAACTCCTCGCCTTCCTCTCCCCGCTGGTTGAGGTCAGCCAGTCCTCTGGCCCGAAATCCATCCGGATATTTCATCATTCTTTCCGCGAATGGATCACCCAGCGAGCCCAGTTTCTCCAAGCTTCTAATCAGATACATGATCATTGTCTCACGTTTTCGCTCCAGGGTGCACACTTTTACGTGGCGGTAGTCTGTCTACAACTGTTGTCGTCCGACAAATATTTGCTGGATTATCTGCGCGAGGTTCATTCTCCCAGCAGCTCCGCTTCGCCCTTGGTCACCTACGCCGCCGAAAACTGGAGCTATCATGCCCGCATGAGTGGGGGATCTGATGGACAGAAGATTCAGCCCGAGAACGTGGACGCCCTTAGCGGCTTGCTTATTCTTCTGCAAGCACACATTCGCGAAATGGTTGGGCTTTCAGCAACCGCAATTGCGGCACTCTGCTCCGTTCTAAGTCAAATTCGACCTGAGTCTTTGCAGCATCTGCTTGAGGCGATTGCAGTACGAGATTTGCAAAGCGCACTGCTGGATGCCGCAGAGAGCATAAGTGAGCTGCGAAGCAGCGTGACAGCCCTGGAAGAGCCCCTCAAGACCTTCTGCCGCAACGCTGATCATGCAGCCCCCAGATTTCATGACGTCAAAGACAAGGGGTACAGTGATGATAGATATGATACCCTGGACTGGAGCCTCATGTCGCCAACAACTCTAGATATTGCAAGGAGATTTCAAGATTACCCCGATCTATCCGATGGATTCCGCGAACACTTTCATATCCTCAGCAAGGCGTTTCGGCATCTCCGCGAGGTCTCTGTTCTGTTGGCGGTAGAGCCTGTTCGAAGCTACATCTACGACATTACCGGAGACCATGGTGTCAGCCCTCTCCCTATACTGGCTTACACCACCGCCGCTATGGATGTTTTGTTTATCATGGCAGCTCCCCAACACCCCACTACCGCTGACTTGTGCGATTTCCGGCTGCAGTTTCAAGCGATGCCAAGTCACCCATTGTACGGGCCGGTCACTGCAGCAAGATACGAGCTCCAGAAAAAGAGATCCATTGCTCTCGGAGAAGAGTTCTACCTCAATCACATTGCGGACACCTTCCAACTGAGGAGATGGGAGTGGAGACTCTTACACCTGACAACTATCATCTTGGATATAAGGATCGATGGGTCAGCCGCCGCCCAGGATACGATACTTGACCACTGGTTGATTAATCAGGTCAAGTCCAGGAGGCTCAGACCGAGAGGTGAAGCCTTGCACGAAACCATGAAATTTCTCAAACTGAAGAAGTCCGATTGGCGAACAGCAAGAGTGGGTGACGTTTTCATGGCTGCGGCCAGCGCTCTCTACGTTTACTTCATGAGGCTTTTGACAATCTTGAGCCCTCCCCTTCAAACTGTTGCGATAAGCTGCGTGGTGATGGTACGGGCCAGGAGCCGATTAGCAATTCCAATCCTCCGACAACTGATTAGGAACCCAACTTCGCTACCGACGTGGATAGCGGTGGGCCTGTACGCCATCCGACTACAATGGTTCTCTGGAATGCTCTCTTTACCGAGACGAACGCCGGTGGCAGACCTGATAAGCGCTTTTCGAGATCCATTCAACTATACAGCCGCTTCCAAGGAGTGGGTTTGGGTCAACACGCTACACGCGGTACTTCTTGTGTTGGCCGAGGTTGCGCTGGGCCTTAGTGCATTCCTCGATGCCGTTCAAATCGTGCACCCCGGTATTGCACCTTACATACCTAGGGCAGTTCTTGGAAGCCTCTGGACTCGTGTCAGCAGCCTAAGCAAGAGATACACCACCGCCACATTAGTGGTGGCCCCGGCTCTTGTCGGCTTCCTACGTCTCGTATTCCTGGAGAGAGCGGTCTGCTTTACGGCGTATCTGGCGTATGACATCACCAAGGCGTCAGCTATGCTGGTAAACTCGTCCACTTCCGTTTGGGAAGGGCTGATTTACCTCGCCTCCGCATTTCTACCACTCGTCATCATGGGAGAGTACGGAGTAACTGGTCTCGCGATCTTTGTATTCCAGACCTACATAGTCACTTTGGTCTGGCGGTCTTTTACTCTCCCGTTTGCAATACGACTGGCCTTGTACCATGCTCTCATGACGATTTTCGCGCCTTTGATGCCGGTTTTACAATCTGGGTACACGCTTGTTCAAAGAAGCTCAGAAATCTTCGCCATCTTCCGGCTGGGGACGCGAAGCCTCAACCCTACAGCTGCGGTCGCAGTCGTTGCAGTTGCGATGTTCCTGCTGCTTACAATATTCTTTTACATCATGATGGATCCGCTGCACTTGAGGCGCGCAAGGGAACGCACAGCGCGGGCTGAACGAATAGCGAGGCGCGTTTCTGGCGTCGAGGATCCCTTGGCTTACCTGCAGTGGAAAAGGAGTCGAACTCCAAATATGGGGCATGTACCTTTGTCTTCTCTGTATGGGAGACGGAGAAGATAGACGGGTGTCTTGGCCAGACATGGATGTGGAAGCGAGGGGAAATCGACTAGTACAGGCTTCGAATCAGTGAAGCAGCTGCTCCCGCTATCCTCGACTACATCCACACCTGTGGTCTCATCGGTTCTATATCGTCCTGGCCCTCTCTTCTCCCAGCCTTCACCACCTTCCAACCCAGTGGCTATCTCGAATCATACCTACGAGCCCGCCTCACGCTTGGAATCCGACGTCGGCTTTCTCGCCCACACGAGAGCCTTCTTTCTAATAGGCATAAATCTTCGTCGAAAACGGGCGCTGGACGCTCTGCAGGATGATACCCACCTAGCGGACGGGGATGGAAGACTCGGGGTTCGCGGATGTCGAGATAAAAGGGTGAATACGCCAATGGGGTCTTAGCCGAGGGACGAGAGGGAGAAAGAGATCGTGGCGTAGATGCAGTTGGTGTTGAGCGGGATGCGGAGGGGCCCGTGTTGTTCATGGCGACGACACTTGAGTGGACTCGAGAGGACGTGGGTGTGTTTTTGGGTGTTTTTGAAGGGAGGTTAGGTAGGGGAGGGCGAGAACTTATCTGTCTGGCTCGGCGTCGCACTCGAGCTCAGAGAATTGTGTTAGAATGGCGAAACTATCGAACCGATAGTTTTGCCAGCCACGCCAGGGAGGTAGCGCCGTCTAGATCACATAGGTGCTAGCTGTATTGGGAGCCAAGTTGCAAACCTTCACGTCCGTCGTCCACCAGTCCCAGAGCGCCTCATATTCCATCATCATGCACTTGGATGTAATTCGCGCCTTCCTTGCGCCGGCCTCACTCCATGAAAACTTCCATTGGCTCAAGTTACCTTAGCTTGACGTGACTGTCTGGCCAGCGACGCATCTGCACTGCATTGCTGATCCGCTTCACACACACCGTGACAGCAATGGTTGGAGGGGCTGCGATGACCTTCAACGCGACCTTGGAGAACGGCACGAGTATAAATTTGACTGTCGTTCCCGCTCATGGACGAGATGATTGCGCAACACAGCACTCGGACCCCACAATTCAGAGATTCAGGGGTTCAGGGGTTGTCGACACCACACCATCACCCTCATCATCGAGAAAGCCTTCAAGCACCCATGCAGCCCACAGTCCCTGGTCGTTCCCACCATAATTGGCCCTTCAAAAGGCCCCAAAACCTTCACCAACCCCTCGCTCGCCCCCACCCTGGCGAATACCCCTCGGAAGCGCCGTCCTACTCGACGGAGCACTCTCAAACTCTTGCATCCACCCGGCATCTTACTCGCATCAACAAGATTCACAACATCCTTTCGAAAGAATAAACGTTGTATCCCCATGCCCAATCTCGTCATCATAAACAGCAAACGAACCGGTGGTCCTCCACCCGCCCCGCCATTATATCCTAGCGCGAGGAGTCGGCGGACCCTGATTAGTTACTCATAGTTCTATATAGGAGCTGGAGGAACGCTCTCTCAGGAGAACGGTTCCTCAGCTATCAATGCATATAGTTTACTCGTCATCGCTTTGACTTGTTGAGAGGGAGCCTCTCGCAATCTGTGCACTACCCTACATCTCGGAACCACTGAGTGGTTCACACCCTTCAGCTCACCCACCGAACCCTCACAGTCCTAAACCGGGTCTAGCTCCGTGGGAACTTCGGTTCTCAGATTGTAACACATTCTAGGCCCGGCTTATTACTATTTAATACGCCGGTAATCCTTAGGTAGGTCTAAAATAGCTACTCCCACCAGCGCTCCACGTAATGAAGCTATTTACACTTTTCGTGCATCAAACAGCTTCTTCGTTATGCTGCAAAACAAGCTTGTTATTCAAGCAAGATACGAGTGGCTGAAAGCATAAGTAGCTTCGCATAAGGCTGCTTTCGAAGAGCTCATGGAGATTCCACAGATGTAGCTCAGAAGACTTGAACCATGAAAGCTCCACTGGAATTCTTAGGCCTAGCTTCAGTCAGACTGCGCTTTCCTTCGCTCCCTCGAATACTATAGTTCAACGTTCAATGCTATGCCGTATTACTAAATACCACCTGCAGCGGTTTGCATTCGTCTGGTATTCAATTTCGTCTACGTTTTAGTATTGACGTGAGTGGCTCGGGGATGCAGTCGTCCGGATTCGTCTCATCTAATTAACACCAAAGTGGTGTGCATGGGTTACTTACCTCGACGCGCATTCGGCAGTCCTTTCCGAGGGGCCCCTCCTTATGCCAAGTGCCAGGACGCAGACCAGATAGATAAAGCATCTAATCAGGCTCTAAGTAAATCTCGTCTCCTATTGGGTATTGGGCTCGCGTAGATTAAGCCGGGAAGTTTCTCGGCAGTTTTGCCGAGATGGAACGAGATATGGAATCTCTCTTGCGTCTAGTATTTTAAATACACGCGGGGCATGGAACGCCAATGTCCATCGATCTTGGAACCGTTCTGGTGTCATGCAGTACCAAGCTTGCGAAGAACTTGCACCGTGTCTCTCGAAATGCTTCTCAAGCCCTTGGCCGTTGTCGTGGCATTCCTTGCCCAGCATGGCGCGACGCAGGGCGACATGCTTCGGTTTGGATGCTCACAGCTCGTTATTGAGCGCGTTGACCCAATCGTGAACCCGGGCATGAACCCGTCAGCGCACGCTCATCAGATTGTGGGAGGGAGCTCGTTCAATGTCACAGTAAGGAACTCACTGAACTCATGCGTCTTAGCTCTTGAATTAACGAGAGATAGATGGACCCGGCCAGCTTCGATCCCTCCAAAGCATCGACCTGCACATCATGTCTTTACGCCGAAGATATGAGCAATTACTGGACGGCGAGCATGTATTTCAAGTCGCCCGAAAATGGGAGCTACAGACTGGTTCCGCAATTTGCCAACTGGCGGCGCCCGAATGGAAAAGAACTGCTACCGCAGGACGGAGGTCTTACAGTCTACTACATGCAGCCTTTCAGCGGCAAGCCCAAAACCACTTCATTCCGTCCAGTGAGTCTCGTCCCGCCCTTTTATCTCGCATGATAGACCTGCAGTAAATTGTCTGTCTCCATGTCTTCGTTGATGCTAACACACCTCATCTTCCGTAAGGGATTTCGGATGTTGGCAGGAAATCCCAATCTTCGAAGCAAGACTGGCACGTTCCCGGGCATCTGTCACCGGTGCATCGGGAACGGAGAAGGGGGCGCGCCGTGCGACTCCAAGGACACGTCAGAGTTCCCGGCCAAGGTTTGTCCCGGGGGTATCAGGGCGACCGTCATCTTTCCGACTTGCTGGGACGGCAAGAATCTTGACAGTCCTGACCATCAAAGCCACATGGCTTACTCTGGTCGTTCGGCCTTGGCGGGTGATAGCTGTCCTGCTAGCCACCCTGTGCGTGTACCCCAGGTCATGTACGAGATCATGTGGGATACCAAGCCCTTCAACGACCCGAAGTACTTTCAGGGGGGGAAGCAGCCGTTTGTGTACAGCTTTGGTGACGGGTAAGTGTGAGCTCCTCCCGTTCAGTAAGGCTCCTCGCTCCTAACTGGAAACCAAGAACTGGCCACGGACAACATGGAGACTACTTGTTTGGCTGGAAAGACGACTCTCTCCAGCGCGCCATGGACAATCTCGGCAAGAACGGATGCTCTACCGACACCTGCAGCAGCCAGTTGACAATTCAAGCCGCCAAAGATATTATTGGATGCACAAAATCGCCGCACTCAGATGAGGATGTTGGAAGAAAAGGGAACTGTAAGTTCCCTCAGTCCTTGTTAAAGCTTAATGTGAGTCTCGGCCCGGGTGCTAACGAGCGCAACTACACAGGGCTCGCTACAATCCCCGGAAACCCACAGGTTACTTACAAGTGATGACTTCTAAGCGGATCGTGCTGTAGGCTAGCCGTGGAATTGCTCGGTGGAAAGATAGCTAAGTCGGCATCGTGGGAGCTAGGGCCAACCTTCTGTTAAAGTGAGACAGCAAAGATACATTGGCCTTTGAATTGCTATGTCTGGCCCGTGATCTAGATTGACTGTGCATTGAATTGTCTGCTCAAAATAGGTCTTAAGATACAGGAAAAAGGCCTCCTTTTGTAGCCAACGAGACCGTCAAACGCCTGCGCGGAAGATGCCGTTGAGAATGAACTAACGTCGGATCGAAGGCCTTCCGAAACGCAAAGGATCAAAAGGGTTATACCACTAACGGTGGAAAGTTGGCCCGGCTACTACCTAGACACGTGATGCAGGACACTTGAGGGCGACACTATAAAAGGAACGTTTACCGTAAAAGTCTAGGCTCCCTTACCAGCCTTAATAACGCTCAAAAGCTACTACGAACTACGGAGGAGTGTTACGAATCCCTGTGGAAATGCACGACAGTGGGGCACACCCTATTTAGTATAGACCAATTAGAGGTGTCCCTAGGTCCCGAACTCTAGAGCTCAGGGACGCGGAACAGTCCTGGGCAGCCGGTTATTACAAACCGCTCGACTGTTTAGTCGTCTATCTACAAGAGAGTAGGGGCTCTATAGAATGCTGGGGATAGTATTACAAACCACTCGACTGTTAGGGTCGTCTTGCAGCGTCCGTGCATTGTAGAGAGGCGCCATGGGGAGTGTCACGGCACGGCGGTAGGCGCTGAGGCCCTACGGGTGCGTGACCATACTATAACCCACTATAGAATTGCAGCCTGACGGCTTGTAATTCTGGCATCCTTTTGGAAGGTGTGGTGCAGCGGTAGTGGGTGTTGCTAAACGCCGTCACAGATACGGTGCGTCCGGCAGAATCGGTAGTCCACGCAGTTGACCTGCGCCCCGGTGTCGGCGTCAATGGTTACCGTTAGTGGGGTAGCCTTCCGGCCACGGCGCCGGGAGTGGACGCTGCCTTGGATTGTAAAGGAAGGGCCTGGTTTTACCCCTTGGTAAATGAGCTGGGTAGATCGATCGGGGTCATCGTCTACCGCCTCTCGTTTTCCGAATCGTCCTCGGAGTCGGAGGGGGCGAGGTACCGGCTCCCGTGGTCACTATCGTCCTCGATCCCGATATTCTGGATCCGGGCTCCCGGGCCGGGTCGGGCCTCTGCCCGTGGAAGGGTGCATTGGCGTTGTACATGGCCTTGCTTTCCGCAGTTGTAGCATGTGATAGGCTCCCTATTACGGAGTGGCGCCTGAGTGTTGGATCCGGTGGCTGGTGGCGTCTGGGTGGCAGGTCTGCCGGAGGTAAAGGGGTTCCGCGTTGGTAGATCTCGGAGTTCCCTTCGTTGGATCCGGGCTTTATCGTGGCGTAGTCCGGAGTACGCGTCCTCCGTAGTGCGAGGTAGTTTTCGGGCTTCGCCAAGGTTGGTGGGAGAGCCTAGCCTCTTGCGATGTGCGTCCCGGTCGTTGCCATTCCGGGTGTACAACCTGGCCAGCCAAATACGCTCACACCATTCGGCACAGTCCTTGGCCGAGGTAACATTAGGGACGGCCTCGGCGTACCGGTTGTGGTAAAAGCGGTCGAGTTTGATCCAGTAGTCCCGGGCCATGAAGGTGCTGTTGATTTCCATGCCTGGGAGGCGGCGGACTAGTGCAGCCCACTCCCGGTAGAATTCCTGAGGGGACCTGCCGCGTTGGTTGCATACTAGCCAGTCCTTGTGAGCCTGGACCTCTCCGGACTTGCTACCGAGGCAGTCGGAGCTGACGTAGTCCTCAAACTCTTGCCATGTGATTTGTTCAAAGTCCCCCTCGTGGAGCTGCTTCTGGTAGGCCCGCCACTGTTGCTGTGTTTCCGGTTCCATCCAGGTACTGGCCCATTGGACTTGAAGCCACTGAGGCCGGTCCTGGCGTGTGGCGTTTCCTTGCTCCACCGCTTGGAGCCAATCTTCCCGGTCTTGGAAAGAGGCGTCGAACTTTAACTTGCTGACCGCGTAAGCAGGGGGTCGGTCGTCTTTTGCCCGCAGCGGCCCTCCTTGAGTTCCGAGGTTGGCTAGGGTGACGCCAAGGGTGCCTAGGCCAGTGGAAAAGTTGGTCATGGCCTGCATCATCAGGGCCTGGAACTGTTGGGGGTCCATGCTAGAGGGGGCGGGCGTTCCAGGTGCTAGCTGGTCTCTCATGGTGGGGGACTCTCCTTCTGTTTGTTGGTCGGGAGTCTGGGTCTCGGTATCTTCGAAGTCTTCGAGTACTGTCCTTCGTGATGAGCTGGCCTGGGGGGTGGCTCTTCCCTTTCCGCGCGTGTTGCCTGCCATAGTGACCGGCTCGATCGTTACCGGGTGGTAGGGAGGTTGAAGAATTGTAAGAGAAGGTAGGTACGCCTGATCAAGGTGGTCACAATGCAGGCAAGAAGGTGGGGGAGCAATGACTTGTATTGGTGTAAGACTTCAACCTGGCCCTCGCAAAGGAAGATGGGCGAGGGCCATTGTTTATATACCTGCTCAGGGGTTCGGCCCGGGCATCAGTCTGCGGTCGTGGCGCCACGGCGTAGCGTATGCCAGCTGGCAGTGTTCTAGCCAGTTGGTGACAAGTGGTGGGCGCGCACCCTGTGCGCGCAGTTGGTGTTTGGGGTGTCCTTTTCCTTACATACCGGGCTAGGAGCCGGCAAACCCACAGAGAATTCCGGACTCGGCCGTCGTGATGCACAGGACCTACACTTACGGGGCCATAAGAACATGCAGTCTTACTCCCCCATGAACCCTGCTGCTACAAGAAGGAAGGAGTAATCATCTTCTTCTACGTTGACAACAATGTCGTCGCACACTGCGAAGAGCGGAGGGCGGGAGTCGCCCAGTTAGTTGCAGAGCTCAAGCGCACCTACACATTGCAAGGAGGAGAGCGCCTACAGTGGTTCCTAGGCATTGAAGTTATTCGGGACCGCTCAAAGCGACTATTGTGGCTCTCACAGACCGCCTACATTACGAAGCTAGAAAGACTCCTACTATACCGGCGTTGCCGCACGGCTACCGGAGGCACCGGCCAGCCGATCACACCAATGAAGCACAAAGCATGGCTTCCGAACCCTGACCTCGCTACGCCAGCAGAAACACAGCTATACCAACGATGTACAGGCTCACTGCTATACGCCGCCGTCACCACCAGGCCTGACGTTGCCTTCGCTGTCTCCAGGCTCACCCGCTTCAACCACAACCCCCCTACCGAGCACCAGAAGGCTGCAGACGAAGTCATTCGATACCCTCTAAGCACCAAGAACCTAGCCCTACAGCTCGGGGGTGGGGAAACCCTCACGCTATGGTCTGACGCTTCTTTCGGAGACAACACCCTCGACAAGAAGAGCTCACAGGGCTTTTTAATCCAGTTATTTGGAGGTCTCGTCGCCTGGAGAGCAAATAGACAAACGACAGTCACTACATTAACAACAGAGGCAGAGCTGTTGGCCCTGGCCTAGGTTGCTAAGAAAGGCCTCTTCCTGAGCCGGCTAATAAGCGAGTTGGGCATCGAATTCGACGACCCTACTCTACAAGTGTGGTGTGATAACGAGCAGACGAGACTGCTAGTCAACAAGGACGTCTACACCCTACAGACCAGGCTCAGGCATGTTGACATTCACAACCATTGGCTACGCCAGGCCGTTCATGCGAAGTAAATATGGGTAGAGCACATCCCTACAACACAAATGCTAGCCGATGGGCTCACCAAGGAAAACATCACCATGTAAACAAACCACCAAAAAAACTAGCTTCAGGCGTGCTTGGCTCAACAAGTCTCTCTCACTCTCGTCGCCGCGACAGACGCTAGGAATGCCATTAGGAATGAGATCTTCGCAGCTCTGCCAGATTGACGATACATCAGCCGCCACGTAGAGTCAGAAACGTTCACGATGAATTTCGGCCTGCCGTAGGACCTAGCCGCCATTGTCAAGATCCAGAATTACGAAAACTCGGATAAGCTACATGAGATCTTGGGCAAAGTGATTACCCTGACAAGGTCTATGAGCGATGCGCAAGCGCTGCCGTGCTCCTTGTATCTGGCCTAAACGTAGCCCACCATAGGGCATCACGTCTTGGCAGTTATCACCGACATGATCCGAACTGGGAAGCCGGCGATAAGTAACTTGGGCACGGACACACACACACACACATATTAGTACATGACGAACGTATCAACGTAGCTCGGTAACTAACCTGTAATGTTAAGGACTCTCCCCGACAAGTCCGAGATAACAGTCCTCCAGTATTACAACGGGCTGAACTTGCAACTCCGGGTCAGAGGCACAGCTGACTTCATAGCGGAAGCTGGAGAAATAACTGCGTGGCTCGGTGCTTCCTTGCGGACGTACCCGGGCGCGACCTGCGTGGCGTAGTACACGCCGCGCATAGTATCTACAGGCAAGCTACCGTCATCTGAAGCATATTACTGCGGGCTCGGATTTGGCCTGAGCTCGGCCAGCGACGGCGCCGACGACAAGCTGTCAGATGGAATGGCCTAGAAGGTGCTGGAACCTACGATGCGTAATCTTCGCCACTGGGATTCGTCATGTAATTGCTACATAAGGAAGTATAAGAGAGAGTCTTTTGTGGAAAGACTGGAAGAGGAGAATAGAAGCAATTCACTCTGGTGCACACAATCCCAAAAGTGCTGTTGCAGTCTGACACAAGCCCACCCCACCGGCTGCTGCTGGGACGCCATGGCCCGCAACCCAGAGGCTTTCCGGGGCTTCCCCATCCCATGCCGGCCGGGCACGCACACCGGGCTGGAGATCCTGCTGGACATGGCGGTGGGACTGACTCGCGTGGTGCACAGGCCGACGCCGCGGCCGAGGGCGTCAACGCCAACCCGCTGCGGCTGCGCATCCGCTTGCAGGATTGGGACTTCCGGGACGTGGCGACGGGCCGCGGCCCGCTGTACCAGCGCGTGACGACGCCGAGCTCCGGCCGCACGTGGGTTGACTTAACAAAGTCGACCCACGCTGTGACGCTGTTCGGCTACGGTTTCGGCGAGCTGATCTGCCTCGCTGCGACGTTGCCCAACCCCTCGGAAGTCGGGCCGTTATACCGTCGCCATGGCCGGCGATAACGACGGGGAGAGGATTCCTCAGCGCCTGCCTGCCTAACCTTCGAGATATTATCCGTAGCAAGGGCAACATCACGACGAACCCGCTCACCATCTCATCGGGGATACTGTGGCACAACCCACCCCAGCATAATATCTTTGGCGGCCGGGGACGGTGGTGAGGCCTCGGGAGCGTGGAATCCGATCCAGGAGCTGCTGCCGGCGACCGCGAGCTTCAGAAACCTGCTCATGTAGCTCGGCAAGCTAGGGAGAGTCGATCTTGACTCGTGCCAGCACGGGGTAGTCATCTTTGAGCGCAGCAAGTCGTCCAGGTTCAGCTGGCCTGACGCAGGAGACCCGGTCGTCGTCGACGTTGCTGCTGCTGCTGCTGCTGCTGCTGCTGTGGCCAACGAAGGCGCAGAAGTTTCGTATTCGCCGATGCAGAGAGCCGAGGTAGGCAGCAGCGGCAGCAGCGGCAGCAGCGACGGTTCCAACACCGGCAGCGTCCCGACTAGCGCTGACTGGGCCATGTCGGATAGCTATAACACACAGGCGACGTCGCCGGCGCCGTCTCAGGCTCTTTCAGACTCGTGCCCGTCGTCGACTAACGATTTCGTCAAGGCGGGAACTAGAGACGACGTCCCACGCGAGCGCGGAGCTGGCATAGCACCAGGGAAGCGCGCTGCGGGGGTTCTGGATGGCGAGGATGGACCGCAGACTGAGAGCGGGAGAATAACCAAGAGGCTGAGGGCAGTTAACTTGGCGGCCGGGCTTCCCCATATTCTCGGGGAGGGAGATGGCGCTCTCCGAAGATGGAAACAGCAGTGATCGTAAACGATTACGAGCGAGGATTGCGGCGAGAGGGCCATTTTCCCTGTGACATCCCATTATAGCAGTATCAAAGGTAGCGGCCATGTGGGGCGGGCTGCCTACGTGGTCGAAGAAGGCGACGAGGTGTAGCTCGCGCATAGTGCCAGGGTGGTATGGAATAATTTAGTGCTGATATCTCGGTGTCGGTTTTGGGGCGGACCTGCACAGGGTGTGATTGTAGAAGGGGCGGGTGCTAATTATAATATGCCACGCAACGTGACAATGGGAAAGGTTTGCCACCGCCACGGGCGTGCAGGCTTATGAGGTGGGCCTGATTATTTGTGCCTTTTGCGTCAGTTGTGGTCGCATGGCTGGTTGTGGTTAATTGATCTACGCCTGGCAATATCACCACTCTCCTAGAACCAGTGCCTCACAAATGAAACACCAAGACAACTTCGACACAAGGAGACTTTCGTTCCACTCCCAGTTCTCACCCTCGGTGTGGCACAAAGCTCGAGTTTTCGTCATTTCCCAACACTAAAGCCTGGGATGGGATGTTCTGAGCGCTGGCGGCCAGGCTGCGGCTGCCGGTTCGTAAACTGAAACTTGAAGCAACACACCGCCTCCATAAGATCGCCATTTACTGTCTGAGTCCGTCGCACCATCTCACGCAACGACACAAACGGAAACTTGCCCTCCTCTGCGTGCTTTGCCTTGTTCCAAAAATCTTTCTGGGCCAACAGTTGGCAGCCTTTGACGTTGAGCGGCCGGGGGGCATGGCTAAGATAGACTCGAATAATGGAGATTCGTCAAGTATAAAGGGGCAGACCTGTGTAACTGTTTACACTAGCTCAAACAAACTGCCCATCACTTCCATCGCAGCAATACAGTCACTCTTCTGTTCTCCTTCGCCGTAAATCACATTTTTGACCTCGAGCACCTCACCCACACGGCTCACTTCCAACTCCAAGCAAAATGACGATTCAAATCAAGTGCTGCGCGGTCTGCAGAGACAATATGAAGGCTCAACTGCAGAGGCTGAGCGTCCCCTATACCGAGCAGACCCTCCGCGACGGCAAGAAAGTGTACACCATCAACATTACCAATGCCACGGATTTCCCCAAGAACTCGCTCGCCGAAGCCTGTTGGAAATCGATCGAGTTCACATACCACCACGCTGTTTACAACGGAAACATGGTCCGCTGCTCAAACTCTTGAGCGTCTTTTCGTGGCAGCAACCCCCAGGCTTTAGGGCAGCTAGAATCGTAGCTGTGGCAGCTAGCCACTGTTGAGGGCCAACATGGCACGTGCTGGCATGTAACGGTTGACCCGATATTTGGAGGAGCAGGGGGAGGGAGAGTAATGACAGCTAGGGAAGGGGGATCTAAGTTTAGTTGAGCTGCCGGCAGCCCAACTCAAGCACGGATGTTCATTCTTTTTGTACTCGATAGATGAATGGTCAATAGAGCAATGATTCGATTTTAGAGAAGATTCAAACAAGAACCGGAGCCTTGCAATGAGACTTTTGCTGTTACCCAGGTAGCCGTCCTTCCTTTCTTCATTTCTGCTAGATATTCAATTCATTCGGTTCATCCACGCTTCCAGTCATGTAATTTGCAGTGGTATAGAGTATGATGTATGATGATGATTGTTGAGAGGAAAGAAATGTCTTTTTTTTTATGTGTTGCATTGAAGCAAGGATATTATCACAGCTCATATAGCTTTGAAGGATGCACCCGCAGAGAGAACCAGCTCAATCTGATTTATCCAATGACTTTGTAGGAATGAGTGTATAGTGTATCCCCCTCTCCCACCCTCCCCGTGCCTGCGGCTCTGCCAGAGGCCCCTCAGCGCACTCTGGTGTATCCGTGGTTGAGTAAAATACAGCTAGTCTAATACGCTCAGAGCACCGTTGGTAGAACAACCCTCCGCCCAACTTTCACGCACCGGCTAGCAGCCGCTGCACATGACCGTGTTTCCAGACTGTACGACGTGGTGGCTCTTGAATCTGAGAGCGCCCAAGCAAAGTGTTGCAAGCGAGCGCGGCCCCCAAGTACTCGGATCTCCAGTGGTGGGTATTTCGAATGTCGTAATTCCAGTTCTGTCAGTTTGGCCGTAGACCTTGAGCCTATCCAGCTGCCTAGAAATATCCGCCGTGCAGCTTGAGCAGGTTCGAATAATGAGAGGCATGTTGAAGGCAAAGGGTCGCAATGTATTAATTAATTGAAAATGAGAATCAGGTTATAGCCTTGCTAAATTCTGATCAACAGGGGCCGGGAGAGAATGGTGTGAGTCTGAGGAATAAAGTAGACAATCGGAGTTGTGGAAAGACACTTAATATATACCTACTTCAAATGTTCTGAGTGATAATTATGATTTGTTGACGGCTGGGAAGTAGGAAATTGTGTGTATGATCTTGATTGCGCAGCTTATGCAACCTTGACAATTCCCGTGAACCAACACTGGTCCTGACAGATAATGGGTGTGGCAAGGAAAATGGCCCCCAGCCGAGCCGTTTAAAAGAGGGTGTGGTGGGGGTGTCCCTATCAGCCCGTATATGTAACGGTGTGCCGTTACGCCAGCAGGCGCAAGACAGATACTGTTGCCTGGCTCTCTGGGCAACAGAAGCTATGGGTCGCAACCCCCACAACAGTATAGCTGCAGTTTCCCAGAGTACTAGGCAACAGGTATCTGGTTTGTCTGCTGACGCACCGCAGCAGTGGTCTACGGCACAGGGCCTATTGAATTCAGCACTGGTTAGAGATAAGGAAACGCGAAAAGGATTCCTCGTATATGTTCTTACCTACCATAGCTGGGTACGATGTGGTCGTTGATTACCGGGGGGTGTCACCGTGCCGAGCCCAGTCATGATCGTGGCCTCGCAAATGAAACAAGTTAACAAGGAACAGAAACATGCCCCCAAGGCTCCAACCGAGTTTTTAATATAGTCGCCTTAGCACGGCTCTCCTGTCTACTAGGCATCAATTGATGAACCTGGGAATGAACAAAGGTGCAGGGAGGTGGCGCAACTGTCTTTTGGATCCCATAATTCCAGAACGTCAACAGCCAGGTCCCATGTCCCAGAATACAATTAATCACTGAGCGACGATGGCATCCTGGCCCCAGTGGCGTGGTTTAATCATTCCAGAGCACCAACAGCCAGGCCGCGTGTTCCAGAGCATAATCACTGAGCAATGATGGCCATCTGGCCCCGGCGGCGTGGCTGCGAGGTTGGAGATAAAGCCTGAAGCAATCGCCGTCTCCCAAGTCTGTGGCAATTCATCAGTCCATCACAGCAATACAATCATACCACCTGCATCCAGTATCAACCTCGACCACCAGAAAGCCCCAATCTGTCCAGGAAGCCCCAATCTGTCTTCCTTCAACCTCATTAGTTAATTTAAGTGCCCCTTACAGTCCCAACCCCCCCCACTTCCAAGTAAAATGACCATCCAGATCGAGCGCTGCAACCTTTGCAGGCAGCTTAAAACTCTGACAAGGCTGCCCACTTTATTATCCTCGTCATTCTTTTGCTTTTCTTGATATTAGGTGGACGATATCAACTTGTCACTTGTTTGTCATTGCCCTCGAATGTCCGTGTCTAATCTTGCAATGTTCATGTGGCGCTTGGCGCAGCGGCCACAGCTAACTCCCGCGCCAGCAGCTTCTCGTGGCCGGCCACGGAGGCCAGGACGCGCTGCTCGTCGAAGGCGCGGAGGAAGCGGTCCTGCTTGCGATCGACCTCGTGCAGGAGGGCGTGGGCCTCGCGCAGCTCGCGGCACTGTAGGTAATCGACCTCGCGCGTGATGTTGCGCGTCGCGGCCCGCATGCGCTCGATGTTTTTGTTAATGTCGCTCATGGCGGGGCCCGTGTTGGCGGCGACGCGCAGCCCAAAGCTCTTGCGCGCCGGCCCCCGCCGCCTCGGTAGACCTCTGGAACCTTCCATAGGGCCTGCCTTGGGTCTATATAGGGCCTGTCCTTCCCCTTTGGTAGATTTCCTTCCAATAAGCGAGTAAGAAAAACCCTCACCACTCTTTATACTATAGTTCTCTATAATAAGGCTCCTCTCAGTCTTCTTCAGCGCCTTCTATTGCCTCCCGAAGACCTGACTATAGGGCAGAGTCCCCTGCAGCCTACGAGGTAGACTGCTGAGTGGAGTCCTCACACTCTAAGTGGCAGGCCTGGAGCGAGTCCTACAGATCCAGCCTGCTTCCCTTAGTGCCCTACACAGAGCACTGTTGACTGTTGTACTAGACTATAGGGTACAGTTCTCTATAGTCTACCCTGCAGAACCGGTTGACCTACCCTGCATTTAGCTCCCCGCCTTCGCTACCGCTTCCGCTCCGCCAGCTACAGTACCGAGCCCACTGTAGCACCCTATACAGTGCTCTCTTACAGGCCTAGCACGCAGTTCAACAACAACGTTGGAGTAATTAGCGGTCAATCTGCTACGCTATCCCCAGCCCTCCTCCTTTACGTCTCGTTATACTTCTACATTGGGATTAAAATTTAACTCGGGTACGTTAGATTTACGCTCTAAGAACGAGCGGTAGTTTTAGAGGATATCTCAACGGTTGTTACCTATATAGGTAAAAGGAAACGGAAATACTTGGTAGTAGACTAGTATCGCAAAACTAGGTCCAGGAACGGATCATTACAACTTATATATACTACAACTTATATATACCGTAATTAAAGATCACTATAACTATAGCCGGGCCAAAAATTAGCTTCCCTAAACTCACATCGGCTCAGGGAGGTGCTCGCTGTGCCTCACCTCCTGCTCAGGTTCTACGACTAGTCCGGATTTGGTTAGAAAATGTTGTGGGGGGTGACTAGAGAGGCAGTTACAAAGTACAAACAACTAAGAAAAGCCCGGATATAAATACCCCACGTTCGTCGTCATCCACAGAGTCTCGGCAATATCCTCGGGACAAGGCAAAAAGAGCTTTCCATCCTCGTCGGGCGAGAAGTAACCTTTAGGCCACTTTGGCACACCCAGCTCGTCCAACGCCTTTCGGAGCCGTGCAAAAAAGACGGAAAGGTGCTCAAAGTCTCGAAAGGGAACTTTTACGCGGTATCCTGCATCCCCAATGTACAGGTCATGACCGCATACTGTCCACGTACCCCCGCCTAACGTCAATAGCCAGGGCAGACAGAATCTCTGCAAGATGCTGTAGTCCATGTCGGGAACAAGTGTCCGGAATTCTTGATTTCTGAAGAGGATCGTCAAGAGATCCCGAGAGCTGAAGGGGCTTCGAGGGAGTTCGGATAACAGAAACATCATGTCTTCACGTGAAAGCTCGTGGACATGGTTTGCCAACGCGCCCATTGCGTTTGTAGACGAAGCCCTGTCAGAATGCTCCTCCATAGCCAGCGTTATCACCGGCCTCACACATTCCTTGGGCAGAATCTGCATTTCGTTCAGAGTTTTGAAGGCCTGTTCCATGACCAGCCGGTCGCTGGCGTACAACGCTTTGACCAGCTTGGCTGTATCGTTCAGCCAGGTCTGAGTCAACTGGACGGCTGTCTTCTCGGTCAAATATCTCCTTTCATATGCTTCCCCTGTCTCGTCTTCGGATCGCCCTTCGGAACCACCTCTGGGCGTATCTGGTGGTGTGGCGGCTGATTCAGAATCAAGCGGGCGCCACGGTCCAAGCTGGATATCTATTCTCGAGAAGAGGGCATCCAACGACTCTGTGCCAGTGAGGATAGCCGCAGCTACTCTAGGTAGGAGACTCGAAACCCGAATATCTTTCTCCGATCCTAACTCGTCGTAGAAAGAGGGAGAGAAATTGCCATCTTTGGTTCTAGTCGCGGCACACTCGCCCATGCAAATCACCTCGTGTAAGACGTTGGCGTTCTCATCTCGCAAGAGCGACTGGGAACGCAGGAGCTCTATTGCGGCCCTTCTGATTGAGCGCCTCAAGTCGGAATTGCACATGAGCTTCACGGCAGCCGAAATAGTCTCCGGTGGTAGACCTTCACATCGGCTGAGAATCTTGATGATCTGTCGGGATACGCGGTTAGGAATTTCCCGCTCGAGTAATCTCGTTAGAGCGCTGATCAGAAATAGCGAAAGGCGGAGCTCCGGCATCCACGAATCTGTAGATTGAACGAGCCCACAAAGTTGGTGAATAATGTTTACATCGTGGGTGTTTTTGGATAAGAGTGATTTGAAAGCTCGTTCAAGAACCCGAACGAGAATAGCTTCCCCAAGGCGCTCGGCCATCGAAACTCGCCACTCGCAGAGTAGCCATTTGACAAGCTCGCGTTCTGATTTTGCTATTCCATCGTCCAAATTAGTGAGATCACCTGAACAGTCCACTTCCTTGATGCATTCCGTCACGAGCTGTGTATGGACATCCCCGATAAGATTTCGCGGCGCACTTTCGATCAAGTCGAAGAACCGAAACAAGTGGTGATTGTCGGCACTGCCCTGAAGTAGACCAGCAGCAAAGCGCCACATGACACTCAAGCGGCTGGCATATTTCTTCTTGCCCAGGAAGAGGTCAGGGGAGACCAATTTCTGTTTTCGCTTCCGACTCAGAAAAACGAGTGGTTGGCGGGCTTTGAAGCGTTCGACAAAGTACTGGGCTGCGAAGAACTCTTGGAATGTTAAGTGAATGAAATGGTAATTGCGATCTTCGTCGGCCGTTTCCATGTCCGAAGTGCGAATAAAAGAGAGTTGATCCAAGTCACTGGACCAGAACGCCGTTTTTGGTTGCGGCAGAAACTTGGTAAACTCGCCCACGTGGTTCTGGAAGAAGGCCCGGTATGCGGGATCAAACTCAACAACATCCCCAACGAGGCCAGAGAAGGAGAGCGACTGAAGGAAATTTCTCTCTGCTTGTACTAAGGGAATGATGTCTCTCAAAGTCGCAGCCCGAAGATCGGATTCAACCAGAGGAGAACATACACCAGGTCGAGACTTTTCGAGGTGAATGGCGTCCCTGATCCAAAGCATTTTCTCGATAGACTTGTACAGGGCTGTCACGGTCGTTGGTTCGCTGCCCGGAATTGATGCAATGCTCTTCCAGCCGTAACAAAGGCCGTCCAACATGATAGGAATCCTGATTATTCCCTCCACAGGCGAGTGGCTTTTCACAAAAGTCAAAATGGCCTCGGCTGTTCCAGGTGGTGCACACCTGCCGATATAGTCGTTGACTTGATGGGGATGGAAACCAATCGTCTCCAGGATTAGGTCCATACGAGGCGGACCGGGCCCGTATGGGCGAGATGTGATTATGACATTTTCCTGGCTCAACAGAACTTTGATCACACTTCCGGCGCTGGTGCTAATGGAACCGGTGTCGAGCTCGCGGGACACTTCGTCTAGCCCATCAAGAATGAACAAGGTCTTTTTGCCGTATCTTTTGTCCATTATTGCCCCCCATAAGTCGCCACCAAACCTATCGCCATCCCCGCGGTGCAGGAAAAACCGCTTGCCGAAGAAGTCCGAACCTCCAGCCGTCCACCCTTTTAGATGACGCAGCGGTACCCACAGTACGCGGTCAAAAATGTCGGTCCACATTCTGCCGTGGACAAAGTCGTAGACTATTTTTTTTGCAGAGTGTGGTCTTGCCTACCCTAGCTTGGCATGGATCAAGACTCTTCGAGGCGAGATATCTGTATTATTCCTCCGTGCGTTGAAAATTTTGTCTAGCTGGATTTCCTCCGAGGATGGTGCCATTTGCACCAGTGGCGCAACGTGGCTTGGTTCGTCCCACTCAAATCCGCCTTGCTCCAATCTATTCAACCCCGAGACGAGGGCATCTGGCTTGACGACCACGACAAGATTGATGTAGCAAAGATCCATTAGCAACGAGGCGCGTGAAAGTCGCTGGACCTCAAGCAACGAGTCTGACAAGTAGAACTTTTGCAAGGCCAAATCGGTGTACAAAAGGCGGGCTTCTGGACAGCATAGCCATGCCTCGTCGAGCAATTGACGCAGCAGCGACTTTTGAGTGTTGGGCGAGAAGAGTTGAATCTCGCAATAATATTCCCTCCCTCCAAATGTATGCTGAGCCATTTTACGTAGTGCTCCTATGTACGGATGGGAACGGGACTTTACGCTGTTTTCCCACTCGGACTTTGAGAAGGTGTGAGCAACCAAGCCGACCCACTTCTGAGCCCGTTTGTCTTTTGAGGTCTTCATGTTATTGAGAAGCTTGTCTCGAACAAAGTCAGAAATACGCCCTCTGGACCAGGGATCTGCTGTGGTATGCGCTCGCTCAAGCTGCTCGCAGAGGCCGCACAGAAATTCAGGTTCTTTGCCACATGGTATCTCGGGTAAGACACGCTCCAGGCGATCGAAAGCTTGGGAGCTCACGAGCATGTCGGTGAATCGAAAGGCAAGGTACCACTTCTTTTGGCGTTGCAAGAAGCCAATTCCACGGGTAGCTTCAGACACGCTCTGGGACAGTTGCGTAGCTTCCCGGATGACACCAATGATGGACCGAACCAGATCATCTACCGGCAGTTGCTGTAACAAGTCGGCTGCAATAAATACTTTAGTCGGATCGAGAGTTGGAGCTGCAGCAGCCGCACCAGCAACAATGCCCATCAAGTTGTACGTGTAGCGCCATAGGGCCTTCCACGGCCCTTCGTCGTTTGACACTCCCAGTAAAGCTTGGAAAGCGTAGCGAGCGGCTTGTGCCAGGCGCAGTTCCTCGTGATTGCGTAGTTTGTCAAGACAGCGCAAAAGGGGCTCGTGGACGTCGACACGGCCCAGACCAGCCGTCTTGACTTCGTTCATGGTGTCGAGAATGGCCGAAAGGGTGCGCACAAGATTGTACTGGGTGGTCGGTTTGTCGGCGCGAACGATAGCTTCGGTCAAGTTCTTCTTCAAACCCTGGAGTGCCGCGCCAAGCGACACGCCGTCGAGGGCTACGTCGGGGCTGTGCAGTACCTTCTCAAATGAGAGCAAGAATTCGGGGTTCATCATACCGTCAAAGGTGGCACACATAGTGATTGCTTTGACGAAGCCACCGTCCAAGTGTCCGTAGCTGTTGCCCTGACAACCGACGAGAGAGCAGCCGCCTCGGCTACGTAGGACTCTCGAGGGTCGTCGACAAAGACTCGTACCATAGCGTCGGAAAGAGCGCGCAGGGCTGCGAACTCCTTTTTCTCCCATGTGTCGTTTGATCGCGGCATTTTGAGAAGCCGAATGAGCTCCTCGGTAGACTTTGGGCGCTCTGCGGGCGCCGTCGTTTCGCACATCTTGGGCTGCAATGACGGCCGGGTTGTTTGAACTAAGGGTTCGGAAGTAGGCGCTTTCGATAGATCCATCGATTCCATCTGCACCCTTCTACAAGGAGTCCGGTCGGGGCTTCACGTGACTTATGACGGCACGAATGTCGAAACAGCTCTCTCTTTTGGCGACGTCGGGATCGGATAGCAAGTGGTCACACGGTGGTGCTGCGTGCGCCTATGGTTGCCAACTGAGATGGGAGAGCAACCGAGTCCCTACTATAGGTAGGATGGATAGTAAAAATGCGAGAAAAGGCTTCCGGGCTGGGTGTTCGTAGGCTAAATTGGTAAAACTCGGACATTTGCGGTTCCTGCAGAGTCGAACCTCTTTTGAGAGTTCCTAATCGTAACTTGCAAGAGCGAAGAGGTAGAAAAATTACGCAACTTCCAATACAGTGTCATGTTAATTACTTGCTGGTGTCACGATAGCATAATCGTGCCTTCCATATTCGAGAATGACGCCTGCTGCGTAGCATTAGCGTGCTACAAACCCATAGATACCCGAATTTTCCGTCCCTACCCCAGAACATCCAATAATTTTTCGTCCAAACAAAAGTTCACAGATTGAAATGCGAGTCCAAAATCACCCCACACCTCTCACGCGTGGCCATTGCCGCTTGACAGCCATGCCTTTTCCGGGATGGCCTCCTCAACATCAGCCTTAACGACGGGCTTCTTGCGGCTTTTGAGGGCCGCCGACCACGTCTTGCCCTTGAACAGCTCCAGCACCTTCTCGAGGCTGAAGGCGACGACGTAGGTGGCTACTGAGAATACGATAATCAGGATGATGAACTGCTCATTGGAGGCGTCGTCCATGAATGTGCCGTGCGAGATTGAGTACAGCGCCTGACCAATTGACGCAACAAGGGCAGTCAGTCAACGCTCAGGATGCTCAGCAGAGAGAGGAAACCCACGGTGATGAACCCAGGCGGCAGGTACGCAATCGTGATGTACGTGAGAGTGCGAATGTTGTTGCCCTGCTGGATAGTCGTCTGGTTGTCGGCGAGGGCCGTCTGCGTATCGACGACATTGGTGATGGTGGATATCTGGAGTCACACACGGGATAAGTGCCGCGGTCAGCCATTGAACTTAATAAGCGGGGTCCAAACACGCGCCAAACCTACGCCGTCCCGCAAACCGGTAACCTGCTTGATCTTCAGCTGCGTCTTGTCGTGCACGTCCATCAGCATGCCGTAGCGCTTCTTGAACTCGTCGACGACGCCGTTGTATTCCTGGATGAGGTCGGCGTGCTGGTTCGTGGCATCCTAATCGCCGCAGGCATCATTAGCTATCTATAGTTTGGCTAGTTACTTTGGTAGGGAATACGCACCTGTTTGATGGTATGCTCCATCGCCTCATGGGCTCGGTCAATCTGCGATAGCGACGATGACAGCTTGTCGTTGAATACGCGCAGCGCCTCCCAGCCCCAGAGCATCTTCTTGAGCTTGTTGATAGCTTCTGTTGTCCCCCACCAGTCTTCGAGGCCTTCAAGGAGGGTGCGGTCCTTTTTTGGGTTGTCAGCTGACGACCAGAGAGAATAGGAATTGAGATAGAATACGCACCCCAATCTCCATGATATCATCCAGCCTTGCCAACAACTTCCCATACTCCACCGCAAGCTTCTCGCACAGATGACCTAGGAGCAGCAGAAACGCAAGACAGCGCGCGCTGGCTTGCTGGTGAATGAACTTCTCCAAAATGCGTGGCAAAACGCGTGACACGACTGGCGCGACGGCAGCCGAGTCTGTCACGCCTGACCACGCCGAGCAGACCCACAGGTGGCCGGCCGCGTCGCCCGTGAATACCAGCGACGACGACTGCTCTTGCACTGTGTGCATCATCTGCGAGAGTTCTGACGACGACGAAGACGACCCGAGCTGCGCTATGTTCTCTGGCGGGAAGTCGCCGTGCTGTCGGTGGCTCTCGCGGAATGCGTCGGCGCGGTGTTCTTCACAGGTCCGGATTGTCCAGTGCGAGATGGTGATACTCGTTGTCCACGTGGATTTCTCACGGCTGTCGGTGAAGCGCGAAGTGGCGCCAAAGTGGTCATCGATCATGTCGAGCGCGTCCGGGTGCCACATGTAGATGAACCCGCCGACGAGGGCGGGGGAGAGCTTTTGGGCAAAGCTAGGAGGCGGGTCAGTTGCTTATTCTTGTGGGCATGGGATAGGGGTCGAGGTGTTCAAAGCTCACAGAATCCGGTGTTTCGCGCCAACGTCGACGAGCTAATCACAATGAGTAACAATGAGTAAGCCTCACAGCACCCACGTCGTTTCGCATCGAGGTCTTGATGCTTACACTATCGCTGAGCGTCTTCAGCATGCCCTCGTACGTCGAGGTCTCCGGCTCGTCATTCTCCAGTGCAACCGACGATTCACGAGCACCAGGAAGTGGCGGAGATTTGAGTGCCGTCCCCGAGTGTATCGATGGCGGTTTCGCGTTCAACACCAGCGGGGCAACAGTCATCGGGGGCTGGCATTTCCGCCGCTTGGTAGAAAAGAAGAACCCGCCCGGGCCGTCCTGGAAGACGTCAAAGACGTCGATGAGCGAGAGATCGGCCTCGCCGACCAAGTTTGGGACGTTGGCGACGCTATACCCCGGGTTTTGCTTGATGATGTGCTCGGCATTCTGGCTCTCGAGGTAGTGCTCGAGCGCTTTCCGCAGGCCCAGGTCCCGCGAATGCGTGTAGTGGTATACGTCTGGGGTGTCGTCGAGGGATTGTACCCACCAGTCCTACAAGGGGTGTGTTAGAGAACTGTTGAATGTCTTGGCAGAGTCCTTGGAGAAATCACCGGATAGTAGACTGGAGACGGCTTCTGTGTCACCCACTCGAACGCCTTGACCGACTCTGCCCTGTCGCTATCTGGGCCGAGCAGCTGGCGCATCTCGTGGATCTGTGTTCTCATGGACTCCTCCATCGACTGCCTCAGCTGCTGAACCAGCGCCGTGACCAGGGCTGCTTGATTGACATCGAGTCGCGCGACGACACCGCTAGTCCCGTCGAGGTTCATTGTGTCGGCCCTCAGGTTTGGTATTGACTGGGCCATTCCGTCGACTGGAGGCTCGTCTTTCGCAGGCGGCGTTTTGCTCTTGGCGGCCTGCAGTTTGCCTTTCGACGGCGTTAGCAGCCAGTTCTTTCAGCCGAACAAAAAGGTGTTCAAGGACTGGTGTTCAAGGACTGACCTTCGATCTTCAGGTCTAACAGCGTTCCGCAGATCATGGCCACGGGCTGCATGTCCCACCACCTTCCGACCATATTTGCATCGGCCCTGTCCCACGACGCCATAAAGGAATAGTCGGACAGCAGAAACTCAAACAGGCGATCGCGAGCAGGTATCACGTTGGCCTCGTCGGTGACTCGCAGGTAGGCCTCGTGGTTAGTGCAGAGCAGCTCCCAGGGGCCGTTGCTGAGTTCCCGTGCAGTCATCCAGTTCTTCGTCGGCCCGGTGTTGAACTTTGTGGTGCGCTTGCGGTCGATAATACGGCGGCGAGTTTGGCGAGCCCGCGACACGGCCAGACTGTACGACTTGTTTCCCATGCTCTGTAGCCGGTCCAGTCCCATCTCCTCGGCCAGCATCAGCACGCGGTCCAACTCCTCGTGCTCCATCCCCCACCCATCAGCCTGGCTCGTCTTGAGCCGCGACACCTGCTTCTCGAACCGTTGTTGCGTCTCCTCAACGTCCGGCAACCTCATCTCTGGGTACGTCTCATCCTCCCGGGAGGAGTGCGGCTGGGGGGGCTGGCGGCGGTGGGCGTTCTCGTCCCACCCGAGCTCGTCGCAAAGAAGCAGAATGCAGCTGAAGTGGAGCCATTGCAGCACGTTGCTCTTGGAGGTTGGCTGCTTGTCGCGGTTTGCACGGTCCACACCAAGCTGGTACGCGACCGGCAGCTTGGGAAAGAGGATCTCGTCGACGAGCTGCGGCGTGATGGCCTCGGGGCACATCTTGGTCGCATACCACGCCGCCATGGTCGCATAGCAGCCACGGTTGTACGACGTGTCCCGCGAGTTCAATGCTTCTCTGCTGGGGATGCACTTCTCCATCCTGGCGGCGTTGGCAGAGTTGGCTGGCTCACCGTGCGCGTTGGTCTCCGTCGGCTCGCTGTGCACAGCAAGAAGCAGCCGCCCGGGCTTGAGGTCTGTCGCGAACAGCCAGGCTAGGGTCGAGCGGATCGCCTCTCGCAACCGTACAAGGTAGGCATCTCGTATGTCGTCTAGGCTTCGGAACTGCTGAAGGAAGTCTCGTTCAAATTTCCGCGTCTCAATGAAGCTGTGTATCTTGGCCAGAAGACGGATTTGGTAGCTGTCGGGAATCAGATGTCAGCTGCGCCGGCATGTCTTCTCCAAGACACAAAAGAAAGAGGATCGTACAATGCGCTTTGGACATCAACATATTGAAAGTTCATTATGTTCGCTATCAGCGCTCTCTCAGGCATCCGGGAGGGTTGTTCGCGTCCTTCTTGCGAGTGATTACTTAACGGGGGTTGCCAGGCTGGAATGGAGGTTACGCCGAGGACCTGCTCAACGCATCTGCCCACGATGCAAAACTCGACGGCCTCTACTGCTTCGTAGTTGGTGGCGCAAAGCGCGGTCCACAGGCGATCCGTCATATTTACCGAGTCGCGACTCACGCCTAGGTAATCGAGCAGAACGTCGGGCAGTTCAGCGCTGCACTCCCTCCCATCGTCCTCCGCGTCGTTCCGCAGCGCATACGTCGAGACGAGATATGCAGCCTCGCCCGCGGGGATCTGAACCCTGTGTTCAGACGACAGGTCGATCCACTGCTGCTCACTGGAGCCATCCGATATCTGGCGTGGCGTCAGCCGCTGAGGCACGCCATTCTCAGTAAGCCCAACCTCGACTCTCGTCTGGTACTTTGCGCTTGTACAGCAGAGAAGGGAGCCGCGAGTTTCGACGGTGAAGGCATCCGGTTCGGGGATTCCGTCTTTACTGGAACACGGACAGGCGAATCTTACATAGCCGCCGACTCTGAATCTTGCGGTTGCAACGTCGCGGGCGTCGTCATCCTTTTTGCCATAAGTGCTAGCATAATGGTCGTACTCATTGAGTGAACTACCATGGCTCCACTTGAGGCGGTTGATCTGGAAGAGGGTGCCCCTGCTCACGAAGGAGATGGCCTCAAAGCTGCCCGTGTCGATGATGTCGCCGGTGACGCGGTCTCTTCGCAGGAGCTCGTACTGGGTGTAGGGCCAGCGGAAGTTGACCCAGCCCTGCGCTTTACGCTCACCGAGCTCGACGTCCGGGAAGGCCGGGTCCGGCGGGAGGAGGTTGGTGCCAAAGGTGCCCTTACTACCGCTGTCGTCGCGGCGCTGGGCACGCGAGAGGATGGAAGCAGCCTTATCAGGGAAACGCCCTCTCAGGCTCACGACACCGCACGTCGCGTCTGGGCGCGTGAGTTGCAGCAGCTCGTGCCAGTCAGTCAGTGACGCGGTGAAGCCATCGCTGCCAAAGTCGAGCGACTTGGCGGGGTGCGACAGCTCGCACGTGGTGAAGCACTGCCCTGTTCAGTTTTGATCGAAGGTTAGAATCAGATAATATCCACCAGGGCCCAGGGGCTGTCCATTGACGACCTTCTAGCGCATTCTGGGTGTGGATTCCATACATTTGGAGAGGTCCGCAAGCCACTCAAACTCGTTCTCCATCGCTGTCATCGTCAATCGGCCATTGAACTGCTCAAGCAGGGCATGTTGAAGATATTTCGAGAGTTGACGGCACGAATTTTCAGCTCAAGTGCGACGCGTCAGTAAGAGGACGCCCACGATAATTAAGCCTAGCACGAGGCTCGACCCCCTGTCGCTGCGCCAAGCCCACCCTCCATCAGCACTAGGCACGGCGCGATCCATCCCGCAGAGGAGTCTCGAATTGCACACCGACCTGCCCGATTGGGGTTGTTTGTGCCACCGAGCGCACAGATGATCGTCGGCGGCCGCTCCGAGACTTCGGGAATAAGCCAGTCTCAACTTGCTCTACAGTCTGATTATTCCGCGCTGCCTTCTGCCACCTATGAGGATGAATCTCTTGATCACATGGACAACCACTCGAGGTATGTTGGACAATGGAGCTCTTGCTGTAATCACCTGATAAATCTAACTGGACTCCTGGAGTCTCTTCCAGAGTTGACAAAATAATACAAACAAGCCCCTTTTCCCTGGACCACTTACCCCCCCGTCACTAGATGCACAATTACCTAAATGTAAAAACTCCCGGGGACGGGATCGCGCATCTCGTGCTTTGGCGCAGTTGTGAAGGCGCACTTGCCGACACCTGGTCGGCTCTTGAAAACACCCCACTCCACCGGGAGCACATAGCCACTCTCCCAGCCTCCTTCCAGAGCGTGGCAGGCCGCGCTGATGGCCCCGCTGTCTATGGAGACCATCCGCATCGTTCCGTCGTAGGTGCGGAAGCCGATGAGCACAATCCCGACTACCGCCATCAGCCCAATATGAAGGCTGCAACCCCGCACCGAGTCCAGTCAGTATCCGATTCTCTGATAATGATCCATGGCAGTCCGCAGCAGTGGCATTTAGACGTAGAGAATTCGACTCACTGATGAAGATGGCAATCGGGCTACATCCGCGGGTGGAGAAGGAGTTCTATAAGTCGACGCTGTCGTCGGGATACACGGCTGTGATGCGTGCCAAGAAGAGGCTCTGGGAGATGAGCCAGTGCAGCAGGGCTGAGGTGCCGTACAATGGGAGGCCGTACCGCAGCGGCACCGAGATAAAGTAGCTGAAGCGCTGGATCCCGGTGGGCTCGGACACGCGCAGCGCCTTGTGCAGGCTGCTCATGTTGCTGAACTCGCGCTGGACGGGAAAGGCGCTGAGCATGACGTTGTAGATCAGACCGGCCGTGGATCACAAACTTGGACGCCCAACCCGGAGAGAACAACGTGGCACGGTGGTTTGCGCACGAGATCAAGTAGCTGGAGCAACTTGCGCGTTCTCCGCCGCACCCCAACCTGCTCCGCTATCACGGCTTCCGCGTCCGCAATGGCCGTGTTACCGGCACCCTCCTTGCTCGCGTGCCTAGCCGCGATCTTTAGTCCCACTTCCAATCCCCTCCCTCCGAAAAAAAAGGCGGCCCCAAGAAATAGACCCGGTAGCTGACGTATTTACTCTCCGTTTGAGATTCTGCGCTGTAGTAGTCATGTCTGCCTACTGGACAACTGATCTTTTCCCAGCTGTAAAGAGGTGGTTCGATCCGTCTACTACTCTTTGCACGACTGTTCTTTCCCAGGCGCCAGCTAGATAAAGAGGTAGTTCAAACCGCTCTATCACCTACCATATTGTCAGTATCGCACTGCTGTGCTCACTGAGATCAAGATTACAATGTGTAACAAGCACACCTTAGACCATCAGCTTGCAGTTAACCCGTGCAACAGCCCAGGACGGCTCGTCGGTTACCCAATTCTGGGGCTGAGTTCACGTGGCTAGACTGAATGTGCGCAGATGATTTAGGGAAGCGATGTCTCGCGACTTTCTCGACGTTGGAGACGCGGTCAAGGAGACAACGAAGTACGTCTCAGGCTCCATATCCAAGGGATCGTCCCCCCAGCACTCGAATCTTTTCGCCTTTTGTCAGCTAGTTTCTAATCTCGGAAGGAGGAGAGGAGGACGAGGAAAGCAACATACGGGACATTTGCAAGCATTTCTTCGCTATCGGGATGGGCTGGGCCTAGGTCGATCAAGGTGGGTGCGCCATCAGGGCCAACCATGACGTTAGTGGGACTAATGTCGTTATGAACGAGACCAACGACATTGTGGAGGTAGTCGACAGCCGAGGCCAGAGTGTTAAAAAAGAGGTTCTTGTCGACCGTTCCACCGTTTTGGTTGGAACTTCGGTCTTTTGAAAAGATAAATAGAGATAAGTTGGAGTATATATGGTGGTTCTAGTTGGCTTGATAACAGTAACTATTTGCACCCTTAAGAAAAATGGACGTTATGGGTTAAGTCTACTTAGATCAATTTAGATATGCCTAGGACTCACCTCGGCTCAGGGTGATGCTCAGTGCGCCTCAGCTCCTGCTCAGGTTCCAAGCCTAATACGGATTTGGCCGGAAAACTTTGTCGGGAGTGGCTGTTGAGGTAGTCGGTCTCTACAAAAATTAAGCCTCATCCAAAGATAGGCCAAAATCAGGCTCGCTTCACCCTCGGCTCACCTTCGGCTTGCCATTACTTACCTCCAGCTCACTGAACCATAAAAAATTAACTTTACGCGACGAGGGACAGGTTTTGGATGGGGGTGACCCATTTCTAAATATTGTATCTACAAAATATCTACCTTAAATCATTATAATTTTTTAGGAAGTGCGTAAAGACGACTAGAGACTACGTGGTTAGCTGTCTAAATACCCGTTACGTAGAGTTTATATCTTGCACCTTAGTGGTCGAATATACATTGGGGAATAGTAGGCGGGCTTAAGAATATCGGTATTGGAATCACCAGGTACGGTACTGGAAGCACCAGGGCGTAACTGCACGCCGAAAACTGGTGGTTCAAGTGTTTATTGTTATGTCTGTGTATCTAGAAGAAAGAGGCGGCCGTAGACCACGTATGTGGAAATCCGGGCGCCTGCGCCTCCACCGTCACCCGTGTGGCTGGTGTATGCGCCACCACCGCCACCTCTGTGGCTGACTAGCGCGTTGTTCCAACAATAGGCAAGGGAAAAGGGGAACTTTTGAAAGAGCTACCCTCTCTTCAAATACTGCCGTGCGTGATTTTATACCTCTACATTGTAATCACCCCTACAGGAGGCATCCAGACCTGTATGCAGAACTTTAAATTCCTATATTTCCAAGACAGTCTCTGTCCAAACACCTGCGAAGCTGAGCCACTACTCCGTCCTTCCAGTCAACGCACTATCTTTCCCTCTTCTCACTATGGAACACCACCGTATAGCACATAACTAATCTGCTCCAGCATCCTCAATACCGCTCGTGTGAGATCTGGGAGAGGAGAATTTCTACCATCCAAATGCCAAATCCTCCGCATGTACCAGGGGAGATCTGTGATACCACTGCTTCTCCTGCATTACTAATAGTAGTACGAGGTGTCGTAAGCACTATTCCTGTGAATATTGTAGTTGCACGAATAGGAGGAAAGGGAGTGAAGCGTGGCCGGCGAAATGAGTTTGCGTACCTTGTTTAAATAGAGATATCATTGATAACACCAATAACCTTCTCAATAAACCTTACACCTACCGACACTCCGTCCTCGTCCTGGAATTCTCGATTGTCGCCAAAGTACATATTGTCCTCGTCTAGACAAGTCAAACACATCTCGACTACTTTACTATATTTGGTGCCTACCTTAGCCCTCAAGGCGCTGCTACAGCTGAGAGCAACGAGGTGGTCTTTCAGCTCAGAGGCGTTGTGAAGCTCCAGCCCATCTCTGGCGAGACCCAAAGCCTTGGAGGGCCGCGCCGCACCGTCAGGGCCGTCGTACGTGACAAACTTCTCCCACATCCCGATCTCCAAAAGGCATACACCGAGGCTGTATATGTCGTGCTGCATAACGAAGTAGTCGACGTTGTTTCCCTGCCGCAGCGGATGCCTGTATAGATTAGTCTCCCAACCCTGGTCGGTCGCCGGGCATGTCCTCCCGTCGACATTTCGGATAACCTGGAAGCCGACTAAGCATAACGTGCTCGGAATACTACCCTCGTCCGTCTTGCCGAGGCTCAGGATCGTCTCAGGCCTGATATTCTTGTGCACGAACCCGTACATGTGAATGTAGCAGACGGCATTGGCAAGCTGCTTCGCCATTTCAAGGCGGTCAGAGAGTGAGTCATGGGGCTGGCCCGACAGAAGCAGTTGCCGAAGGCTCCGGACGATCGTGTACCCCTCTGGAACGCGAAAGAGAAGAGAGAAGCCAGCGTTGTTGGCGTGCCGCACAACGCCTTTGCAGCTCAAGAGTCCCGAGATGAAGGGATCTGATTGCCGAAGACGGCGGGCAAAGTCGCGCACGTCTTTGGTCTGTACCGCCCCGCTAGCGACCACGTCGACAATGAGCCGCTGGGTGACCCCTACGGCGGTAGCCACTGTAGCTAGATGGAACGGGATGGCCGTCCCGGTATAGTCATTCAATCCTTCCTTGGCAATGAAGACGCTCTGGGATCCCGGGCCGGGTTCTTTAAATGCCCTGCGGAAATTTCGGGCAGCTAGGCTGAAATTGGATACAGCTAGAGGTCCGGCTTCAATGGCGTTGTTGAGCGTCTTGTCGACAGCCGGAGAAGCAAGTTTAATCCAGTAGAACCAAGAAGGTTCGTATAGCCTCTGCCAACTTTCCAGTTCCGCTATTGTCTCTTCAAAGGCATCCTTTAGAAATACCAGCTTTAGCTTCCCTGCCATTCCCAAATGTCCAGGCGGGGCAAATCTTGCAAATCTTTGCGTGGCGACCTCCAAATTAGCGAGGAGGATATCGAGGACCCGCTTCTGAAGATGCCTATGCTCAACAGTGGTAGTGCCTTCGAGCTCCTTGGCCACCTCCAGCTAGCTAAGAATTCGCGCCAAGCATACTTGGATGCGAACAATCATTTCATCCATTTTAACGTCAGCTTGCCGGTAGGTATCCCACGCTTGATGTAGAGCCTTTACGCTCCTGCAGCCCTCTTGGTTAATCTTTGCGATTCTCCGTCACGAGGAGAGATTGGGTGCCTACTTTATGCATATATCGAGCACTCCTGGAATACTAGTAACACCAAACGCGAGTTCGGCCATGACGATCCGACTAAAGACGATCGAGTTGAACCTGGGCGTAAGGCTTGGGCGCTAAAGAGAGTGGGGGTGTGGAAAGGGCAAATGCCTAAGTCCTTGACTGGAAAGTAGCACCTGCCTCTGTCGGTGCTAAGCCCCTCTCGGCGCAATCCGCAGCTGCTGCGGCACCGCATTAATGTTAGCCCCTCCCTGTACCGCCACCCCCTCACGAGTTTGCTCTCCAATCGGCGAGCTGAGCCTGATGTGGCCTAATCAGACCACAGTTCTTTTTCAGTCCAGGAGGTTCATCCAAACCTTTGCTAAGACAGTCCAAGCCCAAGATCTACACCGCAATGGAGGACGAACTGCCAGCCCATGTGCGGGACTGCAGACTGGAAACCTAGTTTCCAAAGAAGCGCGTCGTGGTTCACCTCTACGACGGCCCTGATGCGCCACCGTCATCACCACGCCGATTGGAATATTGGAAGAGCGAGAAACAACCGATTGGCTATGGCAGCCAGGGCAGAGTATTTCTGCAGAAATGCATCAGCGGCAGTCGGCTCTATACTCAACGGGCGGTGAAAATGATCCCGCTCCAAGAAGGAAACGGGAGAAGGCGCTACGTCCGAGAGCTGCAAATCGTGATCAAATTTTCTCACGATAGGGTTCGTTTCCCTCGGGAATATTGCTACGCCCTTACGGCTCGTACTAACTTATACCGCTAGTACTCTAGGTACTTTGTAAAATCGTTGGGATGGTACTTGTCGGATGACTCCTTGTGTATTGCCATGGAGTATCTGGCGAAAGGCGATTTAGAGACATACCTCCAAGGCAGTCCGCCATTACCTGAAGACGAATGCCGCCACGTCATCAGCCAAGTTACGAAGGGCCTAAAGCTCATGCACAAAGAGGGATTTGCTCACCGCGACATAAAGCCCCAGGTGCGTAAACACAGGGCAGCCGAATAGCCATGCAATATAGTCAGTTTCTTAACCTCCGAAATAAGAACGTCTTAATCCAACAATCTCCGATACACGATGGGTCCCTAGCCTGGTGGGTCAGACTCACAGATTTTGGCATCAGCAAGCCACTGGAGGCCGGGACCAACACGGCAGTCGGGGTCGGTACTCTAGGATATATGGCACCGGAGCTGTTAGGTTGGGGATTGCCAGAGAGTAGCGCTAATATCAGCTACCCAGCTGTGGACATGTGGGCTCTGGGCGTAATGAGCTTCCGTATACTAATGGGGACCAACCTATTTCCAACCCCTGTGAGTATATTCCAATACTGTGGGCATCCAGAGCTCCACTTGCCCCAGAGCCGGCTAGAGGATCGCAATATCAGCCCAGACGGGGCGGCCTTCATTCGTGCCTTGTTACGACCGCTGGTCGCCCAGCGACTGGAATCGAACGCAGCCCTGCTCCATGATTGGATTCGACCTCATACATCGAGCGCACCGGCGATCCTAGCTACTCATAGCGGGTAAGTTTTGCAGCTCATAGGTTTAGCAAAGCAACGCTAAAATGCACTAATTATTTAGGTCTTCGAACCAATCTTCTAGAAATAGTTTGTTTGACGAAGATAGAGGGATGACGACACAGGTCTCGAATATTACTGATTCTGCAAGCAACCTCCAGATAGGCCCGGGTACCCAGCTAATCTTACGCCCTATTAGGCGAGAACCACTGGCGGGAGCGGGTTGGAATACTGCTATTGCCTCGGAGCCGTCAGCCGCTTGGAGCTATGCCGATAAGGCTGAGGCCTTGCCAGACGCTACTACCGAGGATAATGACGACTGTACAGCTGCTCTTAATACCGCTAGGGGACACGTAGCCACCGTACAGCCGCTCCTCAGGAATGGTGGCACCACAAGCAGCGACACAGCCACGTGGCAGCTCCGGCAGACGCTCGAGGGCCACGTGAGCTCCATCTACTCAGTTGCCTTCTCGCACGACTCGAAGCTACTAGCATCGGCATCACTCGATGGAACTATCCGGCTCTGGGATCCGGCTACAGGGCAGCTCCGGCAGACGCTCGAGGGCCACGCGGACTCTATCTACTCGGTCGCCTTCTCACAGGACTCGAAGCTACTAGCATCGGGATCTACCGATAAAACTATCCAGCTCTGGGATTCGGCTACAGGGCAGCTCCTGTCACGGCACAGCGCATTTCGGGTTCCTTATCGCATTGCCGTGTGACGTCACTTCCCGATGAGCTCAGTTAGGTCTAGCGCATTGGTCACGTGGTTGCGAGCTACCCCGCCGACAACCTTTTCTACTGATCGCACAATTCGCGATTCTTCTTCTTTTTCCTTTTTTCTTCCTTAGCTTAGTTTTACACTAAATCAATACGGTATATTGTTGGCAACAGTCCTTCAAAACCTATTAACCGTGACAGCTCCGGCTCTGGGATCCGGCTATAGGGCAGCTCCGGCAGACGCTCGAGGGCCACGCGGGCTATGTCTACTCAGTCGCCTTCTCGCACGACTCGAAGCTACTAGCATCGGGATCTACCGATAAAACTATCCGGCTCTGGGATCCAGCTACAGGGAAGCTCCGGCAGACGCTCGAGGGCCACGCGGACTCTATCTACTCGGTCGCCTTCTCGCACGACTCGAAGCTACTAGCATCGGCATCACTCGATGGAACTATCCGGCTCTGGGATCCGGCTACAGGGCAGCTCCGGCTCTGGGATCCGGCTATAGGGCAGCTCCGGCAGACGCTCGAGGGCCACGCGGGCTATGTCTACTCAGTCGCCTTCTCGCACGACTCGAAGCTACTAGCATCGGGATCTACCGATAAAACTATCCAGCTCTGGGATCCGGCTACAGGGAAGCTCCGGCAGACGCTCGAGGGCCACGCGGGCTATATCCACTCAGTCGCCTTCTCGCACGACTCGAAGCTACTAGTATCGGGATCACTCAATGGAACTATCCAGCTCTGGGATCTGGCTACAGGGCAGCTCCGGCAGACGCTTGAGGGCCACGCGGGTTATGTCTACTCAGTCGCCTTCTCGCACGACTCGAAGCTATTGGTATCGGGATCTGTCGATAAAACAATCCGGCTCTGGGATCCGGCTACAGGACAGCTCCAGCAGACGCTCCGCGGACCCCATCTACTCAGTCGCCTTCTCGCACGACTCGAAGTGTCACGGTCGCCACAGGGCTCATGTGACAGAATTGATTCTATTGGCTGCATTGTGCTTAGGGTGTGGCCTGTGCGCACTGAGCACCACTACCTATTTCTCCGCGCCCTGCGCGGACCTGGCGATAGATTCCTTTCTCTTCTTTAGCTTTAAATCCACATTCGTTACTGCCTTCAACCATTGACATCCCTACTGCGTAAGGCGGGCCGTCACACGAAGCTACTGGCATCGGGTGGACCCCATCTACTCAGTCGCCTTCTCGCACAACTCGAAAATGATGGCATTGGGATCACTCGATGAAACTATCCGGCTCTGGAATCCGATAAAGAACACTTAGACTATTTTGTATAATTTTTTATTATAGCGTGCCATAGGAAGGGTGTGGGAGGCTAGGTTAATTTATAGAAAAATTTACATCTGTGACGGCCCGCCTTACGCAGTAGGGATGTCAATGGTTGAAGGCAGCAACGAATGTGGATTTAAAGCTAAGGAAGAGAAAGGAATCTATCGCCGGGTCCGCGCAGGGCGCGGAGAAATAGGTAGTGGTGCTCAGTGCGCACAGGCCACACCCTAAGCACAATGCAGCCAATAGAATCAATCCTGTCACATCAGCCCTGTGGCGACCGTGACAACATCTCTACGACCACCGCTCCGCTTTGAATCTCGGGCATCTTTCTACTGCGTGGTTAGGTAGCGAGGTAGGTGGCGAGGCAAGTGGCAAGACAAGTGGCGAATCACGTGCTACGGCTATCTTAGCCTAGGATTAGGACCTTTTTCTCTTCGACGCTCTAGGTGAGCTCTCGTGCCCCTCATTTATTAACCCTGCGTTATGCCCGTACCTAGCTGCGCAGCTAGCAGGACCATCCTTCGAACTGTTACAATCTGGACAACAGGTCCACGGAGCTAGGCCCGGCCTAGGATTGTGGGGGTCTGGACGGCAGGTAGGAGATGACAGGAGACAAGGAGTATCGTGCACAGATTGCGAAAGACAGGCTTTCAACACACAACCAATGTATGCTTAACCAGATGCATTGATAGCTGCAGAACCGTTCTCCAGAGAGAGCGTGCTGCCAGCTCCTATATAGAACTATGAGCAACCAATCAGAGTTCCTGCCTTACATGCTCAGTCGTGCTCAGTCCTAGACGCACTGATCCCCACTGAGCTCCCTGCTCAGTGCGCTCAGTGGGTCTCAGCACTGATCCTACTGAGCTCAGCCATGCTCAGTGCACCTTGGCAATGGCCCCACTGAGCACTCCCTAATTGGATGCACCTTCTCTTAGCGAGAGCCCCACCCTAAGTGCCGTTCCAGCCAATCCGCAGCGGGCGGGCAACGCCCTCTGCACCTTTGAACCAGGATCGTAACACGAACTATGCCACGGACTAGAGGAACGATTCTGATAATGTATAAAGTGCTTTGATTAATTAAATTCACTGAGATGGTCCTCAGCCGGTTCGCAATTGTTGTGGTGACAACTAATGGTACCCATTTATACCCTCTGACCACTTGGCAACAAAGCCAGGCACCTGTGCTTTTGATCTGGTGGCCGAGTTGTTCTCGCCACAGCAACTAATCCGTGGCTCTATAACGCCTTCGGCTCGAGAAAGTAAGCGATGCCAGCGCGGTAGGCTAAAAGATATGCCCCGCGTTGTGCGGCTAGTCGCCAATGCGTGTAGTGGCCTTGTGGGGTCGTGACCCCACCACGCAACAAAAAAGTTGGGTTGTTCGGAGCGCTGGCACCGAGATCTTTGCACGCCGCGCCACAAGACCCCGGCACGTGACCTTAATCAAGCACCGATATGCTTCTTTGGAGGATGTTCCTCCCACTTAGATGCGGAACAACAACTACTATCCGTCTGTATTCTAGCACATCGCTTTCACTCATCCTAGCATTACATTGCCGTGCCCATCCTAACATCACTTTCGCTCATCCTAACATTACGTTTGCTTATCCGTCCTTGCATCACATTTCCTTACCCTAATGGAGTAGTCCAGCCACATACATAAGATAAGGCCTCGCACAGACGCGTCCCTTGGCTGAATTCCTGGAGAGGATACTCGAAGATTCGGCATTATATAGGCGCGTTTTTGTCTTAATACGGTAATAGGCGAAGCAGACGAATACCACCATCCGACAAAGGAGAGTAGTCGTACGAGGACGTCAACAAGGGTGAGTATTCCGCCGTCGGCCTTGCTTGACACTATAGATAACCTACAACCTATTTATATCTAGGCTGAGAATGATTCTCTTCCCATCAGAAGCAAGCGTTGCTTACTCGTCACGGTAAACCTGTACGCGGCCCTGTTACATCTCCGAGATTGCTTTCTGAAACTAATCGTATGAGTAGACGCTGCCTGTATCAATCAGCAAGATAAAGACGAGAGGGGACGGCAGGTTCAGCTCATGGCCAAGATTTATGCCAGCGCCAATCGTGTCATTTTCTGGCTCGAAGAGGTGGTACGTGATAGCGATCAGGCGCTCGGAGCACTAGGCGAGGCTGCCGAAGAGCAGCACACGCGTTCCGTCGCAGATAAACCGAATCAACAATGCCAGCAAGTAATCAAATACTATCATGGGTAACATAAGGCCCGCACCATCCACATGACGATATAAACCAAAGGCCTACACCATGGTACAAATCCCTATAAACCTACAAACATTGAACTGCGATAGAGTCGGTCATCGCACCCTACCGCAAAAACTACTCACGATGGCCCTCAACTGGCATGGCAACAAAGTAATCCACATTCACATCTATCCACACTTCCCGATATATCCTATTCTTCAAACTTCACATTCGTGCCTGATTCGCGTAAGGGCGACGGCACGGGAGAGGAAGGCGTATACAAGGGCGCCAATTATTTCCACTGCTTTGGTTGAGAATTATGTGAGCACAACACTGGGTGGTATTACATTCGGCCATTATGAAGGATGGAAGATGTCAGGAGGGGCGAGCGAGCCACAAGGCCAGTTGGTTAGTTAGTCTACAGCGCCAAAGACGATTCATTTCAACTAGGCGGCATGGCGGGCATGCTTGTCTGACCTGACGTTCAAGACAAGCTAACTGGAAAGCCCCCGCCCGGCCATGATCTTTCCTTTTCCTGTGCCCTGCATTTGATTATATTGCGTGTGCAATAGTGATCTTCTGCGCTAGCAGGTCGAATCCAATCAACCTCCGTGACTGAAACACCTAAACCCTATTCTCCGTTGCATCGACTTTGTTGTGGCATAAACCGCCTTCCCTTCGGTGCAAGCCTGTTTAGCAAAATTATCTCCAAGATCATCTCCGCTCACCCAAACCATAACGACCAAACATAAACCGCTGCAGCGCACCCTCTTCACTTAGTACCTGTCAAAATTATCCTCAGCATCTTTCACTAATGTGAACCTACTTCTGACATGCTGGCGCTTACACGCACTTGCCGCTACCTGTCCATCATCTGGACCACCCACAGCGCTACTCCCCTCTCGCCTCGCCTTTTCTTAGCCATCACTGTCGTCTAACACGTACAATCCTACCTTATACACCCCCCCGATCTTCCACTCACAGGCCTACAACTTCAATCTCTCCTCTAACTCAAAGCCGCCGCTAAACTCCGCCGTCTCGTTCGAACCACGATGATCATACTCCGCGCGTATCACGGCCTCGTGATAGAGAACACAACGGGCCAAGCCTTGTGTGGCCGCGGCAATCCTCGGCCGTGTGGGTCAAGTTCCTGAGGCTATTCCCAGATTGTTAAGTAACGCCAACGCACACAACATTCCCGACGCTTCCAGGACCTTCTCCTCACAACACCACGGTTGTGTATATTAAGCTTGCGTCTCTCCTTCCTTTCATTCTCTTGTCCTTTCCTCATTATCCAAGGATTCTAACTTTGTTAGGTAGCGCAAATTGCAACGCATTTCCGCAACCCCTTACATAATATCCCTGATCCTTCCCTCCATCCGCATTGCTCGCAACTCAATACGCCACACTTGTGCAAAGATACTCTGACACTTAAGAAATGGCGAGGGGTTTTGAAGTTATGCCCGAGGTTGGGAATCTCTGCCGCAGTGTGCAATGAAATCGTGCTCCATTAACTGTTGCCAGGATGTACAGAAGGACATTAATTAACGGAACAAGCATAACCAAAGCATGTCGTAATTAAGGATTGAGAGGCTTTTGGAGATATTCGACCATAAATCGTACGCCATAGTATGGCAAGAACTAAGTACTCGGGATGTAGAGGGCTGGTATGCTGTACGTCCACAATTATTGGGCTCAAACCTATCAGCCTAGTTGATCGGATGGTCAATCTACCGCGCAGCTTCTCCGGCCCTCTTCTGTATTGGCTCACAATGCCAAAGCCACTTGTTACGTCTCTTCCCACTCCATTCCTCAATTGACCCGTAACGGTGATTTCTCGGATAGAGGGAACGGCAGTTACGGGGCAAAGTGAAGCGACCGTTGCATTCACGGGGAAGGTGTCACAAAACTGGGCACACCTCCCCATCCATGGTTATGGCAATTCTAGGTAGCCTGTGCAAATTCCTTGGACTCATCTCGGTTCAGGCGGCCCTCGGTGCGGCTCACCCCTGGCTCAGGATCTGCGATTAATACGGACTCGGCCAGAAAAGAGTGTCGGGGGAGACTGTATGGGTAGGTAGCTGAAGGTAGGTTCCTGGTTTGACTTGGATGTGGTCCCTCGGGGGGTGAGTCGGGCGGCACCTCCCGCTACTGAATCAGCATCAGGCGCCTTTCATTGGGTTAGTGGTGGTCTTCTGTCCCCTCGGAAGGGTGTGGTCCCTGGCCGGCATACCCCGCCCCCGAACCAGCCTCACGCGCCTACCATTGGGTGAGTCGTCGGCTTCTGCAGCTTCTCTGTCGCTTTTCCCTCCTTGCTAGCACGAAAATAAAAAGACCCACGCGGAGCCTGCTTCGTGGCGGCGGCTGCACTGGTGCCGGGCGCGTCGGTAACTCTCGCGCCATAATACCATAGGTCAAATGTCCGAGGCACGGCAGCGGTTGGATAGACGAAACAACTGCCTGTCTACCTAATTACCAGCCGAATCTTCTCTACGTGTTCCTTCTCAGCTGAACGTAACCAAAACAGCCTCGCTGTCGCGAACCACCACCTGCCCACGGGGCCCCAGAGTCTCGACAGTGACATTCCCCACGGCGTCGCCATCCCTAAACGACTGCCCAGCCCATGTGACTTTAGCGGCGTCCTTCTCGTCCACCGACGGGGCAGTCATGCGCTTGACCGTGGCGCCCTGATGCGGCCCGACATCGAGCACTAGCGCCCCCACCGCCGCCCCCTGACCGGCATAGTACGGCCTCAAGTTCAAGACGACCAGCCTCACCGGCGCTCCACTCCCACCCACGAACACGGCATACGCAGCGAACTCACTCGGCTTGACCCCGACGGGTGTCGCCAGCGCAGCAATGCGGGCACTGCCGCCGCCTAGCGCCTCGGCGACAAGCAGCTGCGAGACAAACACGGGCAGGACGCGGGCAGGGCCGCGCTTGGACGACGCCACGGGGTACAACAGGGCGTAGCTGCTGAAGCCGGGCGAGCCGTCGTCGCCGGGCGTGTTGAGCTGCTGGTCGCTCTGAAAGGCCAGCGTGGCGCCCTGGTGCAGGTGCACCGACGTGGCGTTGCGCGCCGCGTACAGCAGCGACGCGGCTGCCGCCCACAACGCCTGCGCGAACGTGTCCGACACGCCCGGCTTGCCGCTGCACGCGATCGAGTTGAACTCGCCGACCACCCACGCCGCGCCCGCATCCATGGCCGCGCGCGCCGACGGCAGGATCTCGACGTCGGCGTACCGCGTGAGGTCCGTGTGGTTGAGCAGGTTGGCCGTGGTGGCGCGGGCGGCGCGGGCTTGGTCGCACGTCGCAAACGCGTACGAGTGGATCGAGTACTGGCCGACCTCGCCCGTGCTGTTGATGCCGGCCGGGATCAGGTCGCTCGGGCGCACGCGCAGCCCTGTCACGTCGGTCGTCGCGGAGGATGCCCACCACTTGCCCAGGCTGGCGCCCACCACCGCCGCGTCGATGCGCCCCGTGAACTCGCGCCACTGCGCCACGTACGCTGACGTGTTCTGCCGCCACCGGCCCGCCGGGTAGTTGGTCGGCTCGTTGCCCAGCTCGTAGTAGGCGATCTTGGGCGCCTGGCGCGCGTGCGAGGCCATGGCGAGCCCGCGCGCGATGGCCAGCGAGTCGTTGCCGAAGTTGAGCGTCGACACGAAGGTGGTGCCGGCGGGGAAGTTGTCCCAGCTGTCGTAGAAGGCCGGCCCGATGGTGGTGCGGTAGATGCCGCCCTTGGCGTTCTCGGTGCGCACCGCCGAGAGGGCCTGGGACGCGTCGAACACCATGCTGTCCATGGTGATGCCGCCGGCGCGGATGATGGGCCGCGCGCCCCGCTCGTGCAGGTGCTTCAGCAGCGCGAACGTCAGGTTGCGCGGCGCGGAGGGCTCGCCGAAGAACTCGCCCCAGAACGCCGGCTCGAACGAGTAGCTGACGAACTGCGGCACGTGCGCCTGCGAGACGGGCCCCGACGGCGTCGTGCTCAGCGAGTAGTATGGTGTGTCTGCGGCCGAGGCGTGGGCTATGAGAGCCGCCAGCACGCAGCTCACGGCCTTAGCAGTCGTGGCATACTTCATCGTGATTGTAGCACGTGGAATTTCACACCAGCACATAAGATAGGGCAAATTGCTGGAATATCGAGGATATTTAACGCTTCCCTCATGAATCACTGTCCGCAGCCCCCGCATGTGTTGAGACGGAATAATTGCGAAAATCCGTCCGCCCGGTTAAGCTGACCAGACGCGACATTTACCAGGAATTGCCAAATTTCCCTGCCAAAGGTTGCGTGTTGCCGTGGCTCAACTTAACCGAGCGGCCGTCGATGCAGATCTCCCGGAAGGATTCGTTTCCTTATTCCTTTACAACCCCTATTTCTTATCGACATTCTGTATTTATGCCATCTCTCAAGAATTCGTCTAATCTGGGATGATGAAAGTGAGGAATACAAGAGGGTGAAAGACAACAAGACGGTGAAAGACAACAAGACGGTGAAAGACAACAAGACGGTGAAAGACAACAAGACGGTGAAAGACAACAAGACGGTGAAAGACAACAAGAGGGTGAGAGACAACCTTAAAGCAGATAAAGCATGGGAGGTATGGTATGTCTGGTCATTTTCAATGTCTAACAAGTGTCTTGCATTCTCAATGAAAAGTCGAGTTCAATAACTGTCAAATCACAATAACGCTTGGATTATGCCGCAATAAAAGCTAGACTCAGTCTTTGTTCGACATGGTTTCAAATTTGCCAAGATATAGCTACATGTTAATTAATTCAAGCCCCCGTCGTTGAAGCTCGAACTTTGGGGAGGTGGGGCCGAGGATAGACGGGCAGCCCCGACTTGGTGTATATATCCCCTCCTATCTTATCAACCCAAAACTCCTCCAGCCCAACAACCCTTTTCTGGTACTGCAACCGTTATCGTCCCGAATACTCTTCTCCTGCCAACCGCAGAACGCTCGACCCAAACCAACCCCGCGCAATTCAACGGCCAGCTTACCACTGCCGAGCTTCCGCCCCATTAGCGGCAGTGTTAGCTCGGTGCATAACAAGGTTTGTACCTGGTGGTGATGGATGCTCAATCACTCGTCGCGCGCCCTAACCTTTCAAGCCGACTCTCTGCCATTCATGGCCGCTGTTGTTGCGCTGAACCAGAGAATCACCAGAGACGAGCCCGTGCTTGGAATGTGGAAGAGGGACCTGCCGCTCTATCTCTCCTGGTGGATTGATAGGGGCAGTCATGGGCCCGAGGCTTTCTAGGACGACCAGAAACCGCCGTGGAGCTAGATTACCATCAAGCATACTAACAAGAATCTAGGTAGAGAAGGGCGACCCTTGGTACACGGGGGACTCGGAGGTGAACTCGTGTGGTTCACTTTCAACTGCGCATCGGATACCACGCTCATGTGGAGTGCCCAGGTCGTCGATGTTGACGTGACCTGGAAGGGCAGGCCATTTTTGTCGGAACTCCTCCACGGGTTATCATAACCTTGGGCCAGGTAGCCTGGCCGCCGGACTCGGAGGTGTTGAAAATGATGACCAATACTCACTCACGCGCCGAGCGCCGCCGACAGTCGGGGAAACATGCCAAATATTGCGACCGAAGGTCTGGCGAGTCGGCCGTAAAGACTAGAGTGCCAGCCACCCCCGAGTTGCTGCTATGGATTGGCCACGAGGGAGATGGGCAGACCGGAACATACATTGTGGCTTACCCCATGATTGTGGTTCCCCACGAGCGGGTAGGTTGGCTGGGGGTGTGCCGTCGTGTCGGTATTGGCAAGATTGCGTGGAATTGCTTGCCCGAGGAACTGGAGGCCGCCAAGACGCTTATCCTCAGCGGACTACGTGTTGTGGGTTCGGTGAAGGTTGGTTGACAAGAAGCGTTGCCTTATCTCCCTCAGTGCTAAACCGCTGGGCTGGGGTTCGCAATGGTAGTTTGAGCAGGAACCAGTGACTTTATCCCTCGCCGGAAATTAATGCATCTATTTCTCCAGGCAGCAGCAAAATGAATATGTTGTAAGAGTTTGATCTGACTGTTGCCTGGATCCACCTGCCTCGGCCGAGGGCCTTGTGGGTCTGACCGTAGCAGCATGACGTTTCCAATCAGGTAGACGTAGATTGGAAGGAGATATAATCCTAGAACGGATATTTTCTTTTCTACTCTATTATTCCCGTCCCAAAGCCTGGCTGAACGCATAGTTTGAGGACCATGGTTTATAATGCCCTTCAACCTCGACGTACCCCGACAAGTCCTCTAAAATTCATCAGCTTCTCTTAGTTCACCGCATACAACGACACGGATCTGAACGAGCCAACCACCATGGCTTCATCTTCTCAGGACAAGACAGTAGACATGGAGCTCACGGAGCGGCTCTCGGCGCTCTTAGACGAGCAGAGAGACACCACCCCCGGCGACAATGCAACCCCATCCTCGACCCTCTACAGCCTCCTCTCACTGCAAGCACTCACCAGCCCGAAAGCCACCAGCCCGACAGCTACCAGCCCGACAGCCACCAGCCCGACAGCCACCAGCCCGACAGCCACCAGCCCGGCAGCCACCACCCCACCCGGCCCGAACAGCGTCCGCAACGAAGCGGCAGGCTTCCGCAAGATCGGCTTCGGGCAGTGCGGGTTGGTCTTTGAGCGGCCGACCTTCGACTACGCCGTCAAGGTCGCGCGGCCCGGCTTCGCCGACGCCCTCGCCACAGACCACGGCGCACACGTCAGGGTCTACGCCGCGTTCAATGCACCACCATCATCACCATCCCCACAGCCTCTCGAATGCCGCGTCCCTAGCGTCGTGTCCTTCCTCCTGCACGACACCAGCAACAGCAAAACCTGGTGGACAACACACGCGCACCTCTTCCCAGCCTCAACCACAGACGACACCACATTCCCGCTCCCCGCCGCAGCACTGCTCACACAACGCATCCCGGCGCTGCCCAAATGCGCCCGCGACGCGCTGGTCACACTCTACTGTCCGCCCGCCGCGCAGGCTGCCGTGCGCGCGAGCCCGACGAACCGCGACTGCCTGGCGCGCATCTATTTGGGAAGGCGGCGGGGGAGCCAAGTGCCCGCTGCCAACTTCACGCTGCGCAACTTCAACCTGCACCTCGACCAGATGCTTGATTTGGGGCTGCCGGTGGCACAGTACGCGGCGGCCGTCGGCGCGGCGCTGGCTGCCATGCACTGGGGCGCCAATGTCGACGGGTACGATGTGGAGTTTGTGCTCGGCGGTGATGATCAGAGTAGAACGGCGGCGAGGATCTGGGTCCTCGACTTCAACCTTTGCACGGCCTGGGACGAGGCCGTTGCCGTGGCGCACCCGGATGCGCTAGTCGCGCAGTTGGTCGTGGCGTTCTTCGAGAACGATCCGTATTTCCCGCTACCCCTAGCCGAGCAGGCGGATGATTGTGTGTTGTGGCATGTTTTCTATGCAGAGTATCGGAGCGCTGCGGCGAGGGTGCTCGAGGGTAAGCCGCGCGAGCTGGCGGCGCTGCCGGGGAGGTTTCTTGATGCGTGTGTGGAGAGGGAGAGGGGGAAGTTGAGTGCTGGGCTGGGGCACGGGCATAGGGATTTTAAATGTTGATGGGGAGACGATGACATCTTTTCTTTTCCGTAAAACACCCCTAGATCCTGATGCTCAGTGGCAGGACGTTTCATGAATCTAGAAGCCATTCTCATCTCAGCCTTCTTTCCGAATTTTGGCCTCGCCTTGCGCCCAGCCCCCACGCCCCCGGGTTCAGCAGAGGTTCGTCCCAGACCTTGACCCCCTCTGGGTCGCTCGAGGTCGGAAAAATCTTCGCCCCGAAGCACCAGAAGCACCCCTCCAAAAGGAAAAAAAATATGAAGAACCAGCCGTAGGCTACCCCGGCCAGGGTTCGAACTTGTGGCCGCACGCTCGAATCTCGGCCAATCAGTGTTCCAGGCGGAGGAGGGGCGCCCTCGGGCTAGGTGGTGATAACGACTTACTAGAATAGACCTAGAATAGGCCCTCAATCCAGTGCCGCTCGGCCACTTTTGCCACTCGATTGTTCTGACCCTTGGCTGTTGACAATTGGTCGTATATAACTACTTAAATAAGCCGTCATTCGAATCCGTCTTCCTCTACGGCACACAGCCCTTCGTTCAATCGCACTGGGGGCACCGGGGTTACCGGGGGCACTGGGGGCACTGGGGGCACTGGGGGCACTGGGGGCACTGGGGGCGCGGCTGCTCGGCTGTGATCGCCCTCTATTCGATTTCTTTTGTTCTGTTATGTGTCCGGCCACGCCTCGTTCGAATTCGCCGTGCCGTCGAAACCCGGGCAACAGGTTTATACATCCGAGTCGAGATTGGATCTCCGACAGACAGGCCGCGACACCCCTAAGTGGGTCTAGTCCGAAGGAGGTCCGGTAAGCGGCGGCAAGTATACGTTAAGGCTAAGCGGCGGCAAGTATACGTCAAGGCTAAGCGGCGGCAAGTATACGTCAAGGCTAAGTGGCGGTGTGGGGTTGTGGTCCTTCAGCCGAACAATCCGGAATGCGGCTTACATATACCGTCGAGGATCCAATCGCTGTCCAGCTCAGGTTTTAGTGGCTGCGGCACTAGAAATCCGTGCTTCTCCGGGACACCGCTCTCGCCCGCTGGATCCCACCTCGGACTTTCCAGTCAGCTGCCAAGACGGTTCCTTGCAGTTGCTCGCTACCACGCACATCGCGTTAAGCGTGAAAGTGTCCGCCTTTCACTTGATGGCGAATCAAGGGCGGCATCTTTCCCGCCCACGCTTACTCTGCAGAGTGATGATTCCTCAATGGTGCGTCCGAGCCGGGATGCGTATTGCATCCATCTCGAACTAGCTCGACTAGCTCTAGTGTTTGGGATATCAATAACATGTCGAAGGATTCACGACAGGGACATGGGGGCTGTGGTTAAAAGCCAGCCGTCCCTAGCTAGCTAGAAGGAACTCTCTTTCTTCCTCTCGTCGACGTCTAGCTTATTTTAACTGTCATTTCAACTTGTTTTGCCTCAGCTAATTAATTACCTACCAACCTAATAATCGGCATGGCCCCAGTATATGATAACAAGGCCCAAGCGGCCTACGACTACGTGCGCCACCGCTATATGATGTCCAAGTCTAGACTAGTCACGCTGACCAGCTCCAGATTGTCGTCGGCGGCGGCACAGCTGGCGCCGCCGTGGCCACGCGACTGAGCCAGACCCTCCCAGATAAGGCCATCTTGCTGATCGAGGCCGGTGCTTCGGCTCTCGACGACCCTAATGTCAACATCCCTGGCCTGTTCGGCAGGGCCTTTGCAACCAGCCTCGACTGGAACTTTGCGTCTGTCCCGCAGGCGGGCCTGAACAACCGCGTCACACGAGTCAACAGAGGCAAGATGCTCGGCGGTAGCTCGGGCCTCAACATCATGGTCTGGGACCGGGCCAGTGCCCCCGAATACGACGCGTGGGAGAAGCTGGGCAACCCCGGCTGGAACTGGGAGTCGATGGTGGCCGCTATGGCCAAGGTCGAGGCATTTACTCCGTCGCTCGACTACGGCGGCACCGCAGGAGTCGGCACCGCCGGGCCCATCAAGACCATCATCAACCCCTACGTACCCGAGCACGCAAAGTTGTGGATCCCAACGCTCAGCAGCCTGGGGGTCCCCCTCAACCTCGAGTCGCTGGGCGGCAATCCGCTCGGGGCCATGTTCCAGCCGAACACGATTGATCCCAAGACCTACACCCGGACCTACGCTGCCAACGGATACCTGCCCGCGGCCGGCCCCAACCTGCAGATCATGACGGACACGCGCGTAGCCAAGATCAACCTCGACGCGTCGCCTGCATCCCCCAACCGCACCGCCACGGGCGTGGCTCTCCAGGACGGCACCGTCATCCACGCGCGCAACGAAGTCATTCTGTCAGCCGGCTCCATCCAGAGCCCCGGCCTGCTCGAGCTGTCGGGCATCGGCCAAAAGGCCGTGCTGGACGCGGCCGGCATCGCCCAGATCGTCGATCTGCCAGGCGTAGGCGAAAACCTCCAAGACCACGTCCGGGTGCAAGCCACGTACCAGCTCAAGGACGGCTACACGTCCAACGACCGGCTGCGCTTCGACCAGGCCGCCGCGGGCGAGCAGATGGCGCTCTTCCGCGCCGGCAGGCTCTCCATGTTCGACTACAGCCTATCCTCGTTCGCCTTCACGAACTGGGAGCAAACCGTTGGCGAGGCCGCCGCCGCCGCCCTGACGGCTGTCGCTACGCAGTCAGCCGCAGCAAGCCCGACGTCGAACTCCTCGGCCGCCACCGTGACGGCGGCCAAGCTGGCCTCTCTCGCCAACGCCGCCGTGCCGCAGGTCGAGCTGATCTACGCCAACGCCAACGTCGGCATCAAGCGGTACCCGCTACCCGACGACCCGCTATACGGCCAGCAGTTCGTGACCATCATGGGCGGGCTGATGCAGCCGCTGAGCCGGGGGCGCGTACACGTCACATGCACCGACATCGACACGCCGCCGGCCATCGACCCCAACCACCTCGGCAGCGCGTACGACGTGGCCGCCGCCGTGGCCATCATGCACTTCGTGCGGCGGGTCGCAGGCACGGCGCCGCTGCGCGACCTGTGGGCCGCCGAGTACGAGCCGGCCCTCGACGCCGGCGCGTCCGACGACCAGTGGCGGTCCTACGTCCGCGACACGGCGGTGAGCATTTTCCACCCCGCCGGCACCTGCGCCATGCTGCCGCGCGCGCTCGGCGGCGTGGTCAGTCCTGAGCTGACCGTGTACGGCACGGCCAACCTGCGCGTTGTCGACGCGAGCGTCATGCCCGTGCTGCTGTCGGCGCATCCCCAGACGGCCGTCTACGGCATTGCCGAGCGCGCGGCTGAGTTTATCGTGCGCGACTGCAAGGCCGGGGGGAGGTAGTTACCCAAGGAAATAAAAGGGGCGGGACGTGGAGGGGCGGGACGTGGAGAGGCGGGACGTGGAGAGGCGGGACGCGGAAGGGCGAGGCGAGCTTGGAATTTGTAGGGCAGAATCAGGTGGAGGCGTGATTCAGCTGTCTGTGCCACGGTGGACTTCTTTGTGTGTTGATGGCACAGCTCGTGTTTGAAACAGCCTGTGAGTCGCGAATCGTGGCTACCCTTGGCTGTGAACATGGGGCCTAGTGATTATGATTGATAATTACGTGCCGAGACAGCTTACGCACTTACTCCTTTCTCAACGCGGCAACGGAATGGCCGTTCTTTTGCCCAATGTGATTAATCAACTCTGCACGCCTATTCAACATTACCCAAGCGCTTCAGTTGGTAGTTGGTCACTCGTTCACCACTGTCTCGACGACACTCGGCTCCAGCTCTCAAGCAGGATACACATAGTATAGACAAGACAGGGCACGGCCAATCGCAACACGCAGTATATTTAGAACCACCACACGAGACAATAAGACCAAAACCCTTGGCGAGCGTCCCTGCCCTGCTTCGGCCTCTGCACGTCGAGTTAGGGTTGGGCGCGAGATTGGCCCGGCGGGATCGGTCCAATTATCCATCTGCCGCGCCCGCCTAATATCCACAGTCGGTACTCGGTAGATTGCCGCCAGGCCGACGCCCTCTTGGCGTCGAGTGGCAAAAAAGCTCCGACGGAAGCCATCCGCTTGCCGAGACTGCAGCTGGACTGAGCTGGGCTTGTGCGTGGACGTCCGGGTCATGGGGTGGAGTTGAGTTGGCTGGTCACACGTCTGGAGATTGGGAGTTGGTGTCAAGGGGACTTGCTTGACAGCCTCGACTTGGTACGAGTGAATAATCTCCCAGATGCCATGAACAATGTCAATTTACATGTACAACAGAGTTCCAGCTAGCCTGGATGTCATGCTGCCAACGCTACCTGCCACAGCAACAACACGCGGTAGCACGACAGGGACATGGCCTCGACGCAGCTGCCGCCAGCATCGCACACATGTACATCTATCTGACCGGGGTGCTGCGGCGCTAGGCTCTTCCAAAAGCTTCTAGTGTAGACGCGCGAGCAAGGGGCTGGTTCCGAGATCCGACCCAGATTCTGGTCGGTAGTTGGGAATCGCGGGGAAGCGCTGTCGTCAACTTAATTACGGACCACTTTGCCGGCTGGCCTGCTCGGGTGGATGAATGCGGCCCCCCCCCTAGCTGTCCCCACGGCATACGCGAATCCATGTGGTCATAGCAAGACACGGTGACACCAGGGGAGCGAGAGCGTCGGTAAGCCGGCAAGCATTGTTGACCATCCATGTGTATATATATATACGTGGAAGCTTGCCGGGATCCGTGGAGTTCGTCGTCTTCTGCTCTGCTCCTTCTTGTCCAAGCCCGTCTATCCGTCCCAAGCATCTTGACCTTCTCGGGAGAAACAAGACCAGAACGCCCGACTCTCCAACATGAAGTGGCTCCCGCTCGTGGCGCTCGCGGTGCCCTCGCAGGCGTACCTGCGGTTCGGATGCGCGACGCTGAGCGTGCAGCGGCTCGACCCCATCGTCGAGCCGGGCCGGCTGCCGTCGTCGCACGTGCACCAGATCGTCGGCGGCAACGCCTTCAACGCCACCATGGACCCCAAGATTGACATCGCCGAGAAGGCCACGTGCACGACCTGCAGCTTCTCCGAGGACTTCTCCAACTACTGGACCGCCGTCATGTACTTCAAGGCCCGCAACGGCTCCTACAAGCGCGTGCCCCAGTACCCCAACGCCCTGCTCGGCAGCCTCACCGGCGGCATGACCGTCTACTACCTGCAGAATGACTTTAGCACCAACGGCAAGGCCAAGATCACCGCCTTCAAGCCGGTTCGTCCGCCTGTCTCTGGGCCGTGCATGAACTCGTCACTGACACAGCGCAGGGCTTCCGCATGACGGTCGGCAGCCCGACCAACACCAAGGGCAACAACCCCGGGCTGCGGTACACATGCCTGCAGGACGTGATGACGCGGGCGCCGGAGACGGCCGAGTTCCCGGCCAAGCCGTGCCCGGCGGGCGTCATGGCCATCCACCACTTCCCGGCGTGCTGGGACGGCAAGAACCTCGACTCGCCCAACCACCAGGACCACATGTACAACACGGGCAAGGGCGGGTTCGTGACGGCGGGGGCGTGCCCGTCGTCGCACCCGGTGCGCATGCCGCAGGTGGCATTCGAGACCATGTGGAATACGACGGGCTTCAACGACAAGTCGCTGTGGCCCGCCGACGGCTCGCAGCCGTTTGTGTGGTCGTACGACGACAGCAAGGGCCTCGGCACCCACGCCGACTACCTGTTCGGCTGGAAGGGCGACGCCCTGCAGCGCGCCATGGACTCGACGCCCCTGCTCAGCAACGGCATCAAGACCCAGAGCGTCGACCAGGCCAACAAGTGCTCCGTCAAGAGCACCATCGTCGAGCCCATTGACGGCTGTAAGTTCTTCTTGGTCCGCGATCCGAGAGATAGCGATGCTGACACTGCTTCTCTCATAGGGCTCGACAAGCTGCCTGGCAACCCCATGCCCATGTGAGCAGCGCAGCGTGACGAGACGAGGACGGTTCTTTACTTGGGTTTGAAGGGAGGGAAACACCGCTCGTTTAGCCAGGGTGACCTTGTTTGACATCGTGTGCGTGAACATTAGCAGCAGTCGGCCATCAGATTGCACAGCACGAGAGAATATTAAAATCATTCCTTGATGCGACCACCCGCTCTGTTCCCTCCGTGCCTAGCCACGCCCGTAACAGTCGTCCGTCCAGAGTGCCCCGTCAGTTTCCCCCTTTGTGACAGAATGACGAGGAGATGACTTGGCAAAATTTTAAGGACGTGGACAACAATAACATGTTAAACCCCCCGGTAAACCCTTCTCAAGGCCAGCGGTCCACAGTTCTGGCGCTGCCTGAATCACAGCTCTGGCGCTGCGGGACCACGACGCGGAATCTGTGTCTGGCATCATCGGCCTCGATTGTGTTGGTGGGGGCGTGTGCCGCGATCTTGGAGCAGAGCAGCTGCGGTATGGGGCACTTGTCTGGGTGGCCCTGGTGGTTTGGCGGATGGCCACATGTGTCGTGCACGCCGTGCGCCTCGGGGAAGGCGTCGAGCGCGGGCACCACGATGCGGAAGCCGCGGAGGATGGCGGTTGCGGGCATTGTCTTTTTTGCTCGGTCTTTTTTCTTTACTTTCTAGGATACATGTGTCGCTGCTCTGCTTCCGGGGACCTTGATGAGTGGGCCTGTGATGGTACTGTTGAAGTAGGGAGGTAGAGAGAGAAAGGTCACAGGAGAATTGGTCAGGGGAGGTGTACATATTTCCGTGAGCTGGTCGGTCGTTCAACACGACCCGAGTCAGCGCCGAACCCTGCCACATAGTTCCACGCTGCTGCAGGCCCATCATCCTGTCGGGCCCCGGACGTCGGTCGTACTTGACCTCGTAGCGCGTGAGCAGGTGCAGCAGTATGAGCTTCAGGGCGTCCTGCGCGAGGAAGCAACCGGAGCACGCATGCATACCGACGCCCCACCCCAGCGTGTCGTCCGAGACAGACGCGAAGTGAAAGAAACTTTGCCGCGTCCTCGCCCGTACACTTCGCGAGGTGCCGCTTGTAGTCGAACTTGTCTGGATCGGCTGCACGTCGGCGTCAAGCCCATAGTTGTACCGCGGGAATGCAATCTGGTAGGACTTGGGAATGTGCAGCCCCTTTGGAATGTGCAGCCCGTCGCGGAACGTGAATGGCCCAGCCGCCATGCGCAGACAGGTTACTGGCGAGACGTGTTAGTAGGCCTAATGGCAAAACGAAACATTGCACACGGCTGTCAAGGTGTTGGCTGCTGGCACTGCTTACTCTGTGTCATGGAGTGGAGGCGGAAGCTCTCCCTCATGAAGCTGTCCAGCAGTCTCAGCTCTCCCAGAGCCTGGCGAGTCCAGACAAAGTCCTTGTCATCTCCACGGACGCTCAACATCTCGCCTCTGATCTCTGCGAGGGCGTCGGGGTGGTCCAGTAAGTCGAACAGCATCCACATTGCCGTCGTCGAAGTGCTGTCGACGGCGGCCGTCATGATGCTGAAAATTCCCTGGGCAAGAGCATCCGGCGTCAACTTCTTCCCGTGTGTTCGGTACTCCTCCAGCAGCCACTGGATCGCGTCTTCGTGCTGCGATGCGGGTCTCGCTTTCTCCGAAGCGCCTCGCACCCTACTGCTGTCGATCTCGGCAGTCCGGGCCTTTAGAACCGGCTCGAGCAGGTCGGCAGCTTCAGACCGGTATTTCAGGACGTCGTGGACACAGGGCTCCGTGTATTTGGCGACCCACCGAAGCAACGGGTAGTACTTGTGCCGGACTAGCCTCGGCGCTTTGACAACAGAGTCGATGTAATCCCGGGAGAGCGTGAGCCATCTGCCCTCACAGAGCTCGGGTCTGACCATGACCCGCGTCGCGATCCGGGCAAAGTTTTGGGCGATGAGATGGTATGGGCTGATTGACGTCCAGTCTATGAGCGGATTGGCTCTCAGTCTCAACCAGAGGGGATTGAGAGGCGTGATTCACACGAGAAAGAAACAAGCGTACCAGAGCATGGCGGCATCTCTTTGATGTATGTCTTTGGGACCATTTCTTGCATCGGCTGGACGAGCTTGTCTGTTTTGGGTTATCAGTGATCAGAGGGGGGGTGGGAGTGCTGAGGCTAGGGTGAATAACCGACTGAGAGCTTTTTTGAGGTCTAGCCTGGCGACAGTTTGGACTTCCTCGGTCATCTCGGGGCCTCGGTCATCTCAGGGCCACATATGTCCTTGATGACTAAGGCCTAGCAGATATCATGAGAATGGTGTCCAAAAGCGCAAGGATTAATTAACTAACGCCACCACGAGCGCTATTACCTCTTCTATGAACAATGGAAAGCTGAGCTTCTTTTGCGGCGCGTTCTTCACTTCGTTGAGATAGCGTAGAGGCAGTATTGCCACGGGGCGCATTGGGTCTGCCGCATTGCGGATGGAAAAGGGCAGTCCGTTTCTCGTGTACTAGAATAGTAGATTGGTCAATATGAAATCGGGGAAAATAAGACTGGAACTGCTCGCTTTTGCATAGCCGTCGGCGAGAAGACGCGCGCCTTCAGCAATATGTCTCTCGGCCGAATTGTCCCCTCGAAATCGAAGTACGGAACGTCAATCTTGGCGATGAAAAAGGCCCGTCTCCAGATGACGGCGAGCAGCACTGCGGCAACGGTGGTAGCGGTGAAGATGAGTACAGCCGACATTTTCTCCTTGTGTCTTTTTTTTTCTTTTTTTGTCTTTTTTGTTGACAATGGAAAATTGTCCATGAGATCAGGAAGGCGGCGCTAATGGTCTTTTATCTTCAAGTGCGGAATCCAGCCAACAAACATTGAATACAGCCGGATGCTTGGTCAATTTCTAAGCACTGTGTGAACCGGCGCCGGATGTGCATTGCCAAGGATTGAAGTGTTCTCGGTGTAGATTCGAATCCCAAAGACTCGAAGGCGTGTAGTGGCCAAGCCTGTTGGTCCATTGCTGGGCGGCACTAGCACCCAGCATTTGCAGATCAATTACCCAGTTGAGGTGGTAAGGAAGGGACGGAGGAAGTGGACCGCAGAGTTGGCACGTGAGGACAGTTTAGCACTGTGCAGTTGGGTGCAAGACTGTAAGCAAAATCACCAACCAACCCAACTAACCCAACTAACCACACCAACCCGAGCCAATCAAATAATTAGAATTATGGGTGGACATCGGCTAGTACGGATAGCTAGCCCAGAATCAAGATCGCTTCAGCCTCGGCTCACCTTTAGCTCACTCACCTTGGGCTCACCCTACCTTCCACTATGCTATAAACCCTACAAGTCTACACGGCTCTCTCGGGGACGAGTTCTGGGCCTCTCTTGCTACTGGCCAGAAATGAGGCTGGATAAGGGGGACTTACTCCTGTCGGCCTAATATCTGATAATAAAAATATTTAAAACGGTGATCCTAAAAATGGACCCTAGCATGACATCTCCATAGGAACTTTTCAGCTGATCAATTTCGGCCAGTGCAATAGACAGTAGTTCTCGGAATTTGGTTTGGATTGCTGGAAGCTAAGCTTCTACGCTAATTCACTCGTAGCGCTAGTCGTTGGTCTAAGTCTTGAGTGAGTCGACCGGTGTCAATGTTAGACGATATGAAAGCAAGACTAGAACAAGGATATACGGCAGATAAGTACTATAGAGACGTTACCACCAAAGTCAAACGACGCACGGAACGCGCTCGAAAGATACAAATCGAGCCATAACAGTACATGCCATAATTACCAGCGCTTAGTCTACGCTTCGGCATACTCTTTTATGAGTAATACAGTCTATGATTGTCGTAATTCATTTTTCCCAATTACGTTACTGCCGTCGCTGAGCATAACAAATAATCATGTCGCTGAGCTCCGTCCGGCAAGCGGTGGGCTACGCAATCTCGGCGGGGCTGGGCTTTGGCACCTGGATCTAGCTACCAAGTCCAAGCGGCAGCGGCTAGGCGAGAGCTGCTGCTGAGGAGTGCGATATCTGCCGGCATCAGTGTCAATCCTCCGCGAACCGACCGTGGCAGCTGCCGCCTGGCGCCGTGGCAATTTTCGCAGGAGCTGTCGGGGAGCAGTGCCATGGCTGTTGGGTCGTGAACTTCGCGGTCAAGTTTTGTCTTGCCGTGGCAGGTGATAGTCTCACTCTCGGCGGCTCCCCCTGGCGGGAGGCGACCGGCAATTCGAATGACATACAATCCCCTTCCTGTCAGATTGCTTACAGCCGGGCTGTAAGGGAGGGCAAGGATGCGGGAAAACGGAGGCGGGACCTGATGAATTGGTGGCGTCGAGTGTTGAGCCGGCACTCCTCTTTGGGTCTAACCAAGGAGACAGATCGCCTACCGTCGCTGCAGGGACTAGCATCGCAATTTTGCGAGATTTTGGGAATGGACCTGAAGACGCCTGAGACATTTGATGGGGCATTGGGTATCCAGTCTCGCGCTGGACTTGGGCTGCACAGCGCAGGTGCAGGATCCAAAAATGTCTAGAGGGAGGTCAACGGCCCCTTTGCGAGACCCGCCTCCTCCTAGTACGCTGCCTTCATGGTCCTAGGCATCTTGCTGCTACCCTATTGACTTTCCCCCGGATACAGGAGCTACCACGGTGCTTTATCCTCAAGTGATAAAATGCACCGTCTCCCCCCCCCCTCCCCCCGAACTTACCAGCCTCTCTCAAACTGCAAGGACGCATCATAGATCATAGTGGATATAAATAAGCCAGATACGAAAACGAGTGGCGAAGGAAAGAACGATGGAGGCTTCCCTATCCTAGTGGCTAACTATTTTCCAGACGAAACGCCAAGCGAAATCCAGGCGCCGCTTGCCGGGAGGTGTCTTCTCTTGAGCCGATTTGACACTGATAGTGCCCCGTATATTCGTGGTTCGCAGTGGACGCTCATGCACATAGAGCAGGCAGTCTCGCGAAGCCCCAACAACAAGGACCGATTTATCAGGGTCGGAGTGCTGACGCTAGATTTCAACTACAAGGATTGCGAAATGTCGGGGCATTGGGATGGTAATGCACGGGAAGGGCTCCTTCGATCTTACTTTCGGGATGAAGAACACGGCGAGGTCGGGCTTATTTAGTCGAATATATAAGAACCAACGGTAGTTTGGTATACATCATAACGGATTCTTGGATTGTCGGCGGCTGAGAATAAACTACCAGTTTTACTACGTTGAGTCTCAACTGTCAAGATGATGCATGCGTTCACAGCCAGCCTGGCCTGACCCGTGCCACGAAAAGAACGACGAGCGTCTGCGCAAATCGTCAATCTCTAATTATCTAGCGTGGGCAGTACTGCAGTGCAGCGTACCTTGAGATGAGATGACGTTACACGTCACATCCGGCTCGGCGAAAACGAGCCATCCACAGTCATATATATGTCACGAACATTGATGCGATGTGCACGCACTCCCGAGTCCGGGAACGAAACCAGTCTAGATGTCTAGGTAGTCCTAGATCTTACATATAAAGAGATGGACCGTCTCCAATCTGGGTTCATCCGTCCAAACAAAGTTACGGTCCAAACCCCCATCATCCGAATTATAGCAAGCAGACACGATGGTGAAGTAGGGGCAAACGTTCATTATTTAAAGCATGTCAGAAAGGAGTAACAGCTCTGCTGGGCTGTGAATCTCTTCGCACCTAGTATGGGACAAGAGCGTGTAATTCCGCCATAATTTCATTCCTGTTGACCTATAGATTACTTGATTACTTAAGTTCATGACCCGGAAGTTGGAACCAGACCAGTCGGCCTGCCAAAGAAGAATAAAAGACAAGAAATTGCTGCAGCGTGGGGGTTTGCTTTTCTCCCCCAAATAGAAAGGAAGAAGGAAGATGTGGATAATTACGGAGTAAAGAGTCTCACACCCTGCTTCGGTTCGTTCCCGGTCCCGACCGGCTGCGATCTGCACATTCCCCACTGCCTACCGGTAGCAGGTTGCCCCCTGCTCTACCCTATTTGTGTTTGCCTGATGCTACCTATAATTATCCCCTGTCCCCATTGCTCTGTTAGTTGCCGGTTCGGGAGTCTGTAACGGCTAGGGGGGGGGGCACGGTCCGTTTTTGTCTTCACACCTGTCTTATTACTCCGTACCCCTACGGGCTATCTTGATTGCTGACCGCAACTGGAAGGCATCTTTCTCAAGGAGGGTGAAAAAAAGACTAAACGTGTGTGGGTATTCTCGGACTGTTACTCTTCATGTTTTCCGGCGTAATTAAAAAGCAAATTTAACTACTTGTCAAGGTATTGATTTGTATAGTAGGACCAAGACACGGCCCCGTCGCTCGATCCGTCCCCTTGGCTGCCAGTCCGAAATAGGGGGGGCCACCTTCAAGCCCCAAAATGAGCCTCAACCAATGATAATTCAGAAAAAAGAACCATAGAAACCAATATGATTGGCTGCGTTTCTTTGAAGGATCGGGCGTCAAGAAAAGAGTTTCTGGCAGCCGAGGGAGACAGCTTGGCAGTGCTCTGCTGTTCGCGGGCGGCAGGGTCTTGGCATTCAGGAATGGCGATCAAACGCCAAAGCGGTTGGAGATGGAAGCTAGCGCAACCAACGGCCCAGAGTCTCCAATGGATAAATGAATGGGTTTAGATAAAGACGGCTACGGCTAGACAGAGGACGAAATCCGAGCAGCATTGACGATGGCTGCTGTCCTCGGCCGTCTTCCGTTTCCAGGCCTGCAACTACGTGAATCATCATCATCAGTAACAAAAATAACAACAAAAAACAACAAAACCATAGAAACTGCCACCCACCCGCCAGCCCCTTGACAAATCCACGCCTCACCAGCACACCCGCCTCCTCGCCCCTCCATCTCCACAACCAAAATGGGGCTCGGAGGCGTGGCATCGTCGGCGAGCGACGCAGTCGGCAAAGCCGCCGGCGCGGGCCTGAGCCCGACGGCCCTGATACTAGTGCTAGTACTCATCGCGGCGCTCGTCGTCGCCGCCGTCATCATCACCATGCACCAAAAGAGCAAGAAGGAAGCAGCCGGGGGCGAGCACGACGACTCCAGCGGCGGCTGGAAGGAGTCCAGCGACCAGGACTTTGTCGACCCTACTTCTGCCAACACCACCACCGCCGCCAGTGGTGTTCACAGAGAAGATGCGCTGCCGAGGGAATTCCCCATGCCGGGCATGGACACGGTAGCCACTGAGAGAAGCGGTGGCGGTGATCGTCTAAGCGTGGCGGCCGCCGGACTGCGCGAGAGTGTCGCCACGCCGTTCAGAGCCATCGGCGCTGCCCGCCACCAGAACAAGCAATACGTCCTCATCCGGCTCGACGACGTTGAGCGCGGCGGCGGTGCCGGGCCCGCGCTGAGCGTGCCGGACCGCGCGCTCAGTCCGCGCAGTCCGAGGCATGCGACTACTTTTTAGCTTTCTTGTCGTTTTAGGGCCACGGGTTGGCGTTGGGGAGATTTGATATGTTAACGGACAGAGGGGGGAATTTTGTCATCTTGGTGTTACGCGTGGTGCGGGATAGTGTCGGTGTATATTATCTGCAGCAAGAAGGAGTTGCGGGTTGTCTTTAGCTTTTTGCTTCTTTTTTGCTTTTTTGGTCTTTTGTCTGGAATACACGTGTCCGGCCTCCTAGCCCAGCAGGACTACGTGTCTGTGTCGTCGGATGTGATTCCGCGCAGCCACGGGTGGACCAGAACCTCTTCAACCGATATCCTCTACGAGGGCTCAAAGGCCAACATAGCGCGCAGCAGGTTTAGCAGCTGCTCCCTCATATCCGGGGAGAGGTTGAAGGCTTTCTCCTCGACGAAGGACGCCAGGGGCCACGCGAGCGGCTGGCTTTCATCGAACCAGTTCAGCTTCTCCGGGTTCGCCCAGCCCTCGAAGTTCTCGCAGGCCTAGTCGGCAGAGTACCCCGTCGTCCACGCCGACGCAGCGTGCCGAGAGTAAACCGCAGCGTGCTGAGCAGCGCCTCGAAGCTCTCGAACCCCAGGATGACGAGTAGACGCCGCGCCTAGACTTCAAAAATGCAGCACGCCAGTGCCCACACGCCGGTCGCTTTGGGCGGGGCGTAGCTGAAGCAGAGTTCGGCGGGAAAGTAAGATATTAGAATACCCAGTCCCGTAGGCGGCTTGTCGGCGCCGAAACTTTGACCGAAGTCAATGATACGAACATGTCCGAGCAACGCCTCGAGGGCTTGGACGACTTGGTCAGGGCCGTGTTCTGTGGCCAAGCCATTGTGCAGCCGAAGGTCTGCTGTTTTCACAGGGCCGAAAAAGTCGGATATTTGAGTCTCGCTCCGTGTCGAGATTTTGGAGCTCGAATAGGATGTTGGCAGGAGTCAGGTCTAATTTGGAGAAATTTTTGAGCACCTCGTTATATTCTTCAACTGGGGGTGGGGAGGGGGCTCGAAAAGTGGCCTACCTCCATGACAAATTCCTTGCTTGTGAAGAAATGCCAGTCCATACACTACTTGTCCGCACGCTCGATTTCGAGATGACACCGAGAGGTGCTGCCACATCCGCCTCAGGCTTGGCCCGAGCACGGGGTAGACGAGACAAGCGTCTCTCAGTCGCCGCATGGTCAACAACTCCTGGTCTTCATGGGCATCGGCGCACATGACTTCGACGGCGTATATCGCTGGTCGACACAGCACCGGGTCCACCACACGGTTGCAAAGCCGCCAGCCCCAAGCTTGCGAATGACCCCACTTCTTATTCCCGATGGCCTGCCAAATGGTCACAATAGCAACTGAAGCGAGGTAGTTCTCCGTCATGCTCTTCTCCGCGGGCGCCTTCCCTCTCGACAAGCTGTGGTATGGACTGAGCAGCTTTGTGGTGGAACCAAGTGCCCCCAGCTACAGGCTCATTCCCACCATCACAGCCGTGGGGATGTAACACCAACCGTAGTGCGCTGTGGATAATGACTCGTCACTGACCTCAACAAGTCCGCCATTGCGGTTCGACTGGCGGTATAACAGCTCGAGGGTAATAATCAGGGCGGAAAGCGCCAGTAGAATCAGGACTCGGCCAGTTATTGTCCCGGTGGACGGCTTGTAGCGTCCTCCGTCGGACGCTTCTGGAGAAGGCTCTTTTTTCCTTTTGCAGAAGGGCGAAGCTGCTATTCGGAACAAGTTCCTTGTGCCGTGGAGAGAGGCGAGCAGCAGCTGGGTTGTCTTGAGCTTCCAGTCTAGCCAACACACCAAGTGCAGGCGACGTTTGGCGGCGGCGGGTTTTTTAGGTCCGTGTCTGGCTTTCGAACTTAAAAGACGCGCATCTTCGCTAGTAGTGCTCTCAATGCGGAAAACAGGTCTACCGTCGTCTGTGGTGACGATGTTTGTTCGAAATTCGGCGTGTTTGAGGAGTTTAGTGAGTGACTTGTTACTCACTAGCCCGGTTCCCTCCAGTTCTGCAATAGCCGACTTGCTCCTAGCAAGCACGGCTGCTAAGCTCGCAATAGTTGATATATCGCAAGGGATGACGACCTTGGGTGACAGGGGAATGGGATTCCCCGCCAAGAGACATAATAGCAGCAGCATAGACTCCAATAGCCAAAAAGACACCGAAGACACGATGGGCCTGCCTGTCCTCCTTGGCTGCCGTCATACCGGTGAGTGGCGTCTGCGCTGCAGCCTTGAGGTTCCGATTCGCTACTTGGGCGGTGACGAGGGAAAACAATTTAGAGAGGGCAGCTTTTCTATCGCCAGCGAGTCCCCTAGATATGACCATGTCGACTAGGTCGTCCATATTCTGAGGTATGGGCCTACTTGATTCGGCCGTAGTCCGCACAAACTCGGTTAGAATCTCCCAGCGCGTGATGCCGTCAAGGGAAGTCGACTGCTGAGCCGCCTCTGCACTCCCAGGAAGAGAAATGAATAGCATGAGAGGCCCATTGGCCGTCTTGTTGAGTGTGACGCTCGCTTTGCAGATGGAATAGCTGGGCACACGCCAGGCCCAGGCTGGGTGTAAAGACGCCGTAACCGTCCATGTCACCCCATATTGCCCCGAATCGATCGATCTTTGCAGGGCTTACATCTCCGCATGCGCAGCCGTTATACGCAAACGTTCTGGCCCCCGTGAATGAAAGGTAGAACGTGTGGGGACACGAGGGTGATTTCATGGCGAACGCAGACCGGGACTTCTCTGTGGTGATCCCCGGATTGCTAATAAACTGAGAAGACGATTCTGGGAGTGTACTGGCCAAGTATGTATAGTTCGCTCTTGTAATTGTAGTGACTTCACAACTCAGGCTCGCCTCAAAAACATCGTCGACAACGGTCATGCTATCATGAGCAGCATCTGAGGAAATGATGGTTAGTTGCTGTATTTAGCACCAAAATGGTCCCTGACTAATACGGTGGGAACATACTATTAGGCGAGCTAAATCGTTGAAAGGCAAACTGCCCGGCCGTGCCCACAGGAAAGGAAAGGTTCGATGTCAGAACGGCATATATTTCGATTGCGGGCCCCCGGCCTGTAGGAGCTAGCTTTGTAATAGAGAACGCCTCGTCTGCTAAAAGCCGGGCGCCCTCGCGGCGAATGACAAGCGAGGATGAGACGAAAATGCCACTGGACGCAACAGTCGCGCCCTGTATTATGAATGACGCTGCGATGCCTGGGCACACCAGCCAATGCTGTCGGCGAATAGAGACAAACAAGAGACAAACAAGAGACAAACAAGCTAGTGAAGCTTATGCTGTCGACGTAGTCGACGTAGTCAACGAGCAGCCCTTCGTCTGCCGGGCAGAAAGTGCCCGCCATAGCGACCCATGGGGCCATCTGCTTTACGCGGTATTCGACTGGCGCCCAGAACGCGGCAAGGAGAGTGAAGGCCGCCGTTGGGCCGTAAACCCAGAGATAATACCAGCTCGGGTTGGCCGTCGCTAGGCCCTGGTTCCGACTCGAGATGGCGTGTTGGAATGTGTCAAGCAGAAGGGCCTCGAAGGTTCTAGATAGAGACTTCGCCACCCACTTCGCCACCACAATAGTAGTATAAGAAGGGGCTTTCTGGCACTGCCAGAAAGCTAGAGAGAAGAACACACATCCACAATCCATCACTTGAACCACCAGCTTTTCGGCGTACAGTTACGCCCTGTTGATTCCAGTACCGGTACCTTGGTGAATCCAACAGGCGAAAAGAACCACAAACGTGACGATTAAGACAACTAAATAAACAATAAAGCCTGTAAGCGTCCAGGGACGAAGAGGTATGGGTGTCCAGAAATTCGGCTGTTTCGAAGGCACACTATCGGCACATCGAACAGTTGTGGCCCGACTGGCGGTGGTGGCCAAGCTTCCCACGGCGCCATTGGATAACGGTTGCATCATCAAGACAAAAAAATTCAAGAGAGAATTCAAGACGCCTTGGGTCGCTGATGTTGCCAAGCTAAACATTCAAAAACAGAGGTTGATGTCGAATGGAAGGGCGATTTCGGACCGGACCGCAGCCAGCATAGAGAAGCAGAAGGGAGCTGGGACGAGAAGGCTGCAAGGCAGCAGCAATCTCATTTGCAGTCTTAATTAGATTAGACGATGCATTCATCCCTCAGCCCCAGCTGACGATGAACAGATGCTTTTTCTCGGAGATATCCGACTGCCTAGCCGTGCAACCTCTATTAACCAATTAAATCGTCTCCATTGATCGATCTTCTTCACCTAATTCCCTATTAGAGAGAACCTCTATAATACAAGGTCTAATTATCCACATCTCCAGCAGAACCTTGTGTGCTCTAACCACGTAAGGTTGTCTTCATAGGACTCTAAGTCGGAGCAGGGCTCTCATCTTCGTCATTGTACGCACGTGTAATTACCTCCTGAACTGAAGGAAGGCTTGCCAAACTAATTACATAGGCACACCTCGAAAATACTCTAGGGCGGAAAACTTACAAATCCCTTGACATGTCATCCGCCCCGCAGAGCACTACCATTTATGATGGTGCGCAGCGCGGGCGTTGATGGCCATGATTTGAAGGATGGAAGGATGACCTTCAATTTAATGACTACGGGACCACTAGCCAGACCATAGGTTTCTACTTCATAACCGCGTCTAGCATTTGCTAAATAAGGCATCTCATCTCATACGTGGTTTTGCCCGTCACTGTATTCGGCACGAGCTGCTGGGGGCTGGGGGCTAGCAGACCAGCAGACCAGCAGACCAGCAAAGTGCCAAACCAGCCAATAGAATGAGATGAGGAACCTCTTTATCGACACGTCAAGACCATCAACACAGGCGCCGCCGACGATCAAGTCTATCAATTAGTGCCGGTCAGCAAGCAAGCTTCAGCCGCCTGGGCAATACAACATGTTGTAGAACTAAACCGATAGCGCAGTATTTGCACCTCGTCTTAAAAAAGGGGTCACCAATGGAGAAAACCCGTCCGAAACAGTCAATAGAGACTCGTCACGTTGATAGGTGCGCACGACATCGCCGAACGTGGGATTACTGGCAATGCTCCTGTCTAGATAGAAATGGTGCAAAGCCCGGGAGATTATGTCGCACAGGTCACAGTTGCCACGTCTAGGAGGATTCTGGCGCCATAGGTGCAGCTCCCCGTCCAAGGTGAGTCGGCAAGAGTCGCACAAGTGCCATTTCTTGGCGACGAGTTCCCAGTCGAGTTCGGGTTCGGACGTTCCTTCTCTGGCGTATGGAGTATCATAATCATGTGCGATTGGTGTAGACTTTGTGGATCCCGTGGTACTGTGTCGTTCCACTTTTGGCGATTCGAAGCAAAAGCCGCATTGGCTTGGACAGCGACTCGTGTCAAAGGCAAGTACTTTAAACCTACCGCAGCATCGCTAGGAAATGATTAGCGATGGCCCAGTACCTAGCAAATCTTCACAGAAACTTACCCGTCGTAAAATCAGACCCCTTGAGATCAAACAGGGGCTCACCCTCGTCCGTCTCGCTACCACTACGGACGAGTAACTAGGTACCCGACGTCCTGATATTCTTGGCCAGGGTACCAAGTCACATGGACATTCTGACAGCAGAATCATGTCAATGTGGTCTGTGTGGCTTGACGGGTCGCTACTGCGTTGCGACTCGTTAAGAAAGCTATTACAGTGAAAGACAACAAATTAAGAGAGAGACACAAGCGGGGTTATCCAGGATGGATACGTGATCACAAGACGCAAGCAAGCCCAGAGGATAGGTAAATAGGGTAGAGAGGTGGATAAAGTGACTAGTCATAATTTGTAACTTGCTGCCGCCTTCATTTATTGATTCGTTGGCGCAAAACATGAGATGGGAGTGTGGCCTGGTGCTCGTTGCGTTGCGTTACGTATTCCTATATTTACAAAGTATCCCACAAGTTGCCCTCTTCTCCCTCATCAAGACGGCCTTCCCACACACAGCCCAGCCGGGCCTCAGACGGCAGTGGCAAGACGTGAAGGAGCAGAGTGGAAGGGGAGTTCTAATATACCAAGTCGAGAGCGGTGAAAACAAATAAAATTTGCAGACATGAATTAAGTTAATTAACACAGAACAGGCGCAGAAGAAAAAGGCTCCCCGCTGCCCGTGACGAAACCCCGAGGGAAAGAGACCTTCTTTCTCCAAAGCCAGTCTCCTAACCCCATTGCATAAATGAAGAATAAAATCCGGGAGGTGTTGTTATGCAGAGGACAAGAGTCGGTAGTAATGTACAGGTCCCAAGACACGCCCGGCATTTCGTGTAATGCCACGTAAGCTGTAGAGGTAGGGTGGGCGAGCGCGTTATGCGGAAAAATATAGCTGCAGAGCGCGGAAAGACAGGTTGCGGAGTCGGTGTTGCGAAAAGACTTTGACTGGCAGAGATGGCCCATCATCTGGACAGCAAGGGGGCCAGTGGTGGTGAATGAACGAAGCACTGGTGGGCGAGGGTGGGCGACAGGCGTTTCCAATCCCATCATAGGCTTTCTAGCAACAGTGCAGAACACCAGATTCGCCCGTCCCCTTCTCCATATCCCTCCCCCGCCTAGATGAACATGCTCCCGTCTTGTGTGTTCCCATGATATTCGTCGTTTTGCAATTGTCGTGCATGCGTCCTGGCCCACCGTGCTCTCACAGCTGGCGAGGTGTGGCGTTGGAAGAAGCACGCTCAGAGCGCGGGCCTCGCTGCGCCGCTGCCGCCCTCGCGTCCCAGGGCGGCGCCGACGCGCTCGGCCGTGTCCTTGTCCTCGGCGCCGGACGTCAGCATCTCGGCGCCCATCTCGCGCATGCGCTGCTCCTGCTCCATGGCCATGAGGTTCTGGTCCTCAGACAGGGCAAGGGCGAAGGGCACGCCGACGAGCAGGGCGCTGACGCTCAGCGCCCAGGCGGCGCGGCCGCAGAAGAAGAGCGTCGTCTTGACGAAGCGCGTTGTGCCCTGCACCTTGTTCCACATCCACCCGCGCGCCGTCGGCGGCACAATGTCGCGCAGCGCATAGAGCCGCTCAGCCAGCGACTCCTCGAATGGGTCGTAGTTGCTGTCGGTAGAGATCTCCGAGTCTGTCGAGACAGGGTGAGCATTAGCATTGGCTCTCTTCTTCCCACCCATCCCAGTCACTGTGTCTTCACGCCCTGCCATAACGCTCTCGCAATTCCCCGTGCCCACCCACCCGACTGACTGCCGGTTGCTATGCAGGCACGAGGAGCGGCAGGCCCAGCAAGCTAGCAGCTAAAAGCCATCCAGCTGAATGACCGCCCCCGCAAAGGCCGATTGCGCGAAAGGACGAGCAAGGCGTGAATTCAGAGAGGACACCTCCCCAAGGGAAATGGATCTCCAGAGTTTGCAACTACTCACCGGTATCTGTGAAGTCGTCGTCATCGATCTGCTGGGACTGCTGCTGGAAGTGCTCGTCCTCGACCTCTGTGAGTTGAACCATTGTGTCTGATTTCCTCGATCTGTATCGCTGAATCAAATAGTGTGTATGCCGGCAAGTAGGCGTGGGTCGTCGACGGCGGAATACCTTTAGAGATGGCGAGTAGGTGCGTGGTTTCGGTTTTCGTCGACAATGCGTTTCTTGGTCTCGTCAAAGATTTTGCGACTCGCCCTTCCGTAAATCGTCGTGAGGCGTAGACGGGTTTTCTGGCCGCTAGGCTGGAAACGGACTAGTGCGTAATGTAGGGCAGAGAATTAAACGGTCCAATGTGGTGTCATCCGTCTTTTTTCCTTTTTAGGTGTGCTCGAGACCCGTCTGCGTTTAGTACCCGGTAAGCATGTTAATGGTAGCTACAACTTACTTCTACACAGCGGAACAATGCAAATTGTTATTATTCACTCCAATTGTATGGCCTTGACATTTTCTTCCAAAATTGTGATATCTCAGGTTGATGCAGTAATATGGTATGTATGTCAACCTCCACTCCCAAGTCCAAAACGAGATTGGGGGCATGCTAGAAAGTCATGCGGCGACTTCTTGGAGATTGCACTCATCTATCGAAAAAGGTCATCATATCTCACGATGCAATATGCAATACTACCTGTCTAAACACAATGCTTTCTGCTTGTTAATATGCCAGAACACACACGCTCTACGCTGCTCGCTTGCTGTAAACCGCCTTCGCAAATCACTCCCTCCCCTTTGCTGGCGCATCAGCGAACCGGATTCCTCGCTTGGGCGGCGGGACTCTAGGGGTATCATCATCGTCGCTGTCACTGTCCTCGCCCGCCACCGCCGAGGAAGACACGCCGAGCGCTGCCTCTCTACGGCGTCTTTCCGCAGCTGTCTCGCCCTGCACGTCTCCAGGCTCGCCCACTCCCTTCAGCACCGCCAGCCTACGTCTCCGCTCTACCGCTGTCTCAGGCGCATCTCGGCTTGGCGCATCCGACGACGTTGTCCCCATCGCTACCGGCGACGGCGACCTAGACAATGACCGTGATGGAGATCTCGACGTTGTTGCACTGTCTTGTCGCGGCGTGTCTCCCATTTTGCGTCCCCGCTGTGCATCGCTGCCGCTCGGAGAGGCGGTTTCTTTACCACGATGAGAGCCCTGGGCCGGGGATGGTCTTGGTTGACTCGGCACCGGGTCCTGCTTCGCGAGCGTCTTGATAGTGTGCGACGCGTTGGACTGGTCGACGATTTCCCACCGGGTGCTCGTGTCCAGTTTCTGCATCTTTTGGATGAAGTCCTCTTTGGTCATCCGTTGACCAACACCGCCGATAGTGAACCGGATGTGACGATCGTCTTCTTCTTCCTCCTCCTCCACGACGCTCTTCTTCCGTCCTTTCGGTGTTCCTTTTGGAGTCGAAGACTCCCCAGCCGGCGACCGTCCAAACGCACCTGAGGCCCATCCGGGCACACTTGTTTTTGATGGCCCAGCCTTTCCACCGTCATCTGCAGGACTTCCAACCGCGCCTTGCTTGTCTCCGCCCTTGACCAGGCCACCCATTCCCATGTATTTGAGGCCCTGGCTGACGAAGTCTCCCTCTCCCCTCTGAGGAGTGGGCAACTCGTATTTCTTGATAACCTCGCCGTCTTCGTTTTCCACAATGATCTGTCACCGCTGTTAGCTTCACCTGACTGGTAAGAGGAACCCACAAAGACTTACGGTTGTGCCAAATTTGTATGCTCTGGCGGGCTCACTGCTTCTGCTCATCTTTTCTTTTTCCTTTCTCTTCTCCACCTCCTCCTCGCGCCAGTTTATGAACTTCTTCTTAATAGCTTCGTAGCTCCAACCAGATGGAAGGTTTTCAGCTCCCTCTTGAAGTTTAGACTTGAGCTTTTCGGGATGGGGCATATGGTCGCCGCCGCCACCGGACCGCTCAACTGCCAGCACGTCACCGTCTTGATTTTCGATAATGATGTTATTACCTTCTTCGTAAACTTGCATCTCCCCGCCGGCATCTTGGGGACTGGCGGCACCCTCAGGAGAGGCTTCTTGTCGGGGAGGTATTTCAGTCGAGTGCCGTTGGTCTGTTAGTCGGCTCGCTCTCGCGGCATCTGTCGGTGACAACATGGCGGGATCTTGTCCTTCGTATTGAGGCTGACCGGCAACGTCCCCTTGCGACGTCGGACCCACCTGCTCGCTTTGGCTACGGCGTTGTGGAAATATCGCGGACTGCGTAATGGGGCCTCCCGGCCCGATTCCGTCATCCCACTTCTTCCTTCGCCGCCTGCCGGACAAAGAGGACGCCCTGCTCCCCTGCTTGGTGGTGCTGTTATCATCCTCCTGAACACGACGCAGGAAGTGACCTGGTATGCCAATCGGCGGAAGAGTTCCGGGGGGCATTTCCGGGAGTTTCAGCTCCTCGCCCTCGGTGTCCGTCGTTCTTGCTTGCGATCGAGACTGGGACGAAATGCGGGGGAGGCGGTTCATCCAAGTAGGCCCCTCTTCGCCGGCCTGGGTGTAGGACATGGTAATTGTGAGGGTATTGATCCGCTTGCCCAGGGTAAACACGGCTATCGAAGAGCCGTGTACAATGATAGACGCAACAACTAGAAACGTTGTAATCGGCCAGACAAGAGATAGCAGCGTGAAGTGCTCCGAGTCGGGCGAGGGCAGTTCGGAGAGGGGCACAGCACTTTCATGCTCCAGCTCAGCTCGGGCCAGAATGGCCACGAAGATGGCGCCCACTCCAATGGGCCCAAAATGGCCGGCAAAAAGGGCTTCGCGCCACGTTTTTATGTCAGGAATTATGGGCTTCAGTGCCATCATGATAGGAATTCGTCGAAAGAAGATGACGAAAATGGCCAGGACGGCCAATCTCCAGGCGCTAAGTCCGAATGCGGCATCATTGAATTGCTCCCACGGGATGATGGTGCCGAAGTATACAAAATACGTCAAATTGAGCAGTAGATCGATGACGTTGGAGACGTGCGACTCCTCAGTCTTGTTGGTGAACCAGCCGTCGTTGGAGAAGCCGACACCGCAAGCGAATCCCACAAGCAGATCGTCGACGCCAAGGATACTGCCAGCGCCGGCGCAAAATAAGGCCAAGACGAAATAAAAGACGAGGAAGCTCTCCCGGTCTATCAGCTCGCGTTTCTCGGCGAACTTGATGCCGTGGCGAGCAAAGTATCCGACGAGAAAGCCAAACACGGCCCCGAACACGCACTCGTACAGAATGGTATACACGATCCAATGGAAAGAGACCTTGTCGGCCTTTTGGTGGTCCTGGATGAGGTAGAGCGAGAGGTAGATGAAGGGGAAAGCCATACCGTCGTTGCAGCCAGATTCCGCAGATAGCAAGTCTCGTAGATGCTTTGGCACCCTCTTCGCAAACTTACCCTTACCGACGACAGACGAGGCAAGGACTGGGTCGGTGGCGGTGACACAAGCAGCGACCACCAGGCTCTCGAGCCAGCTCAGGGGCTCGATCAGCCACCAGATAAAAAGGCTGGTGATTAGCCAACCAAACGTCATGACAGGGACCAGAAGGAAGAAGACCGATCTCCAGTGCTTTTCCATGTAGAACTTAGGCAACTCGACACCGACGGCAAAGCACTGCACGACGAGGACGATGCGCGAGAACTCGATGGTGACAATATCGACGCTACCCCATGATAACGGGTTAATGAGGTCAGCGGCATGGGGACCGAAGATGACGCCGCATAGGGTGGCCACGGTAGCTTCACCAATATACATGCGCTCCTTGATGACGGACGAGCACAGCATAAACAGGGAGGTGAAGCCGCCGAGGATGATGTACACCAAGTGCGGCTTAGTTATCGAGAGGTGTTCCCACGCCATAGTCTCGAGCTCGTGCTGTCAGCAACTGGCAGCTTGCCGTTTGACGGGGACGAGAGGTAAGGCTCCTGAGGTAAGGCAGGAAGGCAACAGGTAAGCACGGTGGGGGCTCGTGCGTGGGCGTGTGGGGCACAGTAAAGTGGTGAAGAGATGAAGAGGCGACAGCAGCGACTGCGGCGACTGCGACGGACAAGACCTCGACGCGACAGGTAGCCGACGCAACGAGACAGTCCAAACCAGGAGCCCCGGAGTCGGATTGGAGGTACAGGCCAAAGAAGCGACGTCAGGCAGGCACACGAGTCAGCCGTGGTCGAGCTGGGACGCCGCTGGGTCAGATCTGCGCTCGCTCTGTCCTCACGTCGTCTGCCCCAGCTCGGCCGAAACTGGAAAAGGAGCGGGGAGATGGCGATGCATTCAGAAAACCGTAGGTCTTCGGAAGCGGGAGCGAGGTTCGACGGGTGGGAGGGTCACTCGAGGGTGGGGGTCGAGCGAAGGCGAACGAAGAAGTATCGTCAATGCCGAGTGGATGCGAGAAGACGGAACAGGTCGGCTCCCCTTAGGTTTCCTGCTGGCGAATATCAAGGCCCCAGACTGTGCTTGGCGGCGTGCGGGCTTGCAAGGTGTGAGCTTCGGCTTTCTTGTCAGCTTGAATCAGCGCAAACTATGACGACGGGCAACAAACCTACCAGGTAGGTACCAGGGAGAAGGCAGCGAGGTGGACGAGTGGATCTTCTCAGCCAACGGTGCCGAGAAATCGCGGCTCTGGATGGACAACCTCCGACGAGCTGGGAAGGAGGCGCAGGATTCCATAAGTACTTTTTTTCTCTTCTTGCTATCCAATCCATGGGCGGCCAAGACGGACGGCGTCGAGGAGCTTCTGCCATTACCTTGCCCCCAGCGCCCACCCCCAGCCCAGATTGCAAGGATGATTTACGGGGGGGCCAGCGCGCTAGTGCCAGTGGCGCTCTTGGTAGTGGGTCCGCTGTGTTCGCAAATGCAAACGAAAAGTGCGAACAGGGCCTGTTAGGCGGGCTCGGAAATCATTGTCACTTTGCACCGACTTCTAGCGCCTTCGCGGCACAGAAGTGAAGTTTTCTTTATCCAAGCCAACAGCCCACCCGTCCCGTCTCCGCAAGGGCCCAACAACCCTCTCGATCCCGGGCCACGATGTCGTCCTCCCTTCCTAGGTAGGGTATCGACAACATAGCCAGCTACACCAAACAGCAACAACAGCTTTGCTATGATGATCATCACAACCACAAACATAGGAAAACCTCAGCCGTGAACACATTGGCCAATCAAGTTATTGGGGGCGGCGGACAGAATGCGGACAACAACGAGGGAGAGTCGTGCAGCAGCCGGGACTTCCCGGCCTTGCCGTGCTTTACTGACCATCTGTCGGTTAAGCACGCTGTTGTCGTCGCACTCTATTCGTCACCGAATACAGACAGACACCGGCGCAAGTCACCGCAGGATGAGGAGGTACGAGTGTGCGTGTACAATGGCTACCTGTTCATCACTGTGCAGCACCGACGCCCGGAAAGAGCGCGACGGCAGCCCTATACCGGACCTCAACACTGCTCTGCCCCTTGCTGGCGACGTATTGGCTCGCCGCTATCTGCGGTTGGGCTGCGGTGCGACGCGGAGCCAAGTTGCGTCCTCGCTCGTTGACAAGATGCTCCTGCGCGGTTAGAGCGGCCTCGGCGGGCACTTAAGCATTTCCCGCCTATCTACCGATACCAGCTGCCTATCTTATTTGCGTGGGCGATATCGTAGGAATGCTGGTCTGCGCCCAAGCTCCAGCCGTGTCCTCCGAGTATAGTCGGGCGTATCAACACGCCTTACGGGCAAAAAGTGCTGGGAAAAGGTTGCCCAGAAATGCCCAGCAAATGCCCAGTAATCCTGTTGCAACCAGCGTGGAGTCGGAGGCTCGGCGACGTGATTAGATATGCGAAGTAATCAGCAGATATGTGTTGGTGTGTTTCCCTCATCCTGATTTTGCCATAACCTCTATGTGCAAAATTGTCATCAAGCGGAATGCCGTTGTTTTCTGGCTGGGGTGTCAAGGGAGATCGACACGGCTTTTTCAATGTCTCACCCACAGAGCCTTGCTCAACAACGTCATTCAAGACAACGGCGATCTTTTGTCAAATTGAAGTGGGGGTCCATTGGACTAAGGAGGGGTAGGAGATCACAACACGATTGGAAGAGCAATTGTCCAACCACGGAGCAACTCTTGGTTTGCAGCATCTTGGCACGGGCCATATGCTCAGCGTGACGCCAACACTTTATGTCTTGGCCCTGCACGTTACGGTGAAGTTGACGAACCGCACCCGGCGCCGCCCTAGGTGGGAATGGAATGGCAATTGAGCACATGCGGCTTGCGGCAGCATTCTAGCGGCCCTGGCTCCGAATCTCCTGCCAATCCGAAACCGGACGTGGCCCGGCAGCCCGGGACGCGCGTGGCCACGTGTTCAGCCACCAGAAGCGCTGACTGGAGGTTTCTGGCCAGGGTCGCCAATTGGGCTTGCATGGCAGGGGCAGGAGAAAGTCTGGTGATCGACAATATTTTTGTCCAGGACCAGTTGTTTGCAAGAGACCCCATGTATGCAGGTAAGGTGCAGTCCAGTCTATCGAGAGAGTCAAGGACTGTAATAAGATACAACCTTGAAGACAAGCACCGATGACAAGTCTCACCATCTTTTCCGAGACGCATCAGGGTTGGCCAAAAAAGAGGCTTGAGGTGAGCGAAGAACAGTGCCAATTAGGTCCAAGCATCTCGACTCTTGGGCCTGAGCGAAAGGCCAATAACAGATGGCTCTGGTTTTGCAGACAGCTTAGGTTGTTGTGCTAAGTTTCTAGCTTTGGAAGCACCAATCCGTGAATGCTAAAATTAAAGACTTGCTTCACGAAATAGAGACGAATACAAGACTGTCTTATATTAAATTGTTGCAGCGAACAAATCTGAGCTCCGAGTCTCTCTCATTGAACCCGAACCCTTCCAGAGAAGGTTGCTTCCCGCCATCCAATGTTATCATTACCCGATAAGACCACTGGGCACGGGCCTTCGCGTCCTGGAGCCGCCCCTCAAACGCGGTCGGGCCCTCTAAATTTTGACGAGACGCGACGGCCATCCCTCGAAAGCAAACCCCCGATGATCAATCAATCGAGCTCAACACAAGTCCACTCCCCGACAACACGCCTGAAGCCGACGGCGCCCCTATCGGCTTGGGAGCTGCATGAAGGCGGGAATCTTGAGCCTGGTCCTCCGTCGAGCCGCCATCTTCCGCGGGCGGAGCACTTTGCATGCTGAGGTTCCCTGGGTTGCACATGTCCACGCTGCTGGATTCGATCCCGGTCTTGGCCGTCCCGTCCCAATGTTTAACAGGGCTGTAGAGAAGGGGGTTGCCGCGGTGAACAACCCGCCCCGGCCCTCGACCTCTAGTAATGTCCTCGCCAAGCAGCTCTTTCCCTCCAGCAGTCCTGCCCCCAGCTCCAGCAACACCCAAGCCCACTCAGGCAACGTCGCCGACATGCTGAGGAAGCCCCGTGTGCCTTCGGGCTCATATGCCGCCTCGAAACCTCCTTCAGCCGCCGATCCCCTACAAAACCGCTCGCTGAACACTTCCCAGTTCCCTCCACCACGGGTCGTCAATGGCAAGGCGTTTGCCTCTTTATATAACACGGCCGATTCGTTCAAGGAGTCGCCCGTCGTGATCAATCTCCTCGACGAGACCCCTACTGCTTCGACCTCATCTAAATCGAACACGCTGCAAAATGCTGTCTATATTTCCGACGACGACTTCAGCGACGACGAGAACCTAGACTTGGACTTTCAGGCTCCCTCCATTCTACCATCCCTGCCGGCTTCCAAGCATGGCCCTCCCCCCGCAAGCAACACCAGCGGCCTTTCTTGGTCTCAGTCATCTCCTTCGCACCACGGACCTCCAAAGCGTCAGGCTGACACCGTTTCACAACTGCCTACAAAACGAGAGTCTCCAGACGACGACCTACCTCTTCAGGCGACGAAGAAGCCGCGACAGCTTTACTGGAAATCACGGCAAGCAATGGATGAGGAGAAACTCCCACAGCAACCCAAGATCGTTCCCCCAGTGGCCACAAAAGCTAAGGGAGGCTTACAGTGGAATTCCACGGCGAGCGAGATTGCGGCCCGAAAGAAGCAGCTGAAAACGCAGCAAAAGGTGGCAGTGCCGGGCAATAAAGACGCTTCTGCCTCGGACATGCGTGATGATGTCAAGCCGTATGCTGCGGCAAAGGCAGCAACGGCCATAATGCTGAGCAACGAGCAAAGACATGTCAAAACCCTAGTGGTCGAGAATGGTCAGAGCGTCTTCTTCACGGGTCCGGCCGGTACCGGAAAGTCTGTATTGATGCGAGCCATTATCAGCGAGCTCAAGAAGAAGTTTGCGCGGGACCCAGAGAAGATTGCAGTTACCGCTTCCACGGGCCTCGCTGCATGCAACATCGGCGGCATGACGCTACACAGCTTCGCGGGCATCGGTCTCGGGAAAGAGGATGCCGCAACCTTGGTCAAGAAGATTCGGCGCAACTTGAAAGCAAAGAATCGATGGCTCAAAACCAAGGTTCTCGTTATTGATGAGATATCAATGGTGGATGGTGATCTCTTCGATAAGCTGTCCCAGATTGGCAGGACGATTCGGAACAATGGGCGACCTTGGGGCGGCATCCAGTTAGTTATCACCGGCGACTTTTTCCAGCTGCCACCAGTGCCAGACGGGAGCAAGCAGAGAGAGGCAAAGTTTGCTTTTGATGCAGCTACCTGGACCATGTCCATCGATCATACGATAGGCCTTACGGAGGTGTTCCGTCAAAAAGATCCTGGTAGGCGCGATGTCTGTGGTAAAATTACGTGCTTCATGCTGACCTTTTTCAAGAATTTGCCGACATGCTCAACGAAATGCGGTTGGGCAGGATTAGTGAGCAGACAGTTCGGAACTTCCAGGCGCTGAGCAGACCTCTTCAGTTCAATGACGGGCTTGAGGTTACAGAATTGTTAGTATTTGCATTGTGAAATGCGTCAAGGTGCTAGGCTTACCCGCATCATCTAGATTCCCGACTAGAAATGAGGTCGAGAGCTCAAATCAGAAACGTCTGCGGGCTCTGTCTGGGAAGTCTTATCGTTTCGATTCCCTAGACACCGGTGACCCAGCAATCCGGGAAAGGTTGCTCGCCAACATGATGGCTCCGACAGCCATCGAGCTGAAAAAGGGCGCCCAAGTGATGCTCATCAAGAACATGGACGAGACGCTCGTCAACGGCTCGCTTGGAACAGTGATTGATTTCATGAGCGAATCGACGTTTGAGAATGCTCACGTTGACGACGCGGCCAGATCTGACGCCGACTCGGACACTAAAAAGCGGATCCGAGCATTCAGCAACGCGCTTTCTGACAGTTCCAGCAAGAAGGACAACATACAGTACCCGCTGGTGCAGTTTCACGCCGTCGACGGCACTCACCGAACAATTCTCTGCGTCCCCGAGGACTGGAGGGTTGAACTGCCCACTGGCGAGGTCCAGGCCTCTCGCAAACAGCTCCCCCTGATTCTGGCCTGGGCCTTGTCGATCCATAAGGCTCAGGGACAGACCCTGGAGCGCGTCAAGGTCGACCTAGGTAAGGTCTTCGAGAAGGGTCAAGCTTACGTCGCCCTCAGTCGTGCGACCACCCAAGAAGGACTCCAGGTGCTGCGTTTCCAGAAGGAGAAGGTCATGGCGCATCCCCGCGTCGTGGGCTTCTATAATAAGCTGTACAGCGCAGAAACGGCGGCGAAAAAGAAAGCGGAGCCCGCCACCATTACCCAGTTTATAGCCCCTAAAGTGGCTCCCCGGCCGCCGCCCGCTGCCCCGGATAGGGGCCGAGATGTGTTTGACGAAGACGAGGAGGCGATGGCTGCATATGGTTGATGCTGGACACTGGCCGGAAGCATGGCGACGGGAGCAAGCATGAGAAAGTTTCTTCTGGGTTAGCTTGTTAAATATCCAGGGGCGTCAACTAGAACCCAGAAAATTGGCTATACTTTGTTAGCTCTGTATTCTTCAGGCAGTACGAGTTATAAGACCCAGGGGATGTACTGCGATTGAATATCGCAGCCGGAAAGGGCGACATTTTGACATTGACGCCGAATCTTCATTTGCTGTTTACGTGTCACTGAAGTTGATACCTCAGCGGTTCCGTTTGTGAGAGACAGCTGAGAATGTCTCGAGATCTGATTTAGTTAGGAGTCGGGAGATAATTCCATGTTTATTTACTGACCAATATACATTAGATCAATGTGGAATTCCCTCCTTAAGGCAAGCCTTATTGAAGCAGACGAAATATAACATAATATCAGATCAAAGGCAATTAGATAAATAGGATCGAAGACGTGGTTTCATCCCTTGAAAACCATTTGATATTTTGCCGGCATGAGAAATGTGTTGCACGTGATCGAAGTCGACAGCGCATTGATTTGTCCGTCTGAAAAGGTCTAGAAATACAGAAAATAAGGCCCTTTTATACCCAAAAAGAAAACAAAGGAAATCTAGTAGTACTATCAGGAAGTGAGCGTCATAGAGGGCCTTCTTGAGGTTCAACTCGGATGTGGCTCAAAGTGGCTTAAATCTAGGCGACAAAATGTTTGTACAAGACCGATGACCAACTATCTCGTTGCCTAATTAGGTGCTTCGGAATTTACCTAGCTAGATGCATAGTTGAACCAATAAGAGCTTCAAAAGCCGTTAGAGTGGTTAATAAATTGAGGCAGTACTTGGGCCTGCTGGGTTTTTGTCTTTTGCTTTACATGACAACGTCAACGGCATCACCGTCACAAGTCAAGCAGTCAAAGACGGTTCCAGTTCACTTTGATAATATTTCCACCTTCCCTCTCGACGGAGTCGAAGATTCGAAGGCGCTCAAATCAGTGAGCTAGTAATTGAGGGAAATGAATTCGGCAGATAACAGTAAAATAGATTGACGGCCATTCATTTGCACGTCATTTTGTACATTGGAAGCTTCTAGAATTGAATTCTTCTTCTCTTGTTGTTACTTGTGCATAGAGTCGCGCTCACATCTTTGTCAAGCATTCACAAGCTAAACCGGTGGCGACGGTTTGTTTGCTTCTGAATCAGGAACAAGAAATTAATCGGGGGCCTCCATTCCTGTGCACAGTATGGAATACCCTATTTTGCAAGCTTACGCACAGTCCTGCGGTCCCAGTACCTGGGGGCTGAGCGTAAATGCCCCGCAATCTGTTCAGTTTGCGGCTTGTGGCACGACCATTCGGCTCTTGGCAAACTCGCAGACCCACGTACCCACGCGATGGAGGCGTATCGATAAGCAAATTATGGAGGAAGCTCTGACCGTGGGCTAAATTCGCCTGGCAACCGTATTATTGGGCCAACTTTGAACTGAAGGGAAACTTTGATGCACTTTTCCGCCATTTAACCAAACCAGCCCGAAAGTTCAACTCGTCGACCCCACACCCACCGAATCCAACGGCCTTTACCCGATTCCTTGGACGAGACCCGGCCGCGGGGACGTCGAAATCTGCGCACGCGTCGTGTCTTGCATCGTTCAGAAACATCAGCGCGACCCGCGCCCGTCGCCGCCGCGATGGCAGCCGAGTTCATCGGCCTGCAGATGCTGGTGACGCTGCGCGACCCGCCCACGAGACTCAAAGGTACCATCAGCGCCGTTGAAGCCGGCTCTGGCTTGACTCTGAGCAACGGTAAGCCTGGCCCCATTTCCCTGTGTATACTTCTTCCTCCTGCGTCGAGCGAAGCTACCGATGGATGCTGACTACAGTTCTTCTGCCTCTCAGTCTGGATACTTGACACCAATAAATGGGAGCCAAGGCTGACGATATCTGCCTCAAACATCGTCGATGTTTCGGAAGTCCCTAGGGTCGCTCCTACAAACCCGCTCCTTGCGGCTCAGGCACCAACCCCACCGACCGTCACGCCGCAAACACAGCCGCTAGCGCCGCCGGCCAAGTCCGCATTCATAGACCCTGCCATTGTGGCCGTCGGAAAGCGCCCCGGCTCTCTCCCGAACCGAGGACCCGACTCTGCGCATCACCAACCTAATACGAGCGAAAAGCGGGATCCCGAGCCCTTAGTCGTTTCCCCGTCGGTGCAAAATGAGTTCAACGAGCCGGATCCTCTCCCCGCAATTGTCGTTTCCGAGTCTATAGAGGGCCTAAAGATAGAAAACCAGGCGGCGGTTGTAGAGTCTGCGGACGAGCTGCCCGTGCCAGAGGTTGCTCTCGAATACGGCCAAACAGCGGTGCAGAAGAAGAAGCGGCGGCAGAGAAAGACTGGAAACTCCAAGAATGCGCCCGAGGAAGTTGAGGCATCTCCTCAAGCCCCAAAGACTGCGAACCGAGGGAAAGGCTGGAGACAGACGCCTATTCTGCAGAGTACTTCATCATTCCAACCGTTCGATTCACTCAAGAGAAACAGTGCCAGAGGTAGGCCTGTCAATGACAATGGGTGGGCATCTGAAGACGTCACAGACGTCCAGGAGGCGGGAGACTTTGATTTTGGGGGCAGCCTCGCCAAGTTTGACAAGCAGCAGATCTTTGAGCAGATGAGGAAGGACGACGAGGTTGACGAGGCCGACCGCCTAGTCTCTCACAACCGCTACCCCCGCCCCAGGCTGGGCACCGGCGGTGGAAAGAATCTCCACTATTCGGAAAACGTCCTGGATACGCCTGTGGCAACACTAAAGTCCAAAGAGAAGCCTACCAAGGAAGCAACTAATGATTTCTGGAACAGCGAGGCCGACGACGGTGTCTTGAATGGGGGTGAGCGCCTGAGCGGCCGAGACATGGGAAGCAGGCAAGGCTCGCGCCGCGGCGAGAGCAAGGTGTCGGTGACCCGGAGATCACAGTCGCGCAAAGCTAGTGGCGCTGCCACTGGTCCGGGTCCCAGCAGAGTCAACTCTGGTGTAAGCCATTACCGAACCCAGTCGCTCAAGGGAAGCCGGCCGAGTAGTCGGCTATCGACGACGGTCGTGGCCACTGACAAGAGATTTATACAGCTCTCGACGCCTGCCACTGCGCAGGGTCTGTACATGCTCCCGTCTAACCGCCGCGTAGAGCCCGTCTCGGCGCTGCAGATGCTGAACCTGGAAAACATTGCGCACAATGAGATTGGCCTGACGGAGGAGATGATGACGGAAAACGCCGGCCGGGGAATCGCCCAGGTGACGCTGACTGCTCTCGCTGATCCAGCTATCAAGGTGCGCCACGCCGGCACTGTCGATCCGTCGTCTGGGAATCCGCCTCCCCAGACTGTTGTTGTTCTGGCCGGGAACAACAAGTCTGGCAGCCGGGCCGTCGCCGCGGCTCGCCATCTTCGCAACAAAGGCATCAACGTGCTCGTGTGCGTGGTGGGCCTGGAGCGCGGGGAACGCGACCTACTCGAAGATGTGCGCCAACAGGTGCGGCTCTATAAAAACCTCGGCGGGCGCATCTTCTCCAAGAGCGACTTCTTCGAGCACCTGCGCAAGATCAGCATCCCCATGTTGACCATTGACACGCCCCGGACATCACTCAGCAGCCTAGCAAACCCGGCGCCCGTCATGTTGATTATCGACGCGCTCCTCGGTCTGGCTATCTCGTTTGAGGAGCTGCGCAACGGCGACCAAGCCACCGTCTATGAGCTGATAGAGTGGGCAAACCGGAACGAGGCGTTTGTGCTCGCCGTCGATATCCCGACGGGGATCGACCCCTCGTCGGGTACCGTTAGCGTCATCGACGGCAACCGGCTCTACGTCAAGCCCCGATACGTGGTGGCCGTCGGCGCCCCCAAGCGCGGACTGGTCGAGGCCATGATGGCGGCCGAGAACGACGATAGCGAGACGGTGCTGGCGGGCGACGCGACGCTGCCCGACGACGCCGTCTCGGACTGGAAGCCATTCCTGGTCGACATTGGCCTTGGCCCGGCCGTCTGGAAGAAGGCCGGCACCAAGCTACGCCGGGGCATCGACTTTGACGACAAGTGGGTGCTGGAAATGAGGTACCAGGGCCTCTCGATGGACGAGGACGAGTTGGTATGAAGGTTGCACTGGGGGCCCGTCAAGCGTTCTAAAGTTAGGGGAATTATTGTTGTCATACTGGGGCAAGGGGTTGCGGCAGCCTTTGGTTTTGTAGCGATGCCACATTTGCATTCTCACGGGGCGGGTTTTCTCAGCAAGGAGTCGGTGCTTTGTATTGCTAGTTTTTTTTTTGTTTTGTACTCTGGTTTCTTGTTGCTATGGTGGATTGAAAGCGGGCCGGTTCCTCAAACATTTCAGAGTTCTTGTCCCGTCTACCAACCCATATTGCCCGAGTCGGAGCGTTTGAGTCGGAGTTTAATGCTATGCTTGACAATTGCTTGTGTACAGCTTCAAAGCAATGTACCTACTTGTCTACTTGCCTTACACTATCCATTTCCATAATAGTAACAATAGGTGGAAAATGAACAACATGTGGTAGACTGTCGATTTTTATTGCAATATCCATCTTTCTCTCTCCACATGTTTATATAAAATATGTACAACTAATTACTTGCGCCAACGGTTCTGAGTGCCGATTCTGTACCAGGAGAGAACAGAAATGATCAAAGGGCTTCAAGAAGAAACAAAAAGAAAAAAAGGTACAACGCGAGTTAGCCACACTGACCGGCCAGGTTCAAACTACCAAAAGACGGAAAGAACCTGGGGCTGGCTGACTCTCCTTGACTATCATCCGTCGGGTTCACGAAAAGCTCGCGGGGTATTTCACACCATTTTCTTCCCTGCTCCAGCGCGTGGGTTTCCTCGGCAGAGTACTACGAAAAGAAACCAAACAGGGAAGCTGTCGGCTTTTCCTAGCGACTTCACCACCACCCCGGGTTCAAGAAGTACACATCAAAGTTAAGAAAGAAAAATGTTTTCGAGGATCCCCCACAATAATGAGATTGATGGTATCATATATGACGAAGCATGGTAGATAGGTGACCATAGCTGCACAAACGGAGCAAAACCCTGCGTCCCTGCCAATCCACCCATTCATTAAAGGAAAAAGACCAAGATTGAAGCCAAGAAAAGACTCCGTGATGTGGTAATGTCTTTTGTTCCAGGGCAAAAAGAATAGTTGAAGAGAAAGCTGCCAGCCCCTCGGACGTGCAGTAGAATACAGACAAGGAGGCAAAATGGTCATCAAACAATATGTACACTGATATGAACAGGTTGACCAGTGGCTAATCCCAGAGAATGGTGAAAAATCACAGTCCGAAACTCGTGTGGTTTTGGTGGGCTTCTTGAAGTACTGTCGCGCTAATTAGTAAGGAGTTCTACTACTTCACGTCCTCGCCAAACGTCAAAACTTACTTTGCAGCACATTCATCTGCCCGGCCCTGTCCTCGCATGCAATTTGCAGCCCACTGCCATCCACAAAGTCGAGCACCACGCTGTTTGGCAGTTCTTGTACCTCCATCTCGGGTGTGTATGGTAGTCTGAAGTCGCTCATGTGATATCTCTTGATAACGCCTGCTTGGTGGTGCCTATCCTTGCCCGGGGCGGATGTAGTCAATGCCGCGGCTCCTTGAACCGCACTCAAGATCAGAAACCCTTGGCTATCAAGGCAAATCGTGCGACGCTTCCACAAGAGATTGTCGGGAAACTGCACATTGACATCGCCCATGAATGCAACAATGCTTGGCTGGTGATGTGTCGTAGCGCCAGCAGACGTACCTCCCCGTGAATGCGGGGCGATCATACCTGCAGCTTCAACGTCGGCATCCTCCTCCTCGGCGACTGTGGGCGAAATAGAAGGAGGGATATTCTTCCTGCCGGAGCCAAGCGAGCTGGATAGACGACGGATAAAGCGGGAGGTACGGCTGCTGGTAGCGCTTTTCCCCGGAGTTGGACTGGTAGCCGCCGATCCTGGATTTGAGCCGCTTGAGCTTGAACCGGCCCTTCTATCTGCCCCATTGGTGCTCTTGCCGTCCGTCTCGGACTCGCCGCTTGCTTCTGTTGTGCGAGAAGGGGACATGGCACCATTGAGGAGATTGTTGGTAGACACAAGAGGGCTGCTTTGCTCTATAGATGACCTCCGGCTGCTAATGCTGAGCCGCCGGGGGAAGGAAAGGCTTTGGTGCACGGAGGGCGGGCGCGAAGGAGACCGCGAAGGCGTCGGGAGGGCGGGAGACCCGAGGTTCGCCGAGGTAGAAGACAGGTTAAGATTCAAATTGTCAGTCGAGGGAGATTTCGCGCCAAGGAGCGACTCGCGACGATCCTTGATGAAGTCTTTCACCACAGTCAAAGAGGACCGTCTTCTCGGGCGCAGCGTCTCGGTCTCTTGCTTGTCTTCTTCTTTCGATGCTTCCTTGTTCCGGTCCTGTGACTGTGATCTCCGGCCTTTTGAGAAACGCCTTTGCAGTAGTGAAGGCTTCCGTTCAAGTTGGACATCCTGTTCGGGTGAAGTTTTCGCTGACACGTGGCTGAAGTTCGACTTCAAACTCGGGAAGGGGACCTTTTTTTTAACATCTACAACTAATGGCGACTGTTTCAAGTCCAACTGTCCGTATTCCGTGGTGGCATCGGCTTTTGACTCGGGCACCCGGGGGAAAGGCTGGTTTGGATCCCGGACAATGCGCGCCGTTACTTGAATCGATTCCGGCCTGCCTCTAGGCATTTTGCCACCCTCGAACATAGAAAGTCTGTTCACCAGAGACCCGGATCTGTCGCGCGGTGTTTTCTTTCCGGTTTCTGGAGACGACTCTCGGGATTCGGGGGGTGAAGGCGTCGTACCCCTTGTCAACGAGTTTGCTCTGTCAACCACAGACGGTGACCTTGATGGTTCTCGGCCACTGGTTTTCCGTACCGAGAAAAAGGTTGAAGCAGGGCGTTCTTTAACCGGCGTATCCCCTACAGTAGAACTCCCGGAAAGCTTCTCAAGCGCCTTGATGCGCTGCGAGATGCTCGACCCTATCTTGCTGCTTTTGGGTCTCAAGTCGGTCGCCTGTTGCTGTGTTATCTTGTGCAAATAAGCTGCGCCGGATGAAACAGCCCTTGCCGAGCTCGTCGAGACGTCTCCAGGGGTTAGCAGAGGGCCGCGGATGGGATTCGACACGGTCCTCACAAACCGGGGTGTTGTTGACCCGCTATCTAGGCCGGCCGGACTCTTCCTAGAATCACTAGGGATAAAAGGGGTTATGGGAGATTTGGAGACCATGATTGGCTTCGCCTGTTGCACAGTTGCCGATTGCAACTCTTCCATAAGACCGTCGTCATCAAAGAGACTAATCTCGGAATGTCTTTTGTCCTTCTCGAGCGCATCGAGGTCAGTTCGAATAGGTTCGAGGGCGAGCGCCCGCTTCGAGCGCCTTGTTTCGATAGATGCTGTTTCGACAGCGTCACCAATCTCAGTCTCTTCCTTATTTCTAATTGCTTCGGTTTGAGCTCCCACCGCATGGTCATCTCGCGATACATGTGTGATAATTGATGGAATTGTTCGGGTTGCCGGGCTTATAGGAGATTTGGTCTCATGTGCCGAAAATTTCGAGACTGGAATTCGAAGCCGCAGTGGTCGTGACGTCTCCTCCGATAGCTCTGCGGAGTTTGACTGGACTGTGCCAACAGGAGTGACTGGGCTTGCCGCTGTCTCTGTATTTGTTGAACGGCCCACACCTTTGTCCATCGGGCTTGGGGCCAGTGCCGCGGAAGAAAATTTTGATACTGGTAGAACATGGGCTGGGGAGACATCTCCTGTTACAACAGTTTCAGGGAGAGCCTTGTCGGGAGTCTTGTCGGAAATCTCAACAGCAGCTTCGGCGGCAGCTTCGACGGAAGCCTCAACCGGGGCATCAACGGGAATCTCGACGGGAGCCTCAAAGGCAGCTTCAGCGGGAGCCTCGACAGGAGATTCGACGGGGATTTCGACGGGAGCCTCAACAAGAGCCTCTATGAGGTCTTCACCAACAGGGTCCGTGTTATCAGCCTCCTCGTCAAGCTCTTCAGTAGAATCCGATTCCTTCTCTCGTCTTTGTTCCTTCAACTCCTCATCCTCGACTTCTTTCGAGGCAGGTACGCCTGGTTCTCTGTCGTATGATTCCGACTCATTTCTAGCCGCGAATTCTGTAGCAGGCTCGCCATCATCTCTAGGTACCGGTGATAAAACCGGGTCCTCGTGGTCATCATTTGTCCAAAGAGGTAGGTCCTGCTCTTTCGCAGCAAGTACTGTCTCATCTGTCGATTCCGACAGAGACGAGGCCTTGGTCGAATCACCCATGTCAGAGGCAGCAAAGGGTGAGGTTGGATGAGAATCCATATGCGTATCAACTGAAGCATGATCTGGACCAACGTCAATTCCAGAATCGGCCTTAAACGCCGATAAACGGCTTGGAACATGTCTTTCACTCTCGACTGGCACATCTTCAGCTTTGACTGTAGTTGATGCATCTAGTTTTGCGTCCTCTTCTGGTAAATCTGGCGTGCCGGGTTCAGATGACTCTTCAACAGATTGTTGGTCTGGTGATTTTTGCAGACCCAGCATCTTCTTCTTTTCCCTCAGCTTCATCGCTTTTAGAAGCCGCGCTTTCTCAGGTGTCATGCCATTTTGCTTGTTAGGCGGTGGTGGCAATGTAGGCAAAATTGACTTAAAAGGATGGGATGAAGTGACTGCGGCTTGCGCACCGCTGCTAGTATGTGGCCGCGTGAGTTCGATAATGTTTAATGGCGTAGCTTCCGCGCTACGTTTTGACGTAGGCTCAAAGCCACTTTCTGGCTCTTCCTCGATCAAAGATTCGGCACCATCCTCGTCGTTATCGTTGTCCTGGGACCGGCTTTTTTTGGTACCCTTGGCTAGTGAGGACTTCAGGCCCGCAGGAATTGTCGAGACCGGCCGGTAAACTGCGGATCCTGCAGACGTCCGCGGCCGACCGCTTATATCCGCAGAAGGCCGAGGAGCAAGCTTCACCCGTGACTTTCCATGGGGATAAGAGTACAGGTCGGGGCGGGATGATTGTGACGACATTCGCCGTGTTGCCTCGTCAAAGGACTTGGCAGGCGACGAAGGTCTTGGGACTCCCAGGAAAGAGGGAGGGTCCACACCGTCGGTAAAGCGCGATGCCTCGGGCAAGTTCGCGAGGTCTGCGTTTAACCTGACCGGCGGCTCGGAGGCGAGTATAATAGGGGAGGTTGATGTGGTTGTTGAATCTTGGTGTCCGTCGGCAGGCCTTAGCCCGCCGTCTTCTTTAACAATCGACTGTCGTTTCCTTTCTCTTTCTTCTTCCTCTTCCTCCTCAGTGATTTCCATCAACCGTCGTCTCCGCAGCGAACTAGTTGAGGAGGATGTTGAGTTAGATGCAGCATGCAACGAGCAAGCAGCCGAGAGTTTTGTATCCTTGAGCTCCTTCGCATTCGTGATTTCGAAGTCTGTATCGTAAGGTGAGAAGCGCTCGCAGACGGCATTGAAGTGGACAGTCACTCGGGCTGCGAAAGTCAATGGGTCAACATTTCCATTCCGAACAAAAACGCAAGGGACATTGCTGGCTATGGGCGCTGAAACAAACCTTGAACAAGTCTGGAACAGTCCTCTGGCATGTATTTGATGAGAACATTCCTACGCCTGTACCTGAGAAACCCAAACAATGGCGACGTCTCGTTGTACTGTGATATGCTATTGCGAATCTCGACGATGCCGCCGCTACCACGATCTAGCAACTCAATCTCATCGCGGCTGACGTACTTGAGGAGGAACCTATTTAAGCACCCATTGGGTCAGCGTCTCCGCCCAGAGCAATGGTTCGAAACAATGGGGATCGAAATTGACCGCGGAAATTATACAAGCCCCTCGCGCCGAGCAATTGAAGTGCCGCGAAGCGAAGGGCAAAGATATGCGCCGTGGATGTGACGCCTGCGCGACGACACGGACAAGATAGGGGGGGGCAAGCATACCATCCTCCAGCCTCGGCGACGGCCGCGGCGTGGGCTTCCCTGACGCTTGCACCGTCCAGGCCATTCAGCGACATCTCGGGCTGGCTTCGCTGACCTGCGTCGTGTCTATCCGCAACTGCAGGTTAAATGGCTGATTGTGGGTAAATGTTGTCGACGGCGAGCGCTGGCAACGATGGGGTTTCAGGGGTAGGTAGGCAGGCAAGGCTGACCAAACCGCAAAAGTTGAGCCCCAGCCTACACGAAGCGCCTGGCCGCGGCGCGAACAAACATGGAATTGGCTCGTGGAGCGTTGCAGTAGATCAGACGCGGGTTGCGAGGCACCGGGACACGTCTATAACTGGCATCGAAAAATCGGGCAAACTTTGAATGACAATCGCGACGGTGGAGCCCCTAAGTTCGGCCGTTGTGGAAGCACTGCTAGAGTGGTCGCCAACGACCATTGAGCTTGTTCTAGTTAATAAGGGACTGACTGAACGCAGGGTCCAGGACGCTACGGGCGGAACGAGCGAGGGTATCGATGCGCCTAGGAAGAAAGTAGAGCAAGGAAAGCCCGGCCGGGGTACTCGGCGAACGGAGTAAAAGAAGTGCGGCAAAAGCACGAAAGTTGGTCAATTCTTAGGAAATTTCTGCGAGCAAACGACAAGTGCTCGGGTCAGGATAAAGAAAAAGTAGGATAATCCAATAACTTGGAGACTGGATGCCGTGCGAAAGGAGGTGAGGAGGCTTTGGTGCAACAGTGGTAGTTCCACTGTTGCCCTTCCATCCCCATGAGATATTTTATCTGCCATTGGGGGGAGGCGCAAGGGTGAGCTACCGATGGACAAGCACGGGGAATTTGGCGGGGGGGTACCACGCAGGACGAAGTGGGCATCCCCCAATCTTCCCGAACCTCCATGCAGGGCGAAAAGGCAGGGTGCAGTAAAGCACTTTGCTTTTCCGAATATAACCTCTGCGTTGCGCTTCTTTTCTATCCCTTGATGTGGCATCCGCTGTTAAAGGCAGCAGAGACAAGCTCGTCGACGACTCGCTACCAATTTCTTTGCGCCCGGTCCAATGGGTTCCCAGATTTATTATTTCCAGGCTCAAGACTTGTTGCCCTCCCTTTTCTCGGTTCGCCGAGACCCCTTTATAATCCCCCTGTCCTCACCCGTACAACCTAACCAGTTCTGGAACAAGCTGTGGGTTAGCCAGCAGCGCAAGCGGACAACAGACGAAGGAGGGAGGCGCAAACTGGTGGTGTATGATGTTCTTACCAAAGCTCCTCCGTCCCGAGAGAACTTAGTTTAGCCCCCCCGAATCTAGACATAGTCTGGCTTCCATTCTCGAATTCTTTTCTCCTTCCTCAACGGCCTAGTAGGAAATCCGGTTGTCCGTGCCACTGTGACGGTTTTAGTATCGTGCTTTAGTTTTTGGCCGTTGAATTGCCAGGTGGTACCAAGGGGGAAAACTTCCCCTCTTCTTGAACTCTTAATGTCTTTCCCCGGTTTCTATCGCCCTGCGCTACATCTGGGCGGAGGTCGAAACAGTGCCGATCAGCGCTGCCCTGGCCTAGCCACGACAGCAGGCACGGGTTGAAACTTGCAGACGCCCGTGCCTTAGATAAGCATGAAGGAAACGAAACGGCCATCCCTCAGAAGGATGGGAGATGTTGGGGGGGAACATCACGGTGGATTATCCGAGAGGTGGTGGTGATGGTGGTGACCACGGACACGCTTTGACCTCTGGCTCATCAAGCGCGCATCCGCCATGTTTGCTTCTTTTTGCCTCCTCGCCCTGCCATTCGCCAAAACAGTACACGTCTCTTCATCTGGCCGTTTTGTGTTGTAGCGAAGTGCTCATGCCCCGCAATCGACCTAAATCCTGTCTTCTAGAGATGAACAAACAGCGCTAGGGTACGGAGATGTCACGGGAGATAATACATAAACTAGGCTGGCTGAGTCGTCTTTTCAGCCCCGCATATTGGCATCACACGCAGACGTGTTCTCGATTGGAAGCTGGCTCTCAAAAGCTCGGGAGCCGCCATGTGTTGCGCATGCCGTTGCATATGCACAATATAGATCCCGGGCTTCTTTGGAGTGGAGGCGGTGAACAGCTGGCTGGCCAGTCAGCCGTCACGTACCGTAGGTATCGTTTAGAGTCGAAAATTGAGTGGATTTACCGGCCTCCGAATGGAAGCAGTGTCCTCGAGACGGGGCGGTTCTTAGCATGGAGAGGTGAGTCCCTAGCGATTTATTTAGATTGTTACAAAATTACTAAAAGACGAAGGGATGGTCGATTTAAACAGCTGTGAAAGGTCCTCTACCTACTCTTCCGGGTCGAAGAAAATACAAGTATAGACCCATACGTATGTGAGAGCAACGCACCAAAAACCAAGAAATTCATGTCAAGAATAAAACTAGAACAGACATACGTGAAAGATAGTACCAGGACGGCAACAGCCATGTCTAGCCGTATATGTACAGCCATGGCAAGTAATTCTGACAGGGGGAAAAAAATAAAAGAGACCGCAAAGATCCAATCCATCTACCCTGCTTTCCACTTTTGCCACCGACCGCCACCTCAATCCCTCCTTCACTCCGCCCACAAGACGCCGCTCTCTATTTCTCTCGTGCCTAGAAATTTCCCGGGACATGACCCAGCGGCACTTAGGCTACTTAAAAACAAAGTCTTCCCCCATGACGACTGTGAACGTCTCAACTCCACCGCTCAAGCAGGCCAAACAAAAATCAACAGCAGTATTTTCCGATGGTCTGGTCCTGATGCCTCAAAGCTGCTAAACAAAAAGGACAGATCCGCTCTCTGAAACTCCAAGACAGCGCCCAAGTCTCTGTCGTTACAGTAGGTCAAACATAAACCTCCGCCCGACAAGGGCCCGAAATATCCACAACTTCTCCGTAGAAAACCCGGTGCCTGGTAAAACACCAGACACTTCAGGAGCTTTTCGATGATGGCTCCTTTTGTGTGTCTTTCGACACCTTCGCAACATTAGGCGTGTCTTCCTCGATCGAGCTCGGCTCTTCCTCCACGGATCCCTCTATCAAAGTGGGAGTAAACGTCGGCTCTCCGTCTTCAAGGGGCGCGGGATCATGACCCCGGCCGCTGTTACTAGCCGATACTCCTACTGGGGTAGTACCGCCCTCTGCAATTTTCTGCTTGGTCGTGCTGACGATCTTCTCTACCTCGCTGACCTTCCCTGAAGCCGTTGCTAGGTCGCCTTCCACACCAATGGCATTGTCTTTGTTGTTTTGGTTGTCAAGAAGAGCCATCTTGTCGAGGCGAACAATCATGCAAGACAGGTTGTCGGTGCTAAAGCGGGCTAGGGCGTGATCTACCAGCAGCTTCGCCGCAGCAGCAGGCTCTTGTATGTTTCGAACCAGATCAACAGCTTCCTGGTCAGAGCAGACGTCCCATAGCTATTAGACTCCGTTAGCAGTTATCCTAGTGAACAAGTAAGTCAAGAAGAGATGAACGTAACAGCGTATAGGTTGGAGGGGCTTCTGAAGGTTTCGGGGCAAAGGGGCCAGACTCGCAGAACATCTCACTTACTCCATCGCAGGCAATGATAATGAACTCATCGAGTTCAGGTTGAATAACAGTTTCTGTCGTATAGGGGTGTCCAGTCACGAGTTCTTTCATGTACGTATCACCAAGAGCTCTCGTGACGGCAAGCACACCGTTGACGCGGTTGTTCAGTATCAGCCCCCCGGCATTCGCTATACGCCTGCCCTCGTTCTCGTCGCTCCCCTTATGGTCATACGACAAGCGCAATGCTTTGCCTGAACGGCAGAGAATGATGCGGGCGTCGCCAACGTTAGCAGTGTATAGAACGCGCTGTCTTGTTGCAGTGCCTTTTAACCTTGCGTGGGTGGCTTCTGGATTCGGAGCTGCCAAGGTATTCTCGACGGACTTGCTTTCTTCCGACTTGGAGGCTTCCTCGGCAGCCTTTGCAACCGCCGGTGCAATCGCCTGAGATCCAGTGGCAGACTGGGTGCTGGGAACTCGATCCTCCCAGCGAAGCACGGCGATGGCTGCAGTGCAACCACTGTTCTTCAAAGGCAGCTTTTCTAATTGCGCGTCGACAGTGGTGAAGGTCTGGTCAAGCAGCTCCGGTATTGGCGCATTTGGGTTTTTCTTGATGACGTCTTCGAGGATAATGTGGAGCTTCTTTCCGCACCAGTCGGCGGCGAAAGTGCCCGCGTGCCCATCGAAGATGGCAAAATATCCATTGTCCGTTTCCATCATATCCGTTGCAGAGGCGCCGCCATGCTGCTGCTCGCCCGCATCGTCGGTCGCCTTCGGCTGCTTCTGACCAGCGCCGTCAGATCCAAGAGCGGGCGCGGGGGTGTGGAGGAAGTTGTAGAGGAAGGCGTGCGTGTCCTCCATGGTGCGCCTGCACTTCTTGTTCCGATCCTCCCAGACACCCACCCTGAACGTGGACCGGGGGCCCGGCAGCGATTCGCCGGCGGCATTGTTGTGCTGGCCTTGGGGCACGGCAAGAGCCTGGTCCTGCTTGCCGAGCTTCTGCAGAGGAGTCTGGTTTAACGCCTTGGAGTCAGCACCCTGCTCGTTGTTGGTACGGCTCCCACCCTGCGTAAAGAGAGTGTTTTTAGCTTGGGCTATCAGGCTACTGGCTCTGCCGCTCACCCCGCTACTCCGGCGCTTTTTTTGCTCTGCCGAGCTGCCAGCACTTGGAGGGCTGCCGTTACCGCTCCGCTTTTCGCCGCTCGTGGCGAGGTCGGTAGTTCTGGGGGGCGGGAGAATGCCGGCGCCTGCCGAAGCAGCGTCCTTTTCGGGCGAGGGCGACTTGCTTCCAGGCTTTTCCTTCTGTCCACCAGTGGGATCCGTCAAAGAGGCGTTCTCAGACTTAGAGACGGCGGAGCTCGAGCCGCCTCCAAACATCCTATTCAGCAGACCTCCCTGGGCGGAGAGACTGCGGCGCTTGTTGCCTGCCAGGTTGGTAGGTGAAAGGAGAGACGAAGGACCTTGTCCAAATATTTGGTCGAGGAGATGCCTCGAGGTATGGGCGTCAGAGATGGGAGATTCCCGAGTGGTAAACAGGTGAGGGCGGCTCGGGAAGTAATGGCTGAGGCTCGTGTCTTGTGTGGTCAGGTCGCAAAGCCCGCTTCTGAAGCGTGTTTCGGTTGTCGCTTGGTGGTCAGAAGGCACAGCTACCAAAAGTGAATGAATGCAGTATGCCTAAAATACGGGCCGCAGACAAAGCGCGAGGTTTGAGGGACCACGGGGCGCAGAATGCGGTTGGTATGGCCTGAGGGAGGTCCACGTAGGTTGGCCGCTGGTAAGGAGGGGTCTTGTGATGTAGGTACTACTGGAATGATGTAATTAATGTCACAGCTGGGACGCCTGGAGAAATGGGCGATGTGCGCAGGGTTTTTGCTGGAGTGGACAAGGCGCGCGTAAGGTTCTACGGCGATGATGACGACCCGGGTAACCGTAAAACTTCCTAACGGCCGATGATGCGAGGTTGAGGTTCTTCCAAGATTGAATATTGCGGCCAACGACGCAAGGGAAACTGGGACGGATAGAAGCAAAAATGGTAAGTAGCTAGAACAATCCGATGTGAGAAACCTAAACCTTAAGGCGGGCCGTTTAGGTCGGGTACTTCAGGTCTGGTACGGTGGTACCCAACCTGAAAGGTAAGGTAAGGTACTGTATTCGTGATGTGCCCAACGCACGTTCAGCACAGTGGGAACTAAGGTACAGTTAGAAACAGCCTGCGGGCCAGGCACTAAGGTGTTCCCCTAGACTACGCTACAGGCTCTGCTTCCAACCTGCTTTACCTACCACCTTATACTATGTAAGGTATACGCGTGCACTTTTTAATTGGTTATATATATATATATATATAGGTGTCTTGAGGTTTCTCGACAATCACCTTCAACCTGTTCTGGGTAGACTCGGAAATGGCGGCAGACCCTGATGGGAATGAACGAAGTCTCAGCCTAGTGAAATTTAGCGCTGCTTACACAACACGGAATGTGTGGAACACGACACTAGGCCAGAGATAAGTGAGGGGCAATGCAGCGGGGGCATCCATAGTGATGCATTGGAGACTGAAAAGTTTGCTGCCTCTTACTGGCTCACAAGTACTAACCTGCACCAGCCGGCATGGTCGGACTGCAAAGGCTCCGTCTCTTCCTGCCAAACAATAGTTGGTTGGGCAAGGTATGCGTGGATTTCAAAGCATCCACGGCAGTCCGTCTCGTGTAATGGATGTCAACCCAAGTTTGGGCTCTTGAGGTAACGATACCCGCAGAAAGCAAGGGCGTGTCCCCACCCGTTGATCATATTCTTCTTCTTATGTATATACGGGGTATCCGTATTCCTACCTACGACATATTACATGTAATATCAGGTCCCTTTGGCTGCTGTTCATTTTCGTGTCTCGCCTACCGTAGGTATTTTGGTTACTATACTTCCCAAAACATCGCCTTACCATAAAAGCGCCAACAAACCCAACTCCAAACCAGTACCAGTCAGCTTTCAGCTTACACGCTGCCTAAATCAACGCGCCCGTACTCGGCAGTTTATTGGTATTCCAGAGTACGATCCTCCCCATCCCCATGTTGAAAATAATACATCCAGTTACCACATCCTCTCAACAAACGATCTAATCCCCAGCAAGGATGTCTCGGGTCTCCATGAGCTTGTTCGGCAGAGTGGCATCTTTGCGTAACTGTAGGCCTCAGCATCCAACATCATGCCCAAAAGCAGCCAAATTATTCAGGGCACGCCGTCAGTGAGATCGGGGCCAAGCCCCGCATCCTCCGCTGCCCGCAATATCAAGCCATGTTGAGCATGACGGAGGACCCTGAAAAGCGCAGGCTATTCAGCGTGGCTTGGATAATCGACAAGATCACCGTCTTAAACTATCCAGCCGTGCTTGCAAATCGTCGTCGCCGGGATCTGCACCACCTCCACCAACGGCTTGCGCAACTTTACCCTCGGGGACCTGGTTGGACTGTAGTCCCGACGGAGTCTCACCGAACTAGAGGAGCCGGGCATTAGCAATTAGTTGCTAGCAGAGTGGGAAGGGGCAACTAACCGATTGACTTAGATCTACGCCGATTTCTTCCAAGACCTGCTCCAAGACTTCGTCTCCTTCCTCCTCAAGCCCGGTATCCATGGCGTCATCAACGGCGTCGTCCATCATCTCTTGTCGCTGCTCCATGATATCGTTCTCGCGCTCAAACTCCATGGCAATGCGCTGGAGGGAGGGCAGATTCATGGTGCGATTCATGCTTCCCAAGGCCATCGTTGCGCCCTTCATTGCCTGCATCATTTGTTCGTTGGTCCGATGGGTCTGCCGATGATGGAATATGTTAGCGCACACCATTCAATGCGCATTGGGGTGTCGCAAGACTGACCTGAAGACGGAGAGATATCTGTTGCAGTTGGCTCTTCATACCGTAGAACTTCTCAATGTATCTGTCCGGATTTGTCAGTGGTATCTCTCCAGGAACCTAGGGCCAGACAGAAGCGCCCCTACGTACCTCCTAGTGCGGACCAGGTCTTTGGCCATGATTTTGGAGGCATTTAAATTTCCCTTTTGAGCGCTCTGGCGGATCTGGGTCACGAGCGTCTTCTCTTGCTTCTCCAACTTGACGCGCTGCTGGTCGAGCTCTCTAATAGCCTTGTCGAGGAGACGTTGGTTCTTGCGCAGTCTTTCTGCTGGTGTAACGCGCTTCCCGAAGGCCCATTCGAGGATCTGGAAATGCCATCAGCCTGGGCCTTCTGATAACAGCCTCGCAAAATAGAAAAATCTCACGTTCATCTCGGCGGTGTTGTGCCTCGTCGGCAAAGGAGACTTTGATGGAGTGTTCGATTGCGAGTGCGAGTAAGGCAAAAAGGCAGGTTGTCGCTATCCGGTTGTGCTTGCGGAAACGAGGGGTCTACTAGGACGTAACTTGGGAGCTGTCAAAATACCAAGCGCAGGCTTCGTCATAAGCCACAGCACCTGCGGCTGGGCGGAACCGACCAGCCAAACTCGAGCGCTGTGGACTACCCAGGTGGCGAGCTATCGGGTTACGCTGTGCTGAGACTTACCTAAGGTAGGTACTGTAAATACCAAAGGTACATGAGGTACCTCCCACACTCGGCCTTCTCGGCAACCTGTGGAATAGTGGGATCTGTTAACCAAAGACAGTGACAGGGGTCGCTTTAATTCATTACACCTGTTATTATTACAATAATTCGTCCGAATATTCCATGCTATCATATGATCTAGTCCAAAATTCCTCTAACTAATCGTTATAAGCATTTCGGTCAGACCTGGTTGACCTTAGTGTTCGTTCAAGATCGGATGGCGTCAGAGATCGCTGATGCAGGGTGGATTTAAATGCCAAGAACGTATTAACCTACCTAGGTAACTGCCCGGCCCCACAGCAATGGTTGATGACGTCCAATCAGCGACGGTGCTGACCTGGAGAGATTTGCCGCTCCAGCCAGAAATCATGCGAGTGAACAAGACAGAAAATCGAACAACCGAACAGTCAAACTACCTAAATCTTCCTAGACAATCAACAATGTTCCGCTGAAACAATGTTCCGCTGCCAACATCTGTCTACTCCTCTCGATATTTCCTCATAGCTGCACAGCTGGCCACCATGAGCCAGGAATACTTCTCACCCAAGGGGGAGTCTTCTCAGAGGCGCAATTCCGATACCGACGCCAACGCCGAAACGAAATGCGAGTCTGACGAGGCCTCGAGCCACGACCAGCAAGCTTCCCAAGCCCTAGTTGCTCCAGCATACATGACTGTCGGTACTGGGTCGGCATCTCACCATGCTGCGCGCTTGCAGGCAATGCTCGACCGCGACTCTGGCTATGGCGGCAGCATGGCTGGTGATGATGTAAGCCCGTCCATGTTTGACCCAGCTGCTGCTGCAGCATGGGATTCTGCCATCCATGAAGACAGGCCAATACTTGCCCAGGCATTTCCCAGTCAGGTCACCGATACCGACCGTCGGGCGATCCAAGCCGGAGCCGTCCACCAGCTCTGGTACAATTCACACCGCGCCGCCCTTGGTCGCTCCATCAACACAGTTGTCGAGCTCCTCAAAAGCCTGCAGGACATGAATGTTACATGGCCTGCCCACTATCCCTCAGTTCAACGTGCGGCCCTCGATGCGCCATCCCAGCCTGTTACGAGGCCCGGCATCCAACATACGCACACAATGTCAGGAGGATTTGAGGCGTCCTCGTCACCTCCCGCGGCTCCTCAGCTTCGACGATCTATGACATCGCTCGAGGATGCCGAGGCCGAGTCGAGCAAGGTTGCTGAACGCAGGACTGTGCCAGAACCACGACTTGTTACCCCTCAGATCGCACAAGAGTTTTCGGTTCTAAAGCTTGATCTGAAGCTGGGCTCTTTAAATCAGGCCGAGTTGGTCCACTCGCTGGAGAAGAGCTCAATTGCTTCACTTCTTGATGGCAAGATACGCTCAAGCATCAAGCACCTTTTATCGCTGCGGGAGCGCATAGAAGACACGTCAAGCAAGGTTTTGATCACAGGCGATCTGAATGCTGGCAAATCTACGTTTTGCAACGCATTGCTACGGCGGAAAATCTTGCCCGAAGACCAGCAGCCCTGCACAAGCATATTCTGCGAGGTTCTCGACGCGCGGGAGAACTGCGGTGTCGAAGAGGTGCACGCCGTCCACAAGGATACCATCTACGACCGGCACGACGAGACGACTTACGATGTCTACACCCTCCAGCAGCTCGAGAAAATTGTTACTGACAACAGCACATATACGCAGTGCAAGGTTTATGTTAAAGATGTCCGTACAATCGATGAGTCTCTGCTCAACAATGGCGTGGTCGATATTGCTCTGATTGACGCGCCCGGTCTCAACATGGATACAACAAAAACGACGGCCATATTCGCTCGGCAGGAAGAGATTGACGTTGTGGTGTTTGTTGTTTCGGCCACCAACCATTTCACCCAGACTTCAACAGAGTTCATCCGGGCTGCTGCTGCAGAGAAAGCTTACCTCTTTGTCGTAGTGAACGGCTTCGACACTATCAGGGACAAGGAGCGATGCCAGAAGCTAATCCTCGGACAAATCAAGGCACTGAGCCCTGCGACATACAAGGAAGCAGGCGAGTTGGTGCACTTCGTATCAAGCACAGCCATTCCAATGGCACCATCACCACCTGGAGGCCCTAGCGGCGGCGGCGGATCAGGCAGTGCGAGCGGCGGCGGCGGCGGAGACGAGCCGGGAGACGATGACCCCAAAGGCAAAGGCAAGGACAAAGAGAACGTCCGGGACTTCGCCATCCTTGAGCAGTCGCTGCGGAGATTTGTGCTTGAGAAGCGGGCGCGTTCCAAGTTGGCTCCGGCAAAGACGTATCTCATGAACATTCTGAACGACGTAAATGTGCTTTCCACGGTCAACTCGGAGGTCTCTCAGTCAGAGCTGGACCGGGTTACAAGGGAGTTGGAGGAGATTGAGCCGATGCTGCAGTCGAGCAAGAAGGCCCAATCAGAGCTGAGCGATCAGATTGACCAGACAATCGAAGACACCTGCAACGACGTCTATAATTACTCTCGTTCAACGATCAGCACAGCCATCTCGCACGCTGGCGATGAGAATCTCGGCATTCCTTACCCTGGAGTTTTCAGTGCGTTCCAGTACGCTGATGAGATCAAGCAGGCAATGCTGTCACAGATTGCGGCCTCGGTGGTTGAGTGTGAGGAACAGGCCCGATCCGAGACGGTCGGCGGCGTCAACGTCATCAAGCAACTTGGCATTCTCCATCTTGGGAACGAATACAACGATCTCAACTTCCGGCCTGAGATCATGTTTCGTCGCAAGAGTCACGCTTTGGCCCGGCAAGTAGACATTCCTATAGAGCTTTGGGATTTTATCGACTGGTCCACTCTCGTGCAGAAGGAAGAAAAGACCAGCATGGCCTTGACTGTTGCTGGTGTGGTCGGAACAGGCGTCATCGGCAGCTATGGCCATGTGAATGTTGCGCTACGTCTTGCACAGGCCCTGGGCAGCGATAGCTTGCGCCGCCTGATCATTCCCGGCGTGATCGCTGCTGGTAGGTTAACTCTCTCTCCCTTTCCTTGTTCCTCAGAAGCAATGCTCTAATGCTGCCCCTCTTGACAGCGGTTGCAACGACCTTCTACATCCTCAAGCAGATCCCTCACTCCCTCCCACATCGCCTCAGCAGCAAGATCTCGGCCCAACTCGGGGCCATCGATTACGTACACTCCAATAGCACCCGCATCTCAGGCTCGGTACGCAAGGTGTTGCGCTTCCCAGCCGAGTCTTTGCGGGTTGGTCTACAGCGGTCCGTAGAACAACTCAGCAGCCGCCGCGACGAAACACTTCGCGTGCGGGCTGAGAGTGACACGGCCCTCAAATACTTTAGCAATCTAGTTGAGAAGAGTGCCCACCAGCGCCGGATCGTGGAAGCAGTGGATTTGGATGGCCACCCACCAGGTATGGCGGCCGCCAGCGGCGGAAATTAAGAGAGGGGGTGACACGGTTTGTAGTAGTAGATGGTATTTCTTTTGTATGTGGTCGGCGTTGCTAGGAGCTTTCTGGGCTATTCCGGGGTGAAAGAAGTCTCGTAGTCCTCGGGGCGTGGCATCTTCATGGGGTTATGGGTCATGAAGAGGCATGGGAACATGGGGGGAAAGCATCCAAGGCGTTAATCGGGACATGTTAAAGGAGGCTTGGCTGTTTCGAACCCCACTCGCTGTGGTCCGCTTTTTAGCGCAAATGCTTTCCGTGTAAATATTCGAGTTACGGCTCAGCAAAGAATGAAACATTTTCTACACATGAGGCCTGCCGTCTGGGCCATAGCAGGATATGATTCGCAACACTTAAGACCCACCTGCAATGTAGGTACCTTGGGTACCTATCTATAATCCAGGTTTTTCAGCTAAATAGAGCCACCGAAGCCACCGTCCTTAAGCTTGCGAACCGTAAGGTAGCCTAGGTAGCAGAGAGAGGCTTTCTCCTTAAGATAGCTAACCACCTTAGGTACCTTACGTTTCTTATTAGAATGTTTCTCAAGCGGGGATTTGTCAGTTCAGAATCTAGGAATAGAGATAGTGGGTGATTAGCCGATGTAGTAAGCTTAGATCTATTAAACTGTGAAATGCCGCCGTGCCTGGGTTGACCGGTTTATTTTCATCCCTTCATAGATAGAATAGCGTCCTCAAATTGGGCCAATGTGGGCTCCTTTGACGCATCGGCCTTGAAGGTTCATGGTCAGGCGAACCCGAAGATTTGACATACGTAGACCACGCCGACCTTTAGAGACAGCGCCCAGTTAGACACACCAGCGTAACCCAACCATCCGGGCTCCTCGGAGAATGAGATGACGCTACACCACCTTCAAAGTGTTCAGATGATTTGTAAGGATGGTCGAGGCATTTTTCAACCCTTTGCCGAAACCTGTACACAAAACTTGATACAGGTCCAGCTGTGGCCGCGCGCGGTGGAGAAGGGATTTCACTTAGGAAGGGTAAGCATGAAGCCAATATTTATATCTAGGTGCCAGCATTCTCCCGTTCATCTTGAATCGATATTGTGCAGTATTTGTATGCTCGATTTGCCGCCATTGTTGTTGAGACTCTTGTTGTTGTTGTTGTTTAGAGCACCAACATTCTCCTCTATTTGACTTCGGGCCGTCCCAACAACATGACATCCACCTAGCCACAATGAGATCCAGGTGTTTGTCCTCACTTACACAGAACCCCAAGCCAAGCTCGGCCCTACCACTCTCGTTGGTGTTGGTATTGGTGAGGTTGAGAGCAGTGAAGACCCTGTAAAGCGCACCATCGCCGCGAACCGGGCGAGACCCTATGACTCCCGAGAAAAAAGGTGGATGGTCGTGCTTTACTCAGGCGATACCGCATGGGCTGTCAAGGCCTGGTACGAGTATATAAATACCCCCGATCTGCTGAGAGACTTTTGCAAATATATGCAATCGCATGGACTCATAAAGGACAGTTTGGTCGACGAAGCCCGCTTGCAAGCGGGAAGATTTGTGACGCACTTCAAGAAGACAGACAAGCTGACGGCCAGTCTTGCAAAAGACGGACCGAAGATCAAGGGGACCTTTTTGCCTAAAGAAGCAGTTTCCGAGGCTAATGGATACGCGTTATCACCGTCACGAATACCCCCGAGAACGACCATGACCAAAACTGGAGGGGTCTCACGGACGCCGTACTATCAGCCGTACTTCAGTCGTTCGGCAAAAACGATTACGAGCTCGTCATTGCCGTGCTGAAGAAGCTATCAAGAAAAAAGCAATTATTATAGGAAAGCGAACTCTCAAGACTAATAAGGATATTGGACCCGAGGACTAGCACTAGTACAGTAATTGGCGGAACGAGTATGGGTGTGTGAAGAAAAGGCGTCGTGGAGACTCCATCCACCTTCCATTTGCAATACGGGAAAAGCTGACTAGACCATATGCGTAATTACGAGAAAATGAGAAAATGAGCTAGGATACTGTGGGCTGTAGAAAGATGTAAGGCATTCAATAGAAACATAGCTCATAGGTTGTTCCTATCGAGCCCTCGTTTGGAGAAAGAAAGGCGGCGATCATAGAGCAGGGCAACCCCAGGAAATAAAGGGGGGTCCGCGGCGGCTGCTGCCGACTGGGCGCGCACATCATCCGGTTCCATGGGGCGAAAATGCCGTTTAATAGGCAGACGTCCCCCATCGGGATAGTGTAGGTAGGTATCTACTCCTGTCGAATGAGACACCACCTTCGTTATAGTCATGCGGCAATCAACAAACAGAATGGAGACGTCGTTGATTGGATCCCCGGGATGGCGTGGCCTTCCACAGGTGCGTCAGAGAGACCGAATCTATGTCCGGGCTGATAGACGTCAGTTCTTGTTATGTATTCTTACTCGGCGTGAATTCGTAGCACAGCGCACCATTCAATCAAGTCAGTTCGTGTCTTCTCACCAAAGTTGGAGGTTGTCGGAGGTCCGGGGAGATGCTGAATAAACCGTGTCAGATGGTAAGATACGATGTTCACGGCATCAAACCTGGTGTGGGGGATATGAAATTTCAAGTCTTGATCTTTGACTCAAATGATGTGATAATGAGGCCGTGCCACAACGCCGCGCACGTAGAACCTAAAATATGGAAGGAAAAGGATTTGTCTGTTAGGTAACTCGCAGCTAGGCCGGGAATGATACATAGTACAGTACGCCGTACGATACATACAAACCAAGTTCTGGAGCGAACATTTCATCATTTGGAGGCTGTGGAAGATTAATTACCTTTCCTTCCTAGCGACAGCCATTCTTGAAGATCGGATTGCTGAGATCAATTTGGAGCTTCCAGATTGGAAGTTGCCCAAAATCCCAGCACCGTTTTCAGCCTCTTGGCGGCGGCGGATGGTCTGTGCTCCAGCTAATGTCGGTCGAGAGACCGCGCATGATGCCCGATGCCCCCAATACCATCCGGGTCTGGGTCTGCTCCTTTGATGGACGGGATCCAGCAAGCACCCTTCTTGATTTTTGCGTGCAAACAAGCAGTGAGAAGACAAGACGGTGTCGAATCCGCCTCGCCGAGTTGTTCATGTTCAAGGCGAAAAGAAGCTGCCTGTCTGATGTCAGCGCCCATTGGCGTCATAGCCTCCCGATGAGCCCATTGCCTCGCTGCTTGTCTGCTCTCTGATTTTAAAGCCGTTCTCCAATTCATTCGCTTTTTGAATGATCCGATTTACTACTCTCCGTTGACTGACACTTTCAGATCTCGCTTTTTGTCCACCCGGCTTGACTTGCTCCCTAGGCAGAGGTTGCGCTGGCTTGCTTGCTTGCGACAAGCCTCTGCAACCTTGAATTGACCCCCGGTCTTCTCCCCCCCCCCCCCCCCCCCCCATCCCATTCCTAATCTAGCCAGGGTAATATTTCGCAAAACTGCCCGGCCTCCCGCCCGAACGAGGTGTTCGTGCGCCCCCTCGCAGCCCCAAAAAAGATCAACCACACTGTCCCCTTTTTGCCTTTTTCTCTCACTCGAAAACCTCAACCATTGCTCCAGCTTGGCTTCCTGGCGACATCGCGGCGGAAACGGGAATCGGCCGCTCTACTCAGAGACCCCACCGATTTCACGATTGCGGCTGTTTGTGCATGTCTGCGCCCAGTCTCCACTTGTCTCTCCGATAGTCATTTCGTTCAGCCCTGCCTTGGCTGTTTTACTGGTCGGCACCACACCCCCTTGGAGCTTGCATTATTCCACACCGCAGCCAAAGCCAGCGACCTCCCAAACCTCTCATTACCTCTGCCTCGTTCAGCCATTTCCATCGCCCGTAAACCCGCATCCCGTTCTCGCTGATCCCGACTCGATTGATCCGCCCAATCCTCCAAGATGGACTCCGGCCGACCGAACGAGGTGTCGCCCGAGGCGATGCAGGCACGCATCCAGCAAGCGCGTCGCGAGGCTGAGACACTCAAGGACAAGATCAAGCGGAAGAAGGAGGAGCTCGCCGACACCACGCGTGAGTTGCCCTGCCCCGACCCCGAATACGCCTCCTCGTCCGCTCCACTCCGCCCACGTCGCCGTCGCTGCGACTCGCTGCACTTCTTGTGATGATTGTCTTGCTAACCGACCGCACCGTGCATTAGTAACCGAGGTCGCCATCAAATCGCACGAGCTCATCCCCAAGAACCAGCTGATGAGGCCGAAGAGGACGCTGAAGGGTCATCTCGCCAAGATATATGCCATGCACTGGTCGACCGACCGGAGGCATTTAGTGTCCGCCTCGCAAGACGGCAAGCTCATCATCTGGGATGCCTACACAACCAACAAGGTCCACGCCATTCCACTCCGGTCATCGTGGGTCATGACCTGTGCCTACGCCCCGAGCGGGAACTACGTTGCATGCGGCGGTCTCGACAACATCTGCTCCATCTACAACCTTAACCAGAATCGCGATGGGCCTACCCGTGTCGCCCGCGAGCTCTCGGGCCATGCAGGATATCTGTCGTGCTGCCGCTTCATCAACGACCGCAGCATCCTCACCTCGTCGGGCGACATGACATGTATGAAGTGGGATATCGAGACAGGAACCAAGGTTATCGAGTTTGCCGACCATTTGGGCGACGTCATGAGCATCAGCTTGAACCCTACGAACCAGAACACCTTCATCTCGGGCGCCTGCGATGCCTTCGCCAAGCTGTGGGATATCCGCGCCGGCAAGGCGGTCCAGACGTTTGCTGGCCACGAGTCCGACATCAATGCTATCCAGTTCTTCCCCGACGGCCACTCCTTCGTTACTGGATCCGATGATGCTACATGCCGGCTATTCGACATCCGCGCGGATCGGGAACTAAACTTCTACGGAGTATGTCCTCAGATCGTGCCTAATCGGGATTACGATGCTAATTTGAACCTCTAGTCGCAATCTATCCTCTGCGGTATCACCTCCGTTGCTACCTCTGTGTCAGGCAGACTTCTCTTTGCTGGCTACGACGACTTTGAGTGCAAGGTAAGACCACATCGCAGCGACTCGCCTTGACCAGACACAATGCTGACCAGTTATTATAGGTCTGGGACGTTACGCGCGGCGAGAAGGTCGGATCCCTCGTGGGCCACGAAAATCGCGTCAGCTGCTTGGGAGTCTCAAATGACGGCATAAGTTTGTGCACTGGCTCTTGGGATTCAGTGGTAAGTGTCTCCCAGAAGCTTGCATCGGATGCGTCAATAAACATAACTGTTGCTAACAAAACACGCAGCTCAAAATCTGGGCCTATTAAGTGTCTATTTGATGCCGACATCACTATCCATATCTGGATACCGAAATTACCTCGCCGCTATGGAAATACTACAGAGTGCCCTTTTTTGGTTCTAATTCAACCTGATAACGCCTTTTAATCTTTGGACAGGCGTAGACAGGACGAAGTCACGACATCCTTTTTCTCTAACCTGGCCTTTTTGCGGTGTGCGGCATCCTGGTCTCGGCGGCTGGAGACATTATTCAGCACTATAGCGCACGTTTCTGCACGCCTTGTTTTCTTCATGGTCGGGCAAGTTTTGTTTGTATGAACGGCGGCTATGTCACCTCAAGGCCTTGTTCCATTCCATTTCCGTTGGGGTTCAACTCTAACAATCACCCTCTCGATATGCGTGGAGCTGTGCGCTCTCAAATGTTATCAACATGGCAAACCTGAGATTTCCTGACTCGACAGCCTTTGAGGCTACCGACAACTCTACGTTCTTTGGCCCTTTGCCTCCCTCGGTCCGTGGCACGATTGCGAGTCTCTATTGGATCTTTAGCGTACTTTTGCCCAGGATTCGACTTCTATCATCATCTATCCAAGATCTCACATCTTCCAACCCTCGGATTTCCAGCTAATCCATACATGTCTTGCCCCTCCCTGCGATTGGCCGGGAAGGACGGGGTTTTTCTTTTTCACATATCGATCTGTCCAGGGGGAGGACTCCAGGGTTGCGGAATAGTATCCGTTTAAGTGTTTCTTTTCTCTTCTCCTTTTCCTTTTGCCGTAGGTACTTGAGAGCGTTGGGAAACAAGGTACTTGTGTAAAGACCGTGCTTTCTCGGCACAGGTCTAATCGTGTTTATTTCTTGTTTTGGTTTAACTCCCTCCCCCCGTCGTGCCTCGCATACATATTCAAGAGCCACTCAGGAGGGCAGGCCATTGAATGAGGCTCGGATCGCAGGCAGCAAATAAAGCAGGGAACTCCATGGAATGATGGTGGTGAGGTAGGTTGATGAAGTGGGTCCGCAATCTGAACCCTTGCGAGGCGGTGCGTGGTCTGTCTGTCTTGTATTATAAAACGCAATGAATGCTCTATTAGTCAACGTCATCTAAGCAAGCGAGTAAGCAGTAACCTTTTCCTAGACTCTTCATCCGGTAGGGGTGAACCGAACCACAAGTTTTACTTCCATGAGGAAAAATTTACAACAGCTAGCTAGTGAGGTTTTCTTTTCACCATTACTTCAACATAATTTAGAGAACCGGTAACAATCCAACACCTTGGTTGAGTAACGTACCCTACATTTCGTTCGTTTGTCACAGAACACAGTTTCCTTCCATGTTACTTTGCGGTATGTATCTTCGTGGCACATGCTCCCGGATCCTTGGAGCATGGCCACGGCGCACATTTTTGTGCGGCTATCTACTGAGTCGGCTGCGCCTGGTATGTTTGGTTTACGACTCGTCCAATGTGCGTGGCCTGGTCGCCGTGAATTCCTGCCTCGGCGCCATATGGCACAGGAAAAAAAAAGTTAAAAAGAAAACTCTTATTGTTCCTATGGCCTGGGCCATGTTGGTATGTGCATTTTTTGACTGGTCATCTATTTTAGTTGGAATATATCACAGGATGCCGGGATGGAAAGGGGCTGTGTGTCTTAGGTTGGCTAGTCAGACCAGAGAGAAGCACGAAAGGGAAGGGAAAAAGGTATAAAGTCCAAAAAGTCCTCATCATGCCAGGAAAATAGCCACTAAGGTAATGATGTAATTATCTATCCCGGGTTTGAAGGCTACACAGAAAAAATAGGCCCGTTAGAAATAAACTGAAGTATTTAGCATGATGTTTATCATATATTGTACAGATGGGGGCAAACCTACCAGCACGGAAATTTGAGTCTTCGACGACATTAGGGAAGATGTAGATGCTGACCCGGCAGATATTACAGTAATCAGGTCCAGTCCCGTAATAGATAATGATAGCTGCCCGTTGAATATCTTGTTGAGATGGGTTGCGCTTGGTTATCTAGGTATCCTGTGCCATGGAAACTTGTCATGTTACTTGCTCCAGGCCCTAGAAGTTGAGTAATATCAAGACATGCCAGGAATATTACAAGTGGTACGAGCCTCAACTTTCCACGTGGAATCATATATGCAACACTGACATCATGCCCAGGAGTCACTTGGGAAGACATGGTTCAGGATTTGGTTAGAAACACCTCAATATCTAAGATCACCTACCTGCCGAGACTACCATTCTTGACTGACATGTGGCTCTGGCCCGAAGCAAGAAGACCAGGATGCTTGCAGGGTGCTTGCTTACAGAAGAAATTGGGAAGTCTGGGCATCTTACGCGGCATTCCCAAGGCAGGAAGCCTCCGTCTCAACTATTATTAGCTCGGTTTCGGGGCTTCGAGAATGGTTACCAAGCGTTCTTTTTGTCCTCAGAAAGGTTCTTGAATCCTTGCTCGAGGACCCTGCATCACTGAGTCTGTTCAGGTATGCCTGGCCTGGGGATCGGGGCACGTTCTCTTACGGCACATAACTACACGTGTAAGATAAGGTAGCCGAAGGAGGCTCGTGAGCTGCCCTCGGCCTCATCATGCCGACACACAGGCACAGAGTCAGGGTTACACCGAGCCCGAAAGATGCCTGGGGAGTGGCGGCTGTGGTCGTATACGCAGCATGAGGGTTGGCAAGTACCAACTTGTACCTTTCGTACAATACAACCTCGGAAGACAACTTTGGCTGGTCTCGGACGAGCGCTATGCCGTAAATCATATGTTAGCGCGCTGAAACAGCAAAAAAGGAGAAAAAAACATCAGCCTTTCAAGCTGACATGTTTTTCTCTCGTTTTCCTCATGTGCCCTTCCCTGAGTTGTGGTAGGCTGAATGAAGGAAACATTGCGGATCGTCCCAATTTCCCGCCAACATCTTGTCCACTCTGTCTGCCACCTGCAGTCTGTCTACCTAGAACGCATATCCACCTTGTCTCGAGGATGGCGATCGATCGGGATTCCCGACCCCTCTTCTGTTTGCTCTCCTCTCGCCAAGAAAACATGGAGAATTTTGTCGATGGACTGAAAGGGGCCAGACCACAGGAAGGCCATGACCATGCGGGCGTACGGAGTATCGGCGGGCGTCAATGCTGGGCTGGCCGACACCAGACGTGTATGTACGTAGATGGCAGTCATTCCCGCCTCGGACCCGGGCGGGCGGTAAAAAGGAGAGGCCCAGTCTCATAGCAAGTCTGCAAGAAGCACCATGTAATGATGGGGAAGGCTTCTGGAACAATGCATGGGGGGGAAGGGAAGATGGCGCCAAGCCTGCCGGAGGCCCCACATTCGTTGGGGAAGGCGACATTGAGCAGGGAACAGGGGGCCGATGAAACATGCCCTGAAACACCAAGGTATGGATGTCGGTGCTGATCTTCCCGCTCTGCCGGCTCGCACCAGCAGCATCATTACCCGACCCAAGGCGTGCTCGAGCAATGTTTCCTGTACCGCAAAGCTATCTCGAATGAACATTCGAATGCCTAGTTGGCACGGGCGGTTTTCTCCCTTTTGCCCTCTTCAGCTTCAGAGAGGCATACAACACTGAGGCTGCCTTGGAAGACGTCATACGGTAGTCAGGGCGTGCTGTGTTTATGGGGGTTACCGTTTCCCACACAGCAGCATTCCATCACCCGACAGAACCTATCCATGTCGCGCTCTCTAGTGAGAAAGGGGCGGAGTACGGGGTCTGTAAATACATGGGTTGGATGTAAACAGTAAGCCCTGCAGCGAAGGCACTTTCCCGGCCTCGGTGGCATGGCATGGTAAATTCAGCCCTGTGCGGTTGTGGCACTCACACAAAACCTTTTTGCAGGATTGGCAGAAAGCGCCGGCTTTGGCTGCCTTGGCTTCCTTGGCTCAGGCGCCTTGTAAGCTCACGAGCCGAGTGGATGATGCGCCATGCGATTGACCTTCTAGAACTCTCACGCGTGTTTCGGGCTGCTTTCCTTTCTATGTTGATCTGCTTCTAAACCTACAGGTAGGCAAGGTTGTATATACAGTATTCACACGTACATACCTAGGCGCTCCGTATGGGACACGGGCTCGGGCTGTACGTTGTTATTTTTCTCGCCCTTTCCCACTCGCATCATTCAACCCTCCCACACGGACACATACTCTGAAAATTCGCTGAATATCAATCTGCTTACCTAGGTAAGGTAGGTAGCTTGCGTAAAGATGACCAACGAGGGGCGTGAATCCGTCTGTAGGATGTCGGCGATTCCTGAAGAAGAGATGAAGAACTGGGTTCATGACGACAAGAGGATGCTGTGCCGTGGGTCATATACGGCGCTGTCTGCTCCTTCTCAGGCCGCCGAATAGCGAGGACGTTCTCCGTAGACTTTGAGATTTGGAAAACAATCCGTCGCGCGTTTGTTTGCTGTTCCAACTTCCCTGTGCGTGCCCGCGCCTCTTTGCGCCGCCTGCATTCATGCGCAGCGGCAGCAACAACAGCAAAATAGCCCTGCTAGCACGCGATGACAGCGCGTGCGCTGCACCAAGTGGACGACGTCGACTCGTCCTCGTCCCCTCCGTCGCTGAACCGCCCGACGGAGTCCTCCGGCAGTGTTAGCAATTGCACGGGCAGGCTTGCACTTGCAACCCCTGTCCCGCCGCCTTGCATTGTTCGTGGCCGTTAATCCCAGTCGACCACGCGACCGACCCTCTGTGCAGCAGCCAACCCACCCCTCGTTTCTCTGCTTGCCGATCCCACTTTCTGGGTCCACCTCCACCAGCCGCCTCACCCACCACTGACTGACCAGCTCCGGAATGCTCGACTCCCCCTCGAACCAGCCAAGAGTCGTGCTCGTCGTCGGCCGCAGCATCCCTCCCATGTACTGTTGAGCGTTGCCCAGCCTTGATAAGGAACTGGATGGTGTGAATCCCTCGTGCCTCTTTTCTCTCTTTCTTGCATGCATGCATTTTCTGACCTGTGCCTGTATCCAATTAGCTCTCACAGACAGCCATCCGCCTCTCCTTCTCTTCCTCCGTCACCACGTGTGTACGGCGCATTCACACTCGCTGCGCTTTGAAACCTCTGACGCATCTTCAGGGGTCGACAAAATCCCGGCTGCCCCAACTCACGTCCCCGTCTGCAACCGGCTATTCCACCCACTACCACCTCCCGTCTGTTTCTGCGCGCCAGTCCAAACTCTTCCCTCCTTCCTCGATCCACCGAACAACAGCTCACGGTCCTCACGGTCCTGCAATAGCTAAGGGGTATGTACCATACAACAGGCGTTGGATCGATTGCTGCCCAGCACTAACCAACCATACCCTTCTCCCCGCTAACCCGTCGACCAGCCCCAGAAGCAGCCGCCCCGCCCCAGCCTGCTGGGTGTCCCATAAGGAGAGACGTGCGATTCGATAACCCTGTCGACCGGCCTTGCTGCCCCGTTGTACAATACATCGCGGTACACGTTCCTGCTCGAGTACTGCGCTCCCATCATCTGCTCTGCTTGCCGCTCGATTCGGCCTACCCCGCCGCCGTCTCGAGTCTTACCACTCTCTATTAAACTAGCGTGACCGTCCTGCGAGACATTCTCGCTTCCCCCTTCGCTATCATGTCGAATCCTACCCCCGCGCAGGAAGAGTTCGCCGCCTTAGTCGCCAACAATAACCGCTCAGACGACTACAACATACATCCCGAGGACCGCCAGTCGGCAGCCAAGGAAGCTGCACACCAGAGTGAGGACGAGGAGGACCGACACCGTGCTGAACAGATCGAGGCCGCCATGCGGATGACAACTCTAGATGCCCGCGGCGACTTCCATCTCCCCCAGGCATCTTTCGATAGTGGACACGCGACAGGCGTCAAGGGTGTCATTGCGGATGCCCGGTCATACGAGAACGCCCGGCGCAGCAAGTGGAAGGACAGAGTGCGTGCCGCGCGCCGCAGCGTGTTCGGCATCGACAGCGTCAAGCATGACCGGAGCAGTGGGGCCGAGAGCGAGGGGAGCGGCCCCGAGGACCTAGACGAGGCCTCCTTCTTGGAGCAATGGCGGGAGAGCCGGAGGCGCGAGCTCGAGGCCGAGGCCAAGGGCTCGCCGGTGCGGAACCGGAGGACGAGCCCGAGCTTGAGGCTGTTTGGCCGCCTCGATGAGGTCGATGCGCTCGGATATCTCGACGCTATAGAAAAGGTCGGGAGGGAGACGACCGTAGTCGTCTATGTCTACGATCACGAGGTACGTGCTTATTTCGACCCAACTGGCAAAAACAACAACAGCCCCAGCAAGTACTTGCGCCGGGGATCCTCTACTGTCTTGAAAGCCTTCTGCAGCCACTCCATGGAGGCATAAAATACTGACTCGAGCAATATCTAGAGCCTCGTTTCGTCGACAATTGAGTCCGCGCTCAATCCCCTTGTCGGCACGTACCCCACCATACACTTTGTCAAGGTTCATTACGAGGACATTGAGTTCGACAGTGCCGGTGTGCCGGCCATCCTCGCCTACCGGAACCAGGGCGATCTCTTTGCCAACTTGACAGGACTGATAGAGATGCTCCCGGATCACGAAGACTTTGACACTGCTTCTCTCAAGCGCCTCTTTAGCAAGCACAACATCTTGTAATGTCGAAAATGACACATGGAACTCTTTTCTGGAATGGCCATGTCTGCTATAATACAGGGAAGGTGTAGATGTTACTACTGCCGTGGGTCGAATTATGTCCTCGGGCCTGAACCGGTTCGGTCTAGTCGCATTAGGACCTCGGTGTTCAGTTATGTCTGGGATTCCAATGTGGGCGTTACGTGGTTGGCGGGGTACGAAAGCGCGATCTATTTACGTGTATGACGGTCATGTCTCGGAAGGCGAAGATACCATTATTTTCTGGCTCATATTTTTAGTGGAAACCCTTCTTTCGCACACTCTTTGGAGTTTGGTCGGGGCCATTTCCTTTGACTCTGGTTTTAATCTGAGGGGCGGGTTCTTTTTTCTTCTTTTTTCTCTCGTGGCCAGTGTTTAGACTAATTACCTGGACCACCCATTATCGTGTGTACAATACATGGAATTTCTTCAAGGTCATTTACGGAGCAGAAGAGAGTGGTGATCAAGAGTGGATGGTCTTTATATGCGCGTTCTGTCTTGGCGCCCTCCAGCATTTGGTGATAACTTTGCCTGCTGCCGAGGCATTCATTCGATTTAGGTTTTCAACTATGGTATCTGGTTTTTCCTTTCGCCACTTTTACCCCTTTAGGCCAAAGATGACACCTTTACTCCCTCCGAGTTTCGGGAGAACAGTGGTAATCTTTTTGATCACAAAATAAGTTTGATGTTGTCATGTCTTCTGGCAATAGGCTCTCATCAGTGGATCCTACGACGCGGAGAACACCTTCATTAGATAATCGTTTTCGCAAGGGTCACTTTCGCCAAGGCAGAAGCGGGGACAGCTGGGGTCGGGTGCGATGTAGTGTCACTGGTCAGCAAGGTGATAAGTCTATGCCGTGGTTGCTGCCGCAAGACTACCGGATACGTGAGGATCAGTTGCGAATTTTCGATAAATGGACAAGCTGGCCTACACGCCTAGGTGGCCATTGCCGTGTGCTAGTCAATGTGATTTTGCCATCGTCTCTTCGTCCGGAACTGCTTGGGAAACTGGGCGCGAAGCTTTAGCTTGAAGAACGTGGAGTCATCTCGATATCCAGGGACAAAGGTAGCCTGCCTATGAGGAGCCGTATATGGATGCGACTCGGCCCTAGATGTCATTCATCACCCAAAAGGAAGCAGGGCGGTCCTGCGGAGAACCCCTCCATTCGTCGACTTGGTGGCCCCGTGGCCGCCACTAATAACCTAACTTGCATCCCACATCCCGCATGAGTTTGGCTTGCTTGGGCGTGGTGACTCGACCCAGAACCCCGCCATCGAATAACTAACACGTCAAAGAGGAGCTTGCTGCTGACAGCGATAGCAGCAGCACAAAGCCGCCTTCATGTTGGTCAGGCTGAGGTGCGCACCGCGTAATTAACTTGATGGGCCAGTTATATGTGTCCAGCCCGTAGGTAGTAGTAGGGAGCTATCGCACGCAACCCACCACGTACTTCACTTCCATTGCCATTCGCATTCGCAATTATCGGCTCCCCTCTTCCAATCTCCCTCACATTAATTCTTGACCTTTAGCCCGTCCACCACCTCCAGTGTTCCCCATTCTTGAGGCCTTTTTGGCCCACGCTCTCTTGCACCCGGTGCGCCACTTTCACGCTCCGGAAGCTGTAATTCATCCTTCCCCTTAACTTTCCCGAAGCCTTGGGCCGGCCGCCGATAACGTCCGAGGGGTCGCAGGCGGACAAGTGACTCGAGCTTGGGTGCCTTTCCTCCACCTTCCCCACCCCCGCCTAGTCCAGTCACCTACCTCCCCGTCACTGTAAGGCAGCTTCTGGCCAAGACAGGCAGAAACCCAAACCACGGGTCGCAATAACTCAAGACAACGAGTGACTTTTTCTGTTCTCGCCAAAGAAGGAATATCCATCTAATCAGATTTCCCTAGGGTCAAGGTACTTGCTTTTCAATTTCTAAAATCTAAAATAGGGGCCTTTCGCCCTCCCAATTGTCCGTGCCTTCCCTTCACTGCCCATTCCTCCCAACCCTGCCTAGAGTGCCCCTCCTTCTCTGACACCACGACTGCAACACCCCTCCACCACATCCAGCACCACCATTTCACTTCTACACTCTCCTGTATCGGCCTCCCGACTGCCTGGAACTGTCTCGATCTTTCCGTGCTTGGATGGCCTATTAGGACGTGACGCGGTTTCTGCGAGGCTGACTGGCTGTCTTTACCTCGTAATGGAACTACAGACCCAGAGTGCCCCTCCAACATCTCAAACCAACGAGGCCCCAGGCTCAACCCCCCCGTCGCCACAAACACCGACCTCAGCATCTGTGCCAGCCCTCCGGTTCCCAAAACCCCAAGGCAACAAATATCTTGCCAACTGGGTTTCTAACAGCTCGCCCGACATTAAGCAGCCGCCCAACATGTCGGACACGGGCAACTTGGCCGATTCGGCCTATGAAATCATTAACGGCACTGACAGCGAGAGCCAGAGCCAAGATGATCAGCTTACCGAGTCTACCGGGTCGCTCGAGGTGTCCCGCCCCGAGGATGTGCAGAGTCTCGACGGGTCCGAGAATCACTACGACACTGACAGCGACACGGACGAGGATTCAGATCATTCCTCCCATGCGTCCTCTATCAGATATGCCGATCAATCCCTCGAGAATCCCTCAACGCAGCTTCCCGCTAACAGTCTCCGGTTCACTTCTCCCTCAGCCTCTGAGCAGTTCCCGCATGTCTCTCGCTCCATCGAGTTCCAAGAAGGAGACGAAGACCGGCTGGCTGCTATGGACAAGATCTCGGTTAAGCATACCACTCACGAATTCACGGCAGAGGTGTCCGCGACCATAGCGGAACAGCTCGGCATGCTAGAGGCCCCGAGACGCCTCGTCGCAACGATTCGGCAGACCATGTCCCAGGCTTACCTCTCAACGAACGACCCGCTGCGCGTTCTCTATATCGGCCGCGCGGAAGCTCAGAGGGGCATCGTCCTCAAGGTCTCCAGCGCCATTTGGACCTCGCCAAAGAACGACGCCAAGGATGAGGATCACTTTAGCAGACACCGTGAAGGCGTTTATAACATTGTACCCATCTCTTCTTTCGGGCCTACACCCGAACTGGACCTGATGGAAGCTTCTCACTATCAAATCAAAGTTGAACACTGCACATCGGCCTCGGTACTTGAATATCCCAAGCAATCATCTCCCGAGCGCAGTGTGTACTCGATCACTGTCGAACACGACAATATATACTACTCCCACAACAGCCGTAACGGTCTAGTGGTGCAGCCAAGATGGGCTCTGCCGCATATCGCAATCTTCTACTGCTCCGATGACGCAGACGAACAAGAGGAGAAGACGCGAGATGCAGTATGGATGTTTTTGCGTCGACACAACATCCCCTCGATTTTCATCACCGAGTCCGAGGCTTTCGGGAAGCTCGCTTCTCCCCGCTGGGACGAGCTTGTGGATGAGCATGCGGTTCACCTCTGCCTCGAGTCTCGGGATCCTGAGCGGCCCATCACTCCTCGACGCCTTCCTATCGACCTTCCCTCGTTCCTCAACATTGATGCGCGGCAGATGAATCGCAACTTCGCCTACTTGACTGGCTTGTCTGACTCGGCTGAGAGAGTGACTGCATCACCAAAGGTCGAGGCTGAGCCGAGCAAGTCGGCGCCAGGGGTGAAGAAATACAACCGATGGACTTCGAGACCATCTGGAGCTCAGATCCTTGAGAGCATGGAGCGCAACAAGTTGTTTTTTGCCTTGGCAATTCCGTTGCTCATGGCCTTTATCATTCCGCTCTTTGCCGGCTTGTTTTTGAACTCCTTGTCACTGGGAACAAGCTCGCCAATTTCTACTTCCTTGGCATCCGGTATCCTCGACACCCCTCAAGCGACTCCCCCCGCCCGTTTGACTACCACGGCAAGGGCAGCAACAACTTCTACAACAACTGTTGTAATCAACGTCACGTCGACGAAAACCATCCAGCTCAGTCACGCGCGGCCATCAGCTAGCACCTTGGCCTCGGCGTTGTCTTTCGCTGGATTTCTCTCTGACAAGCCGTCAGAGAAACTATCTGGGCCCGCCGTTGAGCCCGAAGAAAAGAAGACGGTCTGTTCCGTGCGCATTTCTGGCCAGAACGAGATCTTGGTGACGATTCCTTCTGGTAACAAGGCAGGGTGGCTCGCCAAGGGCGCGATTGATATCGACGTATTCCGCGGAGACAAGCCGGTTAAGACCAAGCTTTCTTCCGTTGACGAAGGAATTGTTGTCGAGCTCAAACCAGCCGACGCATATGGCGTGCTTAATGTCTCGGTTATCACGACACGAAAGCCCAAGATTAACGAGACATTTGGAGTCAACTTCGGGAAGCCTGTTGTGGCTGAGGTTATCGAGGCAAGTCTACATATTCTACAGGATTTGGCCAAGATGGTCTCTACCACTGCCGATGAAACCGTACATCTTGTGGACGAGGTGTACGTCCCCGCTGCGGCCGGTCTTGCAAAGCTACGTGGCGATACTACCTCGGCCCTGAAGCATGGCCTTAAGGCTGCCCAGAGTCACTATTCAGAGACAGTAAGCCGGGTTAAGCATTCAGTGGGACCTAACGAAATGACTCAGTACATCAAGCACACCAAGGAGCATATTTCTCGTCAGCTTAAGTCTGTAGACAAGATTCGCGAAAACTCCGTCCTTCAAGCCCAAATTGCTTCCAAGCTGTGGTGGCTGAAGGTGCAAGGGAAGACAGAGGAATATGCCGAGTACCAGCGCAGTGCATCTCACTTTCTCAAGATGAAGCACGCAGAACTGGTTCGGACCCAGAGAGGGCCAGAGAAAGAGGCGCCCAAAGAATCATGGGCACTTTTCGGGAAGCGACAAAGCCGTCAGTGCAAGAAAGACGCCAAAGCGCGACAGGGCACAAAGGACAGCCGGTGGAAGAAGATGGTTAAGGGGTGAGGTTTCTTTCCTGTTCTTTATATGGAGCAATTCTTTTTCGGCGGACGGATAATGGACGGTAAATGGATTAACCTACCATTCTTGGGTGGAGGCTGGGGATCTGGACTGGAGTTGCGCGGCTTTTGCTCTTTATTTGCTCAGTTAAGGATGCATCTATTTTTTTATTCGGTCAGGGGCCGTAATCTTCACTCTGACCACGCTCCCCTTAAATTCTAGCATTCTGATTATGTTATTGTAGGCAAGCCCAGATGATTTGTTTGTGCCGGGATACCTAGACGCCGGAGAGGGTGTTACGATACACGTTTTGCACTGTGAGGGCAGTAGGTAGTTTGGTAAGAGGGCGGTTGACGCCTCATTCGAGACGGAGGGCACGCGGGCGTTCATGCTCGAGGGCCCGGACTCCAGCTCTTATACATAGACATATATACACAACTCCCTACCTCTACTTATTTCACAGGCTGGATCCGTAATGTATCGCCGTGTTTGTATGCGTAGAAACTGGTTAGGCAAGCCCGGTGTCACAACCCAGTAGGTTGTCCAGGTCGGACTTGAAAGTGAGGTAAGCACGTGTTTGTCTTGTAGGATGAGTTCTAAGTGTTTATATGGCTGCCAGATATGGATTCGATGCCCATGGGTTGATCCGATTATGGTAAAGGATTCCTGACATAAGTAAGGTAGGTACAGGTTTTTTCGTTTTCCTAGGCCCGAAATAAACGAGAAGTCCCTGTGTGCCTACTTACCTAGTAGCCATTCCAAGAACGCCATAACGCCAAGTGTTTAACCCCAAACCAAGGCAGGCATGGCAGGTATCTCCATGCCCTTCGAGAAAGAAGGAAGGTTTCTTCGGGTCTTGGTATGTACAACAGGGGAGCTCGGTTTTCAGCTGCTATTCCAGACCACTCAGTTGATTATCAGTATAGTCATCGAGCTGATAATTACTTATCTATATAACGTGTAGATCGGAACAATCTAGCTATACCATTCAATTTAGTTCGAGCTAGAGTTGAGAGGGATGACTTCATCAAAAACCCTAACCCCTACGAAGTTGACTCACCGCCTGCCTGAAATGGTTGCCTATGTACATACGTATAATACGTGCCTTAGCGTAATATACGGATACGTCGGTACCCCTTAACCCCGCCAACTGGCGTGCGGCCCCGCGTACTCTCACGTCAAGGATTACCGGTACGTACACTAGCGGGGGCAGCCCAATCTTGTATCGAGACACTTGTGCTTGCGCCCAATCAAGCTCTGCACTCCTGCCAAATCTCGTAGATTCCGTTTGTTGATTTTTAGGAGTGAGGGGCAGCACTTAATTTTTGGCCCTTCCACCACCATCAACTACTTCCCTTAGCTCACCACGAACAATCCCAGAGACCACCAAGACAGCCTTATCAAGCGGCTCTCGACCTGTCGCCCAACAGCTTGCAATATTAGGTACGTCTGTTTTCTTTCCCTTGCCGAACTGCACGCAGCATACTCAAACTGCCCCTCGCTTGAACCCCGCTTTGGTCGCTGAGCCTGAGCACATAGCGGGGGTGCCGGCGCTGGTAGCTGACGACTGCTGCCAGCAACGCGTGCGATGTTGAGAACCAGTGAGCTGACGCGCACTCTCAACCTGGACAGTATCTAGACAGTTTCATCCAAGACAACGCAAATATGTCTGCCGAAAACGTCGAGAAGCCGGTCGAGGAGGTCAAGCCCGAGGCCCCCAAGGAGGTATGTAACGATTCCATCGCCGTATTTCACACATGCTATCGCTTCGAGCCTGCTATTTTCGCAAGCGACCTCGGAACTCTTGAGCTTCGGTTTGCGACGTGGGGTATCTGGTAGCTCGCTTGATTTGCGCTTCATTACCTCTATCCCCTTCGTCTAGAAATCCTAGCGCCCAAGCTGACATGCTCGATTTGTATGATTGTAGTCAAACCCTCCGGTCACCAGCTCGTCCGTCTTCTCCATGTTCGGTGGCGGCGCCAAGAAGGACAAGAAGGAGACTGAGGAGGACCGTGGCGATAACTCGGGCAGCGCAAAGGCTCAGCGCGAGGCCGCCGCTGCCGCCGCCGCCTCCAAGGGAGGTGACGATGTGAGCTAAACAAGCCCTGAAGTCCAGAGGGGCGGTTATTTCAGTTGCTGATATGTACCTTGGCAGGACGACCAAGCCCCCGAGTCCGAGGATATCCACTTCGAACCCGTTATCCATCTGACCGAGAAGGTGGAGGTCAAGACCAACGAGGAGTTGGAGGAACAACTCTTCAAGATGCGTGCCAAGCTCTTCAAATTTGTCTCGGAGACTAAGGAATGGAAAGAGCGCGGCACTGGCGATATTCGCCTCCTTAAGCATCGCGAGAACGGCAAGACCAGATTGGTTATGCGTCGGGATAAGACTCTCAAGGTCTGTGCCAACCATTATAGTGAGGAACCCCCCCCTGTACATTTGTCGTGGGTTTAGCTACTTACGCGCAATACCACAACAGTCGTACCCGAGATGAAGCTCTCTCCCAACGTTGGTTCGGACCGTAGCTGGGTTTGGAATGCCGCTGCCGATGTCAGCGAAGGAGAGCCCGAGGCTGTCACGCTTGCCATCCGATTTGCCAACTCGGAGAACGCCAACTTGTTCAAAGATGCTTTCCTCAAGGCTCAGAAGGACAATACCGCTCTCTTTGGGGCGGCGGAATCTACGGAGAAGAAGGAGGAGGTTGCCGAGCCGGCCAAGGAGGAGACCGCTGAGCCAGCCAAGGAGGAGGAGCCCAAGGCTGAGTCGTCCTAAATAACTTTCGCTTGTTTATGAAAAGAGAGCCCATGAAACAAGCGCGCAGCGCCTTCTAAGCATCTACACCACATATCACAGCGGAGATAGACGTAAATGATGAGGACAATGGATGAACGGGGAGGTGGATGAACTGGCGGACGGACGGACACATGGATATGAAGCGTGGCTCTTGGAGCCAAGGCGTTGAGCAAACGCTTGTCTTCATTTTTGGAAGACACGGTCGAGCACTAGCAGTAGTTGTAGATAGACTAAATATCATAAGTCTCCCCCAAATCTCTAGTCTCGTATTTTTGCGCGGAAGATGAACTGTTTTCCTGCTATATTCGCTCATCTGACTTGAACGTGCGGCTGGATTCACTCATGAGTACTAAGCGCTATTGTTCTTACTTTGAACTTCAAATGAGAATGCCGTTTCAAGTAAGACAAGCAAGCCTAGAATCACAGTTGGATGAGACGTGGCAGAGAAACGTTTGTGTGGGTGAAAGAAACGATTTTGGAAGAGAGAAATGATTCTTCTCGAAGAGGTAGCGATTTCTAACCGTTTCTTATTTGCTCTTTCTCTTACTCAGCCAAAATTGTTCTTTTTCTTACTTAGTTAATGTCATTTGTCTGAAAAAAGGGCGTTGAGTTGTAAATGAGCGGGTTTTATGGCATGCGGTATTCTAGTTGAGACAGGTCAAAGTGAACTTATTCCGATACGACAGTGAAAAGTTGAATGCCCTCGCTTTTGAAGCACAGTGTGCACAGTGCGCAAGGACGGAGTTCTTCTTTCTGCTGTTCATTTCACCAGCAGAAGTGTACTGGAAGACTAAAACATAGACCTCGTCACCTAATCTTCCACTACTTCAACCTCTTCTACTTCATTCCTGAAAATCGAGAAATGCGTCCACTGCTTCTAGCTTGCTACAACTTCGACGCCACCAAACACGCAGCATCGGATAAATCCCGGCTACGCCACCCTTGCCGCGACGCGGTTCCTCCCTTGCCTTTGGCCGCTGCGCCACGTCGGCTAAATCACGTCACATTGAACGCGTGCACGGACAACCAGAAGCTATGGCGCGCTCCAGCCACAACGCGGCGGCACGAGCGTCTGCTGGAGGTACGTGCAGAACCCTGGTCAATCCGTCGACGAACAAGTCGTCGTCTTTGTGCCGCGGTACCTACAACTTCACAACCTTCGGACGAGTATACCTGTCTCCACGATTTAATAGCTTTTCTCCCCGCCGGCCACATCACGCCCCCTCTACGCTACCGACCTCCCAGCTCCCAGATCCCAGCTCAAAATCCCCCGCGCCGCGCGCTACTTCGCTCAATCTATCTATCTATACCATATCACGTCTCCAGAAACACACGCACACGCACACGCACACGCCATCTGCTATATTTGCTATCATACGGGGGGCCGGCGCTTTCCATACGCTACCGCCGTGCGTTCCAATTCCCATGTCTCATTGCTCCCACTACCTCCCCTACGACACCTCCCACCTTTCCCATTCCCTGCCCTTAAATCGATCTAGCTCCATGTGTATCGCCTTGCGGCGCGTGGCGCGTCTTGATTGACACGCCCTCTCTATCTAGGAGAGGCCCGAGTCCAGCAAGGCATCGTTGTCAAAGCCTCCCGAAAGTCCGCGCGCATTACCACTAGAAACACCGAAAAGGGTGCCGCCATGATTGTCGACGTAAGTTACCCGGCCCCTGCGGTGTGCGAGCCGAGCTCCCGTTGGAGAGGAAGAGGCGGTCATGTCATGGACTTGCCACTCTTGTAATACCGTGGTTGCTAATTCGAATCGCAATCATCCAGCGCAAGATCAAGGTTGTTACGGAGCAGCACAATATGTACGTGTCATGTCAAGATCAGGGCAATGTGGCAGGGGCCATTCAATTCTTCAATTTCTGGGGCACCGGCTGACTTTTAGGGGTTTCTCCTACAGTGACAAGCCTGCTATCAATGAGGGCTTTCCCATGAAAGAGTGGACTGTCGAGATCTACATCCTCGATCAAGATGAAAAAGAGAAGCCAGCCAAGTGCTTCACTAAGGTGGTTTACCACCTCCACCCGTCATTCGAGAACCCGGTTCAGAGTACGATGACACCTCTTACACTCTGGGGTAGAAAAGAGGGAAAAAACTAGGTGGCTGACACTGATGCATAGCCTTCCTGGATCCCCCGTTCCGTTGCCGAAATGAGGGCTGGGGAGAGTTCGAGATGACCATTGACATGTTCACCACCGAGAAGGGCGGAAAAACTTCGATCCAGCATGATCTGAACTTTACGGCCTCGACTTATAACAACATCCACAACGTGTCGTTCAAGAACCCGTCGCAGGCGTTGCAGCAAATTCTCCGCGAGACCGGCCCGCTGCCCTCAGACGAGGAGCGTAAGCTCAAAAAGGCTGACGGCGGTAAAAAGAAGAAGACATTTGACGTGGAGAAGATGGCCGATGGCTTGGTCAAGCTCTCTGAGGAAGACCTCTTGCAGGTCATCCAGATGATTCATGACAACAAGGACGATGCCACGTATATCCAAAACAATATTGATGGTGCGTTACCTCCTAGTCTCAACTTTATTCCTTACCACGTTTGCAGGAACAAAGTGGTGGCCATGAATTTTACTTCTTTTTCCTTGGTACTAACATGGAGAGGTTATATAGCTGGCGAGTTCTCGGTCGATCTATATACGCTTCCAGACAGTTTGATGAAGATGCTGTGGGACTTTTTGGTAAGTGATGCAAAGCGCCCCAGCTCTATTCAAATGGGGGGGGGTTCCTTTTAGCTTGTCTGACTCTGGTGTATAGGTCAAGGCATCGGTCATCTCCTAAACACATCGAAGGAAAGAGGGACGACTTGTTTCTTTTCTTTTCGTCATCGATCATATCCTGAAATATTTTCAAGAGAAATGAGAGACAACGAGGGAAAGGAGAAACAAACACGGCTCGTGAATCACATTCACGTTTGTCGTTATCTGCATTGCAATGGCGTATTTGGCGTCAGGAAATGGTGGCAGGGGGGGAAGGGAATACTAAAAAGAAAACAATCTGGAGAACTCGGCCCAGCTTCTTGCACGGCGTGGCTCCCGTCGGGAAAGCAGCACTCCCTTGACTGACTTTATTGGCTTCTTTCGCGGGGTTTGGGGATATCTAACAAATGGTCAGTCAGTCCTCTGAACGACTCAAAACCGACCTTTTTTCTTGTCTTCCGGGACCGTCATTCTTGAAGGGCGTGGCGTCGGGGATTTGTGAGAGAAGGGGAAGGACACCCTTTCTTTTAGACCTGATATAGACGACCGACGGGAATGGTTTCTGCACTGTTGGTTTGATCGTAGGGGGTTGGGTTGATATTCTCTCCTGATTTTTTATATCATTGTCTGCCTTACATTGCTTTGGTGTGGGGTTCCCCTTCTTTTCCGGCTTTGGGAGGTTGCTTCATTTTTCTCTTTTGCCCCCCTCCTTGTCTTTTACAGCGATCAAGCATGGCGAGAATAAGAAAGCCCGCATAGGGCGTTCTAGCAGTGAAAAAGGTGATGATTTCTCGTCCCGTTTATTCAAGCGCGTTGTCTAGCGAAACACAGACGGCAGCTGTCGAGAGACATAGCAAATCTGGGCATTACCACGCTTTGTTTTTTTTGTTCGGTTTTCTTCACCATCTCTAGATGTGGTAGCGAGAGGTAGAGCACCTTGTATGTACAGGACTGCGGCCGGTGTGGTCAGGCATTATAGCAGGATATTGAACACCACCACGAGTCAGCAAGCAATACACAGCAGTACTCAGACTTAATTGCTGCCTTTTTGCAAGCTAAGAACTTGCCTCTTTGGGACCGAATGCGCGGTTTTGATTCGAGCCCTTGTCACTGGCGGCGACGGTAGCGTGCAAATTCTAAGGTGGTGAGAACGAATACGCCTCGCAGCGCCGCCCCTCGCTGCCGCCGGAGCGGCCGACATGACAATGTGTATTGTTTGGAAACACGGAAAACAGGTTTCGTTCATTGGCTCACCGCCATGTGACCGAAACGGGTATCCAGTGAATTTTGTAATTCTCGAAAGAAAGAAAAAACAGAGGGATAGACTGCTGGATTACTACTTCGGCCGGACGATGGAACGACAAGAGGAGTTCCTGGGGAGCCGCGTGACCTGTGTTAACGTGACCTGGTAATCGCGTAGGCTACGGCGCAGGACGGTGTCATTTTCCATCGTCTGATCTGGTTCGCCATTCGTCGCCCTACAGGAATCTAGCGAAGGAGCGGTCCCGCCTCACCTACCTGAGTCTTAGGTTCCTACCTACACCGTACCTTAACCGAGACACCGAGGTGTGCGCGGGCACTGACGAACTGCAGCTTAGAAATGCTTGAATTAGGCGAATCAAAGGAGCTGGTGGCCTCCCGCCCCGGATGCTAGAATGTATCACGGTGTATTGGTATCCAATTCCAACGTGGCACTGCTGGTCAGCAGCTCAAACTAGAGGCCTTTTCTGTCGGGGTCTTTTCAGTCATTATCACTGTCGTCCGCCGACGATACAAGAGAGGTTTGCAACCGTTACGCGCCTCGTGCGTCCTATTCGTCCAATTCGGGCCGCGAGGGATTTCCGCTGTGAGTGGCCGACTGGTTGGCTCATCTGAAAGCTCGTCTCTGTCTGGGTGGGCTTGCAGCCGATCGCTTTTTCCGCCAGGGATAGTCGAGGAGGGGTGACAAAGACACAACTGCCTGCGCAGGCACGGGAGAGAGGGGAAACGAGAACGAGGACAAAGGAGAGAAAGCCGATGTAAATTGTCCATCGGGGCTGCGCTTTCTTGCACACACAATCCCATTCTTCCGGCTGTGTTCAAGACCGGGTTTCCGTCCTGAGCCGCTATCTACCTTACTGAAAAGCCCGATTTGTCAACCCTGCCTTGTCCTGGTATTGATTATACATAACCAAGGTACGAATAACAAAAAAGTGCCTAGGGCGTCGTAATCGCCTCCCGCCAACAGTTACATATAATTGTATACGGGAGTGAAAGCAGTTGCATTGAGCCGGGCGTCGAGGCTGCGTGCACTTCTTAGTTGCCGGGGCCATCCCCTCGCCGGGCAGCTTCAAGTTGTTGTCCAAAGAGCTCGTACATCGCATTGCATTTGTGAGTTCCTTTCGCTATTCTCTAGCCTGGCCAATTTAAACAAGGCTCGAGAAGTGGCACCCAGTTGGCTTTTCACTGACTGCTAGCGAGCCGGACAAGAAGAGACAATTCCGCCTCGCCTTCAGAGGTCCGTCCTGTTAGGCAGACCACGCAGACCGGCCTCTTCTTCTTCCGTTGTGTTTCCACATCCAAATCTCTTGCTCGACCCCGCAGTTCCCGTCTCTCTCTGTGCAGTACAGTACTTTACGCAGCACAAGCTGCCATTGAGCTTGCCAGGCCGGTTGGAAGCGGGTCGCCCGAGCCTAGGTTTACATTGCGCCAAAAAGGCCAGGCCTCGACAGGACCCTCTTTTGCTCTCCATCCTTATGAGTCGTTAAATCCCCCAAGGCCCCAAACCCACCACAAACCGCGTCCAACCGCTCTGACACAGACACAAACGGGCGCGCGGCTTTCATCGCATCAAATTGACCAAACACGACCCGGCAGTCCAGGCCGAGAAAGAGAGACGCCGATCTCGCTTTGCGCGCGACACTACGCTGCCTGGCGTGGTGTTGCTGCTACAGCTGCTGCTGCTGCTGCTGCTGCTGCTGCTGCATTGCCGCTGCTGCCCGTCATGGCGCAATATGCCGCCTCCGCCGCGCAGCATTCGCTCTCGCTCTCGCCCCTCACTCCCGTCGCCGCCTCATCCTCGCCCGCGGCTGGCGGGCCCGCCTCCAAGGGCCCTGGTGGGTCAAAACCCGTCGGTGGAGCTGGAGCTGTACCAGGACCAGGACCTGGCGATTTCGGATCCGCCGCCGGTGCTGCCGCCGGAGCCTCGACTTCGTCCTCCTCGACTACCGTGGGTGTGCCACTGACGGGCAGCAGTGCCCCACCCTCGGCCCACAAGCGTGTGTACCAGGCCTGCATCCCGTGCCGCCGCCGCAAGGTCCGCTGTGACCTCGGCTCCGTTGACGACCCCCGCGATCCGCCCTGCGTGCGCTGTCGCCGCGAGAGTAAGGACTGCTACTTCAGCGCCACACGGCGCAAGCGCAAGGCCGACGACGATACCGTCGAGTCGCCCGAGGAGGTTGACCATGACGACTACATAGTCCGCAATGGCCGCAAGAAGCTGCGCGAGACAGAGTCCCCTACCGTGCCCACCATTGACCGCCGTCTCTTCAGCGACGTGCCCCTTACCCCCGGCGGTAGAGAGGGACGTCCGCGCCCCCTATCGCGTCCCAAAGACACGACGCCCACCAAGAGCACCACCGACACTAGGAGTAGTACCGTCGGCGAGTTCGGCAGCGGTGAGCCCAACATGCCTCTCGAGAACTTTGAGGCCAGGTCCGTCATGCGCAGGGAGCTGTACGGGCCCCATGATGCGCTAGACCTGCTTTACAAGGCTGCCACAGACAAGTTAGTAGACCCCCCTCTTGGTATCACGTCTGATGCGCTGCGGCGTATTGATGTTGTCCGCCTGCACAGCTCGTCCTCGCACCCGCACGACCAAACGCCCCTGCCGTCTCGTGGCTCCGCTCAGGCGAGCAATCTCCAGGCCCGCCCCGATGCTCGTTCAGCCAAGTCGTCGTTCAACGGCCGTGTCGACGGAGCAGGCGACTACCACGGCCGTAACACGTTGCGCCAGGGCGGTTTGGCCGACCAGGCCATCGACCCCGAGCTCGTGAAGCGCGAGCCCTCGTCTGACCCAACCAACAATGAGGCACTCCGAGCCTGGGCGAGGTTTCGATTTGTGCGAGCAGGTTGGTTCACGGCCCAGGAAGCGATTGACTACATTGACCAGTACAGACTCCTTTCTTCCTTACTCTCCCAGCCTACCACAGTCTCTCTCTCTCTTCTTCCATAGGCATTGCTGTTGTTATAGGCGATTAACAGGCTTAATAGTTACTATGAATATCTCTCGCCCCTCACACCAATATCGCCTCCAACCTTTCGGAACCCCAGTTCTCACCCAACGCTCCTAACTGAAGAACCCATCCTTGCCGTAACCCTCTTGACTATTGCGTCTAGGTATCGTGTCATGCCGGGCACTGGCGGCCACTGTCGGTCGCACGCCATCCACGAACAACTCTGGACCTATCTGCGCGGTATGATTGAGCGCGTGGTCTGGGGCCAAGAGGCATTTGGTGGCGGACTCTGTGGCTCCGGCAGCGACGAAATTCAGAACTCCAGTACGGCGCCCTGGAGGGGTCTCCGCAGAGGAAGCTTGAGAACCTTTGGGACCATCGAGTCTCTAATGATCTTGACCGAATGGCACCCGCGGGCCCTCCACTTCCCGCCCAACGAGGCTATCGATGAGTTGCTGCTGCCCTCGTACGAATCACAAAACATGCTCGATGACGACGGAAATCAGCGACCTTCTGCCAGCTTCGGCGGCAGGAGGATTGAGAGCTGGCTGGAGCCAGCCTGGCGCAGCGACCGCATGTGCTGGATGCTACTGAGCACTGCAATGGGCCTTGCATATGAACTTGGTGTGTTTGACGACATTGATGAGATGCTTGCAGCAGGGACCATCGCCCGGCCCGAATACGAAGAAGAGACGTACCGGCTGAGAGCGTATCGCATCAAGAGACTGCTCCTGGTTTATCTCAGCCAGCTAGCCGGCCGCCTTGGCTGGACCAACATGGTCCCTGAAAACCTGCGCAAGTCGGATCCAGTAGTGTCGCGGAAGCGTCCGCATTCCGTCGACGGAGCTACGCCCGTGACAAATCTTTCGTCTCTCTCCAACGGCTTCAACTACATCCCGGACTTGGAGCTGGACGACCAGATCATCCATTGCTGGGCCGGGATCAGTAACGCTATGCATATAGGCAACGAGAAACTGTTCCGCTCCCGCAAACACACCACTGACATCATCCAAAGCGGGAAATACATTGGTCTTCTCAAGGACTTCCAGCCCATGCTAAGGGACTGGTGGAGGGAATTTGAGCGCTTCCGCATGCCCCCGTACATCCGCCACATCCTGACAATTGAGTATGAGTATGTCCGCATCTACATCAACTCGCTCTCCTTACAGGCGGTTGTGGAGCGCTGCACAAACAACGCCGGCGGAGGAGGTTCGGTCCCGGGAGGAAGTGTATCGGGAAACTCTGCCCCGCAGCTGTCGCCCCAAACTCAGAACTACTATGGAAAGCTGCCGCTGGGACAGCTCGGCGGATTCGGTGTCGACGATCAAGAGTATGTCAGAGAGGTTGTCAATGGCAGCCGGAATCTCTTGCGGACTGTTGTCGATGGGTTGCTACCGGGGGGCTACCTGAAGCACGCACCTGTTCGGACCTACTTCCGGATCATCAGTGGCGCCATGTTCTTGCTCAAGACATTTGCCCTTGGAGCCCCAAAGTCCGCCGTTGAGCTCAGCATTGGCTTAATGGACCGCACTGTGGACGCGCTTAGGAACTGCGTTGTCGACGACGTGCACCTGGGAATCCGTTTTGCAGACATGCTCGAGACCTTGACCAGCCGCCTCCGCAACCGCTTCATTCACGCCCCGGCGCCACAGGTCTCTGCCGACGGCAGATCCCCCGCCCCAAACCACATGGAGGCAATGAATGGCGGCAGCGCCAACGGAAACGGTCACGGCCTCTCAGCTCACAATGCAGCTGAATTGTGGATGAAGGTGAGGGAGGGTACAAGCGGTCCGGGTAAGTTTTCCAAGTCTGTCTTCAAGCTCCCCCTTTTCTATTCTTTCTTCCACAACCCAAATTGCTTGTTGCCAAGACTAATCATGAATGTCGGCTCTTAGAACGCTCCAGTACCCCAGCCAACATATCGGCCACGCCGTGGGACTTGACGTCCGGCAACTTCCCTTACCCATCCGGATCTGCCTCCATGTTTGGGCCATCCACTCCAGCTGCCATCGGGATGCAGGAAAACGGCAATAACAACAATGGGAATGGCAATCATCACACCAGCCTGACAGATTCTCTAACGTTCGATAACTCGGACTGGACCAACCCCGGCAACGAGATGTGGTATCTGCCGACCGGGCCGGCTTTCTTCCAGAATATTGACAACACGTCGGTATCGATGACGGCCGAGGGTGTCAATGTCAACGGCGTTGATCTGCTCGATTTTATGGCCATGGACCCCATGGACCAGCAATTTAGTGTCATGGACGGGAACTACTAATTTTCTTTTCATTTCTCTGCTTTTCATTGCTTTTCATTTGACGAATCTTCCTAGCGAGCTGGCTTGGTCATCTTAGATGGAGAGATATAAGCGGAAATATGAAGGGATATGAATTATGGGATTTCCTATTTATTTTCTTGCTGTTTTTCCTTCAAGACATGGCTACACCGCAAGGATACCACATACCCCCACAACGAAAAAAATATGCCGGATGACGAGTGATATAAAACAGGGGGAAAAGTGGGAAATAGGGAGAAATTGTCGCGACGAAGGGGGGGATGGGAAAAAAAAACCAAGGATATTATAGGGCAAAAGAGGATGATGGCAATGGATTGGGACTACGATGACGAATGAGAGGAAGCAGCGAGGTTGCTGTCCTGCTTTGGGAAGCGTGGGCTATATGGAATTTCTTTCTACTTCATTTTTTCCTCATCTTTTTCTGTTTTTGTTTTTGGTGTTTCCGTTTCTTATGGAGTCACTGCACATCATGACGTGATCAAGCCGAGCCAAACCCACAGAGAATATGACGAGGGAAGTGCCCGGCGTTTTGGGGGTTGATACCTTCGCCGCTGCTAGGGCATGTCAGAGGCAGGAAACCCAAGCTAGCCCCGTTTCATCTTAATGATTTCTTTCTTTCTCTTGCCCATCATTTGCTTCTATCCATCTATCCATCTATCTCCCTTCCATGTATGTTCAAGCTGGGCTGGCTGCCCGAGATTTGATTCAGCAGCTATTTTCTTTGAGAGCGATCACAGAAGCAGTTTGTTTGCTTGGGAGGAGCGATGAAGTTTCAATTTCCTTTTTTTTTTTTTCCTGCTTTCATTACTTAGCGGCAAGCACGCGCGGTAGATACCCCCCCGAAACGCAGCTTTTGGAAATAGCTATAGCTATAAAACATTCGAATCAAGTTACAATATCGCGGGATCTTGGTAATAACATTGCGGTATTTAATCTTTCTGTGCTGTATTGACAACAGAAAAGACACAGAAAATAAAGGATTAATAATCAGGAAAGATCGTGCCTTTTGGGTTCTAGGTTGGTCTGCCTCCCATCACCCACACCTCATGTTTTCCCCTGAACCCCCTTTTATCCTTGCCCATTTTTACAAAACCAAGGCTTTGTATCCTACTCACCTAAAGGTAAGGATAAGCAATCCGCACCCTCGGGGACAGTGATCCGGGCTTCTACGTTTCCAACTGACAGATAAGCAAACGGTTTAGTTACAAAGATCTGACAAACACCAACAAAATCAAGACTCGCAGATGTCCCTTTATAAAAACAACACAACTTATGCCAAACGGCTTAACAGATCTTAGCTGGCGGGAATTAATAATATGCTGCCTGGGGGGTCTTGCTTGCCCAGTCGCGGAACCAGTCCAACGCCTCAGGATTCGCAACGCTCGCGTTGGTCTTGACTTGCATCCCCGAAAGGATCTGCTTGACGGCGACCTCGATTCTGTACCGCGTGAGTCGTTAGTACCTTTGATAGCAACAAAAAACACGGTGGGATACCACTAGCTGTGAAAGCGAGAGTGAAAGAAAAGAGGAGGAAGAGGAAGAGGGTCTTACTTCTTGCCGTTGCCCGTCTTGGGGATACCTCCCTTGGCCTCTTCAATAACGCCGGGGACGTGTCGCGGGCTGAGCTCTTTGCGCACCATGTCCTTGATGTGGGTGCGCAGATCATCGTCAAACTCCTTGCCGGCGGCCATGACGACGAACAGACACACGGTCTCGTCCATGTCGGTCTCGCGGCGGCGGCCAACGCAGACAGCGTCCTCGACCTCGAGGGCGAAGAAGCGCGCCAGCACGTTGTAGATCTCGGCGCTGCCGAAGCGGACGCCGGCAGGCTTGAGCACGCCGTCGCTGCGGCCCAACATCACCAGCCCGCCCGTGGCCTTGTCCATGCGGACGAAGTCGCCGTGGTGCCAGACCCTCGGGCCGAAGCGCTCAAAGTAGGCCGCGCGGTACTTGTCCTCGCCGCCGCGGCCGAAGAAGGTGAGAGGCTGGCAGGGGAACGGCTTGACGCACACCAAGTCGCCAGGGGCGTCGGCGGGCGTGACGAGCCTGGGGTCCTCTGCCGCCGAGGTCGAGTCGAAGACGCTGATGGCCATGCCCAGGCCGGCGCATTGGACCTCGCCGACGCGCACGGGAAGCAGGGGGCAAGGCGCGCCGAACAGCGATATGATATCGGTGCCGCCGGTGATGGAAGCCAGGTTGATATTCGGGGGAAAGGCCTGATACACAAACGCAAAGGTCGAGGGCGGCAAGGGCGCAGCAGTCGAGTAGATGGCCTCTAGCGCCGAGAGGTCTAAGGATGGGTCTTCCACAGGCCGAACGTTATTGGCCTCGAGGGCCGTAAGGTATGCGGCCGAGGTTCCAAAGTGGGTGACGCGGAGTGTGGAGAGAAGCCGTGGCAGGGAGAGATACGAGTGTGGCCGGAACGGCGAGCCCGAGTAGAGCACCAATGACGCGCCAACAGCCAGGGCTGACACGCTCCAGTGGTGCATCATCCACGAAGTGGTCGTGTAGTAGAACAGCCTCGAGGATGGCGAGAGCGAGCAGTGGAGATAGTGCTCCTTCTTGTGTTGAAGAAGCGTACCCGCAGCAGTGTGCACTATAGCCTTGGGGAGCCCAGTGGTGCCGCTCGAGTACAAGACGTACAGTGGGTGAGAAGGCGAGAGCTGCTTGAATTTAAGGGGCTCATCCGGCGAGCTTCGTTTCCACCATTCGTCAGTTCCTGCCGGCCTAACTGGTTTGGAGGGAAGACTCACGTGTTTAACCAGCTCGCATACTCCTCCGCCTTGACCCCTTTCGCTCGAATGTCATCCAGGCCAGTATCAAGACTCTTGACGCTGTTGACGACGACAACTAGTTCTAGGCCGTTCTTCTTCAGCTGGCCAACAATCTCGAGGGTCTTGGCGGCGCTTGACCACTCCTTGCCGTTGTAAAGCGTTGCGTTGTCGGCAAAAAGCACTCGCGGCTTGATCTGAACTAGGCGGTCAAGTACAGCGCTGACGCCGTTGTCTGGGCTGATGCCCGTCCATATGGCACCGACGGCACCGGCTCCTAGCAGGGCAACGAGAGCCTGGACATGGTTGGCGACGAAGCCGGCGACAACGTCGTTCTCGCCCACACCAGCAGCTCTCAGGGCGTTGGAACATTGGCGGACTTGCTCTCTCAGGCTGGCCCACGACGTATCAACGCGTTGGTCTCCATTCTCAGTCACTGTGATAACGGCAGTAGCCGACGGGTCGAGTTTGGCGTTTGGCGGGAATAGGAGGTTCTCGGCGAAGTTGAGAAGGGCACCGGCAAAGAAATCGGGCCTTGGGAACATGGGCGCCTTGTCGGGCAGCACCTGCTGAGGGCTTAGCAGGTGCACAATGCATGGGGCAGTAACATTGGGGGGCGTGATGTGGTGAAAACCAGGGGTATAAGGAAGGAAAAGGGGGTCGGGGTAACGGATAAAAGGAGGTGTGTTTGCGCCTGGGTAGGTAGCCACCAAAACATGATAGAGTGCAGTGCATACAAGACCTCACATAAACAAACACACACAAGCACACCTACCTGATCAAACGGCTTCGAGGCCTTGATACCGGCAAAATGCCAAACCTCTTCCCAAAAGGCGGCAACGTTCTCAACTGACCATTTGTAGAGAGATGGGTAGTCTGAGAGGTTGAGCCCGCACTTTTGGTTGACATGGAGCATAAACTTCCACATCTGGGTCGACTGGGGGCTGCTGTGCCGCCATAGCTCACGGGCTGTCCGATGCGTTACCGTCATGATTGCCTTTTGTTATTTATCCCCAACTGGCCAAATCTTGTCATTGAATGAAGTAATGAGGTGGTTTTGCCAGCCGTCGGTGGCTGCTAGTGGACGTTTAGTTGGGCTGTTTGCTTGATGCTGTTGGCCCCCTTGTGAGACAGGCGGACGTTTAGACAGAAGGGACGAATTGAGTGCACCAATTGTCGTGTCAGACAATGAATGAATGGATTGAATGAATGGATTGGTTCCGAGGATCGGGATGTTCTCCTCGCCAAGGGAGCCTAGGCAACCTGGAAACAAGAAAAAAAATGGCCCACGGCCCCGGATCTACCCACTGGATCTCCTACTATTAAAATAGAGCAGTACTCCGTGCCTTACTCTAGTCGAGCATTTTACTGGGTGGGAGATGGCCGAGGTTGACCCTGACGGGACAGGACTCGAAGAACCACAAAAATCCAGGCCCGAGATCCGATGGGGACAACCCGCCGCTGACGCCGTTTTCAGAAGGCATTAACTAGTACCTGCCTATCCGTGCTGATTTGAGCAGGTAGTCGTGTGGCACTTGCCTCATCTTTGCCCGCCATGCGCCGAAACCTAACCGCCTACACAAGTATAAAACGGAACTGACAAAGCACGTGCAGTGAAAGAGCTTCGAGTTGCATGCGCAAGAGAGAATATAGAGAGGAAGAGGGGCAAGCCGAAAGCTTATGAGAGCTGGCCAGTGACCGAGAAGGGCCTACTATTTTGATTAAGTTGCGCCCGTCTCTTCCCGACTCACGCGGGCATCTCCTAAAGCACCTTAAATAACGTCACTAAGGCACGCACTGCCGGGCGACAGAATGTCCCGTGAGCCTGGAAACGAAGGAGATAAGGACATCGGGCAGGTCTATGTCTCCATGAAAAGCTACATGGCGGAATGACTCCCTTCTCTATTGGGCGATCAGGGGCGCCGTGTCCACAGAGCGGCGGCTCGCGGGGTACCTTGGGTTGTGGTTGCAACCAACGCGAACCAAAAAAAATCGCCAACAAACCATTCGCTGTTTTAGCGGCCACCTTAGTGCCCGAGCCTTCCGCGATTTCGCCCGGATGCTCAACCGCCTACGTAGCGAGCGAGTTGCATTATAGATCATCACTGGAGCATTCTGGGCAGGTATTATGTAGGGAGTCTCGGGGACTTTCAGAGTCTGAGGGGTTTCCGTCGGCCCTTCATCGACGCCGCCGACTATGAGGACCTTACTTGGATAACCAAGGTCTCACAAGCTTCGTTGGTTCGTGGTTGAGGCAAGCCGTGACTAGCGTGTATTTATGTACGTATAGTAATTGCATACTCCGTACTTCCGCACACACGGACGGACACTGCTGAGTTCCCGGGTATCGGTCGGGAATGAAGGAAGTGTTCGGGAATCGTTCTTTCTGGGGAACTACCAACGCGCATCTTCTGCGGCGGCTGTGCATCATCGCCTAACAAGCGAGCCTCTACTCCACAAGCCACAGTAAGTCCACTCTTGCTACCGAGCAGCTGCGGTGCAACTGTGGCTCTCCGGAAGCGACACACTCGCGGTCGGGGCCTTTGCGGGATCTGATCGTTAAACGCGCGCAGCGCTCCGAGGAGTTCAGGGTGGCTTCGCGTTTCGCGAGCTCATCGAGGCCTGCCACTTTGCGACCCTGAAATCATTTCCCTGGGGATCGGCAGATCGAAACTATGCCCTTCTAGGCCAAAGTCCATCAGGGACTGCCGGATTGGGCCGTTTATTGGTGGTGTGGGGGGGGGGGGGGGGGGGGGGGGCGCTTTCAAAAAAGGCCGTGCCCATCACTGAGCTGAGCCACTCACAGCCCGGGGCAAATTGCTAGTAAAAATTTGCAGCTTCCTCATTAACACCGCCTCACCTTGAACTGAGTGCTTCATTGGCCGCCCATCTCAAAGCAAATGTTAGACGTGAGGATAGCACAAGCGAATAAACCGACTATTGGTGTTGTAAACTACATGTAAACTGCTTCACGTGTTGCACCGCATTTGGTGTATTATGCAATGCTACAAATGGAGAGGCAGGCCAGGCGTACAAGTCAAGTGTGCCCTTCCAGAACGGAAACAAGCTACTGAGGAAAGAGGAGTCGGGTGGAGGAGGCCTCGACGAGAGGACGGGTTCCGCCCCGCGCGCGCGAGACGGGAGGGGAGGAGAGCAGAGGGCTTTCGTTCATTCCGTCTCGCTTCCGCTGCGAATTCGATGTCACAACTGCGGGCGTGATGCGCAAGGCCCATGACCGGACCGCTCGGGAACGGGAAGGACTGGCTGGTGGTGATATGATAAGCAAGGGGCCCAGTGACTGGTGGCCGCCCGGCCTCCTCAAATTACCCGTGTAGCTTGGACGACAGGCACACCCCCCACCAGCCTTCCATCATCCATCAGACGATTCTACAATCTCTAGCGTTCCCTGTCCTCATGTCCCCTTTCCGCTAGTTTGGCTGACTAGCTAGCTTGTCTTGGCCGTGCCGAGCCCTGTCACTTCCCTGTTCGCCCCCCGAGCCAGAAATCTCCTAAATGTGCTCGCGCGCCTGATCTTCTGCCTTCCGTCTCCTGTCTTTGCTCCTGCTTTCCCGAGGACGAGTCCATGCAACTATCGCGACACTCGGTGATTTGTGTTTGTGCAGAAACTCGGGGCGAGGGCGACTGTGTTTAGCTGTGACTGACGGGATCTGATCTTTCCACTCCTTTGAGGTCTGATCCACGACAGCCAGCACCGCACCAGCACACACCGCACCGCACCGCCAAAGCACAGCAGCACCGTCCCTTGCAGCTATCGACCGCCATTCGACCTCCCCATTCGCCCGCTAGAGCTGCACTTGCACGGTCACCTAGACTAACATTGTCGACCGACGACGGAGCGATTCGGTTCGCCGCAGATATCGGGAGTCGTAAAGATCTTTTTTTTTTCTCGGGCTGAGTAAGTACCTTCCATTTCGTACCCGAGTTGCGCCCTTTTTGCAAATACCTTAGGAGAGGGTACTACTTCCCTTGGTTGCCGGCGGGACTGGAAAGGGGTGGAGGAAACCGTATCTACGTCATGTTACCTACCCTCGCTGCCCTCGACCTGTCTCGCCTTGTTCACCTGCGATGTTCATGTCGCCCGCACGCTCGTGCGGGACGAAGAATTGAACCCTCTCCCCTTGATTACCTACACCTCAGTTATCGCCAATCTATCTACATACGCACACGCATACACACGCGCACACACGCACACACATACCTCTTACTGATGCCTCTCGCCTACAGCATAGCATCAATTGACGCTATATCTCGGAAACAGCTCTTCCTAGAAGCAGTGCAACCCTGATATTGTATTCTGTTCTCCGGTCACCCCCGCGCAATGCCCCGAAAGCTCTCAAATCCCTTTTCTACTTCCAGTATGCCGCAATCCGAGAGAACTGGTGAACGACGGCCGTCTCAGTCCAAGGCCGGCCGTCTCACCCATTTCTTCTCGTCCCAGAAGCCCAGAGAGCCGCTGTCAGCACAACAGAGTCTTCAAGCCATGCAGCACCAGCAGAGCGTCTCGCCCCAGTCGCCTGCCATCTCACTGCCATCGATCTCTCTCTCGACTGCCGCAGGCGGGGAGCTCAGCAGCGACGATGCCACGACGACCCTCTTCGAGCCACCTTCGGCCGACGAGGCGAGGACAAAGGAGCGTTTCGAGTCCCAGTTCGGGCCTTTGCTCAGCCCCAGCCATCTATACGTCAGCGCCCATCATGGCAAGCCGCTCGAGGCTCCCATTGAGGATGAGCCACCCTATTACTTCGTCCTCACGACCTACCTCAGCTACCTGATCCTGATTTTCTTTGGCCACGCGCGAGACTTTTTTGGCAAACGCTTCGGCGATAAGAAACACTACCAGTCCCTCAAGGCGCAAAATGGCTACGCCCCGCTCAACGACGACTTTGACAACTTCTATGTCCGGAGGTTGAAGATGCGCATCGATGACTGCTTCGGCAGGCCTACCATCGGTGTTCCTGGCCGCTTCATCACGCTGATGGACCGCAAATCGGACGATTTCAACCGTACCTACCAGTTCACCGGGACCACAACGCAGACGCTGAACATGAGCTCGTACAACTACCTGGGCTTTGCACAGTCCGAGGGCCCTTGCGCCGAAGCGGTCGAGGAGTGTGTTCGCAAGTATGCTCTTAGCAGCTGCAGCCCGAGAGCCGACTCCGGTACCTCAGATCTTTCTCTTGAAGTTGAGCGCGAAGTTGCTCGGTTTGTCGGGAAGCCGGCGTCTATGGTGTTCTCTATGGGTTTCGTGACCAATGCTGGTTCGTTCCCGGCCTTGGTATCCAAGGGCTGTCTTATTCTGTCGGATGAACTCAACCACGCTTCGATTCGCATCGGAGCCCGTCTCTCGGGCGCTGTTATCAGGTCGTTCAAGCACAACAACATGGCTGACTTGGAGAGGAAACTGCGCGAGGCTATTGCTCAAGGCCAGCCGCGCACCCACCGCCCCTGGAAGAAGATTCTCGTGGCTGTCGAAGGGCTCTACTCCATGGAGGGCACCATGGTCGATCTGCCGGGTGTTCTATCGCTCAAGAAGAAGTACAAGTTTTTCCTCTACGTCGACGAGGCCCACAGTATCGGAGCGCTTGGGCCTAACGGCCGCGGTGTCTGCGATTACTTTGGTGTTGACCCTGCCGAGGTGGACATTCTCATGGGCACCTTCACCAAGTCGTTCGGTGCCAATGGAGGCTACATCGCTGCAGAGAAGCACATCATCGCCAAGCTCCAGAGCACCAACGCAGCTACCCTCCTCGGCGAATCTCCTACACCGTCTGTTCTGATGCAGATCCTCGCCTCGCTGAGAATCATTACTGGGGAGCTTGCTCCCGGTCAGGGCGAGGAGCGCCTGCAGCGCATCGCCTTTAACTCGCGGTACCTTCGCCTCGGACTTAAGCGTCTTGGTTATATTGTCTCGGGCCACGACGACTCACCCATCGTCCCCGTTATGGTTTACCATCCCGCCAAGATCTCTGCCTTTAGCCACGAGATGCTCAAGCGCAAGATTTCGGTTGTGGTTGTCGGTTACCCTGCTACGCCCCTTATTAGCTCGCGTGCCCGGTTCTGCATCTCATCTGCCCACAACAAGGACGACCTGGACCGCCTTCTAGCTGCCTGCGACGAGGTGGGCGATATTCTTCAAGTCAAGTACTCTACTGGCGTGGCCGGCGGTTTGGAGCCCCTGCCCGAGGGTGTCACGGCCGAGACGGAGAAGGAGTGGAGGAAGGCGAACGGCCTGGAGGGTGTCGTTAACCCGCCTAGGTGGAAGCTGGAGGACGTAATTGCACATGGTGTAAAAGACAGCAAGGCGACGTTGAGATAAGTTCTCTGTTCGTTTCTTGGGCTGGTGTTTGGGTACCTGTATAGAAGAGGTCGCGAATGGCGTGAGCCACTACTGGTATAATGTCTAAGATGCCGAAAGAGAAGCAGGATGTGCTGGCTGGCAAGGTCTAAGAGCCAGACGCTGGCGCTGGAATCGGGTTGTTTATTGTCGAGGCCGTGGCTCCCGAGTCGTGGGGCACCTATTCCATAGATCAAGACGGAATTGGCGGGCTTGTTCAAACAGCCGCTTTCTCTGCAGCAGACCTTTTCGAGAATGAATCTCTCTGTACAATGGGGTAACAAAAGTCTTGCGCCACCCACTTACATACCCCCCCTGCTTCAAAATAACGCAACATTGTCGCCATATATTCTCAATCAATGGGCGAGAGATCTGGGCTCTGGGGCGGCCATTCTAGGACCCTGAAGCCGTACGCCGTCTTTAATAGACCTAGGAAGACGTGATGGTAATAAAATGCTCCCGTCCTCCTGTAATTGTACGCTGTGGCCGTACTTTTCCTTCATCTTGTTATAGAAAGGAAGGAAATGAGGAATAAAGACCTAATCGGTGTATTGTTGCTTGTTGAGGTCCCTCGAGGTAAGATAATAATAGGCCCTTTTTAGGGCCTATAAAGCACCCCCATGTACCTACTTTCGTGCGGCCACTCTTAAAGGTAAGCTGTAGGTAGTTGGGTGGTATTCCTCTTTGGGGGACCGAGTAATAAGATTGTGCAGCCGTCTTCGCCTACTTCGAAGTATACCTCGTTTGACTAATAGATTAGGGGCTAGGTAGTGTACTTATTACGCCGGCGGATGTCTAGGCCTTCTTTTTATTCTTGCGAGTAATCTAGGGCTTCTTACGGGCTCGCCGGCGGGCCTTATTGTGGATCTTGAGGAGCCGGCGAACCGTAATACGGTTGATCTTGTAAATACCAAGACTTCGAGGGCGTTACGAGGGCGGCGAGGGTATTATTACAAACCGCTCGACTGTGTGGGTCTTCTATCTATAAGGTGCGTAGGCACCAAAGGATTGGGGGTTCTGAACTAAACAAAGGGCAAGTTCCTAGTGCAGGGATAATGCAGTCAAACTGGATTGCTACTCGAATTATATTTATTTCTTCTTATTGCAGTACTTGACCCATTTTAGCAGCCACCTGTGGCGACGCGCGGGGCATGTCTTTGAACGCCCCACAGCAAACCAAAATCTCTTTTTCAGATCGTCTTGAATCCTAGCTCAAGAACGGCGCTCTACTTCATTCCAAGAATCTCCCCCCCCCGTTATACATAAATTAGCATTACTGTAAAGAACGAATTCTCGACATCCATCCGTAGCTATCTCAGGCAGTTAGGCAGGTATCTGGGGGGGAGTGCAGCACCGCCGAGAACCATGCCCCGCCTCAGGAAGCCGAAACAGCAGGCGCTGGAAGCCACTCTGGGTGAGCCTGATTTATTTATGTTTATTGCTTCCTATGCATGCTTATTACACTGTAGTGGTATACTCTATTCGCCTACTTGTTTGCGTATATGTTCTAAAGAATTGGCAAGGGTTAACTGTGTTTCAATTATAGGCCAACCCCGGGTTAGAGCACCGGTAAAGTCTTCCAAGACGAAGTCACCCCAAAAGTCAGGTTCCTCGCCGTCGCAGCATCAAAGCTCCGGCAGTAAGCGCCAGCGTGTTGTCCAGTTCCTGTCTGCTTCCTCAGATAAAAATGACGACGGGAAATGTAGCGCTGGCGGGGAGGACCTTGACGAGGATGTCGACCTACCTACTAGGAAGAGGACGCGGAGCAGTGGTCCTTCCCCTCGACGCCAACCAGTGTCTTCGAGATCTCCGCCGAAAAAGGGAGACCCTGTCTCGTCTTCTCAGAGTCGTCGGCGGGCCCGAGTGGCGGATAGTGACGACGACGACGATGACGATGGCGACAAGCCCCTTGTTACTCCGATATCAAGTAGTCGTTCAAGCCGCAAAGAGGTTTTTGCCTTGGAGGACAGTGATGAGGACGAAGAGCAGCAACAGCGGCAGGTTTCTTCCCCCATCAAGCGGAGACGATTGATCCAGAAAAAGGCATCCAGCCCCCCCTCGGCGGCCATTGGCGCCGGAGATTCCGAGGACGAGAACGACATCACTCCCCGGAAACTCGCATCACCGTCCGCCGCATCAAGTAGGAGAACGCCGCGCAAGCCACGCACGGAAAAGGAGAAGGCCAGAGAGCGCCTCCGCCGAAGGCGGGCCGGCGAGAAGATCGAGGAGCTCTCGTCCGAGTCATCCGACCCGGAAACGAAGAAACCAATCTACGACACAGATTCGGACAATCCGGCCCTAACTAGTTTTGATGACGACGACGAAGGGGTTATCCAGTATGGAAAAGCTGAAGCCGCCCAAGATTCATCAAAGAAGTCCAAGAAGAAAGATAAAAAGGGTAAAGCCAAGCTTTCGCTGAGCAATGAAAGCGACAGTGCAGCAGCCAGCGATGGGGAAGGGTCCGGGTCCGACAAGAGCATAGAAAATTTTGTCGTGGAAGACGACGAAGCCCCTATCGGGGTGCCGGCCGACCTGCTCGTGAACATGCCGCTTCAATTCACGGCGCACTCTCACAAGCCCATGAAGGAGCACTTCCGAGACGCTGTGGAGTGGCTGGTACTCCGAAAAATCAACCCCGGCTTCGAGAAGGATCACGAACTTTACAAGATCGCCTGGAAAAAGCTTGACGATGAAGTTCGCGGCTTGGCGCAGTCAAAGTTTGCGTCGTCTGCGTGGAAGAAGGATTTCTTGATGGCCCTGCGCGCCAGACCAGAACTTACGAACGCCGAGCTGCCTGGTGGCGATGCCCACGAGCTTCAAAATTGCGGCGCCTGCGGTCGCAGTAATCACCCAGCCAAGTACGTATCCTCTCTTGTGTCCTGCTGTTATAGCTGTTACATAATAGCCTTGTCGTTTACAGCCGACTGACTTTCTTTCCAAGATGGGTATTGTCGTTCTCCGGGTCGCCCTACTACAAGGAGACCAACAAGGAATATTTTCTCGAGGATGTAGATGTAGATTCATCAGGCTCATCATCTTCGCATCGTGATGACGAGGAAGAGGAAGAGGACGTGGACGAGGATGGGAACCCTATTCCGAAGGAGGCCAAACGATGGTTTATTGGATCCGTGTGCAGCTCCAACGCTGTTACGGCCCACAACTTGATCCACTGGAAGCACGCGCTGATGGACTGGGTCGATGCGACTCTCGAAAGAGACGGGTACATGCTGCCTGGCCAGCTACAGAAGCGGGCCAAGATGAAACCTAGGAAGCTGTACCAAACTGCCGACAAGATCCTCAAAGCCTGGGCCGAGAGGGGTCTCATAAGCGATCTTTACCGCGAGTTCAAGAACAACATCGAGAATGCACGGAACAAGAGAACATCGGGCCGGTAGCAGCGGTAGCTAGGTTGGACGGAGTCCAGCGGTTTGGTAATGTAGAAAATGTGAATACTATTTGTACAAGCACAATGGAACGGACGTTTTTATATCTGCCCTACGGCCTCTCTTTCGTATAGGTCTACGGTCATTCCTACCAAGAGTGACGCACAGCAAGTTCTACGTATCATGGTTTCTTCAGGACAGCACGGGAAAAAAACAATAAATATTTCCAGCATGTCTGCTTCCTCCGGAATCGTGCGGTTTCCTGCAGCATCCCGCGGCTCACCACATATCTTTAAACCCCGTCCCCGGACATTATATCAGTGTCAGACAAGCTCCAGACCAACAGCAAATTGGTTGCCTAGTATACGGCCTAACCACGATCAACTAGTTGCCAGAAGAGGGTTCCAGCGACATTGGACCATTACATCAAGTTTTAGAAAAGAAAGACATGGATATTTAATCGTGGAAGGTATCATATGGGCCCAACCAGGTAGATAGATGATGTACTTATGTATGCACCCCGAATGGAAATAAGGCAAAGAAAGGCAAAGAAAGGCAATGAGGTTGCCCTGACAGGTAGGTATGAAGGCAGGTGTGTAACAACAAAAAGGAAAAGAAAAGCTTACGAAAGGCCAAAGGACATGTTGGTACCCGCTTTCCCTCTAAGGACATGACAACGACACAAAAAATATGAATATCTGGATAAAATAACGACATTTTGCGTTTCCGCAACAGCGTCAACAGCACTAGCAGTAGCGGAAGCACCATTGGCTGGTTGCACCAATCCATTCCTCTCTCCCTTTCTTTCTCCAGGGACAGAAAAGTAACAATGAAGAGAAACAAAATAGTAAGTAAGAATATACTACCCCCACCAAGCAAAATCACCCCCAAAGACGGAAGGACAGAGAAGAAAAGAAAATAGAAAGAAAAAGAAATGCTCCTATCATCATCCCTGGTTGTCTGTCTCCTTTCTTCCTATATACCAACGGCAGCGGCGGCGGCAACAGCAGGAAGGCCTTGAAGAAGAGATAGAGCATAGCAGAGCAGAGAGAGGTTAAACCGACAACAAACAAAAAAAACACCAGCCGCAAAATAATCGACAGTTCAACAGAGTTCTCAACAACCACCAAAAAAATAACCATCACCATCCCATCCCATTTTTCTTTTGCCCGCTTACATCCAGCGCAAGCCAGCACCTGGCCCGACAGTACAAAAAAAGACAAAAAGATAAGACAAACAAACGGGAGAGAGAAGCTAGACTATACCATATTACACTAAAAAGATCTCCCTGTTTGTTTTATTCCCGCCTGCTCTGTCGCCGCTCGCCCCATCTCCTCTCCCTTCCACAAACGTTCTTTACTCGTCGACCAACCAACCAACCAACCGATGAAGCCGATTGACAATAAAAGACAAGACAAGGCCACAGGGGAAAAGGACACACAGAAATCTAGCAAGCTAGGTCCTACCTAGCCAGCCGGCAGAAAAGGACAAGGCCGTCCAAATAACCAAAGCCATTCTGTTGCGCCTGCGCCCTGTACACCATGCACGCCCATACCTCATCTCCATCTCTTTTCTTTATCCCACAAAGTCAAATATACGGGGTTGGTGGTTTCACCAAGAGACAAAACCCTCCCACCCCTTCCCACTGATTCTAGACTCGCCCCTCACTTAAAAAAAAGACAGCCTGACAAACGCTATGCAAATCTCGATTTCTCGCACACATGCCAAAAAAAAAGTCAAGTAATGCAAGATACTGCCCCTCTCTCCCGGAGGAGACGCTTTTGATTTGCCCCCTATCGGTTCCGCCCGCCCAGTGCCGTCATCGCATTCACGCTTCGCTCGACGGCTGTTTTCGACCGTTTTTGCGTGCGTGTATATGGACCAGCAGGGGGGCGAGCAGAGCGGTGGCCAGGGGCAAAACGGAGCAGTTGCGTCATCACAGGGAAGGAGGACCTAGAGACGGCCGCCACCCTGAAAATGCGCAAGAAGAATTGCCGCGGTATTCGGCAACGCATCGCAATTCCTAGTACCTCAAATGATGCCGCCAGGGGGGTCGTAGCCGGTTGCGGTCCCGCGGGCGGTGGCGCCCAAGCCGGCGCTCCCTGGTGCCTCGACCGACAGGTCGACTTGTGCATTGTTCGTTTTCCTAAGCATGAACATGGGCTTCTTCCCTTCCTTGTCCAGTTGCTTAAACAGGATCAATGGTTTTTTGTCTAGCCCCAAACATCGCTCCTGGTCGCCGTAGACAATGTACAAGGCATACTGGTCCCACGGCGCGTTGATCTGGTATTTTTTGAGCGCTGCAGGCAACACTTTGTAGCAGGGATCATCCATGCTGACGCGGAACGACTTGAATATCTCGACCGATGCGTTGCTCGCGCTCGGGGTATCGGGCGCCGGCGTCTGCATCCTGCGGGGAGCGGCAGCCTTATCGCGTGAGCTGTAGTGGTCGTTCTCGGCAAATGTGGACCGGCTTGATGGCGTAGCCTGGTCTGACCGATATGAACGATTTGCAAGAGTAGTACCCGACATTACGGTGGTAGGCGGCGATGTAGGGGAAGGCATGTTCGGGGATGGATACGACGGGGACGGCGCGGCGGTGTTCGATCCGTTCATCGCCGCAAGGTGCGACGAAGACATGACGGCTCTTTCCGCCGCGCTTGAAGGGTCGAGCGTCTGCTCGATTATTGACGGGTTGTGCGTTGTCTGGAGATGTGTGGGCGAGGCGGCCTTCGGAGTGGCTCCTATCGTAATCTTCTTGGTCGACCACTGCCGCTTCAGACCGCCGCCTGACTGACCGGGTGCAGAGGGCGTTGGCGCTGGAGGAGATATGCTGGCCTCGTATGTGGGACCATTGTTGACGTTTGGTAAAGGCTGCTGAGCGTCCTTGACAAGCCGTAGCGCCGGCAGCATGTCTTCTCGCAGCCTTCTAAAGTCTTCCGTCAGCCTCCGGAGGTCCTGCTCGAACAAGCTCATCCGCTCATCTCGAAGGCGGAGCTGCTCCACGAGATGCTTTATGTCCTTTAGCGTCGCATTCGCAGACTGGGCTTCGGTCTCGGCGGCTGTGAGGTCAAAGTGTTAGCAAGAAAGGCGTGCCGCACACGGCGGTCGGTCCGAGACTGGACGTACTTAGAGGCGTATAGTGGTCGCTCTCGATAGGCACATCCTGCGCCTTTTTCACATCGTATACGGACTTTAGTATCGTCAGTCGGTGGCCAACGCTGGTGATGCCCATCTGCTTGAGATCGTCATGCTGGAGGGCAACCAGGGCCTCGCCGACAATATCGTTTTCTGGAACATGTCAGCGTCAACGGGAGCCCAGGCCAAGACTCGTGGCGGCGCAGAGCGGCAACTGCTGACCTATAAACCTGTCTGCATACTGCTGCACACCGATGGTGGCAATGAAATCTGCGCACTCTTCGGCAGTCCATTCCGAGATAATGGTCTCGGGTAGCCTGTCTGCGGTGGAGCGGTAGCCGCCGTACGTTGTAGGCGTGTGCTCGGTCGAGGGCGGGTCCGAGTCGATGGGAGACGTTTCAACATCGGTAGCATCAATCGGGGAGCTTCCGTGAAACTCTCGCTCGTACTCGTCGTCGGCGTCTGACTCGGCATAGGCGGTGCCGCCGTCGAAGTTCATCATGGCTACGGTCACCTACCGCACCCCAGCAGACGGGACTCGAGCAGCTCTCGCGGCTTTCGGGCTGCTTCGTGGAAGGCGGTCGGCGAGGGGGGAGTAATGGCCGGCCAGAGGAGGGGATAGCTTGTCTAGCCCGACGACATGGGGCCTCGACGGGTGAGCGGCGGTTCTAGAGCCCAGAGGTCGAGGCGATCGGGGGGTCGGAGAGCCCGACAAACAGGGCCGGGAGCCAGCAAACGACGACAACGAGAACCACACGAGTGGTGGGCAAATAGGTCGCTGAATTGAAGCGGCGGCGGCGAGCAAGGGCGGGAGCGCTGGGCTGGCTGGGCTGGCTGGCTAGCTGGCGAAACACACCGACGATAGGGAAAAGGGACCCGGACTGGACTGGCGAGAGGAGGTTGTTGATTGCGGATTCAGGTGGCAGCCATAGCCGCTTGCCTGAGCCGCTGTCCGCACGCTACCTTACGTACTGGGGGGTGGAAGGCGGCAGGTGGTCCCACCCAAATGGGTACTAGCGCCAGAAATCCACAGACGCTCCTGGTCGTCTAAAGGTCGCTTGTCTGGCCGCAACGGTTCAGAAATTTGCCCGTCCTTGCCTCGCAGCGCTTTTCTGGCTTGGCCCCTGTTGACCGGCCCCACATCTGTCTCCACCTTCTTCCCCGGCCCGGCCACAGGGGGTTTGCCAGCTTGTTTTGGGGGAAGTGAACATGCGGGAGGAGACACACTGGTCTGTGATCAGCAGGTTCAAGCTGCTTTTGTCAATCCAATCTTTTTTTGCTTCGTCGCAATCTCGTGGTGACAAAGGCGGCTATGGATGAGTGGCATCTTGACATTTAACGCTGTATTTTCGTTTTCACCACCTCCAACACCTTTCACCCAAAATTTCATAGAGAAGGGGACATTAACGGTCAAGGGCCCTGTGCGCATCTCCGTGCCCTCAAGTCCGGTCGCTACACCCGTTATCCCCCTTCCAGAACAAACCCCGCCAATAGAGGCAGGCAAGGTTGCGGCGCCCGCCAGCCTTGGGCAATCCTAACGTTAGATAGACAATAAGTTCGTAATAGTGTGAAGGTATGTCGGAAATTAAGCCGCCATTTTTCTTCGCAGATGACAGATTCGTCGTCCAAACTTGTGTAGGCCTATAAGGCTCACGCAGTCTACGGTTGCCGATAATAAAATAGTCCCAAAGCCAGGTTTTAGCAGAGACTGAACAAGATGGCCGCCCCTTTCTTCGCTTCCTTCGTCTTGACCCATCTATCATCCATCCCAAACTCTCTCAAGCCATCAATCACATATTACACAAAGTCTTCCATGCCACAACGTGCAAACAGCCAAACTCCAATTTCAATACCTCTTGTTTTCTCTTTTCGTCGTCTCTTTTTTAACCTCCCAGCATCGCACAAGACTCTCTAACAGAGCCCATCCCAACCAGTACCTACAGTACTCTGCATGTACACTCCAATCCCTGAATGTTGGTTGGCGTGGTACTTGAGCAGAATAAATGCTATAGCACAGTAAATAAACCGACCAGGAAAAGCCTCAGGCATTGTAGATAAGAGATAGGCCTCTAGAATTCCAAAATAGGGATTCTAATCGCTTTTACCCCCATCGGCGGAAAGCTTACAGGGCGAGCCGTAAGAAATCGAGGCCTTTGAAATCTTGGAAAGTCCCGCGCTGACACACATTCAGGGATTGTACAATACAATACACTCCGGTGGTCTCTAGACGGCAACCACCGGGTTTTAGATAAGCAGTCTGTCTGTCTATCCGGCCGGCCGACCCAAAAAGTTGAAACGGTTCCTGATTCCAAGCCCTCCATCCATCCACCTGGGCCAGCCCGAGTCCCGCCCCGCGTTTCATCTTCTCTCTCTGTCTCTCTCTTGGTGTGTGTGTGTATCCCGGCTGCTCATCCCGACGACCTCTCTCTCCCTCTCTGACTACAATCCCGCAAGCCAGCCAGCCGGTAGCCGCACACGTGCAGGTGATGAGTCAGTAAGAGAGGTCCGGGCCGGCCTCGTCCTCCTCGTTGGGGCCAGGCTCCTTCCATGCTGTCGTTACAAAGCTTCGTATTCTCCGAAACTTCATGACGAACAAACAAACAATTTATAAGCAGCCCCTACGGAGTACTACCGCCGCCCTTCTGTCTAGCTTTGTCACGTCCCGATGTGATGCGACCGCAAGGCACATGCAAGAGCTCGAAAGACCCCACTCTCGCAGGGAGCAAGCAGCATTTGATCGTCCAAAGTCAAGTATTTATTTAATTTTTAGATGGTATTGAAATTCGTTAGGTATCTCTCTTAACCACTATTTCCGTCTTTATCCAACCAAAAAAAAACATGTGCGAGGACCATAGCAAGGGTATGTTAATCCAGCACCGTGCCCGAAACAAGTAAAGTGGGAGATGAGCATAGAAAAGGAGAGAAAAAAAATCGGATTCTTTGTCACACATGACCTGAGAGCGCCCTGCAAATGCTTCAAAACAAAAAAGCCACACGCTAGATCTATCACATCAAAACAGAAACCTGGAAAAAGAGGAATAAGAAACCGCGCAGCAGACGCGGCTTTTTTTTTTTTTTTTTTACCAGTGCGAGCTTCGTTTCTTCTGCACCCTTCTCCTATCGTCGTCGTTCCTCCACGAAGGGCGGTCATTATAACGCTCGCCAACGTCCGACTCCGCGATGTACGGGGCGCCTCCGCTGTCCTTTCTCCGGCGTCCTGACGACGACGATGGACGCGGCGCCTGGGCTAGGTGTGGCGGCGGCGCTGGCGTCCCGGCAATGGCTCCCGCGGCAGCACCCCACATATTATTGAGCGTTGAGCAGTGAAATGGTCCGGGCCCAGCGCCGTTGGGACCGGCGCTGACAGGGCGTGTTGGCAGAGACGAGCCAAACCAGTTACTCGAATTCTGGGCCGGCTGGAGATGAGGCGGCGGCAGCGGAACCAGCGGTGGCGGCGCAAACTGCGGGACTGGATTGTTCCTCGGAGGGAGCGGGGGGGCCGCGGGAGGAGGAGGCGGGGTGGGAGGGCTGACGATCCCCGATGGACGATAGTGCGGCAGGTCCTGGCCGTCAACGCCGTACTTTTTGCGGAGCCGTTCCGTCTCTTTGGCCACGGCTTCTTCCCGCCGGCGGTTCTCCTCCTCCTCTTCTTCAAGCATCCTCTTGATGCGTTTTTGATCCGCCCTCTCCCGCTTCTCGCGCTCGCGATCTTCCCGCTCGACCATGGCTTGAAGACGGCGGGTTTCGGCCTCAATATCAGCTGCTGATGGTCCGATGGCCCCGGGCGGGACCGAGTGCGCCGCGAGCGGCGGCGAGGGGTATGGCTGGGACACGGGGCTATACCGCTGAGCCTGAGGAGGTATATTTCCCAGAGCACCAGACATGGCGAGTGGCGGGATGGGTGGTGAGGGGGCTTGAGCGGCTGTGGGCCGCGAGTTCTTTCTTCTTCCCCCTCCGTTCAACGCCGAGGGCGATGGCCCGCCGCCCGATATGTTGAAAACGTCCTGCTTCGGCATGAGGTACAGATCCTTGACTATCTCAGCGCTGAGCAAGAGTACGATCTCGAGGCCCTTGTTATCTTCAACCTCGACACGTTGAAGGTTCGGCTGGTAAATGGTCACGGCCGTGTCCCGGGCGGCCTTGAAGAGCGCGATGGTGATATCAGGCTCTTTGCTTTTGCGGCCACCCAGGTTTTTACCCGTCATGAAGCACGTCATGTCCTTGGTCAGCTTGCCGTCCTTTTTCCAGCGAAACATGATCCGGGGTGCCAGGTCGGCAGGCGGAACCCGATGCTCGCGGTCCAGCTCGCTGACCGACGGCATGCGGAACGTCTGAATGGGTAGCTCGAACTCCCAGCTGTCCGTCTTGTTCCAGCCGCCGGGCACCAGCTTTATGTTGACGCTCTGGTCGGGGTTGTACAGCTGGATGGTGAAATTGTCGGGGATGAGGGGTGTGGCCAGGGCAGGCCCGGCGCCGTTCTGGGCCTGGGCGCGAATCTCAGCGGTCGAAAGGGTCGGCTGCGACCACTCTGGCTCGATCATGACCTCCCCGTATATTACATCGGGGTTGTAGGCGTCGCATAGTGCAACGGCGTATCGGTTGCGAGAGCCCGGCACCGCGGGGTCAGCCCGGCGCAGCACATAGTCCGCCGACGGGTCGGCGCCATTCTGGGTGAAGAAAACGACACTGCTGAGCGGGTTGTCGGATGCGGGCTTGAAGCGGAAAGTGGGAAGGTTTTCGTCGAGCATCTTGAACAGGCAGGCAGGCCTGGCAAGCTCCAATTCCGATTGCCACAAGGCTCAGACTTTCAGGGTCTCAGAAACCCGGCAGGCGTGTATCACTGAGCTTCGCGTTACGTGAGCCGTGAGCAAAGAAGCGGACGAAACGTAGAAGGACAACAAAGCTGTATAAAGTTCCCGCTAGGCAGGCAAGTATTATGTAGGAGGAGCAGCTTCAGCGTTGAGGAAAGTGAGTCGTAACTTGAAGCGTTGTTGCTAGGTCTAGAGCACACGTCCATCATGCGGCTGACGGGCAGGGAATCTAATGTCCAACTCCCGCCCCGGGGTCAGGCGCTGCAGGAAAACCTAACTGCTGGGCGCAAGGCTGACCTGTAGCCCAGGGGCTGACCCAGACGCAAGGTGGGTTGGAAGACGCGCCAGGAAGGCGCCTTCGGCGGCTGGGTGACCCAAATCGACCCCGCCATCAGCCGACAACGTCACCGATTCGGCGGCCCCTCGGCTCAGCCACGCTGGAGGACAAACCTTTGGTCCTGATTGGCTAGACTGCGTCGCTAAGAGCGGCAGTGCTCTCCACAGGCGTGGCAGGCTATTAATTTCGACATGCACAGAAAGCATTGGATATCATGCACGCGATGGCGGAATCGAGTGACTGTTGGGAAACGGATGGAAATGGGAAGATAAAGAGGTGAAGCCCGATAAACAACAGTAGTTCTCTAGTTAATGCCTCAGTCTCACCGACATCTGCAAAAGAAGGGTTACCGCATTTCATGTCAACAAACCTGAAAGCTAGTAACCTGAGTGCCGACTCAATCAAACAAATCTGAGACCGATTTTCTGACTCTGGTACCTGTCAATCAGTTCTCACCAACTGTTTATAAGAAACCCTTAGCGTTTATTTATACACTCTGGTTATATTTACACCGATTAACGGAACCCGTTTAATTATTGTTTAACTCTTTGAATATTCTAACCTGGGCCTGAACCTGAACCATATTATGTCTATTAGTAGCAGCTGTTATAAGAGTAAATGTGGCGAACGTGAATATATGCCCACGTTCATTATTACATAATTATCAAATTCAAAATCGCCAATAAGAATCAAGCATGCCGACTGGCTGCCTGACCACTCAAAATCATGTTCGACCGCATCGTGTCGCCACGATTCTCGTAATTATGAATCGCTTCAAAAGTCAATGAGCTTAGTAACACTCCCCGAAGAAAGTATTTTCACCCTTTCATCTGTAAGGGCTCAACGTCAAGTCCACGAATCTAATCCTTGGTTTTGATTTTTCCTAATTCGGTAAACATCCCTAGTTCGTGTGACCGGCTCTATATTTTCCTTTCCATACCTTTTCATACCTGGCTCTCAGAAATCCGCCTCTCAGAATCCCTTCCGACCTAGTCTATCAAAACGCCCCGGATCCCAATTAAATCTCTAATTACAAATACCCTCCCAATTTTTATTCATGATATCAATCCTTACTTACACTAAAATAAAGAAGAAGAAAAATAGAAAATAGAAAGAAAGAAAAACGCTCACGAATTCCGACTATGTGTCCGACTTAAATGCGAATTCCTGCTAAGTTGGGTGGCCCTGCTGAGGGTCCTCCTGATCTCTTCATCTTCTTCCTCCTTTTGGTCAAGGTCTAAGCCAGGCAGACGGACGGCGCGGTCAAGAGCGACAGGTAGACCGCGGTGGCGTCCGCGGAGCATGACGAGGAATAGGATGAGCTTGCTGCCAGTTTGCCAGGCGCCAGAGAAGCTGAAAGCGGCCCATGGCACGCCGATCGAGATGCCGTTGTTAGCGTAGCCTGACACGACCTCGAACATGATGTTAAAGACACTGAATGTGGCTGGGTCACTGAGCGAGTGTGATGTCTCGATGATGGTTATGATGAAGAGGGCCAAGGCGATCCACCACACGTCGTGTGACAGCTGCGACCGCACGTGGTGCGACACCAAGTCCGTCGGCCCCCCCATTGGTTTTTCGTTCCCGTGGTATGATACGTGAGACATCGTGCTGCCACCGGTCGACCCGCCACTGCCCATCTCCTTGCCGTTGAAAGTGCTGCCACCACTGCGTCGGGTCCCCGCTGGCCGCCGTGACGGTGGAGGAGCGCCGATGCCGTTGAACCCCGTCAAACGTCGCTGTATCGTCCGCCCAACAAAGGCCGTGCCCTGCTTGCCAATATCGATGGCTTTCTTCAACTCGCGGCGGCTGGTGAGTTTGGATAGGGTTGACATCTGTGAGTTGCCTGTGCGATATTGAGCCAGCGGCACCTGGAGTGCTTCTGGAGCAGGGTCGTTGCGCTGTGGCGCACGATCTGGCCTCGAGTTGTTGTTGGGGACGTTGATCCTAACGTTGTTGGTCTCCATGCCTGGGGTGTCGCCATCCTCGTTCTCATCACTGGCAGGTGTCTCATCCTCGGCGTAGATGCCGAGAGATCTTTCCTCATATACGTTCGAGTTGCGCGTGGTGATGGCGCCAGGGTACGCAGATAAGTACATGATGCCTACCCAGAGTACTTGGACTCCAAAATAAAGCCCGGATGGAGCGACCACGGCGAACCCCCCAGATAGAATGGCTGGGATGGGTGTCAGTATCTTAACAGGTTCCTCGAAGAGAAAGAAGAAGAAGAAGAAGCAGGGGGGAGGCTTACATATTGACTGAAAGAGGGCATCAAATACCCTTATACCGGTCGGTATGGCGTCAAGAGTGGGGTTGCCGATGCTGAGCAGATGAATCATAATCCAGTTGATGATGGTTAGGGCCAAGAGCATGGCAACCAGGAGCCAAGTCGGGCGGGCGGGGAACAGCATGGTATAGACACGGCGGGGGTAATGGAGGATGAAATGGAACGTCTCGTGCCAAACACCGTAGTTAGCGGGGTTGGCCCAGTACTTGATGGTCTTCGAGAGAATCCACATAACAAGACGCAAGAATATAGGAAAGGCGACGCCGCCGGCGAACATGAGAAAAGCCGTGACAATCAGGATGAAGTAATAGCCGGACTGGAAGGCGATTAATCCAATGTCGAGCAGTGTCATGCCACCATTGGTAAAGGCCGAAACGGCGAGGAAGGCACCGGCCCACCACGGGTTCTGGGCGTTGACAGCCGTGATATCGGCGGCGTTCACCGCCATCCAGGCGCCCAGGGCAATGGCGCCCAGTAGCTGCAACAGGAAGAAGTAGATGGTCACAGTCGCGATGAGCACCTCGAGGGCGCGGTACTCGAGGCCGCCCAAATACTCGCGGTCTTCGTGTGTAAGGTTGAAAAACTGGCCGTTGCGCCCAATGTTCTCCTTATTCTCCTCGAGAAACGTCCGCATGTTGAAGCCGGGGCCTGACTGGCCCGATATGCTGGAGCCTGTGGGCGAAAGCAACCCGTTATGGTTGTGGCTGGGCGTCAGGCGGGGCGGTGCGAGGAAGTCCATGCTGCGTGCCCCAGAACTGGGTGGGGGGGCTAGATGATGGAGCTCAGGGGTTGGCGGCTGCTCATGGAAGGCCATGCTCCTTGCACCGGGACTTGCCGGGGGTTCCTGATGCGAGCCAGGTGGTGGCGTAGGGGGCTGCTCGTGGAAAGTGACATTCCTAGCGACGGGGCTTGTCGAGGGACCCAGATTGGCACCGGGTCCCGGAGTCGGAGTAGGGGGCTGCTCGTGAAAGATGATACCCTCCGGGCTGGGGCTCTCGGGCGGAGCCGAAATAATAATGGGTCGCGGAGCAGAGAGCTGTTCGTAAAAGGTGATGTTCTTCACGACGGGGCTAGGAGAGCGAGATCGGCGCGAGCCAAGTGGTGGCGTACGGGACTGTTCACGGACGGGCGTGCTCCGCGAGCCAAGGGGCGGCGTACGGGGCTGCTCATGGGAGGTAGTGCCCCCCGTGCCATGCCTCGAGGGTGGTGTCGAAGGCGCATCGACTGCCGGGGTTGGGGCTTGCTCGCGGAATGTAAAACTGCGCGCGCCTGGGCTGGCAGGCGGGGCTTGATGCAGACCCAAGCCCGGGGTCTGGGGCCGCTCGTGGGATGCAATACTGCGTGCCCCGGGGCTGGAAGGGGGGGTTGGATGCGGGCCAAGCCCCGGAGTATGGGGCTGCTTTCGGGATGCGATACTCCGCACACTAGGGCTTGCAGGGTGGGCTGGGTGCGGTGCGAGGCCCGTACTCATGCCGGCTTCCAGGTCTGGTTCCTCCCCTAGTCTGTCGGGCCGCCCCGAGAAACGCGAGGACAGGGCGCCGGCCCCCTTTCGCGGGGCGGCCGAGGCCGAGGACGAGGGGCCACCGGCCACATTTGGGACCATGAGACTGCCCAGGCCCGAGAGCATCTGGGTCGTGCCAGACTTTTCGCGCGACTTGGGAGAACGGAACTGCGACATAACTAGCAGGCCGGTGAGAGCGCCAGCAACGCCAATGGCGGTACCCGTCGCCGTCTCTTTCCTCTTACGGTCCTCCTCGGCCTTGACAATGGCGCGGAAGCGCTTCTTGAAGACGTGCCTCCGGAACCACAGGGTCTGGACCGAGATGAGAACAGGGCTGCCCAGCAGCATCAGGATGACCAAGACGGCCTGCTGGCCCGTCGACATCTGGCTGACGTTGACCGTGTTCAGGCCGGCCGAGGTCATGGCCGACATGGCCAGAAACAGACTGTCGACGAAGCCGATGGGGGTGCTGACCGGCGATGAGGTGCCCCAGAAGATGGCCCCGAAGACGAGGCTGGCCAAAATAAAGTAAGCATAGTGGAGGGTGATGTAGTTGATCGGAGGCACGTAGGGCGCGATGGCGGCGCCGAGTTTGGCGACACGGCCGTCGCCCAGAAGGCCACCGGACCGGTAGCCAGAGGCTCGGAATTCTCTGAGTCTATCCATGGCTGGGCAGACAGGCGAGGTGGACTCGGGACGAGCGACTGTGATGAGTTCAGTCTGAAGTCTGAGGCCTGAGTTCTGAGGTCTGAGGTCTGATGTTAAGGTCTGCCGACTCTTGCCTAGACCTGGTCAGGTCCCAGTCCTCGGTCTCCCAAGGTCGGATCCTGGTCGCAGAGGGGCGCCGGCCTGGGCGGGGGAGAGGGTGCCCCAGACGGATATATTCGTCGAGGCTGCGCCATTTTGGAATTGGTGTCCTGCCCCTTCTCCCACTTGGACAGTACCAACGGGCCCGGGGGAGACACACGACTCGAAAGAGCGTGTTTGGCATGGCCACATACATAGGGAAGGGGAGGTGGTGCCTGCCTGGGCGGGTTCCTGTTGGCTAAGCGTGCGGCGCCGACAACTTTGTGCGCGTAACCAACCGACTCGCCGGCACATCCCTCCTCAGAGTCCTCATTCTTTATCCTGGCCGTTGGGTTTCCCCTCCAGAGGCAGAAGGTCTAGACTCTGTGAACCCCGAAGCCAACAAGTGCGGCGCAATGGCAAAGCTTGAAACGCACCCACCCACCCCCCCACATCCAGCGCGGCACTGCCTGCCGACGACGTCCAAGTTTTACGTTTTTCCATTTGGTGAACGAGAGAGAAGGTTGTTGGTTTACGCGTAAGCAGGAACGAACACGTAGTGGAGCGGGATGTTTCTCTTACAAGTCACCCACAACGGACCGGAACCAACGCCTTGTGCCGCACGTGCCCAATTGTGATCACAGTGGCAGTCATGCCACACACACCACACCCCCTTCGCATTCTCTTTAAGCCCACAACTCTTTCTCTGTTTGGTGTTTGGTAACGTCTCGCCGTTCCACACCCATACTAAGTGCACCCCATACCCATGTCCATTTCCATGCCCATGTGCCATGTCGGTGCATCGCCTGCACCGTGACACACACCCCGGTCCGAGGCTGCATTCTCTTGGCGTGTCTGCCGCAAAACAAACCGATTCGTCCAAAGCCATGGTTTTTGTCCAAGACAAGCAGCGTGGGGCGAGAGAGGAAAAAAAGCTTGTCTGCTTCCCGAAAGATTTTATCTGTTGGCGAAAAAGCTTTTCTTCTTTCGGGTTTCTTTCCACAAAGTTGCTTGGCTCTCAAAAGCCCTGACCCTTGAGATTTTTTTTGATTTTTTTTTTTTTTTAAAAACCCTAATTGCGAGTCAACCGGGGAAGCGCCAACAACCACACAGATGAAAAAGGGGAGGAACCAAGAAAGGAAAAGAACTTATAAATTACGGAGATGGGTTGATCCAATTGCAATCCCGGGCTGGCTGGGCAGATTCACGGCGAGCTCAACTGTCTCAATCCGCCACACACTCTCTCAGCCTCGACTGGACGCCCAGAAAGGAAACAGTCATGTTATGTGATATGTTTGACGAGATCTGAAAGAAGGTGCATGTTTCTATTCCGTCGACGTCGACCTGCCATCCGTCTTTCTTCTCTGAACTTATGTCAAGTAGTCGAGTAATTATGTCCTGAATCATCAAATCTTGCTCGTCGTATTTTGAAGATTGAAAGAAGAATTTAGCTGACCTGAAGAAGTTGATTGATCAGAAAGGCTCGTAGTATTTTGAATGGTGAGAAAAAAGAGGTTGATTTATGTGAACTTGCGGAGAAGTTGATAATAATTAGACCCGAAGATGGCTTCCGTTTATTTCCCATCGACACTATAATCTAGCTACGATGGCGAGACTATTTGTAACTAATACTTGCTGGGAGTGGGAGATGTCTTTTGTGATCTTTGTGGTTTATCCAGTCCAGATCAGGAAGCAGATGTCGCCAATTATCAAAAGTAAACATTGTGTCAACGGTATGTATAACAACAACTGTTGAGACATCAATGATATGAGTGAGTAGCAACCCGCGAAACTTTTTTTCGTTACGATACCCGAGGTAAGTGTGTAGTAAGGGTCGATTATTGGCTCGTACTGGTGGGCAAGTCAGGTAATATCTCAATCATGGGCGGTGGCTGGGTTGATTTTGCAGTCAAACCCTGAATGTCTGTTCAAGAGGAATATTCGAGACGTGAAAGGCCTGATTGCCTTTTGGGGGGGGGGGGGCTTCAACACATGTAATTATGAGAGACATTTATTCGGAAATAGGCTTTGATAAGGTAATTCAAACACAGTGTAACCTGTTCTGCCTCCAGAATGAAATACGTGAACTGCTCCGAGCTGCGTTCTTGATATTGAGATTGTTTCTTCCCCAAACCCATTGCTAGTATTAATTGCAATTTTTATGTTGGGCAAGAAAAACAAGCAAGTAGGACCCGAATATGAGTAACCCGGACGGTTGAGAAAAGCCGACAAGCCAACTAAAGCGACTGCCGGGTGATGGACAACATATCTCGAGACCGGCTCGGAGATATTGACGGAATTCTCATGTAAAAAAAGCGGGTGACGGACAACTTACAAGACGACACGGCTAATAACGACCCACCCGAGCAAAACGGATGTGAGCCGTGATTGTGAAGCATCGCTGCAATTATTCCCGCACATCAGTTCGTGTCATCATTTACTGAGTCTGACTTTGGCAATGGTGGGTGGTGGTGCGTACTGCGTACAAGTGTCCGTTCTGCCCCTCGTTTCCGATCGTCGGGTGGGCGGATAGGGTGGGAGCTTCCGCTCCATTTTCATGCCGTGTGGATCCTCATCAACGCTTCCCGCTCGCGGATATGTACCTCATTTCCCAGCTAGGTATACGATGTACGGATACGGGCCTTATGATCTAGAGCCACGAGTTTCTTATCGCTGCTGTGCGACTTATTAGCTGATTGGTATTAGTACCAAGGCTAGCGCATCAACGAAAAGTTGCACATGCATCCCCATCGGCATTTTTTTTTCTTCAAAAAAAGTGTCGAGAGTCTTCTTCAAAATAACTCCCTGGCCCGCAAACTACCGTTCTCGATACAAAACCACCAAGCGACGTAACCGGAAAACCCTATCTGCTGCGAGCATGGCATCTCTTCTCGACCTCGGCTCGGCCAACTGGTCTTACTACTCGGTGAGGTCATCACTCTCAGGGGCGCCCCTTGCAGCATTTCTGGGCCTGCCCACGCGCTGCAAGGTTAGCAACCAAGCAAGTGAGGGAATACAGCTAACATGGCTGGTGGTATGATAGGTTCCTGCCGCTTTTGTCTTGGTTATGATTCCGCACACCTATGCCAACTTTTCGGCCGGCAAGAACTATGACCTGGCCAAGTGAATTCCCCCCGCCCCACCCTTGTCTTGCTATCTATCAGGGGCAGCCAACATTCAGGGGATATATCACATGCTGATGGAGTCTATTCGCTATAGCCCCCGCAAGACCGAGGAGTACTGCGCCAAGGACACGACCATGGACAAGGTGGTATGTAATTCTTCATTATTCCCCTTCTCAAAATTTGGTGATTATTCTGCGTGGTAGATGCAGCCAAGAACATGTCAGCAGGGAGCCAAGGTAATGTGCTCCAAAACAAAACAAAGAAAACACCACCCCCTTTTATACCCACAGAGACCACCGCCACACAAACTAACCCGCGGTACACGCACGACATGTAGACACTCCGCCGCATTTCGCGCGCCAGAGCGGCCGTGTCCAACGGCTTTGAGACGCTGGGTCTGTACGCGGCGGGCATCGTGGCCGCCAACGCCTCGGGCGCCGTGCCCACGGCTACGCTCAACGCCCTGGCTCTGGGGTACCTCGTGTCGCGCGCTATCTACAACTACATCTACGTCTTCATGCAGGACAACGCGCGCGCGGCGCCGCTGCGTAGCCTCGTCTGGCTCGCCGGGCTGGTCGTCATCTTCTCCCTCTTCCTCAAGGCTGGCGGCGGCGTGGTGAACTGATGCGTGTTCTCTTGTCCCAATTTTTTTTTTAAAAAAAATAAACTCTTGTTCGTGTTATTTACTGTGTGATGACGACGGGTAAACAATAGACAAAAACATGGAGGATTTCAAGTAAATATGAACTGGTCACGGTCGTCGCGGACTTTACCACAAACCTATACATAGCTGTATTTATTTATTAATTTATTTATTAACTCTATCAAGGAGCAGGTTGCACGATGTCAGATATACATAGCTAACCATATACGACGCGCAGAACACAATAGAACCCCAAATGCGACCTCACTGCAAAGCGAATAGAGCACCAAACCAGCAAGTTCCTGCATGCCTTATGTATTGTGTGTATGTCAATCAGTACCCCCACCGCATTCATTTGCGCTCCCATACTTCCTCGTCGGTAAACATACTTAGAAAGAGCAATCGGAATATCTGCCTCTCCCCCCTTCTTTTTTTTAATTTTTTTTAAACAGCCTCCCCCCTCTCCAGCCCCCTCAATCACTCATATAAACACTCGGAGCTTGCCGCGGAGGGAAGAAGAACAGAGACGTTTTCCCACATCATGGCCCACCAATGGCCGTCGTGATGGAGCCCGTCTCGATGTAGACGCCCGAGAAGTAAAAATCCTCGTTGCTGTCGGGGTAGCCGGACCGCGGCAGCTCCAGCACGCCCAGGTGCCAGTCGGCGCCGTTGGACGAGGTTGACGCCGACACGGGCGCGACTACCTGCTTGAGAGCATCGCCGCCCTCCGAGTGCCAGAACCCTACGGTGTTGCTGCCAAAGTTCTGTTTTGAAGGGGGGGGGGGGGGTTGATGGTTAGTTTTTGCTCATCTGGCTTCACTTTCTTTTTTTCTCTTCCCCTATTTAGAGGGACAGAGAAACCAAGGATATAGGAGGTGATAGGGAAAACACGCACAATCTCGTAGGCGACATTATGCCAGACATTAGGCTTCCACTCTGTCTTCCACTGCGACTTCTGGCTGGTCATCCACTGCAAATTGGGGTTGCTGGTCCCCTGCTCGCCGCTGATCCAGCCGTACTTGAGCTCGGTGAAGTGGCTCTCGAAGAAGCAGATCTGGTGCTCGCGGTTGACGCTGGGGGCGTTGGTGTCCTTGCGCATGATGCTGAAGTGGTAGAAGACCTTGCCCGAGTTGATTGCGGCCTTGGTCTGGGGTATCAGCTCGGTGCGGCGCATCGTCTGGCCGTTCCAGAAGGCCGTGCTGTCGAGCGTGAACCTGGCCCCCTGCTTCGACACCGTGTCGTTGGGGTTCTTGTAGTCGGGTGACAGGTTGATGTACTTGTCTACCGCGCCGGAGCCGTGGATGTAGTACTGATATGGCCCGACCTGATTGCTCCAGCTCCAGGTCGTGAGGTCCTTGTTCGACTTGAAGTCGTTGAACCGCCCGTCCCAGATGACAGCCCCCTTCACCACCGACGCTGTCACGGCTGCTACTGCAGCCACCAAATTTGAAGCTTTCATCTTCAACGAATGTCTGACAGGTCGAAAAGGGTGAACCCAGGGGTATGCAACAATAACAAGTCAGCCCCCAAACAGATGACAGTCGCCTCACTTAGGCAAGGGGGCAAACAGACAACAGCGAAGACAACAGCGAGAGAGGTAGAAATGAGTGAGACAGGTCCGACAGAATCTCGTTACCCGGCTCCAGACCTACAGCTTTATACGTTCGCGGCACAACACAAGCTACCGCTCTCATAACCGCCGCCCCAAGAACCATCCGGGACACCACAGCCCAGCGCGGCATATTAGGGCCAGCACGTATAGTGCATACACACACACATTGCAATGGCGACGAGAGGGGGAAAAGCCGCTCGTGTGGGGGAATGGCCGCCCGTCTTGCATCTTTCGTAATCTATAGAGTGAAATCGGTAGCTAGGTATTGTCGGACGGGCCCGCCGGGCGCGCGCGCGCACGACACAATACGGATTATTGCGGACGACAGCCTCCGATCCAAGGAGGGCGGGCCATATTGATTTGATGGTGGCCAGCTGTGTACAGTTTAGCCTGATGGCATTCCTCTTCATGGCTGCTCGGCCGTGCCGTCAAGTGCTCCTCCTCCACTACAGACACAGTAGCATTTCCAGCGTGAATGATTTAATACCATGACGGAGAACAAATAGAGCGCGACCAACGCCATAATCAGCATGAGGTTGTGTGTGTGTGTGTGTGTGTGTATGTGTGTGTGTAGTATGTAGGTGATCCAGTTGGCGACAGTAGAAAAGGGGGTTCAGCGGTTTAGTCAGTAAAATAGACACAGAGAGAGGACAGAAAGACGACTGCGAAGATAATGTGGAGAAAAGGAAAGAAGGTCCAATAATGAAAATATCTACCGTTTGACCCTATGGCACGAATAATAAGGACATGCACGAATGTAACATAAATGTTCCCGGATTCGCCGTCGGGTGCGGAGAGATATATCATAAATAAATAACCAAGTACGTGCCCAGGATCCCAACCGATATGCATGCAGCTTGAGCGAATTCCCTTAGAAAGATCAAAAAGAAAGGGGTAGTGGATTAGATCCAATAGATTCCCAAAAGGCAAGGCCGCCGCCATCCATCATAGTGATGCCTCTAGACATTCGCAGCAAAACAAAGCGAGAGAAAAAAGAAACCCCTAACGTGTATGGTCCCCAAAAAAGCCACCCAACTCCCACAGGACCGGTTGCCCTAGAATCCAATGCAGTGAAGTATCCTGAATTCAATATCGGTCCGTTATTCCAGGTCCATTTAAACAATGCGCCACGACTGCCTTACTCTCATACACTCAAACGGATCGAATATCTGCCCTATCTGACACGGTGGTTTTAATCTGAAGTATCCTCAGTATTCCATCCCACCAAAACTCTGGTTTCTGACCAGGGTGGCCCGTTCCAGGCTGGCACGGGGAAGTTGCTCGTGAGAACGACTGCGGCTGTGGCTCGTGCTAGGGCGGCTGCACTCGCCGTCCTCGATGGCACTCATGATGTCTTTTGGGACAGAAGGATCATCCCGAATGAGATGGATAAACCAGGCGGAAATCATCACTGTGAGGCCGCCGAGCGCCATCACAATGGCCATGCTGTGGTCGCCCGGAGTCCCGCGAGGCTTTTGGAAGATGCGAAAGATGATGCTGCTAACCACCGTGGCAATAATTTGTGGCGCTGCAATGGCCATGTTGTGGATTCCTAGAATTACACCGGCTTGGTCTTCTTCTTCCTCGCCGGCTCCGCCAACCTCGCGTTCTCGGTTCTCGTCCGACGAATAACCGTCCAGCGAGGCTATATGCTCACGGCTGGGCGACGGAGACTGCTGCTTCTGACCGCGCCGAAGTTCGTCGCGGCGAGAAATCTCGGCACTGATGATGGCCCATGGTGCCCAGAGGGTCAGAGCCCAGGTGATGCCCACAAGCCCGATGAGCACCGTGGCAGCAGCAACCGTCCGGACAAAAACGGTGCACAGCATACTGCCTGTGAAGAGGATCTGAGAAAACATCCAGGCACGGCGAAGTGTGAAACCAGGGATGACCAGATAGTCCAACCACGACTTCTGCTCCTCCTCATACTCCCCGTCGCTGGAGCCCTCGATACCGGCAGTCTGGTTATCGTAGGTTGGCATGATAAAGAACGGAAGGAAAACGTTTGTGGCCAGGCTGGTGATGGCAAAGATGAGCAGCGCAAATGTCCCTTCCCGCGTGGCTCGTTCGTACAGCTCATCCAACTCTTCCGGCGTCATGTGGGGGTTTCTCTCGAGAAAGGGCTCGGCGTAGATCTCTCCGATAAACGACGACGTGTAGAATAGCATGGGGAAGAAGCCGATCCAGGCGAAGAACTGGACTTCGCAGACCTTTCTGGTCTGTGGCGGCAGCCTCTTGATGGAGGTGAATATCTTTCGGAAGAAGGGAAGAACGCCAGCCTTGTCCTTTGGGGGAGGACCCTCCAGGCGAGGATCCCTCTCGCGGATCAGAAGGCAGGTTGCAACTACCGTGGCGAAAAGGGAGATGCTGGCTATTGCACAGAGCTCCTTAAATTGGGAGTCGCCGAGCCACCAGAACGTCTTGGTTAGGTTCGCATAGCCAGCCATGTAGCCAATAATATTGCCAAACCCGACAAATCTGCTTGCCATGGAATTTGCAACCTCTTCATGCGCAATAGTGTCAGCATGTTGACACCGTGGTCAGAGAAAAGAAGTGGGTAAACTGACCTTGCTGATGGGTGGGTGCGCAGTCGACAATGAAGGCGCGAATAGCTGCTTGCACTAAGGCAGCAGCAAGTTAGTACCGTGGCTTACTCTCTGATGCGCCAGAAATACGTACCGGTGTTGATGGCAAAGTCCAGTATATATACCCAGAGAACTGCCGTGACAATGATGCAAAGCTTGACGCCCTGCGACTCGACCGAGGCGCCGAAGATGCCGAGGAAGCCGCCGACGATTTCGCGCGTCCAGCCAAGAATCATCAGAGAAAGCATAGTAGCAACGGTACCTCCGAGCATGAAAGGCTTCCGCTTCCCCCAACTGATTCGACACTGGTCGCTCAGCATGCCGACGTAGGGCTGAACCAGGGTGCCCGAGAGGGGGCCGGCAATCCAGACCAGCGCCATGAGAGACTTGCTCAGGCCGAGAGACAGCAAGTAGGGCGATCCGGCGGACATCTCGACAGACCAAGCAATCTGGAGGCCGCCAATGCTCATGGTAAGGAGGATGAGATACCATATGCTCTTGGTGGCTTGGTGCACGTCGACGGCACCAGCCGCCGGGCCGTCGATAAAGCCATCGCGTTCATTAGAGACTGGGGAGAGGAGTGGCGATTGCTCATTGATCCCATCTGGGTCGACGGTCCGCTCTTCACGTGTGTGCCCGTTAGCCCCGTCTTGAGGCACATTGCTTGTCCGTTTGGGGAGCTCGTTGGAGGGGGATTGGGGTTTGTCGCCTGCGGGGCGGGCCCGGCGAAGAGGTCCTGCTGACGACGACGTCATGCGGATGGAAGAAGAGGAAATACGGCTCGTTGTCGTCGCTGGCGAGCCCGCTTAGGCCGTTGTCGATAGTCTTATCTGATCTGTTCGAACTCCAGGAGGAGCGGTGGATTCTTAGCCGATGTGGATGTCTGGACGACGTCGGGTCGCGCGGCAGCCGCGAGTGATGGGTTCGCCGGCTGAGACGGCGAATAAAGTGGACTGCGTCGACTCGGGAATGCAGCAATTGGGCTAGGCAAAAGTCGACAAAGAGAGCGCCGTCGATCAAGTGCGAGACAGACAAGTTGTCTTGGACGGTCCGGAGCCTCGGGTGACGGGTGAGCTCGACTCGATGTCGATGGGGTTCGTCACGCGGTCGAGTAGAACAATGCCACGAGACCGCCGTAGGCAGGATTGGTGCGACAGGCGAGGCAGCTAGGCACCAGTAGGTGGTTGAGGGCAACCAACTAATAATAACAGGGCGGAGAAGACTGGACAGCGGGCCGCCTTCTAGATAACCAAGCCGAGAGAGAGACCAGTACCGATTGCATAGAAGCCCTACCTACCGGACGTTTGCTTTGGACGGGGGCAAATGGCGGCGGGAGACGAGGCCACACGGTGACCTGGATGGCCTGGTGTGTCTGGTCTGGGCGTGCAGTGCAGCCGCAGCGGCCAGACGGGAAGCAACCAACCTAAGCGGGGAGGTCAGTGCAGCGGGGTCCTGAGTACCTGACGTAGTGAACGGATACCTCGACTTGGGGAAGGTCGTTCAACTCCGCATTCGGGCGGGCCAACGAGGTAGGTTGACAGTTCCAGCATGGAAGGAGCCTAGACTTGGGTGGTGAGGGACTCAACTGAATACCGGGCAGATTGGAAAGAAAACATGTAGTAGGGATGCATTTCAACCAGCCGTTGAAGGGATCAACGGAGACATTTGATTCTCATCTCGTCTTCCAACTGTGCAGTTGCTCTGCTGACACAGTTGACTGAGCCGCCAATGATTAATTACCTACGCCACAGCTTCCAGTTCCCAACAGCTCTCGATTACGAGCCACGCCCCGGTCAAGAGCAGTCAGCATGGTCAAGTGTTGAAACGAATGCGCCATGCTGACCTCTGACCTCTGCCTTCTGTGTATTATTGTACGTAAGTTAGAACCTACTAGTGAGGTGTCGTGGGCTTCACAGTTAGATTTTCGGGCTGAGCCAACCTGGCATCAAAAGCAGGAGAGCGGAGTCCTGAGGTGCCAAGCCGGGCCCCCTTCCTCACATCCTGGAATCCGCGTCCCAGTGTGGCTTGCCTCCAAGCTCGCTGGGATTGGGTGGCTGGGGGCTGTGGCACAACGACACTACTGCGTAGGTAAGGTACGTACCCGGCTAAGCGACGGCAAGCTGGCGACTTCAGCATCTGAAATCCAAATCCAAATCCAATGCCAACGCCAGCGCCGCCATCCGACTAGACGGCAGACTTTAAGGGCCCATTTGATGCCTTCTCTCCCGCGCCGCAGCTCTCTCGTGAGCGCCGTTACTCTCCAAAATCGCTCTCGACGGTCTCAGCCCAGCTGCGTTCCGAACCGAGCCCGCGACATCGGTTACAATGTTCGCGACTCTGTTTGCCCGCTCTGCCTGGGAGCTTGCGAGTACGCCATCCTGCCCATCCCCATCCATGCCATATGGCTTATGCCTCTCCCCGCCGCGCCCTGCGCTCGTTGGGAACATTGCCGCCGCTAACACTATGCCACAGAGAGAGCTGAAGAGACTGATCCTGACGGTGGTAGGAGCCTCCTGAGTCTAGATAGATCCCTTGCGACGCCACGCAAGCCTCCAGCAACTAACTCTCCGTGGCAGACCCCGACCAGCCCGCCAAGAACGAAATCAATTCATCATGGGCGCTGTTCATGGTGATCATGCTACTAGTCGTGGCTTTCTTCACCAGTTACACCATGCAGCAGAGGAAAATCACTGCCGTCCATGAGACCGTCATTTCAATCTTTGCTGGTACGTCCCGTCACCGCGGTTCAGCTTGCGCGTCCCTGGCCTGGCTAACGTGACCTCCTTAGGCATGACGGTCGGGTTGATCTTGCGCATCGCTGGCGTCGAAGCAATCCGAGATATCCTTAGCTTCGACTACCAGATCTTCTTCAACATTCTCCTGCCGCCTATCATCCTCTCGTCGGGCTACGAGCTTCACCAAGCCAACTTCTTCCGCAACATTAGCACCATCTTAACATTTGCTTTTGCCGGAACCTTCATCTCAGCCGTCGTGATCGGTGTGCTGCTGTGGCTTTATGCTATACTCCCAGTAGAGCAAATCACACTGAGTTGGATCGATGCCATCTCGGTCGGCGCAACTCTGTCGGCCACCGATCCTGTCACCATCCTCGCCATCTTCAACTCATACAAGGTAGACCCCAAGCTCTACACTATCATTTTTGGCGAGTCGATCCTCAACGATGCCATTGCTATCGTCATATTCGAGTCGGCTCAAAATGCCGACAATGGCGGCAAGATTGGCGTCTGGAGTCTCTTCAACGGCGTCTGGTTCTTCTTGTCCGAGTTCTTTGGTAGTTTGCTCATTGGTGCTGCCGTTGGTATCATGGTCGCCCTCGGCCTCAAGTATACCTATGTCAGGCGATACCCCAACACCGAGAGCTGTCTCGTTCTGCTCATCGCGTACGGCACCTACTACTTTTCTCAGGCTGTCAAGATGTCCGGTACGTAACCCAGCATAACTTCGTGGGGCCCGCCTAGTGTATTTCCTCTGCTAATACCGACATAGGTATCGTGTCCCTGCTATTCTGCGGCATAACGCTTAAACATTACGCCTATTTCAACATGTCGAGGCGCACGCAACTGACGACTAAATATATGTTGCAAGTCCTCGCACAGCTAACCGAAAATTTCATTTTCATTTACCTTGGCCTGTCTTTATTCACGGACACCAAACTTGTATACCGACCGCTGTTCATCATCGTTACTGTAATGGCTGTATGCGTGGCCAGATGGATGGCCGTCTTCCCTCTGTCATGGGCCATTAATTGGTTCATCCGCTACCGCGCGCGCCGCCAAGGCAAAGAAGCCAGCGACGAACTGCCGTTCAATTACCAGGCGATGCTGTTCTGGGCGGGTCTGCGTGGAGCGGTGGGCGTCGCCCTGGCGGCATCGCTCAAAGGCAAGGATGACGCTGCCCTCAAGGCTACCGTCCTGGTTGTGGTGGTCCTTACGGTGATCATCTTTGGAGGTACCACTGCTCGCATGCTCGAGATTCAAGGCATCCGCACTGGAGTAGTTGAGGAAGTCGACTCAGATGACGAGTTCGACATTGAGGCAGTTGGCGGAGGATTATTCAAACGCGCTGACACCGGCATTGGGTATAACCCTCGCAGCCGCAGCCGTGGATCGGCTCTACCCCTCGGCGCTATTAACGGGAGCAGAGCGGGTAGCCGTTCCAGAAACGGCTGGGCATCGGGCCACCGGTCGCCCAACGTTCCCAGGCCAGGCAGTCGAAGTCGAAAGGACTTGAGGAACGACGCGGACGAGTTGGAGAGATCTGAGCTTCTCGGAGCTTTGGGCAACAACACGGACTCGGAGATCGGGAGTGACATTGACACATCCGACCTCCCGCCTCCGGCTCCAAGGAGGAGATCCAGCCCGATGCCTCCAGGGGCCACGGGCGCGGCCGTAAGTAGTGGCGAGAGCTACGTCGGTGGGAGCCTAGTCCAGCCTGCGGCGGAGGGCGTCCCGCCCCTGACTGCTAGTGCTGCCATCCGTCAGCTCTTCAGCACCGAGGATCCGTCAGCTCTGTTCAGGCAACTAGACGAGGATTATATCAAGCCGAAGCTGCTGCTCGATGGGAGCAATGGGAGGAATGGTGGCTCGGGATCTCACTAAAAGATCGCAGTTCCCTGTTCTTGTTTTGTCTTTTCGTCGCTGGACCTTTGATCAAAAAATTATACGAGTAAAGGGTTGCATTGCAATCCCCTATTCGGCTGCGGTGCATATAGGGATTTCCGGAGGTTACTCAGACCTGCTTCGGGCATGAATGGCGTTTTTATTTCTCTTTTCACGGCGGACTGGAGATTTCGGTAATGATGCCTGGACGGAAATGGTCCCGTGCGTTCCCATTTAGTATTCAAGCCGGGAGCTCTGTCAAGATGTGATGATAATTGTACGCTGGATGTAGATGGGTGGTATTTTTTTTCTTGCTATTGTATAGCAGCAGTGACCACCAATGGAGCAAATTATAAATAACGAGAAACGTTGACCAAGCTTAAAGACTTGATCTTTATTACGTTATTGCATCTTGATGAGGCTTGCAGTGTACTACTCAACACGGTGTACAAGTCGGCTTCCTCTCTTAGGAGTCGTAAGGCAGGCAGGTATTATAATGCATTTACACAGGCAGCTTGTCTTTGATTTTGCTACCACTTGCGATAATCACCGCCGCTCTATATATAAAACATACAAACCCTCCTACAGCCGCCGCCATCACGATATTGTGCCCAGGTTTTGCTTCGAGTCTCAAATTCGCATTTAGGCTCGCCCCAGCCCGCTCAATCATAGTTAGACTAGTTATACAAAAGAAAAGTGAAGAAAAGAATACAGAAAAAAAAGCAAAAGACACCCAATGGTAACACAGTCTCACCGCGTCTTCTGGTATGGTATCTTCAGCCTGTCCATGGGGATGGCCAGGACTTGCTGTGCTTGTTGACTTCGTTTCTCCGTGGTTACCCATCTTGCCCTATCGTCCCACTCTCTATACGCCGCTTAGATGCCAAAACCAACAAGGTCCCTCCCTCCCTAAAGGCAGAACCAGAGTAGAAGAAAAATGCGTCCACTGTCGTAAATGTATACCGAAAAGAAATCCAGAAACTCGGACAAATGCCAGTATGGTACACCACAAATTGCAAATTTCGAGACATGGGTCCAGCTGAAGGTTTACGCAGAAAATGTAACTCAAACGCTGCCCCTTAGCCGTTGTTTGCGCGCCAGCCAATCGCCAAGCATATTATCAAGTTGCTTTTATCACCCGTTAGTAACCGCATTGCTAGATGAAGGATGCTTCCACTCAGACTTACTGTTGTTATCTCGGCCAGTTTTGCATTCTGCTCCTTGAAAAGGGATCCAGCGACGGGGTGGTCGGAACCAGCGGGTTCAACGTCTGTCTTGTCATAGACCACGACGAGTAGGTCGCGGATGTCGGATCCTGAGTCAAAGAAGGCACGGAGGTTTACATCGTTCCAAGTAGGTGCCGTCGCGGTCGAGGTTGACGTTGTTATGGAATCCTGGTGGCCCAAGTCCCCATCGTCGTGCTCGATCAGCTCTGGCGAAGGCGTGGATCTTGTAGACGAATGGTCCTCCTCCTGACTCGATGTGTCTCCCATCAGTGGCGGTGGATTACTGATCGGCGACACCTCAACAGGCGATTCGGACAGCCGCTCCGCATTCTGCTGGAGTTGCATTGTGTTGACCGGTGCAACTCGTCCCAGTTGCGCTGCCCCCGATGCGGGTTGGGAGACTTGGTAGTTGTCTGTAAAATTGCCTTGAATCGGTTGCTGTTGCAACTGTGGCTGCAGCTGCGTCTGCGGCTGCTGTCGTGTCTGCTGGTACTGGTATTGTTGTTGTTGATATGGCTGCCTCGAGGACTCAAGGGTACCTGGTGCTTGGTGTCCTGGCTCAGGCGTGATGTCCTCATCCGAGTCAAAATCGGCCATATCCACACGCGATTTCGTCTGTATCGCCTTTTGAGGGCGGTCTTCCTCATTAAGCGTCCTTGGCGGGGTATTTCTGGACGTCGCCGGTCTGTCTTCCACCCTGCCCGTGTCTGGTGACCGAACTTGGCTGAGAATCTGCTCTTGAACGCTCACCTCCGGAGATTCCTTGATACCCGGGTTGACTATCCTCATCGAAGCCGGAGGCACATTTGCCACGTTGTTCACTTTCCCTTCGGATAAGATAGCAACAATATCCATACCAGAATCTTTTGGAGAGCTGAGGTTGGGCTTCCTCGTAGGAGACGGTTCAATGCGCGGCTGTTGCTTCTGCAGCTTGCTGGACTGCCTTTGAGGGCCCTTTTCGGGTGATATTTGTGCTTCCTCATCATCCATCTCCCTATCCTGTATGTCGGCATCCATGGACGGCTTGCCGAATGAGTCGTCATCTTCTTCTCCTCTAGCCTTCTTTTCTTTACGGGAGAAGAAGCTCCGAATCGCACTTGGCTTCTTCTCTTTTTCCTTCTTGTCCTTCTTTTTTCTTTCCTCCTTACTTGGACTGTCTTTCTCCAACTTATCCAGACTCACGCGCTGCTTCAACTCCCTAGAGTCGCCTGAAGATCTTAGCGCGTTGTCATCGCGCAGGAGGTTCGGAGTCAGGGTGATTTTCTTGGTCTCGACAGTGTCATCTTTGAAGAACGAGTCTCTAACAGTACCGTCGCTCGTCTTCTTCGGCCCGTCGGCGACTTTAGTCTCAAATATCTCCTCGCTGGTTCGGAGTCCGCCCTTGCCCGCCGTAGTATCAGCCTCGCCGACATCTTGTCTTGTTAGTTCTATCTTGGTCTCCTTTTGCTGTGACCTCGGCTTCAACGGTTCAACTTTGGCCGTTTCATCATCAAGCTCTTGCTCGGCACCAGCTTGCGCCGATTGCTGTACAAGTTGTTGCTGTTGAGCAAAATACTCTGCTTCGACATCCTCTTCTTCAGTCGAGTAGTCATTATCCGAGTAGTCGACATATGTGTTTCCAGCAAATTGGACAGTCTTGGCCTTCCTCCTCTTCATGGCAGACTTTAGAGGGTTTCGTGATTTCTCTGCCTGATCACCAAGCATAGTGGCCGACAGCTGCTGGGAAGTTAGTCTTGGTTAATGGGAGCCCCATTATACACTTAACCTACGTCTATGTTCCGGTGCTTGTTCAGTCGAGCCAGCCTCTCTGTCGGCGTTTCAATGTGTTCCGCTGGCAGATAACCTAAGAGGCACAGGGTCAGAACCAGGTTGGCCACTACACGGAGGCCATGAGATCCCGTGGCGTACCTATGCTGCTGTCTTTGACAATTCTAACTAACCACCAATAGCTGTTGCTGTCGTCCAGCAAGACCATGGTGTCGCCCTTGGTGGCGTTCGCCTGCCCCTCGACGGTCGCAACGAAAGTATGGAGGGCGTAGACAAACTCAAAGTCGATATCCTCTGTGTCTTGTAAGCATTCGCCACCCCAGCCGGAGTCGAGAAATCTTGGTTCATCAACGATAGAAAAGTCGCCATCATCATCTTCATCAGATTCGTAGGCTATAGTCATTCCGCCGTGATCCTGATCTTCGTCGGTTATGTTGTCCTCGGCATGATTCTCGTCGTCTTGCAGGGTCTGCGACGCAGAAAGATCCGTCACCGACTTGCGGTCGTCTGATGCCCGTGGATTTGGTAATGAGAGCATTGTCTGGTTATATTTCGTATTTTCTCCAGTTTTGAAATCAGACGCCCGAGCTTGGGCCACGCTTACAGACAAATTGTCTGGGGAGAGGTCGTCCTCTGTGGGCCCGTCTAGGGTATTCAATGGAGGTTCGTCGGCCGAGTCGTGCGGTTCAAACTCACCGTAGAGATGATGATGACGACAAGGAGATGCAGCAAACAGCACACCCGCCTGCTGGACAGGGTGGTTCAGCGGCAGATGATCAGGCTGATCAAAGTACGGGGAAGAGGACCTCGCTGAGCTGAGCACATGGAAAGCCTCGGGGCTGCCCGAGGCTAACCGGGAAACATAGTCGGACCTGTCCGACCGAACGCGCGGAAGGGTGAAAATAGACCCACCGTCTTCAATTGAGGGCGAACTCGAAATCTTGTCCATCATATCATCGTCCATATCGACGTCGGTCTCGCCATCAAGGTCGCCGTCGTCAGCCTCGTGGCCGGAGATGCCGCCATTCTGGGCGATAGCCAGGGCATCCTGCTGGGAACCGGTCTGCATGGCGTTGTGGGCGCCGTTTGGCTGGCCGTTGGGTCGGCTGATGGGGTGGTCGGCAGTGTAATTTTGCTGCTGCTGCTGCTGCTGGCGATTAGCGTCGTCGCCGTTCCACGAGGGACGAGGGCTGTGTAGCTGATCTTCGGCCGTCTCTGTCGCGATCTTGTGAAGGGTCTCGGCTTGGTGAGGAGCCAGCAACCCGTCGGCGGCGGGCTTGTGATATCCCTGGGTAAGTGGTGCGTCGTGCGCTTGAAGATCAATCGTGTCTGGACAAATAGGGACGGGTTAGAGAAAAAGCGTCTGACATCCAGGGGAACGTCAAGGGAAGGCTGAGCGAGCGGAAATCAAGAAAGCCAAAAATCGCTCGGCCCCAGTCCAGTACCCAGCACCCATCCCCCCGGCGCCCAGCCACAAACGAACCGGGCCACAACCAACCCAGATTCATCAAAGGAGACGCGAGATTGAACTAGGTGCAGCACATACCAGCGCGAATAATCGTTGGCCTTGTCATGATGAATGGAATGGCTCCCGCATGAAACCCCAGCGGAGATCGCAAGTGTTGTTCCCGAAAGAGTTTATCAAGACAGGGGTCGCCTTGCACCCGGTTTTGTCGCAAACACTCGCCGCCGTCACACTTTCAGCCGCCGTTGCTCGAGACCAAAAAAAAAAAAGGAAAACCTAAATAAGGCGGTTGACCCCTTGACGCTTCCAAGTGGGAATGGCCTAGAGGAGTAGGGAGGCTGGCGAGAGGGGGAATCCTCTTTCGATTGCTTGGCGTTATGGCCGTAGCGTCAATTCCACCAGACTCCAGAGAGCTGATATGATGGATACCCGCCGAGTCGCCGACGCTTATTCTCCGTCAGTGTTCCTCCTTGTCCGCAATCCCACAATGAGTGGTGGAGAGGTGGCGTTTGTACGAGTGCCAATTCTTCGTTCAAGCCTGTGGCTAATGGACGGGCGGTGGCGGCCGATCAGAATCCTCTGAATCTCAGGGAAAAGAATAAAAAAGACTGCGGGTGAAACAATGCTAATCGTTTGGCCCCCCGCGTCTCGACAGGGCACTGCGCCAGAATTGTAGAATCTTTTGGCGTCGTTGTTTTAACTATGCGTGGGTCGGTGCCAAAGGAAGCCACCCAAGTATAGGTAGACAATACAATGATAGATGTGAAGATCAAAAGAAATTGAGCGAGATGTGCACACGAGTACGGAAGTAAGAGGCCAAGTTGGCTCTTGGCACCACGCCCAAGGAATACAGGAAGGAGCGAAAGGCCTACGAGGAAGGTGCAGTAATCATCATTGGATCAAATCTTTGACAGCGGCACTGATGCGGACAGATGCAGATGAGCGGCCCTCCGTTGGTACAGAATACGGATACTCAACCCCCCCCCCAAATTGACATGGTCCCGGCGCCTGCAAGTGACTTGGGAAGGGGCTGTCAAGCAAAAAAAAAAAAAAGTGAGCTGGGGCTGTGGATGAAACACTTTTCCTGCAGGGGAGTCTGCCGGGGTGGAGGGCTCCCGTCCAATATGGGCGGGACAATCCATCGTTCGATTGGATCGCTGCCAAAGGTCTCTCATCCGCAAAATCAGGCATAGAGGTACGGAAGTGCCTTTCAAAAGTTTTGCGCAGTGCCAAGAAAGCCACCCTCTTTAATTACATACGACCCTGGCCATCTTGGCCCCCTAGCTCCTTATTCTTTTCCGGCCCTCTCGATACTCGTTACCTCCTTCGCACTTTATTACCTGTTGTATATGCTCAACAATCCTTTCAATCCAGGCTTGAATACGCTGCTGAGTAAGTTTTTCGTTCCAGCAATGTTCCCATGCTCGAATAGCCTCAGCCCTGCTTTTTGGGGCTCCCTTTTTGGTTGTTTCTCTCTTCATCCAGAACCAACAAGGCTCTATCATATTAAGATCAGGTGAGTTACCTGGCCAGAGGAGGCGGAGTACCTGATGAATATCGTATATACGCTGTTGAGCGCGATGAGCGTGTGCGCCAGCCTTATCCTCCTGAACAAGCGTATTCGGCCCACAGCTTTTGGCGAAAGGGATAAGCTTTGGTATAAGGATCTTGGTTTGATAGCGATACCAGTCGATGCCTCCCTTGGATTCTCGTACGAGTTTGCCGTTCGCTTTGTTCCATCGCCATTGTGGTTTTCTGCCTCGTTTCGTAACCAAAGAGAGCCTTCCCATTTTGGTATCCAACTCCCACTCTTCACGCATTATTGGTTCCAACTCCTTATTCCATTCCTCAAGATCCTTCTCAGCTTGCTCCTTTTCAGCCTTTGTTTCCGGAAGCCAACAATGGCAAGGCCCCTTTTGATCGTACGAAAAGCAACCCCAAAACATAAACTCCGAATATCCTTTCCACCGTTCACGAATACAGCTTTTAAGAAAACGCTCATCAGCTTTCCTCCAAATACGATATCCTCCTCGGCGATGAAGTAATACAATAGAAGTTTCATCAGACCAAATAACACGTTTCCAATCTTCTAAAGTCCAATCTTTATGATCAAGACACCACTTCAGTCGTTCCTCCTTCATCTTCTTCGTCAATCCAGGCTTCCTCGTTGGCTTCGTTTTGTTGAATCCTGCTAATTTGAGGATCCTCCAGATTGTGATAGCTGAGATGTCGAGGCCCTCGGTACTGAGCTCACCGGCCAGATCAGCACAGGATTTCTCACGGCCATATCGATCTTTGCGAACCTTGGCGATAACCTTCTCGGTATTTTCGGGGGTGTGTTTTCGTGGACGGCCAGAGCAGGGGCATCTTCAACCCATTCATCCTTAATAATTAAGGGCCGTATATTTGGATCAAATCCACGCTCAATAGCCCTGGCATATATTCGATTGACGGTACTAACGGAAACCCCGGTTTGTGCAAAGACATCGGCCGAAGAAAGGCCCACAATAGGAGATTTGAGGGTAACTATAAGCGCACGCATGGAAATATCTGTATTTGGCGACATCTTGATCGTTGTGTTGACTGTTGAGCTGTGGAAGCGGGGTTGAGGGGTAAGATTACGTGGCCAAACCAGATGTGGTGTGGTCGCTGATCATTCAGCTAAAGGGGTGTGGCTGGCTTGGCATTGCGCAAAACTTTTGAAAGGCACCTCCGTACTTTCAGGCTGAGAGCGAGCTTCCCGCTAGAAAGACCCGATGAACGCCAGTGGAGGGGAATAAAGGGCTCGGGGGATGGCCAGGGTGCTGCGCTGGGCCTGACCAGCCAGGCAGTCAACCCAAGCATCCACTTCCCCGCCTCAACTCCCGCATTCAATCGAGTGATCCCAGCTCTCTGCACCATTGCCCGCATTATTATTCGTGAGAGATTACCAAACGAAGAACCTCAAATCCATTGAAGGGCGCCTTCTACTACGAGCGGAGTGGAAGACGAACGGATATGGCAGCATGACTACCAGCTGCTGGGAGAGCAGCAATTTGCGTGGTGTCGACGTCGGTTGTCGATGGATTGACGACTAATATAGGCCCATTGGGCTTCTTTGGGTCGCAAGGCGAGGTGGAAGGGCATGTGATGTGTCGATTAGGAGCACCCGCAACCTTTATAGCCAATGCCAACATGATCTAATGAGGTATTGGGTATCCGTAACGTGTTCAGTGCCCCAGCTAAGGTTACCCCACTCCTCAAGTCGTCGATGGCGCCCCAGGATCGCCGCAATGCTTTTACCGCGATACACCGAGACTAAATCAATGGCTTTACAGTAAAATGCCCCCATCGCTTTGGGCATCGTTATCTGCCGAGTCTCAACCTAATTTTGAACCGAAAGGCCCTGTTCAAGCGCCGTGAGCAAACTCACTACCGGGTAGGATGGAGCAAGTCACAGATGAAGCAGCAATCATCACATCCATAACAGGTTAGGAAGACAGCTGTCATCCAACCAGGGCGCTGCTAAGAGCCATTGGCGCCACATTTCGCTCTCAAGGCTCAAGGTGATAGATATTTCGGAGCATTGACTGTAGATAAGTCGAAATTCTCGTCACATTTTAAGCATCAGAGCTGGGAACCCTACGTGCTCAGACAGGGACCTATTCTAGTGGACTGCAGGAGCCGCGGCAGGCAGATGCACTGCCGGCCGGCAGGCGACCCCTTTCCGCCGCTTCGAGAATTGAGAAGTGTAATAGGACTATTACTACACATCTAAGAACAGGTAGGTAAGGTTCTTCGGCTTTGGACAGCAACGTACAACAACTCGCGTTTGTGACTTCGCCCAAGGGCCTTATCACATTGCTAGATTCTGTTGAGTTTTTATTTTATCACCCGTGGGAGCTACCGGGTACCTTGGGTATCCATATCTTCCTACCGTAGGTAAAGCACCTAAGTAAACGCCAAAGACATTCTGGAAGGTGATGTGTTACCGAAAAAGCCCGATGTAGAAACGAAGGCTATACCGCTATCCACCGGCTTCCACTGGGTCAGTCATTTCATTGCTGTACGGATAACAGGACATACCAACGCATCTACAATCACCACAGTATGATGTACCAAACCGTGTACGCCGTTATCAACTTGCCAACAGAGACAAAAATACCAAACGTCTCTGACTGTAACATAAGCGGGCAACTTGTCAAAAAGCCTTCCGATCTCCAGTGTCAAGTCTGTGCCATGATGATGGCCGTGTATCCAGGTAACAGTGAATGAATGTCCAGGAAAGCTCTGGCCCGTCATCAGCAAGTATACATGGCTATGATAGAGCCTCTTATGAGAAATATAAAAAAACCGTCTTCTTGGTTCAACATAGACCTGATATTTCACGGGCTGCTACAGATGATTTATACTCCGTATTCGGGGCCCTTTCCGTGCTGCTCCATAAACTCAATTTTCAAGCCCCGTCTGACGGAAGGTTAGCCGCAAGCAAGGGGTGGTTCCCGAATTTAGTGCTGCTGACTGTGGTGACCTACCTTACTAGGTACCCAAGGTAATCAGAGAAACGAGACTAAAAAGACAAAAAATGAGATCCCACAGTCAATAATGCAGCCCGCAGCCTACGGACTTGTTTGCCATTGGATTTTGATCCCAACTATTGAGCCCGTGCCCCAAGACGCGGTTGGTTATTTTTCTTCCGCTCTGGGCTATTGCTGTTGTCATCCTCGCTAAGCCAGGGGCCGAGAGCATGGTCAGCGCCGTGAGCTCACGAAATGCCAACAACCAGGAGTCTCTTGAGAGGAATTAAATCCATTTCTGGCATTTGCGTAAGCGGAGCGTGGCGCTAATGCTGGCGACAATGCCAGCCCCCTGCAGTTTCTAGCAAATGTCAGCTTTGAACACATCATGTTCTGAACATATTCCGCACAGCACCCAGGGCTTACCGAGGTATGTGGGTGCCATGGGCGGCGTCTCCATGCTTGACTTGAGGCGGCAGTGAGATAATGGTTACCAGCCCAATTTGGCCCGGGCCGCACGGAGAATACAGCCCACTCCCGATTTTTTGTTAGCAGGTCACTTTCCAAGATGTGCAGCCAGGCGGCTTGCTCCGAAGCATTTCCCACGAGGGAGGCGGTAGCTCTTTTGGATCCCCCGATAGAAGCTTAAGATCTTATATATCTTCAAAGACATCCTGATAATGACAGACTTTTGTAGGCTGGTTGTATTTTCCAAACATACAGCTTCCCAAGTACCGCACCAACAATTATTCAGGGTTTAGACCTTAGAGTAGCTGAGTAGCCATAGGCGAGGCACAGGTTGAGGAAATGTCTTAGCCATTCGACCGCGGAAGGCTGCCAGCGCCGCACTGCAAAGGTTTTAATACATTGCCGGTGCATGAGAAGATCGGTTCAATAAGCTGAAGCCTGAACAGACAGAGTAAGGTAAGCCAAAATGCGGCAGCTATGTCCCCGTACGGAGGGCGTTCACGCATAAACACTAGGCAATTCCAGCTGAGCGGTTTGACTTTGAGCGTCGTGCCCCTCATAAGAGATCGCCAACTGTCGCCGGTCGCCAAGAAGCTACTCTTGACATAAGCCTTCGCCAAGCACAGATGCTAATCCCACGGGTCGCTTGGCAGAGATCTCCCTTTTTTTCTTCAGACATTGCTGATATGGCGGGACTGACGTTGCCATTGGGGATGAGAAAATTTCAAACATAACGAGCAAAAAAAAGAGGCACCGGAGGAAGAAACCGTTGCTGAGCCTCTGGATTTGCTAGCGGATTCTCCTCCTCGTGCCTCTCTTGGCTTGGTTTCTCTGTGCTCTGGCGCTGGACGACAAGCGGTCTCAGCAGCAAGAGCACCTATACGAATGTCTAGGAAAATCAGAGAGCAGAAGGGTTAGTCCTAGTCTCGCTGTGCCAGTTCCAAAGGCCGCCATAGCATGCTGGGCCATCACTGGACGATACGCGTTGCCCTCATTGCTTGCCAGCGATCAGTCTCCCAACATAGGCAGGTATGTACTCCGCAGACCTCGGAGAAGGTAGGTCACAAGGTCACAACGCCCACGTACGGAAGCCGAGTGGTTGCGCCGGGCCTGTTCGAGAAAGGCGGTGGGTAAGACAGGAAATGTTGATACGTAATGATTTAGTCTTCCGTCTTCCGTCTTCCGTCTTCCGTCGCGTTTCTGGCTTCGGCACATTCCATCATTCAAATCGATCTCCAGCCCAAACGTGCTGCGCCTCAGTGGGCCAAGTTTAAAAGATCGGGAAGTGAGCATGTATCTTTGTGCCTACGTACAGTGCGAGATCTCTCTCCAGGGTCACCACAAGCGTGCGTCCCTTCCCCGCGTGTGCTGTTTTGCCGTGCAATGGCAGGCGTGAATTAAAATAGCAGGCCACCTCCCTCATTTAGAATCTCCCGCATTATGGAGATGGTGGTCTCTTGGCCTTCTCTTTACTATAGTACGGGTGCCGGCATTCAGATAAAGAAACCCGTGCCTGCTCTCTCAGCAGTGTGTTATTACAACATGGTCTTCCGCCCGTACTTTGGTCTGTACTGTTCACGCTCGTAGCCTGGCAGAGTCCGGAGTCTGTTTGAGCGGCCTTTTTAGGGGGCCAAGGCAGGCGCGATATCATAGGTAGGAACTGTACCTTAGTGCTCACGCACCCGGTGCAATGGTACAACAGTCCAACCGCATTGTAGGATCAAATATTTAACATGGAAGGAGCAGCCAATACGGGACACAGTGCTTTGGAGACGTGTCATGCACAGCTCTCCGCTTTACCAAGTCACTCCAATTCCTAGACCCTGTCGGATTCCATTCATGCCCCGGCTATTGATCACTTCGAGTGTCAAAGTTCAAACACTTTCGAGACGAGCCGCCTGGCGATACAAAAAAAAGCAATACACCAGACTAGACATCCAGCTAATAGCTCTAACCAAAGCACACCTGAGCGCCTCCGTTTTTTGGGCCCAGAACGTTGGAATATTCGGTCGCCTCTAGCCTTTGTCTTTGCTCGCTCAGGTACTTCGGACAGAGATTGTACTGTGTACTCCGTGTACTCCCAGACAAGAGCGATTTCTCGACCACTATCTCTGGGCGCCCAGCATCCATTCAAGCATCATCCCCCACTCTAAACATCGCCAATTCGCGACAACGCCCACCGATTTGCGCATCGCGTGCAATTACCCCGGCTCTCTCGCGAAATCGACGAATACTCGAAGAAACTTGTTTTAGGCGATTGACAAGACGCAGCGGAACGAAAGACCTGCGCCCGCGATCGAGCGCTGCTCTTGGGACGCCGCACAGCACCCACCACGGCCCGCGACGGATGCGACGGCGTCAAATTCCATGGCGATTGAGCGATAGCACTCGAGAGGCCGACGGATTGCCGACGCTCATTCCAGAGCGGCTGGCTGCAGTCAATGCCAGCGAACATGGAGCCACGGCAGCTGTTCCGTGATTCCCCGGCTGCGACAGCAACCTCCGCCATCATCGCTGGTCGCGCTGGTTGCTCTTCTATAAACCTACCTCTAGGGGGGGTTCTTACACTATTCAATGGCGATACCATTACTCTCACCAGTGATGCTGTTTTCATGCCGGCCTGCAGGCTGGCTTCCGGGTCTCCAGCAATTTTCGGGAGTGGCGGTGGAACGTTGACCTTGGCCGATACTGGGACCGCTTCCGACCTTGCGTCCCCTCCGGGTGACGTTCAGTCTGATTTTTCGGACTTCCAAGAGCCGTTCTATGCTTCGACATTCCCGGTATGCTACGCCCTCGCGGCGACCACTGTGGTGGCATATACGTTGGTCATTATGCTCTTCATTACCCCGAGATCATTTTTTGATGGCGGAGTCGTGGTGCTTGGCCGCAAGAGCTTCACGAGCGGCGGCACTGGAACGAGCATTGGCGGTCGTCCCTGGCTACAAAAAGTCGCGGCGCTGACTGTCGCCATCTCCTTGACCATCGCATCTGCCGCCACGTTCCGCGTTGCCGAGACACAGTATTCCAATGGCTACCAGCGAGCGGAAACTTTGCAACAAGAAGTTTTGGGTGGCACTGAGCTCAAGGTCATTCGCATCATCTCAAACACTTTTCTGTGGCTTGCCCAAGCGCAGACTTTGATCCGACTATTTCCCCGCCAAAGAGAAAAGGTTATCATTATGTGGACCGCCTTTGCTCTTATTACGTTGGATGTTATCTTCCAGTCGCTCGACAGTTTCCAGTACACACAGGGATCTAACAGGTTGAGCTCCTTTACGGATGCGGTTCCCGCGCTGAGCTACCTATTTGCGTTGGCTTTAGGGGTTCTTTACGCCGCCTGGGTCATTTATTACGCCTTGATGAAGAAGCGATATGCGTTCTACCACCCGCAGATGAAGAACATGTGCCTGGTGGCCATGTTGTCGCTTCTTGCTATTTTCGTGCCCATCGTCTTCTTCATATTGGATATATCCCAGCCCAGTTTCACCGGGTGGGGCGAATATGTCAGATGGGTGGGAGCAGCGGCCGCCAGTGTGATTGTGTGGGAATGGGTGGAAAGAATCGAAGCGCTAGAGCGAGAAGAGAAGAAAGATGGGATTCTGGGCAGAGAAGTATTTGACGGCGATGAGATGCTCGAGATGCCGCCACCAGACATGAACCAGCCGAGGAGAATGAATAGGGGCTCGGGCGACGACCCAAAGAGCAATAGCCGCGGCCGGCACGACGGCCCAGGCAGCGGGCTGGGAAATATCTGGCCTGCTGTTACTTCGATCACGTCGAGATATGCTGGTCGGTCTCGATTAAAAGCCGGGGCGACCAATAACCCAGAAGAAACGACAACTGCCCAGCCCTCCAACCACGACAGGATACGATTCTTACAGCCGCCGCTGTGGCCAGCTCGTCCTGCACCAGCCGTCACACCTATCAGTCGGACAGACACTGCCAGTGCTGAAAGCACTGTATACGCCATCCGGTATCATCCGCTGACGGAAACTACATCACGCACCACCTCGCCCCCACCACAAGATAATTTACCCAGATCTCGGGGTGGTAGTATCGCCTCTAGCCATAATAGTGATGGTGAAAGCACGAGCCCTGGGCCAGAATTATCGGTGAAAATGACCCAGTCTGCCCGAACTCCTCAACAAGCAGCTCCTGCAGGAAGGCGGTGGCCTTCACTCGCATGGAGTATTTCTAAACCACGCACCCGACGCGGCGACGAGGAGTGCGCCGCCCCCGACCAGAATCCGCCGAAGGAGGACGACAATAGCTGGGACTTTCGAAGCCGTCTTGAAGAGTTTGCGGTAACTCAGGCCGAGAAACTGCGCGAAAGGTTTCGGCCAACGCCAGACACGCACAGTCTGCCTGTCATGGTAATCCCGGCACCACCACGGAGAGGAGCAGCACTGGCTCAGTTACTGGAAGAGAGGGAGCCGGAACTTCAACCCCATGGCGTTCCAAGGACTGCTCCGCCAGGAGATAATGAGCTTCATCTGCACCGAAGGAATAGTGGTGTGCCCCCGTCATCAAACCTGCACATCGCGCCACTTGTAACACAAGGCTCGCTTTCCGGTCAGCATCGAGTCGTTACCATTGTGCCGGCACCACCTCGACGGGACGCCGAATCGGAAACTGTTGCGAGCAGACCCTTGGATGACACTGAATTGTAAGCCGAGCGCGCTCGACTGTCAGCGGGCGGGCTGGTTACCCTTGGGGATTTTTGAAATTTATTTGGAATAAGCGATTGGCGAGCGGCTGTGATTTGATTTGTATGCATTGGTCTGTGCATTTTTGAGGGTCGGGTCTTCCGTCCCTCGAGACAGGATATGGGAAACGAGATGCGCTTTGTAATGCAGTGTTGGGTATCCGTATACCACTGTTTACTGGAAGCCAAAACAACAAAACCAAGGAGGTTGGTGTATATATTTACTGCCTTGGGTATAATGAGGAATAGGAATTGGCGCAAGGAGTAAGACTATATCATGGATGTTTGGTCACGGGAGTAGGCATGGGGCAACTTGGGAGGAGGGTCATGGGGGTTTTGGGAAAGCGAGTCGGATACGGCTTTGGATATCATACCATGTTGTTGGCCTTTATGGTCCCAGACGGGAGGCTCCAAAATTTTATACAAAAATTTACGAGGATAGCTGTTATATTTCAAGGTTCATGGTCGTGCTCGAAGACGGAACTACTATCTGTTCTACAAATCATATGAAAGAAACAGGAAACCCCGTCCTCAACGAAGTGGAATACCTTAGTATAGAGGAAAAGGAGAAAGGAGACGTCGGCGAGTGCATATTTGGTCAAGGTATCGTGGTCCACGGCCGGTGGGGCGCTTCCGCCTTTCGGTCGTGGACGTGGACCCGACTGGCGGTTAGGTCCACCAAGACGCCCGTCCGTCTCGAACTCGATCTGGGCTGGGCGGTGTCCGCCGGTCTCATTACGAGGAAAACTGAGCATCACCCTTGTCAACTAAAGTTTACTTTCAAGTGCAATGGGCCAGTATCCTTGTGTGCACGCATGGAGTTTAGGAGTACGGGGTGCTGGTATTTCCATTGGATATTTCAGGGAGCGAAATTTTAGGTCCCATCTCCAGCATTCAGGGGTCCAACGTCCAACCGCAGGGGGTCGCCAGGGGGGGCGGGAGGAAATTGGATTGCGCGCGCGCGCCCCGCGGAATCCATCCACCTTTTCCGACTTTTTTATTTTCGAAAGCTGCAAGAAGCCGCTGCTTTCCCCTCTAAATTCTTACTTCAACTACAACGCCAAGGCAGACCATCTCACTCCTTTTCTTATTACTTTTTTTCTTCTCCTCTCATCTGCCTGGGAACAAGGCTGACGAAGAGGCCGCATGATCCGAAGGGATTTGCCTCAACTATATCTGCCTACCTGTACTATACGTACTTGAAATCCTCGCCAACGACACCTTTCGACAGCGGTTTCCTTGCGCCATCCTCTCGACAATCCGGTCGGCAGTTGAAAGGAAAAGAAAAAACCACACACGAGGATTAATGGCTTCGGAATCAGAGCCGTTCCCGGCGCTCGCCACGGGCGCTTCAGATCGCCAATTGCCGTCCGATGATGCGGGCGCGGCCCGTCGGCGCAGGAAGTCTAGCGCACTGGGAGAGATGCGATTTGGCGACACGGGTGGGCCGGCCTTGTCCACCAGCACCGGCCTTGCGCATCTCCATGGTACCAAGGTATGAATGACTCGAGCGCACTGTCCCTCTTGCCGTCCATTATTCTATTGCTGACGACGTTGCCGGGTAGGAGTCCAAGGACGCCGGCGCACCGCCGAGCAAGCGCTTCACCAAGCGGCGCAAGGCCCGGTCCGCCCTCCGCCGCATCAAGAACTTCGCCTTCAAGCATACTTGGCTGCTCCCGTTGGTGATAATGGTGGTTGTCCTGTCGCTCTACGCCCTCAACCCGACCGAGAGCAACCCGCTCCACCGCTTTATCTTCCTGTCGTACGAGATTCCTAGCTCGAGCTCCAACGGCGGCCTCACCCAGTACGGCAAAGGACGCTGGGATTTCGCCTTTGTCGCCTTCTACACGGTTGTGCTGTCGTTCACGCGTGAGCTCGTCATGCAGGAGATGTTGCGGCCTCTCGCGCGTTACTACGGCTTGCGGTCGCGCGGGAAGCAGGCTCGCTTCATGGAGCAGATGTACACGGCCGTCTACTTTGGCGTCCTCGGTCCCGCCGGGATGTACGTCATGAGCCGCACGCCCGTCTGGTACTTCAACACGTACGGCATGTACGAGAATTTCCCCCACAAGACGCACGAGGCCGTCTTCAAGACCTACTACCTCATCCAGGCCGCCTACTGGGCCCAGCAGGCCATTGTGCTGCTTCTCGGCGTCGAGAAGCCCCGCAAGGACTTCAAGGAGTTTGTCGGCCACCATGTCGTCACCCTCTCCCTCATCTACCTGAGCTACCGCTTCCACTTCACCTATATTGGTCTGGCTGTCTACATCACCCACGACATTAGCGACTTCTTTTTGGCCTCGTCCAAGTCGCTCAACTACGTTGACTCGTCCATAATGGCCCCCTTCTACGCTTTCTTCGTGTTCGTGTGGATCTACATGCGCCACTACCTCAACCTGCGCATCATCTTCAGCCTCTTCACTGAGTTCAAGACGGTCGGCCCCTACGAGATCAACTGGGAGACGCAGCAGTACAAGTCGCCCCTCGCCTTCTGGGTCACGCTCGGCCTGCTAGGCTCGCTGCAGGCCCTCAACTTGTTCTGGCTGTTCTTCATCGTGCGCATCGGCTACCGCTTTGCCGTGACAAACGTTGCCAAGGACGACAGGAGCGACGCCGAGGATTCCGAGGTCGAGGACGAGCCCGTTGACACCAAGACCAAGACCTACGCCACAGCCGCAGCCCTCGACGGTAAGGCCGCCGCTCAGCTCGAGGATGAGCACAACAGCGCCCTCGAGCGCAAGCACCAAGCCGCCAACGGCCATGCCGGTGCTGCTGCTGTAAATGGCAAGGCCAAGGTCTCTGCCTCGGCCAAGTCGGTCAGCAAGAAGGCCAGCCGGTAAAAGGGTGGGGCGCCTTGCTAGATTTTTTATTATTTTTATTTTATTAGCGCCGCCGTGTCCCTGTCCGGCTTGGCTTAGACTGGTTGCCCGGGCTTCTTTCTTGCATATTGTTTGCCAAACTCTATTCTGCCTTCCTTCCCCTATTTGGCTCCCTGGGGTTTATTGTTACTATAATTATAAACTCGGCTTCCGCTTCTTTTTTTCATATTGTGTTGCCTTTCTTACTCGTATGTAATGTCGCATGGGACCGGCCAGCCAGCCAACTGGCAAATCAGTCAGTCAGTCAGTCAAGGGGATGGGGGTTGCATAACGCGCGAGCAAAGAATGGAGGATGGGGGTACGTACTAGCATAGCGTGGCCGTATAGCGAGGACGCAATCGAACAACCCAGCAAACAAACAAACAGCATGGCGCCGGAGTGGATTGGATTTTATTTTCTTCTTTTCCCACAAACACAAAATTTCAAATAACGTTGGTTCTAGAGCAGCATCGGCGGCCGCCGGCAGGCTGGGGAGGAGGAGGAACTGAGACAATGCGGGGAGCAAAAGGGGATAAGTACTTTGGGCACTTACCAGGTGCCCGGCTAGGATGCTGAACGGAATGAATGGGTTGGGGGTATGTGTAGGTAGGGAGGCTAGGCTGTCTCGGACCTACGTATGGTAGCATGCCTTACTTAGCTAGCCGGCGGTGTTCTCTGATAACAACCTCGTGATCAAAGAAATGAGATAGCACTTGTGTTCTCTGCAGTATTCTGTAAGTTGTGTACAGTGGCGATGTGTGGTTCTTAACTACTCAAGTTGATATGAACAAATGGACTTGAAATAGGTTATGGAAAAATTTCATAGCCCTGATAACTCTGTAACCAACCATAATACTAGACGCTCCACCGAAGAAAGACAGCAGTAGACACGGTGAACAGCTCTGTCGTTGACGAGACACTTACGCCACAGAATTTAATTTTCATTACTCTAACAACTCTATGTAGTTACACAGTTGAGAAAGAAGCCCAGGGGGGAATATATAGCAGACGTAGTTCCCTCTGCCCGCTACTAGCCTGCGGCCGTTGCCGTCTGCTGGCGCTTCGCCGCCGGCTTCGGGGGCTCCTCCTCTGCCATTCGCTTCTTCTTAATGGGTTTGGATGGCTTGACTTCGCTGGGCTCGAACACATCGTCGGGCAGGTCTACATTCTTGACATGCTGAATTGTCAGAAAGTTCAGATTCTTGTCAAATGCCTCGTTGGATGTGCACATGGCCTTGAAGTCATTGACCTCCCTCGACAGATCTAGAGATTTCGCCCCTTCCGCTAGCTGTAAGCCGATGTAATGGTTAGTGGTAAAAATCTTTACTTCGGGGGCATGCTTAGGCAGGTCCTCAAGTTTCACCGGGGCCTCATCTTGCTCCCTCTTCACTCCAACGCCATTTTCCATCTTTTCCACGCCCTCCATCTTGACAGGCGGCGAGGTGCCGTCCTCGGTCTTGATTTCGGGTTTAGTTTCGGGTTTAACTTCGGCCTTGGTGTCCTCGGTCCCTGCCTCGTCGGTCGGCTTGGCTAAATATTTGAGACTGCCGATTTGCACCTCTTCGATTTCGCTGTCGTTCTTGCACATATGCACTCTGTCGTAACCTTTGTTGAATGGCCGGGCAAGGCCGATGGATGGGTGCATCTCGAGCTTCTGTACAAGCATTCGCACTCTCGACTCAACATATCCTGACCAAGCATTCTGAGCCTCCTTGGTCCTGCTCGACGAGATGACCGTCAGGTAATACCTAAACCCTGTCGTAAAGAAAGAATGCTTCGAGAAGAGATCCTTCCAGGGTCTTCTCCCAACCATTATCTCCTCTGTGACTTGAACCCCCCGGGACAACTCTTGCTGGATCACAGCCATGGACGACTTGCCAATATTGTGGGTTGCACACATGGACGGGTAGGCAGGCGTGATGATCGGCATCCTGTGGTTTCTGTCCCACTGATAGAGCTGTATCGGTGGTAAGACATCAGCGTAGTGAAAACGGTAAGGATGCTTACCTTTGGATTCCACACCGCCATACGGGTGACTGAGAGGCCGTACTCAATGTCCTTCAAGAGAACAGGAAGCGGCCACGGCCACTTGAACATGATGTTGAAGAACTTGTTCACGATTAACGCACTGGTGGCCTTTGGGTATAGCTGGCAGACCCTGGCCACGAGCATGGCCCACGCGACTCCTCCCGGGTATCCCATGATGTTGGCGTAGATGGCTTTCCGCTGCGCCCAAAGCTTTATGGCTCGGAGAGCCAACTTGAACGTGGCTGGTTCAGGAACTAGGTTAAGAATTTCGTCCGTGACCCTGGTGCCGTTGAGCGACCGCACTTCGTTCTCGCTTAGGCCGCGCAGGAGACTGTTGTCCTGCAAAGTCCAATCCTTCTCGGTTGGCAGCTGTTTGAGCGTCTGGATGGAGCAAAATATGAGGTCGATGCTGATACCAGAGTACTCAAACTTGATAATTGGCACAAATGCCTCGGGTACTGGGGTCAAGTCGGTAATGGCGCCTGGAGGAGCCATCTCGACAAGCAGACCCGGAAATATGGCGAAATACTGATCGACCGTGACGTATTTCGGAGCAACAACAAGGGTGTCGATATCGGTCCCAGGCCCGTACACTCCCAGACGATAGCTACCATATGTGAAGACCCTGCCATGAGCATCGCGGATGAGGATTGAATTTTTCGGCTCCTTTTCGCGCGCTGCCCTTCTGACAAACTCGTTAGTGATCTCCTCGAGGGACCTGAGGATACGCTGTCTCTTCTCGACGCCGGCCGGCGTCTCAAACGTGCCCTGCGACTTTAGTTCCCTAAATAGCGCCTCATTCGATCGTTTTTCAGCCTCGGTCGGGAGTGCTGTCGAGATGGGTGGCGTGACGCCAAAAACTCGTTCGGACATGGTCGAAGAGGCAACTTCGCCGAGAGACGATGGCCAACCCAAGTCAGAGGGGCTCGCGGCGGTTGTTGATTCGGAGAAAAAAATGCCGTTCAGAAATACCCGGGGGTGTCGAATGTGAAAGAGAGAAGAAAGGAATGGTAGGCCGTCGAGGAGCACGCACGGCAAACAAAAATCGGGGAAAGAATGACAGAAACGGCGGCGATGACGGTGTTTGGGGGGGAGAGGGGGGGGGGGGGGTTAGGAGAGGTAGTAAGTCGGGAAAATTTCAAGTCATAATACGGCGACGCGTTGGCATTGCCTATGATCGAGATGCTGCTGGAAATGCCGAAATGACGGGGGACTAAAGGTCATCGTCGCCAAATAGAGGGCGAGAACTCGAAGGAAGGAACAAGAAGACAAGTTCGCGCACCGCAAACCTGGAGGCTTAACCGCGTGCGTCCGCACGAGCCACTTCGTTAAGCGGCTGAGGTGGGGCGAGCCCAGGGGCTGCACGGTATGGTCCCGCGCTTTTAAGCTCAGCACCACGCGTTATGGGGGCAATGTACGAGTATTTAAAATCCAGTCTCTGTCTCTGAATGACAGTCATTAGCGTTGGGCTTTCTAAATGGAAGCCGTAAAGACCTTAGGTAACTGATGTGCCTAGCAGCTCGCCCTTGTTATTTCTCTGCGGGGAGCGGTAGATACACCTAAGAATCCATCAAACCCTCGATACAGAATTCCCAAAGCCATGTCCGTATCTCAATCCTTCAAATGCCCCCACAAGGCATTTCTAGGCGAGATGCCCCAGCTTACGAAATGCTATGGCAGCTTAGCAGTTACGTCTTAAAGTGCCCGCTGTGTTCTTCAGTGTTGTATTTACGAGAGTATAGTGCAGAGACTAATTGCAGTTCTACTCAATCTTAGCTGCTCTACCTCACTTGTTCTGTAGTTTAGTTCGTCTGAAGGGGAAGTTGCAGCAACGAAGAAGTCTTCAGGTTGGCAAAAGGGAATCACGATTTCCATGTTGAACACCAAATGCAAATAACATTCCTAGGTACCTAGATGACGGGTTTTATTCAAGATAAATAATACCACCTGTAAAACAGCGCGGTAATAAGCCGAAGGACTGTATCTACTTGAAGTTAAACCAAGGCACTCTCAGGCTTGACTTCGCTCGGAGATACGCCGACTCTCTAGCCGAAGTGTTCCAACTCCACAGCGGCATGGAACCCGTCAGATCCACCCCAGGCTCCCAGCCGTGCCCCGCCCCCACTAATAGACATACCTAACAGCTGGAGCGGGTGAGTTTCCCCATCCTCGCAACCTGTCCCCGAGTTCGATGTAGGTCTACAATGAAAAAGACACTTCTGCTCTGCTTTATTCACGGCTTCAAGGTGTGCCCCTCTACTCGCGCGCCAGTCAGCCGCTGCGCCGGTCACAGGCGTTCCAAGTCGCTAACTACGTTGTTCCCAGGGGAATGAGTCGACCTTTGGAGACAATTATGCCTTCACCGAGCATCTGCGGCGGCTCGTGGCCGCCGCCCTCCCCAAAATCGAAGTAAAGGCGATTGTGTACCCCAAGTACGAAACAAGGGGCGACCTGGGCGAGTGCGTCGGGAGGTTTAATGACTGGTATGTTGATATGGAAGTCGTGTTGTTGAATGTAGGCTGGCAAAAGCAACGGGCTTGCTTACACTAAGCTGAATCCTAGGCTTCTCAACAAGGTCATCGACCTCGAAGTCGCCGCCGGCGCCGCCTCTCCGACCATTGACCCGTCGGTCCATGTCATCTTGATTGGGCACTCGATGGGTGGGATCGTAGCCGCCGAGACCGCCATTACACTCGCTTCCGAACAGCCCATTCATGGAAGCACCAACCCAGCAACCGACGACAATCCGAAGCCCAACGCCGCCGGCGCCACCCCAACACCTCCCCCGCAACCGCCATCGCCGAACTCGCTAATGTTCCCCTATATCCAGGGCGTTCTCGCCTTCGATACCCCGTTTCTAGGTATCTCGCCCGGCGTTGTTGCGCATGGCGCCGAGAGTAAGATTACCACAGCCTCGACAGCTATATCACAGCTGAGCGGGCTGACGGGGCTGTGGGGAGGAGCGAGAGCAGCGGGGGCCGAGTCGTCAGCAATGCGCAACCCGCCGGCCCCTGCCCTGCCGGCTCCGGACAGAAACGACAGAGACAAGCCTGCTGCCGCCAACAAGGGCGGCTGGGGCAAATGGGGCAATATTGCCATGGTTGCAGGGGTCGTCGGGGCCGTAGCAGCCACCGGGGCGGCCGCATATATCAACCGCGACCAGATCAGCCAGGGTTGGAGCTGGGCGACATCGCATATGGAGTTTGTAGGATGCCTGGCTCGGAAGGAGGAGCTACGACGGCGAACCGCATACATGGTGCGGCTTAACAAAGAACTCGGAGTCGGATTCGGGAATTTTTATACGCGCCTAGGGAAGGCAGCGAGTTCCAAAACGAGCAGTATTGGGACAATAGTGAGTGGCCAGCGAACATTCTGTGTTGTACCGCAGCGGGATCAGGCTGGTGATTGGCGGGAAGCAATCAATGACAAGGCCACTGATGAAATCGAAGCTCACATGGGTAAGTCCTTGGCTCTCATGTCGAATAGTTCGGATAGCGCGCACGCTGACAGGAAGTCGACAGCTATGTTCGAACCCAAGGAGAACCCGGGTTATGAAAGGCTAGCGATGAACGCAAGGGACATAATTGCCAGCTGGTTGCAGAATGATTGGTACGAAAGCAGTTTTGGCGATACGGTCCGCGCTTAATGACGGCTGCGGCGAGCGGGCGTCTTTGTTGATTTCGGGATGAAAGATAGCAAACCCTTTTTTTTTCTTATTAATCATCCTCGAGGAGGAGATTCGACGAACACCTATGTAAAACCATATAGCCTGTGCATTCTATAAGAATTCTCACCAATAAATTGCCGCCCATGCGCAATCACGACAAAGGTCGCTTTGTTCAGCCCAGGAGATATCGTGAAGATGCTCCTTCTTTCTCTCACGACCGCATCACGATCTGCAGAAGGAGGAACTATTGCCGCTTCTTCAGGGCCGCACTTGCGCCACCCCCTACGTTCTTCCGGCGCTGCTTCAGCATGTGAGTGTAAAGAACAAAAGATGCTAGAAATTGAAGCCGTAGTAGTTAGCCAGTGCGACTCGATGTTGGGCAGCAGATGCTCCATCATTCTCCTCTCAACCCTCAACCATGGACCAGCCAGGGCGTAGTCTAGGCTTGATCACACTTACATGGGATGTACGCCAACAGGACGGCGACCAGCGCCAGGGGATACCACTCGGACAGGCTCGCAGCGGGGCCCGCGACGGCCTTGAGCATCATGGCTACCTCACTGCTGATGCCGACGGGGTAGAGCACGAGGAAGCCGCTGTAGCGCATCCAGTTAAGCCATGACGGCACCGCGTCGACCTGTTTGAAGACAAAGTACGAGTACCGCACCACCTCGGTCGTGCTCCACGCCAGCAGCATCGACGAGTACCACGGGCTCGTGCTCAGCTCGGGGAACGGCAGCGCGATGCCCCACACCAGGATCAGCCGGCTGGCCACCTGCAGCAGCGTCGTGAAGATCTGCGCGGGGACGACGCCTAAGGGAGGAAGAGCAGCAAACGATTAGCCATGAATTAAGTTAGGCTGAGAGAGTGTGCATATATATATTCCCGAGGAAGAGAAGGGGGGGATGGGAGAGAGACGAAAAAAGACGAGAGAAACCAGAAAACGAACCGGTAATAGCGTGCAAGATCTCCATGACGGCAAACGTCTGCGTGATGCGCGCAAAGTTGTCGACGACCAGCGGCACAAACGGCGCACCCCTCCATGCCAGCACCACGGCGACGCGCCCCAGGACCGCCGCCCAGGCCACGGCCGACGCGGCGTTGTACGCGATCAGGTAGGCCTTTTTCACCACGGAGCCGCCGCCACTACCGCTCTTCTTCGGCCGGGCCGGCGCCGCCGACTTCTTCGATGCTGCTGCTGCCGTGCCTGCCATTGGTTCGTCTCGTACGGGGGTTGCTTTTATTTTTATTTTATTTTTTATTCGTTTGGCAATTGAGGTGGCAAGGTCGTTTCTTTCGTTGTCCCTTTCTGGGATATGTTCTTCGGAGCGGTTGTCGGTGTTGAAAGTCGAATGGGATTTTTGTTCAGCTCCACGCTGCTCCTTCTCTTGAGTCCTTGATCCTCTGCCTCTTTTCTTTGCGACAGGGATTGACTGACTCCCGATTGGTGCATATTCATTTTGTTGGCGTTGACGGAGACCCAGGCCCGCTGGCGCTCCCTAGCCTCGGCTCGCTCCGGCAGCCCACTAGCCTAGGACCTAGGACGAGAATTCCATCTGATCGGGCAGGTCCAGCGCATCCCCCCTCCCCCCCACTTCTCTCTCGGGTGTGAGCGACTTGGGAGCCGGGATGGATGGTGGTTTGAGCCGGCGCACCATCTCAGACGTGGCTCCCCGATAGCTGCTGTGCTTAGGCAACTAATTGCCTTGGATTTGTGTCCATCTTTCTTCCGTAATAATGAATGAATTTCTTGTGAACAGGGCTTTTTGTTAGCTTAGTATGGGGGAAATGTGTGAAAGTTTCATGGCACAACTTGCTGCAGAGCAACTATTCGTGCCTGTTTAGGCGTAGGATGGGGGCTGTCTACCTAGGTACCTGTCTATTGACCTGATGAGGATAAGACTCCAAGTAGCAGATCTTTGCTTTAATTTTCATTAGATAAATGTAAACTATTTAAGACAGTGTGGTGTTTCTGATCATTCTCGTTGACATGGACTCGTGACGCATTAGGTATCCAAAACTAACAAAACTCCGTTTCCAACCCCTTGGGGACCTGGGGCAGGACCCGGCGTTACCCAACAGGAAGCGTCCCACCCCACCCTCTCTCTGCCCTCCCCCTAAATGCAGTGAGATTTGGCATCGTACAAACTGTTCCAGCCAGTGCAAGGATGTAATCGAAAGGAAGAGGTGACGAAATGTCGTCGGTGTCCGATTAGGCACCAACAGAAACACTCTCTACCGCCTGGTGAACCCCCAAGGTGGGGAAGGACGAGGTCGGTTTTCACTCTTTCTTGGTGACGGATCGCCAGAGATCGCCGAGGGAATGCCCCCCGAAGAGATACTGGTCAGAGTGCCTGCCGCAGTAGCTGTGGGCATTGACATTGGGGGGGCACTTGGCCTTCCTGCTGGAGCTCGATCCCATTGAGCTCCCCGACGCCTTTCGACTGCCGGAGGGCGACGATAGCATGCCCATGTACTCGTCGTCCGAAAAGCTCCTCGAAGCCTGCCATCGGGTTAGAACTCCTCGTGGGCTAAGAGATAGGGCGGTGTGACTTACAGAGCTGCCGGCAGAGGTAGGGCTCGTGAACATTGGGCTTGTGGCAGCCCGTGCAGTGCCGATTTTCAACGGCGGCGGTGCAGGCGCGCGCGAGGAAGAGTTCATATTGTCCAGCTCGCGAGCGTCGAGGCTCGTTGGAAAGATGGGTTGATTCGCGGTGTGGCTCTTGTTGCTGGCCGTTGACAGTCGAGTCAACAGACGGCGCGATATGGCGGGAGAGGCCTCTGGCTTTGCGTCTCTAGATGGAGATAGGATGGCAGAGCTCGGCTGCGGTCGCGGGTTTATAATTCCAGAAAACGCCCTCCAGGGTTGCGTCAGCAGCACACTCCTGGTGTACGGTTCGGTTTATTTGCAAAATGGAAGTAAGAGGGAAATAACAGCGATGGGGACCAGAAGAAATTCTAGCCAGCCTGACGTGTACTTATAAGTCCTGTCGGCTGGTAGGGCTGGTCTGGGGACATACGATCGCAGACCTACCTTACGCTTGTAGGTCCCGTCCTTGGGTCCATGATGGACCAGGGTTGCACAGGAAGCAGCTAAAGTCCTGGAGCTGGTTGGCGTGTTTGACCCCACCTTGTATTCGCTTGACACAAATGTACCAATGATTTTCTTCATTAAAGTGATCCCCTTTTTTGGACAAAGCTTTAGGCGCACCATCAGCGGAAGCCACCGACTTCAACTTGTTCCCCGAGGGTCAACGATTGCTGGTCGGCGGAACGGTCTGAGCAACAGTCAAAATATCATACAATACAATCCCCGTTCCCTTCACCATAACTTGTGACTCGCTTGTGAATATTTTCTACGAGGTTGTTACAGCTCGAGTGGGAATCTAAAACTAAGTACTTTCTTGGCAACCTTATCGACCTAGGTTCCCAGACCTTGTCCGATGAAGACTCTACTAAGTAGCAACTTAACAAATTGTTTAGCCTTCTTTTCCCGATGCTGTTTCTCTTATGTAAAGATCATAGAACTGCTGAACCTCAGACTCGGATGAGTTGTGCGCGTCGTTTCCGTAGATAAGGCAGCTTTAAGCTCACAAGGTATAATTTCTTTCGATAACCGACCTAATCAAGCTTGGGAGGAACTCAGACAGCAATTTGCACGACTTGGTCCGGCTCATATTTTAATAACCTCATAGTCCCAACTGCCATTAGATACAGGGAGCTATTCGGTATCGCAGTGGGGTCTAATGGAAAAGCGGATGTGAGATTAGGACTGGAGACATGGAAATAGGAAACCTAGGACACTTGGTGTGGGGAACTCTAAATAACATTGGATTGTTTTGGCGGGCCCGTGACAAGGGTCTCATTTCCGTGGGCATGTCATTGGACGCCTTAAGAGGTATGCAGATCGGACCTTATCAGGCAGCGACAGTCCGCATTTCCCTCCACCTGTCCGCATCCTTCCAGGTCATCACCAGCTCCGTGGGGAATGGAAAGTAGGGCCAGGCCCGCATTAGTCTGACTAATGAGTCACCAACGGCGTCGGGGAGGATCTGAGTCCCTGGACGTGCCTGAAGTCCTGGACCGAGAGCCTGAGTCAGAACGAGGCATTTGGGCAACACTCGACTAATCAGAAGCACGACTTCCCCAGGGGATATAGTGTAGACCATAAATACAGGGAGCAGGAAGTCACTCTTTTAGCACATTCTCGCCAAAAAAAAATTACATGGTAGCCTGGCTGTATTACACTCTTCGGATGACGATGTTGGCGGTGACAGAGACACTGACGGAGCTGCTAGCAACGAACGCTACGAAAATCCCCCCGCCTGGCTTATTACTTTACAGCTCGCCCTAAACGTTTTTCTCAAAGAGAGGCGGAAAGTTTTCAAACCCCTAGTATAGAATCCTAGAGGCCTATCTCCCTTTTTCGAATGCCTGGTAAAGAAGATCTCTTGTCGATGGTAGGGGGGGTTGGATCTGCCTACCATCCCCCACCCCCTACTGGGTCACCAAAACACAAGATCCGAAAGCAACGAGTATATGATCAATTTTGAAGCTATTCGCAAGCCAAATATAGCGAAATGAAGGCAATTAGTAGTTCAAGCCATATAGCGAGCCGGACAGCTAGATCTAGTCAATCTTGTAGGACGTCATCCTGAACGTCTTGTTCGTCTTCCATCTCTTCGACTTGATGTTCTGATTGAGCCTCACCACCTAGTAATCTAGTCCCCAGGTCCATAGAGCGCTTGTTCGGGCTTGGGTTTTTCCTCCGTTTTTTTGGGCTTGGGTCTTTCCAACTCAGCCTCCAGGGCTTCAAGTGCGAGTCGCTTGAGAACTAACTCGGTTTGAAGCCTTTCAACAGCCCTGGCGACCTTCTGGAACTTACTTCTTGTCTATACACTGCTCCCTTTGCTCAAATCCATAACCTGACGACCTGTGCTTCGTATATCAGGGACTGGTTTTGACGCAAATATATCGAGATACTCTACGATGAGTTTTGTCAACGGATCAACATCCTTAGAATCCGTCTATCTCTTGTTCCTCTAAGCTATCATCCTGTTCTTTGATTCCGGAGAGCATACAAACCAGAAATCATCCAAATTAGTATCTGAGTCTCACCCTGGACTCATTGGAATTTGCGTTGAACGAGATGATAAGATAATGGTCAAGCTTAACTCGCTCCGCTTTTTTATTGTCTCTTGCGGCCTCGTCTCAGTCGGGCTTATTATAACAGCTCCTGTCAGAGTGCCGGTCTACTCTGCGCATCTCTCCTTGTGTCTTCTTGATCATGAGTTTGTCAAGCTCGACATAGGCCTTGCTGCTGTCGCTCCGGTTCTTCGTCACAACCAAGCCAAACAGCGTGTTTAGTAACAGCAGGGAATAACGAACAGACGTTTGAGAGTAGTGTTGTTGATCATATATCCATGCTTCGTTCCATCACAGGATATGGCCAAGCCCATCGTCGTTATCTTATCGATGACAGTCTGGGGAAGCGACTTATAGAGATCCTTCGCAAGACTGGTTAACTCAAAGAATGACTCTTCTACTGCCTCTCGGCTTTATCAATGGGCAAGAGGAGAAAAGGATGAGGCTGGTGCCGGGACCGAGGAAGGGGGAAATGGTAGCGATAAATTAAATAGTTTCCAAGCTGAGAACGCAAGAGGCGACGCAAGAAGTTACTAACGAGGGGGGAGATTTTAGGCCCTGGCGAGCTTCGTTGTGTGCAATGGGGCAATTGGAAATAAAGTCTACAGCTAAAGCATATTTATGGCAAGCATTTGGCGTATTCCGCATCGTTTCATGCTGTTGTTGTTGTTGTTGGACTTTATTGTTCAGGGGTCACAACGAAGTGGAAAATGATGTGAATTTTGGATGAAAGGCTCGAATTCGACCACAAAGCTCGGGGTCGCCCGAGTTCAACACACACACGCGACTTCTAAGCCCCTTTTATGGGTTTCTCAAATGTTTACCTTTAACAGGACATCACAGCTTTTCAGTTTGTGGTCTTCATTCCTAACGGCACTGCTCCCGAAGAAAGCCAACACAAACTGCCATTCAGCCCTCCTAGGAATAGCTTTAGGAAAGGAAAGCATTGATGATTGCAATGCTTTTGAGGGTTAGAGTCAATACAGGTAACCCTCAGTCGCAAAAAGCATCACAAACTGGCCTCGGAAAACGTCGGCTCAGTCTTTGCGTCAGTACGGGGTACGGGGGACTAAACAACCACTCTCACGCGGCCTTGCCCGCACCAGCGAACGAGCCAGAACTTGGTGAGAATGAGGGCAAATTTGTAGTGGAAGTGCCCAAACTCGGCCGAAGAAGTGGCCCCGTTATGGATGCGGAGGACCTACACTAAGCTCCTACTGACAATGGAAGCTGGGAAAGCGAGGTGGTGTTCCATTGCCGTGCCCACAACCGTACCCCGCCCCGCCCAACCTCTCAAGGTCAGGGAACTTCGTAGGGCTGCTGTCTTCTCCAATCGTGCAGGCCAGGCGAGGCTTTCGATTGGGGAAAGTGGGCCAAACTCGTTGGGAAAGATCGTCTCGGCATTATTTTTACCTGGGCGGCAACCGTCCCAGCCTAGTGTTGATCGCACAACATTAATTGCCCAACATTAATTGCCCCTTCGAAGTAGTGAGGCCTAGGTAAGCAAGTGCTTTTCGATCGGATTATTGGCAATACGGGTCTACAGGTAGTCCGGAATAAAAAGATAACACCTCATCTAGAAACCCGACACTACGGATGTCCACCCCAAAAGTTCTGTCCAAGCGCTAAAAACGCCACCACCGTTATTTACATATTATTTTGGTCCAGGTCTTAGCCATATACCCCACTCCTAGCCAGAAACCCCGCACATCAACCTGTCAACACAACAAAATGCCTCCTAATACCAGTCTTACAACCCGAGCTCTTATTGTTACATTAAAATCCCCAGTCGGTGGCAAAACCTCTGCTGAAATCCATCAAGAAACTGGCATATCTGTCCGACAGATCAATCGTATCTATGCTCGAGCTATTGAGCGTGGGTTTGAGCCGAATCTCCGGCCGTTTACCTTGAAAGATGAATGGCTTGAAGATGCTCCTCGTTCTGGCCGTCCATCAAAACAAACCCCTGGAAATATCGAGAAATTTATCACCAAGGTGCGAACTAATCGATACGGCCGTGAAAAAACTGCTGCTGATCTGGTTGGTGAGCTCAGCCTCGAGGGGATCGAGATCTCAGCTATGACGATCCTTCGGATCCTCAAAAAAGCAGGTTTCAAAAAGGCCAAACCGACGAGGAAGCCTGGATTGACGAAGAAGATGAAAGAAGCCCGTCTCCAGTGGTGTTTAGCCAATCAAGACTGGATACTTGAAGATTGGAAACGTATTATTTGGTCAGATGAAACTGCTGTTGTTCTTCTTCTCGTCGTGGTGGTTATCGTATTTGGAGGACAAAGGATGAACGATTTGTACGAAGTGCTATTCGTGAGCGTTGGAAAGGATATTCCGAGTTTATGTTTTGGGGTTGTTTTTCCTATGATAAGAAAGGTCCTTTTCATTGCTGGCTTCCAGAAACAAAACAAGAAAAAGAACAAGCAGAGAAGGATATTGAGAAGATGAATGAAGAGCTGGAACCGATTTTTCAGAAAGAATGGGAGCTTCAAACTGGAATAAGGAGGTTATCTTTAGCCCCTATTCCTGGCCGAAAACCTCAGTGGAGATGGAACAAAAAGAATGGCAAATTAACCAGGAGGAAAAGGTGGAATCGACTGGTATCGTTACCAGAAGAAGATCCTTATTCCTAAACTCTTTCCATTTGCGAAAGAGTGTGAAAAGGATCAGCCTGGTACACTGGTCCAAGAAGACGGGGCTCCAGCACACGCTCATCATATCCAAGATCGGATTTTCAGCTTTCACCAAGTTAAACGACTCCTTTGGCCAGGCAACTCACCCGACCTTAATCCAATTGAGCCATGTTGGCCATGGATGAAAAGATACACTACGAAAAAATGGGCACCGAAAAGCCGTCAGGAGGCCATCAAATCGTGGGAGCGTTGTTGGAAAGATGTGAAGCAAGAACAGATCCAGGCGTGGATTGAGAGGATTCCTTGGCATTTTGAGCAAATTATTCAGTTAGGTGGAGGGAATGAATATAAGGAGGGCCGGAAGAAAGGGGTCGAAGCCTGAGTATGTAAATAACGGTAGTGGCGTTTTTAGCGCTTGGACAGAACTTTTGGGGTGGACATCCGTAGGTTGGAAGAACAACGGCACAGAAGCTTGTGGTGGGCACTGTGCGGCGGGAAGGCGGGTAGGGTAGCATTGTACATGTACATGCTGAGCCGGAAAGACCCCTTATTTGAGAGCTACACCAACTGTTCCAAATCACGATGCTCACCTCATCTCAGCTACCCCAAGCAGAGCAACCCTCGCGAGATGGACCTCGACCTACAAGACGTCCAGTCGTTAGCGACTGTTAGTTTCCTGGCATAACTATCTGGCTGGGAAGTGCGAGATGATCTATGGTGTTTTTCGTTTCCTTTCTCATAGCAGGATCACCGTCGCCGCGTATGGGCTCTTATCTCCGACGGGCAGAGGCGGGTGCGCTACGCGTATCCGTCTGCCTCTTTCAGACCGTTCTGTCAGTTTCATCCTCTGTCGCAGTGGTCTGCCGCGGATCCAACAGCACTACCAGTCTGCGGGTTGCGCGAAGCCGTGGTGCTTCAGCCGAGAACCCTGCGCCCAGAGGAGGAGGCGTCGCGCCAACGAGTCCGTCTGTGGGCCGACGGCCTCCTTGTCACACTCATCTAATTAAGAATGGCGGCTTGTGGCTCCATGAGACAAGGCTATTGGGCTAGAGCTGGGCGGTTGGGGTCCCACACCATTCCGTTGCTACGTATTTGGCGGGCAGGGCGGATGGGTATAAGTTGACGGTTCTGCCAAGGAGGAGGTCCCGCCCTGCTCCATCCATCATACCCAGTACATTTTTTTTTTGCTTTCCGTTGATCTCGTCGGTTTCCACCTCTTCAACGCCATCGTCCTTGGCTTCTCAATCCCACATCGTCCTGCTACGTACATCATGTCTTCCAACCAGCAGGACATGGCCATGGCGGCCCAGCCGGTATCGATGGAGATGATGCAGCCCGTAAGTCAAAATTCTCATGCAGCGTCGATCCCCGATTCCCATTTTGAGTTTCCCCCGCAAAGCCAAGACGGGCGCGCTCTTGGCAACAAGGCATCTAGTTCTTGGCAACCGCTCTGCTGGGATCACCGTGAAATCTACTCCCTTACATTTGCACTTCCCACTCATCGTCAATGTCCTCACTGCTGCCAAACATGAACCTCCCCGATCTTTCTCTTGACAAGATAGTATATGCCGCGCCTGTGCCGAGCCCTGGCTACCATACCCACTTTTTTTCAGCTGCTCTCTTTTCACTGGCCAAACCAATCGGCCTCAACCAGACCGTGGAGCCGAGGAGAAGTCCTGGTGTGGTGGCCGGGCCCCGCTTAGTTCAGACCTTCTTTTCCCGAGGAGAGGCGGCAGCTGCCCTGTCCTCGAATGGGGCCTCTTTCCTATTTAATGATGTTTTGCTTGATGTTGCCGGCAAGGCCCGAGAGGAACCCAAAAGGGCCAACGCTAACCAACAACTAATAGAAAACGCAAGCGCCCATGACAATGGACCTGCGCGGTGGTGACGACGACGGTGAAGAGTGGTGTTGCGATTGTTGCGAGTGCTGCTGCGAGACCGATATTCTCTGCATTGGAGCTTTCTGTGCCTGTCTCTTCTGGTGCTGCCGACCAAAAAGCAGGAGGTGAGCCGAACCAACCGGCAGGCATGATAGATACCTCATCGACTGGTCGGGCTATCAGCGCACTTGGCAAATAACGATCTCGCAGGATATGAATAGACGTGGGAGCTGCAGGGGCTGTTTCTTTCTAGATAATAACTATTGTGGTTTCATAAGAGTAGTACTCAAATATTCTTGAGCTCTAAGATTAAATATCCTATTTCAGTGACATGGACTGCTTTTCAAGCCGACATTGCGATAGCTCAACCAGAGGAAATGAAACCCTCTACCACCATTGGAAGAGTCCATAGCCAAAGGCAAGCCACGGATGACTAGGTACCTACCTCATAATGGAGAAGCCAACTACACTCTTGCTCTTGAGAAATTATATTTAGTTTTTACTGAGGAGAGAAGCAGAGGGTATCCTATCCACAACCACCCTGGTGTATTAATTTACATGGCACACGTCGTCACTACACCGCCCCCTTACTTACTTCTTGACATTCTTCTCCGTCTCTTCCCGGATCCTCGCGCCTAGGCCCGCGTCGACGTTGGCGAACATTCCGTACGTGCGCTCACGGGTGTCGACATGCGCGCCGCACAAGTGCACGGCGACATTGTAGACAAAGTTGTCCTGCTGGCCAGGCGTCCGGCCTAGAACCTGCCACAGCGCCGCAGCTTGCACGTAGTCAGCGGGGCCGACCTCGGCAAAAACGGCGTTGACGACGGAGCCGGCCCACTGCTCGTGGGCGGCTAGCGCGGGCGACACGGGCTTGTACGTCAGCGGGTGGTAGCTGCTCGGGTAGCCCGGGTTGGCGCCGTAGTTGCCGTTGACGGCCATGGCGCCGTCGCGCTGGAACGGGTTGAAGGCGTTGAGCGGCGCGTTGACGGGGATCTGCTGGTAGTTGACGCCGAGCCGGTGGCGCTGCGTGTCCGGGTACGAGAAGAGCCACCCCTGCAGCACGGGTCCGCCGACGGCTCGACACCGGGGACGAGATGGGACGGGGAGAAGGCGACCTGCTCGATCTCGGCGAAGTAGCTCTCCGGGTTCCTGTTGAGCGTGAACTTACCGACAGGCCGGAGCGGCACCTCGGCCTGCGGCCATACCTTGGTTAGGTCGAAGATGTTCCACTAGAACTTCTCAGCCTGTTCTGGTGTGAGGACCTGGATGAAGACGGACCAGCTCGGGTACTCGCCGCGCTGGATCGCCTCGAAGAGGTCCTGCGTGTTCCAGTCCGGGTTCTCGGCCGCCATCTTGCCGGCCTCTTCGTTAGTAAACGTCTTGACTCCCTGGTCCGTCCTCAAGTGCGTCTGCACGTAGACGAAGGAGCCGTCGGGCTTCGTGAACTTGTGCGTGTGGCCAGAGTAGCCGTGCATGTGCCTGTACGAGTAGGGGGTCCCGCGGTCCGAGAAGAGCGTCATCACCTGGTGGACGCTTTCCTGGTGGGTTGAGAGGTAGTCCCAGAACATGGTGGCGTCCTTAAGGTTGGCCTGGGGGTTTCGCTTCTGCGTGTGTATGAAGACTGGGAAGTTGGTCGGGTCTCGGATGAAGAAGACTGGAGTGTTGTTGTAGACCCAGTCCCAGTTGCCCTCTTGCGTATAGAACTCGAGGGAAAAGCCTGCGGTACTGTTAGTCGAGATCTGCGTTCAAGAGACACCACGAGTACAGACTGGACCAACCTCGAGGGTCCCGGGGCGTGTCAGCCGAGCCCTTCTCGCCGCCGACGGTTGAGAAACGGGCGACGAGTGGCGTCTTCTTGCCGACGCCATTGAGCATATCAACCGAGGTCAGGTCGCTGATGTCATGCGTCACCTCAAACTAAAATAGTAAGATAGTGATGAGAAAATGTGTCATATGGCCTTTAAGCTGGGATATGGGCTTACCCGCCGTACGCGCCGGCACCCTTGGCGTGGACAACACGCTCGGGAATACGTTCTCGGTCGAAGTGGGCAAGCAGGTCGAGCAGATGGAAGTCCTGGAGGAGGACCGGACCATTGCTGATGCGCTGGAACTTCTGCGGGCTTTCTACGGGGCAGCCATTGGACGTGGTGTATACTGGTTTTTCGCCATACCGGAAGGTGGAGGCAGGCTTGGTGTCACTGGCCATGTTGGATGGTTATTTGGGGATACCGAGCTTGGTTTAAGAGTGCCACAAGGCTGGTGATATCTCTTTATAAAACCAAACGAAGACAATATGCTTGGAGGTGGAACTTCCTCTTTACGTCTGTTAACGAGAAGCAAGCCAAGACCAACACCCAACGGGAGAGCGCGGAGGGCGGCGGATACTAATACCTACAGAGGCACGAAGAGCCCCATGTCCCGGTGACCTCCGAGGACTGCTGGATGGGTCCATGGCGGTGGCGGCTTCCGGGTAGCCGAACGGCGTGAGAGAAGAATACCACAAGTTGGTTGGGTCAGCCAATGGAGCGGCAGGCATATGCAAGCATGTATTGTACATAAAGGAGAGACCCCTAGAGACCCTCTGCGCCGCCCTAGCCAACGACAGTGCGGAGTGACAACGGGTACTGAACTGCCTGGAGCATCACGTTTGCACTAGATGCTTCAAATGGCCTGACATAGTGATTCTTCGAAGGGATCGAAGGACTTTGGGTTATGGCCCGTATGGATCGTCTCGTGCTTTCGCGCCCATCCGCTGTCCCCAGTGACAAACATAAACTGACGCGGTTCGCGCAACGTTGGAAAAGTGCCCCGGAAATGCGGAGAAACCACTTACAGTTCCCCCCCCACTATTCCGTCTATCCCCTGAAAGGCGGGCGGATCAGGGATCATTATTAGAATATCTCTCTAGAGTCACACTGGACAAACATTCCGAATGCCGCCGTTCGCCCACAACCGGAAACCCGACCCTCACCGTTGGAATTGCGGAGGACGGCATCTTGCGCATGGCGCTGACAAACACCCAAAAGGCCGGCACACGTAGTATCTGGTGGAATTCCTGTTTCGGACGCACGCAAGCGCTCCCCCGCCTGTTTAGTGTTGAGAGTCTGAGTCATTTCTAAAGTGATGTCCGTATTGTCAAACTGATCTGATGCGCCTTCAGGCTGTCGTGATGTCGTGGAAACAGGCACGGATACAAGAATATTCATGTCCCTGTTCCGTTCTCCGCAAGGAAACTGGCCTAACGTTTTTACTCTCGGGCCACGACGGTGCAGACTATGTTAAATGATATGCTGCGTAGGACACGGAGATTCTATTCAATCTGAGTCCCTAATACGTATAAGCAACTTACAAGCCTCGCCAAACTGCCTTCCGGTGAATGTCAAGCACTCCTCAACCTTTTAAGCAACGTGAGCACACTTTCCACCAAATCGACTGGCGGCCTGGCCCACGGCCCTCTTCACAAGCATTACATCCCTGTTAAGTTTTGACTTGTTCATGTATTTTGCGAAGCGAGTTGGCTCGAGATCGCCAACTTCTAGCTCTTCACCCCATCAGCGGCCTGGACTGGACATGCATTCCTATTGCTTGTCGACGACTAATCAAGCCGCATTGGTGGGTATCTAAGTACTGCCCGCATGATCTCTTCCAAATTTAGTACCGGCGGATTTCTTTCAGCCAGCTGATTTTGTCACGGCGTGCAGAATGGACGGATGAGATGAACAGACGGGAGCCGAGGAAGTCCCAGAGAATCGCTGGCGAATATTACTCCCTAAGCTCGAAAAGCCGGAGTTGGTTGTATTAAAAGTGTAAAAGCCAAACCATGTAGACGCGCGCTGAATGCCCTGTCCAGCCCACTCTCTTGATGCGCCTTTGGCATATTATGTCATCAATCAGCTAGAAGCTGCCTGTTTCACCCAAAACGCCTAGAAACCGACTGGGTGCGCGATATAACCAAGTATGCCCGACTGGAAGTGAGGAAGATATGCTGGTGTTGTACAGATGCTCCCAGCCGTGCGTCCTAGACATTAAGAGCCGGGTTATTCCTGTGCTACCGTCGACTGTGTTTCTTGTCAGTACGCTTGGCCCCGCCCAGGTCCGTCCAGAAACAGAGTAATCAACTCTGTTCAGGGCAGGAGTAAGGAAATCAAATCTTACCACCAGCCAGTCCATCCCCTCCGTAACCCCAGAGCCGTCTACGGCACTGCAAGCCATAATACTCCAGTTCCTGTCCCTCAACTCTCCGAGACGGAGCGCCTGTGATATGTCTCCCGCGCCCTTTGCGCCGGGCTGGTCTTGCTTGTTCGCAAAGACGAGCAGCGCCGCGTCCTTCAGCTCTTCCTCATTCAGCATGGCTGCTAACTCGTCCGCCGCCGTCTGCAGGCGTTCGATATCAGTCGAGTCGACAACGAAGATCACCGCCGCCGTGTTGGCATAGTAACATCTCCAGTACGGCCTGATGCTAGTCTGGCCGCCAAGATCCCACACGTTGAAGTTGAGGTTTCTGTATGTAACCGATTCGACATTGAAGCCGATAGTCGGTATCGTTGTTACTACCTCGCCGATCTGCGTGCCGCACGTGTGGTTAGGATAAGAACCCCCGCAGTGAATCGGCGGCTATGGTGGGGGCGCACCTTGAGTCTGTATAGGAGTGTCGTCTTTCCAGCATTGTCCTATAGGAGACTCTGTCAGCAACTTTGAAGGGGCCGCCTCGTGGTGCACCGGTGACAAGCCGTACCAGTCCCAATATCAGGATTCTGATTTCTTTTTTCGCGAAAAGCAAGTTGCTAAACCAAGACACGCTCTGACCCATCGTGAGCGAGCTGATGCCTGTACCAGAAAATGCTCCGGTGCGCCGCTGTGACTGGGAGATAGATGGAGGACTGCGGAGTAGAGAACGCCCAGTTCGCCAGGTGATGCGCTGGCCAGAAAAGATTAGGACGGGCCCGAAAAGTTGGATATGGCGATAGGGCGCAGGATGGCGAGGGATGCTATAGGATGGGCGATGCCGCTCGAGGATTGCTTGGTTCTTGTCGTGTTGGAGATTTGATAGAAAATTTCTTTGCGCCAGCATGCGATTTCGGTTCCATTCATCAAATCATCAGAGGCCGCCGTGGCTGCCAGAGCTCTCGATTGCTGGGGGGCCACGGCCGGCCTAACCAAGATCGGCAGTCATTAGCAGGAGCCGGCCAGGGGGGTTAACTCTGGCTGCTGACCCGTGCATCCGCTGGCCAAAGCCACAGCCTCGCCTTAGCAAGCCACAACTCTCTCCAGTTGCTGTCTCAAGCCCGCTTAATCCACGTGACGCAGCCACACTGGAATTTTCGGCCCTACCTTGCCCCATTTTCAAAAGCCCACACCAAATATTTGATTCGAAACCATCATTGACGAAACCTCAAACACCCACCACGACTCGGGATCGCGACAACAACGTCAAAATGCCGGTATGTACTACCCCCAGAAATAATCCCTCGCCCGACGATATACCACTGTGCTGGGAAATAAGGCCCCATTCCGACGGGCAGGGAGACTTGCGGCCGTTGGGTGGGGGAGCGAGAGAAGCACGGGGAGGAAGATGCCGACTCCGATAGCAAGACGACATTGAATTGCCTGATGGCTAACAAGTGTCTTTCCTATCGAAACAGAGCCATAAGACTTTCCGCACCAAGCAGAAGCTTGCCAAAGCGCAGAAGGCGAACAGGCCCATTCCCCAATGGATTCGTCTCCGCACCAACAACACGATTAGGTGCGACCCCCTCCCGCTCTCTGCAGTCTGTCTCGGATGATTCTGCACTCTTGGCGAAGAATCGAATGGGCAGACTTAAAAGAGGAGGACTGTGGATGGAAATAAACTGGTGGCTAACAGTCGACATCAACAGATACAACGCTAAGCGGAGACATTGGCGCAAGACTCGTCTCGGAATCTAAATGGATTCCTATCCCGTCGACCCCGAAACTACGAGCTTCCCTTTTCACTTACTCCGCTCGCAATAAACTCGCCCACCCATTTGCATCACCCGTGTCTAGAGAGGATATTTGCGCCTTGCGAATCCATATATCACGATTTACTCAGCGGTGATGCAACAGCAGTTACGATGATGGGCTGGACGGTATAGGAGTAGGAACGGGGAAGAGCACGACACGGCAATGAAAATACAGGGTCGCAAATGGCAAAGTCCGGGGGGGATCGGGGGTTTTTGTTTTTTTTGTCGCTGAGAGACGACGACCTGGGTTTATTTCCGGAGTAAATGCCAACATCATATTCTGGGTCAATGGGAAACGGAATCAGAGATCGCGAGAACGAAAGATATTTCCTCATCCTTTTGGTGAAACCTGAACTATCACTGCCATGTGTCCCTTTGTATGGCAGTTTTAAGGGCAACCAAGCGTCCTTGGTATGATTGCTGCGTGGTGTGATATATTGCAACCCATGAGATATAAAATGCGAATCAAGGAAGACCCTTTCGTCAATTGCAGTATTATTTGTACTCAGGCCGGCCGATTGAGTTTGACACCACGGCATTGCGTGAGTATTCTCTCGGTGTACGTGTCATCGGCAAATCTATGGTTGTGCTGAACCTTGACGGCTCCGGGCCGTTCAAAGTTCGGGTGTGTGGAGCGGAGCGGCCGGCATGTGATGCGCCAGTTGTAGCCGGATTCGAGAACCTTTCATGTTGGACTTGTGCTCCTTCGTGCTTCCGCCGGGTATTGGCTTGTTTTTCGTGACTAAATCTATATATCACATAAAATCCGAATAATGTTACTGGCGGAAACGTCGAACCCGCCCTAGTACTAAACACTTCAAGATATCTTCATTTCCTTACATGGGTAGTAGCTATCAAGATGACGAGGATATCTTTCGAAACGCTGACTCTATCTAGTTTGGGCTTGTGACCGAGGCCGCCACAGATATTGGCATTCACATTGTTTTCATGATGCTAATCAGGCAATGGGATTACGGATGGTCCGTCTAGGAACGGGAGTAGAGTTGGTTCCCAGAGCCTTGGACGTCTTGAGCCGAGAATCATGGGATATGCTAGAACAAGGCATGGCGACGCCAGTACACGGGAGATCATAGATCGGTGACGCTCATGATTTTAAATGCTGTGTTTGGTAATGACCATTGAAATGAAGCTACGCCGATCCTACGCCGTATCTCAAAGCGACTAAGTGTTGCCGCGTGTCTGTTACCCTCCGCTCTCCCTAAGCAAAAAAGAAAAAAAGAAAAGAAAAAGGTACTGCATTTCCGCCATGAATAAACGTGCTCAGTCGCAGAAAAACTAGCGTAAAAGCTTGGTGACGGGAAAGACCGAGGGATGCAAAAAACTCTAACGATCCTCGGCCCACTCGTTCTCCCGGCGGATCTGCTCCTCTTCTTCCGGTGTGAAGTCGTTCGTGATGTTGAACGTCTTCCGAATCTCCTCTGGTGACTTCCCCTTGATCATGTTGGCCACTGTCTTGCAGCCAACATCAAGCAGCGCCTTGATGTCGAGGAAATTCGCGGCCTTGCACACGTCAGCACCAGATATTCGGTTGGGGCGGGGGAAGGGGTCTATCGTCCCCTGGATGTACCTACTAGAATGATCTCGAATAGCATTTCCTGATCAACCTGCATAAACTTTTGATCCCACTCCTCGATGTCGGTGGTCTTCTTGCGGTTGTCGTTCTCCTCCTCGTTCGACTGGAGAGAGTCGCCGCGATGGTGGTCGCACCACTCGACAACCTTGCGGAGGACCGGGTCGTTGACGTTAGGGATGGGGATTGGCGCCGTGGCAATGGCATCGTCGCCAAGATCCTCAATCAAGTTCTTGATGAGCATAGAACGCTCGGCAACGACGCGGTCTAGGGATTTGATTAGACAACGGTGGTTCAACAGGTTGGAATGGTGCGGGGACTCGGAACTTACCAACTTCGATATGCGACCCATCGTTGCTCGCCAGTGTCACCTTCTGGGAGGCCTTGCCCTTGCTGTCCGACATTTTTGCTGAGGGAAGAATAAAATTGAGAAGGATCTCGAACGCAGTGAACGATGCAGCTAAATGGTGTCGGGAAACTTGATGTCAGAGTATGTTCGGCGGTGGTGAATGGTGGTTTCGTGGGGTAGGAGTTGTAGAGGCGGAGAGGCGGAGAGGGGGAGGAAGAGTACTAAATAAATACCTTTCAATACGTGGCTTTCGGGAAAAGAGACGAAGCGCGTGAAAGGTTAAAGCTGGAGGTTCTGGAAACTTTGGATGTGCATCCTGCTGCTGCGTTAACTTTGACTCTTCTGCGATCGAGAGTTCCGACAGGCAGGTGGCGGTTGCCTTCCCCAGGTGGTGACGAACAGCGCAAGGACGCACGGACCATGGCTTGCCGTCGCTTCTCTTTCAGCCTTCTGTGGCCTTGGCCAGCGGGCTTCTGTGCGGTTGGGGATTGATGCCTGGAGAGGGCCAAGGCTGATTGCCTAATGTTCAAGTGCCAGCGGGAGATGATGCGGAAAGTGCAACTCACAAGGACGCGTCAAACGGAATGTCGCAATATCGTCTCCTATGTCTGCTAGGTGCCGATTGATGGGGTTGTGCAAACAAAGTTTCCGTGTGGTTGTGAAAGTGTAGCTTTGATAGAGAGCAGGAATTCTTAAGATGTGTTGGTTGAGGTCAAAGAGGTATTTATATCGATCGACCTGTGCGCCAACGGCCAAAGTTTGGAACTTGCGTTTTGTGGGTGCTATCTGGTAAAACCTGGCGCTTCTTATTGTTCGCCTGGCAGGACCCTTTATCGTCGTAATTCAATTACTACTGCTATTGTTTGCTCTATTGTCCCCAACCAAACGCCCTACATTCACGTGAGGTTAAGCCAGCACGCAACCATCCAGCTTCACTTCAGATATTTCAGTCTAACAATTGTTAGCGTAGTACCTTGAAGGAATAAGGATTACCTAGGTTCATTTCCGGAATTTCAAGAGGGTCACAGGTACCTAGGTAGCCTTCGGGATTTTATTCTAGAGGCTCCAATAACTACCACCTCACTTAGAACATCTTTAAGACGAACCGTAAGGTAATGCGTGCCTTTCGCATCTTGAAAAGTCCCGCACTAATAACCATCCGGGAATGGACTGTCGAGAGACCAACTCGAACCTTGAGGTGGGAATGTCGGGGGCTAAGATTCCGAGCGATCACTTTTCAGGCATGGTGGCCCTGAGGCATGGAGGGCGTGCAGCTGCATGAGTCAACTGGGCAGCCGGGTTTTAGCGCGTACAGAATCCCTGTAACTTTGCAAGGTTCAGGTTGTAAACACCTGGTCGTTGCACGATCTCTTGTTATCCATGTGGTCTGTTTCCAGAGTTCCCGAGATTTGATCACTCCGTCGTTCTCCCCGTTCCTTCGATTCTTGCCCTGTGTGCACTTATTTCGACCATGTAATTGTTGCCTTCATTCCCTCCTTCGATTCACCTTCGGTAATGCGCTCGTTACCATCGCGCACGCCTCAACAGATGTCCGAGTTGCGAACGGCTGCTGCCGCAACCTTTCGATAATTATGTGGCGGAGAGCCTATCTTTTCTTGGTTCTTGTCCGGCTATGGTTTGCGCTTTCGCCAAGCTATCTACACCCTGACGAGAACTTCCAGGGGCCGGAGGTTATTGCGGGTACGTGACGTCTATCGTGACTCCTTTTCGAGGGAGGCATATTGTGTCCTTATCCTTGTCGCAAAAAGCCTTGGCTTGACGTTGCGCGACTGGGGAAAGGCGACAGTTTAGAGGCCAGTTTTAAGGACGGATCTGAGGACGGCTTGAGGGCAGCTCTGATACCAAAGGCTCTGGATCTGGACGCGTGATTTATATCTCTCTGGACAAGATACTGACGTGGTCTAATTCCAGGGCAAATATTTAGTTATCCTGTCCGACTTACCTGGGAGTTCACTACCGACCATCCGATCAGAAGCGTTTTCCCACTATGGCCCGTATACGGTCTACCGATGCTTCTGCTGAGGTGGTTATGGATAGGGAACGGCAACGACGGCGAGATCCCACCTATCGCGGTGTTCTGGACCTTGCGGGTGCTCATGTTCATCATCAGCTTTGTCCTTGAGGACTGGGCTATCCACGAGCTGGTGCAGTCCCCCCGGCATCGACGCGTCGCGGTTCTCCTTGTCGCCTCTTCCTACGTCACTTGGACGTACCAAACACACACATTCTCCAACTCCGTGGAAACTCTGGTCGTCGCGTGGTGTTTGGTGCTTATCGAGCGCATAGTTGCAAGCCCTGTAGGTGGTCTCAATCAACCTCCCATGGACAAACGCTGACGCGCTCAAACATAGAACCAGGGCTCAGTTCTTGCATCGACAGTTCTCGGCATAGTCGCTGTGTTTGGCGTGTTTAATCGAATTACTTTTCCAGCTTTCCTTCTGATACCCGGCATTCGACTATTGCCCTACTATTGGAAGAAGTAAGATCTGATCGTGACCTCGCTGCGATGTACGAATGCTGACAGATGGTACTAGTATCTTGTCTTTCGCCGTAGTCGTAGCGGCAGGACTGTGTACGACCGTAGTTGCCATTGCACTTGACACGGCCTTTTACACACCTCACTCGATCTCGTGGTCAGATCTTATACGGAACCCCGTTCTCACGCCTCTGAATAATCTCCTATACAACATCTCGCCGGACAACCTGGCTCAACATGGTCTACATCCGTGGTACCAGCACTTGCTGGTAAATCTTCCACAGCTTATCGGGCCCGCGGCTATGCTTCTTTTCATCCGGCCGCATCTCTCCCTACGGCTTTATTCGGCCATTTCGGGGATATCTGTCCTCTCTATATTCCATCACCAGGAAGCGAGGTTCTTACTTCCTACTATCCCCCTAATTTTGTCCTCCGTACGGCTACCGAAACGCGAGTCGGCCTTGCGAACCTGGACAATATCCTGGATAATCTTCAACCTTTTTTTTGGGACTTTGATGGGCGTTTATCATCAAGGAGGCATCGTGCCAGCCCAAGTCTTTATGAGCAAGCAACCAGACGCCACTCAGTCCGTTTGGTGGAAGACGTACATGCCGCCGATATGGTTACTGAATGGCAAAAACGAAGTACTTCGCACGCGCGACCTCATGGGTGTAGCCGGCGAGAAGCTGTTTGAGGAGCTCGAGCAACTTGCCACGTGCGATACTCCTGCAGACAGGAGGAGCATGGAGTACCTGAAGGAGAAAAATGGGACGTATCTCATTGCCCCAGTTTCGGCAACTTGGCTGGACCCATATCTACTAAACAAGGGCCTGGAAGGGCTGAGGTTTCGCGAAGTGTGGCGGCACCAGCAACATTTAAACTTGGATGATCTAGACTTTGCAGAGGATGGCGTTTGGAATACCCTGGGTCGAGTTATTGGGAGGAGGGGTCTTGCTATTTGGAGAGTCACGAAGAGCTGCCCTCGCCAGGGGAGATCTTAGGGACTGGATCCGTAATCAACAATTGTGTAGTGCAATGACGAGAGGTGATTTCGAATCATTGCATCACCGAACTATTTTTGGAGTCTGATGGCGGGTTTGCCCAGACCAGACATATGCGCCCGTCATGTGCGCCAAGAATGGACAAGGATGCTCATTCGTCCATGGCAGCCGACCCACTGTAATTTACCGTCGATTTCAGTGACTGACAACCTCCCTCACCTCTGGCAACGGCTCTATCAAGGGCAAGCTGGCGCGTCCCTGACCCCGTAGACAAATCCCCGCGACGAAGAAACGCTAAATTACGCAATTATGGGCGGGATAAATCTCGAGGTTTTCAAGGTAGGCTGGCATCCTGCGACCCAGTGACACGCTCTTCTTAGCCTGACGCCTCCTAGTTCGGCATGTACCTGCTGTTTCCAATTGGGACCATGTACTACTTTGGCACCAATCTCGACAGTCGCTTCGTCGTGCCGGATTTCTGGCCGAAGCCCGAGAATGCAAACAAAGTGCCTACAGACCGGGAAGAGATTCGCGAGGAGCTCGAGAGATTACGAACGAGGAGACTGTACCTCCACGAGAAGAGAATGGCCGCCAAGTCGAACAATGCGCAGGAACAGCAAAACGACTCTTAAGCCGCTGGGCGCAACGAAGCTATTGCCAACCGGGGGGGGGGGGGGGGGAGGCGATCATGGGCTGGTCTCTATGGTAATGAGACCAGAGCAGACGGGGCGATTGGGATCGGAAAATTCGGGCGTTACGGAAACCTTTGCGCGGACCAGATCATTTCTCGGATTCTACTGTACATTTTACATGTGCGATTACGTGTCTATACATCTAAATTCTCAACTATCCTTGCCCACTCCTCGTCGCTCATGTCTCCTTTTGCGACATTTGAGTATATGGACTGCACGTCTGAATATTGACGGATGGCGACGAGCAAGTCTATGAAGCTTGTTGACTCCTCCGACGAGTCCAGCTTGGATCTTGTGTCTTCGTTCGCAGACCATATGATCTCTGAGCTGAGGACGCCGAGACTGAATTTCTCCCCTATCCGGCGACACACTTGAGTTGTCTGCATGGGCTGAGTCCAAATAATGATGTTCCCATCTTCGTTGTTTTCGAGATCCTCGGCTCCCGCTTCTATCGCCTCGTCCATGATGTTGTCTACGTCCAACCCAGTATCGCCCTTCTCGAACACAACCCGGCCGAGTCTTGTGAAGAAGAATCTGGAAGCGCTTGACGCCCCCCCGGCACGCTTGACCATGTTGTTCACATCCTGCAAGACCCGGCCCTTGCTTTCTGTCTCGCAGTCGACAATGACTGCGATGGCGGGAGGTATTATGTACTCGCACGTCACCGGCTCGAGCATGTTGCCCCCGGATGACCTGCCCTGTCCGCGGGCAACAGCGTTTTCTATTACCAACTTTGGTACACCGGCTTTCTTGGCTGCTGCTACTGCCGTTGCCAATTGAGGGTTGTCCGAAAGATTCGCGCCGTAGACTAGACAGGCGCGTGAGTCTCAGGAGCTGGGTGGAGAGATGGACGACGCACGCTTTGAGTAGACGGAAATAGTTTGGGTGAATTGGGTGCGGACAACCGTCTTCTTGGCATCATTGGCAGCCTTTCCATGTCGGATCTTGGACCACTTGTTATGTCCACTTTGCAGAAGGGGGGTCGAGGAGAAGGAACGGCGGCATGGGGCGCAAAGTCGTTTGTTGACGAGTCGCAATGGGAGCGACAGACGCAGGTTGGACATTGTCCACACAATGCGGGACCGACCCCCCTCAACCGAAAGGTTGCGAGAAAAGGAAATCACGAGATCCTAGTTCACATAACAAATAAAGAGCGAGTCTCCTGCGACTGTTAAAACGTCCCCAGCTACTGTAGGTACATCGGCGCCCAAGCGTTACAGCTCACCGCCCAGGAAATTACCGCATTTTACAGCTAAATTTACCGCATTCGCTGGCTGCACCGTTCCAAGCGCTGGCAACGCAATTGTACGGCAATTGCACCTTGCCGCCGTCGCCAACGTCAACATAGTTCCAAATACGGCAATTGAAGCCCAGGACCGTAGATTCACTCAAATTATTGAAGTCTAGATTAAAAAGCGAAGCTGACTTCGGTGATTCTGATTACGTAACATGGCTAAAAATGCAATAAAACTGCAGGCCTGCTCACAACTGACAACCTTACTCATCTATGCCTTCTAATGCCCGGGCAGTCATTTGCGAGACCCTTCCACTTCGTGTAGGCCGTATAACACGACCCTCAGCCACTGCAGAGGCTGCAGGGCCATGTGAATATCGTGATGTTGTGCCGCCCCGGCTAACACGCTGCGTGCCTTGGTGTTGAGTACTGCTTGTTGCCCGGCCAGCCCGGCTCCCTGTGCCCCGAGTACTTGGTGCCCCGAGTACTTGGTGCCCCGTGTGTTTGTTGCCCGGCCAGCCCGGCCCCCTGAGCCCCGGTACCACGGCGAGCCGGGTTAAGGTTGTTGATGGTAAGGCGAGGAGGCGCCTGGCTGAGCTCGTCGTCGTCGTTGTCGTCGTCGTCGTCGTCATCGTCAAGGGTAACATCTTCCCACTGTGAAGAAGCCCGTCGAATGGAAGGCATGAGCTCGGACTGCCTGCCCGGTGGAGTAGTCGGAGCCCGCGGAGCGTTCGGCTCGGCTGCAAAAGTAGTAGTGTTGCGCGGCCTGCCCCGAAGGTGTTGAACTTTTTAAAGTCCTAGTAAGGCAGGTACTCGTCTTCATCAAGTAATGACCTTTCCAGGTACTAATCTGGATGGAAATCAACTTTCTGAAGCTTCAGAGTACCTGTCTTGTGACGTTCGAGAAGCTCGTTAGAGCAAGGAACGCCACACTGCGCCCGGAAACTACCGTTGCAAGGCTCGAGGGGTCTCGGGCGGTCTTCCAGTGCCGGTGGCATCTTTTGGTACTATTGAAGAACACAGTTGAGGGCTTCATAACACAAGTTGTAAGGAGCCTCGCCTGGCCACTGCTTTCCTAGGTAATCGTAGCGAATGGGGTTCTGTTGGTTGCGAGTCTCCTCATCAAAGGCTTCCTTCATGCCCTCCACCATGTTGAAGCTCTGTTGTACAGCCTGATCAGCTGAACTTTTGCCGGTAACAACGTGTGACTTGAAAAGTCTGTTGACTGACTCAACTGGAGATGTGGATGATTGGCCGAAGTTCTCTACCTTGTTGGTGTAACAAGTTACCCGCTGACTTGACGATGCTTTTTTGGTGGTTGCAAGAGGTCAGTTACAGTGGAAAGGTAAGGGCCGGGTTGCGTTGTGGTAAAAAGTGGTAAATTACTACGCGGCAGAATCTTGGATGTACTGGCGGGCGGGGTATGTGGACAGGGCTAGGGTCATGTATGATGGATTACCGGACGTTTTAACAGTCGCAGGAGACTCGCTCCAAATAAAAACAGAAAACAAAGTCCCAGCTGCGGCGGCCGGGGGTTCGCTGTGAATAGCTTCCCAGGCTCCAACGTTTTGAACCGAAGCTCGACAAAACTGCGCTCCAACTTGGTAGGGAGCTCCGAAAAGTGGGGGAACAGCTACAGGCGGATGATCTCTCGGCAGGCCCCCTTATTGACGTGCGAGAGGGCGCTGCTATTGGCCATCCGCAGGGGCCCCGCCACTAACGACACTTTGGAATACCTTACAGGTTGCAGTTACACCCACGGCGTACCTTATTAGTTAGCCCCTGCCGTCGTCTGGGATTCCCAAGAGGCCAGCAATAGTTGACAAGCAGGAAAATTTAAACCCACCCAAGAATCCTGCGCCAGCAAGACCGGCTCCCGAATGGCGTCGACAATATCGACTACAGATGAATTGAGCGACGTGAATGGCGAGCACCACGCGCGGATTCCAGCTGCGGCAACCAGCTCGAACCCAGAGCTCGACCTGTCCAAGCTGCAGGGCCTCCCAGCAGACCAGCAAGAGCTCTTCCTCTTAACCTTCGTCTCGACACTCGGCAAACATGTCCTGGCACTGGCTGCCGACGACTGCACGTCGCAGCAGTTTTACCTAAAGAAGGAGATATTCAAGATCCTGGGGCTCGCCGCCCCACCCCCGACCCGAGCTATACGTAACACGCTGGGCAAATGCCTCGCGCACATCTTTGCCAAGGGCGATAGGAAGCTGTTATTCGAAACAATAAATGAGCTGGTGGCTATCGTTGGCGGTGGGAAATCCAAGAATGATGCGGAAAACAAGACCAGGCACGCAGCTGTGTCCTGCTTGGGCGACGTCTATGGCTCGGCCGGTGATAGCGCCATAGGCCTGCACCAGCTGGCCTGCTCGGCGCTCTTGAAGCTCCTCAAGGCGTCCTCGACCAATGCTGGGTTGCGTGCCGCCGTCTTCACTGCGTTGGGCAAGATTGCGGCAATGATTGGGCCGAGCTTGGACGAGAACATTGCCCGCGATGTCTGGAAGCAGGGCAGAAGCTACGCCTCTAGTGACAAGGGGTCGCTCGTCGTTATCTCTGCGTGCCGCTGCTTGCAGCTCCTCCTCCAGTCTACCCCTTACTTCAGTAACTCGTCCGATTTCGATAGCCTCCGCTCAACCATGTTCAAGACCTTCGACTCGTCCTCGTCCTTGGCTCGCTCAGCCGCTGCGGACTGCTTGGCCGAGGGTCTCGCCAAGGGCTACTCTGAATCAGCTGTTGGCGATGCCCCTTTGCTTCTTATAAAAAGGTCAAAGTCCAGAGCGGTGAAGCGGCAGTCGATGCAGCCGGGTGCGCTCCAGGATGACGACGACATGCCAGCCCGGCCAGACAGCCCTGCGCCAAGTAAGAAGTCGCAGGTCTTAGCCCTTTCGCTGACGGACATGCTCAAGACCCTGACTTCGCAGTACGTCCGCATCTCTACCAGCAATAGGGCCCGGGCGGCACTTGCTATTTGTTACGGCAACATGTTGCAGAAACTCGGTGAGAAAACGGTAGAGGCCAACTATCTTCGCATTGTGGAGAACCTCACATTAGAGGTTCTAGGTCATGGAAATATTGCCAACAACCGCTACCGGCTACTAGTATCTCGGCGCATGGTGGACATCATTATCCAGGACGTTATCGGAAAGAAGATTTTGGGAGAATCCGGACAAACCACGGCTGCCAAGGCCCTCGTCAATGAGGTTCTCAAGAACTACCCGCAAACGCTCAAGGAGAAACCCGAACCTACCAAGCAGACCTTGATCGCTTCGCTAGGCGCCCTCGCCTCGCTGATCAGCAGTCTTGGCTCGGCAGCGAACAACTTTGCCGAAGCATGCCGTGACGGGCTCCTACATGTGCTTCAGCACCCGAGCTACACTGTTCAGGTTTATGCCTCGTCGTGCTTGAAATCGTTCGTGCTCGCATGCCCGCAGCAGCTACTCCCATGTCTCTCGGTGTGCATGAACAGCCTCAGCAGAGAGCTTGGACAGCTTGGCACCGGGCGGAACTCTCCTCGCAGATGCATCGGGTTTGCTCATGGCCTTGCCGCCGGCCTCAGCGCAAGCCCGCTGCGTCCTCTGTATGGCTCGGTGGACATCAACAGCCGCGTGCTTACCATGTCAACGAACCTCCTAAAGTCCAGCGGAAGCTCAGAGCTACGGGCTGCGAGCACTCAGATCCAAGTGGCATGGACCCTGATTGGTGGGTTGATGTCGCTCGGACCAAACTTCGTCAAGATCCATCTGTCGCAGCTGCTTTTGCTGTGGAAGAACGCCTTGCCAAAGGTTTTGTCGAAGGACAGTTCCGTACACAGGAATTACCTAAATGCCTCTTTTCTCACCCACGTCCGGGAGTGCGCGCTCAGCTCGATCTTGGCCTTCCTCGAGTTTAATAGCCGCCTTCTGACCGTCGACGTGTCCAAGAGGATAGCCACAATGTTGCAAAGCACAACCGCGTTTCTTAAGACTCTTCCTTCTAAAAAGACAGCAGACGACATGAGCGAGAGACTGGCACCATCCTTACAGCTCCATGACTTGGAGATCATGGTTCAGCGGAGGGTGCTTCAGTGCTACACGAAGCTTGTGAACATCAGCCCTGCTGGCGGTACTGAGACGCTACTCCAATCTAACCTGCTCACGCTGGCCATCTCGCTTTTTGCGGACCCGGAGAATTACACGCCAAGCTCCCTCAGCGCCTCGATAGCGAATACCGCAGGAACATTCGAGACAATCTGGGACGTCGGTGATAATTCAGGGTTTGGCGTGACTAGTCTTGTCCGAGGCTTTAGCATCAGACCGCTCCCCGGGCAACATGAAGCCTCCATGGACAGCCCACCGTCTGAGCAAGAACCAGAAGAGTGCATCGAAAGACTCCTCCTCTCCCCCGTGTGCGGGACTCTCGAACATGATGCCTCCCTCCTTTATATTGGCAAGCATAACAACCGTGGTCTTCCCGATCCTCCTGCGACAGAGGTGGTAAATATGGCGATCCAGCTTTTTGCCTTTGTGTTTCCTCTCAATCCCGCAAAAGTGCAAGAAAGCGTTCTAGAACAGGTGACAACGTTTGTCTCGGCCGGGTCGCTGCAGCGCGATCCTGGCCGCAAAGCGGCTACCAAAGTGAATTTGGCTACTGCCATTCTGTCCACCCTTCGGGTAGCAGTCAAGGAAACCAAATCGCCTTCTGGCGATATTACCAACATGGCGGTTGAAAAACTCATACAGGAGCTTCTCCGGCGCTACGTGTTGGACCCGGACCAGTATGTCCGCAGCATCGCATATGAGGCGGTTGCGCGGCTATGTAGCACCTGCGGCAACGCCTTTACGAACCAAGAGATCAAATTTCTTGTTGATACCATCGTCGTCAACCGAGAGCCAAGTGCACGAGCGGGCTGTGCCATGGCTCTTGGATGTATCCAGACAAAAATCGGCAGTATGGCGGCCGGGTATCATCTCAAGACCATCCTTAACATTTTGATGTCCTTGTGCAATGACCCGCACCCCACCGTCCACCACTGGGCCCTCGAGGCTATCACGCGTGTTTCTGACGCTTCCGGGCTCGGCTTCTCAAACTTCGTGTCGAGCACGCTAGTCATGATTGGAAAGCTATACGTCTCGGAGACGCACAATGCCGAAGTATCTTCTCCAGCTATCATGAACCTGGAAGTCGAACTGTCCTCGACGGCAGCCATGGCTCGGTGTGTTGACTCGTTCATCAATGTTCTCGGCCCAGACTTGCAGGACTCCGCCAGGTCCAGGGAATTGGTGTTTACTCTTGTTGGGTACTTCCAGCAGGAGGAGGACCTCGAGGTCCAGCGCGCAAGCCTTGCGTGTCTCGAACACCTTACACTCTACGCGCCCGGCCACGTAAACTTTACAGAATACGTCAAGACACTCCAACGCTATCTCAGCTCCAGTCACCCCGTTCTTCGGGACGTCGCTGTGGATGGCTTGTACAACCTCATGAAAAGAGATCCGTACGATGTTGTTGGAGCTGCAGACAAGGGGCTTGAAGACCAGCTCTGGTTGGTGCTCGACTCCGACCCATATCATGATGGAATGCGCAATACGATAAGGAATTGGATGCTCCAGACCTGCATATCTGACACTGGGTACTGGCTCGGACGCTTTCAGCATGTTCTCAAGATGACAAGACCAAAAGAAGCGGCTGCAGCCACCACCGCTGTCAGAAAATCCAAACCCGGGATCGATCTTCAAGACGAGGAGGTTGCCGGCTTTGCCGCTGCTTCGGGCGGCTCAAAGGACGACAAGGACTCGCCGAGCGGTCCCGACGTTGAGCCCCTACGATGGCAGGTGACAACCTTTGCCATGGAGTGCCTCAATGATATCTTTCTGCTCACGGCAAAAGATGTTGCCACGAACGGCGAGTCTCCGGCCCAGTTGGCTCTCCAGAGTAAGATAGCCGACGTCGTTCGCATGGCATTCTCGGCCTCCACTTCGGGAGTCCTTGAGCAGAGAATATGGGGTCTGAAGATTATTGGGGCCGTGCTGAAGATGTTTGGAAAGGTGCCGGATCCTGACTTTGAGGAAGCCATGCTTCTCGAGCAGTACCAAGCCCAGATCAGCTCGGCACTCACGCCAGCTTTCGCGGCAGACTCGTCGCCCGAGCTTGCCGCGGAGGCCGTCGATGTCTGTGCTGGCTTCATTTCTACCGGGATCGTTACGGATATCGACAGAATGGGCCGAATCCTCAAGACGCTGGTGAGCTCTCTGGAGAATTTCGCCACCGAGGACGAGAATGCCGGCATTGGTGACCTGAAAGGACTCAGCTCGAATGCGCAGGTCATGGTCAAGATGTCCGTATTTGCTGCGTGGGCCGAGCTCCAAGTCGCAAGCTCCGAGCAAAAGTATCTGCTCGACGTGCTAAAGCCACACATTGGCACATTGGCTCCCTTGTGGCTAGAGTCTCTCCGTGAATTCGCGCGGCTGCGATTCGAGCCAGATATTTCCATGACCCTGGGACCCCCATCTCTCGCCGGGAGCCTCGACACTGTCTACGCTGCCCTCAACAGAGAGACTCAGCTCAAGTTCTACCAAGACTCTTGGCTGAAGCTGGTTGATGCGATCGCCAGCCTTATCGAGCAGGATAGCGAGTTTGTGTTTGACGCCCTCGACGGAAAGGAGCTATCAGGCCCTAGCACGAACGGCCGCTCGAAAATCGCGGGCATCAACTATCGAGACGAGCCGGTAGCTTTCTTCTTCGTGCTCTTTGGCATTGCGTTCGAGGCACTCGCCACAAAGCCGGGACAGGCCGAGTCACTTGCCACCAAAGAGCAGACGCTTGATATACTCCGCGCGCTCAAGAAGATCCTCCATCCCAGCGTTTCTGGCCATGCAATCTACCGTGAGGCCATATTCTCGGAAACGATGGACCTTCTCGACCGGCTAGTGCTCACCGAGGCTCTTGACGTGCAGGGTGTTATCGTCGAGATTGCCAGGGCCTTGTGCGTGGCGCATCCCGCCGCAAAGAAGAGGGAGCAGCCAGATAACGGCGAGTTGTCTGAAGACATTGAGCAGCTGTTCGAGCTTACGCGCATCATTGTGCTTGTCCTGTCTGGACTACTGCCTACCCTGAGCGAGTCGCCGCAGCCCGTGCGCCACCAGATGACCGAGGAAGCCATGGCACTCGTCAAGACATCTCTAAGCGCGCTGGTGGATGCCGCAGAGGTCTTTCCTGCCGTCATCAAGACGGATTTACATGCCTGCATTATCCATATATTCGCGACCATTCTGGCCACTCCCTCGTGCCAGGACGCCATTGTCCCGCAGTCCCTCCCAATCTTCAAGCGATTCATAACAAGCATGTCCAGCTCTAGAAAGGTATCCGAGGGCGGCAGCTCGCCGACTGATGTACAGCTACTTGGCTGCGTTAGGCGATTTTTGTCCATTTATTTACACGCGCAAAAACGAGAAGCGTCGACATCTTTGACATGCGTCAAGAACTGCCTAATGGGCCTAACGGTCCTCTTCACCAGTGGCAAGAATCAGCTCTCGGCCCAAGAGCCGCTTGTGGAAAGATTCCTCGAGGAAATGATGGATTGTCTAACTGATCGCATGGTAAGCCGCAGCCGTCTCTTGACCCTGCTCTTTTTGGGTCTCCTTTCTTTTCCCCCCACAACCCCAAAGCTAATAAACGATCGCTCTTCTCAGACGGCCAAGATAGCCGCCAACTGCATTAGGTTGCTGCTTCTCCAGCCAAGCCCAACTCTAGCAGACCAAACCATCACTCGCCACCTCCTACCACGCCTTATTACTTTTGTATCAAATACGGAACCCGAAGACCCAGAGAATGCCCGCGCTTTGGTCTCGCACACCTTGTCCCTGTACGTTGGCGCCGTGCCCAAGGACCGCGTCCCATTCGCCATGGCGCTCGTCCTGCCGACCTTGCTGTCGCGCGCGGCGAATGAGGAAGGCACTGATGTCTACCGCGAGACGAGCGCCAGGCTGCTGGAGCTCGCCTCGGTCGACCAGGCGACTTTCAGAGGAATTGTGGGGAGTCTAAGTGAAAGCCAAAGGACCTTCATGGAAGAAGTGATTAGGTCAGGGAGGCAGAATGATGGCAAGGTACAAAGGAGTAGCGCCGACGAATCCAGCCAGCCAACAATTGCATTGAAGATGAATTTTGGCGACTGATTTGGCGGACTTGGACATGTCAGGGGCCATGGGCCAGATGAGAAGAAATACAAAGTGAAACGAGTCGTTCATGTACATTGGAGGACATGCAAGAGGAATCCGAGAAAACACGCCGGTGTCGTCGTCATTTACATATATTCTAATTTTATTGGTATACCCGCCTTTTGTATCCTTGTATGCATGCACCAAAAACCCATGGAAGAGGTAGACAACCGCCCAGCTATAGCTAGCTTGCGGCGAGGATCTCTGCTGCCTCGGGAGCAGACGTGTTATCCTGCTTCGCGTCGTACTTTCGAGCCTGCTCCTCCTCCCGCGCCCTCTTCTCGGCCTCCTTTTCCCGCTCGTGGCTGACATAGCTAGCGTAGCGCAGCGTGCCGAGCGTTAGAACCGCCATGAAGATGATACCAAGCACGGAGCGGCGGATGAGCACCCAGCGTAGGCCCTCAATTTCGGACTTGGCGTCGCTGTTGAGTGTGACGCTGATTTTGTAGTTGATTTGTTGGATCTGGAGGGGGGACATGGTTTAGTGTTGGTAAAAATAAAAGAGGGGGGGACGTATGGTGGCACTTACGGCGCTGTCGACAGTCTTTTGCTCCTCGCGCACCGCCATGCGGCGGTCATTGAACATGCCGCGCACCGTGTCGTTGAGGGTCAGCAGTTCCTGGTTCAGGCGCTGCGTGACAATGTCGCCCTCGTGCTGCAGCAGGGTGCGCTGCTGGCGTAGCAGCTCGTCGGCGACGCGGCGGTTGTTGCGCACCTCGGTGCTCAGCTCGGAGCAGGCGGCACGAAACAGGTACGTCTCGTTCTCGACGTCGCTCTTGCTCACCAGCCCCGCCTGTGCCACGTCCAGGTTCGCCGCCAGGCTACCCCGCACCGCCTTCATGGCCGTGATAGCCTGGTTCAGCGTGAAGCCGCCCGCCGTCAGGTGCTTCACGAGCGAATAGCTGTCGAAGTGGTGCACGTACGGCGGTGGCGTCAAGTGCGGCGGCGGCTTGTGCTGCTGCAGCGACGGCGTGCCGTCGTCCCCCTCCGCGGCCGTCTCGGACGAGTCGCTGCTATTGCTGCTGCCGCCTGGCCCGAGATCGGGCGGCGATGACGATGGAGCGCCCATGTAGAGGATCGCTTCCATAGGCCCGCTAGGTATCTTGCTGAGCGGGTCTTGAGGAGGCGGTGGAGATGGCGCTGGGCTGGCCTCTCCTGTCGCCGCTGCCGCTGCCGCTGCACCCTCTATTGCATGCTTGATACTGTCACTACCGCCAATGGGTGAACTACATGTAGTTGCTTCTGGATGTTTTATCGCCTGTTGTGGCGCGCTCCGTGCGGCCAGTACCGGTGGTGTTTCTATCCTTGCCGAGTCTTGCCCTTGGTCAATTCCCGGCACGCTTTGCTGGGAGACCTTCTGAGCTTCCTCTGCTCCCGTCGGCTGTGTAGCGCCAATTGACGGTGGCGGTGGCGGTGGCTGCGGCTCTACGGCCGTCCCGTGGCGCTTAATAACGACGGGCCGCCTCGCAGGCGAGGCCGTCGTGAAGGAGGCGGCGGCATGTTGGCACGACGGCGGTTTGCGAGCGGACTTTTGCTGTGAAACTGGCGCGGTTGCTCGTATTCGTAGCGTGGATCGAGCTGATGCTGTCCGGTCGCCTAGACGGCCTGTCCGACACAGGTGCGGGTATAGAAAGGTCAGCCGGTTCGTTGCCATAGTATGTAGGCAGCTTCGTCAGTCGAGGTTGGCAGGCTCGGGCAGGATGACGGATGTGAATGCGAGATCCTGGACCGAGACCCAGCGGTGCGGGTTGGAGCTGCAGGTGACAATCTTCGTTAATTCAGGACTTGCCGAGCTAGTTCACTACGGTCTAGTTACATCTTTCTCGGCCTTAGCCTCAAACGGTAGAGTCCAATCCCAGAATGACTGCTAGCACGGTACTTTATATATACTTAAGCAGAACAACAATTACGTGCATTAAATTAGCCAAGAACGGCGTTTACCAGGCATTCAAACTATGGAGGTACGCATGCAAGATATAGATTAATTGTTCCCAGACTATAGCTTCCATCTTTCAGTAAATTCTTCAAGGCGAGCCAGAAGGTCCTAAGATTTTCAGATCTTGGGATGTTCCCCGCTAATATGCATCCAGGGATTAGACAGTAAGATGGTTGGCGTCCAATGAGCTGCTGGTTGTCGTCCACACCTCTACGGCAATGACGATCGTTGGCCTGCCCCCTGTCAAATTCCAGGTGGAAGAAGCTCTGACCTTCCAGTCAACCAAGAGGCACTGTGGATGGGCGAGCGCACCGATGGCAAACACAGCGGAACAGATCTCATTCAACCGTTGCAGTTATTCCATCTACTAAATTAGTATGGATTCCCCGTTCGCTATATTGCCCGAGTCTCAATTTTGCAATTCCATAGCAGGCAGCCATCCAAGCTCGCAATTCTTTTCACTTTGTGCACCACGTTTGGAAGCCTAGCTTGATTTGCGCCCGAATGAACTCGGGCTGCGAGACTCCCTTTGACGCTTAGGCTTGTTGAGTCGTCAGTTCCAGTTCCAGATCCAGAACACCACCATCGCTAGCAGCCAGCAAGGAAGCTCACTCCGGCCTGAACCCAACCCTTGCCTAACTCCTGCGGTCCCGCTTGCTGCTTCCATTTATATTTGGAGATTGAGCGAGCAAAGACCCATCTAGGGAGGCGCGTTTCGGTCCTGGGTTGACGTCGCAAATCGGGACCAAACCAAGCGACGACTACCTGAATCTTCGTCTGACTTCCATGTACGTGCGTGTATCTTTGTTGCCTCTGCCATCATATCATCCCCCACTCTCGCTCTATATAAAATGCAGCAAGTATTGCACGTTTCAAGCCACCAGCCTTCCAGGATAGGCATTGCGATTCTTGGCCATTGCTTTCTCTTTCTCTCTTTTAGTTTATTACGCTACGCTCGCTGTGGCGGTATCATGGCTCTTTGGCGCCCAGACTTACAGCACAGTGTTGCTCTAGTTCCCGTCATAACTACTCTGGCAGCAATCCCCATACTCGCGTACTGGCGGCGAATGGCCCCCTCTCCGCCCGGTTCGTATCTCTTGGGTGACAGCCACTGTATGGAGCAGCCTTCCTGACATTTTCCACACAGATGCAAAAGCTACGGACCCGCCTCTGCTTGAGAGAAACTCCGAGCTGAAGAGTTACACAACAACACGAGCAACTTACCCTAGAATCCGCGTCTTCTACAGACGCCACCAACAAGCCAACCAGCTCCCAACCTCGCCAGCGCCCGTCCCACTGCTCGTTTTCATCCACGGCCTAGGAGGTTCGGTCGCCCAGTTCAACTCGTTGCTTACCAGCCTCACCCCCATTGCCTCATGTTTGGCCGTGGATCTCCCAGGATGTGGCGTCTCAGACTTTGAACCCCGTTCTTGGGATGCTTACAAACTAGCCGCACTGGTCGAGCTACTCGAGACGGTCATCGACGACTATCGTGAAAAAAAGGATGGCCAAGGTGTTGTGCTCATCGGCCACAGCCTGGGTGCCTCGCTAGCTACACTCCTCGCCAATCCAAGAGTCGGGGGGGGCCAGACCCTGCTGAGTAAATACGTCCTAGGACTGGTAGCTATATGTCCATCGACGACACCGCCGCTTAAGGTGCAGGCCTCACTATTGCGGAAGTTGTTCTATCTTCCTAACTTTGTCATCGATTTATGGCGGGCATGGGACGCGAGGGGTGGACTTGAGAGCCGAAGTGTCCACAGGTTCGTTGGCGCAGATGCTGATGCAGAAACCAAACGGCTCCAGGCTCTTTTTAACGGCCAAAGTCGGACTCCTGTCTTCAAACGCGTAGCATATGGAGCCATTCCAACCGTGTTCAAGGAAGTTGTTGTCAACGGCGTCAAGTTTGACGGGATTCCTGCGGATAGCATCCCAACAGTCTTCGAATGGTTGTCGTTGGCTATTCCGGTGTTTTTGATTGGCGGAGAAGCTGACGAGGTAACGCCACCAAAGAGCATTGAAGCCCTTGGAGAGTGTCTAAGTGGCGAGAGCATCACACCATCCAATGCCAGTGCTGCTCGGTTGGGAAACACGAATGCTCCAGCCCAGCCACAAAACCCCAAGTCCTCGGCGGATAACGTCGCTGAGCTCCGAGATGAAGATTTTGAACAAGTGGAAAGAAACGGCGGCACGGACGAGCCAACCGATGACCCAGTAATCCCCAACGAGCTGCCAGCAACAATTCCCCCGCTGCCTTTGCACCCCAAAAAGGTTGTCAAGACACTTATCATGCCCAAGCCCGCCAGCCACGGCTTGCTATACACACCAACTACGGCCCCCGTCCTTGCGGGTCTGATATCGGACTTCTTAGCCAACCATGTCACTGGGCGTCTTGCGCTGAGCTGGCAGCTCCAATACCTCTGCCAAGACGGCAAATGGGACGTAAAGAACCTGGAGAAGTGGCAGAAGGTCGAGCCCGTCTCGGAGCAGATTGGTGGCGTCTTTCGTGCCATGAAGACGCTGCGGCAAGTGGACGAGACGCACTGCCCAGAAGTGTTCACGGAGCGTTGGGGGGGTGTGATCAAGGATATCATCGACATTTCACATGATAACCCAGTATACGACCCACAAGGCCTAGAGACTGGGAGTATTCGCTACCACAAGTTCCCGACCGTATCCAAGGTGCCACCCTCGGACGTCGAGGTCAAAGGCTTTATTGACCTCGTCGACAAGGTCCGCGCCGACCAGAAGAAGCGCGCAGAATCGGAAAACTGGGGCGATAACTATGCTGTGGGCGTTCATTGCCATTACGGCTTCAACCGGACGGGCTATTTCTTGGTGTGCTATTTGGTGGAACGCTGCGGCTTCACGACGCAGGGTGCCATTGAACATTTTGCAGAGGCCCGGCCGAAGGGCATCAAGCACGCACATTTCAAAGACCGCCTGTTTGTTCGCTATTCGGGAGTCAAGGCCGATCATATATGACGGGATCAACTGCCGTGTAAATAGTAGCCCTGTTTGTGTCTCTTTTACCTTTCCTTGTTTCGCCCTGGTATCGTCTATTTCGAGAGTGATGAGTTGCTTCTGGAGGTTCAGCGGTACTTGGGTCGAGGGTTCGGTTCCTGCGCGGGCTACTGGCGACTCTTTGAGAGCGTTGGGGCACGCATCGGCATCTTTGTGTTGGTACTAGCACTGAATTGTTGTATTTTGTTATAGTTCTCTGTCTCGCAAGAGTTTTGGTGTTTTTCGGGTGGCTTTTACTCTCGACATAGTACTCCTTCTCCGGGGGCCCAGTCTTTGAGACTCTTATGTAGTAGCTTTTATGATGCCTTAATGTTGTTCATTCTCCAGCTCTGAAGAGTGTCTATACTTTTCGGTATTTATATCGTAATACGTAGGTACGTGACGGGCCGTCCTGAAAGTTTTCACTGAACGGAGGTGATGAGTCTCAGAGCCCCTAATATGGAATAAAGGGCCCTCGAGACGTTAAACGAATACAACGACAACCGCCCGACCAGCACACCACGAACTCTGTCGCCGCCATTCACAGCCGAAACTTTGGCTCGGGGCATAAAAGCCCGCCGAGTCTCTACCCTTGCGAGATTTTCTCGGTTTTTGCGGGGGCTTTTACGTGTTGCAAGCTACAAATTCAGGGAGCTTGAAGTCAAGTTTCCCGCTTTCCTGGTAGATTTGTTGGTAAGTCAGGTGGTGGCTTGGTTAAAAGAGGCGACAACAGGCTAGAGGTAGCCGCACTCAAAGCCCACATCAATGGATCGATATCTGCTATCTGAGAGACCCGCGACAAAGACTTCCATTGCACATACAATCACGAAAGCTCGCCCTTGCTAGCTAGATAAGCTGCTCCAGAATCAGCCCAAACCTCATACTTAATAACCTTGAGGCAGTCATTGAACTCGAGCACATAGGTAAAGACCTCGTCCCAGTTCTGCCTAGTGCTTGTCCACGTAAACGTCGCCTCGCCGCGCACCGAGACCTTTCCCGCCGCAGCATCGACGATGTAATTGCCGAATCTCATGTTGGCATACGTGAGACACCGCGAGATTATCCCCAGATATTCGCCGAGGCCTGCCGAGCCCCTGAACTCGCGGCCGAGAAAGGGCGCGAGCTGCGGCAGGCCGTGCTCTAGCACTAGAATCTCGTCGTCCTCGTCGGAGAAGAAGCCGGCCAGCTGCTCGGGCAACTTCTGGGCTGCGAACGCCTCGCAGAAGTCAATCGCGGCTTCGAGGAGCGAGCTACGGCTGTAGGTGCTCATGGCGGTGTGGTGGTGGCCACTTCCTTATAGTGTATGCATGTACTGTATTGTGCATGTACGGGCGCCTCGTCTACACTTGGAGCGCTAGATATGGCGAGAGAGATAGGCTGTGGGAAATAGTGGGCCTGGGGAGATAGGCAATTGCCGGAAGCTCGAGGCAGACTCGAGGTGGTGGCTCTCACGTGGGGGGTTCGGGTCTCTCTTCCCCGGTTCCATTTCAGCCAGCCGCAGGCGTATCCTTGCATGGGGGGACGTCATCTGACTGCTGGCTGTCAGCCCTACGCTAACCTGTAACTCGGGTGCATTAGGCAACTAGCCCCCCTTCTGCAGGAGGTGCTAGCGCTAAAAGGGAGCTGGCTGCACACCGAACTTAAACCAAACGTCGCCTTTACGTTTATTTCCGATTTGGACGGGGTTAGCCAACTCTTATTCTTCCTTCCCGCGCACGCGCCCCAGGGGTTTCCTTTCTAGTTCTCGCACACGCCGCCGCAATGGTGCACTCCGAACGGACGCCTCTTCTGGCCGGCTCTCCGACAGCTTCAGAACATTCGGATGCCCGCGCCGAGGCGGAAGATGCCGCTCTGTATGACATGCCCGCTCCCGCTCGCGACAGCCGCCCTTGGGCTTCGCGTCTGCGCGAGCTTGCCCTGTTCACCTGGGCTCTTCTAGCCACGGCCGCCGTCATTGTGCTGGCCGTTGTACTGCAGCACCGCAGCTTGGCAACAGGGACGACAGCCTCGGCAAACTTGGCCCACAACACGGCCACTGCCTCTGCCTCCCCCAAGGCACCCGGCAAGCGCAACCTCATCTTTATGGTCTCGGACGGTATGGGCCCTGCTTCGCTCTCCCTCACGCGCTCGTTCCGCCAGCTGGTCTATGACCTCCCAATCGATAACACCCTGACGCTGGATCGTCACTTCTGGGGAACATCCCGAACAAGATCCACCTCGAGCCTGGTGACAGACTCGGCCGCCGGCGCGACCGCCTTTTCCTGTGGCCACAAGAGCTATAACGGCGCCATTTCGATGCTGCCAAACTTTACCCCCTGCGGAACCGTGCTCGAGGCCGCCAAGCGCGCCGGCTATGCGACGGGCCTGGTGGTGACCACTGACATTACCGACGCCACGCCCGCTTGCTTCGCCGCCCATGTCAACTACCGGACACAGGAGAACGAGATCGCGTTGCAAGAGATTGGCGAGGGCGTGCTGGGCCGGACTGTTGACCTCATCCTCGGCGGCGGCCGGTGCCATTTCCTGCCCAACTCGACCGCGGGAAGCTGCCGCGCCGACGATATCGACGTGGCCAGAATCGCGCAGAAGAAGCACGGCTGGGCCTATGCCAATGACCGCGCCGGTTTCGATGCCCTCGCCATGGGCAAGAACGTCTCGCTGCCGCTGCTCGGCCTGTTTGCCTCCTTGGACATTCCCTTTGAGATCGACCGGAGCCACATGGCCGACGTGTACCCCAGCCTCACGGAGATGACCGCGACAGCTCTAGCTGCCCTCGAAGAAGCCACCAAGGACAGCGATAAGGGGTTCTTCCTCATGATCGAGGGCAGCCGCATCGACCACGCCGGCCATTTCAATGACCCTGCCGCACAGGTCCGCGAGGTTATCGAGTATGACAAGGCCTTCAAGATGGTCTTGGACTTTCTTGACGATTCCGACACCGAGGGTGTGCTGGTCGCGACAAGCGACCACGAAACCGGCGGCCTATCTACAGCGTGGCGTAAGTCACTGTCCCTGACCCCTCATATCATCAACTACAGATTTTAACATGACCATCTTCTCCTCAGAGGGACCAGGTGAGTTGCCGGTATACAGGTGGCACCCATCGGTTCTCGCGAAGGCCCAAGCGTCGGGCGAGTACCTTTCCCGTCTGCTGCGGGAGCACATCGCCGCCAACCCCAGCGAATCAACCGAGGCGCTGTACGCGTGGATCACCGCCCTGGTCGTGGACCGCCTAGGGATCACCGACGCGCTCGAGGTCGAGATTAACGCTCTCGCCTCCAATCCGACCGACGCCACGGCGCTCTTCTCGCGCATGGTCAGCTTCCGCGCCCGCATCGGCTGGAGCACGCACGGCCACAGCGCCGTCGACGTCAACGTCTACAGCTCCGGCGGACACGGGGCCGACCGCCTGCGCGGCAACGTCGAGAACACTGAGATCGGCATCTTCCTCCACGACTATCTTGCCGTCGACGTCGACGCCATCACGGCGGAACTCCGGGAGAAAATGCAGCCCAACCAGGAGGAGCAGGACAAGCTGATACAGATGCTGGCAGAGGCCGAGGGCGATTCGGCCGCTCAGTTAGAAAACGGGAACCATCCGGCAGATTGGCTGGCGCAGTTTAATCCACTTTGATCCAGGCTTTCTCTTCTCCTCCTCTGTACTTGATACGTACGTCGGTCCCATGTTTCAAGCCCACTGAATGAAGCAACGGACCAGAGCTAGCTAGGTACTTTGCACTCTTCTAGTTCAGCCACAGCAGCGGTAGGTGTGGTTTGGTTATCATTATCACTAGTAATACTCGAAGAATAAACACCTCGTAATACCACAACTCAGGGCCAAAATATTTAACGTCTTTTATTTACAAATTCAATTCCTGTTTGACGAACCCAACAAATTTCAGGACAATCCTAGGCCCCAGAACTCGTGTCAAAGTGTGTTAATAAGGTCCCCAAGACGAGCGTAAAAACAGTACATAATATATAGAATGGAGAGGGTATGTTAGACTGCATATATGTTAGACTGCATACAGAATGTTTCCCCAAAATACGGCGCATATCCGACTATCCGTCACCCACCTCACTTCGTGATTGGTCATTTAACTACCTTGGCTATCATCAATCATAAACACCACGAAACCATTCAACTCATAAACCCCCAAGACACGGGAGGCCGGAAGACTCTTCAGATCCAGAATATAACCCGCACGCCCGCTGATGCACCACACTAGACTCTCACTAGTCAGAAAAGTCTGATTCGTGGAGTTCATCGGGGTCGTCCGGATAAATGATATCGAGGCGCCCTCCAAAAAACTCCTCTATATTCCTTGTGAGCCACATCTCCTCTTTCTCCGAGAGCCTGATGTCCCAGGCCTGGTTCTCGATGCTGATCTGCAGGCCCTCGTGATTCTCTCTGCCATCAATGGACATCCTAGCCAGGAACTTCAGCAAGCCTTCAAACGAGAATGTCGAGAAGCTAAACACGAAGAGTAGCTTCAGATGCGATAGTGACGAGAGCGGTTCGAGAAAGTCGTCAACAAAAAGGTCGCCGTCCAGTCTGAGATCTTCCAGGTTCGGCACTGCCGCGGCGATCTTGGTGACGTCTTCGAGCGTGAAGAGCTCGTTGGTGTTGAGCTCGCGCAGCTTGGTGCAGCTGCAGATTGAGTCGGCAAAGAGCGCGTGCCTCGTCTCGGCAACTTCCAAAAGGTCCTCGTCGTTAATCAAGACCTTCAGATGTCTGAGATCGTGCTGGCAAGCGAGGGATATGTAGAAGGCGTCATTGACATCAACTAGATTGATGTATAGGGAGGTGAGCCGAATTTCGGGGGTTTTCAGGACATCGGCAAGGATAGTAGCGGAATTCGGCACCAGCCGGAACTCAAGGTCCTTGAGAGAGGTGCACTGCCGCAACCACAGAGTCACATCCTCCAACGATTTCTTGGACGTGTTTTCCCATGCGAAACGCGTGGCCTGGAAACTCGCCTCCAGCGTCAACGACTTGAGTCCAAGACAATCGCTCAGGTTATGCAATGACTCCAAGGCTGGTTGCTCAAGACTGAACAACCTGAGTCGGTTTAGTGAGAGGGCATGGTGACTCAGAGCCTTGAAAGTCTCGGCCCCAATATCGTTTGTGCTCCTGATGGTGAATGACTCTGCAGGGGCCTGGTCAGTCCGCCGAAGACGGTTACTCGCGAGTTGTCTACTTACCTAGGGTGTTAGGCGCGAGAGCGCGAAAGAAGGCGGCCAGCTGAACATCTCCGTTTCTGCAGGAGTAGCAGAGCCTAGCATGGAAACAGTCAGTATAATAGAGTTTAGGGAATGAAAACTTAAACTTACAGCTCGTTGAAGGAAGGGCAGTTTACCCGGATGGCTTCGGCCACGCTGGCATTGAGAACCTCGCCATCGCCGACCATCAACGTAGCCAGCCGCGACAAGTCGGCGACCCAGCTTGGCAGGTTGGCATTCGGGAGCCGGTGTGCGTCTAGGGTGGTCAGGCCCACGACTTTGTCCTCCTCGTCGGCGGCGGCCTTGATGGACTTGATGACCGTGTCGGCCATGGTGGTGACAATGGCGTCCAAGTTGAGGCCACGGTCTTTCCGAATCTGCAGCGTGTGCAGAGGCGGACTGAAGAACTGGGCTCGCTGCTTGCCATTCTCCCGCGCAAGATCATCCAGGAACGAGTGGAGGGCGGTAAGCTGCAGTGTCTTGATCCACCGACAGTATGGGTAGAGCGTGGCGCCCATGCTGGACGAGATGATGGAGCGCCACAGACATACCAAGGTTTCGGTAAAGAAGATGTGAGCATTGCTTGCAGGCGACGATTCGTGAAAACTATATAGCAGCGGCAATGCTAGGTTTGCCAGGCCGCGGCTGGCCTGGGCACAGTGAAAAAGCGAGTTGAAGTCCTCGTGATCCGCGAGTTCCTGTACGACAAGCCACCACATTTCCTGTGGGAGCACAAGGCCTCTGTTAAAGGTCTTGTTGTACTGCACATGTGGTGAAACCGACGCCCGCGCGTCGTCTCCCTCCATCGCGTCGTACCGGACTTTCAAAGAAGATAGTATGTATATGGATGAGACCAAACCTAGATCTCACTGTTAAAAAAAATTTGTGGCTTTTTAAGCATAAGCAATTCGAGCCGCCGCGTCGCGTGTGGATAGTGGCAGCTTCAGGTCGATGAACTTGCGTGGAGGTCGCGTGTTGTTGACGCCATCAAAAACGGTTTATCCGCCTCATTACGCGTCTTCCGGCCTGTAAGTGCTCGCCTGGTAGCACCTGTAGTGTGCGCTCTAGGATCCTTTGTTAGGTAAGCTCCCCCAAGCGCGCCTTCCTATAGCGGGCATCCCATCTAATAGAAATCGCGGTCGCCCCTTCCCATTTGCCAATCGCAGAAATGCAACCCAGCACGCCTTCCTCTTGTTTAGGTGGTATCGAGGAATGCAAGGTGCTGTATGTACTCTGTACATTCCCTGCCAGTGCTAGGTCTTGCCTTCCATATTCCGACTTTAACCAGAGATCGATTATTAGAGCCCATCGCGCATGTCGTCTCTAGACTAAATAGGCTGGGCTCAATATGGCCGTCTTAAATTTCACGCTGAGTGAGGAGGGGGTTGCCGTGTTCCACGACGCTCTTTCCTGCATGTTCAAGTTCAGCGACGATGTCTGTCTCGAGGCACGGAAAGACAAGGTGTGCATTCAACCCATCTCGAGATGCCAAGCTAGTCGAATTTGCTAATGAGCACACTGCGTTCCTCTAGTTGACTTTGACGACACTAAACATTTCCAAATCCGCTTACATCTGCTTCTCCTTCTCGGCCCCCAGGTTTTTCTCGCGCTATCAGTTTGAGGGCAATGCCCAGTACCGGGAGAGGTTCTTCTGCCAGCTCTACAACAAGGTATGTTTTCGTGCTCTGGAAATTCCGAAAACCGTGAGTAATACGCAGAATCGTCTGACACGGCAGCTCAAGTCTCTTCTTTCGGTTTTCCGCACACGCCAGGGTGGAGACCAGGCCCGAGACGGCAGCGTTACAATAGAGCGCTGCGATGTGACAATTAACGATGGACCCAGCAAGAAGAGCCGTCTTGTGGCCAAAATTGCCTGCAGGAACGGTACGTCTTCATCTGAACCGAGTGGTATCTGGAATCTGTCTTACAGGGTACAGGAATCACGGCTTCGCATTCGCTGTCGTTTGAAATCAAGGCTCCGACGCATGCCAAATTTGACAATACGGAGGCACAGAATCGCTGGACAATATCGTCGAGAACGCTGCGCCAACTCATGGATCACTTTGGCCCCGGAATCGAGCTCCTCGACATTAACACAGACGACGAGACGCGAGTCGTAAATTTCACGTGCTTCACAGAGAAGGTGCAAAAGCGCGGTGCCAATGCCAACGAAGGTGGGTTCTAACACTATTACCCACATATCTATATTTTTATACCAGAGACTGACAGCCCCAAGCTGTCCTCAAGAAGCCCCTTCACACTAACATTGCTGTTGAGATGGATGAATTTGACGATGTACAGGTCAAGGACAAGCTGCACATCATCATCAGCGTCAAGGATTTCCGCGCCATTCTCCAACATGCCCAGATTACCAGCGGCGAGCTAGCAACGTGGTACTCGAACCCGGGACGACCTATGAAGCTATCTTATGGCGGAGACGGTATCCTGTGCGAGTTCGTCCTGATGACTGTTGGAGAAAAGGACGCCATGAGCCAGAAGCACAAAAATCCTCGGCCAAACGCAGCGAAGGCTGCCAGGTCAGAACTTGACTCAGTATCGCATCGTGACAGCTCTGTCACGAACGAAACCCGCCAGGCTCAAGCGAGTGCACCAAAACCGCCTCAGCAGAAAACACAAATCCGACCCCGTCAACCGCAGTTCGAGATCCGTCCGCAACCGATGCCGTCTCCAGCCAGTATAAGATCCGACGCGCTGTTCGTCGGCCAGGCCGATGATGACCAGCTATGGGAGCCCGTCAACCCGGGCGAGGATGAGGACGAGGGCGACAATGCGAGGCTGGAGTGGCGTGCAACTGACGAACCGGTAATGTAAATGTTCCGCCCCTATCTGATCAGCTCACTAACAGCCAGACCAAGAGCACATCCCTCCGTATCAGCAGCTTTATCCCAAAGGCAGCTGTACCGCCAGAAGCAGCGGCCGATCCCGAGAGGCTTGTGTCGGGACTCGAGCCAACCCAGAGGCTGTCTGAAGTATGTCACACACTGCGTGTTAACCATCGGTAGCGTAACACTAACTGATCATTTGTAGGTCCGCCGGTTTGGCCTTTTCTCTCCCTGATGGCGAGAATCGCATGGAATTGGCGTTTCCGTTTCGAGGCGTAAGCTGGGGGGTGGGGATAGCATTCCTTTGGGAACGTCAGGTTTGGGGCGATTCAAGAGGATACTCGGTTGGCATTTCGATGGCTACCCAACTGGTCGCACATCCTGCACCGATTGCCGTGATTTCAGAGCCGGGAGGGATAAACTTGGACGATGCAATTACATTATGTTGACCCTTTGCCTTGTCCGCGCTGTCAAGTGGCCCGCAGTTGCCATGCTCGCCCCACCCCCATGCAGTGACCTGACCGTCCTTGCTCAAGGCTAGCACATGCTCGCTCCCGACAGCAATGCTTTTGGTCCGAGGAATGTTCGCAGGGGCGAGTTGCCCGTGTTCATTGCGTCCCCAGCTAGTGACGCTGCCATCCTCGCTCAGCACGAAGACATTGCCCCAGCTTGCCGCAACCTCCTTCCAGCCGACAAGGCGGCTCGGGGCCCCAGACTTGACCCCCCACTTGTCCGACCCAAGCACGGCAATGTCTCCGCTAGCGGAATCGCCAACGAGGCATGTAAATTCGCGGCCGCAGACGGCCTTGGCCACCCTGAAGCCTACGCCGTCGATCATCTGGGGCGAGTGGATGAAGGTCTCGGAGGTGCCGAGCTGGCCCTTCCGCCCGTTCCCCCAGCCCCACGCCTCCCCGTTGCTTAAGACGGCAACCACGTGGCCCATGCAGGCCGAAAGGTCGATGATTTCGGTGCCAGGTGGCGGGAAGTTAGGGATCTCGGCGGGAATCGGGGTGCGGAAGATGAAGCTGCCCAGCCCGAGCTCGCCTTTCAGCCCAGAACCGAAGCTGTAGACCTTGGTGTTCCTCCCGTGCTCGTCCAGCCGCGTGACGACAGACGCCTCCCACGTCGCTGCTGCGAGGTGCACCTTGAAGGCCGCCGACTCTTGCTGACCCTGGGCTGCTGGCAAAGAGAGGTTGACTGGGCGGAATTTCGAGGGGAGCGCTGCGCGGGCGGCCGTGACCTTTCCGCACGCTCCCGTGCTCGAGTCTCCGGCCCAAAAAATATCGCCCGTCCCCGTAAGCAGCAGCGTGTGGTTGCCGCCAGCAATAATGCGCTTCAGCGAGGATGGATGGCGGTCGGCGTCGTCGTCATCGAAGAGTACTTGCTTCGGGACCGACACGTCCTCTTTGTGGCCAATCCCCAGCTGCCCCGACCCATTGGAGCCGAGCGAGAAGAGAAGTAGCATCTTGTAGATGTCTGTGCGGCCAGCGTATGTTCAGTTGCCCGATAGCTCTTTGCTTGGGCGTCTCTGCCTTGGGTTGAGCCTTTCCGGGATCATGAGATGGTTCAGGCCACTTTCGAGATGCGTAAGGAAACCTAGGTAAGGTTACCTTACGTATCCATCCAGTGCGGTGCGGAGTTTGCCATTGATGGTGCACAGTGTGGGGAGCAATCGCTTCGCACTGATAAGGAAGTAAAATTTTCCATTGGCCCACAGTCCAGAACAAAGTGGGGCAATAGATTTTCTCACCTTGCATAAATTCTCCTTGATCAAGCTTCTTTTAATTCGTCCCTTCTTCTCTTTCCACATCGCAACCACACATCGCAACCACACATCGCAGTCTCACGACGGCCTAAGTCTCTCGATTCACTGACACCCGCCTGCTGCATGGGATGCCGCAGGATGTGAGCTCTGCCATAAGACGACGCTCTGCAATCTGCTGCGCTCTTTTTTGAGTTGACCTAGCCACGCAAACTATGGCGGCTGCAACTCCTCCCGATATGGAGAATTTTGTGGTCGGCCTGATTGGCATGGGCGACATGGGCAAGATGTACGCCCGGAGACTGAGCACCGCTGGATGGAGGTAATGCCTGATGGCCCGACATTTTTCTTCCTGCCACCCGTTTGCGGCGTCATGCCTGCTGGCTGGACGTGGCGACTGTTGACGCTTCATCGACTGCTGATACCGCAAAACCGACACCCTTCTCGATTGGTAAGCTTCATTCTTTACTTTAGCTCTCTGGAGCATCCCAACCCAACCCCCTTCACATGATGACTTGAGTGCATTTGGCTAGAGCATCGCTCGTGGGGCGGCCGGCAAGCCTTTCTGGCCCCGATCTGCTCCGCTTGCTTTCCATGATGAAAAATCTCAGCTACCTTATTATTTTCGTCTGACATATTACATTACACCCGGATCTTACCTGAGGCAGCTTCTAGCTTTGAACAGCGCGCTGACCTCATGAACAGATATGATTCTCGTGACAACGAACGCACATTGGGGATGTGCTAATAGTAGTTATTGGTCAGAGTTATGGCCTGCGATAGAGAAGAAAAATACGATGATCTAGTCAAGGAGTTTCCAGAGAATGTATGGCCGTAATCTATTGTCTAACCTGACCTTGGTCTCGCCGCGACGCCAGTGCTGAGAATCCGTGTCTTTTCTAGAGCAACGTGCAGATTCTCCGCAACGGGCATCTCGTGTCGCGAGCCAGCAACTACATCATTTATAGTGTTGAGGCGGCCGCTATTGGCCGTGTCGTCTCCCAGTTTGGTCCATGTGTGTCCTGTCTCGCGATCCTGCCCATATCCTGTGTCGACGCGCTTGCTCACTCGCTTTGCGGCCCATAGCTACTAAACTGGGCGCCATCGTGGGCGGCCAGACGTCGTGTAAGGACCCCGAGATCAAGGCGTTCGAGGAGTACCTGCCGAGCGACGTAGACATTGTGTCGTGCCACTCGCTCCACGGCCCGAGTGTCGACTCACGGGGACAGCCGCTCGTGCTCATCAAGCACCGCGCCTCGGACGAGTCATTCGCCAGGGTCGAGACGGTTCTGCGGTGTCTAGGGTCTACTCACGTCTACTTGACGGCCAAGGAGCACGACCGCATTACGGCCGACACGCAAGCCGTCACGCATGCGGCCTTCCTGAGCATGGGAAAGGCGTGGCACGCCACCAAGCAGTTTCCTTGGGAGGGAGCGCGTTACGTCGGCGGCATCGAGAACGTCAAGATCAACCTCATGCTCCGCATCTACGCCCAAAAGTGGCATGTATACGCAGGGCTGGCCATCCTCAACCCCGAGGCACATAAGCAGATTAACCAGTTCGCCAAGTCCACGACAGAACTGTACCACCTGATGCTCGAGGGCCGGCGCGATGAGCTGCGCGACCGCGTCTACGCCGCCAAGGAGAAGGTGTTTGGCGCCGAGGGCAATCCCAAGTGGGCGGCCCAGCCGCTGCTGCGCGACGACGTGCTCGACCGCTTCAGTCTGGGCAAGCGCCCCGACAGCCCACCGCTGCCCAACAACCACCTCAGCCTGCTGGCCATGGTCGACTGCTGGAGCGCCCTGGGCATCGTGCCCTACGACCACATGATCTGCTCCACCCCGCTCTTCCGCCTGTGGCTCGGCGTCACCGAGCACGTCTACCGCACCCCCGGCCTACTCGACGAGTGCCTACGCGTCGGCCTCGACGACAACACGTTCCGCCGCGACGACCTGCACTTTACCATTGCCGCCTGCGGCTGGGCCGAGTGCGTCGCGCTCCGCCAGTTCGAGACGTGGCGTGAGCGCTTCGCCGTCACCCAGAAGTTCTTTGAGCCGCGCTTTGCCGGCGCCATGGAGGTGGGCAATGCCATGATTAAGTCCGTTCTCGAGAGCTCCAAGGAGTGAGGTCTGCATTTTATTTTTATCTTGCTTGTTTCCGTAACACACGGCCGAGAGAGAGTTGTGCGCGTGTGCACTCTGCGATTTAGGAGCGCTGGCCCTTTATGCGTGGTTTCTAGAATTGATATCCATAAAGGTGGTCTATCACTCTGTTGACGGGGAGTCTCTTCGGCCAAAAGTCGCCTAACCTGATCTTGGATGACGGCTTGACAGCAAAGAAAGCGGTTTGTTGAATGTGTGAGTCATGGGTTGATGATACGTGGAGAGATAAAGGTCGCTTCGCCGCGGTTTGCTTCGCAATTGTGGGTTATCTTGGATATCGGCCCGTGCGTGTGTCCGTGTATGTGTGTCTGTGTGTGTTTGGCAGGCTACAATCATGAACGATGCGCTGCCGAAATCTATTCTTGACGACAACTTTGCGATTATTACTCTCGCCGTCCCGTCTTTTGCACTTTTGCTAGCCGCGCCACGGAAACGGTATGTAGGTGGTAGTCGTAGTGGTGACGTCGCAACCCGAGTTTCCGAGAGTCCCAAAAAGTCGCCGACATCGCTCTCTCTCACCCTCCCTCCTTATCGCAGCCAGCTGGGTTTGGTTGCCTACATACAATATTTTATTGATGGAAACAAACAGTCAGCAGTCTTATACAGACCGAGTTTGGCATTTCTGTGCCGCGCCCGACCACACTCACTGGCGCGCTGCCTCGGTACTTGCTTTATCCGGTGCTGCTGCTACTGCTGCTGCTGCTACTGCTGCTGCTGCTACTGCTGCTACCGGTAACCGTCCCTCTCGCCCCTATCTTGTCACTTACATACTATCAGCCGTGCTTCGGTCACCTCGTCTCTAGAAGCCTTCTATCCGGGGTACTTAAATTAAAAAACTGGGGAAAGCCGAACTTTCCCGTCTCCTTCTATCTGGATGGCATGCAATGTACACACGACTGTCTTCGATAAGGGACACTAATACTACGTGCTTTCTAGGTACCTGGTGTATGTATAACACACGGCTCGAGAGGAGAGAGGAACAAGTCGTAGGTGTGTAGACAGGTATGTAGACAGATAGATAGATGCAGGCCACGCGTCTCTCCTCTGGTTGATACGACATACGTAAAGAACATATGGCCCCCTATTTCCAGTTGCTTGCTTGCTCGCTTGCTCGCTCTCGGTCGCTCAGGCAACACAGCATATTACAGATATATATAGCACACCGTTCGGACCGCACACACGCGGAAGTGAGCAAGTTACGATGTCCGTCCGTGATTCCCGATATGACTCAGGCCAGTTCAGTTCCGATGGTGTGCGCGTATTTTGGAGGGTGGATGGCTATTGTTTGGTAGAGTACTAGATGAGAAAACGATAGAGCAAAACACCTAGAGAAGAACGTGCGTCGACGTACTTAGACAATGTCTGTGACTCGGCTGCTCCGCTCATGAGAAACAAGAGCTATTCGCCGAGCAATCCAGCATTTTCCTCAAACGAGATGGATTTAACCTGCCTATTTGCCCGGGTACTTAGGGAGAGAAAGATCTCTGAGAGAAAGATGCCACCCCCTTTTCCCCACATGAGAGTTTGGGTTAGCAGCACAGTGAGTTCGGCGCCAAGAGCTTCATGGTCGGAAAAAAAAACGTCTATTGTCGTAAAGAATGCCTTTGTTATCATTTCAGGCGTCGTGAATTTGGTCAAGTGACCCGATGCAAGACAGTTGCCTGCACCTTTCGAGGTATTAGGAAATCCAAAAAGAGTCTATCCGCCGACTGATCAAGCCAAAAAACCAAAACAAGCGTGACTCCAATCCATGGAATAGGTTCAAAACCAAATCACCCTCCCATTTGTATCTGCACTGCACCCACAAAGCGTACAATCTCTTGATTCTAATGCTGAGTGGGGCGGACCTGCTTTTTCTCCATCGTTAACTAACCCTCTTGCTTTTACGCGCCAACCCCCCGACTAAAAGCGTGAATGTGCTCGAGCTCGAGCTCGTTCACGTGGACTTGGCCCTTCTCTTGGACATGCTGAGAGAATTTTGTTAGTCGTTGCAAAGCCTAATGTCAAAGGGACTAGAACTTACAAGTCATAGAATGCGAATTGAGAAGGCGAGCTGCCAAACTCGTAAACGAACCGGCTTGCTAGGTAGCTGCCAAAGATGGCACGCAAGTATGGTTCCGGGACCCGCTGAATGATGGTGTCAAGCCCAATCTTTTCAATCAAAAGATTAGGGAGCGCGTCAGCCAGCACTGACCGGCGGATTTGCAGGTCCTTCCACAGATCAGATTCCTGCAGGTCCTCGTCAAGCTTGGTAATTGCCAGCGAGAGCTTGTCCGACAGGAGGGAGCGTGACAAGCCCGTCTGCTCGTGCTCGCGCCACATGGCCTCGAATTCGAGGCGTGCGTTCTCGCAAATCTTGTTTTGCACCTCCTTCACATAGGCCTTGTAGAACTCGGGCGCATTGCCACGCGAGTCGTGGCACATATGTTTCACGAAGCCTTCCTCGTCGAAGCTGAGCGAGGCTAGCACTTCGAGAGATGAGCTGGTCACGCCGCCCTTGTTCGCGCTGGCATCCTTGTACACGATGCAGCCGGCAGCCTCGAGACGCAGCTTGGCCTCCTGGGTGAGGAACAGGTTGGCGCCCTCAACAATGTACGGAATTGTTGCCTTGCCGTTTTTGATGAGCTTGCCTACTGAGACCAGATCGATGGACTCGGGGCGGCCGCCACACGGCACAAACATATCAGTAAGGCCCGTATCCCGGAGGTGATAGGTGTTGCGGAATGTCGTGCCGTTGTTGATGACCTCGCCGTTGGGCAGCTTAATGTTGGCATCCTCGCACAGCACCCGATAGCCGTCCTTGGACAGCTTCGACATGTCGAACTGCGAAATCATCACACGGCGCCTGGCCAGCCTCTGCAGCTCCTCCTTGTCAATGCCGTTAGGGTCAACAAGAACGCCCGACCCGTCGACAACGGACGTGTACTTCTCGTTACTGAGAAGGATCTCGTTGCTGCCAAGATCGCCGTCAGGGCCGCCCGTCTGCATCTTTCTGACCGAGGAGGGATCCAGGTTGAGCTTGCGGTAGATGCCCTTGACATACTCGCGAACCGACAGCGTAGTCATGCCGTAAGCATCGTGAGGAATGCCGCCGAGCTTCGGCGACTTGCCCGTGAAGAATGACTTCCACCACTTGGCGCCGCGCGACCGGGCATGCTCCGTGGCCCAGTCGACCAGGTCGGCCGTGTTCTCATCGGGACCCATAAACAACATCTCTTCTTTGCCATAGAGATCAACCACAGGGTTCTTGATGCCCGGGGTCTCGGCCTTGAGAAGCAGGTCCAAAATGCTGTCAATGTACTTCTCGAACGCCTCGCGTGCCTTGTCCTGCTGTTTCGGGTCAAGCAGAATGACGCCCTTGGAACCGCCTTCCGGGATGTCCTTATTCTTGCGCTGCTGAGTACTCGCAAGGCCGTAGTTCTCATCAAAGAGGTTGCGCGCGTTGATCGAGTAGGCCTCCTTGGTGCGGGACTTGACGATGCGTATTCCGCCACGCGCAATGTTCTTGAAGCGCAGGTGAAACCCTCGCGACTCAGAAGTAATGACGAAGAACATGCCAAAGAGCCGCTTGGGATACTCAATCTCCGGGAGGAACGAGGGGTCCAGCCGGAAGCTAAGGGCAACCTTGGTCGGAGTGAAATAATTAGTCTTAAGGACAGCGTTGTTGAAGACGCGGAAGGCTGTCATGACCATCTCCTCGTGCTCGTTGGACACATCCTTGGTGATCTTGTCCTTGAGCCCGGTGTCGGAGAGAACTTCAGCTGCCGGGGTCGGGCAAATGAAGTGACGGTCAAACTCGTCGCCGACCTTCAAGTGGACGGCCGCAAAAGAGGCATACAGGGCGCGGACGAGTTCGGGGTACGAGCCAATGATCTCAAGGATGTAGTCGGGTGTGAAGGTCTCAGTTCGCAGGCGCTTCTTCATCTTGGAGAGGATCTCGGCGTGGGCGTTGTTCTTGAGGTCGAGTGCTGCCATCAGGGAGGCGTATTCGGACCCCAGACGGTTCAGGAAGTGCTGCACGAAAACCCAGACGCAGTGCGCATAGATAGTTTCCTGCAGGCTCAGCTCGCCTGTCGCGAAGAGGCTGTGGAGCTTCGTCTGCGGGATGCAGTACAACAGCGAGATCTCTTTTGTGATCTGGTGAATCGACTCCTCGATTGGTGGGTACTTGGACTCTAACTTGGGTGCTGGCCGCAGGTAGATGCTCATGACCGTGATACCATTGGAGAACTGTTCGACATACTTGCGGGAGCTCGTAACGCCGTAGTAGTGGTACAGGTCGCTCAGGGCACTAAACATGCCTCTCGCGGTTCTAGAGCGAAAGGCGACGACGAGTCTCTTCTCTTGAGACCCCTCGATGTCAAAGACCTCAATGACCGGGCCAGTTCGGCTGACTGCCAGCTCGATGATCTCGCGATAGATCTGCTTGGTGTTCCTAGTTGCCTTTGCAAGGAACATGCGGTCGCTGATAACCTCAAGGCGTGTCTCCTTGGGATCGGCATTGGGCTCGACAAACTGGCATTGGTAGACAAAGTAGCACCTCAGCGTCGCCTTGGAGTTCGAGTTTTGGCCCAAAGCGCCGGGCGATCGGAATGTCTCAACGCGGAAGCGGTTCAAGCCATCGCTGCCGTCCAAGTACTTTGACTCGAGCCTGTGCTCATAGCGCGGGCCATCGGTAATTGTCTTGCCTGGCTCGCTAGTGTCGATGTAGATGGCGTGGTCCGTTGCCTCCATGTCTAGCCGGATCTCCTCGCGCTTGTCTTCGCGAGAAAATGCAGCGACCTTGGCAGCATAGAGCGATGTGATGTGGTTCGCAATTACCTGGGGGCTCTCAACCTGGAAATAGACGTCGTCGATCCCTAGCTCATTATAGAACCAGACAATCTGGGCGTCGATGAGGGTTTCAGGGATCCATGAGCACTTGCTGATATGTTCTCTGACTATTCCTGACGTCAGCATGCACAGGAGGAATAGAGACGAGACATGTTGACTGACCTTGCTTCATCTGGTCTGCCTTGCCCTTGAACTCGGGCGCCACGTATCCGACCGTCGCCGAGCGCAAGGTGCGGTGCCCATTGCCATTGGTCTTGGCCATGAGCGGGTAGCTGACGTGGGTCGGCTGGGGTGACGGGTGCCTCATAGGATCGGCCCGGAGCTTGTCGACCAGCCGGCTGGCGGCGACGTGGGGGCCCGTGGGAGACTCCATGACGGTATCACCCGAGGACTCAAACGTGTCCAGATATTCTGGGAAGCTAGACATTGGGACGTCAGTCCTGATGGTCAAGCCCGACATCTTGCGCTTGCAGTCCAGGGGACTGGAAGGCACCGGCGGGTGGACAACTACGTCGGCCATGGTAGGGCACAGACGGAGCAAGAGAGACAGAGACAACGAGAGGGAGGGACTTGGACTGCAAGTTGGACTTTGACTGGCATGGACGTGTGGAGATGAGGGACACAGAAGAGGGGAGAATGGGGACATATAGGGACAGTGGAGTCCCGGCGGGACGGGTATCGATGTTTTGTACGGCGAAGCATTGTGTAGCCGTGGGCCGTGGGCCATGGGCCTAAAGGCCCCTTTGCCATGGCCTTGGTGGTTAACTAGTGATTGGAGTTTGACATGGACGACGGGAGCGTCAGCCTGTTGGCCGCCGTCTCAGGTCCCCCGGCATCGGACGGATTTGGGACGAGCTGTGGCACAGGGGGGGGGCCAGGAACAGGAATGAGAGTGACACGGCAACATAGCTTCGACACTGGTGAAGCCAAAATCCCAATTAAGCGGCGGCAAAGCGAGGGAGCGGTGCGGGTTGCGGTGTGTGTTGCCGTGGCGGTGGTGTTAGTAGTGGTGGTAGCGGTAGTGGTAGTGCTAGCGGCAGTGGTAGTGTAGAGGTAGAGATAGAGGCAGAGGTACGGAGAGACGGGAGGTGGTGCTTCGTTTCCGGGAGTGTAGCCTCCGGCATGCGAGAGTCTCGCTCGCACGCATGTTCGGACGCACGCTCACCGCCACCAAAATCATGCCCGAGATCCCCCGTCCTGATAAGAAGCCGAAGCTCTTATTTCTGGATGGGGGTTTCTGACGTGCAGCAGCGCAGCCGAAGCTGACCTGGCCAGCATGGCATGGCATTGGCAAGAGCCGGCGCATTGTTTGTACGCACAGAGTTACACATAACAGAATTTCTCAGATACGACGTACCTTGGATGGAGTGTGCCCCCTTGGCGGGCAGGGATAGAATCCCAAGATTATCCGCCTCAGTAAAGAATGGTCAATGGCAGAATTAGAGTGCCGCTCTCTCGCTTCGACCGCGCGGCTATCTGCCAGTCGGTGGCGAGTCTGGACTGGGGTTGCGCGTGTTGGGTCTCGGCAGCTGCAACGACGGCAAGGTAGGCGATGGGGCGGACGACGGGATAGGGATGTACGGTACAGTACAATCGGGATTCCTTATTGCGCGGTTGGCACTGGCCGGGCGGCGAAGCAGTGGTGGTGGAGGGGTTGCCACCCAAACCAAAGCGAAATGCGACGCGATAAGATCCCGAGGGCGAGCAGCGGGAATCTGGGACCCAGGGGCGAGACAAAGGGCCGATCGGAAATATGGTCTGTCTTTGCCTCCTTTTCCCTCTTAGAAGAGTCTCTGTCAAAGGTATCTAAGGCCTTGGGATGCTGCGAGCGGTCGCGGTTGCTGTTGGACGCAGGTCTGGGCTCGGAGGCTGGAATTCGCCTGCTGTTCCAAGTCAGTCAGCAAGCATGCCGCTTTAGGAGCGCCGGCCCGCCGCCAGAGATACGCGCGATGCCATCGCAAGACGGCGCGGCGAAAAGCTTAGACCTTGGTAGTCTGTCCATAGAAGATCCAGATCAGCAGAAAGCCGATCGGCCAATGGAAGGCACTAAACCTAAGCTATGTCGTGGAGGGGTCGATCCTGGTGCTCGCTCGCGCAACGTCCGACCCAACATCTCCGACCCAACAACACGTCCACGCCAACAACAGGCACTTGCAATGCACGGCAAAATGAGAGGGATAGAGTCATGCCTGTTGGCGTGAGATCCCAGCGTGCACAGCCTTCAAACCAGCCAGCTGGTCAGGGCTGGCCTCGCCGTACCAAAGGCCCGGCGTCGCTGGGCGCGCGGGCGGAGTTCCTCTCTATACACGTATTGAAGCGCGAAGCTGTGGGCAGCAGGCGCACAAAAGGATGATGAGATGGGAGAGCTGAGCTGGGCAAGCTGGTGTTTCCACGGGCTAGCAGACAGGCAGGCAAGTGGGGAAGAAGGTTGGCAAACCAGGAACCGAAAGAAATGGGTCGGGCGCTAGGTACGGAAGGCGGTAGTAGAAAGGAATGCCGTCTGTGAGGTGGGATGAGGGGGCGGGAGGAAGGAAGCAGCGACCAAACCGACCGACGCCTGCCGCACGCCGCACGACGCACACGCACGACTGCAGTGTGTGGACGCCGCACGCAGCAAGCATGCAGCGGGCAGCCGCGCCCCTGGGCGACGTCACCGAAGGGCCCGGGGCCCAGACGAGGAAAGCTTAGGCCATAATTAACAAACTTCCAGTAAACAGCTCACCTACCAGTTTCAAGGATCTCGGGTCTCAAGAGTACAGCAGGTGCCTCTACCGTTTGCGGCAAATCGATGTCGCGCAGCCAGATAAGGTCGTTGGCGTTGTTTGGCTGCAAGGGCTCCGAAAATAGATGGGCCGGACAGGAGCAGTGGGACCAACAAGCACAAGAGGGTTTGAAGTCAAATGTTGATCGTCTTGACTCGCAATGAATGGGATTGACATCAGCATCACCCAGCTGGGAGGCGCAGGGCCCGTCTCTTTATAGCGAGCGGGCTGCGCCTGGCCCGGCGTCCGTCCATGGTCAGGACCAGACATGGCGAATATGCATTGATTCCATTTGCACTGTATGGGCATAGACCCCAGCCAGTCGACCTCACGATGTCGAGAGTCGCGACTCATCAGGTGTCGTGATGGCATTGAGCGGAGCTCTGACAAACGAGAACTTTGAACTTTGAACTGCTAAGCTACATCGGGTAGCAGGGGGGGCTCATCTGATTGGGTCACAGGGTCGCCCGTACCTGAATACCAGCGAATGCGTGCCTGAGAAGCCTCCTGGAAGCGGCTATTCGAGGTTCTGGGGAGTCGAAGTGGCGGGCGCCCTCTGCAGCGCGGGCGGTACCGTGTACATAGAACTCCATTCCGCCCTTGGATCTGTTAAACAATAGCGTGTCTGTACCGGGTACATGGCTAATCTTGCATTTACTTGCTTTTAGTACAGCGCCATTAGATGCAATCCAGTTGCAGGGCGGCAGGTAGCGTTTTGTTGGTCTTGGAAGGAAGAAAAGAAGAAAAAATCGGTTGCGGCTCGGTTTGTGCGTCTGTCGCCCTTCCACTTCCATCCCTCCCTAGACTTCAACAGTAACTTGAAGTACGTAGTGTAATTGCAAGATATGCCGACCTGCGTCGTGCCTGCCCCATTGCCGCCTTTCTTGATAATACGGATAGCTACGTGTGAAAGGTTTGCCAGGTACGTACTTGCAGAGGGACCCGTTCGCGCAACGTCGTCATCTTCCCTCTTTCCAAATAAGCACCCTATGTCAAATCCCGGCCAGCAGCCAAGCAAACCACCACTCAGCATTGACGCAGCGGCTCCAGTCTGATCCTTAAGGCAGAGCATCCGCGACCCGCCAGGCCTTATCTGACTGACTCCCCGCCACGGATGGTTAAGGTAGTTACCGCAGCACAGTAGACGGATACGAAATCCCTAGCCCCAGGCCCGGTGCGACAGTCGACTGAGGTCGGTCTGAGTCTGGCAGGGTTCTTATCAGCAAGGGCGCTCTGGGACGCGTACAGACCCCATTGTTTCGGTGGTGCAGCCAGATTTGTTTGTGTTCTTTACCGCCTCTTCGTCTTCTTAGAAGGACGTGGCAGATCATGGAGGGAAACGGCGGATCCATGACACCGTGCGATCCAGTTGTTCGTTAGCATTTGCCAAGGGGCACCCAAGGAAGGCCCCTACCTACCTTCCCAATCTTGGATTCGGAATAGTTTCACTAAATCTGCTCTCGTTTGTTAATGCCGGCTCCGGGGCCTCCCTCTGTCGCAGAGTAGACCGCTGTTACACCTACACCGGGGACTGTTGGATCTCGGACCGTGGCCTCTGGAAGAAGAATATGCGGGACGCTGAGGATCAGGTCCCGTGATCGCCGGAGTACGTAAAAGCCAGGCGGGTCTGCCAAGTCTTCGGCCCCACGGGCGGCTTCCCAGGCGGCTTACTGGTGGAATCTCCGCCACTCGCCTCTACCCCAGCTTTTTAGATCCTGGCCCGTGCGTCGGCGTTGCTGCGATCATGTAATCTAGGGGTAATGGAAACCGTTCGTTGTTCGCCAGTGGTAGCACGGGGCAGACTACGTGATCTGGGCTTTTAAGTCGAAATCAGATGTTATCAAGTAATCGTATGGAGAATTTTTAGGGCCGCTGCCGACGACCAGCGGAAGGACTCTCCTGGCGCTCGTGGGTTTGGATTGAGCCTTAATGGACTCGTCACTCGACTCTACTATTACGGTATTCTGCGGCAGAACATTAAACCATTGAACCGTGTGGCATTGATTGTGTGTATAACACCATACTAGAAACATAAGGTATAATTCTTGATCTTGGTAAATACAAGACTGTATTACAGTATGGAAGTACCAAGGTGGCCACCGATAGCCGATGCGTCCGCCGTCCATAGTGGATGTACAGTAGACTTCAGTTCATGCCTCACTTAGGCAGTTCAGCCCTTGGGTAGGCGAACAGCCTTCCGCGGCTCCCGAGTCGTCTAAAACTAGCGCTGGGCGGTAGTAATCAAAGGCTCTGCTGTCCTCGTGCTGCCTGAATGCCGCTGAAATCCAACGCTCTGGTCACGAGGTGAGCTGATTCGCACCTCGGCGATGATGGGCCAGGGGTTGCCAAGCCTCTCGGCCATTACTTTGCGGGACGAGCACGAGCGAGGTGCGATCGGTCATTGGGCCAACCCCGGACCCGGGAAACCCTGGGCTAGCGGCTGGCGCAGCGTGGCTCGGGATGAAGCCGGGGCCACGTCCAACTCAACAAAAAACAAACTCATCTCGTAAACTCGGATTCTTTTGGCCTTGCTTGTGACCAATCCTTTCTCATTCTTGGCCGTTATTGCGAATTAGATGCTTCCAGGCCGACACGTCCTCCGCCCTGTTTGTGCAACGAGTATACACGTGTAGGTACGGAGTAAGGTACGCATATGGACGTAGGTAAGGTAATAGGTAATTATTAGTGGTCCTGCAGCTTGTCAGATGTCAGTTGACGGTTGACAGTTTCTGCATCCATGACAAAGTCCGGATTGAGATACCTTACTCATTCGCCAAGACCACACAATTCCTTGACTAGGTCGGAGCTGCATGCTTTCGGAAGAGGGCATTCATATTTCACGGTACATCTTTTTGCCATGGAGTTTGGCGGCCGCGGTTGCCGCGCAAAGCAAAAAGTGCCTTTCATTAGAATCACTCACCCTCGAGGACCAAAAACTCACAGCTTTCGACTCACGACCCAAAGCTCACGGCACATGCATGGCATGGCTCATAGAGCAATACGAGACAAACTTTTCTGTACGACATGCCTGCTTCTACAGCCTCTGCTGTTGAATGGCCACACCGTTTCGCACCTGAGGCCAGGCTTGGCTTGAATCGGGCTTGCGGCTGCGGCCCGTCGACGGCACACGAACTAGCACGATCGACAACGGCCGAAATCCAGCGACCAACTGAAATAGGCCTCCAGAAGCTCGGCCACCGTGGAACTTGCATTACATTACTGAGCGGTGCACCGTGTCCGGAGATGCTGACACGATCGTGAGAGCAAGGCCGGCATTTTATCGGCAATATATCATCTCTACCTACTCAGTGCAGGAACGGCTGGTAATTGAGTGGCGGCATGACAATATCCCGCTGTTTCGCTACCTTATACAGACTGAGTTGAGTAGAGTGCAAGTCGAGAAGAGCCTGTTTAAAGTCAGGGCAACAAATCAACGACATCCAAACCGTGACTGTATGGATAACGGGCTGGTTTCAGAAGCCTAAGAGTGAGTGGTTTGTGGGGGCACAGCAGTTCGTCATTAGTGGGTGCCGTAGGTAACTGTTGCGACAACGAACGTCCAACGGATCCGGCTATTTTCAGTTTCTTGCATAGGTGGTGTCCTCCTCCTCCAATTGCAGAAGCCATTGCTTATTTAGTAGACTAGAGACGCGCAACACATCGGATGCATGCCGAATGACGATCAACTTTAGGGTTATTTTGTGCTAGAACTAGTGCTACCTATCTCACATACGTGCTCGGTCCGCAACACAGCTAAGGACTCAAGGAGCTAGACACCAAAAACCACAGGCAGTCAGGCATGAGTTCAACTCCTTCGGGCATGGTCGATGCCCGGCAACGTGCGCGGGCACTCGACCAGAGCGATGCGCTCGCATCAACCCGCGGCGAGTTCAACATCCCGACGGGAGCTCAGATTGCGAGCTCGCGCTTGTCGGACCCAGGACCAGGTGCGATCCCGGCGAGCTCTCACAACTTCAAGTTGCCAAGCCGCGACTTGGCGGCTTCGGGCGGCCAATGCTGATGATGATGCTTTCTCTGTCTTCCCTCTAGCATCCGCCGAGTCTGAGTCTGGTCAAGGCCGTGACGAGACTGCCGAGTGCGTCTACCTGTGTGGCAACTCGCTAGGACTGCAGCCCAAAAGGACCCCGGCTCGTATTGGCCAGTTTCTCGCCACATGGGCAGCCCACGGCGTCCAGGGGCACTTCAAGCCTCTCAACGACTCCCCGCTCCCCAGCTGGGTCGACGTTGACGCGAGAGCCGCCGAGCTGGTGGCGCCCATTGTAGGTGCTGCCAAGTCCGAGGTCGCCGTCATGCAGACCCTCACGGCCAACCTCCACCTCCTGATGTCCGCATTCTACCATCCCGACATCAACGGCAGGCACAAGATCATCTTAGAGAGCAGAGCTTTCCCGAGCGACCATGTGATTTCCCCTTTTTTTGCTGTCTCCTCGTTCCGAGACCACTTCCGACGCCTATGCCTATTACCAAACGCAGCTAACTAATCTTCTCTAGTTCGCCGTCGAGACGCAGCTCCGGCATCATGGCCTCACGCCAGAGACGTCCATGGTGACCATCCAGTCGCCGTTTTCCGAGGACAACGTGCTCAGTTCCTATGACATAATGTCTGTCATTTCCACCCATGCCGCCTCTACCGCCCTGATCCTCCTGCCGGGCATCCAGTACTACACGGGCCAGCTGCTGGACATACCCGTCATCACGGCCTTTGCCCACAAGCACGGCATCTTCGTCATCTGGGACCTCGCCCATGCCGTCGGCAACGTGCCCCTCTCCCTGCACGACTGGGACGTGGACGCGGCCGCCTGGTGCTCGTACAAGTACCTCAATGGCGGCCCCGGCTGCATTGGCGGCCTGTTTGTGCACGAGCGCAACAGCCTCGTGACCAAGGCCGTGACCGACGACAAGCCCGAGGAGGGCTACAGCAACCGCCTCGCCGGCTGGTGGGGCAACGACAAGCGCACCCGCTTCGCCATGGCCAACAAGTTCCACCCCGTCGGCGGTGCCGCCGGCTTCCAGCTCAGCAACCCAAGTGTGCTCGACATCACCAGCCTGACTGCCTCCCTCGAGGTCTTTGCCCTGGCCGGCGGCGTGCCCGCCCTGCGCAAGAAGTCCCTGGCCCTGACCGCCTTCCTCGAGAGCCTGCTGCTCGGCGCCATGTCCGCCGACCACAGGACCCTCTTCCGCATCATCACGCCGTCTGACCCCGAGCAGCGCGGCGCCCAGCTGAGTCTGCTCCTACCCCCCGGCATGCTGGAAACCGTCATGAAGGAGCTCGAGGCTCGCTCCGTGATTGTGGACGAGCGGAAGCCAGACGTGATTCGCGTCGCCCCCGCCCCCCTTTATAACACGTTCAGTGACTGTGTCGAGTTTGTCGAGGCGTTCTCTACGGCGCTCGAGGCTGCGAAAGGCGCCAAAGCAGGGTAAGGCTAGAGTGTGGTAAAGGGCTCTCATGGTAGAATAGAGACTGGGTTTACCTCATCTTGGCCGCCTTTGGGGTGCTATGGAAGAATTCAGTAAATACCTCCATGTGTCAGTAAGCGGCTGACTGGTTACGCTCAAAAAGGGCATGCCGTGTATCTGAGATCCAGTGGTCAGGTGAATATAGACCTTTTAGAAGGTGTTCGTACAAGGGGTGTATATGCCTGTCTGGGTATGATGTGGTTGGGCTTGAATGTGATTCTGCGTTGAATCCCGTTTCTCGTTCCTTGAATCCTAGAATCCTCTGGGCATGTGTACCCTCTCCCTTTAAACCGTGACATGTCTTGCTCCGGAAGTAATATCACCTAGGGAAGAGAGAGAAGCTAAATATTTATAGTGATAGCATCGAGTTGCTCAGCTACAAGGGTAAAACTAAAACTCAAGGGCAGACCATCCCTTGTAATGTGAATTACTCCATAGCACAAAAACGCACGTATGTAATTTCACTTATTTTCAACATTTCACAACCCACTCCTCCCTCTCAGGCTCAAGAACAGCCGTTAAGACAAGCTGCGATATTTTTCACCTACAGCCGTACACCCTCACTCTTGTCCAAGCCAGGCGAGAGAAGTCTAGCTCTGCAGCAAACCACTGTTAAACACCTACTCCTAGGAACCTGCGCCTGCCAAGAGCCTAGCAACAAAAAATAGTATATAAAGGGAACTAAAACGTCAAGATAAAAATAACAATCCCCTCTCCTCCTCTTAAAGAAATCTCAGAACGAATACCCGAGACAACACTAGATATCTTGCTCGCCTACCTAATATGAATAAGAATTTACAAAGAGAAAGAGCACCAGGAGACAGAGACAAGACTCCTCGCCAACGCAAGCTAGGCGGTAGGTATATAATGTAAGTGACGTATCAATTACATACATTACTCCGTGATTAGGGAGTTGGGGGCCGGGAGACGGACAATAAAGAACTGCAAGACAAGACAAGACAAGAAAACACGAGACAGATCGAGAGTAAGAAAGAGATAAAAAAATTAAGGATGTCACAAGGAGGTAGGGTAGGTAGGTAGGTAGTTAGGTAGGTACCACCCCCAAACGAAAGAAGGACGAGAGAAGGACGAGCTGGCCAGCTCGCTCTCTAGACAAGACATTTGATACCGCACTTTAGTGTTCACGGCATGCGCTTATCTTTTACGTCAAGCGCAGCATGGGAGCTAGACAGTCAACATGTATATCCGGCCAAGACGTCTGCACTAGACATCGCTGGCGACGAATGGGCTGATTGCTGGTCAAGTGTCCTGCCAGAATTGCCGGGTTCTTCTCAAATGCAAGAGCTACGCAGCGATACATCATTCTACATCTCTTACGTTCGCGTGACAAACATCTGCACATATATCACGAGTCCAAGGTTGCACGTAAAATGCCACTTTGGAGGATAAGAGACACGTCTTGACTCGGGATACACGACAACGGCTTCTGATAACAGCCAAGCGTGACCGTGGCCAGGTTCACCCGCCCGCACGTCTGCCGCCGTGGTTGCTCTGCGTTTGTGTCTGACGAAGCAGCAATCTGTGATGTATTCACTAGCTCCTGGTGTGTGCTAGGTAATCGCAGACAAAGAGCAGACCTTTCCCTTGAGACCGCCTGAGATGCTCCAAAACACATAGAAAATTGTCCCCAACCCCCCAACGTTAATTTTAGACCTCCGTGGTGACCTTCGCCTTGGGGTTGGTAACCTTGACGCTTAATTGCTTCGCTCTGGCGATGATGTCGATCCGCTTTCTGGACGAAACGTTGTGGGCAATCCTGAAAAGAAAATCGTGTCAGCCATCCAACCGCTCCCAAGAGAATTCACCATCCCATTGACCGAATGTGCATTGTTTCCGTTGCCGTGGTTCAATGGCTTCGCCAAACGAGGCGAGGGGTAGAACGCACTCTGCGGCAAAGGTCTTGTTGTGCATCAACAGGAGGTCGACGTCCCGAACGTTGCTGACGACAAAGGCCTTGTGGCCGGAGGGCATCATGTGGCGGGTCTTCTTGTTAGAGCCATAACCGATCTGGAGACAAAATATCCCATGTTAGTCTCGTGGTTTTCGAAATCCGCACCGCCACCGCTTCCACAACCATTGGGGCTCTCCTGCCCGCGTGATTTCCCCAAAAAGCGACTCGGCGGGATAGGGAGTCAGATCCAACGTACCGAGGGCATAGCCAGGGTTCCCTTGAAGCGTCTCCGGACCCTGTTGTCGATACCCTTGGGCTTGCGCCATGATGCGTCCAGGCACTTGAAGCGATCGCTCTGGTGGCGCATAAAGCGCTTCGTGCCTGCAATGTCACATTTTCGTCAACACCTGATGCTCGCATTATAGGCTGGTGGGTTCTCCCAGAGCGGTGGCTTCTCTGATCGCGGAGGTAGAAGTAGGAGGGGTTTTGGAATGGGCAGTCGGCAGGATCGGATTCCTCGACGTACGCTTCTTCACGATAGGCACATGCTTCTTTGCGGAAACCATCTGTAGAACAGGTTAGAAATGAGGTCGGTCGGTGATATCTTAGTACTCGTTGTGAGGGCCGTACCTTGACGTGTCGTTGCCGGTAGATGGTGGTCTTTTGGCGGCGTCACTATCGGGGAACCCAAGGAAAAATTCCAGAAATTGAGCTGGTGGGCTTAGGGTTGTGTGAAAATTGTTAGGCGGGCCTGGTCAGTGCGTTGATGGGCTTGGCGCAGCTGGGGTGCAAGCCCGTCTGGCCAATCAGAGCGGGGCTGCAAAACGCGCTGCACTACCCTGTCTGACTCGAGGCTGATGAAATGCATTGAACATTCCAAACTGTGAGTGAAAGAACTGGCCTCACGTTAAATCTGCGGTTTCTCAGTTCCTTTAGATATAACCAGTCATTGCTCCAATCAATTGTCTGTTGGGGAGTATTAATCAAATTTCAGTCTATTGTGCCGTTCTGTATAAAAACTGTAGCGCTTGACAGATTTACAAGCAATCCCTTATCGCGTCCCGCTCAGCCTTCTATCCCATGCTTCCGAAAGGGTATTATGGCTTATTCGTTATGCCAAGCTGAGGTACGTCCGATAACCGCCGTGAACCATACCCGCGTCAAGAACAAATAGGCTGGTATACGAAGGGCCAGAGTACCCGGACCCGGAGTAAGTCGGCCCAAATAGCTCCCGACTCTGATCAACCGTCTCGAGAAGCACGATCGGAACCCACCTCAGGGTGAGCGACTCTCCCTAGACTATTCTGCATCTCTTCAGACCACGCTGCCGCTCCTCACTGCCGCTCCTCACTGTGTGGCACACTGAGGGCCCTCGCCTTCTTCCTCCTCGTCGTCCTCCCACTCGTTACCGTATCTCGGATCGCCTTGGTGGGCGCCCATCTAAGCACGACACTTTAGCAGGGCTCATCACCAAACAGTCCAAAAAGGGCGTGGAAAAGGGAGGGAAAGGAAGAAAACCATAAGCACGTACCTCATCAATATCGGCACCCTCCTCGTACTCCACATCGTCGACCTCTTCGGCGGCAATGGGCGGTGGTGGAGGAGGCAGAAGTTTTTGCAGAGACGCGTAATCTCCATCCTTCTCCAGCCAGCCGTTGTCAGGGAACTCGATCTTGATGACAAGATACAAGTCGCCCTTGGTATCGCCCCGCTTCATGGGCATACCCTCGCCGTGTACCTTTAACACGTCACCTGGGCGGACAATCTTGCCTCGGGGGTGGTTAATGTGGATGCCTCTCCCGTCGAGGTGTTTGAGGACGACGCGCGAGAAGCCACCCAGGGCCTCGGAGAGGGAGATGGTCACGTCGGCCGAGAGATCGTGGCCGATGCGGTGGAAGACATCGTGGGGTTCCTCGACCAGGACAAAGATGAGATCACCGGGGGTTTGGTCAGGCATCTGGTCTGCCTCGCCCTCCAGCGTGATCCTCTCGCCCTGCATGGAGCCGCGGGGAATGTACAGCTCGAGCGCCTTGCTCTCGGTGACGGTACGCTTGCCCTTGCACTTCTTGCAGCGGTCCTTCTCCTTGTAGTACATGCCCGAGCCCTGGCAGTGGTCGCAAGAGATGACCTCCTTGCGCACCAGCCCGGGGCCGATCTGGCGGTAGGCCTCCTGAAGACCCGCACCTCTGCAGCGGTCGCACTTGTTGGGCTTGACCTTATCCTTCGCGCCGCTGCCGTTGCACTGGCCGCAGATGACCTTCTTCTCGGCGGCGAACTTGACCGTCTTCCCCTTGTAGAGTTCTTCGAGCGTTACCTTGTATTGCTGCTCCTCGTCGGGGCTGCGCCGGGGCCGCCCAGGCATGCCGCCCATACCGGGCACGCCGCCCATGTTCATACCGAACATATGTGCAAGCATATCATTGAGATCCACGCCGCCCGGCCCTCCGGGGCCGCCTCTGGAGGGGTCGAAGGCTGCCATGCCGTGCGCATCGTAGAGCTGGCGCTTCTCCTCGTCGCGAAGGATCTCGTAGGCTTGTGTCACCGCCTTGAATTTGGCCTCGGACTCGGCTCGCATCTCCTCGGGCACCTTGTCGGGGTGGTGTTGCAGCGCCAACTGGGAAACATTGTTAGGACGTGTAGAGTGGAGAGGGGAGACGAGGACCCGCAGCGGTGTCAGACGAGGCTTACCTTGCGATATGCCTTCTTGATCTCATTTGGATTGGCCGACTTTTCCACTCCGAGGAGTTCTATTCACCACTGCGGCGTCAATATCTTCGCGAGATGCAAGAGGGGCGGGGGCTTTTGGACCCAACGGCCGGCTGAGGCGGGGAGACGGCGGTAAGCTCGTTGGGCATACGCACCATACAGATCGATATCTTCCCCGTCCATGATTGCTGACGTTCTATGCCGAACAGGTTTGTGGTCTAGTCAGAGAGGGTTTGCGGCTGAAATGAGGTCGACAGGCGGGTAGGCTGCAATTTGCAGGCGTTGGTGGGGTAGTCTTTTAGCAGCGCAGTGGTTGCGAGAAAGAATGGGGAAAAGGCCTTGTTGGTGTTGCTACTTGAAAAAAAAAAAATTGGCCCATGAAATGGATGCCGTGCCCCGCGAAGGCACAGAGCTGACTAGGCAAGGATCCAAAGGTTTCAAGACGCGATTAGTTCTACCTAACTTACCAACTTGCCTTCAGAGCTCCGCCTCTCTTATCTGATAAAAAAACCTCCTACTGCTGAATATGTAGGGCTGAAATAGCCGTACCAGCTCTTATTGTTATAGTACCGTACCTACCATCGTCCAACTGGTGTCCTAGTCCCGTCGCTCCTTTTACAGCATACATCCCAGCCCCAAAATGATTGTTGCTTGGTACTTTTAGGCTTGGAAGTACTCGAGACTTGTATATTACTAGTAATTTGCGTTAGAACGGCGGTACCGTCAAGCTTCCTTACTTGGATTTACAGCACACTTGATTAGCTGTGATGCCTGTTACATTCCAAGTCAGGTAGCGCTAGTACAATACAATCTAATCGTTTGTTGGCGTGGTACCTCCCAAGATCTAAATGGCCTTCGCATCTTACGACTCGTCGTAAAGGCTTTTTGCTAAGGGAGGTGATTGCTATTTGAATCCCTGTTTTGGAATCCTAGAGGTCTATTCCTTCTCTAGAAATACCTATTAAAGACCCTTCCTGGCCGGTTCACTTGTTATTTTCTTTTCCTTCGTAAGTACCACGCCAACAAATATTCAGGGATTGAATTGTACAGTACAATACATACAGTATTCGTATTTCGTACTTTCAGACACACAGGGCCTACTGGGATCAACTGTCCAAGACAATCAGAATCGCCCACGAACGCAAACTCAAACTTCATATCCATTCGAGCCGCTCGCCGCTCGCCGCCGTCTTATTACACGCCATCGTCGTCCCCGGGCGGCATTGGTATATGCCCGTGCAGTCCGCGACGCCCCCGCACAAGGTGACATGGGATTGGGCTTGTAAGTGATGATCTGTCTGCCGCCGACACCTCGCCCTGGTCGATAGCGCAGGTTTCGCCATCGTCATGTTTGTCATAGACGGAGGAGTCGAGACTCGAGTTCTCGACTAGGAGGTGAATACCATTGATATCCCGCTTGGCGCTCTTCCCACCGCTGCACCGACCTGTGCTCTCGCCTGCTACCGGCATTGGCGAGATTCCTGTCGATGGGTGGACAGATCTTGGACCCCACCACTTCTTCCCCCCGACGGCGGCGAAGTCGTAGTCTGCCACGCAGCTCTTGTCGATGATGGTCTTCGCGTCCGTGCTGTGCACCTGCCTGTTCTAGATGGCGGGTTGTTGGTCCTTGTCAAGTATCCCCGTCCCCCTAGCCTTTGGTATCGCCGGCTTCTTGACGCCGGGGGAGGTGTGCTGGTCCCGCCAGGGAGAGGCGAGGCCTTCGTTGTCAACGAAGTTGCCAGCTCCTGCCACTAGTCCGACGTTCATTGAGTCAAGTTTCTGAAAGACTTTGACTTGAGCAGTTGTTAGTGCTTGTTAATATCCAACAAGAAAAGACACTGACGGTAGAAAGGGTAGAGAAGGAGGTAAACTGCCTGCCCGGCACCCGCCGAGCCGTCGTAGTAAAAGGAGTAGGGCACTTCTTGGTTGAAGCTTGGGAGGGTACGAACCGCTCTTGGGAGCTTCGAAGACCAGGCCCCTGGGCAGTGAAACCGAGGCAGTCTGCTAGCCAGCACTGGTACTTGAGCACGTAAATGCATTTATTATATGGGCTGTACCGGCACCTTACCTTATATATTATAGAAGTAGCGGCCCAGTTCCCACTCTTAGTCAAATCCCCCTCCTTCCCGTCTACCTTAGGTACCTTATCTATATTTCGAACAGCAAAAGAACAAGAACATAACCTGGAAGGTAGGTATCCGAAACAACAATGCCAGATCACTACGCCAAGAAACGGTGGTTCGAAGACTCGATTCGCCGTGCAAGCTACCCGGTCTCATGGATCTATTTTGTCCTCGCACATATACACGGCAAACACCGCACCCTCGCCGTGGCCACGCGCGAGGCAGAGACGGGCCCCGACGACGAAATCCAGGGCGTCACCCTGGTCGCCGAATGCCGGTCCCTAGTGGCTATATTTTCCGAGGACGCGGTGACGGTCTTCGAAGCCTTCTTGATAGAAGCGAAGGAGGGGCTGGAGAAGCTCCGGGTGGCGATGAGGGAGATCACTCAAGGTAAGTTATATGTTTCTCTAGAAGCACGTCCTACGTAGGCTAACGGCGCTCGCCATTGCAGAGTATAGCTGGTATCTGGAGTTGCTTGACGAGCAGACTCGGGTTTAAGTATCTACCTACTTCAAGTGATAGAAATGGGTCCTCGAGCAGCAGACATCTCATACCTACCTACCTACCTATTCCTCCCAACCCCTATCTCATGGTAACACCAGGCGGCATGTTCACCACTTGGAGATCTGAGAAATCATGTTACTAGACGAGCCGCAGACTAAGGCCAGCTCCAATTTACAGCCAGGGTCAATGAGGCAAAGCCAGCATCCTTCATGAGATGAGTATCGGAGGAAGCGTGGCACTAGCGGCCGGCGAAAGTGGAAGGGAAACAAGTAAGGTGAGCATGTGAAGTCAAGAGTAGGTAGGTACAAGCAAGAGGAGGAAGGGCTCTACTACTTGTTTTTGTTCTTTTGGGTCCTGAACTAGCAAGGAACATCCCCTTGCTCATTTACTCATTGTGATATTCCCATACTTTCTATCTTCTCCCTAGGACCTAAACGAATAAAAATACGCTGTATTTATATGCTGCGTGCGCGATGGGTGAGGCCGGCTGGCGACGTGCAAAACGTAGGGAGTGGTTTCGGGCGGCGCTATACCCGAATGAGAGTGTTTGCGATTAGGTCTACAGATTACGTGCAATACAAGAACATGTCAGGCTTTGCAAAGCCTGGAACATCGAGACTCCAGCGGTCTATGCAAATAGGTAGATGCAATATATGCACGCCTGAAACTTCTTACCCAAGGTATCTCACTCGGCATCGGAATTTGCGGCGTTTTATATCTAATTCCATGTTATCGCCTTTGTATCCGTTTGTCCCATACCTTACATTACCTTAGGTACATGCCTATCTCGCAGCCACTGGCCAATCGATTGCTTGAAGTCCTTGGTGCAGCCCACTTTAATTTCAGGGCTGGCCTGCTAGAGTGTTGCACACCTCAGACAGAATAGCAACTTATACCGGTGGAACGTCCGGCTTTTTACTTTCAACATCCGGCCCCTTCGCCTCCAATCCCTGTAGTGCCAGCTTGCCAGCTTCTATTAGGTTGTTGGGAGGAACAACAATGGGATGGACGGCCGTGCTTCGGCGGCCGGTGTGCTCTCAATGGGCGCGGTGGAGACTGGTAGCAGCAGCAGGACAGCGAATGCCATGTTCAGGCAGCCCGAGATTACAGGCTGAGAGCAGCAAGCTGCTGCTGGGCAAGAAGCATGCACAAACACAAACAACACACGCGCAGAAAGGCCCCGTCGGACTGCCGGACAAGCCATGCCGCACCCGGTTCGCGCCGTCGCCCACGGGCTATCTCCATCTCGGGTCGCTGAGGACGGCCCTGTTCAACTTCCTCCTCGCCAGGGCCACTGGCGGCCAGTTCATCCTGCGCATCGAGGATACGGACCAGGTAAGTGTCGATGTTGGAAAGGGTGTTGTTACTTTATCTCTTCTTGCCTTTATAAGAAGGGTGCTGGCAGGGTGGCCGGTGGCCGGTGGCTGATTCCTGTTGTCCAGGCGCGCTTTGTGCCTGATGCTGAGAAGAGGCTGACGGAAGACCTGCAATGGGCCGGTCTAGCCTGGGATGAAGGTGCGAGCCTCATACTCCCAATATAATGACGTCTAAGTCCCACTGCGTTGTACTGACGGGCATTTTGGTGACTGCAGGCCCAGATAAAGCTGGCCCGTATGGTCCTTACAGACAGGTAATAAGACGTCGTCCCCTTACCATGGCCTCCCAACGGCCGCCTACTAACACACGAATTGCAGTCTCAAAGGCTGTCTCTCTACGACCAGCACATTGACACGTTGCTACGGGATGGGAAGGCGTACCGGTGCTTCTGTCCGCCAGAGGACCTAGAGGCTCACAAGAGAGAGGCCCACAATCTCCGTCTCCCGACTGCCTACTCCGGCAAATGCCGCAGTCTCTCGGCCGACGAGTCGGACGAGCGGGCTAGCAAGGGCGAGCCATATGCCGTGAGGTTCAAGAGCAGCACTGCCCCTGCGCTGGTGAGAGACCTCGTCTACGGGCGTTTCAAGAAGGCGGTGGGCGAGGAAGATTTCATCATCAGGAAGCGTGACGGATTTCCCTCGTACCACCTCGCCAACGTCGTCGACGACAAGAACATGGGTATCACCCACGTCATTCGGGGTGCTGTGAGCCGACCCTCTTTTTATTTTCCCACACTCTCCCCTCCGACTCGGCTGACCTTTTGGCCCGAGCATGTAGGAATGGCTCACGTCGACGCCCAAGCACGTCGAGCTATACGACGCCTTTGGGTGGGACCACCCCCAGTTCGCCCACGTCGGGCTGTTGACCGACATGCAGAGGCAGAAGCTGAGCAAGCGGCACGAAGGTGTCGACATGTCCTGGTACCGCGACAGACTCATCGTCCCTGCTGCCCTACTAAACTTTGCCGTCCTCCTGGGCTGGCACAAGCGGGGATCCAAGTCGGAGTTTATGACCCTGCAAGATATGGCTGATAGTGTATGGCTTCCCGCCGCCTCATTCCGGTGGACAATATTTTGGCCCGTCTCGCTGACCCCCATTCTCCACAGTTCTCTCTCAAGTTCACCAAGGGCGACATAATCGTGTCGCTCGACAAGCTGTTCCATCTCCAGAAGGAGCACGTCCGGCACCTCATTGATAACGAGACGCCAGATGAGGCGCTGTTGGAAACCTATTTACTGGGTCCCATCAGCACCGTCCTCGAGGGCACCGAGGCTGCCAAGGAGGCGGTGGCGACTGACTCGGCGCCAGCCGCCGAAGCCGACGGCATTGACCCAGACTTGATCGGCGAGCTGGTGCCGGCCCTCAGGGGGGCCGGGGCGGAGGAGACGCAGCGACGAGACTACATCCTGGGCCTGCTACGGATCAGTTCCAACACGCCCAGCACCGACCTCGCGCAGTTTGTCGGCGACAACAGGTATGCCTTCTGGGAGATACCCCAGCCGGTTCTCGCCGCCGCCATCAGCCAGGCCTTCGCTGGGAAATCTTTAGCCGAGGGCGTTGCGTCTGCTGCTGCTGCTGCTGCCGCGGCTGCCACAGCCAACGCCGCCGTCAACCACCTGCTAGCCCGCCTGCGGCGCGAGGACGAGGCGTCGTGGACGCCTGCCGCGCTCAAACCGCTGGTCGACGCGTGGTGCCGCGAGGTGTCACAGCCTGCCGAAGGCGGCGCCAAGTCCGGCTCCGAGGGCTTCAAGGCGCTGCGGTGGGCCCTGCTCGCCGGCCAACACGGCCCGCCGCTCGCCGCGCTCATGTGCCTCATGGGCAAGCAGGAGACGGTCCGGCGCCTCGAGACCGCCGCGCTAGTTGCTGCCGAGGCAGCCGCCGGGCGGTAGGGGAGTAACACTACACTCACTATCTAATGCCTCAAGGATCTATCTCTCATAATGGCGACGGCGGGCCGCGAGAACGCTGTTGCGCTCGCACTCGTGTATATATCTGTAACAAGACTACGTACTATATCTCTTACGGGATGTGATGGGGAAGGAAAAGGAAAAAGAAAGCTGGACACGTACGTACATATCTCATTAGGACTTTGCGAGGGAGAGCAGGCGTTGTGATGTAATAATACCATGTATGTACTGTACTGTACTATACGAAGTACTGGCACTGTAACAAGACCGTTGCGTTTTCCACCATAGAGACTTACTCAACTGGGTCTCGTCTATTCATATTATCTGGACCGGGTGTTTAAGAATTCTTTTTTTCCCTTTTTGCCCGCGAGCGGGCCAACTCATGTCATTATTACGTGACTCGTGGTATTTGCATATATGGGTCATTGCGGCAGGGAGTTGCCTCAGCGGTTGAAGGGGTGAGGGAGGGAAGAGAGTGGTGTGTGTGTGCGTGTGTGTGTGTGATCGGCACTTGGCCCTCCCCTCGCCGCCGCATCAATCACCACCGCACCACCACCGTACTCGTGGTTGTTTCCCGCGCCTGGAGACTAGAAAACTGTCTTGCCTGCCCGGGCCCCTCCCTCAATCTGAAGCCTCTGTGTAGGGTCCCCGCCCATCAGCTCGCGGCTCCCTCCCCATCAGTTCTAAACAGCTTCGCCTTGACTTCGCCCGCCATCAAGCCGGCGCGCTCCTTGGTCGCGACGTAGCTAACGTCGCGGACCACCTTGGCAATGTTCTGCTCGTTGTCCTTGGGGCTGCCGCTCGAGGTGAACGACTGGCCGCCGGGGCGGCTGGCGCGCGAGATGGTTTGGGCGGAGTCCTTGACGCGGAGCCCGAGGTCGGCCATCTGCTTGCTAGCGTAGTCGCGGTTGGTCAGCAGCGGGTTCTGCGCCAGCGTCTGCACCCAGTACTTGTTCCACAGCAGCTCGAGCAGCTTGCTGTCCAGCGTGCTCTTGAAGTGCTCCACCTCGAGCGAGTAGTAGCGGTCGCTGTGCGCGCCAAAGTCCTCGACCTTAGCCAGGGGCACCGTCTGATCGGCGTCGGCGGTTCTCTTCTCTCCGTCGCCGCCGTCGGGTCGCGGCGGCGGCTTGTAGTTCTCGGGGAACGTGCGGAAGGCGCCGATCTCGACCTTGCTGGCGCTGATGGTGCGGTCGGGGTCGACGACGACGGCCACGAAGGGGTCGTTGAACTGCTGCTGCATGGCCTGGGTGCCGACGTCGATGCCGCTCAGCCAGCAGCCGTAGCCCGGGTGGCTGTGGTACCAACCGACGACGTTCTCGAGCCGGCTCTCCTCGCGGCACAGGCGTAGGTACTCGACCATGTACTCGTTGGCGTCGTCCTGGGCGTTGACGCGCGTCTCGGTGCCCTCGACGGGCAGGCGGTAGGCATCCGTCACGACGAGGGCGGGCCCGTCGACGTAGCCCTGCATCAGGCCCATGACCTCGAGCGAGCCGCCGGACCGCGCGTGCATGACCATCTTGATAAGGGCGACGGCGCCGATGCGCACCGTCTTGAAGTATTTGGGGTCGCTGGCCCAGGGCCGCTTCTCGTTCGCCACGCGCTGCGCCGCCGCATCATAGTTGTACAGCGCGTCGCGCTGCACGTCTACCAGCGAGTGTTCGATCGAGGTGGGCAGCTCTACGATTCCCCAGGTTAGTTACTACTTCCTAGCTAGCTAGCTTCTCGAAGCTGGTGTAGCTGTATGTTTGCAATTTACCCATGATGCGAGAATCTGCGTTAAAAAGATGCCACCTGCCCGGCGCAGATGAGTGTGAGTCGTTGAAAGACGAACGCTCCAGGACCTAAGCTTGGTAAGGAAGGCAGTGTGGTTGGGGGATGGAGGGGTTGAAGCACAAGCTTGACCAGCCCGATAAGATAAGAGTATTCACGCCAGTACGTATCGCCGTCACAAGCTGCAAGGTCTGAACCAGAAACCAAAAACCTAATTCCCTTTAATGTGCTGGGCTTACGGAGTACCAGACACAAAACTTGAGAAAATTTCGACTTCTTCCTGTCAAACGTTTATCCAAACCCTCTCTCTCTGGCTATCTACTTAATTACACAAGAAGAATGAAGCGCGGGCCCTCCAAGCACAATACAGACTGTACCTTACTCCCCGCCAATGCAGTAATCGCTACCCATGTTTGCCGCCTGCCTTCCACTGCTGCGTCTATGAACAGTAATGAAAAAAAATATATGGTGAGAGAATCTCTCCCTGTCCACTCTAAGGGAAAAAAAGAAGAAAAGAGTCTTCCCCAAAAGCCATCTTCGCTTTGAAATATATATCCAAGACCAGGACACACGCCACGCACAGAATTTGTATCTGGCGAGCTGGTCAGAACAGTACCCCCGTTTTACTCTTGCTTGTGTTTATCCCGTCTTCACCCTTGGGCCTCGACCAAGACTAGGCCTCTTGCCGTCTCCACTCCCAGACACGATGCTGCCTTCGTCACCGCTTTCGCTTGCATCGGGCGCCGGCGCGGGCGCGGCAGCCAGAGCCGAGACACTGGAGCCTTCGCGCTCCCTCAGCCGATGTGTCAACGCGCTCAGCTTGTCACGGAACCCTCCGCTAGCCGGCTTTCTGCGGTCTGGAGTCTCGTCTCCGCCGCCATTGCTAACTACTGGGCCAGTCCCGCTGGAGCTTCCAGGCCGGGGGCCCACGCTTCCCCCAAACAGCCTGGATCCGCCGCTCGACGCCGGCCGCAAGAGACTGAAGGCACCCCTGTGCCCCCCCCATTCGTTCGACGATGTAGGCGTCCGGTCATGCGGTGTCGGCGGCGCCATCAGGAAGGTGGGTACCGCACCAGCAGGCTGTGTATTGACATTGACCGTGCCCTGTCCAGATCTGTGCGACCGAGACGAGGCGATGCTGGAGCTCCGGCTCGACGGGACCGGTATCGACGTCTGCGACCGTCTGATGGACCGAGGGGGTGACCGAGAAAAGTCAACCGGCGAAGTGCCGTACAGTGAAGAAGAGTCATCGCCGCTGTTGTCTCGCGAGTCGGGCAATTGCGACGTTGCCAGCAGCACCGAGCTGGTCGCGAGTTCGCGAAGCTTGGACTGCTGCGCCGTGCTCGGCCTGTGCTTGGAGAACTTGTTGCCAATGATGGCCCCGGTGTGGCTGATCAGTGCCTTGATAACCCGGCCCTTGAGCGCCAACGCGAGGTCGAGGTTCGACCACGTCTTATTGCGGTATTCAATGGTGGGTAGCCTGAAGACAAAGTCGTGCACGTCCTCCAGGTTCCGGTCGCCCTTACCCTTGTAGCTGAGACAGAGCACAACCGAGGGCATCTTGATGTAGGCAAACGTCATGTAGTTGGAGGCGCGGTCAATCATCTTGGTAAGATCATCCGACTTTTTGGCTTTTTCTTCCTCGGGGTTCGCTCTGTGCCGCAGCGCAAAGCGAGATCCCCTCCTTGACTCGCTGTTACTCGAGGCACCGTCCTTGGACGACAGTCCAGTCGACGTCCGCCCTACGCCAGGTCGCGGCGTGATTCCGCGCAGAGACTCGACGGATCGTTTCTTTGCCACCGACTTGAACCCAGTCCCGGACCGGAACAAACGGAACGAGGTACCCTCGCCCGAGTGGATGCTTAGCGCCTTTTGCTTGTTGAGTTTCGGGTCCGGGTCTGAGGTTAGTGTGGGCCGTAGACGCAGCTCCAAAGACCCAGGCCGCGTTGAAAATGGTACTGACTCTTTGTCCTTGTCGATGACAGAGAGCAGGCCAGATCCACTGAGGGACTCGTCGTCAGCGCCATCGTCGTCCTCACCGCCAAGCGTCTGCTTGATCATAAAAGGGGAGTCGTTCTTGCCCTCCGACTGCTTGTCCCCTTCCATGCCTGGGAAGATGTATTCGAACAGCTTCTTCCCGACTTCGCGCTCCAGCTGGATCTTGAGGGGGAACAGGTTCACCTCAAAGTGGTCCATGACGGGAATTCCGGCAATAGCTTCGAGCATGTTCCAGTACACCCTGATCATGGGCTTGGAGCCGGTATCAAAGCCGCCCGTGTCCCCCTCGACGTAGGGCGCGACCATGGCCGGGTAGATGGCATCTGTAAGCAGGTTGAGACCAAGAATCCGTCCCACCTGAATCAGGTTGATGTGGGACCCGTCTGAATTGTCTGTGCGGTCGTACTCGACGTTCTTGAGCTGTAGCTCCACCAGAGGCTCGTTGTTGTCGCGGATGAGCTGCCAGACAATCTCCTTGACTGTGATGCTCCACTTCAGAAGGGCGCTGCTGTCCGTATTGTCAAACTTCCTCTGGGACGTGGTAATGGCCTTCATCATGAAGAACAGCTCGTCTTCACACGCGGCCAGATCGCGCTCGAGCACCATCTTGTCTTTCCATCCCCTCTTGTCTAGGTGCTTCGAATGGATCTGGAAGTGCGTTTTGATGTCCTCGAGCTGCCGGACACGCTCCTGCAGCCGGATGAGCATTTCCGGAGCCCCCCTCAGGTCGCTAAAGTCCGAGGCAAGCATGATCTTCTCTAATCTCTCGTTGCGCGTCTTCTCCAGTGGTTCGCTATACATTAAAAGGTCTAGTACAATGACATAGATGGCGTAGTACTGCGACGAATTGCACAACGCGTGGGCCTGGGGGAATTCAACCCAGAGATTGTCCATCCTGCTCTCGTTGCCGTCATGCAAGGCGACTGCTGCGCCCCCGCTCGTATTGACTTCATCGTTGTACTTGAGCCGGAGCGTGTTGTATTTGTCGTAGCGGAGCATGGCCGATGTCTTTTGCACGACACGCTTGAATCCGAAGGGGTCGGTCTGGAAGTCGAACATGACCTCCATCGGAACCCAAGGCGGCCACGACGAACCTGACGGAGTGCCGTACGAGTTGCCCGAATACATGGACACCAGTTGTGTCGAAAACCACTTTTGGTGTGTGACGAAGAATTGGGTGCTGTCCATGTTGACTAGGAAACGCCGCTGCACGAGACCGCTGACGTTGTCGGATATTCTGCTCTTATCGAGAACCTCGACTACTTTGAGCTCCATGCCCTTGGCCGTGATGAGGACCACGTGCTTCTTGTTCTTGTCGCTTTGCAGCTGTATCTGAGGCGCAATCAGCCGGACGTGGTAGCTGTTCTGGGGCGTGAACTCGTCCGCGAGACCGCTCGACAGGTCTGCCATGGACGTACTTGGCTGTGCGCTAGAGTCATCGGCATTGGCAAACTTCTTGCCGTCCTGCAATATCTTGCGTATCCGATCCTCAATGTCCTTTTGGATCTCGCGGTCTGTTTTATTGATATCGGGAGTGCTGCCAGGACCACCGGGGGAGCCACTGCCGTTCCTGGCAGTCTTTGACTTGGCCTGCTCTTCTACAATATCGAGGATAAACTTGACTGCTGGGCGGGAGAGGTAGTAGATAAAACCCCGACGTTGGCTAACCTGGTGGATGTACCGGAGGATGATGTTTCGGAGCGTGTTATTCCATTTTAGTTGCATATTGTGCACAACAAAGCGGTTCTTGAAGTCGCTCGCAAACTCAGCGGCGGTAGGGGTCGTCATGCTACCCTTGAGGGTTGGGGCGACAGCGGGGACTTCCTTGGTTTCGCAGTGTTCTTGGTCTTCGCTGCCCTGAAGCATCTCCCTGAGCATGCCCTCCAAAAAGGTCTTCTTTTCAGCCAAGACGCCTGTGTGTCTGCTTAGGGCCTCGAACTCTGCTCTTAGTTCAATGTTAGATAGATCACCTCGGACGAGACGAAGTTCAATCTCTCCTAAGTTCCTGTTGTGAGTCTCGACCTGCTCGTCGAGCTGTTCTAACCGTCGCCGGATGAGCTGACTCTGGACCCTCCTAGGATCGTCATCTTCGCTCATGATGCAAATATGAGTTGGCTCCTTCCCAAAAGGACTACTCCGGTCTGGGTCACCGTCGATGATGCCGCCAATGTCCGTCTGGCGAAAGTACGTGATGCGAGGCGCGAATGCTAGCGGTAGGATCTTGGTATCGGGGTTGGGCTCTGTCGGGAGGATCCAGTCGAGCTCGACAAAGTCGTCCATATCGATCCACGTCAGGTCATTGTCTGGAATAGTGAACCGAGACAGATCAATCCCGTCCTCGCCCTGGTCCGTGACAAAGGTCGAGAGCGACTTCTTCGCCAGGGTCTCGGCCGTTGTGCCTCGAATGCTAGCCGAGACGGCGCGGATATCGGCAGATACGAGATCAAGTTGCCCCGCGTGGATCTTCATGCCGCTTGTTCTTGTCTGCGTCTTGCGGCCCCGATCTCGAGTGTTGAACTCCTCGCGCCTCTGGTGCAGGTCAAGCATCCAGCTGTCAAACCGAACTTTGATGCCGGTTGCCGAGACCGAGTTTTCCAGGGGATCCTCTGCGTCTTTGTGCTTATAGATGTGACTAAGGAATAGGGGCGCCAGCAGGAGGCTGTACTTGATTGTGGCAAGGTGCCTGCCAAACTTTTTGCTGTTCTTCTCCCGGCCTGGCCAGAGAGAGCCCTGGCGGATGGGAAGAGAGAGCGGACCCGAAAACAGGGACCACCAGGCAAAGAAATGGGTGAAGAAGCGGGGAGTGACATGGACCGTATTGTAACTACGCGACGGCTCGGCGTTTGAGGCCGTCCATTCGCGGTCGACTGGAGCGCGCACGGCCACAGACAAATGTATATGCTGGCTGCGAAACCCGCGAAAGGCATCGTACGGAACGCCGTCCTGGGGTTTGGCACGGTGCGGCGACTTCAGCACAACTTTGTAGTGCGGCTTGAACTCGAAGCTTCTACTCCCCCCCTCGATGGCTCGCTCGAAGACAAGGCCGGCCAGCCACTGCACCTTGCCAGAAAGCTTCATCACAACCTTTTTGAAAGCGGCGCCCGGCTTATGGCTGGTATCACTAGCCATACTGGCGTCTTCGCCGTGCTGGCGGCGCGTCTCGCGGACTTGGTGGCTGTAGTCTGGAATTGCAAGGACGTATTCGCCACTTTCGACGCACATGACGCGCTTCGGGTCGTCGTCGGTATGGACGTTCCACTTGACGTCGTTGCGCCAGCACATGAGGAAGCCTGCACCGTTTCCGGTGACCGAGTACGGATCTCTAGTGCCCTTCAACGCTAGGTGGACATCGCCGTCTCCCAGCCATGCGACGCGGACCCGAGAGTGGAAGTTGAGCCGGATCTTGTCCCAGAATCCGACCTTGTCGGAGGGGTCGAGCTGGGGCTTGGTTAGAGATTCGATCGCCATCATCATGTCTTGAATTGCAGGCTGGTACGAGGGGCCCCAGGTTATTCGGGTTGGGTTGGCCGTGTGTATCTCGATGTTCATGTCTGAAAATGACTTGACAGGCCCGATTGTCCTCCGTACGTCGATGGCGAAGCTGCCTTCCTTAGATGACATGGAGCCTAGGTTTCGTGGAGGGACAATCTGGACCTTGATCTTCCGGGTAGAATCTGGACCTCTGTACTCCTCGGCTATCACGAAGTCTGTCTTCATCGACAAAGCCGGCAGCCGGGAAGACTGGCCCGGTTTCGTGGCCGGGACATGCAGCAACGGAAGCGGGTAGTCTCGAAGTGAGATTCTTGCTTCTCCCATGCTGATCTGTACGTTCATGGGGACAAGGAGAGAGTACTGCATATCCTTGGGCATGCCTTTGCCAACCTTGTACAAAAAGTCCGGAAGCTCATGCATCGGAAACGAAGGTTTGTCGATAGCAAAGTGAAGGTCATGGATGAGCGTAGACATGAGGGCCGGCCGGTGCGGAACCTCCAAGATTCTTTCGCTGTCGTCCATGTCGTCGGGTATCTCATCGACGCCCCAAAAGAGGGCCTGGAGGTCCTCCATTCCGTTCCTCGCCATCACGTAGTGCCGGTCGATGCGCTGTTTCCAACTCTTTGCATTGTGCAAATCAAGGTTATCTCGTGCTTCTGCTATGGAAACTCGTGCGTTTCCACTGAATCCTAAGAAGCCTCCGTCGGGGTCATATCTAGGCCTGCGCCCACGGCCAAGATCATTGCTGGCCGAACGTGAATGGCCATCTGTGCTACGGCTTCTGGTGTGAGACTTGCCGGATGCATTCCGGCCTCCCGGGGCCGCGGATCGTGTCCGCAGCTTGGTCGACTCCCTCCTAGACTCGTCCTCGTGGATCTTTTTGATCTTCACGCGGAAGGCTTCTTCACGAGCTTGGCGCTGCATCTGCTCGACGCGTCCGGCCCGGTATATCATTCCAAGTTTCCACTCGAACGCGCCATCCTCGAGCTCGAACAACAGCGTTCGCGTTCGCAGCGAGATCTTGGGAACGTGCTTGGGACCCTCTGGCCCTTTCTCCAGGATATACTCGTTTGTGCCAGTTTTGAACCTGTGATGAAGTTGTAACACGGATTTAGTCACATTTATTAGATTGTCTGACACTTTGTGCATGATCATTTCGTGGGGTACGGCGAGGCGAATCGTCTCGGAGACAATATCAAACATTCGCTCGTCTTGCGTGGCCCCAGAGGACATTTTCCTTCGCGACTCGCGATAGTCTACCCGACCGTTCTTGATGCTGAGGATTCTAGCCCAGACTCGGCGCATTCTAGGGGCCTCGGCGTATAGCCGTATCAGTTTCGACTGCAGATAGGGGGGCGCCCACCGGTGGCGGCCGGCTTCCATGCTGTAGACCTGCAGCATCAAAGGGGGGTCAGAAGGCATCTCCGCCTTGATCTGGATAAGCATTGCCTTGATGTCGACGGCGACAAGTTCCTGCACGGCTCTTGCAGAGTCATTGTCGTTCAAGGGGAAATCTGGAGCGGAAGCGCTTGCCAGGGGCGAAAGGTGGCCAACTACCCGCCTCTGCGACGTCGCTGGGGTGGGCGCGTTTGGAGACGCCATGTCTTTGCTAGTCCTCATAAACGCTTTCCGGAGAACAGAGGTTGCCACCCCTACAGCGTAGTGGCGATAAAGTGAGTACTGGATGAGTACGGTCCTAATGTGGGAGTGAATGTGGAACACCGGACCCTGGTTGTCGCTTAGTGTCGAGAAGGCAATCTCGAAGCGGGGAATATTCACGAACGGCTCGACCTCCCACTTTTCTGCAGACTCGACTATGAACGCTTCCAGACCTCGGACATGGAATGCCACACGGCGACCGTCACCATCGTGCTGGAACTTCTTCCTAGGCGAAGCTGGAACCGCCCTTAATTGATCTATGTCAGGGGGCATCAACGAGCGGCTGCCGGCTCTGCGTCTCTCGGGCCGCCTCTGTAACCCATCCAGCCTCTGCGCGCGGTACTCGGCTGACCATGAGTCCAGCTGAATCGCAACACCCCTCGAGTCCTCCGAGATGTCCTTATCCACGCCTGCCACCTCGACGCTAAAGTCGGAGCATTGCAGTTGGAAATGCAACAGCCAAGCGGGCATGGCGCGTAGAAAGTTTGACTGCTTGGCCGTCTTTGAGAAGGCCCTCTTGTCCGGCTCGATGTTGAGCCGTAGTTGCCGCACTATCTGGCGCAACCCGCCCCCAATCTCTTCTCTAATCATCTTGACTGAGAGAGTCTGGAGGTTCCCAGTAGCGACAACATGGACGTTCGGAGTCGCGTTCAGCTCAACTTTCAGGTCAAACGACTCGGTCTCGAGAAGGTCAAACCTATTGCCCGCCGAGGTCTGATAGTACAAATTGTGCGTCTGGACTCTCATTGTAGCAGCCAACGAATAATGCATTTCCTCGACTGCCGAGTGGAACGATTCCATGTCCAGGGAGACGGAGGAGATGGATGATATGATCAGGTCAAACTCATCAGGATCAAACGTCTTCTGGACTGGGGGTAACGCTATCCGGACGACTGGCTCATGCATCGAGAACTTGATGTTTGCCTTGGGTAGAAGCCGCGATATAAGCATATGCCGCTCCTGGGGAGGCTGGGCCTTTGCCAATTTTGGCTTCCGCTGCAGCATCGCCAGGAGAAGGGGGAGATGCCGGGGGTCAAGATCGACGGACGGGGATGTCACAACCGAGTTGGCGAAGAGAATGTTCGCGTTCCGCTCTTCGGCCGTGCCTTCGTCGGACAGCTCGACTGTTTTAGACGGCAGGGTAGTGCGGACGGTTGTCGTCGCCATGGGGATGTACATGAGCCGCTCTGGCTTGCCATGGCCGTCGTCGAGGCCGACGGAGATGGATAGCGCGGCAGCCAAGGCTTCGTGGGCGATGTCCTTGGAAGGGAAATACATTCTGTGGGCTGGAGACTTTGGGTCAAGTCGGTGGAGGTCGATGCCAACCTCTTTCATGGACGCGTTCATGAGGATCGGGGAGCCGCCCGCCTTGACAGCTTCAATCTTCTTGGTGAAGCCGATGAAGCTGACAGCAAACTGGACTTCCTTGACTCCTCTGAGAGCGGAGCTAACCAGCTCCTTTGAGTCGGAAACTGTCTGCATCAACTCGTTGTTGGCGCTCCCCGGTTCGTCTAGCTCCTGCATCACCTGCTCGACGATAGTATCCAGGGGCTCGAGTTCGGGAGAGGACTCGCTGGTCTGGGCCTTGATCTTGTGGTACTTGGCGGCGCTGTGTCGCACGTCGTCGTATGGCATATGGACGCGGCCGAGCTTCAAGGCCACGGCAGCGTCGCGGAGGCCGTCGAATGCCTCGTAGAGAAATCCGTGAATGTTGAGACTGGCGGTGTCGAGAATTTCTAAAGATTCGCCCCCGTGGGCGGTAAACAGAACGCTCCGCAGGGTCATGATCCATTCCGCCTGCTGCTTCTGGCCCTTCTGATCCGATCTGCCTTGCAGAAAGAAGCGCGCGCGGTCCACCATCTTTCGCCTAGTATCCACCGCCATGGTAAAGCTGCCGACTTGGATATTGCCCACATCAACGATGCGTGCGGTCGAGTTGGTGGCGACAACGTCGACCATGCGCAGCCAGTTCACCTTGCGGTGCAGGCGCTTGACCCGCTCCTTGACCCTGTTTAGCTGCTTCCATGTCTTGCTCCGGCCCTCCGCGGCTGCGTCGCGCCGTCCTGACGGCGTCCTAGGCGTCCTAGGCGTCTTCGGTGTCTTGGGGGCATCGGCCGCAGACTCGGGCTTTCGGTCGGCGGTCCCACCATCAGAACCCCCCTCGTCGGCAACGGCGGCGTTGGCCTTGCTGCGCTCCAGCTCCCTAATGTCTAGCGTGACAGCAAGCTCGTGTACGACGATGCTTAGCCAGGTCGGCTGGGCGAAGGTGGGGCGGTGGACATTGAGGCCAAGGCCACGGATCTCGATTCGGAGGCCATCGTGGGGCGTGTAGGCGAGTCTGCGCAAAGAAAAGTAGCCGATGCGCTGGATTGATATGCCCGTGAGGATGCGTATGACGGCAAAGACGATAAAAGACGACAGGTAGAGCAGGACTAGAATGCCAAATATGAAAGTGGGATTAAGGAGCGCCATTGTTTGTATACGTCGAGATGCGCGCGCGCGTCAAGATCCGGTTCGAGCGTTCGGCCAATGCCGCAGCCCGTGGATGGGACGAAGACAAGCTCCGGAATCGCGGCCGGTCCTTCTTCAGACATGGGTGTGGCCTACGGGTGCTTTTCTTGGTCAGTGGCGCGACAGGGAGCAGAGGAGCTTGGGTGTCATGTCGAATGCGCCCCCCGAGACAAGAGGCTAGTTGCCAACGCCGCGCCGCCGCTGCCGCCAGTGCGATCAAGGTGGACGAGGTCGGTGGCAGCCAACAGACAACGGCGCATTTGCGATCGAGGTCGAGGTGGTATGTCAAGTACTTGGCTTGCAAGGAAGCCCTAAACTGGATGCGAGGTTCCTTGATTGGAGGTGGTACCTAAATAGGTAGGTATTCACCGGATAACAAGAAGTGGATAGTGGATAAAAGAAACAGGACGGAAGCTGACTTAAGGAATGGCTAGGTAAATGCGTCGAGCGGCCCAAACGGAAGAAAGGAGAATAACTAGAACGCCGCGCGAATGCCCCGGCCGGATGTGTGTGTGTGTGTGATAAAGGTCGGTTGGGTTGGTAGCAGCGGGCTTTGGCCTTCAATCCTAACAACCACCAAACCCGCTCGAAAACCCGCTGAAGTCCTAGAACCCCGGCTAGACTAGATCCCTGGAATCCTAGGATGTGCCCATTCCTTTCCGCCAATGGAGGCTACTTCACGTCCAGGCCCCTGCTAGCGGAGCGCCAAAACGTTCTGCCGTCCATTACCGCCTCATCAGCCATCGACTCGTTGAGATTCGACGTCGGACGACACTTGTTTGGACCAGGCCCATCCAGGCCGAGTTCGAAGCCCGAGAATTCAACGTTTGCGGTCGATGAATTTTTGGGAGAGTTTGACCTTTAGTTTCTTCTTTTGCCCCCCTGTTCTTTTCTACGTTGTGACTGGGCTCGGTGCCAGCAGTGGAGGGTACCTGCGTCATTTGCAACCTTGAAGCTGGACCGCTACAAACCCACCCTTCTATTTCTTTCAGACTCTCCTCCAATGTAAATTAGGTGCCCTCTCGCGCACCCACTCCTCCAGACTAGAGCATCCAGTTAAGCCGGCGAAGTGCAGCTGTCAATGCACTCACAACAGCGGCTTCTCTGTGTTGAAGGAGTTAAGCCGTTGCAATTTGGGGTATACTTTCTTTGTTTTTTAGACGAAGCAGAGCACTGCATACCTATTCAGTATTCCCTGCATTAGGGTTTACTTTGGAGCGTCCATTCGGTTCAGCGCAGGGCGACAAACGCTTCAAACCGGTAGGCTAAGATCATCCAGCACTAACTATAACGCCTCCCGCCGGCTGTCGACAAATCAAAACGTTCAGGATGGTTGAGGCGTCTCCATAACTAAGAATCTACCTAGGTCGCCTCCAACCTACGTAAATAAGCGGATCGCCGTACTTGCCTCACGGAGAAGCTCGGAGAGCGGATCAGAATACATCGCCGACCTACAGTCAAACACGGGTCCCTAGTGTTCACTGGGTAAGTTAGGCACATGGTGAAAAGTACCTATGCATTGCGGACGAAATGGGCTGAAGTGCCAATTTAGAAGAGCGTCCATGTTTGTCAACAATCAAAGAGATCATATTTGTCAACAGTGAAAGAGATCAAGTCACAGAATCACGTCCCGCAAACAACGTGGCTTGACGAGCAAAGTACGGACAGCTCTACTGAGCCCAAAAACTGGTAGCATCCGAGGCAAGGTAAGGAATTACTATACATCATTACATTTTACATGTTAGACAAAAACCAGGACGCGAAGCAGGCGATAGACGAGCACCACATGCTTCACTACCGTATTTACAGGGCGACTGCCTCAAGGGCTAGCGCTCAGCTCTCGTCGGGTTGTTTCAGGCTGCTCTCCCTAACCCCCTTTTGCTCCTCTTCGTGGAGGGCTTTGATGCTATCGTCTACGATGGCGATTTCAGCTTTGACCCGGAGCAGTTTCTCTTCGAGCATCTTCTCGTAGTCCCGGTCCGTCAGCCGTGTGACGGGACTCCACTTCGAGTCCAGAAACCCCTTCTTGGGGGCATTGGGGTCAACCGGCTTTGAGTCGACCGAGTTAACAACTGCCTGGCCTCCTGCTCCAAGTAGCATGAACACGGCCGCCCCTGGCAAGATATTTCTTGGTCCCCCTGTTCAAGCCAGTCAGAAAATGCGAATCAACAGCCAGGCGCCTACCATGGCTTTTCCACTCACGTATCATGCCAGACACTGCTCCTGCAAACCCGCCTGCTATGGCGCTTGCTTTGGTTTTGTCGGCTGAGCGAGGCTCTTCATGGCCTCGCAATGCTCTGAGAGCCACCAACCGAGCGCCTAAGATCCGTCAGGGTCTGTACAACTAGCTAGCCCGCAAGACATGGGCGCTTGCTCACCATAGTAGCTGGAGCCAAGAGTGAACCACTGCCCTCCCATGGCAAGTGAATAGATCAGGGGAGGCGCTCCCCGAGCAATGCCAAATGCGGTTCCGGCAAACATGCCCATTGCGCCTAGTAAACGTCAGTGTCCATTTTGGTGGCAACAAATATCCGGGAATGAGGTGCATCCTGGGCTCAGACATGGGATGCCATACCTGTCCAGGCACCGGCCTGGACTGACGGTATAATGACGGCCATCAACTCGGGCGGAAGGAAGTGTCTCTGCGCCGGAGGTATGGCTCTCTCAGACTGGGAGAGCGACGGCTGTGAAGACGGGAGCGCTGGTGGCGCGGGCGCTGATGTGTGGCCCTCGCCATCCTTCCCATCGCCGTCCCACGTACTATCCAAGACAATACGCTTCATGCCTAGTAACGAGAGGGTTACTATGAGTAAGGTATCAATTCCCTGCGAGGGGGTGGTATAAAATGTCAGAAAACTAATCCTAAAGCGTCTCGGATTGGTGAGGGCAGCGTGTTGGCGGATGCACCTATCAGGAATGTGCGCCGCAATCGTTTGTTGCAGTCATCTACAGTCGGCCCCTTTCAAAAAGGGGAAGGATTGGATTGGAAGAATCGGCCACACCTTGAGGAAGCTCAGACGGAGCAGACCAGGCTGCTCGCGCAGGGTGGGGGACCAGGATGCGAACGAGCCACCAACTCTGTTCTGCAGAAAGTCCTGCTTGAGTTCAGGCTGCCCTGGGTGGAGCTAAGCCTGTTTGGAACGGTAGTGCGGGCTCGCACGGTGTCCGCACTTGCCGATGGAGCAGAAAAAAAGTCTACCCTGATTTATTATTCCGTTCGACTTCATTTTTTCGCTTCTGCCCGCACCTCCAACACCACCTGAGAAACCAACATCCCACCAACCTGCGAATAGCTTCTGTTCGCCGTCAACCGTCTGCCCGTCATTTGCATCCGCATCTGGACTGCAGATTCCCAAGACTCGCCTCACCGAGCACTTTCGAGAGCCACCCAGCGTCCCGAGACTTGCTCCTCCGGCCCACCGATTTCTGCCTGCCCTACGCGCTACGATTGACCGTCGTTGCGCGTGGTCTACCTAAAAACCGTAATCATGGGTGAGCACCACCGCCCGCACTTGGGATGGCCCCGCGCGCCCTTCGGGCTGCAATCTGAAACTTCCCCTTGACGTCGCTGTTGGCTGACCCGATTCTCTAGCGCCCAAAAAGAAGGAAGTCCAGAAGTTGTCGCTGGGCGAATTTATGAATGATGCTTGTAAGTTCCCACCCCCGCCAAGGCGCCTGCCGAATGGTTCGGCGGGCGGCCAGCCAGGGCCAGTCAAGCCGTGCCCCCCCTCCACACCTCATCATCAGTCAAACTAACCACGTCCAAAACAGCGTACGGAGGAAGTTCGTGGGCCGATGAAGTTGAGGATACCATTGGTAAGCTGCATCCCCAACATCCCAATATTCTCTCTGTTTGCGCCGGTTCTGGTATGCGGCGTAACCTGAATTGAATGTGGCCAGAAGACGCTAACCCCTGCAAGGCACTCAACCTCTCCCTGCGGGCGGCCGTGGCTATGGAGGCTCCTCCTCGTATAACGCAAACACACAAGGTTCGCCGAGTCGTCACTGCCCACAACCTTTCTGTGACGTGGTCAATTGACCCTTCAATCTAGGCTATTCCTCCATTCGCGACAACCTCCCTCAGACACTTCCCGACAAGCCACCATATACGGCTCATCTCGGCAATCTGTCCTACGACGCCACCGTCGAGAGCGTCAGCGACTTCTTCTCTGGATGCAAGATTCTTAATGTCCGAATTATTGAAGACCGCGAGCAGAACCGGCCAAAGGGATTCGCATATGCCGAGTTCGAGGACCTCGAGGGCCTCAAAGAGGCGCTGACCCGCGATGGCGTATCATTCGAAGGACGAAGCATCAGAGTTAAGATTGCTGATCCGCGTAAGTCGTCTACCTGATGCTTTATTGAATGCATTCCAAAATATCTAACAGCGTGTCTTTATTTAGCCAAGGACAAGTACGGTAGTGGAGGTGGTGAGTCGACGCGCGATTTCAGTGATTGGTCACGCAAGGGTCCTCTTGCAGACCTACCTGGCCGCGGCGGCGACCGCGGCGGCGACCGACGGGGTCCGTCCGATTTCGGAGAGCGGAGAGCCCCCCGCGAGTTCTCAGGAGCCGATGATGGCAAGGTCCGAGACTTTGGAAACTGGGAGAGACGCGGGCCGCTTTCACCTCTGTCGCCTCAGGCTGAGCGCCGCCCCGAGTCTCGGGATGGTTCTCGTCCCCGCACCAACGATGGCGCCCGTTCCGAGTCGGTTCGTGGTCCTAGAGGAGCTTCGCCCGCCGCATGGGGCCCAGGCGAAGGCCGCCCAGCGACGACGTCAACCTCGCGCCCGCCTCGCCGCGAATTTGCTGACCGCCCCGACCGCCCTGAGCGTGTTCCCACGGCTGCTGAGAAGGACTCGCAGTGGCGTAGCAACATGCGTCCCGATTTGACGGCCAAATCTCCCGTCCAGTCTCGCGAGGGTAGTGAAGCCCCTCCCTCTCCCGCCGGCCACCCGGCCATTTTGCCTGTGTCGAGGCCCAAGTTAAATCTCACCAAACGGACTGTTTCAGAGACGCCTGCAGTGCCCTCCCCGGTCGCGCCAGCCGCAGAAGCCAAGGATTCCAAGGCTAGCCCATTCGGTGCTGCCCGTCCTATCGACACAGCAACACGGGAGCGGGAAATTGAGGAGAAGCGCATCCAGGCGATCAAAGACAAGAAGGATGCTGATGAAAAGGCAAAGGAAGATAAACGCATCGCTAAAGAGAATGCTATCAAGGAAGCTGCCGCCAAGGAAGCTGCTGCTGCGGAAGCCGCCGCCGAAGAGGCTGCTGCCAAGGAGACTGCCGACAAGGCTGCTGCCGAGAAGGCCGCTACAGAAGAAGCTGCCGAAGCCGAGGCGGCCGCCGCAAAGGCCAACAATGAAGCGGCAACCGACGCAACCGCCACGCCGGCTGAGCCGACTGACGAAAAGGCAGTTAAAGAGAAATCTACCGCACCCTCAGAAGCTGCCTCGCCGGAGCCAAAGCGACGAGAATCGCGAGAGGCGCGAGAAACGGCTGCGATTGCCAAGTCTCGAGCTACAGAAAGCGGAAACTGGAGGTCAGCCTCTGGAGATCAGCGAGCACCAGCTCGTGGTGCCCATGCCCCTGGTGCCCCCCGTCGCGGTGGCGGCCCTCCTCGTGGGCCCCGCAGTGATGCCGGACGGCCGCCGCGAGCAAACGGCAGCGGCCCGGCCCTCGCCCCTGTCCCCCAACAGCAACCGGCTCAGGCTGCTACCGGTACCACCGGCGACCAGAGCCCATCGACATCAACCGTCGACGAGGATGGCTGGACCACCGTCCCCAACAAAGCCCGGCGCGGCCGTATGTAATTGTACACTGAACGTCTTTTCGCCACCTCGGCTCTATTAACAGGCGTTTGGAGCGAGGTCCGCTACTCTGACCGCCAATGACTCATCCCTTCTCGCTTAGCCCTTGTGACTATACCACACTTTGTTCTCCTTTGCCCCCATATCCCCGGGGCCGATTGCCGCACCCTCTTCTCATGGCCTTGGATAGCCAAGCGACGCTATGAAAAGCACTTCAACGCCTTGCCCTGTGTAGATCTGTACTAGCTCGCTTGCGGTTTTCTCTTTTAGAGGACAGGCACAATCTCTTTTCCCCTCAAATATCATCACGGCAACCAGATACAAAAATGCTTGCTTCTAACAGCTAGCTGCCCCCCGGCGACCCGGCAACCCCCTCGTCGTTACCCTACTCTTTCCAAAAGTTATTCATGCCTTCCCAACCACGACACATGGAGCTTCATGCAGCAAACTCTCACTCTAGGTTTTAGGTCCTATAGCGAGGGTCTTACAGCCTCTCACTGGAGGCCAGATATAAGGCTTTATATGAGGGAAATCTCAGCTCTGTTGGTGGAGGGAATATTTCTAATGACATGCAGAGTAGGTTTGTTAGCCGCAGTTCTAGGGGCACCGTTTCTTTCTTTTTTTTTTTGGCCATCTCTCCCCCCCTGTCGACCTTTCTCGCACTTGAATGTGACAGGCGCAAATAGGCAGGGGCATCATGAAAACCATTTGCATGGCATCTCGTACTTCGATCGGTTGGGAGGAAACCGGGTCTACTTCACGGCAGGCTCAACGTGGTGTTTTCTTTCTTAAGACGAGGGCAAGGAAAGATAAAAGTCAATAAGAAGTGCGCGCACGCGCACATCGATCTGTATTTGGTGCTTTTATGAGTCTCGTATACGTGGTTCGTATGGAAATATTTCTATTGTTTTGTAATTGCCGTCGGCTTGCCTCTTGCGGTCAAACTAGAATAGCATCCTTCTGAATAAAACCTGCCAGTGTGGTGGTCACTTATTCTCACCGCTTCAGTGTCTTTTGCTTCTGCGCATCCGTAGCCACGTTCCTCCCCTCTACGAGCAGCCCCTTCCGCCTCCGCACGCCGTCCATGTACCGCTTCGCCACGTTCTCGCGGTCGCCAAACTCGCCCAAGTCCTCAAGGTCGTCCTCGGTGAAGGGCACCCAGAAGGGGTCCTCGTCGAGAATCTCGAAGCCCGTGAAGATGAGCTGCGGCTGCGCGGCGCCCGACGTGCGCTTGCGCATCTCGTCGGCGAACCCAAACGACTCGGCCACGGGCAGCAGCGCCTGGATCGTGAAGAAGGGCGTGCCCTCGTTCATGGCCTCGGACAGTACTGTCCCGCGCCGGCGCGTCAGGACGTCGTAGACGCGTCCGAGTACTTCGGCTGTTTTTGGATCGGTGTGTTAGCATGTGGCTTGTTTTTGTCCGTGGAGTAGTGTGACTATGTGTATTTTGGGGGGAAGGGAGGCGGGCTGTGCTGGGGGTGAAATAAATTAAGGGGCTGCAACAGAGAGGGACTAGACATACTGCTTGCTTGAATCTCGCACGAGTACATGGCCAACATCAGGCGCGGCGACCAGTCGAGGAAGCCCTTGTGCATAGACTGCTGCACAGTCTTTATGACCTCGCCCGTCAGCCGGCCAACCCTATCGCGCGCGGGTATCTCTTCCTCGGCGGCCGCAACGGTGATGTCCTCGATGAAGACGGCGACCCCCTCGACGGGCTCGTGGCACAGCGGCCCCTGGTTTGTCGCCAGCTGGAAACCGTACGTTATCCTGTCGCAGAGGTGAGCGGCTTGCAGCCTCTCGTTGGCCATCGGGCCGCGGCTATCCTTGTCGCGGTTCTTATCGAAGGCTTTGGAGAAGTACTGCCCCTTGGTAGCGTCGATGAGGAGATTTGAGCCCGAACGCCTTGGCCCAAAAGACACAATGCGGTCGACTACGCCTTTCCAGGAATCTCGACCCTTTCCGCTCTCTAGCTGGGCCAAAAGCTGTGTCCTGAGCTCCTCAGGCGTTAGACACGCTCCTATCGATACGCCTTCGTCGTCCTCGTCCAGCTTTTCGCCCGGTGGGGTAGCGATTCCGGCTTCTGTCGAATCCGCCGCTTGAGACGAGGGCCCCGTCTCACCGGCAGCTCCTCGGTCAGAGAATAATCGCTTGATGCCGCCGGTATTCTTTCCCAGAAAGCTGGTAACGTTGGATGGAATGGGCTTGACCCGCAGCGTGACTGTCACCTGTTTGGAACTCGTCGTTCCCACCACAACGCCGCGTCCGAGGTCTTTGTTGGCAGGAGACCGCATCTCCTCAGCGCGGACAGTGGTCTCGCGGTAAGGCACAATGGGTGCACTAGCTTGGATCTCGCAGCGGGCAAAGCGCTCACGCAGATCGGTCAAGCAGCGTTCGAGATGTAGCTCGCCGGCAGTCAGCAACACGTGCTCGCCGCTAGAGAACTGTTCATACTCGGCGCACGGGTCACTTTGGACAAGTAATCGGAGGCCCTTGATCATATTGTCCAGGTCTGATGGGTTGACAGGTTCCAGAGCCACACGGACGATGGGCCGACCGGCGATGTTTGCGATTCCAGCAAGATTGACTGCTCCTTCTAGCTGACTACATAGTGTGCCGGATTTGAGAATACCGCTCCCATCAAGCCCACGAATGCCGAAGACGACGCCAGCGGGCACAGAATCAAGGGCTTCAAGATTCCGCCCCATTAGCATGTAGAGGGCGGCTACCGTTACCGTCTTGGGTACCGACGAGGCGAGCGGGTCAGCAGGCGAGAACTTAGGGGGGATGACGTAGACTAGGTCACCGACAGACAGTACACCGGAGAAGATACGTGCAAATCCTATTAGGTGCTCGGGCTCGACCTCTTTGTCACCGACATCTGTATTCTTCTGTTCCAATGTGGCGCTCGACATCGCGTTTGTGAGACCGTCCACGGCACCGTCGGCAGCGGCGGCAGCTGCCTGTGCTTGAGCTGCCTCGGCACGCTTCTTCCGGGCAAGGTCTCGCGCCTCTACCCCGTTGAGGGGCCCGCGTCGTTTATTTTCAGGTAGCTCGCTCTCAGGAATGGAGACCATCTTGCTGACGTAGGCAACCATAGGGTCCGATGGCGATTTCTTGAACGAAACCATGGCGTCCTTGATTTTGGGGTCGACATGGTCTGCCCCGGGCACATTCTGCAACAGATCGGGCAGCCGTTCCGCCTGTGCTATCCTCGGCGACGGGAGGGATTCCACTACCGAAACCAGAAGAGCCACTGAAAGGGGCAACCAGGATGCAAAAACTGTGGTCAGGAGTAGTCTCGGATCCCGAGAGCGGAGGACATGGGGAGGAACTGTCAGGTTGAGAGACTTTGTGATCTTTTCCAGAAGCACGGGATCCCCCGTCCCGCTGTCACCGCCAGCTGTGGCCTGGTAGACGGCCCAAATCTGATCCAGCACCAGCTGAACGAAAAGGGGCTTGAGAGAGCGGCCCTTCAGGTGCTTAGGCCCCAGGACCTTCTTTGTCTTGGGGTCTAGATAGAAGTTGCCCCAAAGAACCTTCTCGAGAGAACTGCGCTTGATGCCAAGCTTCTTCTCGTAGAGACCGGCAAACTGCCTGACGGTAAAAGCCCAGCCGTCGATAGCGCTGCCAAAGATGACGTTGTTTTTCTCGGGGGCAAAGTAGAGCTCCTCGTCATCACGCTCCTCAAACAGGAGGTCGTCAGAGTCGGTTTGCTGGTCTGCGAGCTTGGCCTCCTTAGCGACGGCGGCGGCGACTCGTTCCTCTATGCGTTCGCGCCAGTTGAGGTCCTCTTCCATGCGCTCTCCCTGGAAGAAACTTCCGAGCACGGCGTTGACCTGCTCGAGGATCTTGCTCAGGTGAATGTAAGCCTCGGTGGGCGTCATCTTCAGCTCGGTAACTAGACGGTCGATCTTGTTGATGACCAAAAGCGGCTTGAGCTTCTCGGTCCACGTCTGCCTCAGCACTGTCACTGTCTGGCTGCACACACCCTCGACGGCATCGACAAGCACGACGGCGCCATCGCAGAGACGTGAGGCGGTCGACACCTCGCTGCTGAAGTCGATGTGGCCGGGAGAGTCGATAAGGTTGATAAGATACTCCTTAGCCTCGGGAGCTGCGTCGGGGTTTGCCCGCCGCAGCATGGAAAAATAGAGGGAAATGGCCGACGACTCCATGGTGATGCCGCGCAACTGCTCGTCGGGCCGCGAGTCCAGGTAACGGATCTTGCCGGCCAGCTTGGCTGAAATAATACCATTGGTGGCGAGGAGGGCGTCAGTGAGCGACGTCTTGCCATGGTCGACATGGGCTAGGATGCAGATATTCCGCACATTGTCCGCGTTTTGCTGGAGCTGGGCCAGCTTCTCGGGGCTGACGACAGGCATTTTGCCTTCTTTTGTGGCCCGAGTGAGGGATGAAATGAGGTTTGAGTCACAGCGAGTTCGTGCAACAATTGTGGGAGACTCGCTCGCAAAAAATAAACTCAAATGGGCAATCAGCTAAGCCGCCGTCTTATGAGAGGCTTTGATCTGAGGTATCCGAACAGGACGTTGGCGACTAACACGCCAGCCTACATGCACCTGACACAGAGTCAGGACACAAAGGTCGTTGGCGACAAAAATGCCAGAACCGAAGGATCGAAATTGAGGTCCTACGTCCGGTTCAGGCCCCTGGAAAATAGGGCGGATCTCGGTCTATGCTTATTGTCTGTGACGAATATATACAGGCATCCGTCGCTGATGTTCAAGGCAGTCGTTGCACTGAAAGGAGGTACTTTGTATCTTGGGTAGACCAAAAGGTGGTGGGCGGGCAAGGTGGCTAACCGCATTCGACGACGGATGAATAATTCTGAATCAACTTGACAGTGGGTCCAACGGCAGCCCTACAATACGGCCCAGGAGTCGGATTGAAGACACAGTGCTTTATTACGTATAGTACTCAATTTGAAAGGAGCCCGATTTACGGATATAAGTGCAAAAAAAGCTGCCCTACGTACGTCCTTGCGCCAAGACAAAAATAAGAAACCCTCCCCCCCCAGCGTCTCTTTCTTACAATATTCTTAGCCTTTGCCTTTCTCATAATTATTATTTACAATTACACCAGCCATGCAACGTGGCGGCCGCACTTTGTGATGCTGCATTTCGGCTATTGAACCTGCTCTACACTCCAATCCCCGAATGTTTGTTAGTGGGGGACTCTCCAAGATTTAAAAGGCCTCAATAACTTACGGCTCGCCCTAAGAGTTTTTTGCTGAGGGAGGTAAAAACTATTAGAATCCCTATTTTAGAATCTTAGAGGCGTTTCTCTATCCTAAGAATATCTGTGAAAGTTCCTAGCCGTTATATTTGCTGTGATCTTTACCAATTGTAAGTACCTAGGTCCTACGCCAATAAACATTCAGGTATCTGAGCGTACAATACCGCGACAGATAATGAACTCCCCCTTGCAGCTCCTCCGCTGTCACATCTCTTGCTGTCATCGCTCGTCAGCGTCGAGCCTATCAATCACTGGGCTACGAATGATAGAACTGAAGTCTACCCTCCCCAGCTCTCTATCTAATTATAATCGGCCGTTGTCGAGAATGTCACCACGCATTTCCAAACCTAAAGCACATACAGCTAGATAGCTTATTTTTCGTTGGGGGGTGGTCATCAATACGTTCCAAATTTAACTATCGAAGCCATCTCAGCATCCTTTGGTTCTTTGAAATATCAACCCGAACACGACAACCAAGACTGCTGGCAGATAGAACAGAAAACATCCCGATATCCGCGAGGCTCTGGCCCAATACTGCTTCTTTCGTTGGCATTGCTGCCACGCAATGTATTGCCGTCCGCTGTACCTCCCGGCCCAGCAACTTACCATCTGGTCAAAGGTATTCTCGTCGTCTTCAATGTCAATAATCCCCTCAATGTCCACGGGAATAAGCTTTTGCTTCAGGACGAGGGCCTGTTGGAGGGCATCTTCGGACTTCTGGTATAGGCCTTGATCTTTCAAGACTAGTGATAGTCTGTATAATGCCTGGGAAACATTGGTCTCCCACTATGACTGGCGAAAAGCTACATTTATGTCGTAATTCTCCCTAAGTATACAAGATTTGCAATACGATGAGGTTTGGGTGCTTCGGTTCCAGCTGTGCAGAGCAGATATCCTGTGCAACCCGCATGGCTTCGTCGACAAGGTTCCGTTCCCACATGTAGTTAGTGCCGGACAGAAGTTCCACACAGTCCATACCAGCAGACAAAATGTCGCCATCTAAAGTCCTGCTTTCGGCAAAGACGGAACACAGGCTCAGTACATGAAGAAGGTATTTTTCATTGTGCCCACTTTAGCGTTGGTGCCAATGTGCAGATTGCCGTGGTGTTGAGCTGCGAACGAGCGGAAGGGCCAGGCTGAAGGCTTGGCGGAAACGCTCTGGGTTCTCCTCCATCTTATCCAAGAGAGTGTCCCTCAATGTTCGATGGATCCAGAGGAATGCTGATGAGTTGGGACTCCCGTCAGCAGCCTTACTGGAAATCAAGCATCGTTGTAGGAGCCCCGTTCGGAGGCCGACGAGGCCATCAGGTCTTTTGTCAGTAATTCAGGTAAACAATAGGCACACATATTACAAGAGACAAGTCGGACTTTAAAACGAGACTCGTGTTGATCTCAGGGTCTTTAGTCGCCTTGAGGAAGGTAGGCACGTTTGACATGCCGCTCGTGTCTCGGAAAATGAGGTCTTCCCAGATTTGATGGGGGTTGAGAAGAGCCAAAAGGTCCAGAAGCTTTCTGGCTTCCTCACCCAGACTGTTCAACGTGATATCGAACGTTATCTCCAATGTTTTGTCATAAGCAAACGTAGCGATTTCCGTATCAGCCCCTCCTTTCCATATCTTCTGTTTCACCGTCTTCAGCAACGGCGGCTAAAAAAGGGGCACGATGGCGGGCTGGCTTGCTTGTTTCCTGTGGTAAAGTAGACATCTTTCCCAAAGCACAAACAGACGTATTGTGTTGGGTATGCTAAAAAGCGGCCCATGAATAGCTAGCTATGCCTCAGACAAGATTCATACCATCTGTTGTCTAGGAAGGATTCGTGCGGGTGCTTCACTCGATTCAGCTTATCACTGTTGTTGCTCTCGGGATCATCAACCTTCTTAGGATGCGGTGGAGCTAGCTACCAGTTAGCGCCTGAATAGATAGATCATGGGCACATGTGCATGCAGATACCTATAGTCAAAATACGTAGTGTGCACGCGTGTACAACCTTGATAATGCAATAACCTCTCTCGCATTTTATGCCACATTAACCTGTGAGTATACATGTCACTTGATAGGTTTGGGGACGCTGTCGGTAGGTAGGTCGGTCGGTGCAAGGAGCTACATTGGGGTGGTAGCACGCGGAGGGATGGCCTGTGTGGGGGGTTTCGCTGTCCATGATTCCCATCTCTCTTGGCTGCTTCGGCCTTTGCCTGGTATTTCTCCCTCGTCCCTTACAATATGTTACTGGGACATTGCTCTTGCCATACCTAGCCCATCCTCGTCTCTATATTCTAGATCCTATCTCTTCTACTTGGTGCTCAACGCCTCAATACCTATTGACACGGAAATTGTCCGGGCAACCTTTCGATATCTGGTTTGGAATGATCTGTTCTACGAAGAGAAGCCCTTTGAGATCCTTACTGACATCCCCAAGGATGCCACTGACTAGAGACAGACAAATCTGACTCTTAGGGAAGGCGGTGACGAGCATGTCATGAACTGCGGAGGGATGGAGGATAGCTTCTCGCTCGACACTCACGGGTTCTCATTTCCTAAGCACAAGTCCGCTCTTGAACCCGATGATTTCCACAACCGGCAGAAAGTCGAGTCCACCTACCTTCTAGAATGCGAACAGATCCTGCGAAGGCTCATCCCAGACGTCGACCAGGTGTTCATCTACAACTGGCGGCTCCGATGCAGCAGCGACCAGAAGATGGAAGGCTCGGTGATTAACTTCAGCGACCCGACGTCGCCTCTCGGCGCGGCCGTCCATGTCCACGTCGACCAGTCGGCACCTTCAATCGTCGAGCGGATCGAGGTTTATCTTCCCGAGCAGGCCAGCCGTCTCCTGCGCGGCCGCGTGCAGCATATCAACATATGGCGCCCTATCCGGGGCCCTGTCGAAGACTGCCCCCATTGCACTGTGTGACGGCCGGTCGATGCCCCCCAAGATACTGGTAGAAACCAGCCGCATCAGCCGCCAGTTCGCGGGCGATAGCCTGTTCCCCATGTACCAGGACGGCTATCGATGGCACTACCTCGCGGACCCGCGAGACGATGAGATGCTGGTGTTCAAAAGCTTTGACTCGCAGCCAGACGTTACCGGCTGTTCGTGCTTCCCTATTTCTCTATCAACCACCTATCCCGCCCCAGGAGATATTTGCCCGTTACGAGTGGATATATAGATATAGGTAGCTAACATTTGGTGCTAACACATGCTATCAGATGCCGCGCATTATTCATTCAAGGTGCCCGACAAGTCGGGGTCACTCAAACCTAGGAACAGCGTCGAAGTCAGAGCCTTGGTGTTCATGTATCCACCAGATGGCTTTGACGAGGATTCGGGATATACTGAGTAGAACTTCTTGGAAGCCAAATCTCGTCAACAAGGAAGGCGCCGTAAAATGTGGCTGTAGAGAATATTGTCTGTCACCAGGCTTGCTAGGTATGCCCGTATGTGGTAGGGTGGTACCCAAAACTCTCCAAGTTGAAGGGTTTCCGGGTCCTCGACGGCCACTAGTCGACTGACGTCGAGCTCATTGCACCAGGGTTATGGGGCCGAGCAAGGGAGGCTCAACACGCTGATGATAAAGAAGCCATATCTCCTCGCCGTGGTGAGGTTTGAGCTCAAGGTTGTCGGCATCTTGTCGATAGAATCCATGCTGGTCTATAATATTACTAAACTCGAACATTCACCGATGCTGAACCTAGCTAGATATTAGGTTGCGGTCGCTAATACCTACCTAGTCCTGTCATATCAAGTCAAACGAATGCATGCTACGTCAACGGTACTTGTAACAAGAGACATGTAAATTCGGCGGCCAGAACACCGCTTTATGGAATGTTGTTGGTTGAGTCGTTGCAGAAGTATCGTGCCGTCGTTCTAGTGGCCAATACATTGGCAGCTGCGATTGTCAGCTGCCAGATGCTACCCTTGCAGAAAAGGTGTGAAACGGTGGGCATATTTATTGGCAAAGCGGGGCTTTGGCCTTGCCAGTTCTCAACGCAACCGCACCCAGCACCAAACCCTAAACTGTCGGAGCCACAGCCAAGTTGCCCGCCGTCGAAAAATTCCACCCCAGAGTCCGGCCGCCGCCCCTCAGACACAAAAAATTGTGCCCCACCTAGCAAAGCAATTTCGGGCTCGTCGCGACGGTCACGGCACCGCACCACCCACACTCCCCTCCCCCCTCCTAGGCGAACATAGCTTGACGACTTTGAGAGAAAGTCATATCGGCCGCGCTCAACTGCTTGCACCCCAGCCGACATGAGCACTTTCCAGACGGGCATGGCGCCCATGCGCTCCATGGGCGACGACAGCGACGTCGAAGAGGAGGCCCTCGTTGCCGACTACAAAGAACAGGTCCAGTACGAAGACCTCGACGACCTCGACACCTCCAACTCGCTGGCCCACCAACCCGACGACCTCCAGGCACGCCTCACCCAGGCTGCTCAACCCCTAGAATTCTCGGCGCCGCTCGAGGCCAAGTTCCAGAGCTACGATGCCTACTGCAGCTTGTTCCATTTCATCCTCAACTCTGAGGGTCCCGTCGACCTCGAGCCTCCCTCGGTCAGTTCCCAACCAACCCCCAAACTCCCTTTCTTCTTTTGTCTCTATGCTGTGCGCACCGACAGCTTCTTTGTGTGTCGATTTGCTGATATTTTATTTTGCAGTACTACTGGGCGTGGGATGTCATCGACGAATTCATCTACCAGTTCAACTCCTTCTCCACCTACCGGGCGAGGATTGCGCGGCAGGGCAACAGCGAAGATATCCAGATGCTCCGCGAGAACCCCAACACCTGGGGCTGCTACAGCGTGCTCAACGTGCTGTACTCGCTGATCCAGAGGTCGCAAATCACGGAGCAGCTGGCGGCCATGAAGCGCAACGAGGATCCCATGGCTGTCGCCGGCCAGTATGGGTCTAAGAACCTCTATCGCATGCTGGGCTATTTCTCCATCATTGGACTCCTTCGGATCCACTGCCTTCTCGGAGACTTTAGCCTTGCGCTTAAGACGCTCGACGACATTGAGTTGAACAAGAAGGCCATGTTCGCCCGCGTCATGGCCGCCCACTTTACAACCTACTACTATGTAGGCTTCTCGTACATGATGATGCGCCGCTACGGCGACGCCATCCGCATGTTCAGCCACATCCTAGTCTATGTCTCGCGGACCAAGAACTTCCAAAAGAACGCCCAGTACGACTCCATCACCAAGAAGAACGAGCAGATGTATGCCCTGATCGCCATCTGCGTCGCCTTCCACCCCACACGTCTGGACGACACCATCCACACGGCCCTCCGTGAGAAGTATGGTGACCAGCTGCTTAAGCTGCAGAAGGGCGGCCCCGACTCGCTCCCCATCTTCGAGGAGCTCTTCCGGACCGCGTGCCCCAAGTTCATCTCCCCCGTGCCCCCTGATTTTGACCACCCCGAGGCCAACGTCGACCCCATCGAGCACCACCTGTCCGTCTTCATGGATGAGGTCAAGACCAACATGTGGAGCCCAACCGTTAAGTCCTACCTGCGCCTCTACACCACCATGGACCTGAAGAAGCTCGCTGGCTTCCTCGACGTCAAGCCCGAGGACCTCCGCTCGTTGCTGCTCGTGAACAAGCAGCGGACCAAGCAGCTTCGCTGGACTGATCACGCCCTCCTCGAGGGCGAGCTGGTGAACGTCAATGACCTTGACTACGCGCTCCAGGGCGTGAGTTACTGCTCCTCCCGTACTGGTGTATTTGTGGCGAAATTGTAACTATGCTGACCCCAAAAACAGGATCTGATTCATATCTCCGAGGCTAAGGTCGGCCGCAAGCTGGTCGACTGGTATCTGCGTAACCTCTCGCGCACATACACATGATGGTCTCTAGATGATGTGCCCGCATATAGTCGACGGGGAGAATCGTTGTGTAATCTGGGAAGTTTAAGGGCTATTTAGGTCTCTTTGTCAGCAGCATTGCATATCAGGCGTCTATGGGCTGGTATCGAGGACCCAGGATGGCGGGTGGCTGGCTTCAAAATATCCGGCCACAGCAGGAGGCGTCGAGAGGCAACAGATATTGAGGCGTTGCTTCCTCGAAGGACGGTGCTGGGGGACGCATGTCCACCAAATAGCACGTCCAGCATTATTTTTGGCGACATGGTTCTAGACTCTAGACCTGGAGATAAGACCAGAATTAATCTCGAGAATGATTTCCACGCGCGTGCTTGTAAGACTCTCTGACGCCTTCACTATGTACGCCTTCTAACGACTCTTGAGGGGGAGGGGCTTGATCTGTTGTGCGTCTATTGGCCATCCCCCACAGGTCCTGCGCGGATGGAAGCGGCAAAAGCAGGCTCGCAAGTTCGGGAGAATGGTGCGTACATCCGGGGCACAGGCTCCTCCAAAAGCCAAGGCCGATGATGACACACTGAAACTTGACCAGCGATAGCTCTAGTAGCCCCGCGCCCACGGGCGAGTTAGGTGAGGCGCCCAAGAGGCCTCCGAGAAGGTTGGCAAAGGTTGGCATGCAGCGACATGCAGCTTTATCATTTACCAATCCTTGCCCTGTTTTCTTTCGGCAGTGGTCGGTCTCCTCGGGGTATCTCGATGCCAGCTCGTCAACAGACACAAGACGTGAACGCAGAGGTATGATGAGGCTGCATATGCAAGCCCCGCAGACCAGAGCTCTGAGCTGCAGCATTTGGTTGTGTGGTTGGGTTGCTTTCGTACCTCTTTTCCTCTCTAGGTTGCGGACCCCCCTCTTCGTCTCCCACAGCACAGTACATTGCCTGCTGCGTCGAGCCTCGAAACGAACATGTAGCGGGAAGCAGGTAGGTAGGCAGGTAGGCATGCTTGCTCGTCTGCCTCCCTGATGGGACGAGACGGTATCTTATTTTATTAACTCACCCCAACAACCAAAGAACCTAGAAGGTCCTTTCCGCTCGTCGGAGGAGCTTCGGGAGATGGGACACACACATGGCGCGGCTGCTACATCTGGTTGGCTGGACTGAGGCTGACTCGACGACGCAGGAAGCATATCACCACACCACACCACCTACCTAACACCATGAAAAGAAAAAAAACTGGCTCGCTGGCCTGTTGGCCACATCATCTCGGGGCACAACTCACCGCTTGCACTGGGCAACGCGGTGCAGCGCAGCGCATCACGGTGGTGGTGGGGGGGCAAAAGGAGCTGCGAGGTTCGTCAGACAAGGCCACGACGGTTGTGGGCGTTGTAGGGATGCACTCTCCTCTCCCCCTGCTACAGCCCAATTGGCCAATGGCAGGGAGGGCAGCTGTGTGAGCGATAGATAGAGAGACTTCACACACAAGTTGGGTTTTCCTGACCGCTTCGTTGCTGAGGTGCGCACGAGGGGCTGTTCCGAGGGATACTCTGTAGAATACTTCCAAGGCACAATCCCGACGACAAGCTACAGATACTACAGCACCTCCCGTTTTAAAAAGACACTTCACACTGCTTACCACAGCACGGGGGCACCATCCATAGGGCGGCGGGTGGTCGGCACAGGCGGCTTGGCGGACGGCAGCCCCGCCGATTCAACAGTCTGATTACACGGAGTAGCAGCTTGGCAGAAGCACCTGGGTCCTGTCCCAAGCCTTTCTAAAACACTGGCGGGGATCACCTGATGCGTCTTCACCTATTCAATTGGACGGGGCGGGGGATGTGAAAGTGCGGCGGATCTTGAGGCAGGCAGCCAGGAGCAAGAGACTGAGGTCTGTCTCTATCTTGGGAGGCCGAAGTCGAACGACTACGATGACGGCAGCGGGCCCGATCGGAGGGTGATGCTTCCAGCGCGTAGACACGCAGCGGGCGTGAAAGTTACGGGCAGTTTTTCCGTACCTACGTACCTACCTTCTAGATTGCCTTGACCTCCCATGTTTTTTTTGTCTTCAATGCTGACGCCCGACAACTGTCATCCGTCCGAGCCAACATATTACCGTCCTCCGCCCCCTGCTCTGTCATGTATGTAACTCGGTCTTGAAAAGAAGGATGTACGCAGTACGCAAGAACACGGTGTGCATGTGTTGGTTTTTGTTGCCCCAGCCTTTTCGTCTTGGCCTGCGTGTGGAGGACGCGGGTGAGGGACGTAAAAACCCGCCAAGACAGCAATGTCTGGGTTGATGGACGGCCACACAGCATGGATGCCAAGCGTTTCCCCAGTGCTGGGTAACGAGAGAGACTGTTTGCTCTTGCCAACTAGGAAGGGAGCTATTACCATTCCGCAAGTGCAGAAACAGGACGTTCTACCAGTCGCCGCCATATCTCAGACATTGGAGATAGGAAAGGGCCTGCTGCGGGAACTTGATCGGCGCGGTCGCACACCGGCACTAGAGTCTAGCTTTGTGCACACATTTCCGGTGCTGTTGGCACTGCGTTTGCTCGCAGCTTAGTGCGAAGAGCTGCCCGCGTTGGGCTTGTCTCGTGGAGGGACGATGCGCCCAACTAATCGTAAGCGGAATAGTCTGAAGTGCATATAGCGCCGTAACGGCATGTGCTATACGTACTTTCCGTACCAAATGGAACCTAGCCGCCTTCGCGGGCAAGCTCGCAGAAGACAACACAAGCTAAAAAGTAAAATAAAACGGCCTCCTCTCCCCCTTGCCTGACAGGCGAAAAGTGACACCCGCCCACTCGCCAAGACAAGAAGGAAAAAAGTAACATACGAGAGGTCTAGGCAAGATCAGGCCCGTGATCTGCTGCCATCCGAGCTCGGCCTATCATCCCATCCCATCCCATCCCTCCTCCCTCAATCCCCTTCATATCTGATCTCGAGATGTGCCAGCCTGCGAACCCTAGCTTGCGCCTCCTCTGCCTGAGCGTGACGCAATAACACGAAAGCCTTCTCTTTTCCTCCACTCTCCCACGTTTCCCCTTCCCTGGAGGCCATCAAGGTTTCAGTTCCTGTGCCACTTTCCCCAGCAAAGGGCAGCTCAGGTGGGCACGAAGGGAAGCTCGCAGCAAGCAGGGAACCACCCTCATCCAACCCCAAGCTACCTAGATACAGAAGCTACGACCACAGAGCAAGAGCTAAAAAAACATTCTCATCACCGACCCGAATACGGTCGAATCGTGATACAACACACGACGGGCATATCCCTTCTTTGCCTTCCTCACAGCCGATCGCTCCCCGACAATTCTCCCACCCGACGCTCCAAGCATCGACATCGAGTTCGCACCTCCCGACGTCGTCGCTTTGCACTTCTCTACCTGCGTCAAGCCTGCCACCAACCTACACTTGCGAGCGTCTCGCAATCAACCCCTCCAACCTCGATGCATGTCAATACGATACAGCCTCTGCTGGCCCCTCCTTGAGGCCGTTTGAGCACTGGCGTAAACACAGCAGGAGAAGGTTTTCGACTGCAACTGGCCCACCATGGCCGAGGAGGCAATGGACAAGCAACTCACTGCCACCTCTTCGCCGGCCCTTGCCAAGAGCCCCGACTCGGACGTGTCGCCGCGCACCCAAGATCCAACAGAATATTTCCCTGCGGGACCCAGCAGCCCCCGTGATACAGCTGCCGCATCTCCGCCTGGTGCCAAGGAATACGGTAGCCCAGTATTCAGCACAGCGTTCCCAATCGTCGCCGATTTGAATTCGAAGGCGGCTAGCACCGCAGCTTCGGCTTCATCCCTCCGCGAGCCCGGATCCGGCGGTAACGGCAGCAGCGACTCACGGCACCCTTCAACTGCCGCCAGCGACCGCCCGACTGCTGCCACGTCAAGAAGATCGTCTACAGCGTCTGTGTCGTTCCGCCAACCGCGCAACCCCTCGCTCCCGCAGGGCAATCCGCGAAAGACGGACAATCGACGACTGCGAGAGTCGTCGCCATCTCCCGTGAGGTGAGTGTTGCCTAGCCCATTTTCACATCTCTCGCCCTCAATGTGGTGATTGATGCATCAGGGTCGAGATTCGGAGTCCTTGCTGCAGCCCCAGCCCTAGTGGTGCCTTTAAAATGGGGATTCCTCTGTTCCCGGACACCTGCATATCCCTACAGGAAGACCTGCGTGGACCCTTGACCTGTATTACATTGCCTTGGTTGCTCCGTCATGATAGCGATCAAGGGTCCTAGGATATCAGCAAATCCCGGCCAGATCTGCTTTGACCAGACTTGAAGCAGACCACACCGCACCGTACCAAGTCAGCTTGAACCTCGAAAAGGCAGACGCGGTCTGCCAGCGCAGACACTAGGTCAGCCTAGACAGCATGTCCACTCCAATGCCACAGACATTTTCTCGTCGTCCTCTAACCTCACACAACACCTACCCCTCCCCCCCCGCATCAAGGTGGTCTGGTCTTGCCGTTTGCGGAAACCCGTCGCGTGGCACGCGAGGCCACAGAAGACATGGGCAGGCAACCATGCGCAGCGCAGCGGTTAAAGCGAGTCTGGCCCGCTCTCAGAGAGTGTGTGACCCGCATGGATCACGGTCTCGCAGAGCCTCTGGTCGAGTCTCGCCGCCTGTACGTATTCTGTAGGGGTTATTCGCCAGCACCTTGATGGAGCTAGGCCCAACCCCGCCACCCCACCGGCCCACTTCCTTCGCTCAAGCTCTATCGATGTCATGGCCCCAACCCAAACCCACCTCGGATCATGTCACCGGGGGCGTTCACCGCGATCGCCTCCGCCTAAGCTTGCCGTAGTGGAACGAGCGCTGGAGGCAGATTCAGTCGGCTAAGGCTCACGCGCATGCACCGTCTTGTCCCTGCATCATCCGCAAATCTGTCCCGTCGTCATCTTTCTGCTTGAGCCCCCCGTATCTGTTGATTAAAAATTCCCGCAACGGGACAGTCGAGCCACTTGCCTTAAGTTGGGCGTCCCCATCTAGCCTCAACTGGTTATTTTCCTCTGATCCCCACCGCACTCTGCTCCGACCCCTTCAACCACCTGCTTGCTCCGCAATCCTTGTTTGGTGACATGTCGACGCTAACACGGAATGCGTCTGCGCCTCCTAGGTTTCGACAGCATGTTGGATTTGACAATCTGCCCGTGGGCGAGGCTACCAAGAACAACACGTCGTCCTTCACCCTTCACGTCCGACACCAGGGCTACCAGCCCTCACGGAGATCCCGCACGTTCATGATTGGTGTGGATGAGCATAGCTACTCCGATTATGCGCTGGTCTGGCTCTTGACCAACATGGTCGACGATGGCGACGAGGTGGTGTGTGTCAGGGTGCTGGAGAGCCCCATTCGCCCGGGCGAGAAAAATTACCAGGAGGAGGCCAAGAGGCTGCTCCAGGCCATCCAGGCCAAGAACACGCTGAACAAGGCCATTAGTATTGTCTTGGAGTACTCGGTTGGGAAACTGCACCTGACCTTTCAGCAGATGGTGAGCCTCTACCTAGCCTGGCGCGTTTGGTACAGTGCTAACCACTCTATAACAGCTTCACATCCACCAACCTTCGATGCTCATTGTCGGGACCAAGGGACGCTCGCTCGGGGGTCTTCAGGGGCTGATGAACACGAGGAACTCGTTCTCAAAGTATTGCCTCCAGTACAGCCCCATTCCAGTAGTAGTTGTTAGGCCCGACGACCAACGACAGAAGAAGAAGGAGAAGCGGACGCAAGATCCGAATCGACAGAGCTACGTTGCCATGCTCGCGCACAACAACGGCAAACACGAGGCCGACTCGGACACGTATAACGTGTTCGAACTCGAGCGTGGTATTTCAGCCGACGAAGAGGCGCACCGAGTAGCGGCAGCGATCGGGCTCCCGGCGGCATTTGATCCCACCATCAAGCCCTTCCGGGCTTCTTCACATACCCGACGACCGTCGTCTCTTTCCGGGGCGTCGTCTGTTGGGGGGAGGTCGAGCTCGCCGCCGCCGCCAACAGTCCGCACCGAGAGCGGTGATGAGGAAAGCGGCGAGGACGAAGAAGACTTTGAGGCCGAGGTTGTGTCCCCGGGGCAGATTCAGAAGGCAGAGCGAAAGGTGGCTGCACTCGAGAGGGAGCAAAAGCAACGGCTGCACGACATGGAGGTGGGGGAAGCCGCGGCGCTTCTGAAGTCGGCACAGGCCGAGGAGGATGACGACGACGACGAAATACCCGAACGGACGGAAAACAATAGGGCCAAGTAACGACTTTTTTTCTTCTCTACCAAAAATCTTCCCCGGGGGGGGAGGGGGCAATCTGTGCTCGACGGCAGGGATAGGAGCTAGGTGTTGGTGGCGTGCGCAACGGGGGCTGGTAGCTCTGCAAATATTTCTAGGACGTTTTTCAGTCCGTAGACAGCGTGGCAACATTTTAATTGTTATGGTTTGTACTGGAGGCATTTTGTTATTTTGAGCTAGCAGGACTTGCTGCCCAACGCTCGGGTTTTACCAGGAAGGAGCGAAACGAAGCGCATGTATCATTACCTACCTTGGGTGACTCTCCATAGCCAGACAACATTTTGTATTTGGCAGAATCAAGATGAACCCTTCTCTGTACTGCGCGTTTATTTTCCGAGGATATTATACCTCTACTAGTATCCTATAGCTTGCGTCCTGGAGGCATCGTCTGGTGTTTTAGAACCAACCCCGACCCCTGTCGCTGGGTGGCCCAGGCGGCCCAGCACCCTCCTTAATGAGTGCGGGGCGCCGACGGGAATTTCTGAGGTGGTGTGAATTCCGGGTTGTTACTTACCTCACCTTTGCTAGCGTGGTTCGTCATCCCAACCAAGGCTCAACAGTCTGTGCTACTGCTGTGCAACAACAATCACCCAACGCCCGTGGCATAGAATAGGGAACTGAGGAACGCTATGCACCCGGAGCGTCGAACTGCCTCGCGTCCCCATCCGCAAGCCATCCAGCGCGCTCCCCCGACGCATCAACTGGCGTAGGATGCTGGGGCAATTGCAAGCTACGGTACGAATTGGATACGGAGACGCGACGTCCAACCCATGGCCCCCCCTTCAATCGGGACTCGTCCGAGCGGTGCCGACTGCGGCGATGACCTCTGCATGGCACCAGGTTCGCTCTCGACGCCGAGCGCCCTAGGTACGCTCTTCTCACTCTCGCCATTTCTCGCCACCTTCGCTGTGGTCAGCTTCGGCGTCGCCACCAAGGTCTTCCCGCGCCTCTCGCGCCTGCAGAGCAGCCATGACGGCGAGGGCCACGTCCTGCCCGCCTCGGCCCCGCTTACCCTCCGCCAGGCCCACGCCGAGCACGGCGCCCGGTCTCCCCGCCGCCGCATCGCCGCCGTGACCTTTGCCGCCACCATCGGCCTGGCCACGGTGCTCGCAGAGCTCATCCTGGCTGAGATCTCGGACCTCGTCACCCCCCACGCCCGCACCGTCGCCCTGCGCTTCACCGTGCCCACCCTGCTCTTCATGCTCGTCGTCTTGATACCCTTCCTGGAGCTGCAGTCTGTCGTGGCTGGGTCGGGCTGGTCGTTTCAGCGCACCGCCAAGGGTCGCATTCCGCGCGTGACCTGGACGCTGCAGCTCGCCGTCTTTGCCGGCTGGCTATTTGTGTTCTGGTCCCTCGGCCAAGCCGTCCCGGCCGCCGACGGCGCTGCTTTCGACAGCAGCATCGGCACGGCGACCGCTAGGCACGTCGAGTCGGTGGGGGACGTTTTGGTGGGCGGGCAGCTGGCGCGCGCCTGTCTCGAACGCATCGGCGTCATTGGCATCTCGCTCATGGCGCTGCTGTCGGGATTCGCCAGCGTGTCCAGTCCCTGGCATACGTTCTCCGACAACAGGTCGTACCGCAAGCGGCCCATCACCGACGCCGACATTTCGCGCAAGCAGGCCGGGCTCGACGCTACCAGCGAGCTGCTGCTGACCAAGCGCCACCGCCTGCGCTCGCTACAGCGCAAACTAGCCGAGCCGGGCGGTTCAGCTAGCGGCGGTGGCGGCTCCCTCGTGGGGAAGATGTTCGGGTCGCTCAAGGGCATCGCGGGCGGTGCTAGCGGTGGGGATGCCGCCGAGGTCAAGGCCTTGCAGATAGAGATATCAGGTCTCGAGACGATGGAGTCGAATCTGGCCACGTCGCTCTCGCTGCTCCGTACGCGCCAGGCCGCGCACGCGCGAGACGGCACTGCCCTCGGCAAGGTCCTGGCCGTGCCCAGCTATGTCTTCAGCGTGTACTGCGTCTACCGCATCCTCGCCACCACGCTCACGACGCTGCGGCGCATGTACTACCCGGCGGCGTCGTTCGCGTCGTCGGACCCCATCAACCGCTTCCTCGGCCTGTTGGCCAAGCACTGGGACCCCAAGCTCGACCAGATGGCCTGGGCGCGGCAGATCTCGTTCCTGCTGTCGGGAGTGATCCTCGCCGCCAGCGCGAACTCGGTCCTCCAGACTTTCCACCTCTTCGCAAAGTTCACCCCGGGCCTGCTACAGCACGCCCAGGCCAACTTCGCCCTGCTCATCGGCCAGATCGCCGCCACGTACGTCATCAGCGCCGCGCTCCTGCTGCGCAGCAGCCTGCCGCGCGAGGTCGGCCGCTCCGTCGGCGACGCCCTTGAGAGCGCCCTCGAGCCCGCCTTTGTCGACCGCTGGTTCGAGGGCTGGTTCCTCCTCGCCAGCGCCGTCACCATGGGCGGCATCTGGATCGGCCGCAAGCTCGCCGGGGCCGGCGGGGGAGGCGGAGGCGGGTCGGGGGATTCCCTCGACGACTGGGATGACTTTGCCGGCGAGGAGATGCAAAAGAGGTCTTGATGTGTGGTTTTTTTTCCTTCTGTCGTCTTCTCCCCGAGACCTCGGGGGAGATGGATACTTGCGTGCTGGTCTTGCTCTATAAACATACATGTGTGTCGCGGCCACGTAGTCATGTGGCAGTAGATTCTTTGGGGTTCGGTGTTTTTTTCTTCTTCGTCTCTGTTTCCTTCCATAATAACAACAACGGATAATCACGGCTGGATGGGTGGGTTGGTGCGCGGCGAATAGGTCAGGATAAAAGGCGCGTTATCTGCGCTGCGCTTGTTAATTTCGTTCTGCGATATTTTTTTGCTTCTTTTGATTCTGTCATATAAAATCCCTTTTTCGTATTCGTACGCCTAATAGGAACCATGGAGTTTAGGATTTGCCAACTATATTATTTAACAGCCCAGCTCCCATTGTGTGACATATTAACCTTGCTCTGGCTCTAGTTAATAGTCTACTGCGATAATTAGTTAGGGGAGCTTGTGAATTATCGTTTACTCGGTGCTTAGTTAACTGGTTCCTGGACAACTAAAAACCTCTTTATTGGCTGGGGCAAAGAATTGGTTGCCGACGGCGATATAAATAGCCTAACGGCCAGTAGTTTATGGTAAGGCCGAGAAATGGGGAATGTCAAAACCTTTGGAACGGAAGGAAAACATGGAAATAATAGTGATTGCTATTTTCTCTCGAACTTTAGATTGTAATCAAACCAAATCCTTTTCGGCAGTGTGAACTCTTCAAGAATTCCAGGTCTGAATGCTCAATACCCACTGCGCCGTTTCCTACACATCAATATGCAGCTTATCCAAGTTTGGAAACGGCAACCGGGAACTGCCATATATTGGCAGGTGCACACTTTTCTACAACTTTTCTTCTCCCTTGATATTCACACGTTTCCTAGCTCGGCTAGGCGGTAGTAAATGAACCCCGAAGCCATTATTCACTTCATCGTGGCACGGGTGGCAAAAAACCTTGACGATAACCATTTTTTTGCAACGCCAAAATGGAAAAGCTTTCTCCATCTTGGCTAGGTTCTTTACAAATATGGAAAGGCAATATCCCCGACGAGCGCCCAAGATCCAATGTCTTTCAGCAAGCAGAAAAATAAGACATTGCCTGTTGGAAGCCAGCCATTATCAGCAAACCACAAGAAACTGCCATACCATATCGCGTCATATGATATAAAATCTTCAGGCCAGACAAAGCCTAACCTCCTGCTACAATAGACATGCAAACGGACGACAGCAGGATAACGCTACGGCCGATGTCGCGGGACGGAAGCCAGCAACGGGGCCGCGGCCCATGGAAGAGTTGATCGACGAAGCCGTGGCCGACGCGCAGGCAGCAAGACGACGATCGCAGCGGGAGTGGGCGGTCAGCAGGATGGTGTGCCACTGGCGCGCGGAGCTCCTCTGGGCGAGCGACGCCGAGTTTGAGCGGCTGCCGCTGGCGCCCGACCGCCTCGTGACGCGCCATCTGTACCGCTCGGGCAAGAAGCAGCACGCGGCCGACGGGCGCCTTCGCGAATACATTGTCAAGTCGCTGCGCGGCGAGTCCTGGGACGCGCTGTGTCGGGCGCCCACCGCAGATGCAGAGGGGACGACGACAACGACGCCAGTTACGGGTATGGCTACCACGGGCGCAACAACTGATAGCTGTGGCAGCTACGAGGACATGGCATCATCATTGCCTGCTGTTCCCACGCTAGCGCCAGCGGCGGCGCCGGCCCCCAGCCCGGTGCTTCCGAGACTTGAGCGAACCGACCGGCTGCTGAGGCGCATAGAGGCCTACGGGGCCGTCTGGGTTGAGAGGGACGAGCGTTGCCGCCATCGCGTGGGTTCGCTGACGACGGGCAGCACCACCACCACCAGGAGCGGAAGAAAAAGGGCCAAGGCCGCGGCGCCGGCAGCAAAAGGAGGAGATGGACTACATCGTGGTTGGCCTCGATGGGCTTGCTGCTGCTGTTGCTGACGCTGACGAGGTGGGCGGCGACGAGGACGACTGGGACGCATGCGCCGACGCCACGGCGGCGATGGACTGCAGGGCGTGAACCAGTTACAACGTTGGGTGGTAGTTTAAACTAGCAGTTACTGTATGTAGTCGAGGGCTGAGGCTGACGTCGGACCAATCGCCGTTAGATCAAGGGGTAAGCGCGGGTGTCTCTCAAACAGGAGTTCATGTTTCGTTTCACCCTGCTCGAGCCTTCTGCCCGCACTGATTGGACAGCGGCACCCTGCGGGGGGGTTAGTCTAACGCAAGGCAGGGGCCGCGGGTGGCCAGGGGCAAAGGAGGCCTGACCCAGCCCGTCAGCCACGGCCGGCACAAACATCCCATCTTCTCACCTCCTCACCTTCCATTCTCAGCCCCTCGCGCTCTGGTGATATCGCAACGTGCAGAGCCCGGGATACGCGCCGTCTAAATGGCCGGTCGCCTGGCTCTTTGCGGCCTCCCCCCGCCCGAATCTAGAGTGCAGCCCGACCAAGCGCGGCTCATCCGCAATCAAAGGGTTCCAATCATGTCAGTAGGTAGGCTGTCAAAAGGTCTCGGCTGCCTCGCCTGCGAGGTATCGTCCCCTGAGTTGGGTTGGCGAGCCTCGACTCATCGTGGAGTGCTCCTTCCCCTTTCCCCCTACCCCTAGCACTTGCCATCACTAGCATGCAGCCAACCACTCAGTTGACAGCTCCGCTAGCTAGAGTATTCTAGTCTAGGCAGGCTGGCCAAAATCATAATTCCTGTAGTATATGGTCCTGCCCTTCCCCTCAGCCCACGAGTGCGGACCGCTGCTTTGGGTCTTGCCTACCTTACCTAGGTCGCGACCACTGGTCTCGTTTGCCAATCCCTCCACTCCTACTTTACGTATTTCTCTTCTCGCGAGACGCAAACACTTGCACTCGCACAGGCAGAAGCTGTGCTTCTCTGGTCTCGCCTGTTTGTTCCTAACCCGTTTGCTGCGCAACCATCCTCTTCGTTTGAGTTCCCTTCGTGCGATCCTGCCATCTTCCCTCTTTTGTCCGACTCCGACTCAGAATCAGATCAGCAGAGCAGGCCTCCTGCCATCCGTCGTCATCTTCCATTCATCCAGTCATCCAGTCTTTTCTAGAAGCCAGGTAGCACACCGCCGTTGCGAACACGTCGTCGGTCCCGCCGCCTCCCACCTTGGGCTCGCATAGCTGTGCAACTCTTGGGCCCCAAGGCATGATCTGAGATCTTCTGAGCGCCCGCCTTCTCTGGTCCTCCTCCAATAGGGACCGCCTTGATCCGAGCGGGAAGCGGATATCGCGAGTCTAGTTTATAGCCGCATTGACCCCCTCAAATCGCCCCGTGGCATAGCGCATCGCTGCCATCCATCTCCAACGCTGCCCGCGATCGCCCGCCACCACGGCCCTCTGATACCGATTGCGTTTCGTGTTCCTCGGCAGCGCACCAAGTAACCACCTCTCAACCCCAACATTTCCCGGCTCGCAACCTCTCGTCACAATTCGTGACCCTCGGATCAGGAGTGGCAAGACTCGACGAAAACCGATAATCTGCGCTTCGCGCAACCAGGACTTGACTGGGCTGGACGGGTGACTTGCAAAGAAACCCGGTGACTGCGTCACTCTCCAACCGACAGTCTCTGTCTGGCGCGGCTATTCGACCGACGACAGAACGACGCGATAATGGGTAACCACGACAGACTGCGGGCACCGCGATGGGCTCGCATTCTTTTCATGGCCTCGGCCACATCGGCGATGTCGTTGTCCAACTTCCAGCTCATCACGTCCTCGACGGTACCCATCAGTTGTATCCTAGCTTACAACACCCCAATCCGCGGCTGCTCCGAAAGCGACTTCGACACCGAGAGGACCTGCTCGGTCGCTTGTGTTAACGGTCTCATCAAGGTCCAGCAGACGCTCCAGGCTGTCTGCGACGACACGAGCATCCCCGACGCCTCGGTGTTAGGCCAGGTGTTGCAGGGCAACTTGGTGCAGCTGCTGTGCCCGGGGTTCTCGCTGTCATCTACCTCAACTTCAAGTAAACTCTCAACGACGGCCGCTGCCCTAACTACTACGTTGCGTTCAGTGCTCACTTCAAGTACAGTACGTCCGACGACGTCATCGACGCAAAGCTCCTCTTCGATGACCCAGACGGAGCAGGAAACCTCGACATCTAGCCTTAATTCGTCACCAACGGCCCTCAGCCCGACCTTTGTGCAGTCTGGCCAACCCGCCCCGACATCATTTGTGCAACAGCCCGGCACCACCGCAAATTCTGCCTCCGCAGCATCCGATCCGACGCCCCCGTCAAATCTCGGCGGCGGGAGCCCCTTCGACCCCGTACCGAGTGATGGTTCGGGGCGGCGGTTTGTGGATCGCTGGCTTGGGGCGTCCTGCATTACAGTGGCTTTGGGATTGCTGCTGCTACAGTAGTCAAGGTTACGGGTAGCCCCCGCCACGCACGTATTCCAGTTGAGTGCTTGGTCGAGGTTGGCTGCGCTAGAATGCAGGACTGGGCCATTCCCTCTAGGAACAATAATGTCTTTTTAATTTCTCGGGAGAAACAAAATAGCATTTAGAGCTCGCGACGTTAGCATCGCGGAGATCTGAGGGCCGGCTTTGGCGGCTGAAGAGCCGAAGCAAGAAGGCCACAGTTTCGTGCGACAGTTTGTGGCATCTTTACCATGGCATGTGAGGAGGGCCATGAGGAAATAGAGATCTTGGGAGGAGATAAATACATATGGCCCAGTGCTGGACGGTCCTCGCTGGGAATGGGGGGAATTTCAGGCGTTAATATGAGAGGGACAGGCTGTACTGTACAACAACCAAGGCCTAGCCGATCGGAGGGCTTGCCTTGCAAACAATGATACCAAATGCATATATAAATATATATCCGAAAGTGTTTTGAAGAAATTGGGTAGTGATTTCGAGTGCTTGCTATTACGCCAGACTAAAAGACGGTACTCGAAGAAGTGAGAAGAGCAGGCGCGCTAATTAAGACATTAAACCAGCAAACGAGAAAGGAAAGGTGCAGCGTTTGCTCTTCTCGTCTTGTCATATTCTACTGGCCGTTTTTCCATGTTATAACTCTCTGCAGCAGACTAGACCGGCAATTAGAGTAATCTGCACGTCACTTGTCGATACGTACGTACGTAGTAAAGTTTGCAACAGCCTAGGTGTAGCAGCAGCAGCAGCAGTGCCCAGCTTGGCCCACTGGACCGAACTGAGATCACCATGACTTCATCACAACACACAACTCACACACAATCTCTCTTCCCTTCTCTACCTCCCACCTCTTTCAGTTCAAGCCGTCCCAGCCCACAGATCCCGGATCTGGATCACGCCGGGGATAGTCGCCAGCACGCCAACAACAGGCTCGCTGACCAGCCCGCCGTCGGTGCTCCAGTGCAGCGTCAGCGGGGCCCAGGCGAGGTTGCGCACGACCTTGTTGCGCCAGGCGCGCGCGTCCTCCGGGTCCGGCCCCGCAACCTCGGCCGCGAGCCGCCCTAGCTCGATGCCCACGTACGCGGCCCAGAACCGCGCGCTCCACTTGTACGCCTTCCCTTGCTGCGCAGGGCTCCAGCCCAGCACGCCCTTGGACGACAGGTACGCGCCGTTCTCGAGCGCCTGCAGCGCGATGCACAGCGCCAGCCGCACGACCTCGACGGTGGTGGCAATGGCTGATTGTTTCTCTTCTTCTTCGGGGGCAGTGCCGGCGATGGTCTTCTGGTTCTTCTCCGTGTCTGACGAGGAAGAGAGCAACCGCGCACCCAGCCCGCGCGCCCAGAAGTATAGCGGCAGCAGCGCCCACAGGCGCAGGATGGTGCGCGCCTCGCTGAGCAGCGCCGAGAGCGCCTTAAGGCGGGCCGCGAGGACGAGAGCATTCGCGGCGGCGGCGGTGGCGGCGGCGTGGACGACCTTTGTGTCAGCGGGCCCGGCGGCGCGGGATGCGAACCCCCGCAGCGCGGAGGCTGATAGGTGCGACGCGTAGCCTAAGAACAGCATCACCGTGTCGATGCCCGCCGGCGTCGCCAGGCATTTGTTGAGCCGCGTCAGGAACGTGTCGACGCTGCCCGGCGCGCCGGCGAGGGCGAGGAGAGCTCGTAGCGGGATGCTGCGCTTCGCCCCTCCCGGCCCCCGAGGAGTGAGAGGTCTGGATGTTGACGGTTCCAGGGCGGACGCCACGATGGGCTCGCCCGACGGTAGGTCGGCTGTGATGGGCGTGGCCTCGGCCTCGACCACGACGGCGTCGGTTACCGCTGCTGCGTCTGCCATTGCGTAGTAAGTATTTGCGACGTCGTGTGCGTGTGTGTGTGTGTATTTAAATTATCAGTCAAGTGTTTTGAGGTCTTGCTGTGTTTGCATTGACGACCCAAGGTTTCGTCTGGTTGGTTAATGAGAAAGAGTGTCGCGAGAGAATTATATGTAGGAAGGAAACAAGAACCCCCGTTCGGCAAACAAGCGAAACCGCTTTCCCCTCCCCCGGTTTGAAATGAAAGAGTAGCAAGCAGTTGGTTCAGTTAGTATAGCTAGCTTCCCCACACCTCGCGCAACGCAGCAACCCGCATCAATTGTTAAATCTCTGAGCGAGATTAGCCGTTACAGACGTGGTTCTAGGGCACTGGACTTGGGTTCTAAAGTACCTGACGAAGTAACATGCCCACCCGTTTGCTGTGCCTCGGTTTCCGAGCGAGCGGGGGTGGGGTCGGGTGGAGGGGCGATCTCGGGAAACCCCTTTCCCCCCCCACCTGCCTACTTTTCTTCCCCGGCAGTTTTCCTATCAGATTAATCTGATAAGAATACAGGAGAGCTCAACAACTAAGCCAGCACAACAACATGTTTCTTTTGTCTAGTGGTTCAAGTCTTTATGCGGCTCGGTAGGTAGTCGTTAAAAGAAAAGAGAGGGAATTGCATCGCTTCATCTCCATGCATGCTATGTCCTATCTTCCAGCTCATGTACCGTACTCTCCAGTGCACTCTATGTAGGCAAGGCAAGACAAGTACAGAATAAGGAAGTAGGCATGTTATCCCATAGAAAGCTGACGGGTATCTCATGGCTATGTCTTCTTCTTGCTCGCATTCTCGACAGCGGAAAAAGGGTGCAAAATGCAGCGCGCTTCCTATGCCAATGTCTAATACCTCTCATGCTGCTGCTGTTGCGCTTATGATTCAAGGCTGCTATTGACGTCCGGACCCTCGCACCAGGGGGCTACGCTAATTACAAGCTCCGTCTATTTACAAAATAGATCTAGTTTACAGTTCCACCCCGTATTCGACCTCTGGAGGCATAGTGTATGCATTATTAAAGGTGTCTAGGTAAGGTTGCTATTTACTTCTTTGACGAGCGCTTCGGGGACACGGGGACCACGGCGCCATCGCGCGCGCTGTTCCACACGCTCGGCGTGACGCGGGCCGGGATCTTGCGTCCGCGCAGTCGTTGGTCGATGAGCCACATCCCGACGACAAACTCTTGCCTGCCGAGGGCACCACGGCTATCGCGGTCGACCAGGTCCCAGACTTCGGCCAGCTCATCGGGCGGCAGGCGGCTGCGGCTCCAGATGTCGCGCACCACGACGTTGACTACTAGATCAGCCTCGGGGCCGTCCCGTGCGCGGCTCAGGTCCGTCTGGCTGGGCTCATCGCCTGCATCCTCAGGACTGCTGCCGCGCGTCCGCCAGTTGTCCGGGTGTTGATAGGCAAAGCCCGGCCGCAGAAACAGGCCGCGGTTGCTTGCCCACACGGCCTCGTATCGACGACGCTCACGTACCGACACCTCGTCGCGCCACCGCCGTCGAGACCCCTCGTGGTGCGAGTGTTTCTTGCCGCCCAACGGCTTCTTGCGGTGCTTGTGCATGTGCCGGCGTGCGTCCTCGTCGTCCGAAAGTGACGGGTGAGGCGAGCGCAGCGTCTGCAACATACCGGTGCGCTGCTGCTGGTGTTGATTGTGGCGGCCCGGCGACCTGTTGTTGCCCGCACGGTAGCTACCAAGCAAGCTGTCGGCCGTCCGTTGTTTGGGCAGCTGTAGCAGCGGGCTGGGTGGACCGAGTCCGTGGTCGTGACGATGCCCGTGGCCGTGACGACGGGGAGGTGGGACTTGAGGTGGGCCTGCGGTAACTGGAAGACGGGCCGATGCGAGGTGGCTCGCCACGATAGCGTCCGTCAGCGAGTCTAGAGCTAGGCCTGAGCTTGGGATCCCGGGTGCTGTAGGGAGTCGTGTGACCGTTGTAGGGGATGGACTGCTGTACGATGAAGAGTGACGCCTGTGCAGCAAATCGTTGGGTGGAAAAATGCGAGACCGCGCTTTGCCTGGTGCCGGGTTCGGGCTCAACTGCTCCCAGTCCTTACCTGGCGAGTCGGGCCGTGGAGGAGACTGTGTCGAGGAAGCCGAGACAAAAGTGTCATCTGATGAGGCCGAGCTCTGTGACGACGGGCGTCCTGCAGCCACCACCTCCGAGCCACCTGAACGTGCAGAGTTCGGTCTCGCCAGTGTGACTTGAACCATCGGCGCCGCCTGCTTACCCACTGCAGTACTCGAGGATCTGGCTAGAAGGGCGGGAGGATCGAGTTGCGGTGTTTTGATCACTCTTATTGGCCGGGGAGACTTCAGTTCTGTCGTGGTACGGCGAGCATTGTGGGGTGATGTGGGAGTAGATGAACGCATAACCGGCAGTTCCCCCGATGGCGGTGACTCTTTGGGTCGAGAGGTTTCTTGTTTTCCGGCATGACTCTCCCGTTGTGTTAAGGTAGCCCTCGGCTGGGCTGCCTTTAATTTCTGTGCTTGAATCGGAGTCCTGACTGCCTCCGTATCACCCTCAAGTCCGAGCCCCCTCGAATGTGTTGCCTCTGTCATCTCCAAGGGGGCTTGTCTCGGTTTCGGGTTTGGTCGGACCTGCTGGGTCTCACTGCTCGGGTCGACTTGCGGACTCCTCGATCTCGGAGGGGTAGGCGGCGGTATCTTGCTGTATGGCGGCTGGGCCTGCTGTTGTAGCGCTAGAGCAGGATCCATCTTCTTAACAGGATCCGTACGGCCCTTGCTCTCAAACAGTGATATCAACGACGTAGTCGGTTGGATGGAAGCCGTGTCGGTCAGATCCAGACTAGCCGTTGATGAGCCGCCAGCAATGCTGTGAGGGCCAAGGCTCGGCCGTCTGGTAATGCGGGAGTGCAGCTGGGTTGCCGTGAGCGGGGCCTGCGCGAAAGCCGGGTTGGGATTCGGATTAGGGGAACCAGACCGGCTGGCAGCCAGTGTGGCGGCGATGAACGAGGCATGCTTGTGATCCCCCCTTCCGATTGTGCCGGAATTGCCGGAGCCACCCGAGTGAAGCGACGGCCTTGAAACGGCCAGGGACGGCTCGGAATAGCTGCCGTGGGAGGTCTGGACGCTGGTGCCAGTGGAATGACGGCTCATTTCCTGCCCAAGAGCGCCGCTGCCGAACAAGGCACTGCCGAGACCGGAACCGGAGCCGGAGCCGGGGCCGGAGCCAGTGCCCGTCAGACTGGAGATGGGATGATCGCGGGCGGCATGTGTTGCGGCGCTGAGGGCTCCATTGCTAGTGGCGGCGGCGGCAGCGGCCGGGTTAGGCAGGCGAGGGCTAGGCTTGTCGTTACTGGCCGACATCCTCTGGGCATTGAAGGCAACTGTTGCGCCCTTCAGGGCCGCAGCCAAGGCGGCATTGTTGGGCGACGTAGGCGTGGGCGTGGGCAGGGCGGGGGTTCCTGGGGCCTGCATCAGTCGAGCTGTCCCGAAGACGTGGGCGCTTTCGGATGCATGTGTGGGAGATTCGGACGAAGCTCGCGAGGGAGGTCAAAGGTTGGTTAAGAGGTTTGTTTGGTTTGGCGTAGCTTCGGGATCAGCTCACATAGTGTGCGCATGAGTCTGTGAGTCGCGAGGCTGACGTTGGAAGAAGCACGGAGAGAAGGAGGATCGACAGCCCTGTCCGACGAGACCCCAAGCTGGAACTAGAAGGGCCCTGAAGGAGCAGCGGACGTTGCAACAGACGTGGGGGCGCCTAGGGGACCTCAACGCCAAGACCGACAGTTGCGTCTTCGCTGTGGAGTCAGTGGGTGATTGGGTTTCAGGTTGCATTGCATTACTACAGACAGCACTAACCCACTGTCATCCACTCCAGCGGTATCCGTAGATCGCGTGATAACCAGGGCAGGTACCCCTTGGAAGTCACCACAACCTAATAAGTCAAGTTATTCAAATGGTCGAGAAGATTCAATGGCAAGGTACATGAACCTACGTAGGCAACTGTTGAAAGATTCAGAACCAGCGCTTATTGCCCTAAAGAAACAATATGAAGAGAGCATTTTGTAAATCCGCGAATTGGGGGTTGGATTGACCCGAGACTGGAGCTCGAGGGAGATGGAGAGAGAAAACCATTCCTGGTCCCTTTTTCCCCAAATCCCGTCCATACCTCCCTATTCTAGGGAGAGAACCAACAGACCTAAAGGTTCCATTCCAGTTATAAAACTAACAGAAAACAAACCCCTCCTCCCCCGACCGCCCCTATTAAACCTGAACAAAACGCCTGTCCAATGTCCCTCGCCACTGATGAGCACGGAACGAAAAAATCCTCCTGGGACGCTTTTGCCGTCTCTAGATGACCGCCCGCCCGCCCTCCCACACACCGCCTGACAGACTGACTGACTTGCTCGCCTGCCTGCTCGCACCTGTCGTCTTTAAAAATAAAAAGGATATATGAAACCCGAAAAAAAGGCGAAGCCAGAGATAATGATACGTACAGTAAATATGTGAAGAAGACGAGCAGCCCTGGAGAAAATCAGGCCGGGCCTGAAAAATCGAACAGGACCACAGCAACAACACGAAGAACAAAAACACGGCGCCAGACCAAAAATAGAAAGAAGAAGAAGAAAAGCAGCAAACCGCCCCGGTTCCATTGCCTACAGAAAAAAAGATCCCTCATTAAGAAGGGGCCCTCATTAAGAAGGGGGGCGGCAGAACCGACAGGACCCAAACAACAAAAAGGCAAAAGGGCCCTTTGCTGAAAAGTAACAAAACTCCCTTATAGTCAGCCTCCCCACCCGAAAGGGATAGGAGGAGAGACAAAAAGGGCGTGTTCGCGATGGAGGAGAGAGAGAGGAAAAGACATGTGTCGGCGTGTATGTGTGTGTGTGTGTGGGCATGGTACATAGGTATATATGTTTCGTATCGCCTGCGGCAAGTTCGTTCATGAATCAGAAAATCAAGAACAAGACATGGCCACAGAACATGGATTTATAAAAATCCTCAATCATTCATATAGAGAGAGGGAGCTTTCCTTCAGAAAGCGTCCTCGTCGGTCCACTCGCTGCCCGACACTCCCGACACGATGCGGTTGCCCTCGTGGTCGACCATGACATGGCCGGCATGAGCATGGGAGGCTGGGTGTTGTTGGTGGTGAGGGTAGCCCGGGGGGAAGCCGCGTGGGCGCTTGGCGGCGGGGCCGGCGGCGTGCGGCCGCGAGTAGCCCGTCTCGGGCGTCATGCGCTTGCCGGCGCGCGCTGCCCGCACCTTGGCGTAGTAGGCGTCGGACGCGTCCGCCTCGGGCTCCGAGTTGTCGTCGTACGTCTCCCAATTCTCGGACCCGGACACGATCGTCGACGTGTTTGAGATCTGCCGCGGCGCTCCTCCTCCTCCTCCTCCTCCCCCTCCCATGGCCGGTGGCGGCGGCGCCTGGGGGTACGACGACGACGACATCTTTTGCGCCCCAGTCCCGGGCCGCTCGGCTTGCTGGTAGTAGTCGCGAGACGCCGGCCGGTTGCCGAGCTGTCTGTCGTCGTACACGTCCTCGGGCTCCACGTGCCGCACGATGCTGGACTCTAGCCCGGCTGACCGGTAGTGGTTCGCCGGTGTTGCGAGTTCCGGCGGCGGCATCAAATCGCGCATCTTGGGTGGCGGTGCTCTCAGGAGCGGCGCGCCGTGTCGCAGGCCGTTGCCTGCCTCGGCTCTTGACTCGGGCCGCGGGCGCTCCGGAGAGTTGTTGCCGTGCTTTAGGTTAGAGAGCGGCACGCGCGCGGGGATGCGTGATGGGCTGCCCTTGTTGTTTGCTGTTGTTTGGGCCCTGGTTTGCGCCGGTTTGACAGTGCTAGTCATGGTAGCTGCGGGCGGTCTTGACGCTGTGATTTTTGCTGCCGACTTCAGGTTCCCGACGCTGTTGGCTCGACTGAGCGTGTTGTTTGAGATCTTAGCCACCGAGGGTGTTGGGGCTGGCGTCTTGGACCTCGGGCCCAGACCCAGCCTTGCCTCGTCCATGTCGAGGATGTCGAGATAGCGCTCGCCGAGAACGAGGAACGGGCGGCCGTACTCGTCTTCCCACTTCTCGAGGCCCTTGCGCAGCTCCGCCGCCACCTTGGGCAGCTCCTTGGCGATGCGTTTACGCATCTTCTCCTCACGGAGGAGCTTTCCAGGGTCGCGCTTCTCTCCCTTCTGGCCACGCATCATGAGCCGGGACGCGTCCTGGCTCGACGCCGCCAGCTCGTCCCGGTCGTGCACTAGTGTCCTGTGTCTCTCAACCAGCGCCAGCGTCGGACCGCGCTGTTCTCTTAAGGCCTCAAGCCGCGCCAGCTCTTGCTCGTGAGCCTCGAGCAGGGCGTCGCTGTAAACGTCAGAAAATGCGGGCGTGAACTCGAGCATCTCGTCTTCGGACAGGTACAGCGCGTCCCACAGCTCCTGCAGCTTAAAGCGCGCGTCTTCGACAAACAGGTGCAGGTTCTGCCGCTTGAGCTCGTTCAGCCGCGCTAGCTCGTCCTCAAACTCGTTGATCTGGCGGACGCCGCAGCCGCGGTTGCCGTTGAGAAACGCCTTACGTTCCCGCTCTTCCACGCTCAGCTTCTCCCAGAGGGCCTCTACGGCCGTACGCAAGTCCTGGAGCCGCCGCTCGCGGTTCTTCTTCTCGTCCGACAGCTTGTCTCTCCTGGCCCGGAGCCGCGACATGTCATCGGCATGCAAGCCAAGTTGTTCTGGCGAGTCGCGATAGTACTTGACGATATTGCTGTCTGTCTGGGCCTGTGGCGTGCCCAGCTCGGCCCACAACTGTATTATCTCCTCCGACAGCGACTTAACCTCGGCCACGCGCCGCGTGTACTCCTCGTACACGCGCGTAAACTCTTCGTCTAGTTTATCGACATATTTAGGCGACAGGTCAAAGCTAGCCGGAAGAGACTGGTTGGGCCCGGTTGGCGGCAGAGTCAGCCGGACAAAGCTAGGCTCGAGATGTAGCGAGTACGATTCGAGTGCCTGCACCAGCTCTGCGGGATATATCAGCATGCCGGTCTTGCAGGTGCTCGGGGGGGATGGTTCTTACTCTTGACCTGCTCGAACCGCTCCCTATGCAGTCTGCTTATCTGGGTGTGTTTCTCTTTGAGAACTTGCAGGCATCGCGTGAGCGGATACGTAATCTTTAGTTCGTCCTCATCTGGCGCATAGTCGCGCCGAGGGGGTTTGCTATCGTCGAGCGAAGCTTCCATCTGCCGGATGGCTGCGAGTATCCTCTGCGCCTCCTCGATCATGTCCTTCTTCTCGGCCGCCACAACGCGGACCTGGTTGTGAAGCGCTTCTGATAGTGCGGTAAAGAGCTAATCTCGGGAGTCAGCAGGCAGGCCACGGCGTCACTATGCAAAAGGAAGTATCCAGGGATAGAAACACACCTCGGATTCCCGCGATTCACGGTCATGGTTAGCGACTCCGATCTCGTCAAAGAGGCCATGCAACTGGCCGATGATGGTGTTGACCTGCTGGGCCAAATAGCTGGTGTCCATCTCGCTGGCGGGGTGGCTGGGCCGGCGAAACGCGGGGGTGTACAGTGAAGCAAAGCGACAGGTGTTTTCTTGTTTCCCTCTCAAGATCGGGACGGCGATAGGTAAACAGTGCGCGATGGCGATCTGCCGCCGATATCAAAAAAGAGGTTCGTCGTGTCGTAGGGGCGTATCATCGAGCGTGATGACGTGCAGCAGGCTCTGCAGCTAAGAATGGAAGCTTTTGTTTACAGCCGTGTCGGTCTTGATCAGCACACCCGCAGGCAATTGTGTGCACGTCCGGCAGCGCATCTCAGGGAGACAAATCTCGGGAGATTGTTGTCGTCGCCGCGCCGTCGCTGACAAGTTGAAACGCTGCAAGGTCGAGGATGGCGCAATTCTCGGTGTAGCAGTCCGTCGGGTGTTATAGAGAGAGAAAGTATAGGAGGGGGGGAGGGGAGGGGGGGGTAGCGAGCTGTTGGGAGGTCAGGTCTGGTCAGGTCGAATCGGGAGAGGGACACGCCCGCGACGTTTTTGGCCGGCGGGCGTGTTGCACAAGATCCTGGTTCGCGCCTGGCGGGACGTTGCCACAGCAACAACCCGCTTCCATGAGGGGATTTCCTGGATTTAGCGGCAGTTTCAAAAGCCTCCAAGGCACCCCACCTGCCATAACCAGCCTGACAGGGTCAAACGGCTCACCCCGCATGCCCTTCGCGTGCTAGAGAAAAGCCAATCCACCACTAGCACCGGGCCTCGCATGGCCCGGCCCAAGGCCCACCTACGTTCTTCCAGAAGGATGGCATTTCAATTCATAAGAACCTCAACCATGTGTTTTTGTCTCGCTGTCAATATCACTCGCTTCTGTTTCATGATTCGCGTCAACTTTTGGTAGGAGCAGTTGATAGCCAATTGCATCTAACTGGTATCCCAACCCTGGCTGCTCATAAACAATCGGAAAGGGTCGTCCAACCATTCGCAGTCCGCGACACGCTTTCCGTGCAGTATCCACCACTGTCAAGTCTGCTTGTAGTATTCTAATCGGCCACAATCAACCCAGCTTCCCTAGTCCCAATTGTTTTTGGTGGCAAAATCATAGATGCTAGATTTATTATATTAACCCTGGAGAGGCCACTGCTGTCTGTTTCTGACCAACTATATGGAAGTATATGTGCCCCGTATGCCTTATAGTAATCCGCCTGCTGGTAAACGGTCAACTTACCTGGCCTATGTCACTTCACCACTCGAGGAGCAGTGAGACAAGGTACTGGTTTACTAACCTTGACTGCTCAGATGTTGTGGAACGTATTGTATTATTATTCAATAATAACAAGCCTGTATCATGAGCGGAGTTGGCGATCTACGAAATGCGTCCGGCATAATTTGTAAACGGTCTGTTAGGATGAGACACCTATCGAGGGTGCATCCATATTGAACAAGGAGAAATACACGTCGCCCTGCTTTGCGATAAAAAAGGACCGATTCTGTTGTCAGTGCGGGTTTTCGATGGGACGGTTGGACAGTCTAAAGTTGAGGTGCGAGCACCGTGTTCTCGAATACTATGCAAACCATACAAACACACCCTGGGCGCCCTTGAAGGGAAAGGAAATGGATATCATATGTGTAGGAAAACCAACCGAGAAAAATGCTGGCACCCGCCCGCTCCGATCCTATGCACCTGCGACTCTTATGGCCCCAGCCCGCAAACGCCACTTCGCACCAAAATTCAAATATCCCCCCCCTAACTAGGCCAAGTAGCAAAATACTTGCTAGACCAACCCGAATGATATGGACCTATTTCAAACAGTAAAGCAGCGCAGCAACGCGGCTAGAAATTTAGAGACCGACAGCGCCGGATTTGGCCCTTTTGCCACGCCCTCTCCGGCCCTTCTTACTACCGGTGCCGGCATCGTCGGCATCGGGGGCGCCAAAGAGCGCCTCCTTCTTCTTGCGAAGCTCCTCGGCCTTCTCATCAGCGATGGCCTTTTGGCGAGCCTCGAACTCCTCTTCAGCCTTCTTCTGCTGGGCGTAGATGGCCTCGGCCGTCTCATACTCTTGTCCCGTGTACTGCTTGTACTCGTCGATGCTCATCCCAACTGTCTTCTCGCCCACGAGCGCAGCACGGATGGCGGCAGAATTGGATCTCTCCTCGCGGTTGAACTTGAGCTTGACATGCTTACGCGTCTTGTCGTGGAACATGCGGGATATGGTCTCGAAGTCAGTGCCAAACATGCGCAGCGCGTGGTAGAACTTTTCCGTGTCTTCGTCGGACCACTGGCCAGCCTTCATCTTGCGACGGAGGTATGTCGCCGACGTAGTGTGATTAGTGAACTCGTTTTCCTCGTGTTCCTCCATCTCGCCAGCTTCTCGCGCCGCGCGCGCGTGTCGATCGACTTGTAGAGAGCGAGCATCGAGGACGATTTCGCCGTCAATAATCTGGTACGTCTCACCAGCGGGACCCAATATGCCCGTACGACCAGCTGGCGCCACGCCGGCGGAGCCCCCCGCATCGCCATCCACTGCGGGTGCGCTTTCGCCATTGGCACTCGGACCAGACCCCGCAGCGCCGCCTGCTTGTTCTTCTTGGCCGTTGGGGGTTCCGTCGCTAGAAGCACCGTTCTTCCGCTGCCTTCTCCTCTCGTACTCTTTCTGACGTTTGGTCCGTTCCCGCTCCATCAACTCTTCGTGCAAGCTGAACTTCTTGCCTATGTGCATATCTTTGGCCAAATCTGCCATCTTCACCTGAGTAGCGTCGAGCTGGAGTTCTTCGGCATTTTCAGGTGTCATCTCCCGCTGTCTGGCCGGTGTTCTTTTTGCCTGAGATTCGCTCCCCTTATCGCCCTCATTGGGTCCTTCTGTTGCCGCTGTCGCCTTCCGCTTTCGGCCACGCGTCGTCCGAGGTGCTGCTTGCCCCTCTGCGGTACCTGAATGCCCCTCTTCTCCCGGAAGTGGAGCGTCTCTCTTCGCTCTAGGACGCTTTTTGGGGGCTGGGGCAGCAGCGCTGTTAGTCTGGTCTGTACCTTCCCCAGTTGCTCCGTCGGCCTTGCGCTTCCGTCCTCGTTTTGCCTTCGGGGCTGCGGGCGGCGCCGCTTGTGTAGAAGGCTCAGTCGCATCTTCAACAGCTGTCTGGGATCGGCTGCTCTCTGCGCCATCCGCAGGAGATATCACTACCTGAGGGTGCTGGATTTGAAGACTGCTTTGTTGTTCGGGCAGAATTCCCGGGGTGACCGAAGTCCGGGGAGACGTGGAGCGCGTTGGCTGGAGGGGGGTCGAGGTGGAAGCAGCTCGCGAGGTAGTGCTTGACGTTGGGGGAAGTGACGAGGACAAGCTCTCGGTAGTAGATTGGGTGCTTGTGTTAGGTGGTAAAGGGGCAGTGGTTTCCGCGACTTGTGGTGTTGCAATCTGCGGAGTGCTAGCTTCGGCCTCGGAGCTTGGAGCTTTAGTGGCAGCCGGGACTGTAGCCGGTGGATCTTCGGAAACAAGCCTTTCGCTTGAGCTGACTGCTGCAGTTGATATTTCCGATGACGAGCTCTTGAGGGCCTGTGAAATTATAGCAGCCCTAGATACGGCGTGCTCAGGTCGGGTGAACAATTCCGCAGTAGGGTTATTTGTAACTGTAGATGTGTCTGCTTGTGGTTCTGTTCCTTGGCTGCCGGAATCGTTGTCTGCGAGGCCAGTACTTTTAGGGCCAGTGCTTGACGTGCTAGTATCAGGCCCTACTGTAGTCACAAAAGTTGAATCGCCATGGCCTTGTGTTACCAACGGCGTAGTCGTATCTTGCTGAGAAGCGAAAGCTAGTTGCGCGGGGGGGCTCGGCCGTGAGGATGTTACCGGGTCTTGGCCGAGAGTCGAGACTGGTGCCGGAGCGGGAGCTGGAGCCGAAGTCGGGGCGGGGGTGCTCGACAGTCGCTCTGCAGTTCTTCCCCGTTCGACATCTTGGGATGTGGATGTCGTGGGTGCAGGGCGGCGAACAGCGGCCTTTGGCTTGAAGCCTGATTTCTTCTTCAGCATCTTGGCGAGTCACTGCCCCGCAACCCGTCTTCTGAAAGCAGACAGAGGATTGCGGGTAGGCCGAAGAGCATCGCCTGGACCTTCTTGTTGGAGAAAATGTAAGATCTAGGACGAGGTCGCGTCTGACTGATTGCCTTTACCGGCTGGCAGTGTCGGCGCTTGCAGCGCCGAGTTGCGTTGTGGTGATGCCTGCGTGTTTGAGCTATGCCATAATTAATCGAAGCAAAGTGTAAAGTTCACTGCTTGAATGCGGCGTGCGTGTTTGTTGGTTAGGAAAAGAAAAAGGTGGGGTGCGTGAATCCCCTATGGCCCCGCCCCCCACCCAGTCAGGCCAATCTGACCAAAATCCGCTAGGGTCAATGCGGCCTAGCGTGGCCTTCAATTTTCGAAATAGCCTTCCTTGGTCATCAGTCGCCAGGCCTGGCCGGGTCGCTTGCAGATCTCCTCTCCTCCATTCTTTCCACCCCCCCAAACCGCACGCTCCTTCACAGCCGTTATCTCATTTTGCTCACCTTGTCGCCTTGCCGAGACGAAACGCACATATACTTTTGCGTCCGGGTCTTGTTCCTTTTCACGTTTCCTTTGTCTTTTTCGCACCTTCGCTAGCGCTTTTTCTGATGCCGATTGCCACTTCGCCTTCCGTGTTGCCTCGTCCTGCCACCTTCGCCAAGATGGAGGACAGGAAGAGACCGGCCTCCAGCGCGGTCGACGACTGCGCTCCGCCAAGCAAGCGACAAGCAGTAAACGGTAACAGCAAATCCAAAGACGATCCCGGCGACATGAAAGAAGAGGCCTGGATTGAGGTGAGTGTTATATGATGTTCTGGTGCCTTCGTCTGTCTTCAGACCATCTCCCTGCGATCGACCACACGTGCCCGGTCCCATCGACTCCAGAGCGCGGCCGCGTCTGTCGTGCCCAGGGCGCTTCTCGCGTTTCTCGTGGCTACCGACAACAGCATCATGATTTCGCAGGAGCACTCTCCGTGACCGTTGCTAATACGCGGCTCGCTGGGAACAGCATGCCCGACTCCCAGCCGTTTATCTCTTTCCAGCCCCCTCTTGCCACTCAAACCATCCCACTGCCACTTCCGCTACGATGTACACGTGTGCACTTCCTGAACACTGTTGATGGGATCAAGGTCTGACTGGTTTGGTTGTGCATAGGACTTTCAAAAGGGCGCCATTTATCGCCAAATGCTCGAGTATAAACGCGAGAAGTCAAATCTAGAGATCCACTGTCTAGAATTGGAGAAGAACGCGTTATATCATGACGACCATATCCGGATAATGGACGCCTGGTTGCTACAGGTAGGATTCCCAATCGCGCGACGCCTCTGCTTGCCGCTAATGCGATCCAGTTTATACAAGAAATCGAGTTGCTTGCCGACAGTGCCGTGTCTTCACGCAGTCCATTAGGTACGAGATCTCCCCCATACGTTGCGAACCGAGTCTGACTTGGCTAGATGCAACATCGTTATCTAGCTTGTCCTTTAAGGACAGCAAGGACTTCCAAAAACATTTAGGCGACAAAGGCAAGACACTCAAATCAAAGGCTGAGGTACTGTTCAAGCGCCTCGCTAGCGAGAGAGGCGACGTCAAACCCGAAGTAGCGCAGCTGGAAAGCCAGGTCAAATCTCTGTTAGCGAACCAGAAGGTGTTAACCGTCAAGATCGATCGCCTGGAGGCCGAGAACGCGTCACTTTCAGAACAGTACGACACAGCGACGTTGAAGGTGATAAAGGCTGAGCGAAAACTGGACCGCGTTCGGAGTGCTCAAGTCCAGAAGCTGGAACAGCAGGCGCTAGCCAACGCGACGAGCCGCCCGAACTCGAACGATGAAAATGGATCCGGCTCTGGCATGTCCAATGGTGACAATGACGCGCTCAGAATTCAGCATCAAGAAGCCGTGGCAGTTATTGCCAAGCAGAAGGAGCAAATCAAGACGGCGTTATCCGAGATTCAGGCCTTGCAAGACGAGAACGTTACCTTCAAAGCCAAGACGGAAGTTATTTCCGACGAAGACTATGCGCGAACCGATGTTTTCAAGCAATTCAAGGCCCAGAACGAAGACCTTATCAAGCGCATCAACCATCTACAATCAACCAACAAAGAGCTGCGCGAAGACGCAGAGAAGCTCCGAGCGGAGCGGACGGCTTGGCGGGTCCAGCTTGAGAATGAGGCACAGTCCCTCACACTTGAGCTGGAAGACCAGATTCAGCAGAAGGACCAAGACCTTACACGCATTCGCTCGGCGCGGGACGAACTCCTTGCAGAGTTGGCGATGCGAAAAGCCAGCCAAGAACAGGAAAAGACAGCATCCTCGCACCTCAGCGAATTTGTCGAAGCTAAGGGCGACCGCATCTCACAACTCGAGTCGGAACTTGAGCGGCTAAGACCAAGCGAAGATGCGACCATGTCAGATGTTCGACCAGACCTCGAGGCCCTGACAGTGGACGAGCTGAGGCAAAAGTACACGAAACTCGAGAAGGACTTTGAGGCGATCAACAAGGAATTACCGCTTTTGGAAAAGTCGTACAAGAAGTCTGTGGCTTTGGCGAACAAGAAAGTGATGGATTTCCTGGGCCTAGAGGACCGAATTGCCGTCCTCACGGCCGAGAAGAGCAAGGCCGACCAGAAGTATTTCGCCGCACGGAAGGATATGGATATCCGAACCGCCGAGATTCGTACGCTTCGGGCGCAGAACAACAAAAGCTCCGAGATTATCTCGCAGCTAAAAGATGTCGAGACGCAAAACCGGGCGTTGATCGGCAGTCTGGAGAAGCAGATTACGGACCTGAAGCAGTCCAACGCTTCGATTCTGGCCGAAAACAAGAAGCTAGAGGCGGGGTCCGCAGAAGCGACGCGGAGAGCCGAGTCAGCGAAGACTCAGATCTCAGATCTGGAAAACCTCGTCAAATCAAAGAATTCGGTAAATGCGTCAATGAAGGAGCAGAGTATGAACCTGGAGACGGAGCTCGAGAGGCTCAAGGTTCGGGCCAGGGAAGCCTCTAAGGATTGCGACAAGTGGAAACAGAAGTGCCAAAACAAGTCGACGGAGGAGGAGGAGATGCTCAGGGTGAGTTTTGCACCCCGAAGCGGTAAACTGATTTGGGCTCGCTTGTGCTAACTGTGATTTAGAATTTAGTGCTCTGCGTCTGCAAGTCCAACTTCAAGAACACCATCTTGAAGGGCTGCGGCCACGTTTTCTGCAACGTATGCATTGACACTCGACTCGCCAACCGCATGAGAAAATGTCCGACGTGCAACAAGGCCTTTGACCGCTCCGACGCCATGGCTGTTCATCTTTAGGCGACTTTCGAGAAAGCGACAGCTATAGGAGCTAGACGATAACCAGTCTAAGTGTAATAGCCATGGATTCGTGGTTTGGCACATCACTCCTAAGTGGCCGATTTGTTGGATCTTCTGACAATGTAATTTTACTCATGTGAGACTAGTTTTGGGGTGGGATACTGTTATGTTGGGGTTAGAGCTCAAGCCATTCGAGGGCGCATTTATTATTGCATTGCCTTGAGGTATCTATTTACTGTTTCGGCGTCGAGGCAGGATAGCGGGCAACATTATTCCCACACCCCGAGAATTGTACAAAATTCACATGTTCTTGATTCCCCGTTTATTTTTCCCCCTTTCTGTATAACTCGGGATTACTTGGTCTCGATTTTCAACAGCTAGCACCAGATACCTAAATACCATGAGTTTAGACTTGACCTAGACTTAACCAGACTCTTAAGCTTTCTCAGCGTCGACTTGTGGACCCGAAGCCAGTGCTCTCGCGTTGTGTCTGTGAGCCCGAGCTCGAGCCCGACCCGCCCCTGCGACTGCCCGAGTCCCAGGTGCTCCCGTAGTTGCCGCCGCTGTCACCGCCCCACCCGACGCCGGCCCCGTAGTTGTTGTTTGGCTGTCGCCCGCGATTCCCGGCCATGTAGCCGGCCGCGGCACCACCCGCGAGACCCGACCAAAAACCAGGCCGCCACCCCTGCTGCTGCTCATCCCCCTTGGTCCCTGGGTAGGGCGGGGGCGGGTCATCGAATGGGCCAGCGCCTGGGCCAGCGCCGGGGCCTCCACCCCCAGGCCACCACCCGCCGCCTCCGCCGCCGCCGCCGCCGCCGCCACCACCACCACCACCTCGTCTCCGCTGGGGTCGTGCAGCCGCTGCCCGGCCGTTCTCGACCCGCTGCACACAAGCGCTGTACACGATCCACGCCAGCACCCCAAAGAATAGCAGCCCAAAAGCATAGCCGCCCCAATCAGTCTCGCCACCCAAACCGCCGCCGCCGCCAGCGAGCTCCGGATACCGCCGCTCACCCTCCTCGGTCAGCACCACGCGGTACTCGACGCCGCAGCTGCCCTTGAGGATGTACGGATCATCGGCCGACGCGTAGCCCTCGCACACGACATCCGTGCTGCCGAGCCGCAGCGTCGACGGCAGCGAAGCCGTGCACGCCCACTGCACGTCCTCGCGCCCCTGGTCGCCCGTCCCCTGGTTCACGCACCGCATCGTGTCGACCGCCTGCAGCGAGTTCGCGAGCGCGCACACCCGCTTCGACGACCCCACGCATTGCAGTTGTGGGATTGCTGGGACGCGCCGGTGCGTGGTGGACTTGCCCGCGCGCAGGGTCAGTGATTGTACGTCGGAGAGCAAGATCGCGTTCTTGGGGGCGGCTGCGAGTACGCCCGCTGTGCTAGCGGCGAGGAGCATGGTAGCGAGGAGCGGCCATGGCGATGATCCCGCCGTTGATGGCGGCCAGAGATGCATGTTAAAGATGGGTGTGTGTTGTTGTTTGTTAGTGTGCTAGTTTGTTGGTGGCAGGAATTCAAGGGCTGAAGTGAAGAGGGGCTGATGCCCGTTTTTGATGCCCGAGTGAAAGACCGACGGCCAGGTAGTACGAGCAATATAGAAATTGAAACCGCCTCCCCTCAAAAGGGAAAAAAAAAATCGCAATGATTGAAAGGAGGGTTAAAAGGTAGTAGGTAATATGTTATGTGAGGTAGGTAGGCAATAGGTACGGATACGGATATTCCGTCGGCACTACGAGCAGACCCGACCCTAGAGGCTAGGTGCGAAGAAGCCCCGAGTGAGTGGGTGGCAGTTCTGATCAACGCATGGAAGATATGACGGCAGCTCAGAATGGCAACACTACTCTGTAGTAGTATTAATAATGCCAGACGACGAGACGATTCACTGTCTAGCCCTGACGCCCGTTCGCGAAAAGGACAGCTGGCCTCTATTGGGAGGCGCGCGTCGTTGCCTTGTTTTCTCGACAGGACAGGTGAGGCTGAGAGATCGGGTGACTTGTCGTTCGGTGTTGGGGTTTTGAGCTTTTAGTGAGAGTGGCGGAACCTAAGGCAGGTATAGCACAGTTCGCATAGTAAAGCGAGCCAATGCATGTAGTAGCAAACCACAAGACACGCCAGAACAGCGGACAACTCTAGCAAGACCAGTAGCAGACGTTATCTAAACAACGTCAAACTAAGGTAAGGTGTCTTGTCTATTCGAACTAAATTTGGTCGGAATGCAATTAGAAAAGGACATGGGTACGTTAAGAATAAAATATTGGAGACACAATGTCTACAATCCAATCCCTGAGTGTGTTAGCGTAGTACTTGGGCAGAATACATATGATAGCCCAGCAAATAAACCAGCCAGGGAAACTCTATAATGGGTCTTTTTGGCAAAGAGATAATTAGGCCTCTAGGGTTCTAAAATAGGGTTTCCAATAGATTTTACCTCCTTCGGCGAAAAACCTTTAGGGCGAGCCGTAGAGTGTTTAAGGCCTTTCGAATCTTGGAAAGTCCCCCGCTAACAAACATTCAGGAATGTGTTTGCTACAGCAGATAGCGGGCAGAATAAGAAGCCACGACTCTCCGTTGAACAGGTTATGACAAACTCGAGGGACGATGATCACTTCATGGGGTTTTGTGCGTCTTCTGCCGATCCTTGGTCCGAGATTGGGTTGCCTGACGGTACTAATAACCTACTTCGACTCTCTATTGTTGAACAGGTCGTATCGAGCGTGAGCTAGTCGAACAATAATCTTATGAGGTTTCCTACGACTGATGCTGGTTACTGGTCTGAATTTGCTGAAGATATGCTCTCTGTTACTGATCCCGTTGCGTCGGATGCGGATGTTTTAAATAGAGAGAGTCTACTCGAACTGTAGGCAACGTCTACTCGGACTGTAGGTACAAAGACGCTTGGGCCGCGCCCAGGAAAAATCCACTTTTTACACTAAGAAAATAAACTTTCACTGGAAGCCAGCGCATCTAAACTTCAGATCAATTGGTCAGTCGCACTACAATTACACCACAACCACGTCGTCGTCGTCAAATACGAAGCTGCCTTCGTTGTTGTTGCTTATATAACATGCCCAAGATGCAATAAAAACCTGCCCTGCCTTTATCTCAGCAAGCTCAGACCAGTATAGTGGCTCAAAGAGGGGCTGCGCCCCAGTGGGGGGATTACAGGGGTATAGACCCACAAATACACATTTGAGCCAATCACAACACACGAAGAAAAGAGCCCTGTACTGGTCTGAGTTAATGCGCCCTGAATCGTGTGGGATCTACAACTTGCGACCTCAATTCCACTTTGCATCACCAAATACCCCAAAAGCAGTCGCAAAAATACGCCGTGAGTTGCATCTTACAGCGCGGAAAATTCTGAACATTCTGGTACTAATTACATCGTGAACAGATGCCTAGCGTCTCAGAAGACGAGGGACAGGCTGAGCCAAGCAGCAGCCAGGCATTGCCCCTGCGCCAGGGCCGCCAATCAGCTATGGAAGACTTGGATTATCTCCCTACCCCGCTTATGAGGACTCTGCAGCTTCGTGGTAGTTAGGCAGCAGTTGGGAAACTATACTCCTAAAGATCACCTTCCCCAAGGCAAAGAGCCGCGCACCTCGCAGACAGATAAGATGAAAATTCATTAGATTACAACAAGGGGCGCTTTCTATCACTACCCAAACTATAGCACTTGCAGAGACCGCAGCAACCCCTACGAAGAGCCGGCGCAGACAGCGTAACAACAGAGCAAGGCCTAATAGAGCAATCCCCGGCTCAGACCTTCTCTAGCATTGACCCGGGAGTGCCTAAGAGCACGCAAGACCACGCAGCCCAACAAGACCCCGGTGACTTCTCGCATAGAGCCGACGCAGGCAACGCGACAACCGAGCAAGACCTGATAGAACGATCTCCGGCTCAGGCCACCCCTTCTGGTGTTAACCCATCCCACGGCCTAGGAGATACAATCCCGAGCAAGGGATCGCCCAAGGACACACAAGACTACGCAGCTCAGCAAAGCCCCTATGGGCCGATACCCGCTCGAACAATGACTCCCCTACGGCGCCCGGCCGCACGTCGTGACTTTGAGATTGTAGTAATTTGCGCCCTCCCCCTTGAGGCCGGTGCCGTCGCCGCCTTCTTCGACCACCACTGGGGCGACGATCCGCCGTACGGCAAAGCCCCAGGCGACCGCAACGCTTACTCTGTTGGCGCCGTCGGCCACCACAACGTCGTGCTAGCCCATATGCCAGGCATAGGAAAAGCCAGCGCCGCGGCTGTCGCCGCCGACTGTCGAGCAAGCTTCCCTAATATCAAGCTTGCGATTGTGGTCGGGGTCTGCGGTGCTGTCCCGAATAGCCTGAATGGCGACGAGATCCTGCTTGGCGACGTCATCATCTCCGAGGGCATCTTCCAGTATGATTTCGGGCGCCAGCTACCTGAACGCTTCGTACCAAAGGAAACACTTTTGGACTCTCTTGGAAGACCAAACTCTGAGATTCGCGCTCTGCTGGCGAAGCTGAAGAGTGACCGAAAGATGCTCCAAGATAAGATGATGAGCTATTTGACTGTAATTCAAGGCAAGCAAGACCCAGATCTAGCAGCCGACTACCCAGGCCGCGCCCATGATAGGTTGTTTGTAGCAGCATACCACCATATTGGCACCGGGACGTGCCAGGAGTGTGGCTGTAACGGGCCGGTGGTCTCCCGCAAGCGACTCGAGCAGGACAATTTACGGCCTGCCATCCACTTTGGTCTCATTGCCTCGGGCGATACAGTGATGAAGTCAGCCAAAGACCGTAACGCTATTGCGAAGCTAAAGGATATTATAGGCTTCGAAATGGAAGGTGCGGGGGTGTGGGATAGCTTCCCATGTATGGCGGTCATCAAAGGCGTGTGTGACTACGCAGATAGCCATAAGGCCAAAGCGTGGCAGCGGTACGCAGCGGCGACAGCAGCAGCGTGCATGAGGGCTTTTTTGGACTACTGGGTGCCTTCGCTACCAGGTATGTAATAACTCGTTGGAAAGGTTACTGGGAACACCTACTAATTAATTCTATTAGAATATCACCATATTATAAAGCAGCCTACCGGACCATGGTGTAAGTAGACTTATTACTATCTGGAAGCAAAGCACTGACGATAGCTGTAGTTCTTGTTCCTTACCCGAAGAATGATATGTTCACCGGCCGTTCATCTATCCTTAAGAAGCTCCAACGGCAGCTTTTCAACTCTGCTTCGCAGTCGAGGATCGCACTCTTCGGTCTCGGTGGCATTGGGTTAGTTTACTTAGCTACGTTTCTAGACTATTCTAACCAATATAGGAAAACGCAGATAGCTCTGGAATACTCATACTGGCTTCGAAAGACATACACAGAAATTTCGGTCTTCTGGGTTCACGCAAGCAATACCGAACGGTTCCGCCAGGCGTATGCTTCCATCGCGCAAGAATGCCAGGTCCCCGGCTATAACGACCCCAAGATGGATATGTTACTGCTGGTAAAGAAATGGTTAGAGAAAGAGGACTGTGGTAGGTGGCTTATGATCATCGACAATGCCGATGACACAGAGGTCTTTTTCAGCCAGCAGGCAGAGCCTACAGTTACCGATATAGCTAGTACCGACGGCAACCTTGGACGTTACCTTCCTGAGTGCAACCACGGCGCCATTCTCGTCACAACTAGAAACAAGCAAACAGGCTTAAGGCTGACACAAGGGAAAGGCCCTATAGAGATTGGGAAGATGGACGAGGATGAGTCAGGCCAGCTACTCCGTATAATACTCGACGAAGTCGACTTCGCTCCCGAGGAACTATCAATACTTTCCTCTCGACTAGAGTATCTGCCGCTAGCCTTAGTCCAGGCAACAGCATTCATCCAAGAGAATACTACAACAATTGGTGATTATCTTCAGCTTATAAACCAAAGCGGCCAGAATCTCGTAAATCTGTTAAGCGAGGAGTTTGAGACAGTCGGCAGAGACTCTGGGGCCCCTCGTGCCGTGGCAGAGACATGGATCCTTTCATTTGAGCAAATTCAACAGCAGAATGCCTTTGCGGGCGAAATCCTATCGCTTATGAGTCTCTTTGATCGGCAGGCCATTCCATTGGAATTTCTTCACCATTATAAACAGCAGCAAGTAGGAGATCAAAGTGGAGAAATACAGCTCACAAAGGCTTTAGGGTTTTTAAAGGCATTTTCTTTCGTTACTGAAGACAAAGCCCACAACTTAGATATGCACCGGCTTGTGCAGCTAGTTACTCGAAAGTGGCTCATCAACAAGGGCACAATGCAGCGATTTACGGGACAGGCGCTATTAGCAGTATCACAGGCTTACCCATATGGCAATTTTGAAAATCGCACAGTATGCGGGGCATACCTTCCACACGCACATGCTGTGTTGGGGTCCGAAGACGCTGGGTTGAAAGATGAGAGGGTAGCGAGAGCATCGCTTTTATATTGCGTTGCTGGGTTTTTCTCTTATCAAGGTCGATGGAAAGATGCGGAGGAGTTCCAGTTAAAGGCTGTCAAGTTGCGAAAAGCAGTGCTAGGAGACGAGCATCCCCATACGCTGAACGGCATTGCCAGCCTGGCATCAACATACCGGAACCAAGGTCGATGGAAGGAGGCCGAGATGCTCCAGGTACAGGTGATGGAGTTATATAAGAAGGTGCTAGGAGACGAGCATCCCCATACGCTGATCGGCATTGCCAACCTAGCATCAACATACCAGAACCAAGGTCGATGGAAAGAGGCCGAGATGCTCCAGGTACAGGTGATGGAGTTATATAAGAAGGTGCTAGGAGATGAGCATCCCGATACGCTGATCGGCATTGCCAACCTGGCATCAACATACCGGAACCAAGGTCGATGGAAGGAGGCCGAGATGCTCCAGGTACGGGTGATGGATGTAAGGAAATAGCAACCCTAACCCACACACTCCTTGTACTGCGCGCACACCCGTGCGCGCCCACCACCTGCCACCAACTGGCAGTGCCACCAGAGCCACACTGTGGCACCACTGTGACGGCCCGCCTTACGCAGTAGGGATGTCAATGGTTGAAGGCAGTAACGAATGTGGATTTAAAGCTAAGGAAGAGAAAGGAATCTATCGCGGGGTCCTCGCAGGGCGCGGAGAAATAGGTAGTGGTGCTCAGTGCGCACAGGCCACACTCTTAACACAATGCAGCCAATAGAATCAATCCTGTCACATGAGCCCTATGGCGACCGTGACAACCACGCTTCTACAGCACACACGGGACTTGGTCTCCCAATCATGTATATAAGGAGCGGCCCTCGCCCACCTTCCTTTGCGAGGGCCAGGCTGAAGTCTTACACCATTGCCAGTCATTGCTCACCCTTCTTGTTGCCTCCATTGTGACCACCTTGATCAGGCGTACCTGCCTTCCTTATATTTACACTTTTCGTACAACAGATACGCTAACTAGTATGAACAATTTTGCCTTTACTTGGAACAGCTAGGGCAATTTCGAAGATGCTGTAAGAAAGGAACCCCAACCCTCACACACAACCCACTCACTCCTTTGAAGCGGGCCTAGACTTCACTCCTTTGTCAAAGGCCCGCCTTACACCCTGTCATGTATATATTCAGAGGCCCTCGCCCCTTTCCTTTGCGAGGGCCAGGTTGAAGTCTCTCACCAATATCAGTCATTGCTCTCTTACTTCAACACCTACATTGTGACCACCTTGATCAGGCGTACCTGCCTTCTCTTACAGGTGCTTTGGCATTAATACGGGATTGCCTTCATCCTCGGTAACAAATACTCGGCCTAGATTACCCCGATATTATCTCCACTCGTACCACCCTAAGTGACTAGGCTGGTTTCAATACGGGCGGTGAATCACGATGTGGAGAACATGCCAGCGGCGGCCATGCTCAAAGAAGACGATAACGTCGCGTGGCACACCCTTCGAGTGGTCCCAGTCCTAGTCGAACCCACCAGAGGGTTGTGCGACGACCTGAAAGTGGATTTGCTTGTAGCTGCTGCCAAGGATTTTCGCCGCCTCCGCGATATAACAGCCTTGGAGAAGCCCTGGAACCACGGGGATACCGAGTATAGATTGACCACGAAGCCGGGCAATAGCAGCTCTACAAACTGAGATTTGCGCCATCTATATAAACAATTAGTAGACTACACTCTTCACTCAAAACTAAGGGCTAACCTTAATGGAGCTGAAGCTTGTCGAATGATAGACAGGTGAACAATGCGAGGCCCGAGCAAAGTTAAGATAGGAGACCTAAGACCGCGCTCTCTATGCGTGATGGAGAGACTAGCGTTGATGGAACGTGCCGATACAGGGAGATTGAGGCTGGCAATAGCGGCGAAGATGTGCAAGTGCGAGCGGCTCGAGCTCGAAGTGGAGTTGACTGTGGAGGTGGTAAAGGTATGGCGATGTCGGGCCGGAGTTTAAAGCGGGAGATTTGGGAGCGGGCTCTTCGCTCCGGGTAGGTTAGGCGGTGCAGAAAGCGCAGTGCGGTGGTTCGGCAGATGTGGCTTGACTATTTAGAAGGAAGCGCTCGTAATCGAGACGCGCAGCCGGAAGGCGCTCGAAGAAATATTTCTGCGGTCGGCAATCGTTCCCGAAACAGCCTGTTTTAAGCGCGCTCAATCGGTGCGACTATTGCTGCAAAATGGATTTGACAGATTGATGTTGAAAAAGGATGACAAGTTGTTGGCGGCCGAAGGTGCTCGGCAGGTCGAGGAAGCCAAAGCCATACTTGAAAATCTCAGCTGTCGGGGCACCCTTCTAATCCGGGTTTGTCACCAACTGCTTCCTCTCCATTTTCCTTTTCAGCTACTCTTCCTCACCCTGAAATGCTATCAAGCGGCCGCCACTCAGCTATCTCAGACCACCAAAGACAAGCCTCGCAGATCCAAAGAGACTTACTTGTCTGCCTAGTATTCGGGATGTCGGGATATGTCGGTGGACGGCGGGCGCACTCAATCGAGGACGTAAGGCTTGTTGAGGGGTCTGGCATCTCGACATTACTGAAGACGAAACTCTCGGTACGTAAACCTGAGTTCTATGTGGCCTGGCATCTTGCTTCTGCCCAGCCTATAGAAGTTACATGGAAGTTTTCACGGCATGGTGGAGTAGCAGACCTGGAAAAAGTTTCAGAGATTTAGGAAGGTATAGTATTCTCTGATCGCCCTTAGCGGTTCTGCTCGGAACTCATATTGCATCTGCGGTGCAAATATGCCTGCGGTCAATAACCTACGGCAGGACGCCAGCGCGTGTTCTCTGCCGATCAAAGAAGAAGTGGGGACTCCTCCGTTTGTGAGCACGACCGTTTTTTTTTAAAAAAAAAAAAAAAAAAAAAATAAGAGTTAAAAAAGAAAGAAACCGGAATACACTAACAAGGGGGAAAGAGGGACCCGTTTTTGGATCCCAAGAATGGGTTCCTGGCCCCCTCTACCTTGTAGGGCAAGCTTCTAGGGATTGGATTGTAGTTGCCCGCCAGACTGTTACGTAGGCATGTAACTCAATACACGAAAGTTACCGAAGTAATTAATTACATTACATGGCAAAACCTCCACAACAACTATTCTAAAAAGACAAATGAAACTTCAAGTCTAGAAACTTCTATGTGGAATAAGTACGTACCAGATCGTGTAGCCTACTTAAGAATGAGGCGAGTGTTTTCCAGGACTGCCAGAGATTAACGCCGTCCTATGCCAGGATATCTCCAAAAAAAACAAAAGAAACAAAAAGAAGTAACATATGCTCTCCCGAGACCAGACCCAGACTACCTATTCTTCTGAAGGCTCTGCAGGTTGACTAGCTCGGAATAGCGTCCGTTCTTCCTCATCAGCTCCGTGTGCGTGCCGTGCTCGACGATGCGGCCCTGGTCAAACACGTAGATTATGTCGGCCTTTTGGATGGTGCTGAGACGGTGAGCCACGGCAATTGTGGTCCGGCCCTTGGCCGCCTTGTCCAGCGCCGCCTGCACAATGTGCTCACTCTCCGAGTCCAGCGCGCTGGTGGCTTCGTCGAGGAGCAGGATCTTGGGGTCGCGCACGAGCGCACGCGCAATGGCGATGCGCTGCTTCTGCCCGCCGCTCAGCAACGCGCCCTTGGACCCGACCACCGTGTTGAAGCCGTCAGGCATCGACAGGATGAAGTCGTAGATGTTGGCCTCCTTGCATGCGAACTCGACCTGCTCGTCCGAGACTTCGTGCGGCGCGCCAAGCAGAATGTTGTCCTTGATTGTTCCTTGGTATAGTGTAGGCTCCTGCGAAACCAGGGCAATGAACTTACGATATTCGTTAACGTTCAGGCTGCTGATCTCGTTGCCGTCGACGTAGATTCCACCCGCCAGCGGGTCGTAAAAGCGTTCTAGGAGTGCGATCGTGGTCGATTTGCCGCACCCGGACGCGCCAACGAGCGCAATGTACTGGCCGGGAGAGACGGTCAGGTTCAGGCCGCGCAAGACTGGCTGCTCCGGCCGGGTCGGGTACCGGAAATGCACGTCGCGGAACTCGATTCTGCCGTCAACAGCTTCAACCTTTGCGCCATCGGTCGACCACGTGTCGATCAGGGGCTTGCGATCGAAGAGGGTCTTGAGCTCGCGGGAAGCCTCGGACGCCTTGCCCATGTCGGGCGCAAAGCTGAAGACGGACCCGGCAGACTGGGCGCCGAAGATGACAGACGAGAATACGACGAAGAACTGAAACATGCTGTACTCGAATTTGGCAATCAGAGTGCCGCCATACCAGAAACCAAGAGCAAAAGCCAAGAACATGAACGACTGCGACGCCGCGTACAGAGTGCTTGACTTGAGCACCGACTTGAGACTTGCCCGCTGCTGGATCGCGAGCGACTCCTTGTACTGCCGCAGCACGTCCTCCTCACGCGTGAGCGATGCGACAGTGCGGATGCCCGTGATGGCTTCCGAAGCAAAGCTTGCCGAGCCGGCGTATGCGCGTTTCGAGCGCCGCTGGTAATGCGCAAGCATCCAGAACCGGAAGAAGCCGCAGCCGATGACGATGGGCATGGTTGCAATGCAAACCAACGCCAGTTTCCAGCCCAAGGCGAGAGCAACGGTGCAGGCCGCGATGAGCGTCGTAGTAACCATGAGCAATGTTCCAAGCGTGACACCGCTAAGGCCAGCCACTTGCGTCGCCTCGGTACCCAGGAACGACGTGAGGGCACCGGCCGAGTTCTCGTCACGGTCAAAAAACTCAACGTCTTGGCGAAGCATGGTGCGGAAAGACAGATCACGAACGCGATGGACCAAACGCTCGCTGCATTTTGCGAAGATGATGCCCTGCGTGGCGAAGGCAATGAACATGACAATGGCCAGCATCAGATACATGAGAGACCAGAAGGAGGCGTCGGACTGGATCTGGGGAATCGTCTGGTCGTTGATGGGAACACCCCTGAAATGCTCTATCAGTATGCGATTATAACCAGCCGGCATTGAAAACTGGGAGGTCGCGCCACTTACAGTGAGCTGATGAGCTTGGCAAAAAACACGGCCTGGGTCGGGTTACCTAAACCGCAGATGATGGAAAAGATGAGGGCGATTGACATGAGCTTCCATTCCTCCTTGTTGAAACTCGCAATGAGCTTGATTAGTGTCCAGAGGCTGTATTTGACTGGTTCTTCCTTTTGCCGCCCTGCGGCAGCCATGGAGCTGATGCTCTTTTGAGTTGTTGAGCGGTTCAGTTTAGCCGCAATATCGTCGTCAGGGTCGTTGGCGTAACTGGCAGCGCCGCTAGTTTCGGGCTGTTTGTTCTGGGTGGAAGCCTTGCGAATAAGAAGTTCCTCCTCCTTGCTGTCAAGAGCTTCCTGCTCTTCGGCGGTCATCTCGTTGACTGCTGCGATGGCCTGTGCAGTGACGAGGTTGTAATACGCGCCGCGCCTCTCGACGAGCTCGTTGTGAGTACCTTGCTCAACAATACGGCCCTGAGACATGACCACAATGTTATGGGCATCTTTGATGGTTGACAAGCGGTGGGCAATGGTGATGGTGGTGCGACCTTCCGAGGCCACTTCCAGCGCGGCCTGGACTACACCTTCAGACTTTGTATCCAGCGCGCTCGTAGCCTCGTCGAGCAGGAGGATCTTGGGATCCGATACGATAGCCCGGGCGATAGCAATGCGCTGCTTCTGGCCGCCACTGAGCAAGAAACCACGCTCTCCGACATTGGTCTGGTAGCCCTCGGGAAGCGAGGAGACAAAGTCATGTGCGTTGGCTTTCCGTGCAGCCTCATGAATCAACTCTTGCTGCTTCTCGGGGCTCTCGCCCTCCCACTTGGTACCGATCAGCCCGTGGCGAATATTTTCATAGATGGTAGTGCCGAATAGCGTTGGCTCCTGCGAGACGAGTGCAATTTGTTGGCGTAGCCAGCGCAAGTTGAGCGTCGAGATATCCACATCGTCCAGGTAGATGGATCCCTCGACAGGCGAGTAGAACCTCTCAACCAAGCCCACAATCGTTGACTTGCCACTGCCAGATGCGCCGACAAGGGCTGTAGTCTTTCCGGCGGGGATGACGAGGCTAACGTCGTCCATGACCACGACTTCAGGGCGCGAGGGATAGATGTGCTTTATGCCCTCGAGGCGAATAGTGCCCTGAACATGCTCGAGCTTTTCGCCGCCCTCACTGGACGGGTCGATTGGAGAGTCGCGATCGATCGTGCTGTAGATCTTAGCCGCAGCGCCAATAGCTGTCGTAAAGGCCTGAATATTAGGCGCAACGTTGCCGAGGTTGAAAGCGCCGATCATAACGCTCATCATGACAGTCAGGATCTTGCTCAGGGGCACCTCTCCGTCCACCAGGAAACGCGACCCCATCCAGAAGGCCAGACCGTAATTGAGGTATAGGATGAGCATCATGCCAGCTACCATAACGCCGATACCGCCCTTAACCCTGAATCCAAAGCCCTCGGCCCGGGCAAGGTGCGAGTCGTACTGCTTGGCCAAGCGGTCTTGGGTGCCAAAGGCTACGGCGTTGCGAATGCTGCTGATGACTTCGTCGGCGACGGTGCCGCCCTCAGCGTACGCGCCGATGTTCTGCTTGGAGGAGCCGACGATAAACCTCGACCCACCGCCCATTACCAGCAGCAGGGCAACGACGGTGCTCAACAAGATGATGGTCAGCTTCCAGTAACTAATGAAGCCGATAATGAAGGCGGTGACGAAGGTGGCGATGGCTGCGAGGGTTAGGCCAACTTTCTCGGAGACGCCGTCCTGGATCAGATTGGTGTCGGACGTGATGCGCGTCGTGACCTCGCCAGATCCAAGCTTGTCGAAGAATCCCATGTTCTGTTTCATGCAGCTCTCCAGGTAATGTTCGCGGATCTTTGCGCTGACGTGCTCGCCCGTGTAGATGAAACCGACCGTAGCGATGTAAGTGACAACAAACTCGCCAATGGCGAGGTAGACAAAGTAGAGCACCAGGTGACCCAGCTGGCCGGTGAAGTCGTCATACGACAGCTTGAACTGGAAGTAGTCCTGGAAGGTACCCTGGAGATTTCCAAAGATGACCGTCATCAGGGGCAAAGCGGCGCCCGAGGCGATGGCAGCCACGGCGGAGCCGGCCATGATGAGAAGGTCGTTGCGCGAGGCATAGCGGTAGAGGGTAGCAATGCCGATCTTGACGGTGGGCGTGAAGACCTGGTCCTTGAGGACCCTGGCCACGCTCTCGGGGAGGTGTTTGAAGGGGTCGTCGTCAGTGGGCTTCGAGGCCACCAGAACCTTGCTATCGGCCTTTTCGAGGTCGAGGGGGTTCAGGGACCCGGTAGCCTTTTTGTGGTTTGCGCCCAAAGTAGGCGCATCGTCAGTCGAGTTGCCATGGCTCGAGGCGCGGCTGGAAGGCGAGGGCGCGGCCTTGGCCTCAGGCGTAGGCGAGGGCGACGGCGCCTTTTCCGAGAGGCTGCCCGCCATGGCGTCTGTCGCCAAAGCCGGGGTGCTCTCTAGAAGCTGTCGAATGTGTGCTATTCGAGAGATGGAGAGGTGACGAGTAGCCGACTAAGATGCCGAGCTGTTGAGTCCAAGGCAGGCTGCCAAGCCCAGGGTCCAATGCTTGTTTTTTTATCGAGAACAACAACGCGGAAGTGGGGTAATAAGAAGGAAATGTGCGTGTTGAACGAGAGTCGAGAAGTGAGTAAGTAGAAAATACTGCCTAGTTGTCAAGGGCGAAACAAGGCAAAAGCGGACAACAAGAAAGAGGACGAGCGAGGAAGGGGTCAGGGAGAAGAGAGATCAACGACGTAGTATAGCTAAGTAGTCAGTCTTGGCTTGGGGAGAGAAAAGCTACGTAGGTAGTAGGCAAGGTATGGACGGGATAGGACCTTTGTTTGGCCTAGACTAATGTATTCATAGGGCGGGCTGGCTTGTCTGGGCAGGTACAGAACAGTACTTAACTGGACTAGAATCCAAGCGCACAACAAGGCTCAACCATGATATGCATGTCTAGCCTGGCGGGAGTGGGCACTAAGTAGGTAGCACCAAGACTGCTCCAAAATATGGTTGCGATTGGCCTGGAATGCGATGCACGCATCGGGCGGGTGAGCCGTCCTCCGCCCGGACTATTGCAAGAGACCGCGCGCCGGCGTTTACCAGCCGGTCTTTAGCGTCTCCCGAGCCTCGACTTCCTACCCAGGCCCAAATCCTAGTCCAAGTTCCAGGCAGGGCAGGTAAGGTAGGCAGGCAGTAGGCACAGTTAACTCCGTACCGGACGGGGTACATACAAAGTGCGTGGACAGATATAGAAGAGACTGTTGCCGATTACCCATCAACGGATACTACTTCGTAGCTCGACGGGGGGAAAGACAGGGGAGCGTCGATGTTCGAGTTAAAACCCGATAGGTGCTGTACCTACCCGGCCCGCGTGTCTAATCGAGCCCACGACGAATTGACAGCAACTGCACGTGTAATACGTACGATGGAGGGTAAGGTAGGTCAAACTATCTGTATGCACATATCACCTCAGACATGCCTTGGACAGGTTGCCACTAGAAAACCAGGCCAGCATCGGCACCGCTATCGTGTGCAGTGTGCACCACCCGCTTCTCAAAAGTTCCAATTCTTCTTCTTTCGGTTGGGGATACGCGTTGGAGAAAAGTTCTCTGCTGCAGCCAGGAGCCACCTGCTACTGTATTGGACCCACTTGCCAGGAACGGAGATTACCCAGCAACGATGGGTCAACATCGCCTTGCGCCTGCCAAAACGCCAAGCCACCCCGCAACTGGACTAATGGCCCGCATGGGCGTGGATGTGAACCCGAGGAACGGTGCGAGGCTGCTCGCACAATAACCCCGGCCGTCAGCATTTCGTTTTCAGAATTTCTTTGATTCACCGCATATTCCCACATCGGGAATTTCTTCGGCCAATAGCGCACGCCTTCGTATGTGTTGTGGACGGACCGGCCACTGACTCATCCGCCACTCGAAGTTTTGAGCCGTCGGTGGTCGGACACTTTAAATCCCCGATACGGGCCTTGCAAGCAGCAAATGCGAGGCAAGAGAACTCGTCCCAGGCTTGCGCCGCCTATTCCTCGGAGCCGAGACACCTGCGGCGGAAACACTGCGGGAGGTGCAGGCGGCGCGTGTCCAGCCAGTGCCCACCCAACTTGGTTCTTCCACTTCTTCCCTGCCCCCAAGGTTGGCAGATGTTGAAATCGGGTGGCAGTTTGTCGACAGTTTGGCGGCAGCAGTTGTGAGGGCATTGCGAGCCCGGAAAATGAAAGACATCTGATATGCATGTTAATATAACGCACAAGGACCTAGCGATTGAAATCCAGGATCTAGTTTCCGGCAGCGGCGTTGATTCGATGGCCAATATCAGCCTGAGGCCAAGGCTCTTGTCGCCATGCGGCTCAGTCAAGCCAAATCCAACTCCATGGTTCGAGTTTCATGCCACATCTGGGCCGCAGCCCTACGAATGGTCTCAGTATTGAACATGTTCTCCTAGAGTAGACACTTGTCCTGCCTGTGAATGCACGTTGTCGTCGTCACCTAGAATAGGTCTGTCATAGGCAACAATGAGTGACGGAAGACAGCCGTGGGCCACGTACCACCAAGTAAACCTTACTGCTCCCATCCAACATGCATAGTGTCGGCGTTAGCAACACTAATGTGTGAGCGTATTCCCTACATTAGTAGGTAAGGCACATCTGCACCGTGACGCCGTCTGTACCAACGCCCAGCAAGTCATCCTGTGGGTGACAAACGGCTCAACGGCGACTACGGCAGCCCGAAAAGACCCGCTAGCATGGGGTGTCAGATGCGCGATCCTTCGGAATCTGCGTTCAAAAACATGATTCGAGTCTGCAGCGGCTAGTCGCCGGGAGGCGTGCCAGCGCAAATAAGGAAGGTAAAACTGGCAGTGTTGGTTAAGGAGGCTCGGAGAAAAGACTTCGGATTAAGCTTTAGCTAAGCATCTGACGGCGTGAGAGTGATCCTCGCAGACAAGGGCCTCTGTTGGACCACCAGCACCATGGACTCGTCTCGCCGGGGCTTTCTAAACCTATGCCCAGCTGATTGGTGCAACTGAGTTTCAACCTGACGGCTTGTTGGTGAGGACAATTGATTTGAGATACAGTGTTTAGTACCTTCCATATTCCGTACTTCAACCCATCATTGGCAGTTTTAATTCAAAGTGTTCGAAACTAGGTTTGCTCTTTCCATAATAGGGCGCTTTCAATTATCATCAATTTCAGCATACTTACGCCATATTGCTTACACCAACCTACACTTTCACTGCACATTGTCATGATATGATTGCTGCATAATCTCGCCGAAGAAACTTCTGTGAATCACCCGTCTTTTACCAGGGAGCGTTTGACTAAGGAACTTGCAACTTGGTCTAGCGACCTGGCGACATCTCCTTCGGACCCAAGTTTCGGCATCAGTAAAACTACCAGTCCAAATCCACTCCTTTTCAAAATCTAGCCAACGAAAGACAACTCGGCTTCTTTCTCTCTCTAGGCCGCTCAAAATATTGAGCTCTTATTCTGTATTTGCTAAAACTTTTGGATGATGAGGAAGTTTTACCGATGCCCAAAGTTAGGTCCAGAGGGTACGTTGCGGGGACCACCTAGCTTATTAGGGCGGTGCTTATCGATAGGCGGTCTGGGGAGGGGGATGCTACACCGCCCAAAAATTCCCACGGCAGAAAGCCTAGAAAAAAAAGTCATCCATACCACTGAACACCAGTTTATACAGAGGGTAGTCATCGCTGTCGCCAGAACCCAATTCGATATCGCCGTAATCGAAAACAATTCAACGATACAACAGGAGAACTCCCAAGATCTAGTAAACACCTTTCTCACCAAACAACACCACACACTTCGGCAAAATGCCCAAGTCAAAACGAGCCAAGGTCTACCACCTGACGCAGGTGACCAAGAAGACGCGCGAGAATAAGGAGAAGCTCTTTGAAAACATTCGCGCCTGCATACCCGAGTACCAGCACTGCTTCGTCTTCAGCGTCGATAACATGCGGAACAATTATCTCAAGACGGTGCGACAGGAGCTGAGCGACTGCCGGTAAGGTTTCCCCTCCTGTTCCCTTTTTCTTCGGGTCGCAGGATTCGGAGAAAAAGGCGTTGGGACAAAAACAAGCGACTGACACACGCGCACTACTCAGACTCTTCTTCGGCAAAACAAAGCTCACGGCGCGGGCGTTGGGCTCGACGCCCGAGGATGCACAGGCCGAGGGCATCGACAAGCTAGCGCCGTACCTGTCGGGGACGGTCGGCCTGATTTTCACAAACCGGGAGCCGGCGACCATCGAGTCGTACTTCGAGTCGTTGACGCAGGTCGACTTTGCGCGGGCGGGGACGGTAGCGACGCAGACCTTCATCATTGCTCCGGGCGTGCTGTACTCGACGGGCGGCGAGGTGCCCGTCGAGAACGACGTGCCCGTGTCGCACTCGCTCGAGCCCGAGCTGCGTCGCCTGGGCATGCCCACGCGCATGATCCGCGGCAAGGTCGTGCTCGGCGACGAGGACGGCACCGGCTCCGAGCCCTACACCGTCTGCCGCGAGGGCGAGGTGCTCGACTCGCGCCAGACACGCCTGCTCAAGCTCTTCAGCGTGTGCATGAGCGAGTTCAAGGTCCAGCTCATGGCCTACTGGAGCGCCTCCACGGGCGAGGTCACCCAGCTGACCGCCCCGCCTCTTGTTGCTTCAGCTGCCTCCAAGAAGGCCAGTGCCGCGGACGCGATGGACGAGGATAATGATGAAAATAACGATGATGACAACATATAGACAATACTAACCAAAAACAAAATACAAAAAGATACTCACCACACTCACACTCTCACATCACGTCACACTCTGTTATTCGGTTCTCGTCTGTTTTTGCACATACGGTAAAGTGGGGTTATTGCATGATACCATTACCTATCTACATCCATGTGGGCAGCTAGGTTTTCTCTATGTACTCTCGATGGGGAGGTTTCCGGGCTATAGGTCACAGGCGTCTTGAGAGGAAGACAAAAAGAATATTTAGTAAAATTGCACAGCACGCCTGGTTGCTTCTTGAAACACATGCTAGTCTCTGAGAATTGTCTGTGAATGCGTGGATAGAGTACTAGTACCAAACACATACAGTGTGAATCTAACCGTGGAAGTCGCTCCTAGAGTAGACGAATAAATATACACATACAATCCAATCCGTGGATAGTAGCAATGAGTGTAAAACTACACTCAGGGCTTCAGAAGCAACTTTGATCTAATTCTTCCATTGCTGCTCTTTTGTATCCCAGGCATAGTAACAAAAGGTGAACAGAAGAAAAGAGTATAACTTTCTGTCTCAGCAAGACGGGTGCACAAAACAAACAGGTTAAATAAACTGCTCTTTTCAGAAATCTGATTCCAAATAATAAAGAAAAGGAAAGCTAGCTACAGAGTACACCAACCATCTCCGTCTCAGAAACAGCTACAACAGTTTAGCCTCTACTTTACACACACACGCACACCAAGGGAATTGCTAGCTGATAGAATTCGATTGTGCGTACCTGGTCTATCTGGCCTACTTTCCACTCGGCCAAATGAGCAAAAGCGAGCGACATGGGACATCCTTAGTATCTGGCTGGCTTGGCTCACATACCGAAGCAACACCTCCCCGAGGCCAGCGGCAAACAGTCAAGAGTTTCTTACCTCTGACCTTACCTTTCAGTGCGAATCTTCATTTTGCATACCTACGCTATTACCTAGTTTTGGTGCCCTGCCTTCCCGCTGCGAGTTTTGATTCTTCTCCCCCTTCGACCAACCACGACGCTTACAATTTTGTACAGTAAGGAAAAAAGCGATGATAAATACAGACATGAAAAAAAATTACCTTCTCCGACGGTCTTTCTCTGGGCGAAGGGCTGAGTCGAAAAAATGGAAAGGGGGCATTGGTAAGTGCTCACGGCACTTAATAAGTGGTTTCTGTCGCGGAGAAAAAGGTGTAACAGACCGCAAAGACAGGCTGAACAAGGGGCCTTAATCCGTGAGTGCAACAGATGGCAAACGGGCGGCCGACGGATTACCTTGGCGGAAATGAAGTCTGCTGGCACCAAGTTTGGGACATCTGCGGCTTGCCAGGTATGGCATGGTTCGGCTTACCCTCGATGTCGAAAGGGAAGGAAGGACGTGATTACGAAAGTGAAGAATAGGACTGATACCCACCCACAAGACGTTGGCACAGTCTGGCTAGTATCGTCGCAGCTTTCTAGGGTCTTCGTAGCCGCCATCGTAGCCGCGCTTGCGCGAGTCGTCTTCTCTGGGTCGGTCGTAGTCGCGGCTTCCGTGATATCCACCACCATCACGAGAGCTGCCATCACGAGGGCCGGAATCCCGAGGACCGTCTCGATCGCGGAAATTCTCACGAGGCCGAATGGGCTCCATATTGCTGCCGGTTTGCCGAGCATTGCGTTCGGCTCCGCCGCGGAAGGGATTCGCCGCTCTATCATCATATGAGCGAGCACCGGCGTCACGGCCACCATACCCACCGCCACCTCGACTTCCACCGTCACGTCGGTCATCACGGTTGCCAAAGTCGCGGGCACCGCCGCCAAAGTCACGGCCGCCGCCAAAGCCGCCAGGACCGTTGGGAGCATTGGGAGGTCCAGAAGTGTGTCCGTTGGGGGCGCCACCGTAGACGCGGTCACCGCGGTCACCAAAACGGTCGCCACCACGGCCACCGCCAAAGCCGCCGCCGCGGGGGAAACCACGGTCACTAGCAAAACCGCCACCCCCACCACGGAATCCGCGGTCCCGTCCTCTGAAGCCGCCACGGTCGCCACCGAAGCCGCCGCGGAAGCCTCCGCCGAAGCCACCTGGACCAACAGGTCGAGATGGTGCGACGGCCTTGGTATAGCCTATTCCGCCAAGTCCGCCGCCAAAGCGGCGAGGCTTCCAGCCTTTGACGGTTCGGCCTCTCTCAACGTCAACCTTGATGCGACGATCTTTGATGCGCATGTCGTTACAATTGTCCAAAGCAGCTAAATTCGCGCATGCGCCAGATGCGCGTTGTGTTAGTTAACGCCTTACCATTTTCAACACACGAAAATCACCTTTTCGAGGCGTGACTTGGGATATAGAAGAGGGGAAGAAAGGAGGTAGGGGAGGGTGGATGATATATCATTAAGTATCTTTACCCTGGACAAAAGGCAAGCTTGAGGGCAATGATGTCCGTAGGCAAGAAACAGCCTGAGCATATACGCAGCGGCCAGGACAAGAAGATGAAGAGGGTCTGGGAGGTTAGATATGACAAAAGCATTACCTCTCATATCCTTCTCGCGCTCAAACACGACGAAGGCATAGCCGCGGTGGGGTTTACGCTTCTTGTTTCCCTTCTCGTCGGCATGAGTGTCCTTGATGATGCGAATCTGGAATTAAACAGGTCAGTGTCTATCTCTCGTGATGGTTCCGACATGGAGAGGCCAGGAAAGCCAGGGCGGCGGAGGGTGGTGTACTTACGCGCTCAATGGGACCAAAACGGCCAAACTCGCGCTCCAGATCACGCTCATCAACTGTGTAGTCAAGGCGCGCCACAATCAAAGTCTTGAAAGCATCTCCACGAATGTTGGGGTCCTCATGCGGGTTGTCTATTTCTTGTCAGCACATTGCAAGCCAAAGTGGAAGATAAAACGAGGGTGGAGGAAATGGCGGGGTGATGCGAGGAGAGGGTGATGTGCTTACAGTCAGTCGGGCCCTCCTTGGCCAGCTTCTCGAGAGCGCGCTCCTTCTCGAGCTTCAAACGATCGCGCTTCTCGAGCCAGCTCTCTGTCGGGCGGTACTCGTATTCCTGCTCATACTGGGCAATTGCCGGTAGAAACTGGGCCAGACCTGTGATTGGGGTCGTCTTGCGCAGCTCAGGCGCGGCGTCGATAGGCGGCACCCATCGCAGGGGCGGGCGCGGCGCGAAGAGGCTCAAAAGCTCGCGGGGAAGCTTGTCCGTCATTTTCGCAGGACGTCTTTCGGCCTTGTCTTCTTCGTATTGCACTTGTGCAACTTCGGGATTAATGCGCTATCAGCTGCGCGAAAAATGGTGATGCCGACTGATAGTTAACGCGAGGGGTGGAAAAGACGCGACGTTGCGAAAAGAACTGCGGGTGGTGCAAGGTTAAGGATTCGCCAACAGGAAGTAGCTGGAAACTTGGATGCTCCGTGCACGCGCTAGCGAACAATAGGAACAGAAAAGTGGGCGCCATGTCTTCTGGCGAATCACGTGCAGCGATCTTTTCTCTGGCGCTCAACTTAGGGGTCTTAATGCCTTGGCCAACCACGGCGAAAGTTGCTGTTCAGATTATGACGGCTCGTCGAAGCAGCGACGATGGGGGTTAAAGCAGTACATCGCATTACCACCGGCCGAGTAAGAACACACGATTATGGCCCTCCCCCCTTATTCCGTTCATGCTGCGGGCGGCCGCGTGGGAACCAAGCAGTAGCTAACCATCTACCGCCGACGCATCTAGAACGGGCTCGGCGCCTTCATCTTGCAATGCAAGAAGATGGACTTCCACTACTGTGACTGGGCCGGCAGTTCCAAGGGCATGAAGTAAGGATACCCAGCTTCTTTAGGGAAGAAACACTTCTGGCAGGAAGCTCATTACTTACCCCTTCGCTTCTCTAGTGGCTTCATCAAGTCCATTCTGCCCAAGTTCGCGGCCGCGCATCCCCAGATCGAGTTCACCGTCTCCCCTCGACCGTCAAAACATCCCGTCATCATCGGACACTATATCAACGGCCGCGACAAGGCTATCTGCGTGCGGAATCTAGAGCCTCTACAAATCCTCAAGAAGGTCGAGCTTCTAAGAGACGCGAGCGGGGAGAAGCTGAAGAAGGTTACCAAGCCGGTTCAGAGCATCAACGAGAGCGTCCGAGGCATCTGGAGTCCTTACCATGGCAATGGTATGCGGGTATAGCCTGGCGTATAGGGGTGGGCTTCATGGACCACATCGTACAAATATACTAGGTTACCTCTGTCGACTTCTCATGCTTGGGGTTGTCAGGTCGGGACAGCGTTGTAACTATTGGTGGCGTGCATCAACCGGATATTGATTCGCACTGCATGCTCTAGCTAGAAACTGGCAGTCACGGCGGCAATTTGAGTGTCGGGAAATGGGGATGTGGTTGCATTGAAGGGCGACTGTATCAAATGATTCCGTTTCTCGTCTCTATCCATAATTTTTTGACCATTGTTCCCTCTTGTTTGCAAGATCCCGTGGCATTATCCTAGGCGGCTTCGGCCTTGGCCCATTTTCGGATGGTGCTTTACTAGTTGGCGTTGATGATGTCGACAACTATTGCAACGCGGGTTAGCCATTGCGTCCCCTCTTGGCTTGGCAGAGGCGAAAGGGGAAGGGGAAGGGAGGAAACTCACACTCGGGCTTCAAGCTGGCACCGCCGACGAGGAAGCCGTCGATATCCTCCTCCTTGGCTAACTCCTTGCAGTTCTTTCCGTTGACGCTTCCTCCGTAGAGAATCCGCGTCTGCTTGGCCACGTCCTCGCTGACGTTGGCCTTGAGCCAGGACCGGATCGAGGCGTGCACCTCCTGGGCCTGCTGTACAGTGGCGACCTTGCCCGTGCCGATGGCCCAGATGGGCTCGTAGGCAATGACGACCTTGCTCCAGTCGCCGATCTTGGCGCTGACGGCAGCCAGCTGCTTCTCGATAACCGAGATGGTCTTGCCGCTCTCGCGCTCCTCGAGCGACTCGCCGCAGCACCATATGACGCCGATGCCACCCTCGGTAGCGACCTTGGTCTTGGACGCCACCACCTCGTCCGACTCGCCCAGGATGGTCCGGCGCTCAGAGTGGCCCAGAATCGTCCAGTTGATGTTGCTGTCCTTAAGCTGCGACACGCTGATCTCGCCCGTGTAGGCGCCGTTGGGCTTGTCAAACACGTTCTGCGCCGCCACCTCGAGGCCGGGCTTGAGGTGCTCGCGGACGAGAAGCAGGTAGAGCGCCGGAGGGGCGATCACCACATCTGCCACCAGTGACGAACGGATGTTAGTTATCCCGGGGGCAGTACAGAGCCGGAGAAGTTTCTCGGTCTTGACATACCAACGTTGGAGTCCAGCTTGGCATCGTTGAGGTTCTTGACAATCGACTTGACGGACTCGATGGTACCGTTCCTGTTAGGCAGTTAAGCAGCCGTCCATGAGCTTCCGAGATTCACAGCGGGGTGTGGGCATGGCGGGGTAAATAAGGCCCTGCCCCGCGAAGGTTCAACATACATCTTGAAGTTGCCGCCGACGAAAAACTTGCGAGCCATGTTGGGCGGTGTTGATGTGATTGATGGTGGTGGAGAGGAATAGCAGCAGTAAAATGGGCTCTGAGCGGAAGATTTGGAGTGGTGAGAGGTATTAAATGGAAAGTTTGCAGGTTTCTTCTGCAAGACCGGAGCAGTGGGATGAGATGTGCGCGACTAAAAGCTCCGGTCGTGGAACTGCCCGAACCACCCACACGTGCAGGCGACTCGCAGGTGAGCCGACCTCATTTGGCAAGTGCTGCTGGACAAAATCTGGAAGGAGCTTGCGAGTCAAATGTCAAATTTCCCAATCCCGTGAAATGATACTTATAAAAAATGACACATAACTCTTTCTCATGCTCGTTGCTATGTCCCCAGTACATTTTACTACTAGTCAGATCCTAGCCCATCCCGGTCCGTGATGCGAACCGCCAAATTTTGTTCTCCAAGCCCATCAATACTGTCTCGCAAACCTATGTTGCAATCCTAAAAAACATCACACGCTGCATAGAATCAATGCCTTCCACAAGATAGCGCGTGCATTTTGTGAATCGAGGTTGCCCTGTCTTCACACCCTATAGGCCGAGATCCAAATGCCAGGTGACAGAATGCAACTGCCCGATGAGTTCCGGTCCTTGGGCCGGTCGGAAAGAAGGTTCGCGTCGAATGCTTTTCTCATGAGCAGCCACGATCCGTCTACCGACTCTTGACAAAAGATCCGCCCTTGGCCTGAGGCACTCGATGCCTTTTAAGGAGCTGCTCCTTGACATGCATCGTGACCTTCTTGAGCCTGGGCGCCAAACTCTCGTCTCCGCGGTTTGCCACGACTCTAAACACTGTCGATCCCACCTTTTGGTCTCGTGGGGCCTTGGCTCCGTAGGCCAGTTTCCGCTCGGCGGCGGCACCAAGCTTCCTTCTCTTGGGCTTGCTGTCGACGGCAGAGTTGGGCCGCTGAGGACTGTCATCTTCGTCGTCCGACTCTAGCAGCTCTAGGGGAAGTAGATTGGGCAATGCCCTCTTCCACTTCTCGGACGACGCCGAATCCTGTGGCTTTGAATCCACCTCGCCTTCTTGGAGGGTGGCTAGCTTCTTCTGGGTGCTTTTTCTCTCTTCAGCCTGTCCCTTGAAGACGGCATCACGCTCCTTGCGCTTGCGCTTAAGCGCGGCAGCTTGTCTATAACTCATATTAGCGGCTAGGGCCACGTCTTGACGGATATTTAGAAGTGCCTACTTCTCTACAGCCTTTGCGGCAGCCTCTACGGATTTTGCCAGCTGTGTTTCAGCGGCATGTGAAGAGATAGCTTCTGGGGGCGCGTCGTCGTTGTCGTTGTCGCTCTCATCATCCTCGTCCGCTTCCGGCGCAACTTCCTTTGCCTCGACACCGGGTGTCTTGGCTAGTGGTGCTCCGGCTGGCGGTGCCTTGACTGCAGATGCCCTCGCTGCTGAAGCCTTGGCGGCGAGACTGCGCTCGAGGGGGTTCCTGGACGGGGCTTCTATGGGCGTGACGAACTCCTCACCATCGCTGTCGAATGTGATGTGCTTCCTCACATGCAGAGGCGTCTTGAAGACTTCCTCGTTTCCCCCGCCGCTGTCCAGGATCTCATCGTCCCTGGACCGCACCGACGAAGTTGGCAGCGGGATCTCGATGCTGACGTGCCTGTGTCTCGTAGAGCCCGTGTCCTTAACACGAACTGGCAACTTTGCGCTCGCAGGCGAGGTTAAGATGTTGTCCATCTGCTCGTTTCCATCGGTAATTCCCTTTTCCCTTGGGGATTTTTGCTTGTCGCCATCCTGGCTGTGTCTGGTGGGGGTTTCTGCCGAGGGGGCCTCATCCGCCGATGACGCCGACTCGGAATCTGACGAGATTTCAATGACTTCGGGCTGCCGCGCTACCTTCCGCAGCGACTTTCTAGGCGCCATATCTACGAATTCCTGAGGGCCAGAAGGCGAAGTTGTCCGATGAGCGTCTGTGTGGCAGGCCAAGCTTTTGCGTGGTTGCAAATGGCAGTTTTTACAATTTTTGGTGTAATTTTGATGAGCTAGAGCGTTTGGATTCTGAGGATCGGTTTTTTTCGAGGTCGAGCTCCCGACAAGGGATCCCATTGGCTGTACCCCGGATCCGGCTCCGCTTTTCGTCCAAACCCCTGACAGAATTTCGAGAGCATCCGTCAACGTCACTCGTCGAGCATTCAATGCCTGGCAATTCAACTTACATCTAACCTAATCTTCGGTATTTGCGGAGTACGGTACGGAACACTACTTGGCCCAAATATACGCTCGCTCGCATCGGTATTCTGTGGAATCTTGGCCTATTCTCAACTTTATCTCTAAGGATAAAAAGGAGCGGCGCTTGACGCCCTCCGTTGTTGTGAAAGAAGAATGCTATTCTGATCTCAGCTTGTCCTCCTTATCACTCCGTCACTCAATCACTCAATCACTCCATCCATCCACACCCACCATAGTCCACACTCAGGCCCCTTTTCGCCATGGCGGCATGGCGTCCGGCTCGGACGCCTGCACCAGCAGCATCTTTTGTGCAGCTGTCTTACCCTGGTAGCCCAGCGACGGGCGCATTGCTGGCTGCCGGCCATCGTGCTGTATGCCAAAGGCTGCTGCTGCAGTCCTCGGCCTCGTCACAGTCTCGGCTCTACACAAAGTTCAAACGTGCTCCTCTGATGATGCATAGCCCGAAAAGGCACAAAAGTCCATCCAGCGTTGAAGACGACCTGCTCTTCATGTCCGTCGACGTCTCTCCGCTGGAGTTTTGGGAGCAGCGCGTTGCCGAAGAGCTGCCCGAGGGCCTGACTGGCCACAAATGCTACAACACTACGATAGCGTACTGCTCACTGGCCACCAGGAGGGGCTCGACCTGGAAGGGGAAGCTCAAAGCCGGTGCGTAGTATTGGTTTCCCCAATAGAAGCCGGCCGGCATTCTCGCCTCCTTCGCGAAGAATGGTCGCCAGCTATAGATGGAGCGGTGAACTGACAAGCCCCTGTTTTCCAACGCAGAACACGGCATCGACAACTACACGCTGCACTATACCGCCATTCTCCAGCTCTTTGGCTCGTCGAGGCAGAAGCGGCTAGGCTTTCACATGCTCGAGACGGCGTCGGACCTTGGCTACGGACCTTCCACCATGGTCATCTACCGCATGCTGCTGCAAACCAAAGACCTCAACAATGGGCCGCAAGCCAAGCTGTTCAAGGTGATCGAGCCGCGCTTCAGGCAGCTCCTGCAAGGCAGCGGCGGGCGCGACCTCAACGCCTTAACTCTGCAGGGTATGATGCTCCGCCGCATCGGCGACGACGACAAGGCCCTTCAGTTCTTCGACCAGGCACTCGTCTATGGGGAGGCGGAGGCCAGCCTCAACAGCAGCCCCGAGACCGCGGCGACATCGGCAGGCCAAAAGAGGCTGCCCAGGTGGGATCTGGAAGCCAGCTGCCACCTAGGACGCGGCCGCATCCTGCTCAAGGAAAACATCCTCAAGCCGGCCGAAGCCGCCTTTAGGGTCGCGGCTTTCGAGCTCGACAATGAAATGGCATGTCTGGAGCTTGCAAAGATGCTGCCGGTCAACTCGCCTGAGAGAATGGAGTGCATTCTCAAAGTCGGGCAAACAGGCGACCCACGTACCTGTTTTCTGCTCGCGCAGACCGAGGCCAACAGAATTTTAGAGATCGTGGGCGTGAAACGGTTCATGCCATTCAGTCGCTTCTTACAGTTGAGGCGTCAAGTCAAACACGCGGCCGAATGGCTCCGTGTCGCCGGACAACCTGAAATGGCTGCCGACCTTCTTAGGGGGCGCTCTAAAGATCCTCCCGCAAAACAGGACTGATCACAATCAGGCCCTTGTATGTATTGTACAGCAGTGCATTTCTGTATAATCCGAATCAGTCTTGTAAATAACGCACCGGGATTGTTTGACTGTCAGCTGCGAGGGTGAGGGAGGGGGCCATCGTGTCTCTTCGCCTCTAGGTACACTGTATACCTACCTTAACTGCGGGGCACGAGGAACTTTGTTTCCTCGTCCTAGCACAGCAGCACGAGAGACATGCCGAAAAGACAGACAGAGAGAGAGAGAGAAAAAAAATGTTTCAGGGAAACCGAGCCACGCAATGGGATGGGCACCAGGACATGGCGTCTGGAACTTTGACTGAGATATCAGACAGGGGAAACGAGGTTCGCCGTCGGTCCGTTGGGAGGCCCAGAGACATCGAGTCGGGTCATCCATCTGCGGCATCCAATTTTCCATGTACGCAAGACCCCGGGTGCTTTTTGGGCGTGTATTTCAGTCCGTTTTCTGCTGTCCTTCCTCCCATATTCTCTTTTTCTTTCTTTCTTTCTGCAGGTCGCACAGCAGCAGCACGATCGACGGTGAAGTTTGTCTCTACACTAGAAAAGCACGCGGTCCCACTCATCACCTACCTACCTATTCCGTACCTTAGTTCCATACGTTTAGTCGACCGACACCGACTTACTTGGCAGCGACCAATAAAACCCAGTCAATCCAGTTCACCAACTGCTTTGTGTGAATGTATACCTATGTATGTACAGCGGGCTGGGCACCGTCGTAAGTACCTTCTGTACCTAAGGTAGTAAGTAAGTGGTGTCGGGTGTGTAGTTTCTTCTATGTAAGACAGGAAATGTGGCGATCGACAGAGAGGGAAAAAAGATCGACAGCATACCGCCCGCTCGGTCAGACGCAAGCGGCTGAGAGTTTGACGGGTCCCTCCCCCCCAAGTCCTTCACGCCCATTGGCTAGTGCTCGCCCATGACGAGAAAGACATTTCTCGTTTTCCTTTCTGCCTGTCTTTCTTTCCATGCCCCTTTGTAAGAGTTGTCTTGCAAAATATAGGCAAAAGGGGGGAGAGAGGAAGGCCGAGAAAGCAAGCTTCAGAGCGAGACCGAGACCGAGACCGCGAGACAGCAGTGCCATGCAAAACCCGTCAAGCGTGTGTGATGAAGTGAGTGAAGCTGGCAAAAGCGGCAATAACCCAAACCAACACTCCGGGTTCATCCCGTCCCCAGTTAACTACCTGAGGTATTCACTCAGGACGCACACGCAAACGACACGCTGGCTGGAGTGGGGAGAGGGTGAGGGAGGTGTCACAGAAACATGCACACACGAGCAAAGCACCGCATACACCTCGACACACCATACACATACACGCAGCTCGGGTTTCATTTCCCCCCCACCAAGCCATCTTGCCATTGCAATTGCCTCTCGAGCATTTTTTGACAATAAGTACGTTTTGTAGCAGACAATTAGACCCCCCCTTGGTCATTTATTGCTCGCAGGGTGTGAGTTAGAGATCTCTCTCCTATCCTGCCTGTATGCGCACACAGCAGCAGCAGCATCAACAACACCGGCCACATTGCCCGTATTGTCTTGCCATTCCAAAACAAAAAGCAGGCAGATGAGCTCACGCAGCACCCAGCGAGCGTATCCAAAAAGCAACACGAGATATGTGCAGACTGAGAAGGACAACAGACTCTAGGGCCATAACCTCCCTGCTTACCTCCCTCCGACTATCCGCTCATCCCCATCTCTCCTTGGTCGGGACAACACGGAGGGAACAAAATGAAAACAGAAAAGACATGGAAAGATATAAAATATAAATATAAAAAAAGTCTAAGGCTCTTCCGGAGAGAGAATATTTCCATCATTCTTTTTGGTTCTTGTTGCCCATCTCGACCCATCCAGCCATTGCGAATTCGTCCATTCATTCCACTCTTCCTCGCCTTTTCAAAGATTTTCCCAAAATTCATATGCCAGCCCAAGAAAATAGAAGAAATAAACCGTGTTCCATCTCCCATCAGATTCTTCGCCATCGTTAAAAATATTTTACCTAGAAAGGGGGTATATAATAGTGAATAATAGTAAATAGAAGATGATTATCCCGCTCCGTTGCTGCTCAACGAAGAAGACAAAACATTATAGACCCGCGCACAAAAAGCCCTTCGGGCCAAGAAGGGAAAAGAAGAGAAAAGACAATCGCTCGCTCGTAGATCGCAGGTTGCAAATCCAAAAATGCTGCCACTCAATTTATAATCAGCTTGTTCTGTGGGCCGCCATTCTTTTGTTGATAACGCCGTGGAAAGAAGAAGCAAGGGCACCGCCAAATGATAGGGAAAGAAAAGGCCGTTTCGTCGTTAACATGCATGAGAAACCAGAGTCAGGCTGCGGTCCGCTTTTGCTTCTTGCGCGGCCTGGCTTTGGACTCTTCCTCTTCCTCGTCGTCTTCCACACTGTCGTCGCGCCCATTCGACGACGTCACTTTCTCGTTTCCCTTCTTGATGCTGATCAGGCAGCCTTGCTCCTTGAGCCGCTTGGTGAGCGGAGTGCTAGCCGTCATGCCGGGGAAGTCCTTGGCGTTGTACACCTGGAATGGCTCGCTCATAGCCGAAGCTAGTATGGCCGACTTGTCTCCGGTCCGCATTCTGGCTGGGTCTAGCACAACCAGAGCAAACTTGAGACGGTACGAGCCCGGCGTACGACAACTCAGGTCTGGGAAGCAGAAGAAACACCCTTCTTGGTTCTTCTCGTCGAGACCGACAAACGGGCTCGCCACGAGGGTGCCCATGAGCCGGCGTTGCTGGCGAAAGTCCTCTGGCATGCTGCTCATGTCCTTGGCGCCTGTCTCGTCCCAAATACTGCAGTGGAGCACGCTAAACTGGTGACGAAGGCGGCGGCTATGCTCATCTGGGCTGAGCGTCTCGTCATGAATAGTCAACTGTACAATGGGCGGAGGATCAATCACACGGCGGTCTCGTTCGCCGAAACCGCAGCTGCGCGCGGCATACGGTTGTTGCCTGACAGAAATCCGGTACTCCGATGCCGTGGAATCTGCCGCTAGCGGAATCTGTTGCCCGGACCCGTTGCCGCTGTCTGAACTGAGGAGGTTCGAGATGCTCATCGACTTGGTTTCCTGCCTCGGAGAAGCGCTCGACGTCCTCGGCGGACTGGGTGGTGGCGGTAGCTGAGCAGAGCGGTTGGTGGGCCCTAACGGATAGGCAGAAGGAAGCTTGGCCATGACCTGTGAGGTAGGGCTTTCGTAATGGAACGAGTCGCCCCGGGAGTGCGGGGACTGTTGGTGATGGTACGGGCGCGGGACTTGTGCTTGAACGTGGTGGTCACGTAGAGTATTCATCTGCCTTAACCGCAGCTCTTGAGCGACCTCGTCAACAGACGACCTATCGCTGGCTGTTGATGACAAGGTTGGGGAGCGGCGAATATCAACCGGCCGCCTCGACATCGAGTGAGGGTCACTGTTTGGGCCTGGGAGCTGAGGGGGCGTCTGGCCCACGGGTGATGGCGTCGCATAATCAGAGTAGTATCCCGGCTTCCCACCAGAATATGGTGTGTCACGACCACTCGGCAACGCAGAAGCGTGGGTCGGCACACCGGCCGCCATCATGGTAGCCATAGGCGGCAGGCGTGGCTGCTGCTGCGGCGATGACTGCTGGGAAAGCTGTTCCTGTGGATAGTATGCATTTCGTGGGGCATAGGCCTCATGATAGCCATGATGTTGTCGAGCCATACCGTCCAGCATGGAGTGGCGGGCAAAGTTGTGGGGGGCAAGCTCGACCACCGCAGACATTGGGTGAGTTGACCAGGGGGGAGTAGCAAACAATTAAAGTGATTCAGTCCTACGGACCCAGTCACCCAGTCAGTCTTGTGCTCAGGACGGCCGCTGTGCTTGGCCAGCAGATGCGAGCAACTATACAGTGACGGAAACCCGCAGGTGGACCTGTCCGCTGGTGCTGAGCGGTTACAGATATCCAAATCCCAAAGTCCGGGTGCTAGGACGGCGGGAAGGGGGTGGAAGAGATAAATAGCGCCAAAGCAAATGCACACTAATAGTCCCAGCCACTAGCAAACGAGTGAGAAACAAGGCTTAGGATGTTTGGTGGCTGTCGTGGCTCCGTGACAGCGGTGCGTGGTATGTACGGGTAGCTGCGGGTACATATGGATTCCGAGGTCGAGGGCAGCCAGCTGGACGATGTTGGTGTGACACAAGTGGCCGAACGAGATGTTTGAGAGTTCGGGATCAAGAGCCGAGCAGAGAGGAGAACGACGGGCTTTTGCTGGTAGGTAGGTATGCTTCACGAGAGGAGCTAGCCGGGAGACGCCGTCTTCTTTATGGCCTGTGTGTGTTTGAAGCAGCTTGGCTGGCCGTGGTTTTGCAGGCTGTGGGCTGTGGGGTGCGGGTGGGCGGGTGGGCGGGTGTGCGGGTGTGCAGGAACAAGCCGGCATATAAGACTCGGCTCTCGACGGGCGGGTCTGGTATAGGGCGCAGAAGGACTGGAGTAGTGTGGCCGGCTAGATTGCGAGGTGGAAGGGGAGGGTGGGCAGGTGGTCGGAATATATCAGAACAGCATGGCAGAGCTTGGTTGGTGGGCCATTGTGGGAAATTGAGGGGCCAAGTGACAATATCCAGAGAGAGAGAGAGAGAGAGAGAGAGAGAGAGAGAGAGAGAGAGAGAGACAGAGAGGATATTGGTTTGCACCTTATGCTGTACTCTGTGGTGTCTACTATGTAAGATAGGGTCTGCCAGGGCGGAGGGGCCTGGCAGCCGAGTTAAGCATTCCGTGCCCTTAATGGACAGCACTCTTGATGCTGCAGATTGCCCGACAGGGATGCCAGGGGCCGATCGCGACAATCCAGTAGGCGGGTTAATGGGCCTGGGAAAAGGCGAGCCCGTGAAGTGCCGCCGTGGCATTCTGCCCAAGGTACTTAGTAGGTATATGTAATTAGCTAAAGTGGGCACGGAAACAGAGGATAGGCGTGTGTTTGGAAGACGGTCTGGAAGCAGTGGAAGGCAGGACGAGCAGGGGGCCAGCAAATGCGTACCGGGGGTGGGCTAAAGGTCCCGTCGACTTCCAGTGTCAAGTGTGAAGGTAGGGTAATAAGATAGCCCAGCCCCGGAGGTCCTCAAATGTAATTCGTGTGTATTGTATGTATCCGCAGGCATGTATACGTTATCCACACCTGCCTGGCTCACTTTACCTTGTTACACCTACCATCCGCCACCCATAGCACTCTGTGATGTGTTGAGCGAGGCATTCCGTACGCCGTACGCCGAGCCGTTCGGCACAGTATGTAGGGTACAGAGGTACATCCGCATCCAGCATGTTGATTGTTTGAGTTGATGGACGAGGCGGCTACATTCTACGCCTCCACGCTCCACACCCCCGTCCCCCCCGGCACTGGCAGGGCGTGAACAGGGGTCCAGGGGACGGGGGGCCAGGGAACATGGGGAGGTCCCGAGGCACGTCAGAAAATCAAATCGCACTTCCCTGTTCGCGGCCTAGGTACTTCGTACATACGGAGACCGTGTGCCAATTGCCAATTGGACACTTGGCAGGATCACTGGAGCCGGCGACTGTCCGCCCCACGGACAGTATGAACAGAGTACGGACAGGTATTCATAGGCCAGGCAGTGCCGTGGGTACGGATACGTACGAAGAAGGTACTCCGTATTCCGTACGGGCGCCCCATGGAGAGAGCAGCAAAGACAACCCGCGACGAGACGCTCAACAGTCAGCCCAGCTTCCATTGTTGTTCCCGGTGGGTTCGCAACGCCAACAGGCTACCAGCGCCACCAGCGTCTCGTGCATTGGAATTTGCATAGTGATCGGAAGAGCTCGCGGTGGATGGCCCAAATCATCCGCCGCAGATCGTCGTCTGGCGGCTTTTCGCAGCACGCGAGCGAAGCGAACCCCATATCGGCCTTGGTTGAGGAAAGAGGCGTTGGGGCGAGCAGCACCATTCCAACTATTGAGGTGCTGGGTGCTCTCTGGTCTCTGGTCTCTGCTCCCTCCGTGCAGGACAGTGCAGCACGGCGGCTTACCAGCCGACGGCCGGCTGAAGTCGAGCTTGGAGGTCCAGCAGCATGCGAAACCGAGTCGTTGGACCCGGTGCAGGCGTCTGCGGGACGGATGGCTGCCATCCCTCAAGACAAGCCCGCCAGTCCCGACTGTTCTCAAACACATCCGGGTTTTCCCCAGGTGTTCGTATCGCCCCCGCCGTCAGCCGTCTTGAGTCTGGATGGACGGGCAGACACCTCAACTAGTGGTGCAGGTGCAGGTGCAGGTGAAGGTCGGAGGTGCAGGTGTAGTTGTAGGTGTAGGTACCTTGCCTTCAGGTTACTCCGTGAGAGCCTTACCTTGGGTACGGAATACGGATAGGTCTCGTCGGAACTGCCCGCCCATGGATGGCAGAGATCAGAGACGGGACTCACCTCCAATGCACCTCCTCAAACCTTGAATTACTACTAGTAGTGCGTCGTAGTTGGGCAATCGCCAAGAGAAGATTGTATGTCTCAGCGGAGGCAACCCTTCCACGGCTCCTTCCTGCTTTAGTCGTGCTAGCTTGGTTCCATTGCGGGTTGAGCGCGGGGAAGGGCCTCGTTGGAGCGGGTGAGGTGGCTATCGGGCAATCGACGACGGGAATGGAGGTGCCCTGTGATGTGGACAGACTAGGAAAGACAGACAGCTGCTGCTAGCAAGTTTGCTCTTCCGGGCGTCCCATGGATGAGGTGGATGATGAGATGGGTGCGAAGCAAGGTAAGTATCGTAGATGCCTCCTCAACTGGAACAGGCCTGCACTTGCAGCGAACTGATGCCGATGGGCAAGACAGCCGGCTGGCAGGGGGATGTGGTCACCTTACATTAGGTATCCAGGTAATCCGTAAGGTGCCCGGTTACGGCAAGTTGCAGTGCAGTAGTTGATGTTCCCTCGACGTCCCTACTCTCTCTAGGGGGGTAGGTTCTTCCAATTCTCTATTCGACCATGGAAGGTGCAAGTGCCCAGTGCCACTGCCCAACCGTCACTGCCCGCCTGCAGGAGCTATGGGGTTTAGTGCACTCGAGTCCGTGGTCCGGTTCACACAGCAGTCGTGTAATTCTAAGTGGTAAGGTATATTCGAAGAGGTTATCTTCCATCCAACCTTCTCCCAAACTTTGGACGAAGGGTTTAGATGAGTGTGTGAAGAGACGGACAGCGAGCATAGCCACCTGTTCATTCGTAAGATACTTCGTACGTATGGTACTGTACCAACACACGAAGTACAGTCAACTAATTACACATACCTGGTTTGACGGTATGGAGTAATGGGCTCCCGTAGGTACAGTTCGCTTTCAGATAATTAGTGCGCGGTGGTCGCAGCGTTGGCCTCCACTGCTGATGCCCCACACCTCCAGCTCCAGGGCTCTTTCCAACTGGGCTGGGAGGCTCTCCGTCGAAATAGCCGTGCCGCCCCTCTCCGACTCTTGCGACACTCCTCCTCCACTAGCACATACAGGATCCGGGGCTGCTTACCTAGACCCTGGGGTCGATTTCTCGGTTCCGTCAATATTAACATTCTAAGCTGCATCAACAGCGCCGTCCCTCCCCGTATTGCGATAGATTGACAGCCACACGTGTCACGCGAACCATCTGCCGGCTTTATTCTGTAGATGAAGATGATGGCAAGATGTGCGTCGCCGTCCAAGCACCTTGTCGGGGGCACCAGTACCCAAGGTAACGAGAACCCGGGCGGCCGACGACGTGCCATCGACGCGCGGTGGACGATGAGAGAACGAAAAGAAAAAGAAAGGAAACGAACGGTCCAGCCAGCATTCCGCCAAGCCACATCGACGCCACTGGTCATCGATTGCTGTCTTCGGTGAATTTCATGACTGGTCCTCCAGCCCCACGGGCTCTGATCGCCAATCTTAGCGGGCCACGCAAGTTATAACGACTTTTTGCTTTTGCAACCCTCTCCCCGCCGCCAGTGTCTGGCCCGTGTGGCGCTTCCTGGATCACCTCCCCCGCATCTTTCTTCGCAGTTCGGAGTGAAGGGAGAGAAGAGAGGAACTCTCCAAGTCAAGGACAGGGGACCGGTCGATGCCGGGCTACTTGCCGGGCTACTTAATGAGCTACGTATGCTGCGAAAAGTCCGAACAGGCAAGCCGCCGTCCGCTTCGCTTTTGCTCTCCGGATCTTGCTGGCTAGCCAAACCGTTGGTTACCTAATCACGTCGTCGCCCGGGTCTGGTCCGGCTGCGATGACACCTCTTTTGCCTGCCGTTGAAGGATGCCGCCGCTTGGCCCCTTTTGGCTCGGACCAGTGGAGCCAAGGATCCCGTTCACCCACCCGCTGGTGGTTTGTTACTTGCGCTTCCCGCTTTGTTCGACACTCGAGCAGGGGCACGCAGACTCAAACCCAAGGTTAACAACTATTGACTACCTAGACCTACAGCATTAGACCATCGTTCTATCTTCTCACAGCCCGCCATTTGCGCTACGGCCTTGTGGGCCCATTGGGGGACTCAAGCACACTCCCAGCAAACCGGTACATACCTGTGTGGAGTCGGAGAATACGGAATACACAGACAACAAACGTCTATTCTGACCCCTGTCATCAACAGAGTGTGACCAGGACGGTGAACTGAGTTCGATGCAACAGCAGCGGCCATTTCCGTAACTAGATGCAAAGTTTGCCTGTCAAGCCCCTGTGTTACGACAAAGCAGCGGCCATGATAACACGGCGGTTCGCAGGGTTGTCGAGGTTTGCCGATCGTACTCCGTACCTAGTACGGAGTACGGTAGGAGGGGG